CGATCTGCTTTGTACTCTACAGTAGTTCATGTGGGCAATTAGGAGTGGCACTGGGCAGGGTTGCCCAAAAATGCTTGCCGCTCGAGTCGTATCGAAAATGTTGGCCACATGGAGTCTTTCCCTCCGTGTAACTGCTGCTCAGTGAGGTGCGAGCACGTAAGTTACCTCAAGTTCTCTTTCGCTTGTTGACCGAACTTGCGACAGCGGTCAACAGCACACACACACCGGGTGATCCCCATTTGGCCCGTGGGGTGACGTGGGAGCGCAAAGACCAATACCTCCGAAGGTTGTCCTTGCATGCCCGCTCCATAATGTTACCTACCATTATCACGGGAAGCTACCGTAGCCTTATGCCGCGCCGTCTCCCTGGGCTGTGCGACAGAACCCCAGACTCGAAGTGAATCAGGCTAACCAAAGGAGGAAAGTGTAAACGAGCATTCGCCAGCACAGACCTTATGGCTTTAGACTTGGCCAATCAAATCTTGCGGGCATTCCTCCGGGGGAGCCTGAGATGTACGTACCTGGAACCTACACTTGTACCTTACCTAACTTCAACCAGCGAGGAACAAAACCACACAATGGCCTCCTCTTTATAGGTACTCCGTAGTATTTTACGTATCTCTCAGTTACGAGGCCTGAAACCGACATGGAGATCTACCTCTTAGCTTTTCCCTTGCCTCTGTCGTCCTGTACAAGCGCCAGGCGATCCTATACTATACTACCTGATCGAAGGGCCAGGTTCCGCGATTACGGGCTTATCCCACAGACATTTTCCATAGCTTTTTCGTGATACACTACAAGTTGCAGTGAGCCTGGTACCACATGAGCTTTTAGATACTGTGGTAGTATAATACATACACTACCTGCATACATACTGCAGTAGACCAATCTTATGGCTTCCGTAGCGGAGTTGGATAGGTAACTTGATCCGCGGGTCGTAACATGGATGATACAGTACTAATGTCTGGATTTGGCTAATTTTGGTAACAGATATCTTCATCACCAGATCACGATACTGCACTGCACCGAGTACTCTACGGATTACCGGTGCGTATCCGTACTCTCACCACCCGCAAAAGACAGACATGCAGTGAGGAGCGACAGCAAGACATGTTTTGATCAGTCGACTTCACTGAGACTTGGAGTTCACACTGCTTTCGTTTGCATGCTTGTGCATGTGCATACAAGTCCATACAGCGCGGCTCCGCATCGAGCCGAGAGGTCGACGGCTAGGTTGCGCTTCCCATGTATTGATTGCATTGTCCAGGGGGCGTCTCGCCAACGGGAGCCAGAAACAGAAAGGAGGTGAGCAAGGCCAACTGCTCCATTCTGAAGGGTCCTGTCTCCGGACTCCGGAGTGGCTTGTTGGTGCAGCCTATCAAGGCTTGAGAATAGCCCATCACGCTCGCCCCCTCCCCCCGCCCCGCCCCGCCGTCACTAGGCATGTAACGGTGAGAATGGCCGAGGCTCGGACCCGGCGGCGGTCGGGCTAGCTCGGGGCCCTGTCCCGGTGCTCGATACCAGGGATACTTACCTAGTACCCTTCGCGCCGGCCCCAGCCCAGATTAAGTTGTTAAAGTCACTAAGGTAAGGTACATAGTTGACCAAACTCAAGGACGCAGACTGCACATGACGATCGAGAATCTCCCCTAGCATACTAAACCATGGTTGTACCTGGAATACATGCAAGGTACATACCATATTGACTCGTCATGCAACAGCATGCTTCGCAGCAAGTGACGGTTATATTACCAACTGGCCTTATAGCTCCTGTTGTACGCTGACATTGAAAGGGAAGCCCCAACCTCTCAATCGGACAGGCCGGGGCGAAGCAGTGTGCCCGCTTCAACCCTTACGGCACCCTCAAAGCGACCAGGGCCTTCCACTTCCATCTCGGGGGAAAGCGCAAATACTCCTATGCTCCTGTGTAGTAAGTACTCCATACACCACACACTAGGACTTCCTGCGCGGCAACAACGACAAACGCCTGCTATGTTGCGGAGTGGATAAGCCAATCAATTATGTTGATTGTTAGGTGAGAGCCCACGGGAGCGTTCCTCCACTTCAGGTTGTCACCCGACTCGACAACCGACTGCTGAGCACAGTAATATCACGGATGTATGTCAATCACTGTCACATCGATTATGTCACAGGAAGCTCTCCGCGTAAGTCGCTCTTAATAAGAGGAGGTCGTGTTTGCTGTTCCAAGAATTTGGGCCTTGCAGCGCCACCTTACCACCCCTCCCGAAGTTTTAGAGTTTGGAGCTGTCCAGAAGAGGCAGGTCGTAACGTTGAGATGGGCTGGTGAGCGGCTTGCCAAGTTGCAGCGCCCCGGCTCCTTGGGCTTGTCCCAACAGAATGGTTCGGGATCGCCCCCAGTGCCGCACGGCGCCATGGGTCGAGAAAAGTCTCTCGCAACTGCAATCATCAAGTCGGCCTGGAGGTTGGCGCTATCCATTGACGGCGGTCGACGGACGCCACATTGCGCCAACTGTTCGAAACGGCTCTCGGTATGCGGGTTTCCCCGTCTAACTACACTAGTTGATTCCAGACACCCATCGTGATTCGTGACCCACGTATACGGCGTGCCCCAGAGGGTTCGGGACCGCTGCAGACGCATCTGCGACAGTATTGACGGCAAGGGAAATTGCAGAGGAACAAAGTGTCACCAAACTCTCGCGGAATTGGGCAGTTCGAAGCGAGACGAGAGACGGATGTGTAGGGTTCCGTACTGCAATCATTACCGTATATAGTTACATACCAAGAGAAAACAAGGCAGCACTCCTGCAAGTCAACTTGGAAGAATTACCAGAAGCTGTTCCCGAGGATCTGGACCGCTCAACTATGGGACCTCGACCTTGCCCTTGGGAGCTCTGCATTCCCACTCAAAACGTTGGCATTGGCTAGATCGCTCTCAACGTGCCTTGCTAGGCTCTACAACAGTAGGTACGACGAAGCAAGCAGCGGAGCGTGATACGGAACGTTCCATTGCCCCCATAGCTGCGTACACTAATGCCGGAGCAGAGCTTCTCCCCCTCCGGCGGTGTGTATTCTCCCTCGCTGCCGCATGATCTGCTTGTCAGCGCTGTCCCGGCCAAGGTGACATTGAGCAGCAGGCCTTTGAGGAAAAAGCACGGATACTACAGCACATAGTGTAATCGTTCGTGGAAAGGACCGCTGAGGAAGATGCCCCTCAAGATTCCCCTTGCATTTGCCTAAGCCCGAGCTAACGTAACCCACATCACTGTACCTTCACTGAGCACTACGTGGGTATCGTGCACGCAAGTATTCTTAAACTACCTAGCCTACGTGCGGATACTCGGTCTTGCTTCCCAGCCTCCCTTGGGTTACCAAGTTAACCAGGCCCTGATAACTAACCGTTTGCCGTATGTATTGTACATGTACCTAGCTTCGTGGCTCTGGAACCTTGGATTTCCGGAGGGCAATGTGTTGCATAAGCGATCCGGGTGTCCCACGGCCATCTACGGCACCTTGCCAGGCGTGCCACAAACTCCAGCTCTTATCCGTGCGCTCCAAGCCGACCTCGCCGATATCCTGTAGGCAGTCAAAGGGAAAGAGGTGACCCGTCGTGTCGTGGGGAGTAATCTAGCATCGACGACCCGGTTCCTGTGGCACCCGCATGCATGTATCTCCTGCCGGTTCTCATGTCACTGGCCCAAGAAGAGCAGGGGACGAAAAGTAAGTATATAGGTAGTAAGTAGTACAGTAATGTTATGCATTTACAAGAGGTCAACAAGACCTGCGAGTCGGCAAACCCCGGTCCAGTTTCCGTCATGCCACTGATCTTTTGATGCAAGAAGGCGGCGGCCAAGAAAAGCGGCTGGCCAGTCACGCGCGTGCCCTACCGGGGATGTCGGCAGCCGAGATGAACTTGCTGCAGGTGGTCGCCGACCACTTCCAGTGGTGTAATAAGTACACAAGTTCTGTCAACTCTCACAATTGACGCGGGATCACATCAACTTGATGAGATGAATGGTGGGGCTTCAATCACAAATATCATGGTTTGCTTCACCGTACATACCGTGGTAGTCCTGGAAAGACGAGATTTCGATACCTTAGCTACCAGGCATCGCAAAAGCATCTCGAATCTAAGGCACCAACCAACCAAGCTTGATTCGTTGTACATAGTAAGGTAAGTTTATGTCCCACGCCACGATGAGGAAGCCAACAACTGCGGGCGTGACCCCAATCAATGCCCACCTCTCGAACTGACCTGGCGATGAAAAGCTTTGGAAGATGGATCCACTGGGGTGACAATTGAGTCCTCGCCGCACAGCAAACGCGTAGGCGTTGTATAGACGCCACACTGCAATGGATCTCATGCTCCATCCTTAGATGTCTCCTACGCGCTGAGGCTTGTTTAAGCGCTCGTGTCTTCCACTAAGTCCTGCGCTCCGATTGAGCCTCATCTTGGCGCTTGCCTCTTACCCAGCCGCTCATAATATGTCTTACCTCGCCTTCCTTCGAACGGTGGAGGGTGGAGCGAGCTGGTTCCAGGTACCTGGAACATGTAGGCCGGACGCTGAGCGTTGATTGATGAGCTGCCACTCATCCGACCGCTGCTTGGAGGTGGCCTCGATGGATGAACGGACTTGCTGTCTTTGGGCCCTCTCACGGATCCGGACTCCCACAGGTGACACGAGCCATCATATTCCCGATGAGACCCCCAAAATATCGTCGCATTTACATAATGACATGGCACTGTCCGCCTGCCTATCTGACATGTATCCTCATTGGTATTGGCCACCGCAGCATGTCCGATCCCTCCGCAATCCGATCCACGGTGGTGATGGCCATGGACATTTCTCTGCGTTCACCCGCTCTCCTGACACGACCCAAGCTGCGCCGGCTGGCTCGAGGGCCCCATAGGAGGACGAGGAGGATAGGAGAGGTATTCGCTCGGAAGCAATGACTGGTCTCGGTGTAGATCAATGCACATCCCGTTACTCTAGTCACACACGCCGATAGATTAAACCCCGAACGCCATTCGCCGCCCAGACTCAAAACAAGCCAACCATCCTGTTAAACACCAACCAACGTGAGAACGCCCAGATGAGTGTCAGGGCCGACACCAAGATCGAACCGTGGTCTCAACCCTCGAACTCCTTCTGTAGGTATACACACGATACCATGGCGTGGTCACGCTCGTATGGCTCTGTAGGCGTTATCAGCAAACAAAACTCGAGGCACCATAAGACGCGGAAATGAACGTACCCAAGGTAAGCTGCTCCTTGGGGAAGAACTTATCTTCCCGCAACTTCTGAACTTCGCTGGCAAACACTTGCTCGGGTGGCGCTGGGACAATATAAGCCAACAACTCATGAGACCAAGGGTCAACGAAAACCCTACCTGTGCTGTCAATGCAGCTCGCCTTGATGGAGATCAAAAGGCCACCACCCTGCTTCAGGAACAGTCTGGCGTTGATACCGACAATTCTGGCCTGATCGGGTTGGGCAACGTCGGCAAAGATCACATCAACCATGGGAAGAAGCATCCGATAAGCCATCGGCTTGCGAGCGTCCTCAACAATCCTAGTTCATGTGAGTCAAAAACGCGTCACTTGGTAGACCGGATGTCATCTTTCTTACGGGATAACATTGGTACGACGAGTCTAGCAGGTAGTCAGCACCCGGTCAAAGTAAAGGGTCAGTATGGTTGGGGAAGGACATACCGCCATGTTGATGAGATCACGGCCTGAACGGTGCGAGAACTCGACGGCCTGTACGCAACTTGTTAGAGTTTGAACGGCGTCAGCAAAATGAGCAGGGGACATACGTAGACAGCACCAGTTGGCCCGACAATGTCGGCAACGTGAGACACTGATGTACCCGAGGCAGCACCGAGGTAGAGGACCTTGGAACCAGGTTTCATGTAGATAGTCTCCAGACCACCCAGGATACCGGCAGCAAGCTTACTCCGGCTGGGTCATGTTAGCAGTTGACGTACAAGATCAGGGAAGCGTGTAGACTGACAAAGGATTCCAAATCTGCGAGACCTCAGATTAGCTTGTGTCCGAAGCACAATCGACAACCACATGCACGTGGTCGAAAGAGCCAGAACTTACGCGGTACTCCGTTTTCGTAGCGACAGTATCCTCTTCCTTGACAGCGTTCTCCACGGAGATCCTCTTCTCTCCGTACACGGACTCCCCAGGGACCAGGTTGGCCGTGGCTAAGAGGTCCTCCTTACCGCCACGTGCGACGAAGACGCCCTTGTGACGATGAGGCTCGACGACAACCTTCTTGCCGCCCTTCGCTCCCTTAGCACCACCCCTAGCACCACCGCGGCCGCCACGCGGTCTGCACACGCATATTAGCCAGGCTGCACAGTTATCGAGTGGACAGGAGGATGACATACGCTCCCCGGCCACGACCAGGAGGGCCGCCGCGCCCGCGACCAGCAGGGCCACCACGACCGCCAGGACCTGTAAGTTAATAGTTAGCGATCACTTCCTACTTCATCTGGTTGGACCGACAGAAGTGGTTGGTTAAGGGCAGAAGAGAAGTAGTGAATGGAGTTCTCCTTCGCATTCAGGAACGCGGTATCCGGGTTCCAAATCAAGTGACCAGCCGCTGGGAAAGAACAATGTGCACCACGACTTACCACCACCACGTCCACCTCTCGCTCCGCCGCGACCGCCGCGATCGCCACCGCCGCGGAAGTTGCCTCCTCTGCCGCCGCCTCTTCCACCACGATCGAAACCCATTATGGCCGGTTGTGCGTTCGAATCGGGGTTGTTCTTCTTGGCTTCGGTTGTAATTCAGATGCTGAAGATCTGTAGTAGGGCCCTTAACACACAATGGGTGCGATGCGCGGCCTTGTCGAAGTCGAGGAGCTTGATGGAGCTGGATGCAAAATTTCCTAGAAAAAAAGCGGGACCACCTAGGCTTGGCCCCGTCGGAGGTGGAGCCCCGATTTGAGACGCGAGTGGTCAACTCCTAAGTCCAGTATAACAGTGTTTCCAGTCTTAGCAATTTCAATCAGTATTTTGGCTCAATTGAGTTACCGACCTTAGCAGCTGACCCCTGTCACCAGCTGCACCCATCAACCGTCTGTCGTAGTCGCCTGAGGCACCATTTCTGGCGCACAAGCCAATCAACCTCAGCCCACGGAGCCCTAATCGTGAAAATCGCATTTGGCGCCAAAATTTGGAACAACCACCACTCCCCAACTCCAAACTCGGTCGATTCCGTCCTCACGTCGACAACAGTCAAGATGGTCAGTAACCCTTGCGAATCCGATTCATTTACGATGCACCGAAGTCCAAGGCTGTGGGGGAATTGCTGCTGCACCGGTGGCACGGGACAGAGGGGGAAATGCTGGGCCGACTTAAAGGACCGTTAGGAGCCATTCCCGGACCTGGCTGACCGGAGTTTCCGTGCACTTTAGGTTCGGTACGCAGCGACTGAGATTGCGCCGGCGAAGTCGGCCCGTTCCCGCGGGTCGTATCTCCGGGTGTCGTTCAAGAACACTCGTGAGACTGCCCAGGCGATCAACGGCTGGAAGCTCCAGCGCGCCCAGACCTTCCTTGAGAACGTCATCGAGAAGAAGGAGGCCGTTCCCATGAGACGGTATGCTGGTTCCATCGGCCGGACCGCCCAAGGTACGATTCGAAACACCGAAGATCCGTATTCGAGATGTGGAACATGGGAGACGAGGTTGCGAGACGATTCGCAATCCGGATGGGGGCCATGGGAGGATTCGCATTGCATTGAAGGATGGCGCTGATTGTTGTGTGGAAAACAGGCAAGCAGTGGGGTGTTTCTCGCGCCCGTTGGCCCGTCAAGTCCGCCCAGTTCCTGCTGGGTCTCCTGAAGAATGCCGAGGCCAACGCTGATGCCAAGGGCCTCGACACGGGCAACTTGATTGTCAAGCACATCCAGGTCAACCAGGCCCCTAAGCAGCGCCGCCGGACATACCGCGCCCACGGCCGCGTAGGTTATCCGAAATTCATGATTCAGTGAGCAAGACCGCGGGAGATTAACACGTGCATAGATCAACCCCTACATGTCGAACCCTTGCCACATCGAGCTCATCCTCACCGAGGCCGATGAGGCCGTCCAGAAGTCGGAGGCGGTTGTTCGCGACGAGTCTCACCTTAGCTCCAGGCAGCGCGGTGTCCGCGTCCGCCGGGCTATCACGGCTGCTTGAGTCGGGCGCTGTTAGTTGAGTTGGGGAAAGGGATCATTTTAACTGGGCTTGGCTTTCTTCCGGAACGGTGTACGCGAGCATGGCATTTTTTCGGGTCGAGGCTACGATTCCCACAAAAAAAGGGAGTCGGTCACAAACACTCAATAAAGAAGCATTGAGGACCATAAAGGGGTGCACGCGGAGCCGGGTGGGATACTCGGGCGTTAAAGCGGATATCATTGCTTTGCCTCGAGTGCGGCCGTCAAGCACCGTTTCGATGAGAAATGAAGATTCTGCCGTCTTGGTCACAGTGGGTTCATCTCTAAGGTATACTTACTGTAATGTGAACTGTTCGGCTTGGGTCGAACTGGGTATCCCGCAGGACACACCGTTCTTAGAGGGAGGGTAACTGTTCGAAAGTGGGTGCGAGATTATGCCACATCTCGACATTACATCACATCACTCCGACCAGCTTGGGCATCCACATTCCAATCCAGCCCCGGAGCTAATGTATTCGATATAAGAATCGACGCGGTGAGTCGTTACAGATCAGAAGGTAGAGAGAGGATGGCTTGTCTCCCATGCTCCCCCCTACCCTGCCATTTCGACATCCCCGCCACTGCCGCCAGTGCCCTTCTTGCGCTCCTCTATTCTCTTCATCATTTTCTGCCTCGCCTGGTCAATCCACCTCTCATACGCCCCATTCCCCTCCTTCAATTTGGCTGCCACGACCCCTTTCAGCACCTCGCCCGCGAGCCCCACAAAATTGTGCCTTCTCAGCGCATTCTCAAACTGCCAGTCCCTCCGCTTCTGCTCCTCCCTCGCCAGCAGCTCGAAATCTCCAATCTCCCGCGCCCGAACACGCAGGTCGCGCACCATCGCCAGCAGGTTAAACCTGATCTCGGTGGCATCATACCGTGCGATCCGCCGCTGCAGCACGTCCATGACCTTGGCAGGGAAGTCGTTCCGCGAGCAGGGCCCGTGAGAGATGGGCGCGGGCTGCAGGCCGTCAAACTCGTAGAGCGTGCCCCCGACTGGGGTGTAGGCGATGAAGTGGAAGGCGTCCTCGCCCTCGTCGGACTGCCGCTGCGTCTCGTCGACGAAGGGCGACGACTTGGCGAAGCTGTTGTGCACGTCGCGAATCAGCTCTGAGTTGGAAAGCGCCTCGCCGCGGTATTCGGGGGGCAGGGCCATGGTGAATTCGCGGAAGTCGGTCAGCGAGCGGCCGATATCAATCGTCTCGTCCGGGGTGGCGCCGGGTGAGTCGGCCGTCTTGTTGAGCAGCACACTGAGAAGGGCCTGTGTCCCGCAAGCGTTCTGGATGGTCTGTGCCGCGAAGAACAGGCGCTCCGCTGCATCTTGGTCGAAGGTGCCGTCGAGAGGCTTGTCGCCGGCTCGGTAGGGAGCGTCGGTCGGGAACTTGAAAAGAAATATGACGCCGTAGACAGGGTAGAGTTGCGCGAGAGCGTCCGGGTCGAGGGAAAGCAGCTCCTCGAATTGGACGTCTTTTACACCGAGGTTGTCGAGCAGGTAGGTGAAGACGCCCTGAAGGTTCCACTGTCAGTTTCTCACCACCCTCGGCGTCTGCTGTGGTCCGTCGCGCGAGTCTTGGGGTCGCCCGGTCGTGGTAACGTACCGCATCGGACTCGACTGTGATTCGTCGGTCAGTGGTTTGGCTCGTCGGGGGGTGCTCTGGGCACGCGAATGAAGCTTACTGGTGTTCCAACCACCACTCATTGCGAAGCTCTGGTCGTTGCGGGAGTAGCCGAGTAAATGATCTTGGTGTCTCGTCGCTAATGCTGGTTCAAATTCCGGCTACTTGAAAGGCGAAAAAGAACACGTCTTTACACCGCTGAATACGTAAAATGCCTGGTCTCTGATGACCGCTTGGGAGTTGCTATGGTTTTGAGAGCTCAGGCCTTCAGGGACCCGCACTTTTGCAGCGATGATGCAAGATCGCAGGTTGCCTGCCAGATCTGATAAGATAAGCTTAGGTTCAAGCTACAACCTCCACTAACCTTCCCACCTCTTTCATTTTACGGCCCAGGGAGTATAACCTGCCTTGTGCCTGCGTCTTATGCTCACTTCCTTGTACAAGTGAAGTGCCGTTGGCATATGCCCATAATCTTTTCGTACATACACAACAACGCTCAATTATGCTACCAGGTATGTGCCAGGCTCTTCCCATAGACCCATACTACCATAAGAAGTAGGAGGGTAGGTAGGTACTAGTATCTCCAACATATGGAAAACTACCTACCTAAGCACGTGCTAAGACAGCCCCATTTAGAGACATGTCCATGAGGTACTAGTACCGACCATCGGACATACAACTAGCTCTCCTTGCAAACCTCGACAGCCCACTGCCGTAAGTTCTGTACCTGAGACTCGTTGGAACGACACATCCCTCAGGTTTCAGAGCTCGAACCTATGCCCTCTCGCCTTTAGCGAGCCAATTCCGCCTGCCGGGCATGTGCCCTGGAGACTACTCCACTTACCAAACCCGAACGGCGTCACTTGGATGCGTGGTTGCTTATAGCATCTGGCGGAGAGGCTGAGGGGTCTGCGGCCTAGCAAGGTCCTTCCCATCCTCCGTTCCCTTCGACGTCATGTCAGACCGGTACATGTCAGCGCTCGTATTCTCCTCGCCCGAAGCCAGGGACAACGACATGTTTCGCTCCTTCCGCCATTTCGACCAGTAAATAACCCTGAAGAGGGCCCGGACGATCCACGGCCTCTCTCCGGGAGGTCGCCAGGTCCAGTACTCCTTCATATCGTAGTTCTCAGGGACGACGGCGTCTTGAGAGAGCCTGGCAATGACCCAGACAGCCCCGTTGATGACCGTGTAGGTGAACAAGCCACTATTAATGCTGTTAGCTGATTGTTATGCATGCGTAGACTAGCAGACTCACGCGAGAAGGCCATATGCGACACTGTAGCTAAACGGGATGAAGGCCAATGTGATAAACGACGGTACCGCGTCTCCAATGTAGGCCCAGTTGATCTTGGTGACCTGCCGAATCATCATGCAGCCCACCTAGACAACTCTTGTTAACTGGAGGATTCCACCGTCAAGTTGACGAGAAGGACTTACCAATATGAGCGTGCTCCCAGTTGCCCAAGGCGGGATAGACGCCAGCAGCGGAGCAAAAAACAGCGAGAGGAGGAAGCAAAGCCCAGCAAAAACAGCCGTCAGGCCAGTACGACCTCCCTCTGCGATTCCAGCAGCGCTCTCGATGAAAACCGTGACGGGGGAGCATCCCAAAAGCGCGCCCAAAGAGACACAGATTGCATCGGCGCAGAAGGCAAGCGTTGACCGGGGAAACTCAGACTCGTCCTTGCGCACTCTGCTGCAGAACCGCGCCATCGAGTAAAGCGTTGCCGTGCAGTCGATGATGTCGACATAGAGGAAGGTGAACAGGGCGGTTGCGAAGTGGACTCCCGATGAACCAGTCAAGTCCCATTGCTGTTGGAGCAGCGTGTGCTTGATCGAGTGAATGCTGACAACCTTGGAAAAATACTCAAACCGTCGGTCGCCGTCCGGAGTGTCGGGGAAGTACGTCAGAGGGGTGTTGCGTCTGGAGCGGATGTGAGCGTGCGGGGCATGTTCGACGAGGTTAATGAGGAAACTCACGGCCATGAGATGATCGAAACTAGGGCAATGCCAATGACGATGGCTCCTTTGACCCGGAAGGCCATGAGGAATGTTGTAAGGAGACCACCGCCGATGATACCAAGCCACATCTATGGTTTTCGTCATCAACTAGTGAGCTCAGATGGATTGAGGGAAACGGGGCGCTTATACCTTTGGACTCGACATTATCCCCGACGTGCACTCTCTTGCCTCATTGAGGTCCTCGACCGGGCATCCCCCTACGGTTAGCGGTGTGACGATGCCTCCGGTGACGAGACCAATGCCTGTAGTGTACGACATGCCGATCAGCGTCAAAAACAGGCCGATGCCCACGCCACTCGCAATCTTGATGGTGCCGGGAACGATCTTGACAAGCCAGTGACGCAAACCCGTCAGAGCCAAGAACATGAAGATCCAGCCCTCCATGAAGACAGCCGTGAGAGCGACACGATAGTTGATCGAGCCCGCGCCCTTAACCCCGACAACTTGGTAGGTGAAGTAGGCATTGAGACCCATCCCTGGACTATGAGACGGTCAGTTAATGTCTTTCAAAGCCATTGGGGCCATCCCTTACCCTAGGGCGACGGGGAGATTCGTGAGAATGCCGAACAAGACGCTCGAGAAGCCGGCGATTGCAGCGGTGGCAGTGACCAGATCGAGTCTGAGCTCTAGTTGTCCGTCAATGAATGAGCTTTACGGAGTTGCTGGTACCAACTCAACTGACCATTATAGCATTTTGTCCATTCGGCCATGTTCGCACAGTTTCCCTGGAGATCATGCGGCTTGTGACAAGGGCAGCCATAGCCGGACTCGGCCAGAATGGATGCCTACAATCAGTCAGATGAGGTGGGCCGGGCGTGCGGCGTCAGGGGCGCTCTCATACATTGACGGCTACGATATACGCCATTGTCGCAAACGTCGTCAAACCCGCACGTATCTCGGTCGACAAACGCGCATCTGCGATCTCCTTCGGCTGTGACAACAGAGAATTGTTAGCGATTGTGTCACTCGGGGAGTTGTCCGGTGGCTGCATACATGTCCGCTTCCTTTCAGTTGAAAAAGCCGACCAATGAGTGACTTGCTCGCAATATTGTCAACGCGCAGGACGACGTCTGAGGCCGACTTCTTCCATCGTTGGAACCGGCTTGGACGACTACTCTGCGTTTCTTCACTTGCGGCCTGACCCTGATTCACCGCGCGCATCTCGATTTCCTCGCTGTGCAGGTCAGTTAAGCCGGTCATTTCAAATAAGGTACGAGAAAGGGACGGGTTGATGGCAAATATTTCTGCTAACCAGACACGGGTTCTGGGAACCTAAGTACCACACTCATGAAGCCTCCAAACGACCGCCGTTTCGCCAACAATTGTTGGTGACAGGCGACCGCAGAGCATGACTGTCGTACCACAACACCGACCCAAGGCACTGCCGAGTTCCAGGGATTGATAACCAATCTGATCCCTCCTAAAAATGCAGGCAAGGGACGCAAGCGGCAGCCGACAAGAGCAGGCATCCGCTGCAGGAAGAGGGGCACTCTCGACTGCAAGAGGAAACAAGGGGAGGAATCAGCGTACCTTCTGGGAAGCGGCATCGGAATGAACTGCCGTAGCCGGGTAATGAGGCGGCGCATCGTTGCAGATATGAGGTTGGTGACAACTCTTCGATATTGCGTGGTGCGCTGAAATCATGAGGGCCGCCGGTCTGGACTCAGGTCGACCCTGAAGACGAGATTCCTCTTGGATTGGCAACAATAAAATTCAGCCCGTTTTCTATGGAGGGCAACAAGCTTGCAAGTTGGAAAAGACGGTAACTCAATGGCTCAAGTTCCGAAGAATTTCATACAGAAGCCTGGCACCGAAACGGTGGAGATGTTGAGAGTCGGTCAATCGAACGCGGGTTGCTTCCGAGAAAGACCCAGGCAGGGCAAAGCATTCCCAATCTCTCGCCAAATTTGGCGTGTATCCAGAAAGGTCGGCATGCTCGTCAAGTTCGTTTTGAAGAACACGAGACTGGCACATTAAACATAACCCTCATAATGTATTTATTAGGCATGCAAATCGTCTGACAATCTACCTAGGTACCTATTCAGTACTAATCACAAGTAGACCCCAAACTTGGTGGATGTTCCGTTAATGGTAAAGTGATGTCGTCGGGCTAACACCTTTCCGCCCCTTTTCCCATGCAGGCTGATTCCCTAAATCTCGACGCGAGAAATAAACGTCAAACGAGCAATTCAAGAACCAAACAGATGCTTCACATCCGAGTTGGGGGGCATCAGAGGCATTTAATAGTCCACTTCCACGCTTTGGCGAACTGAGGAGCTTGTCCAGCCCTCGCCTGCTGGATGGAACAAATTGCACCGGTCCTGGAACCAAGAAGGCCTAGAGACCACCGAGCTGCACATGTTTGACAACTGGTAGTACCAAGTATCTGCTGTTTTGCCTGACTTGGACCAGTTGAAAATACTATAATGCCACCAAGCAAACGGAAACACGCGACTGATTTACAGTCCAAACCTGGAACTCGCTGACACGTAGAAATACAAGGCACGCGGATGGCCATATCCACGGCCCAAAATGATCGCCCGCGGCCAGTTGAATAGATCCTGCTATCAAGCACTAACGTTTGACTCCCTGACTGAGCCCTTGCCTACTAGCAGTGGCGTACGGCCAAAATAATATGCTGTGCACGATTTCATTCTCGGCGCCCGGCCTTGTCCTCCCACTAATCTGCCCGGAACCGAGGTTTGTAATGCAAAGCAAGCTGTTGGGCTGCAACTTGCCCCTGTCCTTGTAAGACTTTTGGATGGCTCTACTTGTCGAGACACCGGATCGATGCATCATAAGAACCTGGTTGGCGGGAAGACGTCGGTCGCACCCCCGGCGGTGGATGGGTATCTCTTTTGATGTTCTTCAAGATGGTATCCTCGAGTTCCAAGCGCCGTGTCAAATGCGGGATCCATAAATACAGAAGTCCGTAGGTGAGTACCGATAATCTGACCGTTGATAGGGTCCAAGTAAGCTGCAATTCCGAGCTGTAGACTGAGCACGCCGCGTAATGCTGTGAAGTCTAAAGACTCCAACCCGAGTCGGTTAACCAGGACGTTGAAAACCAGGGGCGAGGCTCAAATCCGAAGCGTTCCGCTTCTTGGCGTCCTACGACCGGACCGATCGATGCCAAGCAACAGCATATCCTTATTGGATGAACAAATGCGGGGCCCCGGATGGCGGCTGGCAGGCAGTTATGGATCTGCGATCCAAGACCAACTGCAACTTTACGATGCTCTATTCGGGCGACGGGTAGAGCAGGAAGGAATACGAGGCGGAACGGGGATGGGACATGAGGGTTGAGCCACGCTGCCCAGTTCTGACTTGAAGCCGGCTAAGACACATACTACAATCTGGACTCACTTTCGCCCCCCTGTCACTGTTTTCTCCTTTTTTTCTTCTGTGGCTAGACAAGACTAAGTGCTTGTTTGCGGACCTGATTGTAGCGGCCATCATGACTCTTCGGATGATGGCCCTCGCCAGCAGAATGGCTCGAGCCGCTCGCTAGCCTCGTGGTATCCCCTAATGGTGTGCAGCTAGGGACCGGGTTCAAAGACTGTACCGAAGATTGAGTTCAACCCGGAGGCTTCGCGCCATGTAATACGAGCGCGCCTTGAGCTGAGATTCTATACGTCAGTAGTACCATACAAAGGGCATTACAAGTCTGTCCGTCCGGTCACCCATCCGTGGGCGGTTCTTGTGGTACCACACCCCTCCCAAGTCTCCAGGCCTGCTTCTCACACGCAGCAAGCTATCGGATGTTGCGCCTGATAGCCTACTGCAATGAGTCGCCTGTGAGCCCGTTGCGGTGCCGGAAGGAAGTGAACCTGTCGGCAGACCCCGAAATCCACAATGACACAGTTTCGATGTTCCACCTTCCTAGCCACAGGACATTCTCGCTATCCGCCGATGGAGCCCAAGGTATCTACATCTTGACTTGAGGTGAAGCACTTCTTGCACTGTAGGTACTAGTATTGACAGGGAGTACTAGTGCCTTTCACTAAGGGATCCGTGGCTTAAACATTAAGGTACAGTACCTGGTATATCAGAACCTGTGACTCCTGAGCACTCTCTTACACAAGGCACCGCCTAACGGTGGCATAATATGTTCCACGGTTCGGGTCGTCTGTTGGACTCACATGTGTGTCCCATATTCACTGGACCAACTGAGACTGTTTGGGAACAACAACAAACTGCAGACTCTAACGGCCGAGACACCTGATTGGCACTTATGGTAGTGCGAGGCTTCTCGACAGCTGCCATCTCACTTCAGTTGACTGCCAAACTGAACTTCCTTGCTTGGCCATCTCGGTATGGCTAGGGTGGTCACAGTACCTACCTTAGGTAGATAAATGCCAGAACTGGGACGGGCGACCTAAATTGTGAAGCGGGAAGGAGCAACCATGGAGTCCAAGGGAACAGAATCTCCGTGCTACCCTCCTCTCCTGCGATACTCACCCTCGCCCACTGGCCCGTGGGCAGTCTACAACAGCGGGGATAGTTGCAAGTGTCTCACATCAGTGTTCATTGACAGTATCACTTGCCAAAACGCCAGCTATTTCAGCCAGTTGTGTCTCTCCGCGTCATATCGCGGGCTCTCCTGTGCTGTTTTAACTTGTGTCGACCGCCCCCAAAACTCGTGGTGGTTTTTCTTGTCGTTGAACCTAAATGAACTTACACGTCCATGCGATTGTAGTACTCAGGCTCGCAAGCAGCGCGTTTTTACGAGTCACAACACTCTCCCCTCACCCACAAAAGTGTTTAGAAGGAGCAAGAATTGGCTTCTGCCCATACTCGTACTTCGCACATCCGCTGCCCACGACTCCCCAGCCCGAAAAAGGACGGGCCTCGACTTCCGTTCTCTGCAATCCTTGAACACACAGCTCTCGCCACCTTACCGCCCTCGATGTTTTCGTCACCTGTAATTGACCACGATGTTTGAAGTCGACTGGGCGGATTACGAGAGCGAGCGCGTCGGTGAGAGGCGGGCCCGGAAGGAAGTGGAACGGACATTGAAAAAGGAGAAGGAGAAGGAGAATGCCAACAATGGCCAGCTCACCACTTCAACTCGCTCATCATGCCCGTCAGAACGATCCCATTTGAGCTTCTTCGGGAGCATTGGCAGGAAGAAAGCCATCGCCAACCCCCACAAGAGCAAGAAAGAGGAAGCCGCTATTACAGAGTCGACTAAGGCGGATGCGAGGACTGAGCGTGAGTCGATCAGTCCGCAAATTGGGACCGCGTCCCGAGAAGCGTCCATGGACAATCCATCAACGAGACCCGAATCGAACTCCCCGAATGTTCCTCCGCCGATCGCGAGGAGAACCGCTCGGGATGGCAGAGAGCCTAGCTGGCCGGAATCGCCAGACCGGTCGTCGAAAGGTATTCGGATTCTTCAACATCTTTATCTTCAACTCTCAAGATATTCATACACTAACTGGAGGTCCAGAGTCAATGCTGTCCAAGATGACACAGTTGACTATCCCGACACAGGGTGAGGGATCGGTCGCCGAGACGGCATTCGCCACTACGAGACTTGTTCAGGTACACGAGGAAGCAAGCCCCTTCTCTGCCAAACCTCCGGGCGGAATCTCCAGGCACGGCTGGGTCATACTGCCTCCTCCTACTCGTACTGGAGATGCACCCAGCATTACGGCTAGTCCGAGGACACCACGGGCTCATAGGCCGCCTCCATCCTTTCAGTCTCCGACCTCCCTTGATGGCAAGTCGGCATCCGAGTTTATCGACGACTGGTTTACAGCTTTGCGAAGACCAACCTATCAACTTCCCCGATCAGAGAGGCACGGGACGATTCGCAGGGGGCATGTTCTCCTGCCCCCTAACCTCCATCGGGCACCCGCGACGCCAACTCGGCACAGCGTGAAGAAGGATTTCTCCATGACACCGAAAGCGTCGCCGATAAGGTTTCTAGCGCATGATCCGGACGATTGGAAGCCAGTTGCAGAGTGGGATCGCATGCATTCTGCTAGCGCCCATGTGCCCAGTTCAACAAACCACGAGACTCGTCCACATGAGAACACGAAAGCTCCGAACACAATGACCGTGGATATGGAGGCCATGCGTATTCACGAAGCCGCCATCAAGGGGGACAACACCTCCACGCGAAACAGCGAATATCCTTGCGCACCAGAAGGTCAAATTGCGCCAGACTCCCATGGGCCAGTCCATCAGGAGAGCGGCGTCCTTGCGGAATGTGCCTCGTCCAAGGCAACAGCAGTCTAACTTCTTCTTGTCGGCTGTTCTTTATGTGGAATTTAGCACCATATTATGGCGTTGGCAGCGGTTCAACGCTGAACACACAAGGGTCAATGGGAGGCGAGCATGAGAGGCCAAGGTTGAAGAAACTGGTGTGGTTGTCAAATGCTTCTACTAGCACAGAGTGACCCATGTCGAGGGCTAACACGGATCCGGGATCGCAAACTACACATCTGAGGGAGCCGCAAACTGTATAAGAGGCCCTAATGTCTGCCACCAGAACCCCAACGGACTCTGTAGGCAGGGCAGTATTATCACAATGCGACGGATATGGGGGTTCAGCAATGTCTGTATCATCGAACTCGCTTTTTTAAGCAATACGATACGGTACGCCGAGAAGGATGTGCCTCTTGTTCGGATTCGCCATTCTCGAACGTGTTTTCCGATGGGTCATGAGATTGTAGATGCTCTGCTACGTGCCTACGGTCTTCCCCTGAGACGTGTCGGTCTCCAGGCACGGAGACGCGCCTGGATCACTCACGGCGTTTCTAAGCATCTGGTACGTCTGGAGCTATTCGGAAAGATTCGGGACTCACAAACGGTGCTCCGGTGTCTGGGCACTTACCTTAACTAGTCTCCAGGCCTCAGCAAAACGAACGGAACCAGATCTGTCCTTCGCGTCCTCACATATGTACAAGCAGCAGAGCTTCACTAATTGAACGATAGGATCTTTCCATGAATATGACGTGGTCAATATTGGTATTGATCCCGATTCGTCATTAGAAATGGTGGCGAGCAATTGTAGTCGAGGCACCATGTGCTTACCACTAACTAGGATTGGTGGTATGTCCAGAAAGGCGAATGGACAAGGCAATGTTGGTTTCCATCCTCATTGGAGGGACGAGTGTGATCGGTGAGAAGGGGAGGCATCCATGTGCATCAGGAAGACTCCCCGGGGCTTGACCGGCGAGTAGGATATGCACATCCAGGCTGCAGAGGGTTGGTGATGTATGCAGAGACATCACAACGGTCACGGTGTCACGAGAATATCGGGGATCCATCATCCAATTCTGAGCTCACTGCTACCCTAGTCTCACTTCATCAGACTTGATACCTACCTCCTTCGTACATACCAACAAGCTCTCTCGATGCAACTGTGAGAGCCAGGATAGGACGAGCCAGTTGCAACCTATAGCAGATGAACTATGGATCGGCCGGGGTTGCATGCGGCATCCTCCGTCAGGTATAAGCCGCAGCATTATGTAAGAATACGCCCGGTTTCTGTAAACCATGCCTTAGCCGCAGCTGATCACAATCAGCAAACCTGGGGCGGCGCCACATTCCCTTTCGAAGCATGGGCGAGGGCGCCGCAGTTCCGGGTCGATTGTTGGCGATCGAGGATTGACAGTTGGGTTTCAACAGCTGGACCAGGCTCTTGCTTTTTTCGCTCCCCGGCAGACGGGAGCGTTGGAGGCCATGGCTTAACAACCCGTGCTTGACGTTCTGGCTGGGTTCCGCGCATGGTTGGCGTTTGGCGCTTCCGAAAGCGGTTATGATATCCGCGCAATTCGTAGGCCGTACGTGCAGACCACCCAGTGTGACCAATCTCTGTCAAGGTCAGTCTGAAAAAGAAGTTTACGACCCATGGGTACCTCTACACTAGGTGGGCACCTCGCAAATGTGCCCAAGTTTGGGGAGCGGTCGGCGAGCTTCTGATTTTCACTTCAAGATTGTGAACGCGTTACCGGTTCCATAATGACTAGAAGCTGAAGTCGATCCAGTGACTGCCAAGATCGCCTAGAACAGTTGGGTAGGTAGTCGGCAATCTTTCCAGCCCTTGAATAAGCTGTCAAGATCGGCTGGGTGGGTTTGGAGCCAAGCAGTCACCCGACACAATACCGACACAGGTATAACGTTCGACGGATGTGATGCTTAAGGACCCGACTGTGGTGGACGGTCTATATCAACTTTCCATCCCGGTCACAACTTTCGGTTCGCACTCGGGCCACATACGTTTGTACTAACGCATGAAGAACACGCAACAGTTAGTCAACAGCAGGACGGAGTCATATCACACCTGCCCAGCGCGGCCACACCCCAAGTCAAGCTGTGCTGGCGATCACAAGAGTAGAAACGAGTGTCGTGAGCGGAAGTACTCATCATTCGCGTCGTTTTAGAGTGTTGATGTACTGTTGACTGTTGTCTGCCGACAATGCACATTAATAAATAATGGTAGGGAAGGAGATGCGGTTGGCGTGCACGGTGGCCGTTACGACATAGACGTAACTACCTTACGCGCCCAGCTAGTACTCTAGTATGAGACGCACTATGAGGAGCGGCGATGGGAGTTCGATAGACGTCGGCGGAGGTGACTAACATACTAGTTATTAGTAGTAGTAGTAGTAGTAGTAGTAGTAGTAGTAAGTCAGGTGAGGCCGAGACGTTTCTTTGCGTTTTGCCGGTTGATCGCGCTGATCCCGAGGGGAAAACGGTGCAAACTGCAAAAAGAAAAACGTCGGTGGCCAAGAGACTTCAAATTCTGTTTTGGTTTTTAACACACATTACTACCCAGTTAGGTAGTTACTGACCCAATGTAGCCAAGCGTTCCCAAGTGGGAGCTGCTGGTGCGTCGAATTGTAACGCTTCTTCCACAGTTGTATTTTCCCCGGCCTTGCACCTTTGGACAACAACCGAAATCGTCGAGTGCTTAAAGAACAACGGAACGATACGACGGCGTATATCATAACAATATGGCGTTGCAACTTGTTTCTCTACACCTAGATTACCCTGCGACTCATCGCCACGAACACGACTTTGGAGGCTGTTCAGCCTGTGAGCAATTGAGCAACAGCATTCGCTACACCCACTCTCTCCCAACCTTTACCGTGGAGACTGTCCCTCATCGTGCTTGTGGCCTCGGGTATCTTCAAGATGGGAACAGTGCCCGTCCTTGTCATGGAGGCAGAGATTGACCCTCTCGCTGAGGGTAGGGCGACTTCTGCAAGGGGATTTGTGAGTAGCTGTGCCAAGCCTGACTTCAATTCGTCCCATTCACCTATTGTTGGGTCTCTGAGTCAAGCAGGGTCAGCCCGGGCAATTGACGTTGGGTGATGAATGATGGAGCCGAGTTCCACTGTCGAGGAGATTTTGCTGCCCCGGCTGCTGGAGGTTTCAGTGCAGAAAATCGGGGACCAAGCTGGAGCTAGCCCAGCGCCTGACCCCGCGATCAGCGTAAGACCTAGCCCCATCCTTATACACTAACAAGTTGAAGCTCCACACATATCCACAGGAAATGACCGGCAGGGATGCTCCACCGATTCTCTGGCCTCGAGCTTCAACGAGCAGCTGGGCATCTGCTGGTCTTGTGTCCACCAGGTCTTACATCGTTGTGCGAAGCACAGGACAGGCAGATCGGCGCGTGTGCAAGGTCAAGCACCTTTGTGGGTTACATCACGACTCACAACAGTCCCATTTTCATTTCTCGTCAGAAATACACTATGACCTAGCAGTAACATGTTGGGCTCCTGACTTCTTGCCCACCAAGCTGACTCCTCGAAGCACAGCTACCGGGTAATCTCGGCGTTTAGTGACACAATGTGCTGAGGTAGCCCTCTGCTTACAGGTTCTCCTTCTTTCTGGACTGCATTTTCCCCGTTGGTCCCTGTTCCTGTCTGTACGGCCACTGCGCTGTGTCTTCTGGGGGAAAACGGAAGAGCATCCCACCTCTGGTTTTAGTGGAGGTTCTCTCACACCTCCTGCATTGGTTCCTGCACACATCCCCGCCAGACAGGGGCTCGCTCGGGCTCCCAGGGGCCTGGTTGGCTTGGTTTTGCATTGGATCCAGGGAAGATCTCTCAAGAGCTCTTGCTGGTCTGAACCATTTCAGAAATGGATCCCCAGACCCCGGACGCTGGCCGTGCTCGGATAACAAAAGACGACGCTTCGCCATCCCAACCAACGTTACCCAGTTCTCGGCTATCGTGTCTCCCCATCTCTCGGCCATCGCTGCCCTTTGTGCCCCTTCGAGGCTGGTCCCATCCCACGGCCGACTACTTGAACCCCACACTCCCTTCGTCAACGCCGGGGCGATGTCCCACTTCCGGACGTGACCAGAGTGCTGGAACCATTGCCAAGTGGAAAGGTCGAACCATTACCACCTCGAACTCTCGAACGGTACGATACGCTGCGAATTGGCCCCAGCACCCCTGACATCAGTGCCTCGTCTTGGTCCTGAGGCTCTCATCAGTCGGCTAGAACGCTGAGTCGCACCGCTCGCGCGGCTTGCTCACGGGGAACGGCACGGGACGGGCCCCTGAGTCTACACGACAGACTCTTTGCCACGACATCGCGAACGCTTGAACGTCGGCGTCGTCTGACGCCTTGCTGTTGGGATGGAGACAGGCCTCTTGCCTTCGCAGCTCGAGGGCGTTACCATCCTCGAACGCGTATGCTCGGGCTTCTCCCTCTTTGGATCCATGGTGGTCATCGCTACTTTTTGCTTCTCCAAAGCATTCCACAAGCCCATCAACAGGCTGGTCTTTTACGCCACGTTCGGAAACCTCATGACAAATGTAGCCACGTTAATGGCACGGTCCTTCATTGAGGACCAACGCTCGGCAGGGTGCCAATTCCAAGCCTTCCTCATCCAGATGTGCGTTCACCTGTCGGGCTATGGCCTAGCTTGAATTCAACTGACGTATGCCACAGGTTCATGCCTGCCGATGCCTTCTGGACTCTAGCCATGGCGGTGAACGTCTACCTCACCTTCTACTTCAAGTTTGATGCCCAGCGGCTGCGGAGGATGGAGATCCCGTACTTCCTGTTGTGCTACGGCATCCCGTTTGTTGTTGCCCTGGTCTTGATCTTTGTCTCGACCCCGGAAAAGGGGCGTATGTACGGAGATGCGACATTATGGTGTTGGATCGCTCCCGAATGGGACATTTTCCGCATTGCCGTCTTCTACGGTCCTGTCTGGTAAGTGCTGCTGCTCTCCTGCTCGACGGGTGTGCAAACTAAACAATGCTACATCCAGGATTGTGATCATCATCACTTTCTTGATCTACATACGCGCCGGCCGGGAAATCTACAAAAAGCAGAAGCAGCTCCGAGATTTCAGCCTCAGCACCAGCCGCCACGAGCCCGAAACTCTCCCTCCCATCGACGACCCATTCAGCTCTACCAAGGTCACCGAAGTCTATGTCACCACGGAAGTCATCGACAAAAACGACACCATCAACCTGGCGCCTCTAGGCGGCAGCGCGTCCGACGGCCGTAAATCGCAGCCTTCCGCATCACCCCAGAAACCAGCCAAAGCAGCTTACTCGGTCACCATCTCCTCCAACCGTCCGGAGGGAGCGCCCAGTGAGATGGAAGGGCAGGTTCAAACCACCATTACCGCCGATCCGCGGGCAGCTACCGCAGGAGGTACAGGTCTCGGCCGAACCATCACCAACACCAACACCAGCAAAGTCGTCTCCAGTGGCGGCGGGACACACAGCGGCACGGGCAACGGGAACCACCTGCGCCGACGGGCCGCCTACGAAGCCAACAACGCGACCTGGTCCTATGCGAAGTGTGCCATCCTCTTCTTCACCGCCATGCTGGTAACCTGGCTCCCCTCGAGCGCGAACCGCGTCTATTCGGTCATCCATCCCGGCGGCGCATCCCTGGCGCTCGAGTACATGTCGTCTTTTGTGCTTCCCCTGCAGGGTTTCTGGAACGCCATCATCTACATTGTCACCTCCTGGGCGGCGTGCAAGATTGTGTGGGACGACATCAAGTCATGGTGGTCGTGCACCACCAGCTCCAGCCACAGAAGGAGAAGGGCAAACAGCAGAGGCCTCCCGGGCTCGCATGACCTCATGCCCGGCGGCGGCGGGAAAGTTGGCCTGCACATGCACCGCTCGGCCTTCCAGATGATGGGCGGCTCCAAGTCGAGCGACTCCAAGGCGTACGAGACCGAGAGCATGACCGAGCTAGCCGGCAGTCGGCCCGGATCGAGCGGACACTCTGGAACGTCGACAACGAAGTGAACTACGTCACCTTTCCTTGGGCTACTTGGACAGGCAGTGCTTTTTTCCTTCGCTTTTTCTTCCCTTCCTCTTCGCTTCTAATAGGCTATCTTTTGTAATTCGACCTTTCTTGACGCGTGGCTCAACATTGCTGGACGCGCTCATTTCCCCTACCGATATTTCCTATCTCTAGGCGACGAAGGCAAACGGCAAAGGTAACGGCATATACCCCCTTTTTTCTTTCTTGAGTACATATAAATCTATTTCAACAAAAATGGGATCGGTTCTATGTTCTCCTGGTGGTCCTGTATTGTTTTCCCCCAACTGCTTTGTCGCCTACCCCCTTGAGCTACTTGCTGCATGTAGGGAACGAGTGCCTCTGCAGGAGGATTGTATCCGAGAATGATGCAGCGGGTGAACGGATGCATGGACGAATGGGAATGAATTGGTTCATGACTCTCCGTCGGTTGGTTGTCTTGCTGACGCCTTTGTTACCAATCAATGAGATTGCGGACCGGTGAGAGGATTACTGCACATTCAGAACAGTATGGACAACACACCTAATAACGAAGTTATCATGTGATGCGGTACGAAGTGTATAATCCAGGAGCCTGGTTGTGTTGAGGTTTCAATTTCACACAAAGTTGTGCTGATCGGCATTTCCAGGGTCCAATCTGCTGTGTTGCGTTCCTTGCCTTGCGGTGTTCCTGAACTGTGCCACGCGGATAGGCCCGATGCGGCACGGCAAAGGAGGAGGACCCAGTAACCGCAGTGCCTGATGGGGCACAACCACTCTCTACGTTGATGTCAAGATGGCCATTATCTATGCACTGTGTACTGCCGTATGGTGGAGAGGATGATATAAATGACGAGCAGACGGATGAAATGAATGAATGCATGGATGAATGAATGGGGAGGGACACTGCCCATTGCATCCCTTACACGCTGCCGCCTCCGCCTGTGACACTTAGCAATCCCGACACTCCGGGCTTGATTTGCTTTTTCTCTTGCCGAGACTCGTTTTTCTCACCCCTTTTCCCTTTTCGGGGCTTTCCCCGCATTCTCGGCAAGAACCAGACACGAGTTGTCGCAAACACCGCAGCGATTGTGGCTGCCACGCGGCCCGATCGATAACCAGGTGCAGTCATTGATTCCGCTTGATTCTGCGCGAGACTGGTGGAGATGAGGGGAGGCAACCAGTCAACTCCGGTCAAACTCGCTGATGACTGTCCCCGGAAATCGGACACATGCAATCTAGACTCCTCGGGCCGTGTAGTGTCTGGTGTCAATCAATATACCTATGTTAGCAATTTCGCCACATGCTGTTGGTTGTTTGTGTTGCCCAAGAAGGACGGTAGTAATATGGAACTGCTTCCATTCTTGCTAGTATCTTCCATCACGGCGGGATGCATAACGTGCAGCGAGGTGCATGTGAGAGCTGGTGTGGTAACGCTCCCTGCGGTTAGAACGCTGAAAGCTACGTATTGTACTAGTATGTTAGAAGATCATCGTAATTGCCCTCTTCCCAGTCCTGGTGCAGCTTCAGCTTCGACCACGGTTAGAACTTCAGTTGTCACATGCTGTTTATCACACGGTCACAATCCAGGTCCCTCCTGGCTCTGTGCAACATTCTCGCCTCGGCTCCTCGGATCCGAAGGACACTCACTTCGGGGATGCATATGCCAGACAGACTATGCAGAGATCACGCTGGAACCATCAGTCTCTGATTGTCCCTAACGATTTCCTCTTTGGTCGCCGAGTCTAGGAGGCTCTCTATTGTGCACTACATACAACTAGCCCGAGTGATTAGCAGTGCTTGGCCAGAGAGCTGAGCTGGGGAAATCTGGGGTTGCCTTGCTTCTCTTTGGCAGGTCAAGCTATATAATAAAAGCCAGGGGTATCCTACATAAACGCAGTTTGCTGAAGGGGCCGAGACCTCTTGGCGTGTTTGTCTGGTGGTGGACTCATCATTCAGGCTTAGCTCGATGGACGTGTAGGTATGATATCTTAGTTGACCGTGACTCCTGAAGCTAAGGGCGCCCCTATCTGCTTCCCCGCCGTTTACCCCTCCGTTTTCTGAGATCTGGAACGCCCGGCCCTCCGACCTAGTACAACGCAACACAGTGCAAGCCACACCGAGATGTTTACGATTTTACATCGTACCTGTCATTCGGAGACATGATGCCGAACCATACTTGTCAGCAAGACTGTCGCATTAGTTATAGCCACAAGAGGGAAGACTGCAGCGCAAATTTCGGGCGTCTCCAGCTGGTTACATCAACGCTATGACCTTCCTCACTGCTCCCAAGTTCTCACGCTTGTGGTTAAAGATATCAGCGCCTTACCTGTCCTTTCCCCACTGTGTAGTTATGGCTGCTCCCTATTGACGAATTTGGGAATTGGGCGCGATGTCGTTGGCTGCTACTGTAGGACTAGCGTGCGAAGGACGTTGCAGTAGACGGGGGTCTACTCCATCCAAGGTAACACTCTGAGCCCTGGTTCTCCGTGGACACGGTTCTGCCGCTGTTTCTTCGGTAATGGCTACATACACTAAGGAGCAATAAGCCTTCGCCTGGCCCGCTGCGCTCTCGGCCTAGTCCGGAGTTTCGATTTCAGAGTGGAATATCGTCGTATTCCTGTGTTCCAGTCCTATCTTGCAGAAATACCAAGCCACGCACGCTCTATCGGGCCTTCCTCACAAAGCTGGCCATGCTGTGCAACCATACCCCTGAATCTCCAAACACCTCCCGTTGAAGAAACTGCGTCAGCTCCGTGAGAGAGCGGTCCCTTAAAAGCGACATTACTCTGGAGTTGTTTCACCGAACAGTAGTGTCAGTAGTCAGCAAGAAAATGCCGCAGGGAGATGCCGGTAAGCGCCAAACGTTGTATGTATGCACTCCGTACACAGTTAGGTAGATCAGCAATAGGACTTCCTTGATAAGGGATTCTCTGGCTGCGCGCGGTCGATCCAAGCAGTTGCGCCGGGATATGAGTACCAGAGTAACTACGTTACAGTAGCTCGGTAGAGTGCTCTTCGGTTCACAGCCCAACACCGAACATGAACTGGGTCAGGATGCGATTACCGTGGATGATGCTTTGAAGCCTTCGTTTGCAGTGTTCGCACTGAATTCCATCCTCAAAGGTCGGTGAGGGTCGATATTGCCTCATATATTGCGGGTGGCCGCTTACACTAGGTACCCCCTATTCCAAACACCCACCTCCTCCTTCAAGCTGCTCCCCCTCCACCAGGGGACCGCGTTTCTCAGTCTCCACAACAAACTCATAACCCACCCTTAAATTCTCCACTCCGCTGAGCGCCCTCTCCACCATCGCCTCCCGCCGTTCGCAGACAAGCCTCCTCAGCGCCGCGACGAGGAACCCACTCACAACTTCCACCGCCCACCCCTCGGGAATCAGCTCCAGAACCTCCACTACGTCAAACCAACCCCCAAACCTCTCTAGCAACGCACTCGTCTGCTCTAGCCTCTCGTCCGGGTCGGACAAGGCGAGGAACTCCCCCAGCAAAATCCGAAATAACCGGGTTTGCTGCTCCCAGGTCGGGGGCAGGTCGCTGTCGCTGTCGCGGCGGTGACGGCGGGTTCCCGCGGGCGTGAGTGCTGCGGCACCGCGGATGCAGTAGGATACGGCGGTGTCATAGTCGCCGAGGCGGTGGACGAGAAGGCGGAGCACGGAGAGATGATTCCGTGAGCGGCCGGCGAGGATGAGTGACTCCGGGACGAGGAGGTGCTGCTGCTGGTGGAACCCCACGCCGTTGGCGTTCGTTTGATTCACTTCGGGTTGGGGCGGTGATGGACTTAGAGATAGTGTAGAGAGGGAGTCGTCGATACGCCGATAGATAGCGGAGGTATCGTAGTCATGTCCGCCGCCGAGAAGTTGGAGGAGCCGCAAGCGGCTCTGCCAGACTTCATTGTTGGGCGGAGCGTTGTCGGCGAGGAAGCGCAGGTAGGTTGGCTTTGGCGGTCGGAGAGCGCGGTATGTGTCGTAGGAAGCGGCGATGTTGTCCCGAGAGGCAGGGGAGGCCTGTAGGTCGGTGATGACAATGTCGAGGTAGTACGTGATGAGTTCGTTGACGTAGGATGTGTTGCCCTTGCCGAAGACGAGGTGCTCGAGGTAGTACTTCACGGCGTCTGGCGCCTTTTCTCGGAGGAGCGCGACGATCTGAGTGTGCTCGAATTTCGGTGCCTTCCCCTTCTCATCAGTGAACACTTGGACACCTAACTTGGGGTTGCGGCTGGCCAGCCACAGACCGTACTCTTGCACCAGCGCCCGGTTGCTGATGTTGGAGAGGTAGCTTCTGACACGCTGCTCCCCGTCGCCCAGCTCGCCGCCCCTGTCTTCCTCGCCCTCGATGATGCGCCTCCAGATCGCCAAAACGTCTGCGACCATCTTACGTTGTTGATACAGCCGGCTGAGGACAAATAGGCGGCGGTATGTCTCGAGAAGATCCACTGCTCTGTCAAAGCAGTCGACCCCATGGTCGACGAGATCGTAGAGCTCCTTCCGTACAGAACCCTGCCTGCCAGTCTGGCCCACCGGTGTGTCCTTGTCTAATTCCAGTAGCACCAACAGTAAGCACGCATCTACCGTTCGGAACACCTCATCAGGTATGCTGCCGAACCCCTTCTTCTTCCTCCAGGCCGTGAGAAAGCGTCTCAGGAACTGGAGGACATTGGGAGCCAAGGAGCTTATGCCTTGCACGACAAGCCCATCCGTCTCAGTCGAGATATAGCCATCGACGATGGTCTTGATTCCGCCATAGATCCAAATTCCCCTCCGGTTCACGACGATTTCGTTCCGCAGAGCCGGTATCAGGGACAGGACAACCCTAGCGTCCAAATCGCCTCCAACGAGATTTTCTTCCATGGTTGTCGTCTCCGCAGCCGTAAACGGAGGCTCGGGGGAGCTCAGGAACGTTGTTAGGAGCATGATGCTCGCTTTTTGCCTGATAAAGCCGAGAGTCATGAACTCGAGTTCTGTCGTCGCTTCCCGGTCTTTGATGGCGTCGAGCAAGGAAAGGAGCTGCCGCCTGGTCGGCACTTTGCTCGGACTCGCCTGCTTAGCATGGGACGCGGCAAGTTCGAGAGCAGAGTCGAGTTGTATCAACAGCGGGTTCCGAACTGCCCACCATATATCCGCGCCAGCCCAGACAGCCAAGCGGGACGGTGTCTTTGCCAGCCTCCGCACAAACTCTTCTCCTTCTTGGTTTCTCGTGGCCTCCCACCCTAGTGGTAGTTGTTCATCGTCTGATTGGTCGAACAGTTCCTTCTCCTGGGAGAGGCGCTGTATCGAGAGCGCAGTGCGAGAATCGTTGCTTTTCAGGGACATAGTCGGGGTATCTGGGTGGCTCTTGAAGGGGGAGAAGCGCCTCTGGCATAGTCGCTCGATAACGTCCTCGAACAACATCTCTTCGCTCTGCAGTAACGGTCGAATGCCGATTGGGGTGCTGGGGGTCGACTCTTTGGCGGCCGCGTGCCGCACCTCTAGCCACCACTTCGCCGGCTCGTCCTCGCCCACATTGATGTCAAAGCGCTGTATCTCGAGGCCATGATGTAGCCCATCCTCAAACTCCTTGGTCATCGATGCGAGGACGTAACCCTCCTCTTCGGCCCCAAGCGACGGTCGTGAGGAGGTGAGATCGGCTGACCCTGGATCAACGGCAATTTCACGCGGATATCTGTCAAACTCTAGTGTGGGGCGGGTCGGATCTCCGTCCAAGTTCACGAACATGCCAATGCCTGGGTCAAGTGGGCCGGTTCCGGTAACGAGGAGGAACTCTTCTGCAGAAGGGGACACAATATGTGGTTTGAGAAAGACGGAGCCAGGTTTTGGGGACGCCATCGTCGTCTGTATTGGGGGTGTTGCTGTTCGTGGAGGGGTCCTGGAAGCGGCAGGCTGTGAGTTTGCAGGGTCCTGCGGAGGAGCGGGTAGAGGTTTGTCCGTCGGCGCCGGGCTGCGGGGTGGGGCCGGCGCGTCGGAGGCTTGGAAGACGGGGTCATCTGCTTCTCCGGGTTGTCGGTCATTTCTCCGCATACCGGAGATGAAGTCGCCCAAGCTCGTGCTCCGGGAATGGCCGTGGGAACTAGCCGGGGCACGCGACGTCGCTGATGAGGCACTCCTAGACAGGCCGCCGTCTGCGGGATTAGCGATATTCTGGGCCTGGCCAAATGCGCCGCCGTCCGGCTGTGAGTCATCTAAAGATGATATGCTCATCAGAGGAATCTTGAGCTGCCGGTCGACGTCCAGGAGAGAATAACTCCTGGAATCAGCAACGCAGGCGATGGAATCGCGGCGCACTGTCAGGGTGCTCCCGGCGAAATCGATCTTCTGTAAGTCGCGTCAGAACAGTCATCGATGGAAGGCATAAAGTGTAGGAGCCTACTCTAATGACACGGGCATCCTCTTCCCCTATCCTGACCACCTGTATGCGGCGGTTTAGCGACAGGAGAATGGTAACCCCGGCTGGTCTCTCGTCGCTGCCGCCGCTGACGCCCTCATTCAAGTCCACGCCGCCGATCCAATTGCAATTCCTCACCTGGGTCGCGCCATACACGGGGCTGAGCTCGGGCAGCGAGTAGAAGGTAACAGTCCAGTTGCACAAGACACATGCCTTGCCCACCCTCGGCAGAAGCAGGATCTGCTGCACGCCCGGGCGTGAGCCATTGAAGCCGCCGGCAGGTTCAGAGTAGACGGGAGGGAGACGGGACGCGAGGATGAAGGTGACAGCGCTGCTGGAATCGCCGGGGTCGGGAGGGATGCGGAAGAAGTGGAGGAGCTCCGAGGCGCTGGTGCCGACGTAGAGGTTCCCGTCTGCGACGACCGGTCAGCAGGGCCAGAGGTACATCCACAACCAAGGGTTCAGCAGCTTATACCAAAATAATCGACGCAGTTTATCCTCACATCTCCATCGCTGCCGTCGACAGATAGCGGTACGTCGAGGAGCAGGGGGCGCAATGTGTACGGATGAGCTCCCGGGAGTGCTACTGCTGCCTTGCTTTGCTTCCTCTGCGGGTCGGATGCCATGGCGCATCGCGAACCATTGTCGCCCGCAGTAGATGCACGAATCACCGGGGTTGCAGTGCGCGTGTTCGTCTCGATCGTCGTGTGCTGCGAGCCGACGCCGTCACATGGTGGGCCAGGACGGAAGCTTCAAGACGCTGGAGGTGCAAGGCAGCTGCGTACCCCTGGTCCCCTGGGCTGCATCCCCGTGCCCCCATTGGTGATAAGGTTAGCGCAGCCCCACTAATCCAGCCGCAGCTTGGGTCCGTCTTGGCGATCCTGCGGCCAGTCTTCGTCGACTTTCAACTTGGTTTCAGTTACCTTATCTGCAACGCAGAAACGTCAAAACGCAATCACCAACGCGGAGTCAAGTTGATGCCAGCCACACCGAAACCTTGGGCTCGCTGGCGCGCCGGGTAGTGCCTCCGTAGATTGTGCAAACAAACGCAACTCAATGGCGGAAAGAAACAGCATAGACGCTCCGGGCGCGGGGGGGCCCGCGCCAACATCGCCCACCACGACCAGCTCAGTCAATAAGTTCCAGAGCGCCATCTCGCAATGGCGGAGTGCGTTAAGGCTTCTCATCATGCTCCGAGGCCTACGGTCTATCTAACGCGCCGTGTAGGTCTCGATTTCACGACGCTCGTTTCCGGCCTAGACAACACGGCATCCGAGATCGTGGCCTTTCAGCGGGATTCGACCGTACAACGGAAGGATCTGGCGCAGAAAACCAAAGACTTCAGAAAGCTGGATGAAGCCAGCAAGCTTACCGAAATCAAGGGCTTGCTCAAGGGTACGCTCCTTGGTCCGGGCATGCTCAACTTGCGCGGGTTGGGACTAACCCAGGCACAGCCTATCAAACCTTCATCGACCTCCTGACCAACCATTCCAAGTCTGTCAACTCGGCCTTTCTACACGCCTACACGTCATTGTCCGAGGCGCCAGACCCGTATCCGCTGCTTGAAGCCTCGGTGGATTCGATGCTGGTCTCGGAAGACACTTTACCGAAGCTTAGCCAAGAGAACCAGCATCTGCAAGAGACCGTGTCCCGGCTGACCACCCAACTCGAGGACACCGAATCTCGATTACAAACAGAACGCGACGCGAGGAAGAAACTCGAGGGGAGTCTCGAGAGCAAGGTCAAGGAGGTCGAGGAGTCATGGACGGCTGTACTGGAGGAGAAGAAGGACAATTGGGCCGCCAAGGAGAAAGCGCTGGAGGACAAAATCGAAAACCAGGATCGTCTCCTCAACGAGATCAAGGCTAGCTACGAAGTCAATCAGCGTCTGGGAAAGTCCGATGATGCGGAGGAGGGCCAACGAGGATATGTCACAAGCGCGGAGCTCGAGATGGTGAACTCCGACCTGGAGCGGACGAGCGCACGACTTGCGGATATGGAGGCCCGTAACGAACAGCTGCGGTTGGAACTGGCCCAGGCCAAGTCACAGGTACCGACCCAACCCTCGACAGCCTTGGAGGACGACCCGGGTTACATGCGGGTGAGGTCAGAGAACTCATCCTTGATTCGAAAGCTTGATGCGGCGAGGGTGGAAAAGGAAGGCTTAAAAAGGGACTGGGACGCCAAACTTCGGGGGCTCGAAAGAGAGGCTGCCTTGCTCAGGAATGAGAGGGACAACCTGAAAGCGAAGGTGCAGAAATGGAGTGACTATGACGAGGTCAAGCAGGAGCTCGAAGTCTTGAAAAGCATCGAGTTTTCGACAGGTGAGGACGAGGACGTGCGGGATGTTGCCGTTGGCGACGACAGCGCCGCAACCAAGGCAAAGGGAGACACACTCGAACAGCTGCTCCTGGCCCGAAACAAGAAGCTAAGCGACGAGCTCACCATCCTGCGGGTGTCACACCAAGACCTGCAAAGCAGGCTCCAGACACTACAAGGCGAACTCTCCCGGACAAACGCCGAGCTCGAGAAGTCCCAAAGCTTGAACGAAAAGCTTGAAAACGAGCTTTCCACCATTCAAACGGAGGCACCCAACGCCTTCCCCTCGGGCGCCTCCGTCGCGGGCACCTACATAAGCCGCTACACCCCGTCCATCGCGCCCGGCCGTAAGGGAGGCCGAACCTCGCCCACTTCATCCATCATCAGCGGCTTCAACCCTCGCGACCTGTCCGACGACAGGCCTGCGGGCATGGGCGGCGGTTCAGGCATTCTGCCCATGGTCACGGCTCAGCGTGACCGCTTCAAGAAGCGCAACGCGCAGCTTGAGCAGGAACTCTCCGAAACGCACCGCACTGTCTCCCAACTCAGGCAGGAAATCGCCGCGCTGCAGCGCGACAACCTCAACCTCTACGAGAAGACACGCTACGTATCCACCTACAACCGCTCCGGGCCCGTCGCAACGACATCCTCCTCCTCGGCGTACGCCGCCAACCCCAATCCGTCCGCCATCTCTATCTCCTCCCCAAGCTCCCCTGGCGGCGGCCCAACCGGCGGGATCGCGCTGGACAGGTACCGCAAGGCGTACGAGTCCAACCTCTCACCCTTCGCGGCCTTCAGAGGGCGCGAATCGGCGCGGGCGTACAAAAGGATGAGCGTACCCGAGAGGATGGTGTACTCGGTTGCGCGGATGGTGCTAGCGAGCCGCACGAGTAGGAACCTGTTCGCGCTTTACTGCGTTGCGCTGCACCTGCTGGTGTTTTTCTCGCTGTACTGGATGGGGACCGCAGACATGGATAGGAGCATGGTGGGTGCGGCGGCTATGGCTGCTGGTGCTGGCGCCCACAAGATCCCTGTTGCGGCCGGTGGTGGTGGTGGTAGTGGTGGAGGGTGGGAGAAGGAGGGGTTGAGTGGGTGATGGTCACATGGCGATCGCCGGAGACGGAGTCGGAGTTGGAAGGGCACTGAAGAGAATGACGTGTGCCTGAGTCCCTCCATGAACGTGCAATATAGGGAAGAGATGTGAGTGGCTAGCCAGCCCGCTGAGATGCTGCAATCTCGGAAGCCGGGAGGGCAGGCGAAAAAGACCAGCTGTCTCGGCGGCGGCTGCTTAGACAGAGAGTCCCGCGATTGGCCCTGATCATGGCCCGCTATATCTCACATGGTGTTGCCGATATGGGCGGCAATCAGGTAGCATTGTGTATTATACCTTGGCCGAGGTGTTGAGGTTGTGTCTATTACAGAGGGGGAGTAAGACGTGGATATCATCGGCCACAGCTATTGAGAGCCGGGAGTTCTACGGAAGAGCGATGAAAGACGGGTTTCACGACGGATTGGAAGTATCTAGTTCAGTGTAATATTTTCGGAGATCAACCGCCGTATCCCGTCGCCGCGTCTTACAGACAGGGCGTGACTTGTAAGTCAGCGAAAACTGGAGACTCTCTCAAGATGATAAAAGAAATAGTCTGGTAAATCCTCTCACGACTCCGTGCCGACTATCCGTCGCTGGAGGTCCGTACCACCTCCATCCTCTCCGCATCTAGGTAGAGCAGAGCCTTCACCGCGGGCGGTCGGTGGAGTCTGCTAGAACCCGCAATCGAAGCTCTCGCCGTCCCAGGCGCCCGCAACGACAAACGCGGGAAGTAAAGCCGAGCACCGGATTGCAAGGGATCGGATATGCACAATGCACAACTACCTGACGCAAGCCCCAGGCCGCTCCTGGCGGCCAGCGTCTATTTTCTGCGGGTCAGGCTCGCCAAGGTTGCGGACGCGGGCGAGGGAGCAAGCGATGACAGGCTGCCAATGCTGCTTGGAGGATTGGATGGATATTGAGTGGAGATCCTAAAAGGCCAAGCTTTTTGCCCCGCTTTCAATCGCGGCTAGCGAGCACTCTGTTGCAAACTGGCAGCTGGACGGGATGCTCAAGCGTACGTAGTGAGATGATGCCCTGGGGCAATCATTGCAAGAAGTTGACCTTGATGAGTCCAGTCGGCCTCGTCATCTCATCCAATATGATTCCAGTACCGTGTAAGACCGCTCCGAGAAAAGAACGGATGCTGACTCTTCCGCTGTTGTACCCGCTCTTCGAAAGGAAGAAGCTTTCCCCATCAAATTTAGCCCCGCGGAATACAACACTGGCGGTGGCGAGAGGATGCAGAAAGAGATCTCGGATAGGATCTGGGATCCAAAGAAAATCCGCTTGGCAGAAAGAGAGTGTTAATTACCTAGATCATTTGGGTGGATTCCAAGTTGCTTCCGCGGCTACAACATTGGACAAGGGAGCGAATCGAGGCGAGTCGGGCGGCTAACAGATGCAGAAGAACGGTTGGTCGCGGTAAAGAATGTGGGCAAAAATAGCTCAGTGAACGGAAGGGCGGGACTTTGTGGGCTAATTTGTGGGGGTTTAACCCATTTTCATGCTTCCGCTGGAAACGAGATGTGTTACTCACGCCCTCCCGGTTGGGACGGGCTTCTGATTTCTAGCTATTAACGGTAACGGTGCCTCGCTGATGTCGCGATGGGATCAATACCAGGTAAGGTACTATATGGCCGAGGTATTGTGAGCAAGGCTCGTTCCCCTGGTAGCCGAGATATCTGCATACTTCCACTACCTAAGTACGATCGTGAACCTCTTCTAATGACCGGAAGCGCTGAAGAATCTGGGTCTTGGGTTCAGATCCAGGTCCCGACAAGGTCAGGTAGTAATAGAGCTACTAGTATTCATACTCACCATGTTTTGTCCTAATACATCCTAGTTATCAATCTATGGGCTCGAAGTATTGTATACATGCCTGTAACTGTGTTGTGAGAGCATACCGTTATGTATTAGATTCTGAAGACTACTATTGTCCCTCCGGTCTTGTAGCACTCGCTTCTCATCCAGTTCGCTAGATAGGTAAGGTATCGTACCTTAGTCATACAGTATTGTACACACTGTCATATTAATGCTAGGTATTTCTAATCCATATTTCTATATGGAACAGCGCCATCACCTTGATAACTTCCCACTGCGATCTTTGATATAGACTTTCGGTCCTACATTCCTTTTCCACCCCTTCCATTCAGAGGGGTGTATCAATGAACCTCAAAAAGACAAGGTCGAGTGGGGAACGTTTGCTGGGGTGCGACAGGACAGGGTTAGCCAGCCCCTCCAATGTTCAACAGGACTGTCCAGTAGCCAGTCAGATCACGGTGTTTGGATTACAGGGATGGCGTTGCTGTTTGTCGGCGGCTGCCCACCGGACTAGCGATAGCTTGCATTCAGAGTCCCGTTCATAGAGTGCCATTACTGTGTAAGTAGCTCAGGTACCGTACCGGACGGAACCAGTGCAACCCGCGTGGCTCTTGCGGCGCCTGGGCGCCCTGCGGGTGTGCCGCTCCGTGAGCAACTATAATAGCCTCCAGCCTCCCTCGAGGGTGTGGCATCCGAAGCCGCTGTACCTTACTCTACCTAAGCATATACTATCTGGTCAGATCCCTTTCGGGTCGGCCTCATTTCTTCCATTTTCCTGGCGTTCTTTTTCTATTTCCTTCTCTGGGTCTAAATCTGCTACTCCGGTTCTGGGTTTCCTTCTTAGCTACGTGATACCCCTCCATCGATCTGCGATCCGGTTGCCTTCCTGCACGAACCAACTCGACCACACCTAACTTGAACCATGCACGCCTCACTCTTGTTCCTGTCGACGCTTGGTGTCTCCGTCTGGGCTGCTCCTACCTACCCCAGGATCGACGCAGACGCCTCCGTCCCAGACAGCATTCGTACCGTCTCCGAGTACTTCAACCTGTTGGCTACCAAGGTCCGAGAGAGCCGGTTACAGGACGCCGTACCCGTTTGCGACCTTTCTCATCTTTCCCTCCCAGCCGGTACGGTCATCCTCAACCGCACTCACCGTAACCATCGTACTGACAAGCCCCCAGCCGCATCCGGCCTCCCACCACCGTCCGAAGGCGTGACCCTCAAGCACATCGCCATTGGCCGCGGCACCCAAAACTATACCTGCAACACCAACAACCCCAGCGAAGCTCCCAAAGCCGTCGGCGCGGTCGCAACTCTCTACAACGCCTCCTGCATTGTAGCCACCAACGCGGACCTCGCCACCACGCTCGCCCGCGCTTCGCTGCATTTCCAGCTCTCGCAGAGTGAGGCCACCCAAAAGCTAGCCCCATCCAATCTCGCCATCAGCGGCCGCCACTTCTTCACGGGCGACGGCACCCCGTTCTTCAACCTAGATGTGTCCGCGGCGTGGAAACTAGGCGAGATTCCGTGCGGCAAGAACGGCAGCATGCCCGCGCCGGCAGACGCTCCGAAAGGCCTGGCTGGCGAGACAGCCGTGCCGTGGCTCAAGTTGAACGCCAAGCAGGGTGCCACAGGGGGGCTGCAGGAGGTGTACCGCGTCCAGACGGTGGGCGGGAGCGCACCCACGACATGTGACGGGATGCCGGCGAGTTTTGAGGTGCAGTATGCTACAGAGTGAGTACTACCCAACGCCCAGCCTCGACATGCCAACACAGCAAGAGGCACATGGATGCTAACCTGCCGATAGATACTGGTTCTATGCCAAGTAGGCTGCGGGTAGCTGTCAGCAAGAGGGAAACTGTATCATTCCAGGTATATGCATTATTCCTTGCATATCGCATTCCAATATCGCGGGCGTTGGCGGCAATCGGGGGGGTTATCTGTATTTGAGTTATTACTTCGCTGGTCGCATTGGCACCTTAATGACGAAGTTCCTTGCTTTTGCCAGGGGCAGATAGGAACGGTGGCGATGGCACATTCAACGTCCGGCCCGGTGAAACATATCCTTGGGACAAGTTTGTATATAGGTACCGCAGAGTAAGGGACATACCAGCACCTGATGGTTTAATGCTCCAGCAAACAATCGATGCATTGAGGTTCATCATGACTGAATTTTGACCAGGTGCAACAGGTGAGCGACCCGGCATATACATCTCACCAGCATCGACTCATTCATTGTCTTTGAGTCCAAATCGTAGTCGGAGGGCCGAATACATTGATTGAACAGGCCGGTGAACACAGTATGAGCCATCTGGTCGGTCAAGATGAAAAGGAGATTTGACTAGGCCGATACCTCCTGGATGTGGAACGGGGAAACAGTGCCATGCCCCGCTTAGCAACTGTATTCCCGTTAGGAGCAACACCCGATAGTTACAGAAAATCGGCGGACAAGGTCATGCACGGATCATATTCCACCGTTACTGCAATTATCCAATTTGCTGGTTCTTGTGCCTGTTCCCGATAACTAGGTACAGTACTAGGAAAACTAGTACCTGACCTGATCTCGAAACTAAACTTCAAGATCAGATGGGAAGAAACAGCTTACTACAGACATCGGACCGGACGGCATCTTGAACCCTCCAATCCATTGTAACCGTCACAGTGTTGATTCAGCCCCAGAGAGAAAGGCGGTTTAGGCACCCAAGCCGGCCTAAATTTCGCGGAATGCAGCCTGCAGTCTCTCTGTTTTCAACACGCTTCCGATTTGTGTGCCGAAAGCAAACCTCTGTTCAACTGATTGTTCTCTCCGCTCAATTCTGGCCCTCCAGGAAGTGTCACCAAGCGACAGTAGCTGCCCTTATTTTTAACCATCTCATACGCTGGAAAACCCACCTTGACGGCGGCTCGGGCTGTTCAACATCTGTCAAAAAAAGGCGAAGTTTGGGCACCGAGAAGCAGCTTCCCCCGGATCTATCACTGTATTCATCACAGTTGCAACCACAGGAAATTCGTATGTACCATCTCCTGGACTCTAACTCATCGCCACTGACCCGAGGCTCAGTGTCTGGACCACTGGGGGAGGACAGGATAGCTCATGTGATTGATGAGCCTGTACAATACCTATTCAGATTATTGTCGGCGAAGAGGGTCTCATCATTACCGTTCACGAACATGGACACCTATCGGCCATGGGACTGGCGCCAGCAATGGGGGACGGGCTATCCCCCTCCGATACCGAACGATATGAATTCGTTCGCCTACTTCATCGACCCCAACTCCGGCCGGGGTCAGCCGGTTTCTCAACCCTGTGGCCCTTCAGGTAACCAGCCGCGTCTACAGGACGATGGCCGAGAGCGACCCCAAGGGTTCTTCCAACACCCGTCACCAGGCTGGCCTGTCCCTCCCACCGGCCAACAACCCCAGCAGAACGACGTCCGGGCTCGGGGTAAAGAGCGGTACCTGACGCCCAGCCAAAGACGTAGACAGCAGAGACAGAGACGACGGGCCAACGAACAATCGGGAGAACGACGGGCCCCTACCCCATCTTGGTCATTTACAGGGCAGGGGTCACTCCCTTTCCCCGTGGATAACCCGAGCTTTGGCCCTTTTGCCTCCACCAGACCCATGCGTCGGAACGACGCCCATTTCCGCACCTCGTCCGAAGTCACTACCACAGCCGTCCTTCCTCCCCGGCCTGTACCACGCGGAAACGGACACCCACCACCCAACCAGGGAGACCGAGACCCGATCACGCCGCCCTCCGCCGCCTCGGGCGGCATCCCGGAGCCGACCGCGGCGTACCTAGTGCGCGCCTCCTTTGCCCCTATGTTGCGGACATCCCCGCAGCCGCTGCTGGTGGTGATCGACCTCAACGGCACGCTGCTCCACCGCCCGCAAAAGCGAGCCGCCACCAAGTTTGTCGAGCGCCCCCTCGCGCGCGCCTTCCTGGAGCGCTGCATCGACAAGCACCGCGTGGTGATCTGGTCGTCGGCGCGACCCGAGAATGTGCGGCACATGTGCGCGCGGCTGCTGACTCCCGAGTACGCGTCGCGGGTGGTGGCCGTCTGGGGCCGCGACCGCTTCGGTCTCTCGCCGAGCGACTACAACCGGCGAACGCAGTGCTACAAGCGCCTCACGCGGCTGTGGGAGGATTCCGTTGTGCGCGCGTCGCACCCCCTTGCCGAGCAAGGCGGCATGTGGAATCAGGGCAACACGGTGTTGATCGACGACAGCGCTGAGAAGGCTCGCAGCGAGCCGCACAATGCAGTGACGCTTCCCGAGTTTGTTGGGGATATGAATGAGGATCCGCAGGTCCTCACGCTGGTGGAGGAGTATCTTGAGACGCTAGCCTGGCAGACGGATGTCAGCACATATATCCGGTCGCGACCGTTTGTGGTGGGACGCAGCGGAGCGGCAGTCGCTGTTCAGAAGGAGGGCTGAAACGGAGATTGGTAGAAGGAGGAGGGAATTGGGCTTTGTCAATGCTCTCCATGCGTTCAGGGGTCTTCAGGGTATAGAAAGGACAATGCTGGCTTGATACCCCTTCTCATACCACAAAGGATTCATAGATCTCATGTAGATGTTATGTAGATCTCAACACGTCAACGTCATCTGGCAACATGCCCCGCGATTGCGGTAGCTTGGGATCTATTTAGTCGACCCTTTCAATGCTCGACTACCCTACCGGAGATATCAACGCACAATGAACCACCAACGGACCCAAACCCGTCCCGCAATTCCCGTCCATTCCGGTCATCAGTCATATACCATATACCGCCCTTCCGGTATTACAGTCTGCTCAGATTTTCTTTGTTTATTTGAGGACCTTGCCGGCGGCGTGCGGGTACTCCTTGCCGTTGACAGTGATGGGCTTGCCATAGTCCCAGTGAAGCTCAACAAGCTCGCGGTCCTCAGGCTTGCTGGGATCCAGCTTGGTGAACTCGTAGCTCTCATAGTCGGGAGCGACGTCAAAGACGGGCAGGTAGTCCTGACCCCGGACTACGAAGGCGCCTTGAATGACGGAGTCGTTGCTCTTACCGAACACCGAGGCGCAGCCAAAGAAGTACTTGCGGGAAGCCTCCAGGCGGTTGTTGAAGCCAGTGATGAGGTTGCTCGACATGAAAGTGAGAGTGAGCTCATCGTTGTACTTGTAGTCAACCTTCCAGAGCGAGTATTCATCGAAGTTGACGTTCTCCCAGAACCACTTGAGGGCAGTGGCGGCGTCGGAATTGGAGTACTGGCGCTTCCACTCGTCAAGGGGGAGAGAGGCCTTAGGGAGGGCCTCAAGGGGGTGCTTTGGCTTGGGCGCCTCAGCGGGCTTCTCTTCCTCCTCCTCAGCCTGCGGCTTAGCAGCCGGCTTGGCAGCCTCCTTCTTGGGCTGCTCAGCCTTCTTCGGGGGAACGTTGGTCAACTTGGGGGTATCGAGGAGAGAAAAGGGGGCAGCAACGGCAGAGTAGATGGGCTGGTTGTAGACGGTCTCATACCAGCGCGAGACGTTGGGGTTCTGCTGGCGCCACTCCTTGTCGAAGAAGTACTCGAAGCCCCGGGAGATGATACCGGTGGAGAAGATGTCAGCCAGGGTGATGCGCTCGCCGACAAGGTAGGTATGGTCACGGAGGTGAGCCTCGACGACGGAGATCACATCAAGAGCGGCTTTCCGGGAGTCCTCGACAGCCTTCTTGTTGTAGGGATCCTTGCCGAGGAGAGGGCGGAACCAGCCACCGAGCTTGGGCAGCACTTCGCTGTTGAAGAAGGACATCCACCTCAGAATCGACGCATAGCTACCGGCGAAGTTAGCGAAATGGTTGGCTCACACGTTCCGCGGACGAACTTACTCCTGCTTGGTCTTGCCCAGGAGGGTAGTCTTCTCGTTCTGGGAGGTAACTGGGAATCGTTAGCGTGGAGCTTGAGAGAGGCGCCAGCAATAACAACACCCAAAGCCGAAAAACAAGACAGTCAGAAGTTAGAACCAAGTCAACACCATTATGTCAGATAGGGATAACTGTCATAGAGAATGTCTAGGTCATCATTGTCGTGGGCGGGGTAGCCTAAAGGAGCTCAGGGGAACAGGGCGGGGCAGGCCCAAGCAGGGCGCGGAGTGCCACATACCGTAGACAGCGACAGCGATGCACTCAGTGAGCACAAAACCATCAGCGCCGACGAAGGTCGGGACCTTATGGAGCGGGTTGGCCTTGAGAAATTCCTCGGTCGGCTGCTTGGTATCGACCTCGACCTCCTCAAGCTCGAGGTTGTTGGCCTTCGCGACAGCGCGGATGGCCGTGGAGCGGGGGTTGCCCTGAGTCGTGAAAATCAGCAATGGCGGTCCAAGCAAGCAAAAAGCGAGTCGCAAGTAGGATACAACATACCGCGTAGGTGTAGAGCTTTCCGAACGCCATCTTTGCTTGTGATGCAGACGCGAACTGGCAGGAGACTGATGGTTCGAGGAGTTGAGTGAAATGGTGAATCACAAGAAAATTTATGTGGCGGGGTAGTTGAGAGGTGGGCGTGGTGGGGTTCAAGTTCAAGGCTTCAAGCTCCATGGCAGGTTGTCCACGGCCCCGCTCAGGATGCTCTGAATGGTTGGGCCGCAATCTGGCTCGAGCACCTCGTCACGGTAAAATTTCCTGCGAAATGGTTCCGCCGAGGGCCGCACCCAAAACGTTCCTGCCCGGCGCGACCCCGAGCATGACGGGAGACGCGGGCGTGAAATGATGGCATCCTCAAGACAAGGGCTTAGCTCAGCCATCCGTGGCATTTCTAGGAGACTCAACGGGGGAAAATGGCAGGCTCTCGAACAACAATTCCAATCACTGCGGCTTAGTCCTTCGCTTATCAGGGGAAGACGGTGCTTGTCTACCGAGTCGGAGCCAAACCAACTGGCAGGACAGCCGCCCATTACCGCCGCCCCCGAAATCGACGTCGATGTCCTGGTCAAGCGCTACCGGATTGCCAAGCATGCCCGGCCCGTTCCTGTATCGCCATCCTACTTCTCGCGGACACCGACGTTCAATGACCGGTACCTAGCCCTCGAGAAGCTGGCCAAGACTTACGCCAACCTCCCCGTGATCCCAGCCGCTGATGCAGAGCGCGTCGCCTGGAAGACACTCGCCGATTTGCGTCAGTCCTTTGGCGAGCCGGTGAAAGCGACCGACTACGTCAAGTGCCTCGCCATCGTCAAGAGGTTGCATCTGATCCATCCCGGGCTGAAGCCGAATGCGGTTACGGAGGCTCTACAAGACTTCAAGCGCGATGTGCAGGCCTTCCTCAACGTTCCCAAGCCGATACCCATCGACAAGTTTGGCCGAGCACTCGGGGTCGGCAGGAGAAAGGCCTCAACAGCCCGCGCCTTTGTTGTTGAGGGCGACGGCCAGGTTCTGGTCAACGGCAAGACGTTGGCAGACTATTTCGGTCGGATCCATGACAGAGAAAGCGCCGTCTGGGCTCTGCATGCGACAAATCGCATCGACAAGTACAATGTGTGGGCGCGGGTAGAAGGTGGTGGCACCACCGGGCAGGCGGAAGCTCTCACGCTGGCAATTGCGAAGGCTCTCCTCGCCCACGAACCCGCTCTGAAGCCGGCATTAAGAAGAGGTGAGATTCCGTTTGACTGGCTACTCCAACTATGGTGGATTATGCTAACACTTGTTGTTCCACTAGCTGGCTGTGTCACACGCGACCCGAGGAGAGTGGAGAGGAAGAAGCATGGCCGTGTGAAGGCGAGAAAGGGACCTACATGGGTCAAGAGATAGTCAGGTGGCGCGGCTGTAGTGCTGCCTCGGACCTGCATCGACGAGCGTGCCCTGTAGGCGACCACCTGCTATATTTTGCCTTCTGTAAGCTTATGCTACTATCACGCTGCAGCGCGAATAACTGTATAATACGAATCCCTGGATATTCCAGATCTGAATTCGCGACCGAGATGTGACGGGGGGATGGATCTTTCTCAAGCCTGCCGGAGTGGTGGACGCAAGTGGCGTGAACTCATCCGCGGCGGCGATGAATTGAAGCTCCGGGGGGAGTTGCAGACCGTCGGTTGTAACTACCCTGAAGGGGGTTTCGGTGTGTGCATGAAACCATGGGTACCTACTCTACCTTCTTTAGGTAGGTAGGTCGGGAATGTGGTCCAATGCTCGAGTACGCTCGCCGCTCGCCGCGCTGTCGCGGCCGGAGATGCGAATACCTGCAGGGGAGTAGGTGCACGTCTGGCAGTTGGTCTGAGGCCCTGGGCGGACGATACGCAGGTCCGATGCAAGGCTACCAATGTCTGTGTTGGGTTACGAGCATTGAATGGACGATACCAGGGCAGCACTCTCCGAGTTATGCCCAACACCGTATCACACGTCGCCTGCACATGCATGCTGCATTGGCTTGACAGCCCTACCAGTCTGCTCCACTTTGATGGCAGTCGTCGGCCAGATCCCGGCATTCCTTTCGTGCCAATCCCCAGCGCTGTGTGGGCGTGGTGGGCCAGCTCTCATGGTCCCAGGGCGTTCGACACGTTCGACGAGCCGGGCTGTTCATGGCCTCTGACAAACATCCCGGAAGAGCTGCACAGGCCAGACTCAGCCAAAGTTTCCAGCCTTTGTATATATATCCGTAGATGGGCGCGCAACGAAAAGCATGATATACGGCCCTACCCGACCTTACCTCTGGCTGCCATCGGCACCCTCTCCAGCTCCCGTCACTCAACTAACCCAGTGCCGGTATTGTACCCTTCTGTTTTGACGGACGGTAACATTAAAGATAGCACGGAGGCAAGGGTGCAACCAAGGAAGTGAGGTACGCTGCATGAGCTGGCGCTTTCTTCTGCATCTAGTTAAGTTAATGGAAGCTTTCAAAGGGCGATTTCTGAGTAGGTGTGTTGGATATTGGCAGTCGTGGACTCGTGGTTGAGGTCTCGAAATAACTGTGGAATTTGGCTGATGAAGCTCCCTGCAATTTAGCTCTCTGTGGCTGGGAGGCGAGGCAGTGCGTGTGGTCCTTTCCGGATACAGCTAACCTTGCGTGGAAATTATCATGAGGTGACAGCAATACCTCCGGTTCGGGCAAGTCTGCGGCCTGCCCGTGATGATTGTCAATGCCGTTGCCCCGGCGGACTGTAACTCCTGCTTTGTTCACCGGTGGAGGTCTCCGATCCTGAGCGCCAAGCAACGCTGACAAGACGGCGCGGGACAGGTCTCCATAAGGAGTTACCTAAGGATGGCCGATGGTACCGGATACCTACCTACCCAATGATGGGTTTAACTTAATCGAGATCGAGAATTCGGCTGTCGCGTGAGTCGCGAGGCATGGCCTAGTATCGTATCGTAGTGTACATATATGTAGGCCGCAGGGGGAAACATACCTTAGTTACACCGTATAAGGTAGTTAGAAGCCGCCGCTATGAGGAAGAATGCCGCGAGAGTTGGCGTACTGTACGTACTACGTACAAGTACTTGCTTCAGGTTACCCTTATCCTCATGCGCGTCAGCCAGGAACTCCAATCCTGGGTCGCTCAAGGGCCGGTTCTTCTTGCAGTCGTCTTTCGGCAAATCGTTCCAGAAGCTGCCCGAGGTCTTTTTTGATTCGTCGCTGCGAGGGCTGTTTGAAACTCGACCTTGACCCCCGGCATCCGCTTGATCAGAGACAGGGGGCTATTTGCAGCATTGGCCATTCCGTTCGACGACAGCGCGCCTCACCCCTGGCAACTCAACCACTCAACGACATGGATCCAGGATGCTCGGGCGGCCGTCCATCATCGTCACAACGTACCAACCAGGCCGACTCCCAGTACCTGTACATACCTCAGCCACCAAGCATCAGCGGCGTTCTCTTTCCTGCACCGAAGCCCTGCATGGAAACAAAAATTTTCAACGCTCAGGCGGTCCCGACGGGAGCCCTCAAAGGCTCCTGGTTGGGACGTTGGGCACCGGCCTGACGGCCACTTGACCGCATTCTGACGACATTCCTGCCGTTTGGGCCGGCTGCGAGATGCAGGGACCGGGCGGTTTCCTGCTGCGAAAGTGGGCCTAATAAGAGGACTCCCGTGCTAATTTTGCGCGTTCGCCCGAGCGGTTGTTCCCAAGGTTCGATTGCTTTTTCCCGTCAACGGTTGCTGGGCACCCCGTCTCCGGTGGCTGACTTCAAAGGCATTGGGCGTGCTCGTTAGCTTTAACTATCTCAGGAAGAGATGGGCCAACCCTGGAAGTCGGCGATCTCAGAGACTGTTCCTGCCAGATACGGCAAACCCATTGAACCTGGGTCTCAAACCGGAACACTGAGCGGAACCACATGATTGGAATTCATGAGCCCAGGCCTCCATGATGTCTTAATAAGTGAGGGGAAAGATCCCTTACGTGAGGCGTGCCGGGGCCGGCGGGTGCTCCGGCAGGCATGATCAGTGAACGGAGCGGAAGCGTCCGATGGCCAATGGTCTTTGACCTGGTTTCCGTTTTGGAAAGATACCGGCCACGAGCCTGGTTCCCTCTCAGCGGGCAATCGCCATTTCACACGCCAGCTCGAGCCGCCAGCTTCGGCACGGCGGCCTTGACCGGGCCCTCAGGCACCCGGGCCGGGAGTAGCGTTAAGTGACGACGCCGCGTGTTGCTGCTCGTCGTTCGATCGCGGAATCGCTCCCCTGAACCTTGCAGGTTGCCATGTGCTCTCTGTCACTTCAGGTTGTGTAGGTGTGGATTCAACTTTCCATCGCTCGGGCTGTTTCCTTCTCATAAGCGGATACCTGAGGCTACGCTACACGCTAGTAAAGCGTACCTTCCCTCTTTTCTTTCCCGATGGCTGTTTCTCCTTCGGCGATGCCCGTGGGCAGCAGCTCCCGCCCAGAGCGGGCCCATTCTTTCCTGCCACCCATGTCCTTGATCTTCCACGTTCTACTACATACACAATACTTCACTTTTAACTCGTCCGCCGCCCGCACACAAGCCGCCGGAGCACGACCGATTAGGCGGGCCTGCAATTATCCGTGCACTTCAAGCCAGACGCATGGAATAGAATTTGAGGCTACAGCAGTGCCCCCAGCGGTTTACGAACCAGCTGACCGGGAGATAGCGGCCACAGGTTTCAAGTGCCGGTGACTCGCCAGATTCTCTCGTTTGAGCTGGTGAAGCATAACAGGGCCAGGCTCGACGGGAGTGCTGAGATATATAGAAGCAGGCGGTCGTGTTGTTTTACAAGTCCCAGCCTTCCCACGCAGTTGAAGACACAGCTCTATCCGTATCCCGCAACACAACACGCGCATTCTAGGATTGCACGTGGGCCGCCACTATCTTATTTAATTCTCGTTCTTTCCTTCTTTTGGCTCGGGTGTCCGCATCGATGATCCGCATCTCGGGCAGCGTCTGAGAAAGCAGTGCTGCTTTGCCGCCACAAGCCGCTCGCATTCACCACAGGCCAAACCCCCGAAGCACACTGTGACTGATATCGGACGGCGACGTCACGCAAAACCAAAACAAAAAGGGTCTACACGTCACTGCAACACGCCGCGGACACACATCAGCTCGGCAAGCCTCCCGGCCGCAGATCTCCACTCGCCCATCTTAGCATAGCTGCATAGGACCCAGCGATCCAAGATTTGGGGCGCTCCGCCCGGGGGGGGGTGTAGCTGTAACTACTAGTACCTACCTAGAGCTCGAGGCCAGTCTGGGGCTTGAGCCCATTGCAACGCACATCTTCTTCGAGGCGGTCCCATGCTCCGGCCAAGCGACCATTCTGCGCAGGTACGTGACGAATGATCGATTGGGTGGAGCCTCTGCCTGCCTTCTCCAGAATCCAGATCGATCCTGAGGCTAATTGAACACAAGCGTTTCCCATTGGCAGCCTTTTCAAGTTATTCATGTACATACATACACCATCGGTTGCCGACGGGGATTACCACACATTCTCCTTCCACCACAGGTCGACTTGCTTTTGTCTTGAACTGGCGTTCTGGTCCCTGCCCGAGATACCAAGCTCAACTAGTAGGATCACGTCTCTGTCGGGCAGTAGGCCAACCTCAGACCCCCCCATCACTCCGGACGTATTCTTCAACACCACCGCGCAGGACGAGACAAGCATCGTTGCCTGCGGTGCGGTGCTTTCAATCCAATATCCGGTGGTTGAGCAAGCGGGCGCAAGCGCTGTCTTTGAGGGTGTAAGTGGCTAGCCCGGTTCCAGTCCGCTACAGAAGACTGCGGTCCCCTGTCTTGGACAGATCTGCTGCCCAAAAACTCTTTCCAGCGCCGGCCTAGCATACAAGACGCCCCAGTGTACCCAGCTCTTGCTGCCTTGTCACTGGTATTTCCAAATACGGATTTGTACGCAACGGCAGGTGCGTCCCCGGAGCGGCATCCGAGCTGGACTTCTCTACCGGCGCCGTCCTCACTGCTTTCGGGCCACTTCATGGAAACGGCCTGCCAGTCTGCGCGAGTGGAGGATTTGACAAAGCGAAGATTCGGCAGCTGCTGCAAGTCTGCGAACCCGGGATCCTCCCCGCCCGCCATCTGTGTGGTTCAAGTTTGGGCGGCGCCCTTCAGCGAGTCAGTCAGCGACGCCTTTGCACACAACCCTAATCGACCTCTCCCACGCCGAGGTGCCTCGAGTCGGTCGAGTTTCGCCATCTCCACTTTTGACTCCGCGCGAGTCAAGTTCTCGGCGCTCGAAGTCTTTGTGCCAGCGTCTCTTGTTCCCAGGACTCGGAGTCCGATTGCTCCTCCGGCACCAAGCCATCTCCTCAAGCAAAGGACGCACAAAACCGCTACGTTTGAAGACGGACAGCCTCTTATATTGCGGCAACCCCCTACGTCAGCTGCTGATTGAGACTAACACGAAGAACTCGACGTGACACTCGGCGTGAGAGGAGACGCGTGGGGCTGACCGTCTCGCCCTGCCTCGCTGCCGGCCGCGACTTGGCCTCCCGAGGGTGTCGAGTTCTCTGGAGCGGCTGAATTGGGCGCGAAGTCGACATCTATTCAACGCGGCGATTTTTCCTTTCAGGCCTTTCTCAACATCAAGACTCTCGAGGGGTCGATAACTGGCAGCGCCAGGTCACCGAGAAATTCGGGTTGTGCAATCGCAGTCCAGCTTCTCCTTGCAGGATACCGAGCGAGGGGGGGAATCTCCAGTTGCTCGGCGTGGTTCTTCGGATTCAGGGTTATGGACGACAACAGGGGCCATAGGAGGCAGGATGAACCGCCGGTCTACCCTGCTTCCAGTTCACGACAGCACCAACCGCTGCATGGCCCGTCTCAGCATCGCGCGCACTCCTTTGCGGGCGCTCAGGGAGGAAGGTTTAGGCCTGCGCCTATCGCCACATCAGCGCCTGGGACGACGCGGGGAATTGGAGGGTCGACCGGCTACAGTACCTACTACTCGGAGCACCCGGCCGCGAGCTTCTCGACAACGGCATTGCCGCAGGGTGCGATGGGATATCACTCTACAGCAGACTATGGGCAAGCGGACTCGCGACAGCAGCAAAGCTTTGGCGGGACGTATCCTCCGACAATGATGTATAACGTGCAGCAAACGGGAGGGCCACAGGCCACTTCCGTGTACGATGCGAGCCCCCAGTACCCGTCCCGGCAGGCTGCAGCATTGCCGATGATGGCGACGGATGTCACGGGCCCTTACTTCCCGAGCGAGCCAACCAATGCGGCCGGGCCATCCGCGTTGCAGGCGCAAGCAGCGTCTTCCAGCACGGCGCAGGTATATCAGCAGCCCGGCTTGCATGGATACTCTACAGGCAGCATGGCCACTATGGGAGGCATGGCGACCTCACAGACCACACCCACACCCGACGTGAGGATGGATGAAGAGTATCCTACCACGGCGGGTCTCGACGAAGCGTATACCTCATACCAGACGGCTCTGAAGGAGATATTCCAAAACATACGAAATGGAGTGCTGGCGGACGCCAGCGAGTCGCTCCTGGGCGTCTCGGATTGGCTCCTGAACCATGTTGTAGAGCTCGGTACGTCTGGTCCAGAAATACCCCCGCAGATGCAATCGGAATGGAGCGTTGCTGATGCAGAATCACTACCCCAGGCCTTACCTCTGACGATCAGAACCTGCATGAGGAGAGGATCAAGCTGTGGAACGACTTCAACCATGCCTGGCTGGCCATATTTCAACGCCAAAAGGAGATGATGGAGTCAGGGCAGCAGTTGCAACGTACGCAGACCCTTATCCCGCACGAAGGTCTCAAGAAGATGGGTAAGAGCCTGGTGAGGTACTGCGATAATATCGAACGGCACGGGCTCGTCGATTACCAGTACGGGGTGTGGGAAGAACAGATCGTCGACAGTATGTGTTACCCGGCTGTTGGTATTGGCATCACTTGGAGCGTCTGGGAAACGTTTCGCTGACTATCGTATACCAGTCCTCGGAGAGTGCCTTACTCTCTACGAGTCTGCCATTCAACCAACCGGAGATGGTGGCGAAGGGATTCCTGACGAGCAGCGTCGCTGAGAGGTCTGTGATATCCTCGTGGGATTCCCAGAATTCCGTATGTTTGTCCGCCTCTCAGCCCTCGCCTGCTTCCCACTCAAAGGGTCTGTGTTCCCGGATTGAGACGCAATGCACCAAAGCGAAGGTGCCTTCCGCTTGGATTTGACTATCTTTACCCTTGCTATATCCATTGCATTATTACTTTCCTTTTGTTGCTCCCGGTTAACCGTTCTAGCGGCTCTTGAAGTGCCACACACTTCAGCAATGGGTCAGGAAGCCCCCCGGGGTTTCCAAGGAGGCTGTAAAACCATTATACAGGGCTCGCAGTGGCATTTCTTTTGCCCACTCGGGCCCTTTCTCGCCGCGAGGCATTTCTACTTTGGGTCGGCGTGCGTGTCAATGGGGAATAGAAGGTTGCCCTGAGGCGCCCTGTTGAACTAAGAAGAGAGGGTCTGGAAATTGCTGGCATTTTTTTTGGGTAGCCAGCGCTTCCCGTTGTGCTGGTTTTGGAGTTCCTTTCAGGTGTGTAACTGTATCTGCTTTTTGTTCTATTACAGGAAAGGGGGAATGCAAGGAAGGGGAACCTGGAACCTTGGGGGCATGCTTCATTGCAGGCACCGTCCTACGGTGAATTCATGGGACACGGCAATCGGCGCATACCACAAGAGACGCCCAACTCGCAATAATCACGATCTCAGCAGGGCTGCGAAAAGAGGATACGAGTACGACTAGAGCATGTTGCACATGCAGGAGATACGGGGTGACAAAAGACTGGGCGCGGCTACACGGCATCATTATGGTTCGGGAAAACGAAAGGAGAAAAACCCACCACCTAGGTTAGCTGGCCTGACTGTTCACTTCGTGGAGTGTAGTGTATTGTACCTGTATGTATTGTACAGTACATGTATGGACGTAGATAGGTAGTAGTCCTTTTCTTTCGTCTAGTTAGATGGCGGACGAAGCCCTCTGGGAACCGGCCACTGGTCACACAGTTGCATTTCTAAGCATCAGCGGACTTCTTGTGCGCATCAGGTAAACAAACTGAGAGCAGAACATCCAGTAGCAAGCATCAATCTCGGCTGAGAAGGAACTCGCCTCCGTCACCAGAATGGCGAGAGTCAGGCATCGATGGCTCAGAAGGTGCTTCCCCCACACCGCTCGGCGATATCATGAGCCGCGATCGAGCTTCGCCGACGTTCCATACGGGATAAAAGCGCATAAAAGAAAACCTTTGGGGAGAATTTTCTGTTTTAGCTGTGCGCATCAATGTTAGCTCCAGCCAATCATGCAATGTAGACCCCGGCGGGGTGTATGCACTAACAATGCTAACCGCACTGCTGGGACGAGCTTTGGGCCAATGGCGTGCGGATTTCGCAGTCCCTTCGCTCTACCCTTGCTTGCTCGCCCACCTCCCAAGACCTTTGGTCAACAACCTCGCCGGCGAGGCGGATGTCTCGATCGGGTTTGGGAGAGGGACAGAGTCCGCCCCTCGATTTCTGACCAGTGACCACAGACCGTCTTGGAGCCGAAATCGCTGTCATGCCTTCTGCGTTTGTTCCCGACGGCGCACACGATTGGGGGCGACCGGGGGGCGCTGCAAGACACCGAGATCTGTCAAACTCGAGCTGAGACAGAACAACCCGTCGAATCATCTTGTCGAAACAAAACGGATATTGCACCTCTGATGAAGTCAACATATCCGACCGGCGCCACCAACGGGAGAATGCCGATCGGTTCGGCCGTGGGCTGAGGTGTTACAGCAGAAGGGAGAGTCACGACGGAATGCTGTCCAATGTTGCCCTATCTCCGTGCATGATGGCTTGCACAGTATACCGGATTCCCTCAACCGTTTGGGGATTTGGGACCGAGACATTGTCGGCGGAGTTGCATGTTCCTGGGCTGTGTTACCACGGCAGTGCAACCGTTAGCGGTGAAGGATTCCCCGAATCGGACATCGTCGACGATCACCAGCCTCCAAGTCCCGCGTGTCGGAGGAAGCTACCTCGTTACTTGGATATCTCTCTTCTCAACTGATAGGTAACTCACTCGCTACACCGTAGCTCCGCCCCTGTTTACCCGCGAGGTTTCCAAGCCTCGGTCAAGGCGATCTGGCCGATCTACAACACCAGCAAGCGGGCTCTCGTACACTGCCAAGAAATGAGACCTTCCAACCCCAAGACGATTCGATTAGCGACTGGTCTTGGCAGCCCCAGTTTAGTTCCGACTCCACGGATCGCGGACACCGGTGGGGGGGATAATGCCACCCAAATCGACTTCGCAGACAAGGGTCTAACGTTAGGGAACCACTGCATTCTCGTCGCGTTTGACTTTGTGAGCGACATTCTGGTGGTGGATGAAGCATCCGGCCACGAATGAACTGAAAGCTCGGGGCGATCGACGGTCACAACATCATGTGGCCCGAAACAGAGTCCTACGGTATGTCAGCTGCATTCTATGTATAGGCATGCTTAGCTGAAGTCTCAGTCACACTTTACGCGGCCCCCGATCCGCTAAATCCGTGCAGCGGACACCAGTAAACAAAGGGGTTGCTGAATACGAAGCTTCGAGGGTCGTTTCTGCTAGGAACACCTGAGACGGTAGCTACACCATGCAGGTGTAATACGGGCAGTGTTTAGAACGTGAAGCAACTGCCAGTGCTTCTCGGGCTTGCCAACGACCTGTTGGTCCGTCCATGCTGTGGGACAAGGAAGCCGGGGTCGGCGGCCCGCCGTGCGTCTGCATCTCAGATGCCAGATCCGGCCGGTCGCATTGGGTCTTGTACGACGGTGGCTTATTAGAGGCTTTAGTTCTAAGCCGGCAATCGGCGTTGGCCACGTTCCAATCAGCCCAGCGCCCCGCGAAAGCTGCCAAAAATATAAAGTTCGGCGCTGACTTGGATATCGTCGTTGACAGAGCAGTCACACTCCCTGTCCTCACAACCTGACGTTAGAAAACAACCCTAGCTGAGATTGCTACGCTTGCTATCTGATTTATTCTGTCAACCATGTCGCCTGCTCCATGTTCCACTCCTTCAGATCCGTTATCTCTCCAGGCCTGTCGTTCTACCAGGGCATTGCTGCCGCCTAGATCCAATATATGCGATCGCCCGCCCGAAACAGCGGTATAACACCGCCGAGCAGCTAGCTCGTGCTGCGAGAGTCCTCGTATTGGAGACCACCTGCAGTGTACCATCTCTCGCAGCTGGCTCCTGAAGTAACTTCAATGCCTGTATGAACATGGAACTCGTCACATCACGGCCGTCCTCAGACTGATCAGAGCTGAAGTGACACAAGTATGTAAGCCTGCGGCGATGTGATGCATGGACAGTGCCCTTCCGCACAGCCACCAAGGATCCGACACTTGTCTCACGTTATGGATACACAAGCTGGGCTTCGAGGCCTCTACGTGCCCGCGAACTTGCACCTTACTCCCCAGACTCGATGGAAACCCCAGTGGTGCGTAAGTAGACAGGGAAACATCAAGACTCCACATGGCAATCAGGTCCCGGCGTACAGTCTATTAGATTGCCCTCATGAATCCCTTCGGCAATGCTCATCTGGCCAAAGACCGGTACTTGTCGGCGCCGCGTGAACCATCCACTAGGCGTGGTTTTCTTGTCAACAAGGGGAAACGATAAAACAAGTCATCATATTCATTTCCAAACGTCGCATCGTGCCTCGTGGTAACTTTCGCAGACCCTCCAACTTCGCGTCGCTCAGAACTGATCTATTGCCAGAAGAGTCAGTATCAGCACTGGAAAATCCCAACAACACAATGACAAAACTCACCGAGTGTCATGCTCATGCTAACATCCGTGTTCTCCACCATCTTGGTGAACTCCTCAAAGCTGATTTTGCCGTCCTTGTCCAGATCCGCCTCCATGATCGTCTTGTCAACGATCTGTTGCAGCTGCTGGTCTTTGAGGTTGTTGCCGACCATCATCTTGAGCACGATGAAGAGCTCACCGTTGCTGATGTAGCCATCGCGGTCAATGTCATACACCTTGAAGGCAAACCGCAGCTTCTGCTCCTTGTTGCCCTTGCTGCTGAAGGCGCTCAGTCCGGAGACAAACTCCTGGAAGTCCACGTCACCGCCGCCGTCTTCGTCAAAAATTGCTATCATTCTGCGATTTCATCAGCTTTGGGTGTCTTGGTAGGGTGGAGCAGAGCTGCCGGGGCTGTACGGGCGTACCGTGTCGCGAGCGGGTTCGACGATATTTGCGGCAGGCTGAGGAATTCTTCGCGCTCGATCGTACCGGAGTTGTCCTGCAGACAGCCGAGCATGTTAGCGCACAATTCGCTTGCGATTCCTCTGCGAACCAACCCTGCTCTCATATGTGCTCAGGAGGACGTATGTACCTTATCCAACTTCATAAACCTCTTTCGTAGCCTATCCACTTCCTCCCTGTCGACTGCCATGCCGAAAACACACGAGTCAGCCAGCCCATACCACCATCATGGGAGAAAGAGATGGGGAACGGCCGCACAGTTTGACCCCTGGACGATGTTGTCCAGCACCGCGCTGGTAGTGTTGCCCATCGTGCCGATTTTCGAATGTCGATAGCCTCGTCCGCCTATTCGTTTGGTGATCTATGGTCTCCACCCGGTTAGATACCAGAGCCAGATAGAGGAAAGCAACTTAAAGAGCCGCGACCGAGAGCCGTACGTCGGTATGGGGCACCCCAGCGTGAACTGAATTCGGTCGGCAGCGATGTCTGAGATAGCACCCGCTCGATTTCTCGAAAAAGTACTGTCCTCAAACGGTCCTCAGTAGCTGGGGATTGATTTTGGCGTTCGGCGTGTGCATGTGGCCGTCGGCAAGGATGGTCGTTGCAGGCAGGCTCGGAATCTGGGCTGATGTTAAAGGTAAGGCTGAGGCAGAAGCGGCAGGCGGTCGGGGTCCTACGCGCTTGCAAGTGAGGTACCTCCTACCCAGCAAGCATGGCGGGGCGAAAGATTGCAGCGGACAGCGCGGGGAAAGGGGATGTTTGCGCCACATTCTGGGTCGCACTAGCCACATATCACGAAGGCCAAGCCAAATGCGAGCGTACCTGGCGAGCCTACTGTGTAGGTCCCTGGTAAGGCACGGTAGGTATTGAAACGCACGATGCATACTCAGTACGACAGTAATACATCTAAGAAGGTGTTGCACATGACGATGCATGTTCTGCAATCTGGTGCATCCTACCATATAATTCAACAAGGAAGGCGAGATTTGTACTATTCAATGCATTTATAGTGCCTCTCAACCTGAAGGAAGGAGCGCCATCCGCTTGCTGCGCCTCTGGGGAAATTTGGGCCTGATGCCAATGGAAGGGAGGGGCGCGCTGGGCATTTGTTATCGGGCAAGAAAAGAGTGTGGGGGCCCCCTTTCGAAAGCCGCCAATGGGCAGAACCGAGTCATGGAACACGCCGCCAAAACAGCAAACTCTGCGCCCGGCACCTCAACGACACTCCATCCAGAGATCAAGATTGAGCCATCAAAATATCGACAATAACGCCAGTTTTACATCAAAAAACTCGGCAAAACGGTGTTACATGGCACCCTGAATGAGAGGAGAATTTTTTCCATCGGGGTTTCCCCAGGCTTTCTGCCAAATTTACATCCCCAGCAGCCATGGCGACCCGCAAAGTTCGGTACAAGAAACTGAACTCGAAAACACCGCTATCAGTGCTCAGAGAGGACCAGATAGATGCAACTGAGTATGAATCACTCACAAATGAAGCCCAAATCGCCACCGGAGTCGAGCACGCTGAGGAAAATGTGAGTTGAAATGCCGTCCTTATCGGACCATATCACGTGCCCCCGCACGTGACCGCCATTGTCCCCATCAATCAGGAACAGGAATCCCAACCCGAATTGGGAATGGGCCGATACTGACCTTTTATTCTACAGGAATACCATCTCCAAGTAGTGCTGCAGAGCACGGGAGTCGCGGCAGACAAGGAGATCCCTGTGCCGCCTCCCCAGGAGAGCTCGCTCAACTATGACGAGCTCTATGCTCGTCCATTCTCCAAGACATCCACCTACATTCGCTTCTCTCAGACCGTCGAGGAATCCATTGCATGCATGTATGATATGACCGAGGAAGATGAAGTATTCCTCAAGTCGTATAACCAGAAGCGGACTCCGTCCGCCCAGCTCTCCGAGGATGACTTCGAGAAGATCATGGAGGTGTTCGAGGACACGTCCGAGTTCAAGGCTCCTTACGCCGCCATAGACCAGACCATAGTTCCCTACGATGACATGCTTCAGGGCCTCCAGGAGCTGGATAAGGCCAAGGTCATGCCTCACGCCAAGGAGATCTATGAATACTGGAAATCACGGCGCCAAGCGTCGGGCAACCAACCGCTCCATCCGATGCTCAAATTCGAGAGGCACCAAGAGAGTGATGATGCTGATCCGTACGTCTGCTTCCGGCGTCGTGAAGTCCGTCAGACTCGCAAGACACGCGCCAGAGATGTCCAGAGCGCGGAGAAACTGAAGCGTTTGCGGAAAGAGCTCGAGGATGGTCGCCAGTTGGTCTTAGCCGCGCAGAACCGAGAGCTTCTGAAGGCAGAGATGCTCAAGGCTGACCGTGCCATCTTCGAGCTGCGAGCCCAGCTCAAGGAGCATAAGATTCGGTTGGGCATCAAGACCGATGATGAAGACCTCATCAACCAGAAGGTTGGTTCAGCAGTCTCCGTGTGCTCGGATATCCAGCATGATGCTAACACCTCGCAGCCGCAGCGGAGGAAAGCCCCGGAGGTTCCTGCTGTGCAGCGGCCACCGCCTCCATCGCAACTCCGCATCACTGTCCGGCCAGATGGGCGACCGGCCGAGGCTGACCTTTCGCACCTTGCCGATCGATTGGCCGAAAAGGAGAATGAGCTCCGGGCAGACATCGAAAAGAAGGTCAAGAGTCATAACCAATGGAACTGCAACCATTTGGACCTCACACGAGGTCCGCTCTCGCCGGTCTACGGCCCTCGACGGGATATCAGTTTTAGGCCGGCTAAGACGCAGTACTTGATGACGCCACCAGCTAGTGCATCCTCGGCGTCCTTGGAAGAGCCAACGCCAATGGATGTCGATAAGCCGCAGAATCCCCAGCCCGTCTTCAACTTTAGGGGCGTAGCACAGGCTGAGCAAACGAGGGAAAACCCGCCGGCATACCGGCGTCGGATCGGCAGACTCGGTCGGTTATGGATCGATCGTCGGGGGCTAGCCAGTCCGCCACGCGATGTCAGTGCCGAGGTGCTGGATCGGTGGAAATATGACCAGTCGTCGGACGACGAGGAGGAGCCACCAACATACGAGGTCGATCCCTTCGATACCAACGCTCTGAGATTCCGTGCTTCGATCCCGCTCCCGCCGTGGATGACGAACAGGGTCGCAGTCGCGAATGCCCATGCCCGAGCCCCACTAGTACAACCTCAACAACCACAACCACAACTACAACCTCAACCACAACAGCAACCACCGCAACCACAACCAACGTCGCAACCACAGCAGCCAACGGAAGGCTAATGGCGCATGAACAAAGGGAATTCCTCTCGATGGTCCAAGAGCTCCCCTATGTGCCACAACACATGAAAATGGGACCAAACCAAAGAAGCGAGCGTGACCGTGAGTAATGTAAAAGCGAGTGTTGGGCTGCGATGGTTGTCAGATAAAAAGTCGGTCGACCTCCTGAACTACGTTCGATGGGGTTGGCTTGTTGCTCGTGGTTTCCAGGTATGTTGTCCGCCGTCTCCGTGCGGTTGGGCTTCAGCAAGAAAGGTTCCTTGCTCTGTACACCCCCTGAGCCAAGAAGCCACTCGCAACACTCCAATGACTGTTTTCATCGGTGAACCTGGCAAAAGAGGATTTGGCTTGGCGTTCCGGTGTGCGGCTGTTGTGTATAGATGATGACGTCGGGGCGAGGCAAGCCATGTACCTATGAACAGCGGGTGACTGTACAGATCCTCCATGCCGTTGGCGGAGACACTATAGCGAAGCATAATAGAAGCCAAGCAGCGTTTGCCTGCATCTCATCGTTTAAACCTTCGTGATCTCCTGGCGTTGACCTTTCGCGTATTACCGTCCCCAAAAGGGCAGCAAGGGCTTGGCGCAAAACAGTATGCGCAATTGGCTTTCAATCGCATGGCGGTCGTTGGTTCGGTGTATATCGCGAGGTGTCATAGTGATCTGAGCCTCAAGTTGGACGAGGAGCGTACGGTTAAGCAGGATCGCGGCGCTGTTTGCCGCACCAGTGCTCAGGTGAGCCTTCCGGGTAAGATCAAGCAAGGTGCGACGTGTGGAATCATGCCCTGTTGAGCAAGCTTTCGAATTCCCATGTCTGGTTGAGGGAATCGAGGTCCACACCCGCTGCGAGTAAACCTTTGGCCGAATCCGAGGGAGCTCGAAGCCAAAGGGCTGCCATCCATAAGGGAGGACCGTAAAAAAGCCGGATCCCGCTAGACCGGCTTTGCTCATCCTGATCAAGGATGAAGCGCCTATTGAGCTCCGGCCAGTCCAGGATGTCTCCAAACGTCATCTGGCCTTGCTACACCGAGCTGAGGGATGGGTGGCAGGGTCTGTGGTGTTCCGTCTCCCCAAATTGGCGAGCGACTCGGAGACGTAACTGGTACAAAGATGCGGAGTGTCTCCGGCATAGGGTTCTGAGGCGATCTGTATTTGATAACCGCGCATGAGTTCGCTTGCCAAAGGCTAGTCCATTGTGTCACTTCTGGTGGCACTCAGGACAATTTGGCGAATGACGGGTTACGAAAGTGAGCGCAAGGCAGAGTGCGACTCCTATTTATGTCGCCTAGCAGTGTTTGCTAGACGAGTAATCGACACATTGGCAGCAATTGCTGCTACCCTGGACAGGCTTACTAGCTCTGAGCAAAAACGTCAGCCTTGGAGTTTATCAGGACCGGAAGGAAACCCCCCGGCCGGCCAGAGTGTTGCGCGCGGAGGTATCTTTTACGCTCAATAGGAAGACGAAGGAGGATACATCGAGACGTACCGCTTGGAGGATGAGCGCATCGCTTCCGGGTTGTCTCCTCGTCGCTTGCCTTCCGGACCCATGGCTAAGATAGAGGAGCGCTCGTTGACGGGAGTGGTTTGCGCAACTGCGTCTGAGTTGCTCCAGTGGGAGACAAAATCCAGGGGCTGAAGCTCAGTACGGAAGAGATCCAGGCTCGGAATCGGGAGAAGTAATGGCTTCCGGGTACATCATGAACCAAGTGATGGAAAGGCGTCTTGTGAACGGGAGACGCAGAATTGGCACACATATTCTCCGTGCAGTGGGGGTCTGACCCTTGTGAGAGTCAACTCGGTTGACGCACGTGCCATCATAGGACCCCTGGTACGGTACGTACCTTTCTGCTCCCCTCCGTGAATCATGACAACCTAACCCCTCATTCCACGCTACCCCGCCGACGAAATGGCTAAAGACCCCTCGGTCGGATCAACAACCTTCAAGTACATGTACATACAATGCATTGCATAATAAGTGGTCTAATTAAAGGTGCGCGCCGTTAGACAGCACGGCCCACTACCATTCGCACCGAGTCGCGAGAGCGTCTGATAGACTGACAACCCGCTCAATATACTGGTTCGAAGATTCGAAACACTTTACCAAACGAAAACCCCCTCCGGCGAACTCAATGGATTTCGCCAAAAAGGAGCGGCGCATCGCCCTCGGCTGCGAAGGCTCAGCGAACAAGCTCGGCATCGGCGTGATCCTTCACACAGGCGACCCGTCTCGACCCGAGACCTGCACGTCAACCGTCCTCTCCAATGTGCGGCACACCTTCGTCTCCCCGCCGGGCACCGGTTTCCTGCCCAAGGACACAGCACAGCACCACCGGGCCTTCTTCGTGCGCATCGCCAAGCAAGCGCTGGCCGACGCACACATTGCCATTGCCGACATCGATTGCATATGCTACACGCGGGGGCCGGGCATGGGGGCACCGCTCTCGTCGGTGGCGGTCGCCGCCCGCACGCTGGCGCTGCTCTGGGACAAGGAACTCGTCGGGGTGAACCACTGTGTGGGCCACATCGAGATGGGGCGGGCGATTACCGGGGCGGACCACCCCGTGGTGTTGTATGTGTCCGGGGGCAACACGCAGGTGATCGCATACGCGGAGCAGCGGTATCGGATCTTTGGGGAGACGCTCGACATCGCGGTGGGGAATTGTCTCGATCGGTTTGCCCGGACATTGGAGATCAGCAATGACCCCGCGCCGGGGTACAATATTGAGCAGTTGGCCAAGCAAGGGGGTAGGGTATTGCTCGATCTGCCGTATGCGGTCAAGGGGATGGATTGTTCGTTTAGCGGAATCCTGACGCGGGCGGAGGAGCTGGCGGCGCAGATGAAGGCTGGCGGGAAGGGTCCTGATGGGGAGCCGTTTACAGGGGCAGATTTGTGTTTCAGTCTGCAAGAGACCGTGTTTGCGATGCTGGTGGAAATCACCGAACGGGCGATGGCACACGTGGGGAGTAGCCAGGTGCTGATTGTCGGCGGGGTTGGATGCAATGAGCGTCTGCAGGAGATGATGGGTGCCATGGCCGCGGGTCGCGGCGGAAGCGTCTATGCGACGGATGAGCGCTTCTGCATAGACAATGGAATTATGATCGCACATGCAGGGTTGTTGGCATATGAAACAGGGTTCCGGACGCCGATCGAGGAGAGTACATGTACACAGCGATTTAGAACAGACGAAGTCCTCGTCAAATGGAGGAAGTGAGGTGCTTTTACATTCGCACATCGGTCTATCAATTGACACTCCGTGGCCCTACCCTTCTTTAGTAGTTTCGTCGCCACACCGGAAGCCAACCATCGCCCACACTAGCGGGCGTCAAGCTAAGCCCTAGCTGCGCGGCGTTGACATGCGGAACTGCCGATACTCCCGACCGCCGTACCGTCTGAACCTAGATGCCCTCTGCCGTTGTGGGCTTGTACATAATAGTTGTCACATACTGCATCGGCTGTCAGTCTCGTGGCTCATGAGATAGTAGTAACTGGCACCCCGCTTACCTTGCTCTTGTACCTCGTCGTTGCCGAGACAGCTAGTACATTGTTCTTAATGCTGCTTGTCGCGAGGTGGTTCAAGACGGTATGGTTGGGCTGCGTCAGGACGCTGTTGTCATCTTTCCTCGGCGTGGCCGCATTGAGGATCGGTTTGCTCAAGAATGAGGGGAGGCCTGGCGGATTCGGCAACCTCTCCGTGGCCAGCACGGCGTTCTGGTACAACGGAGAGTCTTCTGACTGATCCAGGTCGAGGAGGTACTTGGGTACCTTATTCGCAAATTGGTTGGCCGGCGGCACGTCTCTATCCTTAGCTATAGGGACCTTGCTTTCCTCCTCGGTGGGAGCCGCGTGTGCCTGTTCCTGCTGCTGGGAACTCTTGCTTTCGGGGACGCCGTCCGCTTCAGCTGGTGTTGGCGGCAGATCATCGGGCGTGATCTCTATGTAGTTGACCAGATTGTTGCCAAAGTCAACCGTGGTGGGATAATCGGGAGATGTTTGCATTTGACCGTCAACCAGGAACCGAATATGGTGTGTCCCAGGTAGAATGTTGATCGTCGTAGCGAAGACGCCTGGTTGGCCCTCGCTGCCGTCCGCATTCCCACGTTAGTGCGTCATGGCCAGAGAACAATCCACTTACTACGTTTCGCGACCATTTGTGATACTTACACTGGATGCAATCGCGTTTTGCGGTTCCATTGGAAGATGGTGCCCGTCAGGTAGACTTTGTCGCCGCCGTGCCGCCATTCCAGCCTTGTCGGTACCGTGGGCCTGGTCTTGTCCACCAACAATTCCTCGGTGTCGTCTTCTTCGAGCACAGAGTTGTCGCTCAGGTTCGAGACTGGGTGGGTGAGCCCTGTGGCGTCCAAGCCCTCGACATCGCCGACAGGCTGGTCAACATCCGTCGGCGCAATGATGGGCGACCCGGGGGTGTGGACCTCCTCCTCGATAGGAAGCGGTAGCCGCGGGGGCCTCGTCAGGTACGACACTTCCTGCAAGCTGCTGTAGGGCATCGTGGCGGAATCGCAGTTGTCTTCCGATCTCGGTGATGATGGTAAATTGTGCGAGTTGGGCACGGCTACGGGCTTCGTAGGCACATGGCTCGTGCCAAGGCTGCCCGGCTTGATGTCGACTGGTGTTGCGGAGCTCGTGGAGCTGGCGGCGGTGGTGGCAGAAGAAGCGGCCGAGAAGTCCGATGAGCCGCCGGGCCCGAACGGCCGGGTCTGTAGCGGGTTTGACCGGCTGCTGGTGTTTGACGGCGGTTGGACAGCGGTGCCCTGCGCCTGAGTGAGCGAGGGTTCTGGCGGGGCAGCAACCGCGTGGTTCTGCACCGGGAACGGGCTCTTGTTTTCTCGCCTCACCGGCCGATCATGCTGAGAATGTGCTTGTTGGGATGACGACTGGCTCGTGGATTTGGATGTGGAGGGGCTGTTGCCCATTTTTCATTCACTCGGCGTTTGGCTGCTGGCCTTCATACAACACTAAGCGTGTAGATAAGAGGAACTAGTCAAGCTGCCGATGCGGGGTGTTCAGTGCATTTTCTGGTCGATGTGAGTGCGTGCGCCCTGTGTATGGAGTTGAATTCGAGCCGGCGGGACAGGCAAGGCGCATTGCATACAGCCCTGTCTTCGAACGGCAGCAGGGCCTTACTGTTCATGTAGGATGAGGGATGCACCAGACTCAAGTTTCGAATGACGGAGAGGCAAGGGAGGTCCAATGCCTGGCTCGAATCGATAAATGAGTTCTTCTGCCCCACTTTTGCATGTGCATAGGCACCGTGCCACCCCTGCAAGGTGGGCTCCGCTTTCGGAAGTGCTTGGCGTTGATCCATGCATCATCTGCCCCATTGTGTTGCAAACCAGCCGCATTCTGAATGCGAGTAAACATTTAAGGTAGTAGCAGTAACAAAAAACTGACGTGAAATCTAAGTTCAACCTTTCACAACATAGCTTCTCAGCACCGCTTCCGCCCGTACACTCTCGCTCTTCACAACAAATCAATCGGACAGCAAACAATATGTCAGACAACTTCGTCGCCCCCGGCCAACAACGCTACCTGCGGGCCTGCATGGTCTGCTCCATCGTCATGACTTTCAGCGTAAGCCTAGATTCTCTTCTTCTCGTCACCCCAAACTGTACTTACATATCCGACAGCGATTTCGCGATGAAGGTTGCCCCAACTGCGAGGAGTTTCTCCACCTTCAAGGGTCGCCCGACCAGATCGACAGCTGCACGTCACCGGTGTTCGAGGGGCTCATCACCCTCGCCGACCCGAGCAAGTCCTGGGTGGCAAAGTGGCAGCGGCTGGATGGGTACGTGCGCGGCGTGTATGCCACCAAAGTGTCAGGACAGTTGCCGGACGACGTGCGGACGACTTTGGAGGAATATCGGGTTACGTACATCCCGTAAGTCCGACCTAAACCTTGCGCCTAGGTGAACACGCGGAGTAGCTAACCATCAGTAGACGGGATGGAAGCGCCACAGAACTAGATTAACGATGCTTGGGCTGGACATGGGCGTCATTTGGGAAACGGACAGCATCGGGCGACGGAGTTGTGGAGTTGGCTATCACAGGCTGAATTTCGGTATCTCGACATTTAGCGTATTTATCTAGGTATCTAATGGTTGAACCACGTCATGCCCTTTTATCCCTGTCCTGGTATCATGCTCTTTCCAAAGCCAGCAACCCGCAACGCCAGAACAATGCAGTATATGACACTCCGTATCCCCAGGTCTCGAGCCTCCTAGAACCGCGGCCTCTTCTGGGGAGGCCCGCCGCCGGCTTCCCGCGCTCTTTTCCGCTCTAGCTCCTCCTTCATGATCCTTTCCGCCTCGCTCATCTTCTTTGGTTGAGCGGCCATGACCTTCTTCGGAGCGCCGGCAAACGCGTTCTTGAAGACATTTTTTGGTTGCGGCTTGGCGCCGAACTTTAGAGACACCGGCTTCACTGCGGCTGTCACCTCGCCAGGCTTGGCCTCCTCCTCCTCCTCCTTTTTTGTCTCTCCATTGCTTGTCCTTTTGGTAAGATCTGAACCAGAACCCTCGGCGCCTGCGCTCGGCGAACGGGTAGCGACCTCAGGTGTCGTGCTTTTCCCCGTCGTCTTGGTCCCGAAGCTCAACTTGATCTTTTCGCCCTCCTCCCTCTTCAATTCCTTCCCCTTTTCCTCGTCCTCCTCTTCCCCCCATCTAGCGCCAGACCCCTCGCCTCGGCATCCTTCCGCGCCCTTTCGATCTGCGCCCGCAACATCATCTGTTCTCTCTCTTCATCTCCCTTATCCTGCATCTCCTTCCTCCTCACCGCCTCTCTCCGCTTCATCGCCTCAGGTGAGTCGTCGATCCAAGCGATGAATAGCCCGTCCTCCTTCTCCTCGGCCCTCACAATCCCTTCTCTCGCGATGTACTTCACGAAGTCGGTCAGGGAATGCCACTTGGTGGCGTTCAGATGCGTATGGTCCTTCTTGGCGATGACCTCCTGGTAGAACTTATTGGCGTGGATGCTCTTCTCGCCGTGGGCCGTTTTCAGTAAGGAAATAAACTCGTGCAAAAATTGTTTGCTATAGTCCTCCTGGACGCTCTTGAAGTTCTGCCCGGCTTCGAGCGCACGGCGCATGTGGCTTTCGGACTGGCAGTGCATTTTGAATGCGTTCTCATCGCGGCAAGCCTTTTCGCAGATCTGGCAGTACCAGCGGAGGCGGGTCAGGCCCTTCTGTTTCATCTTGTTGGAGAGGTATTTGGTCGAGCCCGGTTCGGCTTTGCCCATCTTCGCGGTGGCAACCGACTCGCTGCGCGGAGTCTAGCGGTGGGTGGTTCTGGATTGTTAGGGCTCAATTTGAGATGAGTGCGACAGCGACTAAGCGATGACTCTTCGACGGTTAATGCCGGTGACGGAGGAGATGGCGTTGCGTTGCGCGAAGGAAGCTGTTCGTTTGGCGTGGGAGGTTGTTGTGAATGGAATGAGCCGCAAAACTGAGGAGCTAACTGTTGTACAAGGGTCAATGGACGGATGGAATACACAGTAAGCACCAGGCTAAGGCGAGGTATAACCCTAACCCTTGGTCTTCACTGTTCGGAAACACTGAAGCAGACCGCTGGCATCTTGCTACTACGTACTTACTACTTATTACTAGTACTAGTAGGGCAGCTCCCTTCTTCAAGGTCGGTCTTAAAACTACCTAGGTACGTACTGCCTGTCCAAAATGCCTGGTTGGTTCCGATGAATTCTAGGTAGATAAGGTATGTACAATCCAAAGTATATATACCCCTCAGCTTGCATGCCGCGGGACATGTCCTGATATCTCTTCCAACTCTCTCAGCTTCTTCATCCCCTCATCTGCTTAAAGACCAAGATCTCCCTCTATGTAGCTTTAACTCACATGATTCGCTAATCTAATCCATGCGCAACCGGTATCGCCCCTGGAAACAACAAGTATGGGACGAGTCTCTCCGAATCTCCATCGTGTTGCTGTTGCCGGCGTCTGGCGAGGAATTCCTTGACCGAGCACGCCTATTCAAGGAAGGTAAATAGACTGGTATGCAGGATGTTCATAGCCCTCTCAGCATCGCGGGCATCGATGACACACGAGATGTTGATCTCACTGGCACCTGGTCTTCCAGTTAGCCTCCCTCGCGCGCATTGAATGATACTAGTGGACTTTATCCTTACCCTGCGAAATCATCTCCAGATTGACCCGGTGTTCGCCAAGGGTTGAGAACATCTTGCCAGCAATGCCGACCATGTTCTTCATCTCGGCACCGACGAGGCTGAGAATGCTCATGTCGTGCAGAACGCTGACCTCGCCACACTCGGCCCGGAGCTCCTCCACCGCCTGATCGAAGTTGCTAACCTCGGAATTCGCTGCGTGCACCGCGATGGACACATGTACCTCGCTGGTCGAGATCAGATCTACCGAGACTTGGTTTTGATCAAGAATCGAAAACACTCGGGCCAGAAACTTGTGTGCTATTGATCGCTTGTTGGAGTGGATGTTGATTATCGAGATCTTGTTCTTGACGGTGACCGCTGTCGGCCGCTTGGGCTTCTTGCGCAGTGATGGATCTGAAGGCTGCCTGGACCTCTGGATCTGCCGATCTGCAGCCAGCAACGGATCCGGCTTTACGATCGTGCCTTCCCCACGGGGATTATTGACGTTCTTGATGCGGATTGGAATGGGCGGCACAGCCTTGATGACCTGGTCCATGGTCAGGTGGTGGATGACTTCTGAGCCGTAGAAGGTCAGTTCGGCCGCTTCGGAGGGCGTGATGGACGGGATGAGCCTCGCGGTCGGCACTTTGGTGGGGTCGGCGGTGAAGATGCCGTCCACTTCCTTCCAGATCTGAAGCTCCTCCGCCTTCAGACCGACCGCTACGAGCGAGGCGCATAGATCCGTATACCCGCGCCCAACGTCTCCGTCAAGGAGACTCCCGGGGACATTGCCAAAGAAGCCAGTCACTACGGGTACCCTGTCGCCGCAGGCCAGGATCTTTTTGCAGATGGCGTCGGCGGCGTGCTTGTAAAAGGTAGCGTCAAGACGCCCTGGGCTGTCATTGTGTAGAATGTCGGCCAAGTCGACGTACTCGGCATCCACCCCCTTTTCGATGCTCGGGTCAGCCAAACTCTAGAGTCCATGGGTCGGCAACGGTCGACTCACCCTGTCTTTGAGCAGACATGTCATGAACCGGCAGCTCAGTTTCTCCCCGAAGCTGACCACCCTGTCCTTGGCCCGCGAGTTGATCTCTAGGTTGAAGCGCTTAGCAGCCACCAAGTAATCAATGAGAAGCTGGCATTCCATCTCGGTATCGGCCCTCAGGAGGGAGCTAAGCTCGGGGTCCCGAACAAAGGCATCTGCGGCGGCCACATGGTCGACGCAGATCTCCTGAACAAGGTGCTTGGCATCGCTCAGCAATTGCTCCTGCGCGTCATGCGTGCTGACCGCCCCGACGATTGCGCGCAGCTTCTTGTAGATCTCGATCAGTCTGCAGGAAAGGGACACGTTGTCAGTCATCCCGCAAGACATTGACAAATCAAGGAGCTGCCACGCCACGATCCGGTTGCCAAGTCCGTGGGGGAGCACATGAAGGGAGAGGACGGCGCCTCCCGACATGGCCCCGAACTCGAAAGAGGCAACACCGCACTCTCATTCTGCACGCACCTGCTCGTGGTACCCGTGGCCTTCTTGCCAGTGCTCCGAGCCGAGCACACAACTACTAGCCGGTTGTTCTCGACATAGGACCTACCGCACCTTTGTCAGCTCACAGTCGCTTCCGGCCCCAAGCTAGCTCATAGACAGAGAGCCATACCTGACGATATCTTCGGCGATCTTATCCGGGAATTTGCCCACGCTCGTGCCCCCAAACTTCTGCACGATCCAGCCGTTGCTACTGGCGTTCTTGAGCAGCGCCCGGGCCATCTCCGGTCCATTCACCGACAGGGGTGGGCTCATTGACTCAGAGCGGAGGTGAAGGCCTTGAGGCTTTCACGCTGTCAATGTTCGCCCGCCAACGAGTAATCTGGGACACTCTCACTGGTAGCCAATGGGACCCTTCAAAAGGAGAGGCTTCTTGACGGTCGAGATCAAGGGTACGGCGATGTATGTGAATTCCGGGCGCGGGGAAAGGTCGTCTCAGGACTGCCGCAGTCCAGAAGGGAATCGGGATATTTATCCTCAGACGATGAAACCAGAAGTAGACAGACCACCTGAAGTCCCAAACAGATCTCTGGTCTGGGAAAGAAGGGACAATTCCCTTCAAGGAAGGATGCCAAGGGCTCGTCCTGCGGGATATGCTGAAAGGAGAGTGGACTTGGTAAGAGAGAGCGGGCAGTGGTGAAGCCACTGGGGTACCAGATTGGTGGATGTTGTCGCGTGGGTGAAAAGAAGACGTAAAACGGTAAAAGCACAATTGAAGAAACAAGCGTCCCGGACCGGAGACGGGATGGCGATGACAAGACCTCCGACTTTAACCAGATGGCACAAAGGCCCAGTCTAATTAATCCACCCGAGTTCGCCCACCTCTTACGAGTCACCACTCACCACCACCCAAACGCCTAACTCGGAGGCAAGGTTTTCCACTTTTCCAGACTTCCAGCACGTTGCTCATCGACGCCCTAGGCCCCCTTGTCGAGTTAGTCCGAGTCCCAGCAGTGGGGCAAGTCCACATGGAGTGGGGCGGCCGGGGACCGCCACGGCGGAGTGACAGTGGAACATCGCATGCTTTCTCAAAATTGTGTCTCGTCATGATCATGATGACTTGTTGGCAAGTGACTCAGTTGTTGTCGGAGTTGTTTCTGAAATCAATGTGCGCATCGATCTTAGCCAGAGCAAATCTGACCTTTCCTCCCCTCTGCAGCGAATACGGGTACGAATCTCGAATCTCCTTACAGTAAGTTAGTACGTGCCTGAGTGACAGTTCAACGGGCGGCCATTGGATCCGGCTCCCGGGCGCCCGACAGACCCACCAGGGGTAAGGGTTGTCTCCGTATCGGCAGGTATCCTCCCGGGCAACCATCCTCGGTGTCATGGTACCTTACTATTCGAACCGCCCAGATCGAACAACAGAGTGGTCATTAACAGTAGTTTGTCGTTGACAAGAGCAGCCGTCGCACGTGCCACAGAACCAGCCAGCAGCGTCGAAGTCGTCCAGTCCAGCCTAGCATTGCAAACTCTCACCGAACACGGGACGAACCCCAGACGTCCTCCTCAACGCCGCAGAGACCAAATGTGGGATGACCTCGCGTGCCCTATGTACCGCGCGGGAGATAGTCGCCAAGCCACACGCTCTAGTATCCGTACATGCATCCAGCCGTTCCGCGCATGAGCCAGGGGCGACTCATCGCCGGGGCGTCTATAACCAAACAAGACACCGAAGGTCGTGTGAGCTTCCAGACTTGCACAGACGACGACCCCCACGTTAGGTAACCTACCAGCTGCGTAGCGCACATAATCCTAATCGGTCTTCAAGAACGGTATTCAATGGAGGAGAAGATTCCATGTAGAATAGGTGGGTTTGTGAACGAAGTTTGCTTCATTCGGTCGGATCTACCCCTGGGCTCCTGGTCCGAAAAGAACTGTGACAGCGATGACAGCGTGCCGCCCTTTCACGACTCCGGCGGCCCAGGTGAACCCGCAATATGTCCTCTCTAGCTAGGTAAGGTACTCTACATTCCCCAAGACGCCATTGGCTACGCCAATCCTTCTTCGAGTGGAGAGCAAATCCTCGAGTGGAAAATGGTGGTATAACCGTACATTACTTTCGACAAAATGCCAACAAAGACGCCTGCCCCTTCCTACGCCGCCATGATGCAGCTCTATTTGGGTTGAAAGCCTTCAAGTAGATAGAAGACACGCAGACTCGGGACGGCGCAATGATTCCCCATCAGCCCGGGGAAAATGTCCATCAAGCGGTCTGTATCTGAGGGACCCTAACTGAGGTCCTCAATTACCATCGAGCATGCCACCGCAAAAAGAAAAAAGCATGCTCTTGCCTAGATGCCGATGATTCACGCATCCAGAAATGCCAGGCGTCGCTCTGTTCAGCGCCTCTTCCGTTCCTCCTCCTCCTCTTCCTCGGCGGCATCATCGTCGTGCTCCTCCAGATCCTCCTCGACGACCTTCTCCTCGATGACCCGCCGTGGCCTCTGATCAGCCGACACCTCCCCGCCGCTCATCTGCCACTCCATGAGCTTGCTGAAGGCGCTCTCCTTGTTCGCGCTCAGCGCGGCGTAGCTCCCGATTTCGGCCACGGTGCCCTCGGCGGAGAGCACAATGATCTGGTCGGACCGCTTGATGGTCGAAAGCCGGTGGGCGATCGAGATGGTCGTGCTGCGCCCCTTGAGCAGCTCGCCCAGCGCCGCGTTGACCAGGGTCTCGGACTCGGCGTCGAGCGCCGACGTGGCCTCGTCGAGCAGCAGGATGTCCGGGTCTTTCAGCAGGGCCCGCGCGATGGCGATGCGCTGTTTCTGCCCGCCCGAGAGCTGGGCGCCGCGCGCGCCGACTTGGGTCTCTAGGCCCTCGGGGAAGTCGCTGATGAAGCCGCAGTTGGCTTTCTGCGCGGCCGCGATGATCTCGGCGCGGGTCGCGTTGGGGTTGCCATAGGCGATGTTCTCGGCGATGGTCCCCGAGAAGAGGACGGGCTCTTGGGCGACCATGCCGATGCGCCGCCGTAGGGACTTGACGTTCATCTTGGCGATGTCGACGCCGTTGATGGTGATGGAACCCGAGTTCGGGTTGTAGAAGCGCAGCAGGAGCGACGCGACCGTCGACTTGCCGCCGCCGGAGGGGCCCACGATGCAGACGTTGCTGCCGGACGGGATCTCGAAATCGAGGCCGTTGAAGATGTTGACCGCGGGCCGTGTCGGGTACGCAAATGTGATGTTGTTGAATCTGATGGGCCCTTGGGCTGACGTGACTTTCATGCCCACGGTCTGGTGGATTGTCGGCTTGCGGTCCTGGAGCTCGAACAGTCGGCTGGCGGCGCCGACGCCCTTCATCAGCTCCGAGTAGAAACCGCTGACGCCGAAAAGGCTGGACCCTGCAAAGACAGTGTACATCATGAAAGAGGTCAAGTCGCCGATGGACATGGCTCCTGAACGGACGAGGTTGCCGCCGACGATGAGCATGGCCAAGATGGTCATATTACCTGCCCAGCTGGTCGAGGCGAAAAATGTCCCTGAAATGAACGATTCCTTCTTTCCGAGCGCAAAGATCTTCTTGATCTGCTTGTTGTACCGGGCGACCTCCTGAATCTCGCCGGCGAAAGCCTGGCTTGTCTTGACATTGCCCAGGCGCTCTTCGGCAATTTTGACCATGGTACCCACGTTCTTCTGCAACTGCCGGCTCAGGTGTCGGATACTGCGCCCGTACAAGACGGCCCCGACGGCGATAGGCGGAACCATGACCAAGATAATGGACGTCAACTTGGGACTCATCCAGGCCATCATGACGAACCCAGCCGCGCCGCTGACCAACGCTCGCAGTCCGTCCGACATGTTCTGCGTGATGCTCTTGCCGACAATAACGGCGTCCGAGCTCAGCCGTGAGATCAGGTCGCCGACACGGTTGGCGTCAAAGAACTCGGCGTCCTGCACATAGGTACGCCGGTACAACTGCGACCGCAGGCGCGCGACAACGCGCTCACCCACTATGCGCAGAAGGATGATCCGCCCAAAGTTCGCCATCGCGCCGACGGTCAACACCGCAGCAAGACCGTAGAAGAATTGCCTCAGGGTGAGCCCGAAAATATGAACCTCGTCGATGGGGCCTTTCGTGGAGAGGTCCATGATTCTGCCCACCGAAAAGGGTATCGACATGGTTACCGCGGAAGAGATAAGCAGCAGCACGAATGCTGCAGCGAGCCACCTTACCTCGGGCCGGGCGATCTTAATCAACCTCCACACCTCGGAAAGGCCTGGCTTGCCCTTTGCGCCAACACCTTCCTTAGAGAGCCGCGCGCTCAGGTTGACGTGCGCGGCTTTTGCGGCCTTTTCGCTCCGCTGGAACCCATGCGCTGTAAGATGCTGGTCCACCACCTCCTCTTTCAAACCCGCGGGGGCGAGCTCCTGCTTGTTGCCGACCGCCGTCGTCTCATTCGGCTCGCTTTTCGGCTGCTGCGTCGGCCGCGTCATCGAGAGGTACCGGAGCGCGTTGACCGGAGACGCCCACCGTGGCTGCCCGAGCGATTGGCGGGGAGCGGAAAAGCGCTGCGTCGGCCCGCGCCCGGGGTTGTAGCCCGGCGTTTGGGGGGCCGTTGGCGTCTTCCAACCCCCAGGGCCGGAAGTGAGTTGGCGGGTGGGCGGTCGGCCGGAGAAGGCAAAGGTCGGCGGGAGAAAAGAAGATCGGGCCACCGCCGGAGCAGCCGGACAGCTCACGCCGCCCAAGCCGGCAACCACGGCCATGCCGGCATTGCTTCGCGGCAACAGCGCGGCGCGGCACATGAGCGCCGCCGCTGCTCCCGAAACCATGGCGATCTGAATCGCTTCTTGTCGTGCTATCGCAAGCCCGGATCGATTTTTTGCGAGTTATTCGGGGATGCGGGATGGTCGGAGGGATGTCATGTCGCGCTTCCGGAGGTCAAATTGCGCTTGCTCGGGAACCCATGGCCCGCGCAGTTCCATGTGCATCGTCGGAGAGGTAAAGGACGAGAAGAAAACGGGCGCCGAGAGAAAAATCACCGGCCCGATCCATGGAATTCGATCCGCCGAGCACAGATAAAGCGGGTCCATGACCCATCAGGCCTAGTTCTTGGGCGAATCGGGATGTCGTCATGCCTGTCGATGCGCCGCCATCGTCTGTGGGTCTGAGGGTACATGTAGTTAAACGCCAGAGGGTGTGATCAGAGTCCGGACAGACCAACAGGTAGCGAGATCACCTGCATGGCCCTGACATGCACATCAAAAACCAGGGGAGGCAGTCTGGCGTGCTTTGAGTTATGGTCGCTTAGTTAGTATTTCGTCTACAAGACATCCGATCTCCAACCCAGAATCACCCCAAGCTTGCTCGCCTCCTGCCGGCTCGCAGCCATACTTGTTCTCCCATGTCCTATACACAAGAGCCTCCTGCCTGGTCTGACCTGTGAATCGAAACGCTATACGACGGATCTCGAGCAACGATCAGCGAGCTCCCAGCAACTTGGTCATTGTGTTCATGTAACACTCAATACCCACGGCCGCCTCGATGAATAATCAAGATGCTTGAGAATCCTTCCTCAGCATCTCTCTGACGTCTGCGTCAATGCCATCATCGGCACCCAGATCAGGAAACTCATCCGAGGCCCCAATCTTGCGTTTCTTCGACCCGTTGAGGGGCACAGCCTGGTACTGCGAAGCGAGGTTGGAAAGAATTTCTATGCCCGGAGCGGAGCTCGCGAAGGCAGACTGCCCATTGGTGGGGGCAGGTGCGCTGTGGAACGGGACGGGTTGGGGCTGGCCGTTTTGCGTCTCATGATCGGTGGATGGATGGCCGTAGGAATCATCCACATGATCCTGGACATGGGGCGGCGTGAGAGCCTCTACTTGTGGGCGGTCCGGTTCAGGGGCCGGGCTGCCAGAAGTATTACTGCCAGGTAGCTGCTCTGCGTTGGCAGTGGCGAGACCGCCAACAATAGCCCGCTCGGTTGCCTGCTTCCGTTGCTCAACTTCAGTCCGGCGGCCGCTCAGTTCCATCATCTGCTTCTCCTCCGAGTCCAGGGCTTCACGGTTCGTTGCAAGGATCTTCTCCAGCTCCCGGATCAGATCTCGACGGGCCTGGATGCATTGTGTGACGGCGCCTTCAGCGTTCGCCAGTGCCTTAAGAAGGCCATTGAGTCGAGCGGCCTGGACTGGCAGAGCCGCGGCGGTAGTTGTCGGGTCGGCCAGTTTGCCGTACTCGGTGTTGGCGATGCCGAGCGAATTCCTCATTGGCTGGATAGCCTTCGCGACAGCCTGCTGCGGCTTCATCAAGGAATTGAGCTCTGGAGGGATCGCAGCCACTGCTGAAGGGTTGAATGCGTGACCGCCAAAGCCAACCTGGGCTGTTGGGCGTGCCCGGTCAATCTCTAGCAGACATCGTTAGTATGAGCAATGAACTTCATGGCCTGTATACACTCACCCGCGAGCTTAGCATCTAGATCCTGCAAGACCTCTTTGTTGAAAATACTCCGGTCCCTCCATACGTCCACGACTCTTCGTAACTTCCCTTGCACGTCTACCGGGGCCCCTTTGTATGCAACTGCCGTGGCATCTGCGATAAACGGAGAAAATGCATTCAGGAAATCATCCTTGTGGCGTGCCTTGGATTGTTGCGTGACCTCTGTTGGAGAGACTGGATTAGCAACAGCTCCAAGCTGTGTTCGCCTGGATTGCACTCACCGTTGGCGAGGTAGATCATGTTCAGCCTCTTGGCGCTGGGAAGGTCTTTGAGCTTGGTCAGCCACAGGTGGACCGTCTGGGCCGCATGTCGCCTACGTTCTGGAGGTTAGCGACAGGCAAACTTGCAGATCACCTTTATTCCATGGCTGCTTACCGATGAAACATGATCCATTGCGCTGTGGTGGCGATACTCTCGTGACTCTCATTAAGAGCTGACAGCTTTGAGAGCACGGCATCATCCGTATAGGCCATGCCAAAGCGGTAAATTTAGGAAGCTGGTTGATGTAGGTAAGGTAGGTATTTGGATTTGATGTTTTGGTGATGTCGCAGCTCTTATTCAGAGGCTCATTCAACTACGATCCCAGTTGCAGTTCCTGGATGACAATGACGGATAGCTGATGACCTGTCGGCTTCTTGCAATCTATCTCTGCAGCAGGATCATCTAACTGGTCCAAGAAAGTAGTCCAGTTGCTTCTTTGCTTCCAATGCGACTTCCGGACAATACGCACGGGAGGAAGGATGCAGGGGCAGTTTGTTTTGGAGGAGTGGAAAAACAGATGAGTTTGGGAGAGCAGGAAGCTGCGTCGGAGCTTCCCCAAGTCGCATCAAAGCACTGTTTTATAACCCTCCGTGGTTTGATTTGTTAGCCTTGTACCGCCAAGCCCACCTATTTTCCCTAGTGCAGCCAATCAGAAAGTCATGGTCGCTAACAAAAACAAACCCGCCAGAGCGCTGTACAAATAGTGCTACCTGCAGGTAGTAGTGCTGGTGCGCTCGGTTAAGTGAATGCACCTACCCATATGCTACCTGTTACTGCGATATTCTACCCCTTGTGCTCAGCGCAGCTCGCAACCAGGCGCGATCACAGGCGCCGTCCAGATTCTTGTATTGCAACTGATCACTCGACTTAACAAGATCCTCCTGCCAAAACCCCCCGTTTCAAGACAGTAGTTCCATTTGACTGTCATCATGGCGGACCGATTCCCCTCGTTGGAGGATTTCGACTCCGGTGGTAAGTCTAGCGGCTGTCCAGCGCCCCAACAACATACGTTCTGACCCTGCGCCCAGCCCAGACCGATATTAAGGACACGTCAGATGTACCCTCGGCGAGCAATTTTCTGGAACGGGAGAAGGCGATACTCGGCGAAGATGCCAATCAGTTTGCGACAGTGGAGGATGCCGGGATTGACGACGCCGACAACGATTTGCTAGGAGGCGGCGTCAGTTCTGCGGGCGGCAACGCTGCGTTCGAGTCCCAGTTCCCCGACATCACCAGTCCCAACGCGGTATGCGCAGGCACCCCACAGCTTAGCTACACCTCATGATCCTAACCCGAGCGAACTACAGGGCGTCACATCTAGCGGCCCCATCACAGGACCCTCAGTGAGTTACAACTCGGGCTACCAGCCCTATACCGAGGAGGAGGAGGAGCCCGAGGTGATCAAGGAGTGGCGCGAGAAGCGGGACGCCCAGATCGCGAAGCGAGCAGAGCAGTTTGCCCAACAGCGCGCCGAGACGATCCGAGAAGCCCAGCAGAACATTGACGACTTCTACGAGAACTACAACAACAAGAAGGAGAAAATGATCGCGCAGACCCGCAAGGAGGCCGAGCAGTTCCTCGCCAGTCGCGAGGACACCACCTCGGGCGGCACGAGCTGGGAGCGCATCTCGAAGCTGGTTGATGTTAGCGGGAAAGGCGCAAAGGGCGGCGCTGCCGGCTCGGGCAAGGAACGGTTCCGCGAGTTGCTTATGAGCCTACGGAAGGACGAGAAAGCACCTGGGGCTGAGGGGTATTAGGGATGCCGGTCCACAACGAAGGCTAGAGGGAGATGGCCGTCGCCATTTCAATCCTTCCGTCTCCCGTGACAGTATCAATATCCAAAACCGCATTTAATGTACTTTTAGGGAAGGGGCCTCTCCATTTGCAGGCACAGGGACTCAGGCATTCAGTAGCGGCAATTGCATTTGTCAGCGAGTGATGGGAGCATCACAGTCTGCATGAACCCAGTGCACGAAATATGCTTAACATATGAAAGACCGGCCAGGTTGACCTCGATTGACGACACGCATGCACCGACTCAGCGGACTTTGCAGATTCAACCGCGTCTACTTCTACCCCATGCCTACATATACAAGCCGGATCCTGTATCAACTCCCCTGACCGTCCGTCCCCGCGACCGGAGCTTAGTCGTAAAACCAGGTGCTCTTGCCGAAGATCCTGCGGCCAACAGCCCAGAATGTGGCTAGTAAGATTGTCGTGAATAAGCTGTGTGCACAAGACAGGCGTCCGCCAAAAGGTAGTAGCTGAAACGTACCGGCAGTGGTTCCCCATAAGAGGATGTTATACGGGACCAGGTACATCCTGCTGCGAGGGTTCTGTTGCAGGCGTGTATATCATCAGCCAATGCTCCTCTGTTCCAACTGTCCCGCCCGTTCCGCTTCCGTTCCGCCCCTCGGCTTCCATCTCCTCGACCCTCTCTTCGTTTTCCGGGGCGACTGGAGAAGCACTCACGATCCGCCAGATACGTTCGTGCGCCTTGTACGCAGCTTGATACACACGCTGGTGCTCGGGCACCTTGTTCACGGCCCTGTAGACACTGTGGTTGCGAGAAGAGTGACCGTCAGCGCTTTGCTCTTGCTGCTCGAGTGCATCGTACGATTGCGCGGTAAATTCCCAAGTGGCAATTGCAACGGCACAGTAGTCCCCAATAGGTCTGCAGTTGCTAGCGACGGTCGATGATCGGGGGTGATTGCTTACGGCATCTTTGTGAGTGGAGTTGGGCTTGCGGTATGGGTTATGCTGATGTTGGAAAACCGCGGTAGCTGGTGGTGTGTGTTGGTGTGGGATGAGCTTCGGGAATGGAAGTTGTAGCCGCATGACTAAGGCAGCTTCCGTGGTTGCGGATCGAACCAGATTGGTCAATGCTCACTGAGGGTTGATTATTAGGGAGCTTGTCCAGGTAGGGCGCCAAGAGCTTCAAGTGGAATTGTACATACATAACCCTCGCGTGTCTTCAGCGCCGTCTTCAGCCCTTTCCTGCGCCCGCCGGTGTGATCGAAGGCAATCAAGCCATGATACTTAACACTATAGACTAGGTGCGGTGGTTAGTATCGTCTTGGATGGGAGCCCGCTCGACCCTCCTTCTAAGACTTAATATGTCACCTTCAACTAGTGTAGGCCGTTACGTCTTCCAGTGGAAATGCAAGGTGGAGAGATACGTACGTGTCTCTGACTTCACTCTGAGACCCTTTCCCCCTTAAAGATCTCGCTAAATACCTTATATACACAGATAAATTTAACCTCATTGGTAGCCCGAATCCGTCCGCCTGTAAATAAAGCCCTCTAATTCCCTGTTGGTCTTCTATTAGACAAGACTCCATACATGAACCCAATCCCCCAGACACTCTGGGACGGAAGTTAAACCGACCGGACCACCACCTTCGGCAGGCAAGTTAACTATCGTCTTCCGCAGCTATGTGCTTCTTTTTCGGCTTGATGATTAGCAGTATTATCATGGCCGCAATTATTAAGAGCAGAAGAAAAATGATCTTCCGCTTGGTAGTCTTCTTCTGGTAACCCTCCGCTGTCTTGAGCTCCTTTTCAGCTTCTTTGACATCACTAGCCATGCACTCCACATTGTAATCGATCCGGTCCAGCATGGTGCCCTGGTCGATAACCATCGTCTGCAGGTCGCGGAAAAGATCTGCTAACTCAATGATGCCCTGAGCTATGTCCTCAATTTCCCGTTCGCGTTGCGATATGGCCACATCGTTGGACTCAAGGAGCTTTTGATGAGTGGGGGCTTGGAGCGCCGACTGCGAATAGGTCCGGTCGGCGTCAGATTCCAAGAGAGATGGATCTGTGTAGCTGCCGCCGACTAAGGGAGTGGCGGTGCGTTCAATAGGACTGGCTAGCCCAGCCATACCCCGGAGTTCTGCGAACAGAATGTCAGTTTCGGTTGAATATACCGCACTTCTCGTTGAGCCACCTTACTTTTGAGGTATGCGCTTTGCTTCTTGCGGAACCCAGCGCTCGCCTCCTGAACCCTAGTCGCCAGGTTGACCTTGACGTTCTTCGCCATCGTCTCATCGGCACGGCTCATCGTGCCGTTCGCCTTGCCCTCGCGCACCATCTGTTCGATTCGCTGGATGCACCGTCGGCACTCGTGAAACCCACGCGTAATATCCTGCGTCAACCGCTCGATTTCACCCTCCTCCGCTTTCTTAGTCTCGTCATCGTTGAACCCCGGGAGAACGTGTTTCTGATGCAGCCGTTCCAGCTTTTGGCTCTTGCTCGCGATATCGGCCAGTAGCTCCGTCACCTCATCCGAGATGTCGGCCCAGCGCGGCGGGAGCAGGTCCATCTCGATCACCGCGTCGCCATCATCCACATCGTAGGCGCCTGAAGACAGGAGACCCCGCCGGTCGTCGTCCGCCGCGAACAACACCCCTGTGGTTGTCCCACCAAAACGGTCGCTCGTGGTAGAAGGGCCATAGCGGTTGCGCTGGATTGGATGGTGGGCGTATGACTGCCGGTACGAGATGTAGCTGCGAATCGGGGGTCAGTGTAGCTGTCCGGCACCGTTTAGGGCACATTGAGCTACGGGGTCTCTTACAGGTTCGTCCGGTCTCGCCACATGGCGGACGTCGGAAGGGGGCAGAGACACCCTCAGCTCGTCCCTAGGGTCAGTGATCGAGAAATGAGGCCTTGTTGTATATGTTGCCGAGGGCCAGGCCGTGGCGGCATCACATTGTAAATTGTTTTCGCAGTTTGGCGGTTGGGGATCGAGCTCCAGAATGCTAATAGTAATAGGGATAGCTTGGTTACGATGACGAAGCGGGCACTTGCAATGGACCGCAACCAGTTGCGACGTGCTTGGCAGTGTTCGAGACATTCAGGGGGGCCGGGGCCGGCGAGTAACTGTGGAGGCAACTGATGCCTGCTAGACCCACTCCCCTGGCCAAGTACGTAATAACGACTGAATGGAAAGCGTAAATACGGACCGTTACAATACGAATACAGCCAGATGATAGAGCAAATCACAGCAACGTTACGTACTACCTACTCTGTCATTTCATTCAGCTGCTGGTCACCGTTTTGGATGCATAGGGCGACCCCACCCATGATTTTCACTCTAAACAATCCGACAATCAAGCTCAGCAACCCCGCTTCTGAACTTCTGAGTACACCTGCAGCCCAACCAGACAAAGACGGATCCCGACCGCGACCGAAGATACCCTCTCTTCAGCTCGACCACTCGCTCACAGAACCATCACCATGGTTAGTCAAACCAGATCTTGCAAATCCTATGGGAGGCAGCCCCGCGATCGAGGAGCAGTTCGGGCCGCATCCCATCGAAAGACCACAAAGAACTGACCATGCGTTCAACAATAGGCCGACTCTCTTACCGAAGAGCAAGTCTCCGAGTTTAAGGAGGCGTTCTCGCTTTTTGTAAGCTGTTACATCACCCGTTCAAGCAAAGTGGTGCTAACCCCTGGAAAGGACAAGGACGGCGATGGTCAGTCTTTCCGTCTCCTCCAACGCCCGCCCCGGCGCAAGCTCGCCGGGCCTGTCTTCACGAACGACGATAGGATCACATGTTTTGCAACGCGCCGGCTATAGCCTGATACAACGGATAGACGCTAAAGGTGTGAGCAGGGCAAATCACTACGAAGGAGCTAGGCACTGTGATGCGCTCGCTCGGCCAAAACCCTTCCGAATCAGAGCTGCAGGACATGATCAACGAGGTCGACGCCGACAACAATGGCACTATTGACTTTCCTGGTATGCACATCTACTGCATGATGCCCTCGTCTGTGCCAGTTCGCTAACTTGCCTCAGAGTTTCTGACCATGATGGCGAGGAAGATGAAAGACACCGACTCGGAGGAGGAGATTCGCGAGGCTTTCAAGGTGTGTTTTTTCGATTATCCTGTCCTTGGGCTACTCTAACCTGTGTTTCACGCAGGTCTTCGACCGGGACAACAACGGCTTCATCTCGGCGGCCGAGCTTCGCCACGTCATGACCTCGATCGGTGAGAAGCTGACGGATGATGAGGTCGATGAGATGATTCGCGAGGCTGACCAGGATGGCGACGGGCGTATTGACTGTGGGTGCCGTCCCTATCCTTCAGCCATCGTTCGTTACTAACGCCGCCCCAGACAACGAGTTCGTCCAGCTGATGATGCAAAAATAAACGCCCCTGTCCTCGACACCCCGGCCCGACGGCTTGACGAATCAATACGCCTTCTCTTTCGTCTCCTGCTCGCCACCTGGCTTTTGAATGGATCCTAGGTAGCTACCAGCGGCTTTGCAGGATATATGGTATCGCAGGGCAAGGAACCCATCTATTCCTGTTGGCACATCAGGCTTTGTCTTTGACCTATCTCTGCCCTTGTGAGCTTGGGCATCAGGGGATCAAGCATAACATCACAGACACCGCTGGGCAAAGCGACCTCAGCCGTGTTGTTCCCTGGGATCTTGATCAGGATGATAATGAAGCTATCGTTTGCGAATACCTTACTTTTTAAGACAACCCCGAATTCACACCAGAGCAGAACCAGCACATTGATGTCGTTCGCTGCAAAAGCCGGCTCGGCGGCTTGGAAGATGATCTCCTGCAGATGAATTGTGGCAGTGCTCTCCTTACCCCATCATGTCCTGCAGCCCTACGGGGAATCGGGATGCCACAAGTCCCCCGCCTGCATGATAAGAGAGATAGTAATGGTAACTTCGGCAGGGCTGAGCTCCTGCATGCGTGGCGTCGGACCATTGTAAATGAGACAATAAGTTGAAATGGACGATTCGAAAAGGAACCTACAGAGTACGCAAAGGTAACCTCAGTATGTCATTACCAAACGTTCCGGGCTGTTTCTTCTACCCGATAGCTAGGTAGGCTAGTACTACCAGGGGGCATCTCCTATCTGATCGCTGTGCCCCAGCGAGTAATCGGCCGGGTGCCCTTTTAGGTTGCTACGCTCGATCGCACGCTCAAGCTTCAAGTTAATAGTAATTCCGCCTTTTCCCAACCTCATGATCTCTAGATTTCACATCGGCTTCTCCCGGCTAGACAGGCATGGAATTGGCTGGTAAAACCGGCCGCAGATGAGGCATACGATACGGACAGGGAATTTCTGGATGTTGGGTTTGTTTCCTACTGCAAGTAGGTCATGCAGGAGCTCTAGGTCGGCGCATCCATCGGCCTAGTCGTATCAACCACCTGCTGTGTCTCTCCTACCAGCGTGAATACGGGAGAATTCACAAGGTTGGCTTTCTGCTCTCAGGGTGGTGGTGTTGGACATGAAGTACGGTAGATAGTAGTACTCCGTAGATGGTTGGCCTCTCTAGAGTACTATATGGAAATCTCGGGGCCTTCAACAAACGACGGGCCAGGTCGACCCGCCCCGTTAGCTGAAAGTACCCGGGTGCAGGGTCTGTTCTGCCTCAGGCACAAAGCGTTTTCCACACCGGCCAGTGCGCTCGCTGACTACCTGCACCTGTGCAACGTGCCCATCTAGCGATAGGTAGCCTCGGGGGCCCTGATGCAGGACAACGGCCAGCAACTTTTACACTCCGCTCAGCAGCTTTCTCGCGGCCCCGCCCCTCAAGAACTGGATTTCATCCTTCTTCAGGCCCCCTTGCGGGCCAAAGCAGCTTCACCATGAGCTCTCGTGAGTTTTGCCTGGTTGCAATGCATCGCAGTAGCGGCTGACCCCCCGCGACGCCACAGTCAAACAGTTCATCCGCAACGTGCGCGCCGCGAAGACCATCGCCGACGAGAGAGCAGTTATTCAAAAGGAGAGCGCGGCTATTCGGGCGAGCTTCAGGGAGGAGAGTGCAGACCACAGCATCAGGTATATTTCCCGGGCCCAGGAGACCCCAGAGGGATGTACGTGTGCTGAAGAGCGTTTCACAGGCGGAACAATGTGGCCAAGCTCCTCTACCTCTTCACACTTGGCGAGCGGACGCATTTCGGACAAATTGAGTGTCTGAAGCTCCTCGCCTCGCCTCGCTTTGCCGACAAACGGCTAGGACACCTCGCGACAAGCCTGCTTCTTGACGAGAACCAGGAGGTTTTGACTTTGGTTACCAACTCCCTCAAAAAGTGCGGCCACTCATGCTATCCGTAGACGCGCTTTTGGGGCCATCTTACTGATCCTGTGCCGGCAGCGACCTGTCACACTCTAACCAATATGTCGTCGGCCTCGCCCTCTGTACCCTGGGCAATATCGCCTCCGTCGAGATGTCCAGGGACCTGTTTAGCGAAATCGAGAACCTAATATCGACGGCTAATCCATACATTCGACGGAAAGCTGCTCTCTGCGCCATGCGCATTTGTAGGAAGGTCCCGGATTTGCAGGAACACTTCATCGAGAAGGCGGCGCAACTGTTATCAGACCGGAATCACGGCGTGCTACTATGCGGCCTCACCTTGGTCACAAGTCTCTGTGAGGCGGACGAGGCGGAGGGGGGCGAGGAGGGTATCGTGGAGAAGTTCAGGCCGCTCGTGCCTCTGCTTGTGAGGACGCTGAAGGGGCTGGCCTCCTCGGGCTACGCTCCGGAGCACGACGTCACAGGGATTACAGACCCCTTCCTGCAGGTCAAGATTCTACGGCTGCTTCGGGTGCTTGCCCGCGGTGATGCGCAGATTACGGAGCAGATCAACGATATCTTGGCGCAGGTAGCAACGAACACGGATGCCTCCAAGAACGTGGGCAACTCGATCCTCTACGAGGCGGTGCGGACCATACTCGACATCGAGGCAGATTCCGGCCTGCGGGTACTGGGCGTGAATATCTTGGGCAAGTTCCTGACCAACAAGGACAACAACATCCGCTACGTCGCGCTGAACACCCTTGTCAAGGTGGTAGCCATCGATACCAACGCTGTGCAAAGGCACCGAAACACGATTCTGGAATGTTTGAGAGATCCCGATATCAGCATCAGAAGGAGAGCACTAGATCTCAGCTTTACGCTCATCAACGAGAGCAACGTTCGGGTGTTGATCCGCGAGCTGCTGGCCTTCCTCGAGGTGGCGGACAACGAGTTTAAGACGACAATGACTACCCAGATCGGCGTAGCCGCAGATCGGTATGCACCCAATAAGCGGTGGCATTTTGATACAATGCTACGTGTCGTCACGCTGGCGGGCAACTATGTCAAAGAGCCCATCCTTTCCTCCTTCGTCCGCCTTATTGCCACAACGCCTGAACTGCAGACATATGCGGTCCAGAAGCTGTATGCAAACCTGAAGAAGGACATCACGCAGGAGAGCCTGACGCAGGCTGGTGCATGGTGTATCGGCGAGTACGGCGATGCTCTTCTCAGGGGTGGCCAGTATGAGGAGGAGGAGTTGGTCCAGGAGGTTAAGGAGCACGAGATCATCGATTTGTTTTCGACCATTCTCAACAGCAGCTACGCTACCCAAGTTACTACCGAGTACCTTATCACAGGCCTGGTGAAGCTCACAACAAGGCTGTCTGACCCAGCTCAAATCGAGCGAGTGCGCCGCATCCTCCAGAACCACCAGACGAGTCTGGATGTGGAGGTACAACAACGGGCTGTTGAGTTTGGCAACCTCTTTGCATACGACCAAATCCGACGTGGCGTGTTGGAGAAGATGCCACCGCCGCAGATCAAGGAAGAGTCGCGGGTGCTGGGTGAAGCGGCCAAGAAGACAACCAAGGCAGCAAATCGGAAATCGAAATCTCTCAAGCCGAAGGAGGAAGACCTTCTCTTCGACCTCATGGGTGACAGCGGCGGTCCCGCACCGGCCCCGGTCAACGGCAGCCAGAATACCGACCTTCTGGCAGACATTCTTGGCGGCACCAGCTCGCCTCCTCCTTCGACTGCGTCGCCGCCCCCTGCACAATCTAATGTCGCCTCTATCATGGACTTGTTCTCCCAAGGTCCAGTCTCTACACCCTCTCCAGCGCAGGCGGGCGCTGCGCATCCCCCGCCCAGCGTCGATCTCTTCTCAACAGCAACCTCACCAGCCCCGCAGGCCGCTGCGGCACCAGTTGGCTACCCATGCTATGACAACAACGGCTTGAAAGTGACGATCCAGACGCAAAGAAACGCCGAAGGAACTATCCAAGCCATCGCTCGGTTCCGGAACACTTCGCCTGCCGGGGCACTGTCCAACGTCGGCTTGCAAGCGGCTGTGCCGAAGACGCAGAAACTGCAGCTCCTGGCCATCTCGTCGACCGACCTGGGACACGGGGCGGAGGCGACGCAGATGATGAGGGTGGCTGGGTGTAACGGGGTAAGTACAGCTTTTCCGTCATATGCCTGGGCTGTTGAGGGAGTACTGACTTTGTTGCGTGTTGTAGCCTCTACGGTTGCGGTTGAAAATCGGATACTCGCATCCAACCGCGGGACAGGTCATGGATGTGGTGAACTGGACCGAACCGTCCTGAAACGCATGGTGTCTGAACAGGAGAGATCAATTGGGGGACGGTCAGGCCTGAGGATGTCGTGGACCAGATACTACACACGTATAAAGAACAAACGATGGTCTCAATACCGATTTGGACTGGTAATCTTCTCAGCATAGCCCTCGGCTGCGATTCAAACGGAACTGCAACTTTGACAGCTTAAAACCTTGTGCACACCGCTGTGGATCTGTATTCTGACACTCCGTCATGCTGCAAAGGGTAAGGGCACCGTGGGATCGGACTCGTGGGTGTCGAGACGACAGTTGTTCACCACTTGTAGGTTGTAGTGAGTGGTGACCATTCTTGATGTTTGCTAAGAAAAGTGGGTCGCTTCAGGTTGCTTCTCACTCTCAGATTTCTCCCGACTTCATCCATCAAGCATATCCTCTCCACTGCATGTGAACTGGCTCCGTCACAACTCACCAGCAACGCGAACCCATGAACTTGGACAGACAGGTCTGCCGATATTGGAAGTCTTGATCCAACTCCATTTTAGGAGGAACCTTAGCACAGACTCGTGGTGTCACAACGCGAAATCTCTGCCTCTCGAAAAATGTCGTCGACTAAGCGGAAAATGCCACCAGCCAGTCTGTTGCAGCGGAGAGTCAGACCACGATATGAACCGGAACCTGAATCTGATATCGAGGACGATGTGAGCGAGGCGCCTAGTGAGGAGGGTGTTGGTTCTCTCGGGTCGGATGAGGAGGACGAGGACCTCAGTGAGGATGAGTCAAGGAACAGTGGTGATGAGGTACCTACTTGGATTGAGCACGCCATAATTGCACATGTGTCATTCTAACCGATCATCCAGGGAAGGTCCGATGAAGCGTCAGAATCGGGGTCGGGGTCGGATGAGGACGAGGATGAGGATGAGGACGAGGAAACGCCACAAGTCGACGCCTCGCAGCTCTCATTTGGTGCCCTGGCAAAAGCTCAATCTGCTCTGGGTTCTTCATCTAGGCGGCGTCGGGCTGACGCTGCAAACGAGAAGGAGGGCGACGGGTCCATGCAACCCACAAGAGGCGACCGCGGGGCCAAGAAGAAGAAGCCAGAGAAGGAAAAGCGCCCCAGTAAACACGCCCCTGCCGTCGCGAGCAGCAAGTACCCTGTGTCTCGCAAGCGCGACTTCCTCACCGTCACGGCGGTGGAGCTCAAGAAACCGCAGCCGCGAGACCCGCGGTTCATGCCGCTCGGCCCGGGCGCGACCACGTCCAGCAGCACCAGCACCAGCCACAAGATCGACGAGATCAAGGCGCGCAAGGCGTACGCCTTCCTGGACGAGTACCGCGAGTCCGAGATGCGGCAGCTGCGGGAGGCGATCAAGAAGACCAAGAACGCGGCGCAGCGGGAGGAGCTGCAGAAGGCGCTCATGTCGATGGAGAGCCGTAAGAAGGCGCAGGAGCGCAAGGACAAGGAGAGGGCCATCATCGAGGAGCACCGCAGGAAGGAGAAGGAGCTCGTCAAGCAGGGCAAGAAGCCGTTCTATCTGAAGCGGTCGGAGCAGAAGAAGCGGCTGCTGGTGGACCAGTTCCAGCACATGAAGAAGAAGCAGGTCGACAAGGTCATTGAGAGGCGGAGGAAGAAGATTGCCGGGAAGGAGAAGAAACTGCTGCCTCTTGCGCGGAGAGGCGCGGAGGATAGGTAAAGTAGTAGGATAGTTCGGTGCTGGCGGTTGAGAGCAAAAGGATTGAAAATTGCAGGTCATATCTGATAGATCTACATATACTAGCACATCTCAGATTACAACTACCTATCTATAATACAAAACCCCCGCAAAAGGTTTTTATCTTACCCCCCTATTTGCTGATGTACCCCGTCTTACGCAATGCCTCCTCAAACAACTCCCTGCACCGCACTCTACTCCCGAGCCTCGCGCAAAGCAGAAAGGCGCCGCTCAGCTTCCGATGCAGACTGTACGTCTCCTCGGGAGGCGGCGCCAGCCTTTCGTGGATCATGACGGGGATCTGGGCCTTGACGCGCTCCGTGATGGTCTGATCCCGGAAGTCGTACACCTCGGGCGCGCTCCGCAAGAAGGGCTCGGCCAGCGTCAGCACGCTCGTGACGTGCGCGTCCAGCATCGCCCTGCTCTCGTGGCCCGTCAGGTAGCCCAGCTCTTCGCTCAGCGCCTTCACCGCGTCCCGGTCGCAGCGCGAGGCCGCCTCGAGCAGGCGCACGTAGCGCGTGATGAACTCGGGCGGGTACTCGCGCGAGGCGCCGAAATCGAGCAGCTCCAGCCGGTTGGTGGCGGCGTTGTACAGGAAGTTGGTCCAGTTGGGGTCGGTCTGCATGAAGCGGAACTCGGTGATCTCGCGCAGGCAGAGGCGCAGGATCTGCGTGCCGATCCAGTCCCTCTGCGCCTGCGTGAAGGAGGCGATGCGCGTGACCGGCAGGCCGTCCATGAACTCCATGGTCAGCACGTGCTTGCCCGAGGCGGACCGGTAGATGCGTGGCACGGAGAAGATGGCGTCTTCTGGCGAGGAGGCGGAGGCCGAGAGGAGCTCGCGGTAGCGCTCGGCGCACTGCGCTTCGCGCTCGTAGTCACATTCCCAGGCCAGTTCCGTGCGCGCGTTGTCGATGGTCTTGTTGAGGTAGAGGCCCTTGGGCAGCAGCTTGGTGGCCGCGAGCAGGATGGCGAGGTTGTCGAGGTCCGAGTTGATCGAGTCGGCGACGCCGGGGAACTGGATCTTGACGGCGACGCGCGCGCCGTTGGGTTTGAGGGTCGCGCGGTGGACTTGGCCGATGGAGGCGGCCGCGATGGGCTTGTCTTCGAACTCGTCAAAGAGATCGCGCCAGTTGTCGCCCAGGTTGGCGGCAAGAACGCGGTCCCGCTGCCAGCCGGGCATGTAGTCTGCCCGGTCCTGGACTCGCTGGAGGACCTCCTGGATCTGCGCGGGGAGCATTTTGGCGTCCTGGAAGCTCATCATCTGCCCGAGCTTCAAGGCTGCGCCGCGCATCCGCGAGAGCTTTGCGACGAGCCGTTCCATATTCGCGGCGCTGAGCATCACCGAGCCTGAGCCGCCGCCACCGACTGCGCGGCTGAGCCCTTCTCCTATGGCACCGGCGAACATGCCCGCTGCGAGGCCGCCGTAGTTCCAGAGCCGGCCGAGTCTTGACGACGGGACGCGGGACTCGCGGAGTTGGTAGCCAGGGGCACCAGTCGACGTGGGTGCCGAACCCGCCAGCTCAGCGACCATCCCTGTGTCTTCCTGGGACAGCGTTGGCCCGTCGGCGGATTCTGCTTTTGTGACCGTTGGGGCTTCGACTATAGGCTGTGGCGAAGGGGTGCTCTCACGGCTTTCCACCTCAACCACATGCTCCGGTTTTGTTTCCCTTTTCCGAACAGCATCTTCAGGCACTGGCGATGGTGGCTGTCGTGTTTCTGAGATCACAGAGGCTGCTGACACCTCGGCCGTCTCCCTTTTGTCCTGAGGGAGCCGGATCTCCTCAACCGTGTTCTCTAGAACTGTTGGTCTCTCCTCCCTCGCCGGAGCAGCAGACGATTGCTGCTCTTGCGCCTGCCCTTTCTCCTCGACCTCGCTCAGCGCTTCCAGAATTTTCGACCCGGCCCTCGTCCGGAACAGACTGGGATCAACACCCGGCACGCCCACCGGCGGTTTCCTCGTAGATAATGGCGGGGGCTGCCTTGGGGGGACAAATCTCTGCTTCAGGGCAGCAATCGCACCATTTGCCCACGGAGCGGGCACAAACCCGGATTTCCCTCCCTCAGTCTGCTGCGGCTCCTGCACCGGCGGGTGCACTGCCGACTTAGCTCCCTCCCCTCCTTCCTGGGCATCCACCTGATCTTCGGCTCTCCCAGCCGGAACTTTTGCCTCCCCAGCTGGCCTCACAACCGACGGCTCACGCTCTCGCTGTAACCGCTCTCCTCGTTGGCCCTGAATAGCATCATCCCTCCCATGTTCCGCTTGCGCTTGCGCTTCCGCCTCCCCCCTACATTCGTCTTCCGCTTGTTGATGCTGGTTATCGTCTGCCGCCCTCCCTTGCCCCTGCCCTGGCGCCTTGCCTCTTCCAACAGCCCCAACGACGCTCGATGCCCTGCTGTAGCGCTCCGCCTGCCTTGCTCTCAGAGCGACATGCTTGGCCGCCACGGAGCGCGACGCACCCGCGACGGCGGCGAGGTCGACCAGCAGATCGGCGAGCCGCATGCCCCCGCACTTTTACCTCCCCTGACAGAGTTGGCCGGTCAAAGGAAGGGAAAAAGAATCAAAATCGGACTGGAGATGGGTGTAGTGGGTGGCTACCTCGGTTCCTCTGCGGTGGCCACTCCCATCTCAAGTTGCGGGTAATACAAGGTAGGTAGTAGGTAAAAGCTACGGAATTCTAATATGTAAACTGGAATCCGGGTCGGGTGGATGTTGCTGACCGGAACCTGGAACCGAGGAGCCGCAAATTTTTGGGTGCCATCGCCCCTGTCCAACGGCTGGCCGACAGGGGCCCTTGTTAGCGTCACGGGAGCGTCCCGAGCTGCTGGGACGGGACACGGCTGATCGGCGTGGGGTTTTATTTCGTTGACGGCGCTTGCCCAAGCGAGTTCTTGCAGTTTCACAGTAACCCTGGGCAGAGGATAAAAATGCCGGCATATCTGACGGGAGAGTACACATTTGCAGGAATCGAGCAAGTAGCACCACTTCTATGTTAATCTTGAAATTTATTTGATCGAACCCCGGGTATCAGCAAGGATTCCTAAACCAGACGCCTCATCTATTCTAACACAAAAGCCACGCTCTACTTTGCCATGTTCCTCAATCCTGAGCCGTTTGGCCGCGGTGTAGCCTTCGGCGTGAAATTCACCGAAGCACTGAATGGCGAATCCGCTTGGCTCCTCTCACTGCCACCAATCATCCCCCATAGCCTTTGCCCAGCAGGCGTCAACCCACCAGCCGACACTCTCGGACTGCTCGGAAACTTCGGTACCGGCGTGCGCTCCACCTTGCCTGTGACACCCAACCTCGCTGATGTTCGCTTCGCTTGCGAGATCCTTTCCACCATGCGATGATGTAGTGCTTCCCTCTTCCTCTGCTCCGGGATCTGAAACGGATTTGGTGTGGCGTCTCCGGGGCCAAGATCAATAAACAACGGCCTTTCCCTCCTGGGCCGTACCGGCTCTGGCTCTGGCTCCTCATCATCAACAAACGCATAACCGTTCACCCTAGGCGTCACCCCACCCCCACCCGTAACGCTCGATTCCGCGTCACAGTCCCTCCGGTTGCCAGCAATAGCCAGTCGGATCTCGGATGGCGATGGAGATCCTGGCCGTGATATTTTCTCGGTGGCTGTTTTCTGCACAGGCTGCGGCACACGTGTGTTCTCATACACAATCCGCTTCGGTGCTGCCGCACTCTTCGCCTGCGCCCGCTCCGCGACAGTCTCCAGCTTCCCATCGATGCCGTCCGGGACAAACATCAGCTCGTTGTGCGGCTTCGTGCCCTTCCAGAGTTCGGGCGCCGCAGGCCGGTCTGCGGTATCTTTATCTCGTATGGCTAGTCTGTCTCGGGCGAAGCCATCGTCTGATAGCGCCCCAGTGCCGCGCTGGGCAATGAGCTTGGCTTCGACTTCTTTCTGCTTAAGCTGCTGTTTCGAAGGCAGCTTGTTACCGGTCCACAGCCACGCGTATTTCTCGACGCGCTTCTGATTTTGCTTGTCGAGTAGCTTGTAAAAGGATTCGTTGTCTTCCGAGGTGTATCTGGATTGGAAGGCGGCGAGTGTGAGGCTGGTATCCACCGAGGACTGCTTGCCGGGGGCAGCTGTGGTATTCGACTCGGGGGTGGCGACTGATGCCGGCGTGTCACCGACAAAATTGCGGGGTGTCCTGCCTGCGATGGCAGGCGTGGCGAGTGTTCGGCGTCGACCAGGGGTCATGACTTGGCCGAGACGGCGGCTGGCACTTTCGATCCATTCTTCGTCCTTGGATTCTAGCGCGTCGAGATACTCTTGCTGTGTCTCGCTTTCGAGCAGTCCGGGGAAGAAATCGCGGGCGATGATGTGTGAAAGCGCTTCGGTGTAGGTATCTTCGTCAAGTACGCGCTTCGGCCGTTGGATTCGTTTTGCCGCCGGCGGCGGCATCAATTCCGCCTCTGTCCGCTTGCGCACAAGCGCTGTTGAGTGTGCTCCCGTTGAAGCCATGAGAATGTCGAAAACGTTGAGTGGCTTGGAGATCTCTTTCTGCTCGTCCCTCGGATTAAAATCCAGCGATGCTTTATGGTAGTCGGATCGTGTGATTGGAGTTGGTCGATTTCAACGGGGCCAATGACGAGTAAGTGGGGCTGAGCTTGAATGTTAACGGAAGTTCCTGATGTTCGAAGATGGTTGGAGGTTAGGTAGGAAGGATTTGGAGATGGGCCCTTCGCTTTATATATGATTGAACGTGAGCGCAATGCCATGCCAACAAACAAAAGGCAATGTGTTCATCACGTGTGCCTTCGTAGATGCGTGCGTCGTCCCCCTCTAAGCATGCATGTACTTCGTACGCTCTGACGCATGACCATGTGATTCGTTCATCGATTTTAAGTGCTTACGAACCAAAAGTACACAAACAGCGAACCGGACTACGTACAAACTCACAACAGTAAATGCTTCGTGGAGCGTTTACGCGGTGTTTGATAGGTCGGATCATGCCTGGCCTGGTCACACGGGCTCTTTCGTTGACAGTTAGGCTCGTGACATGTCAACAACTGTTCTAAGGCCGGCCGTGGGCGGCAGGAGTGGAAGTGCTGGAGCTAGCCCCCACTCCAATAAGGCTCACAGTATCTAAGCCTCAACATCATACTGTGTGCACATCACATATCTGTACACCCTTTCTTTACCTGAGTGGATAGTTGCATCCTTTGGAATGTGCTCAAATGGCGGCGATAAACAACCCTCATTGTCTTTAAAACGACCATATTCCTTACTTGCCACCTAAGATCCCTGGTACCTAGGGACCTAGGGGATGCTAGCCCATAGGTTAAGTCAATGTGTGTACATTATTAAACAGTACTAATGGACGGTACCCAACAGCGCTCATTTATACTCTATGCACAACCCCACCCGACCTCACTTAATCCGTACCTATTACCCCACTAGCACTTGCATGGTCAAGATGAGCTGGCTCGGGGCTACCTAAGGTAGCACGTATCTCATCTTTGAGTCTTGACTGTTTGTCCCCCATCAAGCGTGACCTCGTAGCCACGGACGCAAAGGCTCTGTAACAGCATTGCTCAGTGTGGAAGTGGTCTGTTCGGAGAGCTCAGTGCAAGGACAAGTTGATCCACAGCAAGGCTAGCGTGTCGTCAGTGTACACATTAGTACGTACCTACAGGTACTTGTCCGGTCTGCTTCCCCGCCCCCATTCTGCCCTACCACTCTACGCTGCTGCACAATCCGAGGGAGGTGGCCGGTGCAGGCTGGGCGACCAAATCCCTCCAGCCTTTCAACTACCTTGACCGTTCATTGTTGTGTCTGGGTTGGAGTCACGCATAACACAAACCCGGTCGCGCCAGTGTCGGATCAAAGCTCTGCCGGCCATCCATCTGAGCTTTGCACTCTGAGGTCATTGATCTCTGAGGGTGCAGCCCTAATAGTTAAAGCCTGACGGCTCTCTGGGTTTGATACATCACTGATCGATCGATCGATATCATCATCCAAGTGATCTTCGAGTACCTAAGTCCTTATCGCACTCATCACATCCCACACCTCCTCCTCCAGCACACTCGCCGCCACTGTGTTTGCTTGGGTTGTCTCGCTCTATCACCCGCTCCCAGATCGGTCTGCTGTCGACCTATTGGACCGCACTGTCCAGGCAGCTACTACACATAGCGTGCAGCCTTTCCATATCCCTCCCTCATCACACTCATGTCTCATTCCAAGCGGCAAGCCGTACCGCGACCACCACTCTTCTCGATCATCTTCGGTCTTTGGATCTTCCCCACACTGTGGTTGTGCTGTTTCATCGTTATCGCATCCAGCATCATCCAGAGCGCCATGGGCCAACGGCGAATGCGAAGCGGGAGCGGTGTCACGGTCAAACGAGAGCAGACCAATCCACCGCAAACCCAGTATTCCGATGACGTCGGAAAGGAATGCCCCATATGCCATGAGTGCGTCGGTTCACGCAGTCCCGAGGGCATACGAGAAACCTGGAGCATGCTACCGTGCGGTCATCACTTTGGGAGTCATTGCATCAAGCGGTATCTCGGCATCTCGGCCGATGATGAGCCGCTATGCCCCTTGTGCCGCGATAGAGCCTATCACGAGGCGTGCGGCCATCCCGTTCTGCCCTTCATGCTCACATCCGACGGCACACATCCGGACCTCGTCATCGATGACGTCTCTGGAAAGGTCCGTCCTCGGAACGGGGAGGACTTCCTAGAATTGGCCTGCGATTACTGTCAGGATACAGAGGAACAGTGGAGGCGACTAGCCGAGGCTGGGTTGCACCCTAGATGGAAGAGACAGGTGCGCTGGCTGTGGGGACGCCTGCCCTTCACTCGAGAGCGGGCTGCCGAACCCTCCGCGTCTGTTGCCGACCAAAACCGACACTCTACTGATCGCAGTCGTCGTGAGAGGATTCGAAACCAGCAGAATGGAGGGCCCTGGGAGGGCCCGTGGATGGACGTCCGGTCTCGGGATCCTGACTGGGAGGAGTGGTGGAAGAAGCAGGCGCCCTACGGGGTATAAGGAGTTCCCGCAACGACGCTTCGTTCTTCAGCCGGGATCTGGTCGCGGTTACTGGAAGGAGTTTTGGCATTTGTAAGACTCTGGAAGGAGGCAGGAGCACGGAGGAACTGCAGTACAGTGGATTGTATGTAGTAGTAAAGTTCAGTTCAAGGCTCATTAAATGGATACTACTACTACCTAGGTACTGTATTAAGTTACTAGTGCTGCGGCACCCGACCCGCTCGTGGAGTCGTGGTGCCCGGTTATTAGGAAATGGATGGAATACATGGTAATTAAGACGCTTTGAAGAGGTAGCTTCATAAGCCAGACAATCAATTGAACGCAAAACTGGAACCCTTCATGCTATACAAATACTGAAATTGACCAAATTCCATCATTCGTTTTAGATTCGAGTTACGGTGGTTATAGCGAATGATATACAGATCCTGGTCCTGAGATCAGCCGCTAACCCGCTCCTTCCGGGGTGGAGTGCAACGTGAGCCAACCTAACTCGAACCTCAACCTGACATGGCACTTTCCCAAACACTGATGAATGCAAAATGCGCTTCAAGACAGATCTCAAGAATGTCAGGACTTTCTCAAGTGAGCTATGTGACTGTACTTGCACCTGACTCCTGTCTAACACCTCGGCTTCCCTTTCCCAGAGCTTACCGCAGCGCTCAACTCGCTTGAGAAAATCGCGTGGGTGCGTCTTGACGATGACACGGTCCGGTTTACCGTAATCCCGGATACCGGGTCCCAAGTATGGGCGTACGTCTCCCATCGCTCAATGGATCGGTCTAGTCCACATGCTGAGGATAGCCAGCTCTCTCTCGGTTGACCTGATTTTCGACAATTACCACATCCAATCTGCAGAAGCGAACAACACCATCAACCTCGAACTCCCCCTGGCGCCCCTGCAGCGCGCTCTCAAATCCGCCGTCGGCAGCAGCTATGCCAACCTGCGCCTGACTAAGCGCGATGGCATCCCCATGCTGTCCATGACCATCCACACCATGACCAAAGACGGCGCCCAAGACGCCCGCGGGTTCGGCGCTCCCGGTGGAGGACGACACCACCCGCACTCCGCCCATCCCGACCCCGACGATACCTTCGCCGACCCGGACGTCTTCCAGCAGGAATCTCTCGAGCTCACCATGAAGCGCGAGCGCGAGAAGATCATCACGCAGGACATCCCCGTGCGCGTGCTGCACCCGGAGACGGTCGAGACCATCATGCAGCCCAAGGTGCGCGAGCCGGACGTGCACATCCAGCTGCCGCCTCTCCTCCAGCTCAAAGCCATCTCAGACCGCTTCACCAAGCTGGCCCTCACCACGACCGGCACCACGACCGGCACCGGCGGCACCTCCCGGAGCGGCGCCGGCGCCCAGAACCCGAAACTCACGCTGTCGGCCAACATGCACGGCTCCCTGCGGCTGCGGCTGACTACCGAGACGCTAGACATCACGTCGGTGTGGAACGGGCTCGAGAACCCGGAGCTGGACCCGTCGCAGCTCGCGATGCCGCTCGAGGAGCACCCGAGCACCAAGTTCAAAGAGGCCGGTCCCGACAAGTGGGCGACGGTGCGGGTGGACGGGAAGGACTGGAGCCGGGTGCTGAGCGTGGGCCGGCTGGAGGGGAGGGTCATCGCGTGTTTCGCCGACGACCACGCGCTGATCCTGTATGTCTACGTGCCGCATGTGGATGATGTCGGGGCGGAGGATGTGGTCACGTATTATGTTTCCAGCTATAGCGCTTGAGCAAATTGTTGTGGCGGAGGGGATGATGCGGTTGCTTGGTTTGTTTGGCTGGCTTGGGGGCTGCTACTGGATTCTTGGGAAGGTAGGGTTCTGATGTCAGAGAGGGATGATTGCTACCTATCTTACGCGGAAGTTTCGGGCGTTTGGACGGCTAGAATGGGGGGCTTTCATGCAGTACACGGCGTCAGAAGGTATTGGCTTGTGCAGAGTAAGGATGCCATGTCGGTAGCGGACAGATGAGCATATTCGTCATTGCTACTACTAGGGTGAATCAGGTCCCTGTCAGGCGTGAGGTTCTTCGCTCTGGTGTACGTGCCTTAGCATGTATCTCCGTTCTTAGATTTCTTGGAACTGTCGCCAGTGGGTAGGTATCTATCCTTCTCAACGACAGGGCATAACCGAGACGTTGCACCTCTACGTCTACAGCTGGCGACCTTGACGAGAGAATTCCACAACGCCTGGCACCTTTAGTCGTCTATATCTTTCCATTAGTATCGTAGGTCGTAGTGTACGCTAATTATACAGAGCTCATCCTCATCTCTCAATAACCAATGAACCACACAACCCAGCCAAAGTCCACGGCCTCTTCCAAAACAGCGAGCGACCTGAGCATGTGACGTAGTACACAAAGTATCATAAATTATAATAATACACCCCATTGTATCTCCTCCCCTCCGTTTCGCTTGGCATCTCTCCACGCCCCGCCAGGTCCGTCCAGCTCATCACTTCCCCATGACATCCACATATCTCGCCCCTTTCCTCGGCTTCTTCGCCGCCCCCGGCTTCCTCGGTCCGGCCGCACCCAGCAAATCGTCAATGCTGTTCGAGTTGCTCAGGCTGGTCGGCGGCCGGCTGCCCGCACCCAGCGGCGGGGCACTAGCCGTGCTGGTATTGGACGCCGACCGCAGCATGGAAACCGGCCCCGGCGGTGGCGGCAGCCGCGGACTACCGCCAGAAGCAGGGAGGTTACTCTCGGATGCTGACGTTGGCGGACGGGAGATGCTCGCGCTCGCGGCGCGGGGTGGGCCTGTCGGCGGGGCGCTGGCGCGTCCCGTGTCTGGACCGGAGCTTGAACCCGGAGGAGTGGCCGGGTTGGCGCTGACGGAGCGCGGGGTTGTCGATCTCGGCGGGGGAGGCGTGGCCTTTTTGGCAGTGTCTTCCGGGCCGGCGTTCTTGTTGACCCAACGCTTGAGCTCAGGGTCGTAGTAGAAGGAGTTGGGCTCGCCCAGTTTGGCGCGGATGGGTTTGTTGGGGGAGGCCTCTTGCGGGGATGCCTCCTTCTTTGCGCCGCCGCCGAACCAGGAGGTGAAGCCCCAGCCTTTCTTGGCCTGCTTCGCTGCTTCGGCGCGTTTGGCTGTATCTTATTAGAGTCTGTTGTATCGCTGAGCTCGCGGAGCACTTACCATCTTCCTCAGCAGCCTTGCGGAACAATTCAGCATTTTCCCGATCCTTCTCCTCCTTGGTCTTCTCGGCGGGTTTTGGTGCCGGGAAGTCGTCGTCGTCGTCGTACATGATACCCTTCTTCTTGGGTTTCGGCTTCATCTCCTCGGCAGAAACATCGTCCTCTTTGGATGCCTCGGGACCGGGTTCGTAGGAGGGCGGTTCAAACCCATACGGCTGATACGAGGGAGGCTCATAGGAGCTGCCACCGGCAACCTCATCCGAGGCGGCGTTCTTCTCGGCAGGGGCTTCGTAGGGGTTGAAGGAAGGCGGCTCATACCCGTATGATGGCGGTTGGTAGCCGGACGTTGTAGGAGCTTCACTGGATGCATCGGATCCTTGATCACGAGACACTCCGTTCACAGAAGCGCCTGGATAACCACCAGCCTGTGGAGGAGCGCTCGTGGGCGCTGGAGGGCGTTGCACCTGAGAAACCGGATTGTAGGGGGAGTCCTGGGGTGCGTTGTGTCCGGCACCGTAAGGGGAATACGGCGCAGCCGAAGAGCCGCTGGCCGCTGGGCTGTAGGGGCCTGACTGTTCCAAAGAGCGCCTGGACAACTCGAAGGATCCTCGGTTGAGCTCGCTCGACGTCCGCTCCATCGATGACCGAGGAGCATACGCCGAGGTGGAAGGTCTGCTGCCAGAGCCGGCTGATTGAGGGGCCCCCGGCGCATACCGAGACGCAGCCCGAGTCGGGGGCGCCGAGGCCGACACGGGACCATTGGGTATTGGCGTAGGCATGCCGTAACTGGGCGCGGCGGGACCAAATGTCTCCAGATTGCTGACTGAAGGCGACCGGCTGATAGTCGGCGTACCTCCAGCGATGCGCGCGAACGGCCCGGATTCTCCCTCTGCTGACGGACCTTGGGCGGAGCCGTCGTCCTCGCCGGAGACGAACTTGTTGAATTTGCTCCACATGGTGTCCGAGACTTTGTTCATGCTCGGCTTGGGTATCCAAGAGCCGGACTCCTCCTTTGGTGCCTGCTTGAGGCGTCTCATGAGGTCCTCCACAGCATTTTCGAGGATGGGATGATGATATGGAGACCTCTTGGTCTGGGACGTGATCGCGGTGGCAATCGCGTCACAGTACTGCAAAGCTTTATCCCTGAATCCGTACTCAGCCAAGGCAAGCGCATGTTGGAACTTGTAGGCAGCCAGATGCGGGTTCGTGATCGGCACGCTGGAGCCTCCAGCGAGGCTTTGGCCAAACTCATACACTTCGCTCAGCAGGAGCGGTTCGATCTCCTTGGCGAACTGCTCAGCCTGCTTCTTGTGGTCAGACCCGACAAGGACGAAATGGGAGTTCGGATCGTCGAGTCCGCCAAAAACGGTATGGCTGCGCGCGAACATGAAGCAGATGTGTGCCGCCTCTGCTCTTCCATAGCCGGAAAGTAACACACCAAGTGAGTGCATCCCCCGGACATCATCAGGGCTCCGGTTGCTGAGAATGAGGCTTAGGGTCTCCTGCCACTTGTCAAGGCCTTCCATGGCGTCCTTCGAAGGACCGGATGCGGCGTTGGTGGTGGCCATGAGTTGAAGGCCGGCGCGAGCATGAACCGGAACAAGCTCATCCACGCTTTCCTCGTGGTTTCCAGCGAGAATTTCGTATAGCGCAGCAAGCGACTCGTTGTTGTGGCCTGGATGATTGACCTCCTTCTTCACAAATTCTTGCGCGACCTGCTTGTACAGATTGGGAGCCAGAGCGTTGGAAAGGAGAAGAGCATGTCCCCACAGCCGCTGATCAACCGCAGCCCAGACAGCCTTCTCGCAGTCACCAGCAAGAAGATGTCGGCGGATTTGCTCGACTGTTGAAAAGCTAACCCCATCGGATTGCATGCCGGTTGTCGGGCTATCACCGAGCCCAAAGGCGCCGCCGCCATTCACATATGGCGCTGCGCTTTCTGATGCCTCAGAGCCCGGGGAGAGGAGATCCCGGACGGCCTTCTCGACAGCGGAGTTTCCTTCCAGTACGCCATCATGTTCAACGAAGATGCGAAGGATCTTCCACAAAAGCACTCGCTCAGCTGCCCGCTTGTCCTCGTGCGATAAGTGGGTGTGCAGAGAAGGGCTGGAACGTAGAGCACGCTCCAGGCTCTCAATACCGGTCGTCAACCACGCAATGGTCTCCTTCTTCTTCGATTTCCCCTTCAACGGGCCCGGAAACTTGGAGAGCCGTTCCTCCAACGGCGTGATATCTTTAATGTTCTGAATCTTGACTGCTCCTGGACTGCGGACCACAGCAGGGATGCTCTGATTCATGCCGTACCGGGGAACTTCCTTGGGAAACATCGTGACGAAGGTCCCGCCGACACCCCAGGAGATGAGAGGCGCTCCTCGCCAGCGCTGAAGCGCGTCATTTTCCCGTCCATCTGTCGGAGGAATCACGTTGAGATTCAGGGAGGCACCCCTGGGACGGCCATAGGTGGAGGTTGGTGCGACGGCGGCAGGGACGGGCTGGACCGCAGGGGCAGGATACCCCGTCGTCCGTGGAGAAGTGTGGTCGTTCACTGAAGATGGACGAGGAACCGGCTCGGCCGCCTTCCCGCCGCGGTTGCCGTACAGTGCGCCAGGGGATTGCGTCTGAGAGCGAGGGGGTGGTGCGAAGTCATATGGCGGTGCGAGAGGACTGTGGCTGGACATAGCGCGCTTGGGAGGAGATAGCAGCGCCTGCCCGGAGGAAGCTGAAGGCGGCGGTGTCTGCCTCGCCTGCGGCGGCGGTGCGTATCGTGAAACGGGCGGCGAGGATGGTTGTGGCGCATGTCCCGGGGATGCCTGCGTCTGAGCGGGGGCTTCCTCCTCGTCGACCTCCCTAGTCGGGGGCAGGGAGGGGACCCTCTGCAGACGCGACTCGTGCAGGGAACTGCTGCCCCTCCGCTCTCCCAGACCAGCCTCGGCATGGTTGACCATTGCATGGGGCCTCGACCTCTCGTGGGAGATCTCAAAGTGTGCCAATGGGCTGGAGGTACGCGGCTGATGAGGGAGTACCGGAGGCCCTGGGGTTGTGGGAGCTGGTCCATACCCGCCGGTGGATGGCCGTGCCGCTGGCGGGGCAGGAGAATACCGGCTCGAGGCAGGCGCGGGAACGGGTCCGTTGGCCGGGGATCCGCCAGGCGGGACAGGCGAATAACGCGATGCGGCTGCGGCAGGGGCGGCAGGCGTGAGCCCTGATGCCGCGTTCAACGAAGCGTAAGGATTGACACGGGGTGGGGCAACGAGCGCGGGAATGCCCGTCTCAGAGTTGCTAGGGCCGCCAGGTGGAGGAGCAATCGGGTGAGAGGCCACAGAGGGCGGAGCAGACTGGGATGGAAGACCATACGGACTGAGCTGCGGCGACGCGCTCCTTTGGCTGTGCCGTGATGCTGGCCTCGGCTTTGTAGCAATGGGAAGTTCCTCGAAAAATCTTTCGTGCGCTGGTGTGTGTCCACTAGGCGGCCCTTGGGAAGAGTGACTGGACCCCGGGCGTGACATGCCAGGCGCTGGTACACTGCTGGGAGGGGGCGGCGGCTGCCGAGTTTGAACACTTGCACTCCTAGGAGGTGGCGGTATGGCGGCAGGTGAGTTGGGACCCGATGCAGTACTCTGAAGCGGCTGAGCACTCGTCCGCCTCTTGGGCACTTTGACCACTTCCATGGGAAGATCATACGGAGAGGTGTATCCGCCCTTGGACTTGTCCACGAAGCTTTGCGCCTTGCTCTTCTCATGTGGCAGAGGCGGCGGGGCGCCATATCCGTATCGCGCAGGCGCCGGTGGGGCGGTTGCCGGCACGGCGTAAGGGGTAGCAACAGGAGGTTGAGCCGCCGACGCTGGTGCTGCCGGGAGATAGGGATTTGCGGGTGCCGCTGGAAGATAAGGGTTTGCGGGAGTCACCGGCGATGCGGTTGGCAGATATGGGTTGGTCGCCGGCGTATAGTGGGAGGGCGGATATTGTCCATTGGCTGTCTGAGTGCTAGGAGCAGGAGCCTGAGCATGTCCAGGGATAGCCAGGGGTTCGCTTGGCTCGGGCTGTTCGGCTTCCGAGTCTTCCAACAGACCCTCGTCGTCGCTGCCTAGAAACGCAGATGGATCCAGCTCTTTCGCCTCAGTGCCCTCGTCTGGGAGGAAGTCCTCGTCCTCATCATCGGCGAACATCTCCTTCCATTTCGCGTCCAGGTTCGCCCCATCCTCTGCCGTTGGTTGACCCTGTGCGCTCTCCGCGCCCTCGACCTTTGAGTCTTGGGCTCCTTGCGGCTGGGGCGTCACCTCTTCATCTTCCGATTCCTCAGCAGTTTCAGCCAAGGGAGTGAAGCCGGCACCGGAGGGATTCATATCCATCGAGTTCAACACATCCATGGTAGACTTCCGTTCCACTGGGTTAGGTTGAAACTCGTCTGACTGAGGCGTATCCTCCGTACGGACGTTGCTGAAGAAATCATCCTCGTCTCCAGCTGCATCCTCTGTAAAGAGATCATGCCCTTTTCCTGTTGAACCCTGCTGCGCACTATCCTGCTGGGCCGACGAGACAAGTGGCACACCTTCCTCAAAACGATCGTCTGGCGACTCCTCAGCGGGCCCGGCGAAACTGGGGCCTAGAGAGTCCTGCGAGGCAGTACCGATTTCGTTCTCTTGTGAGACGGTGTCAGCCTGCAAGGGCCCGGTAGTGGCATCGGGAAGTGGTTCGTCCCGCCTGTCTTCCTGCTCGATCTCATGGACCAACTCCTCGGCTTGGTCGAACGCAATGGGCTGCTCCAGAGCATGCGGCGTCTCGCTCTCCGTCACGTTGACCAGTGGCGAGACAGGTGGGAAGGAGTTGGTCCGGTGGCTTTCGGGCATGAATTTGAAGGGATCTGTGGTGGTCCGGGGAAGCGTGAACTCGACCTCGTCGTCGTCATTCCAATTCACTTCATGTGGCACTGTCCGCGTGAATGACATTGTGCTGAAGTGCTTGGATGCCGTGGTCGACTCCTCCGGTGAGTCTCCTTCGGCGGATTCGGCCGGAGCTGGCTGCTCGTCCGCCTCGGTGGGCGCGGCCGACGCATTCGTGTCTGCCATCCAATCGCCTCCATCGTCTTGATCTGGAATCCAGGCGCCCACTTGCTCACCGGCTGCGTCTGGGGGTACCGTGTCCTCTACAACACTACCCACTTGCGTGGTGCTGGCTTCGGTATGTTCCGAGTGGCCCAAAGCAAGTTCGGCGGTCGAGTTTGGCATCATCGCAGGATGCCATGATGAATTCGGCACATCGGACATCATGCTGCGTTTATTATGCGTGGCCCAAGGATTCGGAGCAGATGCGCCGCTGCGCTGCGCGAAAGAAGAAGAAGAATGCTAAACAAGAACGATCAGAAATTAGCAGTTGATTCTCGATCCCGCCAGGGGCCGAAGGCCAGGACACGACGGCAAGGGAGCGCGTCGTTTAACCTAGGCCCCTTGTCGCGGTTCCTAACATGGGAAGGGTGGAGATTTTGCGAACTTGTATTGTACATACACAGAACTCAAACAAAAAACGTCTAGCAGCGAGGCATCTTCAATTGGGCTGGTGAATGCAGTCCTGGGCAAGGGGCAGCTGACGCAAATCGCAAAGTTGCAAGTTGGCAACTTTGAGATGTGATGACGGACTCCTGGATCGGCCAAGACGGGAAGTCTGGAGCGGCGCTGCCCATGGCACAGCCAAAAGGCGAACGGGCTTGCTGGCCTCATCAGTGACCTGCATGGCGGGCTGCAGGTCTGGAGCGTTACACTAACAGCGTTGCCGTTCCTTGCTGGCGGATTTGTTAGTGCAAGATATCGCAGCCAGGGGCTCCTGCGCACCACACTGGGCAGTCAAATGCCGGGACTGGCTAGGTTCACTAACAGATAAGAGATCTACATCTATCTTATCTGATAGTAAGCTCGCATGTCGGAGACAAAGGCCCCTGTCAACGTAACCTCACACCAGGTGTACGTAACGACCAGGCTTTGGCAACTGCGACGACGACCTCAACGCTAGCAACCCGACCTCACCATGTCATGGTGTCTTGACAATACTTGAACATAAATGTCGTTTTGTTTTGTCAGCAGCTCGCATTCCCGAAAAACTCTCATGCGCTCACCGTGATCCCTCGCACCTTCGAGAGCGGGCAACGACTCCCGGGGAAGGACGGCGAAGTGTTACAAGCATTATTATTGACTGAGCCCAGTATAAGAAGGCGCATTTGGTAAACAAGGGTGACTCGTCCGCCGAATAGCTCCCCCCTGCGCCCGCCGCCGCGTCTTTCGAGGGTTCCGGTCAATGCGGGATGCCTCCCTCAACGTCACATCCGCCAGCCAAGCCGCCAGACTCGCCGGTCGACGACTCGGACTCGGACCTCGAGATCGACCTCGAAGAGCTTGACCCGCAGCCCGTTCCCGAGGGCGACCGATCCAAGACGAAGAGCCTACTAGGGAAGACCCGCGACCCGGCCGAACAACAGCCCCCTCGGATCGCCCTGCGCACGCTCCGCATGGGTGGTCTACGCCGCGGCGCCAAACGCAATGGATATGGCGAGTTAGGGCGCAGCCACGCGGGGGCGATGAGGATACTGATTCCCTGCTCAGAGACGGAGACGGAGGTAATACTCGCTATTCAGATGCTAGCGCCGCGGGCGGAGACGAGGCACCGTTGCTCAGCGACCACAGCCGGAGCTCCAGCAAACGGCGGCCGTCATTCGCCAGTGACAGCTTCCGTAGGGTCGGCCTCAGGCTTCCCAGTTTCATGTCGGGAGGTGCTGTGGACCGGCGCGGCCATGAGGAGGAGTTCGGGAAGGAGGACGATCCCTCGTCGTCGAGATTAGTCGCTGTCGGCTCGTCTCAGTCGACCCGCTTCCCGCCCAACATCATCTCCAATGCCAAGTACACCGCCTGGAGCTTTTTGCCCGTCACGCTTTACAATGAGTTCTCCTTCTTTTTCAACATGTACTTCCTCCTGGTAGCGCTCTCGCAGGTGATTCCAGCACTGCGAATCGGATACCTTTCAACCTACGTTGCCCCGCTGGCGTTTGTGCTGGTCATTACGCTAGGGAAGGAGGCTTATGATGACATCGAAAGGCGGAGGAGGGACAACGAGGCCAACTCGGAAGAGTACGCGGTGCTGCAATTTGATGAGCCCGGGAAAGAGGCGAGGGGCGGACGGCCAAAGAAGACCATGAGATCCAACCACGCAAGGAGAGAGTCGCTGCGTTATATCCCGGAAAGGGACAGATTATCGGATATCCAAGAAGAGGAGGAGCAGACGGAGGCGGACGGGCAGAGGCAGCGCCCGTCGTGGATTGTGTCGGAAGTCAGCAAGAAGTCGCGGGACCTCAAGGTCGGCGATGTTCTCAAGCTCAGCAAGGGTCACCGTGTGCCTGCCGATGTCATCATTCTGAAGTGCTTGTCGAACGATCCAGCTGCCCAAAGAAGCGAGCATGAGGGCCCGTCCCAAGAAGAGTCATTATTGCTGGACCATGCGGCGGATGCTGGGGAGAGCAGCTCGACGCTGCGGCCTCCTGTTGAGGACGGAGCTGCTGAAGGGGGCTCGAACGGAGAGACATTCATCAGGACGGACCAGCTCGACGGCGAGACGGATTGGAAGCTACGGTTGGCTTCTCCCTTGTCACAGAAGCTGCCGACGGAGGACTTGGCCCGCCTTCGGGTGACCGGAGGGAAGCCAGACAAGAAAGTCAACGAATTCGTCGGCACCCTGGAGCTCTTATCCTCACGGCGGGATGCCATGAGCACTACCGCCTTCTCTCAAGATGACGGTGTCTCCAAGGCGGCACCCCTCTCCATCGACAACACAGCATGGGCGAATACTGTCATCGCTTCTCACGCCACAACCCTGGCAGTTATTGTGTACACCGGGCCACAGACTCGCTCTGCCCTATCCACATCGCCTTCTCGTTCCAAGACGGGCCTCCTGGAATACGAGATTAACTCCCTCACCAAGATTCTCTGCTTCCTTACTCTCGCGCTCTCCATTATTTTGGTCGCCTTAGAGGGGTTCAGTAACACGAAAGGCAACATTTGGTACGTCAAGATCATGAGGTTCCTCGTCCTGTTCTCGACCATTGTACCCATCAGTCTGAGAGTCAACCTCGACATGGGAAAGAGCGTCTACTCTTGGTTTATCCAGAGAGACCCGGGAATCCCCGGTGCTGTTGTGCGGACCAGCACGATTCCCGAGGACCTCGGGCGTATCGAGTACCTGCTCAGCGACAAGACGGGGACGTTGACTCAAAATGAGATGGAGATGAAGAAGATCCATGTTGGCACCGTATCGTATGCCAACGATGCTATGGACGAAGTCTCAGCCTACGTGAGGCAAGGCTTCCATCTGCCTCCGTCTGCGGACAATCAGGCGCTCGCGACTCCGTCGACATCCGTCTCATCCGCCGCGAATGTCGGGGCTACCAGAACACGACGCGAGATCGGCTCTCGTGTGCGCGACGTCGTTCTTGCCCTCGCACTCTGCCATAATGTAACGCCAACCACGGAAGAGAACGAGGACGGCCGGATGGTGAACTCGTACCAGGCGAGCTCTCCGGACGAGATTGCCATCGTCCGGTGGACCGAGTCGGTCGGCCTGCGTTTAGCGTATCGTGACCGCAAAAGCATCGTGGTCGAGTCCACCGAGACGGGCCGGACGGTGGTCAAAGTTCGCATACTCGACATCTTCCCTTTCACCTCGGAGGGCAAGCGGATGGGCATCATTGTGCAGTTCTATGAGAGGCTGCAGCCCGGCATCCCCGACATAGGCTCGGGCGAGATCTGGTTCTACCAGAAAGGCGCTGACACCGTCATGGGCTCTATCGTTGCAGCAAATGACTGGCTAGACGAGGAGACGGCAAACATGGCGCGTGAAGGCCTTCGGACGCTGGTGGTGGGCAGAAAGCGTCTTTCGGCGGCCGAGTACCAAGAGTTTTCCATCAGATATCAGGAGGCGTCCTTAGCCATCAGCGGCCGCGAGTCCGGGATGCAGGCGATCGTGTCCCGCTACCTCGAACATGACTTGGAGTTGCTTGGCGTCACCGGCGTGGAGGACAAGCTGCAGAAAGACGTCAAGCCGTCGCTAGAGCTGCTCCGCAACGCTGGCATCAAGATCTGGATGCTAACGGGCGACAAGGTCGAGACGGCACGCTGCGTGGCAGTCAGTTCCAAGCTGGTCGCTCGGGGGCAATACATCCACACGATTGCCAAGCTGAGACGGAAAGACGCCGCGCAGGAGAATCTCGATCTGCTCCGCAGCAAAACGGACTCCTGCCTGCTCATAGACGGCGAGAGCCTCAGCATGTACCTGACACACTACCGGACCGATTTCATCTCGGTCGCTGTCCTCCTGCCCGCCGTCGTTGCCTGCCGGTGTTCGCCCACGCAGAAGGCCGAAGTGGCCAAGCTCATCAAGGAATACACCAAGAAGCGAGTGTGCTGCATCGGCGACGGCGGGAACGACGTGTCCATGATTCAAGCGGCGGATGTCGGTGTCGGCATCGTCGGCAAGGAAGGCCGCCAGGCCAGTCTTGCCGCCGACTTTTCCATCACGCAGTTCCACCACCTCACTAAGCTGCTCGTGTGGCACGGGCGGAATAGCTACAAGCGCAGCGCGAAGCTGGCGCAGTTCGTCATTCACCGTGGCTTGATCATTGCCGTGTGCCAGACGATGTACAGCATCGCGCTCAAGTTCGAACCGGAGGGGCTTTACAAGGTCCGTCAATGTTCCCTTTCCTTGGTTGCTTTTCCTCTCCCCAATCCAGAGATGCTAACACCTTATTTGTGCAGGACTGGCTCATGGTAGGCTATGCGACCGTCTACACGGCGGCACCCGTCCTCTCGCTCGTCCTCGACAAGGACGTGGACGAGAACCTAGCCAACCTGTACCCGGAGCTCTACAAGGAGCTGACCTCGGGCCGCTCGCTGTCGTACCGCACCTTCTTTGTGTGGGTCTTCGTCTCGATCTACCAGGGCTGTCTCATCCAGGGGCTGTCGCAGGTGCTGACCGAAGTGGACGGCCCGCGCATGGTGGCGGTCAGCTACACGGTGCTGGTGCTCAACGAGCTACTGATGGTGGCCATCGAGATCACGACGTGGCATTGGGTCATGGTGCTGTCCATCGTCGGGACCTTCCTGATGTTTGTGGGGTCCATTCCGTTCCTGGGCGGGTATTTTGACTTGGAGTTTCTCCTGACTATGTGAGTATCCCCGCGTTGGTCTATCTGAGAGGGTGAGCATGTTCGCTAACAAGGATCAGAGGATTTTACTGGCGAGTTGCTGCCATTGGGGCCATGTCGTTGATTCCCACGTACGCGGCGAAGGTTATTCAGAGGACCATGAAGCCGCCTTCGTATCGGAAGGTTCAGGGGATCTGAGGTTGGGCGGACTATTAGGTAGTAGCAGCATGGATCGGCGTTAGTGGTGGTAGTAGAGCTAACGCGCAATTGAACGTTTTGTATGCAAACCGCCTCTGCCTCCTCTGAAAGTGATTTATACTCAGGTATCTAGTTCTAGTATAGATGATACTTTCTAACTCCAACACTTAAGTGGACACACACGATGTTGCTGAGCTTTTACGAGTATAGTACATAGCCCGGTGTCCGAGTCCTACATCTTCAAAACAAGCCAGTCTTCTCCGAGCGTCGGGTATGTCCTCTTCAGCTGGGAAATGACACCCTTGACCGGCCCTTGCAGCTCCTTCCCAGCGCCCCAAACCTTGGCGCCGGCGTAGTGTGCGATGAACCCTTCCGGCCCCGAGACCATGAGCAGGTTCTTGCCGCCAGCAATACGGTTCCCCTCGCCGTCTTCGCACTGACACTGCTCAGTGTTGCTCCCCGCCGGAGGATCCCTGTCATCCGAGGTGACCAACTTCTTGGGCGAGTGATACGTGCAAGCGTCGGAGTGAACGGACATCGCAGCAGCCGGAGATCCCACACTGTTGTCCGGGCTCGTGCGTGACCAGAAGCGCCACGAGGGACTAGAACCGGCCCCAGCTGATGTGGAGACTTCCGTTGACCGGATGATGGTCCCCGCATCGATGAACGAGCCTTCCTCGTCCACGGTGCAGGAATACCTGAACCTGTCTCCGTATCTCCGCCGGAAATCCTCCAGCAGCGCCACTATCACGCCCTGCTTGCCGCCACCGTCATCACCACCGCACCCAACACAGTCCTCCCTCCGGCGGTTCGCCCACACGACCTCCATCTCCACTCCCGGCGTCTTATCCAGAAGAGCGCTCGCGGCTTGCAGCGCAGGCGCGATCCCGGTTCCGCCCGCCAGAAACACCACCTTCTTCTTCTTCTTCTCCTTCTTCCTCCTCGTCTTCCTGTCCTCTTCCTCCTCCCCCTCCTTGCTGTTGACAGTAGTATCCCCCCATTGCCCGTCGGCAACCCCCGCCCGAGCACAGACATCAAATCCCAGATGAGGCCCCCTCAGCTCCATCGTCTCCCCGACCTGCAACCGCGAGAGATACCCGGACACCTCGCCGCCATCCATGCGGCGGATATAAAACCTCAGCTTCCCATCATCATCCCTCCCTCCCCCTTCCCGCGGTGGCGGCAGCGGCGTATACTCCCGCGCCACCTGCAGCTGCGGCTGCTTGACTTCGACCGACCACAGGCCGTGGCGCCAGGCGCGGGCAATCACCTCGCTATTCCGTCCCTTTTCCCGGGAAGCAGGAGGAGGAGGAGGCTCCACGGTGAGGAGGAAGGCCGTGGGCGAGACCTGCTCGCGGGAGGTGATGGTGAAGGGGACGAAGGTGTGCCGGTTGAGCGTGGTGCGGTCGTTGTTGGTGCCGTCCAGGGAGGAGGAGGAGGATAACGTGAGGAAGACGGGCGGGAAGGCGCAGAGGAGGCTGATCACGATGGCGGCTTCGACCCATCGTTTTCTTTTTTTCCTCGTCTTAGGTTTGGATGGGTTTGGACCTTCTGGCAGACCCGGGTTCGAGCCCTTCGGGTTCTTCTCCCTTCTGGGTTCGGTTTGAGGGACTTTGGTTGCAACTTTAATTGGTGGCGGTGGTGGCGCACGGTGGTGATGTCTGGTGGTGTGGAAGCAGTGAGAGGTTGGGTACTCGAGGGTGAGTCGGCTCCTGCGGGTTGACGGGCATCTCGGCCGGTGAAATGAGTTGACCCTGAGACCAACGAGGGGTGTTGCTCGGCTTGCTGAGCCCCTCGATGAACGGTTGAGTGATTGGACAATTGCTTGCCTCATGACCGGGGAATCATCGTCTTTGCTCAATGCCCGTGCTTATAATGAGCCGAGGTGATTGAGAGTTTGAGGCTTAAGTGAGTACTTGTATAAAATAGAACGATCGCTATAGGCAAGATATGCAGGTAAGCACTAGCTAGTTAGCTCGATTTTGTCTGCCCCTCCAATGGCAAGTCGCTATGTACCCCAGAAACACCGTTTTAAGCGATATCTCACACTCTGCACATGGAAATACTCCTGCAAGTCTATACAACGTGGGATAGCATCCCTCTAGTCTATAACCTCAATATCTCCCCGTTCTGCTTGATTCCTCCCCTGAACAACTCCTCAATGACTTTCCCCCGCAAGATGGTCTCGCCCACAACACCTTCCACGTGCCGGGGCTCGACCCTGCCATACCAGATACCATGTCCAGCCAGAGGGTGTGCCTGTCCATCCTGGGTCCTCAAGCCGGGCGGCAGATACACAATCACGTTCCCCGCAAACTTGTGTCCGCCAATATGGCTAATCAAGCCAACGCGCGCAGCGTACTCTTCTCCCCGGCTTGCCTCCACGCTCCCCGGGACAGCAAACCCCTCTTCATTTTCAGCCTCGACCGGCCCCTTCAAAACATTAACACCCCGCCTAGGGAGCGTCTTCTCAAACTCGTCGCGCAACAGCGGCCCGAAAATGCCACATCTCCGATCCCGCCCGCCGTGCCCGCAGATCAGCACCACCACCTCGCGCACGTCGCGCACGCCCCACAGGTAGTTCTGGTACGCCGGCTTGCGCAGCAGCCTGTCCCGGTGGATGGGCGACAGGCCGTCGTGCATCGCATGCAGCTTCTCGGGCTGCAGGTAGCCCCGGACCAGCGCCTCGGCATGGTCGAACGACACGCGCGGGAGGTAGGGGACGTATTTGAACTGCGGCAGGATGTAGACCGAGCTGGTCTGCAGTTCGGGCCGCTGTTTTGGTGGTGGGGACGACGGGAAGGACGAGTTGAGGACGGAGATGTTGTGGAAGGGCTGATAAATCCAATGCGCACGGGAGAGTTAGGAATCGGCCGGGTTTCTTTGAACTGTACTATGTAAAACTGGAGGGAGGAGTCTTACATCGTTGAACTTTCCCCGGGGCCCGACCAGCTCGCGAAGGTCTGCCGCGAGGTTGTCGCCCCCGTTGTCTTCCTCGATGCGCGACGGCCAGTCGTCCTTGCCGGTGCACACCAGAACATGCTCCGCATAGTTTGAGATAGCGCCGCTGAGGGGTGCCTCGTGATCGATTTCGAAGCCCTGTGGAAGCTCAGGCGTCGGTGCGCATGTGCATGTCGGTGCCGGGCAGGTGGGTGTCGTCGGGAAGGAGGGTCGCGGGGTCGTGTTGGTTGCGAGAGCCCTCCTGATCCGCGGAGTTACAGATGAAGAACGGGCGCATGCTCGGGCTAGTAGCCTGTGTATTGTCATGGCGGCCGAGGATGAAGGACGGTTCTGGAATGGCAAGACTGCAGAGAGTATTGACAGCACATGTTGGAGAGCGACTCGGTGGCGGATGCGGACCTGGCATGGCAACGCTGACCAGGTTTCGGCGATTGACCTTGATGGCGAGAATTAAATCCGAGTAGGTCCGATAGTATATGCGAGTAAGGGGGCGGCACAGCCTCGCTACGGAAATATCATACCGAGGGCCCCAGATCGACACTCAGTCACTCAGTGTAGTCGGATGAGCATTTGCTTGCAGGATTGCGGTCAATTAGGTTTCTGGCGAAAAGAGGCTGCTGATACTCATCATCATATTTCATATGGAGCATATATGATAAAATACACTCCAAGAATGAGGGTTATGAACTTATTACGGAGTATTCCGCTTCGAGTTCTTTTGTAAGTCTAACCGAGATAGTTATATCATATCTCTTCATTCCTGACAGGCAGACGCTGATTGCAGTTCAAGACCTGAATCGGTGGATTTGCAATGCCTAGACTACCCCCATCCCTCTTTTGGAGGGCCAGGCGGGAGATCTCGCCCATGGCTGCACAGCTGCTTCCTGCCTGCCGCGACCTGGAATCGGCGGCCAACGAGCTGCGCTGGATCCGACAGCACGTCCGTGACACTCGCTCACCCGTCCCGCCAGCGTTGCGGGTGTGGAGGCTCGTCGAGAAGCGCGGGAGAGGTGTTCCGCTCCAGTATGTCCTTGGGACGCAGCCATTTGGCCACCTTGAAATCAGGTGTAAGCCAGGCGTGCTAATACCACGGTAGGTCCGGACTCAGGGGTCTACCGAAAAAAAAGGGGGGCCCCCAATTGTGATATCTCCTGACCACAACCCGCCTAAGGTACCTTACCTTACCTGTAGCTAACCATTTCACCCAGACCCGAAACCGAAGCCTACACCCTCTACCTAGCCTCTCTTCTTTGCAAAGAACAGGCACTTTCAACCAACCCACCACCTTCCCTCTCCATCCTCGACCTGTGCACCGGAACGGGCTGCATCCCCCTTCTCCTCCTGCACTCCCTCCGTCAATGCCCATCCCTCTCCCAAACCTCACTGCACGCCCATGGAATCGATATATCGCCCCACGCAGTCCGCCTAGCGCGCTTGAACCAAGCCCACAACCACCACCACCTCCTCCTTTCCCCAGCCTCCTCCGTCTCAAAACGCACCACCCATCATGACAGCAATCTAAAATTAGAAGAATCAGTAGAATTCCACTTCACCCAAGCGGATATCTTCTCCCCCAACCTCCCCCTCCCCCCCTCCTATCTCAGCCAACCCCGTCGTTACCCACATGCGTGGGACGTCCTGACCTGCAACCCGCCCTACATCTCCGCCTGCGGCTTCGGGCGGGACACGGCGCGGGGCGTGCGCAACCACGAGCCCAGGCTCGCGCTGGTGCCCCCCGATGCCGGCCCCCGCCCTGGCGGCCTACTACTAGCGGCTCAGTACGGGTGCCGGCCCGAGGATGTGTTCTACGCGCGGGTGCTGGAGATGGCTGCTGTGCTGAAGCCGCGGCGGGTGGTGCTGGAGGTCGGCGGGTGGGAGCAGGCTCGGCGGGTTGTTGGAGAGTTGCTGAGCAGAAGAAGGGATGTGGCGGGGTTGTATCCGACGGTGGAAATCTGGCGGGATGATCCTGACGCTGGGGAAGGGATGACGAGGGAGGTGGTTGAGATTGGTGGGAGGGAGGTGCGTGTTATAGGGGAGGGGATGGGGAGGGTTGTTTATTTGTATCACGGCACGAAGGAACGAGGCTGATGATATCTTTAGGGACCTGACCTTAAGAGAGAAAAAGGGGTATCTGAGTGGTCTATTGAGCCTGTAACGCATAGGTACCTTTAGTTGTATTGTACAGCACACAGTCCATCGCCCGGCCTAATGTGTCATTGTACATCATAATACAAAGTTTACAAGCTTTCCATCCTTGATCACGATCACCTTCTTTGCCTGTGCAACGTCCATTGGCCCGCTAGACAGTTTGGTCTTGCCTTCGTCCGTCTTCAAGATCTCAGCGACGACCCAATCCCTGAGCCGATCACCGACCAGCCCGTTTGGTTTCGGGATCTCTACCACGGCCCTCAGTTTGCCATTCACCTGCACCGCGCACGTTTGCTTCCTCGGCTGCAGTAACTCGAGCTCCAGCGTACCGTCCAGCTCGGGGAACCTTGCCCTGCTCTGGCCCTTGAACATCGACGACCCGCCTTCGCGTTGGAAGCCCATGATGCTCCAGCACTCCTCCGAAAAGGCGGGTGTGATGGGCGCCATCATGCGCAGGAGGGCTGAGACAGCATGCCTTTGAACAAATTCGCTCGCCGCACTGTCGTTCTCCTGGATGGTATTCGCCAGGCTCATGAGGTCCGAGACAACCGTGTTCAGCGCATAAACCTTGTCGTAGGACGCCGTGACCGACGCAATCGTTCTTTGCACGTCGCGCCAGAGCGCCACGTCCACGTCCCACTGCGCCAGCTCCTCCGCCGTCATGGAGCTGAGTCTGCCGGCGGTGCGCTCGAAGTAGCTTCTCGGCGTGTCTGCTTCTGTTGTCGAAGCGGAGGCGAGCCTCTGGACCATGTCATGGACACGGCCGAGCCACCGGGTGACGCCGACGATCTTGTCGCCATCCCAGTCGAGGACCTCGCTGACGGGCGCCTGGAAAAGCATGTGTGCCCGGGTCGCGTCAGCTCCGTGCTGGGTGATGACGTTGGTCGGGTCCACCCCGTTGTGTTTCGATTTGGACATCTTCTCGTAACTGACGGTAGCCGTTTCGCCTGTAGCCACGACCTTTGGGTTCGCGGGGTCGCTCAGGTCGACTTCGTCCGGCTTCAGGAATCTGCCCGTTGCCGGGTCGCTGTACGTCCTACCGTGAACCATGCCTTGGGTCACGAGTCGTCGGAAGGGCTCATGCGCCGCCGTGTCTGCCGTTGCGGCATCTGGGACAAGCGGCGAGGTCATGAGGAATTTGTAGATGAATCTGGCATAGAGCAGATGCAGGATCGCATGCTCGATGCCTCCGATGTAGAGGTCCACGGGCAGCATTGATTTCGCCTTTTCGGCCGAGAAGGGCGCATCCTTGTTATGCGCATCAATGAAACGCATGTAGTACCAGCTGGAGTCGACGAACGTGTCCATGGTGTCTGTGTCCCGCTTGGCCGGGCCGCTGCACTTCGGGCACGAGGTATTCACCCAGTCCTCGAGACCCTCGAGCGGATTGCCCATCTTCTTATCCAACCAATGCTCGTCAACCTCCGGGAGCACCACCGGGAGCTGCTCGTCGGGGACCGGCACGGCCCCGCATGACTCGCAGTGCACAATAGGGATGGGTGTCCCCCAGTATCGCTGGCGACTGATCAGCCAGTCTCTGAGACGCCACTTTTCAGCCGACTTGGCGAGACCCGCCTCTTCGAGCATAGCAACGAGCATCCGCCCAGCCTCCGTAGATGACTTGCCCTTGAACAATCCGCTGTGCTCCGTCATGATGCCGTGGTCCACATAAGGGTCGTTCCGCATGGCCGTGGTAGACTCATCCTCGGATGCGGCGAGCACGAACCTAACGGGCTCGTCGTAGTGATGGGCCTTCCAGAAGGCGTGATCACGAACATCGTGCCCTGGGACCCCCATTACGGCTCCTTCGCCGTAGTCGCCGAGAACGTAGGGGGCTACGTAAACAGGGATGGATCGTTTGGTGGCCTCTGGCGTAGCTTCGTGGTATGCGAGTGGGTTGACGGCCCGGATGTGAGGCAGCAGATAGCCAACCTTGGAATCGGGCGGTAGTCCGGGAAGTGTGTCCAGGAAAGCCTGCAGCTCCGGGTCCCTCTCCGCCAGTTTCGAAACCACCGGGTGGGTCGACGCAAGCGCCAGATATTGTACACCAAACAGGGTATCCGGCCGGCTGGTGAAGACCTCGATCGCAGCGTGCATATGATGCTCGAATGCCAGGATAGGGAACTTGATGATGGCGCCCGTGGACTTGCCAAGCCAGTTCTTTTGCATCGCCAACACCCTGTCCGGCCAGGCCTCATTCTTTGCTAGCACCTCGAGGTCCTGCAGCAGAGAGTCTCGGAACTCGGAGATGCGAAGGAACCACTGCTTCAGCTTTCTCTTCTCGACCTTGGCGCCGGACCGCCAGGAGCACCCGTTCGCATCGACCTGCTCGTTCGCCAGCACCGTCTTGTCGACCGGGTCGTAGTTGACATCGGCTTCCGCCTGGTAAGCTAGCCCCTGCTCGTGCAAGAGGAGGAAGATCTTCTGCGTGTGCTTGTAGAAGCTCGGATCGCAGGTGGCTAGTTCGCGAGACCAGTCCCAAGACCCGTTCATCAAGTCAAGCTGCTCCTTCATCTTGGCGATGTTTGCTCTCGTCCACGTGGCCGGGTTGATGCCCCTCTCAATGGCGGCGTTCTCTGCTGGGAGCCCGAAGGCGTCCCAGCCAAATGGCAGCAGCACGTTGTGCCCTTGGAGGGCATGGAACCTCGCGACCGCATCGGCGATGGTGTAGACGCGGAGATGTCCCAGATGCAGGTGCCCGGAGGGGTACGGGAACATGGGCAGCACGTATTTCCCTCTGGCCCCTGCATTGCTGGTTTCAGGGGCAGAGTCCGGTAGGGAAGACCACTTCTCCCGCCATTTGGCGTCAAGGGCGGGCAAGTCCAGCCTGACATCAGCATAGCTTGCAGCCGTGGCACTGAGGCTCCGGAGTGCAATCCATGCACGGTAGGACGGCGACGAAGCTAGAGCTCCATGAGCGATCGTGGGTCGGAGGCGTGCTGAGCCCAGGTGGGCAAAGTTGCGGCCAATCGACCTCATGTAAGTGATAGGCATCGTGATCACATTGTCTTTAGTCGGCGAACGGATGTTCTGTCCCTGCCTCAGCCCATCACCTTGAACCTGGTTGTCGTCCGATGAAGCTTAACTGCAAGCTCAGGTCACCGGAGAATTTAAAGTGGAGAAATTGGGGGTACCTGATGGTACGTACCAGTGGTACCATGCAAGGACTGGCCTACATTTAGAGCATTTCTGTGTTAGAATTGGCCACCTAAAGTCGTGTTGACGGCCTATTATTAAAACAACTTGAACAACCTACTAGCACTGACAAGATTCTATTCGTGACACAAAAGACATAATTCTCATCTCGGCCAGACATTGAGCTTCATTGAGAGATCTCAGTGAGATCTCAAATTGGCTGCCGCCAAGCCGGCACTCAAGCTTTGTGCGAACGCACAGACACTCTGTGTAAGTAAGGTCTTGGCATTCCTTCGCTGCAGCGACCATTGTTCGCATGCCCCTTTCCAGGTTCTCAATCAACCAGAGTTCAAGGTCCACAGCAGCTCCTTTTCCTCGTCACGTTTGCTTCCACTCGGCCGCACGGCTTTTTGATACCCTATACTCTTGGCTCAACGATCGACTTACGCTTTTACTTGACAGTATTGACTTCTTTGCCCACGTGCCTACCTCTCAAACACCTGGGTCGTCAGTGTCGTCCCATGCCTGCGTCGTGACGGAATCGAGCCTTGAACCTGGATACAGTAATCCGTACTCGAAGCCGAATCGACAGACACAACCATACAGAAACTAGGGTAATTCGCTCCCTCTCCACTCGGGTTTTGCTGTTTCATATAGCATCCGGCTTTATTTGTCCGTCCAGGCATGCTATTCACGTCGGGGAGGATATCAGAACGGTAGACAAAACTGGCCTGGCACTCGACCTCTCCCGTCGTCCTCACACAAAAGACCACAACCCCGGCAGGCCATGCCGCCGCTCTACTCCAACCTCCCCCATTCGGCCGCGCGAGACTCGCTTGAATTAGCCTCGCTGGCAAGCTCCAGCGGGGGCACCGACGCGACCGAGACCGATTCGCGCCCAAGTATCTCGTCGTCTCGACGGGCCTCTCTCGAGCGCGACGACCCACTCGACAGCGGCAACCCGGCAGTGGCGCACAGCAGCAGCAGCACCGGCGGTGGTGGTGGCGGTCGGCCCGGGTACCATGGCCGGTCCTTCTCGGTATCCTCGACCTTCGAGTTCGCGGCGAACCTCTTCCCGCTGTCGAGCACGGCCGGGGTAGGGCCGGGGGGATATGCACCGCTCGGGGCGCCCATGTCGGCCGGCCTCTCGACTGGCGGACTGGGCGGTGCGTCGCTGGAGAAGCACAAGACCCTGACGTATCTGAACGGGCTATCGTTGATTGTCGGGCTGATCATCGGGTCGGGCATCTTCTCGTCGCCGAGTCAGGTGAATTCAAACGTCGGGTCGCCAGGCGCGGCGCTGATCGTGTGGGTTGTCGCAGGCATACTGGCGTGGACGGGCGCGGCGAGCTATGCCGAGCTGGGAGGGGCTATACCGCTGAATGGGGGCCCGCAGGTATATCTGTCCAAGATATTTGGGGAGCTGGCGGGGTTCCTCTTTACGTGGGTTGCAGTGCTGGTGCTCAAACCCGGCAGTGCGGCCATCATCGCCATCATCATGGGCGAGTACCTGGTTCGGGCGGCCATCGGGGCGGAGGCGGAGACGATCAACCCCTGGATCAACAAGTCGGTTGCACTGGTGGGGTTGGCGGTGGTTACGTTTTCGAACTGCGTCTCAACGCGGCTGGGGACGCGCATAAACGACATGCTCATGTTTCTGAAGTTTGTTGCATTGCTCGGCGTTACGATTATCGGGGTTGTGGTTGCCATCACGGGGTACTCTGCTACAGGCACGGCGAATCGGGAATGGAAGGATCATACATGGCTCGAGGGCACCAAAATGGATGCATCGGCTTGGGCGGTGGCATTGTATGCGGGATTGTGGGCGTTTGATGGGTGGGATAATGTGAGCTTAACCCTACTCTCTCTCTCTCTCTCGGTTCTCTTCCGCTCAGACAACTAATACCCAAATTTATAGACAAACTACGTAGTAGGAGAATTCCGCAACCCGTCGCGGGACCTGCCGCGGGTAATCCACACGGCGATGCCGCTCGTCATCGCAAGTTACCTCCTCGCGAATGTCGCTTACTTCCTCGTCCTCCCGCTTGACACCATCAACTCTTCCAACACGGTTGCCGTCATGTTCGGCGCCAAAGTATTCGGCCCCGTCGGCGCGCTGATCCTGGCTCTGATCGTCTCGGCATCCTGCTTCGGCGCACTGAACAGCTCCACGTTCACCAGCAGCCGCCTGGTCTACGTCGCCGGCAAGGAAGGCTATATCCCCTCCCTCTTCGGCCGTCTGGGCACGGGGACGGGAAACCCCGGCGGTGAACCGCATTCCCTATCCACGCTACGCACCCGCTCGTGGATCAAGAGGAAGCTGGCCTCGCTCGTAGGCGACGAAGACACGGGCCTGTTCTTCACGCCGATCCCCGCGCTCGTGCTCAACGCGCTGCTCACGACGGCCTACATCCTGGTCGGCGAGTTCGGCACGCTGGTGACCTTCTACGGCGTCGCCGGGTATACCTTCTACTTCCTCACCGTGCTGGGGCTGATCGTGCTGCGCGTGCGCGAGCCGAATCTCGAGCGCCCCTACCGCACGTGGATCACCACGCCCATCATCTTCTGCTGCGTCAGCCTGTTCCTGCTGAGCCGGGCCGTCTTTGCGCAGCCATTGCAGACGCTGATCGTGGTGGCGTTTGTGGTCGCGGGCGTGCCGGTGTATTTCTGGCGGGTCAGGGGAAGGGGAAGGGGCAGGGGCAGGGCCGATGTTAGGGCAAAAAGGGAAGAGGGCGGGGATGGAGACGGGAGGCGGTGGTGGAAGTTTTGGCAGAGGAGGTAGTAGGAGGGAAAAGAAGTGTGATGCATGAAGCGCGGCGAATCTCTCTGGTTTCAGGAAGCCGTGCTGCATATCGCCGCAAGCACATCGACTTCTGAGATTTATGACACACTTCGGTGCTAAACAAATAACCACAGGTCGGACATCGATATACTACCTACCGTCTGTTCAGGCTCTTGTAAAAGCCAGCTTTATATAGCACACTCAGACGCGACATGACACAGCGTCCGTCGGCACATAATAATACGCACCGCAACCACACCGGTTGTCTGGATATCATGAACCGAAAGATCTGCCTGGACAATCAATGGGACAGACCAAGCCGCAAGCCAATGAGGCAGTACGATGAGTAGTAAGTCGGATCATGAAAAGCTTTCATAAATTCATGACTAGATCTGACCCTTAACCCAGCTCATGATGACTCTTTGAAATATGGTGAAAATACCTATGTACAGTGTCTGCTCCAACTCCCGCTGGAAACCCCTCGAATGCCCTTACCATCCCAATCTCGCCCGCTCTACGAGCGCTTCGCCGCCTCTCTTTGGCCGTACGCCTTGGTGGCATAGTCGCCGTTGTGCACGATCAGATCCTCCGGGCGGTAGTCCAGCTTGCCGGACAGGTAGCTCTCCAGGATGGACTTGGTGCCGGCGGCATAGCGCTTCTGGGCGTCGAGCGACGTGCCGGACATGTGGGGCACCATTGCGTTGCCGCCGCCGAAGGGGTTCTTGGCGGTGCGCAGGACGTGGTCGGCGGGCGCGGGCTGCGGGAACCAGACGTCGCCGCCGTAGCCGCGGAGGTGGCCGGTGCGCAGCGCCTCGGCGACATCCTCCTTGACGACGATGGCGCCGCGCGCCGTGTTGACGAGCCACGAGCCCGGCTTCATCTTGGCGATCAGGTCCTTGTTGAACAGGCCGCGTGTCTTCTCGTGCAGCGGGCAGTTGATGGTGACCACGTCGCACTGCGCGAGCATCTCCTCGAGGCTGTCGACGCGGCGGCAGCCGATCTCCTTCTCCTTCTCCGGCGAGAGCGGCTGGTAGTCGTAGTAGAGCAGCTCCTTGCAGTCGAAGGGCTTGAGGCGGCGCAGCACGCGCTCGCCGATGCGCCCGACGGCGACGGTGCCGACAACCTTGCCCTCCAGGTCGAACTCGTTCTTGGCCGCCTCGGCGACGTCCCACCGGCCTTGCTCGATCATCTCGTGCGCGGGGACGAAGTTGCGGACGAGCACCAGGATGGTCATGACGACGTGCTCAGCGACCGACACGACGTTGGAGCCCGTGACCTCAGCGACCGTGATGCCGCCGTTGGTCTTGTTGGCCGCATCGAGATCGACGTGGTCCGAGCCGATGCCGGCAGTGATGGCCAGCTTGAGCTTCTTGGCCTTGGCCAGGCGCTCGGCCGTCAGGTACCCGGGGTGGAAGCTGGAACGTCTCAGTATCCATCTCAGGGCGCTACTGGGGCATGCATGCATGGGAATTGAAGGAAATCGAGAAAGAGAAAACTCACGGAGTGGTGATGATGACCTCGGCGTCGACGAGCTCCTTGTCGAAGGTCGAGTTCTCGCCATCCTTGTCCGAGGTGGTTACCAGTGTGTGGCCCTGGTCCTCGAGCCACTTGCGGATGCCGAGCTCATTCTCGGTGGTTCCGAGAAGGTCTGACACCTGTTCGCCACAACAGTTAGTCCTTGGTCTCCCCTCTAGTCGAGCCGGTTGATGTCGGTATGCCGGATGCCCCACAACGCCGTTTCGTGCCGAATCTCCGCCAAGACGGGTCCCAGCCGTCCTGTCTCCACCTCCCCGAAGCCCCGAAGGCCCGTCTGGTGCCTGCAGCTCCTGACGCAATAGCTCCCCCGGGACCCCGCATTCGAACGGAGCACGCATCACGTCGTGCCAGCCGTATTTGGTGCCGCTGTATGTTCCGTTCCATCCACGACCGATTCGGCAAGGGGCAGGCGAGTGGCAAGCAATAATAGAATCCGGCGGGGTAGAAATGAGAGAGGAGGAGGATGTTCTTACCTGCTCAGCGTGCTTGCCGCCGTCGTACAGAACAGCTAGAACTTTGACCTTTTCGGGTTGGGTGGTCAGCAGACGACGGGAAAATTGCGGGCCAAACTTGGGAGCTCGGAATGCGGCCCTGCCCAGGGCATGGGCATGAAGACCGGCCCGCCAGGCGCAGGAGCGGGAGGCAGAGGAGAGAAGGGAGGCAGAACGAGCAGTAAGTACCATTGTGACTGAGTGTGGATGTGAAGGATGTTGAAGTCGAAGTTGTCCAGATGAAATCGGCGGGACAGCTGGGCTTTATTAATATCACTGACTGCTGCCGATCGACTGACGTTGGAGACCCTGTTCGGTAATCGACCCAGACGGGGATGAATGCAAGGTTGACTCGGATGTTGTGTGATTGCAGCAAACAAGGGGGCAGCACCTGGAAGCAGGAGCGGAAAGATATAAGAGGGAGAGTGAAGACGAGAAACCAAACTTGTTCCCTGATGAGAGCAGACTCGGGGTTATTTATACGTGCATGCTTCCCCTCTGTTTGCCTATGAAGGTCCGCCGTTCTGCGGATCCGAGTTTGTCGTGAGTTGTTCGGCAGTCCACTTAGCTCTGCTTCGGAAGCAACGACTGAATCGATGGATGCCGAACGGGTCAGCAATGGGTGGATGTGAGAGTCCGAGGTCTATCCGTGCAGCCCGGCATAGCGACAACCAGACTAGCTACTAGCTAACATCCATCAATTGCACTTTCCATTGGCGCCCGCAATCTATCATCCTTCGTTTGCCATGTACGGAGTATTGTACGTCGATCGAGGCCCCGGACATGTATGGTTGCGGGACATGGTGTGCAGAAAGTGAGGGGTCATGGGACGGTGGAATGGGTGAGAGTCTTGAGCATCATATAGAGGTACATGTACCTTGGTTTGTGGTTGTGTGCAGCTGAATGCCAATGAGACGATTCCCAGAATTAGAGATTCGAGTTTTAGCCGGTAGACGCAGCTCATCTCACCTTGCTGGGCAGTAGGGCACTGTACACTACAGACATGGAAGCACCCTGACGACACCGTCCACCTCGATTCATGCAGCACCATCCATTTATTTACTCCATATACCAGCCCAGCCTGAGACTCGCACTGCTCATCAGATCGACCCCTCTCCGGGTTGTGGCTTCCCCTCACGCGGGAAGCCAAAACGGCCGAAGGCAGCCATTCGCCGTTGCAGCTGCAGTCCGGCTCAATGGGCCCAGGTGTGTTGGGTCCCTCGGTACTTGTCGGGCGACACCAAATCCGGTGTTTGTCGTTAGACGGTTGTATTTCGGTGTTGGCTCGGCATCCCCGTGCTCGGGGCCCCGCTGCGGGCTTTCGTCTTGTGTTGTGTTGCAGAGCGGGGTAAGGTTGGATGGAGCTGCAGTTCACTGCAGAGTTGCAGGTAGCCCGCGGACGAGAACGCCTGGGTCGGAGAGCAATTTGGGTCGTGCGGTGAGATGGACTGGATTTGGATCGGTGCTAGTAGGTTTTCTTCTACATTTGAGTGTTGCCAGAACATCAATGGGTTGCTACTACTACCTTACCTGAGTTGCGGAGAGACTCAAGGCTGGATGCCCCTCCGCATCTGGGTACCTGACAGGGTGATACCGTAAACTGTGTAATCCGTACATACCTTACATTATTTACACATGGCATAGCTTGGACAGTAGAACAGGGAGTCCCGGAATCCATCGCCTGATTCTGATCACCCTGGCCAAATCTCCCGAACGCCGAGCTGACTGAGATGTCGTGGATGTGTAGGATGGACCTGTCCAGTGTCTGACCAAGTGATGGCGCGGCCGAAGCATCTTACCAACCCAACCCTTGCAGCGGATGCTTTGAGCCATTAACCCGAATCATTCAGCTTCCATACTGGGAAGCACATACGTCGATGATGATCTGAATAAGCTGCCTGCCGCCTTCGACCATGCGGCATATTTCATACCGCGTAAGGAACAGCCCGAGTTTCCGGGGCAGCAGAAGGTAGGGGTTGCAATAAACATAAGTACTATCTAGGTACACAGGAAGCACCTCTCAGACCATTGTTACACACGACTGGTGTCCTTGTAATATTATGAACCGTTACTCCAACAGCACATACAACACCTGGTCTAACCACCCGTCTCCCTGCCACCCCCGTGTAATGCCATAGTCAATACTCCCTGCATCGCTCTATCGTCCTGCCTCTAGAATGATAAGGAAAAGCCGACGGGCAGGCATAAACATGGAGAGAAAGAAATGCAGAACCGACATAAGCCCCTGAGACTACCCACCCCCTTTCTCATCCAACACCTCTAAACCAACACGTCTACCCACAGGTCTACCAAAAACTACCCAGGCTCGTCACAAGCTATACGGTGGTGGCGGCACCTCATGCGCTCGAGCACTGGGGCCACTGCCGCCCGGTGTGGGAGCAGGGCCCGTCGCAGATGCAGTCGCAGTCGCAGAGCCAGTGGGCGTCAGCCACGCCAAAGCCTTGTTCATCATAACGGGAAAGTACTGCTGGATAAAGGACTCGCTGTTGTGTGTCAGTTAGCCACTGCCTGTGTCGGATCTTGCGATATAGGGGAAAAGCGAAATATGGAAAATGGACGGAGTACTCACGTGTAATAACTATGATCGGAGCCGTGCAGCCCAACCAAGTTATGCGCCAGCTCATGCGCGATTACAACCCACCACCAGACCATCGCATCGACTCGTTTCTGCGTCGTCTCCGTTGGCAGATGCAACTGCTCAAAGAAACGCAGGTTGCAAAACACACTGCCTCCGCTGTTGAACGCGACGGTCCCGCCCCTGTCGTCATAGAAGATATGTAGCGCCCTGATTCCCAGGGAATATACCTCACTCACATCCCTCAATGTATTCTCAAACGCCGCGATGGCCCGCGAGTGCGCCGCTACAAATGACCCATGATCGGCCGCCAAGTCCTTAGCTAGGAACACATGCATCCCGTGCGGCGCTTCCGCGGCGAAGACGATGTTTTGCGCTGGGGTGGAGTCGCAGTAAGTGGCTTGCTCTTTGACTTCGGTTTGCTTCGGAGGAGAGAAAAGCGTGGAAGAGTCGTGCGGGCGTGTGGATTTGATGGCGTTGAGGAGGTTCTGGTGGACTGTCGCTGGCGACGTGACCCGGCCGTCGTCGGCGGGCTTGCCGCCGGAGGATGAACTGGCGCCGGCTTTGATTTGTTCTGCGGGCGGGGCGGGGAGGAATCTGTCGAGTATGGACTGCGGTGGGTTGGACGACGGAGGAAAGGGGTCCTCATCTGTGTCGAAGCCGAGGCGGCGAGAGATAGTTGAGAAAAAGCCACCACCGCCCCTTCTAGGCGGGGTCGGGTGCAGTTGCGTTGGCAGGGTATCGGTCTCGGGGGAATCGTCGAAGCCGCCCGGCATACGACGACGGTCACGTTCTGGGGTCTTCACGTCCGCCGCGCCGGTCTGAGCCGCCCATTCCTTCTCGCGCTCTCGGATCTTCTGTTGCTCCGCCTCCAGCGCCTTGCGCCGTTCCTCTTCGACAAGCCGCGCCTCCGCTGCCTTGGCCCGCAGAATCCGGTCGACGTTGTACCCGCGCGCGCGCAGGTCCAGCAGGCCGAGTTTGAGGAAGGGCTCAAAGAAGAAGTAGGCTTGCTGGTTGGGCCGGTTCAGGAGGAGCTGACAGATGGCTTGTCCGACTTGATACATGTCGGGCTTGCTATCCTCGGCTGCGACATACAGTGTACATCCGCCGGCGGCCATCGCCGCGGACCGTTTCTCGTGGTGTGTCTTAGCGTGACCATGAAGCGATCGTCGCAGGCTCAACGATGTGACTGACACCACTTGCAGGTTCTTCTCGAGCCATCGGGTGTCGTGCTTGATCGCGTCCCGCTTGTCCCTGGAGTACTCGTGCAGGAAGAGCTTCGAGCGCTCGAGCACATGCTTCCGAAGCCACTCAGCGCCGGTCTGTTTTGCTGTTTGTGGTCCTACCCGAAGATTCTCCCTCACGATACTGCCCAACGGCGAAGATCCAAGGGTCACGTAGAAACTCTCGAGCTGGTCATCCTCCGGAGCGCATAACAGCGCTTCCTTGAATAGTCGGTAGCTGATGTAATCATCGAGAACGACAATGTCCTCGGCCTTTGCAAGCTGATAATGCTTGATCGGCGCCTCATCCTCCTCATCCAGTTCAGATTCCTTACTCTTTCCAGCGGACAGCTCGCGAGACGCAAGCAGCCATGGTGAGGTCTTCATCTTTTTGAAAAGGTCCTTATCCCTCTTAAGGGTCGACAGGTCTTCAGAAATCGACTTGAGAAGGTTGATATACTTCTCCGGACTCTGCAGCGTACTCAGCAACCGCGCCGGCTCGTTGCAAGCGAGCACGGCGATCTCATGTTTTGTAGGCTCGCTCTTGGCGCCACACTTGAATAGGAACGTGTTCGCATCAGCTCCGAAGTCGACGAAGTCAAAAATGTCCTTGTATGTCGACGAACTTCCCAAGTAACACTGCGGAGGTCGGATGTGGTCCAGCCTAGCTCTGCCTTCCTTGTGCCTCAACACAGGCACAATGGGGGCATCCCTCAACCTCACCAGGTTATTGTGTCCCAGGTCTCCCACCCGAGTGGTAAAGTACTCAAAGAGAGTTATCGCCATGCTCCGGTCCTGAGGCGGCCTGGCGATGAGTCTCTCTACGCATCCCGTGATTGGAGGATCGCGGGCGACTCCGAACTTGGGAGCATGCTGATGCAGGTCCCGCCTGAGAATAGTATATCCAAGGACGGCCGCTCTCTCGTTTGTGTAGCAAGCAGCTGGCCGGACAAGTTGCTTCTCGTCACCTTCGATCGGAAGAATACAGTTGTCGGTCGATGACAGGTCGTAAGCTGCGTAGCCGTTAAGGTGATGGTTGCCAATGAAATAACCCATGGCACCCTTCCGAAGGTCTTGATCGGCCGAAGACATCATGTCAACAAGTTCTGGAACTGATGGGTACGGGCGCAGCCCGAGGGCGTAAAGGAAGCGTGCCTCCCCGCTGGTGTTCCTGAAACTGCCTGGGGGGCCGGGCCACTGGAGAATGGGCAGCCCCAAAGCCCTCAGCGTATCTTTGGGCTCGTAGAGCTCAGACACCTTGTACAACCGTGCCGTGGCTTTCGTGGACTCCAACCCGCGTGGGCCAGCCTCAGCGGGGCAGAGAGGCGATTCCCTGAGCTTCTTCATGTCTGCAGCTGGTATGTCGTCCTTTACCGAAGCGAGGTACTTGATCAGTTCGACGTGACTCCATTTCGCATAGCCGCCACCCCCAGCAGCCGGTGATGGGCTCAACAGCCGAGTGAAGATGGTTTCGAGATCGACAGTCTTCCGGACCCCGAGAGCGGACAGGAACTTTTCTTTCAGATTGGCACAGCCTTCGAGGGTAGGCAAATCGTCGAACAGCTTGACAGACGGGAAGAACGATTCGCCCGGTTTTCTCATGCCCGCCTTGGTAGGCATGACAGTGACATTTTCAAGTGCGGACACCACGGCAGATTTAGAGCTGGGGCTCAGGTTGTCCCAGTTTTTCGAGAGGACGATCAGAACTTGATGTGCGAACTTCTCCGACTTGGTGAGATTCTGCTCATCCGGCTTTCCAGGTCCGGATTCGATCAGGAAGGACAACCAAGGAACAATCTCCAAAGGCTCCCAGCCCAGGGCCTTCAGTCGCGCCTCCGGGATCTTGGCCGTAAACGCAATTGGCAGGGTAGTGGGAGGGATCGGAAGTGTCGCTGGGATTTTATTATTGAGGTAGTTTCTGACACTCCCCAGGGCAATTATTTCGCCTGAATCACCTCCATCACTTATTGTGGCGACGGTGACATCCAAAAGTCGCGAGACGCTTTGATGGTCGAGTTCTCTGTCGGCAGCACCTTTCGTAATCCACTGAAGGAAGTGGTGAAGCTGATCCTTATCGAGCGCCTTGGCCCCAAGTTCCTGGCAGATGTCGTCAACCGTTATGTCCGTGATCAAACCGAAGTCGATTAGTCTCCCGACGAACGGATCCTCCTTCATCTCCTTAAGGATCACCGGGATCCCGCTGACAAACCTCGCGACCTCGTCAGACGAGGTGCGTACCCTGGTCGTTGGCAACACTCCCCTCGAAGAGAAGACCTCAATGGACGCTATCTTATAGGCAGTCCAAAAAGCCTCTTCGATGATCTGGGAAACATGAGCACTTGGCGTCGAGTCTTGAAAGGTATATGTCTTCAAGATATGCAATGCTTCGGGGACGCATTTCGCCACATCCGCCGGTGAAACGGAAGGTCCCTTTTTGCTGCTGGACTCGGACATCCTTTTGAGTTTATCATCCAGGTCGCCCATCTCATTAGCAAAAGCAAGCCGGGACATGATGCCCACCGCACGGAGCAACTCCATGTTCCAAGTGCGAACCCAGCGGGCGTTCAGGTCGATTGCTTCACGCTCGACAGTGGGGATGACGGACGGCGCAGAGACGTGCATCCCTGCGCCGGTCGTCTGCGTGGTAGGGAAGCCAATGAAGATACGTCCGCCGGGCTTCTTGCTAGGCAAAACAGAGGCGAATACATCGGCAGCTTCAGCAGCCTTGCTGGATGCGGACGCCTCCGAGGCGACTGTCTCGTCGTATGATGAAGTCAGGATGGAAATTTTGGTCATTTTGGGAGGCGACTTCTTGGTCGCACGCTCCAGTTCCGCGGCGAAAGATGCTGAGACGTGAGTGGTTATCTGTGCAGAGATTACGCGAAGGAAGATAGTAGAAGTCGAAGTTGCAGTGAGATCTTCTGCTATTGCCTCCTGAATCGCCTTCTCTTCCTTTGCCTTTGCGGCCTTGCCCCGTTGCCCGGAGTGCGACGAGCTCGATGTCAGCCTGGAGAAGAAGTTCTTCAGTGAGGGCAGCTCGGAGGTATAGTACGACTCGTTAGACTTGGTGGCCGATGCTGAGGTCTGTGGTTTCCACCCAATGACGCTCATGAACTTTGCGTCTATTTGCGTGCTCGTCCGATCGGCGGCGGCGAGCTTCATGAGGCCGTCCTTGGTTTTCGTCTCTAGGTCCTGCGGGATGGGCACGCTCAAACTTGGCGATGACTTCTTCTGCAAAGCCAAAATCTTCCAGTCGTCTATCCAGAACTCGATGTTTTGGAGGGCGACAAACGTCAAACTAGTAGCAAGGAACTGGCTCACAGATAGCAAGTTTGGGAGTGGAGTTGTAGTACTTCTGTAGTCGAGAACGAATGTAGTATCCGGGCTCCCCTCGCCCGGTGGGAGAGTCACCTTCCTTGTGAACAGCGCGTTCCCCTTCCAGTAGAAAGCCATGGCCTCGTTGCCGGAGCTGACGAAGGGTTCCTCACAGTCGGCGAAGACACTGTAGAAGCCAACGCCGAATGCGCCGATCTTCGTCTCGTCCGGATTTCCCTCGGCGATCTTCTTCAGCCTCCTCCAGTCAGTGTTGGTAAACGGCTGGCCATTGTTCTGGACGACTAGCCGTCTCAAGGTATGGTGGGAAATGGTATGCTTGAGGAGTTCGGACTGGCTGGCAACTGCGGGGAGCGGGACCTGCGTCGAAGGCAGTGTTTCCCACTTGACCTTGACTGTCGTCGCCTGCGCATCGGCCGCGTTCTGTATGAGTTCTCTCAGGGTCGTCCATTCGCCGGAGTATCGTGCCAGAACCTTGTCGATGAGCGCTCGGGTATCGACGGTAACTGCTTCCTCATCTTCACCGCTCAGCGCGGCTGCGCGGAGGCGCGCATAATCCATGATGTCGGCAATGCCCACAAGCGTTGCAGGCCCGAAATGATAGTTCGACTCGCTATCTGTTGGGGAACGGCCAGGAAGGTCCGGCAGGCAAGTGTCGGGCGGCAGGTTCACTCTATCGCCGGTTACGAACGAGAGCGGGTGAGAGATGTGACCTGTCCGGCACCGTTAGAGGTTATTAAGATACAGTGGGAATTGTTGTCGGTCGCAGCCCCGTTCCATGACTTTCCAAAGGCCTCAAAAAGAAACAGATGAAGATAGTGGCAAATGTTTGGTCTATAGAAGGAGAAAGGTGGAAGTGTCGGTTCGTCAGCCGTTGTGGCGTCAGTCTAGCACCCTGAGGGTTAGGTCCATCTGTGACGTTCGAGATCGAGCGGCTTGCAGGCTGCCGTTAACCCCGTCAACCTTACGGAGTACGTACTACGTACATACTCATACACAACGGCACGTACGTTACCGTGGCTACCGGCTCCAGGTTACCTTATCGACCCTTGGCCAATCACTAATCAGATTTCCAATTCCCTCCGTACATCCCTCACGTACCCAAGGACTCTGACGGAAACATACAGGATTACACTACTTTAGCTTAAGGTGATTCTAAGTAACACAATGGATATCCACTTTGGTATTCGTGACTATGAGGAATAGATGGAGATTGACAACTTGGAAGCGACTTGCGCGGGTGACTACCTGTCGGAATCCCGATCGCGCCGCCTGGTCCTACTCCTGCTTCGCTGCCGTATACCATGATCCCTGGGCCTCCGCGCCCTGTCCCGGCTCCTACTCCGGCTCCTGCTGTCTGTCTTTCGATAATCCCGATTGCGGCTTCGACTCCGACTGCGTGCCTCATCCCGTCGGTTTTCCTGCCGCCGCCGGCCGTAGTCTGGGCTGCGGCTCTTCCTTCGCTGGTGGTAATCTTGTGCCCCGTCATCTAAGCTATCCCGCCGTGCCCGTCGTCTACTCCGACTGCGATCCCGATGTCTGTTCCGATCCCGATCTCGGTTCCGATACCGATCCCTGCTCCGATCCCGATCTCTGCTTCTATGCCGTCTGCCGTGCTGTCTGTCCGAGTCACGGTCTCTTGGACGGCCCTTCTGGGAATCCACGTCCTTTGAATCTTTGACGTCGCCATTGTCGCGATTTGGCATCTTCGACTCGCCCACTTCCACTGCGTTGGCTCCCGTGGTATCACGTACTTTGATCGGCAGACCTAGCGCCCGGTTTATCGCATCCTCTTCGGCTTCTTTGATCTTGCGAATCTCCTCGCGGCGCTCTCGCGCTGCCCTCTCTTCTTCCGATTCAGCAGAATCTGCCGCCGTCGGTTCTGCTTTGGCGTACCAGTTCAGATCGCGACCTTTAGCCCAGCGCCCTACAGGTGCCTTGAGACTGTGACCTAAGTAATTCTCGCGGTACTGTGATGTCGCCACATCGTCCCAGCTGAAATTGACGCCACCGCGGGAGCCCGTCTTGCGGACGGTCGAAAGGAGGTCCATGGCGAGTGTTTCTCCGGAAGAGGAATGGTAGACTCAAGAAAGCAACCGGTTATCCAGCAGCGAGCAAAGGATGGGATGCCGTGAGGATGATGTAAGAAGGGATTGAGGTCGGGTTGTGGTACAATACAATCGTGGTTGAAGAAAGTGTCCATGCATAAGTTTGACTCCTGCACCTGTCTGCCAAGCCTTTACACTACATGTAGACCACTCCACTGGTGGGTACCCCGCAGCCCCACTCAGTTAAGTCGCGACAAGGGTGCCACACGTGGAGTGTAAAGCCCCCCCGCGTCAAGCTGTGTCCAGCTGCAGGTCGCTTTCTTCTCACATCCAGCTTCTCGGTATCAACATCTGATCATCAGCACTTGTCTAGGAAACTGCACAACTCAGAAGTAAACATTCAAAAGTATCCTTCGTTACCGAATATCGGAAATGGCGCAGAACCCAGCGCCCAATCAGGGGCCACCGCTTGACGAGATTCAATGGCGCGCCCCGGTTTCATTCGAGGGAGGCATTCACAACAACAGCGTCCTCTACTACTTCGCCCAGTCGCCCTTCTACGACAAGACTTCCAACAATGAGGTCGTCTTCCAGCAGGGCCTAAACAACCCGAACATGACACCTTTTCTGGCGACGCGTGAGCTCTTCGAAGGTCGCCTCAAGACGATGTCTGGGCTCGAGTTCATCGTTGCCCAGGAACCTGCCGAGACGGGACCCGGCGCGGGGACCGGCGTTTGGGTTATCAACAAGCAGACTCGGCGCAAGCGGCAGGGCGAGGAGGACGAGATCACCCTGCATGCGGTATACTTCATGGTGGGAGACAACATCTACATGGCACCCAGTATGGCCGACATTCTTAGCTCCAGGATAGTACGTTCGCAGCACCCGTTCCCGACCACTCTATGTAACCTGCTTAGCTGACGTTCACCGCAGGCCTCGCTTTCCACGGGGGTGTCGCAGATCCTCTCCACCGCCTCAAGCATATCATCCTGGTCTCCCGCCCGGGGACGTATCTATCCGACGCCAGCAGCCAAGGCGGGCGCCTCCGCGGCTAGGCCGCGTGGACCAGCAACCACATACAGCGCCAACCTCCCCGATGCCTCCGTTTTTCAAGAGGCTCTCGCCATACACCACCAGTTTGGCAACCAGTACATGAACGAAAACCCAATCACCGGCAGGCCTGGCGACTTCCACCTGTCTTCAACTGGCCGGAAAGGTGTCAGTCTTTCTGCCGCAGCGGCTGGCAACGCTAAGAAGGCGGCCCTCATGCCGACTTTGCCAGCGCTCAACACCCAAGTCGGAGCCGAGAATCCGCTGGCCGCCAAGCCATCGGGTAAGGAGAACAAGAGCCCGAAGACAGCTGGTGGGAGCAGTGCGACGCAGAAGGGGAAGAAGAGGAAGGGGAGCAAGGCTGGGGTGACGCCGCAGTAGGGGAAGCAGGCGTTGCCCGAGCCTAGATTAATTGTAAAGGAGAAAGAGGCGCAGCAAGAGGTGCAACAAGAAGTCCAGCAAGAGGTCCAGCAAGACCACGGAGTCGACGAGATGTCGTTAGGTTGGTTCAGCTCGCCATCTTGCTCCGAAGCTCCCAACGACGACGACAATATGGGGAGGCACAACGACGACCAGGACGCGACTGAGGATGAGGATCAGACTGCGTCTGGAGCTGCGGCGCTCCGTGCGTCGTCGTACCAGGGCCGGCCTCAGGAGCCGCGGGGGAAGGAGCACGAGGAGGAGCACGAGAGTGGGCAGCATGGGGAGTTAAACGGGGGCCATATGGAAGAGCAAAAGGAGGACCAATCGGCGAACTGGCAATGGGCTTATAGATGGGTGGATTACTGGGCGAACGAAGGTCAGAGGGAGCCGCAAGAGGACGACCAACCAACGGAGCAAGAGGAGGCAGAGGACAGCAACGAAGTAGTAGACCTTCTGGTCCTTCCGCGCATACCCGGATAGCAGAGATAGAACAGGTACTAGATGGATCGGATAGGATGGGGTGGACGGGCGTCAGGGTTCTGCTTGGATTTATTTTCAGTTTGCATGTGGTCACTACGATACCCTGGGCTTTTCCTACAAGGTTAACAACAGAGAGAGAGGGTCAGCGTTTGGATGTTAGTATGTACATATATGCCTGAAGTGAGCAGATAGCTCAGCACACTTTCATTCACGGTGTGTCCCTCCAGTGTCTGTCTGTGAATGAGTATGAGTGATCAAGGCAGGAAAGAGGCGAAGAAGTGACAGTGCCTCGCTCGTACTAGCGGGTGACTGACTTGGTTGTTGTCTCTTCATCTAGGCACAGCTCGCATTTTTATCCTAGTACAAGAAGACACCGCTTATACACGACATAATTAATGTATTGAGAATATTGATGATGATAGTTTAATGACATTGATAAATGTCAATAAAAACAAAAAACTTATCGGCTTATTCCCCCTCCCCTTGGAGAGTGGGGGGGCGCACCCCCGAGCAACTGTGGTCGGAGCAGGGTCAGGTGGTTAACAACTACCAGCCGATCAAACCGATGACCAAGATCAAACCGGTTAACCAGGCCGAGACCTGGATTGAACCGGTGACCTCCGTCATCAGGAACCCGGAGTTGCACCGACCTTGAACGCTACGCCACGCAGAGGCCCGGGGCTTTGGTTGAACATTGACCCGGGAAGGTGGTATAAAGGGGACTCGCCCGTGAGGACCGACTTTGTATGTAGGTATGTACAATAAACAACCGCCGTGTGAGTCCACCGCCCTTTACCCTTTCCCCATATTCAAACCACCCATTGGCGGGAGGGTAGTCCACAGATCCTCAACGGTTGAGAATGGCTCGGGTGAGTCGATTCCCCTATGACAGTCAGCCGCATGCTCGGTGAATGAAAGCGAACAGATGAGATGCTTGTTAGACGCCGATGCTCAGAAATAGAACAATGTAGGTGATAGTTTATAATCATAATAGTGATTCATAAACAGCCTCTTGCGAGAATTCATCACAGCAGGCACAAGCAAACAAGATGGGGAGTTCATACCTCCTCGAGCTCGTATCTGGGGCGACGGCTCTTCCGTCAGCCATCACTCGGCCACCCACCCTTTACCCGGCACTCTCTTCTGTTTGATCTTCCTCATTGGGAGCGGCCTAACAAGAAAGCAGACAGTTGTCAGCCACACAGCGATGCGGGGCTGGGTCGAAGCAGAGGGAACCTACCATCCCATACCGTGGCCCGTCTCAGCCCTTAAGTACGGCACCACCCAGACCTCCCGCGTGTCTTCCGAGACCGCCACCTCCTTGACCGGTTTGCTGTACGTAATCAGCGGCGTACCCTTGGCGATGTTTGCCAGCTGTGCGCCGCTCAAGTCCGTCAGGGCGTGCATTCTCGTCTTCGGCTTCTTTTCGCTGTCCTCTGCAACGTTGCCGGCCCGCTGCAGGTGCGCGTACACGACGTATTCAGGGCACTCATCCACGCTGAGGTGGGCGAGTGGAGACGAAGGATGGATGTACACCAGCTTATCGGCCGGGTCGGTTGGTATCCGGTCGCTTTCGAGTGGTATGAGCGGGAGGTAGGGGACATCGATCGCACGGCGCGGCTTGCGGTACATCTCGGGCGGGTTCGGCGCCTTGTCAGCGCGGATGGCGACTTGGTCGATGAAGCCTGCCGCGACCATCTGCTTGAGCGCCTGGACTTGCTTCTCGGAGGGTCGGGGCAGCTTTTCTGGGACGTTGAGATTGGCGAAGCCAGGTAGGTTCGTCTTGACGAGCTGGGTAAGCTGAGACCGGAGCTGCGTGATCTCCTTGAGCACCTTGAACCGGACGAAGTGGCTCTCACACCACTGCTCGGTCGGCTCGTGGGCAAACTCGCCGACTACCTGCAATATCTTCATGGCATCGGACTTGTCATCGAGGGAGCAGAAGTTCTTGTGGACCGAGTTGAACGCCCTCCGTATCCTCGCCCGCTTGTCCTCGGCAATGACTTCCTCGTTGGTGCGAAACTCTTCGGCCTGTTCAGCAGCAGCCGGAATGGCTTGGTTCTCCGGCATGAAGATCTCGCCGGCCGACAACCCCGCAATCATAGCAATGGTGTATGGTAGGCAGTCGTGTAGATGCCCGACAAGCAGAATACGTGCAAAGCGAGGCGCCAACGGGAAGACAGACATGGTCGTCCCGACCTGCGTGATTTGCCCACTCGGTGATATCGCCGACAGATAGGTCAGGAGTCTTTCGGCCTTGACAATGCTCTGGCGGTCCGGTGGGGTCGGGAAGGGGAAGTTGACGACGTGTTGGAGGTTCATGGATTTTAGCTGTAGCACCACCCCTTCGATAGGCATACGAAGAAGTTCTGGCGCCGAGAACTCGGGAAAGTCTCTCTCGTACACTGCTGACGAGTATAACCTCCAGCAGTGGCCGGGACCTGTGCGGCCAGCGCGTCCGGCTCTCTGCTTTGCGCTTGCCTTGCTGATCCAGTCGATCTCGAAGCTCTGGACGCCGGTCACAGGATCGTACTTCCGCTCCTTTGACCTGCCGCAGTCGAACACATATCGGATGCCGGGAATGGTTAAACTGGTTTCAGCAACGTTTGTCGCCAGGATTACCAGTCGCGAACCTTCAGGTGGAGGCTCAAAGACCTTCATTTGCTCCTTGGTCGGGAGCAGCGAATATAGTGGCAGGATATGCATCCGTCGTGGACCAGCCCCAGATTCTTCGTCGTCAATCTCGAATTCCTTCTCCTCTTCCTCCTCGTCATCCGAGGCGAATTCGATTTCGTCGTACTCGTCATTCACATTCCGATCGTCAACATCTCCGAAATCAATATCCTCCACCTCGACGGGAGCTTCGTTTCCAGAGATACGGACTTTTGGCGCCGCCGCAAAGGTCATCCCGCCAAATGCGCCCTTCAACCGTTTGCTGAGTTGGGATATCTCCCCTTGTCCAGTGAGGAACACAAGCATGCCCCCAGGAGGTAGCTTACGATGCCCCCTACTGATCTTTCGGAAAGCATCCTCGATGTAGTCGTGCCGTGTTTTCCGAGCAAAGTGGATTGTGACCTCATGTTGCCGGCCTTCGACTTCGATGACGCGCGGAGGGGTTTTGAACAGTCTTCTGTTCTGGGTAAACTCCTCGACTCTAAGTGTTGCCGACATGATGACAAGCTTCAGGGGCCTGACCGATGGATCCTCCTTCATCAGCTCTGCTCTGAGCTTGACAACTCTGCTGAGAATTGCAATCAAAATGTCGGTATTTACGCTCCTCTCGTGCGCTTCATCAATGATGATAGCAGAGTATTTTCGAAGAGCAAAATCTTGTGCGACCTCGCGAAGGAGGACACCGTCTGTCATGAACTTGACAGCCGTCTTGGGATCAACCGTGCCCTCGAACCGGATTTGGTAGGCCACGACATGGGAGTGATCCCCCAGCTCCTGAGCCACGCGCTTGGACATACTGACGGCCGCTACTCGTCTCGGTTGCGTCACGCCAATCATTCCGGGAGTTGGGCCGTCCGGTGCACCATAGCCGGCTTCGAAGAGGAACTGCGGGACCTGCGTCGTCTTTCCGGAACCAGTTGCGCCACAGATGACGACAACATCGTTGTTGTGAATGGCCTCCATGATCTTCTGCTCCTCAGCGACAACGGGTAGTCTGTAGCGAGCCTCTTGTATCTCGGGGTCTCTTGTCAGCCCCACGGCATATGCTTTTCTGGTGACATTCGTGGTAGGTTGCAGCTCTATTGGCAGCGGATCTTCCTCAACCGGCCGAGGTGTGAAGTTCGCTGGTTTCGGTATGTCCAGGATCATGGGACCTGCTTCGATGGGCTGGTATCCCAACGCTTCGTTTCGCTGTTGATGAGCCCAGGCCTTGAAAGCGGACGATCTCTGCCTCCGTTGCTGCTTATACGCCTCATCATCGTTCTCGGAGCCGGCATCGCCGTCCGAGCTCTCCACATCGACTTCTGAGCCACTATCGCTATCGTCCTCGTTTGAGGTGCTTTGGCTGTCTTCACCACTTGATCCACCGTCGTCGGACTCGGCAGCCGATGCTTCAGCCGATCGATCGCCGCTTTCAGAGCTGAACCCATCCCACTCTTCGGAGCTTGGTTCTTCCAATACAGCCGGTGCTGCTATCGAGTACTTTGATTTGACGCCTCCTCGCTTCTGCCGTTTTGCAAGCACGGGCCGGCCCGAGTCGTCCAGTTCAAGCGGCCGCTTGAGGCCAGCTCCGACCGCTAACGGAACAGGTGGTGCTGAAAGCTGCTGGGATTCCACCGGGGCTGCATCTTTCTGGGTTGTTGCCGAGTCCTCCTCATTTTCATCATCCTTCTCATCTTCTGAGGGACTGGGCTCGTCTCCTAGCGGGTCTGCTGCCCCGACCTTCCGGCGCTGGTACAGAAGGCTCAACTCCGACTTGTCCAGCGCAAGGCCGGCATTCTGTTCCCTGAGGGCGCGTCTCAACGCCTCCCTCTTGGTCTCTTTCGTCTGACCGAGGGATTTGCTGCTTGAGAACAAGCTGGTGTCGATCTTGTTAGCGGCGAGTTTGGCCAACAGCTCCCGGTTCTCGTCCTTCTTGAGCTTGTTCTCAATGTATTTTTCGAGCCGTTTGGCTTTTTTGCTGCTGACTTTGACACCTTGTGGTCTCAGCTCTTCCCGAAGCTGGGCTCTTTTCCGCTCAGCCTCAGCCTGTTGGGTGGGCGTGATCTCCAGGATGTTGCTGTCTGGGTTTGCATCGTGAGTAGCTCCCTCCTGCGCCCTTTGCCGTTCCAGAACCTTGCGCTTGCGCTGTCTCGGGACGAATTTCTTCGGAGGGGCCATTTTTCTGCCGAAAATAGCGGTTTCCCCAAGGTCAGATAGGTGCTTAGGGGAGTGGTCCTGGTCTGAACACCGACGTGTTCACCACCTCAGGCTCCGGCTCCTGTTTGGGTGTCTTGCACATCCGACAAGTTCACGAGAATGCGTTAGAGGTGGTGCCTGCCATAGACGCGTCGGGCCGTCCAGTGTTCGACTGAACAGAAGCGTCCGAGAACACAATAGTAAGAGGGTCACAGATTATGCGCCTATCCCTGGTAACCGTTGGGGCGCTGGCAAGACCTCGAGATTACAATCCAGTTCAACCCGCCAGATGCTCATTGTGAAAATCAGTTGAGCCATCGGGTCTTTGGAGCTTTCAAATCTTGCCCGCCCGGCAGAAAACTGGACGCTAAGAGCGGCAAGTGGGGCTGTTGCCATACACCGTGCGTATCACAGTGCGCATTCTCTGTGGAGTCTGGTCGGTTGTCAAGTCGTTAACTCAGTCCTGTCCGACAAGTTCCATAGGAGGCTACCCATTTGAGCAAGCATCTCCTCTCTCCCTCCTCTGCGATGGATGGGGATTCCGTTCGGACAGAGCCCTTTCCGGCTCCATCAAAGAGAACGATCGGAAATGTCAATGGGGTCGCGACCGAAGTTGAGTCGCTCAGTTTCTCGGACAAGATCATGATAACAGCCTCACAGGACGGCCGACTTGCTCAGTGGGTGAGTGCACCTGCCCCGAGCTCTCAGATGCGCCGCTGACCGTCCGTCAAGATTCAAGTACCGCTCTCCGCTCCTTCGGCGGCCTCTGTGGACACGGCCTTACCCGGAGCCAGCCCTCTTCCATCGACCCATCTGACACCCAAGACGCTCGTTGGCGGTGGCGGCGAGGAAAGGGAAACACTGGGTCACCTTTACGCCAGCCAGATTGCGAGCCATCTTTCTCTACGTGATCCTCAAGATAAGAGGACGCTGCTTCTAGGCTTAGGGTTGGAGAAGGTGGAGGGCGGCGGAGAGGCATTCTATGACCTGCTTGAATTGGTCCTGCAAGTTCTCTAGAAGGGAACACCTTTGAGCCTCCGCCAGTGCCTGATAAACTGTCTTTGCCGTCAGTTACGTGTAACTGTTTGTTGACTCTTTTGAGCTGTGCTCTGAACCTGTATCTCAGATCCGATACCAGAGACCCAGCAACGACCACTATGGGTAAAATAAGTCCTATGACACTCCTCGTCCAAACATTCTCAGGCCGACCATCGAACAACATTGATAGCCTCGCTGCTGGCCGTCGGCTGGCCAACCAGCTGCAAATATGTAGGTATTATACATCTGTATCGAGTTTCGGATTGATAACAGCAAAAGCTCCACACCTGATTACCCAAGTTCCAGGTTGCTCGAAGAACATGTGCAATCTTTATCTCTTGCGTAACTCATTGTGCAGTACATACAATTCGATTGCTTATCAACATTGAGATAGGTACCTCCTAAGCTGTCTCGTTGGAGTCAGCTAAAGTCAATAACTCCTCTTCTTAGCGCTGGCCTTATCGACATCAACGATTGGGGGCCATATGAAGCAGTCTGCCAAGGACTCTGCCACGGCCTTGATCCCGGGTCACAACAAACGTTCTGGCGGACACAAGCCAGGCCTTGGACTTCCAAAAGCGCTCTACTTGCCGGAAATAGTGTTCAAAAGGCATAGGTCACATTGGAAGGAAGAAGCCGCCACATCTCACATCAGATATGTTGGTAGTTGTGGCCCGCTGCTTGAGAATATGCACGTAATACGTGTTATGCTCACCGCTGTATTTGTGCGACCTGATCGTCGAGAGATGGACAGGCTAGATGTTTCCGGAATGCGAGGCCGGGAATGTCACGGGTGAGTTGCGAGGAGGACTGCAGATGTAGCGTGCAGATGGTGCATGACCCCAATCCACCTACTTCCCAGGTTCCCCTCCGCAAAACACCACAGGGTCCATAGGTCTTGAGATAAGTATCCGCCGCCAGGATCACGGTGACCCAAATATGGCAGCTCGATCAGCACGAAAGCGCACGAAAGACCCCGTTGCTCTGTTTAGCTCCATCGACGCTCGTCTGCCCTCTCCGGCATTCCGGCAACGTGGATCGCAATGGAGTTATCGAAGATGATGCTATCGCCGGGACTGCCCGGCGGCAGCCTTCCCTCTCTGACATATATCTCGGGGCATCTGCTGCCTGAGCACCCCGAACACGTGTGAAAGTTAGCATCCCAGCTGATCAGTATTATTGCCGCCTTGAGCAGCCATCATGGTGGCCCTACGACCCTCACTGTCAGCTCGTTCGCTCGGCACTGCAGTCCTCTCGCTCCTTTACTCCTTTTCGGCCGCCTCTGCTGGTCTCGCTTCCGGGGGTCTATCCGTCACACTTAACGATGTTCCATACTACATCTCTCCCTTCCCCTCCGGAAGTGTCTCCGTGCATAAGAACTCGCTCAAGGGCGTGCCAGCTGTCTTTGGATTCAAGCCCGTGACGGTGATTCAGGGGGCTGCCGCGCAAGGTGACATCCAGGCACTTCTAGCCAAGTGGGATGAATCAGACGATGTCTTCCAACCTGCTTTCACTAGGGCCATCTTCCTGGCCGGTTGCAAAGGCTCGTGCAAGCCCAAGACGCAAACTATCTCCGGTGCCTCGTCCGAGATTTTACCCCTGAGCGCCACCACGATCCCGTCCGGCCCTTACTTCCTGGAAACAGATACGGGGTCTCTCTACCCTGTCTACCGTCTATACGAAGACTTTGCCGGAGCGTTCATGCAGGCCTTGATTCACACCCCAGACGGAAAATTCCAGCCCATGTCCGCTCAGATCGCTGGCTCTGCTGCGCTGACTGTTGGCGTCCCCTCGAGGCTGTACTTCACCAAGACCGCCGCTAAGCCGCTTGCGGGAGTTCGTCTCGGCGTGAAGGACATCTACCGCTTGGCCGGAGTCAAGGGCTCGAATGGGAACCGTGCGTGGTATGACCTATATCCCGCGGCTACCTATACCGGACCGGCAATTCAAAGACTCATCGACGCTGGAGCTGTTGTGGTGGGCACTCAGAAGACTTCCCAGTTCGCGAACGGCGAGGGCGCGACTGCGGACTGGGTCGACTACCACTCTCCTTTCAACCCGCGCGGAGACGGGTACCAGGACCCTGCATCCTCCTCTGCAGGCGCCGGTTCTTCCGTAGGCTCTTATGAATGGCTCGATATTGCACTCGGCAGCGACACAGGCGGAAGCATCCGTGGCCCGGCTGGCGTCCAAGGCCTCTTTGGCAACCGTCCTTCTCACGGGATGGTCTCGCTTGACAACGTCATGCCTCTGAGCCCGACACTCGATACTGCTGGTTTCCTTGTGCGAGATACTGCCATCTGGGACGCGGCCAATGCTGCTTTGTACGGAAGCAATTACACTTCGCTCGCCTCATCCAAGCCCAAGTATCCCAAGACGATCCGCACCATCAACTTCCCAACCAACCCTGGGACAAGTGCAGCGTCCAAGCTTCTCGTCAATTTTGCCAACTCTCTCGCCGCTTTTGTAGGTGGCACAGTCACGCCGCTGAATCTGGCAACCGAATGGACAGCGACTGGGCCTAAGGGGGCACCTGCGTTGGCGCAGTACCTAAATACCACATATCCGGTGCTCATCACCAAGGAGCAGATCCAGCTTGTCAGGGAGCCGTTCTATCGCGACTATGCCGGTGAGTCAATCATATGCAAGCCTTCAACGAACCTAAGCATGTCCCACTGACACCAACAAAAAGCCGCACATGATGGCCGGCGCCCGTTCGTGAACCCCGTACCGCTTGCCCGGTGGGGTTACGGCGACACGGTATCCGCCTCGCAGCTCCAGGACCAATACGACGCCAAGGCGTCCTTCATGAAGTGGTTCAACAAGGAAATCCTGCCGCCCGTGGCCGACCCCAAGCAGTGCTCGTCAGGCTTGGTGCTGTACGTTGGCAGCAACGGCGGACAGAATCCACGAAACCTCTACGGCGGCGGACCGGGTGTGCCGTTTGGCTTCAGCTCGGGCCGCATCAGCGTCCTGGCTGAGGTTCCCGACTCGGTTTTCCCCATCGGCGAGGTCTTGTCGCGCAGCGCAATCACGGCGCATGACGAAGCCCTGCCTGTTGCGGTGGACATCATGGCCGCGAAGGGATGCGATGGGTTGCTGGTCAAGCTTGCTCAGGACCTGGTCAAGGCGGGGATCATTGCCGAGCCGAAGGCGGGTGGCTCTATCAAGGGCGGTGCCATCTTGATGAGGAGGGGGTTGGGGTTGGCGGATGTGTGGAATTAGGAACGTTAGATGTCGTCGTCAATGCAATGGAAGGTCTCCCGATAGAGAGCTCACTACTCAGAGCACCGAGTTGTACCGATTTTGACGCAGTAAACGCGGTCTCTTGTTAGCATTTCAACTCATCCGGGAAAGCTTCTCCTCTTACTGTTCCCAGACCTGCAAAATGATCTCGCAAAGACAAGGACCAGAACTTGAAGCCAGCCATGAGCAAACGTTCCAGGGTGCAGGTTGCAACCCTAACCCCTCCCGTCAGTTGCGCTTTGGATCCGTGCGCTGAACCTCAGCAGCGGATAAACCTCGGATTACCTAAGCATCACTTTTCCTGCCCACCAAAAAAATACCCAGCCCTAAATTCAGCTCGGCGGGACCCGAAAAAGCAGACCTACGAGAGCATCACCGTCGAGGAAATCGAGCTTCGTCGACACTAACCAGCAGCCACCATGGTATGCCAATCGCTGTATCATATCGAACCGACAGATGCTGACCTTCGCAGCCTACCAGGTTTTCCAAGACAAGAAAGCACCGCGGCCATGTATGCACCCCAGAACGCTCATTCCTCTCCAGGCGGAAATGCTGACTCTCGTGTTCTCCCAGGTGTCCGCCGGTAAGGGGTATGTCGCGACGAACCGACCGATTACATCGAAGACATATTGACGGAATATTCTCCCAGTCGTGTCGGCAAGCACAGGAAGCATCCCGGTGGTCGTGGTATGGCCGGTGGTCAGGTACGACGATAAACGGTTTCGCAATTCGATGGACATGAGGGCTAACGACACGGAAAGCACCACCACCGCACCAACCTCGATAAGTGTACGCACCCGGCGCCCGACGGCAGCTTGGGCGTGTTGAAGGAATCGGCGAGGATGCTGCGACTCCTGAGACGCGCTTCGAGACAGGCCCATCTGGACTTGGGAACACACGGCTAACAACGCTGACTAGACCACCCTGGTTACTTCGGAAAGGTTGGCATGAGGCGTACGTACCCGCAAATATCTCTCGAAGGGGACACTTGGAGTTGACTCTCGACCAGACTTCCACCTTCTCCGGAACCATTACTGGGCCCCCACCATCAATATCGAGAAGCTGTACGTGGTGCATGCACCTGGCTAGGATGAAGCGTTCGCTAAAATCTCGCAGCTGGTCTCTTGTCCCCGCCGACGTCCGGGAGGAGTACATTAGCGGCAAGAAGACCGACTCTGCGCCCGTTATCGACCTCCTGTCCCACGGCTACGCCAAGCTGCTCGGCAAGGGTAAGGGCCAGATTCCTCAATTGGGAGGGCTCTGAGCAAAAGGCAGTGTGGCTAACTAATAGTACAGGCCGTCTCCCCGAGATCCCTTTCGTTGTCCGGGCGCGGTACGTGAGCGCAGAGGCGGAGCGCAAGGTGACGGAGGCCGGTGGTGTTGTTGAGCTCGTTGCTTAAGTCGGACGCGGAACGGTTAAATCAAAGGCTAGCGATTGACATCTCCGGTTACGAGGGAAAACCGGATAGAGAACCCAATGGCAACGGATCGGACGGTCAGACGACGTCGGCTATGAGTGCTAGGTCCCGGAGTCCAGGTTGGTTCCTGGGGGTGGTGAAAAGCACCCCCCTTATTGCAGCATTAGGGAATGGGATGTTCTTTGTTTGCATCATCTGGGGGTTCCTGGCCGTCTTGTCTTCCATACGCATCTCGAGGATCGAGCAATTGAGTTCTGACATTTCCGGGCCGGGATATCATCTTCCCATCTATCGACGACGGAAGCGCTATTAGAGGAGGTTGGTTCAGGTCAAAAGCGATCTCCACGTGAATTAGGATTCGCCGAGGCTTCCTAACATAACAGAAGATGCCAGCGGTGTAGGCGGGTGTCGATTTGTGAGTATCACAATGTGGGAGTCTCTTCGGAAAGGGTATTCGCCATCTTGAGATCCTCGTCAATTTGCGGCTCCAGGTCTGCCACCTAACCTCCCAAGTTGGCGAGGGGTTGCTTAGCATTGCATGAATTCCGAACTTGCGACCGATGACCGACCAGGTTATGAGTTCAGCTCCCCCCTAGCTGCAGATGCCTTCACCTTATATCCGTATGGAAAACAGCTTGAAGAGAGCGTTGGCTTCACTATCCCGCTCGAACGTGCCCTGAAATAGCAACCATTCCGTACATTGAGGAATACCCATGACGCTTGACACGCTATCTGAGGCATGACAAAGGTATGTAGCGTGCTCCCTGCTTCTGGGAACTCAGAGGTGGTATTATTCAGGGGTTCTTCGATCGTCTCGGTCCACATACCCGCATCAGCCCACAGCGAGGGCTGGTTATTAAACCGAAGTCGAAGGTCAGATGAAGGAGTATGGAGATAAAGAACAAATGGCGAGAGTGGCGTATGGTGCCCGCGAGTGTACGCTGGGCTAAGCAATACAGAACCAAACGGCAGGTGCTAGTCCGCCACCATCATCGTTTTTGCTCACCATTCCGGCAGATCGTACGCAAGACTGGTATCTCTGTCTTGTTAAGGAGTTTATTCAAAGCATGGCAAAACGCAGGCATCGCTTCCTCCGTTCTGTCATCCCGCACTTCATTAACCTTTGGGGTTCCAGCCACCATGTGTGCCCTTCTCCAGCATCCTTCAACGCCCTTGCTTCGATGTTCCACAACGACCACGGACCAGGTCAAACATGATCACCGTTTACGATCACTGCCGGTAGAATGGATCAGCAGAGGCTCAGAGATGGGGTAATCCCTCAAGGGTGCTGGGTGACTCACGTGCTCAACCGCCTCGAAAGCGTCTGCAGCTTCTTATCCTGCTCGGCTTCCCTCGCCGCCCGCTCGAGCGCCTGAGCGCGCTCCTCGTCATGCTGCTTCTGCACCTCCTCGTGGCTTGGCGGCAACCGCTCGTTTTGCAGGTCGACCTTCCGCGCGTCCTCGAAGCTGCTGATTGCGTTCTTAATACCCTCCGCGCCAAGCATGAGCGTGCCGGCTGGCAGACGGCCGCCCGAAACCGTCTTGAGCTCGGTAACCCGCTCAGACTCCTCGCGCAGAACCTGGAAGACGCGGGACAGGCGCCCAATGGCGAGAATCTTGTTCTTGATGGCCCGTCGCTTGAACTCGATCGAGTCGGGATCCTGTCCGCTGGCGCTCGAGGCGGACGGCAGCGACGGCGAGACTGGGCCGGGAGACGTGGCAGAAGAGTCCTCTCTAAGCTCCTCTTCAGAGCACGTGCTGAGGATTGCAATGAGCATGTCGGTGATCTTCTCGCCGACGAAGGGCAGCGACCAGGTGAAGACGTCCATGAAGTTGGGGAGCCAGTAGGGGTGCGGGGTGCAGTTGAACTGCCGGATGTTCATTACATTGTTCTCATACTTGAGCACGGCCGCTTTGTTGTTGTAGACATCCAGGTAGTTGGGTGCCGAAAAGATTGTCATGACGCTCGGGAAGCCGGTGGTGCGCGTCTTACGGTACATGCGGTAGCCGGCGTCTTGCGCTTCGTGAGCACGGATGATGGATAACAGGTTGTTCTTCTCGAGGAAGTGGCAGGCGGCCGGGTAAGAGAAGAAGTAGGAACACCCGCGGACGTGGTTGTGCAGGAAGTAATCGGTGGTCTTCTCCTGTCCGAAGTCCTCCAGAGGATCAGCCCAGAGGATGTCACACATTAACCCCTGCGTTGGGGGCTCTCTGAAGCGGTCGATCTACTGACGGTCAGCAAAGGCTGCAAAAGGCCGAAACTGATGGGGGACGAACATTTCTGAGATCATCAAGAGTGTGCAGTTCCGGACTGAGTCCGCCGTGGATGCACAAGAACTGCTTGTTCATGATCGCGGCCAGCGGCAGGCAGCAGAATGACTCCATGCAGGCCTCGTAAATAGCCTCGGAATACTTGTGCTTGCACTCGAGCTTGAAGGTGAAGTAATCCGTCAAGTGACGGCACTCGTGATTGCCACGCAGCAGCCACAGCGTCTTGGGGTAGTGGATCTTGAGTGCCCAAAGGTAGAGGACACACTCGATGCTGAAATAGCCCCGATCGACGTAGTCACCCAGGAAAAGATACCTCGTCTCGGCCGGATCGCCGCCAACCTCGAACAGCTTCATCAAGTCGTAGTACTGCCCATGGACATCGCCACACACGGTGATGGGTGCGTCCATCTCGAGCAGGTTGGGCTCAGCGCGCAAGAGCTCGGTACCTTTCTTAATGATCCATAGCGCTTGCTCCTCGGTCAGACGGCCTTCGCGGTAGAAGTGCTGCTTGAGAAACTGGATGTTGGGCTTTTGGTGTGTCTCGTCTTCGAAGAACTGCTCGTCGCTAGGCTTGTACATGGCGGGTGCTTGCACATCTTAGGACAGGCAAACAGTCAGCGTCATTCATGTGCTTGGAGACCCAACGGCGGGTGGCCGCGTGCTGTGGCGGTGTGTACCTTTGCAGACCCGTTCCAAAGTGCTAACCTGGGTCCCGTCTTCCATGGTGTGAATGGTGAAGTCAATCTCGGGAAGCGGTCTCTTTTGCTGTATCGCACGAATGGCATTGTCGACCTGCAAATCCTTCACCCGGCGCTCCTCGTTCTCGCTGGAGGCCATCGCGTTGGTGTCCTCGACATCCATGTTGGCTGCGACCTGTGTTAGGCGATCAAAGCGGGAAAGCGAATCCTGCAGCGAGCGGCAAGAGGTAGGTCGGCACGGTCTGCTGTATCGTTGCCCTAAACGAAAGGCTTTCCGCCGTATCCCGCAACGAGTGAAATTATTTGGCCGAGATCTAAGTCAGTCGCCGACTTTGAACTTTGGAGAGTATTTCAGTGGCGGCTTGATGTGCCCAACGCCCAGCTCTGTGTTGAAGATTTCGCCGCCAGTACAGAACAATGGAAGATACGGGTCACGTAGGGCTGAGAGTTGGGCGGCCGAATGTCGGGAGACGCAAGTCTGGCTGTCAGCGGGAGCTTGCGGAAAGCTGGGTGGGATGAGGGGAGACCGAGAGGGGCCCTGTTCGTTTCACGGTTTCGTATCGAGCAAAGGGGTATCCTGATAATTACAGAGAGCACGTGGGACGTACAGTTCCGTACTGTAAGTGTTAAATTAACTCACCTTGGTATCGCCACTGGAATTTGATTGTATATATGTGTCATGTATCGCGTACTCGTTTACCTGTCTGTAGAGAATCATCGCCCTTTCGCGCAGACGATCGCCTTTCGCACATTCTGGGCGGTTGCTCGCAGTGAGAGCAAGCGCTTACAGGCGGATACTGTGAAACGTAACCTGAAATTTCAGTTGAGCCTCAGCGATTCTAGACCGCTAGGCTGTTACGGTATTATTGTGCTCCGTACAGGCGGTAAGTTGTAACAACTTCAATGGAAAGGTGGGGCGAGTGAGGGTTAGGGTTACACTTCATCTATCTGTACAACCTCGCTTGCAACTTCACTTGAAACCCACCAGCACTTGCAACAGCTTTTCTCGCATCTACCTTGCCATGACTTTCGAACACAGGTATTCTCCACTTGCTTCGTCTATGGTCTATCCGCCTGGACTGGCATGAACCTCTACGCTATGACAATGCAACCACTGCCGATTTTTCAACAGTCGTTCGTGCCCCAATCGTGACACCGTCCCCCTCATGGCGCACAGTACCCGCCATCGACAGTGATATCCGTCCCCGTCGTGTACGATGACGCATCGGAGGCCAAATACAAGTATGCTCCTTTGAGCTCATTCGGCTCGCCCTCGCGGCTAGAATCCCGGCGTCAGCACCCCGGCGAGACATTGGAACCAGATCGAGAAGACTCACCCAACAGGAATCTTGTCCTTCCACGCCCTCTTCGTGTCCTCGTCACAGAACTCGGAGATGCTCGTCTTAATATAGCCAGGACTGATCGAATTCGCCCGCGCGAAGCCCACCCACTCCACCGCCAGACTTTTACACAGGTGGATCACAGCGGCCTTGCTGGCGTTATACGCGGCCTGCAACTGCGGCACGTTGACGATATGCCCGCTCATGCTGGCCGTGGCAATGAAACTGCCCGTTGTAAACGGGGGGTCCAGGGGCTTCCCATCCAGTGTCGTGCCCTCCTTCTTCTGGCGCCGAAAATGCTGGCCGGCGGCGCGCGCACAGAAGTAGGTGCCGTCGATATTGGTTTTAACCACGTCACTGTACATATCGATGGGCCCGTCGAGCATCGGTCCCTTGGTCCAGGCGACGCCCGAGTTGGCGACGAAGACGTCAAGACGGCCGTTGAGTTCGCGGGCGATCTGGTCGATGGCAGCCTCTACGGCGGGGTAGGAGGACACATCTACTTGGTAGGCTCGGCCTGTTGATGGTCACACCAAGTGGTGAGCTCGATGTGTATGACATGGTTCTCGAGGGGTAAAAGTGGACATACACTTAACGCCGTACTCCTTCTCAATGTCCGCTGCCGACTGTTCGGCTTCCTCTTTCCGCCTGTTATACCAAATCGCGACGTTGGCCCCCGCTTCAGCCAAAGCCTGGGCGACGGCAAGCCCGATGCCGGAGGTGGCTCCCGAGACGATGGCTGTCTTCCCCTTGAGGGAGAAGAGCGGCAGGACGCGGTCCGACTTGGGCGCCGTTGTTGCGTCGTGAACAAACTTTCCGTCTTGCATGTCCGCCATCTTGGCTGTGGTGAGGTGTGCTGTTCCAGGTGACTGGTTCCCTCACTCCCCTCTTAATAGGTAAATCAATAGTGGGAGGGGAGCTATCTTCGTGAGTGCCATGCCGGGCATAGGCTAGTAGCCGGGCATTAGTCCGCGGCGGGTGGGGTTGGCGTTGGGCAAAAACCGGGAATTCTGCGGGTCTGGAGGAGACATGTGTGACGCCATGTCACGCTCTGCCATTACTGTAGATTGAGAGTCATGTTGTGTCAACAAGGGATGCAGAATAGTGTACGTTGACAGTAGTGGGCGTGCGTTGCGTCCCAAATTACAGTTTGGCTCAGGTTCGCGAGGAAGGAAGCGGACAATTGGCCCGCGGAGCGGAGTCGTGTTTACTTTGGCTGGGTCTCGCTGGCGATGTGCCGTGTTGGTGGTGAGGGGAACCTCGCCAGTCGAGTCCGCACGGCTAGATCCCGATTACAATGTCTGGCCATACCGAGAAAGTGGACGACGACGTCCTGCATACAAAGTCCCCCTGAGCGCCCTACTAACTACTGGGGTATGAACAGAGTACACCTTTACATACCCTAGTACCTACGGCTGGTAATCTGTGGTATTCGATCCTGAGGTATACATCTTGAGCCAAGTCGAACCCCTGCCGCTACCCCAGTCTTGGCGCCCGAGTTTCTCATTCCGTCCTGCCGACCTTCTCCCGGGTGTTCCAAATCACCATCAACAAACACTTGTTCAGATAATGTCTCGGTAATCAAGCACCCCAAAGACGAAATCTAAGAGACAAGCAAGTCAGACGATATGAAGTTGCTTCGAGCGTTGCAACCCGCCCTCATTGGGCGCCAGGGCTTGGCGAGGTTGGTCTATTGGCACGTGAAATTTACACACGTCTATCAGACAACTGACTCCTTCAGACTCCCAAGACCGCTCTCGATACGAGCTGTACCTCGAGCCGCGGCACTCTGCGCTAGGCAAGACTACAGCACATTCCAAGACGTTGAGAAACCACCCGACGGCACTCATATAGCCCGCCCCCGGGTGCAGACCGGCTCGCAACCGGGAGAGGCGATAACAATAACTTATGGTGGCAAACCCGGGGGCAGCCCAAGGTCCTTCCGCATGTGAGTTATGTTCTGCTGGCCAGTGGAATGACTGTTTCGACCTCCTAGCGGATGTGCCTGCCGTTAGTCGCTGGTCTGTTGGCTGACCGGAACCCAACTGTAACTAACTGTGCATACGTAGGGGCTCCATGTGGCTCCGGTGAGTCGGCCGCTTCGCAAGACTGAGAGCTAGGATTTTGACTGGAAAACCCACCACGTAGGGACAATTGCCGCTGCACTGAATGTGTGAATCAGGACACGATGCAACGCGACCTTGACACCTTTGCTGTATGTGGCTCGCTGATGAGGCCCTGCTCTGTGTGCTCACGCTGTGCCAGATCCCGGAAGACATCCACCCCACCAAGGTCAGCTCGGAAGAGTTGGGCGTCTCCGTGCTGTGTGAGTCGTGCCGCAAAGCAGGAGACTCGAAGACCAGACCTGTTAACAGGCTGCAGGGAGTGATGGCCACAAGAGTCACTATGACTGGGACTTCCTTGGGGCACATACCATATATCGTGATCGTCTGCACAAGGATGAGGATGATGGGTCACGGTAAGTGGACACTGGTGGACAGAGAAAAGCAATTGCTCATTTCCAGGTAGGCGGGTGCTTTGGGGTGCTGAGGTGGCGAAGAACCCTCCGACAGTCGACTATTCATCTGTCATGGCCAGTGAGGATGGCGTCGCCGCATTGACTAGCTACATCGTAAGTGAATTTTAACACCTCTTGGATCCAGGTTCGATCAGCGCTCAAACATCCGAACAGAAACGTGTGGGCTTCGTGTTTGTCCAGAACACCCCGTACGACGACCCTGAGAAGACACGGGAGCTTCTCGAGCGCATCGCCTTCATCCGCATCACGCACTACGGCGGCTTCTACGACTTTATCCCGGACCTCGCCATGGCCGACACGGCGTACACTAACCTGGCACTGCCCGCCCACACAGACACCACCTACTTCACCGAACCGGCCGGACTGCAGGCCTTCCACATGCTCTCTCATCAGCCTGCGCCGGGTGCCAGCGCTGGGGAAACAGACCTGGGCGGCCAGTCACTCCTCGTGGACGGGTTTATGGCGGCGAAAGTCCTGAGAGAGGAAGACCCTGTCTCGTTCCGTAACTTGGCTCACGGTTCCGTGCCTTGGCACGCCAGCGGCAACAAAGGCATAACGATTGCGCCCGACAAGCTTTATCCCGTGATAGAACGTGCCCAAGGTTCGGATGGTGTGCACAGGATACGGTGGAACAACAGTGATAGAGGCGTACATCCCTTGGGGATGCAGTGCAGCAGCGCCAAATGGTACACGGCCGCCCGCAAGTGGAACGAGATCCTGAAGAGGAAGGAGATGGAGTACTGGTTCCAGCTGAAACCCGGCACCGTTCTGAGTAAGTGTCGTCGTCATCGTCGTCATCGGTGGCTGATGACTGTTTTCCATTATAAGCTTGCAACTGGCTGACAGCGGATGCAGTCTTTGACAACTGGCGGGTGCTCCACGGGAGAAGTGCGTTTACAGGAATCAGGAGGATCTGCGGAGGATATAGTGAGTGCCGCTGGCCCGTGACTTGCTTTCCCGCGACTAGTACTGCATGTTCGCAGCTGACGTCGGACCAGTCAACAGAGACGACTTCATCTCGCGATGGAGGAACACGAACTACCCGCGGAAACAAATCCTGCGGGAGGTCATGGGGTTGTAGGCGGTGTTTAGCTTTCAATTACTACTGGAAGTCTAACCGCAGTTTTGCGTCTGGTGTCACAGGCCAGGCAGGCAAGACATTCCCCGCTCAGCAGCTTGAAGCTACCTATCCATCCACGTTTGTTCGTCCAAACAGAGCCGCCGGGCCATCCAGGGCAATCGCAACCTACAATGCATACACACTACTACTACTACCTCTTAAGTAGTAGCACTGCGAAATGACCCAGTGCTCCTCCTCGGCTCTGCGGTCCGAACCTTTTGCCAACCCCCGATCGGGGGGGTTCCCGTTCCCCGGAGTGAGGGCTCCACTTCCCTCCGACTTCCCGAAGCGTGGCACCGTTACTACAGTATAATTCCGTTTCTGGGAATTCAGCCCCCTTCCGGCATTTCCTCTTATGTGAACATCGAGCCAATCCAGTGCACCTATGCTCAAATCGGACCAACGGGGTATATTCCAATACAGCCCACGACAAGCGGAGACGCTGCAGCACGGGCGGCACGGTGATGCCACGGGAGTCTTGCATGCATAGGTTGATTGACCGTCGCAATGCAATAACCAACTGCCCGGGATCTGGGGAAAAACTCGCTCAATCTCTCTCCCAAGATCCAAATTCTGCTCCCGTGATTGGCCAGGGTAAGAACTTCCCAGTCTTGTTGAAACTTGCTCAACCGCTCTCTGCCTTCCCACCCCTTCCCTGACGCCCTGGCTTACATCCCTCTGTGGTTGTACTGCAGGAAGAGATGTTATTGGCAAGATCACCACGTTTCCGTCGACGGTTCATGGTTCAAGATGCGTCCTCGTTGATTTGCGACTAAATAGCCATATGAAATGAGCCGAACAAGAGAAGAGCATCGGAGCATGCACAGTACGGACGAAACAGCGCACCGACGGTGGTGGTGGGGCTCCTCAGGCAGTGGACTTATATCGACATCCCGGGTCCAAGGGTGGTCGCCACCCAAGGTTCCTCCTCCCTCCTACCGCCAACGGATGAGGAAACGCCATGGCTACCCAGTTTGTCCTCCTATTTCTGCTTTATTTTACCGGCATCCACCATGCCGACGCCTCCAAGGACGGCATCGTCGGCTTCGGCATCTCGCTGTATCCGGACTTGTGCTGTCAAGCATGTCACGATTCGCTTTCGGCGCTCTACCTGTCGTGCACCACCTTCCACCACGGAGATGGCATGTCAGGGATGGACATGAGAAAGAGGGATGGCATGGAAGGCATGGAGATGATGGGTATGACGAGCGATGAGTGCCGCAAGAACAACACGCCGTGGCTCCAGACCATGGCATACTGCATCCAGCAGAAATGCGACGTTGATGGGTATCCTGCCGACAAGCAAGCCGAATGCTTCCGCAACCAGGCCGTTGGTGGCGCTCCGGAGCCGACCTTCCGCGACAGTTTGCCTGCTACGGCCCCGACCGTCGAGCTTGCTGAAGACGCCATGTGGCTGAACGCCACGAGCCTGGTGAATAGCGAGCTCTACTTCGCCACGCACGGCACCCTGGGTGAGTTTGCGAGAGAGGAGTATCTGCACACGAAGTATTCGTACGTCTCAATCGCCTTCCCTGTCCCGATCTGTGTCCCGCATGATGAGGCTCACGAGAAGGCGTCGTTTATAGAGTGGCACTCTATTTCATCGTCATCGGCATTTGCATTTTGTGCGGGCTCCAGGCTCAGACAGCCAGCTTGGTCCCCAACTTCTGGAGGCGATTGAAAGCCTCCAGCTCCTGGTCGCGCCTGCAGCAGCACGTCTTCCTCCCTGCTCTGTTGGGATCTCGACGGCTCGAGCCTCTTCCCGGGCACATCGGCTATGTTCCCGGCCGAGCACTCAGCATCTTTATCGCAGTGTACATCATCCTGAACGTCGTGTTCTCGGCCGTTTCGTTCAGGACCTTCCAGCCGAACATTTACTTTTTCTCTGCACAGTTCGAGACATGCGAGTACGTCGGGAACCGAACCGGCACTCTCAGCCTCGTCAACATGAGCATCGCCATTCTGTTCGCTGGCCGGAACAACATCTTGATCGCTCTCACCGGCTGGAGCCAGACGACGTTCCTGACTTTGCACCGCTGGACGGCAAGAGTGGCTGCCGTGCAAGCCGTCGCGCATTCCATCGCGTACACCGTGGCCTACTTTCAGCCGGGCTACGAAGGCGCGGCAGCCTACGCGGCCAAGGCAGCAGAGCCGTTCTATGTAAGTTCTCTACCCCTTAATCCCCGGTACGCCGTTACTCCTCAGGAAGATGCGCTAACGAGCCGTCCTTTCCTGTTTGACAGTGGTGGGGAATTATCGCGACGATAGCCATGTGCCTGGCAGCAGCTTTTGCCTTCTTGCCATTCCGCGTCAGCTACTACGAGTGCTTCTTGCTCCTCCACATCGCCCTCGTCATTCTGACGTTGATCGGATGCTGGTACCACCTTGTGCCGCATTTCGGGTTTGACTACGGCTACCAGGTCTGGCTGTACATATGCTTTGCCTTCTGGTCTGCCGATCGACTTGCGAGACTGGTCCGCGTCGCTTACTACAACCCCCTCGGCGGCTCGAGGGCGATTGTCGAGATAGAGGATGAGCTCGACCTCATCTTGCGCGTCACTGTCTTCCCCCGGGTTACCCGGGGATTTGGCCCTGCCCAGCATACTTTCCTCTACCTGCCGGGCCTCCAATGGAAGTTCTGGGAGAGCCACCCCTTCAGCGTTGCGGGCTGGAGCGTCCCGGCCGGAGCAGCATCACCGCCTGCCGACTCCGCTCCCGCCACGCCCCTAAATCTGTCCGACAGCAGCGACAAGGTGGGCAAGGTGCAGTCTACCAGTGTGGTGTCGTCTGCAAACGCGGAAGGTCCAGCTCCTCACAAGCCGGCGTCTATCCGTTTCCTGATCCGGGTACGCTCTGGCATCACCAGGACTATCATACGCCGGCTCGTGTCCTCGTGCTCGAACCGGCTGGAACTTTCGGTCTACACCGAGGGCCCCTACGCCGGCCACCGAGCCACCCTTCACCCGCTCTACGCGGCCGACACCATCGTTTGCATCGCCGGCGGCATCGGCATCACACATATACTTGGCGTCATTCAGGAATACGCAGCAGCAAGGACCCGCCGTGAAAGAGAAGGAGTGACTCAGGGTGAGAAGGGACGAAATGTGATGGGGGCAACCCGGTTCGTCCTCGCTTGGTCTGCCCGCGAGATGGCCCTCATCGAGCTCGTGAAGAAGGACTTCCTTGTTGAGGTCGAAGGGGTGGAGTGTCTGTTCTGGTGCACCGCCTCTCCTCGCAGCAGCAGGAGGACAGAGGCCGAGTCTTCTTCTCGAGAAGGCGGGGAGGAGGGCCAGAAAGCTGACAGCTCAGTGACTGCGGAAACACCAGGGCCTGTCAAGAGAGGGAGGATGGACATTGAGTCGGTGCTGAGAGCATCCGCGGAAGCCGGTCGCCAAACGGCTGTCCTGGTGTGTGCCCCCGGATCTATGGTGGATGAGGTCACGAGGCAGGTGGTGAAGTGTGTCAGGGATGGCCTGAGGGTTGATCTAGTCGAGGAGGCCTTTGCTTGGTAGGTCTGATACTGTTTGAAGTCAGGATGAATCCGGTTCCAATTCTTGTTTAGCGGAGTTGATTATGGTAAGAATATATATTTATTGCAATTCGGCATCCGCTCGCATGGTCACGCGGTACATGGTTGTTTGATTGACGCACTTCATGCTTTCGGCTTTCCGTACCGAGCAAGCATACCTAGGTAGCTGGTAAGGGACAGACGGAAGGGCTCTGATCTCCCCGTATGCGGAAGTCGAAGTCCGGCTCTCTGATACCTCAAGTCTGAATAAAATGGAGCAAACTTGCTCAGCTGCAGAAATGTCTGACAGGGGTGTTTATGTTGAAGCTGACAAGCCTTCGTAGTACTACATACAGTGTACAGTGCGAGTACCTTAGGTACTAGTAACTACCTCCCGTCTAAGTGACAGGGACATCAGGACGAGGGGGGGGTTTCTTGCTTTACCATGCCTCATCCAACCCTATTCGGAGGCTCTTGTGCAGGTACTCCAAGGAGATTCGTCCGGACTTCACCTATTTATCATATATCAACTATTAGAGTCGCCCGCTACTCTCCCTATCCTCAAGCCTGAACTCTACGAGCAGACAGATGCCTGGTCCGCAAGCTGTGAACACCTCAACAGTGTCGGAGTGACAGCAACACCACCGAGATGCAGCCCAAGGTGTCTATCATCGGGGCTGGGCCCGCCGGGTTCGCCCTCGCCGCCGACTTGCAACGACACGGAAAGAGAGTACTGGTGTATTCGCACCCAACCCACCTCCGGCATGCCAACGGCGTCAGGGAGAAGGGCCATCTGCAGGCCAACGGCGTCATGGAGTGTTCGACCACACTCCCCGTCACGTCAGACATGGGCGAGGCCGTAGCCTTTTCAAGAATCCTCATCCTCACGGTGCCGTCGACGGGCCAGGAGACGGTGTTGCAGGAGCTGAAGAAATTCGCACTGCATCGCCACACCATCGTCGCCGTCCCGGGCAATCTGTTCTCGCTCGTCGCGGCCGCCGAACTGGACGCCGAATGCATCCTCGAGACCAACCTCTCGCCCTATTCCTGCAGGATGGAGGAAGGCGGCCTCCTGACGGTCATGGGCCGGAAGAAGCGCATCTTCATCGCGCCCCTGTCGCACTCACAGCAGCAGCAGAGAGGCCAGAATCAGATTCAGAAGAGCCCCAACCTGGGGGGAGCGGCGGCGGTCACGACGGTCGTCTACGACAAGATGCGCAGCCTCTTCCCGATGGAGCTCCGGTGGTGCAGCAGCGTGGTCGAGGTTTGCCTGTGCAACGTCAACGGCGTCTTCCACCCGCTGATGATGCTGATGAACGCGGGCCGCATCGAGAGTCAGAGCACTGCCACTACTACTAGTAGTACTACGGGAAGCGGCGACAACTTCCTGCTGTACCGCGACGGCCTGACGCGGTCCGTGGCCAACGCCATGCTCGCCGTCGACCGCGTGCGCATGCGCATCGGCGAGGCCTTTGGGCTGCGCCTCCCGAGCGCCGTGCAGATCTCCAACGAGTGCTACGGCCAGGCCTTTGCCGACTTTGTCGACCTGGCGCGCAATTCGCCGCCGCACAACCGGCTCAGGGCCCCGTCCACTCTCGAGAACAGGAATCTCTCCGAGGACGTTCCCGACTTGCTCGTCACCTGGTGCTGCCTGGCCGAGAAGCTGGGGATCGATGCCTCGCCGATCCGGGCGGTCATCGTCCTGGTCGGGATGGCTACCGGCGTGGATTATTTCGCCATCGGTAGGAACCTGCAGCGACTTCACCTGGATGACGTCTCGGCAGACGAGCTCGTGGCAAGATTCAGTCCGGGCGGCGCACATGGAATGATGGTGGACTGCGGTATCCCTCCAGAAGAAGGGGGCAAATACATGGCAGTGCTGTAAATGTCATAAGTGTGATTCGAGAGAGAGTAAAGCAAGCATGGAGGGGGAAAAAAAAAAAAAAAATCAAACGTTTGAAATTTCTGTGTCCCCAGTGCATCTGCGATCATCATCAGGCCTGTACAGTACTATAGAAATCTGACTTGAAAGACCCTCAAACGACGCAGCTTCGTCCCATACCTGCCTACAACCCAGGGCACGGGGGCAAACACAAGGGCAATAAACGCCAGTAAGCTGTTCCCCCAGCCCCAGCCGAAGCTATAGTATAAGTCCAGGCCGCAGAGAGGAATGAGTGCCCCGGCGGTGCCTCGCAACACTGCGTTGGCACCGACCACGCTGGCTGCATACTCCTCAAACGCATCAATCAGGTACGTCTGGATGCCAACGAAGATCAGAATCGACCCGAACCCGGTCACGGCCGTTCCGATCTGGGGCACGATCCAGTGGAGATGCCCTTCCACGCTCCACCCATACAGAAATAAACCCAGCGGGAACGCCAGGGCCCCGGGCAGCGTGATGACCAGCGCAAGACGGTCCTCGGGTGTGGCTGTCTTGCCGGCCGCCGTCCGTCTCCTGACGGTCCTGTCGCTCCATTGCGCCGTGTAGAGCAGCCCAAGCAGAGTGCCGACGCCGCCGGGAAGGAAGACCAGACCGGCGGCAGAGGTCGAGAATGCGTAGACGTCCTTGAAGACGAAGGAGTACGTTGCGAAAAGTAGGTAGAGGATGCCGTAGAGGACGGCGACATAGGTGCACATGACCGTCACGACGGGACAGCAGGTGAGCATTGTGGCAGGCCGCATGATGCTGTATTTGAACAGCTCTCGTGGAGTGGTGTCAGCAGAAGCGAGCTTGGATCGGTAGCGAATGCTAGGGTAATTATTGTTCTCCTCGTTGAGTCGGGCAGCCTTCCTTTCCAGCAAGACCGCAGGATATGTTTCCCTCAGGACAATGAAGGCAAAGATGGTAATGAGTCCGATCTGGATCAAGGCAAGGTTAGCAAATCCCATCGTCATTCTCTCTCACTTCATACATATACCCCCGGCACAGTTAATGTAGTGGTAAACTCACAGCAATGGAAACGACCCAGAATATCCACCTCCACCCAGCCACCTCCGTCACATAACCGCCGATGATGGGGCCGACCATCGGACCGAGGATGGTACCGACAGACCAGATAGACACGGCCTTGCCTCTCTTCTCGCGCGGCATCAAGTCGGCGATGGTTCCGGAGCCGATCGTGATAGTGGCCACGCCAGCAAAGCCCGACAGGAAGCGGAAGACCAGCAGCATGGCTTCGTTCCGGGAGGCACCACACAGGAGGGTGAAGGCCAGGAACAGCACGTTGGTCGTGTGGTAGACGACCACCCGGCCATAAAGCTCGCTCAGGGGCGCGAGCACCAACGGGCCGCACGCAAAGCCCAGCACAAAGATGGACACGGAAAAGGTGGCGAACGAGGCCGACGTGGTCTGGAAGTCCTGCATCACCTGCTGGACGGCGGGTGCGAGCATTGAAGATACAAGTGGCCTTGTTGAGAACGGTTTTAGTCAGCTATCTTCACTTTTATCACTAGGTACAATACCTTGCTGCGAGAAGTAGTAGCAATAGTACAAGTACATGTTGTAAGCTGTAAGAAGACATCCCCAACTCACACTAGGAAACTAATGACCGAGATAGTCAGGATGTTGGTCCATTTCACCACCGACGACCAATTCACTGGGTTCTCCGGATCTTGGTCCTCGGGCTCTTCCCACCCTACCGCGATGGTGATGGGTTCGACGGCCGGCTCAGGAGTTGCTGGGGCAGTTGTCACTTTCGGGCCTGGCGAGGAAGAAAGATATCGGTCACCACATTTCTCGATCCCCTCCGGGAGTGCGTTTGATTGTGTGGCAGCCATCTGTCCTGACTCTGCCCCTGAACTCATCGGCAAACGCAGTATAGTTCGACCGGATCTGAGTTCATCACGGTAGCATGTTGTAGTGGGACACGGTCAAGAGGCCACAGGCTCCCGGAACCCTAAGGACGGTGGGTGGCATGGGTAATTTCCGCCGAGACATAAGTGAGGTACCTAATAGGAACCAGGTGGCCATGCGTGAGCATTTAGCTCAAGTACCTTACATGTACCACCTCAGCTGCGCGTGGTTTCTTTTCTTGACCCAAGTTACTGTACCGTGTGTAATTAGTCCATGTCAACCACGTGCTGTTGACACTAGAGAGGGTTACTGAGAGCCCCGGCAGCTAAATTGCTCAAACTGCCTCCGGGTGAATGCAGAAGGTAACCATGGGCCATGCTACCTTACCACCACCACCACCACCACCACCACCACCAAAAATTCCGTACAACCGAAAATATGGGTTCCTGATTGTCCCAAGCCAGCGGTAAATTCGTTTTCGATCGGCATCAACGCATCATAGTCGCGGATTGTGCGCGGATGGCAGAGATTGCTGTTGGCCTTGATATTGATCCCATCTCACTGAAATCGCTCCTCGTAGTAGCGGGTGAAGTCTGGGGGATATGTCGTGAGCCTCTCGGAGCCGTCAAGAAAGTCGGCCTCCTCCAGCCTTGCCTTCCAGTTCCAGAAGCAGTGTGAGTTGCGGCTTTCAACATCATCGTGGGAGAAGATTGCAATGGTAACGATGAACTCCTGCAATGATCCATACTCAAACTCGAAGCCGTCTTCGCGGAAAGGTTGGCAGTCCAAACAGAGCTCGAGATGTCGCTGAAGGAAATACTCAAAGAACTTGAATTCTAACGCGGCAACAGGCTCATCCGTCCAACCAATGTGATTCGGTCGTCCGGAGTGGTTGAAGATATAGTTGAAAAGCACTGCTACACTCATGATGTTGGGGGGCATCCCATCTCTGGGGGTTCCTTTCCCATTTGTCTCGGGCACCGCCGGTCGCGTTATCAGCCGCCTCCAGGGGCCATCAGGGCCATCGAGGCTATCAGCCCGTGACGTCAGTAGCAGTGTCTCCTCGGCCCCGAACATCCCAAAGAATACAGCTACTGTCAATTCAAGCCGACCTCCGTTGTTCTTGTCGGTGCCAACACCCTCACTCTGGGTTGATGGCGGGCGAGGCGCGTCGCGGTCAAGGATCCACTGGTCCAATGCGTGGGGTCGGACTTGTTCAACCAGCCAGAACATCTTCATCAGCTCCCACACGACAAGATGCGCGTCCGAGTGGCTTCCACGGCCGTCAGCGAGGGGCTTCGCGATACAAGGGCTACATCCGTCCGGGAGCCGCGGGTGGGTAAGACAATATTCTGCGCGACCATAACCTTGCTCAAAGCGGTCCGCCATGGCTTGTCGAGACTCTTTGTCGGCTAAGATGCTATCCAGAAGCCACTCGGCAATGGGGCCGAAAACGTCGTCTTGCGCCTCGAGCGAGCGCTCGGATGTCCGGATCTGGGGTGCTCCCGGGCCTTAAATAGTGGCTCCTTGTAGGTGCCAGCCAGCGCAGCGCCGACGATGAATAGCCGGAACACAGCCTGGGACACGCGGGCGGTCCACTCGGGCATACGAGCGGGATCCTCATGACCAGCAAGTTCAGCAACGTTACCATAAGACCTGTCCGAAGGGTACGTCAAGCCTTGGTCGCAGAGACATGTTGCCATAGAACGGGCGAGTCAGTGGAGACCAAAAGCGGCCATCAGTTCCGAAAGAGAGGGTTGCTGGCGCTGCTGTTGGAGCTGGCGAGGCGTTATGCGAGTTGGCGGCAGCTCGCCTCGGCGTTCGGCATCCACCACCAACTGTGTCATCCGCGCCTGGGATTTGATATTTCAGTGACAGCTACACAGTAGAAGGTACTAGCACTCACTGCCGTGAGGGCGTCCTGGAAATGCGGAATCTCGCGAAGCCAGACGGGCCATACGGCCGCGGCGACATTTCCGCGCCAGACATCACACACATGCCGACATGTCGAGACAAGGGCGAGGACGTCTCGCGTCGAATGACAGTATTGGAGGATGCGGAGGATGAGCTCGGCCGGGCCAGACCGCGTCAGAAACCTCAACCCGTCGGTCCGCCGAGGTTCTCGGGTCGTCATGGTGCTTTGTGGAACTGTGAAGAGTTCTGAGGATGTCAAGACGCAATTGGTGTCCTGCCCTTGCATTTGAGAGAGAGAGGGGAAAGACTTGGTTGGAGTGGGCGACGGAAGGCAGCCACGGGTTGTTGGGTCATACTTACCTGAGGTACCTACTAGTAGTGCAAAATGGAATGATGAAGAACCGCCCTGGCAGGTGCCACCGTGGCAGTAATTTGGGAGCCCGTCCGCTCTTCCCTCGACAACTTGGAAGCTCCCAACCGTATGTAATGGTATGTTAGGTTATCTGGTACTAGTCGATATAGCAAAATCATGTCTTGGTACCTTGCCATCAAATTTCAGTTACGGAACTTGCCCTCTCGCGGCCCTTCTCGACGGCACAGAAGGCTTCCTATGTCTTAAGGTCACGCCACAATGGCACAGTCAAGAAACTGGGCTTCCCTCCAGAGAGACGGGGAGTCCGAGTAACACGCTCAGCTTTTAACAGCCACTGTAACCAACAGCTCCATGTCCATCCGAATCCCGTCTTCCGTGACAAGCTTCTCCCATTCCCTCTTCATTTCCTCCCTCGCGCGCGGCCGCAGATGCTCGGGGATGCCGCCGTACGTCTTTCCCGAGGAACTCGTGACAAGCCAGTCAATCATGGCGTCGGCGTCCTTGGCTGCCTTGACAATCTTGTTGACGACGATGATTCTGTCGGCGAACCCGGCATCATCGAGCAGTTTCTCAATCTCATGCCGCTTGAGAAATTTTGGCGGGCTCTCTTCCGGATACTCCCGGTACGGCTCCCGCGTGAGGACATCTTCCTTGATTTTCTCGTGCGCGGCGACGAAGTCCCCCGACCCGCCCGAGATCCCGAGGCGGCCGCCGCCCGGCTTCAGCACGCGAGCGAATTCCCGGAGCGCCGCCGGCTGGTCCTGCACCCAGTGGAAGGTCGAGTTCACGAAGATGATGTCGAAGTTGGCCGCAGGGAAGCGGGACAGGTCTTCGGCCCGTCCTTCGAAAAAGGATAGATTTTGCCGGGTGTTGCTCTCGAGCGCGATGGCGATGCGTTCCTTGCTCGGGTCCACGCCCACGACGCTCCCGCTCTCCCCGACGAGGTCCGCGATGTGGGCGGTGAGGTTGCCCGGTCCGCAGCCGACGTCGAGGACGCGCATGCCGGGTGCGATGCCCAGTCTCTGGATGAGAAATAAGCCGGCGTCGTACTGGGTGTCATTGACCAGCGTGTAGCCCCTCGCTAACTGCGCTGTGTCGGCCGCCATGGTTGCAGCTGGGTAAACAGGTAGGTACAATACAGATATTGTTCCGGTTTGTATGTACTCTTCTGCTTCATGGAGAGACTCACGCCGCATACATATGTTGCAGGCGAATGAGAGCCGTAGATCTGTTGCGGCGAGGGGCTTCCATTAGCTCCAACCCTGCCTGCAGCCCGAGCGAGGGGATTTGAGCATATTACAACATAACACCATGTAGTTTATAGTCACAACGTGGGGCTGCACAAGTTGGGACAGACGACAATTAGCCGCGGATCCAGCACTTTACCGTGTACATCCAGTCCACAATATACTCGGGAGGAAAAGGCCCAAGGAAGGTGACCAACTGGGTGGGTAGCGGCCCTCCACGGCTTCCTGCGTATCTGAGACGCTGTGCCTTGGGTACTAGTACTCAGGTACCTAAGGTCCACCGAGCGGGCATGTCGTTCTTTGCACGCCGGGAGAACTTAGTTCGTCCTGATAAGAGCGTCAAAGTCAAAGGAAGACGAACAATCTGGCGGAGCCTCACGATACTTATTACGGATAACCGTGCCTTGTACCTATTTTGTACGTCTAGATTCTATACCAACGTCAAGGGCCTCAAGCCAGGACGACTAGGCCGCCAAGATGCTCTCTGCTGCTTCACTACTCGCGACCTTGGCAGTGCTGGTGAGCCAAATCAAACAGCTCGAAACATATATGGCGGACGCCGCTGACCGCAGCAATGACTCCCTCCTGGAAATCAAATAGGTCGTCAGCGGGGTTTTCTGCCAGATGCTCCACAGACGACTCCTTCACCCCTTGCGCTCAGTTCCCGGTCCATGGATCAACAGCGTGTCAGAGCTGCCAGCTGCCTTGGCCTTGGTAACAGGAAATCAGCACCTATACTACAGGTCGCTGCACGAGCAATATGGTCCGGTTGTGCGAGTCTCTCCCAACGAGCTCAGCTTCATCAGTGTTGAGGCTCGAGAAGCGATCTATGGGCTTCGGGTAGGTCAGAGTTGAGATAAGCCGAGTCAAATAGTTGAGCTGATAGTATCCGCACAGAAAGGGGGATTGAACATGGAAAAGAGCCCGATTTTCCTCGGCGCGGTAGGGCAGGTCGACGGACAGACCGGCGTGAGTCTGGCGCTCAACAAAGACCACGCCCGTCAGCGCAGGGCGTTGGGGTATCTCTTCACCAACAGTGCACTACTACGCTTGGAAGGCCTGCTCCATATTCAACTCGACAAGTTCGTGAGCATTCTCGGGACCATGGCAGCGGAGGACCGAGCGGTGGACGTCTCAGATTGGTGTAAGTTCCGATCCGATCTCTACTTACTAAGTGCTCACTTCCCATCGACAATCAAATGACTAAGTACTTTGCCAACCATGGACACATGAAACAGACACATACCTCGCATTCGACATCATGGGCGACCTGTGCTTCGCCGAGCCGTTCGGCTGCCTCGACCAGGCATCCGCAACCGAATGGTCCACGTCCGTGATCAACGTCTTCGTAGCCGCGACCTGGACGCAGGCCATCCGCCGGCTCTCCGGGGTAGGCACACGGCTCGAGCGGCTGCTGACCCGGCTCCTCGTCCCCTCCAAAGCCGCGGCGTGGCGGACCACCCACCTCAACAACTCGCGCGAGAAGACGCTCCGGCGCCTCGCAGACCACTCCGACGGACGACTCCTCCGCGACCACACCGATTTCATCCACCAGATCCTGCACAACAGCACGGCCTCCAAATCGCTCTCCCGCACCGAAATCATCCTCAACATGGCCCTCTTCATCAGCGCCGGCACCGACACCACCGCCACGGCCCTGACCGGGTGGACCTACTTCGTGTGCACGCACGGGGAAGTGTACGAGCGGCTGGTGCGCGAAGTCAGGACGGCCTTTTCTACGCCTCCTCCGCCGCTAGGAGGAGGAGGAGGAGGAGGAGGAGGAGGACAACAACACGGAGAACTTGAAGAAGAAGAAGAAGAAGAAGACGATACTACTACTATCAGTATCAGGTGGGAGACGGTCAGCCGGCTGCGGTATCTCGAAGCGACGCTGAACGAGGCGCTGCGCCTGTTCCCGCCGTCGCCGGCGACACAGCAGCGGCTGGTTCCGGCGGGCGGGGCGACCATCGACGGGCACTACGTCCCCGCGGGCACGACGGTGGGGGTGTCGCCGTGGGCGTCGACGAGGTCAAGGATGAATTTTCATGAGCCTGACAGTTTTAAACCCGAGCGTTGGTTGGTAGGAGGCGATGAGGGGGGCGGGAAGGACTCGGACTTCTCGAATGACCGGCTCAACGCGTCGTTGCCGTTTGGGACGGGACCGAGGGTGTGCATTGGCAAGAACCTGGCGTATATGGAGATGCGCCTCATCGCGGCGCATTTGCTGTACAATTTCGACCTTGAGCTGGACAGGGGGGGGAGCATGGAAGGGAGAACCGCGTGTGGGGCCTGGACGGACGGATGAGGCCGATGAAGGTGTTTCACTCCATGACCAAGCCGCCGCTGTGGGTGCGGCTGAGACCTGTTCGTGTTCGGGGAACTTGAAGTCGATAAGGCAGGAACCAAGGGCCCGGGCACCAGCTGCCTTATTGGACCGTTCTAGTATCATCTCACAAAATTCTTGACTCCTTGAACGGGGAGAGAATCGTCTAGTGAGTGAGAGTCTGTAACTGCGCCATATCTATGATAACTCTCCATAACCTATCCGCTATCTAATCCTGGGAGTTCAAATTCCGTAGAAACCAGGTTCCCATCCAGCCAGTAAACTCACCAACCTCTCTCCTTGTTCCGTTCCCACATTTTCGCACCCATTCTATTTCCCACCCCTAAATCTGTCCCAAAACGAAGACTTGTCGCTCACAACCGCCGGCGGCGAGAGCACCACAGTATTCCACACCTCGGCCCCGTCGACGAACAGCCGGTATTTCAAGCTGCTCTGCTCATTCTGACTCAGATTCTCGATGGTGATGGCCCCGAACTTGGAGTTACCCTTGTGGATGTACCTGGCAAAAGTCAGTCAGCAATTACCATTTACGTGGTATTATACCAAGAGGAGCTGCCTAGGTAAGGGGGTAAGGGGGACACGCACTTGACCATAACATCCTCTTGATCCGTCTGCCGGTACGTGGCATAGGGCGAGTAGAACTGGCTGAGCGGGCTGACCGAGAACTCCCACACGGTCGCGCTCTCGGGCCATCTCTCGTCCTCGGGCGGCGGCGGGAACTTGGTGGCTGCAAACTCGTGCCTGTCGCCGCTCAGCACAACCACGCCCACCCCGCGGCTGGCCACGTCCCACATGGCCTCCAGCGCCTTGCGCCGCTCGGCCAGGAAGCCGCCCCACGTGTCCTGCCGGTTGACGGGCCAGTTCTTGGTGAAAGGCACCGACGACGCCACAATCTTCCACTTGACCCCCTTCGGCTCGGGCCGATGCAGCCACGCCAAAAAGTCGGCGAGTTGCTCCTCGCCGAGCATCGTCTTGTCCGGGCTGTCCACCGGCAGCTTGTTGTTCGAGCGGAAGGAACGGGTGTCCAAGAGGAAAAAGCTTGCCGGGCCCTGCGTGAACTCAAAGTATGTCGTGTTGGCCGCACGGGCGCTGAGAGACCCGGCTTTCTTCGCCGGGGGCGGGTTCACCGCGGCTTGGTAGTTGTAGAAGGGGTCCATGGCCGCGGCGTACACGCCGGTCGAGTTGGCGGACCAGTCATTGGCGATCTCGTGGTCGTCAATCACATGGATCCAGCTCAGGTTCTGCCCAACTGCCGGCCAGTCCGGTGAGGCATAGATTTGGCGGTACTTTTGCCGGTAGTAGTTGGCGGACTTGTCCCAGTAGCGCGGGACGTCGGCGTAGATGAAGTCACCGAGGAAGAGCATGAATTGGGCGTTGAGAGAGGGAAGCGCCTGGGCGAGGTACTTGAACCCCGGAATGGACAGCGGGTGGTGGAAGGGGTTGTACGGCAGGCGGGGGACAATGCAGGAGGTCGACAAGAAGGTGAAGGGGCCGGAGTTGATCTCATCCGCCTGGCCAACCGGCGGAGGAGCAGTGAACTCGCCAGAGTGGTTGTTGGAGGTCCGCCACTCGTACGTCCGCTGCTTCGAGTGTCGCAGAGGAATCGATACAACCGCCGTGTAGTCGCTTTCATTGGTAGTCCACCTGACACCGCCGGCCTTCTGCCACAGCGGGTTGTCAAAGGGAGGATGGGGGTCCTTGATGTGGACTTCCACGTTGACCGGCATCTTGGACTGGTCTGGCTCCCGGATAAGCAGCTTGGCCTCGTTTTCCGAGACATATCCAACCCTGGCGAACGAAAGATCATCCGTGGGATAGTAGCGCTCGCGGAAGAGACGGTCAGCAACGAAACCAACCAAGAGGCCGTTGAGTAAAAGCGTGGCGAGGGACAGTGCCAGGCTCCGGGGGTTTGGCGCGCCTGTCAACAGTGTCTGCCACGGCTTGAGCGGTCTGTCCTTCAGGGAGATGGTCTCTTTGATGGTGACATTTTCGGCCACAACTTCCCCCTCACCGCTCGGTGTTTCATCGTTGCTGCTTTCGGGAGCATTTTGATCGTCCACCGTGGTCTCCGTAACTGTGAGGTCATATTCATCAACAAGCTCGTACTTGGGCTCATTCCGATAGCCCGAGATGAAAGCGGGCAGGTAGACCGCGAAAAGGGTGAAGACGATGGCAGGGAGAACCTCGCGATTGTTAGTGGTGAAGCCCATGAGACTTTCAGCACAGACTTACAGGTGCTAGCGCCTACGGACTCTCAAATTAGTACCTGTCGCCGAGGTTCTGTTGGACACACGAACTTACCCATCTCAAGAAGATATAGGAAGCCGCACGCAGCCCAATTGAGGCCGCAGTTGCGACCTTGGTCTGCGTTGTCGCCATCTTGGCTTTTGACAGCCGTACCTCCTGATAACCGCGCCAGATGATGTATGAGAGTCACGATTTGAAGGTGCTTGTAGTTTAAAGAGGTCGCTGTCACATGAAGCTCAGATCATGCTGTATCTCGAGATCCGATCCGGAATAATCTGGATGAGGGAACGGCGGTAAGAACGATGGAGCTTGGAGGACTGTCTCAAGTGGTTTTCCTACTGAAGCGAGCACTTGTTCTAACTAGCAGTATGGATAAGGAGAAACTCGTCATTCATTCATGATTTGAAACATAAATGTGAGAGCACGCCTTGGAAAGAGCCAGCTCCAGGCGCCTGACGCAGCCAGACAACTTGAACCTGGAAGTCGCTGATGTCACTTCCGGAAACGGATCCCAGAAGAGACAAGCCATCCTTGTCTTCAGCTGAAAGCTCGGACCATCTGTACGGAATTCGCCCCGCTGAGTCCTGACGGCCAATTGGCCGGTCGGGACCTGATTGTTCCGTCCAGAAACTCTGGGCAGTGGGGCTAAGTTACCTAAGCTCGGCCCTTCACGCAGCATTGGATCCGTGGCATTTGATGGACGGCGGCGCGACTGGCGAGCTGTCCTAAAGATAAGGTTGAGCGTTGCGACTCTTCCATCTTCGGCCGTACTACCCAACACCGCACACAATGCAGTTTCCGCTACTCTCATGCGGCCTCTGGGCCCTGCTGGCCGTTCAGGCGACGGCGACAGCATTAACATACAAGCTCGGCGCGAACGAGGAGGCCTGCTTCTACACGGCGTCGAAAACCAAGGATGAGAAGATCGCATTCTACTTCGCCGTACGTCCGCCGAGCTGATAACCCACTGGGGAAACCACCGCTTCCTCTTGCGCGCCGATGCTTATTCTACGTGTGCAGGTGCAATCAGGCGGCTCCTTCGACGTCGACTACAAAGTCACAGGGCCAAATGGAAAATACATCATGAGCGGGGAGAAGGAGCGGCAGGGTGATTTCGTGTTCACGGCTCGGGAGGTGGGAGAGTATAAGTTCTGCTTCAACAACGAGATGAGCGCGTACACGGAGAAGTTTGTGGACTTTGAGATTGCGGTTAGCATAAAACCCCCCTCGGTCTCCCAGTACAATACCGGACCAGCATGGCTGACCTGCGACGATCTAGGTCGAGAACGAGGCCCGCGTCACCCTCCCGGCGAAGCAAGGTGCCTCACCCGAGCACACCGAGTCGCTTGAGGAGTCGCTCTTTAAGATCTCGGGCCAGCTGTCAACGATCACGCGAAACCAGAAATACTTCCGTACCCGCGAGAACCGCAACTTCAGCACCGTCCGAAGCACAGAGAAGAGGATCATCAACTTCAGCTTGATCCAGATGGCGCTGGTGGTCTGCATGGGTGCTCTTCAGGTTTTCATTGTTAAGTTCTTCTTCCAAGGCGCGCGGAAGGGCTATGTATGAGGGGGTAGCAGCCTGGCGCGCATCGGACGATCTATTGGCGCTTTTCAGGCTGGCTGGGCGTACTGTCGAAGGTCGGACATGTCTTACATGACAGGTGCATGTATCATAGCAACGGGTCATGGTTTAACGACGGATGGTCTCTAATAGCCGGGTCGCATTCGGTTCTGGGTTTCCAGGTTTGAGCGTGGTGATTTCCTTGCCATTCAGAAATAATGCATCTCCGGCATGGGAGTCTGCCAGTCCGGTATTCAACTCCGCACCGGGAACCTTAACGTGTTCTAAGAAGTTAACTACACCTTCTTGACCGCATCCATTAATAAACTGGGGGGGCTACGGAGTATTTTGGAATTGGGGCTAGCAGTTGATCGCGGGCCATTGTTGAGACCCTCCTCGATAAGGCGTGTGTCACTCAGCCACTCAGCCACTCAGCCACTCAGCCCAGGCACTGTGGAGCCATTATTTCTCGGCCGTGATCCACCCCGTCTCGTCACCTCGAACGCTCAAACTACCCACTGCAACAGCTCACTCCGAAAGGCAGCCAACAGCCATGACCTCGATAGCGACGGGCCTCGCGCAGGCTCTCCCGAAGCCCAAGTACGATGGAGAACATGAAGAACCGCGGGTAGTACAGCGTGGTCCGCGAATCGTCAGCGCCGACCAGATTGACGAGACGCAAATCGTCGTAAGGGTCAGTGAATCTACGCCTCCCAATTTCCGCAAAACAACCAGTCGCTAACCCCGTCCCGGTACAGAGAGCTGGACCACCACCGTATCCCAACCGAGTAGGCTGGCGGCCACGCGCGCCAGAGGACTTTGGCGATGGCGGCGCGTTCCCAGAGATCCCCGTCGCTCAATACCCTTGGGGCAAAAACAACGGCTCATCTAAGTCCAACGCCCTTGTGGTGCAGGTCGACGCCGAGGGCAAAGTCGACTACTCGGCTATTGCACGACAAGGGCACAGCGACCAGCGCATCATCCATGCCTCCTTCAAGGACCTGATCCCGCTGCGGCAACGCGCCGAGGCGGGTGATCTCGACCTGTCGCGTCCCAGCGAAGAGGAGGTTGCGGCCACGGCGGAGCGGACCAAGAATGCGCTTGCCACGTTGGTAAGCGGCGCCTTGGCAGCACAGAAGCCGAAGAATGTGAACGTGGGCGGGAGGAGAGATCCGACCTTTGTTAGGTATACGCCGTCGGCGCAAATGGGGGATAGTTCGAAGAAGCAGGACCGGATTATGAAGATCGTGGAGAGGCAGAGAGGTAATTTTCAGCTCAAACCTAGTGCTATGGGCTGTGCTAACAACATTCAGATCCCATGGAGCCGCCCAAGTTCAAGCACAAGAAGATCCCGAGAGGACCTCCGACACCTCCGCCTCCAGTGATGCATTCCCCGCCTAGGAAGCTCACTGCCGAAGACCAGGAAGCGTGGCGCATTCGTAGGTCACGCTTCGTTTTCCGTTCTACGCTAGGAATGCCGGCTAACAGTCTGTAGCACCACCGGTCTCAATGTGGAAGAACTCGAAGGGCTTTACAATTCCTCTAGACAAGAGATTAGCGGCCGACGGCCGCGGGCTGCAGGATGTCCAGATCAACGACAAGTTCGCCCAGTTCTCAGAAGCCCTCTTCATGGCCGACCGGCACGCCAGAGAGGAAGTCCGGCAGCGCGCGATGATGCAGCAGCGACTGGCGGAGAAAGAACGCCTGCAGAAGGAGGAGCACCTCCGCCAGCTTGCGCAACAAGCGCGCGCCGAGAAGGCAGGCGGGAGCAGGAGACGATCACGCTCGGGCTCCTACAGCGGCTCTGAGTCCGGCTCGGAAACAGACGACTCGGAGCGCGAGCGCAGAGAAGCGCGCAGGGAGAAGTTGCGCGAGGAAGAGCGCAAGCTACGGCAATCGCGCATGGGTCACGAGCGGCGTGCGCAGGTGCTCGCTCGCGAAATGGACCGTGACATATCCGAGAAGATCGCGCTCGGCCTGGCGAAACCTACACAGTCGGCCGAGGGCATGTACGACTCGCGCTTGTTCAACCAGTCGAGCGGGTTCGCCAGCGGATTTAACGAGGACAACCCCTACGACAAGCCGCTGTTTGCCGCGCAGGATGCCATCAGCAGCATCTACAGGCCGAGGGCGAACCTGGAGGATGAGGATGATGAGGCTGCCGGCGACAGGGAGATGGCGCGCATCCAGAAGGGGAGCAGGTTTGGGGAGGCGCTGGGGAGGGGCACGTTCAAGGGGACGGAGGAGGCCGAGGCCCGGGAGGGCCCTGTGCAGTTCGAGAAGGACACGGCGGATCCGTTTGACGTGGACAAGTTCTTGTCGGAGGTGCAGCAGGGAACGTCGTCATCGAAGCGCGGGTATGGCCTGCAGGATGAAGACCCGCGTCAATCAAAGCGGAGCCGGGTGGATGATGACGATGAGTGAAGAGCTACTGCTACACAGTGTATACGACGGAGCGAAATAGAGTATTAGGCGCATTCTGAGTTCTGGACACCACCCCCCCTATCCGGCTACTATCAAATCGACGTGTGGTCCCAACACCCTTCAACCTCGAACATCCCCGCCTCCCGGATAGCTCGGATGCAGGTACAATACAATACCCCGATTCCAGCCCTATGGCCCCAGCATAGGTGGCTCTAGGACCTGCCTCGGTGTTCTCTCCTCTCATTTGACGATCCCACACAGTACAAACTACGTACCTAAGCTTTTCGGCCCCTAGTCCCTAGCTGGAGAAATGGGACTACCCCGGTTCGAAATCGGCCGTGGTATCCGTAAAATATAAGGCTACTGACCACACTCCGGTTGCAACAGGCAAATCGGGGTCCATTGATTTTTATCAGGCCGAGCGCTTCACGACCAAAGCATGGAGTATTCCATAAGCGATGAACGATGCAATAGGCAGGTGGTTTGTTTCCTGGAAATATTGGGTAGTAATATGTCACGATGCAAAGGCCTTGTGCAAATTCCGTGCAGGCTTGGGATAGGCGAAGCGCCCTTCAGCCTGATAGGGGGGAGGGGGAGGAAGCCGATGAGTGGGTGAGTGAGATGTTGCAAATACGAGAAATTGGGCCGGTGAGTGAGCGAGGTTGATAAGACGGGCAATGCATGATGCGCGTCTCTGGGTGTGTGCGAGACGATATTCGTCACTGTGTTGGTAGCGTGGGCCTTCGAAAGTTAGGCATGTAAGCGATCTAAGTATCATGATTGCGTATTTGACTGGCCACACCACAACGGATGAACTTATGAAGAATGGCTATCTGATCTGATGTCTGGATCTTTTGCACCCCGCGCATAGACAACCGCCACCCGGCTTATTAAAACCTCGTTCTCCTCAACATGGAATAGCTGACATATCATCCTTTCACACATGTTGTCGACGCTGTCGCCGCCAACGCCGAACATGAGACCCAATGAGCCGAAGGTGACGGCCTATGAGGCCAGAGAGTCCCACATATCGCGCTCCGAATGGGATCCAAGGAGCTGGTCTAGGAGGATATGGCTGATTTTGGTCACGATCATTATCATAATCGTGGTGGCCATTGTCGCGACAGTTGTCGGCGTTAGAGCGACTCGGAACAGCGGCAACGGCAAGGATGATAGGTATCCCAACTACACCCGGCTGAACTACACGCTCGTCGACACCTGTAAGTTGCGCGTGTATCTGGAAAAGCCACTCATGGGCAGGGGTTAACCAAGCAGACTCGGGAACGTCCTTCTTTGACAAGTTCGACTACTTCAACACCTATGACCCTGGTATGTCCTTCTCTCGCTGGAAGAATTGCCTGCTCGTATCCCACAGCTAACCCATCTTGCTGTTTAGCGGGAGGCTTCGTACACTACGTCAGCCCGGGGGACGCGAAGCTTCATGTTAGTCGCACCTTGAGCCAACCCCCTTATTTTAATGACCTGAGCTAGACTCACACCTACTAGAATCTCACATACGCTACCGAGTCCACCGTCTTGATCCGCGTAGACACCAGCGTCGGACCCGGCTCCGAACCCGATGCCTCAACCGGCCGCTTCTCCGTCCGCCTCGAGTCGAAAACGCAATACGGGCCGGGCCTCTTCCTCTTCGATGTCAGACACACGCCCTATGGATGCGCCACATGGCCGGCCCTCTGGCTGACGGAGTGAGTCTGCTCCAGGATTTTGTTGTGTCTTTCCTCTCCGCCCCAGAGAACGTAAACATCATTACTAATGATAACCCCGCAGCCCTAATAACTGGCCAACGCACGGCGAGATCGACATCATGGAGGCCGTCAACCAGGCCAACAGCGGCAACATGGTAGCGCTGCACACGACCGCGGGCTGCGACATGTCCGACATCCGGCGCTCCATGACCGGCACGGCGGGGCAGGGCGACTGCCACAACGCCACCAACAGCAACACGGGCTGCATCGTGTTGGCAACGTCGCCGGCTACATACGGTCCCGCTTTCAACGCGGCCGGTGGCGGCATCGTGGCGCTCGAGTGGAGGAACGAGGGCATCAGAGTCTGGGTGTTCTCGCGGAACGGCGCCGGCGCGCAGGGGTTGACGGCGTTGCCTGCCGCGGGGGAGACGATGCTGCAAGGGCCCGACACGCAGACCTGGGGCCCGCCGTTGGCTGATTTCCCGGCGACGAACTGTGATATGGCCCGTCATTTTCGAAACCAGAGCATCATCGTCAACATCGACCTGTGCGGCTATCTCACTGAGGCGCGGTGGGCTGATTCAGGATGCAGTGAGTTGCTGCCCCTTTTTTTGCTTGGTATTGAGACCCTGGCTGACACTGAGCGCAGGCAAGCAGAAATGTACTGACTTCGTTGCCAACAACCCCTCGGCATTCACGGATGCTTACTGGGAGTTCGGAGGCTTCCAAGTCTACAGTGCGTCGTGATGGGAGCAAGGAGGAAGGGAAGGGTTCAGAGTAGTACGACGATGATTTTGGATATGACATTTATGAATGCCTTTGATAGATTCCCCCTGTGTCGACGTACCATATATCCGCCCTGACCTTTTGTAGGGGAGACTGCGACGCGGCCCAGATCTCTAACTTCTTCGCATATCGTTGATGGTACATATTAGCTGCTGGAAGCAACCGTTTATCCCGCCCCTGAACTGACTAAGTGGAGATCTCCCTCGCCGCTCCCGGCACTGATACCCTGCCAGAATACGTCCGTTCGTCCCGCTCGAAGCAACCATGCCTTGACCCCATATCTATGCTGATGGAACGCCAAACGCCAATGCCATGGACAACGAAACCAGGCCCCGTCGGCCTATCCAACAGCCCTGGAAGATCAGAAGAGACAGACCATGTGATACACCCTCTCATCTCAAGAACACCCAAGCCCGTTTGAAACTGGCGGACCTCAGTCCTCATCCTTGGGCATCCTCATCCATGCATCAATAGCCGCACTAAACGCGGCGAAGCCCGCACACCCCACAGCCGCCGCCTGCGGCCCTCCATTCCTCGCGAGTATCGCGCCCGTCAAGCACCCGGCGGCAACGCCATTCCCGATATCGTTCTTCGCCCGGAGCCCCTCAATGCCGCACTCAATCCCACTGAACAGCGCACCCACTGCCCCAAAGTTCTTTGCCGTGCTCCACGACCGCGCACCCATATCCTTGAAGCCATGCGCCAGCTGTTTCTTCAGCGGCAGCGACGAAATCGTAGTAGCGGCAGCGGAGCCTGGGACGCCCGAGACGCCGCCGGGTGCCCCAGGGGTGTGGAACGGCGTGTCGTAGGCCATCTGGCATTACCTCTGTCAGAGACATTGCCGCTTGTAGTAGAACCCCCCCTTATCGAGGAGGGAGAAAAGGATGGAGGGAGGGAGAAACGTACGGAAGCCATGAACATGCCGAACAGCCCGCCCAACGCAAACCCAGCCACTCCACTCATCGCCGTCTTTGCGTAGCACGATTCCATGGCATTTGTGAGCTGTCAAACCACAGTGCAGGGGTCAGTCAGCAAATGCGCACTCCTCCGTAACAGAGACAAAGCCTGCGCTTGGGCAAGGCAGTCACATACCCATTTCACATTGGGGTCGTTCGGATCAAACCCGGGGGCGCCAGCACCACCCGGCCGCGCGCCCCCGGAGGGTATACCCGGCACGACGGGGATACCGCCGCCGCCGAGCGGGCCACCGCCGGGGAAATTCATTGTTTGGAGGGGCTGATGGGGAGCGTACGTTGTATCGTCGTGCGGGGGTTCCGTATCGCCTTGTATGGACGTCCTGGGAGGAAGGATGGCCACAGAGACGTCGTGCGCTTTGTCGCGATCGAGCGGATGGGGCAAGCGGCAGTTTAATATCAGTGACCCTCCACCAAAAAGTTCCTTATCGCTGCGCCGAGATCATTCTGCCTGCTGACACCGCATTTACCCATTACATGTTACTACTCGTAGTTACCATACGTATTACGTAAATTACAAGTTGCCATACCCACCCGTATAATACAGTACATATCCGTACTAACAGTGAGTTCAATGCCCCGAGGCCCTCGACAGCAAACCTCTCCTGAGAAATGAACCCTAATAATGATGAAAGATCTATACAGCAGGCACAAGCGTTGTTTTGGAAACCCCGAATCAGTGAGCCTGATAGCAAACCTCTTGTCTTCTCATTCAACCTTGGAACATTCAACCCGTCTCGCCTCTTAACCATACATAGGTACCTAGATGCTTCCAATGCCTCTGACCAAATACCGCCCGCATACAACTTCGTTGGCACCAGGAAATTCGTCTTTCACGCACACGTAACGATAAAGCAAAACCCAAGAATGAAGAACGCAGCAAAATGATGTGGCCGAGCTCAGGGTGCCACTTTTGACTAACAAGAACCAGCCCTTAACCGGGCGCCGCGACAAAAGGATATACACTTAAGGCTGTTGCTGCAGATCGCAAAACAAGGCATGCATCAATGGGGCAACGTTCTATCCCTTAAGAAATAGATCCACAGCACCGTTGCGCATCGACCGCGTCCGGTCAGGGTGGTCCAAGCCGAGGCAGTCATCCGCATTCGCCGCCACCTCCCAGAGAATGTCATCTGCCCACTGTCAGCTTTGACCTCATCGAACTCCGATCATGGATGACAAGACTCACCATCTGTCAAATATTGCGGTCTCGAGAACTGCGTCCGCTTGACAACAGCAAACTTGATCTTTTCGAAACTCTTGCCTTTGAGTCCCGTCCGCTTCTCAAGCCGCTTCTTGGTATCCGGAAACTTTTCTCCTTCTTTGAGCAGGAACCTGAACGGGATCCCATGTGCCCTACTAGGCTCTCCATGGAAGTGGAACACCGAGATGAAGTGCGTCGGATCTTGCTCGCCGACTTCCTCTGATGGTATCCGCTCAGCAATCACCGTCGTGTAGTCGTTGATGCTGATGACCGGATAGTTCCGGTCCAGTTCTCTGAAGAATTTGTGGTTACTGATCTCATATATGCGAATTGGCCCAGCCTCTTCTTCGCTGGGGATCTTGGCCTTCTTCACTAGACAGTCGATGAGATCTTCCACCTGGCCGTTTTTGGGAACCAGAACGTCATACTGGTCCTGCACTGGGTCAGCTGAGTCCAATCGACACATACTCGTACCACCAACCTCTTTTGTGATCCCTTCACTCAGAAGGGTGAGCTTGATGCTCTTCTTGGTATCCAGTTCAGCAAGGCTCATGTCGAGGACCTCGAAGAACAAGGCGTCGTTGCGCTGATTCATGTTTAGTTGTCCGTAGCCTGCTGGCATGAGAATGCTGCCGAGCGTCTGGTTCTGGCCGCGCTTAACCGCTGTCCTCGGGTTGCTGGAACTAGCGTTGACAGTGTAGAACCGCAAATGCGTCGGTTCGACGCCCAACTTCTCGCCAACCTTCTCCGACAGCTTGTCGTAACTCATCCTGGAGTTCAGGACCATTTCGAAGGGCGGGTATGCCTCTGGGTCACATTTCTGAGGGTGTGCGCGGAACGCGACTGTCCGCTTGTTGAGCAGGAAGTCGTAGTATTCACGCGCATCTTCGCACCGGTCCAAAGATTTCGTTCTACTAGAAACGTCAGCGCCATCCATCTCGCAGTAGACCAAGGCACGTGTAACTGACGCCTCTTCGGAAGACTGCCTGTCGCTCTTGTCGCCAAGTCCTAACCTCGACTTGCGTTCGTGAAGCCGCTGGAAGCAAACGATGTCGCCGTCCTGGAGCTCCGCTGTCTTGAGAGTTTGCTTGCCTTTCAGGACCTCAATCATGTTGGGTTTGATTTCCTAGGAGCGATCAGCAACTCGTCGTTACGGCCTAAGCATTGGTTGATGTTCTTACCTCCCAAAGCTGAATCTTCTCGTCGCTCGACAGCTTCTCCCAACCCATCTTCTTCATGATGACGGGAATCAGCTCCTCAACCTTCTTTTCCTTGCTGATGTACACATGGCCGACGCCTCTCAGCGTTTGGGCCTCGGCATCGAACCATTTGAGGAAGAGCAAGATGAGGTCATTCTTAACGACGACCCCGTTCTGCAAGCCCTGATGGGTTGGCCAGTTGACGGCACCATCCGAGGCCACCTCCTCGGCGACTTCCACCCAGACACGTAGTGCAAAATCTCTGTGCGCCGCAGCTCTAGTGTATGTTTCCTCAACAGTCGGGCGGAGGTCCATCACTGGTTGATCCGGGCGGATGGTCTTGTTTTGCCGGTTGACCATGATCCAGAGTCTAACACGTTTCGGGTCCTGCTCAATATTGGCGGCAATCATGTTAACCAAATCTTGCATCGTCGCCGAACGAAGGACGCGGTAGAACCTAGGTGCTGCGGGATCCTGGTCTGGCGTCGCATCAAAATTGGTTAGGTCGGTGCCACCATGTTGTCTAAATGTTGCTTCTGTGATGGCCTTGACGCCGAGATAGAGATGTTGCTCTTCCCTCTCCTTGCGCCGGGCCTCTCTGGCAGCGTATTCTTCTTCGAATCGCCGTCCTGCAGAACTGTCAGTTATCCATGGAGCTTGGCCAAACATCGGCATGTTCCGCTTACGTAGATGACCTGGAGTGTCCTCTGCTGTGACTGGGCAAAGGATCTTGTCGAGTCTCGACTTGCGAATGTACACTAGCATGTACGCACTGTTGGGCCGCATCAGGGGACCCTTCTTGTTCCCGAGCGGCCGAACGTGCCCGTTGGGCAACTTGAAGGGGCCGCCAAAGTTCTCTTCCAACACCTCCCGTTTTGTTGCCTTGGTGACCTTGTCGTCGTCGTACTTGTACCACCAACCCTCCTTCTCCGGCTTCAGGAAAGCATAATAGTGGCCAGCATTAGAGTCACCGCTATGTACCAAAACACCGTGCAACTGGTACTCCCAAGGCTCGGACTTGTCGGCTTCCTTGTCCAGGAATGGGGATGCGTCAAACGTTTCTGGGAACTCGTAGCGATCATTGATCTTCATCATGGCGTCGCGCTGAATGTCGTACTCGAATCGTTTGAGCTGTAGATGCAGGACATCCGGAAAGCTCATGAAAATGACGCCCTTGTTAGCGTCCTGGAGTTTGTACTCGTCGCCGGCAAAGTATTGGTTCTCGCCGTCAAGCTTCTCCACCTGGATGTAGTCCTGGAAGCTTTCCAACAGATTCTCGTTTCCGCTGACGTTGAGTTGGACGTCCCAAAAGTCTTCGATCCGGCTCGACTCGTACGGAACGTTGATGCAAGAGATGTACGTCTTGATTTTGCCGCTGAACATCTGCGGCAGCGCCTTCTCGAACGGGGTGCCTTTCATCTTTTCCTCCATGCGTTCCATGAGCTTCCGGGAAAGCTCCTGTACATCCTGCTGCTCGAAGATATGACGCGTCTCCCAGCCGAAAGACTTTGTAAGCTCCGCGGTCCCCACAGCTGTGTTGGAGGTCTGTAGCTGGTAAAAGAGCCTTTGCAAGGTATAGGCGCTGTTATTCATGCTCTCCTCCTGTTCTGTCGGGATACCGTAGATCGCCTATTGGAGGTTAGTTTGGACTTTGAACGATCGGTCGGCGACGTTACCTTTCGAAAGGCGTTGGTGAAGTATAAGGACTGGAGAAGCGAATTCAGATAGCAAGTGGCGCCCTGATTCTTCAGACCAACATAGCCGGTTTCCTTCTTAGAGTCATAGTTGTTGAAGTTGTGCCACAGCACGCCAGTCTCGTCCTCGACTACCCGGACGTACGCGCTGATGTTGGCGCAGTCGTTCTCAATGAGCGGCCGATCCGCATTCTCCCAGACGGTATTGAACATCTTCCGAGTCTCAAGGAACCTCGTAAATCCCCAGTCGCTCTCCTCCTTCGTGAAGCGGTGGTGGGCCGAGTGTTGGTAGAAGATCTTGGGGTGATTCTTGTTCCATAAAACGAGCGCGAACTGCACACAGCAGTGCCAGTCGTCGGGAACATTGTTGGCCTCGAAACCGTGTTCGAGGTAGATCGAGCATTGGTCAAGGACATTGTTGCCAAATGGGAAGAGTAGGATTCGCCTGCGCTGGGAGTTAGCGGCTTTGTCGATACAAGCGGGAGCGCGGTATTGTAGTGTACCATGGATAACCACCAGCGTGGAATATTGGGCCATGCTCCTTCTTGTTCATCGCTCTCCAGTTTTCCACCGTCCATGTGTGGACCTGATCCTCCAAGATCCGAGGCTCTTCGACTAGCGGCGGCAAGACAATCTCTTTCATAACCTCATCTGCGGCATGTCAGCGCATAAGTCGTAATGGATAGCACAGGAAAGCAAAGGATAAACGCACAGTCGCTCGCGAGGACCGTCCCAAGATCCATGGCGTCGGCATTGATGAGGGCAACATTGTCTGTTTCGGTACCATTCGGCTCAACGACATGCTCCTCTGGATCATCGACCATCATGGAATTAGGCGAAGGAGCCTCCGAGTTCTGGTTGATGTCCTGAACGCTAAGGTTAGCGAGGTCGTCGGTTGGCGGGGTAGTCGCGCTCATGTTGGCGATGGCGGGTCTCAGCGGGCAGAGTCAATGGGAAGGAGAGTAGCAAGTTGTTGGGAAGAGGAGGCCGACGAAATGCAAGCCATGGAAAATGTGGCGACCGTTGCATCCCAGGTCGGGGAGCCAATTTGTTGAAAGGAACTCACCATCCTCAAGGGGCCGTATTGTCGGGAAGGCACGACTTTACGATGGAAGCCACCGAACTGGCGCCTGGAGCCACTGTCGGGCGGCCCGGCAGCGAATCTAACAAGCAAATCGCAAGATAGGTACTGAGAGACCCTACAGTCCCTGAGAGACAAGATGCAAGCTGCGGCAGCAAGAAAAGCAAAAGGCTAAACAGTGCTGGTAGCAGTGGCACGCAGCAAGCAGTAATATGCAACTTGAGGAAGCTGTCAAGACAATGAAACTGAGGTTTGAACCACCACTCCACACTCTGGGGTCCGGTCGTGGTGCAAGAGGGCGCAGCCATGGCTTGGCCAGCTTTTTCGGCACGGACTTCAAGAGCAGCGGGTACAAGTACCTCGAGGCTCGGCACGTCAATGGATACTTGATGCTAGCCCCACTACTTGATGTGTGGCGGCAGCGATGAAGTACCTGCTTAACGAATCCTTCAAAGAGGGACCAGTTTCACGCCCCTCTAATGACGTGTGTTGCACCGAGACAGTCCGGCTGGGGCTGCCCGCTGCAGGTTACAGTTCGCTGTGTCGGAGGCATAGCAAATAGGTAGGCAAGTAGAGGTTCTAGGATTGAATTGCGCTGAATATGGTAATGGTTATAGTTAAGTCCTCAGATTGCTCAAAGCGAAGTATATTTCTCCTGTGCTTCTCAGCTGTTCTAAGGTGGCGTCTATGCTCCTCGCTTCATTGTTTCCATCGTTTTCGAGGTGGGGAGCAGTCTTGGTCTTGTCGTCCTTCGTGTCAGGAAGTTCACGGGCTGCACAAGAGATCTAGTGAGGTGCAGTCTGAAAATCTCTAGTTCAGCCAGATTAGGAGGGCAATGTGTTAAGCCACAGTAAGTAGACTAAACCCTTGAAATATACTGTGTGCCGAGGGAATGCAGCTTGAATGCGCTCACCACTGGCAATGAGCAGTTGAAGATCCCGTGCCTGAGACAAGCTGGTATGTATTGTAACTTACCGTGCGGCTGTATTGTGATTTAACCAATAATAAACGGCCGTTGTTGCCGTCATCAAGAGCCCTGCTCCGCATGTGCAATGCCGCGAGAGGACCCGCAACAGGGTGTATGTTTGGTCAAGCTGCGTTCACTTGACAGTTGCGATATCGCAGAACTTGAACACATCATCCGAGCAAGTTTAAGGGCTGTTGCACCGAAGCATCGCGACGGCTGGGATATGACCAGCATAGCTGTTGCTGACTCACAGGCTCTGCGGTAGCTAAATAGTCACCCTTCCCGATGTAAACGCAATCGGCAACAGTCTCTCTGTCTGTCCCAATGACCCATTCCTCGCCACATTCACCGACTCTGAACAGTTAACCAGCTGTCCTCGACGAATCCGCCGCTCTCCTCGCATGGCAGCTACGGCATGCCGCGAATCTCGGTGCATCATGCCACGGCGTTTGCCCGGCTGATGAGGAGGGCAGGGCGGCCGGGCACGGCTGCACGTGTGTGCTTGCCAAATCGGCCAATAGCGCGGTATTCGCATGTTCATAGCCCGACATGGCGTCCTGTCTCAGTCTTGGATGAGTACGAGCCTCCACTTATGTCTATGCCGCTATCCTGCCTGTTCGGCCGTACCGCTGCGACTCCTATGCTCACTCATTCTTTGGGATAGATGGGTTGCGAAAGAAGCTCGCCCTATCAGTCTGCGCCAGCTCATGGTGTTTGGGCGCTCGTTGACCGAGTCGAGACTGATCAGCTCGGCCAACTACGTGAGGACGGAGCTCCCAACAAGGCAAGCGCGTATTCTGTGTCCGCTATCGAACGCCGTCCTGACTGGATTCTGCTCCCAGAATCGCCCACCGGATCCGTGACATGCAACAGCTGCCCTATGTGGTCGTCACCAATCCCCACATGAGCGAGGTTTATGACTTGTATTACACTGCCTTCGACACGTTCCGCAAGGTGAAAGACATCAAGACGCTGGAGGACAACGACCGTTTCTGTCAGACGATCCGTTCCATGCTCAAAGCCCACCTGACGGTCATTCCCAAGCTGGCAATGGGCATTCTCGAGTGCAATGGCCTCATGGCCGCGGCAGAACTCGACAAGTTCATGAATACCATTCTCCGATCTGTATGTTTAGCCTAAACGGCTTCCGTTCATCTGCTAGGTCGCGGCTGACATACCACCCTCCCCGTAGCGCATTTCGCGCCGCGTAATCGCCGAACAACACCTCGCCCTAACCGACACCTTCCATGCACCCTGGTTCTCCCCGGGCGCCAAACTCTCCGAGTCTGAATTCATAGGCGAAGTTTTTCTCAAGTGCGTCGCAAAAGATGTGGTATCACGCTGCGGCAAGGCAGTCCACGATATTGTCCGGCGCGCCTACGGCCCTGATATAACCCTTCCCGAGATTCACATTGACGGCCACCTCGACGCCAACTTCCCCTACATCCTCAGTCACCTCGAGTACATCATCGGCGAGCTGCTGCGTAACTCGGTCCAAGCCGTAGCCGAAAGACACCAGCGGCGCAAGGACAAGGCGGCCGATCCTGATAAGCCCCCACCGCCCATCGAAGTCACTATCTGCGAAAGCCACCAACATGTGATCATCCGCATTTCCGACCAAGGCGGCGGCATCCCCCGCGAGAAGATGCCCTACCTGTGGTCCTTTAGCAAGGGACCCGCCAGCGGCAAGATCCTGGCCAACCTGGGCAAGGTGCCCAAGATGGCGGCGACGATGCAGGAGCTACAGGTTGAGGGCGAGGAAGACGAACACGGCAGTCGTATTGCAGCAGCAGAGAACGCCGGGAGAGGCAACGAGATCAGCAGCTCTTTGGCCTCGCTATCGAGCCGGCCGCCCAACCTGCGGCTCGGCATGGGCTTGCCGCTGAGTAGGGTATACGCAGAGTACTGGGCTGGCAGCCTGGCGCTGCACAGTCTGGAGGGATATGGCGTGGATGCTTTTCTGCAAATATCCAAGCTCGGCAACAAAAACGAGCAGTTGACGACGCGGGCTAGTATGGACGCTGTCTAGATGAAGGCGTCTATGAGGCTATCCAAGGACAATCCAGCTCGCTGTCTGGGAGCGGACGTGGTATTACATATAGCCCCCAATCTTCACAGAGCTCGCCTTTTGTTTGCAAGACAGGCAGCCTTTCTCATTATCTGGTATCATGAAAGGGGCAGCTAAATTACATCATTCCTAACGTTCGACTAAAAGGGAGGCTCTGGAAAGAATCGGCTAAGGAGGTCGAGTCCTTTGTGAGAGAAGTGCTCAGGACCTCCTATCCTCGGGGAATCTGCGCACCTTTTTCCCGTTTGCTATAGAATAACTGCGAGGGGTAGTATGACGGAGGAAAACAAAACGAAAAGAGAAGGGCCTGAAAGCAAAGCACGTGTGTGTCAACCAATTATTCTGCCAGTCACCATGAAGCAGCTTCCAGGAATCATGCCCCAATAAGCCAGAAATTCGGTTGCGCAGGACCGGGAGCGCCTGGGAACCCCAGGTATTCAATAAGGTCAAAACGTGCCCGTGAACGGCCTCGAATGGAGTCCAGACAAGACAGGGTCCCTCGAAACGCCGATTCCCTAACGACGTCCATGGCTGCGAACGGCACTGCCCTGCAGCTGCTCCAGCTCCTGCTCGAGCTGCTTGATCTGGGCGTGCGTCTGCTCGAGATCCTTGTTGAGGCGATCGCGCTCGGCGATGAGCTTCTGCTCCCATTGCCGGAAGCGCTGCTCCTCGATCTTGACCTGCTCGGTGAAGCGCTTGCGGAGCGCATCCTCCTCCTCCTTGAACTTGGGGTTGTCCAGCTTCCGCGGGCGGGCTTCGCCGAACTTGCGCGTCTCCATCTGCTGCGCGCGATATGCCTCGTAGTGCAACTCCTCGGTAGTATGGATCAGGTCCAGCATGTGGGTGCGGATCAAGATCGACCGCAGCTTCTTGAAGTCGCAATGGTCCTCGTTCTCGACCTCGGCCACGCCCCACGAGTACTGGCGGCCCTTCACGATCCGTCCATCGTTGGTCTTGACGTCCTTCTCGGAACCGATCACGGCGAAGGGCATAGCGGCCATCAGGCTGCGCGCATGCTGCGCGGCAGCCTCGTCATCCTCCTCGATTGGCGGCTGGTAGATTTTGATGTTCTGGGCCTCGATGACGGCGCGAATCTAGAACGTATTAGCACGAGATGACTGAGGGAGCACAGTGGCCGCCTGATGCTCACTCTCGACTTGAACTTGGCCAGATCCGCCGGGCTGAGGGTATCAGCCTTGGCAATGACTGGAATAAGGTTGACGCGTGAGCATAGCCGCTTCATGACTTCGATATCGAGTGGCTTCAGGGTGTGGCCGGTGGGGCGGATGAAGTACAAGCAGGCGTGCACGCGCAAGTCGATCTTGTCCTGGCGGCGCGGCTGCTGCTCCTGAAGCATGTAGGACTCATGCTGGTCGTCGAGAAACTCGATGATGGGCATCCACGAGTCACGGTTGTTGACATAGTCGCCGAAGCCCGGGGTGTCGATGACAGTCAGGCGAACTAGGAACGGGTTAGCACCCGCAACTGTGCTTGCTCTTCTATATCCACGTGTCGACGCGTACCCTTAAAGAACTTCTCTTCGAGCTCAGCCTTGGTGATCTCGATCTCAACCGTCTTGTCGATCTGTTTCTGGTGCCGGCGCTTGTGATCGGCGTAGTTCTTGATTGTCGTGGAGAAGAGCGTGTTAATGAAAGTCGTCTTGCCCAACCCTGACTCCCCGGCAACCTAATAGAAGGTCAGAAAGCGGCTGCAACGCCAGCGGGACACATCATCTGACCATAATCGTGAATGCTGCACCCCTCTTCGCGACAATCTTGTGCCGCTGGTTGGGCAGATTTGCAATGCCAATCGGCGACGCGCTCTCGGCAGTGGCAGGAGCCATCTTGGATTAAAGACTGATCGGAATGACGTAGAAGGACGAGGGTATCAAAAATTGTGCTGCAACGATGGCAGCGAGGACAATTGGGAGGAATGTCGCGAGGGCAGAAGCGTGGTGATTTGCAGTTCACCGGTACGAGATGGAGACAGGAGCTCGGGCTTCAGGGGAATTTGGCTGTCAAATTTCCAGACCAAAGTGATCTGCCAGCCGTGCACGGAGCACCAGCAACACGGCAACCAGACTTCAAAATTGAGTGGGTCGTGCCCCTTTCCCGCATTCTCCGCAGTCCTCTCACAGAAGCCGGCCAGAGTCCCTCGACCAGCGGGCCTGAGCCTTGGAATCTCGGAACCAAGGAGAAAGAATTTGCCGTCCCCGCCAAAAAGTTCCAGAACGGAAAGCGAGTGTACCTAGTCTTCAGGAAATTTTGGCGGGCATAGCATACACTTGCGACATCCCACCCACTTTGGCGATTGGAGCTTGCTGCAGGTTGATTTCTCGGCTTGAGATGGACAAGAGGTGATCATGAAGACGGATTTCAAGTTCTCCAATCTGCTGGGGACAGTCTACTGCCAGGGCAACCTCCTGTTCAGCCCAGACGGCACCCATCTGTACTCGCCCGTCGGCAACAGAGTCACTGTCTTCAACCTCGTCGAGTATGCATGTTGCGTCGTGGAGTCGTCGGGGCCTTACGCTAATAACTCAACTGCAGTAACAAGTCATACACCCTCCCCTTCGCCCACCGGAAGAACATCTCGAGAATCGGCCTGACCCCGCAGGGCAATCTCCTCCTCTCGATCGACGGAGATGGCCAAGCCATTTTAACCCACGTCCCCCGCCGTATTGTACTATACCACTTCTCCTTCAAGTCGTATGTGACGGCCCTTTCGTTCTCACCATCTGGGAGGTACTTTGTGGTTGGACTTGGGAGGAAAATCGAGGTTTGGCACGTTCCATCGACACCAGACTCGAATGCGCAAGGCGACCTCGAATTTGCGCCCTTCGTGCGCCACCATACGCACACACAGCACTTCGATGATGTCCGGCATATAGAGTGGTCAAGCGATTCGCGGTTCTTCCTCAGCGCATCAAAAGACCTGACGGCGAGGATATGGAGCTTAAACGCGGAGGAAGGTTTCACCCCTACAGTCTTGTCAGGACACAGGCAGGGAGTGGTGGGCGCTTGGTTCTCTAAGGACCAAGAAATAATCTACACGGTCAGCAAGGATGGCGCCGTCTTCGAATGGCAGTATACCACAAGACCAGGCCAGGACGAGGACGAGATGGTGGACGAATCAGACGAGCGGTGGAGAATCGTCAGCCGACACTACTTCATGCAGAATGCCGCGACCGTCCGATGCGCTGCCTTCCATGCCGCCTCGAACCTGCTGGTCGCAGGCTTCTCGAACGGCGTATTTGGGCTGTATGAGATGCCAGACTTCAACATGATCCATACGCTTAGCATCTCGCAGAACGAAATCGACTTCGTGACGATCAACAAGAGCGGGGAGTGGCTGGCCTTTGGAGCGTCGAAACTTGGTCAACTGTTGGTGTGGGAGTGGCAGTCCGAGTCGTACATCCTGAAACAGCAGGGGCATTTCGACGCCATGAACGCGCTCGCCTACTCGCCGGACGGCCAACGGATCGTCACGGCGGCAGACGACGGCAAGATTAAGGTGTGGGACATCGAGTCTGGCTTTTGCGTCGTGACCTTTACCGAGCACACCAGTGGCGTGACAGCCTGCGAGTTCGCGAAGAAGGGCAACGTCCTCTTCACAGCAAGCTTGGACGGGTCAATCAGAGCATGGGATTTGATCAGGTTCAGGAACTTCAGGACTTTCACCGCGCCCGAGAGGCTCTCCTTTTCCTGCATGGCGGTCGACCCCAGCGGCGAGGTTGTTGCAGCAGGGTCTATCGACTCCTTCGATATCCACATCTGGTCTGTCCAAACAGGCCAACTGCTTGACCGGCTTTCCGGTCACGAAGGGCCGGTGTCGTCTCTGGCTTTCGCGCCGAACGGCGGGCTCCTAGTCAGCGGCAGCTGGGACAGAACAGCTAGGATATGGTCCATCTTCAATAGGACACAGACCAGTGAGCCCCTGCAGCTCCAATCCGATGTTCTGGACATCGCGTTCAGACCGGACTCGTTACAGATTGCAATCTCCACGCTTGACGGCCAGCTGTCATTCTGGTCCGTCTCGGAAGCGCAGCAGATTTCTGGCGTCGACGGGCGGCGCGACGTCTCCGGCGGCCGCAGAATAACAGACCGGAGGGCTGCAGCGAACGTGGCGGGAACCAAGAGCTTCAACACGATCCGGTACAGCATGGATGGTTCGTGTCTCCTGGCTGGCGGCAACAGCAAGTACATCTGTCTGTACTCCGCCACCACCATGGTGCTTCTCAAGAAGTTCACTGTGAGCGTCAACCTGTCGCTGTCGGGCACACAAGAGTTCCTCAACAGCAGGCTGCTCACAGAGGCGGGGCCGGCCGGGCTGCTTGACGAGCAAGGCGAGGCCTCCGACTTGGAGGACCGGATAGACAGGTCATTGCCCGGTTCGAAACGGGGCGACCCATCAGCGAGGAGGAGAACGCCAGAGGTGAGAGTGGCCGGGGTGTCGTTCTCGCCAAGCGGTAGTTCATTCTGCGCGGCGTCAACAGAGGGCTTGTTGATCTACAGCCTGGACAGCACTGTCCAGTTTGACCCGTTCGATCTGAATATGGAGATCACCCCTGCGTCCACACTCGCCGTGCTCGAGCAGGAGAAGGACTACCTCAAAGCGTTGGTCATGGCCTTCCGGCTGAACGAGGCCGGGCTGATCCAGCGCGTCTTCCAGGCCGTTCCGTACCCGGACATTGGGCTGGTGGTGGAGCATTTCCCGACTGTGTATGTGTCGCGGCTCCTGCGGTATGTCGCTGCCCAAACGGAGCAGTCGCCGCACGTCGAGTTCTGCCTGCTCTGGATCAAGGCGCTGGTGGACAAGCACGGCGCGTGGCTGACGGCCAACCGCGGCAAGGTCGATGTGGAGCTCCGCGTCGTGGCTCGGGCAGTGGCCAAGATGAGGGACGAGATCAGGCGGCTTGCCGACGAGAACGTGTACATGGTGGACTACCTGCTTGGTCAGGCGAAGGACAGGTCAGCAAGGGGCCCGCTTGAGCCGGGGAGCGCGGAGGATCTGGGCATGAAGGCGCTGCCGTCGTCGAAAAAGGAGGTGACCATACACGATATCATGGCTGACGAGGCGGCGCAGAGCGAGGAGGAATGGATTGGGCTAGAATAGGTAGGCACAGGCCGGCGTTGGGATTTAACAAGATCAATACCACAGAGGGGGCTTGGTTCAGATGTTTTACAAAGAGCCCATTCCATTTCTGCTTGACTACAGCCTTGACATCTCTTTGCGCGCACTCCGCGCACCCAATACCGTGCATCCTAGGCGTCCGGGACATCCTAGAGCCGTGTTAGCTTATCACAAGTCCAGTCTGGGACGTTTTGACATACCTTCCAGGCTTCGTCAAAGCCACAACTGCGCACCCAGTGTGGGCCGGGCGCCTCAACCGAGTCGACGACCAAGTGGCTGACTCTCTTCCACATATCCTCGCCCTTTACTTTGAGCCAATCTTTGCCTTCGTCTTCATACTTCCTGCAGATGTTGTGGCAGACACCCGTCGCCCTACCCAGCTTGATGGCATGTCCGTCGTCGGGGAAGGTATGCAGGCGGGCGATGATTTCTGTTTGTCACAGGTCAGCAATCAACACTCTAGGTACACAGTACGCTCCGAGCAAGACACAAGCAGTTCTACCGTACCGGGCAGTGACCCTCCAGCATGCGGCTTCTGGGGCTGGTAACTCGCCAGCTTCTCGACCGACAGCTCCGGCACTCCGCGCGCGGCATACTGGAGCAAGTCCATCCTGATCTTCCACTCGATAAGACGCGCCTTGGTCTCAGCCGGAATCCAATCCGCGGCAATGAGCGTCACGAAGATGGGGCTGGCGTTCACGTGGTGCCTGTTTCCTCAGGTCAGTTTTTCACCCCTGAAATCTGCATCTCCATCCGCCACTGTCAAAGATCCAAGCAGGCAACCGGGGTGGGGGGGGGACCCAACTCACATCAAAAAGAAATCAAACTTGGGCCGCTTCCCCTCCTTCACCAGCGCCGCCGCAGCCGCCACGTACAGCGCCGTATTGAACATCTCGGCCGTCCGCTCCTCCACCTCGTCCGGCCGCACCCTCACCCTGGCCGCAAGCTCAATCATCTCCTCCCCGGCACGCGCAAGCACCCCATCCCGGATCTTATTCGCGTCCTCCATCCTCGCCGCAACCGCCAGCTTCCCGTGCTTCTTAACCTCCTCCAACAAGTCCGCCACCCTCACTCCTCCTTCTCCAATAGTAGTAGTAGTAGTAGTAGAGTCCAGACTCTCCCTGGCCGCCGCCCTTTTCTCGGCCCCCAAGAGATACGCCCCAATATCCCCGCTGTGCACAGCAGCCTGCGCAAGCCCCTCGGCCACGACAGCCTCCTGGTTCCACTCGACGCCGTACATGAGCTGGATCAGCGGGTGCAGAAACCCCGCGAACAGCCGCGTCAGCATCGGCTCTTCCTCCCCCCCGCCCTCGGCCTTTTGCTCGTCGCCGTCCCGGCCGCCAATCCCCAGGACATAGCGGCCCACCACGGCCTGCCAGCTGCCGAGGTTGCGGATCTCGTCCTGGAAGAAGCGCAGGAAGTCCGGGTAGTACTCTTCGCGGCCGAAATAGGGCGCTGCCGCGGCGGGGAAGGGCCGGAAGTCAAGCGGCGGCGCACCGGGCTGGGAGGTGTGTGGCGGCAGGGCCGGCCGCTGGTAGCTTGCGTTGTTGTGGTACGCTTGGGCTAGGTGGGATGGTCCCGCGCCGGTGCCGTAGAGGGCCAGGAGGTGGTGTGGGATCTGTTGATTGTATTAGGATTCTGGTTTGGGCTGGGAGGTTGGGAGAAAGAAAGGATGGAATGGATGGGAAGGGAGGCCTACGTGGTTGTGGAAGCCTTCGTTGTTGAAGAAGACGTGGTGTTTCTTGTTGGGTGATTGACGTTAGTCTAGGACGGACTTCTTAGTCGCGGGTGTATGCATACTTCCATGTCCTCCTGCAACAGCTCCGAGGCCTTCTTGGCTGCCTCGTCGGTCTGCTTAATGCGCCAGAGACCCGTGTTGTCCGGGGTGACGTGCATCTTGTACGGGAGATCCGCAACGGAGGCCATCTTGCTTCGGGCGGGCATGTGAATTGCTCGTGGTAAAAGCGTGGTGGTCTGAAGAGAAGGTGGTGTTCGTGCAAGGTAACGCATCAAGCCAAGGTTTAGACTTGGAGTGGTGGCCAACACTTGGGACACAGAGTTAGCACCAGCCCTCATTCTTATACTCGTCAAATGCCGTCACCATTATTAATCAGGTGCATCCTTTCATCACTTGATGTAGCACTACACGCCAGTTCTGGCACGCTCTTACTAGTAGACGGTACAATTTGGCGCCGACAATCTCGGCGGTCCAGTGCTCCGAGCCGACTGTCCTGAACGTGCCTGAGTATCCTCAAGTAACCGTCAACGCATCGTACCGACCAGCGATATGACCCTTCTGCGACGCCGACAATCTCCGTCGGAGTAGGAGATAGCTCGGTGAAAGCGATGAGGGGTCATTGGGACTTCAGAAAGAATTACTGCTTCTGCAAGAAGGATTGCTTCCAAGTGCCACATATGAGCCGTCCCCAGTCTAGATGACATCATGCCTGTCGCAGTGCAGTCGGGATCGGTCGAGTTACCTGACCGATTCTCCGACACACCACTCTCACCTTCACACCGTTGCTCAGCTTCGGAAGCAAATGTACCTTAAATGGAAGCAAAAGCAACTCAAGCCCCCCGCTGGTGTAATTCAATTCATGGAAGTTGGAGCCCCCTCTATCTTCGACTCCCGTGACCCAACAACTCCAGGGGTATGTATCTCTAAACATCGGCCGATGAGGAACGATTATTATAAGGGTCTCCCGGATCGACCATCCCAATTAACCGTCATTGTCCTGTCTCAGCCCAGTCATTTATTCCCTGTGCCTGCTGGGACTTCTATGGTCCCTTCTCGACGACTGCTGGTTAATCAGCCGCTGCGCTGTGGTCTTGTCATAGCCAATTATCCTGGTCAAATAATAGAATCTGCAGGATCAGTCAGTATCATCGGAGATGCTGCAACTTCTTTTATTAGGAAAGTGGGAGCTTACTTCTCTCTTTCCGCCTCCGCCGCCCTCAGATCCTCCCATCTCTGCTGGCACTCCATCCAGGCCACAGCCCTTTTCTTGGCGTTGATCTTCTTGACCTCAAACCTGAAGCGCCCGCTGACCGGCCGGTGGTCCGACACTCGCACTTCGTGCCGCTTGTAATCCAGCTGCTCGATCCGCCCGCGGCCGGCCCCGCACCGGTACAGCAGCCGGTCGCACCACGCCGGACTCCGCCGCTTTTCGCTCGTGTCGTAGTTATCCGTGCCGACGTCGTACTTGTACGTCGGCGCGAAAGAGATGGGCATCTCCTCAAACGCGCGCAAGCGGAAGTTGGGATTGCGGCGCCGCGCGACGAGCAGCTGGTCGCGCTCGAGCAGTTTGGCGAGGTTACCTGCCTTGACGGCATTGACGACCGTGTCGCGGCTCATGGTGTCGATGCGGTAGTTGAGATCGCCGTTGAGAAGGCAGAGCTCGTGGTCGAGGATCATGGAGCCATCGCCGCCTCCGACGAAGCTGTCGATGCGCACGGCCGGGTCGCGCTCGGCGGGGAGGAGCGTCGCTTCCAAGATGGCCGCGATGTCGCTATGTCGCTGGTTGGCCGCCGACTGTCCGGCCGCCAAGTGGCAATTGATGAAGCAGAGCGACGTGTCGTCCACCATGAAGCGCACCACGATGGCACCCTTGTTGCCGTGCAGCCCTCCCATGCCGCGCTTGACCTCGGCGCTGCTCAGGTTGCTAATGCGCTCGCGGAGATCTGCCTTCACGAAGATACACGTGAACAGGCCTACGAGCGGTGCCGTGTGGAGGACGTGATAGAGGCCACCGCTCGACATGTAGTCGTCTAGGATTTGCACCAGGAAGTTGCGCCAGTCGCGGTACTGGTGGCTCATCCTTTCCTGGTCTGCGCCCTCCTTTTTCTTCTTCCCTTGCTTGAGAAAGCGTTCTGCAGGAAGATATTAGTATCCCATGTTATGGCGCACATTATAGCGGAAAAGGGGGGGTTTATGCTCACTCGCTGTCGCTGTCTTGTCCTCCAGGTCCACAAGCTCCTGGAAACCAAAGACAATAATGTCTGGCGAATCGCTACTCTGCAGGAGTTTTTGAAAGAATGCCGCGTCAGATTCGGAGTAGCGCAGGCTATGGGGTGTCGAAGCACCCGCGTTCCATGTCAGGACGAGGGCCTTGATTTTCTCAAAGCTGCAGTACTCGGTGTCTTTGCGCTTCATCTCGTGCTCTAACCAGTCATCTTGGAGGAGCCCATCCCAGGTACGCAGCATGTTATCCGCCCCTAGCGAGACCACCTGGCACCGGTCGAGCTTGTAGAAGCTGGAACGGTCGGCAACCACGTTGATGACGGGATTCTTATGCGCCTGCCACTCTTTTTTCAGAGTCCACGGCGTCTGGTCCATGTCGAATACCGACATTTTGCCCGTATTATACCCAGCCCAAATGTACTGACCCACTCCGACTAGTGAGTTGATCTTATACTGGCTGACGTTCATTACCCCAAGGCACGAGTAGTCCTTCCTTGAGTAGATGCTCACTTTCCCGTCGCTATGCCCGAAGAAGACCTTGTCCGGTTCTGATGTGAGCAGGGTGCCCGATGTTACTTCGCCTGCGCTGTCTTGCCCCAATGGTCGCATCAGGACTTGGAACTGCGTCCTCCCCTCGAGAGTCGGCAGGAAAATCCGTATCTCTTTGCCTGTCGCGTGCCAGAGCTCATCACCCACAACTATGGAGAACACATGCCCCTTGGGCAGGCGGTAGGACTGGGTGGGACCCAGGGACAAGTTCGGCACGCCCCTGTCGTCGGGACCCCAGACGTGGAGCGTGCCGCTTTCATCCAGCGTCCACAATTCGTTGAAGTGCCTGTATATCTTGATGATTTCACACCGCCCATGGGCGTTAGGCTTGTTGTCGGTGATGCGCTGCGACAGGACATCGGCTTCTAATAGCTCGCCGAAACTGTTGCCGATCCAGACCCGTTTGCCCTCCTCATCAACGTTTTCCCCTGGCTTGAACGCGACCGCAGTCCCCTTCATGCCTTCACCCATGGCCAGGCTCATGACGAGGTCGCCATCTTGTACGCTCCAGGCTCGTGTGTAAGTGCCAGTCGTGCAGACCAATCCGCAACACACATCAAACATCCGACTGTCGTAGTTCGTCGCAATCTCGTGCACGCCTTTTGCGATATAAGGCTTGCTCCGGTTGGTTTTCGAGGTATCCGGGTACGCCGCGGTCACGGGTGCAGACGTGTCGGCCCTCGCGGAACCCCCCGGTTGGCCGTCTGAGGGCCGCGACTCGATCGGGGTAGCCGGGGCAGTGGGTGCACGGAGATCGCTTGGGATCCTGCTTGACATCCGGTCCACTCCCATGTTCATAGACTTGCCATTGAGCCTTGGGATCGTAGGCGGCGCATGTGTTGTCGGCGTTGACGCAACTCGCTTCTGCGAGCCAACGTCGTGAGGGTAGTTAGTGTTCACAGTTGGTCGGGGCGGCCGCGGTGGCGGTGCTGAAGCCGTCTGAATAGCGCGGCCTGAGTCTATGATACTCACCGGCCGCGCTGGAAGCGCCGGTCGCTGGTCACTAGGCTGCTGTGGACTGGCCGGTTCCCCAGCATTGACGCCCTCTCTTTCTAACCTCCTGGCCACGACTGAAGGATGCAGCGGTGGTGGCTCAAAAGGCTCGCCAGCTGTCTCAAACGTCCTTGACCGCTGTAACTTTTCTGAGTGCGTCTTCGGTCTCGTGGGTAACGCAGGGGGCGACTCCTCCTCGGCAAATCTGCTGCTGCCGGGAGGACTGCTGAAGGGCGAGACCTTGTCTGCGGCGCGATTGTGCGCATCGGCGGGCTGGCTAGGTTGCGAAAAGAGAGAAAAGCGCGCTGCTCCTATCAGAGGCTTTTCAGCCCGATTAACGGGAGGAGGAACGGGTCTGCTGACATCCTTCACTTCTCTTTCCCGTCTTAGCTCCGCGGATCGTCTAGGCGGAGGAGGGGACGGGGGCTTCGAGGGCGCAAGACGGGGCGATCTCTTGGGCTCGAGCACCGGCGTACGAGGGCGACTGGGAATCTTGAATTGCTTGGTTGCCGTCGCTGGCGACGAAGGCTTGACCAGAGAATCGGTATTCACAAAAGCGGGCCGGTCGCCCGTAGGCATCCCAAGACCCATTTTCGGCGGTGAATGAGGAGGTTCGATGGTAAACGACGGGGGATGCGCGGAACGAGGGCTGAGGGGTGGAGGAACAGGGCGTGTGGGAGACGTAGAAAGTCCAATATTGGTGGCTGGGGTTCCGACGGTTGTGACGTTCAGCCTCTCCCTGGGGCGTGTTGCTGGAACGGGAGGTGGCTCGCGCGCCGCCGATGGGCTCACATCTCCCTCGCGTAGCCGCCCGGGCTTCGGTGCCGGCACAGGTGCTGGACCGGGGGATGTAGTCCGGGAAGAGGGCCCGGTCTGCGGTGAGGCATCAGAAGATTTGTTCAGGTTCTCGAACTTGGCTAGCAGCGAGGACACGGGTCTCTAGTAGAACAACCGAGCATTAGAATACTGATTGCGAGCTACCATGCTTGTCAACAGTAATGGCGATGGATCGGGAGTGTACTCACGATGGACGAGCCGTCAGGGCCGTCGCCGCCTGGAGGATCCATGGCCGCAATGTGGGAGAAGAGTAACTTCAAGGATTGTGTGACCCATTCACCCTCGGCCAGGAACCTCCGTATGTCATGGGAGGTTGTGCATCCGGAGCGAGTCTAGACGGTGCGCTGTCTCTGCCACAGGGAAACGAGCGCATGCGCGTTGCGGGACGGTGCATCTGCAAGCAGCGGGGCAGTCGGCTGTGGGCACTGGCAAGGCACTTCTGGTTGTGTTGGATTGCGCCAGAACCTCATCCACGGAGGCAGGGCGGTTTGGCCCCTATTCTTCTGGTCCGATTCGGTTCCGCGTCTTGAGGGCACTTCCTGGCGCTGTTGGGGGAAGCATGTTGGTGCAAAGTGGGTGCCTCTAAGCCGCGCAAGGGCAAATGACGATGTGCTTCCCCGTTGGGTAATTGGGTGTCTGAGATCCGGTTGCGACCCACCGGCCAGCCATTTGCCGCAGGCAGGGGCCGGGACCCCAAGTTTCATGCTTGCCGTGGATGAGTAAATAACTAACGGTACTCCGTAGTTTTACAAAGATGCGTACGAATTAGCGGTAATTACACAGTCTCGTGTATTGTACGGTGGCTCTTCAACCAAAAACACCTGCACATAACCCTCAATAAAGGACTATCACTTATCGCATTACGTACTCTTCTTCCTCCTCTGCCTCTTCCTATTCATTTCCCCCCTCTTCTTCTCCATTTAATTCTATGTGATCGAATCCCGAGTGCTAGAATCTTGGGGCTAATGTGATGTTATGTGTAATGTCTAGGTACACTAGGAATGCGTGTCCTTACGTGCCGTTTCGGTTTTACCCCTCGTATACCGCAGACATACATACACACCTCACCTAGGTAGAGGATCGATACCACAACACACCTGAGGTACGGATTACACTAATAGGGATGCCACTTTTTAGAGGTGCGGTATTTCCAAGACTGATTCTCCCCAATACAGAATGCACGTTGTACTATGCATTGCCAATGGACAGGTTTCTGTAAAAACTTGCGTATTTTTCACTAGCAGTCATTGGTACGACACGTCCTGCAGTGTATTACCATTACAGGTGGTTGTATACTACATGTCGATGAATCATCCACAATGAGCCAATGAGCAGGGTTCAAGGGTGCTGTCTGGAATCGTCCCACCTGAGCTCGGCTCATATCCATTGCATCACGCGATTCCAAACCGAACATTTCTCTCTCACTGTCCAAGTTCCTTATTAGCGCTTTGCAACTACTACTTCAAGAGCGGATCTCAAATCATCAAAGGACCATGAATACCGTAAGTAGCTGGGAGTGATATATCGACCGGCAGCGCAACTAACATCTTCCTGAACAGGTCAAGTCCTTTTGGTGAGGTGCATCGCAGTCCATGTGTTTCGCTCCACGCTGACATATCGTAGGCTGGGCTGGGGCTCTCTGTGTGCCGGTATGGCAGATCTGCGCTCCCTGGTTCTTGACCAAATGAATGTTGGATGCTAACGACGACTGCGCACTCTCAGCCGGTGGCGTGGCATACTACGTCGCGAAGCGCAACATCAACGCAGATCGTCAATCCCGGCTAGAGGAACAACGGAGGAGGAAGGCGGTTGCCGACTCGCTCGAGCACTCCCAAAACATTGCGAGTAGAGGATATGACGAGCCAGCGCGAACGGACATGGCGTACTCGCCGAGCCAGGAGTCGAGTAGCGACCCAGCACCGACACGACACGCACCCGTTACTGAGCAACAAAGGATAGTAGAGAAGAGCAAGTACGAGAGCAGCCAGCCGTTCCGGAGTCCGAAAGGGGATCGTTTTTCTTGAACGAATACCGGTGGATGACTGGCCATCACAACAGCATGGATTGCCTCTCCTGGGGTTCTTACAGGGTGCATAGGAGTATGCCTCGTGGGATGTATCACCGATGGAGGTGGAATACCGAGAAGTCGCCTGTGTCGACGGCAGTCCTCATCGTGGCGCATGTTTTCTGCCAAGACAACCTATTCTCCTGGTGTGCTTGGGAAGGCACGGATCGGTGTTTTGGATGGCATATGAACGTACATACGTAGGAGCTGTACAATAGACACTGAAAGTGCTAACTCCCTCACGCAATCGTATATTTGTAGCAGAAAGCCTCCGATCATTCAGCCAATCATCTTAGACAGAGAATGTGTGGGTCCCAACGGCTCTGTGGGCTGGCTTGGCGACTTTCCATCGAAACTGCGGAAGGTTGAATGCGCTCGGTATTTTCCGTCAAACCGACGCGCTTGTCCACGAAACAGCCGCACATCCAAACGCCAACAGCAGCGCTCTTCGGCCGTTGCTCGTGGCACCAGCAACCATGGCGTCGGCGGAGCTTATCGTCGCCAAGACGGCGCTGTCAGGGGCTCTGTTCCGCGCCGACCCGCGGCCATGCTCACGCGACGATATCGAATCGATGATCGCCCTCGTCAACTCGACCGTCGCCGAGTGCTCACCCCCCAATGTCCAGGTTTGATAACGCGCTTCATCCGTGTCGCTTTTCCCGTTGTTTGGACGCATCGGCTAAGCCGCACGCCAGAGATGCAAGCAATGGGCTCTCAGCAATTTGGTTCCCTCGTCGGCTCGGGTTGCCTCGTTCTGCAAATACCTGGCCGCTCTCTCCAAGTCGTTTGGCGGGGAGAAGGATGCCGTTTCCCCGGACAGTCAGAGAAAACGTTTGCCGTCTGCAAAGCGCCGACGCCTGCACGTCCTGTATATTCTGAACGACATACTCTACCACGTCAAGCATCGCAATCACGACGAAACTTTCGCCCAGAAGCTGGAGCCGACGCTTCCTGTTCTCGTCGGAAGTGCGGCATCTTTCAAAAACTGCCCTAAGCATATCCGAAAGATCCACGATCTTATTGGGCTATGGGAGGAGAAGGGCTACTTCCCCCGCAGTTTCATTCAACAGCTTCGGACTGCGGTTGACGAGGGGCTATCATTGCCGAAGGAGGGACAGAATGGCGACGAAGCCGACAATTCAGCCAGCGCCCTGGCCAAAGCAGCGAAGACAGCGCCTTGGGTCATGCCGGCCATGCACGGGGACCCCTCAATCCCGTGGTACGATCTGCCCGCGGGGAACTGGCTTCCGGTCTTGGAGCCGAACTCGACCCGCCCGATGAACCCGTCAATGATCAAGCCCCTGGTCCTAGCACAAGGGCCAGCCGACAAATCCCTCGTGGAAGCGGTAAAGAATCTGCTGGCGGATGTCGATAGGATATACTCCAAAGAAGCCAATTTTGATGAGCCTGCGTCTGATATCAACCGCCTAGGGGAGCGCGTCGAGATTGACGAGATCACCGGGGAGACGGTTGGCGGGGATACGTACTATGGCTGGTCTCGTGCATTCTGCGAGAAGATGAAGCGTCGGCGACGAGGGCGCAGCGATCGGAACGACCGGGCCGATCGCGAAGCTAGGCGTGGCAGGAACGGCTCATCACCATCACGCAGCCGGTCGGAAAGCCAATCACGAAGCTGGTCATCACGAAGCCGTAGCCGAACCTCGAGCCGAAGTGCGAGACATGCTACCTTCAAGGGCAAAAGACGGTCAGTGTCTCCGCAGGATAGACGGCGCGGTCGCGGTCGCAGTAGGAGCCGCACTCCGAGTAACCGATCCAGGAATCGCAGCTACCGTCGATCGCGAAGTCGGCTCCGTTCTCGGTCTCCGCAGCGGTCACAAACCAGGTCCATGCCCCGTGGAGACAGATACCAGCAAGAACGCTACAACCAGAATGGTGATTACCAGCCACAGAGTCCGGACTTCTCTCCATCCCGTTCCAGAAGCCGATCCTGGAGCCCACCTCCTCCGCGCTCCAACGAAGCGCCGAGGCCGGGTTTCATTCCCCCGAACCCGCCTCCTCCCGGTAGCTGGAATCAACAACACCCGCCCTTGTTTCCGCCGTCAATGCCTTTTCCGATTCCCCCACCTTCAATTCCGCCTCAGCCCGGGTTCGGTCTAGGGTTCCCCATTCCGCCACCTCAGCCTCCGAACTATCAGGGCCCGTGGCCACCTGCCCCTCCACCCATACCGCCGCTGGCAATGGGTCAGCAGCCCAACTTCTTTGTACCCGGTGGGAACGCGGTGCCGCCTCCTTTGCCCGGTTCATGGGCCCCACCTCCACCGCCTCCACAAGCTCCGGGAGGGCATCGGAATGGATTCTATCAACAAGGGCGCCGCGGGTGAGGAGTGTCAGGGTGGGAGGTGTGTGTGATGTGGGTGATTCATAAGAGTTGACAGGGCGCTCAACAGGCTGCTGCTTTATCGCCTCGCGGCTGATTTTATGCGGACTTATTTGTGCTCTAGCATTCGTTGTATGCAATGAGGGGATGGCTGAAGTGAATATGACCGTTGCCGTAGTCTGATCTACTATATATATGATAAGCTATAAAAACAGTTTGCATGAGGGTTGCTCTGTGATGTGACCGAAGCATCCTGGATGGAAGTGGAAGCTTGATCCCACCGTATCAGTCGATCAGCGGGCTTCGGAACATCACTTCTGGGTCCGGATTTTATTGCCAACCGCTTTCGCCGCGACTGACATACTGCTTTCTAACGCATGGGTGATTTCTGCTCCTGGCCGTGAGCGGATCAACTGCAAAACACCCGAGCAAGACAGCGAAACGCAGAGGGAATCCCACGTCTATCATTTGATTACCCTGATGTAAAGAAAATTCAGAGTACCCTAACCAACGCCGCTGAAAACTACCAGGTAATCCGTTCTGTAGGGATAACTGATGCGGCCATGACCTCTTCAGCCCCTTGCCATCCCCTCCACTCTCCTTTTCCTCCTCCCCGAGCACGTCATTCCCTCATCACCGTATCCGCTGGCTTTGAGCCCAAGAAGAGCCGGAGCCGGGCTGGCTGACCTAGGAAGGTAGTAAAATGTACAGTGAGTGGTAACTTGAAGCCACAACACTAATGTGAGGCACAAGCCCAAGCCAACAATACTGCACAAGCCATGCAAAAAGTCTAGCCATTCATTGTCGGGGCCCGCTATAGAAGGGGATCGGTGGAAGAAACAGAAGAAAACAAGCCAAGTGAAAGAAAAATCAACAAAATAGCGAGAGAGAGTAGAATGCACTTGTAGTAGTCGAAAGGGAAAATGCTGAAGGAAGTGAAGGTTTGCGGATCGCATGTTCTTCACTCGTCCGGTTAGCCCAGTCTCTCATGTGTCCAGAGTTACCATACCCTCCCTCTGAGCACTCCAGAGGTCCAGGCAGTTGCTTGCCTAAGCCCACAGCCCAAGCCTAGCCCGACCCTAACTGATCTAGCCCTGCGCTATCTCCAGCGCTAAGACCGGGAACAAGACAGTGCGTAACTCGGACACGGACACGCCGAGTCCGCTGTATCAGCGAAGAGGGAAAGCGAAATACTCCTCGCGCAAGCAAAGAAGCCAAAGCCAAAGCAGAGCACAGCGATGCAGAACATCTCAATGTTGAACGCTTTTGCATTGTTTTCCGCTGGCTGTGCTTATGCCTCTTCCAACGCCCAACTCCTAAAACCAAAAGCTTAAGTGTAGAAAACCAATGGTTGTATTGTTAGGTTTCTTATGGTCGAGGCAGACGAATTGCAAAAAACGGCGCATGCCCTATTAGGGCACATTGACAGAACGAAGTCCGGAGAAAACTGATCGGCAGTTGGCAAAACTCAACGACTCCGTGCGGAGCCAACTGAGTTCTGCCTGTCGTGCATGCCGGGCCGACGGCTCCTATCGCCATCCTGAAGCTTAAGCGAGTCCAGCCGCTTCTGGTTGTCCTCGGCAGCGTCCATCTCATCCACCCTAGGGAGAGTTGGCTGTGCCATACGTGGTGGTGGTGCACCGGTAGCGGCGGTCGACCCATTGGCGGCTTTCCTCTTGTTCGCTTGATCCTGGATGGCGGCCCATTTCCTCTGGCGAAGGGCTTCTCTCGCAGGGGCGCTGTTCTGCTGCTCTGTATATTCATGTGAACAATCGTCAAAGAGCTGCGGGTTGATCTCCATAAACAGCTTCATTGCGTTGTACACCATCCCGTGGATTGTCCTGCATAAATCGGTCAGACATAGGCCGTTGTCGCAGATGAAGTGTCATCACAAACCTGTTCCAGTGGCCCTTTGAGTTCTCATAGAGTGGCGCAAACATGATGGGGAGGATGATTTCGACGTTGTCGCTGACCAAATTGCAGAAGTACTCGTTGTTCCAGAAGTAGAGCGCCCGTTCGGCGACCTGGAAGTGCGGGCTCGCTACTGACTTCGCAAGCTGGTGGAACAGAGGTTCCTGAACCTTTGCGAATTCGGCCGGGTCCATGACCTCGAAGATGTCTTCGACCTCATTAAGGAACATGACCTCCTTGGTGCTGTTAACCTTCGGCCAATACCGCAGGAGACCAAGGACGACCTGTGTGTGCATGTGTTAGTGGAGGGGTGTGATAGGCAACAAGGCCGCGTTGGCATACCTCTTCTGTCAAGGAAGCATCCTTCTCTAGGAACTGCACGATGCAGTAGGCGAGCTGGGGGTGGTACATGCTCAAGCTCTTCACCTTGTGAAGAGGGAGCAGTACTCTTGTCAAGAAGAGCTTGTGTTCTTCCTTCAAGGGTAAAGCAAAACCATTAATGATGGAGCCCAAGATCTCCAGCAGCTCGGCGATGCCATTGAATCGCTCGGTTTCGTAGGTGAACTGGAAGAAGACGTTGTTGATGGACCGACGTATGAAGGATCTCAGATTAAGGAATTTTCCGTATATGCGGTGCAACGTCGTCTTCAGGAAATCCCGCTCACGTGGATCTTCGGAATCGAACAACTCGAGAAGTTGTAGGACGAAGCTATGGTCGATGTACGCCTTCGCGATGTTCGTGTTGAAGTCCTGGCTCTCGATAAACCGCAGGAAAAACTCATAGACAACCTGGATGTGTGGCCATGCGACTTCCAAGACCGGCTCGTCCTCTTCTGGGTCGAAGGCCTCGCCTTGCGGGTTCATGGGAGGAGGGATCGGGCGGAACAGGTTCTTCGCAAACATTCCGACGACGACGGGGTACATGGGCTCAGTGATGACCTGCCGGTTGTTGGCAACATAGTCAAGGAGCTCATGGAGAGCCAGTCGCTTGATCTCCTTGGACTTCATATCAGCGCTGGCATCATTGAAGTCGAATATGACGTTGCACTGCTCGATTTTCTTCATGAAGAGATCTTCCCGGCGTCCCGGCGGAACCTCGTGGAACCCAGGGAGCTTCTCCAGCTCACGATGGGGAGAGATGTCGAACCGCGACGAGTGTTGCCGCCTCGGCGTCTTGGGGCCCTCAAGGACGTCCTTAGGAGTTTGGTGCAATCGGTCGTACATCAGCGACTTCTGGCCGGCCTTTGGCGGGGCGAGATCGTGCGGCATCGTCTCAGCGGCGCCGGGCGGCGGTACGTGCTGCGAGAAACATGTGGCGTCAGTCACGGTTCACAAACGGCTGGGACAACGGCCGGGCCTTACCGGAGCGCTAGGGCTGATTATAACCGTGGGAGGAAGAGGGCCATGCCTAACAGGCGTGCCGCTGCCGTTGGCACCCTGAGACTGTCCAGTAATGCCGCCGCCGAATCGATCCGGTGCGCCGGGATTCACGCCGGCGCTGCCGGGCTGGGTCTGGGCACCTAGAGTAGCGGGATCGCCATGGGCGGCACTGTTGGGGGGGAGTGGCTTGTTGCGAATGTCATTCAGGGTGGAAGTAGAGGAAGAAGGGGTAATGACGGGCGACTGGGTGGAATCTTTCGAGGTGTTCGGCGACGCTGTTCCGTCCTTCGCATCTTTATTCTTCTTGGACTTGCTGTCCTTGTCCTTGTCCTTGCCCCGCGACAGCTGTATCACAACTCAATCAGTAGAATGCTCGGGATTGGCAGGATTGGCAGCCAAACAACCTGACTTACGACTCTGGCGCCGAAACGCTTCATCCTTGTAGACAACAGCTTCTCTTCTGTGGGGCGGCTAGAGGCGCCCAGCTCGACCCTTCTGCGAACTGAACTCTGACAGGCTGTATTCAGGTGATGGAGTACTCAGATGTTAGGGACTCGGAGTCTTGTTGAATACAGGCTTCATGCGATGCGAATCCGCTGAGCGACCCTGTTGCTCCTGCTGGATTGTGACGGGTGCATCTACCGTGTTGCCCAAGCTATGTTGACGAGCGCCGGTTTGGGATCGGATTTGACGGCGACAGACACACCTACTGGCAGTCGTCGCGGCGTATCCGAGGCACTGCGGTTGCAATGGAGTAGTTGGGGCGGCGCAGTCGTCGAGAACGCCAGCGTGGTGCAGCGTTTAAGCCGGTGCTTGCGACGAAGGAATGACAGGACTGGAATTGTAGGGGACAGCACTGGATGTTGTTAGGCCCTTCGAGTCTTGTTGCTGTCGAGTGAAGACACCGTGGATTGCCCCTAGTGCAGCTTGCTGCTGCTCCTGCGCTGGGCGTTCGATGTATTGAGTCGCTGCTTCGAGCTGGCGTCCCGGGTGGTGAGGTCCGTGTTTTTGCGGGGTCCTGCCGTGCGTGGGTACAGGCCCAGGGCGAGCGTGACAACGGACGGGAGACTCGACGTCGGAGAGTGCAATTAAACTTGCCCGGCGTTCTTGGGGCGCGTCTGGTTGCCAACTCTCACCACGCAGTCATCCATAAATCGGAACGATTCGTGTCGGATTTCAAGGCGGGCGTGACTTGGCAATCTAAGGTAAGTAGGTAAGGAGAGCTGGAGATGCGGAACGGGACTCGGGGAGTTCGTAGGGAACGCTGCCCCATCCAGTGGAGAATGAGAGAGATGCGGCAAGCTCGTCGTGCGGCTGATATTGTGTGGGACACCACTACGTAACAACCAGAGCTGATCCGGTGCCCAAGCTTCGGTTTACAGGCCGCTGGGTTGAGGATGACTGTAACAAATGGAAGTTTAGCTTGGAGGTTAGCAGGAATGCGCTGCAGGATGAATGTTGGCGTTTTAACGTAAGTTAGCAGCAGGGAGGGGTTAGGTAGTAGTTGCATACGGTACCTTACCTTAGGTGTCGAGTTAAGTTGACAGTGTGGGTGGCCCGCTCGAAACGCTGCTGTCAATTAATCCGTACAGTGCTAACCTCAGTCTCGTAGATGCCACCCATGGAGATGTACCTGCTCTGGCCTCCGCGATAGAACTCTATTGCCGTCCTAGCTCTTACTCAAGCAGAAGATATTAGAAGACTAGGTTTCTTTGTTCCAGATCGTATCCGAACAAGCTTCTCAGAAAGTAACTGCTCGACCTCCTGGCCATGTGCATCGGCGGTTGTAGCACAGTGGGAGTATAGTAGCGTACTAATCACCTGGTACCTTACCGTATTGTAAGGGCAGAACTTACAGGGTCCAAGGGTGCCTGTGTTCGGATGAAATTCTGATCACACTCACTCATACCTCCAAGTTCCTTTGTACCAACTTCCACCTTAGTATATCAGGTACCTCAGGTGTCATCATCATACTGGGCGGTAACTCTAAAGGCTGTGTGTGAACCGTCTCCCTTATACGGTAACTACACTGCGCGGCGTCAAGGTCAGATGCAGTTACACCCATGTGTGGTTTCTGAATAGTAGCAATTACTCATACCTAGGCCACTAACAGCGGATTGCTTCTTGCCATCACCAGCCTTCTGTTATTCTGTCTCAAAAGAACTGGGTAACAACCTTCGGAAGATGAACTGAGGGCTCCAGCAAAGCTTGTCTTTGCGCCTGAGAGTCCACTCGGCCTACCCACTTTGATGCACGACGAGGAAGTCGAGATGCCGACACCAAACAGCAAGTTCTAAGAATCCAAAACTCACCATGGACACATCCAGGCAACAGGAGGATGGCGACACGGCCCCCGGATACACCATCCCTCACCGCAGACTTGGTGCGCTAGAGCACCCCATGATCATCAAGGATCTGGACAAGGGAATAAAGACATTCGGGCAAAATAATGCGCTCCAAGCCGTATGTCCCAAGGCTCGCCTCCGAGAAGAATGCCCTTCGCTAATACCCCCCCCCCCAGATCCTCGATTCAGCTAGTCCCCAGATCTCAGTACCTCTGTATCTCCGCTATGACAACCCAACAGCAAGGCCGCTGACCTCTCACAATGCACTGACGCACAATGTTGTCTTGAAAGTCACAATTCCAAGACGCACCGGGAGGAAGCGCAAACGCGGCAGTGATGGTCCATGGGAAGGGGAGGTGCAGCAGCCTGCCGATGGGCAGAGCTCGGTTGTATCCCCGGAGGTGCTCTCAAGGGATAGGCTCGACGCCCCGCAGGTTATTCGGCGCAAGCTCCAGGACAACGTAGGGAAGTACACGGTCGAGCCGATTGGTGTCGTCAACAGCACCCACCGCTACCGAGGTCAGCAGCATTCTTTCGCCGAACTTAGAAAATCCCATACTCTTTTGCACGTTTTGCTAACTACCCTAACCTCAGGCCTTGCCGACTTCCAGTACGCCCTGGGGGAGTCCAAGTTCATGCAGAAATTCGTCGAGAAGGTCCTCCCCGGCGACGTGGCAAAGCTCAAGGAGTTCTCGCTCCAGCCAGGGATCGAGTCCGGGACCAACATCGATTTGATCCCCCCCCCGTATTTCACCCCGATCAGCCTACCGTTTCCCTACAACTACGCGCAAAACCCGCACACCAAAGAAATCAGCGCCGGCCGGGCCGACGCCCGGGGGACCGTGCCCGAGGACCAGGAGTACGACCGCGTCATCAACGTCACCTCGCGCATCCCCGCGGCCGGCTACTTCATCGCGCACGACGAGTACCCCGTGCCGAGCGGGCCGCGCCGCCAGCCGGACATGTCGGACCCGCAGATCGCCGCCATCATCAACGAGATGCGCGCGGCGATGGACGAGCGGCCGATCTGGACGCGGCGCAGCATGTGGAACCGGCTGGGCGCCAAGTTCGCCGAACTGCCCAAGAACGGCGGGCTCGTCCGGCACTGCCTGCAGTACGCGGGCTACCAGTTCAAGGGCGGGCCGTGGCGCGACGCGCTGATCAAGTACGGGGTCGACCCGCGCGCCGACCCGCAGTACCGCGTGTACCAGACGCTGATCTTCAAGCTGCACAAGTCGCGCATCGGGTCGGTCGGGCGCTCGTGGCAGGCGGTGCGGCGCAAGGAGATTGGCGTGTCCAACTTTGGCAAGGCCTGGCAGGACCTCGAGGGCGTCGACGAGGCGCTGCTCAACACGCACATCTTCAACGGCCAGGCCTTCAGCACCGACGGCAAGGTCTGGCAGGTCTGCGACATCACGGACCCGCTGCTGGCGCGGCTCTTCCGCGACGCCGAGGTCCGCCCGGAGTGCGATGTGGAGATCAGCGGCTTCTACCACCGCGTGCTGTGGTCGGTCGCCAAGGCCATCATGAAGTGCAAGATGGTCGCGATCCGCTTCAACCGCACGCTGACCGACGACGCCTTCAACGCGGCGCTGGAGGTGGCGAAGGGGATGCCGCACGATGGCGGGGACGGTGGCGGCGGGCCGGGGAAGAGCATCGGCATTGACCTGCCGGATCTGGGGCTGACCGAGGCCGAGTACGACCAGCTCCGCGGGGGCAAGTACCGACCCCGGCCGGGGATCAAGGGGTTTGGACGCGAGCAGGTGGAAGGGATGGGCCGGCGCCGGAAGACGCATTATCGCGTGCGGATCCCGCTGAAGGAGGCCGAGGAACGCGAGGCGGTCAAGATGATCCGGCTGCTCACCCAGAATGCGCAGGACAAGAGGGCTGGCGAGGGAGCAGCAGAAGCAAATGCCGGGCCTGTGGACGAAGCGTCTCTGCAGCAGACAGGGGATGGCGCAGGGAGTGTCGATACCAGACCAAACTACGAGGAAGAGGATAAGGCGGAAGAGCACAGGGATGAGGACGAGTTTCAGGAGATTCTCGAGGACATGGAAGAAGAGGGCAGCGAGGACGAGGAAGAGGAAGAGAGCGATGAAGGCGAGGAAGGTGCCGGAATATCGTCCAGGAAGCGCTTGCCAGGCCAAGACGGGGTGTCTGGTGACGAAGCAGAACTGGAGGATGATGAAGAAGAGTATGGAGAGGGTGAGTATTCCGACGAAGAGGACCAGGAAGATGTGGAAGATGGAGATGAGGATGAGGATGAGGATGAGGAAGAGGAAGAGGACGGCTATCACCGTGCTGAGGATGGTGAAGACGGATTTGACGAGGAGGAAGAGTATTATGACGAAGAGGGTGAAGGATTCCCGCAACCATGGGAAGCTGGGGAAGGTTATGATGATGAGGACCAGTACAGGAATCGGTACTAGGAGTAGCTTGCAGGGTTGTCGTCTATGCGTCTTGTCGGATAAGCACCGTAGGACATCGAGAGGAGGCAAAGACGATTAAATCTAATCTGCAATCTGCAAAGTTCCTCATTGGTAACCCAGTTTCTACCTAACTTACAACTCCGATGGCCATCACTCTCCCGAACCCAACGATAAGCCGTCAAAGAGCCAAATGCAAACACTGCTGGTGGAATTATGCCCTTTCACCCGTCCATTCTTATTGTCGAACCAAGCCTCCCCCGCCCCATCCGTTCCAAATCATCTCTACCAGTGAGACTCGACGAAAACCGACGTGCAATCTGATAATAACAAGACATCCATCCCTTCCAGCCGGGACTACCTTTCCACCCAAGCCATCTTTCGCGCCCAAGGGGGAGCGTGACCATAACCACAACAATCAACAACCCCCTCCCCCCCCCCCCCCCCCCTTGTTTCCCCCCGCCACAAAACAAAAGAAAAATCACTGAACCGCGAGGATCTTGCTCCCCCCAGCCTTCTGCGCCAGCATTCCCTTCACCCAGAAGTCGACCTCCATCAGCGCCCGCTGCGGCGACTTCTTCCGCTTGAGCAGGAACCCCTGCAGCTCGGCGGGCGAGAACTGGCCGCCGGGGATCTTCGAGGCGAACTGCGCCGCCAAGCGGGCGAGCTCGGCGGGGCGGAGCGTTTCGGTGCGCTCGTCGTCCTGTAGCTTGTCGAGGGCACTGCTAGTGCTAGTGGTGGTAAGCGGCGCGGCGTTGGTGGTCGAAGAAGAGCCGAGTTTTAGGGGAGTGGGCTTCTTGATGCCGCCGTCAGCGGCAGGGGTTGTTGTCGCGGAAGAAGGCTCGGTATCCTCGTCGACCTCGGTAGGGCCGGAGACGTCGGTCATGTTGCCGTCCTTCTCAGACGACAGGGAAAACGGCGTTGGTGGGGGCTCGGAGAAAGGGGTCAGAGGCGGAAGAGGGGAGACGGGATGGTCCTCCAGGGCGGCAGGGAGCTTGTCGGCGATGCTGCTGTCGGGTTCGTACATGCGCACAAACAACTCCCGTGCCTGCTCTTGGGTCGCGTTAGTGAAGGCGACTTGCAGGTCCACTCGTCCCGGACGGATCAGTGCCTCGTCGAGCGTCTCCGGCTTGTTGGTTGTCATGATCAGCACGCGACCCTCGTGCGAGGCAACACCGTCGATTGCGTTGAGCAGGCCCGACAGCGAGATGCCCTCCTTCTTGTCGCCCGAGTCGCTACCGCGCTTCAGTTCGCGAGCCAGCTCCAAGAATCTCCTCTCAAGCTCGTCTTTGTTGTTCTCGTCTTTCTGTTTCCTGGACCGTTCGTCTTTGCTATCGGCTTCCTTGCCGCCTTGCTCTCCAGACTTTTTATGGTCGGGCGAGGCGGTTGGGGAGGGGTCGTCGTCGGAACGTTTGAGCCCGGCCGTATCGATGTCCTCGAGCAGGACCACACAACGCCGCGGGAGGGATGTAAAAAGACCTAGCAACTCCTCCTCGGTTAGGGTGGGGTCCAGGAGGGAGATGACATAAATGTCGAGACCGAACACGCCGGCCAGCGCAAAGGACAGCGAGGTTTTGCCCGTCCCTGGCGGGCCGTGGAACAAGTAGCCCCGACGGAGCGGAATACCGCGGTTTGCGTACCAACGCGGCGTGGCAGGGTGGAGGTATTCGTTCATGTCGGAGAGGACTCGGACCTTTTGCTCGTCATCGAGCACCACCGTCTTCATCGGCCGCACCGGTCGGTCCGCAACCTGCTGCCAGGAGTGTCGGTGGCCATAGCGGCGCATGCCCTTGCCGGATGGCCGCCTGACGATTGTCTTTGCTCGGTGGTCCAGATAGTACTGCTCTTTGGCGTGTTGAAGCAGCTGTTTGATCGGCTCCGGAGACCGGCCGAAGCACGAGATGACGAGGGTCTCCTTGTGATTGACCTGAGGCATGCCGTTGCCCCCCGAGTTCATGTCCAACAGGGCGTCTTGCTTCCTCTGCAGTTTGAAGTACCGACCCCTGAACCAGAAAGTGTGCAGGCCGAAGGCGGGAATAAAGCGAGGGGGCGCCTTGGCCTCCTGTTTCGAGAAGTTCAGGTAGATGCCGGCGCCGTCGGGAGACACGCGCGACGGCATCAGCTCAGACTCCTCCTCGTCCCAAGCACCCTTGGATGCCGTCTCGGCCGTGAGAGAGCGCGAGTTGACCATGGCCGGTTGAGATGAGAGCCACTTCTTCAGGTAGAGATAGATGTCGTCGCTGTCGCTCACCTCGATCCTGGCCATGAAGTACCGGCGAGCCAGGTCGTAGAAGCTAGTGTACAACTGCCCACAAAGCTTGTTCGCCGCCCAGACAACGGCGACGAAGGTCAGGATGTAGGTCGGGTCGATCCCGAGGCGGCTGCCGGCTAGGTTGTAGAACAGCATAAACAGTTTCATCAGCGGGTTGAATTCCAGAAGCGGCGACAGCGTGTCGAGAATGCCGTCGGGGAGGCCATCCCCGGCAGAACTGTTACCGTCATGGCTGATGTTGGCTCCGCGCGCCGGCAGGGCTCCCCGGCGAAAGCTGTTGAAGGCCATCGTGGGTGCGTGCAACTCGAATAGGGAGGAAGCCGGTTGGCCCTCTCTGAGCTGCCGGTGTGAGAGAGGGGCTGGGCTGGACTTTATAGTCGTCGGATGGAACTTGAAGGGCCTCCCGAGCCGGAGTGGCCGAGGAAGACAGCTGCCAAGCTGTAGGCAGACAGATCAATAAAGATCTCTGGTATGTAGATCCGACCGGCACTGGCTTTGGCCGGGGCCTGTTAGTGGCAAACACATAAAAAAAATTCAATGGGTGTGAAGGCAAGGCACCGGTCGACTTGTGTCCGTCCACGGCCGTCGGCACTTTGGTAATACATCGGAGGTATCACACAGCAGCAGCGTAACTCAGCGTCGAGAAGAAACGACGGGTCGGTGCAGCTTACTGGTGAAATCTCCTATCTAGCTCCCAGCGAACTGTAGTCTGCGCACCACAGAGTGTTGACGAGTGAAATTCCCAACTGCATGTACATAGATGTATGTACCTATATCCTGCGTCGATTTGTCTTTTTTGCCGTGTGAGGACGAGACTGTTGCGTTCTTCCAACATGGCATCACTGGGACAAGCTCATTCAACCCAGGCAAACAATGACACGCATACCAAACTGATGTGGCACTAGCCGCGGGGAGCGACGGAGGATTGTCAGGTCGTCTTTGTCGGCGGCGGCCGGCAGACGGACCCGGTTGACGATATTGCCCCTGGGGACAAGCTCGTGTCTTTGCCTCCGGGACCGGGATCTTGCCGACAAGTCGTGCATAGTGCATCGACTGTTGGTCGGTAGTAAGGGCCGCGGTGTGAACCAGAGGCGAATGAATCGGCCACTGGGTCGTTGTTTCGCCCAATGAGTGATTGCCGGTCCAGCCGCACTCTGCAATCGAGCATTCGCTGTCGTAGGGGCGAACCAACGTACATACCTTACATAGTTATCGCTGCGAGACGGGTGATTCGCACAGGACAAAAGACAGGTGTGCGTATTACTAAACTTTTCCTCTCCTCTGCGCGCCTTACCAAACCACCGGGACAAAGGAACAAAGGGACCCAGGGAGCGACAGCCACATGCCCGGGCTGACGTTTGTCAGAAGATCCCGGAAGGCAGCAATGACTGACCTGATGCGTCAGCAACCATGATGATTGGATATCTCAGGTACAGAGGTATGCATTGGAGGGTCCAAGTTCGCGGTTCCCTGCCTACGTCGATTCGGGTTCTTCAGTGAGCCTTTTCACGCTCCGTGGATGGAAGTCGCAGCCAATGAGGCTCGTGGCCACGATGGCAGACGGGTGTGGCTCCAAGAGGAAGGCGGCTTGCAGATGACACATTGGGGCGAGATTTAGCACTATGTACTTGAATCCTAGCACGGTTTGCGGCACAATAACTGGCACCGCTGTTAGAGCTTCAGTCCTAATAAACTCCCACCAACCCGGGGCCGATGATAGCCATCCACGAAACGCTCCCTGCACGATCTGCAGTTCTGCACCTTCCCCATACCTCTTAATGCAGGTCATCTGGGACGGCTCAGACGGGATGGCTAAGGTAAACCAGGCCTGCGAAGCCCTTCTGAAACCTGAGCCAGAGATGATAACTGATGTCACCACCAATCACACCAAAACCAATAGTTGCATCTCAACCAATTAGTCCAGGCGCACCCAGGCAGACACCGAACGGCTGAATCAGCTGGAATAAGATCCAGACATACTCACCCCTCAGAGTGGGCCTGCGCGGAATCGGACCTTCCGGGCTGAACAAACAAACAAAAGCCATAACAAGAACATGTGCCTTGAATGACACCCATCCTTAGGAATGCCTCCTAAGGATTTTCTCACGGGTAGTGGACCCGAAGCACCCTTTGCGTGCGCGAGAATTGACTCGACTCCTAAGGTAGGGTAGGTTAGGTATTCAGGCTCCGAGTCTCTGTAGCTGCCAACCACCACCCTTTTCCCGGCCGCATAGGTATCCTCCCCCAACCACATTGCCAACCCACAAAATCCCCGTAAATCAACCAACGAACCTCCCCTTATCCCCTGTCAATAACGACCGAGCCGGCTCGGCCTGCGCCAACCCCACCCCGTTCCCGTTCCCATCACTCCCCGCATCCCGCTCCGCAGCAGCCTCGTCCTTTTCCTCCTCCTCCTTCCCGTGTCCCTCACGGACGGGCCCTCCATTGGGCTGCGAGCGAGGGCCCCTCTCGGGAGAAACGGCCCTGCTCGCGCGCTGGCTGGGCACACGGCTGCCCTCGCCCTTGAGCTCGTTGTCCAACCACAGGTGGGCGCCGGCCTCCTTCAGCAGGCGCACGCACTCGGCGTTGCCCATCTTCTCGGCGAGGTAGAGCGGGGTGTTGTTGGCGCGGTTGCGGGCGTGGACGCTCGCGCCGCGCATGAGCAGCTCGCGCAGCACCTGCGGCTCCGGCCCCACGGCGGCCAGGTGCAGCACCGTGTTGCCCGCGTAGTCGGCCCGCTTGAGCAGCTGGTGGCTGAACTCGTCCCCCTCTAGGATCTCGCGCACCGTGCGCAGCTCGCCGTTGCGGATCGCGTAGCCTAGCGCTGTGAAGGCCGTTTCTATGCGCGGCACAACAGACAGAGAGAGTCAGTGAGCTGTAGACCATGAGGGTGTTCCGGAGGGAAGCAACGTACCGGCTACAGTGAGTCTGCCCACGGCAGAGTCGATGCTACCGGCGGGGTGAGAGAAGGACGGCGTGGTCGTTTCCGTCATCTCTCCGCGCAAGGAATGCGCCATCTCGGCCGCGATGTCCTTGTACTCCAGCCCAGGCAGCGCCAGAAGGTAGGACAGCTTTGTGAGCGCCGCTTCCGTGGTCAGGTCGAAGCCAAACACAACGCCTGCTCTTCCGAGCGCCGTCCCCGGAGCATATAGTGGCGAGACGAACCCGTTTGTGCACTGGCTGACGTTGACGATCACGATCCCGCGCTGCACCGCCTCCCGGATCACCTTGGTCAGGCTCCCGTCCACACCGCCCGGCGCATTGCCCATGCCAAACGTCTCGAGGATCAGACCGCGCAGATTGGGGACCCTAAGCACCGAATCTACCATCTCCGGCTTGATCCCCGGGAAGATGCGCAGGCAGGCCACGTGCGCCGTGTCGAGGTACTTGGTCACCTGGAACTCGGCAATGCGCGTCGGCCGGCGGACGAGGGTCCAGTTGACATCTACCCCGAGCGAGGTCACCTTAGCCAGGGGCTCGCAGTTCGGGCTGTCGAATGCCTCGAACGAGGAGGCCGAGACCTTGGTCGTCCTGTTGCCGCGGAAAAGGGTGTGGTGAAAGAACAGGCAGACCTCGGGGATGACAAAGGTGCCTGCGATGATGAGCGAGCCCAGCAAATTGTCCACCGCATCGGACTGTAGGGCGAAGATAGAAGCTTGCGAGCCGGTTAGGATAACCGGCTTGCCGAGGTCCGACATCATGAAGGAGAGCGCCGAGGCCGTGTAGGCAAGCGAGTCGGTGCCGTGAAGAACGACGAAACCGTCAAAGTAGTGGTAGTTCTCCTTGATGGTCATTGCAATCTCGGTCCAGCCCATGGAGGAGATGGAGCTGGAATCGAGCAGAGGGTGGAACTCGAGAATGCCATAGCGGATGTGCCGCGAATAAGTGGTCGGGGGAGTCCGCAGGCTGTCGAGCGTCAACTTGACGCCGTTCTTGTAGGCGTGGATTTTGACTAGATCCGGTCAGCAGAGGCAGAGGACCAAATATGTTGTGTTGTGTATGTACTCACCAGGAGGAGTCGAGCCGTCATTGAACGATGGCCGCGGTGCCATAGCGTTCTCGAGGAAGCCTGTCATGGGGACCAGCCCATCTGCAGAAGGCTGCATACAGATGGTCCCTCCCGTCATGATAATGAGCACCCTTGACTCTGGGTAGTGAGACTGGGTGGGCTTCCCGTCTATGAAAGCACTGCCCCCCATCTTGTCGGACCCGGAGAGATCGATGAGTTCCAGTAGGATCGTGATCACTGACTTATCAAGCACCCGAAAACCTCTTGTTTCCTACCTGACACTGTTGTTACTGAAGTTGCGTCTGATGAACTACTACTTAATCGTGATATAAGAAAAAAGTAGGTAGGCAAAGGAGTGGGTCGGTCGAGTTAGGATGGATGCTTTGTCAAGTGGGATCGATCGATCATAAATCGATCCAGGAAACAGTTGCCTCCCCAACTCTGAAATTGGTGAACTTCTTCGCCTCTCGAGTTCAGAAAAAAAAAAACTCCAGAATCGGCAATGCAACTTGCAGACCGACTATGGGACGAACACAAGCTACTGGAGAGTTTGCAGTCACGCGCTCGGGCAACTCCCGATCTGTTAGCTAAGAGATTCAACCAGGACAAGGATCCGGAGGCCGCTGGGAACCGCATGGAAGAATTCAGGCATGATGACGAGCACCGATCTCGGGCAATCTTAGGTACTCGTTCTCGGGGCCAGAAATGCAGTGATGCATTGTTGGTGGTAGGCTGGTAGCGGAACGAGATAAGGCATGACGCTCGGCAGTTTTCCGCAACCAGATGCTCGGTGAAGGCGATAATAAATCGTTGTGTGAACGGATTCCCGTTTCGATCCCCGGGGCGCCGATAGCGGACCGCACTGGTGTAAACCTAATAGTGGGCTTTGGGCGCTGACTGCTCGTCACTATCCCTAGGTCTGTAGGAATTGACATCGCGAAGCAAAGAAATGAAGTCCAGGAGACAGCCCTACGGCGCACAACGGCTGGTCTGATCTGACACCTTATATAGTTCCCCTGTTTGCCGTGGGGGTTCCTTCTCTGCACTTTCTTCCACGCTTCGAAGCACTCAGGCTTGGCGGTAATTACGGTGTATGGGTGTGCTTATACCACTGTACTACAGTCAAGAAGCACCAGCCCGGGAAGTACGCTCTGTCCACCAGTCGAGGATCTTGTGCTATCACCCCAACATGGGATTATTTAGGTAGACCTGGGATACTTGTAGCAGTGTAGAGCAAAGGCAATGGCGCGGAAGACTGCGGAAGTCTGAGCGTTACACATTCATAGTGTACAGTTCAACCCTTGAATGATTGTTAGCGCCTGACTTGAGCGACCAGGGGTCAGCCCTAGCATTTCAGCCCCTGTCGCTTGTTCCGCGCTAACAACCATTCAGGGGTTGAACTGTAAGTTTCCGCCCCCGAGGTGTTTTGATGAGTTCCCGGCTGCCCTCGGCCCGGGACTCGGCATGCCGACACTGCGGGACATTCGACTCCACTCTTTTGGTCTTGGCAGGGTCGCGGTTCCTCAACCGGGTCAACCCCACCATCGCGGATTTTGTATGTAGACGCTAGCATTCAAACAGGCAAAACCTAGCATGTGTTAGCCAGTGGACGGTAGACGTTCAGAGAAGAATTTTTTCTTCCATTCCAATCCTACCCTACTTTTCCCAGGTGAAAGTTGTCGAGCATCTGCAGAACCCTTAGATTTTCCTCTATCTCACACAAGCACACTTTCTCAAGCGAACACACAGATAAGACAAAATGGCAGCCACTCTCGAAGAAACGAATGTCAGCTACGAGGAGCTGGCCGATCTCGAGCATGAGTTTGACGAGGTCGAGACGGAGATCAGTGAGCTTTCGCACCAAAACCTCCAGCGGGATCTTGACCGCCAAATTGCTAACAACGTAACGTATCCAGTCCGTCAGCAGTACAGCCTCTCCAAGCCGCTCTACGCCAGGCGCGCCGAGCTGGTCAGCAAGATCCCCAACTTCTGGCCGCTCGTGCTCGAGCAGGCGCCCATGGACATCGACGAGTACATCCAGCCGTCGGACTCGGCGCTGCTCCTGTCTGCGCTCAAGTCGATCTCCGTGAGCCGCTTCGAGCTCGACGAGGACGAGAAGAAGGGCGACCCGCGCAGCGTCGCCATCCGGTTCGAGTTCGCCGAGAACGAGCACTTCGAGGACACCGTGCTGGAGAAGAAGTTCTGGTGGCGCATGGGCAAGGACGGGTTTGCCGGCCTTGTCAGCGAGCCCGTCGAGATCAAGTGGAAGAAGGGCAAGGACCTGACGGACGGGCTGCTGGGGCTTGTCAAGGCCGTCTTCGATGAGCAGCGGGCCAAGCCGAAGCAGGAGACCAAGGGCAAGAAGGAGAAGGTGGAGCTGACGGAGAAGCAGAAGGCGCTGAAGGAGAAGATTGACCAGACCGGCATGGGCGGTGTCAGCTTCTTCGCCTTCTTTGGCTACGTCGGGGAGTGGGTCTCTGCTGAGGAGAGCAGGCAAGCGCTCGAGGAGGAGAAGGAGGAGCGGAGGAAGAGGAAGGCTGGTGAGAAGGTGGAAAAGAAGCAGGATGAGGACGTTGAGATGGATGACGATGACGAACTCGACGACGACGACGAAGATGACGACGATCTGGAGATCTTCCCGGCTGGCGATGTGGTTGCCATGGCCATCGCAGATGATCTGTGGCCCGGTGCGCTCAAGTATTTCAGTAAGTGTAGCACCATCCCGCTGTAGCCATGTAAAGACAGCTGCTAACAGGGGTGACAGTCCAAGCTCAGGAGCAGGATTCAATGAGTGATCTTGAATTCGAGTCGGACGACGAGGATGAGGATGAGGATGATGACGAGGAGGGCAACGATGGAAGGCCGCACAAGAAGCAGAAGGGCTGCAAGGATGGCTGCAAGCATTGATCCAATGTTTCAACTTGCCGCATCATATCACGATCACATCACGACCTTGGTCTGCGATACCCCATAAGCTCACAATTTGGACACGCGAACTTGCCATGAAATAACGGATAGATAAAAGTACTTCCTTAGATTGCTTTGCGCTACGTTAAACACGAACGGCTACCACAATCCAATCCACATGCCTCCATGTGTTGCTGGAGCAGCGAGGCAGTGCAAATGTCGGCGGCTACATCACTTTCACTTTCAGGGGTTCTTAAAGTTGAGTGCCGACACTGCCGGGTATTTCACCTTTCTCACCTCGACTCACCACAACGAGAAGATACAGCAGCGCAGTGATTTATAGCGAAATCATTGTGCAGCCCTCACAAGTTTAACTTGGCAAACTTCTTATTCGACATGAAGGAACATTTTATGTCATCCGCAAGACGAAGTGGTCCAGCCCGCTCCAATTTATCATGCAGCGCTTTGTGGAACGCGAAGACTGGGTTCCACGCGGAATCTCGGACTCGAAATGTTTCAGCGTCCATGTTTCCCCAGTTCCCGACAGCGGTATACACGCTTCCCGGGACACGAAGAGATTATGGGCGACCGGTTCTTTGGAGATTCATGGGATGTTTCTTCTGTTTGTGTTCGACCCTGTTGGAGAAGGAAGTATCCGTCTCACCTTTTCAGTCCAAGCCCCTGGCTTCTACATGCCCACTCTTTTTTCTCCCTTCTACCATATTCTTTAGGCCGTTTTGTTGATCCAAAGTCTATGGTCAATCTTGATTGAACCCTTTTTCCAAAGGTTCCTCTCGTTCTTTGATGGCAAATCGTCACGCGCCCTGGTCGCGGTTCATCTCGTTACACTGAGGCTGTGTCCCTCCTTTACACGAAGCCGGGATCCCAATACCACATACACTGGATTTGACGTGTCTGTCACAATTCTGTAGCTCCAAAGTCCGAGTTTCTGGGGGCCGAGTGATCCGATTCTTTCATTTGGTGCTGGACACCAGCAGTACTATACGGATTTTGTTGCCCTGATGTTATAAGCATGGTGCAACTTCCTTCGTTGAATCTTCGAGCCTCCGTTTATCTCCACGCTCCTTTCGTTCGGACAGCATCAAGACTATGAGGTTTCTCCAGCTTGCGGCGTCTCTAAGTCTGCTGGTAAGATCGGGGCAGGCAATAGACTTAGTCATAGGGAATGATGGTCAGTTACATCCGCTTATCAAAGCTCGCGAACGAGCCCATGTAGACTGACATTACCTTCAGACTCGGTCAAGTCCGCCGCCAGCACAATAGCCTTTGGGCTCGCCAAGTATTATACGGGTAACAACACGGGCGATACGCCAGGGAATCTCCCCGACCCCTATTTCTGGTGGGAAGCCGGGGCCATGTTCGGCGCTCTGATCGACTACTGGGCACTGACCGGAGACGAATCCTACAATGCAATCACGAAGCAAGCCATCATCCACCAAGCCACCGAGAAGGGAGACTTCATGCCCCGCAACCAAACGCGCACGCTCGGCAACGATGACCAGGGCTTTTGGGGAATGGCAGCCATGTCTGCCGCCGAGAACAAGTTCCCGAACCCGCCAGACGATCAGCCGCAGTGGCTCGCCATGGCCCAGTCCCTGTTCAACCAGTACGTCTCCCGATGGGACGAGGCAAGCTGCAGCGGCGGCCTCCGGTGGCAGATCTTCACCTTCAACAACGGCTACAACTATAAGAACTCCATCTCCAACGGCTGCTTCTTCAACATCGCGGCGCGGCTGGCCCGCTACACGGGCAACGAGACGTACGCCACGTGGGCGAGCAAGATCTGGAACTGGCAGGAGGCCATCGGGCTGATCAGTGACGACCACCACGTGCACGACGGCGTGCACATCGACCTGGACGACAACACGTGCAAGACGGTCGACGTCAACGAGTGGAGCTACAACTCGGGCATCTTCCTGCACGGCGCGGCGGTCATGTACAACTTCACCAACGGGTCGTCGACGTGGAAGACGCGCGTCGACGAGATGCTCACGGCCGCCACGACCGTCTTCTTCAACGACACCATCATGTTCGAGCAGCTCTGCGAGCCGACGGGCTTCTGCAACAACGACCAGCGCTCCTTCAAGGGCTACCTCACCCGCTGGCTGGCCGCCACTTCGCAGATGGCGCCGCATACCTTCGACAAGATCCGCCCCTTGCTCGTCGCCGACGCCGCGGCCGCCGCCAAGGCCTGCACCGGCACCGCCGACCCGCCCGTGTTCAAGGGCCACCCGGGCACCGCGTGCGGCTTCCGCTGGACCACGGGCGGGTGGGACGGGAAGGCCGGCGTGGGCGAGCAGATGAATGCGCTGTCGGCCATCATGTACACGCTCGTGGACAAGGTGGCCCCCCCCGTGACGGCCGACACAGGCGGCACGTCCAAGGGCGACGTGGACGCCAAGTGGCATGAGGAGGAAGTTCCGCGAGAGATTACGCCCGGCGATCGGATCGCGGCAGGGTTTGCCACGACGGCGGTTGTCTTTGGCTTGGTGGCCGGCTGTGCGTTTGTTATGATCTGAGGGTTGTTGAGCCCGGCAATTCTTCTTTTTTGGGTATAGAATAAACACCGGTAAGGGTTGGATGGGCCCGGGGATATTTAAGGTGAATCATGATCAAGGCGTTAGGGGGCACGGCATTCCTAGGAAACGGCGCGGAGTCTTAGAGATACCTTAGGTAGGTATTGGAAAAGAAATTACAGCTTTGAGAGCTGTTTAGGTGATCAGTTTGAGATTCCGACTCACAGTGACCTCAGGACTCAGAGTCTCGGAGATCCATGGCCGAGAGGTTTTGGCCGGCCCGAGGGGATGTGCAATGCAGTGCCAAGAGCACATTGCATCCTTTCCTGCCTCTGACGTATGATGATACTAGTCCCACTGATGCAGTGTCGAAGGTATCCAAGTCCAGGGTCTTCTCTGGGAGCTCAAAGAACTACCTTATCAAGTGCCACCTGAGAGGAACCAAATCGGCTCAATCCCAACTGAACTAGTGGTTCCTTCCTTGGCCGCAGCCATGCTCGGTAGTCCCCGTATGAACGTCACCTGTTGCAGCGTAAAGTGACACGGCGGGAAATTCCACCCCGCATTCACCCCACCTCCACGCGAATGCCGCTTGGAATTCGGGCAAGCTCTCCCGGGAGGTGTATCATAACCGAACCTTCAAGACCGGAGTTATCCACTTCAACCCGTCCCGGTGGGAACGAGACGATGTTTATGTAGTTGCATTTGGCCCTGCCTGCTCCTCGTACGGACTTACGTAGCCTTCCTTCCAATTACACAAGGAGCTGAGAGCCGCCTTGGATTGTTATAGTCAAGGGTCCGTATCTCACTTCGGCCCCAGCACTGTTATACCTACCACGGTTGCCTGTTTGGAACTCTTCGCGCCCAATCTTGCACTCCCTAGAAGCAGACTTGATCGAACCTACAGTTTACGCCCCACTTACCTAAGTACCTACTTTACCCATTTAAATCCACGAACACCCCCAAGGCCACCATCACCCAGTTATTCAACAAAAGGGCAGCCATCACCATGTCCTCAAAACACTTCCTCCCGGACCCCACCCACCTGGTGACGTCCTCCCTCCGCTCCCTAACCTTGACCAACCCGGGCCTGGCCCTCGACACGCCCAACAAGATCATCTACCGCCGCCCGGGCTACGGCCCGTCCGCACAGCGCGTGCACATCATCTCGGGCGGCGGCTCCGGCCACGAGCCGTCCTTCGCGGGGATGGTCGGGCCGGGGCTGCTCAGCGCCGCCGTGGCGGGCACCATCTTCGCGAGCCCCAGCGCCGAGCAGGTGCGGGCGGCCATCATGGCACGGGTGGACCACCACGGCGACGGGGGCGGGGTGCTGGTGACGGTCATGAACTACACCGGGGACGTGCTCAACTTTGGCATGGGCGTGGAGAAGGCACGGGCGGCCGGGGTCGAGGTAGAGATGGTTGTCGTCGGGGACGATGTCGGCGTGGGGAGGGCCAAGGCCGGGAAGGTCGGGAGGAGGGGCATCGCCGGGACGGTGCTGGTGCACAAGATCAGCGGGGCGCTGGCCGCGCAGGGCAGGGGGCTGAAGGAGGTTGCCAAGGTGGCTCGGCTGGTGGTGGATAATCTGGTGAGTGTTGGCGCGAGTCTGGAGCATGTCCATGTGCCAGGGCGCGCGAAGCCGGATGTCAACTCGGCCGAGTATCTGAGGGACGGTGAGGTGGAGATTGGGATGGGAATTCACAACGAGCAGGGTTCGAGCAGGGAGGTTGTCGAGTTACCGGAACTGGTGAGGAAGATGCTGGCGCAGATGCTGGATCCGAACGATAAGGACAGGGCGTTCGTCAACGTCAACTCGAACGAGGTGGTGCTGCTGGTGAACAACCTGGGAGGGGTCAGCGTGCTGGAGATGGGCGGGATCGTGACCGAGGTGGTGACGCAGCTGGAGAAGAGCTACAGCATCCGGCCGGTGCGCATCCTCAGCGGGACGTTCATGACGAGCCTCAACGGACTGGGGTTCAGCATCACGCTCCTAAATGTCGTCAACACGGATATCGGCGGGCCCAGCATGATCGAGCTGCTCGACTACGCATGCGAAGCCACGGGCTGGTCGACCCCCATCTCCAAACTGACGTGGGAGGAGAAAAATGCGGCAACTCGAGAGCAGGATGCATCGATCGGCGGGAACACCAAGCCCAGCGGCCTGAAGATGGACGGCACTTCTGCCCAGCAGGCGCTTACCCGCGCTCTCGAGGCTGTTGTGGCCGCTGAACCGGAAGTGACGCGTTACGACACTGTTGTGGGAGACGGCGATTGCGGGATTGGGTTGAAGAGGGGCGCAGAAGGCAAGTGACGAAGTCTGACGATGATTCTGCTTCGGTTGTGCGTTTGCTAACAGATTGCAGCCGTCTTGAGCCACCTGCAGTCCCACCCACTGTCAGGAGACCCGGTTGTCGACCTGGCCAACATTGTCCCTGTCATCGAGATGGAGATGGACGGCACTTCCGGGGCGTTATATGCCATCTTCCTCAACGCACTTCTCGCCTCACTGCGATCCCAAGGACCCGGCGAAGCATCTCCGAAGGTCTGGGCATCGGCACTCCAGCAAGGCTGCGAGGCCCTGTCCAGATACACGCCGGCTCGCCCAGGCGATCGCACACTGGTGGATGCCTTGTATCCGTTCGTCGACGTCCTTGCGAAGACAGGGGACGTGAAGCAGGCGGCCGAGGCAGCTCAGCATGCCGCCGAAGGTACCAAGGGAATGAAGGCCAGCCTGGGCCGGACCGTGTACATCGGCGGGTCGGGCTTTGAAAAGGTGCCTGACCCCGGCGCATGGGGGCTTGCGAGCTTCTTCCTTGGTTTGGCGGGAACCAAGAAGGTTGACGAGGGTTGGGAGGAGCTTTGAAGAAAGGGGCCGTAAAAGGATGCAGACTCCAGTTTATGAAATCCTCGACGTAATATTGGTAGCCCCGTGTTTTCTTCCCGACCCGATTCTATCGTGACGGCCGTCATACCTTCGCCTTGGTATGCCATCTTTTTTTCGATTCCCTTTCCCCACCTGTCCTGCTGCCTGTCTGCTTGACCGCTCTGCTATCATTAGATTCGATGTTGTGACATGGCATCAACTCCTCGACTATATTCTTTCCCGGTGATAGATTTAACGGTGTTACACTGGGTTGTTCATCCACACATTGAATCAATGCTGCTTGTGGGTTGCATGACACGTCGATGAGGCAGGGTTGCAAGGTTGCAGGTGTTTGAGTAACCCGTACCGAACTTGAAATGTGTGTAAGTACAGATGTAACTATTCCGTACAGTACCTTACATACACTTGCAGCTACACAGCCGACAACAGCTGCCGGACGGCCGCTGTAACCGACATCCCTGCTGCCCTGGAGCGCTGGTCCGGCATTCTTGGCCCGGCGCCGATAGTGGAGCTTATCCGCGCGGTCACCTTCGGCCCAGAAAAGCTGCAATCGCCAATCACAGACACGGCGACGGGACCAAGAAAAAGACGGCGGCCGCGGCAAGTTGTCTCTGGGCCTCGGTGCGCACTCCTTGGTCGATGGTCCACTGCATGAGGGGAATATCGCCAACCCGTCTTTTTTAGATGTTCGTCCAGACGATCGCAAGCCGAGCGGTGCCGGCAGCACCATTAACTGCCTGCCGCGCCTGCCAAAGGACGAGGACTGCCTTCACGATGCCTCTCAGAGCCAAGCTGCAGCCGCTGCAGCCGCAGTCGCAACGAATGGTACGATTGTCTACGACTCGTGTCTGACAGCTGCCCAGCTGCTGACCTCATCAAACCACCAGTTTGGGACAAATATGCCGTCAGCAGAAGAAATCCACGAGCTCTTCAAGCCCCGCGACGGCGACGAACCTGAGGATGTCCTCTTCAACAGTCTCTACGGCCTCCGGTCAATCGAGCTCAACAGGCCAAACAAGCACAACGCGCTCAATGGCTCCATGATCCGCAAGATCGTGCCGCGCCTGGTCGAATGGTCCAAATCCGACATGGCCAACGTGGTCGTCATGAAGGGTGCGGGGGAGAAGGCTTTCTGTGCCGGCGGCGACGTCGCCCAGCTGGCGATCTGGAACAAGTCCGGCCCCGAGGGTCACAAAAAGTCCTTGGAGTACTTCGCCCAGGAATACCAGCTGGACCACCTGATTGCGACCTACAACAAGCCGTACATTGCGTTTATGGACGGCATCACCATGGGCGGCGGTGTTGGCCTGAGCATCCACGCCCCCTTCCGGATCGCGACCGAGCGGACGCTCTTCGCCATGCCCGAAACAACAATTGGCTTCTTCCCCGACGTCGGCGCCTCCTTCTTCCTTCCCCGGATGCCCGGCTTTGTCGGGACCTACCTCGCCCTTACTAGCTCACGGTTAGCAAGCGCCAATGTCTTCTACGCCGGCGTAGCCACGCACTACCTGCATTCTACATCGCTCCCCCAGCTCGAGTCCCGCCTTGCCGAACTCCGCTTCCGCGACTACGACGACATGGAGACCCGCCTGAAGACCATCAACGACACCATCGAGGAATATGTCACGGGTCTGCCGCACGACGAGCCGATGATGTTGGCCGGCGAGCTGCGCAAGGCCATCGACCGCTGCTTCTGCCACGACAGCGTCGACGAGATCCTGCGCGCGCTTGAGGCCGAGCAGGGTTCCACGCGCAGGTGGGCGCAGGAGACGCTGGCCGCGCTGCACAAGCGGTCGCCCACCGCCGTGCACGTCACGCTGCGCCAGATGCGCATCGGCGCCAAGTGGAACATCCACGACACGTTCGTGCGCGAGCATGCCATGGCCTCCAAGTTCATGGCCTCGCACGACTTCACCGAGGGCGTCACGGCCCTGCTGATCGACAAGCGCCCGGCCAACTGGCGGCCCGCGTCCCTCGAGGACATCAAACCCGAGGACAGCGACAAGCTGACCGACCAGTTCTTCCTCTTGCCCAAGAACAAGCCCGCGCTGAAGCTGTTGACCAGGGCGAACTACGACGAGTACCCGTACGCCGAATTCGGCGTGCCGACGGAGGTGCAGGTCGAGAAGAAGGTCATGCTGGGGACCAAGACGCGGAGTCAGATTATAGAGGAGTTTCTGAAAGAACGGAATCAGAAGCAGGGCGTGAAGGAAGTTGTCGAGGAGATCCTGGCGCGCAAGATAACGGGCGGGCCAAAGGACCGGGCCAAGTGGGTATATTAGATGCGTCCAAGTGTATGATAAGCCGTGTATGGAGCCACCCCTTGCTGAATAGAGCCGTATCACGGGTTGGGTATGTGCACATGTATATGCAGGGCTCGCTGTGAGCGCTAGTTGAGCGAAGCCCTTGAACTGCTGCGTCTGCGTCCCAACCTCATACGAGTATTTCGAGTTCAATCCTCGCATTCTCAAGGTCTACAGGGCACTCGCAAGATTCTCGGGCAGCACATACCGCAACTGCACTTCGTCTCCTGTAAAGTGCACACCTGTGGTTTGTGTATTGAGACAGGACGTTGTAAGACAGAGCCCCTTAAGAGAAGCGCGTGGTAACAGCCCTTCCACTTATTTCGTAACAATAGCCTTCTGTTCTAGACCACGACTCCGGGTAGTAATATTATCAATACGTACATACACGGTCATTCAACAAGCGTCCAAGCTAGACGCCTTCCCACAGCTTTTCTAAACCGTCATCAAGACCGCATCACAACGCCCTTTTTATCTAATCCTAGACCCCCAAGCTCTTCACACAACCCCAGAGCACCACCGGCACCACCACATTATCATTACCGCCCGTCAGCACCGCCTCCGTCAGCGACGCCAGCGAAGCACAGACCGCCGACTTGGGCGCCTCCTCCCACAGCCACGGCCACAGACTGGCCAGGTCCAACACACTCATCAGAGCATCCATCCCGGACGCAGAAGGAGCAAACCCTTGACTCCCGGTCGGCGTCATCGTCGTCGTAACCTCCCACCCACCCAGCCTCAACCACACGGCAGCGCTCATCAGGCCCGCAAAAACGGCCACGGCGAACGCCAGACTCCCCTCGATGCTCTTCCCGCCGCCCCAGATCCACTTCCGATGTCCCCACCTCCGGCCGACCAGCGACGCGGCCGCGTCCCCGAGTCCGACACACACCACGCCCGAGACCATGCTCACCTCCCGCGTCGGGACGTCCCAGCCCTTCAGCGGCCCGCTGCCGTCGCGAGGCAACGAGGCCAGACCCAGCCAGAGCGGTATGGCGCAGCCAATGAGCAAGAAGATGTGCGAAATTACGACGGGGCCCCGCAGATCCCTGCCGTCGACGTAAGGCGTGAGGAAGCGCGCGATGGGTTTGGACAGCGGCGGTAGTTGGCTGGCGCGGAGTAGGTCTAGTAGTAGGAAGATGGCCAGCATGAGGGCGAGGGCGAGGGCGACATAGCAAGGGTCGACGTAGATGGTGGGTAGGAACATGGCGACCATCATGAAGTGGAACACCTTCCGGCGGGTGTCGACCTCGTAGACGGGCGAGAGGCGGAAGACGATGGCCAGCCCCGTGACAATGATGCCGAGCCAGTAGGCCGAGAGAAACAGCCGCGTGTTGGACAGGCCGAGGGAGGCGAGGCGCGTGTGCTGCACCCACCCGCTGCCGCACCCGTCACCGAGGGGGCAGGGTTCAGACCCTCCGGGACGCGGCGGGAGGCAGATCCATCGCTCGAGGTTGGCTTTGACGACTTGGAATCGGAACTGTGGGATGTCGCCGAAGAGATAGCCAAGGGCCCAGCCGACTGGTTCGTGGTCGAAGAGCGCATAGTGTTGAACGTAGACTCTGACACCCACCAAGATGATTAGGAGGATGCACACGTAGACGTAGCAGGCGTAGAGCCACTTGTGGATGGCCGCTTGGGTCTGGGTGAGCGAAAAGAAAGCGCGAACGCTGGAGGAGGTGGCGCGCTTGCGGCGGCCGGACGGGGTGGTAGACTTGGCACGACCGGCCAGCTTGCTGGGAGCAGGCAGGGTGTGCCTACGGGGGGTGCCCTGCTGTGGTGGCTCCCAGGAAGACTGGAGGGTGACCGCTTTCTCGAGTGCCGTGGGTGCGTCTTCGGTATCGCTCATGGCGTCTGCTTGCACGGCCTTCAGTGGTGGTGTACACGCAGAGACACCGAGACACGTATCGGCAGAGTGGTCCGAGTCGGAAAGAGTGCCACCGTAGCCTATCCCTAAGCCGGAGCGCCGCGAAAAAAGCGAGGAGATCCCCCGTAAAAGCGGGAATCCAGACTCACTCCTCGCTGAAGGAGTGGCGCGCCTAAATCGCCATTTCGGTACGCGAGCTAGGGCGATGCCTCGTTGTATCACTTGGCCACAAAATACAGTGACACCGAGGCCACCTCCCCACAGGACCGCCTTCAAGATAACGGCTTGGGGAGAGCGGGCCAGGAGTAGAAGGCTGATGAGCCCTACTGAAAGCAGCTGAAGTTCCGAAACCAGAAGGCTCGTTGTTGTGAGGTAGTGAAGAACCAGGCAGAGCGTTTGATGTAACGGATAGAGCAAGACTAGGACCTCGCCCGTAACTTCGTCCTCTCGGAAGGGATGTGTGGTGGATGGAAACCCGTCCCATGCAAAGGGTATGCATGACAGCAGCCAATGTGTGCAGCTCACGTACTCCCAGTAACGGGCACCAGGAACTAGTTGTCTTGGTAGGGCGCATATGCTGAGAACGAGACTGGGCAGCACTCCACCCTGGACATGCCGGGAAACCAAGAGGGACACGAAGACCGGTATTAGAGGAGGGTAGAGGAGCGGCGCCGGATCAAACGCGGCTGGGATCCGGATCGGTATGGGCTTAGAAGGCTTTCCCTGGCGATATGCCCAAGCAGCCAATCTCAAAGGGTATGCCGCGATCAGGCAGAAGAAGGTCGTGCTCACGGCCAACAGCGCTACGGCAACCAGGTTAGCCTGGGGTTGCATGGATTAGCCAAGAGGAGCTTACCTTTTTTATAAATGTGCAGATACGGCCGCACATCGGGCTTCGAAGCAACCATTGCCACCTGCCATACGAGGAGAAGCACTTCCACTACTCTTCTGAGAACCTCCCTGCGGCGGCGCGCCCCCTCCGCTGCGCCCCTCTTGTCACGCCCGTATCGGCCATGGCCGGGAGTTAGATATGGCGTTTTCCGACCCTCCTCTTCCAAAACACCTGGTGAGAGCGCCGGCGTTGATGTTCCGGACAGCGGTTCGTTCCTCCCCCTCAGCCCTTTGTGCAGCCTGGCTTTCGGCGCAGGAAGACCCTTGAGGAAGTGCTCATCGTCGGCGTCGGTGCCGCTCTCGCTGGTGGGAAGCGGGGACTCTCTCGCGAACGAGGGAAGCGAGTGGGTTGATGATGCGACGCTTGAGTACGGCCTATTACGAGGCAGACGGCCGGAGGGTTCGAGAAGTTCGGAGTGTAGGCGGTGGTAAGGATGCGGCGAGCGAGACAGTTTCCTCAAGCTGTCGTGGTCCTCTTCATGGCTGGCGGGGCCAATCGTCACTGTGGGCGGTGGTGGTTGGAGATGCTCAGGCATGGCCATCGAGGGGCTCTAGCGGCTGAACGGTGTTATGGCGCGACATGTGCCAGGTGTGTTCTCACTCGTTTGGAACAACCTATCTGAAGGCCGCCAAACTTGCAACCCGGTATGCAGGCGCAAGATCCGGCATGCTGGTGAATGTTGCGTTCCATTCCACAGTCACATGCAATTCGTGCCTCGACATTCGACAACTGTGTACCTGGTCTTCTGACGGCTCTGCTGATTTGTCCACTACCTCGACCCACCTACTAACGCGACCCACTTTACCGAGCTTCTCGAATCGAAGCTCAAGGTCGAGGTTGTCTGTTCATAGATACACCTCCGAGTCACAGACACGTGTAGTACGGAGTTAGTAGGTAGTTATTCTTATGTTATGTAGTCAGCGGAAAGTCCCTTCGGACCTCATCCCCTCAGCCTATACTAAGATGGGCGAACGTTATCGAGGTCCCTAGGACGTCCAGCCCATACAGAGGACAAGTCATTCCTAATCCATATCCAGAGGCCCAAAATTGACGAAGCGCCGAAGATCAAGGCGGAAGATGTCGTCGTATCCTGGGTTTATTGGGGACCAGCTGCTCAGGAAGTATGTGTGGCTGGAATGCGTCAGTTTCGCACCAGATCTGATTGCCGGCCTTATTATCGACTAGCAAATGTTGTCCAGTTGGCGCTCCATTCGTCTGGCCTGCTAAGCTCTTTGGCGAGTGAGCTACCGTATTGAGCGTTTTCACTTTTCGGGGATGATGTAGGGGGCTGTGATCGTGCTGATATCGTGCTGATAGAACTCGATTTACATCTCCTGAGCATTGTCAGACTCTGTACGGAGTACAGACAGTCGTCCGGACCTACATTTGAGAATAACGAGAGTGGCCTTTGCCCTGCAAGTCGAGGTCTCAGGCAGGCAAGGGTTCACTCACTCAGGTCACGGTGCCGACGTGCTTCAGAGCCCGTCAACTCGGATGCCTTCAATCCACACGACTGCAGCTTGACGTTTCGGCAGTTTCGTGTTGAAGTCTTACATTGTTGACGCCCCAGCAACGGGTTTCGGCACAAGCTCCGCGCGAAGTCGCCGAAGTATGGAATCGATGACGTCGGTAATACGAGGGCATCCACTGCTGGCCCCGGTAGAAGCAAATCATGGATTCATAGGCAATTTCAAGGAATCGGATGCTGGCCGAGCCGGAGATTCGAAAAACCGGCATTGTACAGCCGAGAAAGGCAAAGGGGGCCCCTTTCAAACTTAGTAGCAAGCCGCGATCCGATGAACACCACCACCGTTACAGAGACGTTGGATAGGTCTCGACCCGTGCGCATTTGGGTTTCTTTACCAGTCACGGTGTTTGGACTCTGACACAAATCGATTCGGCGGGGTCTCTTAGAAACTGGGCCCCACAGGCGCCGTGAGCACGGGCCGCCCAATGGCGAAACAAAAAAAAGCGAAGAGCTGGCGGCTGTGCAAAACCGGGGTTCCAATGGCTGGAAGCGCCGTGCCGGACTCCATAACGTTACGTGACACCTCCAACACGAAGTGGAAGACGGCCTCCTCCATACGAACATGATTGTGCAAAAGATGAGACCGCGCGGATCGGAGTCGTTGTCCGAGCCAGTGTTCGCAGAGCCGCGCCTCCAAACATAGCAGCCGAGCTCTCTGCCAGTGGGCTGCTAGCGTGCTAGCGTCGCTCGATATTCCCTTGGCAGCAATCAAGACCATATCAGGACCCCTGTCTCTGCAGCGTCATCTAGGCTGAGCGGGCTGAGACGATCTGCAGGTGCCCCTCCGGCGTTAGGACATGGGCGTCAATGGAGGCGCTACACTAGCGCACCGTAAGCTTGGGAGCTTATATTCCGATGGTTGTCCCGCCGAGAGCTGAAACGCTTCCATTGATATAATACCTAATCTTCGTAGTGCCAAGTGTGAGAATTTTTTGTGTGTAGCTACACACATATAGGAGGAACCGTGGTGACTGTGAGCTTCTTCCGGGAGGTGGAACAAAACAACGTGGTTAAGATAAGCCACATTGGGACGGTCGGAACGGCAACGGTGTCTGGTACTGGTAAGACTCCGGCTCAACTTTCTCTGCGTTTCCCAGTTTCCGCTTGAGACAATGGACCAGTCTGGTACTCCCACGTCCGGTTCATGGCCGGTATCCTGTTTTTGGATTTCCGAAGTTCTTAATAGTGTTTTGTTAAGCTAACCATGACGCAGGTTGACCATTCAACTGCTCGGATCTACTAGCTGCATGTCTGTTGCAAACTAGGCTAGGCATCGTGCTTCTTTCTCACATTTAGTCTTGCCCTCCCGCCATGGATCTCCTCACAGGCGGCAAGTCGCCGTCCGCCGAGCCCCTTCTTCCCGTCGACGCCCACGAGAAGACCGCTTTCGAACTCCAGCCAACACCCGACAACAGGCATCGTCGAGCTCCGATCAGCAAGATGGCGTATGCCAGGCGGACGATCTTGGCCTTGTTGGTGTGTGCGCTGTTGCTCCTAGGGGTCGTCTCAGCTAGCTCTCCGTGCCACGGAGGGCAAACCGACCAGCAGGCGGCGGCCGAAACCCCGGAGTCATCTTCGTTCTCGGCCCTGCTGAAGTCCGCATCACCGGCCTCTCTCCATGATCTCCTCCATCGGTACATGCCTGAGCGGTTCCAGGACGGCGTGTGGGTGTCCGAGCACGAAGCAATCGAGGCTGTTCATCAGTCGAACGCGGCTCTTGCGACTTCCATCGTGCAGATAGCGAAGCGCCAAGACGACAACAATTCGACCGTGGAGAGCGCCAGCGCCTCGCCAACCTCGGCGGAGAGCTCCTCCGCCCCAGTTGACAGCACGTCATCGGCGTCTGAGAGCCCTGCAAGCAGCAGTTCTGTCCCTTCCCAAACGAGTACCAGCAGCGTGCCGCCCGCCACAACCACCACTCCCAGCAATACTCCTTCAACATCCACTCCATCATCGACCCCATCGTCCACTCCGTCATCCACTCCATCATCTACTCCGTCATCTGCTCCGACGTCCACTCCTCCCTCGTCGCTGTCTGGTACGTCCTCGACTCTAAGTACTCTTACTTCCCCGACGTCCTCCCCAAGCTCCTCCCCAAGCTCCTCCGCGAGCTCCTCCCCCACTTCATCTCCTTCCTCGCTGTCCGGTACGTCCTCAAATCCAACCACTACCTCCCCGACTTCTTCCCGGACTTCCCCAACTTCTTCTTCTTCCATGTCGGCGACGCCGTCCTCCGTTCCCCAAACGCTGCCGTCCTCCTCGATTGTTGGAGGTATGTGGGCCTTGCGTTGGTTTTCAGTTTTACCCTTTATCTGCCCTTTGTCAGACCTCCAAACGACCGTCTTTCGCCTGGTTCCACTATCATCGACATCGAAGAGGCTTGGAGTCCATGCTAACGAGCCGCAGAGACGACTTTGACAACCACGACTGTCCCCCCGGCATCGTCGACCACCACACCTCCCCGTACCTCCAAGGAGGTTATCCAGACCTTGACGAGCACAGCCCCGAACGGAGACGTTGTCACCGTCTTCTCGACGACCTGGGTGCCAGGTGACGCCGCCGCGACAGAAGCACCCACCTCAACAGGCCGCTCGGCGAGCCTCCAAAACTCCGCCGTTCGCAGCCACGACAGCGGCGTCGCCTTGATGGCCGCCATGGGCCTGGCCCTGTTGTTGCCCGTGGTGTAGGGAGGATCACGAGGATAGGGGAAGAGAGAGAGAACGTCGAAGAGAAGGAGGGATCCAACTTCGACGGGGGGACCAATTTCGCTCATTTTCATCATTGGGTATTTTAATCCGGGAATTGTCTGCATTGCGCGGGGTTCGGGCACTTTTCATCATCATCATCATCATCATCATCCATCGTCTGGCGTCATCCATTCATTCATCCAGCGGAGTCATTTCAAGGGCGCATGCATACCATGGTACCTGCCACGCGGAGTACGGCACACAACTCGTACAAACGTCTATCGGGATCCGGACAATGATACGATATTACACATTCATTTAATGGTGAAGAAAAGAAGGACAAGACTGGGAATAGACACACACGGGCGGCCGAGGGAAGACAAATGTACATAGACGGAAGCGGATTAATGGGAAATAGACTTAATGGCTGCAAACCGCTTGCTTAATTCTGCACTCTCGCCATCGTTCGAGCTAGCTGAGCTAAAAGATGCCTCTGCATGATGAATTGCACAACACCATGACGACCCTGAAGTCGAGGAAGACCGGCAGGCGCGTTTAGACAGGGACCAGTGGAATACCTTAGCGTGAATTAGGCATTTTCCTTCAAGATATTCGCGCAAGTTCTAAGAACTGGGGAGATAGCCCCTACCATACTTGCTGGACGGTGGCTTGTATGGTCCTGACAGGCTACCGCCTCCATCTCGTCCGTGCCACTGATTCTTCGCGAACTGAGAACCGAGCATTGGATGTGGATGTCAAGAGGGGAAATCAAGCAAATGGCAGGACGATTGAAGAGGCATGGGGGAGGTGGTGAAAATGCTTGATACAGAGCTTTATTCTATCCATAAGTTGTACCAACGAGACTGCTTCTATCCTTTACAGGTCGCTTTTCCATCGGATATTGATCGAGCGAGATCAGTACCACAACTCAATTGACGCCCGAACTCCAAAACTCAATTCAAAATCCCATCCATCCCGGTTCACCTCTTGCGCCGACGTCTCCGCAAAATCGCTTGTCGAGTAAAACCAATATCAAAACCGCCAACACCGAAGCCTCCTCCTCCATGATGTTCCGGTCTCTATCCAGGCCCGATCTTGGGCATGTCGTTATGGTCTGTCATCCGTGACAGCCTCGCATTGAACTCGGCAATCCGCTCCTTGTGTGTTTTTAGGAGGTCGGGACGCTTGCCAGACTCGATGTCCTTTTGGAGCTATTTTGGTGTTAGCCAGGATATGAGGGAGGAGGGCTTAAGGGGAAGGGATGGCCTACTTTGCGTCGCTTGTGTTCGAGAAAGGCGATTTCGGCTTTTGTCTTGCCTGCATAGGGGTCGACTTCTTCTTTATCGTCTTTCTGCGGCTCGGGGCTGTCGCTGCGGCTCCTCTTCTTTGATAGCTTAGAATCTGGAGCACCTTCTTCCTTTTTCTCGGTGACCTCGTCCGTTTTTGCGACGACCTCGGATTTCTTCTGCTTCTTCTTTTTCTTGCAGGCAGCTGGTGGGTCGCCTTTGAATCGGAATGGCGTGATCTTGCGATCGTCGGGCGCCATTGTGAGAGTCGATTATGTGTTTTAAGACGTTGGTGATTGGACGTGGCTTGGTAACAGAGGCTTGGAGTTGTTTGTTCAGTAACGAATGTGAGAATTCGGGAAGAAGTAAGTAGCGACTTTAACGAGAGTGTAGGTGAACAATGGATGGTAAGGTCGAGAAAGATGGTTGCGGTTGAGGTGCGGGAGTGGATGGTTATATTGGGCACGTTGGTTTGCACCAGTGGCCATCACCACCTCGTCAGGTGGTAGGGGAAGATCACATGGGCAGCTCACGTGTGCAGTTGCTTTGTGAATGACTTCGGTAGCATTCAGGTTGTGAAGTGGTTGATTGGCTGTATCAACCGCTCGACTCGTCCTGCAGTACACTTAACCCCAACCCTCATTATCATGCGCGTTCTCGGACTGTCTCTGTCAGCTTTTTGGCTGCAGCAGGCTTCTAGTGGCCGATGCAGGAGATCAAATACACCTCAATTGTCGAAATTGCCGCTGTTGCGCACCATCCATCTTCCCGAGTTTGTAGGGTACACTACTACACCTAAGGTTACGGAGCTCACTGATGATGAGGCTCTTCACCAGCCGCATGAATCCAATGTGGACATTGGCAGCTTTTGCCAATCAAAATGCAGGAAAGCATTGCCCCACTTCAGCCTGCTGCCCCGCTTCGGCTGCAGTACAATTACTTCGCCGCGAACCGAAAATTTTAACTTTTCCTTTTCTCTTCTCCAGATCAAAAAGTATTCACGAAGATGCCACGACCTTCACTAGTATCCAACGGTGCTTAGGTTGCCAGATCTCATTGAGATCTCCTTCGGAGAGCAAACTCCTTGATAGGAAGTTTCTCACCCTAAATCCATGTGGGTGGGAGATGCTGAATGATTGGAGACATTCTTTGCGGATTGCCCATGTGACATGTGGGTGATGCGTACCGGAATGGATGGGGGTCGATGCTTCGTGGACCTGCTGCTACTGCTTCATTCGTTGCACGCTATCATTGTGGTCACATGGGGGTTTCTCTGCTGCTTGCGACGTCAGCTGCTGGTGTCGCTCATCCAGAGCGAGCCTGGATGCATACGCAGTGGCTTCCACAGTCGGGTTCTGAAGTTTGTTCGGCTGCAATATGTGCGGTCTGCAGATGTGTCATTGGGAGTCGCTGCTTCCTCGAGTCTGAGAGACAAGTGACTGTGGTCGCCACGAGTTCCAATGTTGCTCAAACTCATGACAGGAAGGCAGGTTTCGTTTGCATCTCGGACAAGTTGGCATGACAGGCAAGACCTCGCTCGGCTCTTCCTCGATTACGTTGTGGTCGTCCAAGGGCATTCACATGTTCTAGATCAGGCAACTGTATTGCACTTCCTCAAGGCCGTCAAGTCCACTTAGGTTCGCATTGAATCTAGACTCAATTACATATCCTGAGGCTCCTCCGGCTCAGCGACCTTCCTGCTAAGATGCTGGTCTCTGATAAACTCTTCAATCTGGGTATCGTGCTTGGTCCGTTCTGGAGGCGCTGAAGGCGTGCTCTCAGTAGGCGTTTGCTCCTGCTCCGGCTCCTTCCCTAGCATCTTCCCAACGACCGAAACATACTGAGACACTGCCAGTCATCTTCCGGTTAGTGTCATTCTGCGGAGTTGGAATGCCATTCTGAGCACGCACCCTTGTCTATGATTCCACTGCCCTCGCCCTCGTTCGCCGGGTTCTTTGCACCTGATGCAGCCTCATCAAGCTTAGCTTTGTAGTCAGGGGCGCCAGGCTGGTTGGCAGTGCTGTTCTCAGTTGTGTGGATCATGTTCAGAACTCATAAACCGGGCCAGACTATGATAAGGCCTTTGATATGGGGGCATGGAGACTCGCAAGACGGTGTCTGGTGTTTGTCTGCCGTTGTAACGATTGCTTGTTTACATAGACGCTGAGCTGAGAATGGTGTGACGTCAGCAGGGTTTGGGCCAACGTGTAACCTTTGAACTCGAATTGGATGACTAGAGCATCGTTTGACCACTGCAATTCCTTCATCAATACCGTACCTGGGACCTGTGAAGTATCACCATGTCGTACTAGGTCCTACTTCCCGGCGCTGGCTGTGTTTCTTTCTGTATGAGATGGCAATTGATAGCTTCGAAGCGTCCGTCAAAACAGGGGCTGAGGACACAGCTGCTGAACATAGCAAGGTGCTTTACTGTAAACTGCCAAATCTCATAAGGCAACTTGATGATGTCTGCCCCAGCCTCTATAACGACTCCAGCCAGTAGGGCTACTGTTTAAAAACAGTTGTCTCTACACGCCTCCTAGCTTTCCCCGTTGAACACGGCCACTCCGGGATTTCATTCCGGTATCGATAACCGTTTACAATTCATCGCCCCTGCCAAGACCCTGCCCCTCCAACATCGCGGCGTGGGGTGATCCGTAGACCACTTCCTTTGCCAGTAAATACATTATACCTCAACTTACCGTCCTTCATTAGGCACATTTGTCATCTTTACTCAGAGCAGGCTCTACTTCGCAGGACTCCGTGAGCCCCACGCCAAACACACAAGATAACGTGGAACCCCTTAGCTGTCGCGCCCTTAACCCTACAGCGCAACAAAACCCGCTGTAGCCCGGCTGACACACCACGGGAGAGAGTCACACACCACAGGCACACCATGACCCAAACCAACGATGATGAACCCCCCACGTCCAACAACAACAACTACAACAACAACAACAAGAGAAAACCCATCCCTATCACCATCATAACGGGCTTCCTCGGCGCGGGCAAGACGACGCTGATCCTGAAGCTCATCCCGCAGCTGCGCGGGCTCAACCCGTCGTACAAGCTCGCGCTGCTCAAGAACGAGTTCGGCGACGTGGCCGTCGACTCGCAGCTCGCGTCGTCGTCGGCCATCGCGGGCGTCACGGAGCTGCTCAACGGCTGCATCTGCTGCAACCTGGTCGGGCAGCTGGGCCCCGCGCTGGCCGAGCTGCGCCGCACGACCGTGTGCCCGGACCGCGTGATCGTCGAGACGAGCGGGAGCGCCTTCCCCGCCACGCTCGCGCTCGAGGTCAACAGGCTGGCGAGGGAGACCGGCGGAGAGTATGTCCTCGATGGCGTCGTCAGTGTGATCGATGTGGAGAACTGGGCCGGGTATGAGGATACCAGCTACACGGCCAAGGTGCAGGCCAAGTATACGGATCTGGTGGTGTTCAATAAGTGGGAAGGGTGTGGGGAGCGGCGGTTTGATGAGGTGCTGGACCGGCTGGGGGATATGGAGGTCGATGTTGCGTGGGTGAAGAGTGATAAGGGGTGGGTGGATATGAACGTGGTGTTTGGGGTGGATGGCGGGTTGGCGAGGGGGTTGGTGGAGGAGGAGGGCGATCTCAATCCTGCTGCTGCTGCTTCTGCTGCCGCCAATGGGGAATGCAAACAGGGGGATGGCTGCGGGCACGGGCTGGGAGAGGCGCATCAACACCACCAGTCCGAGGTCGAGGTGCTGTCGGTCGAGTTGAAGGGAGAGGAGGAGGGTGCGGCGGTCGATGCCGACAAGCTGCTGGGCTTCTTGAAGAGCGCGCCCAAGGACGAGGTGTATCGCATCAAGGCCGTGCTGACGGCTTCTGGGACGGTCCGGAACTCAGACGAAGACGTGCCGCTGCCGTCACCGGCACATCCGAGGAACAGGTATATTCTGAACTGGGCCTTTGGGCGGTGGACATTCACGCACGTGGGGGACGGCATTGCGGAGCACGACTCGACTACCAATGCGACGCTGAGGATGACCATGATCTTGGCGAGGTATGAGAGCACGAAGTGGAAGAAGAAGCTGGAGGCTGGCGGGTTGCTAGAGCTAGAGGGCACCAAGGGGCTATTGACGGTTAAGAAGGTCAATTAGACCATGTACGAGATGATAGAGAACTGGATGTGGCTTGGGAATAGAGGTAGACTTTTGCATATATAGATCACCGACACAATACTACAGTAGTACATAATCGCACTAATCATCAAGTCGGTGCCGATGAGGTCCCCGCCTCTCCGTATTCGGCAGAGTCAGCGGCATGAGAGTGGTATACGAGCTGCGGAGTGGGCAAGCTAGTGCTGACCGCGGTTCGGTCGGCATAGCGCGTGTGTCAAGGGACCTTTAAAAAGGGCACGCAGAGACCAACGTCAAAGGCGATGTCTAGTAACATACCCACTACTGCATGCTTAACCCAACATGAATATCGCTTTAAACTACTGCTCATCAACTAATAATGCAAACCCGAAACAATCGGGTATCATCCTCCTCCTCCTGTTCTTCGCTCCCGTATCCCGTCCCGTCCCTCCACTTCTCTACCCTGACCTTAAAAAACCCCTTCTGCCCTCTACTAGCAGGCACACATACTCAAACCCACCCCTTCCTCCGGCCCCGCTCCACGACAGCATCGTCGTACTGCTCAATAATCTCCAGGAACAAATCCGCGTCATAATCATCACCCTTGTCCTGCCGCACCGCCTCCCTCTCAGACCTCGCCCGTTCTCCTGTCGACGGGTTCTTCTTCCGCGCCAGCAGGAAATCTGTGTTGTTGTCGTCGTCATCATCATCACCCACCTTGAGGAGAAATGGCCTTTGTCCTGGTTCGGGTCCGGCTGGTCTCCTTAACCCCTGATTATTATTACTAGTAGTAGTACGACCTTCCCGAAATCTGGAAGTGGGAATGTGGAGGCGTGGTGAGCGGCTTTCTCTGGACAGGGGAGACGAGGATAATGAGGACGCCGGAGTAGTAGTAGAAGTAGTATTAGTAGTGGTGGTGGTAGTGGCGGTGGTGGCTTTCATTTGGGAAGCGATATGCTGTTGCTGTTGGTAGAGTTGTTGATGGCGCTGCGAGATGGATGCTGAGATGGGTGTGGCCGGTGCCGGCCTTCTCTGGGAACGGGACGGTGGAGGAGGCGGAGTAGGCGGTGCCGGCAGGGGCTTCTCACTGTATTTCTCCCTTTCAGGCGTAGGCGGTTGCTGCATTCGCCTTGGATCGTAGATGATGCCCAGGGGCGACGGCCAGACTGTGCGGGCTGTGTGGGAAGGTGACGGGGTTTTGTGTCTTGGCTGCTGGGCCAGGAGGCGTCTCTGAGACAACGGGGGTGGTGGACGGGTAGGTTGCGGGAAACCAACGGGCCTTTGGCCGGCTGTAGGTGTGGGTGCCTCGACTGTGAGGCTGGGGATGGCTTCGCGCCGGGTCATTCCCCGATGCGTCGACGCCTCGGTGCGCTCATTTCCTCGACCAGTACCAAGAAACGCCCGCTGCGCAAGTCTCGGCGGCGCCCTCTTCGCCTCTTTCCTACCTCCAGTAGTGTATCGTATCTCACTCAAGCTAAGAGCTGGACTTGGACTTCGCTGTTGGGTTGCCGGCGGCGGAGACGTCGCCGTGCCGGTAGACCACGGGGCCGAAATGGCTGCAGGTACGGAAGAGGCACAGTGTTTGTCGGTCGCAAGGAGTTGCCGTCTGTTTTTGTGCTGCGGCAGCCCTGCTTGCCGGCCATGACCTCTATGTCGCAACTCTCTACCGTACACCGAGCCTGTGGCATGATAATGCCCGTCGCTATCATCACTCTCAGTGCTAACGTACGAGTCATCCGGGCCGGCCGAGCTTGCCAGGGTTGGAACCTGCTTCAGATACCCTGCTTGTGGTCTCCGTTCTTCCTCTTGTCTCCCTCGATAGTGTCTTAGAGAACGGTGGCCTGGCATATCCGTGGTACCGTACTGGCTGCGTCCCTGAGCCACGGCACGCCGCCACCTGGCAATATCGTCACCACACTCTTCCTCAGTGGGAGCCTCGACCGGCGTCACCAGGCGAGCAGGCCGGTCCGGCGTGTGGATGATCTCAAACTCTCTCTCGTCTTTCCGTTCGCTCTTGGGCTTGATGCGGCCGAGATCGCGAAGCCTATGGCTAAGACTGGCCGTTGAGTTATTCGGGCTCGTAGGGTATACCACCATTGCAAAAATATAATCCGTACTTCGAGGAAGGATAACAGTTGGGCTCTTGGCCTCGTAAAGTCTTGCATTGTTGAAACAGGAGCTAACCCGCAACTACGTGGAAATGCTTGCGCGTACTTAATATGAATAAAGGAGAGGTATAAAACAAGCTTGTTCTTTGTTACTTGAGCCGTCGTGTCATCGGGATGAGTCTTGCAATGATCGTTATACAAGAAGCGGTTTTGATCATGGACAGTAGACATCGGTCTTTGTCCCCTGAGCGCCTCGAGTGTGATACCCAAACAATGACATGTCGCCACCTGGCCGATGCCGTGATGATGCTCTTTCACCTCGTCAGATGCCAACTCAGAGACTGACTGTGACGGTCATGTGGTTACTCAACACCAGCAGCACTGGAGGCAGCCCGTTGCAGAGCACTTCGATATCGGACAAATACGCCAGACTTGCCTCCTCGCTCTTGCACGTGTTCTCTTCCGGGATGGGCAAAGTGGTAAATATCACAGCAGCGTCGCTGCTGTTTTGCCGCATGAGCTCGTTCAAGATCAAGTGCTGCGCCCGGCTGGGGAGGTCGTTGAAGGACAGCGACAAAGCTTGCGTCGAATAGCTCGACCCATCGTTGTCGCTTGCCTCTTCCAAGAGCTGGTAAGAGGCCATGATTTCCGCCATATGGAGCGAGGCGTCGCCGTCACTTTCCGCCGTTTTCGATGCCGAGCTTCGTCGTGACCTGACCGGGGACTTGACACCGGGCAAGACTTCGGCAAACGTGACTCTCTTGTCGCCTGACATCTCCTCGCCGGGACCGTGTTCTGTGCCTGTGCCGCGTCCAAACGAAGACTGTCTTGAGAATGCCGGCCGTTCCGCGCGAGTCTCTGCCTGGGCAAACATGATCGTAGGCCCCGCCCCGTCGACATTCGTGATGGTCGTCTGAGGGACCAAGTTGCTCGAGAATCTCATGGCCGTAGAGTTGTGCCGCGACAGAGCCGGCCTCTCCGACTTCAGGATCCCTCGAGGGGTCTGCGGTGAATCCGGCCCGGATCTGCTGTTCCTTGGCGAGTACAGTCCCGATTCACTGCCGACGCGATTGTCTGGCATGATCGTCCCGTACGAGCTCTGAACCGGTGATCGTGCTCGTTTCAACTTCCTCTCCCTTCGGGGACTCTTCGGGCGAACAAACACGTCCGCAAAACTCCTCCTTCGGCGGACAGCAGCCAGCAAAGGACGCCTGGCCGTTTCCTCGCCCCCGGCAGGCACATTGTCAGTATCGCTGGAATACGCCTCCATGGCGCCATCTTCCGACGAGTCGCTATCGCCGTCACTATCGCTATCGCTCCCAGAACCAGCATCCGAGCCCGAGCTGTCAAAGACATTGAACGGCAGGTTTTGGGTATGGATCCCCATACTAACGCCCCATTTGGCAAATTGAGACACGGTGGGCTTCTTCGGCAGCTCGGTAAGCTGCGCCAGACTATGGCGCCGTCTTGCCCCGCCATCCGAGGGACTGCTGCTGTGTGGGTTGTAGAGGCCCGGCCTGCCGGAGGTGGACTCCATGACCTGAGCGATGGAAGCGAACTCCTGAGACTGTGTCATCGCCTGACTTCCACGGTAGTTTTGTAAGTCGTTCCACCACTCCTGCGTTTTCAGGCACTCGTTGACGAGGTTCTCGGTTTCCGAGTCCTTGAAGTGGCCGTTGATGATGGCTTCGTAAGTTGCGAGGCTGCCGGACGCCAGCCAGAACACTAGGACTTGAGCATCGATCCTCAGCTTCTCCAGTAGTGCCTTGACTCGGCCTCGCTCCTCCTCGACTTCGCTCTCATACTCGACAAACACGACGACCCGCAGGTTGTATGCCTTCTTCCACGCGGGAACGGTGTGGAGGATGTAACCCAACTGAAGGATCAAAGTGTCTACTCACGGTTAGATTCTGGACCGAACTGGTGGGGTGGGGGGTGGCAGGGGAGGAGAGAGGATAGAACACTCACAAGTATCGAAGTTGGTGGTGAGGACGTTCTTGCCATCCGCAGTGAGTTCTGCCGACATCTGGATCGGCCACAGGTCAATGTACTTTTTTGTGTTGCTGCCGTCCCCTCGCGGCGTCTCCAAGGCGTCAAACCCCTTGCCAACGGCGACGTTTAAGCGGTAGCGCAACGCCAGATCCTCCAAGATCGTGAGGTAATCTGTTACCGACATCATCTCTTCCGTTTTGATCGCATCGGTGGGTAATAGGCCTTCCAGGATACGGGAGGACGTGTCCTGTCTCCGTCTCCTCCTGACTTTGGCTTCAGGTTTTGATTTGCCTTGCTGGTTCGGTGCAGGCGACACTGGCGCTTCGGGGATTTGCAGTGTCGGTTGGGAACGGCGCAAATCGTCCATATTGTAGAAGCCCATGACAGCGATGTTTGGCCTCATGCCGCCCAGGCCGGCCGAGAGCACCAGGTTCCTCACTCCCCAGGTTATTGAAGGCGACATGGTCAATTGCACAAATGCCTTGATTCTCGAGTACTCGGAGATGTACCTGGTCCAAGCCGCTTGCTGTAGCTTTGCCTCCGCGACGCCTGCTGCGAAGTCATCCGTGACGATGACATGGCCGAGGATATACAGTGCCCCTTTCTTCAAAGAATTGCAGAATTGTATCAGCCGCGTCTGTCGCCTGGGGTTGTTGATAAGGAGGATGATCTGCGGTCTCCAGAATTTGATGTGCTCTGGCTTGAGGCGCAGGAGGTACTTGCGCACTTGGTGGTAAATCAGATTCTGGGACACATCACCCCAGTGCTTCGGTGGACTCAGGTAGTGGATCAGGAGAAACAGGAAGACCAAGAGACAGACAGCAGTAGTGGCATATGTCTCGTCGATGAAGAACATGGCGGCTGCGGACAGTACGCTACCGGCAAATGCAGTCTGCCAGCTGAAGAACTTGAAACCGGGACGGAAGTTGGGAGCAGAACCAATCTTGAGGAGAAAGCAAGCAAGGTTCATGACGAAGAAGGTCATCTAACCTGCTGTTAATCTGTTGTTGTGACCCGGTCATCGGCTTCGGGGCTTTCTCACCTGGTAGCCCATTGATATGAGCGTAGCAATCTGATTCAAGTTTGCAAACATAGCCATCTGTGCGGCGACGTAGGTGAGGAGAATGGCAAGGATAGGCTCATCCGCCTTCTTCGTACCCTTGCCGAGGAGCGACAAGCCCGGGAAGAGCTTGTCTCTGGCCAGAGCCTGCATGAGCTTGGCGGACCCGATGACGCCCATCAAAGCAGAGAAGAATGTAGTTGCGATTTCTCCGGCGAAGACAACCGGGGGCCAAATGTTAGTGTCCTGAATGATATTCGGGTTGAGAAGGAACGAGGCATGGGTCGTGCTCGACGCCAACGAGAAGACGACGAGCAAGTAGGCAACCAGTGTGGAGAGCATGGCCCACAGCGTGCCGACTGGAATGGCTTTGCTGGGATTCCGCAGGTCTCCCGACATAGAGGCACCAGCGAAGATGCCCGAGGTTGCGGGGAATAAGATGCCAAATAGATCGCGAAAGGTTGCAAAGCCGTTGAACTCCGAGCCGTCGAAGTGAGGCAGCAGGTTGGATCGGAGGGTTGCCATGCTGGCGCCTGTAAACTCGATCGCCCTGTCCGGATCACTGAAGGCCGGCTTCGCCACCGCGGAAAGGGGTATGCTGAGGGTGGAAATAGTCAAAACCACCAAAAGCGCGTTGCTTGCTTTGGTGAAGATGGAACTTCCAGCAAGGCAAAGACCAGTGCATAGCAGCAGGGCCAAGGTGCCAAAGAGATAGTCCCACCAATATCCAATAGGCATGGCATAGCCGATGTTGAGCTTGATGCAGTCAATCAGGCCAACGACGTTGAGGGCCGTATTAAGCACTTGTGCCAGGTAGAAGAGAACGCCGATAGAGCCTCCGAACTCGGGCCCCAACGACCTCGAAATCAGATAGTAGGCGCCGCCCCCTTTGACCTCTCCGTTTGACGCAATGGCCGAGAGCGAGAGCGTTGTGACGAAGTCAACAGTGTAAGCAATGAGCATAAGGCCTGGCAGAGTCAGTTAGTAACTGTCAGTAAGTAAGTGTGTGTTGATACATGGCCATGAAAATCATACCCAGAATGCCAAGCAGCCCAACTTGACCCAAGATCAGCCCGAATCTCAGGAACATGAGAATGCTGAGGATGTTCAGGCAGACCGGAATGTAGACGCCCGACACTGTCCCCAGCTTGTGCCTCTTGCTGAGGGACTCGGGCTCCATCGTGGGCAATATGACCTGACGCTGCGACGAAACTGACAAGTGCGGTTTATAGATGAGGGACAAGGCCGAAAGTGTATGTCAGGACAGTGGCAGCAAGGCCGTATTGTCATGAAGCAAGCAGACAGATATTCGGTCGGCGTTGACTGTCTCACAGCTCAGGAGCGGTCTGAAGTTCTGAACCCAACCAAACGTCGTGACCGCTGACACTCCCGTTTAGGCTTCAGCGTCAAAGGCAGCAACCGGCTGTCTCCTGCAGAAACTCACTGTGACGATGCATTGCTTTGAGAACAGTGCAGATCACCAACTCCACTAGGAGGAGGAGAACTGCGGAGTGGAAGGTCTAATATTCGAACAAGAAGGATGTTGGCCGCAATCGCAAACCCGCGGGGCCCCGCCTAAGTCTCAACTCTCAAGCACTCCGTTGTCCAAGGTTGTCGTCTCGCCCGGGCGTCTCAACAACCATCCAAGTGTGATCGGGCGCCAGGGGCAGACTTGTTGACTTCAGTTCTGTACTTATTGGGGGATCGCGACGTCATTTTGCAGCGAGCGCTGTTTCTCTAGGCAGGCAGTTTTGCAGTAGATCGCCTCGCGGCAGGCACGATAATGGGTCACCATAATAATAATCGACGAAACATCCCCGATTAGGTACGGTCTTGGCGAGAATATCAACATCCGTGATAGCAACGTTCAGAAGTTAGCTCATATTCTGTTCATATTTTGCTCAATGCACTTTCTGTCCAGAGTGTCCGAGTGTTCGCTATATACCCGCAGAGTTGCTGCTTGAAGCTAAAGCTCACATAGTAATTCGTACCGTCGATTAATGTTACACTCTTGTGTAACTCACAGTATGCGTAAGGTAATTGATACCATTGATACAGGTACAGCGAAACTTTCGCCTGGTAAGATTCAGAAAGCGGAGAGTCAGGGTCCTAATTTGGGCTTGGCGCCATTGCTGAGCCCGCCCCCAGTTCACTGGCAGTCAGCAGGCCGCCCAACCGCCTGCCTCATTCGTTACTTTCCTTATCAGCACTCGGTGTCACGAGCGGTCACACAGCCAGACAACCTTAGATAGAGGTCAGCTGTGTCCGTCGGCGGCGTCTCTTCTCCTATTAGGAGTTCATTTGGCGAATGCGCTCATTACTTCTTGCTGGCTCAATCGACCGTCATTCGCTCTTCAGCCATCGAATCATCATCGCTTGTCGGGCCATTGCGGCGTCGGATATCAGCGGAGCTCGAGGTCCCAAGGCATACAATAGACGCTGACTCGAGGCATGAGATAACCGTTATACATACGCTACGCTATATCAACCGTCATGTCGACTCCTAGCAGAAACCTACCGCCTCCCATAGAGCGACGCTTGTCATCATCGCCCGGCTCGTTCCGTGGCCGGTCCTTCGATCGCGCCGAGTCCACCGCGCGTCTCGCCTCACCCCTAGCACTTGGCACGTCCCCGACACTCAAGCCGCCATTATCGACCGGTGACGACGCTGGTTCCAGTAGCTTGAGCCCTCTTCCCGGCCCCGGGTCTCATGCTGCAGGTCCCGGCGTGTCCGCCCTTGCCGCCGCTCTGTCAAACTCCCTAGGTGCCTCACCGCCGCGATTCGGCACCCCGCCTCGAGCAGCTTCTCCAGCTTTGGCAGCACTCAATGTTCCGGGCTCGGGAACGCCTACGAACTATGGCTCGTTCGATGGGAGGAGACAGTGGGCAAGTGGCGCGTACGAGGATCCGGAGATTGTCAAGAGGCATCTGGTCCAGCCCGGTGACGGGACTCCGGACGACGGGCCCAGGAAAGTCAGCAACAATGGAGCCAAAGGCAAACAACCCGCCGGCACATTGGACGACGAATTCTCGAGTTTGAAGTTACAAGGCGGCGACATCACGCGACCGATTTACAAGTGGACAGAGGAAGCGGACCAGCGAAGCAGGATGCAGCGCAGCAAGAGCTTCAGCGTCCCAAGACCGGAACCCGAGAATGAAGAGCTCGACATCAACACTATCAAGGTTCCCGGTGGCTTTAGGCGCAATTTCATACGGCGGACGGCTAGGGATCCGGACGAGTTGGAGAATGGCTCCGGCTCAAGCCAACACCACCACACGCAACCTCGACTATTCACGAACAGTTTTCTCGAGTTTCTCACTCTATATGGCCACTTCGCTGGCGAAGAGCTCGAAGAAGACGACGAAGCCTTGAAGCCTGGCGAGTATTTTACGTCCGGTAGCGAGGCCGAGGAGTACGAGTATTCGGACGAGGAGCCGATGGAAGAGAGTGCACTACTGACCCCATCACGACGTGGAAGGAGGAGGAAGGAGCGCGGTGGGAGCGGCCGGAACAGCCCAATGTCTGCCGCGCTACTTCTGCTCAAGTCCTTCGTCGGAACCGGCGTCTTATTCCTGCCCCGGGCGTACCTCAATGGCGGTATGCTTTTCAGTAACCTGGTCCTGCTTGGTGTAGCGGCCTTGAGCTATTATTGCTTTGTTCTCCTCGTCACGACTAGGCTGAAGGTCGAGGGGTCTTTTGGTGATATAGGCGGCATCCTCTACGGCAAGTGGATGAGGGCGCTAATCTTGACCTCCATCGTCATCAGCCAGCTGGGATTCGTTGCGGCGTACATTGTCTTCACCTCGGAGAACCTTCAAGCCTTCATCCTAGCGGTCACCAACTGCCAAACCTTCATACCCATCACATGGCTCATCATCCTCCAGATGGTTATCTTCCTGCCCTTCTCCCTCCTGCGCGACATCGGGAAGCTGGGGTTCACCGCCCTCATCGCCGATGCCTTCATCGTCATCGGCCTGGCCTACCTGTTCTACTACGACATTCTCACGCTCAACACGCAGGGGCTCGCAGACATTGTCATGTTCAACCAAAAGGACTGGACGCTCTTCATCGGCACGGCCATCTTCACGTTTGAAGGCATCGGCCTGATCATCCCCATACAGGAATCCATGCGGCAGCCGCAGAAATTCCCCAAGGTCATGTTCGCCGTCATGATCATCATCACCACGCTTTTCACCGTCATGGGCGCCTTTTCGTACGCGGCCTACGGCTCCAAGACGGAGACGGTTGTGCTACTCAACCTGCCGCAGGACGACAAGCTCGTCAACGGCGTCCAGTTCCTCTACTCGCTGGCCATCCTGCTGTCCACGCCGCTGCAGATCTTCCCGGCCATCAGGATCACCGAGAACGCCCTGTTTACTAAGAGCGGCAAGTACAACCCGTACATCAAGTGGCAGAAGAATGTGTACCGGTTCTTCGTGGTGGCACTCTGCGCGCTGGTTGCTTGGGGAGGCGCGGATAACTTGGATAAGTTTGTTGCGCTCGTCGGGAACTTTGCCTGTATCCCGCTGGTGTACATCTATCCGGTGAGTCTCTTGCTGTTATACGACTATTTTGACGCTACGATACTAATGCCAGAGACAGCCGATGCTGCACTACAAGGCAGTTGCCAAGAGTGCCGTGCGCAGGTGGTCGGACGTACTGCTCTGCATCTTTGGGTTCATCGCAATGGCGTACACAACAAGCTTGACGGTGATGAGCTGGGCGAATGATTCCGGCGGCGGAGGCTTGCCTAGCCACTGTGATGCCATTGGACATTGAACGTAGCACATCGGGCTCCTTTCTCTTTTGTCGTCTTTTGAGATAAAGTAGCATTATTGGGTGTCGGACGCGTACGGGCATTACATTTGCATGGCGTGCGGTTTGAAGGCAGTGCTGGTTCAGCCAGTGCCTAAATCATTAGATAGTACATATATTGGAGAGAAGTTAGAGGAATCGGACAGTCATGGTAGAAGATGATCATCAGATAGGTACTCGATACATCTCAGACTCGAGATCGGGGCTTGCATTTGCCTTCTCTGCTTCTCATCCTGCCTGTTTGGGATGGCTCGCAATACATACGGAGCAGCACAACTAAATGTGACTTTAACCCTAACCACTGTAGCTTTCTGCAGCCGCATACCGTGGCACGCATGATGATGTAATGACGACAAACAACCCAAAACAAAGAAGCAAGCCCTAACCCTGAGATTTGCCACCGAGAAGCAGGCAGGGTGCAGGCTCGAGGATAGGCTGGAGCAAAGGAGAAGGCGCGTGCACAGACCACATCGCGGACCATCCGTATAAAGAGTGAGTGCACGGGGCGAATCATGATGGCATTATCGATTCAACCACACTCTTTGCATCACGCCTGCCATCGCTTGCTTACCTTACATTATTCCCTACGCTTCGGACTGATATCTTGACTTAATTCATAATACGCATTTTGGATATTGTATCTTTCTAGCAGCTATGAACGCTCCAGATCGGTGGGTCAGATTCCTTTATCTCTTCGTGTTCTTGTTTATGATTCACTGGACAGTTTGCGTCGTGCAGGATGCTTGCATGAGAAGGGGATGAGGTCCATACACTGATGGGGGCATCAGAGGATCAGCAGGAGGAACAGGCGTTCATGCGGGTGCTTCATGATTTGATTGTTGCTGGGTTCTCATCATGGAGCACTGGCAGTGGCGGCTGGAAATCAGTTCAGACGGACTTGGTCACCATCAGGTCGCACCTTCCCGGACAGACTCTCACGATCCCGCAGCCTGAACCATTCACAAACCGATGCGTCACGCATACCTCGATGAGTCGGGGTCTCAACATGACGTGGATAAGGTCTACAGCGTGGAGGACCATCCGTCACTGCTCGATGTGGTGACCAATCTGCCTAACTCTTATCAGCCCATTGGCCTCACTTCTCGGTTTCCCCCCAAACCCACATTTTACCAGCTTTAGCAAAGACGACTCCGGTTCCTCCTGTTATCGCCCTGTTCCTAGCCCACTGCGACGATGGCTACTAGGAACTACAGACACACGGATAATGTCCCTACAGGGTTGGAATTTTGCGATGCAGCGGCTTTTGCCTCCCACGAAAGATGAGATACTAACTCGAAAGCCATCCAGGTTTGAGTCTTTCGTACTCGGAGAGGGACAGAAGAAGATCACCGAGACGGTGGTGACTGGTGAGTTCGGTCTTGGGCTGGGAACGACCTCGCAGAAACTAAACCATTTATCCCAGGCATGTCGAACACCTCGGATTTCACGATCCAAAAGGAAGACCACACGCTGGGCAACCTGCTCAGCGAGCATCTAAAGATGGCGCCCAACGTCATGATGGCCGGGTACAAGGGTAAATGATGGTTCCCTCTTCAACTGCTGCGTCTGATACTGATATCTTCATTTTCCAGTCGGCCACCCTAACGTGCCGGAAGTCCTGTTACGCGTCCAGACTGACGGCACCATCACTCCCCGCGAGGCCGTTGTGCGGTGCTGCAAGCAACTCGTGGCCATGTATGGCCAGCTTGGTCGCGAGTTCCAGAAGGAGCTTGCGCTTCGCAAGTATGCCGATCAAAGCGAGAACGCCGGTGCTGAGGGTGCTGGAAATCAGAATGGGTCCTAGGAAGCTCGGCTTTTGCCTATCTAGAGGGGCTTGGTCGGGGCGTTGAGGGTCGGCGTTCGGTTCCTTGGGTGGGGTCTGTGATCAAGGGCTTGCGTGGGCGCACGTATTTCGCGTTTTCTTGCCATTAAAAGTACTGTTGCCTTGCTTGCTTGTGGCTACGATTCGGGATATCATTAGCAGGGGAAACACATTGGTTAACCCGTGGGGCGGGAGCCGCTCTGGGGGACATGAACTTGCCCCGGTCTGCATGTTTCTAGTTATGGATCGGGACTCGGCTTGATGGATCAAAGCAGTAGATACACAAAAGCAAGATCAAGGATTTGCACTTGGCCGTACCCAAATCCCATACCTCCTTTCCTCAACTAGCCGAAGCAAGCTGGCCGTCCCTGTCTCAGGAGATCAGCTCCCATAGCGCTCCCAGCTGTATCTACCGTCCGCGATCTCCCCCCTCATGAGGCGGCTGTTTCTATTGGTCCCTTGCCGCCTGGAATCAACTGCGAACACCGTTAGACAGTCGAAACTGTGAGGAAACGACGGCCAGAAACTCACCATGCAAATGTTGTTCCCGTTCAGCAGAATCTTCTTTAGCTTGGTGTGGTTACCGGAGTAGTCGCTAGGGCCATCATCAGTCTACGTATCCGAAAACACGAGGTGGAAAGCCGGACTGCTTTGCTTACAATTCGGTGACGTCTTCTAGCACCATGTCTAGAGGAGGTATTAGCGGAACCCCTCGGAGGCCCAAAGAGAAATTAGAGGTCAAAACATACTGACGTAGTCGTCAAATCCCACCAGAGTACCGGTGAATTCTGTACGTCGGTGGTTAGTGGCACCGTGTTGCTGGAGCTGTAGGCATAGAGATCAGAAAGGAGAGTCGGTACCTTTGTCGCTCTTCATGAGGACCCAGATGCTGGACCCGACGCACTTGTCGATGAGTTCTGCGGGATCGGTCAGTCATTCGGCTGGCTCACAATGCCCCTGTAGGACTTGCAAAATAGTTCTGATGTACCTAGGGGAAGAAGTTGAGTAGCCATTATGTTCATGTGGTGAACCCGATTGTTTCAGCGACGTCTCATTGAACTCATAGCTCTACCCTTGATTTTGGTGATGGTGTTTGGCGGGATGGTAATGTAAGGTATTGTAATACGTAGCTCAGTTCCGTTTGATGCATATCGTCAACACGGGCAAGTGGAGACAGCCTAAAATGCCCCGGAATCCACAACAGACCCGACCTCGCGACATGGGTTATTGTTAGCGCGCGTCTGCCTGCTCCCTGTTTCGAGGCAACATGCGCCTCCGGAGTTGCAGCGTCATGCCCCTTTGCAGTCATGGCGCGGTCCGCTCATTCGGCAGTGTATCTGTACGGTTTCCGATGAGGCCGTTGCATGCGCATGGAGTGAATGGCGTTGCCGGGTTTCTTAAAAGGTGTCGCTGTCGACGCCGGTTTCATTCCTCTCAACCACGCAACGCCTTGTAAGTGCCGCCCCTGCCAAAGCTGCAACGCGTGTACCTTAGCTGAGGCTAACTCGCTCCGTCCAAGATATCGAAATTGCATGAACATGGACGCCAGAAAGACGACACATCGGTTGTGGAATGTCAGCCGCGGCATTGTGTTTGCCAGCGGCAGTAGTGTTGTCTATCCTCGCTTGCCGCTGATGAGGCACCAAAGCGCGCCGGCAAACTCAGTGACTGGTCCCGCCCAGGAAGGATCGACTCTTTTGCCCACGGTGTTCTCCCTGGGTACTGCTCTCGACGAGCCTCCTGCTGGTCGTGGGGCTGGGAAAGCTCAGACCCGTGTGGCAACTGTCCGAACGTCAACTGGTACCACTATCACAACCTCGACTCTGACCACTGCCACAGCGGTCACAGCCTCTTCCACAACAACTCTTGTCGCTGAGGGCGCCACCGAGGATGCTCCGGCTGCCGTGGCCGGTGCTGCAGAGAAGCCCACGCCCAAAGTAAACGGTCCAATAACCCCGCCATTTACGCCCCTGGATTTCAAGATCCCAGACCAAGTATTCCAGGCTGCAAGACAAGCCGCTGAGGAGACGCCAGAGTCTTTCTGGAATTACCAGATGTACCGAGGCCCAGGCGAGGAGGGTGCGCTTGACGCTAAGGTCAAAGTCCACTACTGCACTAGCTTGCACACGACGGAGCGCGTTCTCCAGCAGTACTTCATGAATGAGAAAGTGCTTGGCTTCGACTTGGAGTGGATGGTCAATGCGACAAAGAACTCGGGCGCGAGGAAGAACGTCTCTCTCGTGCAGCTGGCCAGTCCCAGCAGGATTGGACTCTTTCACATTGCCGCGTATCCGATGAGAACCACCGATCTGGTCGCTCCGTCCCTGAAGAAAATAATGGAAGATCCCGAAATCACCAAGGTTGGCGTTTGCATCAAGGGCGACTGCACGCGGTTGTCCGAGTTCTTGGGCATCAAAACCCGAGGTCAGTTCGAGCTGAGTCACCTCTACAAGCTCGTCAAATACTCCAGGAGCGGCGAATACGGTCTCATCAATAAAAGGATGGTTTCTCTGGCCACGCAGGTGCAGGAGTGTTTTGGACTGCCCATATTCAAGGGCAACGATGTCCGTTCTGGCAACTGGTTTGGGCCACTGCATATGGACCAAGTCAAATGTAAGGGAATCTCCACGTATAAGTTACACATATTGACCGATAGCCTCAGATGCGGCATCCGATGCCTACGCGAACCTCCAACTCTATGCCGTCCTTGACCACCAGCGGAAGAACCTCGACCCTGTGCCTCCACTCCCTCATCACGCCGAACTCAATATTCCCATCAGACTCGCTGACGGACCCCTTTTGACGGCCACGGACGAGCAGGCCCCCGGCGCCGACGCTGCAGGTCGAGACAAGCCCGGCCGCCCTGAAGACGAAGTCGGTGTTGTTGACCGCTCACCTGGCGCACGTGCCGTTAAACTTGTAGTCTAGCCGAACCCCAGCAAGGAAATAGCTCCTGTTGTCTAGGCCGATCTTCCTGCTAAGACCGTTGCTTAGGCCTGGATGGGATCAACTACTGGTCCGGCCGGGCTAGGTAGGTAGGAAGATCGCTAGTCAACTTACATAAGGCGAGCCAAGCTGCTTGGTTGAAGGTACAGCGCTGAGTGAAGGCCCGACGATCGGTCAGCCATGTGCATCAAACAATGGACATCCCCGACGAACGGCGAATCGTCACCCACACCCCCCAAAGAACTAATGACACGGACGGGATACGCAGTCAGAGGACTCTCCCCTTTACAAACGCGATCCATTTCGGCCGTGTAATGTTATAAGTCATCAGCGGCCCGCCAACAGATGGTGGACTTGCCTCGAGACGCCTGAAGGCGCTCAATCTTCGGCAGCAATCATCCGAACCCAGGACCGGCAATCTGTCCTTCGTACTGCGCAGGCCATGCGGCTTAAGGTGTCTAGCGGCATCGGTATTTTCAGATCTATACAAGGATCTTGATGTGATGGGACTGAGGTGTTGTTAGATCCAGCATATCCATTTGCCCCAGGTGCTTGGAGTACATAGCGACATAGAACCGCATACAAACATCCGGCTAGACAACAGCGTCATCCCAACTCCAAGCTAGTCTTCCACCTTCGTATTTGGGTATAATCTCGCGTTGGCCTTTACACACCGAACATACACTCTCTCCTCCCTCTCTATCACTCGCGTATCAGTATTCAACAAGAGCCCGCCGCTTTATTTGGCGAGGACGTTCCTTCCCGAGTTAACCTGCACCTTCTTATCCTCCCCACCGCTCAAGATCCCCAATTCCTTGTTCCATACCACGCTGAACACCTTGCACCCCTCGCCAGCAACAGCTCTCTTCTTGCCCTGCCTGCTCTCCCGCTCGACGACGTAGACGGGCTCGCTGACGCTGCCCAGGCCGCCCTCGTCCTTGGTGGCCGGCCGCACGCTCCGCAGATCCCAGATCCGACACGTCCCGTCGTGCGCGCCCGACACAAGCGAGTACTCGTTCTCGGGGCACGCGCTCAGGCTGACCACCTTGTTGGTGTGCCCGCGCAGCGTCATGACCGAGGTCGTGGACGCGCTGGCGCGCGGGTCGACCAGCGTGATGTGGCGCGCCGCGGTGCCCGCCGCGAGCAAGGGCGTGCTGCCGGAGCGCGCGATTGCGCAGAGGGAGAGCAGAGGGTGTGAGGTGGTGAGCGTGCTGACCACGCTGCTGGTAGTGAGGTCGATGGTTCGCACGGTGTGGTCCTGCGAAGCCGAGTAGGCGACGGTGCGGTCGCGCGGGTCGAAGATGGCGGCGCTGGCGGGGGCGTTGTGGATCTGCATGAGCGAAAGGGGCCCGCGCTGGGCGGCGGTTACGGAGGAGGTCACTTTGCGCCGTTTGGCGGCCCCAGCGCCGGGGAGGAGAGAAGCGTCGGCTTCCGGCGCGGTGCTCTTGGTGGTGCTCCAGAACCCGATCGCGCCGTCGGCTGATGCGGTTATGAGGCGCTTAGACGCGCCGTCGACTTCGAGGGAGTCTATCGAGCCGGTGTGGCCGTACAGTTCGAGGGTCGGTTTGAGATCACCCGAGAACTGGTCGGTTTCGGTGTACTTCCATACTCGCACTGCTCTGTCCATGCCGGCGGAGGCGAGTTGGCTGTTGGTCAGGAATCTGGCGGCTTTTATGCTCGCGGTGTGTCCACCATGGCTTCCAGATGGTGAGGTCGCAATGACCTGGCCGGAAGCGTTCCATATCCTCAGCAGGCCGTCGTAGGAAGCGGAGAGGATCCGGTCTTGGCCGCGCTGGAAACCGTCGCCCGACCAGCGGCCAGATGGTGAGGTCTCGGAAAGCACGTCGACGGCGCTGACCCAGTCGTCGTGCTCAAAGCTAGCTTCGAAAACGGGCGGTATTAAGCTGCGGACGTATTGTAGGGTTATACTTGTCTCGAGCGAGAGGCCGTTGCTGGTGAGGTAGTCTTCGAGGCTGGATCGGAGAAAGCTGCCGTTGACGAGGAAGTCGAATGGGATGGACCCGGTGTCGAGCATTGACTCGGAGTTGAGGATGCGGGATAAGCCATATCGCCGGATATCTGCGGGCACGAGAAGCTGTCGCTTGCTCTCGTGAAGCTGAAGATCCGCTTCCGTTGTTGTGAAGGTCACCCTGACCTGGGGCCCCGGGGCGTCCGCCATTGGTTCGTCCATTGCGAACTTACTTATTGTTGTCTTGCTCAGAGCTGTATGTTGATTCACTTGGCGGCGGCGTAGGAAGAGTTTGGTGTCGTGGTGAACCACCCAAAAGCCGAGTCTAACCTGCCGCAGCGATTCAATCTGATCTTGGAACTTTTTTTGCGATTTTGTCCTTATCGTCAATCAATCGACCCCACGGTCTTTCCAATGGACTTTACCTTTATCTTATCGCAAGCGAATCACTGTTACATTAACCAAGCTCGCCAAGGTATTGCATAGCGGGGCAGATGCCTGACGCGACCTGTAATTCAATTAGTAGACCTTGTTCGCGTCAGAGCTTCTCCAAGCGCGTCCTGGCTTCTGACATCCAAATGTGGCTCGTCATAACGTCGGGAAGGCTCAGCACCGCCAAACAACAGTAACAATGGTGACTCTCGACGAGATCGCAAATACGAGCTTGCTTCAGAAACCATCGTGAGAATTAGAAAGCATGCAACGAGCCAAGGCGGCAAATAGATTGCTAATGTAGTCAATAGAGGCGATGCACTAGAACCTCTCGAGCGCAGTGAATCAAACTACAAACCCCTCAGTACTTTCGCCCTGCCCCAGGACCGCCGGTACCAGCAGCAGTTCGCCGATACATACTTCCTACGACTCACTAAAATCAAGCCCTTTGCCGAGGAAGTTGCCAGCGCAGCATGGGAGGGCACGATTCTGGGCGGTGAGACGGCGACGAAGGTGGATCGGGTGTTGGATGTCCGTCAGGGCCAGTTGTGCTGGGTTGCTGGCACGGTCTACATGGACATGCCGCTGAAGCCCAGTGTGCTGGAGGATGTGTCCAAAGATGTGAGTAACGTGCTCGTGACCCCTCTGCACAGCGGTTCTTGTTGACACTGGCCAGCGGTGGATCTCGGCCCCTGCCACTGCGGACCACTACTACTCGAAGGATGGCGTAGAGTCGATTATGCTGGAAGATGACTCTGGTCGCATCCGGTTAGTCGGTAACCTCCTCCGAGACTACTTCCTCGTCACAGGCTGCATCATCGCCGTGATGGGCACCGAGAACGCCAACGGCGAGTTCGAGGTCATCGACCTGAAATTTGCCGACCTGCCGCCCCAACCCGAGCGCTGGTCTCTCTCCAAACCTTCCTTGTCTAAAGGCGCCAGCCGACAGACCAAAGTCAAAGACGAAGACGTCGAGATGACTGGGTCTCAGCCGTCGAAGAAACTCGCGATCGTCTCAGGCCTCGAATTCTCCGGCACGGACACATCCTACGCAATGGAACTCAACCTCCTACTCGAGTTCCTCCTGGGCGAAGCACTCGACCCCGCCGCCCAGTCCGAGCTCTCGCAGATATCGCGGCTCATCATAGCCGGCAACTCCATCGCCAAGCACTCGCTCGAGGAAAGCACCGTGGTCGACAAGAAGCCGCACAAAAAATACGGCTACGATTCGTCCTCCTACAACCCACTCCCCTCCCAACTCCTCGACACCTTCCTCTCTTCGCTCTTGCCCACCATGCCCATCACTCTCCTCCCAGGCGAACTCGACCCGGCCAACGTAAGCTACCCACAACAACCGATTCACTCAGCCATGTTCCCGAAGGCGCGGACGTACACAGCAATGCCAGGATCAACAGAGCCCGGGTGGCTCGACCCGGTAACGAACCCGTGGGAGGGTGAGGTCGAAGGGTGGCGCGTGTTGGGGACGGGCGGGCAGAACCTCGACGACATATGCAAGTACGTGGACAGCGGCGACCGGCTGGGCATGATGGAGGCGATGTGTCGGTGGCGGTGTAGTGCACCGACGGCGCCGGATACGTTGTGTAAGTCTTGCAACATTCTCCCCAAAATACTCATCATCCCCAGTGGCAGGAGGTTGGCTGACAATGGGTTGTGAAAAGGGTCATACCCTTTCCAGGAGGACGAGCCTTTTGTGATGAAGGAATGTCCGCACCTTTATTTCGTCGGCTGTCAACCCGAGTTTGGGACCAAAGTCATCGAAGGCCCGCAAGGGCAAACGGTGCGACTGGTCTTGGTCCCCTCGTTTGCAGCGACACGTGAGATTGTGTTAGTGGACACCGAGACGCTCGAGGTATCAAAGGTGAAAATCACTGCTTGATTCTGAGCCCAGTTAATAACTATTAACGCAAATATGTAAGGGCGAGATGCTGCTTGCTTGCGCCTCCGATATTGGCTCCCATGAAATGCCCTTCCAGATATCCTCATGATAATGGCAGTGATGCCGATCCCTATGCCGAACTTGAAGGCCTAAATCGCAAACCATTCCACTCAGCTCCTCCAAGAACCCCGGCAAAGAAAGGCTCCTTTTCCCTCTGAAACTTGCGATCTCTTCCGTCGCCTCTCCTAGTAACAATAATCAACACCACCCCGCCCACCTCGGTCACTTCGCTCAAGGACGATAAGCACGCTTCTGCCCACCGATTTCGACAAAAGAAATGATTAGGATCTTCTTCTCCCCGCCAATCCTCCAATCCTCGTCCTCCTCTCCATCCTCCTCATCGTCATCCTTAACCGTCAAGTTATCACCGTTCAAGCGCGCCTCCAGCCGAGCTCTCTCCTCCCTTCGCCGCTGCACCGCCGCAGTGTGATTCTCCCACAGCTTACCCTCCAGATGAGCCTTATCGGGCCGCACGCAGGCCTCCTCGATGTGCCTGCGCAGGTTTCGGAGCGTTTCAGCCATCTTGTCGGCCTGTTGCTGGCGTGCTTCGCGGATGAGATGGTCGTTTTGCCAGAGGAACCCTATTTCGTCGTCCGATTTCTTGTGGCTCGGATCGGAGAGGCAGCGCAGGTCGAGGGTCATCTCAAGGTCGTACCGCATCTCGCTGGGATGACGGTCGGGTTGGGCGATTTTGCGACCGTTAATGCCGTAAAGCTTGATGTGCGAGTTGACGTGGACGACGATTCGCAGGAAGTCAACGTGGATGCGCTGCAGCTGCTTGAGCACGTCGCTCCCCTGGCTGAAGAAGCTTATCACGCTGAGGAAGCGGGACCCGTTTTTGGCGGTCTCCCACAGCGGCGAGATGGTGATGGTGAACGTGCGGAGGTGGATGGGGCCGCAGTCTGGAAGAAGGTGGTCGTTGTCCCTTACGTTGTTGGGCCGGGCCGTGAGCGTCCCAAGCGCGGCTGCCATCAGCCGCTCATATGCTTCGTCAGTACGGTTTGGCTCCAGCTCGATAGCCATGTGGCGCAGAAGATGGCCGTACTTCTTCAGGCTGATCTTGCGTGTCGCCTGGTCTTTCTGGCCTCGGTACTCGCTTCGAGGCCAGCACTGCTCAGCGTGGTCTCGCAGTTGGTAGAGAAAGGTGTTTTCGGAATAGAGGATGCGGGTACCCTCGGCGGCGGTGCGACGACATACACTCAGGATGGCAGTGTCGATACGGGTCTGGAGGTCGTCGCTCTTACTATGACGGCGACTAGGACGGCGGATCCGTTCGGTCCAGAGTTGCCTGACGTGAATGGGCCCCTGCGAGACGAGCAGCAGGCGGTAGATCTTGTCGCGGACCTCGAGCGGCAGCGTGAAGAAGTCAACCACTGATTCAACACTCGGCAGCACGTCTGGCTGTTCAGACGCAGGCAGCTCTAGTGCATTCTAGGCACAGTGCCGTGCCTGCGGCTGAATGGTGGGTTGTGTCCATGTCGCTTGGGCGAGTTTGAGCCGCTTGGGGTACGGCTTGTCACTCAACTCCGCTGCCGGGGGGTCGATGATCATGAGATCATCATCGTTGTCGCTCCCGGTAAGGTCGATCACTACGGGAGGTTGTCCAGCTCGCGAATTGGCGCGCAGTGTAATCCTGGGGCTGATTGGCTGTGCCCCGGCCGATGCCTCAAGCATGATGGCATCGCCATCCATGAGGCTATCCTCGTTGTTGTCGTCGCGGTTTGAAGCTGTACGCTTGAGGCCGTGAGAAAGAGTCTGCATGGGTCCGAGGTCATCCGGATCCATGGGTTGACCGCTTTGCGGGGCGTCCAGATCCATGGCTTGACCACTTTGGGGGATGTGGAGGTTCAGGTGATATCCCTTGCTCGGGACATCCAGATCCATGGAATCCTGATCTTTAGTCGGAAGTGGGCCGGGATGGGAAAGCGAGTCGGAAATCTTCCGTTGGTTGGGATGAGAGGCATCTAGAGAAGGGTTCATCCTGCTCGCCTTGTCTTTCAGGGAGAAACCGGGATTCGTGGTGATTACGCGGGCGTAAAGATGGGCGGGCGCTATTGACAGACACGAAAGGAAGTAGAAGGACGTGCTAGCATCCAAAAAAGTTGCCTGAAAGGTTATCTCTGGTTAAGACGGTGAGGGATGGGGAGAAAGGAGATAGAATCTTTGAAAAGGGGGTGCCTGAATATGGATTTCAATAACCGAAAATTGTTTGAGACGAAGAGGAGGAACGAAGAGTGCATTGGGCGATTGTGAAGGAGAAATCAGTGCTTTTCACAGTGCGGGAAGCAGTTCACTGCTTGGTTTCACTTGGGGGGGGAAGGGGGGGTGTTGACAGTGACGTGGGTGACGATTCCACATGGCCTGGTGGCAAGGAGATGCGCAAGCAGACGCGCTCACCTAGGACAGTCGCTTACGATGCTACGGATGACGGCCGAAGGAAACTGGCAGCAGACTGCACACTTTCACTGTAGGTGGTCAGCTGATGATTCCAGCATTAGCCCTGTTCACGGTTCCTGCGAGATATCAGAAACACCCGTGACTGAGACGGGACCACCAACTTGGCGAGATCGTTCCCGGGAGGAGGGCGCGTCCCCGTTCCCAGGTCGCGTTCCTTGTCCCCAATCGCGTCCCTTTTCCCAAGTCGCGTCCCTTTCCCGCTTCTTCAGTGCAACAACATGCAAGTCAGGGCAGGTGGCCCCCTTTGTTGACGCCCGAGCTTTCAGAGTTCCTTCACAAATCAGGGCCACCACTGCCAAGATCATCCATAAGAACAAGAGGAACAAGACAGTCTTTTCACAAGGTGTTAGCGGTAATTCCGGGAAAGCTTTCATCTGATCTTGCTCTCAATTAACACGGCAATACAGATGGGCAGACACCGCAATCCGCCTGGCAAATATCTGCCTGGTTTACCTGACGCCTCGAGCCCAAACTTGACACCAACGCCAGTGGCTCACCTATTGCCGTACTGGTATTTCCCATTTTCGGTCACTCTACTGGCTATTATAAAGGTAAGACACTACCAGAAACGACCGCATGGAACAAATCAGCCTACTACATATCCAGTGTTTTCCGCACAGCTTCAGCCTCCCTTGCCTGTTTAGCTCCACCACAGCTGAGGTAGATGCTGAAGCCTTCACAATGGGGGTAGTTGGCACTGCTTTCTCCATAACGGAAAGAGTATTGGCCCTCCTGGACACAGAGCATGATGCGAATATGGACAGTTTTCCCGGACAGAAAAACAAATACCCAACTTCATGTGGCACTGTGCACGGATAGATCACGCACTCCTCAAAGATGATCTCCCTGCTACCTCCCAAAGCCACGCAGTTGTGCCCTTCAATATGTCCTTTACATGGTCTATATAGGTGACTGGTATAAAATTAGAATGCACTTCTCTTCTGCAACCTGAACGTCCAAGTTCAACAGTTAAGCTATTCGAACGTGTCCTAGGAATCAGAACGGACGGAACTGCTAACCATCCGAGCACCCTCATACGATGCCCCAACGCATCATGCCATGCCACGCTTTCCGAGCCCTGACCCCCTTTTCTACTACTCTATCCCATACAACATCTTATATTTCTCCAGGATCTCCAAGCTGATATGAGATCCTCCGCACACCACGAGCACCACATTCCTCGTGGCCCATTCCTCGTCCGTCAATCCTTTGCCCAGGTACTGCCTCAGATACCCGTTATACGCCGTGGCCACCGTCGCGCCACACGCAACCTCGATCAATATCCTCGCATCGTCCAGGAAATTGACACACGCGAGTGCTGCTTCCTGGTCCGTCACCGTGGCACTGATCAAGTCCCCCCCTGCCCGCTGGAACCACTCCCACGTCATCTCCGACACCTTCCGCGCGCCCAAGGACGTCGCAATGGACGTGATCCCGGGCAGGGTAACCAGCTGCCCAGCTTGAACGCTCGCAAACAAGCTCTCGGCACCGACCGTCTCGACAGCCAACACCCGTGTCTTCCTCCCGGGCTGGCCGGCCACCATGATCTTCCCGTACCTCTCCAGGCCCTCCATGACGCCATTCAACAGCCCGCCGCCACCGACATTACACACCACCGCATCCACACCACCACCACCACCGGGGACCCGCCCGGCCATCACGTCGCGCGCGATCTCGTCCACCAAGCTCGCCGCGCCGGTCCAGATGTCCGGGTGGTCGAAGGGCGGCACATAGACCTTCCTCACCCCCTTCTCGGGAACGAGGAGGGCTTCGCGGAGGTAGGCGTCCGCCTCGGCCCAGCTGGCGCCCGTCTGGACGACCTCGGCGCCGAGCTCGCGCAGCTTGGCGATCATGAAGGCCGACGTCGAGGTCGGCACCACGATAGTCGCCGGGTGTCGGCCGAGTAAGGCGGCGGTCGAGGCGCAGGCTAGGCCGGCGTTGCCGCCTGAGGAGCAGTAGAAGTGTACTACTTCGTCTGCTGCTGCGGTTGCGAGGGGGTCCTCTGAGGAGGAGGAAGGGGGGTTGGATAGGGAGGCTAGCATCATGTTACCTATGCCGCTGTTGCAAAATGGTTAGTGAGTGTGAGCTGGAAGGAGCGGGGGAAGAGAATGTACGTACCGCGACTTGAAGGAGCCCGAGGGCTGGGTGTTTTCCAGCTTGAGGTAGATGTTGCATCCTGCCTTGCGAGAGAGGGGCGGCGAGAAGACGAGCGGCGTCTCGACCCAGGGTTTGGGCGGGTCGGGAGAGTAGGAGCCCATTGTGATGAATTTGCTGAATATGAGTAATGACGGTAATTCCGTTAGGTGGATTGTTGTTTTGTTGTTGGTGGTGCTGTGAGTTGTTCTATGTTGATGAGAGAAAAAAAATAGGGGTCCGTGGATGGCCCGATCTTAAAGCGGGTGTAAGTCGCTGCAGTTCTGAGAGCGCCTAGAACACCAATTGACCGCAGTTGCAGCCGCGCCCTTTTATCAACATCCCAATCCCGAGAGAAGGGACGATCAGGAACGGACGATCCTTCAACTGGCAATCATCAAACCTCCTTTCCTCCCTGGGGATGGCCGCCGCCTGCCGTGTGCTGCTGGTATCGATCCGGGTACTTTGACAAACGCCTTCCAGAAAGACTCGATACCTTAGCCAAGAATTACAAACGCAAACTCTGGCGTTGGTCTGGTGACGCCGACTATTACTTAAAAGAAACCAGGAGATCTACACCCATGACCGCCGTGGAGAGGAGTTACTGGCATTCTATTAGTAGTACCCAGTCCCGAGATCCGGCAATGAACCACACGTATCGTGCAGGCGTGCAGGAGCCGCCCTGTTCCGGAAGGTCGGCTGCCAAGAAAGTCGCCGTTGTCCCTGGCGCGATGCGAGATTTGAGGTGGTGTTCGGATCGGAGGCTTTCCACGGGTGGAGCAATGAACCGACGGTAAACGACGGCATTGCCCCGCGGCGGCCGGAAATCGGAGATAGGGGGACACAACGAGTCAACGAACTGCCGCTCCGCTTTAGATCCAACAGCGACATTGTGACTGCACCATTCTCGGACGCCTCGATGAGTCTGGATGTGCCCATGTCTGGTCAGATGCGGTGGACCGTGGCCGAGCCCCAGAGGCGCCAGGGACCAAGGTAATTTGTTTGCTGTATCAAGTTAACGTATCCTTTTGCACTCGTCCTCTGTGGCCGCCGCGTGACCTCCGGGGCATGGACTGAGCGAGTCTAGACTGGGCGAACTGACACGCACCGTTCCCGTGCCGAACCTATTGGACAAGCGCGGTCCAGGGTACGTAGGTACCAGGTAGTCAAGCGGAATCCTCAGTTCAGCTTCCGGGGATATACTTCCAGCAGGTTATGGGTATGCTCTGCTTGCCCTTCTAGAAGGCACGGCATGATTTGCAGGGGTGTCGCTTGAAGATAGCTGGTGTCTTATTGAGGCTTATCATGGTTTTGAATCCTCGAATAGACCATCTCTGCGTACCCCTCCGGGACATTCGCCGCGAACCCGTCTATGCGGCGGAGCACCAGCTTGACTTCGCCAAAGTAGTTGACCTCTCCCTCCTGCTCAAAGCCAAGGCTCTCGAACAGCGCGATGCTCGTGGCATTTCCCTGGTTGATCTTGGCCATGAGCATCTTGAGCTCCGGCGGCGATGCCATGTCCTTGTCCTCGGCATACTCCCGCATGACAGCATCCAAGTGACGGAATATGTACTGCACAAACGCCTGCACAGCCGCCCGGCCGAATCCCTTACCGCGATGCTTCTGGTCGGCAATCATGATGTCGATCTCACCCACGCAGAACCCGGGTGTTTCCGAGGGAGGCTGCTCTCCATCCTCGTCCTCCTCGTACGGGTACAGGAACAGGTTGACGTCGCCCACCATTTTCGCCGGAGCATCGGGTCCACCCGCGTGGATCGATGCGCCGTCCGCTTCCCCCGTTGACAGCGGCTGACAGATGATGAAGGTCAGCTTGTCATGCGAAGCGCGCCACGACTGCTGGTTCTCGTATTCCTCTTCAAGCGTGAGCCGTTCCGAGGCGGTTGCCGCTTGGATGACCTAACCACAGGGTTAGTTATCTAAGATGTTGCAACAAAAGATCAACATCGTGCACCGGGGAGTAATGGCGCGACTAGCATACGGGATCCTCCATCCACCCGTGATAGGTGAGGACATGGTGCGCGTCGTAGGGGACCAGGAGGGCCTTCGTCGTGGAGACGGCTGCATTTTGCGCGTCTAGGTCAGTTACTGAGGTCAGATCGATTGACGGCGCGCACTGAACAAACCGCTGAACTCATTCAGTCTCATGTTTGACTCGCAATCTATCTTTGCTGACCCCGACTTGAACAGTGTGGATGGCGAGTGAGTGCGTGGCCTGAGAGACTGTTTTCCTTGTATGCAATGAAAACAGCTTTTGCGTAAGATAGCGGGGTTATGCTATTTTCGAAGCGAGCTCCGCTAGTCTTCATCAAACAAGCGATCTGCCCTCCCAAGCCGCGCGGCTCTGATCCAAGCTGCTCTATTATTGTACAATATAGTGACAGGGGTATCTCAGTCCCAGAACCGGTATAATGTACAGCACGCCGCCCAGGTCACACAATACTCCCAACTCTCCGCGTTTCGAGTAAGACCTCGCGGGCGGGCAGGCGGCAGCAAGAGATCAGTTCTCTGTCTGCAAAATCTCTTGCTTCGTCGTTGCTTTCTTCCTGTTCTTGACGCTTCCGCTGAATTCGACGTCCATATCCTCGATCAAGGGAGGGAAGAGGGCATCGGTACGGGTACGTCCAGGATCCACGATGGGGGCGCCGTAGCTTGGGTCGCAGCGTAACACAGCATGGTCAAATGTTCGCTTGTCCTCCGAGACCCCTAGAATATCAAGCATCCTGGCCGACTTGTCGGGCAGGAATGGCTGGAGGAGAATGCCCGAGATTCGCAACCCCTCGGCTACCAGGAACAAGACCTTCTCGGCAGCCACTTTATCTGCCGGGGTTTCCGATTTCACTAGGGACCACGGTTGCGTTTGTGTTAGGAACTCGTTCAGCTATGTCCCGCGTTAGTGACAATGTTTGTGAATCGAGCTTCCGCGGAGTTCTACGTACCTGTCCACCAATCTGCATGATCTCGCGGATAGAGGCGACGGGGTTGTGTTGATCCATAAGCCACGCCACTGTAGGTGCAAGACTTCCCAGGGCTTCCTCAAAGCCTGCCATAGTCTGTTTCAGCACATCGGACATCTGGGTCCGTGGCGCAGTGTCTTCGCTGAAGGAGAAGGAGCTCGCCACTATTTGCTGCACGTTCCAGAGTTTAGGCCTGGTGAGCCGGCCGAGCAGATTGCCGAAGCCCCACTGGAGATATTTCTTGTACTTTGTTACGAGGGTGTCGTTGTTGTAGTCGGCGTCGTCGGCAATGCCGCCCTCAAACAAGAGATAGAAGCGCACCGTGTCGGCGCCCCAGCGGTTGATGGCGTAGAGTGGGTTGACCACGTTGCCTAGCGATTTGGACATCTTCTTCTTGTTCAAGGTCCAGTGCGAATGGATGAGCATCTTCTTAGGCAAGGGCATGTCCAAGGCCATGAGCAGTGCCGGCCAGTAAACGCAGTGGAACCGGAGGATATCTTTACCGATCACCTGGACATCAGCTGGCCAGCCGCCCTTCTGCCGCTCACCGGGCGTCCAAGCAGGGAACCCGGCGGCCGTGATGTAGTTGATCAGGGCGTCAACCCAGACGTAGATGGTCTGATTCGGATCGTCGGGAACTGGGATGCCCCAGCTGAGGCGCTGGAAGGGCCGCGAGATGGAGAGATCGGATAAATGGTTCTTGACCCAATCGACGACCTCGTTCATGCGGTAAGCGGGCTCCACCCACCCAGGATTCTTCTCATAGAAGTCAAGGAGCCTGTCCTTGAGCGCCGTCATGCGGAAACAGTAGTTCTTCTCCTCGACCCATTCGACCTTGTTCTTGGTCTCGGCGGACGCCATGTACACGGCGCCCGTGAACGGCTCCACATGCTTGACGAGCTGTGACTCCGGGTAGAAGCATTCATCGCTCACGCTGTACCATCCCTGGTGCTTAGTCTCGTAGATAAGCCCCTTATCCCGCAGCAGAGACCAGAAGTACTCAACAGCTTGGACGTGGTCGGGGTCGGTTGTGCGGATGAAGCGGTCGTAGTCGATGCGGGACAGCTGGGCTAGCTCCTCGAACCTCTCGGCATTCTCGTCGCAGAACTGCTTTGGTTCCATACCATGGTTGGCAGCCGCCTGCTGCACCTTCATGCCGTGCTCGTCGGTGCCGGTGCACAGGATTGCCCGGTTCCCTAGCAGCGTCTGCCATCGCTTGAAGACGTCGGCCAGCACCATCGAGTACATGTGCCCGAGATGTGGCGCTGCAATCCAATCAGTCCGCCTGGCACCGATTCGGTGGCGGATATCCAGGATACCCAGCACATACCGGCATTGACGTAGAAAATGGGCGTCGTGATGTAGTAGGGCTTCCGGGCTGCCGGCGACGACCCCGATGAGAAGCACTGCGATGCGACGGCGAGATTGTTCCGGCAGGAACTACATACCCAGCTCCGTGGCCGGGTCAATGCCGACTGCCATCGCAGCAGGCGACGAGCCGAGGCTGCCTTTGCATACTCCATTGCCATTGCACCCGGCAATTGGTCGAAGCAGCGCTTCGGAAGTTGAAGTTGATGGCCCGAGATATTTTGGTGGGTCCATTGCCCAGCCCTGGCAGGGGCACCCACCAGGTATTGTAACGTGAAACACTGTGTAAGAAAACGACTTTTCTCATTCGTCAGCGGGAACGGACCGTCCTCCGAGGCCCCGGCCTACGAGTCTTGAAGTTGAATTTAGTGTACACTACTAGCAGTGTACTGTAGAACGGTGCAAAGGTCCAGTTCGAATCCGCGTTACCCTTTCTTTTTCGATAACATCCTTGTTAATTTCGTTTTTCATATTTCTTTTTTAATCTAGGTTAGATGTATATAGAGTAATGAGTGATGTGGCTAATCCCTTGAGCTGCTGCATTCCCATGTCAGGCCACGCCGGGGGGCTTGACAGTCCGAGAGGCTCAGGAGTCAGTTGTTGTCCCATGGCTTCGGATTCACACAGTTCCGAGTTGCAGTGCCGGCCCGAGTCCAGACTGCCCGCCGCCCTGCTTGCTACTTGGTGGATTGCCATCGTCGGACCCGAATGGCTGGATGCCCAGGTGGGGCAGGTGGCGGGGCGGCCTGGGGGTTAAAGGTATCCCGTACCAGTTAGGAGGGCCTATCCCAGACAAACCGCTCAAACACCGCCGTGCCTGAGAGGAAAAGCTGGCAGCCGGGCAACCCTGCCCGGGGCTGGCGCAAAAATCGCCACGCTAACAGTAGTTGTACGATGACTAGTAATGCAGCAGAGGAGAATGGAGTCGAAACGGTTCGGACGCTATTGTGCAAAGACGGTGCTTCCTTCAACAGGATCCGCCCTGATGTCGTGGACCCTGAGCACCCGGCACATCAGCAAACCGTCGCAATCGTTGCGACGACGCCTAGGCTGCGAGGAGCACTGCTAGCATGTCCTTCGTCTCCGCGGCCGCGGCCGAGGGAGTCCAATCTCATTTGGCAACCGCTGCTCGTCAAGAAGAGGTCCAGAGCTCGGAGCGCGCGAGGCAGCGCGAAATTGCAGCGTGAGCCCCCCGGTTCGACTTCGTAACACGGCAGCACATGGGCCACAGGCTTGCTAACTGGTAATGCCTCACCTTCAGCTACCTCTCCGCAGCCTCCTTTCCCTCGAACCTGGATGTTGCTTTTCAGCCGACGCCGCTTCTCAATCCCGATCCCATCCTCAACGGCCTCGCCCAACTCGGCGCCCATCGTTTGGGGTGTAACCGTGCCTTCATCTCCCTGATTGACCGCCAGTATCAGTATGTGGTGTGCGAAATTACGAGATCCCATTCCCTGGCCGAGATCAAGAGCGATCCGGACGATTACATCTTCGTGGGCATGTGCAAGTTGAACTGCTACGATGGAATCTGTCCCGCTACGATGAAGGCGTTCATGGACGAGACCGGGGAATGGGTGCGGTCCGGGCCGGATGTCATCGCCAACAGGACCCGGTACATCATCAACAATTTCAAGACGCACCCCGACTACAAGGATCTTCCTTACGTGACTGGCTATCCGCACTTCACGTCGTATCTGGAAGTCCCGTTAGTATCCCCGCTGGGCTACATCCTGGGGAGCTATTGCGTCGTCGACGACAAGTACAATGACTTCGACAAGGACGAAATCGTCGCCGATTTGAGCGAGCTAGCTGCCACCATTATGTCCCACCTCGAAAACACCAGGTTAAAACAGAGCCGGAACCGATCTGAGCACCTGATCCAAGGATTGACCGATTTCATTCGCCACGAGCCGCTGGTCCACGGCGAACAACCGTCTCAACACGCCATCCCGCCAGCGGGGCCAAAGGAGCGGAATGGGGAGAATGACTTCGATGATAGTATGGAGTGTCCGTCACCCAACGACGTTATTTCGCCGTCATTGGCGGAGTCCGCATATTACCCAGTGTCACTCTCTTCTGCCCCCCAGCAAGGCGGCTCCGAAACCCCTCCCACCACGCCACGAGATGAGCTCGGCCAAAACGTGATCGAGCAACACCTCGTCGCGGGAACCGTCCAGGCAGATGCGAATGATGTCTCTTCTCACCCCGCGGCCCTGCCTTCCGATGTTCCATCAGAGCCGCGGGGCTTTATCAGTTCGGCCAACATCAAAACAACCTTCTTCAGGGCCGCGGCTATGATTAGACGCACCATGGATATGGATGGTCTGATGCTGCTCGATGCTGTGCCCAGCTTCTATGTGGATAGGCCCGACCAGCCATCGCATGACTCCCCAAGCTGGCCATCGCACGAGCAGGCGGAAGGGCCGTTTTGCGCGGCAATCGTCAAGTCCACTCTTGGCGCGGGAGGCGAGTCCGTCACCCACGCGACCCAGACCCAGCTTCCCGAGCTGTCGCTGCAGAGGTTCATTCGAGCGTATCCCGAAGGCCATATATTCACTGCCGACGAGCTCGGCCCGATCGACGACAGCTACGGCGTTGGGAAGCGGTTCCAGTCCAAGGCCGAAGTGGACCAGGAGAGTTTACGTCTGAGAAGCGATATCGCCGCGCTGTTTCGTATCGTCCCCGCCGCCAAATACGTCATCTTCCTCCCCTTGTGGCACTTCCAGCGAGAGTGTTGGTACGCTGCGGCACTTGGTTGGGTTGAGGACCCATCGCGTGCTTTCGATGTCACAGACGTCGGTCTGGTCCGAGTATTTGGCAACTCCGTCATGGCCGAAGTGTCGCGGTTGGAAGCACTGGCTGCAAGCCGCGCCAAATCCGATTTTGTCTCATCGCTCAGCCACGAGCTGCGGAGCCCGCTTCACGGCATCATGGCGACCAGCGAGTTGCTCCGCGATGAGTTATCAGACCGCTCCCTTCTGTCGACTCTTGATATGCTCGAATCCTGTGCCACGACTCTACTCGATACGTTCAACAACCTGCTCGATCATGCCACTGCTACCCATGCTGGCCGCGACCGCGGCCCTGGAAGATCGCTGATATCGGAAGTGAAGGAGGTTGACCTAGGAGCTCTGGTGGAGGACGTCGTCGAGACCGTCAGAGTCGGGCACCTATCCGGTGATGTCCTGTATACGCAGACATCGCTGAAATATCGAAGAAACACGAACCCCCCTGCGCTCGCCGCTGCGGGGCAGAGCCGGCCGGATCAGCCGCTACTCATTGCGATATATATTGCAAAACACCACTGGAAGCTCCCCGTCAGTGTCGGTGCCTGGAAGCGGATCGTCATGAACATTATGGGAAATGCTCTCAAGTACACCAGCTCCGGCCGCATCGAGGTGGGCTTGAAGGTAGTAAAGAGGACTGATAAGGCAGGCAACGCCTCGGACTACATTTCGTTCACGGTGGAGGACACTGGGTCAGGCATGAGTTCGGATTTTCTGAAATACCATCTATTCACGCCCTTCCACCAGGAAGACAGCCATGCCCCCGGCCTAGGCTTGGGTCTCAGCATTGTACAGCAGCTTGTCAGCGAGTTGGGTGGCACTGTCGCAGTCAAGAGCTCCTTGGGCATCGGTACTCTTGTCGAGGTTTTGGTTCCTTTGGGCAAAGATATTTCCGGCTCCGCCACCGCCACCGTTCCGACGCAGCCAGCCGCCATACCGCACGACCAGCACTCTTCGGATGAGTTTGGACTTGGCGGGCGGACGGTATGTCTCATCGGCCCTGACGCCTATGCAACCATCATTGCGGCAGATCTCGAAATTACCGACCAGGCCCGGAACTGGTCAACAACGGTGGAGAAAGCTATCAGACTCAATGCCGAGAATTCTCTCGGAATGCACGTCGTCGTTGGAACCAAGGACTGTCCGATCCCAGAGGCAGATATTTACGTTCTGGATTGCAATCTCGTCAACGAGACAGACAAGCGAAGTCACGACACCAGGATGTCGGCATTGCAGGCACGTGCCGCGCCTTTGGTATTACTGTGTTCGGGATCAGGGCCATCCTCATGCGTCAAGCGCCAGATCACGAAAGACCATGGTATCCACTTGCACCATCCCATCGGTCCCAAAAAGCTCGCCTCGGTCCTCCGATCGGCCTTGAAGGCAAAAGCCAACGGTGGCACGGTTCAGAGGAAACTAACTGCACAAGAAAACGGAGCAGCAGCACTCTCGTTACCCGGAGGATTGCCAACGATCCAGGACATACTCTCACCCCCACCATTGCTGACGCCAAGCCTGGAGGGACCGCCGTCGTCCCCGTTCGTTCCTATTATGTCCGTGGTGTCACCTTTTGCTCCTAATACCTCAACTCCATCCGAAACATTGCCGACCCGGAGCCTGCCGGAGCGGCCAGTATCACCGCGTTCTAAGACGCTATCCACATCAGAACAATCGGAGGCGACACAACCTCCACAGGCAAATGCCGTATCGCAGTCACAGATGCAGGCCACAAGAAGACAGCATCTCCTCCTTGTGGACGACAACCCCATCAACATCAAGCTGCTTACGCAGTTGGTACGGAAGCTGAACCACACGTTTGCGACGGCGAACGACGGGCGAGAAGCAGTACAACAATACAAAAGCTCAGTGGAGGGTGGGCAAGGATCCCGCTTCGATCTGGTATTCATGGACATCAACATGCCCGTGATGAATGGATTCGAGGCCACCAGGGAGATCAGGCGGTTGGAGACCGAGGCCCAGGTGAGCAGATGCAAGGTCATCGCACTGACGGGTCTGAGCAGTGAAGTCAGCAAGAGCGAGGCCTCTGCGAGCGGGCTCGACATGTTCTTGACAAAGCCTGTTAAGATGTCTATGCTCAAGGCTATCTTGGAAGAGAAGCAGAAAAGCGAAGAAGGGGTGGGCGGCTGAGTTTTTACCTCCGTCAGGACTCAAAGCGTCCATTGTTTTCATATACTATGGTATGACCGTTCTATGGTCTGCAGGAATGCCCGCCTAGCTCCATCCGAGGCACTTCATTGTGATGATGAAGGTGCCCGGAGTTGGAGGTGCTATTGATGTGCGGCCCGCTGCTTCTAAGGCAGCTGAGGATGAGATACCCCAACGTGCCGCTGACTTCACAGGGGTCGGACCAACCTGCATACACGCGGGACTGTGTGTGATCGTTGTCCTTTCCCCAAGAATGCGACGGCCGTTTCTGCGCAATTCATAAACGGCAATGTCGTGACGATGAGGTCACGGTCTTGGACGTTCGGAAATCTCTTTGCTCCAGGTAACAGCAGTTCCATTCTTGCGGACCAGGAATAGAGGGATACTTTCTAACGGGCCGGATGGCAGAGTATGCTGGGAGAAATGCATACCAAGGCGTCATGCCCTTTTCTTTCGGATCGAAACACCGGCAGCATCAATGACATCTATCACTCCATGCGCCGACGCTGGTATGTTATGGAGTCAAAATCAACCAGCGACGGAAGCCACGCCTTTCAAGTCAATGTACTCATAAACTCCCTGCAGGGGAGGTGCAAGTCCTCCGAACTCCTCTTTGCTTCCATCTATGATCTCGTTGCTGGGTATCGAGAATCTAGACTACCTAACCAACCCAATTATATGGTAGGTAATATGCCCCAGCCAGTTTTCCACGCATGGAGACAGAAGACACAACTACCTAGGTAGCTAGCTTGTAGAGCAAATGCAAAGGAAACACATTCAACTTACCAGGTAACCTCTCTGCCTGCTCTCAATGGAATGGGCTTCGGAGACTCTCACCGAATTTGTCTTTGTAACGACTAAAGTCCGGCCGCTTGATGAAGGTTTACTTGGCGAATCACCTCCATGCACTCTCGCCTACCTGTCACTGTTTGAACTCGCAAACAGGTGCCTGCATAACTCCGGATGCGTGCCACAGGCGCCGGAGGTATCTTGGCACATTATGGAGACCAATTGGAGAGCCTTAAATGTATGGTTCATTTTGCCATGGAGGCAAGTCGGCCTCATATACGTATCGAAGGCGGAAACTGTGGTTGGGGTGCGTGGAATGGCCAGCTTAGAGGGCGCGAGTAGGACAAAGTATGGGCTGCGTTCTTTCTAAGAGTATGGAAGGAAGAGAGCGGCGCGTGTGCTCGCGCAGGTTTTCATGTATGACAAACGATCACGGGCTCATGACGAGACGAGGCGCACCGTTTAGACGATCTGGCCTTTGTGCTCGGGTGAGACAACCACTGGGTGCGTCTTCTAGGTTGCCTTGTTGTGTATTCTGCTGCGTGCCGCAAAACTATACGGTGATTCCTAACTAGTAGTCTCTCGAGCTCAGCCGCCTTGCTAGTCTCCATGACGACGAGAGTGAGCAGGGCGTTTACACCAAGCGATAACCTAGGTACACCCCAAGATTGGGAATCACGACCGGCACGCCTGACTCAAGTGTCCACAACTAGGTATCTACTCCTGTGTAAAGACCGAACCCAGAGCTATCTGGCCGCCCAATACGAGAGCTACTATGGCAGGATGCGCACAAGTTGATGGATGATCGTAAAGATGGCTCAGGGTGCGGTCTTCCGGACTTCTTCCTGAAATTGAAATAGGTGGGGAGCTCCACAAGGCTGAGCTCCACAACTTTGCTATGACGTCTGTGCTGCAGGTGCAGATGGGTCAGCCTTTCTGATACAGAGATCCAGTTCTGCATCGACGCCTCAATCAGATGCTCCAGTAGAAAGATAACAGTAAAAAGCGAGACATTGCTCATGGAAGCACACCCCAAAAACCACGTTTTCCTTCATCAGTTGGTGGCCGGGCCCAAAACATTTGCATGGATGAAACAAGGAAGCCATCTGCAGGACCTGAGCCACCATGTGACCTGATTGGGCTCTGAACTTCGCCAGCCGCCCTGCCCGGGCGCCGTGGTCAGCCAAGGTTGAAGAAAGCCCAAGGGTCAAGCCCCTGGCCCGCTCCCTCAGATGCAGACTTAATTGTTAGTTCACCTACACTAAGGTGTGTCGGGTAGCAAGTTGGGAATAGTGTCAAAATCCCTAGGGCTTTTATTAGAAGGGCAGTTATGGAAATTACCAAATGCCTCGAATGTCTGGTGACTGCTGTGTTGGGTTGCCGAGGGGCAGAGAAGTATAGGCCCGGCCCGCAAATTCTCCACGGCAAGTCATCCGAACGCCTGTTCAGGGGCACCAACAAGCCCCTTGTGCAGCCAACGTTCCGAACAATGCGGTTGCACGAGGTGCTGGCGGACATGAGTAGTGTGTGTACTGTACTTTGTCGTAGCCGCCTGCATGCCACCTTGCCTCACATTGGATACCTCCAGGACTCATAAACAACATGCAACCTACTGTAAAAGTGCACCGACCCTTGACCCCGTTTTCGCGGCCGTGTTCGACTGTTAGTCTACAGTTAGGTCGCAATCCTGGGCAAATCGAGCCCCACTTTCCACCTGCTGCCCTGGTCGGCCCTGTCCCAAGCAACTGGAAATCCCAGCCCCTCCCCCCGAGCACTACCTTCCACAATCTGGCATTCCGTTCAATTTTACATTGCAGCTTTCCCAAAAGTTCACGAGTCCGTTGTTGTTTTCGTTTGCATGGTTCAATCAGCAAGTCTTAAACCAAGGTTATCCGTCCCACGGTCTACTGTGTAGTTGTTGGCCCCCACTAGCATCGGCGGATCGTACATACCTTAGTCCCCGCACCAGCGTCGCTGCGTCTCTGAGGACGATGAGATGAATCAACTATCCTAGAACGCCGGCGCTGTACAGAGCAAGTATGGTTGAAAAGGACGACATTGAATCGCTCTTGAGGACGGGGTCTTGGAGGACCTCACGCTCGAGGAGCCCCAACTCGTAAGCATGCAATGATCCAGAGTTCTTCTCGCTGCGGACGCCTCTGCTGACGGAAACTGCGGGGTTACAGTTACGACTCGCAACGCCGACCATACGAGCCACCCAAGGAAAGGGTCGGTCTTCCTCGCACAGCACAGCTGGCGTATCGCGGCAAAAGGCCGCCGCCCCCGTCCGTCGAAGACGAGGAGGAATCGCTAGCGAAAGAGCACGTCGGGTCCATTGTGTCAGTCGCCACAACTGACGAGGAAGCCAAAAACCGCGGCGAAATAGATCAGCAGCCTCTAATCTTGCCCGTACACGAGCATAACCCTGAGCGCAGATTTGTGATTGTCCCCGGTGCGGCTGCCGAGGACGTCTCCAAAACCAACGAGGCTCGGTATGAAGCCAATACCTGCCGAAAATATGTGCTTGTAAACCCGGAGAGAAGCGCGGAGGATGTTGAAGATGGCAAGGGGCAAGATACAAGTGGTGATTCACCGGAGCTGAACCGCGACCCGTCAAAGGAGAGACGGGACCTCCCAAAGCGAAAAAGCCACCAGGATCTGCCGCGTCTTACGACAGAGTTTGAGCAGCCTGAGCCATCGAGCCGCCCCAGGTCGAACAGTCGACGCGAGCGGGAGAGGCCTCTTGTACACCAAGATTCGCGAGATTACCCCACACCGCGCGGGGGATCCAGCGCAAGGCCGCCAGATAGCGCCTTCCTTTCGCCCGCCGCTGTCACGCAGACTGCCAAGAGGCGTGACCGATCGTACTCGGACGCCAGGTCAGAGAGCGGTAGAAGATCGGCACGCAGCTCCTCGACAAGGAGAGATATCGAAATCGAAGAGTCCGACAGACGGCGACCGCCTCAGTCGTCCAAGTACCCGGCAAGCCCCTCCCTCCACCGGCGCGCCTCATCCACCAACGCGCCCATCCGTGATGATCAGCCCCGCGAGAGGCCCAGAGATGGTCCGCCTCGTGACAGGCCGAAATCCTTTATCCAGCCTTATGGTGGTGACCCCAACGAAGCTTTGACTTTCATGGCGTTGGGCGATGACTTCAAAACGGGAAGACCGAGCAGAGATCTCTCACCACCGAGAAAGACGCCGAATACCAACTCTCCGGCCCATCCCCGAGGCGCGAGGGAAATGCCCGGTGTGTCACCAAACCGCAAACGACAGCCGCGGTCCACATACCGGGAGCCGGACGGATATTCGAGCGAAGACAGCTACAAGGAGCGGGCTTCCGATCGTGCGGAACGCTCGTACCCCGTGCGATCTACGCTGGAACCGGATTATCCATCTCTACCTCCGGACGCAGCCCGGCGCACGAACCCGATGCTCGCAGCTGCAGCGCCGTATCTAGTTAACCTTGCTCGACCAGCTCAAATTGACGACGAGTTATCGCAACCGAGCCCGCGCGCAGCGACGTTCCCCACGGATAAGAGCAGAAGCGTCGGAGAGCGCTCCATGTCACCATCCCCCCCAACTAGCACATCTCCGGACCGGCGGTCCGCTCGGAGTTACAGACCGGTGCAATCAGACCTTTACGCTCGGGAGGAAAGCATTGGCTCAGTCTCTAACGGATCAGCTTCACAGCCCTCTTCATTGCCAGGCTCGATTAGCCGAGCTGGCACTCTGGAGAGGCCACCTGCAGGGGCGGTAGCGACTCTTGTGCAGCAGGAGTCTTCCGAGGCACAATCCCCGGGACTTTACTGGCGAACAAATCGGCCTGGTGAACAGGACATCGCAGAAGACGGCTCGGCAAAGCGCGCACTCGCCCGACTCCCGAGCTGTCTATGGAAATATCCCCAGGTCCGGGACAGAGCTGGCAGCGTCCAGTTCCTTACATTGAAGCAGGCCGAGAATTTCACCATATGCCCCGACTGCTACGGAGCCGTATTTGCGAACTCCGAGTTCAGGCGTCTGTTCGTGCCGGCGCCCATCCGCTCCGCGGGCCAGGTCGTCTCGTGCGACTTTGGCTCTTCACCTTGGTACCGCATCGCCTACATCTTGACGCGGAAATATGGGTATCCGGATTTGCGTCTGCTGCAAGGGATAGCGTCTGTCGCAGCACGGTCGCAGGTCTGCGCCGGCAGCCAGCTTGCATCGCGTATCTGGTACAGCATGATGGCGCCAAACTCAAGGCGGCCTATCCAGACCTTCAATGTATGCCTCGGCTGCGCCAGGATGGTCGAGGTTCTCCTGCCCAACCTGGCAGGCGTATTTGTGCCTCTGGACTCTCATGAGCCGACAAGAGGCGTCTGCGAGCTCCATTTCTCGCCTGAGCGCAAACGTTTCTTCGATTATTTCGAAGAGATGAGAAGCACCTCCGAACTTGCCCTCAGCCGCAGGACAGCACCCGATCTTGTCGAGCTAGTCGATCGTATTCGGGAGATCTCAATCCACGAGGAATGCCTGCGTAACACACCCATCCCGAACCGCAAGTGGCACGTCCTCGAGCAGGTACCCGAATTCACCGTCTGCGAGGAGTGCTTTAACGACGTTGTCTGGCCGATGATCGAGGACAAAGACAACACCAGCCAGATACCGCCGAATTTCTACAAGTACAAGCAACCGAAACCGGTTGCGGCGTGCCAGTTGTACAGCGACCGCATGCGCCAGGTGTTCCTCGAGGCGTGTAAACATGATGACTTTGAGTTCCTCGCCTCCTGCGTGCTGCATAGGCTGCGGGTCCTCGCCGAGGTCAAGGCGAACTACAACCAACTGCAGCGGGAAGACCAGGATGACCCGCAGGTGCAGGAGGAACTTGCAGCTCTGGCTAGGCAGTTCAAGGAGGTTGAGTAGATTTCTGGGCGGATAGGAAATAGGAGAGGCACTAAGGATCACATAAGGGCGCATCGCAAACAGGGAGTTGTCAAGGGGTCATGAAGAATCAGCGGTTACCCTATGTTATGATACCACATGTTAGAGTAGTGAAACTACTTCAGCGTAGTACGATACAACGAGAGGAAGGGGGAACGATGAATGAGAATGAGCATATTTTGCATCCGGTTAATATCCAGCCAGGCATACATTGGAGGTCATGGATTGCGACCAAGCCAGGGCGATTCACGAATTAGGCCATGGAGATTTGCAAATTGATTTACCTTCCCTAGTCTTTCATGTTGGATCGTAAGAGAAGAGGTTTGAGGAAGACATCATGAAGTGAGTTGCTGCCGGCTGCCACGATGGGAAGACGGGCAGCTGGCAAGTAACCAGGGCTGCTTGCCAGTTTCGGACTAGCGCAGATTAGGGTGCGGGAGTAGCCCCACAACCACACTTCCCAGAACACTGCGAAAATTCAATTGGAGCTCCGGCTTGGCCTCGAATTTTCGAACCTTCACCAAACCACCAAATCGCCCAACGCCGAGGTAAGCAGAAGCGCTCGCCGGATCCGAAATCCCGTCGTCTTCGAGTCCCACGGACGCAAATGGCGAGATAGTTCTATCGAAATTGCGATCGCTAACATTCGACCTCTGCCACAGCCCCAGGACTTGTCCCAGCACTGGACAAGATGGCCTCCCGACCGACCGTTACCGTTATCGGCGCCGATGGCAAGGCCACCGGTGCCACTGAGGTCCTTCCCAAGGTCTTCAGCGCCCCCATCCGCCCGGATATTGTCAAGCACGTCCACACCGGCATGGCCAAGAACAAGAGGCAACCCTACGCCGTGAGCGAGAAGGCCGGCCACCAGACCTCGGCCGAGTCGTGGGGCACTGGTGAGTGAGATTTAAATGATTTAAGATGATTGGAAGGGAAGATCGCACGGGAAAAGAGGTGGACTTTGGGCTCGGTGTGGATTGGGGGGATTGGCATCGGAAACGACCAGGCTTGGGAAGGAGATTTGCTGATTGTGGGATGAACTCAGGTCGTGCTGTTGCCCGTATCCCCCGTGTGTCCGGTGGTGGTACTCACCGTGCCGGCCAGGCCGCCTTCGGTAACATGTGCCGTGCCGGTCGCATGTTCGCTCCCACGAAGGTCTGGCGCAAGTGGCACGTCAAGATCAACCAGGGCCAAAAGTATGTGGAACGAAACCAGGGTTTTGAGGGAGGAAAGTTCTAACATGTCCAGGCGCTTCGCTACCGCTTCCGCTCTTGCCGCCTCTGCCGTGGCTCCCCTCCTGATGGCTCGCGGCCACCAGGTTGCTACCGTTCCCGAGGTCCCCTTGGTCGTCGACTCCTCCGCCGTTGCCGGTGAGGCTCTCGCCAAGACCGCCTCTGCCCTCGGCCTTCTGAGGGCTGTCGGTGCTGGTCCCGACGTCGAGAAGGTCAAGAAGTCAAAGAAGCTCCGTGCTGGTAAGGGCAAGATGAGGGGCCGCCGCTACCGCCAGCGCCGCGGTCCTCTGGTCGTCTACAGCCCCGAGGCCGATGGCAAGGAGCTCGTCAAGGGCTTCCGCAACATCCCCGGTGTCGAGACCTGCCCTGTCGATGCCCTCAACCTTCTCCAGCTTGCTCCCGGTGGTCATCTCGGCCGCTTCATCATTTGGACCTCAGCTGCCATTAAGCAGCTCGACTCCGTATACGAGAGCAAGAAGGGCTTCTTCCTGCCGTCCAACGTCGTTGCGCAGGCGGATCTCAGCCGTCTCATCAACAGCACCGAAGTCCAGAGCGTCCTCCGTGCGCCCAAGGGCGATGCTCGCACCAAGCGCGGTGCTGTCCAGAAGAAGAATCCGCTCCGCAACAAGCAGGTTCTTCTCCGTCTTAACCCGTACGCGTCAGCATTCCAGAAGGAGAAGCTGGGTGAGGTTAAGGCTGAGGAGGGCAAGCCCAAGCCGGTGCCGGCTGCCTTCAAGGAGCAGCTGCACGAGGTTTAAGCGGCGGTTGGTAAAAGGACGGGACTGGTTGCGGGTACTTTTTCTCGGCGTAATGGATTAGGCATGTGTGCACCCACATGAATGAATTCTGATACCGGACATACGGCGTTGCTTTGTGACATGATTGTGCTTCTCAGCAGACAGACCACGAGATGGAAATTGAGTGTCGGCCAGGCAACAGAGCCTTCCGAGCATACAAGTCTTGGGGCTAGTCATTTGTGTCTCCTGTGCCAATTCGAGCTCAGTGCCTGCTTCAACTCGATCCTCCTAGCCCAAGTGGATGGGAAACATCGATGCAAAGCAACCCCTGAACTACCTACTGTGTAAGGCTAACAGCGGGCTTATTAGTGGCTACGGTACATATCTGGTTAGCTTGGTAGGCGAGGTAGGTCTGTCATGTGAAGACCTGGTCGTGTGGACGGGCGATCACGAGTCGCTCCAAGGTCCCCGCAATTGTATGCCGTGGGCAAGGTCTCCGGTCGCTGTCCGAGGACTGGAGTCCGATCCCCCGAGATTTGAAACTCTATCGACAGGATGTTGACGAGAGGTGGGCGAATTTAGAAATATTGAGTCAGTGTTTTGTGCTTCTTCAATTTGCATAGGGTGTCGTCATATTGCCTTTTCCCACCACTCGTTCTGTTCAGCTTCCAGGTTGGTTGTGATGATGACCACAATGCCAAGACATCCGAGCTATCAGAGACTGTGGCCACTGGCCAGTAGCAGCACCTGCCGAGCTCGCTGCGGGGCAGCGGCTGGGCATTCCATCCCAAGCCACTCAGTGCCACTCCGTAAATTCAGCTGTCAGCTTGCAGTTGCGGGTTGCATTGGAGGGAGGACCCTTCGGGCGCTGAGTCTAACAATGACGTCGATCCTCGCTTTGCCGCACCTTTGACCCTGCTTTATCCATAGCGACGCCATGAAAGACGTGCTTCAATTGTCCACGGGCCGCGGCGCAGTTTTAAAGAAGCCCGGACCTTAAGAGTCTAGACCTGGCCGGGCTCCTCTCTCTATGAATCCCGAGACCCGGTGAACTGGCCCGGTATTGCGACATCAAACAGATCCTCGAGTTCTCAAATGCTTGGCCTGCTTTCTATTGTTCCCATTTGTATTCCGTATCCCCTTGTCCATCAAACTCCCGCCCTTTTGGTTCCGGGCTTACAGTACTAGTAGTTATCTGTCCATTTCCCAGGCAAACATCTGTCCCTGTCTGAGCAGAGCAAGTCCCATCTTCCCCTTGCTAGGGATCCTGAGCGATCCCATTTTATCGTTGCAGCGGATATTCGGTACCACATTCTTCGTTAGACTGAGCGGTGACTACCTTACTTACCTACGTCCTCGAATCAATACACCGTCCTATTGGTCGCAAACGCAACGCCTGCTGGTTCAGGCTTGATACACTAGAACACATGGCATCTTCAGCGTCAGCACCGTCCGGCGTATCTCGCCCCATGATACCAGGTAGGTGTCACAATCCTGCGCGAGCTGTCTTCTTCCCGCCTTGAGTCGTATGTGACAAAAATGGGTCCCAACATCCCGCTTACACCTCCCTACTCTAGGTCACTCTGGGCCTCTCAGATACGCCAATGCTCAAGACCTTCCAAGCTACCCGTCTCCCGGGTTGAAGTCAGGCGACGCGATGGCTAGCGCTGCTGCGATGCTGGGATGGGCGAGCAGTCCTGCGTCTCCCGCTTCCTCTCCAACTGAGCCGGGCTCGTTTCCAGCACCGCCATCGGCTGCTCCCAGGTCTCAAGATGCGCGTCTTGCCGCCGGTTGCGCACAACTACACCCAAAACAACCATCCTCGCCTCCTTCGCTCTGGGTATCCACCGCCGCCAATCTGGCTTTCCGGGCGAGCAAGACACCTCCTCCAAATGCCGAGCAGCTGGCTTTCTCCAGGCAAGACTCGGCACATGCCGCAAAGGGAGTAATGGCCAACTCGAGACCGAGGCCGAGGGCGAGGTCGACCCCTCAAACGCCGACGGAGAAGAACGCAGATCCGTTCAACGCCGGGTCGGATGCCCTGAGCGCGGCGACCATCGCGCATGGGCGGTCCGCACGGTCAAGCACCATCTCGGCAGGCGAAGCGGGCGCGGTCCCCTACACGACCATGAACAGGCAGATGTTCACCTCGCACCCGCCGGTCAGGCCGGAAATCGATGAGAAGAACCGCGCCGAGGTTCTGCACGCATCGGCCATTGCCATGGCCAAGAAGATGTACGACCAGCAGCAGAAGATGATCGACAGTTCCGCCCGAGCCCGTGGCCATGCGCGGACGTCGTCCCTTCCCGGCGGCCCTGTTGACTCGGAAAGTCTTTCGAGTGCGCGGAACGAAGAACAGGCCCCGATGGCGTACGGCAGCCTGCAGGAGGCGGCGTACCGACTGGCGCAAGAGCGCCTCGCCAAGTTACAAGAAGAACACCAAAAGCAGAGAGGTCTGCAGGATCGCTACGCTGAGTCAGCCGCACCACCGCACCGGAGCAGGTTCGGCTCCATCAAAAGCAAGTTGACTAGGAAGCGGTCATCGAGCGACGGAGACCTGCCAGGAGAGGACAGGCAGCGGTCGGAGCAGATCCGCAGGCAGATGTCCCTTCTGAACAACAGGCTGAGCGAGGTGGATGGGGAGAAGCGGGCGCGCGACCGGAAGGCGCTGCTTGCCGCAGCGCAGCGGAACGTGAAGGCCCAGCTGCATGCGATGGATGCGAAAGTGCAGTCAGACACGGGCCGAGTGCCCCAGATCACGATGGACGACTGGGGGAGAAAGGCGCTCGTGGCGGCGCGGGCGAGGTTCGACGCGAGCAATGAAACGGCGGGTAAAGTCGACCTTGGCGGCGGCAAGTTTATGGATAGGTCCGAGGTGGAGAGAATTGCCGCTGGGAGGATCCAGCCTCTGCTGGATGAGATCAACGAGAAGGCCGAGAAGGAGCAGGAAAGGCAGGCGGAGGAAAGATTGGAGGAGGAAAGGCAGAAGGAGGAGGCAGAGAGGGACAGGATGAGAGAGAAGGAGATCCAGGAGATCCACAAAAAGCTGAAAGGTTGGTGGTGGTTCCAGGATATCAGTGATGGCCGAGTAGAAGATCCTCAACTGACCGTTCATCAGAGCAACAAAAGCAGGACGAGAAAGCGAGAGAGGCGGAGATCAAGCAAAAGGAGAAGATCCGGAAGGACGAAGAAAGGGCGGCCAAAGCCGAACAAAAGCAAGCTGCAAAGCTAGAAGAGGGGAAGGAGGAGGAGGAGGAGAAGGAGGGCCTCCCGCGATCCACCACCGGTCAGACCGAGGCGGTCGACCAGGGCCAGCTACAGCCCACCGCCGAGAGCAAGCCCAGCACCAGCGCCCGCCATGTCCGCGCCTTGTCGATCAGGTTCCCGAAGCGCCCATCCAGGACGCCCAAGGCCCTAGTAGATACAGCGGTGGAAGGGCAGCAGCCTAGTTCAGCCGACGAGTCGACTTCCCCTAAGCAGAAAGTCCGTGCTTGGTTGCTCTCCCGCTTTCCCCGGCCGCGCGCCAAGTCTGCAGGCACAGCTCCGGCTGCGGAACAGGCAGCTCGCGACAGCAATCCTCCCACAAAAAGGGGCTTCATCGGCGGCGTGGCCCTGGCCCGCCTCAGGCGAGATAACGCCAGCACGCCCTCGGTGGTAGAACGGCAAGAACAAGGCACGGGGGCTGGGTCCGGGGCGGATAAGACGGCAGAGAACGACAGTGCGAGCAGCACGAGACGCGACTCGAGCATGTGCGAGGTGGCCATGGCAGGGCGGCGGACCACCACGAAGGGTGCAGACGAGCCAGGCGAGAGCAGCGTGGCTACAGCTACTACCGCATCGGCTCGGGTGACCGTCCCTTCGACTCCTCCCCAGCGGCCCGTCTCGCAGGTCTCGCAGGCTAGTGTCCCCATCTCGGTGTCGGAGCAGCCATCTGTTAGTAGCCTGAGGAGTTCGAGTGCGAGAAGGAGCAGCAGCAGCAGCAACAGTGGTAGTGGCAGTGGCGAGGATAAGTTTGTGGAGGCGAGGAGCGAGCCGGAGACGACGAGGTCCAAGAATCTGACGCCGCCTAGGGTGCTGGGGGCCGGACAGGGGATGGCGGGGAAGGCCAGTCCGTTTAGGGAGTCGCGGTTTTCGGAGATTTTGGAATAGCTTTTTTTTGTTGTTTTGGGGGATAGTGATGCTTACCTCCGGTACTCATCGACGGAGAGGAAAGGTAGAGCGTTGCGAGCATGATATGATGAGTTTAAGGCGTGATGAGGGATGGGCGCTGGATTGGGGACTGGCTGGGTATTTTTTTTCTCGTTGTCTATCAGTATGTCTTGCATACTATGGATGTGTCAGTGGGGCATTTTCCACGGATAATAGAACATGTACTGTTTGTGTCACAATATTTTATTAGACGTTCATCTATAGCTCTGAGTATCGAGCAGCGAGCTCATCACTTTGGCGTCATACGACACAAGGACAACCTGAGGGGCGAATCGACAAGTGGAATCGAGACTGTGAGAGTATTTATACAGTACGTATTCTCGTAACTACATGACCTATGCTGCAGAGTGCCCAACGCCTTTCGTAAACCGCCCTTTACCGTGTACACGCTAATCATGCCTCATGTCTAATTCTACCCTCGCTTCTGCTTCGAACGCGATGCCAACCAAGTCATGCAATAGACAATCCGTGGATCTAGTCGCATCGCCACTTTTCCCGGTGTCCACCGATCAAACCCTAGAAATTGCTCGCCATCACCCTACTGCGCGACCTAGACCGCCTCCCGTGCTGGACACGATCCCCCTCAAAAGACGCGACCCCGTTCGACCCGCGCAGCGTCCGCTCGCTGCCGCCCTCCTCCATCTCGCCCGCAGCGTCGTACCTCCGGGGCTTCTCCCTCTCCCGCTCCCTGCCCCTCGTCAGCCTCATATGCAGCCCGTGGCCGCCGGCGCCCTTAGACACCTCGAGCTGCTGCTTGTTCGCGGCCGCCGGGTACAGGTCGATGTAGAAGGAGAAGACGTAGGCCGAGAAGATGAAGGCGATGACCCATTCCAGGATCGCAGCCGGGTTGTAGTGCTTTGTGAAGTTGCTTGCGATGAAGGCGATGGCGAGGACGACTTCGATGATGATGAAGATGACCTTGACGTAGAAGGAGTAGCGCAGAATACGGGTCTCGCGGTGAGCTTTTTTTTTTTTTGAATTCCACGCTTGTCAGTACTTGGGTGTTTTTGGGCGCTAGGTTTGTGTACAAAGAAAAAAAAGACAAAAAAGGGGGGGAAGGAAATGCTGTGCAAAGACTCACTCTTCCCCAGCCGCCAATATTCCCAGCAGATGAAAATGGCTGACAGCACATATCCCGCAATGAACAGCAGCAGGAAGATATCGTGCTGTTTGGGGTATCTCGCTGTGTCGAAGATGCTCAGCAAGATCAGCCCCACGGTGCCGACAATCGCGAACACGATGGTCAACCCCGACAAGATCTTCTCCCCGGTCGTGGTGTTGGGCGCCAGCCGGCCCCGGTGCCGCAGCCAGCGGTCGAAGCCAAAGGAGAGGTCGAGCAGCACGGTGGTGATGCAGCAGCCGGCGATGAAGAGCGGCTTAAGGTTGGAGGCGCCAACGTCGCTGATGTAGGCTATGGTTTGGCCCTCTGACATGGAGGAGTAGTGTGTTCGGTCGGCCGAGACAATCCAGTAGAGGAGCAGGGCGAGGAGGGTCGCCAGCCAGACTATGCCCCCGAAGACGGGCGTTATCTGAGGACGGTTAGTAGGAGCCGGGATTGGGAGAAGGGGCGAGGGCATTACCCAGTAGGATAGGCGAATCATGTTGATTGCTTTGATATTATGCTTTCCTCCCCTAACCTTGGTGTTGTGCGCAATCGACGAGGGAAGAGCTGCTTGGCCAGTTCCACCTCAATGAGAGGGTCTACCAGGTGAAGAGCCCAAATGCGACCGAGTAGGACTAAGGACTCGCGTGATCTCGGTTGCAAGAAACTCTTTTGAGCTAGAGAGATAGAATTCGGTCACACCACAGGAGTCGTGCGTTGGCTTGAGGTCGATATACCGGCGCAGACCTCGCAATTCAAGGGTATGGAGACCACTGCGCCGCTTCAGATTGACAAGTAGAATGTAGGTAGCTGCTATTTCAGTAGGATTGCTATATGAAACATAACATGTGCGGTCTATAAGATGGGACAATTGGGAGGCAGCGGGGCGGGAATCTTCGAAGGACAACGTCACTTCTGAGACTGCGCCCAGTTTCTACCCGCCATCCCGGTCGTCCACCGCGTCAACTGCCATCTGCAATGTCATTGAACTGTTTGGATGGATCAGTAAGAAGATTCGTTCGGACGGGCTGCAACAGGAGCCCGACTGTTGGTAGTGTGACGTCATGTGGCAGGGATCTGTTAGGTACCTACAGTACCTACTGTTGAGTTGCAGAACTGACGGGCTTGGCAGGACTTGACATGCGAATGCGGCAGTTGAGACTTTCGCAGTATGACTCGGACCGACATCAGTTGCATTAAGCACTATGCAAAAGAGTGGGGGAATTGAAAGCAGTAACATAAAGGCCCAAATATCAACTCTCGTCATGAACAGAGGGACCATTGCTAAAATGCAGGCTGCACAGTTGACGTGATTCATTCAAGTGTCATGTGACTAAGGTGGTGTGTGCACGTCTGAAAATTGCAAGTGTGCACAGACCACTTCCTCGGGTATAAAATCTCGACTGCCCACCCGCTTTTTTCCTCCTCTTCTCTTCTTTCTTTCCTCGCCCTTCGGGGCATTTGGTCAATTTGAAACGATACAGAGAAGATTAGCATGGCCCCTGCACTAAGGATGACACGCTACTCAAAGAGACGCTGCAAATTTTTTCACTATGATCGCAGCTTTTGCCGCGACATGGAGAGGAAATGAGTCGGTTGCTGGATGAATTGCGGGCTTGAGGCGGGCAGCTGAAACATACTGTTTGTGGCGCGTGCACAGTGTTACAAACCGTGTATCTGAGAAGAGTCGGAAGACAGCAGCTACCTAGGGTTTATCTGGCCTATAGTTATCATATGATGCAAGTAATTAGAAGAACGGAAAGTATCCAGTTACACCGTACGGAAGCATCTACATAGGAAATCGAAAGCGAAAGGCAGCGATTTGATCGAGACCCGTGTCTTGAAATACTTGGAATGGACCCAAGTACAAAATCTCGTGCACGGAGAACATCTCTTACGATTCAAAGTTGATATCGAGACAGTATGTAATTACGGTACGGGACGGATGAAGAATGGCTCGTTTGTTTGGAACTTCAGGTTCCCGGACGAGTTCAGGACTGACAGCCTTGTGGGGCCGGCGCGCATACCCTTGTTGCCACCCTTGCTCGCAATTCCACATTGCCGATTCGCCCTGCGTCGAGTCTTTTCACATCCCATTGCTTTCACCAACCCACTGCTGCGAGGCTGAGCGGCAACCACCCACCATCCCGCGCAGCCAACAACGGAAACCACCACCTGCAGCAACAATGGCCGTCTCTCCGCTCGTCGCACCGACAAGCGACGCCTTCCAATCCTCCTCGCGACCGACCTCATCCTCTCTCAAGCGACAAGCATCCGCTGCGCCCTCCAACGGCAACGGCACCCCCCACCTTCCTCCCACCCGAGCCAGCGGCGGCGGTGGTGGCGGCGGCATGACGCTTGATCCAATCGAACAGCTCAATGAAGACGAAAAACGCAAGTATGTCAAGGGCAAGAAGCTGGGCGAGGGCACGTACGCCAACGTGTACCTGGGCCACGCGCGGCACGAACCGTCGGTGCTGGTGGCCATCAAGAAGATCAAGGTGTCGCAGCAGACGTACCGCGACGGGATGGCGCCCGACGCGGTGCGCGAGCTGAAGTACCTGCGCGAGCTGCACCACCCCAACATCATCTCGCTCCTGTCCGTCTTCAGCAGCAAGGACCAGAACCTGAACCTGGTGCTCGAGTACCTGCCGCTGGGCGACCTCGAGATGCTGATCCGCGACGTGGACCGCGTGCGCTACGGCGCGGGCGACATCAAGGCGTGGATGGGGATGCTGGCGCGCGCCGTGTGGTTCTGCCACGACAACTTCGTGCTGCACCGCGACATCAAGCCCAATAACCTACTGATCGCCGCCGACGGGGAGGTGAAGCTGGCGGATTTCGGTCTGGCGCGGTCGTTCGCCGACCCGGGCCGCCGCATGACGGCCAACGTCATCACGCGCTGGTACCGCCCGCCGGAGCTGCTGTTCGGCGCTCGGCACTACGGCGGCGCCGTGGATATCTGGTCGGTGGGGATGGTGTTTGCCGAGCTCATCATCCGCGCGCCCTTCCTGGCGGGCAACACCGAGGTCGAGCAGATCGCGCTGATCTGCAAGCAGATCGGCACACCGACGGAGGACAACTGGCCCGGCGTGACGCAGCTGCGCGAGTACACGGTCCCGAGCGAGGTGGTGCCCGTGTGGGGCAAGGAGGCGTACATGGGGCGGTTTGGCGCCGTCGGCGCCGACGGGGTGGACCTGCTCGTCCGGACGGTGGCGCTGGACCCGAAGAAGCGGATCACGGCGCGGGAGATGCTCGAGCACCGGTGGTGGCGGACGGAGCCGAAGCCGACGAGGAAGGAGGACCTCCCGCGGAAGTCGTCGGGCGGGGAGGAGAAGATGGGCGCCGATCTGAAGAGGCGGAACGGCCTGCTGGATGACGAGAGCAACTCGAGGGGGTCAAAGGTGGCGAGGAAGCTGGATTTTGGTCAGGCTAAGTAAGAGAAAATGTCTGTTTCTTTTTCGGGTTCTAGGCTGCATCACAGAGGGTTTCATGTGTGGACAACATACAACATCACCGGCGTTATTAGGGAAGGATACTTTTGGGTCCAGGGGACAAGGATAACAAAACCGGAGTTATGGTTTTACAACGGATGAGATGAGATGAGATACCATGAACATGGCTGGTCCGGCCATCACCAATAGTAGTAGCATTGCATTGCACATTAATCCACACGCTTGCCGTTTTCTCGGCTCAATATCCATATCATGGTATCTACTACCTATTCAAGCGTTTTTGGTTTGTTTTACCCTTGCTTCACATCAAGGTACACTCCAGCCCATACATGGCCCTCTCGACATCCTTTCGGACCTGATACCAATCAGCGCGGCGCTCGGCATACTCATACACCTCTTCAGCCCTGAAGATGCCGCCGAAGCGATCCCCGTCGGCGATGATGGTGGCCATCTCCTTGGCGTGGCGCGGGTCGATCAGGTAGATCTGGCTCAGCTCGCGCAGGGCCTTGAAGTAGGCGAGCAGGTCCTGGTTCTTGAGCGTGCGGATGTACTCAAAGTAGAGGTTCATGTCGGCGATCAGCTTGATGGCGCCCTCGGTGCTGATGCGCTGGCGCTTGAGATGCTTGCACACGGCGGCGAAGAGGCGCAGGCCCACCTCGCCGTTGAACACGTCGAGCATCGACTTGTCGGTGCTGCCGACCAGCATCGACGTGTGCGACGCCACCAGGTCGCGGATGCGCTGCGCCGTGCGCGTGGGCCCGATGTCCATGTCTATCGCGCCGCCCGCTGTCATCTTGGACGTGCGCTTTTCGGATATCGATGCTGCTGAGGAGGAGACGGAGGCGGACGAGGACGTGGTAGGGTCGGGTGCGGTCGCGGCGCCCGGATTGTAGTCAGTCGGCAGCTGGGTGGTTGCGCAGATGTATTCCACCTCGTCCATGAGCACGTCGATGCCCTTATTAAGGCCAGCGGCGACACTCTCGTCGAGCATCTGCTCAAACTTCTTCTTGGCCAGCCCGGCCGGGTCCAGGAAGTCATTCCGGTCGGCGATCTTGGGCCCGGCGAGCTGCTGCTCGTAGAACACGTCAATCATCTGCGAAATCAGATCGCCCACGTTGACCAGCTCGATGAAGGTCACCAGCGGCGCCACGCCGCCGCGGTCGTGCTCGCTGACCTCCCGCGGGTTGTACTGCGACAGGTGGGCCACGGCCCTGTCAAAGCCCGGCTTGACGTGCCGGTTGCCCAAGATGCGCAGTAGCGCAACAAAGACGGCTTCGCACTGCTCGCGTGCCTCGCCGCCTGCTTGCCCGCCGAGTTGCATAAACACGGCAATGCGTCCCAGGCTCGCCTTCGCCGCGTGCACCAGGCTCAGCGCCACCTCGATGCTAAACAGAGACTTAATTCCCTCGAGCCGGGACGTCATGAGCGCCGCTTTGGCCGCCAGTTCGTCGGTCGGCGCCTTACCCGGCAAGGGGCTGACGCTGCGCTCGGCTACCGGGGTAGGGACGGCCGGGGCAGGAGACTGTGGTCGTGAATCTTGCTGGCTCGAAGCCTTTGGCGTGCTGCTGCTCCCGTTCGTGGCGACCGCAGCCGCGGCCGGTTTGGTGCTTGCGAAGGGAGACCCGAGTGGCAGACTCGGCAGAGCGAATGTCGTCGGGAGCACCGTCACAGGCATCATCACCACCTTTTTGAAGGACGTCAAGAAGTCCTTCTTGTCCGCTTGCCGGTTGGTGAAGCTGCCCATGTAGAACGACTCGGCGCTGGCGTCTTGCTCGGACAGCTTCTTCTCCCAGTCGCCCACCTCCCGCTCCGCCTGCCGCGTGAATTCGTCGACTTCGTCCTGCAGGTACAGGTCAAGGTGCGGCTCGAATAGCTTGAGCGCCAGCTCCTTGGCCATGGCCTCCTGCTGCGCCTCGGCCCCCTTAGGTGGTTTCAGCGTCCGCAGGAATTGCATCGTCTGCTCGAAGATGCCCGACACGGCTCTCAGGTAGGACGGGATGCTCCGCTCGTGCGTCTCGTCGAACAACAGCGTGGCGTACTCCATGATGAGTTCCTCCCTGACCTTGTCGACGAATGCCCAGAACACTTCGCCCGGGTTCGGAAATATGCGCTCGATGATGGCCGCCTGCTCGTTCACCTTCTGCATGAGCACCTCGAAGAAGCGCCGTGACGGCTCGAGGGTAATGCTGTCCGCCAGCGCCTGGTTGACGCAGTCCATCGGGTTGCCCAGCACCTCCCTGTCGGTGAAGATGGGATGCTTCTGGACAAACAGCTCCACGGCGGCATTGCTGCCGTTCAGCAGTGCCAGCACATGGGCGTACTTCTTCATGCGCCCGTCCACGTCCCAGAATTCGTAGCCCTGCTCGAACTCGCGCAGCACCGCGCTCTCGAAGATGCTCGCCATGGTGTCGAGCTTCTCCTCCCGCTTCTGGCAGCCCGGCGCCCAGTCGCTCTTGGCAAACGTCCTCAGGTTCGCCAGCATCTGCGCCTGCCTCTCCGGGTCGCGGAACACCTTGAAGACGAGCGGATCGGTGTGGCTCTTGGCGCGGACGAGGTCGAAGTAGAACGGCGCCAGCGCACCGTAGATCTTGCCGTACTCCTGCCTCGCGTGGCCCCGTATACTCCTCACGCGCTTGATAACCTGCAGCAGTGCTTCCGGGTCCGTCGAGGGGTCATCGTGCCGCGGCGTCCCGCCGACCTTCATTGTCTCAAACCCATCCCTCACCTCCGCCACCGCTACCGCCACCGCTGCCTGCTCCTGCTGTTGCTGTTGCTCTTGCTGCAATTGCCACCGCCTCTCCTCTTCCAGCCCAGCATCAAACAATAAACTGCCCCTCCTATCATTCGTAAGACCCCCCGCTTCCCCCGGTATTACCCCTCCACCACCAACACCACCGCCGCCGCCAGCACTTGACCCTCTCCCCGGCCCAGACCCAAAAGCATTATTAGCACCAGCATGAGCAGCATTCGAAGCGCCCCGCTGCCTCTGCCGGCGCAGCATGACCTGCTCCTCGAACCGCCTCCGCGCCTCCGCCTCGTCCCAGCAGCCCATGGCCCGCAGCCGCGCCACCCACCGCGTGTCGTCGTACACCATCTCGCGCATGCGGCGCGACGTGCGCGCAAAGCGCATCTGGTCGGCCACGGGGAGGTAGTCGAGGATTGTGGCTAGGATTTCTGAGACCCCCATAGTAAGAGGCAAGGAGGGTTGGGTTTAGCAGATGATGAAGATGGGTGGGAAATAATCGTTTGGGAAAATTGGAGGAACGAGCAGAAAGGAAATGAATGAATGGTGCGCATACCGGCTGGTAATAGAGGCTTGGTGTCGATCATCTCGGCGGCTTGGAGAGTCTGGAGGATGCTGTTGCTTGGTGGTGGACGTTTGTTGGGAGCGGCGGCGGCGGCGGCTGCCGCTCTCCTGGTTGCGTTGGCCATGTTGGTTGGTGGCCTTTTTGTTGGTTGGTGATGCGGAGGGTATTTACAACCTTGCGGCCGTTGAGGGATGGAATAACACTGTTCGTCACGTCGGCATGGTAGAGGTAGGCATATATCGCGGCAAGGGGAGACGTGTTGGAGATGGGGACTCGGGAGAGCGGGCGGCGCTGGGTCGAGCTTACATCGGGATTAATACGGCCAAGGGGGGACAGGTAAGGTAAGGTACGTACTTATTACTTAAGGCGGTAAGCTGCAGTGCTGTAATCCGTACCGTACAATACGTAGCTTTTCGTACTGGTAAGTAAGTCTCCATCCACTCCCTAACCCTACCCTGTACCTCCATAAACTTGACCTTCAGCTAACGAACGCTGAGAGCCTGAGAGGGGAACTGGATCGAACAACTTCTTCCAGTTTGGTCGTTGATTTTCCATTCGATACGTTGCGGTTATTATGAGCCTATATCAGGTATCAACATAAACCAAAGCTCGGTTGTGTCAGTTTATCGAACCCCTTCCCACTGCCACCATATCCCCCTCACCCATCCGCCTCTCCGCCGCTTCAGCGGCCAAGAAGCGACGAGTAGACTCATTGACAGGATTCTGGTCTTCTCTGCCCGCTTTACGTTGCAGGTGCCCAAAGAGACAAGTCCACAGATCATCCCCGTCCACCGCCTCGCCCGCGACGCCATCCCTGCCCATCAACTTGGACAAGTGCGCCTGCTGCATTTCGAGCGCATTGGCTTCGTCAAGATTTGTATCCAGCGATACAGGCGCGTATGCTTCAGCCTCGTCCGTGCCCTTATCCTTCTGGTCCATTCCCGCGCCATTGCCCCTGCCTCTGCCCTTCGCATTTCGACCCATGTGTTCCATGCGTCTCCGCACCGACAGCTCGTAAATCGACTCCTCCACGGTGCCGTCAACGACGTACAGCCAGACCGTGGTCTCGTGCAGCTGCCCAATCCGGTCAACCCGGGCAATGGCCTGGAGCTCCAGCGCCGTATTGAGTAGCGGCTCGCACAGGAACACGTGGTTGGCGTTGACGAGATTCAGTCCGCTGGCATGGGCTCGCGCGTGGAGTAGGAACACCTCCGTGGCAGGGTCCTCCTTGAAACTGGTGATGCCATGTGCCTTGTCAAACGACGTGAAGCCGATGCGGTACCTTTGAAATGCAACCGCCAGGACGTCCAGGAACTCTTTGTACTGAGAGAAGACGATGGATTTGGACCCAGGATCCGCCTCCCTTAGCCACAAGATATGACGAGTAAGAGTATCGACCTTTGTCGTGAAACTCGGACCATCTAGCTCCATGTTTTTGATCTCAGCGAGCTTCTCGGCGTTGAATTCACTGTAGATGGTCAAAGCCCTTCTGGTCGGAGATGGTTGTGGCCCGTTCGGGTCTTCAGTGTTGTTTCTGTGATGTGTCTCCGAGCGAACCTTGAGCTCCTGCGGCTTCAAGGCGATGTCATGAAGGTCGGTTCGGTGCAGATGCCTCTTGCAGACAGGGCAGTTGCGATGCGCTCGCAACCACAGAGTGATACACTCCTTGCAGAATTGGTGTCCGCAAACTGTCAAGGCGCCGATCGTGAAGGTTGACTGGCAGATGACACACGTGCGTTGCTCTTCAGAGCTCGACTCCGCCTCCTTGAGATGTACCACTGCTACCTGTTAGCAGTATGCCCCGGCTTCTGTGTTTTCAAATACACTCACAATATCGGTACTTCGACTCTGCAGCGGCCAGCTTTGCTTGCAGCCGCTCTTCCCGGCCTTGACCTGCTTGGAGGGCTATGTTCAGTGCGTCGCTTTCTGTTGGGTCAGCATAATCCGCAACCATGTCGGAAACCTCTTGGAGCTGCCGATAGTAGTCTATTCGAGCGTTCAGAGTGTCCATGAACTTTTCAATCTCCTTCTCCAGGACCGTTATAGCCTTCGTTTGCTCTGCCTGCCGACTGAGTGTAGACCTGAGCAAATCGGAGGCAATAGCAAGCTCTTTTGCTGCCCTTGAGCTCCCAGACGCTGCGTCGTGCCGGAACTGGACCGACAGACCTCGAAGTTCTGACACGAGCCCTCGCATTGACGTGTGGACATACCCTTCAGCAATCCGCGGCTTGACAATTTCGCGGACCCTCAGAAGCCCGAGAAGCTTCTTGGGAGCTGGTCCATCCCCTTCGCCGGCCATCCGCGCAGCCACCTCAATCTCGTGTTCTACTAGGAAGTTCTTTTGTCCTGTTATCGCCTCATGCCTGTCTGCAAGTGCTGTTCGCAAAATCTGCAGATAGACCAGGATTTCGTCCTGGAGTTTAGCTGATTCGCCGTATTCTTCGCCTGTAGTCTCGTCGACTTCTTCATCGACCAAAGGTTTAAGCAGCAGTTGTAGAACATGTTCGCGCCAGTTATCGAGCTGGACGGCCTGTTCATCCAGCGCCACGCTGAGGTCTTCAAGGGCTTCGGCGATTCTGCTGCTCTCAATACCCTTCTTGTCGACAGACTTGAACCCGGGGATGACACCGAAGGCCTGCCGTTCAGCCATTCTCTCCAGCCGGCCCATCAACTTCTTCGCTTTGGTATGGCTCTGCAGCATCGTCAGATAGGCCTTCCAACGGATGGACCCCGTCACTGGGGAATTGAAAAGCAAAACCTACCTCGTGAAGAATCTCTTTCCTGATCTCTCTAGCACGATGGTACCCTTCTGTCTCAAGCCTCTCCAACCGTTTGAACTCTTCCGAGTCTGGAACCGTTACCTCTATGTTCGATTTCAACGAAAAGTATGCGTTTGCGCAGAAGAAGACCGCCGCGTGTTGTATCTCCAGTGCGGATCGTAGCCGGCGTCGAGCCTCTCCCACCCGTGGGGCCACGACTTCGTCCCGGTCTTCCTCCCCACCATCGTCAGGTGAAAGCTGGGGTTCTCTCGTGCTCCCTTTTCGGGCCTCTTCGACTTCCTTGTCCAGCTTTACACGGCATTCAGTCACCGTTTCTGTGGCTTTTGCTAAGACCTCCTGCCAGACAGATAGAGCATCTTGGACCCTCTCTTCTGACAAGCAAGCATCTGTCCTCTGTATAATCTTTCCAACAAAAGGCTGCGCTGGTATGCTCGTATGGCGCTATCTGATTGTTCCATCATGGCGTCCAAGACCTCCGCAACTGTCCGGATAGGAGCAACCTTTTGTCCGAATGCTCGGCGGACCCGGTTTCCCACTTCGGGATGTAAAACAGTCTGGCGCAGTCGGTCGAGGGCCACGCGCATCGCGCTTTGCACAGACGGTTCCTCGGGGTCCCACCCGGCTTGGAGAGGGTTCCCCTGAGCGTCCAAGCCACAGGTCGCGGCAAGCTCCTCGAAAAGACTCTGGTAATACTCTTGCTCCACAGCGGTAAACGGTGTGGTGATCACATACCGCTTTTGTGGCGGTATGGAGATCTCGTCCCTCACGAGACTCTTGCTGTGTCGCATTGATATTAACCTGAATAGCTTCCGGAAGGAACCCTTATCGAAGGTGGTCAGGAGCTTCCAGGTCTTCGCGTCCGAAGCGTACGGTTCGTAGCGCAGGAAAAGAAGTAGCCCCCGGAGATCTTTCCGGATATCATCTTTGACTGGTGTCCCTGTAACACCCCAAGCATTCACACGAGGAATCTTCCTTGCCAGCTTTGCGGAATTATTGGTCCAGTTTTCGACCATCTGTGCCTCATCAATGCACACTCGCCACCACGACAGCTGGACAAGAGGGGACTTCAGCCGTTCGTACTGCTGCTCATTGCGCAAGGTACGTCCCGGCTCATCAGACGCCGCCCAGATCTCGGATCTGAGGACCTCATATGTGGTGATCACCACATCTTGCTGGGCCAATTGCTCGGCCGAGATCTCATGACTTCCGGGCTTCAGCTTTGCTATTTTCTTGACTCCAGGATAGAACATGACCTTCAGACTCGGTGCATGAAGGCTGAGTTCGGAAAGCCATTGGTCAAGAAGCGTTGAAGGAGCAATGATCAGGGTCGCCGATGCTGTGAGGAGGTCACGTCCCAAGAAAGGGTCGAAAACCATGACGGGGGATTCAAGGCGCCGGTGCAAAAGTATTAGGGCAATCATTTCCAGCGTTTTCCCTAGCCCCATCTCCTCCGCGAGGATACCACCGCGGAGATCTTGCACAGATCGAAATAATGCCGTGTCTCTAGTGGCGACTCCAAGCAAAGGGCTGAGATAGATGGTACTTCCGTCTGCGTCTTTGGCCGACGTAAATGAAATGGGAAGCTCGGATGATGCTGACATGACATAAGGTCGAACGCCAGGTGCCCTTGCGTGGGAACCGGGAGACCATTCCGCACCTTCCCGCCGTAGAAGCCACTGTACAGCCCTGCGCTGAAAGGGATATAGAGTGGCCTCCAACTTAGGTATTTCCATGGACGAGACCGCTGCGTCAAGGGATGCCTTGTCGGGAACACATGCAGCCTCATAGAAGTCCTGAGGAGACCACGAAGGCCGCTCACTGGAGTCTTGGCGTATGTGCAGGTCGGGATACCACGTTTTCAAGACTTCCTCTCGAAGAGCCTGCTGAGATTGGGAGTTCGAACGCTCACTGCCCCATATTGTCGTCCTCTCATTCCATTCAACTTCAATCTGGAGCTCCAGCTCTAACAACGCACTCTGATGTCGAACGGCCATGTGCACCGCAGCCCAGAGGCAGCCTTCATCACCAGGATCGAAGCTTTGCGTACCCGCCACCATTAAAGCTGTCATCACCTTCTGGCTGAGGCAACCGTCCCCCAAAAGGAAGCAGACCTGAAAACCACGGCCTCGGGCCTTCGTACGCGGCGAGATGTGTAACTCCCACGCAGCTTGAGACGCCTGGTCAAGGGTGGTCTTGCGGAGTTTCAGAACAAGAGCTTCCCCAACGTGTCGCTGTGTTATCGCACCGTTCTCCTCAGATACGGCAGGTCCGTCCGAGCTGAGTGTTATACGTTCTCGGGCGAGGCATATTGAACCACGACTTCCCGTAGTCTTAGCGCGCTTCGTCGGACGAGACGATACTTGGTCTACTGCCTGTTTCCCGTCGGTCTGTGACGGCATCGATCGGAGAAACTCTAAGAAAGCTGATAAATTCTCGGTTTTGGACTCCGGAGCGGGCGGCAGACGTGTCGCACGGGATTTCCCGACTCTTGTTCGAGGCATTGTTGTTTGGTTAGCCAGGATATGTACTAGGAACCTGGCATGATAGAAGATGAGTCTGGAGTGTTGGTGGTATGGTGAAGCAAGATCGTTGCGACTGTCGGCAAACGTCGTATAGAATAAGCTCGAGGCTATGGTGATTGGAGAATGAGTGTAGAGCGCGCTTGATGAAGGCGAGTGACAATTAACTGCTTTTCGGCTTACGCAGTGGGGGCCTTCTGGGCCGCCCGTGCATGTGAAAGGTGCAGCGTGAAGGAAAAGAAGGTGCACTTGATGGGAGGAAGAACAGGAGGTGGTGCTGGGATGAGTGGCCACTGGCTTACACAGTATTGTATCGTACAAGTACATGATGCCGCTGCAGCCTTGCCGCCCCGCAGATGAACGATTTCGCTCCAATGATTCATCAACCTAGATGGGACATCGAACGCTCGGACCCTTTCTCGGCCCCCAGCTCCGGAAATTCTACGGAAGCGCGTCTGAAAACTTTCCACTTGTCAGCCCGTTTCGGACGAGAGCTAGGAAGGCGTTGACGGTTGCTGACTTGTCATGATACCCGGCCACAATCCGTTGCAAAAGGCACTTCTTCGATAGGTAAGCTTCGGTACTGCCGGCGCCCATGAATACTCCTAGCCACTCGCCCATCAATTGCCCAACCATTACCGTCGCTGACCGCCCTCGCAGCACGAATGAAGTCCTTCAGGATACAGCCTGTTCTGGGGCTGTTATTCCGACCCTGCGCCGCTCCCTCAGTCACCGCCCCCGGGCTCAGGGCGCAAGCAAGATGGGCGCATAAAAGCGCACAACCCCAGTTTCCCCTAGTCCCGGCGCCGATCCCCTTCGTTCCCGATGTCGAGACCTTCCTCACCCTTATCGGCCGCGGCCTGAAACAACATGCGTCCAAGTTCCCTACGTGGGACGCCCTTTTCACCTTGACATCCGACCAACTCAGAGAACTCGGCGTAGAACCGCCAAGGACGAGGAAATATTTGCTGCGGTGGAGGCAGAGGTTTAGGGAGGGCAAGTTCGGCATTGGTGGCGATTTGAAGTACGTCGATAACGGCGCCGCCGAGTTGAGGATTTTGGAAACAGACAAGAGCCCGCTGATCCGCCTGAGGCACGTTGTCAACGTTCCCCCAGGCAAGAAGGTCGAGGAGGTGTCTCCCTCCGATATGGTCCGGGTGAGCGGCTTCAAAGTTCAAGGGGTTCGCACGATTGTCGGCCCATACGCACTGCCCTTGAGGGGAGGCGGTGCTCGGCTTGCGGTGACAGAGGGCATGTGGGAGGACAGGAGAGGACACAAGGTGGATGGTGGTGAGCGGAGACGGGACGAGATCAGGTTCAAGAGGAGGGTGGCCGAGCGGAAGGCGCTCCGAGAAGCGCAGGGCTACTATTAGTGGCCCTTTACAGCTTGGCCGCCACATGTATCATGAGCTTTGTGCTTACTAGCTGCCAGTTGCGGCAGAGGTGCAATGCATGTAGAATCTGTACACTATGGATTTTGGCGTCTTCAAGATTTGGAGCTCTCGCATGTCGCACGTTCGCCGGCGAAGGTACGGCTCTGTTTCTGCACGGCATGCATACGACCGCTTCAACTAAAGCAAATCAATATCATTCCGATTGGTCTTACTAGGAGTGGATGATCGGTTGGATTACAAGTACACATAGTAATTCGTCTTCACGATGATCAACGAGAAGCTGAGTATTCGTCTCTTATGTCCGACCGTTAACCCCGCCATCGGGACACTGTTTTACCCAAAATGGTTGCGTTGTCAGCTTTGACAAAGCGGCAAATCGGCCGATCTGGGGCCTTCCCATACCCGGCGTTTGCCAGCCAGCTGCGTGGAACAAAAAGCAGCTCTTCGCCCGAGTTTGAAAGTTTTTGAAGTTGCAACGATCGTTAATTCCTTGAACTCCTGAAGCCATCATCAGTGAGGCACGGCAAAGGTTCAAACGAATCGGCAGCTCTGTTTCAGATGTCTCGAAACACCGGTTTGCGGCGTTTTGGCAAACACAGCACCTCGCTCGACAATGCTTGGCCGACACCATGCGTGGAAGATGGCTGAGCAAAGCCCCCGAAGCATTCCGCAAGCAGGCAACAGCGAAAAGCACGATGGGGTCAAACAGGCAACAGAATTTGCGAGAATTGCGCTGGGATTGCCCGCAGCACACGAATACATATATTTTGGGCGTCGAAAGTTGCGTACATCTTCAGTCAACCATCCCCCCATCAAGCGTTCCCAAGGCTGCCGCCCTGTTCAGTAATCAGCACCGCACCCTGGCCGCTCTCATACCTCAGCGAATGCGTATCACCCACACACCTCAACCGCATAGCCACTAGGTGCAAGGCATCCAATGTCCAATCAACGCACCTCAACAGGACTCTACACCCGGGTTTTACGCGGCCTTGGTTGTGAAGGTCTGACAAGATGCAGATGCACGGATGAGGAATGACCCATTGAGCAGGTATTCCGGCCGTGTTGAACTGAGAGGGCACAACCTGGCCCAGAAACGACATGCATCTCGAAATCAGCGATTATTCGTGTCCAAATCGAGTCGTCATTCTTATGGTTGGAGCCGGGACTTGTCAGCGGCCTTGCACCGAAAAGGCCGGCGAGCCTCAGACCTAGTTGATGCTATCTTTGGGAACCTGACGGCTTGTCTTGGCGGGCAACTGGGGGATCTTGGGGGATTTGGGCCGAGGCTTCGGCCTTCACCGACGAGACGAAATGGGGTCACGGCACCGGCTCGCCGTTCCGAGTCGTGCAAGTCACTTATCAGCAGGCGAATAACGCACCCCCGCCGTCATTACGTGGTGAACAGGTCAACTTCGCAGGGCCATCAGCAGCAGAGACACCGAGCCTGATCAGGCTGTCCTATTTTCATCGTCAAATCGCCAGGGGATGGGCAATCACGGACATTCGTCAGTCACCGGTCGACAGATCAGGAAGCAAACACCTGCGCCCCACGCCATCGCTCGCAGGATACGCGACTCTGCCTGTGCTGGAGGATCCGGTGAAGGTCACTGGAGGCATCGGCATCTCTGGGCTACGGTGGAGGAGGGCGAGGCGGGACTCAGCTCCAGGACTTTGGCAGTCGATGGGCCAATGGCAAAGATCTTCTCTGGGTCCTCGATGCTGCTAAAGATATCCTGCGGCTGAAAAGCCGGATTCTGCATAACGCCTCGATCTGGACGCATTACCAAAGACCCACCTCGGAAGGCTTCACGAATCGCGATATGGCGGACAGATGCAGTGGCGAAATCGATGGCTTCCGGTCCAATGTGGCGCACCGGGCGCTGGCACGGCAAGCCTGGCGGCGGCGTGGCGCGACCGTTGAAGGTTACATCATGGAATCGACGAGCTGCTTGGCAAGGCCACCACGAGACGGCCTGGAAGTGACAGGCGTTCTGCCTACCTATCCACATCACAAAGATGCGGTTGTGAGAATGATCGCTTCCGCGACGACGATATACATCTCTCCTTGACCGACCCTCTGTTTTGCGGCTTTTGCCAGGCCGCTCTTCTAGCCACTTTCCAAGTAAGGTAAGGTACTGAAATCGTATATTAACCACCTTCCAGATCTGATCACGGCTATTGCTGTGCGTGTATGTATGGAGCAATTGCCTCTTCCTCATTGGGACTGGATCTTTTTCTTGCGGTCAGCCTTGCAAACGTAACAGCCCGGTGTGACGAGCCATCGTTAGTCTATACACAGGAGACTCATCAGAGACCTCCTCTTGTTCAAAGGTTAAAATTAGACACAGCCTAGCCAAGCTAGTTTAGCGCCATCGCGTCTGATGAAACAACCAGGGCAAAGCTCTTCTCTCACTTGAACGCCAAGACAATTCTTGCACCAGTGACGCTCAAAATCACCACCCAGCAGCAGATCAGCGTGAGGGTTGAACATTGAAGACGGGAGACTGAGAGTTGTTGATAGTATCCCGCTGTCTGTCCGACCTCTTTAACTCAGTGTATGGCTGTTGTATTGTACAGTGATTAGAGCAATCCCAGAGACGAGCTACGACAGCTTGGTCGCTCACGAAACTCGAAGCAATGGCCCGGATAGCTTACTAGATGCTAGACTGTAAACTGTCAGAATACTATGGTTACGGGCCTAGATACTCATCCAAATTCTGCCACAAGATTCTCATCAACCAAAAAGGGATCATGCCTGTTCAAAGAGTATTTTCGGCTGGAGTATCGACAACCAATAGCCCACTCGCTGCCACTTCCATCAAAGATATCTCTCAACGGCAGAACTTCGGTGCAGGATTGAGCATTAACAAGGGTTACGCAATGTGCAACCTCTCCAACGGCGATGATAGCACGAAATCTAAATTCAGGAATACACTCGTTGTTCCAGGGCCCTTATTGGTGACGGAGCTTTCAGCTGAAGACAGAGCTCCCGCCAGGTCACAGCATTGGGTCGGACGGACCGTGCTGTCGGGGCCCAATTGTTTAAAACTAAAAATAGTTAACCTCTTGCGGAGTGGGGTGCCGATCCCGGAGAAACCATGGATAGTTACCTGCCGACCCACACAAAGTCCCCAAATGACGGGGGACACATGGTGTTGAAGAAGGGATGGTGGTTGAGTGTGGCGGTGCCTTTTAAGCTTATTTTCCCAGAGCGAAGTAATGGGTCGTTGCAGAAACGGCGTCATTGGATGGCACTGGTGAACAAGTCCGTTTGTGAAAGTCCCGGAACTCAAGCCACCTGTGCCTGCCATCTAGGCGGCTCTGCCAAAGTGCCGAGGGCCCAACCGCACACATGAGCATTGCAACATCCACGATGCCTTCCCTGTGCGATTCAAGACAGTGCGAATTGTGGATGCCTCGTGTCAGGGACAAGACAAGAACAGACTTCGAGATCGGCCTAGGTATCCCATGGATACCCAGTAACAGATGGATCCTCATCAGTAAAAAACTGGGATAGGATAACCAAGCCCAGGAGGTGGAAATGCTTGGGTTGAGCTTCAATAGCCTTGTTTGTCACGGACGACCTCGGCTACCCGGTGTGCGCGACGCAAAACCGAAAATGAATTGAGGCTCTCAGCTCGAGATCCTTCTCCCAAACCCGGGTCCAAGTTGAAATGGGCTTCACAACTGAACGGAACGCAACACGGATGATCGGTGGGACGATTTGCCCGAGAAGCGAGTGCGGCTCGCCAAGAGACGTGCCTCTTGATTCCCCACATGAGGTAGGGCATTGAAAAGCTCCGCTAACCCTGGATTGGCAAGAGGGACCCACCCAAGACTGGAAGACCGAGCCGACCATTGGGTACTGTCCCAAAACCTTTCCCCCTGTCTTTTCCAATGCAACGGTCCTTCACTTACACGTCGCATTAGACGGGAGAGAAGTGCAGTACAGTACAATACAGTAGGAAAATGCCAACTGAAGCTCGTCTCGACAATAGCTTCTCCCTCGGCCGAGTATGCCCACGGGTTTCAGGTAGACGTTGAAGAGTCACAGGTGCAGTCTGTGTTTCTAAACCGCGCGTGGGATACCTGCTTACCTAGTCCTCAGCCCTATTCAAGCGGGAATCTGCGGCGTCCCAGCTGGGCGACCGAGATCTTGACCAGGCCACAAACAGTCCATGCATCTCCGCCAGGCATTTGCCGACCACCGATCAGCAATGTGCCGCACCTTTCCTGCCCGGCTCCACTGCCCGCCCATACCCTTGGTTCAGGTTGCTCTGCCCTTCTCAAGCAGGAGGCTTGCTCGCCTGGGTCATCGCGGAGCTCAAGGGCTTTCATTCGTGGAGAAGCTGGGCAGTCTCGAACCCCTACACCTGAAGATTTCTTTATTTATTTTTATCTTCATCCTGGAGGTATTCGATGATGCTTGTTCTGTTGCAAGCAAGTCGAGCAAGTGCCCACTCGGGCAATGGTGTCGTAGAGTGGACTGGGATCATCGTATTGCTCGCATTTGTCGATGCCCTGCTAAGTAGGTATGCACATGTTCTGTGCCTAGTCTCTGTTGCCGATCCGGACGACAGGCACGACACACATGCTCAGCAATAACTACACTTGGAGTCACATCCAGATTGAGGCTGGTCCGCCCTACGAATCGCAGCTGTCGTCGCGGTGCCAGGCCCCGTGCGCATGCAAGTGCATGTCTTTCCGGTGGCCGCGAGGCACGGTCTGGGAGCCAATCCTCGATCAGATGGAACGGGGAAATGACTAGGGTCAAGGGGGCTACGGAAGGGTGGGGGGAAGACGACACAGTACTCATCTCCCGCTCAAGGCACGGCGTCCATTGACCACAGTCCCACAATCTCGTCCACTCCCAGCTTCCGAACGAACGCATGATCCACACATCCACGATGGTCAAGCGCAGCCGTGGCCTCGTTACCCTTGCTCCCGTCTCCATGGCGGGTGCGCCGCAAGCACAGGAGCTCCACTACCCTAAGCCGTGCCCCTGGCCCTGGGCAGAAGTGACCCTGCACACTTCCACAGCAACACCACGCTGTGCTACGCTCCATTACCCGTAGGGCAGAGACTTGGACCAATTTGGACCAGGTCTCCCCACAGACAGACCCTGGCGCTGTTTCCTTCTCGCCGCTATCGAATCCAGCCCTTCCCAGCAAGAACTGTCCGTCTTATATCGCAGCAGCGTGGAGCTTTGCGCGTCATCCTCGTCTTCACTGTTTCAACTCAACTCATTGTCCTCCACCAAGCCTACGCCGCAGATGACAGTTCTTTCGTTTTCGGACGGCCAGCAATAGCAACTCCAACGCTAAGCCCCTTGTGACTTCCATCTTTGGTAAACTGTCGACATCTCCGGGAGGCATCGTCTCGACATCTTACCCGACTGCCCTCGTTTCGGCTCTATATAAGTGATCGAGACGCCCTAAGGGAACGCTACCCGATCAAAAAGCAGAACCAAGCTCCAGCGTGCTTCCCGGATCAGGAACGAGAATATCAAAACGAACAAGACGCGGAGCTAGCTGAGTCACTTGGCCTGTGAGCCTCATCTCCCTTTTTTCTTTATCACCAAGATGTTTCCATACCAACTCCCTGAAGATCAGGACTACATCGAGGTCCAGCACCCCGAGGAACAACTGGATCAGGACAACGCCGGACAAGGGAGAACGGAGCCGTCCACACCGCGACAAAGCAAGCGATCTCCCTCGGCCTCAACCCGCTCAGCGAAGAGCGGTAGCAAGGGGAAGGGAAGCAAAACCACCACGGTCGGATCGGGCTCAGACACAGAGAAAGAGTCCGCCAAAATGGCTTCTTCAAGATCTTCCAAGCATTCGTCATCCTCCAGGAAAGACAAGTCTTCTTCCTCTTCCAAGGTCAAGAAGACGGACAACTGGGCCGAAGTGACGGAGCCCGACGAGAGGAGGCGCATCCAGAACCGGATCGCCCAGCGCAAGTTCAGTACGTTTCTGCCACCGTCAACACCGACCCCCTGGCATGCCTCTCATCTAACCTAACTCCCTCCGGTGTTTCAGGAGAGAAAGCCCGTGAACAGAAAGACCGGGCGCAGCGCGAAGCCCAGAACCAGCAGTTGGCCGGCTCGGCCTACCACATTCCGGACCCAGACGACTTCAGTCTCGCCGACGACAGCGGTGACCTCTCAGGCCTGCCCTGGGGCGGCATCAGTATGCGCCACGTCGTCTCGCGGGGCCACGCCTCGGCCAGCGCAGGACAACACACCCACAGCCACCACAGCGGCACCAACGTTAGTACGCCCGGACCGGCGGTGGGACCCGTCGACCAAGCGCTGTATAACCTGAACCCGTACGGCGGCTACCCGGCCCAGGATAGCAGTATGAGCGGCGGCGGTGGTGGGGCGGGAGATGTATACTACGATTCGCCCTATGCAGGGGGTTACTACGATTTCGATCCGTCTGGTGCTGGGGACGGGCATCATCATCACCACCTTCATCAGATGTGAATGGGTGAGTATTCTGTCTCTCCTTTTTGCATACTTTTCATATTGCACGTTCTTGGCTGACGAATGAGATTGCAGTGGGCGATCAACTGATCGGGTCGATCGACGAAGAGCTGAAAATTTGGAACCGGCCCGTTGGTGGCTCGGAGAGGGAAGGATTTACCCCCCCCCTTCCCCAGAGACTCTCTCTCTCTCTCTCTCTCTCTCTCTCTCTCTCTCTCTCTCTCTCTCTCTCTCTCTCTCTCTCTCTCTCTCTCTCTCTCTCTCTTTTTTTTTTTTTTTTTTTTTTTTTTTTTAATCTTTCTGGTCTCGGACCTGGTTGGTCAAGAAACGAGGGTTCTCGTGGCGGTGAGGACGGCGTTTGGCATGCAAGAGACAGGCGATGGGATAAAAGCTGTCCAGTTCTGCTTTCTGGAGTTAACGGGGGTTCGCGGTTTGCGGTTTGCTTTTCTTTCCATCTTCAAAGTTCTGCTTTCTAGAGATTGTTCTCAGTCCTAGCATGTTCCCGCTTTTCGTCTTTTTCTGTCTGCTCTTGTTTTCTGTCTCTTCCTCTTCCTTCCAGTCTCCTGCTTTCGCTTCTGTCTATACCCTCTTAGATTCCACAATCTTTTTCTCATGGGTCAGGGTACGGTCGGGGTTCAGGGCATGCGACGGTTCAAACTGGTCCTCGGAAATGGGCGGCATTTTGGTTTGCTTTGGTTTTCTTGTTTTAGTTTGTTTTGTTTTGGCTTACAGTTAGCATCATGACGGGTTATGAATAGAGCTTTCTTTCCTCTCTGTCCTCGTTCATCAAAGCTTTTCCCGAATCGTCATCCAGAGAGCGAACAAAGTCCCTTTCGCGTTATTTCCTGCAGCCTATGGTACCCTAGGCCCCTGGGCAATGCCCTCTGGCAGCCTGGCTTTGCTACTGTTCCCCTCGCGCCCTACTGCGACATGTCCCCGCAGCTAGGCATGCCGGCGGCTTGGCACGAGCACATTCCAGGACTCTGGATTGTGTATTTCCGAGCTATACGACCGGTTACGCAATTCTTCTGAAGGAGCAGACCGGTACCTGCTAGAAACGCATGTCTGTCAATGTGCAGACAGCACGAGATTGACCTATCCTTGCCCTATCAATGAGTCCTTGTTCTTCTCTTCTTGATACCCCTTTTGGAATAGTGCGGGCGACTCTTTCTTTGACGACAGTGTACCGTGACGTTGTCACTCGGGCTCGGAGTCGGGTCGATTCATCCCAGAATGACTGCTTTTCTGACAGGGCAAGCTCCACATTATTTCATGCATGCCGTTACAATCGTATCTCGCACCCGCTTGTGCCGCGTCGTGCGCCGCGCGGGTGCGTCGTTGCTACGCGAGAAAACGTGACACCGTCTCGACCGGGGATAGCTTGGCCGGGGCGGGCAAGGGTGGGTGATATTTCCGGATCGCAACCTAAGGAGCAATAGGCTACACTAGGAACGCTAGTTAACGGCTGGGCAAGCCGGGGTTCTACCACCGTTGTGGAAGATTATCGAAGGGTCGCACAGCCTCCGCCCATCCCATTTTTGATGAGTCTGTGTCACAGTCACGGATTATATGACGCACCGCAAGGCTCAAGCGTTGAGGCTGTCTGCAAGCTTCGGCACGCCATCGACGATGCCATGCCCCGGGTGATATCCGACGGTCACCGACGACCGCCGAATCCGACACCGGAAGGCCTGCTGAACCGCAAATTGGCGGATCAACAAGGCAGACGGCAAGGCTGTCTGCCCAAGACACGTCAGATGGACTGAGGCTCATTGCCCACTCCAGCTTCCATCAGCTCCTGGAAGCTTGGAGCGGCTCAAGCTCAAGAGTGGACGGAAGTCTTCTCGATATGCCCGATACACCTGTTCCATAAGGCCGATCGAGAGTGGGAAGTACCGCCTATCATGGTAAATAAGCGAACGTTTGCCTCTCTGCCCTCTCAACATTATGCTTAAGCGTTATGCTGGTTACCCCTGAAGACGCCTCATCTGAATGTTGCACTCTACCGTTGTATTGATGAACCCTCACTTGCTTCTTGTCTGCAGCTCGCTTAATCAATAGAAAACGCAGAGAATGTTCGGCAGAATTCGGTTTTATTGCTCAACCGGGTTTTGGCTCGCCACGGCCGCAGTCATGCATATACTTCGTAGATGTGACCTCTCTCTCTCTCTCGCTGAATCTCGCTCTCTTCTGCTCGATGTAACCGCTTGCAGACTCGTGCTGGCCCTCTCCGGCGCCTCAAGGCAGCTTATCACTCAGGGCGATTGGCTCCCGTCCGTGCTAGCTATCCGGCTTTACCCTTCTTTTCTGCCCTGCACCAGGCTTACATGCAAGAGTCTGTTCCTCGTCCGCACCCGCTGTTCGGCTTGGCGTGACGAGAACCATCAAATTCAAGAACACGCCGAGTTGCCGGATTGCGCGACTTCGAGTTCGCCGGAACAATCGCTTCCTTCTTGCTTTCACTATGCGATTCTCAACTCCCCATCACTCACCGCCAGCTGTAAGCCAAAATGAGTAGGCGGGATCTCATATGCTCTGGGGCATATCCTCATCGAAGAGAGGGTTGTGTCAGCTATCGTCGCACATTTGTCCATATAACTGCCGGCTCGGGCCCGGAGATGAGTTTCTCGGCGGCATCCTGAGATGAGGTTGAAGCCGAATGCTATGACCGGCCCGAGCACTGCCCCACCCACCCGGCCCGTTAACCCCGGAGAATCTTCTTGCGGGCCGGAAACGAACGGCCCACATCGGGACGCCAAGCCGTTTTGGGAGAACCGTTACAGGTGGCAGAGTGAACGTGTTCAATAAACATCTACTCCGTAATAGTCAAGCAGTCGAGTAGCTTCATTTTACCGTAATGCTTACGGCCTGCGCCCCGCTCCATCAAGCTGCCATGAAGCTATAGTTTCGTTGTCTTTCGATAGTTAGAGCCTTATTCGAGCGCGGCCATGGTGCTGGGGCGCCAATTGAGCTTTTTGCTCACCATTCTCTGGCTCAACGCGGTGTTCGTGAAGCTGGGCCTCGCAACGGCCTCGGGCACGGCGAGTGATAGCGAGTCGATCCTACACAGCGAAATCGGCCGCCAGAACAATCAGAGCCTACTATGGGGTCCCTACCGTCCCAACCTCTACTTCGGGGTCCGCCCCAGGATACCCAAGAGCTTGATGACGGGCCTTATGTGGGGCAAGATCGAGTCCTACACCGACTTCCAGCACAGTTGGTTCCTCCGGCGCACAAGACTCTCCCCTCATCGTGAGCTGACCGGGTCCGAAAACAGCGATACGATACACCTGCGAGCAAAACGAGGGCATGAAGGGCTATGGATGGGAAGAATACGATCCTAGGAGAGGCGGCATCCAGTCCATTCACGACATCGAAAACGGCATCGACATCACCACCTCCTTCGTCAAAGTTCCCGGCGGCGCGCACGGCGGCAGCTGGGCAGCGCGGATCACAGGGAAGCTCAACGATGACGCACCCAAGGACCAGAAGACGATTGTGGTCTTCTACATCACGCAGGAAGGGGACAGCTCCGTGCTAGAAGCGTTGCCGGGGGATGGTCACTTCGGCTACGAGGGCGACGTCACGCTCAAGGGACACTCGGAGACGCTTGGGAACTACAAACTCGTCGTGACGAGAGGGACGGGAGTGCAGCCCAAGAGCGACCACGACATCTCGACCATCCGAGGGCCCGGGCAGACTGTCGTCCAGTCCCTGACCATCCCGGAGGAGCTTGTCTGGCAGGCGAAGCCCATCCTGTTCAGGCAGCTCAAGGAAGGTGTCGACTGGCTGGTGGAGAACAAATATGATGTGCAGGAGCCCCCGCCGCCATGGCAGGTCTACCAGCTCGTCAACCGACCTGGCGCTGGGAATGTCCATCTGGTGCAGAAGGTTTTCGAGGGCGACTTCGAGTTCGATGTCCTCTTCTCAAGCGAGTCGGCCGGCAACGAGCTCACCGGCCAGGATCTTACAAGGGAGATCAAAGGGGCGACCGCGGGATTCGCCGAGCGCTTCTCGAGCGTGTTCACGCCCAAGGCGCCGTTCCATGCCGACAAGTTCAAGAAGTTTGCTAGGAGCATGTTCTCGAACCTGATCGGGGGCATTGGCTACTTCCACGGGCATGCCGTGGTGGACCGATCGTACGCGCCCGAGTACGATGAGGAAAACGAAGGCTTCTGGGAAGAAGCTGCCGAGGCGCGAGCCCGCAACCAGCAAGCCCTGGAGGGACCGTACGAGCTGTTCACGAGCATTCCCTCTCGGCCTTTCTTCCCCCGGGGCTTCCTCTGGGACGAGGGCTTCCACCTGCTGCCCATTGCGGACTGGGACATGGACCTCACGCTGGAGATCATCAAGAGCTGGTTCAGTCTGATGGACGATGACGGATGGATTGCGCGCGAGCAGATCCTGGGGGCGGAGGCGCGCAGCAAGGTCCCGGCGGAATTCCAGGTTCAATATCCGCATTACGCCAATCCACCGACCCTCTTCATCACGCTCGACGCCTTCGTTGAGAAGCTGCGGAGACGGACGAACGGCAGCCTCCCGGCCGGCCGAGAACGTCTCTCGCAAGACGAGCCCCTGGCCACCGCGTCCACCGACAACCCCGAGGTCGGCCTGGAGTATCTCCGCCGCTTGTACCCGCTGCTGCAGCGCCAGTTTAACTGGTTCCGCAAGACCCAGGCTGGAGATATCAAGTCGTACGACCGCGAGGCCTATTCCACCAAGGAAGCCTACCGCTGGCGCGGCCGCACCGTCACCCACTGCCTGACCAGCGGCCTCGACGACTACCCGCGGCCGCAGCCGCCTCACCCGGGCGAGCTGCACGTCGACCTGATGTCGTGGGTCGGGCTGATGACCAAGTCGCTGATCAACATCGGCGACGCACTGGGCCTGGCCGAAGACGTCGCAGACTACAAGACGATCCTGACCGCCATCGAGCACAACCTGGACGACCTGCACTGGTCCGAGAAGGACGGCTGCTACTGCGACGCGACGATTGACGAGTTTGAGGAGAACAAGCTCGTCTGCCACAAGGGCTACATTTCGCTGTTCCCCTTCCTTACCGGCCTGCTCAAGGCCGACAGCCCCAAGCTGGGCAAGCTGCTTGCGCTGATTGGGGATGAGGAGGAGTTGTGGAGTCCGCACGGCCTGCGCAGTCTGAGCAAGCGGGACGAGTTCTACGGGACAAACGAGAATTACTGGCGCAGTCCCGTGTGGATCAACATCAACTACCTTGCGATCGTCCAGCTTTACGTATGGCTCACCCTCCTCCGTCACCCTTCTCCGTCACCTTGTGCCCGGATACTATTTGCTCATGCTCTATAACTAACTCTTTCGATGAACAGAACGTTGCCACCCAGGACGGACCGTACAAGGAGACGGCGCGGGACCTGTACTCGCGGCTGCGGAAGAACATCGTGGAGACGGTGTACAACAGCTGGGAGGCGACGGGCTTTGCGTGGGAGCAGTACAACCCGGAGACGGGCCAGGGCCAGCGCACCCAGCACTTTACTGGCTGGACCAGTCTGGTGGTGAAGATCATGGCCATGGAGGATCTGGAAGAGAGCCGTGTGCGGGATGAGTTATAGGAAGTTAAGCCGTTGTGGAGGAAAGGAAGAAAAACGGCCCCCATGTTGCCGAAAACGTGGCATTTGCAATACTATCCTAATGAGCACAAAACCCTGCATCCTACTACCTCAAGCAGACATGAATCCCGTTCGGTTCGCCCGTTACACCTAACCACGGCAATTTCCCACCCTTAGTGATACATGTTGCAAAAAGAAAAAAACCCAGCAAGCCAAATGAAAGGTATTTTTTTTTTACTTCCCCCGAGCCCCAGCAAACCCGTCGCCCTTATTCGCGACCTCCTTCCGAGGCAACACCTCCACCTGCCGACTCAGCAAGCGCCTTAGCTCAGGGGTAATCACCCTCTCTGTCTGCTGCTTTTGTTGCTCCTGCTGTTGCGCAGGCGCCTTGCCGGTATCTCCACCGGTCTTCGGCGAGGTCGGCGAGGTCGGCGCCTTGGAACTCGACCCGGAAGGAGAGCCTTGGCTCTGGCCGAGCCGCGGCCTCGGCGCCGGAAAATTGCCCTTCTTGTCGACGGCGTCAACGAGGCGCTGGAAGCGCTTGAAGAGGGCCTCGGCGCGGATAAGGGTCGCGTCTAGGTCGATTGTGCAGGAGAGTTCATTCACTACAGACAGGCGAGGCAAGGTCAGCATCGTAAGGTGGATACGTAGGTAAGAGAAGAGGGGGGGAATGGAAGTCGCGTAACATACCGTATTTCAAGACCTCGTCAAAATGTTTCAGATGCGTCATGATCACGTCCCGGTGCCTCTCCAGGATGGCCAGCGCGACGAACAGGTGGAAGCTGCTGCTCAAGTAATCCGTCCAGAGCACCTCCCACAGGTGCAGCACGTCGAGCCACTCGAACTCGCGCTTGTACCACACCAGCAGCATGCGGAAGAAGAAGAAGAAGTTGGTGCTGTCGGCCAGCTCGAGGTGCGCGTACAGCTTCGGATCCATGAACTGCACCAGGTGGTCGAGCGCCCGCAGCTGCGAGCGCATGCCGGACTGGTCGCGGAGGAAGTTGCGCTCCATGCGGTCCATAAAGCACTTGAAGGCCCAGAACGCCATGGCGTCGTCCTGCAGGACCGCGTAGATGGGCGCGAGCAAGTCGGACATGCCCTGAACGTAGCCCAGGTCGCGGTTGTATTCGTTGTAGGTCAGCAGCATGTCCTTCATCTGCTCCATGTGCACGTTGGTGCCGGTGGTGGCGAAGGGGGAGTCCGGGTCGGGGTGCGGAATGTCCTCGCCTGCGAAGATGGGGACGTTACGGTCGGTCCGGTGGACGTCCTTTTCTAGGAGGGGGGGTTAGTATAGGCTTTCTACGTGAGTTGACGGAAAAGGAAAGAAAGCCTTTACCTATCCGCCCACGCTGCTCTCGCCACCACTCTCCTTCCTCACCTTCTCCGCCGTGGTCGATTTGGCGCTCCCACCAGGCGCCCTTCAGTTTAATGTAGGCGTCTCTGAGAGAGGCAGCCTGGGCTCGCCGCTCGTCCGCCGTGCTGTACCACTCGTGCACGCCGAGGAGAAACAACCATGCCTCCTTCCGTACACCGTCCTCAGGGTCGAGCCCGCCGTGGAATACCCGCTCTTTGACTTCGTCCACCGTCACAGACAACCGCCCCGTCCGTGGGTCAAAGAAGGTCTTCCACTCCTTGAGCGTGACCGGCTTCCGCATCTGCTCCAGCGTCAAGCTGCTTGTGCTGTCGAGGAGCTCGAACTCTCCCACATCCGTGTCCTCCAGCTCCATGACCTCTCGCGCTGTCCATATCCTCTGGTTGCGGTCCCGCTCGCTTTGCTCGGCGATGCCCATAGCCCACCTCGCCAGGTAGATCCGCGCGCTGTCAAACTCACCCTGCAGTGTCTGCACCTCAGGGTTCTGCAGCAGCCGCCGGACCTGCGGCGGCACGCGGGGATTATCCAGTACTTCCTGCGCAGCCTGCCGCGTAAATGTCGTCACCTTGCTGAACTTCTCCATAATGTTCCACCCCGTCTCCTTGACAAACTTCATGAACGGGTCCATGCCACCGTCTCGATTCCCGGAACCCGCAGCGCCCCTCGAAGGCCCTGTCACGGCATCCCTCCCAACCACTGTCCTCACATTCGACCCCTTCGCCCCAAACGCCAAACTATCCTCCTCGCTGGGCTCCACCAAATACACATTCGGCTCCGCCACGCTCCTCTCGACTGTCACATACCGCTTCAACCACCGCAGCACCTCATCCCCGCCCCAGAACATCTCGCCGTTGTCCCCGAACGGATCAAACCGATCCCTCGCCCGCCGCCGCTTCTGAAGGATGGTGCTCTGGCACTCATCGTCATGGAAGAACAGCGGGGGGAAGCTGTCGCCGGCGCGCGAGTTGATGATGACGCTGCCATACCACCAGCCGACGCTCGGCGGGCGCACCAGCAGCGAGAAGACGGCGCTGACGGGGACGGCAAAGGCGTAGTGGCCGGCCGAAGCCGAGTCCGGGTGGGTGGTGACGGTGGGCGGCGGCGGCACGAGGTAGGACTGCTTGGGAGGGGAGTCGGTGTCGCACAGGTCGACTTTGACATAGACGGATGCGGCGGAGCCGAGTTGCGATTCGGGGATCCAGGCAAGGAGCAGGTCGGACGATGCCGGGCGGGAGTGGGATGACGACGAAGAGGTCGGGCGCCCGTCCGCTAAGGAGGAGGGGTGTTTTTGTTGCAGCAGAGCGACGTAGCCCGGGATGTTGTCGCGCGCGGAGGGGGTCGGGTGGACGTAAACTTTGGATTTGGAGAAGAGCAGCTTGACGCCGCGCCCGGTTTCGGTGTGGGTGATAGTGTCGTAGTCGCCTTCTTCGTCGTCGCTCATGGCGTACAAGCTTCCTGCGGGCGAGGCAGGCCGTAGAGGACGTGAGATGGTGGAGAAGGAAGAGGATGCTGTGGTTGTTGCCTGTTGCGAGGACGGCGGTGGATTTGGCGACGACGTCATCCTTGTGATGCGCGTCATGTCGTCCGTCGTTGAAGGGTGCTAAGGCACTTGTCTGCACTCAGGATCCAGTAGGCGCGTGTTCGGCTTACTGCTAACGGCGTTGCGATTCCACAGCTGCCAGAAAAATCGCCTCGGGACATTGGTCCGACGGGAGATTTGCGAAGGCGTTTGGTGTCAGCTGCTCTTATAGCTCCAATAAGTGAGCGTGGGAGTGATAGCCCCGCGGTTAGATGATGCGGACTTGGAGGGGTAGCAAGCAAGGTAAAGCTACTTTCAGCTCCTGCCGGATCTCTGCGACATAGAGGTACTTATACTTCAGCTCGCCAGAGGCGCAGTCACACATCGCCTTCCACGTACCCGTCGTCGTCAGCCCAGTCTGCAATCATTCGACACACTGGCTGGCCGCACCTTCGAAATTCTAGCGCTACCACTTACCTCATCACCAACTGACCGAAAACAGCGTGGGAAAGGTTCGGACCTGGGCACCTCGGATACACACTTGTTGTAGCAAGCATCGGTCCATTAATTTCAGGGTATTTGCTACATGTTCCTATCTATCCTGTCAGTCAATAGTGGTCATCTTGCCAGACCTAGGACTACCAAAGCCATTGCCTGTGTGAACACGCCTCCAGGCTTCGTGATCTCCTGACTTGCCACCCATGATCCTGTCGATTGGTACTCCAAGTGACGCAGGATCGGCCCCATTCCGCCCTGCGGAGAGACCCAGGGTATGCGTCAGGAGAGGTCGTAGGCGTAAGCAGAACTTAGCCGAGGCCATATGGTGAGGTTGCCGTCATCTCCTGCTAGCCAGCGCATCGTCGGAACCGCATGTTGTCCAGCAGTGCGGCGGACGCCCCGATGCGACCTCCACCCTCGAATTGATCCGTTCGGCGCCGGGGCTTCAGTCCCCGGGGCATCTATAACTCTCCATCCCCTTATCCAACCCTCACCTCGGACGGGGCCCGCTGGGCAGCCCTCCTCTTGGGCCGCTCGGTAACCCATAGCTCCTTCCACCCGTTGACCCTCCGCTGGCGCTGGAGCCGGGCCCGGGGTAGTCGAATCCTCCATCAGACCACGGCGCGTTTGCGCTCATGACAGGTCGATCGTTGCGTCTCCCAGGTTGCAATGCCTGTCCGCCGTCACCGCTCCCTCCACTTCCCCACCCCCATCTGTTACCAGCCTGCTGCTGTTGCTGCTGGGCAGGCGGCTGGAACGGCCCTGCCGTGTTCGGACTCGTAGTCCTCGCTCCACCCCAAAGTCTCTGCTTCAGCTTCTCCTGCGCGCTCACACCCGATGACGCGCTTGGAGTCGGGCTGACCGCATCGCTTCTCACCCCGCCAGGCGTGCTTGCCGCCCGTTGCCCCAGCATCCCAACCCGTTGCCCTCCATCGGCAACACCACCGGCACCTGCAGCGAACGGATTGCGACTATTCACAAACTGGCCCTGCCCTTGCCTCTGCTGCCCCGCGCCGGCTGTATTATTGTTGTTATCCCACAAGCTGCTCAAACCCCCACTAGCAGCTGGACCTTGCCCCTGCTGTCCGAACCCGCCATACCTGCTCCCTTGCTGGGAAGCGAAGACGGGCTGCTGCGGGGGCGGCGCCTTGGGGTCGGGCGGCAACCAGCCCGGCAGGGCCTGGCCCTTCTCGGTGTAGTAGGCGCGCAGCACGCGGCAGACATGCGTGTCGTCATCGGTGTCGCCGTCGGCTTCACCGCCGAAGTAGGTGCGCCGGAGCCCGGAGATGTTGGAGGACGCGCTCGTGAGCAGGTCCTTGTACCACGACGCCATAGCCGGCGGACTCGCAAGGGTATCTTTTATGTTTTAGGTCTTCTCTTGCGACCTGATGCTTTTCCTTTCGGGTTGCAGAGGTGTGGAGTATGTCGCGGTGTGGTTGATGGGCAATCAGGGGTATTTTGTCGGAATGAATTGGAGCTGGGGCGGTCAAGAGTACGGATTCGCGGCTCTCGGAATGTCTCGACAGATGGCTTCGTATTCGCAAGATTGTATCCAAGATCCGACGGAATTTTAAATCGCAGGGTTATGTTTGACTCAAAATGGCGATGCGCGGGCGGACAACACGGTAGAGTAGTAAACGTTTGTTCGGTGTTGGATGTAAGTTGCAGGGTTGGCGGCAGCTGTTTCGAAGTCGCAACTCAGAAGACCATCCAGCTGAGGAGCGGGAGATGTGGGTCCCGACACGGCGCTTGCCCGGTAATATTACAGAAAGTTACAATACAATACCGGAGCATCAAGGACAAACAACCTGGAACTTGCTTCGTACAGTGCTCCTACCAATGACAAGAGATCATGTGCTGAAGCGAACCTGCTGTAGGTGTGACACAGGGTGGGAACTGCAAAAGGGGTAACCAGCGAATAACAGAGGTATATATGTACCCATCCTGAATCTTGACCGAAAACGCCGCTCAAGTTAACCATCATGTTCATGATAATGTGCCGAGGTATCGAATTGCCACGTAGTTGGCAGTACAGATGACGACCGGACTGACACAACTCCCGAAAACCCTTAGAATGCAAGCAGCTTTGCTCTGTCTGTTTCCCTCTCCACCTCGATCTCCTTCCGTTTCCGCGCCTTCGGCTTGACCGCACGGCCTCTTTTCCGCTTGTCACCAGTCTTTGACTTCTTGTTGACGTCTTTCTCATCATCCTCCGCACTATCCTCGTCGTCGTCGTCATCGTCCTCATCGTCGTCATCGTCATCGTCCTCGCTTCCAAGCCAATCCTCGATATCGGCCAGCTCCTCATCGTCGCTCTCCTCAAAGTCGGAGACGTATTCCACCGCGCCATCTTCTTCTTCGTCCTCCTCCACCAATTCCCTCTCGAGTTCCTTCTCGGACTCGTCCTCGTCGGTCTCGATGCCCTTGTCCATGTCCTTGTCCCTGACACCCTCACCCTCCGCCTCGAGCGCATTCAGAACCTTCTTCCAGATATTCGCGTTGCAGTTCAGCGGTTGATCACCGTAAGCTCCCTGCCGCAATCTCTCGAGAAGTTCTCTCTCGATTGTCCGCTCCAGTTTCGCTGCGGCCAAAGCCTTGCGCTCTCTGGCCTCTTCCCTGTGCTTGATCTTAGGCGCCATCTTCGGTACCAACTTCTCACCTAGCCTAGCTTCCTCCGCTGCTATCCTGCGCATGCGAGTCGCCACTTGGACCAGTCGTGTGAGACGTTGCTTGCATTTGTGGATAAGGAATTTTGGGAAGTACTGGAGCCGTTCCTCGATTTGCTGGAGCGCTTGTTGATAGTTTTTAGACAGCTTGATCTTCTCCCACCATTTTGATGGCATGTGCGATCGCTCAATCTATAAAAATCGGCCCCCGTCAGCATTCGCCACGCATGCTGCTCTTTGGACACCAGAAAACGCACCGTCTTGATGTAGAGATAGATTGTGCCTTTTGGCGACGTTCTCACTGATGCGTAACGGCTGTTGGCGAGGGGGCAGCTTTGCCGGTTGCAGAGACCGCTGACCTATTCATCGCTTAGCAGCGGGCGTCAGAAAGCAAGCAAAGGACATACATTGTATTCATTTCTGCAGAAATTGTTGCCCTTCGTCGTTCTACTCCATGTCAGAATACGTAATACGACATATGATTCAAAGCCGGGTGATGCCTACTTGAGCTTGAAAGCGCAGAACTGTTCTGCACCGAGGGTTAGCAGGTAGATGTGCGTAGCAGAAATGGGGTTCCTCACGGTTTATAATCTGCCACACAATTTCGTCTGACATGATAATTCCTATCAAGGTATCACCAAGAACCTGCAGGATCTGGTCGGGCAATTGCAGAGAGAAGGTTGGTTTGGTGAACAGCGCGTGGAGGGGCAACTCTCAAGGCTGCGAGACAGAAATTTAGGATTCGAAGTTTTGGTTGCCGGGATTCGCAACTTTTGCTTCTGCGAAGCTTATCTTATCGTGACCTCAGCGAATTAGCCAATCACCATACGTAGCTGCATGGATTGTGGAACTTAGCTGCTCCCGTCCGTTCACTTGGAAACGCTCAACTGAACCTCACCACCGAAATCGCTTCCCCAGCCTCAATTCTGTTCCGTCTCAGTCAATGTTTCGCTATGCGCTGAGAAGGATTGCAACCCAGCGTCTGCAGAGACTCAGAGGGGCCTCAACTCCCTTTCGCAACTCGTCATGGCGCCGCCATTGCAGGTGCATTCACGACTTGAGTGGTCTCGCAAACGTCGATGACCCACCTTTCATCAGCAATGACACCATCTATGCCCTTTCGTCAGGCCCGGGAAGGGCTGGTATAGCGGTGATCCGAATATCAGGGCCTGGATGTCTCGATGTATGGCGCTTCTGAACTTCTCATTCGTCTCTTTTCGTTTCTATCTTTATCAGGCTGACATGCTACAGGTCTACAGATGCTTGTGTCCAACAAGAGATCCGCCCAAGGCTAGGTACGCTGGGGTGCGAACCTTGTTTGAACCGGGTCCTACCAGCATATCTAAGCTAAATGTCTTGGACAACGATGCCCTTGTGCTATACTTTCCCAACCCCAAGACGGTCACTGGTGAAGACGTACTCGAGCTCCATGTTCATGGAGGGCCCGCAACCGTGAAGGCCGTGCTCTCCGCCATCCGCAAGTGTTCGTCATTGACGAAGATCCGCTATGCCGAACCAGGCGAGTTCACGAGGCGGGCCTTCTTTAATGGCCGTCTTGACCTAGCCCAAGTCGAGTCGTTAGGTGACACCCTTGCTGCCGAGACCGAGCAGCAACGACGAGCAGCCGTTGGGGGCAACTCGGGCGTCCTAGGAAAGACGTACGATAGCTGGCGCGAGCAGTTGTTGCTCGCCCGTGGAGAGATCGAAGCTCTCATTGACTTCTCAGAAGATCAGCACTTTGACGAGTCGCCTACTGAACTTCTCACTAACGTTACTAAGCTCGTGGAGCGCATACTCAACTCTATCCAGCTTTATAAACTTGGCAGTCGACGAAGCGAGTTGCTTCGAAATGGAATCCGCATAGCGCTTTTAGGGCCGCCGAATGCCGGGAAAAGCTCGCTAATGAACCTGATTGTTGGCCGCGAGGCATCAATTGTTTCGTCCGAAGCAGGGACAACGCGGGACATTGTTGAAGCGAGCCTCGATATCCGAGGTTACCTCTGCTCCTTCGCAGATACAGCTGGAATTCGGACGAATTCTTCTGACACCCGCAGCACCTCGGAGGGAACCCCGACTTCAGCGATTGGGGCCATCGAAAAGGAGGGCATCCGGCGCGCGCGACAGAAGGCGTTGGAGTCAGATATCATCATTGCTCTTGCTTCGATCGAAGTGGCGAAATCCGGTGGCCATCGGTTAAACTACGACATGGAGACGCTTCAGTTAGCGGCGGCCGCACCGAAGTGCCTCGTTGCGGTGAACAAAGCTGACGTGGTGAGCCCTGACACGTTGAACTCGCTTCTGGATGATTTCAGAGCGTCCGCATTGGGTACCGTCGGCGGGCTCCGCGAGATAGAGCCACTCGTTGTATCCTGCAAGGCTGCGGCATCACCACCACCAGCTGCAGAGCTTACCGACCCCGGTGGCATACATGGCCTCACCGAGAAACTAGCCGAGTCATTCTCGGATCTGACATCGGTGCCTAGTGGCATGCAACACTTGCTTGGCGTTACGGAACGGCAGAATCAGCTTCTTTCTGAATGTGAACAACACCTTCTAGACTTCAGGGCTGAGGCCAGGAAAAGTGACCCCCACGACGAGCCGGATGTCGTCCTTGCGGCGGAGCACTTGCGCCTTGCCGCCATACGACTTGCTTCCATTACCGGCCGTGGCGAATCAGGGGACGTCGAGGAGGTTCTAGGAGTCATATTTGAAAAGTAAGGTGCTCTTGCTCAATCCCGTGGCAACTATCGCTAATGGATTTGTAAGATTCTGTGTTGGCAAATGACTTGTGTGTAACAGTAGCTGTTGTACAGGGGGCTCGAGCCCGGCGAACCAATCTATCTATCCCACCCCATATTCAAACAGTTCTTCCGAAACCAGCCGTCTATCGCCTGTCAGACTGTGAAGTCTATCCTGCGCCACCGAGTGCAAAACAACCGCCACCCAGGTGGACGCCCGGCCGTCTATATGTGTATCGTACAATCCATTCTATAAGCGACTCCGAGATCCATGCTGGTGAACCGCCTGCGCCGGAAAGTCGACAAAGGGAAGAGACATGTTGCGCTTGAAGACTCTACGAGACTTCAGTGCTGCTTGTCTTCCTCGTCGTCCTTGTCGTCCCTGTTGGAGGGTCAGCTCGAGTCCCCTGCCGTTATCGAATCCGGAGGCACTCACTTGTTGTATCCGGAGCGGCCATAGTCACGGAGCTTGTTCTGCTCCTCGTCATCGTCCGAGTTACCTCTGAGGCCGGTGTCAGTGTCCGGTTCGTGGAAAGTCTGTGGGTGATGGTACTCACTTGTTGTAGCCCGAGCGGCCGTAGCTGACGAGGGAGCTGGTAGCGAAGAAAGCGGTGGCAGCCATTGCGAAGGTTATGATTTGGAGGTTGAAAGCTGAGGGTATTGTGGGAAGATGGGCTGTTTCGCGTTGTTGGCCGAAGTTGTTGAAGAGTGAGTACTGGAAGCTAGTGCTGGTTGCTTTGTTTTGCTGGCTTGGATGCTGATGATGGAAGCAGGTCTGGAAGTCGGGAATCATGGGAACCTTATATACAAGTCTGAGAAGGCGCTGCCACCATCCACAACTTCTTCCGAGCCTCTCATCGCCAATCTCCTTTCGACCCTCATGTCGGCGAAGGCAGCGATAAGACGATGACATAAGGCGGTCCTCCCCGGTTACTCCACAACCGGGAGTATTTTGAGAATACGTACGGGGGGAAATGCAACGGGCGCCCTTGGGGCCGGGAACTTACAGTGAAGCCTTCCCCCACAGGAGTGTGATTAGTTGTGATTCAGTACAGCCCATACCATGGGTGCTAGTCCTCCCGCGGTTAAGACCAGCGGTGAAGACTGGAGGGCGATGTACTGGAATACGACACTGCCCAATGCAGTCTGGAAGCGGCGTCTGCAAGACTGTGGCAGATGCACGCCCTCCCAAGCCGCAAGATCCGGATACTTGGTTGAGCATGGTATTGGCCAGTCATGGACAAGTTTGTCTCGAAAAGGAAGCTACTAAACCGTGGTGAATCGCTGTGGGGGCCCCGTTTGGAATGACTCGGACGCCTTAGCCACCATTGAAAGAATACGGCTGAGCTCACCACCTTGCAGGTAAGGTATGCACAAACTGTTGGATGCCTGGAAGCCTGGGCTGCAGTGTGTAAGCACAGGGCTAGGTGGCTAGGCGGTTTGCACAATTGTGCTTCAGTTCAAGTAGCCGCATTTTTTTCTTCGCAGCGACACCGAACGAGAGGCGATCGCCTCCTCCACCAATCCGGACCTGTTCCTCGCTTACTGTGTGTATTGATGCCTAGGCAACCCATTTCCTGATTTCGAATCACGGACTTCAATTTCTCGTTTGTCTTCTCTCTACTCCGTACGAACGCAACATATCTCATCACCGCATCTCACCCTCATGCTGGGGTGCTGCTGGATCCAGCGATGCCGATTATGCAATCCCGGGTGGGCGTAGCACGGCGTTTCCGCATTCCGGCTCCGTGGTAGCGAAAAGCCGGACGACTCGCGAACCTGTCGACGCAGGGTTCTGGTGGTTCACCACACACACTTGTTGCCGAAGAACCAGACATCTTCTGGCCGTTGAGTCAACGGCTACTCTCACCGGCGGTTTCCGGATTGCTCTGTGTAACACTATTAGATACGTCATATCTGACACCAGACGGAAAACGCGCGCGGCCTTGGAACCTGGAACCGGGTCATAGGACGAAGTATTCAAGGGGGCTATGGTCCAACGTGACACGCCATTCGACCGTTGTGCCGCCGGAGCGGTGCAAAGCCTCAGGAATCCCGGCCGTGGACGGAAGACACGATTCCTGGTGAACCCGCGCAAATTTACTCGGTGCGGCGACTTCTTGATCCCCATTGGATGGTCGGACAGGGTTCCTGCATTAAGCACGCCGCATACCACCGACTCAGGATAGTTACCACGCGCACGCGCTGACCAGCAAGCCTCATCGAGGTTCGACTCATTCGGAGAAGCACTTCTAGCATTCCGGACGCTTCTCTCAAACGCGCACTGCTATCCACAACTGCCGGGATGGCATTTGCGAAACCGGGAGCCGCGGGAGTCTCCAGACCCGCGTCAAACCGGCTTTGCCCAATACCCCTAGCCACGAAGGTGATTGATTGCTTACTACTATGACTGCTTATTTAGTTGACCTCGCTGGTCCTCGTGCAGCCTACTTGGGTCAACCAAGCGGCGCAGTTACGCGAGCCAAACCGCGGGCTTGATGTCGTCTCCCGGAAGCTTTACCGAGCGTAAGGTGCCCGAAAGGAATGCACCGGTGAGCGCGGATCCAACCTTAATGCCCGCGGCACCCCTTACCTGATCACCGGTATCACGGTATGGCCACGCTGCGCAGCCGGTGCTCCTGTTCCGCCCATTTCAGGTTCACCACAACGCCTGCATAGCAGGTTGCAGCACGATAGAGGTAGGAGGGTTGTCTTCTTGCGGCTCTTCATTGCCATGTGCGATGCAACGCGAGATGGAAATCAACTGCGTTCGAGCGGCATGACGTTGGGTAGCACCGTAACACTGTCGGTGCCACCACGTGCGGTCTAGCATCTCGAGACTGAAGGGCTGAACCGCCCCGCCACCCCTTCCGCTGTCTGCCGTGAACAGCCCTGTGCTCGCCGCAAAGCGCTAGCTCCGGCCTCCGGGACGTCGAATGCTTGGCGCGGAGGTGGACGGATTTTGACGCTGAAAGGGAGTTCAGCACGAGTCTAGATCTGGTTAGGGCTGTCCCAAGCTGCCATCTAATAAGACTCAGACGGGAAATAATAGCCCGCAACCATCAGCACTGCTGCGAACTACCTCTCAGCTTTACAGCTTAGGTAACTTGTGATGCTATACTCAGCAAGAGATGCCTGGCTTTGCACTGAGCGTTACTAATCAGCTTTCGGCCCGAACTCGTGTAACAGTTCTGTTCCTCTTCTCGAAGAACTGCGCCCGTTTGGCGAAACGGTGGGTTGCGAGAGTTTCGGTCCCGTTGGACAATGCCTCATCATCAGATAAGCGAGTGGACAGCTTGTTTTGTTCCTTGCCTTCTCTTGGGATGGGAAGTATTGACATTGAAGCAAGCCGTTTTTTGTCTGTGCCATTATCCGACATCGAACACTGCTTGGCACCGGGCAGCCATTCCCCTCCCTTAGCACACAGCTTACTATCCCATTGAGTCATGTGCAGCTGGAGGTCATCTTCATCTCAAACCGCAACAGGCCAGCAAACGAGCCGCTACCTCAAGAGGCCGCCAGACAGCCATTGGCCGGGGTTATACCTACATATGTCAACTTCTACAGGAACATACGTAAACTTCAACACGGATGGCGGCGCCGTGCCAAGCCCTATCCCGACCCCGACCCCGACTGGCCGTCTCAGTGTCTCCGGCCCAAGAACGCCGTCATATTCCTATCCCGAATCGGGCACGATAGGACAAATGCTTCCCTGAGGCGTTTGTTCACTTATTACACTTGTTGAAATATGGATGGGAAAGGGACTTGGAGCACCCGAGGTGCGAGGGTGGACCTGAAAACACACCTAGCCCTCATCCCGTTGCAAAGAAGTTGACGCTTTGGACCCCAAATCTTCTTCTGATGCTGTTCTTGCCGTCCGTTCGGGCCCGGGGTTGATAGTTTCGGCCTCGTAGCGGTGCGGCGCGGCGCGGCACGAGCGGTGAATGCCCCTTTACTCGGATGACGGCCGGATACGAGTTTTGATGTTTCCCCAATGATCGCAGACACGTCAGCACCTAGTTATGAACTCGCGTGCCAAGCCGGGATGCGCACAGGCGACTCTGGCTCATGATAAGTCTCGTGCATGCTGAAGGGGAAGTAAAGAAGATGAAACGGGCGCGAAGAGGAAGGTGAGTGACTGCAGGGGTGGGGCGGGGGGTTACCCCATGTCGACTTTGTGGTTATCGATTAGTACTTCATGCTTGATCCCCTCGATCCCTCAGCTGATACACGTTGTGTATCTGGAATCTTGGCCTCGCGGTTGTGAAGGCGCTTCAGGCATGAACAAGCACACAGCTAGCTCCGTCAGGGCTGCTTATTACTACCCAAGTACCTAGTATTAACCATTTGCTTTCTCATGGGTTCCATGCGCGTTGTTGTCTGTAACGGATGTTGCTGTGGTTGAGGCAGCCGCGTCATGGAATGGTCTAACTGGTCCTATAAAATAAAAGGGCGAGTGGTCACTTACAGATCCTAACATTGAGTGTCCAGAAAACGTTGTTCTCGATGGAAATTGGGTGCTGGGAAGAAGTAAAACAGTCTCGCAATGGAATATGTTACCACTGGCACGCTTTTATTTAAGCAGGCGTGGCAGGTTTCCGTTATAGTAAAGACAACGGGGACTCTTGAATGCAGCCTTAAAGTTATCAGTAACCAACCGATGCTGTCGAGTCTACTAGTGTATTTACCTCCCAGGCTTTAAGCCTTCCACTCTTTACTCGATTCAAACTTTCGAAGACCCGTTAGTATCATCCGTGAAGCGAGCATTCGTCGCGTGCAGCTCCATAGCATTGATTCAGTTGCCCATGTACTAGTGTACTCTGATGGACTGAGAAGGTTCATACCGTCCATGATAAGGCGGTGTCTCATCTGGGTGATATGGGCACAGTGTAAATTCACATTACTCGGTAAAATACACCGTCACACAAGAGCTCGGGCCACACTTAGCTTTCCACAACCTGTGGTGGGGCCCATTGACCCTGAGCCTCAATTCCAAATGGAACCTAGCTCGACCTCTCCTCCACGAGAGCCCTGCCCGTTTGACCTTGTGGCCTGATGATGGCCAGTGTTTGTTGTTGACAAACTCGAAGTCACTCATTGAACCCTCTTGTTCGATTCTTTGGCGCTCTTCTGTCGCTTGGTAGAAAGCTGTGTCGCGTGAACTTTGTTTCGCGTGCAGGTCCGATTCGATTTAGCGGCGGCGGCCGGTTCGACTTTGAGCTCCACCATCACTCAAGTCCGGCGCTCTTGGAACCTGGAAGCAAGGCGGCGGAAAGGACCACCCTAGCTTCTGGCCTCAGCCGCGTGGGAGAAGAGAGCTTGCCGCGATCGTTGTGGGACCCCTCTTGGGCCACCCCTTCACGATGCCGAGTAAGTCCAGATCTCATCGTCATTGCTTCCTGTTCGGGTTTCTCTTTTGTCATTACCCTCCTACCACCTGGTAGGTAGTCGCGACCTACCGCAACTACGACCGTCCCCATATCCTCGTGGACCGATTCCTTTCCTCATTTTTGCGCCTGGTGTTTGTTTTCTTGTGGAAATATCAGGCTCGACCCTTTTTATTGCACTGCCCGCAGAGCCAGGTTGTTTTGCATCCCCCGCGATATCACCCCGCTGCAGCTCACACCGGATCTCCATCTTTAACGTCCTTGCGCAATCTGCTTCACATGCTCTGGTGTACCTAGACAGTTTGCGACATCTAGCTGTACCGGTTGTGACTGGCTGTGTGGGGGAGCTGGCGACTCGGTCTTGGTATCACGAGCTCTGGGCGCTCGGTTCATCCACAGTCCACCTTTCGCTCCGACACTTCTAGGCCGCTTTGGTACAATTGACACTAACGAGAACATGGAAGACATAATTGGGGACAGCTTCATCTTCGCTCAGCAAGTGTACGCCAGTCTTGCCCCTCCATACCCTCACTTCCGACTCGCCCAAGGCTGCTGACTCTTTCCTAGACTCTATCCACTGAGCGAGATAGAAGACTGTGCGATTGCCGTTGATGCGACATACTACCTCCGGCTCCACCTCGATTTTCTGCCGAACAATGAGCCGCTCCTCCCTGCCCTCGGCGGCTTGACTGGGATTCGCGGGCGCATCGAGCAAGAGCTGGATCAATGGAAGGCACATAAAGTTACTCCCTTTTTCATCTTCGATGGCCAGCCTATGACCGGCCAGGACGATGCGGCGGTCAGGGTCGGTCGACAGAACAATATCAAGACCGACATAGCATGGGACCTTTATTTCAACAGCCGCGCCGAGGAGGCCGTCGCGGCGTTCGGCACGAGCACTAGTACGTAGGCCGCTTGTACAATCATCGTCTTGTAGCGTTTGGCTAACGTGACGAGGTGCCTTTCCTATCCGCGCGCTGTACCCCCTCCTTCAGTCCATCCTGAAGCAGCGCGGCCTTCACTTTCTTGTCCCCCCCTTCAGCGCCGCGGCACAGGTGAGCCTAGTTGCCTTTGTCCGTCATGGAGGTCTTCTGACACTGGGTAGATGGCATATTTCGAGATCTGCGACTCTGATCAATGCGCCGGAGTCATGGGTCCCTCCGAACTCCTGCTCTACCCAATCCGGGACTGCCTCATCCGCACTATCGACTGGGATATGAAAACAGTCAATGCCGTCTCCAAGAAACATGTCTTGAAGATGCTAAATGTCAGCGAACCCTTGTTTGTCGACGCCTTTCTGATGACGGGAACATCCTTCCTCTCGCCGTTCCCGCCCCTGGAAGACCAGACCATCATCAAGACGCAGCCTTACACGGTGGCTGACGCAGTTAACATGCTACGCACCGCTGAGAAGTCTGTGACGATGGTCTGCACGAGTTTCCACGACATTTTGAAGGCGCAGGATCCCAATTGGTTGGACAAGTACCGCAAGGCTCGGATGGCGGTCGACCACTTCATCTACATCGCCGAAAACGGAGAGGTCAAGGTTCACGACTACGAGCACCTGACGAAAGACAATCATGAATACCTCGGTCTGCAGCTTCCCTCAGAGCTGTTCCACTACCTCAACACTGGCCTGATCGGACCCCGGGTTCTATCTTGGATCACTCACGGTCAATTGCACGTGCTCCCTACGGTTGATGGGGTGGCTTCGGACGAGTATAAGAAGCTGGTCACAACGCAGTCAGCACGCATCAAGGAGGCCGCTCTGAGCCTGGTTATCCCGCGGCTCAATCGAGGCATCGGATACAAGAACATCAGCATGAAAGTCTGGTACGACCGCAACTTCTCTTACACCGTCTGGGATCGCCATGAGCCCAGGGCCAACTTTGAACCTCAGGTCGCCAGCTGGAACACACGGGAAGGGGTAGTTGCCGGACACTTTCCCAAATTCGCGCACGGCTCGATCCTGTCGGAGGTTGTGGCGCTGAAAAACTCTGAGTTCGTCGCTTTGACTCGTGCAAAGCCCAAGGAAAGGCTAAGGGGCGTCGAGTCGGCTGCCTGGATCAAGTCGATCTGCCTGTGGAGATTTCTCCATATCCGGGGCTATATTGACGATCAGCATGAGCTCACGAAGTGGGGCTCGGCATTGGCTGCTGCCCTATCTGCGATTGAGCCGACCGTCAACAAGTACCCGAGCTTTGGGAATCTGTACGAATCTGTGCTTGTTGCTTTGGAACTGGTCCGCTTCGAGCTGCTCAACGCTAGGAACAAGCACGACGAGTTACGTGGCCTTCCCCTGAACGGGTCCGAGGATGACCAGGCGAGCCTCCTCCTGATCAGCCGGTGCGCGAGTCTGCTTAAGCTGCGGCATCACGCAAACGGATACACGGGGCCCCTCAGCAAGAACTTGTTGGCATTCCGCTCACTCGTGTCTGAGGTGCGGTCCGCAAACCGTGATCTCGTGGAAGCAATTCTCGCCTCCATGTTTATGCATGCGCAGGCAAAACGGAAACGGGATGACGGCTGGGAGTTGAGCCATGAGTATGTTTTCCTTGACTATATGAGTGCTAACCTCCTTAGCCTCCACCATCGTACTAACGTCCATCTCGCAGTCTCCCCTTCCTCTACGATCCGGACGTCGCCCTTGGCATTGCTGTGAAGACCTACTTTGACGACCTATTGCCGAACGATCCTGACAAGGAGAACAAGTTGCGGGTCTTCCCCGGCATCTATGTACCGTATGCTGTGAATTTCGCTGAGGATCTGGATGTTGCCTGCAACTTCTTTGAGGCACTTTATGCCGGTGTTAAGACCTTGGACTCCAAGGAGATTCCAGTTGTGGACCGCGTCACCTGGGATAAGGCGGCTAAGTACCTGGCGTCCAGGCGCTAAGATGATGGGGTTGGTCGAGGAGCCGGGCGCGAGGGGATGAGAGAGTATGAGCCATCGCTAAACTGAGGCTGTTTTTGACCTCGAAGCTGCGAGAGCCCTTGACGCACTCTCCGGTGTGCAAACAGGGAGAAGCTCGACTAAAATCTGACGAAATTCGTCAACAATGAAGTCAACAAATCTACATATGGTCCTTATGCAGCGTGCTGTGTAATGCTATCTAAATCCATACAGAAAGGCTATCCCAAAGAACCATGCACAATCCAGAGGTGGGTTCAAACCACATCACGAGAAAGTTGTGTTCATTTACAATTGCTCTCACCGCAGTGGAAATACCACACGCCAGCCTGGGGCTGACAATGTGGGATAGGTATCTTGCGCCGCACCATTTCCTGCCGCTTCCCCAGTTCCCAGTAAAGTTTCTACCCTTCATGCTGATGGCCTTCCTGTATTTATAAGCCCCGCCCCCCAGCAGCAACAATCGCCGAAGTTCCGTCTCCCGTAAATCACGTACGAGGTGTGAGCGCCGAGTTCGTCCCGAAGTACTGCTCACATGCTGCCTCGATTCCTTCTGCCTCGATCTATTCTGCCTCGCAACCATCCAAATCGTTCTCGGTACGCGGGTGAGTCCGATGAGTTGATGGGTTTATGCGCCGCCGACGAGGATGTTGTTCAGGGGGACGTGGACTGATTGTGCCTGTTAGTCTGGTTCACCTTCACTCGGCGGGCGTGGTGGTGGGCAGTTCGCGGAATTGAGTGCATGTATCAAGCAAGTTGGGATGGAGGAGGGAGAGGGCGTACTCAGTTTGACGAAGTACCCGACTGCGCCCATGACTGTTCGTTGATATGTCGTTAGTGATACCGTTCACAATATAGCTGTCCAGAACGGGAAAAGGGGGGTCCAGTAGAATATGGTGACCCGGGAGGCGTACTGAGGAAACCAACGCCGACTGCCTGTGAGATCTTGATGAATTCGCGCCTGTCGGCTGTTGTAGGATTCCGTGTTAGCAAATGGTCCTGCCTGACATCTTCTCGTCTGTCGAGAGGTAAGGCGTACGCTTCTGGGCCCTGTTGAGGAACTGGATACCATCCTTCAGGAACTCGCGCGGCACGTCGAGGATCTCTTGTACTTGGTCGGCCATTGTGTCGGTGGGGAAAGGGATCGTGTATGTTGGATTAGAACAGATACAGGAGAGAAATTGCCAATGGGCCGGTTCCAAGGGTGACGGCAGATCGTGGTTTTCGAGGTTGGAGGGCACAGGGGACGATCAAGCTGGGCTGCGTCGCGTGAATTGGAGAGCTGGCAATTCGCTTTGGGTTTAGCCTTTGCCAATGTGCCACATCGCCTCAAGCATTCAGGCCTTGGCAGTGCTTGGGTATGGCTCAGTGGCCCGTGTGCTTGCTCAGGGGCTGAAATGGGGCTGATAGGAAAGTGGGTCGCTACCTACCGCATTACGGGTACTGTGTAACGGCTTCAATGCAAGTAATGTATTCCGTATAAGTAGAGTATCTCACGTTCTTTCATAAAGCCCTCCTAGGCCGCGGTTCTTCACTACCGTAGGTATGGGATATCAGCGAGTATTTGATGACCCTGAATACACAGAGCTAAATCCTCGGTTCGCCGGCGTTGAACCTCAGCTCCTCTCGAGACCACCAGTCCAGGGTTCAGATCCCGATCCCAGGAAGTTGACAAGACGGGGGAATCTTTCTTCACTGGATCTCCCACCTGTGTACTGAGGCAACTTGGAACCTGGAAAGCTTCGAGCTGGTCCGTGAGCTCTTCTCCCTACACTACGGGCCTGATTCATGGCCGATCTTGCTGTGCAACTTGCAAGATGGTCCATGCCGCAACCTGCAAACCCCCACATATCACCTGGCCGAATGACAAGCGTAGCCAAACAGCAGCCTCAAAAAGCGCAGCTACACTGAGACATGCAGATATCGCGATTGGATTGAGACGCATTCGAGAGCACATTTTTCTGAGACTTCGGCCCCTCGTACCAGCAGCGGTGAGGATCATGACGCTTCCCTCAGTCCGGGAGCTTCCGGATGGCTGCTGCAGCCTGCAGTATCCCACAGTCAACACAATGGCCGCAATCAGTCATCCAAACTTCGTTTTATTCATCCGTTCTCGCTGCGATGTACAATTACGGGGTAGAGCCCAGAGGCGTCGGCGGGTCGCTAAGGCGGCCGGCCGTCTATAGGGTCCGTTCGAGGCCAGGTCGATGACACCGGTCTCAAACTGTTCGTCACTGCATCAGAGCATCTGCTCAATCTATGCTCAACAGATCCCTAGTTCTCGACTAGTCTTCGAAAAGCCGCAAAGAAAGCGAGATGATTTCCTGGCTCGAGCTGGCATTTCAGAGGAGTTCCCGAGAGATCCCCACTGCTCGCGGGTGCTGCGTGATCATGCATCTGCAACCTGCTTCTCAGCAAGACATGGCCACCAATTGTTGAACCCCGCGGAATGCCGTCTTTCCCGAAGACAGTTTAGAGCGCAGCCGGCGTGCCGGCTGAACCGTCTCCGCCTACGCAAATGCAGAGCGCCATGGGCGGCGAATCGGCTTTCCGATGGACTATGGCTGCCATGGCTCACACCTTTGACTTGGGGCCACTCGTCGCCCGCTTCTTGAAAAGCCCAGCAACCCCCCTCGACATGCCGTCTTCGATGGCTCTCCTTTCTACATCTGCGAAACCGCCACATTCAAAGCCCCTCTATACTCACCGGGACGCATACCCCGACCCATAGCCCAGTCAATACGTCAAAGCGAGCCTTTGTTTGGCCAGACATCGAAACGACAACCGCCTGATCCTCGATTGGCCGTCGTTGTTCGGCCTGCCGCGCGCCTGATTCGCGGATTCTTTGTACCCGCCCCGGAGGGCTGCCCCCACATTTTAAGCTCGGCCAAGGTGAGTGAAGGCGGCCCTCTCAACCACCAAGTGGTAGTTCACTTGCACAACTCGAGACCAGGCCACGCAACCAAGCGGCGATGGTCTGGACGGGCCCAAAGTAGCATTCGTGCTATTGCGTCGGATGAAAAAGCATGGCTCCCTGTATGACATGCGGTCGCCTAGCGGCGGCCATATTACCGGCATCATGCCCCATTGTTGAATTCAATGGGTCTTTTGGCCTTTGTACCGGGCAATTCATAAGACCCGTGAGACTATTCGAGCACACAGCCCCCCCTTTCCCGGAGGTTTCGCACTCACTACCCAAAAGAGCCTTCACCTAATAATCCATTTCCTGCAACACTCAGGAACACCTGGAGTGTCTCCTCTCCGCTGTTCGTTTGGTTGAGTTCTCACCTTGTTTCTGTGAAGCAAACCATCACTCATTTCATTGCTGTTGATCGTTGTTAAGAGCGACCCTGGACCATTAGCATCGGCATATTGCCGACTGTTCCGGACTCGACAGCCCAAGGCAGCTCCACAGTCACTACTCGCTGCGCCTTGTCTTTCTCGTCATTTACAGAACGATCGTCGGGACCGCGGAGGGAATCATATACTAAAGCTTGCCCAACATGCGCAGACCGAGGTTTCGGAGGACCTCTTCCTCAAGGACTCCTTCCTGGAGGTCCAGCGAGCCCGACTACGTCATGCCTGCCGCCCCAAGCCCAACACAGATGTCGTTCCGGAACAGAGACACGGGCTTTCCGGAGCCATTCTGCGGGTGTAGGTACCCCTGTCAAGCAGTGGTTGAATCACCAACTCATCATCTTTCAGGTCGGAATACATCACTACCGCACCCCGAAGCAAATCTCAGTCCCGACGCTTGCATCACTGAGGAAGATGTCAACCCGGCGCGCGCGCTCATCAGATACCGGATGACGTTCAAGGCCAGGCAGGGGTTTCGGGACGGCTCACCAAACAGACGCGATCGAAGACCCAGTTACTCATCTGAAGAAGGAACCTTCGCCGCCCTTGGCCGGTTCGCAATCAACTCGCTTCGAACTGCGGAAATTCCCGGATTCGATGCGTTTCTCTCCTCGTCAAAGGACGAGGAGAGTATTATTGAGTCGTCGGACGGAATGAGCAGCAAAAGTCCTGATTCGCCGCTACAGCCCGGGAAAGAGTATGGTCAGGCCTTTGACCCACGAGACGCGACGCGGGATCGTCGACGAGGGCGGCGCAGAGGAAGCTTCATTAGCAGGCTGGTGCCGAGGTAGGCAGTTTACACCCGCCTGTCCCTGGGTATGCTTGCCGCCCTCGGTGTGTTTGTTGGAAGCCACATGAGGACGCGGGATATCTATCAGAAGACTGCAACATTTTACAGCATTACTTGGAGCGCGGAGTACGGTTTATTTTTGCATTGCATTTTCAGAGGCTGGAAAAACACGAATAACGAATGGCTGGCGTTCTACATCAGGTGCGGACTTGGTAAGCAACGTGGTCTGAAGGGCATAGGAGTCGTATTGGATATTAAACTTCTCTCAAGAAGTCAGTCACTCGTTAATAGTTTAATAGCGTCGCGATATCAATGCATGGTCCTACAGGCTGGGACCAGCAGAAACACTCGTTGGGCATCGTGGATCACAACGCACGTCAGATTGCTGTAATCTTATCATGTTAACAGACGCCGAACGCAAAATCGGCCTTAGCTTCAGAACGATTTCATGAAGACACGTCCGTGATAATTATGGTATGAGCACACACAGGCACCGCCAACTGTTGATAGCAGGTTTGGCTCACAACCAGACAGACGCGGACGAGGTGCTGCCTTACTTGGCAGCTGTGTGGTAGTCAGGAATGTATGGGCAACTGGTGGCAGACTCATGAGACCACACTGTGATGTTCAAAACAATCACTTTGCCTTTGCACTCATCACTGATCATCCCCTGTCTCTTAACAGAGATAAACGTCATAATCCATCGCCATGATCAATTCAACACCCTGTCGCTATGACGCCAACATAATTTCCCGTAACCTCCCTCATCTCCTTCATAGTTGACCCATCTCATTATCATATCACAAGCCCTCCTTCAACATCATCGTGTTCAACCCCCTCTCTCCCACCACACATCCACCCAGCTCTTCCCCTCAGCTCAACACTCAGCTGCCGCGGTACGTAGTATACCCGTAGGGCGCGAGCAATAGCGGGACATGGTAGCGCTCGCCCTCCTGCACGGTAAACACGACGCATACTTCCGGGTAGAAGGTCCGGTCCGCCCCGCCAAAGTAGCCCGTGCTGTCGAACCGCAGCATCCACCGGCTCTCCCCCGTGATCCCGCCCAGCACGTCCTCCAGCGTGTAGACGGGCACTTCGCCCGACGAGGTCGCGCTCGAGTAGGGCAGCCACGCCTTGATGCGCCCGTCGTCGTCGGTCTGCGACTCGAAGACCTTGTTGTTTGGCGGCGGGGCCGTTGAGAGATTCGCGGAGGAGGCAGTGCTGGGCGTCGGGGTGTGCGTGGAGAGGAGCTCGAGCTTGACGCGCAGGCCGCGCGCGGGCTGGCCTTGCGTCGTGTCCAGCACGTGGCAGGTTATGCGATCTTTGCTTTCGCTGGACATCGTGGATGGCTTTTTGAAACTGTCGGCAGCTTGTCTTGGCGATGGGTTGGGAGTGTCAGCCTAGGGACCAAGTGTGGCAGGAAGTAAGCTGCAGGGTCTTCCAAGAACAAGCGTGTGGAGAGTGGGCGATGAAGGCGAAATGTATGATGTATTTATATGCATGTTGGGAAAGGCCATCCGGTGAAAGAGTTGACTCACTTGCACGACAAACGTTTGTTGTTTCCTTCTAATCGTTGCTGGCAATGAATGTGTTGATGACTACCACAGCATGGTGGGGTAGCGGGGTTGTTGAGATAAGGCTGGAAGGAGTTGGGTGTGAGCTGAGGGTACTACTAGTAGTACCCCACAAACGAGAACAACTGGCCTGGGGAGAGGAGCGAGCACGGCGGAGGAAAGGTCTCAGAAGGGATCAGACAAGAATAGGTGTTTATATCTGTACCTCCGAGATGGGTTTATGTCCGTATCAGAATTCAACTACTCCCTGTCATCTTCCACGCGGCCTGGGGGCTGAAGGACATCCACTTCGGCTCAGCCCCGCTTCCTTGTCCCCAGGATAAAATGCGGTTGTCCGCCAACGCCTTGAGAGCTCTGACTGGATGTACGGAATATGGGATTCAAGAATGAGTGAGAGCCATCAGTCCACATGCCTTCGAAGTGACTCGCGGCGGTACCAGCTCGCCGCCATCGTGTGTGCCAATAGAGCAACGGAGATTCTCATAGACACATTGAAAGATCGTCAGCCTCCCAGCTGAAAATCAACTGCTCAACTGCCTCAACTGCAACGGTGAGTGAGCGCTGATCAGAAGTTTCAGCTGAGGAGCGACTGCACATGAACGCCAAGCCCACCTGCCCCCTGCCAAAAACCCAATGACGTTGCTTCAGCGGCGGGCCAGATCAACGGAACCGTCCGAACCCTGAATGTGACTTTGGGTTTCCAATTGTTTCCAAAGGCGAAGTCTACCTAGAGTATACATGTCGTCGTGCCCAAACTCGCACACGTGTTTTTGGTCCATCGATACACTTGAGAATACAACACTGACCTCTATTTCCCTGTCCAACCTTGAGTCCTTGCGCTCCTCAAGCACGACACGACGTTGTGTAAGTGCTTCTTGCGCAGCCCGCAAACCTACCAATTTGAACAACACCAGACCACCTTCAACCCGAACCCGACATTCACAGACCCGCAAATATGTCTGCCACGCTCATCAACGCCGACGACGGGGATGCTCTGGAGCCGACACTGCAGTCAATTCTCGATCAGCGCTCGCTGCGGTGGATCTTTGTCGGCGGCAAGGGCGGCGTGGGCAAGACGACAACGTCGTGCTCTCTCGCGATCCAGTTGGCCAAGGTGCGGCGCTCGGTGCTGCTCATCTCGACCGACCCAGCGCACAACCTCAGTGATGCGTTCAGTCAAAAGTTCGGCAAGGAGGCCCGCCTCGTCGACGGCTTCGACAACCTGAGTGCCATGGAGATCGACCCCAATGGCAGCATCCAGGATCTGCTGGCCGGCCAAGGCGAGGGCGAAGCGATGGGGGATATGGGCGGCATGGGCGGCATGATGCAGGATCTGGCGTTTGCTGTAGGTTCTCGTTCTCACCTGGCCATTCAGCTGGTATGCCCCCGCTGACACTCGATCGGCGCCCAGATCCCCGGCATCGACGAAGCCATGTCCTTCGCCGAAGTCCTCAAGCAAGTCAAGTCGCTCTCCTACGAGACCATCATCTTCGATACCGCGCCGACAGGGCACACCCTCCGCTTTCTGCAATTCCCCTCCGTCCTCGAAAAGGGGCTCGCCAAGGTCTCCCAGCTCTCCAACCAGTACGCGCCCCTGCTCAACGGCTTCCTCGGCAGCAACGGGACCCTCCCCAATGGCCAGAACCTCGGTGAGATGATGGAGAAGCTCGAGTCGCTGCGCGCCACCATCTCGGAGGTCAACACGCAGTTCAAGGACGAGCGGCTAACAACGTTCGTCTGCGTCTGCATCCCCGAGTTCCTGTCACTCTACGAGACGGAGCGCATGATTCAGGAGCTGGCCAGCTACGGCATCGACACCCACAGCATCGTGGTCAACCAGCTGCTTTTCCCGAAGCCCGGGTCAGACTGCGAACAGTGCACGGCCCGGCGGAGGATGCAGAAGAAATACCTGGATCAGATCGAGGAGCTATATGACGAGTTCAACGTTGTCAAGATGCCGCTGCTGGTGGAAGAGGTCAGGGGGAAGGAGAGGCTGGAGAAGTTCAGTGAGATGCTGGTCAAGCCGTTCGTGCCGCCTTCATAAGGGGGCTTGGGGATGGAAGATGCAAAGAGGGTCGGAAAGGCGTTTGGGGATACACCTGCGTCAGCATTTATCTAGACACCTATGTAGTCCGAGCCAATACCGCTTCGTACGTTGCTCGGACGAGACCTACACATAATGGTATGAGCGAGAGCAGGCAACTTGAAGATGCTGCGTCCACAAGTAGGGCCCATGAGGTAGCATTAACAGTTAGAAACGAGCCATCGAAATCGGAAAATAATCCTCGTCTCGCACGGGTTCAACTGTTTCATCTGGATTGCCACCGAGAGTGGTAATCGTGAATAAATCAAATGTCAATTCGTCTACTGCGCGGCAAGCGAAGTGACGGATAAGCACAGTTAACAATAATCATATTTTTCCGAGGTTTCTTCGCGTACTGTACTGTCTTTGGGCACATGCTTGTCTGTCCTTTGCAACCAGCAAACCAAACCCAGACGACAGAAGGCCCATCCACTCTCATGCCAAACGCCAACGCCAAGAATAATGCCGCCAAGTGACTCAAGTCCTCCCTAAATAGCGTCTAAGTGTCAGATGAAACGTCATCCCGAAGCGGCTGGGGAACAGAAACGCCGCTCCATTGGACCCCCCAGCCAGTTGTAACCCAGGTGACATGGCATCCCGTATATACTGTTTGTCGGCCCAGCTTTGTGTCAACAGCGGTGCGGGTCAGACATGGAAAGGTACTAGTAGTTATGTATGCATTGTCGACGACTTCGTACGGTCGGTCAGGATTGCTTGCGAATCCACTCCTCCTCATAGCTCCCTGTAATCGCTCGGCCGGACCCGGCGCTGACGATTCTGATGCCGATGGGGGTTCACCGGCTTGCGGAAGTAGGCATCCTCTTCGTCAGCGGGCTGATATGTGAAATTCGGGTGCTGTTGCTGGAAAGCCGGCCCTTGCTGCTGGCCCTGCTGGGGTCCGCCGCCATATCCGCCGCCCATGCCCATTCCCATGCCACCATGCATCCGCGCGCCGCCGCCGTTCATGTCCAGGCCGCCCATGTCTCCACCGCCTGGGCCAACCCATCCGCCGTTGTTGTACCCTCCGGGGCCGGCCATGCCGTTCATGCCGCCGAATCCGTTCGCGCCCATGCCCATCATGGGATTCATCATGGGGTTCATCATAGCCATGTTCATGTTGGGCATGCCGCCCATGGGACCGAAGTTGCCGGCCATCATGGGCATCCCAGGGAACATCATCGGCATTCCGCCCATGGGACCGATGCCGGGCATTCCGCTCATCCCGGGCATACCTGGCGCCATGCCAGGCATCCCAGGCATCATTTGCCCCATCATATTTTGTTGCTTGACTTCCTGCGCCTTCTGCATCGCTTTTGGGGCTTTAGGTATCTTCGGGTTCTCTAAGGCGTCCTCCGCCGCACGCTTCTTGGAAACCTGGGTTTGTTCTCCTGCCGTAGTAGAAGTCGAGGTAGGTGTTGTCCTTTGGCCTGCTTGTGTCGTGGCGGGCGCGGCAGCTGCAGGCGATGGCGATTGCGACTTTGTCTTCGTGGCTTCTGTTTTGCCGTCGACGGCTGTCTCTCCGTCGGCGGCCACCGGCGAGTCTTGCGCTGCGGCACTCCTGGGGCTCCTGGAACCCTCCTTTGCCTTACCGTCCTTCTCGGCAAGAAACGCCTTGATTCTCTCAACAGCCTCCTCGTCCGGTTTTAGATCATCGATGAGGACGCCCTCTGTCTTGCAGCTCGGGCAGATGAAGTCGCTCTCAATGAGAGCATTAGTGATGCAATCATTGCAATACGTCTTCTCACAACACGGAGTCTTCATTGGCTCTAAGAACATTTTGTTGTCCATGGGGCACTCCAGACCTCGCTCCCGGATTTCCCTATCCTCCTCGGCACTTGCCTTTTGAGCGGTAGGGTTCACTTTGGCTTTGGCCTGGAATTGCTCCCAAGCGGCCTTATCAGGCTCAGCGATCACGAACTCTCCGTCTGCATTAACCATAATGCCAGAGGGCGCCTTGGAGTCAGCGCCATCGCCGTTCTGGCCGAGCGCCGTGGCCTTGTCCACTGTTTTGAGGAACGACCTGGGAATGCCGGTTGTTCGCTTGACGCGCGGACGGTTGTCATAATCTGGGTTGTCGTTGGTAGGGCAGAGCTGGATCCAGTGCCCCTTCTCACCACAGCGGTAGCAGATATACCCTTGAGGTGGGTCATGGTCTGGCACATTTGTCGGCTTCTTGGGGCCTCCCTTGGCCACGTATTGTTGCCTACAGCGGTTTGTTAGTATTCAATGCTGGTTGAAGGGGTAGAAGGGGGCGTACGTAGCCATCTCCTCTTCGCGGGACGTGAAGTTCTCAGTCTGTGCCTGGAAGACTGCCGCCATCTTCTCCTCCTCCGTCATGGCACTGCTTAACTTAGCTAGTGTGTTAGACTGCGTCTTCGCGACTGGTTTTGCGATGTGTTCCCGACGAGACGAGTTCTTCGCATGGACGGGCATCTTTCCAGACACATATCGGGCAGCCCCTCCCCTACCAGGAATCTTCGGAGGCAGGCGGCGGGCAATGACGGTAGTGGACCGGGGTATGATGGTCGTATCATCATCGTAAACTGCGTCAATGTCAGTATATGAAAGCCCATTGCGTAACTACAGACCGCAGACCACTCACCCTCCTTCATAGCCTCGTCCGCACAGATCACAAGATCGAAATCGGTTCCATCGCCGAGTCCGCTCCGTAGAATGATTTCACGCTTTAGCTCAAACACAGAGATACCCGTTCCGTCAAACTCCACACGGGTGGGCTCCTTCTGGGACTTGAACTTGAAGAAAACTGACGAAGACATCTTGGTTAATGTCAACTATGCGCTTCACAGCTAGAGTGCTGGGCGATAGTAACTATCGGAAGAAGCAACGCTCAGAGAGCGGGACGCTGTACGTGGATCAGGTGTCTCTCGAAGCCTGTCTCGTGCACTGTGAATGGGGCGAGAAGTGACGTGCTCGCTTGGTTGTTTGTGTTTTTTTTTTTGGTTTCGCTCTGCCGGGATCCCGTTGGGCTAAGCAGATTGTGCTCGTCTCTTCTTCAATCCAGAGACTGGATGATACTTAATTCTGATTTTGTAGAGCAGACAAAAGCGCATTTATGAATGGAGGTTTAGCAACAATAGAAAGGAAAGTACAAAGACCCCTTGCGAAACTCTGGTGCCGCCTATTGAAAGACTGGGCGAATAGTGGAATCGCGATTGACTTCCATCGAGAATAGCACCACCCACGGCCAGCAACTCAGATCACCAAGCAAGACGCCAAATATTAGGCTTGAGTCAAGCGGCTGAGGACCTCGGCAACGATGCGACGAGTGTTGTACGACGATCTGTGATGGATTAGGTAGAGTCGACGTGACAAAAATGTCCCGAAAGTCGGTCACTGTGCTTTGTCTTGATGGGAGTGGCGAAAAAGCAACGTATTGAGAAGATGGTATCCAGAGCCGCTGCCTGGTATAATCGTGTCGCACGATTGCAATATGCGCGATGCTTTGATGTTGAGCGATCGGGGTACTGAATGTCGTGGTTGCAAGAAGAAGAATGAGGAATGAGGAATGAGTGTTGGCGGAGCCTGGAGTTGCCTGCACAAGAGCCACCCAAGTGGCCTGTGCGCACGGAAGTGACTAAGCAAGTGGAATACCTGCATGCACATGACCTGTCATGTGACCAAAAGTCAACTATGCCCCCCTATTCGAGTCTCGAGGAGCCACAGGCCCCACATACAACATCGCAGAGCGCTCATAACGCTGGCAACCGTAGTCCCTATCTGAAAAAACAGCTCGGCTTTAATATCAAGAGGTCGACTGGCAAGTAAGAGTCAAATAATACGGACTGTATCGGCCTTCTATGGTTCTTTTTGTTCTCAACAACCTCTCGTCCTCGTCGATATCTTCAATACCACTGGTTTACAACCCTTGAGGTGTTGCAGCTGTTAAGCCATGCGGTACCCGCTGAGGAACACGTGATAATGACGCTCGGCCGGACCATTTCCATCTGCAATCGAGACAGGGCCACTTAAAAGTGCAGCGATTTGGTATTGTACACCCGATGATATCGTCAGAGCTGCTTCCCGTCTCTGGCTCGTTTGGCCACCCATTTTCCCTGGGACAGCTCCCAATTAGACCGATTCATTATTACACCTCCACCCCAGTCCTCTTCAGACTACCTCAAAATCGTGTTTATTTGTCCGTTCGGGCCACCCCAAGCGAACTGTTTCGCCGGAGCTAAGAGCCCATTCGACTTCAAATTAGAGCAAGAGTTGAACGGTCTTGCTCGGGGAAGCACATCTCCAATGTCCAACTCATACCCAATCCGACCGTGAGCTGCATCCTCACATAAATCTCCAAACGCACCACACAGATTGCTTTCATCATTCGGCCGATCTAGCCCCGTGTAACTCGATATTTGCCTTCCCCGCATCATCACCAGCTTGCCCTCGATCCGCCTTATAAGCTCCCCGCGACGCTCCTCGCCACCCATTTCAAGCTGCCTGCCAGGAGTCTGTACATCAACGATAACATCATTCAAATAACACAACAGACGACGCAATATGGTCCTCACGCACACAACCAACCATACTTACTCTCACCCTTTCCCAACCGTCACCCTCGCCTTCTTCCTCCGCTACTGCTCGCCGCAGCTCAACCCGTTCGCCAGCCATGTGCTCAGCACCGACACGATTGAGTCCCGCGTGGACCCGGTTACGGGCCGCCTGCACACGACGCGCATCCACCTGAAGAAGTCGCGGCTGCCGCCCGCCGTCATGAAGCTTTTGCCGTCGAGCCTGACGGGCGGCACGTCGGACAAGGCATCGTACATTCTCGAAACGAGTGTTGTGGACATGCGCGAAGGGTGGATGCAGACCGAGAGCCGGAACCTGAACTTCGTGGGCGTGCTGTCGGTGGTGGAGAGGCAGCTCTACACGGTGCCCAAGAACAAGCCGGCGGTGGAGAACACCGAGGTCGAGACGAAGGTGGTGTTCCGCTCGCGGCTCGGCGACCGCATCCGGGACCGCCTCGGCCAGGCCCAGGCCCAGGCGGAAGCGGCTGCCAACGATGGCGGCGGCGGGTTCTTTGCGCGGCTAGGTGCGCGTGGCGTTCAGCGCAGCATCGAGACACTTGCGTCGACGAAGACGCAGGACCAGCTGGGAAAGAGCCGCGAGGGGATGCGCATCATCCTGGAGAGGCTGCGGCAGACGGGCATTATGGGCGTTCTTGAGCTGAGGAAAATGGCAAGCCAGCGGAGTTCGGAGGCCGTTCCGCATTGAGCGAGGGCATGCCGTCGGCACTTGCGCAATAAAAACCCAATGCTCTAAGGCAGACTCAAAGTTGATGCGTCGGGCCGCACCTCTGGCCACGGACTCGTCATCGGCAGCATCATCGCACTTGCTCCCTTTCGACTACTCGCGCGCCACGATGGGGCTCCTTTTACGCCTTTGGCTTCGAATTATCCTGTCACGTAAAGAAGAGGGTCCTTCTGAGGGAAGTCGGCTCCAGGCTGTCCCTGTGTTGTACATTTACGCCTTTTACCATGTCTTATATCTTTTAGCACGGCGTATCGGATACCTGTTTGATGTCAGCGCGATTTAACGAGGGAATTACGCTCATGAACACCGGCCACGGGAAGGAAAACTTGGGGTGTTATGGAGAGGAAGGCATTATGCCCGGTTCCACTCTTTGTATGATAGTGACATTATAGATGTTATTGGGGTCTTCAGCCTCGACGGATGGTTTCGACGAGGAAGGGCACACAGAACGGGATGGACAAGTGGACGCAGTCATTACTGGCCATCAATTCAAAGTTCATATCCTTTATTTACTAACTGCCTTGGTAAAGAAGGGCGATGTGCAGACCATTCCTCTATCTACCTGGTGCAGGGATCCAGCGCTTTTAACCTCTACCTACTTCCTACGCCTCCATGGCCGTCCCCCCTTCCGTTTCGTACTCCATCCCTGCGGCGCGGTCCCCTTCCCCAGCGGCTGCGTACTCTGCGGCGTGCCCGGGTCCGTGGTAAAGGGCGTCGTGCAGTTCATGCAGTCCACCCTGCCCAGCATGTACTCGACATGCCTGTACGCCGCGCTCGGCGCATACTGCGGCACCATGTGGCCGGCCAGGTCCACGCCGACGTAGGTCAGGCCGCGCTCCGACACCAGACTGCCAAACACGCCGCCGGCGGCCAGCGTGGCAAGCGTCGAGATGTTATTGTACGGCACGTAGAACGGCTGGTCGGGCCGGGCCTGGAAGCCCGTCTTTCCGCCCCACGTCATGTTCTGGATCGCCAGCAGCGTGCCGTTGGCCAGCAGGATCATGTCCAGCGCGCTGTGGCCGATGATGACGTTCTTGGTGCGGTCGATCACGCCCGGCAGGACCGAGACGGTCGACGGGAGGGAGTTGTCGGTGCCGTTGGCGAACACGCCGTCGGAGGAACACTCTTCCCAGGTGGTGTTCGGCGGCGCGTGGATCGCCGCCTTCACGTCGGCGCGGTCGAAGTACACCTCGGCGCCCTCGGGCAGATAGGAGAAGGAGCCCGGGAAGCCGAGGACGTCCCACAGCAGCGGGCAGGTCGTGGCCACTTGGTAGACGTCGAAGCACGGGTTGAGCAGCGAGATGGCGTCGAAGATGTCCCAGTAGATGTTCCAGCACTCGTCGCGCGTCTTGCCCGTCTTCTTGTCGGTTCCCGGCAGCGGCATCGGGATCGGGCCCTTGGGCGGGTACACGAGGTACTCGGCCAGGAAGTCGGCGTAGCCACACTCCTTCTCGCGGCGCTTGATGTCGGCGCGGAACGTGTCGTTGAAGGGAAACAAGCCGGACCAGTACTCGGTGAACTGCACGACCGGGATCGGCTCCTGGATCTCGTCCCACGTGAGGGACGGGTTGTAGATGGTCATGCCGGACAGACCGTAGTACGTCTGATCCTCAGCATCGAGGAAGGCGCTGGCGATGTACGGGCAGTAATAGCCCCTGTTCCCCCAGTTAGGACAGCCATTCCCAATCTAGCTCCGACGGTGAAAGACTTACGCGTAGGACTCTCCGGCAATGTAGACCTTGTAGCCGTGCATGCCAAAGGTGTCGATGAAGTTCTTCCAGAAGCCCATAAACTGGGCGGCAAGTTCTTTCTCGTTGGTGATGGTCACCGTCCCCGTCGTGAAGCCGGTGCCGATGGGTTGCTCGACATAGACGATGTTGGTCAGGGTGTGCCAGCTCCAGGGGTTCTTGACCGGCTTGTAGGTGCCATACTGCCACAGGAAGGGTCCGTTCTCTTGAAGCAGACCCTCAAAGGACGAGCATCCAGGCTGTGTCCACGTTAGCGGGTGAGTGAGCGAACATGGTGCCAAGAGAAGACTCACGCCACCATTCAGCCAGATCAGGATCTCCTTGTCCGCTGCCGGATTCGTGGAAGGGAAGAACCAGAAGAAGAGGTTATTCTCATCGTCCGGGTCGCTACTGATGGGCAGAAGGCCGGCATAAGACTCGCCCACGTCGAAGTCAACGTCCGGTATGCTGGTTCCATTGACAGCGAATTCTGCACACATGGGGTATTAGCATGACTATCCGGGCCTCTTGAGCTTATCGAGCACTCACTTGTAGTGTTTGCGTTCAGGAACTTGTGAGGCGCAGCTTCGCGATCGAGGAGTGGAGGATGATTCGTTGTCACAACAGCGGGCGTCGCCCTCTTTGCCGCATGTTCGACATGGCGCTTTCCCGCGTGTGCTATACTTCGACCTGCAGCTTCGGCCGTCCCAGACAACACGAGCGTGAAAACAATGCCTGCCCACCTCATCTTGGCCAATGGATGCTGTCCGACCTGTCGTCTGGCATGGGCTTGTAGACAGCACCAGCGGTGTCTTACAGCGGCAGTTTATATGCTCGCACACCAGCGCTCCTAGCTACCTGGCTCATAGGCAGGGCGACCATAAAACAAGTGAACATTTCCTAGGAGAGTGGCAGGAGGAAGGGGAGGTGAGTACTAATAAAATCATATCCATCTTCCAATCAAGCCGTCATCCCTGTGCTCTGACGTCCCTTCCCCGTCCTGCCCCTCTTGGGGAAGCGCACATGAACCAGATCAACGAGAGAGCGACATATTAAATGCATATGCGATGCATTGTCCAATGGGATATGTCGTATGCAGAAGGTCAGGGTGCAGACCGTAGCCCAGCTCCATGCGCGATGCCACCGCGGGTGAATGAGTCTCGTTCTGCACCTACCCGTCCAGGAAGTTTCCCGCGGCGAGCAGTGGATGGGTCCGGTTCTGTGGTGAATCATGGACAAGGTCGTAGATAAGAACAGGCGGGGGCGGGATCCAATTACAAGGTCTTCAGTCCAACTACCCACCTAGGTACCTTACACAGCATCCATGTTGCGGGTGTCGGGAAGTCGGAGAAATCCACGCCAACAATGGCCAAAACACATGGAAACGGAACCCTGTGGAGACAATTGCATCTGACTCGAGGAAGAACACAAGAGCAGCAAAGCGTAACGAGCACAAAAGGCTCGGCACCAAGATGGCACGGGAACGGCGGAAGTCGGATTGGAACGGTTCCATGCAAAATGTGCCGATCGAGCGGACGGCAGCTGGAGACCGTCCGCCTACTGTAGACGGCCAGACGGCGTTGAGGAAGGTGCTGCTGGGCTGCCAAGGACAGGGCTGGGGCGCTGTCCGGATTAGGGAGGTGGATGAGTTAACCATCCCGCCTGATTGGGCAAGCACCCGGCAGGCAGTTGGAGCTTGGGGCCCTGGGGGCCGAGCGATTGCGGGCGATTGCGGACGGGAGGGATGAACGAGTTGCAATGCTGTATGACGAGGCTGCGGACACGGCGTCGGTTCAAATGTCGGTAGTCGGTACCGGTAGTCTTGATCTATGTATAGGGTATTGGGTCTATCGTTTCTCAATGTCGTACTGTACATACCTTACTTTTCAAGATGTTTCTCACACGGAAGAGCACATCACTTGCCCTCTTTCCCAGCAGCCACGGCAGCAGCCGCCTCCTCATCGGCAATGAGGGCCTGGATGTCCTTATTGATCAGCCAAGTTTGAACGCTCTCCATGACCTTCCCCAGCGTCTCTCCGCCTCGCAGCACGTCCGGAAGATTGTGTGCATCCAACCCGCTCCGATGGTCAGTACACCGGTCCTGCTGGTATTGATATGTCCTGATCTTGTCTCCCCGCGTGATTTGATTATTTGCTAGTACGCTGCTGCGCAATTGGCGTGCCATTTCCTCCCTCGCCTCGCGCCTCTGCTGTGCGATCCTCGAGCGCAGCAGTCTCCAGGCGCTGGCGCGATTCTGTTGTTGCGACCGCGAATCCTGCATGCTGACCGTGGTGCCCGTGGGTATGTGCGTCAGCCGGATGGCCGACTCGGTCTTGTTGACGTGCTGCCCGCCCGCGCCGCGGGCCCGCATAGTCTCGCTGCGCACCTCGGTCGGGTCAATGTAGAAATCGCTTTCCGGGTTGTCCCAGTCAGCCTCCGACTCCGAGGTGCCGTTCTCCGGGAACGAGGGGAGCACCCAGACGGCAACGGCGCTCGTGTGTGTCCGCCCGCTCTTCTCGGTGGCGGGGACGCGCTGGACACGGTGCATGCCTGCCTCGCCGCGGAAGGTCCCATACGCGCCTGGCTCTTGAATCTCGAGCACCGCTTCTTGCAGTGCAATCTCGCCCTCTGAGCCCGTCTGGCCATCGCTGTCTGAAGCCTCGTACTTGACTGTCCGCGTGCGATAGCCCTTGTTCGAACAGTACGCCTTGTACATGTGGAAGAGCGAGTCGGCGAAAAAGCGGCCCTCTGTGCCTCCAGGTCCAGGACGGATTTCGAGCAGGCAGGGCATGTCGGCGAAGGGGTGCTTGGGCGTCAAGGCGACCGAGAGGTTACGGCTCGAGTCGGCAAGCTGGGCGTGTGTCGCCTCGAGATCATCTTTGGCCAGTTCTCGTAGCTCCGCATCGTTGGAGTCTAGCAGTCCCTGTAGCTCGCGAAGCGCCTCCTTCGCCTTTTCAAACTGTTGCAGCGCGCTGGCAATTCTGGAGATCTCGCCCGCACGCTTCGCCTTCTTCGGGTCGAAGTCCTTCGCCAAAGCCGCGCTCAATTGGTCATGTTCGGCGGCGAGTCTCCGGGCGCGCTCGAGAAGGGCAGGTGGAAGCTTGATTGACGATTCTGATAAAGGAATTTGGTCAGCTTGGACAATTGCAAATTGATTGCGGATGTAGGACAACAAACCTGTGCTCGATCTACGAATGAAGTGGCAAATGCCAGTGCGTGCCAGCGACCGCGCACAGTTCCAACACACCCATGGTGCCGTCAGCATTCTTCCAAGGCACCGGGTGATGTGGCGTTGTTGGCTGCGGGCAGCAGACGAGACTGGAATCACGTAGGTAAGGTAGGGACGGATGTAGGTATATAAGAAGCTCAGGGACCCTCTTCATCGCTATCCTCGAGTCTTCCTTTCATCACCAATTCTTAAGCTGAACCCAAGTCCTTATCAATTTTGCCGGATATCTCCGCCTGCCCATCCAGGCAATTGCCAAGACAGCTTTCTTGAAGTGCCCCTCCCCCACATTGTGACACACTGGCCTACAAGTGAGTCGAGTGTCTGTCATTCAGTTGAGACCTTGAGTGAGTCACCACATTGCGGAAGCATTCTCGGTCTGCCTTCGAGCCTATCGCACCACGACCTGGGTCATAGAACGCAAAGACAACACACACACAATCATGGCGACACACGTCAACGCCGCGGCTCTCTCTGAGTCTCCCGTACCGCAAGACGCACAACCAAAACAGCAGACCAAGCAGACTGTTGACCCTTACAATGTTCAAGGCGAGGTCGACGAGAATGGCGTGGTCCAGGCGATCGATTACAACAAATTGGTCGAGGACTTTGGGACAAAGAAGATCGACGACGAGCTGCTCGCGCGCTTCGAGCGCGTGACCGGCAAGCGACCGCATCACTTTCTGCGGAGAGGCATCGTCTTCTCCCACCGAGACTTTGAGCTCATCCTCGACCGGTACGAGCGCGGCGAGCCGTTTTTCCTGTATACCGGCCGGGGGCCTTCTTCGGATAGTGTCCATGTCGGCCACACGATCCCGTTCGAATTCACGAAGTGGCTCCAGGACACCTTCGATGTGCCTCTCATCATCATGCTGACGGACGACGAAAAGTACCTGTTCTCAGAGAAGAGAACCATCGAGGAGGTTCAGGGGTACTGTAATAGCAACGCCAAGGACATCATCGCCATTGGCTTTGACCCAGCCAAGACCTTCATCTTCTCGGACTTCGACTATGTTGGCGGCGCTTTCTACCGGAATGTTGTCCGCCTATCCAAGCACATCACCCTCAACCAAGCACGCGCCATTTTTGGGTTCAACGACAGCACAAACATCGGTCGTATTCACTTCGGCAGCATCCAGGGCGCGACCTCTTGGGCCTCTTCGTTTCCTCACATATTTGGGGACAATGAGGCAGAGACGGTGGGGATACCCGCCCTCATCCCGTGCGCCATTGATCAGGATCCATACTTCCGCATGACTCGCGATGTGTCGGCCAGGTTAAAATATCAAGGCAAGCAGTATGCCAAACCATCACTCATTCATGCCTTGTTCCTGCCAGCGCTGCAAGGGCCGGGCACGAAGATGTCGGCGTCCATTGACGAGTCTGCAATCTTCATGCGGGACACGCCAAACCAGATTAAAAACAAGATCAACAGGTATGCTTTCTCGGGCGGCCGCGTGTCGCAAGAGGAGCACCGGCAATTCGGCGGCGACACCAGCGTCGATGTCGCCTTCCAATACCTGCGCTTCTTCCTGGAGGACGATGACGAGCTCGAGAGGATCCGGGTGGCGTACGAGAAGGGGGAGATGTTGACGGGCGAGCTCAAGGCCATCTGCATCGAGCAGTTGCAGAAGTACGTGGCCGGCTTCCAGGAAAGGAGAGCGAAGGTGGACGACGAGACGGTGAAGCTGTTCATGGAGAGGCGGCCTCTGAAGTGGGGAGGCAACCCGCGGGCACCGATAGTAGTGCCCAAGGTTGAGAACGGCGAGGCGGGTGAGGCGAAGGAGGATGGAGAGGGCAAGATGACCAAGAACCAGCTTAAGAAACTGGAGAAAATGAGGCAAGCGGAGGCCAAGAAGGCACAGAAGAAGGCGGAGAAGGCGGAACAAGCGGCTGCCAAGGCGACCGCGTGAGCGGATGCGTGTCGAGGGAGGGTATACCACGTTGTCGTGTAGAATCTCATGCCGTTTATTAGCGAGAGGCTTGTGATCTCGAGCGGAATCAGATCAGATAGATGCACCCACCGCGAGCCATAATCGTGACTCCACTTGATCCTAAGCGAATGGAGTTTGGCCAGAGGAGAGAAGCACATACGGTGCAGATTCGGAAGAGCAACACTGGTTATCAGGCATGAGGCGTACTGCGTCGTCGAGTTGCCTATAAGAGGCAGCAGTGCGGGAGATGTCTATGGGGCCCGGGCCTTCGTTACAACTGTGAAGCCTCACCGGCTCACCTCGCTGAGTCCCACCACCCTTACCCCCCGGCCCTTATCCCCACTTACATGCCGAGTCATAATGATATACCGAACAGAGAGGTGACTCACTCACGCCAGCGTCCTTAATAAGAGCACTAGCACCCACCCGCCATGACATTCACCTTGACCACCCCCACCAAGCCAACTTCTCTCAATCACCTTTACGCCCATCCACCCGAAACGTCTAGTTACCGTCCCTGATCGAAGACAAAATGACCTACCACCTCTACATCACGAACAAGAACTACTCCTCGTGGTCACTCCGCCCGTGGCTCCTGCTCCGGCAACTGGGCATCCCGTTCGTCGAGGAATTCCGCCCGCTCACCTCGGGCTCTTTCCGGCAGCCGCAATGGCTCGAGTTTTCCCCCGTCGCCCACGTCCCGTGCTTGCACGTCCTTCCTCCTACTTCTTCATCATCTTCTTCTTCTTCTTCTCCTTCGGGGAATGAAAAGGAAGAAAAGCAGGAAGAGAAACTCGTCCTGTGGGAATCTCTCGCCATCGTGGAGTTCCTCGCCGAGCAGCACCCGGACAAACCCGTGTACCCCTCCCGGGAGGCCAGTCCGGTCGCGCGGGCGTGGGCGCGGTCGGCGGTGGCGGAGATGCACGCCGGTTTCGCCGCGCTGCGGCAGGAGATGGGCATGAACATCGGGATCCGGGTCGAGCTGAGCGGCGCCGCGTTTACGCCGGCGCTGGTGGCGGACTTGAAGAGGGTGGATGAGCTGTGGACCGAGGGACTCAGGAGGTTTGGCGGGCCGTTCCTCGCCGGGAACGCGTTTACGGCGGTGGATGCGTTCTACGCGCCCGTGGTGCTGCGCCTGCAGACGTACGGTGGCGCGTTGGAGCGCATGGGCGAGGAGGCGAGGGGTTATGTGCAGAGGATGCTGGAGCTGGACGGGATCAGGGAGTGGGTGGAGGAAGCGCTCAAGGAGACGGGGAGGGAGGTGCTGCATGATGCGGAGAATGTGGAGGGCGAGGGAAGGAGGCTGGTTGCCGACTTGAGGGCGAAATGAGTTCGGGCCAGCAGTCATCAGTCAGGCAGCATTTCAGGAGCAAGCTACGCGAATCAAGTCAGGGCCTCCGATTCAGTAGTGGTACTGGTGCAATTGATTCATGGATAACGAGGTAGAAAGGCCGCGGTGTTTCTCAGTTCTCTGAGCCCGTAGAGCAAGTGAAACCAGAAGAGAAATAGGCGGAAACTGTCAATAACCGAAAAGGGGTCCATATTGGCCCGGTGCCCCGTTCCCCAGCACGCCCCGCGTCATCTCGCAGTGAAGTTGCCGGCCCGGCCCTCGGCTCCCCGCGGTCTCCACAGCACTGTACTTCCGCTCAGAGGGCGGGGGTCGAAGACTGAAAGGAGGGGGATGCCGCACCCGGCCGGCTATCGGTCGACGATCATACAAGGGGGGAATGGCCATGATAAGTTATTTATACCAACACTTACACTTCCCAGTTGCCAATCGCCCTGCATACTTCCTTATTAGAAAATTATCGACCCAGGCCTCAAGACTCAACATGCCTCTCACGACGCCATCCGTGTTTCCCCCGCCGTCCGCCGAGTTCATCAAGTGGCCGAGTCGGAGGAGCGTCGTGCACAGCACCAAGGGCATTGTGGCATGCACGCAGCCCCTGGCGGCCAAGTGCGGCATCGACATTCTCAATGCCGGGGGCAATGCTGCTGTAAGTGGCCGTCCCGCATACCCGCCAGAGCCAAGCTGACTGCTTCCGTAGGACGCTGCCGTGGCCGTAGGTATGGACTGGTGCTCTGACAACACAAACTCAACCTGGAATCCATGCTGACAGGCCCCAGCCGCCGGGCTCAACATGACGGAGCCCTGCTCGACGGGCATTGGCGGCGACATGTTCTGCCTGTACTACGACGCCAAGACCTGCAGCGTGTCGGCCCTGAACGGCTCGGGCCGCTCGGGCGCCAAGTGCACGCTTGAGACGATCCGAAAGAGCCTCGGCGTGGCCGATGGTGTGGTCGGCGAGATCCCCATGAGCAGCGTCCATGCCGTCACCGTCCCCGGAGCCGCGGCGGGCTGGGTTGACACGGTCGAGCGCTTCGGCAGCGGCAAGCTGAGCCTGGAGCAGATCTTGGCGCCAGCCATCGAGCTGGGGGAAAAGGGGTTCCCCGTGTCCGAGGATGCCGCCTTCTTCGTGAGCAACGCGACACCACTGTTAAGCTCAAGCCCCTGACATTCCAGCGCCTGACTCCTCTCTCTACTCTCTAGTGGCAACGCTCCGAGCAGATCCTCCGCAGGGCATCACCAAACTTTGCCGAGATGCTGAAGGCAGACCCGTCTGCACCGGACGGTGTTCGTGGCCCGCGAGCAGGGGACATCATCAAGCTGCCCAACCTGGCCCGCACCTTCCGCACCCTCGCCACCGAGGGCAAGAAAGGCTTCTACTCGGGCCGCATCGCCGACGAGATCATCAACGTCGTCCGCGACCTGGGCGGCCACCTCGAACTCGCCGACCTGCAACACCACCTCGAGCAGGGCAGCGAGCCGGTTGACCCCATCTCTCTCGAATTCCGCGGGCAGGGCACGGGTTCTTCCGGCGTCGAGCTCTGGGAACACCCTCCCAACGGCCAAGGCATCGTCGCGCTCATGGCGCTGGGCATCATCCAGGAGCTGGAAACCCAGGGCAAGATCCCGACCTTCACCGCCGCCGACCACAACACGGCGCCGTATCTGCACGCCATCATCGAGGCCCTGCGCATCGCCTTCGCGGACGCCTCCTGGTTCGTGACCGACCCCTCCACGACCGCCGTGCCGACGTCCTCCCTCATCTCCCAGCCTTACCTCGCCCAACGCGCCGCTCTCTTCGACCCCGCTCGCGCCAGCGACATCCTGCGGCACGGCTCGCCGGCCCTGCGGTCAAGCGACACGGTCTACTTCTGCGTGTCCGACGCGCAGGGCAACGCCATCTCCTTCATCAACTCCAACTACGGCGGCTTCGGCACAGCCATCGTCCCGCGCGGGTGCGGCTTCACGTTGCAAAACCGCGGCGCCAACTTCAGCCTCGACGCGGCCCACCCCAACGCGCTGGGCCCGCGCAAGCGGCCCTACCACACCATCATCCCGGGGCTCGTGACCAACCTGTCGGACGGGTCGCTGCACTCCGTCTTCGGCGTCATGGGCGGCTTCATGCAGCCGCAGGGCCACGTGCAGGTGCTGCTGGGCCAGCTGGTCGGCGGGCTCAACCCGCAGCAGGCGCTGGATGCGCCGCGCGTGTGCATCGGCAGCGGCATGGCCGACTACGGGGACGTGTACGACCGGACCGTGTACGTGGAGGAGGGCATGCCCGAGGAGACGGTGCGGGGCCTGCGCGAGCTGGGCCACAACGTGCAGGTGCTGCGAGGGTGGGGCGGCAAGGGGAGGCAGATGTTTGGCCGCGGGCAGATTATACGCTGGACGGTGGACGAGGTCGACGGGACCGGCGTCTGGTCGGCGGGGAGTGACATGAGGGGCGACGGGGCTGCGTATCCGGCGTGATAGGTTAGCATTAAGATGAAATCAGGCAGATCAGATAAAGTAGAGGGGGGAATATGGTTACAGTTCTAACATGCCATGGGCCGTGGTATCGTTGGGTTCCGTAAATATAGTATACACAACCGCTGAGCTTGCAGTAGTTGGCACTTCTATTCCTTCGTCTCGCCCTCCGCTTGCTGTCCCTCCTCCTTCAGCACCACCCCCTTCTCCTCCAACAGCTTGGCCAGCTCCCCGTTCTGGTGCATCGACACGATGATGTCGCACCCGCCGACGAACTCCTTGTCGATATACAGCTGGGGAATGGTCGGCCAGTCGGAATACTCCTTGATGCCTGTTCGGAATTTGTCAGCACCAGTCCATAACACTTTCTCTCATACCTCAAACCAGCCCAAACACTTCCGGGGAGAAGCGGGGGAAAAGAAAAAAGGAACATACCCTGCCGTAGCTCTTGGTCCTCCAGCACGTTGAAGGCGGCGAACTTATTCGGATCGACCCCCTGCAGCCCTAGCACCTGGATGCTCGCGCGCGAGAAGCCGCACTGGGGCGTCTCGGGCGTGCCCTTCATGAAGAGGACGACGGGCGCCGAAGCGACCGCCTTGTCGATGGCCTGGCGGACGGCGTCGGAGAGCAGGCGGCGCTGTGATGCGAGCGAGAAGAGAAAGCTGGTAGCGGGGGCCGGGTGGGAGAGGGGTGTTGGGCGGGCGGCCGCGAATGCGCTCGACCGGGAGGCGGTTTGGCGCACTGCCTGTTGAAGGTAGTACTAGTAGTTAGTAAAGGCGTTTTATTCTTCAATTTTAGTCGGCTTCCGGTGGGATTTGAAGGCTTACCCTTGAGAAGATCGTTCGGGAAAACATGGTGGTGGTTCTGGTAATAGTGTCGTGAAGGGTGGTTGAAAGATGGAATCGGAGACGGCGAACAGGGTGCTGCTGATATCGCGACTTTTTTTGGTCGATTGGTAATGATGTCAGGCGGGGAGGTGAAGGACTTGGGTAGTAGGGTTAGGGGCAGATATGATTGCAACAGTCCTCTATCTCGGGTGCAATCCCAACCCTCAATATCGTACCTCTCGCTTCCAACCACACAACATCTTCACAGGCTCATCGTCCTCAGTTTGTATCATTAATCCAGCGCGTCCAGGTCCACGGGAGTGTGGAAAGGCAGATAATGACGGTAGCCGTCTGACGGGGATGACCGTGGGTCGTCGATAGGAAGCAAGATCAATACATCTATTCATCCTGCTCGTCTCAGCTCTTGGCATTTACCAAAATTGGTTCTGATAACTACTATGCCCAAACGGGGAACCACCTGTTGACGGAACCTCGGGAGTTTGTTGGACCTACACAGTAACATTCTATAGGGCTGGCAACACATAGCTTATTAGGTAACTCTTTCAACTCGATGTGTTCGCTCACTCGCTCGCTCAGACTCAGATTAGCCCAACATCACCAGCCCCTGTTTGCTCCCATCACTCACAATCGATCGATCTTAACATACCAATTTTACTACTCCCTTGATTCGACATGGCCAGCCTGTAAGTCCTCTGTTACGCCCCCGTCAGTCTCCGCCGTCCGCTTACACACCTCCTCCTAGCCTCGCCATCGGCTGGCATTTTTTCCAGCGCCAGCTGCGTTCACTGCCCGTACCGACCACGTCGTACGAGGGACGCACCGTCATAGTCACAGGCGCCAACGGCGGCCTGGGGCTCGAAGCGGCGCGCCACTTTGCGCGTCTGGGCGCTGCCCGCGTCATTCTTGCCTGCCGGCGCACTGACGCCGGGGAGGCGGCCAAGGCCGACATTGAAAAGACCATCATCGCCAGCACCGACAGCAGGTCCGCAGCAACGGCGATCGAGGTGTGGCCTCTCGACCTCTGCTCCTTCGACAACGTGCGGGCCTTCTGCCGGCGCGCGGACCGAGAGCTGGCGCGGCTGGACGTGTTGTTGGAGAATGCGGCTGTGCTGCACACGGAGGGATTCAAGATGGCGGAGGGCTACGAGATGCAGGTGACGACCAACGTCATCTCGACGTTCCTGATGGTGCTGATGCTGCTGCCGTTGATGCGGCGGACGGCGGCGAGGTGGAATGTCGAGACGGCTGTCACAGTCGTGGCTAGTGAGGCGCACTTTCTCGTGAGTATACGTAGACACCTCCATGCACTACATCTATCTAGAATCAATCTTGCGCAGTTATCATCTAAGATTTGGTTAACTAACCAGGATTTTTTTTCATGGATAGACTAAGTTCGTGGAGAAAGACCAGCCTCGCATCTTCGAGTGCTTCCGCCCCGGTGGCGCCGAGTACGATCGCTACGGCACCACCAAGCTGCTGGACATTCTAATCGTGCAGGAGCTGGCGGAGCGACTGGACGCGGCGAGTGCCACCGGCAGTCCTGTCGTGGTGAACACGGCAAACCCCGGGCTATGCAAGTCCAGCCTATTCCGGGATCTGCCCTGGTATGCGCAACCCCTCTTGGCCGGCGCCATGCTCCTGCTTGGGCGCACGCTGGAGGAGGGCTCGAGGGCGCTGATGGCAGCGGTCGCTGGGGGCAGGGAGAGCCACGGCAAGTACGTCGACAGCAGCAAGGTGGACCATCCCAGCGCCTTTGTCCTGTCCGAGGCGGGCAAGGCGGTGCAGAAAAGGGTGTGGGATGAGCTGACGGAGATATTGGAGGGCATTGAGCCGGGCGTCACGGCCAGGTTCACGAAGGCCATCCCAGTCTAGAGGGACCTAGTCGGTGGGCTGATTGGGTGGCTTCCTCAGCCGGCTGTCAGCACTTAATCTGGCCAATGCCCGATGCACAAATGCATCCGATCCATCCCACGTGGTATCGAACGGAATACGGCCCAACCCGTTCTCCACCAATCCCCACAACGGGCCGGAAATCCGGAACCTCGGTATCCAAGGCGGACAGGCGGGGCCATCCATGGCACCACCTGCAAGTGCGGCATATCCAATCGACGAGAGGGCCAGGAAGGTAGCGCGATGGAGCAATGCTCTCCGCGCATTCATTCAAACAGGCCGACCCGGCGGACCGCCCCCTAATCTGGCTCATTGATGATACCCAGTGTTCAAACCCCGGGCATTGATTCTCCTCGCCTTTGAGAACCAATCTTTCACCGAAATCCCTCACAATGCCAGGCCAGCCGCCCCTAACCGGGCTCAGAGTCCTCGAGTTCGCTGGGCTCGCCCCAGGTAAGTTCTTCCCCCCTTCCTGGCTCCACCAACTCTCTCCCAGGCGGGAAGCATCCGACCGACTGACCCAGCCAAAACCAGGCCCATTCGCCGGCATGCTCCTCGCCGACGCAGGCGCCTCGGTCCTGCGCATCGACCGCCCGCCTTCCCTGACGAGCACCCCACCGGCGCCCGACCTCCTCACGCGCCACAAGACCTCGGTAGCCATCGACGTCAAAGACCCCGCGGGCGCCGCCGTCATCAAGCAGCTCGCGCGCCACGCCGACGTGCTCATCGATCCGTACCGCCCGGGCGTGCTCGAGAAGCTCGGACTCGGCCCCGCCGACCTCCTGCGGCTGAACCCGCGGCTCATCTACGCCCGCCTGACCGGCTTCCGCCGCGAGGGGCGCTTCGCCCACATGGCCGGGCACGACATCAACTACCTGGCCGTGTCGGGCGCGCTGGCCCTGTTGGGCCGCGCCGAGCACCCGCCCACGCCGCCGGGGAACCTGCTGGGCGATTTCGCCGCGGGCGCCGTGTTTGCCGTGCTGGGCATCCTCATGGCCCTGCTGGAGAGGAGCCGCCGGTCCGGCAGGGGCCAGGTGGTGGAGGCGAATATCGTTGACGGCGTCAGCTACCTCGCCACGTTTGCGCGCTTTGCCATCCGGACCCACGTCTGGAACCAGCCGAGGGGGCGGAACCTGCTGGATTCCGGCTGTCCGTTCTACGATGCGTACGTGACCAAGGACGGGAAGTGGATGGCCGTCGGGGCGCTGGAGCCGCAGTTCTTTGCCGAGCTCGTGAAGGGGCTGGGCATTGACGGGCAGGGGTGGGAGACGGGACGGAGGAACGATATCAAGCAGTGGCCTGAACTGAGGCGGGTTCTGGAGGAGACGTTTAGGAGCAAGACGAGAGCGGAGTGGGAGAGTGTGTTTGAGGGGAAGGATGCCTGCTGCACGCCGGTTTATGAGTATGAGGAGTTGGCGGTGGATGAGAGTAAGGAAGGGGATCAGAGGCCGGCGGTGACGCTGAGGGAGACGCCGTGGCTGGCTGTGAGGAAGGACGCCTCCGATGTTCGCCATGGCCAGGGACCTGGTGTGGAAGGCGAAGGGTTTCGTGGGTATCCGCTTGAGCCAGGGCAGGGAGGGGAAGAGACGTTGAAGGAGTGGCTGGGTTGGACAAGGGGCCGGCAGTTTGAGGTGAAGGATGGGGGTGTGGTTCTGAAGGAGACGGCCAAGCTATAACAACCAGACTGAGTGAGGGTGGGGTGGGACGATGATGGGACGATGATGGGACACAAACCAGGGAAGTAAGCCCTGTCTCTCCGGTGTACTACATTGATGACGCAGAAAGAGAAATGAGACATGACATTGATACCCTCCATGAACTCGTCCTGGAACACACAAACTTCCATGATTAGGTACTTTTGCCCACCAGGATCAACAAGGACACTCGTCCCTCACCAAACACGTATTGAGACGCAGAGCTGAAACAGACAGAGCAGAAGAGTCAGCTCACCATTACAATGCAATGCACCTGAGAGCGAGCAAGAACGTACAGTTTTCTCAAGCCGAATGTCGCCGTCACATACCACTACGCCGGGCTAGGAGGCGGATTCGGCGATGGTTCTGGAGTGGGAGGATCTTGCGAATTCTGACCCATGGTTTTTTTGGTCGATGGCTTTTTCAAACCCCGCGACTGTCTCTCACGCTCAGCGGTGTTGGGTCCCGGAGCTTTGCTCGAACGGTAGCTGGGAATATGCCCGAGAGCTTTCGGCCCCCCCTTATTCTCTTGGGCGTATCCGGTTTATATCACCACCGTGTGGTTTTCGGTGCGCAGCTGCAGCTCCAAGACAGCCAGCCGCGTCCTATAGAAGCTTGCGACACAGCCATGAGGGCCTCGCTCACCGGCAACCGGAGTTGCGAGCGGCTCCTGCTGGAACGACCCCGACTCGGCGGCCATTCCCTCGGCTCATCCACACCGCACGGCTCTCGCGGGAGATGGCATGCATATAATCCGTACACTACGAGAGCTCGAGCCCAAGCCCAATTGGATGTCGCCCCCGCATTTTATCTCCTTTTCGAGAGATCACCAATGCAGGGTATAAGTGAGTGAATGAGGCTGGCTGGGCCGCCTGGCTGCTGTCCAAGGTCCCGGCGCGGGATGGTGCAGAGGAATAAGCAAGACTCTGATCGAGATAACCTCCCCTTTTTTCACCGCCAATCTGAGCCGTGGCTGCATGCCACACCGAAGACATGCAGCACATTCTTTATGCAGTATTCAAAGCAAACGGGGTCTGTCTAGGTCGGTAGTCTTGCCATTGCGGGCTGGTGAGAAGGGTGACGGGCCTCTCAGCATTGTCTCGGTCTGTCCTCCAGTCCAGTTTCATTACCGGTAGTCAAGCTTCACTTCCACCGGCTGGGATACATCAGACGGGAGATAAAGCAGAAACTGATCTTCATAATCTACGAATGGTATCGAAAAAGGAATAAGGAGCAGATATGAGCATCCCTCTACAGCAGAACTCCCTCCAGTCCGATCCATCATCAGGGTTCTCTGTTACACACACACATCACTTTAACTCACTCCCCCCTCTCTTTCACACCACAGGCATATCCATATCTCGCCTCATCTCATCTCATCTGGTCCCATTCATCAAGTCTCCACTGTGTAACACACACGCGCTTGCTGGCCTCATTCAAATCATGCATACATAACCTGGCAGCCAGACTCGAAACTACTGCACCTGACTAACAATTTCGCTAGCCCTCGACAGCGAGTCCACCATCTGCTGGCACTCCTTCCGGCGACGGATCGTGTAGTCGCTCTCCTTGAGCAGGTCGTCAAGTTCGCTCTGGCGGTACATGTTCTCCAGCAGCTCCTTCTGCATCTCGTCTTTGGTAAAGCTATAGACACGCACAAGCTTATGTTAGCACACAGGAAAGATACCTGGCAATATAGGGGAAAGTGAGACGATGGAAGAAAAAGGCAAGAAAGACGTACCTAACGAGATTCAGCATGATGGCCTTGGGGACCATGTCGATCATGGTGCGCTTGACAATGTTGTAGTAAGACGAGATGAGCAGTTCTGGTAGTCGTCGTCGTTAGTCTTCTTCTCGTCTCCGATGCAAACACGCAGAGTCTACTCACTGATGACTTCAACCTCGATACCCTCACGCTCAGAGAGTGTCCCCGACGCCTTGAGCGTCGGCGGCGGCGGCTCCATGGCGGCAGCCTTCTTCTTGTTCTTCGCGGCAAAGAAGCTGCCGAAGAAGCCCGTGTTCGAACTGTCCGAGTCCGTGCCGGCGACCAGCGTAGGGCTAGCCGCCCGCGCCGGTGTCGAGGACAGGGGCTTGCCCGTCTTGGGGTCGACCTGGACTGGTTTGGATGGGTTGTGCCTTTCGTTCACTATCGCCATGGCCTGTGCTTCGTTTTAGTGTACTGTCAACCATTATTGATGAACACGGAGCAAAACTTACCCGATGCCCATTCAGGAAATCAGGATGCGCCGTATTGATGTAGCACGCCTCCATCGCTACCAGATCCCGTACCAACTTATTCGTCGGCTCCATGGCCTTCTTGAAGAAAGAGATCACAACCGCATGGATCTTCTCCTTCAGCTGCGGGTAGCGCCGGTACAGTTGCTTGCTGAGGAGTTGCGTGAGGATGCGCACCAGCTCGTCGTACACAAGAGATGCGCACTTCAAGCTGGGCTCCTCCAGTCGCTTGATTTGCTGCTTGACGATCAGCTCGAACGCAGTGGTACCCACGAACAGCGCCGGCGAGGAACCGGACGAGTTGTACAGGATCGTGCGGATGTCGACGTCCTTGACCTGATCAAAGGGATCCACCGCCTTGACACCGTTCGAATAGAGCTCGTGGAAGACAAAACTGATTCTGGCGCCGCCCGACAGTTCTGTGCTCGACAACTCCGTGTTGTTGCCGTCCAGCACGGTGCGCCACTCATTGGTAAACTCGGTGATAATGTTGAGCACAATGTTGGCGCTATTCCCAAGCATCGACGGTCCCAGAGACTCGAGCTCCCGCGAGTACTTCTCTAGCGAGCTGGAGATGCGGGCCTTGATATCCGGCAGCGTCTGCTTGATATGCATCATCAGGATAAGGTTGAGCTTGCGGGCGAGATATGGCGTGCCACAGTACGAGCTCTTGTTTCGGTACGCTTTGTGGTTCTCGAAGAAGTTCTTCTCGGCCTCGAGCGCTGCTTGAATGGGCTTCTTATTGTCGATATCCCTTTGCCCACGGTTCACGACAGGGACGTAGCCCAGCCGCAGAGGAATGATGCGCCCAGCCAGAATGTCAACCACATCGGTGCCCTCGTCCATCAAGTCGACCTTGGTGAGCACACCAATCGTCCGCTGGCCCTCGGGGTCCACCTCCCTGGCCAGCTTTAGACCGTCCGAGTTCGCCAGATCAATATTAGCGGCCGTCACGGCCAGAATAATGGCGTTCGATTTCTGAATGTACTTAAGGATCATGTCGCGAATCTGCCTCTCGATATCACGCGGTTGGTCACCGACAGGCACGCGTGTCAAGCCGGGAAGATCGACGAGGGTAAGGTTTAGCACGTTGGGTGAGTAGATGCGCAGGTTGATCGGGGCGGGCGAGATGCCGGCATTCCGGCCAACCTTGGCCTCGGTCTCCCTGCTAATCTCATCGCGAATCTTGTTAAAGTCGTAGAACTTCTGGCCGGGGATGTGCAGGAACTCGCCCCACTCCTCGGTGTTCGCTGCCTTATCGGTGGTGTTGGTGATTTCCTTTTCCACCCCGTTCTGCAGCGGGTTGCCTGGCCGGTTGATGAGCTGGAGGACGAGCGGTCGCCGGGTGACGATACCGGAGCCACGGGGTAAGCTGTCCCAAGTCGCGCGCGCGTTAGTCTGTACAGGGGCGCCCGTGCGGCAGATGCAGGGGACTAGGGCAGGGAGGGGGCGGGGTGAAAGACTCACAAGTCGCGGCCGACGATGTTTTCTAATACCGAACTCTTTCCGCTAGACTGGCTACCGACAACGACTATTTGCGGCAGATCGATAGGGTTGGTGACACCGACAGTGGTGAAAACATCCTGTAACTTGTTGACGAGCCTGTGTGGGGCACATGTCAGTGCCTGAAGAGCCCAAGGGCGACAGCTTCAACATCGAGGGCCGTACTTGATGAGGCCGGGGTCAGAGATGCCACCGGGGGTTGCGAGCGACCCGGACACGTCGCCCATATTTGCTGTGTGTGCGGAAGGGAAAGCGGTTGCAACTGTTGATGTTGGGCGGCCAGGGGGCGGGACGCAACGGGTCAACGCTGGCGGCGAGCGGCGTTGGGTCTGCAATGAACAGTTGGAGGGGTCGTGATACTTTAAAACGCTCGAGCGCTTCGCTGTGCCTGATCGAGAACTTTGAATGTCGTTACCGGGAGGCTATCTGGCTATTAAGAGCTGGCCGTTCGTGGGATGGGATGGGCGGAATCTTTGGCAGTTCGATGGAGGGTTGCAGACCGGTTCCCATATGTCGGTCTTGATGTGGATCTGCAGGCCGCGCAGCCTCCCCCCCAGGCGCATGCAATCAGGGGCCCGCTATTCTGCCGAAGTGTTTCACGTGATCTCACTTACTAGGTACTAGTACCTATACGTACCACATTGTGAAATGTGAACCCCCTGACTCGCTGTCTTCCAACCAGCTTCTTATCTCTGTCATCGCAGTCATCTCGTGGTGGCTGCACAATCCCCAGCGTCACCTTTGCAATGCAAGAACTCAAATCCTGGTCGCATATGCTATGAAACTCACAGGACTACCATATAATGGATTTTTCCTACATTTCTGCCTACCTAGACATGTTGCGTAGTAGCCCGCTCGAAGCGTACGTCAGCTCGAAGCTAAGGTACTCATTACGCAGCATAGCCACCCAGCGGGCAGCGTTAACAATGTGAAATCACATGAGACAGAACGGCACGCGCTCAGTCCCGTGGAAGGGAGCACCTTGGGGATCGTTGTGTTGAGTGGAATAAGCTCGATGCGGTACGAAGACTAAAGCAACGACGTCCGCTATTCTAATGGCCATATCCTAATTCCCGAGACCCTTGCCCACGGTCGCCATTGTATTATCTAATTAGTGCGTCCTGAACGTCGTACACTGCAGTTTCCAGCTATCCATTCGAACCCGCACTCGTCTTGAAGCCAGAGAGGATAGTATAAGCGAAGAACTGAGTGGTAATTCCATGTACCGTGATGAAAGCAATGCACCAAGCCTTGTAAACCAGCCCCGCCATCTCCAAGCTTCGCCGGCCCATGCTCATGACTTGATCCCGTTCGATCCCACAATGACAACTGCGAATATAAGGAAATGGAAACAGAGGGAAGGGAATGAAAAGCACATCCCCGTCTTCCACGATCCGGCCTGCCACGTCAAGCCCACATCTCCTCGGAGTACTGGCTGCCGTTGCTCGAGCCGCGCACAGTTCCGTTAGTGTGCCGGGCTGCTGACGACGCTGTCCTCGCCCGCGCCCTATTAGACCAACTACAGAAACAGGAGCGGTCAGTAACATGAGCATTGGTCCGCCAAAGGATAGTTGCAGACTCACATCTTGATCCTCCCGTCATCTCCGGCTGTGGCATACATACACGGGTCCGCGGGATTCCACGACGGGGCATTGCAGCTGGTGTGATGACCTTCCGCCTCGTGGACTAAGATTCCCGTCGTCTTGTGCCAGATCAAGACACGACCATCTAAAGGCTATGCGTCAGCAAACGCTTTCCCAAATGTGTCTGCTTTGGTTAGGGCACCGACTCACCTTCGCTGCCGGTGATGATGAAGTTCTCATTGGCACCACCGAATTCGCTCCTTATGATAAACTGCTCGACGCTGTGGCCCCGATACTTTTGCACCGTCTCACGGGTCTCCAGGTCGATCAACAGTGCCTCGCTATCTTGCTTGTTCACTAGAAGATACCGCGAGTCGCGGCTTATGCTCACCGAGGTGAGGCGCGTATTGAGGGTGAGGTCGTAGAGGTGCTCCCGCGTAGCAAAGTTGTAAAAGTGCAGGTTATGCCGGTCGTCCATGGCAACCAACCACCGTTGATCAAGTGACAGTGTGAGACCTTCGGCCCGGTATGTTTTGGCCCACGTATGAACGCACTCTCCAAGCAAGTTCCATTGGCAGACCGGCTTCGTCTTGTCGAACGAACCGGTGATGAACGTCTGACCGTCGGCAGCCCATACACAGCTGCTGACGGGCTCCTCGAAGTCGTTGAGAACCCTGAGACACTCACCGTTCTGCAGGGGAGCGTTAGTATGGTGGGCTAGGATCCGTCACCAGAACGACTTACATCGGTATCCCAGAGCTTCGCAACGTTGTCCATACCACAGCTTACCAGCAACTTGCTGTCTGGCGCCCATGCGACATTACCGATACCGCTCCTCTTATGACCATGTAATTCATGCAACAGAGTGAAGTTCTCGGTCTCCCAGATGCAGATAGCCTCGTCCGATCCACAGCTGGCCAGGCGTTTGCCATCCGGAGAAAAACGTACCTGCCAGACTTCTTCAGCCCGCTTAGATGACTCGACCCTCGGACTATATAACTCCATCACCACCTCCGTAGGGAAGTGACTTCTGTCGCACGAATGATCTACATAAAGCGATGGTGGGTTACTCGCGGTGTGAAAGAGACACCGTTCCACCTGGCTGCGTTTCAAGTCGTCCAAGAGAACAGCCAGGCGGCGCTCCGGGAGCATAACCGAAGGTGATATTGATTCTGCGTGAGTAGCGTCAGCCACGCGGCACGAGGACCATCCAGGCGATCCTTCCTCTAAACTTACCTGAGAGCTGTGCTAACAATACCTGCCTCGACCGGCCACCCGCGCCATCCCAGTGGGCCTTAATTTTGAGATCCTCAGCGTCCTGGCACATGAGGAACCTAGAGAGGAGATGTAGAGTCTGGTGCTGTTGCGCACACAAGGGCGTGAGTTCGTTGCGGAGCACGGACAGAGCCTGGGACGTCTCCCGCTGTTCCAGTAACTCCAGAAACTTCTGCTGCCGCAGCCGAAATCTCATCGCGTTGCGGTCCGCTCCGGGAGCCAGCACAAGCCCCTTCCCAGAGGCCTGATCGGGACCCAAAGCGGCATGCCCACATAGCAAACCCTCGGCTCTAGTCCAGTCGCCGCCCAGCACAGCATGCCGGAAGGCAACCACGTCTGGGCTCTCGACTTGAAAACCGCTTTCCTCGCCGACACTGTCCGCCGCCGCATGGTAGCCTAGATCATCCAAGGCCTGTATCAAGATGCGTGTGATCTCCTCCCGGTTGTGGCCAAAGTAGGTTTCCTGCTGGCGCCCACCAGAGCCTCCATTAAGGCGAGAGGAGTGCATGCCGCCTGCCGGCGTCTTACGCGCTGTTGCCGATGGGAACTCGCCGCCGGCCCGGGACCCGTTGGACACCACCCGCGCCGCCCGGCTTGAAGGTTCGCCGTTATCGACTTCCGCGGGCATGTTTCCGCCGCGCCTTCGCTTGGAGTATGAGTGGGAACCCGGGATGCCTAGGGCGTCGCTGTCTACCCCGTCTCCCCCTGTTGTTCTTCTTCTTCGAACTCTGTTCTCCGCCTCCTTCCGAGTATCTGCGCCGGGGCTGCTGTGGATGACGATGACGGAACTCTATCTCCGGAACCAAGCCCAGTGTGGAGGGGAGATGCGGAGAAAGACGACGTCGGGTTCCACAATTGCAGCGGGGGAAGTTGTGAATGTGACACCGAAACTTGGGGCGGCAGGGTCGAGTTCGAAGATGCGGCCGGTGATGGGGTGGGCGGGTTGTCGGGGCCGGGTGGGATGTGGATGGAAGACCTCTCGGGGGCGTGGTCCGCCACGGCGATAGAGTTCGGTTTCTGCGGGACCGGTGTGTGCTCCCGCAGAAGATCAACCTGAGGCCGTGTGCTTGTCCGGCAATGTTGATAAATCTCGGTGGCAACCGTTGGCCGAGTTGATGCTGCGCTCGGGCATACAGCTTAGCCGTCGGTTGACAGCTACAACTCAGTCGTTGACGTCTTTCAGATCCGTCATAAAGGTTCCCGGGCTGCCGATGCCGTCATCAAGGCGTCGGGCCACGCAGGCTGCCCGATCAGTACGGTGCGGGACGTGCGCACTGGGAATAGTCGAGTCGAGTAGATGGCTGCCAGTTGTGGCCGTTCTGAGAATGTTGAAGATGTAAAAGAATAGATGTAGCTGTTGGCTCGTTTTAAGCAGCAGATCGCATTTCCACTTGTCGACCGTGCTGTGTTGTGAGACTGTGATAACGTTAATGCCTGGTAACTAATCAAGCTGCGTTACAGTGTGTGGTAGGGGCAGGCTTGGCTCTGCGGGGCTTGCCAAGATCGGATTCGGGACATGCCTGAGGTACGTACTTCCGTAATCCAACAGCACTTGGGTTTGTTGAGGAAAGTTCCATCAATGGACGGGAGGATCACAACTGGCACCTGCGTGTTTCCCACTCAGGCTTCAGGCATCTGATGCTACTATAATACAAACAGCACAACTGTGTAACCTGTACCCTAGCACGCGTCTGAGATCGAAACTTCGTCCTGTTCGGAAGACAACAGAGCAGGTTGCAAATCAGCCACTGGTCTAACGGAGGTCTGCGGTGCACGGAGGTAGGTAGGGAGGGGACTCGGAAGCTAATAAGAGGTGACTCCTGTTGAGAGCTTGACGTGGAAGGAAACGGTGCACACGAGCCACGGCATAGAAGGAGGCACGGCCCGGGGGTTCGGGTTGTCAGCCAACCCAGGGCAACCTGGAAGGCACCCTCTCAACAAGCACTTTCAATTCTTCAATAAAAAGAGTTCGAGGGTCTCGAGGACGCAACTAAACTGTAGTAAGTGGTTTGTTTCCCGTTTGACGGCATCCTACATGCTTCAGATTGTAGGTTAACTCTGGTCGAGCTTAGGTGGATCACTATTTCAGATGCTTCGGATTCATGGCCGAGCGATGAGAATTCACTCCTTGATCTTAGTCCCTATAAATGAGACTTACCCAAGAGAAACCCGAATTCACCGGTTCCAGGTACCAGGACACCGCGTACCTCCGCTGGTCCTTCAAGCTATGTACAGTGTGACCTTTGATGAAGACCTGCCGCGAGCCTGCGTACAGGGCTGTTACCTCGATGGATGGACAGAACCACAACTCACACAGCCCCATCGACTCTGATTCCTACGGTTCTGTACTGTGATCTTATCTTTACTTGATATAGTCGCTCTTACTGAACCACTTGTATACGCCCCCTTCGCCGTCCATGGACATGATCGGTGTGTAACTCTCCCGTGATATCACGCCCTGGACGGCAACTAACAGGTGAAAACAGGCCAAAGCAAAAGAGCGTAGCGTCTCGGTACTCTCTGAGTTGTTAGCCAACTTTGAATGGTTCGGAAGGAGGGTGGAATGTCAGAAACCAAGAATCTTCGCTTCCGTCCAAACCCAAGAACAGAAAAGCACTTCGCCATCAGGACGACGTGCGGAGGACATGACGGCGAGAATGAAACTGATTCGAGAGACGTTAGGCGGGCATGTTGACGCCCTCGACCGGCCTGTCGAGGGACTAATGACCCCGAACAAACGAATCGGGGGGATCTGCCCCGAGCGACATGATCTTTTTAATAATCTAACAGCAAGTAGGCGGAGAGGCTCCTTGCAACCTCCGGGGACAAGACGTTCTCTCTACTGACTAGCGGACTTCCTGTCAGCCGGCGATTTGAAGTCATTACTCATCAAGGATCAAGGCCTGGTCTGAAGACTCACACGACTTTATGCGGCCGAGAGGGCAATTGAGGCAGTCCAAAGCTCCGCCTCCCAAGGTTGTCCATCGCCACATCAAGCCGGACATACTCCCATCGACGCATGCCGCCATTAAAAATTCGCCAATTTCGGTTTCTCCAAGAGCCCGCGTAGAGACTTCGATAGCGCCTAGTTACCGTGAGCTTCTGCAACAAGCCGTCTTCTCCAGCCGAACTCGAAACCGCAACTCGTTCAACCCAGACAACATCAACCGGACACTGAACAGCCACGCTCAGACCAATGAGTGGCGGTGCTCCAGGAGCATCGTAGCTTGCTCGGTCGTCTGGAATCCCAATTACACCACTCTGAGTACCCCTATGACATCGATTGGCTGTCAATGGGAATAATTTTAGTAGGTACGCCTGAAAGCAGAACATATATGGTTGACCTAAGGTGTCTTCCAGCATTGCCGCCTCTCTACCTATCTAATCATATGGGGAATCGAGCCAAAGGGCTAACGAGACGAAACCTGGATGCCTCGCCGGTTGGCCACCCACGCCACCTTAGCTTCCATGAACCCCTAGGACAGTTCCTGCAAGGTCGTCAACTGGCAGAACAACTTCCCCTTCCCGGACGGCATCCAGGTTCACCCGAGTGAGCAGTCCATCCCATTCGAAGGTACGCTCTCTCCTGAAGGGACGTAGTGGGCCCCCTTGGCTACCGAACCACCGTTCGGTCCCTTCGTTGGCAACGCTCCTCGCATCCTAGAGGTGGAACGGGTTGGCAGGCAGAATGCCAATAACCTGAGGGGAGGGGGATCAGATGCTCCAAGACTTCCGGTTCTCGCTACACATCATTAGTATATTTCCTTCTCTGCCTGCCACGCTCCGTTAAACGCTGAAAAGACGCTGCGACTATGAGCTGGACGGAGCCTGGATGTTGCCGTCGATCTTATTCCTTAACCAACGTCTCCGGCGCTGTTTGCGGGGATAGGACTAATAATAAGTCTGGCGGGGACATCGGCAGCGGGCCCGAGTCCCAGCCTCGAGTCCGTAATAACGTCGCAAGCAGCAAGACTCTGCGGTTGACACTTGTCGCACGGTGACATGGCGCTGCGGTTTTATTTCCCCTGAGCGGAGTGTACCGTCAACCATTCTCACCGGCTCACCACAGCAGAGCCACTCTGCCAACTCAGATCGGTCTCAAACCATGGTACTGGAACCTTCGAACCATGGTATTTGGAACCTGCAGGTCTGGCAACAAACATGCCCAGACGAGCCAGACAATCAAGCCCGGCGCCACCTCCATTCCCAGAACACTGCCAGAGGCGCCCAGAGGGCGGACGATCAGCAAACATCCCGCCCATCTCGGAGCTTGGCGCACGGCGTTATGGAGCCTCCCTCGCCGTCGATGGCTACATAACTAGGTAATATCGTGGTGCTTCCGGCGCTGGCCGCGATAATCGGTGACCGCGCTGTGAAGCCCGCAGGCCAATATCTCCATGGTGTCGAAAGGTGACAAGCCGACTCTCTGTTCTCCTAACCGTCTTCCACCATAGTCCATGATTGATGTATATCAACTTAGGACGAACCCAGTGCGGAGCGTCAGCTCCGGCGAGCTCGAAGCTGGGCGGTCGCCTGCCCCGCGCGAATGCTGGGGGTTGGTTCTGTCAAAGTGCCACTAGCGTGGCGCTCACGGCCCGCCGTGGTGATCCAGCGGATCATATTGCGCCAGTCTGGTGCTGACGTTTCAGCGGAAGTAGCCGTCGAGGACAAGAACACAAGCATTGGCAGACCTTGGACAATCCTTTTTTTGTTGCGCATGTGGCCCACCAGGATCCGAAGGTAGGGGGGGAGGGAGGTGGGGGGAGGGACGCAGCTACCACCTGGACATCTTGATCATTCTCTAAGCTGGAATGGGAAAAGGCTATGTCTCACTCCCAAGAAGGTGTTGGCAACCTATCCGTGATTACTGGCGATAGTGAACCCTAGCGTTGAGGAGAAGCGGGGGTGATCAACACTCCGCGCACCAACAGACCAACCAGCCATGTACATACATACTATACTGTATGTAAGTAGACACTGGAGATCACAAAAGGTGCCGTGGTAGTGCATGATGGTCGATAACTTGATAGGACCGCGTGTGAGATATCGCAGAAACTTGCAGAATATCTGGGGGCTAAAAGCATGACAGATGGGACTCATTGATCCACCGGTATTGCCCTGTCGATCACCGATGCGATGTCGTAGTCTGCTGAGGAGCGGGACCTGATGCAACCTGAAGGAACCGCTTATATAATATGTAATGGCTGTGTATGCATGGCTGCAAACGGAACTCGCCCATATCAGGCGGCATACAGGTGTGTGTGCCTTCGGAGGGTTTCGGGACTATACATGTACCTACCTACTCCAGGTAGGTACATTGGCATGGCAAAGCATGACGGAGCATATCTAAGGTTATGTCTCGCTTTCTCAAATCCTCAAATAGAGTCACGATTGCTCGAGGCATGTTTCCTAGTACTGTACAGACAGTTGGTAGACTGGCTCGAGACTGGCAGACTTGATGCCCAGAAATGGACGTCTCACAGTTCAGTTGAAGCTTAAAACAATGCATAACAAACCAACCAATAACGACAATCGGTGTCAAACGTCAATCCAGGCTTCGAGACGGCCCGAGTAGCTAGTCGAGTCGAGCCGACCGCTGGCTGCAGGGGCGACTGGATGAGGAAGATTGTGGGTCCTGCTGCTGGAGAAAGACGAACCATCCTCGCATAGCGCGATGGACGCACAGGCCAAGATTGCGTGGAGCTCCTGCAGGCGCCGCAAATGCCCGGAGCAGCCATGCCGCGACTTGAGTGCACAGTTCACCAAGTGCCCAATACGCAGCTGTTTAACACACAACATAAGGTCGAGGATTTGGTGACGGGACGGCGCGGGATACGGGGCCCAAAAGAAGAAACAAAGTTGCATGCCGTATGCGATCGGCAAAGGATTCCCCGGTTGGCCTGCGGCGGCGGTGGGCTCTGTCATTGGAACCTGGAACGGGAATGTCAAGGGTCCGACCGACAGGGAGTCAACAACTCACAACGCTGTAGGAATCGTCGCAAGGCTCATTGGAAGCTGAGGTTGGAAGGCCACAGGATGAATTCACATTATGGCTCCGTCGGATAGTTACTGCGCAGCACCACATCTGGCGAGGTACTGCACCCTTCAATCTATATAAATTGAGGTCCGCAGTTCGCACCATCGGTCTTCTGGGGGAGCCACTCCAACACGACGATTGGCGATAAATCTGAGGCCAGAGTGGTTAGATACTGGCCGTTTGCTCGAACGTTGTTTGGTATGTACCACCCCGCAACTTCGGCGGCCCAAGCGTGTTGAACGATGCTGTCGGGTGCGTGTGATTTGAGAAAATGCGGTCAGCCGTTCACCGTCGCCAGCACCGTGGCTCGCGTGGACACTGGACAGCTCCTAGCCCGAAGTGCTGTTGGACGCAGCTCTGATCCTGCCGTCTCTTCCGTTCCCGTCAGAGATCGGGCAATCCGCAAGGGCTTTTTGCATTTGCCTCTCTGGCGATCGGGACCAGCACCAAACTGCTCTTGGCTTAGTCCGACGCTGCAGACGAGGGGTGCTCACGCTACTGTCGGGAATCGTTAGCACCGTGTGGCCAAGACTGGATGGAAGGTTCGCATAGCAGCATGTTGCCACATACGGGTCAGCCACATGGTTCTGAACCAAGGACCAAGGGCGCGGTAGGCTGTATACAATGAGCGTTCTAAGCTATTACTTATTATTAGGTATTGTACCTACCAATGCTCTATGCCCGGCTTATTGGTAGTCTCATCTGGGTAGTCTCTTGTTGCTGTTGAACTGGTAGTCCTGCACACAAAAGTATAACTATACCGGAGACCGGGAGAGGCGGCGACATAATGTCCCTCGGCAGGATGCAACAATAGGGTTCTTGCGTGGGCGCGTCGCCTCGCCGTCAGAGGCGGGATTCCTACATAGACTAAATGCTTCACTACCCCATACATACGACCTAGATACCTACATTGTAAAGCCACATCCGGCAACCTTGTCGAACTCTCTCTGTGATCTACGTTGGCCCGCAGCAATATCGGACTCCCATTCATCATTCGTGCGCGCCGAGATTCCAGAAAAACTAAAATGTCACCCTACCGCAGTCGCAGTCGGCAAGACTCAGGCTTCTGTCCAATCGATTGTACACGTACTTCGGGTAACCATCGTGCTAACCAGGAATCGCCTTAGCGGGATGCGATGTTGCGTGTTCTGACCTTGCAGCTTGTATGTAACTCCTCGCTTCGATTTGCAATTGCACATGCGTTATCTACATAACATCCAGGTTACAAGTCCGGCACATTACCCACCTAAGGTAGGTACGTCTCTGTCTTCTCTCAACAAGCCAGCGAAAGGGCTCTAGAGACTTCAGGGCTTCCATATAACGCCCACCGTTCCGATGAATATTGTCGTCTGGGCTATATAGGTACCGTAGATAGGAGGAATCAGACAGATGTCACTTGGAACCCCATAGGGTCTGTGCTGCTGGTGGTTGAATTGACTTGTCTGAAACGGCATGGCGAAGCGAGCGATGGAGGGTCACCCTGGCACCCACAGTCGACACCTACCTAGTGTATGTACGCAGCCTGTAGATAAGATCCCCTGGAAGCACAATCTCGGAACTAATTCAAGTCAATCATTAAAATAAGTTCAGCTGTTAGTACATACAATTTATGTCTCAATGTGAGGAAGAGAGAATGAACTGTCCTCGATGCCGTGTGAGTCCCGAAGATTGCCGGCCCGGCCTTGTGGCGGAATCATCGAATGAAGAGTGGGGTTCCACCGAGCCCGGTGACGGAGAGGTATCCTTGCCCCTTCAGGGTTCAGTGTTGCACCACCACTCCACCTCCGTTTGTGGCCCCTGGGGCCAATGTCCCCAACTTCTCCATCGAACATTGCGGCTAGCGCATGCTTTTCTGGAAGATGCGCAGCACTTGAGCTTGGCACAGTCCACATGTTACGGAGCGGGCTGTTTTTTATTAATTTGGCTCCATACCATCTTCGGCGCGCGCTCGTCTGGTCACTTGTAGCCCGGTTTTGGCTTCTTTTTGGGGCAAATTCCTCCGGCCTTCAAGTTCGCTCGCCCTATTTCCTTTCTCCTTGCCGTTCGTGCGACTTGGAATGCTGAACCGCGGTCGATAACTTTGATGGTGTGTCTTTTTGGTGGACGGTTTTCGTTGACGAAGTCGCCCTTCTGCTCGGTGCTTGCTGGGAAACGGCTGGAACGGCTCTTCGTCCTTTGGCAGTCCACTTCTTTCTAACAACATGCACCTCCTTTAATGGCTAATGCGTTCCATTCCCGCCCGAAGCCGACACCCCTAATCGGGCTCCCTTTTCGGTCTCCTTTGTCCACCAGCCGACGAGAAAGCATAGCATCAACTATGGAGGGCGCTCTCACCATGCCCCCTGACCGGGGGACTATTATCGGCAGAGCAGCCTGGAAAGTGAGAAACCGGTCTCCTTGACTATCGGCTAGGATCACTCGCTGACCGTCTGTCTGGCAGATGCGATATGTGGTCGTCGGAGGCGCGAACCGAGAGCAGCCGCAAGCCGCGACCATCAACCGGCTCCAATCCAACCGCGCTTCGAACCCCGGGGAACTTGGGAAGGCAGCTTCGGAAGGCATTTATCTCTCCATCTACAAATCCAAGGTAAGTGCTTTTCGCTACTGGTCCAGACGTCCCATCAGCGCGGCGCGCCTTCTGTAACGCTGACCATGCCTGCTCGAACAGGAGGATCCGGAATCATTGATACAGCAGTACTCGATCACTTCAATCGCCGAGTGTCAAGTTCAGATGCTGGCGCACCGCAAGCAAGGCCCGATCCTCCCAACACTGGTCATCAATGTTCTGCCAGATCCCGCCTTGGACAAGGCCAGGAAGCGGCGTTCGAGTAGGACCGCCGGTTTCACTGCGCCGAGAGAAACGGGCCCTACGACGCTGCTCTTCCGACCTGGGGATGAACAGCACACGCTGCAAGAATGGGCGCAGTACATCCGGCAGCTCATCCTACCCTTTGCCTATGATAGAGCACCGCTGAGCCCGGTAACGCCTGCCTCGCCCACCTTCATCAACCCGTTCTCGCCTCGCCCCAGGGAGCCCAGCGACCCGCAGCAGAGGCCAGACAGTAGGAATGGCTCCCGTTCGGTCTCCTTTCTGAAGAATTCCTTCCAATCGCAAGCTGGACGCGACCGTCCCGTGACATTTTCGGATTCCCCAAGCCTACGCTCAAAACGAAGCGATATCTCATCACAAACTAGCTCGGTGAACCAGTCTCACATGGGTTTCAATAATTACACCACCATGGTCGGTCCTGCCGATCTTCCGTCTCCAGCGACAACAATCGGGGAATATCAGGGGGAGTTTATCGAGGGTTGGACGTCTGCTCAGGGCAGATCGTCAGCGCTCAGCTCGCCCATCAGGGGCCGTGAGAGCGTCAGTTCGCAAGCGCCAACCGCCTTACCAACAATACCGGATTTCCACACGCCGCCTGGCCCGCGAGAAACGATCCTTGATCGGGCGTTCCAGATGCGCCTCATTCCCGGTTCCGAGCGGGAGGTCCCGGGAGAGGAGAAAATGAGCTCTCTGGCTAGGTTCGACGCGCTGATGCGAGAGATGGACGAGAAGAGGAGACAACGCGAAGCTGAGGAGGCAAAGTCGAAGCCTGAGGCCGCCGCCGCGCCATCCTTCGGAACAGAGGGTTCCGAGCCGAAGAGTGCCTTCGATGACGATGACGATGACTCGGACTCGGACTCGGACGATGACAGTGACAGTGACAGTGATGATATGGTAGCGGAGGGAGACGTCGAAGATTACTTTTCGGCACCAGCGACATCTGCGCAGAGAGCTCTGGATTTCATCACTGGGAGATATGAACCCACCGGACGGTACCAGTTGTCGTCGCGTTCCATGAGATCCTCGTCGAGTTACAACTACGAGGCTTACAGGACACTATCAGCTTGTGGGCCTTCCCAGCTACGGCCGCACACAGGCTATTCCAAGAGCCGGAGCAGGCCCGGGATGGCGCAGAGAACACACAGTCAGCCGCATATGGCATCGATACTGGCATCGTCATCAATGCCTCTGGAGGGCGCTGCGTCGTTTCCAACCGGAGACTCCGAGGACGGGCCTGGGACATTCAGTTTTACTCCAGGGTCGCCATCGGCCGTCCACCGCAACTCCGGCTCAGCCGAAAAGCGGCAATCGGCGTCAAGCGCCAAGCATCTCAGCTTTACCGAGTTCACAAGACGGCTCAGCAGCACGAGTAGCTTGCTGATAATGCAGACGAATGCCAGCGGGGCCAACAGCAGCCGCGCAAGCAATAGCGACATGGATCTGCAACAGCCCCCGCATTCGCCCCAGCAGTCTTTGCCTCATTTGCATCCCAGAATCGGGCCGGCCTCGCCCCTTCACCAGTCCCTGCCGCAGTCTCCGCCGCCGGCGAGTGAGCGCGAGCGGTGCGGATGGCGGGGCAGTGTCGGCGTGTTTGGGGGCGCCGAGGGCGGCTTCCTGTAAAGCGAGCGGCGCAGGCCACTCCTCCAATTTCAAACCTCATAGTCTCTTCTCGACGCTTGATGATATTCTTCAGAGCACGTTTTCGGTGTTATACAATATCCGGTATTTCATTCGGAGTCATAATGCGATGTTTAGTGGAGCCACGGCCGGGGAGCAACATGCATTCAACTTAGGTTCCATCTTGAATTCTTTCGGCAATCCCGAAGCTTACCCTTGCCTATTTCGCCATCGCCACCCTTTCGAAGCCGCCTACCTTCCTCACTCAACCATCTTCTGTCCCCGACCCCGTGACGACCGGCTCAATGACCGAGAGAGCATTTCCAAGTGCGTCTGGCGTTAATCATTAATCTATCACAACACCACCGGGCTTTTTTCGCCCGCGAACTTGGGGATGAGCAGCCTGGAGAGTCATGAAGAAACGGTTATTTGGGTCTGTGTAACATGCTTACATTTTCGTTCTTCTGCCTCATTGGGATCAACTTATTGCTTCTCATTCGTCTTCTGGGTAACAAGCAGCATTTTGGATTCCCACATTGGGAGAAGCTATTTACGGTGCATGAAGAAGGGCGTATTGTACTGTCCATACAGATATGTAGTACACTGAAGCATCCTATGCATACCTCGCCTTCCAGTACATATAACAGAATTGACAAAGATTTAAAGCACATGCACCATGAGTACCAGGTAATAGGTAGACTTTCATGTACCTGCACGCACATACCTTACGTAAGGTACCTAAGGTACCTTATCTCCCACTCCCCTTATCGTTAGATCAAAACAGTCCATACACAACGTAAACTCAGTCAAGCAGGGCGACATTCGGCTCAGGCCTATATTAACTATCCTCAGACTCTCATAGAGCCAACCGACCCGTGGCTCGATTCATGTCTAAACCTCTCCAGAAGTCACATGTACGGTACTAGTACACTTATATTGCTCCCTGTCTGTGTCTCTGCAAGGCTCCTGGCAGGTTGTAACATGGGATCAAGGGTTTCTCCACCAGTTCTATCTCTCACCGAGAGCGACGTCTTCCCTTTCCGTCCGTGTCCCCCATTATCATGAACGATATCGTACAACATCTACGCACTCACGGCTGAGAGATTGCTGATAGACCCGAATTCATCTTCGTGTCTGAGTCCTATCTAACCGAACACACAGGCTGAAGATACATAACCACAGTCACACCCGTGTCTTCCAAACGCCACGAGTCGCAATTCCCACAGATTATTTTCATGTCATGGCAGCATACCTACTACCATACCTACCCGGTCCCTCGCTGTCTAGATCCCGGCCAAACCATAGTTAAGCAGTTCAGCCTAGGCACTCGCACTTTTGACCCGGCACAAACACCGTTCCCAACCGCTGCCCCCGTCCAACGCGATCCATCACCGGGGTCAAACTCCACCGCCATTTTCGGCCCCTCTTAGGCGAGGTACGGAGCCAAGGCGGCCTTCGCCTCGGGAGACAACCGCTCCTGCACATAAGTGACAATCGTGCCACCATGCCGCTGGTTCGCCTCCTTCATGTACTGGCTCACCCACTTGTCGACCTCGACAATATCGGGGAAGTCGTCGCGGGGCCCGCGCTTGCATGTGTTCAGCGGTGTGAAGCCGACGCCAAAACCAATATCATCGACGTCTGCTTCGTTGACGATCTCGTCGCCGACCCCGGCAGCCACCCGCGGCGGGTTCTTCAGCAGGTCAAGCAGGTTGTTGCACGTGAAGCCCCAGCCCTTCTTGTAGCGCTCTGCGAAGTTGGTTGACTCGCAAAGCGTCTTGGTGTACGAGATGACGCCAAGCTTGCGGTCGACGGGCCGGGCAAACTGGCCCGTCGTGGGCAGGATGACCGTGAGGTAGAAGGGCGTAAAGACGTTGGCTTGGATGGCTTCGGCGTGCCTGATGAAGAAATCGGCGCCCATGCCGGCCCTGGCCGAGACGAGATGGTAGAAGCGGGTCACGCGAGACTTGAAGGAGTCGGTGGGGTTCGCCTGCAGCTTGCTGAAGATGAGTGTGACAATGGTTCCGAAGTACGGCTCCAAGACATCCCTAATAATCATTAGATTCAAGTTACCGTCACGACACCAGGAAAGCCGGTTACGTACGCAGGGAATGTGCCGACGATGGCCTCGAGAATATCGAACGCGTTCTGTTCCGTTTTCTTCCCAGCCAAAAGACGCTGGAAGATGGCGAGGAAGGCTTCCAGCTTGTTCTCCGCCTTTATCTCCTCTGCCGCCTTGGGAATGATCGCTGCAATGAACCTGGACAGGGGCGGTACATTGCCTCTCGTCTCCCACGGGCCCGGGCCAAGCACAACTTCGATCAGAATCTTGAAATCTCCCGGAATCTGGCCCGAAGGGTTGAGCTCAAGGAGCAGCGCGGAGATCTGGAAGACGAATGGGACGAATTCTGCCGGTCGGGATCGTCAGAACACGTTCGGAAGATGTGTTTCCAGCCTACTCACCAGAGACGTCCTCGGAGAGGATGGCCGCAAAAGGGGCCCATAAGCGACCAATTAAGTCCAACTTGGGGTTGTTGCTGCAGTACCTGCGTGGAGTTAGTTGAGGGACGAAAATTAGGAGAGATACAGCGAGTTCTCACCTGACTAGAGCACCGATCGCTTCGAAGTGGTAGTAATAGAAGCGAGGGTTGCTGGGATTCTCCTTGATCACGTTTGTAATGCTGATGAGATGAGTGAGAACATTTCCGACGCCACAGTCGAATAGGCCCTCCTTCATGACAATCAACACCCTCATAATGCACCTCATCAAGAACTCGTTCTCTTGCAGCTTGGCAGCAGACGTGTCCTTTTCGATCAGGGTGAATAAGTGTTCTAGCAGATCCTTGGCATACGGCTGGATGTCGTCCCGCGTAAATAAGTGCTGCCCCTGGTCATCGGTCAGGAACAGCACTCTCTCAACAGCAATCGCCGCATAAGTGTAGACGACATAGTTAGTCGAGCCGAGACTCTGGATGAGGGGCTGAATGGCCGTGGCCCACTGCGCCTTGTTGAGCTGACTCCGGAAAGTATATAGATACTTGATGGCATCCACCTTCGCAATGGGCTCGCTCTCGTTGGAAAGGAGGTCCGCAGCGATGTTCTGCTCGAAGAACTCGACGACATTGACGTAGCTGTTAACCGTCTTCACTCCATGGGCGGCAGTGACGGCGCCCTTGGCGGCGATGGCAAGGAAGAGATAGACGGCGGTGTCCTTCGCCTTCCAGTCGTCCTTGCCGGCGGTCAGGTAGTGGTTGATGTATTTGAATACCACTTGTGTGACGAGCATTTCGAAGTTCTCAAGGAGTGCCCGCAGGAAGTCGGTTGCCGCTCTCCTTCGGGAATCCGTGTCTGAACCCTCAAGGTCGCGCCTGATGAACTCAATAGGCTCATCCTCAAACAGCTCAATGTCGGACTCTCTAAGTGCGACATTCGGAAGGATGACCTTCTCCACGATCGTGCCTAAGACCTCCGGGTTGTTGAATATTTCGGCATGGCGCCGCACCGAGGCAACCGCCGTGAGGAACTGCAGGGCCTTGCTAGTGAGGATATCATATCTCTTCTCGGGGCCGAGACTCGACAGCACATTCCAGACGTTGTTGGTGAACTCCTGAACGTATTGCCCAAAGTCGTCGTCGTACTTATTGGTAAATAGCTGAAGAGCATCGCATATGTCCGACTTCAGAGTCTCCAGCGGCGTGGCCTCGTCCTCCTCGCCGTCGAAGACAGGGTTGGTATAGGACATGTACTTGTGGAGGAGCAGAGTGATGTCCTTCAGGTGCGTCTCGATGATTGGCGGGATATCTTGGCATGAGAGGTCATAGAGAATCCTAATCAGTAGGCTCATAGTCTCGAGCCACCCCCTGAGGGCGGTGGCATTGTCTTGGTTCGCTCCGATTTGTTGGTCCGCGATCTATCACATGCCTGTTAGACGCGGGTCACGGGTCGCTACTCAGGGAGACTCTTCCTTACGCTCAGCATTTGAATGAAAGGCTCACCAAACGTCCCGACGACGTGCAGGATCTCCCTGTTGAGATCATTGGACTGAAACAAAGGCCGCCACCGCACAAAGATTGAATGTGCAACTTCCAACACGCCATTCGTAATCTTGTAGTCGGTATTGGAAAGACGGCTGACAAGGTCCTAAATCCACCATGTCAGCCGCGATTGTCCAGCAGGAATTTGCAATGGCTCCGGGGCGAACCTTGGTCAACGTGTCCCAACGCTCCCAGAAGTCCGAGTCGGCAATAATGCTGATGGCTTCGCCGAGCTGTGTCTGTATGGAGGGCGGGGACGAGATCATCAGGCCGACGAGCTCCTGTTTGATTGTTTGCACCTCATCCAGAGGGAGCTTATAGCTGCCCTCTTCGTCCTAACACGAAGTTAGACCCGTCGTATTTCGACCAAAACAGATTGATTGTACGCACAACATAATTGTGGCGGATGAAGTTCTTGAACGCGAGGGCAGCGGCAAGGCGAATCTTGAGGGGTTGAGCTGCGGAGCTCACGATGCTCAGGAGCGATAGCGAGTATTTGGGCTTCTTGGCTTCTTCTCTGAGAGCCGTCTCAGCTGCAACATCACATGTATTAGTTCTACTACGTGCTGCTTCCTCGAGCCCATGGTACTAGGCATGGCGGGGTTGTTGTTTGGGAACCGTAGCTCATGATCGAAACTTGCCTCTGCGATGGTGTTGCGCATCCAAAGTTGCGTTGAGCAACTGCGCAAGATGCTCCAGGGTAGAAGCCATGATGGAGCGGCGTGAGCTTCCTTGGGCAGCGTGGTGATTATGTCGAACTTCACAAGCCGAAGCAAGAAAGCAAAACACCAGAAAAAGCGGCAGCGGTTGCTAGAGTTATTGGTGGATTCTGCCGTCCAGCTTCTAGAAGCAGCATTAAAGGCAAGCCAGAGGGGAGCTGGTTCAAGGTGGGGGTGTTGCAGCCGCGCGAAAATAAAAGTGGGGATCCGGACAGACTGCGAAGAGCTGACCAATGATGTTTACTTTCACTGCTTGCCAGGCGACCCGCCTTTGCTGGTCCCCTTGTGTGACCCCGATTATGACTGGGCAGGGCAACTTCGTCGTCATATACCGTCTTGCTGTCCTGGTTGGCGGATGCAGCAGAAAAAAGTCTCTTCCTACAATTTTGCCCTGTGCATCCAGCAGCCACGCTAGTTATCATCTGCTGAACGATCGACAGCAGAGAGAAGCGACAAGTTTGATCACGCCAGACGAGCAATCACCTGTGAGGACTAGTTGCAGTTGGTACCCCACGCCGTGATGGTGTGTGGACTTGGTTAACCGGGAAACTTGGAAGCTGGTTCCCCTCATCCGCCTCTCTCAACGAAATCGAAGGTTGCCCGGTGGTCGCCTGATAAGTGGTGTCTTTACATTGGGGCCTTCCTGCCTCTCTGCCTGATATTTGGGCTTCACACCCTTTCATGCAGCTAACGTTTTGGCGCGTAAGTCATGTCTGATAATTCGCGGCTTGTGTCTCACTTCTCATATTTCGGCGCATGCCTTCGCGGAGTCCTACGGCCCATCTCACTCACCGGGGCTTTGTGGTCCATGCCTGGCCCGGCCGGCGACTCGTGCTGCACCTCTGCTCCATTCTGGGAAGCTACCTACCGTACCATGAATAGATGCATAGCTACTTATATTGCATCCCCCGACATCTGATCGATCGACCGGGACGATTCCAGCCCGCCTGCATGCGGCTGCTGCAAGCTCCTGCATCTTGCTGCAGGGCGGAACTTCTCCCATCCCGCGTTCTGGGTCTTGATTGTTGAACGTCACACTTTTCCCGCCGCTTTATGCTCAGCAACCTTTTTACCTCCCGGTGGTCTCGGCCACCCATGAGCCGCTTGCTAATATGTTGCGGAGATTAGCTTCTATAGGCGGCCACTCGGTCTCGGAGGACCGGCCCATGTCGCCTTCCCCTGGAGATGAGCAACAATCGCAGGAGACGAGGGCTACCGGTGGTCTTGCCGGCGTTTTCAAAGGGTTGGCAGGCGCTGGGAAATCGACCAAATCCCCGCCAATTCTGCAACAACCGTTCGCACCTATCCCCGGAGCTCATACGCTCCCTGGACGATCCGATGCCCGTCCTCCGCCGTCTGCCCTCCATGGGCTCTCCTCTGAGCACTCGGAGTGGTTCAGACACTTGAGAGATGGGCAGCTGAATGAGCGGGTCGCTGCTGCGAACTCCTTGCGTTATGCCATCTCTGACTTCCCTCTCAACCCGGTACGTGGTAATGCCCTGGATGTAATTGCTCACGATCGGAATCTGGTTCTAAATCATCCACTGCCAGGTCCATGACATTTGGAACGCTGCCAAAGACTTGATCGATCCTGAGCAGCCGGCACATGCTCGACAAGCCGCCTGGGAACTCCTTACCGAATGTATCAAGTACCCAGCCTCGACCGAGCTCGACCGCCGCGGGTATTTCCTCACCCTGACAGCGAAAGCTCACTCGGATGACTTCTATCTCCAGCTGGCTGCGCTAGATGACCTGACGAACCGAGGTCGCAATGTCACGGGGTTCTACTACGAAATCTTCCCGCTCCTGACCCAATGGCTACAAGACGCGTACATGGCTGCGAAGACCGCGCGGCGACAGGCCTCTCGCGAACCCGGCAGGCCTTCCAAGGGGAAGATTCTGGCGTCTGGCGAGGACAAGAACTTGTCCCAGCTGTTCACGCTCCTCAAGGATGTCATCAAATTCAACTCCAAGTTTGCCACGGATGCCGTGGTAGGGAATCTGATGGACATACTTCTCAAAATATGCATGAACACGAGCGTGGAAGATGACCTGAGGGCCTGTATTCAGGTCATTGATGCCGTGGTCACCTTCGGCTCCATCCCAAACGATAGGCTGAAGGACTGCATCCAAGTCCTCAGTTCGATCCACTGCTTGGTGCCAAACCTGCAGAAGGATTCGTGGCACACTTTATCCATGATTTGCAAGTCTCATCATGGCCAGTCGACCGTCAGGATATTGCTAGATCTATTGCGGACGTTCTCGACATCTCCCGACAGGGAAATGGATAAAGACCGGGTCAGGGACGTTCGCGGTGCGCTTTCCGTTCTGAAGAAACTCCTGTCCAAGACTGTTGAAAAGGGCTATCCGGCGGTCCCCTTGGCACTTCTTGTGGACGGGCTTGAAACTGTTGCCAAAAGCGGTTCCACGAGGATAGCGACTGAGATTCTGAGGTTGATCAATTCATTATTCGACGACCGCGAGGGCAATATCAATCCCATCCTAGTTGAGGAGCATTGGTCGCCCATATTCTCCGTGGCTGCGCAGTGTGCGACCAAGGCGGTCCATCTGCCGCCCAACACCGAGCCCAATGCGTCTGCCCTGCCGACAACCGCCAAGGAGGAAGCGGAATCGGAAGACAACGTGGCACACCAAATTAGGCGTCTGGTCAACCGGATCGAGAAGCTGGTGGCTCGCAACGACCCCGAAATGTTGCAGCACGATGAATGCATGATGTTTCTGGCTCAGGTCCAACAAGCTCTTCCAGACTCAGCAGCGGCTCTGGTGGTCGCATATCTGAAGGAGACTCGGGCTTGTTTCCCTTCAGAAGTATGCTGGAAGCACAATCTCGACCTCGTTCTGGACCACTTCTATCTCAATCGCGGCCGGGACCCCCCTACTCGACTGCGTGCCCTAGAAACCATCATTGAAGTGTACGACTTCCTATGTCTTGCCGAAGGCCTAGTCGGGGAGGAGTCGGTCGATGACCTCGTCCAGCGGCTACTTTCTGGGCTGCCCGAGGAGAACGATAGTCTCGTCCTCCAGGAAACTGTGGCTTTCTTGGTTACTGTGGCCGCCACGGCGGGGGATCGTCTTTTCGACGGCATCCAGGATGCGTTCAGGGGCGTGATCGCCAAGGACATGTCCAGGCCACCTCTGTCGGTGTTCGCGCCGGCTCCGCACAAGGCTGACTCCTCCAATTCCCGCCAGTCGGTGTATTGTGCGAACCAAAGCCTGTCCAACGTGGTCACGCGGGGCTATGTCCAGATATTCATCCAAGCAATGATCAGCGACGGCTCCAAAACTGCCAAAGCATACACGGCACTTGTTCATATTGCTCGCTCGAACTCGGTTGAAGTCGACGCTCGGCTCACGGCTATGAAGATGCTCTTTCGCCTGCGGGCCGACTTCGAACACCAAGTCTACCTCACGAAATCAACTGGGGCGGAAGCTCTTGCCGGAACCCTGTATAGGACCGAAGCGTCTCTTGCGCGCAAGTTGGCTGAAGATGCGGCGCAGCCCGCCAGGCCATCGAGGCCGGACTACAGCGGAGGACGGCCGACGCGCGGCATATCATTTACTCAGGGCCAGACGGCAGAGAGAGGAGGAATCCCCATTCGGTCGGCTTCTACCCCGAAGCCTACCCTCCAGCAGCGTCAAAGGCTCTGGTCGGTGCCCGACGCGGATGCTCTGCCTGGATCTCCTCCGGCGAGGCCGAGCCCGCTTCTCGTTTCGCACGAGCGCGACACAAGCGCAACAGTGTTGAACATGAATTCCTGGCTGGAGGCTCTGTTGAGTCTCCTCGTCCAAGGGTGCGATTGGGAGGTCTACAGCTTTATCCTCGTCCACCTCCCGGCCCAGCTCAGCAATCACCCCCTGTTCCGGGGTTGCGTCCCTCACATCCAGGAACTCCGGCGGCTGATTTGCGAAATGATCCGGTCGAACAGCTTCCAGGAGCCGCCGCATTCGTCGGGCCTTCGCCGCACCGACGTCGCCAACTGCCTGTTCCACTCCCTGATCATGGTCACCAGCTACCACCATCACTTCCAGAAGGTGGACGAGGACGAGATCGTGAGGACTTTCATGCATGGGATATCAGACAAGACGGCAAAGACATGCATCCACGCGCTCTCGGTGTGCTCTCATGAGCTGCCCATGTCGGTGAGCAAGTCCCTGGTCACGATCCTGCAGAAGATGTCGCAGGTCATTACCCAGCCGTTGGTGGCGATGCACATCCTGGAGTTCTTAGCCTGCCTCAGCCGCCTGCGTCCGCTGTACTCCAACTTCCGCGAGGACGAGTACCGCATCGTTTTCGGCATCTGTTTCAGATACCTCCAATACGTCCGCGAGAAGAAACTGGCCATTCGTGCCAGCGTGGCGAGCGAACCGACTACGCCGAGCGTCGGCACGGCGCATCAGCCCGACGTCCTCGCTCAACAACCGGCCGTGGATGATCTCCCGCAGTACGTCTATGCGCTCGCATACCATGTCATCACGTTTTGGTTCCTTGCTGTCAAGCTGCCCGATCGACCCAACCACATTGGCTGGATTACCAAGAACCTGTTCACAGATGTAGACGGGAGCGCCAGTAATGAGGAGCACGCACAGATTACTCTCGACTTCATGCAGCGTGTGGCTTTTTCGGATGCCAGCGATTCCGCCCAGGACCCTCAGTTTAAGGAACAATACTTTGGCGAGATTCAGAAAAAGCGGTGGGTCATTGGAAACAGCATCGTCACGATTCGGCAGGCCACCGGGTCATCCTGGGCCGAGATCACGCGTCGCTATCCTTCTGGCACGTCGTCGTATGCGCTGCGTGTCGAGTTCACGCCGACGCCGGATCTGCCAGCCCCTGACGGCTCCGACGCGGCGGCGTGGGAAGGGCGTTTCCAGCATGGCATGACCATCTTCCCAAGCCACCTGTTAATGCAGCTGCTGGCCCCGATGCCTCAACTGTACGACCCGACCATCCGGCCGATCCCGCTTCCCGATGAGGACGGGGTCGACCGAGCGATCCGCGTCTTTGATCGGAACTCGCCTGTGGACGGTCATAAGGTGGGTGTCATCTACATCAAGGAAGCCCAGACGCAGGAGACCGAGATCCTGGCCAACACGGTCGGTAGCCCGGACTATCTCCACTTTCTCAAAGGGTTGGGCGCCTTGACGAAGCTGAAAGGGGCGACCTTCAACACTCAAGGCCTCGACCGGGAAAATGATATGGATGGACAGTATACGTATTGTTGGCGAGATCGGGTCACGGAGATTGTCTTCCACGTAACGACACAGATGCCGACCAACCCGGAGACTGACCCACAATGCATCATGAAGAAGCGGCATATCGGCAACGACTACGTCAACATCGTCTGGAACGACTCGGGCGTGCCCTTCAAGTTCGATACGTTCCCGTCCCAGTTCAACTACGTCTACATCGTCATCACACCCACGCCGTTCCGCCCCTTCACCGCCTGTCACATGCAGCAAGAGGAAGACAGCCCGCGGTTTTGCATGGTGCAGGTCATAAGTCGAGCGGACTTCCCCGAGATCTCGCCCGCGGCGGAGCCGAAGATGATCAGCCTCAAGGCGCTCCCCACCTTCATTCGGCTGCTCGCGCTCAACGCCTCGGTCTTCTCGCTCGTCTGGGCCCGCAGGGAGGCGGGTGAGCATGTGTCCTCGTGGCGTGAACGTCTCCGCCAGATCAACGAGCTGCGCCGCCGCTACGGCCCGAAGGGAAGCCATCCCGTCGCGCCCTCACCGCCGCCCGGCGCGATCAACACCACTGCGGTGGCTGCGGCGGCGGCTGCAGTAGCAGCAGCGGCGGCCAGCGGCGCGTCCGTCATGGGTGGCCACCACCAAACCGCCAACCAGGGACCGTCATTGGGAGGAGGAGGCGGAGGAGGAGGCGGCAGCGGCAGCGGCACCGATGGCAACGCCATGGCTCCTGGCATGGGTAGCAACGCGCCGCGGGGGGGAGGCATGCGAGACAGCTTCAGCAGCAGCCTGCGGAGGTCGTCGGTCGCGACCTTCTTTACCAGTGCCACAAGCGCCGACCAGTCGCATCGCTCGAGCATGCTGTCGACGGTGACAACGGAGAATACCGAGGTGCTGCAGCCGAGCACGGCGGAGGCGTTGGTTGACTCGGTGGATTTCTCAAAGTGGACTTGACTTTTGCCGGCGCGTGGCATGGTTGGCTTCTTCTTTCTATCCTGGGAAAGGAATGCATACGCATGGACGGGCAGCTTTGCGTTAGGTTACCGTGACCAGAATGGATATGGGTCGGCGTAGAAAGAAAAAGAAACAAAGAGGAGACGGGCGAATAGTTCCAATAGCTTGGGAATGTGGTGTTAGCATGTCCTTGTCAATTTAGAGGATACTAATGGAATCTCACGAGAACAAAGGCCTATCATCCTTTTCCATCTTCCACCCCCTATTCTCTTCCATGAAGTGTATACCAGCATCAGCGATCCGGCTTTCCTCCCCACCGGTCAGATCATCACATTAGATGACCCAGATGCGGTGCTCGGATGATAATATTCATTAAGCGGTGTTACACAGTGAGGCAGAGCAATATGGAGCAAGAGGAAGGTGAGAATGCCGAGGAGTTGAGGTTGGGGTGGGATAGAGTTGGACCGGACATCATGGGTGTATAGCACGCGCAGTATTGACTATAGAATAGAGTATGCAGACATGTGCATGGGAGGTCTTGCATAAATTCCACAGTACAGGAAGGTGTGTGCTTTTCATGCGCAGAATTTTTAGGAAGAGAACGATATCTGTATTGTACCATACCACCGAAACTCATCAAAACCTGTATCACCTCAGCTCACCGCCAGACGCCATGGTCTAGCCTTGGGATAGATATATGCATGAACATGTCCGTTGGCTTTGCGATGGTGATTGGGACCTGGCCTTTCTGCGCTTCACACGCACACCACATGTGCGCGTTGCATGCTCGACATGTTTCTTTGTGCTTCTCTCCTCGCCACGGAGACGCAGGTGGTGTGGCAAACGGTTGCCAGAAGCCGTTTAGAAGGCAGCACAGGACCAGGAGGAAGGAACCCAAGCGTTACACGGCATCCTTCACGTTTACCATTAAACGAGGTTTCGGGGAGGGACGGGGGGACCCAGAGACGGAGCGAAAAGTGAAGCAACGCAGGAGAAATGGGATGAGACAGACATCTCCACATCTCCTCGGTATTTCATGCCGATAACCTAACGCTAGATTCGACAGGGTCGGAAGGTTGAGGTCCCGAGAAACGACATAAGCCCGGATCGAGAAAGATGAAACTGTCAACCTTGGGAACTTCCCTTCTTATCCCCCCATTTCCTTTCTCGACAAGCCAGGCCTAGCTATCTCCCATCTCCTCATCCTATGGACCCCCACCTCCCCGTTTCCATCTCTCCCATCCCCGATTGGTACACTGGGATAACCAACGCAGGAGGTAGCTTAGTATTGATGTGCCGGACGGAGACTGGGAATGGGGGGCGGGGGATGGCTGGCAGGGTAGGCCGGGATGTACATACTCCATGGTTCGTGCCCAACTGGTCGTGGTCAAGGCCATGCAGCTTGTAGGTCTTGTCGTGCTGAGGTCGCAGTGCCAACCCATAAGCATGTCGGGTTTCTCCTATACTATAGCGACGTAGGTGCCGCTCCCGTGCAGAAGATCCTAGGGCGGACAAGTCCGGCGCGGCGTAGCCCGTACCGCCGCCGCCGCCGCCTTCCCACATATCGACTGGGGCCTGAGGGACCGAGCGTGGGATTGGGCGCAGGTACGGATAAAAATCCTTCTTCCTCTGGGAAAGGGTTGACGTGAGTCCGGTGTATGTATGCACACTGACCCGGCGGTGTGACAGCAGACGCCGAGGTTCATCCCACGCCATAACAACCCCTCTCTGGCCTGTTTGTTGAGCATCACATGTTGTTGTGCCATGTACAGTCAGCCAGGTTCGAACGGGCGTGACCGTATGAGGCCTGGTTACACAAACCGGACGATATCGGGTAAGCGGCGTTTTTGGCCACAGCCACTGAGACCCCAGTGAGAGAGTACTCAGTAAGATCGGGTAACCCGCTGCGGAAATGCCGTGCGAGATCCAGGGCGGCGAGGGCAATGACAGAGGTAGCTGCCCCAAGAACAAAATGGCCACTCTTGCAACGGCCCGTGTATCAAGCACGGCGTGGTGTTGCGGGGTCCTGTTGTTGACGGCGGTTGACTGTGAGACACACAGGGGAAATGGCCCACTATTTGGATGAATGAGGCAGGCGATGACGGTTGAGACTTGAGAAGTATAGGTACCTATGTACTGACCGCCAGGTCACTGCCGTTCGCCAACAGTGGGGCTTCGCATTCTCTTACTGGATAAGGCAGTTTTTTGGGTCAGGCAGTTTTGCTCAGAGTGATCAGTAAGGTATGTACCTAAGGTAGTTATCCCGTATTCAGGTGCTTGGTTGGAACGCTCGGTCATTGCTGACTGCGGTGTCAGATGACGGGTCCAAGCCAGTTATTTGCCGAGGAATCGCGTCGCAAATATCAAGCTGCGCAGCAGGCCCGTGCTGCATGTCGATTGTAACTCTTGGTGGTGTCGAAAAAGGCGGACAAGCAAGTATGGGTATGCGGTCGCGCAGCCGCTGGGTGTGCAACTCTCTACTCAGCTCCGTGGCTTGCTTGCGTTTGGGGGCAGCTTCCCGCCATTCTGTCCGATTAAATAAGGCGGACCACTGGCTGGTGCTCTAACAATGTCATTTGGGGGCCGGAGACTGCTTTGAAAGCCCAGGTTGAACCGGCCGTCCACGCCGCATAATCTGTCGGATGAACTTTGAGAACTTTGAACCTGTGTTCCCCGTTTGCCCTCGCTTTGCGCCACGGACACCGGAACGCCTTTCTCTAGACATCTCGCCAGACGTCTCTGTACGTAGCCCACTTCTGGAAGCCTGATGTCACGGTCAGTCAGTGTTCGTAAAGCCAGCCATGGATGGTACTTTTTGGCAGCAACTCACCCATGGATTGGAACCCCTCGACCCCGCCTTTGATGGCGTCAATGAGGAGCGAATTCATCCCTTGATCTGCAAGAAGGCGGATGCAGCTGTCAAGCAGCCTAATCATTATGGCATCTCGCTTGGTTGCACCATCTGGTCCCTCATCTGGGGGTAATTGTCAGCATTCATACATTGAACACGGGGGGCGGTATTCAACAATGCCACACTCACTGCTTACGGCGATGCATGTGACACCCCCGACATCGTCGCCGATGGTGTTGGCCCAGGGGAGATCTTCTGCCGCCGGGCTTCCGGTGCCTTTGGAGTACGTCAAGGCTGCCGCGATGATATTGCCTCCTTCAAACCCGACGATGACATCCCGGATGTTCATCGTGCCGGCCAGCTTGGCGTACTGGTCGTACCATCCCAGCGTGCCGTCTTTCTTCGACACCCTCCCGACGAAATCCAGCATCATGTCGAAGTCGCGGAAATCGCAGGGCCGGAAGGTGAGCCCCGACGGCATAAGGCTTGTTGCCGGCCAGTCCTTGAACTTGAGAAACCAGTCCGAGACTTCCTGCCCCGAGCCAGGAGCCGCCGAGAAAGGCTGTATTGGCCACCGTCTCCGTCGAAACCAGTCCTCCGAAGGCGAGCCGATCGGCAGCCCGTAGAACAGCCGAGGAAAAGTGCTCCCAAGCTGTAGACGGAAGACCCCGCGCGTCTTGGTAAGTTGGCGCAGCGCATAGTCGTGCAAGCTCATTCCAATGCCCCTTTGTCGGTAGGATGGTCGCACGAGGAGAACCGCCAGAGAGCCGAGCAGATGCTCCCCGCCGCTGTCGGCATAGGTGGTGTAAGTGGCACAGAACCCCAGAACCCGTGAGCTTCCGGGCTCCCGGACGACGTAGTGCATGGCATACCCGTCGCGGCGGAGCAACGATCCGAGCTGGTACCGGCTGAGGCGGAATGCGGCCGGGAAGCACTGGCACCACAGGTCAAGGATCTCGGGTACGTCACGATTCGCATCCCATATTTCTACAGGCCAGACTCTTGGGGCTAACATGGCGCTCTGTAGGTTCAGTCCCGCGGGGCTTGGATTCCGGGACTTCCCAAACAGTAGATCGGCTGTTTTCTCCAGGTCTGAGGGGAAGAGGCTAGGCACATGCGCGACCGTCGAAAAAGACTTCTCGAGCGGTCCCAGTTCTTGCATGTCGCAGCAGGTCAGAATGATCTGGGGTCGATGGTCGCATAGCTGTCGCGTGATCTCAGCTAAGGCCATCTGTGAGGGCTGTCCGTGACGAGGAGGACCCGAGACGACAAACACCACAGCGGCGGCGAGTCTGATATGTACGACGTGAGTGCCGGTGATTCCATTCCGCGGCATGTACGGGACATGACGGACCCATGGGTGATACCTTGCCAGAGCTTTCCCGAGAGGCTCGAAGGGGTCGCTGGACGGGTGGTTGGGATCGCGATTCAAGGGGCTCACCTCCGGTATGACTGCAGGCGTCAGAAGCAGGATGATGTCGCCATCGTTGAGCAAACGTGAGAGGGGAATGCAAGACTGTGAGTCTTGTATGGATATCGAGCCTGGCCGCCCTGTTGCATCCATCTCCAAGGGGGGAGGAGTGGGCGCAGGTCGAGGGAGAATCCCTCTTAGGCCAGCTTTAGTGGTGAGGAGCTTCGAGGACCTCATCAGGCATCGATGTGTTCTAGTTGTCTGGTTAGTCATTGTCTACTTCAGCTTGCTTGAGGCGAAAGAAAACAGGTCCACGGTTATGGCTGGAGCTTGGGCTGGAAGCCCTCCCTCACACGTACTTGCCAGGAAACTTGATACTAAGTACTGTCCGCAACACGGCGTCGCCGTATGGGGCAAATCGTTCACCACGCTGCTTTCTCAGTTATGTGGTGGCTGAACACATTGTCGGTGGCAAGCGGTATATCAGATGTGAGTGGTCAGGCTTGACATCGCCTGCTTGTGATCTGTTCGGTCGTTATAAACCCCAAGTAGACGGGACCCTGGCGAGGTCCAACGGGTGCTTTTAGACGCACGACAACGGAGGATTCACACGCGCCTTCCTCGGGAACGCCGGGCTCGAGCCAATAGGATCGGCAGGGGGATGCACCACAGCAGCACCTGCTGTGTCGAGCAATGAGATACCGTAGCGGAGCAGGGACGCAAATTTTCTGCAAGTTGCAGCTCGGTCTGAGAGCGCTGTGACACTCAAGGACCGAGATGTCTGGCTGCCCGTCACACCCTGATCTTAGCCCATATAAGACTGGAGAACCGCAAAGCCGCGATCATAAGCAGTCCCGGTCATACCAAGCCTCTGTCAGCCAAACACAAAAAGCCGCCTGCGCCTTTGGGTGCCGGTGCGACCTGCCGGACAAGACTAAGCGGGTCAGACCATGTTGCAGCGTGCGTAGGAGCAGCACCGTCATTCCGAAGAGGCGTCGAAAGAAAACACCCATATAGACGGGGATCGAGTGCATGAGCAGTGCATCTGGACCCTAGATATCATTGGTCCGGCCGACAGGCCTGAAAGCATCTTCGGGTGGTACAGGAGCGCGCGGATAATGTCTCGCCGCGCATGACGCCAACCCACTACTTGTCACTGTAGAATCCTTGTGTTCGACAATACGACAGAGCGCTTGATCTGCTCGATGTTCGATGTCAAGTTAACGGGCTACCCCCTTGTCTTCGTTCGTTAATCGCAAGGTGGTAAGAGACATATAGGCGGCGCCAGCTCAGAGCCCCAGCGGTATGAGTCACTGCCCGTGTGCGTGCCTGGTGATATCGATGGGGGCATGAAGAGATGGGGCAGCAGCAGGTAGTATGGTTACACAGAAAACCGGCGGTTGCATCGAGACCATCGAGACTTGACAGACGTGGTAGCCCATGCCGTGTTGCGGGCGTCGGGAAGTTGGTAGGCCGTCCAGTCCTTTCCCGCAGGTATGTTCAATCGGGTGACCTCATGCCTGTGGCACCGCAAGGTGTCGAGGCTGGAACTTCTCAGATCCCGTTGCCAAGGCAAGCGACCTCCTTGGTATCCAATTTTGCCTTAATGACGAGGAGGGTTGGGGTCGCACAGGCGGACACAAGGATCGAGGTTAGACGGCCTTCTAAGTATTGACTGCGCAGCTCGATAAGTTCTTCAAGGCTCGGTGGTGTGTAATAAGTAGAGAGAGGAAGGGGGGTTGGGGGGGGGGGGGGGGGGGGGGGGACAGTGCATGTGTGGGGGCAATGGCGCCCAGAGGTCTGACGCACAGAAAATCGGAAGAAGGCCGAATACGTTGTGAAAAGGGCCCCGAGTCCTTGGCTAAGGACAAACCAAACCCTGATCCAGGCAGTTAAGGTATGCCGTATTAATGCACCAAGTCCAACAGTCAGGCAATAGGTTGGGGAAGGCACGCCTTGGGCAGCGTGAGAGCAACATTAGCTACATAGGTAGATAACGTTACGTGGTAGTGGTGAAATTTCAGTAAATACAATGTCAAAGGTGGGGTTTCAGAGAGCCTGAGAGACAATTTAATGGTATGTGGATTATCTGTGGGTAAGTTACGCTAGGTATGTATGTAAGGTACTTACGGACCCGTACAGAAAAGGCGGCTTACATCGATGAGGTATCCGTATTGTACCCACATCCAAAGGTAACGCGTCTGAGACGCGGGAGAATGTAGTAAAGCTGTTACAGCCTCGGGCAGCCTTACAATCACCGGGATCAGGTAGTGCGGTTGGTTGCATATGGGTTGACGCGCTGAACGCAATGCAAAAAATGCCACACTGACAGGAACTCATTAGACTCAAAAGGAAAGAAAAACGAGGAGAGGAAGAAAAAAGAAACGGCGAAAAATGACATCTCCGGAAGGCGATGACCTCGACCGTCTTCTAGGGGACCTTGAGGCGGGTATGGATGTGACACCCTTAGCCAGCACACAGATGAACCAGCGTTGCTGATGACTTTTGGTAGCTTCCAAGGTGCCAGCGAAGCGCCGTCAGGTTAGCATCAAGTCCACCGTCGAGAGAATAGCATCGCTCCTCAACGACCGGGGCGCGCTCCCGGATGAGCTGGCGCGCATTGTCGAACTGGTGACTGTCCGGAACCAATTGGACCAGGCCAGCCTCGCCGCCATTCTCCGGAACCTGTATCCGTTGGGGAAGGTCAGCGATGAGGTCGTCTTGCGCATTGTCGGTGCGCTGGGTCACGGCCAGCTCAAGCCTTTACTCCCTCTCCAGGCTTTGATGCTCCGGTGGCTTGTGATGGTCTACCACCTGCTGGAGAAGCCGGCCATCCTGTCACAGACATACGGCGTTCTGTTCGGCCTGCTCGATACCGCTGCAATCAGGTAACCATACGTCGGGCCCGCCCTTCAACCGAACGGGGCTGACCCCTCCTGGCAGACCGCCGCTGTGCCATCTCCTTGCGCTGGTGACGAGGCGAAAGCACGTGAGGGCATTTCGCATACAGGCCATGTAGGTTCATTTATGGCGTGGCACTGCGGTCAGAGCAGCCCTGACAAGGAGACCGCAGACTCAACCTGTTCCGGCAAACGGGCGGCGACCCCAACCTGACGGGTCTGCTACGCGTCTTCAAGAACTACTATCCGGAGATCATTGTGGGCGACGCCACCAAAGGGCGAGCAGCAGCCTTCAAGGTAGGCTCTGACTGGGAACGTCCAAGGTGTTCAAATGCTGACCTCGTGTGTAGCACCCCGATCCGCAGTGGCGTGCAAGGCTCGACGAGATCCAGCAACAGCACTCCGAACACCAGGACGATGGGGGAGTCAGGAACGGCTTTGCTGTCAACCATGCCCTGGGTCGGCGGCTGAAAGGGACGAAAGCTCTGTTCCCAACCGTCCACACCCTCCACGCCCACGAGGTATAGCCCCCCCTCCCGTCGCGAAAGATGGAACATCTGCTCTTTGTATCTAACCGGTCAGTAGGACTCGGTCACCCTGGAAGAGATCGACAGCGCCGAGTCGTTGGCCAAAAATCTCGAGAAGATCGAGCTGCCGAGCCAGCTTGTTGCCGTCCTGGCCGATCCGCTCCTCCAGAAGCTCCTACTCTTACGGCCAGATGCGGAGGCTTCGTCCCGCATCTCCAACTGGTTGATGGCATGCGTGGATGACGTCGCCAGAGGAGATGCTGACCCGGCTTACTTGGAGGACATGCTCGAAGTGGTTCACGACTATGCAGTCTCCACCAAGGTCAGTAAACGTCGGTTCGGCCGAGAGACGGATCGGCTCACTCGTTTTGACAGACATTGCCCCCGTTATTACTCACTTTCTTCGAGCGGTATCTGAGCGTCTGGAATGGATCCCACAATAGGGATTTGGTCTTCGAGGCCTTGAGCTTCGTCCCATTGTTGGAATTCAAGGGTCAGTATCTCTTGTCATTGATCTCGCAGCGCTGAGACTAAAAAGAGCAAAAACAGCTCTGTCCAGGATTCTCGAACTGCTGGAGCATGCAGTACTGGACAACACGCCAGCCTCCCAGGTGTCCGTTCTGAAATTCTACACCCTCCTTCTCCGGCGTTGGGCAGTCACCGTGGAGGTCTCAGGGCATCTCGACTCCCTGCCATGGGCCTCAATACCAGAACTTATCCAGCGCGTCAACAGGCTCGCCCTGACGCTGACACAAACCTCCCCCACTGTCGGCACTTACCTAGCCATCCTGGACTCCCTTGCGGCTTCCTCCCGACTGTACTCCAACCCGGAGATGCTACAGCACATAGAGATAACGATTCCGCCTCCCACCCTCGTCTACCTCTTATTCTTCAGCCCGTCGCTAGCAGTCATGTCACGGCTGTGCGGCGTGTTGGTCGCCTATAAGCGTGCCCTGGAGGCCGTCATGTCCCCGTCGGCTGGGCGCGAGCTGTCGCAGCGCGAGAAGCCCCAGGTCAACGTGTTCAATGGCTTCCTAATGGACCTTTGCAACTGCCTGTGGCGTGGCCGTGCCTTCTCCACGACGGACGTCAATGCCCAGGGGTGCCGCATCCCGCAATCGATCCAACCAGCACTCCAGTCGTACCTACGGGCAGCAGACCCGGACCTCTCGCTGAGTACGGCGTTTGACTTGTCGCACTCGCCGCTGCTGTGTCTCCAGTCTATCTCCTCCGTGCGGTTGCTGGAGGAAGTTGACTTGGAGGGAATCCGATCCAGACACGCCGGGCCCGTAACGCAGTCTTCGCTAAGCCAGCTCGCTCATCGGGGAGGTCTGAATCTGTCGTGGCAAGAGTATAGGGCTGGCGTTCTGGATCACCTGGAATCGCAGGGGTTTTCGGGTGTCTCTCAGCTGATGCACAACACGATGAAGAATCTCATGAAGGCGAAAAGGTGACGATGAGTCAAGGACATTATATGGAAGATAACCCCCCACCCCGTGTGTATAGCGAACTCGGAACGATAAGTGGACAATCTGTGTTGATGCGGACTGTCGTGAGTTAAATATACCCATGTATGTACCAGTTGATGTACGGATTATCCGATTCCCAATGCTCCTTTTTTTTTCGACCCTTCTGGGACGTCCCGCTTGCAAACCCCATGTTAAATGCCGCCTGGGTATCATGTTAAATCACCAATCCGGACCCGGACTCCGACCCCGACCCCAACACCACGCAAAAAGATAGGGAAATCTCGAAACATCACACCTCGTGGGATTTTCTGTCCCCCAGCCCTACTCGGTCGAGTCCTTCCGCTCGTAACCGTAGCCTCCAATGCCCGTCACGCTATACGTCCAGCCCTCGGGGCCCCGCTTGTGCTGGCTCCGCGGGCCTCTCTCCTTCAGATCGTCCCGCAGCCACCTCAGCACCAGCTCGCCCAGCTTGCTGTTCCCCGGCGCGCCCGCCGGGCCCTCGGTCTTGTTCCGCTCGTCCACCTCCCGGAGCATCTCCTCGGCCAGCCCCCAGCCCTTGACGGTGCCCAGGTGCATGTGCACCAGATGCGTCGGCCAGCCCGCCAGGTTGTCCAGGATATGCGTCGCGTAGACCACGGTGCACTCGCGCGTCTCCGTCTCGCGCCTCAGGAAGCCCAGAAACTGCGCGCGGCTCCAGACGTCCAGGTCGACCGTGATCTCGTCCAGCAACAGCACGGTCCACGGCCGGATCAGGCCCATGGCCAGCTGCACGCGGCGCCGCTCGCCGTCCGACACGGCGTGCATGCGCCAGCTGGTGTCGATGTCCAGGACGCCGACCAGCTCGTCCCGGCGCGCGGGATACACGTCGCCGCCGACGGAGCGCAGCAGCTCCTCCACGCCGATGTCGGTCCGCACGATCGCGTTCAGCACCCATTCGAGCCCCAGGTAGGTCACGCCCTCGAGCCCGTCCTTGAACGGGTCGACGCCCGACACGCGGATCGTCCCCGCCGGCGCCAGCCGCTTGCCGGCCAGCAGCCGGAGCAGCGTGGTTTTGCCCGCCCCGTTGGCGCCGATCAGCAGCGTGCGCGAGCGCGCCGGTAGCGAGAGCGTGATGTTGGACACGCCCGCCGATTGGTCCGGGAACGTGTACGTGAGGTCGATTGTCTCGATGGTGGGCGAGGGGGCTGTTGAGGGCGCCATATTGTGAACGGGTGAAGAAGGGATAGATAAGAGATTCGGTGCTCGGTGGATGTCTGGATGACGGGCGAGAGTCGGGTATTTTGAAGGTGCCGGTGAGAGGTGTTTGTGTTGTGTGTTGTTGCTGATGGGAGAATATTCATGCGAGAAGCCCTGAAGAGTGAGTCAAGGCAGCGCAGCCCCTGATGAGTTAAATATCTGCAGTCCAATCAATGACATAGCGGGAACACCATTTGGGCAGGTGGTTGCCATCCAGCCGTACGATTAATCAGATGCGGAGGAAAAGCGGAGCTTGCTCGGCAATTGCATCACTGAGTGTTTGCAACCGCAGCGGAAACGAAAACGAAAGCTGCCAGGACAAATACCAGTTACCTTTGGTACGGTACTCGTTCACCAGCCCCGAATATCCTTACACGGATATCATTGATGCTCTCGTCTTCAACCCTACGGATACCTCCCTCCCCCATCCGTTAGACCATCCCATTCAGCTCTCGCCCAGCCTTGAGCCCCGTACACGAGTTACGTAGATAGAATTAACATTAACGCCCCTGTATGCAAACCAAGCCAGCTGATGAATCACAACAGCTCAAGCAGAAATACAGCCAAAGCCCGCTAAAATAGAAAAGAAAAAAACAGAAGAAGAAGAAGAAGAAGAAGAACAGCAGATGCCCCATACATGACGCCGGAGTCTTCTCTGACCAACTGAGGGGAAAGGTCCGGCCATATCCATCACACAGAAAGTAATTGATCCAACACAGATTCCGATCTTTTTTATCAAAAGATCAAGTCAAGTCCAAGGATCTCAACCCTCGCAAATCCACTCCGCAAAAACGCACCACCTCGCCGTCCGGTCGGCAAGCACCAGCCCGCGCCAGACGCCCCGCTCCGAGCACTTGATGATAGTTTCCCACACCCCGCCATCGCCGGCCTCTTCCTCGCCGAACAGCGGCCCAGCTGCCGGCGATTGCGGACCCCGTCCGCCGCCCAGAACGCCTCCGAAGCCGCGCCTCTCCTCCTTGCGCATCAGCCGTAGGATCTTGCCACCCGGGGTCTGGATCGCCAGCTTGGCCGGCTTCTTGGAGTTGCTCCCGCCGCTCGCCGCCGATGCCGCGGTGCTCGGGTTGGACCCGGCCGCGCTGGAGCTGGTCATGCTCAAGGCACTGCCGGGCCGGACAAAGGGGATCGGGCTGGCGTTGCCCGGGTTCGTTGACGGCGTCATGGCCGAGGTGCCCAGAGAGCTGGGATGCTGGCGGATGGCGAAGACAAACGTGTTGTTGAGCGCGAGGCGCTGGCACTGCGGCTGGACGACGTAGATGTCGTGCCGCTGGGCGTGCGGCGTGGGGTGGCGCATGACGAATTCGTACGGAGGGTTCTCGCCCGTGTGGATGATGGGCAGCGCGAATGCAAGTGGGTGTGGAATGTCCTTGATGCTGTGCATCAGGCCCCGCTTGCCGGCGTAGACCTTCAGTACACCGGTGCCTTCGTCGCCAGGGAGGAGCGCCTTGACCGTGTACCGCTTGACGCCACCGAACCACTCTGCCTGCGCAAGCGCACGCTTCTTCACCGTCTCGCCCGACTCGAAGAAGTCACCATCCGCGTCGCGCGCATAGCTACGGACCTCGACCTCGGCCGCCACCTCGACGTCGGCGGGGACACTGACCTTGACGTGCACCATCTCGAGGTCCTCGATCCGGGTTAGCGACGTGTTGTAGTCGACCATCTGCAACCCGCTCTTGAAGTACGGCGGGCAGGCGCAAGGGAGGTTTAGGAGGATCTCAGGCGCCACCGGCGGGCAGATGTGCTGCTGCTCGTGGTGCTCAGGAATATGCGTCCAGCAAATCTCGGTGGGACGTGCCAGGAACCACCACGGATCGGCGGACGAGCTGTTGTGGCTCGAATACATGACTCTCCGTGGGTTCGACGGGCTGGCGAGGCAGCAGTCCATCATCCGCCACTCGTCATCAACCAGCACGGCATTCCACCAGTGGTTCGATCGGGGCATCATGTTGACGTCCGGGATCTCGCCCGGCGATTTGAGATAGCCACGGACGATCTCGCAGGCCAGCCCAACTGCAGCGCACATCTCCAGCACCAGCGTTGCGTATTCCTCGGCGCATGCCCGCTTCGTCTGGATAACCCGCCGTGTGTCGATCGGCCCGTCAAAGTCCTCCTCCCAGCAGATCTTCTCAGACACCCATGTGAAAATAGACCGGAGGCGCTGGACGTCACTGCGGTATGGCCGGCAGACATACGTGGTTGCCAACGTGATCGGCGTGGTGGTCGGCGGAAGGTTTGTCAAGAAGCGCGAGTTCTTGTCTACCTGACTCAGGTTGATCGCGTTGTAGTTTATCGGCTCGGCCACCGGCATCCCATCAGCGCCCTCGTCCCCATCAATGCTGTTATACAGCTCGTCCACGGGGTCCAATGCTGGATAATCCAGCATCTGACACCTCTCCTTCCGCTCCAAGAGCTCATTCTGGCTGAGCGAGTTGGACCGATTAACATCCCGCCGGACCTGGACCCAGTCCACACCGCCTCCAAGGCCCGTGTCCCTCCCATGCTCCCGCCCGGATCTGCTAAATGGGGAGCTTGCTAGAGAACGAAGACCGGGCGTCGATCGACCTGAAGCAGGCAGCTGAGCAGAGCTGGAGCTGGAGGTGGCGATACTGCCCCTCGTGTTGGCGACACCAGTCTTGGCTGACTCGAGGATGCGCTTGATGAAATTCTGCCTTTTCGGCTTCGGTTGGACGAGCCCTCCCACTGGCGGCATGGCGTCCTCGTGAAAGCCCACCTGGGACTTGGATCGCGGCGCATCGGACGCGTGGCTGCTGTGATACGTGACGCCGGTAAATGGTGTTTCGGGACGATCCGAATCGAGATCCCGCATGGCAAGTGCGCTATGAGCCCTACTCCGCGTCTTTCTTGCCAGGCTACCGGCGCTCGTGGCGCTGATGCCTCCCGCTGACACACCGCTCATCAAGCTACGATCGGTGCTCTGCGTCGCTGACGAGCTGTTTGTCGAATTGGTCTTGGTAGTGAATGTCCTATTGAGAACCTGACGGCCGATCTCGTATGCAGACTTTTTGTGGCGCAGTGTCTGGTCCGGCTCTCCATGCATGTCCATTGAGGACTTGGGTCTGTCGAACATATGTTTGCCCTTTGGAGGCACAGGGGGAGCTTCGTCATCCACGTCGGCTACAGTTGAGCTTTGCTGCTGCATGCTTCTTAGCCTCGACTCCATCCGTTCGACGTAGTTGCTAAGTTTAGGGGGTGGATGCTCTGTGTAACTGTTGTGGCGGGCGGGCTCCTGTGATGATCCCGCACTCCCGCTGTATGTCTCATATCCTTCATCTAGATGGTGCAGAATACCCGCAGATGTCTGGGGTCTGAGTTTCTGATCTTCCTTCTTTTTTGAGCGGTAGTGCACCATATCGAACGACTCCGGAGACCAAGGATCCAACTCCCGCTCAGGAGACTCGGCTTCTCTGTCGACCTCTCTGCCGGAGCCCAGTGCATCAAGCTGCTCCATCACATCATCCATCGCCTCCCTCAGAGGAGACGGGGTCAACCCGCCGGGTGAGGGAGGGCATGGCGACGGCTCCCTGGGGGTATGATATCCTGAGGCAGCGGGCTCGTATGATGCGTTGAAGTGTTGCCGCGGCTCGTAGCCATACGATGCATTGGAGTGCTCTCTCGACAACGCCGACGGCTCCCTCGATGACGACAAGGCCCCAAAGTATCCCTCGTCGTATGACGCATGTGGCACATGTCTGGACAGCCTCGAGCGATGGGGCGGAGGAGGCGGCGGAGGAGGGGAATCACCCCCTTGTGAGGCTGGCGGTCGGTAGGGATCTGGCCTGTTGTCTAAACTCAGGTGGTATGCATGTTGGCGAGACTGCGGCGGCCGGTATGGTATGTATGAGGGCGCGGGCGATGGTCCCCTGGAGCCGAAACTAGGAGCTCGCGAAGGGGATGGGTCCCGGCTGATATTGCTGCGCGCCGAAGGAGATGGCTCTCGCCCCAGGAGACTCGGTTCTCGAGAAGGGGAGTGCTCTTGGCTGATGAAGTTCTGTGCTCGGGAAGGAGAAGGATCTCGTGCGATGAAACTCGGGGGTCGGGAAGGGGAAGGGGAAGGGGAAGGGGAAGGATCTCGTCCAACGCTGGCGTTCGCACCCGCATTCACGTTCACGTCGTCGAAGGAATTGGCTGAAACCTCGCGAGACCGAGCAGTCTTTCTTGGATTTGCCTCGGCTGTCTCGCGCGGTCGCACCGCTCCATCCTTGTATGTCTCCGGTGTCTTGGCTGTCGTGTAGTGCGGCGCTTTGGCGTAGGCCTCGAATGGCTTGCGGAAGGTCCTGGACTTCTGGGGAGTGCCCTTGGGGCTGGGTGTGTTGCTGTTCGGTAGGGGGCTGACTGATCTTGTCGTGGGACGGAAGGTCTCTGGCAAAACCTCGACGAAGTTAGAGGGAAATAACCCAACTGCTCTCCTGTCACGGAACAGTCTGCCGGTCCACCACGAGCCGTCGCCTGCGTTAAGACACTCGATGAGATCACCTTCGATGAACCCGAGATCGCGTTTAGACTGCAGCGCGGCTGTGGTCAGTACAAGTCACGGCGGCATAACAGACCAAAACACGCACCTCGCCTCCCCACGAGTATACTGCTCGGACCCAGCACGGGAAGCGCTTTGGCAGCGCTGGTGGTGCCGGAACCATTGTTTGTGTTTCTGCCAATCCGCGCCCTTCCTCTTTGTTTCGGTTCCAGATTGCTTCGATGCAAACTCACGAGGCGCACGCAGTCGGATCAAGACAAAGCTGGCTAGGTTCCTATGACGGCACCAGGCTCAATAAAAATCGCTCGGGAAGCAATTGTGGAGTTGGAAAACAAGGAGCCATCCAAGCTTCGTCTGATATGCGACGGGGTGTCTGGTAAATCGTGGTGAGGGACGCTAATAAACCCTGATATGGTCGGTATGTAGTGTCGCCGCAGTTGAATGGGGTGACCTAATTCCCCCACAGTTCGCGGAGTGGAAGCAGGATTGCAAAACGAAGCAATTGCCTGACGTTAGCAGCTGGCGGGCATTTTACGAACTGGTCACGGCCACGCTCCGAAGTGAGGCGGACCAGCTGATCGGTGATGCTGCGCAGGTCCAAGCTTCTTCCCGGAGACAACAGTTGCTAGGGGCAACAGCTGTGCCCCACCTACCCAATGTGGTTCAAGGGAGGGGTGCAAAAGCAGGGGAGCTGGAACGATGCATGCCACTCAGGTGCCGTTCCTGTCTCAATTGGCCCGGGCCTGGGCGTGGCCGTCTGTGCTGCCCTGCGTTGAAAGCGGCTGAAGAATGCGACCACAGCAAAAAGTCAAGGTCCTGAGTTGTGTTCCCGGCAGCGAGACTGCCCTGTCCAAGTCTGCATGCGAAGGTGCCGATTAACGCAGGATTTCGACTCCAGCACTTTTGCGTCAATTTCAAAAGATTCGACGCATGGAGTCTCGAAGCCTTGAATTGCTGCCTTGTCCTTCCGATTTGAGTGCGTTGAACCCTGGCGTTCAGCTCCCCCACCCGTCATCCAAAGTAAACAATGGCCCGTGCCCGTCATCCCAGCACCCGGACAACGATAGCACCCTGTTCGAGACGGACTTAATTTAAGAACCCTGGGCTCGCCTACGGCGAGGTCGATTTTGGCTTTTCTCTCCGGTCAGGAAATCTCATCATATCCTCGCTCTTCCCAGGTCCAGGCACCAGGTCATCACCGGGTTGCCGCTTCGCTCGGCTTAGCCCGCCCCGCGAGCCCCGTGTTTCTCGGTCTCCACCGTTCGTCCGAACGGGTCGTACCATAGTGTACGGCCGGCCCCGAGTCTTGCACCGCCTCACTTCCACTTCGGCATCAACGAGGAACAATGGCGGACCAAGGCATTGCAAGTCGCTATCAGGTGCTCGAGGAGCTCGGACGTGAGTCACGTCGATGGCCGCGCTGCATATGGAGCATTGGGCTAATTGACGATGTGTGCACTGTGTAGGCGGCAGCTTTGGCGTTGTGTACAAGGGCATCGACAAGGCGACGGGGGAGGTCGTCGCCGTCAAGCACGTAAGCGCAGCTGGGCAGCCGTGAGAATCCGGACGAGCGTTAACTGTGCATCGCGGACAGATCGATCTCGAGTCGAGCGAAGATGACATCCAGGAAATCCAACAGGAAATCTCGGTGCTCAGCACTTGCGCCAGTAGCTATGTCACGCAATACAAGGCCAGCTTCTTGCGCGGGCACAAGCTGTGGATTGTCATGGAGTACCTGGGTGGCGGATCCTGCCTCGATCTGGTATGTCTCGTGGCGAGTAATGGCTGCCCGCCGCGGATGGCGCTGACGACTGCGTAGCTCAAATCAGGCGTCTTCAACGAAGTCCATATCGCCATAATCTGCCGGGAGCTGCTGCTGGGCCTCGAATACCTGCATTCCGAAGGGAAGATACACCGCGATATTAAGGCCGCCAATGTGCTGCTCTCGGACGCCGGCAGGGTCAAGCTCGCGGATTTCGGCGTCGCTGCGCAGCTGACCTACATGAAGTCACAGCGGAACACCTTTGTCGGTACACCCTTCTGGATGGCCCCGGAGGTAATCCAACAGGCTGGCTACGACTTCAAAGCCGATATCTGGTCGCTGGGCATCACGGCCATCGAGCTGGCGCTTGGCGAGCCTCCACATGCCAGCCTCCATCCCATGAAGGTCCTTTTCCACATCCCAAAGAACCCGCCCCCGAGGCTCGAAGGGAAATTCAGCAAAGAGTTCAAGGATTTCGTGTCGCAATGCTTGGTCAAGGATGCTGATTTCCGGCCGACGGCAAAGGAGCTTTTGAAACATCGCTTCATTCGGTCGGCAGGTAAGGTGGAGGCGCTGCAGGAGTTGATCCAGCGCAAGCGGATGGCTGATGCCAGGGCGGACCACCTGAAACATCCTGTCTACTACCAGGAGACGCTGCATACCATCTCGCCCAAGGATGAAGCCGACGAATGGGTATTTGAGACGGTGAAGTCGAGAGTGCCGAGAAGGGGTACTGTTCGGTCCAGGAAACCGTCTTCCGTGTACGCCGTCGAGGATGCAATGCACAAGCTGGACCTGAAGGACGCGCCTCTTCAACCGAACACGCCAGGCACGGCGCGGAAGACTACGGTGCGATGGCAGCCGTCCTCTGCCTCCCGCCGGATCTCGCGTCAGAATTCGGTTCGCCGACGTGAATCCAACGGCTCCCCACGACAATCTCTCGCACCAAAGCGCCCTCTTCAGCCGGATATGTCGTTCGGCAACTCCGGTTCAACTATGCGTCTCTTCCGCCGCGTGCCCTCCGACAGTTCCAATCCAGGCGCTCTCGGCTCCCCTCCTCCGGAGTTTGATAATGAAAACCATCCTCCGCCGGCCTACCACGCACCGGCCGAGCCAAACAGCAAGGAGGCCATGCTGGGACGTCGACTATACAGCAAAGCCCTGGAGCCCTGTCTCGACGAGCTTCACGCGCAGACAGCCGCCTCCACCAAAAGGGAAGCTCTCGCGAAGCTATCCGACGCCTTTGCTTTCCTCGACGCAGTCGACCCCGAAGGGGCTTACCATCTCCTCCGCAACCTGGTGTCAACGATTTCCCAAGACACCAAGCTCGGCAACGCCTTTCTACCACAGCACAGCAGCAATCCGCCGTCCAAATCAGCCGGCGACGGCGTGCCACCACCGCAAGGCACCGTCCTGCACAGATCCCGCGGGACCCCTTCTTCTACGCCTGCTGTTCCACCGTCAACGCCACCCTCGAAACTGGTCTTCAGCCACGACAACCCTCATCTCCTAAGCCATCGCCGTCGCAGGGGGAGTATGCTCCCGCAGCCGACCCCGGCCGACCATCACGGTAGCCCCCGGTCATCGCCCGAGAAGGATCGGGAACAGCCGCTCCGCGATAACAGGGACCGAGAAAAGGAGAGAGAGAGAGAAAAGATGGCCGCGCTCGAGGCGAAGTTCCCCGGCCGCCCGGCCGTGCCCGGCATGGAGCATTGCAGGGCGCTATCCGACTTGCTGTATGCCCGTTGGACGGACGGGTTGAGGGCAAGGTGGGGAGTTTTGGCCGGCGCTTGATCGGGGGTGTATACATGGGCCTCCTCTTGTAGGAAGGAGGCTCGTTGAAGAAGAATGGTACGCTGGTGGTGGAGATTTGGGACGTTCGAGGGCGAGGATGAAGGGAGAATGAGCAACGAACTTCTCGTCGATTCCCTTTCGCTGATGGGGTACGGCTGATTTGATGGAGCCAGATGTCAAGCAATGTCATGTTACATCCCATGAGGACGGATGGCTTACACTCGCTACATTGGATGGCTATTGTGGGTCTGCTTTGCTTGGTTGAGATGATGGACGGGTCGATGAATGCGCTGGAGGTCTGTATGATTGAACGGATGGATGACGAGGGGCGGCGGATCCTTTCTGTTGAATGATTGTAATGTGGGGGTGTACGGGGTCTTGGTACAAGTTCGGACTTTGGAGCCACGCTTTCTTGCTTCACACGGGGGGCTCCGTCTCGTTCATTCGTTTTTCTGTTCCCCCAAGGGGTCATAGCATGGCATATCGAGTAGCATACAGTTGGTTGCACTATTTCATCCAGGACAGGCTTGGGGTTCCCGGAGTATCGAGCTTGTAATCTGCACCCGAACCAACGGTGGATTGGATAATACAGTTTGTTCTCCATCCCGATCCTGAATTGTTCACTGTCCAGAAGCTGCCTCGCCGAAGGATCCTGATTCTATGTTGCAAACCAGCACCCGATCCCATGTTCCGCCATCCCGGTGCTCCGCACTCCGTGATACTAACATACAATGAATGACCCACGCCGTGGTATCCATCCTAGTCCTCCTGCCTTCCTGGATTCTAAGAATACAAGTCCGTACCATCTAACACCGGTGCTCTACCCGGATGCCACCGGTTCGAGCGTGGGTCCTCGTTCTGGTGTCGGCGTCCGCTTTGTCGACCGTCTCCGTTTCGGCGATGGCTCAGGTTCCGGTGTTCGGCTCCGTTCAAGCGTCGGCCCCCTCGCCGAAGATGATGCATGGTCCGATGGCTTTGACTTATTGAGCGTGAGCATTATCCGCCAGTTCATGAACTCATCCGTGATAATCTTGCCGTGCCCAACCTCCTCGACTTTGAAGAGCTCGATATGGTCTGCCCCACGTCGCCGCCTGATCCTCCAAACGCCTTCGTCGCTGATGGTCATACGGAGCCCTGGGCACCGGCGGTCAGCGTTCTTTGATATAGTCGGTAGGGTGACAAGGGGTATGTCTTACATTCAAGGAAGAGGGCGGCAAACTTGATGCAAACGTTCCCATCCCACTTGGCCATTCCTCTGCGCTGGACAGCATATGGTATGTTCATGGTCTGAAACTCCTCGACACTCGTGAGCATGCCGTTCTTCGATCGGAAGCCCACTATGATCTTAGGCACGCCAAGGAGGAAGGATTGGATCCAGAATTTCATGAGTTTCCTATCGAAGACGAACTGGTCGTTGTAGGAAGTGATCTCTGCGCTTGTCTTGAGCTCTACCCAGTTGATCGGATCTCCAGGGGTTTCAGGCTTCGCGTCCCAAACTATGCACTTCAGGTCAGCATGTCGCGAGGAAAGCAGGACTCGCGAGTCAGGGGAAGAGCTTCTTACTCGCGTCGACCTCTCCTCCGAGGCAAACTATTGTCTTTCCGAAACCTGTGCGAACTACCGAACAGTACTGCTCCTTGTTGTTGACGATCTCCTTGCCTCGATTTTCGATATACTCTCTTGACGTTTCACCCCAAGGGCGTGGTAGTGTACTGAGAGTCTCAAATTTGTAGCCTGCCAAGGACTTAGTCTGGCACTCGAAGGAGAAGAGAAGCGGGACTCACCCCAGTATTGCATCTCCGAAGATGGTATTCCGTTCTTCCCTCTACGGTTTTTTTCGAAGGCTCGTTGCTGCTCCTTGAAGGCATGGTTCTCTTCGATGAAGCTTTCGTATTGTCAGTCTAGGACGAGTAGAAACAGCTTGGAGGTCCCATTCATGTCATTCGCTTACATGCAGTCCTTTGGAGAAAGTCAGCAGGGAAAGACGCAGTGTGAAGGGACAGGGGAGCATACACGATAAAGCGTAGCATTCATCTCAAACCTAATGCATCGAGATAGGTAACTTAGCAGTGAGTCCTAAAAAGCGCAGCAAACTAGGAACTGAGGTTCTGGCTCACGCCTGGTCGTCAAAAGGTGTGGCCATGATCTGTTTGTCGTCAGCGGATGCCATTGCCCGCAAAGGTGAAACAAGTCTCAAGCCCGAGAAGACGAGAAGCCATACCTTGGTCATCATGCCTCGCCAGGTGACGATGTGTGCATCGATCGGCTCGCCCGTTTTCCGCTCATGGCTCGCAATCGTTTTAAGCAGGCTGTCGAGATGTTCGTCTATGCGATCGTCGTGTTGGACGAACTTGTCGAGTCCCTCTGACAGGTTTGCGGGGATCTCAGGCGGATAGTACCATTTTAGGGACGAGTCGTCCTGGCGGAAGTTATGTTCCTTGTCATATGAAAAGCAGGCGATTTCCTGGCAACGATATGTGCCATGTTAGCTGCTACTTCTACTAACTGAATCGAAGGACACTAGACTAGATAATGACAATCTCCCAGGTCAACGAGTCCAGACTGAGGCTTCCCACCTTTGGCCGCTTCACAGGCTCACTTTGTCCTGCATAGCGTGCAGGTGGATAGATGGGGAACGTCAGGGCCATCGCAGTCGCAGCCGCACGGGACAGGTGCCTAACGAGCTTAACGACGGGTCGTGTTCTGACGGGTCGTAGTAGCACCCTCATCCCCCGGTGCGTCCAAGTAACCAAATGGTCTGGACGCTTGCCTGCATGAGTAGGTACAGATTATCTGTACAGAATGAAGCATTGAGGGCCTGGAAGGAGATGCTTGGCGCTCTGGTGCCTTCGCGACTGGCGACCGGGAGTTAGATGTTAGAGGTGGGGCTAACGTTAAGCTGCAGGGGTCAAACCCCAAACTGCTGCATCCATGTCATTGTGCCGGCAGGAACACCGACCACGCAGAACACCAACCTAAGGCACGGGAGTGCCTGCGTCGAGCAACGTTGAACGAAGCTCGAGGCCGGACTGAGTTCGGAAAGCTCAAGGGCTTAAATCCCCCACCCGGGAATAAGTTCGGCTCTTTGACGAGGAGTGCCCTTCAATTGCCTGACCGAGACGGTGACGAGAACTCAGGATGACGAGCAGCTCGATGCGATAGCGTCCCGCCTCGAGTCCACCATGTCAAACCGATACGGCCAGTCGTATCGCAACGGCGGTTACGGCAATTTCAGCCGTCAGGATGACGAGTACGACCCGTACGGTGAGGGCTACGGCAGCGACCGCTATGTGCCTCCTGCCCGGCAGACGAATCCCCGGCCTCCTCCCGCCGTCCGCAATGCCGCACCCCCGGCCCGGTCTGCCCAGCGGGTCCAGGAAACCAACGCTGAGCGCGAGATGGCCAAGGTGCTGGAGTTGATCAAGCAGGAGTGGCCCGCAATGTGCGACAACGACTGCATTCCCGTCCAGCTGGCCCTGCAGCTCCTCGACACAAGCTCCGTCGGCCGCGCCCGGGAGTACGGCAACTTCCAGCGGACGCACCAGTATCTGCAGGACTCGCTCAAGAAGATCGTCCACGAGTACCACCAGGGCTTCAACAGCTCCATCGGCACCTTCCACAAGATCCAGGGTAGCATCCAGACATCGCAGAAGAAGGTGCGCGCCCTCAAGGAATCGCTAGCTGCATCCAAGGCGGCCCTTTGCGCGACCGACCCAGAGCTCAAGAAGCTTCACGCGACGTCCCGCATGTACGACGAGGTGTTGCAGACGCTGAATGAGCTGGACGATTTGCGGACTGTACCCGACCAGCTCGAAGCTAGGATATCCGAGAAGCGCTTCCTCACGGCTGTCGAGGTCCTCCAGAATGCGCTGCGGAAGCTCACGAAGCCTGAGCTGGATGACATTGGCGCGTTGAGCGACTTGCGCAGCTACCTGGCAAACCAAGAGACGGCACTCATGGACATCTTGGTTGAGGAGTTGCACGAGCACCTTTACCTAAAGTCGCCCTATTGCCAGGAGCGGTGGCAGAACCTGGCCAAATGCCAACGTGCACTCAACGAGGCCTTCAAAGACGCTCCGGCTGTGCCACCCTTTCACGCAATCCTTGACTCAATAGATTGGGATCGGTCCGTGACAGAAGATCCGCACAAGAACCCCGAGGCAGACACGTTTTCCTACGTCATGCTCTTGGTCGAGTCACTGAACAGGCTAGGGAGGCTAGAATCCGCCGTTGACACGCTGAAGCAGAGGCTGCCAGTTGAGTTGTTTGCGGTGGTCAACGAGACCATCGATGACATCGACCAAAAGCATCCTAGCTCATTACGAGGCGGCTCCAGTGGCTCACATGGGCTCCATATCTACGGGCAGCGCGAGACCAGGATGAGGGCAGACGTCATCTACGATCTGCTGTGGACTCTTTATGGCAAGTTTGAGGCCATTGCAGAGGGCCACCGCGTGTTCCACGAATCCATCAAGGCCCTGATCCGCCGTGAGGGAGCTGGCAACAACATCGCGCTGCTAGGCAGTTTCAAGGAGCTCTGGAATCTGTACCAGAACGAGATCCGTTCTCTTCTGCACAACTACGTCACAACAGATGCCGACGTTTACCAGTTCCGCTCGTCGCTCAGGCCGGGGGCGGGTTTGAACGGCAATAAAGATGCGTCGCGAGAGCACCTCTTCAAGTTTTCCGAAGTTGACTCCAAGTCAGTCGAGATGACGACCGAGTATGAGGCGTTGGACGGCATCATCCGTGCTGCTGTCCCCGGCTTGACGTCCAACTCGCGGAAAGGGCCGGATAGCAAGAAGGTGGGCTTGGTCGTTCCTCGGTCCGATCCTGCAGCCGCCAGGAAGAGCACAGGTGCCGGCTATGGGAACAACCAGGGAAGTGGGACGTACAAGTCTCTCGTCGAACCGAGCGTCTTCAACATGAGTCTGCTGCTGCCGCCCACCCTTGTTTTCCTTCAACGATTGAAAAACATCGTCCCGCCCGGTTCGGACCTAGCGACGAGTACCCTCACGTCGTTTCTCGACAACTTCCTCGTCAATGTCTTTCAGCCACAGCTCGACGAGACGCTTGGAAAGCTCAGCGATACCGTCTTTGGCGAAGCAGACGCCTTTTTGCAAGACTCGGAGTGGGCTCGCGTTGCCAAGCGACCAGTCTTCAAGGGCGCGACGGCCTTCTTTACTATTGTAACTGCTTTTTGCAGAATGCTGGGCACAATCCCGCATGACCAAGCACTCAGCTCGCTTATCATAACGCAAATGCTCAGGTACTATGACAGGTGCTTCAACTGGTACAAGGCACTTGTGACGAAAACTCAGGAAGAGGCATCAAGCGCCCAGGAACTGCGAGCGTCTGCGGTCATGGCGCTTGGAGCCAGTGAAATCCACGAGACGATGAAAAAGCTGTGGGAATCGGAAACCACGGATCTCGAGCTTCTCGATAAGGAGACCAGCTTGCTCATGGCACATGCTAAGCAGAATGTGCTAGGGGCAAGCGATATCATCCAGGACCGTGATACCATCTCATCGCTCTGCCTGCTGTACACCAGCATGAAGTGGCTGTCAGTCAAGATTCTCAGCCTGCGACACATTACTAAGAACGAGGCAGATTCTTCCCGGTCCAGCCTCCCCAAGCCAGAGAAGAAGCGCTGGACATTGCTCAACGACCCGAGCAAAGCCACGACGGAAGAAGGCCCCGTCTACCTCCCCATGACGCAAGAAACCGTCCAGTACGTGCACTCTACGTCTCACTTTACCTACCTTGGGTAGCCTCTATGATTTTCTGGCTAACCCGACTCCGCAGATCTTTCGACAGCATCCTGACCTCCTACACCGAACTCGCCACTACCGCCCTCCTAACTCTCCACTCGGAAGTCCGCTGCCGCATCCTCCACTCCCTGTACACTGCCCTCTCCCCTTCCCAAACGGCCCCTTACCTCCTCGACCAGGAAGTCACCGAGCCCGACCCGCAGATCCTCTCGCTCAACGCAGAAATGGTCGCCTTCGACGAGATCATCTCGCACTTCCTCCGCGAGCGGGAGGTGTCCTTCGTGCGCACCGGGCTGGGCCTGCTGATAAATTCGTACCTCGTGGGCAACGCCCCCATGACAGCGCCGATGAACAGCAAGGGGTGCGGGCGCATGCGGCTGAACGTGCTGGTACTGCAGCAGAATCTGAAGAACATCGAGGAGGGCCCGGGAGCCGAGCTGGGAAGGGCGGCGAGGTATTTCGAGCTGTTTGATGAAGGCCCTGACGCCGTGGTAAAAATGGCGCAGGAGGAGGGACAGAAGGCGAGGACGCCGCTACCTGCATCCGGCGAAGAAAGCGGTGACGGGAAAGGAGGTGATGATACGCAGCGGAGAGGGGCTGTCAGGTTTACCTATGATGAGCTCAAGGCATTGTTGGAACTGTGCTACAGTGAGCAGCTCGCCGATCCTGAGAGGGGCGTGGCGGCTGCTGCTAAGAGGCAGTTGGCCGATAAGCTGTTGGGGTTGAGCGAGTATATGTGGCAGAGCTAGACCACTCCTGTGTTTCTTGCTTGGTGCAGTTGGAAAGGAACTTGCGGTGTTCAAGGGGCGTCATGGACATGACGGCTTAGCGGGAGGTACAAGTCCTCGTATAGCTGTTGAGATGAACCCACGAGCGAGATGAGGTGGCCGTAATACGAACAGAGGCGTATTTTTCTGTCACTCCGTTGTCCGTGTTCATTTTTGATATGATCCATTTTGGGATGCGCTTATCTAAGGCAGCTAGCTATGTTAGTAGGCTGTGATGTTTTGTCATGTATATATAGCAGATTCAAGTCATGATAGCGCTGCTGCTGTCTTCAGTCTGGTAACTGGAGCCTGCATGTTCTGCTTGGGGTATCATTCCATATCAATATACATAGAGTAGGGCTAGTAGAGATGATGAAACAAGTGGCTTGCATGAGACCTGTCCACTGTTTCGTTGTATCTTACGGATATGCCCACATCAAGTCCGGTCTAGACCCTGTCAAAAATAACTGCCCTGTGCCAATACAATACATATGGCGGAACCCGGCCTAAATGTTTCGATAACTACTAGTATACTCGGGGACCGAGGAACAAGAAGCAACTAAATAACCACCTTATACTGCGTACGTCATGCGCAACCACTCCGAGGCGGGGTTGGAACTTGAAACAACACAATCAGCTTTGAATGGTTGGCCACTCGAGGACGCAACATGAAGCTTATGTCGTGCGAGGGCGGGAGGCAGCGCCACCTCTGCTGATCCTGTGCCTGAAGCTTCCAATGATGTCGACTTCTCATCGTGTCGGGAGAGATGAGGGGAGGACGATGTCGTACTCAGCGGGCAACTCGAACCCGAAGCTGCCAGAATACCTAACGTTACCTCTGGGCTGGGCTTGTTCTGCTTCGACTGCGGCCGCAGGCAAGTGTTCCAAGGCAAGGAATAGCCAGCCATATACCTCCCTTACCTAACGTGCCACCTACATACCTCTTCGTTTTTGTACGTACGGAGTAGAAAATCCAATCTGAATACGGGATGGCAGACCTCTCAAACTCACCCCTGTGTTGCTTAACTGCTGAACCCGAGGACCCTTGGAGACAACTCCCTGACTAATACCTTAAGTTAACGTTAAGGTAAAGCTTGACGCAAGGAACAGACACAGTGGAGCATTTGACCATCACAGATGTCCAGACGAAACCATAAACGACAATGAGAGATAATGACGTTTGGTTCCAAGTTCCTGAAGACTTCAAATCGCTTGAGGTGTGATTGAGCCTGGAAGCTTGGTTCTGCATTAAGGTCGAGAGATGCAGATAGAGGGTGACGTGAAGTTGCCCCTGCTGTCGCTCGAAGAGTTCGGTATTGTCTCAACAATGTGCATCTTAATGCGCTGGTCCTGCGTTCACACCAGGGACCTGACCGCAACCGTCCTTGTCCAATGGGAGCTGACGGCTGCCACCGGCAACTCATATGTGGGACCCCGAAGGGTGCCAGAAATCGGTGCTGGCCTGGCCTATCAGAGGCCCACATGTGCGCGCGAGTGGGAACCATCCCCCTTTAGCACACCCTTCCTATTAAAAATGTTGTCCTGCGGCGGGCTCACCGTTTGACAGGCTTACATTGGCTGATTTCTTCCCCCGTTGTTGCAACGCGGGAGAAGCTTGGAAGCCACAGCAACTTTCGGATCGTCTCCTATTCTCCTGCAGCCGCCCACTACATCATCGCGTCCACGCAAATGCATTGGTGCTCCCCTCGTTATTCTTCTGGTTCCTGATTTCCTCTGCGGTTTTGCGTGGGCCTGGCTCCCTCCCTCTGCTTCTGCGGTATCAAGCTCGCCCTCGTTCACTCTTGAGACAAATCTCCCTCCCATCGTTTAACTGCTTGGGAACGCGGTTTCGCCCGCGCTAATTCGAATTCCTTCTCCGCCGCTTTCCCTGTCACTCCTCACCACACTGATATCCGGTTGCCCGACATGGCTGGGTATGTACCAACAACCCGGTGTACCTACTGCCGGGCGACTGCTGACCATATATTCGCGACTCCAGGATAGGATCCGCTTTCAAGACGTTCTGGCATTCTATGACCAGCTATGATCGACGTTGGCACGCCCGATATCAATCCACATTGGCTCTGGCTGCTGACCATAACACTAGATTCCGGACCCGACTCTCCTTATAGAACAGGGCGCCATGTCCCCCTGAATGCGAGGAATGGTTTGACTTCAATCGCGACCGCTGGCGAATCGCGCGCCGATATCAACTCGGGGTACCACGACGAAGGCCGCCACTCCACGTCCACCTTCGATGCTGCTCATGGCGGCCCGGTTACATCACCCGGTTTCAACCCTCCTTACTCTCCCGGGATGAGGTCGCAGACGGCGCAACGGTCGAGTGCAACCGATGGATTTGAAATGCAGAGCCCAACGGGCGAAATCCCGATGCAATCTTTCCGAGATGGTGTGCCGCCGCCGCCTTCGGTCGCTAGTTCCTGGACCAAGATCGACAACTGGGCTGATGAGAACTACCCCGAACTATTTGACCAGCTCTGCGAAGGCTGCACGACCAATGACATCAACGAGCTCGAGTACCAGCTCGACTGTTCACTTCCGCAGGATGTCCGGGAATCGCTGCAGATCCACGACGGTCAGGAGCGAGGCGGAACCCCCACGGGTATCATTTTTAGCGGGATGCTTCTTGACTGCGAGGAGATCGTGCAGGAATGGGAAAATTGGCGCAAGGTCAACCAGGAATTCTTACTTGAGCCGACTTTCCCCAGGCCGGCGGTTCCTTCAAAGGCTTTCGGCGGAAGCAACCAGGCATCGTCATCCACGGCAGCGTCGTCCAGCTCGGCTCCGACATCACCTCGAAACGTGAACTGGAGGCAAGATTTACTGGCTCGTCAAGACTGCGTTCCTCCAAATGCGATTCAAAAGGCCTATGCGCACCCCGCCTGGATCCCCCTTGTGCGGGACTGGGGTGGCAACAACCTGGCGGTCGACCTTGCGCCGGGGCCAAAAGGCCAGTGGGGCCAGGTGATCCTCTTCGGCCGCGATTACGACACCAAATACGTGGTTGCGCGGTCATGGGCGGCCTTCCTGGGTATCGTTGCGGATGACTTGAGCAGTGGGAGGTGGTTTATCGACGAGGACTCTGGCGAGCTCAAGCTGCGTGAATTCAAGCAGGCTCGTGTCGAACCATCTTATTTCGACATCCTGAGGTGGAGAACGGACCAAAAATACGGCCGCACGGCCGCGAAGCGGAAGTCAATGGCACCAGCGGGTTCACTTAGCGCGCCGAACTCGCCCTATGCCAACCCTACGGAGCCCGGTGGTGAACCCCGCGGCCGGTCGATGCAGCGTCTTAGCGCCATCTCGCCGATTCCCAGTCCCATCCGGCCCGGTTATGGGAAGTCGAGCCCGCTGGCGCGTGTAGCCGAGGAAGGGGCGGCAACTAGTCCAACCGTGGGGTTGAAACCCGGAGAGAAGTTAGTCGAGGTCGATACTCCTCGGCATAGTAATGAAGAAAACAAAGAGACCGCCCCGAGGTTACCGGACCTGGCCAACGGCGAGGCGTCTGCGGATGAGACCAAGCCTGAAACGCAGGCAAATGGTTCGACAACAGCGAACGGAAAGCAGCCCGCTGAGGAATCCGAAACGATGAAGACAATTGAGATATGAGGTGCAAAGAGCGGGCGCGCAGCTACGCCGGGCAATAGTTTGCAGGCGGATGCTCAGCCCTGGACGAATTTCATACATACACACATCGACGCGGGACCGAGAACTACTTCTGGCGTTTAGGGCGCCTTGATCTGATACCGATAAAACGATTGCGGCTTGGGAAACTTCTGTTCTTGGCGTCATCAAGACCTCCGCTGCTTATTATCTTTGGGGGCTTTCTTTGTTCCCCCCGTTACACGCGAACACAAGAGACCTGCCAATTCCTACGCCTTGTCTTCCCCTTGACTTTCGCTTTTTGAGTGGACTACATTCTTGCCTGTGCTCAACGCAAGAGGGCGGAAGGGCGTCTTATTCTTCTGTACATTATACCTGAGGTTTAATCACCTAGCTACCTACCTAATTGCCAGGGCTCTACTTCACTTCGGCCGGGAAGCCGAACGGGTGAAGAGACCTCGTACTTGTTCGAGGGATCGGTGAGGTTACTTGGGCCGCGACTTCTGTTTCTGTCAAGAGCGCTACCTCCGGGCCTTGGTTGCGCAGTACCGATGAGGCAGGGAAATTCTACAATCGTAGATCCGACCTCGTGGAGATGTAATGCGAGCGCTGAGTGAGTCTGTGGCCAGGGGGCGTGTGGGCTGCGGAATGGGAGGACCGTCGCGGATTCTGCGTTTCTTCCATTATACTGACCCATCGTGAGGCTCTCCGTCGTCTCGAGTCGTCTCCGTGTTCCACTGGACTCGGTGGGCGTGCGGCGGAGTTTGATAGTCCCGTAGCCTGAGGAAGAACCATAGAGCTGCGTCGTCGCTTGACTTACATCCCATCCCATGTTCGCCTCGGACTCGGGCGGCGTGGTGTGTACCTCTTCCTCATCAGCCAAACAGGCGGCATCCTTGCTCCTAATTAAATTCAAGTATTCTTTGAATTAACAGTATGCACCCCAGTAAGCCAGGAAGGTAGTTATTACTATGCCATGCGCAATACAGTGAGTCTCGAAACACGAGTAAGAGTGCGAGTGGCATCAGAGTGGTCACGTGTCTGAGCTCCGTACCTGAAGTCGTCGGGGCTCTGCCATTTGCCAAGCTTTGACAGCCTTGGCTGGGTGGAACTGGGTGGGCCGGTCCGCCGAGCGCTCCAACATCGTCATCCGTCACAAGCAACTTGAAGCTGAGCTCAGCCCTGTATATCTCCCACCGACAAGTCAACAATCGCTAGCACGTCGAGGCGTAACGGGCGAGAACTGACCGGAAGCATTCCGTACGAGACGAGTCCCCGGAAGACAATCGGACATCCATCCATAGCTTCCGCCTTTTTCAACCGCGCAAGCGGACCAACTAAACTTACCATCATGTCCGAAGACCGCCTCTGGAAGTTCAAGAGACCAGAATGGCTCAATAGCGTTTGGGCGCGCAACGCAGGGGTCTATGCCGCCGGCGGCCTGGTACGAACCCGAGCTCGCCCCTCCCCCTTTCGCTGTCATGCTGTGCTGTTCTCGGACGACAACTGACCATGTCTGTCTCTGTCGCATCCTCCCAGTTCTCCCTCGCATTCTACACCCTCCTCGACTCGGCCGTCTGGTCCAAGTCGGCGCTCAACGGCTCCACCCTGCACGTCACCTTCGTTGACTGGCTGCCCTTCATCTTCAGCAGCCTGGGCATGCTCATCATCAACAGCGTCGAGAAGGCCCGCCTGTCGGCCGACAGTTTCAGTTATTCCGGGTCGGGCGTGGCGTGGAAGGCGCGCGTAGTGCTCTTCCTCGGGTTCGCCGCTCTCGCGGGGGGGATGGCCGGCGGCGTGACGGTGTTCGTGCTGAAGTTCGTCGTGCCGGGCGTCCCGTTCCCTGCTATGACTATGGGCGTGGAGAATGTGGTGGCGAATGCGCTTGTTGGGTTGAGGTGAGACTTCTTTCTATCTATCCTCGTTGTTCTCCGGGTCCGCGCCTTGTTCAGCTGCGCAGATCAAGGTGGGACCTGCTTGGGCAGTGATGGCTAATTATGGACTTTTTTTTTCGCAAAACCAGCTCGGTCGTGCTTTGGGTCAGCCAGAACATGGAGGACGAATATTCATATAACCTTGCTCTTTGAGTTGAAGCATGGGATGAGGGTGATTGGGGCTGTGGTTCCTCAGCCGTGAAAGCTCATCCCTGGGGGAGGATTGAATCATGGGATAGGGGGTGAGTTATGGCTGCTTTGGGAGGGTCCAGTGGCTTCGTCGGGCTTTGGCGTTCTCGTTGACACTGATTTGGCAGGCAAGGCGCTTGGATTGAGATGTATGATGCGTTGGCAGTCAAATATTTACCACCTAACCTCTACACCGAAGTCCAGTCCATCGATCCACGGCGTCAATCGCATTGAACCCAGTCGCCGGTCAACAATTCTGCGCTCTCGTAGGTATAACTTATTTCTCTAGCTATACTCACTCTTTGGCTCCATCATTTCTCTGGTTTTCTTGAGAGAGGCCAAGACGAACAAGCGCCGGTCGACAGGGAGATAGAGTACCACAGAATCTCGTGGGAACAACTTGTAAGAGCATCGATGGACGGAAGACCTGACTATCCAAGTCTATTTATGGAGACTAGGCAGTGGGATACGGCTTTTCAAGATTCCTATACAACGTCTTGTCATGGCTTCGCATCACTTCATTCGCGTCACTCGCGGCACTCTCCCAATTGGAACATCACATTGCAAAGCAGGCCACAGAGACACGAGTTTCCAAAAATGTCGCCGGTATCAAGTATTCCTTAGCAGCTTACAGGGAAGCTGCGCCCACGTCAAATCTTCATGACATTAGTAGACCGCCGCGGTGGGACGATCAAGTGCAGATGGCGGACGTCTGCTCTGACGTGAGGAACTCATAATCAGGTCTGTAGACCCAAGGGCGCTGGTCCTGGCCTTCTTTTGGCCAAATCTCGGGCAGGGGCGATCCATTCAGAGTACTCTGCTCCCTGATTTCCGTGATCCAGCGCCTTCCGTCGATTTCCTTGACGACAAAGTAAGCTGCGTTGGGAGCATAGTAAGGCTTCCCGGTTGCCTTCAGGATACCACCGTTGTATCCCATACCAGTGACAACACCGCCTCGACTGCTCGTATTGAACGCGTCGGCAGACACGACGTAAAAGTCGCGCCATGGGTGCCATTTGTCACCATAAGATTCTGCAATGGCTGCACTGAAGAACCTGTAGACCTGGACGTAAGTGGTGTAGTCGAAACGCGTGCTGTTGAAAGACGCTCGGAGGGTAGGGTGAAAAGTGTCGTAATAGCCCTTCTCCCAAGCGGAAGTGTCGCTCAGGTTCTTGGGGTCGCGTGGGTAAGGATAAAAAGCTGCGGATTTCTGGTCAGCTACTAGAAATACGCTCCCCAAGGAGAGATTGGCTCACCTAAGATCTGGCATTCAAGCCAAGCAGCGAGCTGTACGGCGCGAGACTGCGACTCATCATCGGCTTGCGCGCAGGCCTTGGTAGCATCGATGGTGATGCGGGCATTTTCCGCCTCCGTAGGGAAGGGCGAGGGCGCCACACCGGGAGTGAAAGCAGCGGTGGTAGGACTGGGCTGGGGCTTGCCTGCAGCAGCAGCAGCTGAGACGGAGACGGCAAGTCCAGTCACGGAAACTAGAATGCCATGTTAGCCTTGCGATGCCAATGTGGTGGGCGCAAGCAACACGCGCTATGAAGTTTGACAGTCTGCTTGCGGTGTAAGACATACCAACCAAACTAGACCAAAGCATCTTGACGGGCAAAACAAGAAACAGTCTGAGAGCCAAATAAGCTCGAGTAGTCAAGGAACAAGAATGTACAAGAGAGAGAATCAAACGAACACCAGCAACACCGCTCCTTATACCTCCTCTCTTCTCCCCCTATCCCCCTCCCTATACGGAAGTACACACTAGCCTCTCTCCCCCTCCCTCGGTTACGGCCATCTCGTCCACGGCGGAGTCGTGAGGGATGCAAAGCGCTCCATCAAGCAGGCTACCAATACCACCTTAGAGGAAGGGCCGGGATCCAGCAAACGTTTACCTGGACGTTGAAAACAGATTTAAATCGTTGCCCAACGCACCAGGAAAGTAAACTACTGTACGAACGTCTAGGTGTGTTGAAGAACGGTTTATTATTGACAGGTTGGAAGTTGGAACTGCGTCCAAACGTTCAAGCAGCACAGCACGGAAAATCATGATCCCATCCGAGGCTCCCGCCATCGCTTATATTATAGCAAATGTTAGCAACGCTACCATGCGACTAACGGGCACCGTCGCCGTCGGCCCTCCATTTCTACACATTCCCAGCCTCGATGAAGTCCACTGTCCCGCCCCACCCGTTGCAGCACGGGTCGCGCCAGCACACGCGATTGGTCTGTTGTTCAAAGCCCCTCAAGGTAAATTTATCCGCAAAGCCCACAAGAACCGCAATAGCAAGCGAACATCGCTTACAGCCCGGCACGGCCCTAATCCTTAGTTTACAGATCCTTAGTGAATACGGTAGGCATAGTAAGCACTATACCTTATCCCCCTTTATGGTCGCTAAGGTGCGATTTCTTATATGTGTGGTAAGCTAGCTATCTGCAAATGCCCTACCTCGCGGACGTCTGTTCTACCATTTTTCCGGCAACAAGGTCCATGATAAAGTAGGGCTTAAGCGGTTTTGAAGGGGAGCTATGCATACACCGAGCTGAAAGGTTCCTCCCTGAAGCTTAATAGTTGTTCTCATTCAACTCCTCGGTCCACGTAGACCTTTCTGTGATAATGGTAGAGTTCATTTGCACAAAGTGTTGCCACGCAAACCTTCCATGCCGTTTCGCTCCGGCATAACAGACCAATCCGGGCACTCAAACAGCACGAAGAGGGCATACCATGCGGTTTCGGATCTGCATCTCAGTCCGCGAATAGGACGTATAAATCCCCGCCCCCGAAGAGAGCAGCAGGGCAGCGCTCCCTCCTCGTTCCCATCGCCGCTCGGTTGCCGGCTTGCTCAGGCCGCCTACAACACTGCAAAGCCCTTCACCCCGAGGATCTGCGGCATAGTGGCAGTGCTATAGGGATCATTGGGCAGGTCAACGGGATATTGGTTGCAACGACGGCTTGCTGGCTTCCCGCGACCTCGTCATCCGGTCTCAGGGCGGATGTCGCGGGTTGCCTGAGACAAACCCATAACTCTCTGTCTGTCAATCCGCTGAATACACGGAGAACTTTGGGCGCGACTAAGTGGTACAAGCGTAGAACATGCATAGGGTAATTGCGCGGACGCGCGAAATCGCCGGTCTGCTTCTCCCGGGTGTTCCCGACGATGCCTAATCTCATTGCTTGTTGTGTAAATTGGTGGAGGATGGAGGGAGCGAGTCTGGAAGCTGTTGCTAGTGATCGGAGGGACTCATGAACGCCGGGTAGTCGGCTCCCGTACCCATGGTTGAGAGAGAGAGCGCCACGGGGAACATCGCGGCGTTTCTGATTTATCCAACCACCCGTCACGTCAGGCGCTCACTTTGCTGCACGCTGCCCAAAGGGGTCAAATAGGCCCAGGACCGGCGATTACCGACTGGATAAAGGGAGGCGAAGGAGGGGGGATGGCCTTGCTGACTCGCGAGTCTTGGGTGGCACAAGCTACCCAACCTAAATAGAACAATCAACAAAGTAGGAAGTCCGCCATAGCAAGGTGGCGAGGAGGTCGAAAGAGAATACTGCAGTGGCGGCGACCGGCTGGCCGCCACACTGGGCGCTTGTATGTGGTTACATGGCATGCCTCGCCCATGTGTTAGTGCAGGGAACGGAGATTATCTCTCAAGTCCACGAAAAAACCGGAGGGTTGCATAATGCGGCAGATAAGTAATGGCGTCTGGGTCACATTTCCTCGCCGCTGCGGCCCAGAGAGAGCACTCGAACCATAACTGCCCAGACTCCAAGAGGGATCGCGAGGATGGCGGCGCGATGGTTTGCTGGTGCAGCCGGCACAGTCAGGGCACCTCGGGCCGGTCCTGGTGCCCCTCCCAGTTCCGATTACTCGGGTACTATGGCTTTTGACGGCGGACCTGAAGCCGTCGTCGTGGCACCGAATCACGTGGATTATATCTCTGTTCTTGGTTCGTTTTCGGGACTTAAAAGGTCACGAGCTTTGAGCCAACGGACAGCCCAGCCATTGCCTGCCGTCCCGTCCAAGAGGAAGCATGCACTGGTACACTTCAGTTGACCCCGAAGGAAGCTGAGAAGGCATAACTTGAAAAGTAAGTGGCCGGTGTTATGCATAAAACGTCGAAAGCCAGCAAATGAAAACGAAGGGCATGCAGCAACAGCTGCGAGAAGGATTGGTGTTACCGCTTTGAACCAGTCCAGGACTCGTGTGTCGTCCCTGTTTGTGTTCAATTGGCTTCGTCCTTTTCACCTCCAAACAGCACTGCAGGCCACCAAGAGTAACGTGATTGACGATGGAACTGAATTCGAGTACAAGTTAACTTGCAAGGTGCTCCGAGCCCGTCCATGAAAGTCGGATGTGGTCAGTGCGCACACCCTGTGGAAGGTGGCTCGAGGGTAGTACCATGTAGGTGACCCCACTGCATTGACTCCACAGAGGGCACTGACCACCATTGCTGCATTGCAGCATCGCAGCATCGAGCCCCCCACCGGAGTTGAATCCTCCAATGGGAGTGACTAACGTTGGGAATGGACGGAACACATTGAGACTCTCGAGGGCACAACAATAACGCCGACATTCAGGTGTCGTCATGATGCTCTTGGGCTCACGGGAGACATCGTACCTCTAGTGGTATCGTGCTCTGAGCGCGGCTTCATCCGGGCAGCGAGAAGAGTCAAAGACCTGTCACCAATCACGGCGTTTCGATCGCCATTGATTTCAGACGGAAACGTTCTGGAATTGGTCATGACAAAACTCCGGGAGTGCATTCCTTCGGAGGTTGTGGGTTTCTATTTTGGTAGAACGCTGGCCGGATGATTTGCGGTGGCACTTGTCTCACGCCCGTCCACGATCCGCGCGGGCGCTATCTTAGGGCCATGGCCTCGGGATGCCGTCAACGGTCCATCTCGGCTTTCAGGGGCTACGAGTCTTCCTGGTTTACCTAACCTTCAATTGTCGGTGGTTTCTAGCCTCGAGGTCTCAAACGACCACCCTCTGGCGGATGAGGCATTGGAAAGATCCCAGCCGTTCCAGCCAAGCTCCCCAGCTGGCAGGAGAAGGTCTTCATCCGCCGTCGGTTACCCGACGAATGTCAGTCGAATGATGTCTCGTTTTTCCTACCCAAATGACTGCAAATGACCATTCCGCCTCCCTCTGTTGGGTCAGCAGGTCTCCGGCCGTATCATGGTCTCCCTGTCCAGCCCTGAGGATTAGCGCCCTTCGGATGGTCATGAGACTCGAAAGAGCTTCAACAAGATCCACCTCTCTTACGCGCAGGTCCCCAGACATCGGGTGGGTCGTGGGCATGGCAGAACCACAGGCGCGGCGACGACGATGGCATCGTTGGGCACCAGAGAGCCATGCTTCCAACCCGTACCTACATTGTTATGTGCCAATGAGCAATTGGGCGTTGGCAGCCGACGTGATGACGCATGTGAGCATCGAGCTATTTTTCAGCCCCAATCGGAGATGATTGATGTTTGATGCTGCGTGGCAGCCAGGGGCAGAGCGGCACTTGCATATGGCCCCTCATCTTTCGAACCTTATTAAGGCAAAGTGAGTTAGTACCTACCTACCTAGGTCGACGTCGGCCATGAGTGAGGACGGCAAGTACGACCAAATCGAGAACATCACAAGGTGTATAAAGAAACTGTCTGTTAAGCTCCCAGCTCCTGTGTCTCTGCACGCTGCACAATGCAGAGGTTGCTGTTGCCAATGCAGAGAGACACCCGCGACGGAAGGCAGGAAGACGCTACCCATGCCGACAGACAAGATGTCATAACTCATGGTGATTCGAGCTATGGTAGCCATAAAGCTACTTACCTATAGGGAGGCATCTAACGTTATGCGGAGAGGAATGGAACAATCCCACCCTGAACTGTGTGCCCCACTATCCCTTCCAGCATGTTTGGGGAGTATCATTGCCTCACTCGCAAGTAAGGTACTGTGCGGGAGAGGAGAGAGAGACACTGCCGGCAATCTGCCCATGGGGCACGGTGGAGTGATTATAAATGTGCAATGCATGCCTTGGAGAAGGGGCCGATGATTCCGGACCAAGAAACATGAGAAATAACCCGGTGCTGCACGTTAAACATTGTTGAAGGCAAGGGGCTTACCACTGTGCAGAGTTACTGGTACCTGTATCTTACAGCCGGCTGCCGGATCTTGGCTTTGGCATTCCAAACCAAGATGGTGGCATAGAATAGTTCACGATATTTGCCACACCGTATCTGCATATAGCACTACTAGTAATAAGTAAGTAGTCAAGACTTAGGTCCAGGTTACTGCTCGGGCCGGGGTGTTTCAAGTCGGTGTAGCCATACCAGTTCCACAACTTGCGGTTGTCAGCCGCTGCTGAACTTGACTACCTAACTTTCATACGAGTAGCCTTCTGATAGCGCTGGTTGACTCGTATAAGGGCATCTCATTCCATCATATTGTATGATGCCCTCCAAGGGGTAGTGCTCGAAATGATCACCTAAGCAAGATGAGGTAGGCAATAAGCAATCAAAAATGATTTTCTTCGCCATGCCCTAGAACCAAACAGAGGCAGGGGAGTGACCCAGCCCGTGTATGCCCATTTTCCCAGCCAGCCTTCCAAGAAGAAGGCAATGTACGGTAGGTAACATGGCTGAGTTAGGCGCACAGACCGAGCTGGGCAGCCTCCCCTATTTTCGCTGCGACAACAACACAATAATATCCCATCACATTCCTTTCTTCTTCTTGTCGCTAAGTAGTCATCATCTCATCTACCCGTCGACCATAACAACCCTCCCAGGCGGCCAGTCCACCCCAACCATTCGATATCGGTACTCCCATCGAAAACCCCCTTTCCCCTTCGTGATAAGGCCCCCAGGGGTTTACGTAGCGAGACAGGGAGAAGAAAGGCGCAAGCCAACGACGTCGAACCCCCGGCATCTGACCACAGCGGAAAAAGACCAAGCTTATACGCTATGCCGTAACCCCGTCCATCGTAGCCGTCCAGGGCAGCAAAGGTGCATGAAGGGTTAAGGAACTTTCAGAAAGCCGCTCAAGAAGCAGAAAGGAAGGCCTTAGCCATCATTTTGTAGTTGCCATTGCCCGCTGCTGTGGACACCCGCCGCAGCAACGAAAAGCCGCGTCCTAGAAAAGATGGCGAGTGATGGAATAAGTAAAGGCCATCACGGTCATGCAGGATGAAGAAAAAAAAAACTCTAAAAACGAAGGAAAGAATCAGAAGAGAAATGGACCGTGGTCCAGCGGCATCATTGCCACCGACGCGGCTCTCCTTCAAACACCTGATTGTGCTTGCGCCTGCGAAGACGACTGTTCGCCGACCATGGCTGCGCCTCGACCCCTTCCACGCCCGTACCTCGTACGCCATCTCTCGACACAGCTTCGTAGGACAGGGAGTTAGTGGCAGGGTCCCAAGTCTCATCGCCTTGTATGTAGGTTCCATTGCCACCTCTCGCTCATGTGCGCATCAGAATAGCATTGCTTCTTTCTTGTCATGGTGGACGCGGCGAGGGACGGAAGAATCGCTGCCTCCAGCTAAATCTCGTGGCTGGTGGTCGCGCTGACGAAATACAGCATAAACTGCCCATTATAACCGACGCTGTGAACGTGAATCGATGGGAAGCAACTTCGTCAACCCCGGCCCAGCCAACTCAATCTAGCTTGGCCATCATCTCTTGCTTGTTCATGGGTGTGAAGTCGTCGATATCGAGCCCACGTGCCGCGAGGACAGGAACCATGTGTGGGGGTACGAGCTGGTGGTTCAGCTGAGGATTGATGGACAGCTCTGGGACGAAATGACGTCAGCAAACCGAAGCTAGAAAAGTTGGACCATGGTAACGGAATCCTTACCGTGACGTGAGAAATCGAACAAGGGAGGCAGATCCCTGAGTGTGCCTGTTCCGTGCCTTGAATCGGGGAGCTTCGTGTTGGGATCACGGAGCTCGTCGAAAAACGGGTGAACCATGGCATCGATGGCACCCAACCGTTCTGTCGGGGTGTATTCAAGCAGCCGCGCGATCAGATCGATGGCATTGGCGTCCGCCTTACGGAACACCTTGTTGAAGGGGTGGGGTTTGATTTGGGGAAACTTGTGCTCCATGTAGTTCGGATTCATAGTTCGAATCTGTTCGCGGGTCGGCGTTCCCAGAACCTTGATGATCTCGACGAGTTGGTCGATTCCAGACTCTCCAGGGAAGAGCGGTTGCCCCAGCATGAGTTCAGCCATGACACAGCCGGTGGACCAGACGTCTATTAACCATGTGTCAGCGGGGTGCAATGACCGAGGGGCAGTGGACCATCCCGCCTGATGATCTCGCTTACCGATCTTGGTTGTGTAGTTCGTTGCGCCAAAGATCAGCTCCGGGGCCCGGTAATACCGCGAGCAAATGTATGACACGTTAGGCTCGTTCTCTACCAGGATCTTAGCACTGCCAAAGTCGCATAACTTCAGCACACCGGTGCTAGGGTCCAAGAGAAGATTCTGCGGCTTGATATCCCGATGGCAGATTCCTTGTGAATGGATGTAGGCAAGGGCCCTGAAAAGCTGATAGATGTACAGCTTGACTTCTAGCATGGGCATCGTGGTCTTCATCTTGTTGAAAAATCTCGAGGCCCTGTATACGGTCTCGGGCACAAACTCTTGCACGAGGTTCAGATAGACCTCGTCTTTCTGTGGCAATGATGAGCATGAGAGCCACATGTCCTTGTAATGAGCAGATGAACTTACGCGCTCGCCGTTGGAGTAGTAGAAAGCCTTCAGCTGCACGATGTTGGGGTGCCGCACGATCCTCATGATCTGGAGCTCGCGGTTCTTGAACCGCTTGTCCTGCAAGACTCGTTTGATCGCTGCATCCTCATTGGACGGCGACAACTTCGTCTGGAAGACTACGCCAAAGGACCCGTTGCCAACGATCTTGCACTGGGTATACTGTATTTCCCGCGTCTCCCCGGTGACACCATCTTGAACCTTCTCACGGATAACTTCTGCATTGCTCATCAGTACGTCTGTTCATCCGTCCGGCGTCCGGAATTATGTTGTGGCGTAATCTCACCTCCCATCCGCAGGGTGTTGAATGCTGCCGGCCTATTCGACGACATTGTTGAGGGATGCGAACCAAGTCCGTGTTACTGTTGAAAAGGGTCGAAGGGTCGTAGTGGTGGGTGAGAAGGATGGATCGCGGAAGCTCTGGTGACCGCCGTGGTGGGCAACAAGTTGTCGAGTGCTGACGACGAGAATAGTCGAGTTTCTGGGCTCGACGTTAGGGCCCAGGCTCGATGGCGACTCTGTAGGTTGTCTGTGTAGGAACCCAGGAAGCGCGCGGTTGGAGATCGGATTGACAATTTTGCGCAAAGCTTTAAGGCTCGTTTTGGGTGCTGGCGCCTGCTCGCCCGATGCCGGGGTATCGGTCGGTCCTGGAGCGGGAGCGATGCAGCTGGCGGCGCAGGAGAAATTCCGGGCGGGGGAGCTGAGGCAGCTGGCGGACCTGCGACAGACTTCCAAGGTGGTATTGGCTGTAGGTGAAGAACTGAGACCCTTTTGTTAGATGAAGAAGGTCTTCACCGTTCCTAACTCGTATAAATGTCGAGAGATTTAGCTGAGGAGGAAGAGTCAAATGCTTGCGACGTAAGAGGTGGAGACCATTTGATGTTGAGAAGGAAGGATGCGAGGGCAGCAGAAGTTAAGGTTGAATTCCAGAGGTTGAAGTGAGGGTTTGGAGGGGCGGGCACGCTAGCTCAGTGAAATGACAGCGGGGAGCGACAAGGGCACCGTGGTGCATGTGGCGACCGCACAGGACAGCCTGGTCCTGGCAATGCAGCAGTGCTCCAGTGCCAGGGTCAAGTGGTTCCGCGAAGAAGTGGATGCAAGACGCATGGACTCGGCCTGAGCTTGCTGGGTTGATTTTGGCTGTGGAAATAAGAATCACTCCAATGCGATCAATGGGACGCGATCGCTCACGGGGGCAACGCCGCTGAACTTCAGGGAGCAAAGAAATCGGGGTGGAATGGGGGGAAAAGAGGAAAGGAAGACCCGACGGAAGCCAAAAAACGACCTGGAGGGACGGATCGACAGGCTCGAACAAGTCTTCTTTCACTTTGCTGGTGCAAAATTCCTGCGTTTGCATGCTGCGGCAGCTTCGCACCTCACATCTGGTGAGGTCAGATGGCCATGGACTTGGCGCTCTGTACGATCGCTGCAGCCAACCAGAGCAGGCCAAATGAGGGGTTGGGGACAGGGGAGGGGCAGGTCGGAAGGCAGGTGAATCGTTTTGGACAGCTCGGTGTAGAGCTGGACACCGGGGAGGTGAGATGCGAAGAGTTGAAACCGACAGCGGGAAACCTGACACTTACGCGCGCTTGTATCTCGCGTTGCAGCGAGATCGTGTGCAGCCTCGTCGCGGTTGGAGGAGAGGATTGGCGAGACAACCCACTGGTTCTGCCCAGGCTGCTGAGGGGTTCGATACGCTCGGCCCGTGAGTTCGGGTTTAGCTCGAACGCAAGGTCGGCAAAGTGGCTCGGTGCGCTGGATTGACAATGGAAACGGGCCACGCCCGGTTGGCTCCAGCGAGTTTGTGCCTTTTTGATGTCACCAGCGCAGCCGCAAACCGGTCGACGGGTCGAGAAGCCTGTATATAATTCACCAAGGGCGGTAATTCAACGCTCACCGTTTTGTGAACAAAAAGCGAGGCCGGAGCTCCTCCGATCGAGAACACCTGCTAAAAGAGGTTGACGTCGTGTGCTTCGATCAGTTCGACGGCCGGTGCCACTTTCAGAGTATCACTCTTTGTTTTTGAGGCGGATGGAGGCACCTTATGATGCTTCTGTTTCCAATGGGAAAGGAAAGCAAGGAGAATCTATCACATTTGACTGACATCACGGCGTAATGCAGGATCAGTACAGCTGTACTGGACCAGACGGAATCCGGTTGGAAATAGCCTCAAGGCAAGCGCCTGTGGATAAGGTACTTTCCAAGCTGCTTGCCTGGCGTCTCAGAGTGTGTGGGTCGGCCGCTGCCAGATCTTCCCAGGCTTCATATTTGTCGCCCCTGTCGGAGACCCGAAGTAGGCATGGGGCAGATTGTAATGCTCAGGTGATCACCTGCCTCGCTCGCTGCTGGACGAGAGACCAAATGGATACGCTATCATTCAGAAGCAGGTGTCCCGACGCTACGGGCCTTTGTTTTGGGGGAAACACTGAGCTGGGGGTACTTGTACAATACAAATTACGTAGCCAGAGATATGGGACGCTTTGTGGTCTTTTCTCTGCCACAGGTAGTTCGCCTAGAACAAAGGGACTGAAACTATCAAGCGACCAAATACCAACACTGCCCGGGTTGTCGGTGTTTTGGTGCTGTGGTAAGTTAGTATCCGTACCAATGAGGTATTTCAGTGGCTCGCTGCGTTGCTTGTTCTTGAGCATACTCCGTACGCAATCCACAAAAAAGATCTCAGGTAGGCCCCAATACGAAGTCAACAGTATGCCTAAAAGCATAGTGTACTCGTTTGCCGAATCAAGCATCTTGCTGAATCAGACTGATGATTTCGACGCTTATTACCAAGGTAGTGACCTACCTTACTGTTTGTTGTATTGTGAATCTCATGAACCGCTGCTCCACCTACTACCTTAGATGTAATGCCTAACAAATCAGGCAACAGAAGCACCCTGGCTGCTACGGTGCTAACATCACCTAGGACCCACACCCAAGTCGCGCTTGGCATGTGCAACTTCTCGTGAAGCCGTTTCTAACCAGTTTCTCTGCCACCAATCCCGAACCAGAAGCACAGCCAGCAACCGCAACAACTGCTTATTCAACCGCCATACCCATCTCACAACTCATCACCATTGCGGCTGGGGTGACACAATTAGATAGCTTACAATGGCGGATTACGACCGCAGATCAGGCGGCGGCAGCAGCTACAACCCGAAAAAGCGTCGCTATAGAGGTGAGCCTCGCTTGCACACATTCCTGGAGCGTTCTCAGCTTTACGTTTGAAGTTTGGAAGCGCGGCAAGCTGTTTGCCGAATTCCCTTCTTACACACCTGTCTACTCTCCTCCACAACGAACCGGAGCTGACAAGGACTGTGCCCCAGATGATGACGACTACGACCGCCGTGCGCCCCGCAGGCGCTTCGACGCGCCGCCGCATGTGCGCGTGCGCAAGCAGCTCATTGCCATTGCCGAGAACCCCATGCGTGCCTGGCACGAGGAAGTCCAGACCATCGCCAACCTGTTCACAGACAACTGGGACGACGAGCTGCTTCGGTCTAATTTCGTCGACCTCGTCCTGCAGCTGGCAGTGGAGCAGCCTCTCAAGACCCCCTTCTTAGCGGCTGTGGTGCTTGTTGCGAATGGGAACAAGCCCGAGGTCGTGGATATGCTGTTGGAGAAGGTGGCTAGGCTAGTGGAAGATAATATTAAGGCGGGCGAGTGGCGGGACGTGAAGCTCCATCTGAAGCTGTTGGCCTGCCTGCAGGGGTGTCTCGAAGGGGAAGGCGTGTTTCCCGTGCTGGAGGGGCTTTTTGAGAGGGCGGTAGACTTGCAAACTGCTAGCTCCGATGATGTAAGTTGTCCGTCCGAACGTGCTGGGGGCTGGGGGGTTTGGGGGGTTGTGGTGGGATTGTGCTAACTGATTGATGGCGCAGACGATCGGGACGGAGATTGTCAAGATCATCCTCTTAACTCTTCCATACGTCATGGTCGCTACTCCAGGGCAATGGGTGCAAAAAGCGGCAGATTTGATGGAGAAGACGGAGATTATCGCTTCGGAACCGCACACCCTGCAGGCACTCATCGAGCCGTATCACCCGGAAAACGGCGACGAGAACCCGCCGCAGTCGCAGAGTCTGATTGGCCTCCTGCAGACTCAGCTCCAAAACGAGGCGAACAATGGGTGGGCATTAGCCTGCCTGCCGAGGCCGTGGGAGTTCCCCCTCAACGAGGTCGAGAAGCGGTCGAAGCTTGACGATGCCGCTAAGCATGCTCTACCTACCATTGCAATCCCTCAGACCGTCATCGCCGGACCACGGCCGCTGTTCCCAGAAGTTTATTTCTCCGTCTATGCGAATCAGGAAGTCGAGTCGGTCCCTCCTCTCACTAGCGCTTCCGCGTCTCTGATCCGGGATGCTTTGTTGGACACGATCAACGTACTTCACTTCAACCGGAACGTCACAGCACGCCACCTGATTGATATAGACTGCTATTTTGCCCCACGAACGTTTGCAGCAAGAGCTACGCCCTTCGACAAACTGCGTGGCATCGAGCCACCGAAGTCAACTTGGAAGCCGGAAGACGTTGCGGTTGATGCCGTCTTCTCCCAAATATTCCAGCTGCCGAACCCCGAGCACAAGCTTGTTTATTATCACTCAGTTCTTACTGAGGCATGCAAGCTCGCGCCAGCAGCGATAGCACCAAGCCTAGGGCGCGCCATTCGGTACCTCTACCGGAATTCTCCCCGGCTCGACTTAGAGCTCGCGTACCGCTTCATGGATTGGTTCTCGCACCATCTAAGCAACTTTGGCTTCACCTGGAAGTGGACCGAGTGGGTGGATGATGTGTATCTGCCGGACGTGCACCCTCGCAAGGCCTTCATCGCCGGGGCGCTCGACAGGGAGATCAGACTCAGCTTTGCGCAGCGCATCAAAGGCACTCTGCCGGATCCGTACAAAGAGATGATCGGCCCAGAGAAGGAGCAGGATGTGCCCAAGTTCAAGTTTGCCAATGACGGTGAGCCTAGCCTGCGGGAGTTCATCATTCATACCTGTCGCTAACCACAATCCAGACACCCCCTTCGCAGCCGAAGGGCGCGAGATTGCCAGCCTACTTAGGAACAAAGCGCCCGACGAGGAGATCGAGGCCGTGATTCAGCGCATCCAGTCCATGGCCATCGACCGCGACATTGACGCCCTCGTGGCAAGCACCGACGTTTTCGTGACTTGCGTCCTGCACGTCGGTAGCAAATCCCTCTCGCACGTGCTAGCCGCCATCGAGCGCACCAAGGATCGCCTCACCAGCCTTGGTGCCGCCTCGGACGCCGCCCGCACCCAGATCATCGCGGCTACTATGAGTTTCTGGTCCGCCCACCCGGGCGTCGCCCTCCGCATCATCGAGAAGCTTCTCAACTACAGCATCCTGATGCCCGAAACCGTCATCAACTGGGCCTTGCTGGCCCGTGCGGGAAGCACCCGCGGCGAGGCGCTCTCCATGTCGTACATCTATGAGCTTGTCTTCAACACAGTTGTCAAGGTGACAAACCGTGTGCGGCAGCTTGTAACAAAGTCCTCATCTTCCTCGCCCTCAGATGCCGACGAGTCCGAAGTGCCGATCAAGCAGATGCGGACGCTATTCACTGCCATTGAGGACGCGCTCGCGTCGTGGGCGACGGGCAGCAAAGATGAGATGGTCGAGACGGGCGATGGTGAGAGTAGCAACGAAAAGTTCGTGCGGCGCTGGGGTGAGCGGTGGCTGCGGGTGTTCAGGAGACGGGCGGCGATCGAGGAGGCCTTCTTGGTAGAGGCCGAGAAGGAGCGGGCGAGAACGGCGGAGGAAGATGCGCAGAACGGCCATGGCGGGGAGGCGTCGGGCGAGAAGATGAATACCGACGCTGAGGAGGCCGCGTAGAATGCGGGAGTCATTATCTGAAAGTGGATTCGGATGGCTCGTTGCTCTTCTTAACTCTGTAATTTACCAGGACTCCTCCAGAAGGGAGGCAAGGACGAACACGGGGAGGCATTCTGAACTATTAGTATTATAGTCTCGCCACAAGAACAGATCACCAGGCAGGGCAAAGTACAGAGTCGTGAGACAGAACCAATTGTAGTTTGCCATCCATGGGTATCTATCTCCAACTGAATTGCCTTAACCCGAATCGGGCTACCCGCTTTACCTATCCTACCCCATACGCCGTGCCTGCAGCCTACGAATTCTCTGTGGCTTCATGCCACTTCTGTTTAAGTACGGTTGCCTCCTACGACCGCCAGCCCGAGCGGGGGATGCTGGGACATACTCGGCGCATCGCTATCTCGCTTGTTAGCTCCCGCGGTCGAGACGTAGAAGATGTGAGGGCCGCTTGCTAACCCTTTTTGAAGGAGACGTTGACAGCTCAGGGGCACCCTATGAGGCCATCGGGCGCTGCGATGTATTCGACTACAGGGTCAGCCGTTTGATATGCGCCCATTATAGCCGTAGATCCCGAAACGCATCACCGTGTGTCATCAATTCGGCACCGGACGGTTGAGCTCTGCTGGGTTTCTGCGTCCGGCCGTTCTCGATGGAGTCCCCCAATTCATCTTCAGGTATGACATCGTCGCCGCTTCTTTTCTCCCAGTTATTCTAACGCCTAGCGAATCCAGGTGGTGGCGGCGCTCCAAAGCCCTGTGGAACACCACTAGGCGGCGGCATAAAGCCGGGTGGGGGTACCGGTGCGCCTGGAGGCGGGGCGCCAGCGAAACCACCCGGCGCTGGCGGCATGCCGGGATACATCGGTGGCTGCCCTGGGCTGGGCTGAGGACCGCCGGGGAACCCCGCGGGCGGATGATGGAAACCACCCACTGGCCCGCCAAAGCCGGCGTGGCTGGGTGGAGGGCGCGCGGGGAGACCGGACGGTGCTGGAGGGAGCCCAACGCCCATTGGTGGGCGACCGCCGAAGGCTGGCGGTGGTGGGCCTGCGCGCCCCATGCCGCTTGGTCCTGCGGGAATGGCACCGTACGGAGCTGCTGGAGGCACAGCCGCAGCGATGGGTGCGACGGGTGCGACCGGGGGGATAACGGCAGGAGGAATAGCTCCTGCCCCGTCAATAGGGGAGGGAACAGCAGCGGCTGGGCCGGTAGGTACCGCTGCTGCTGCTGCTCCGACGGGGGCGGTCATGTGGAAAGCCGGGGGTAACGGCTGCTGTTCGGGAACAATGTTGTGTTTCTTGCCTTCGGCGGCCAGCTTGCGCTCCGCCTCGTCGCCATGGCGCTCACCCTTGCCGTCTTTCTTATATGCGTACTCGACAGTGATAGCTTTGCTGAGCAGGTACTGGCCGTTCATGGTCGCAAGCGCAGCATCACTGGCCTCAAACGAGTCGAAACTGACGAAACCATAGCCCTTGGAGATGTTGTTCTCGTCACGCACGATGTTGGGCTGGCGCAGAATCTGGCCGAACTGGCTGAAGGTGTCGTAGAGGATCTTCTCGTCGACCTGAGGATCAAGATTGTTGATAAACAGTTCTGCGCCAATGTCGACCGTCTTCTGCTTGTCGGCGCTCGCCTTGTTGACGCGGATCGGCTTGCCCCATATGCGGATGCCGTTGAGAACCTTGGCAGCGTACTCGGCCGAAGCGGGCGTGTCGAATTCAACAAAGCCGTAGCCCTGGTGTGTTTGCGAAACCCTATCTTGGGGCATATGCACCTGACGCACCGGTCCAACCTGCGTCATAAGCTCCGAGAGCAGCTCCTGGGTGAAGCGCTCGTCTATGTTGCCGACGTAGACGGTGGCATCTTTGTTTTGTTCCCTGCAAGTTGTTAGCGCGAGGGCTCCTGGTGCTGAGATAAAGCATAGCTGGCCGGGGCAGAGCCTACCAATGCTTTGACATGGTCGCGGATATTTATGGCACGGCGAAATAGGATTGTTGGGTTGATGCGGTCGCCTGCCCTGCCTGAACTCTAGGTTCCGCGTTGGAGCAAGACCCAATTTGTGAGCCGGATTTCTGGACCGCGTTCTTGAACAGTGGGGCCGATGCAGGGACGCTCTAAAATGCTGGAGCCGCGCCAGGCCCGAGTGGGTCAAGGTTTCGCGACCGCCCAAAAACGACAATTCATTCTGCCGCACCTTACGGATCCGTACCGTTGACAACCTGGAAAGCTTCCGCCTGCCATCCACAACTCGTCAACAAGTCCATCTGCTTGCGCCCCATCGTTCTCGGCAACCACCAACAAGCCACGAGGACAACCCGACGTGTCTACTGACGCCGGCATTCAAAATGTTTGCCCTCTCAGAAGAATCGAAGGTTCGCCGATTAATCACGCTGCGGCAGCAACACACCGGCGAAAAGAGTCGCTGACAACCTTGACAGGAGCGCATTGGCAAGATCATTGAGATCTCGCGGGTGGCGATTCACTAGTATGTGCAGTTGAAGAAGGTGCCGACCTCTCTCTCCCAGTCCGGTGGGCTAACCGTAGCAAGTGGCTACCTCCCTCTGATCCTCTATCTTGGTATGCACCCTTCCTCTGGAGCCCTCCTACACTGCGAAGCCGTGCTAACTTACCCCAGGCTACACCCGCAGCGATCCTCGGCCATCTGTCATCCGGTACGTTTCACGGAGATATTGTGCTTCAGCGCCATCCCAGGTCCGGTCTGACAGTGATGTTGTAGCCTTCTCTCGCCGCTCTCTTAAACCAGCTAAAAATCACGATCGACGACAAGGATTCCACGCAATGTATCAATATAACGAAGAATAAAAGGGCTGCCTTATTTATTTAGGGAATGGATGCGCTGCGGGGCGTAGACGGGGTTGAGCAAGAGGGTGGGGATATGGGACTACAATAGGTCACAGGGTACCATGACCAGAACTGTATACTATAGTAACGGGCCAACTCCGCGATGATGAGCACGATATATCGGGGACATCTCAACGATCTCGAGTTATTCTGTTGTTGCTGTGTGGATAGTAAACTGTTCGGCTCCCATGGCGCGATTCGGCGTTTTCACTTTCGGCCGAGAGCGTCTGTTAGTTTTTCTCGAAGCCCTTGCGTCATAGGTACGACACCTTTAGGTTTTTCTCTCTGCGCCTCTCCTCCCACGCGACCATAGCATTACCGCAGCGCTCGTTCAACGATGCGCGACCTCAACAAACCCCCTACAGCGTTTTTGACGGGCCCATGTAGCGACTGTCGCCAGGCGTCTCCATGACGGAAACCAAAGATGCGGGCCTCTCCCCCGCCTTTGTCGAGACGGTCGCCGGTCTGTCGGCCGGCACTATGGCCACCCTGATCGTGCATCCGCTCGACATTGTCAAGACGCGCATGCAAGGTGCGATAATGCAGCCCCGCCTCCCCCTACCCCTATGATTTGTTCGTGTGCAACTAAGAAATTTCCACACCCAGTCCACCGCAGCACCCTTGTCTCCTCCGGCAGCAGCACGAGCAGAACCCTGACCACCGTCTCGGTGATCCGCTCGCTGACCCGCACCGACCGCCCGCTCGCGGCGCTGTACCGCGGGCTGACGCCCAACCTGCTCGGCAACGCCACGAGCTGGGCGTCCTTCTTTTTCTTCAAGTCGCGTCTCGAGCGGGGCCTCGCACATCTCCGTGGGCCGCAGCACCATGACCACGACCATGACCGTGTAGAAGAGACGCAAGCCCAAGTCAAGCAGCGCCTCACGCCCGCCGACTTCTTCGCCGCCTCCCTCGCGGCCGGGGCGCTCACCCAAGTGATCACCAACCCGATCTGGGTGCTCAAGACGCGCATGCTGGCCTCGGACCGGTCGGCCGCCGGCGCGTATCCGAGCATGTGGGCCGGCGCGGTCCGGCTGCTGCGCGAGGAGGGCGTGCGGGGGTTCTACCGGGGCATGGGTGTCGGCATGCTGGCTGTGAGCCACGGCGCGGTGCAGTTCGCCGTGTACGATCCGGCGCGGAAGGTGTACCTCGCTCGCAAGCAGAAGGGGAGGGCGCGGCTTGGCGGCTGCGGAGACGAAGGGCAAGGGCAAGGGCAAGGGCAGGTCAGTGTCTCGAATGAGGCGACGGTTGTGCTGTCTACTGTGTCGAAGCTCGTCGCGGGCGCCGCGACGTATCCGCTACAGGTGCTCAGGAGCAGGCTGCAGCACCATGATGCCGAGGAGCAATTTGGGAAGGGGATCCGCGGGGTGGTGAGGAAGCTGTGGCAGGAGGAGGGCGTGAGGGGGTTCTACAAGGGGGTCATGCCCGGTGTAGTGAGGGTACTGCCTGCGACATGGGTGACCTTTTTGGTGTATGAGAATGTGAAGTACTACTTGCCTCGGTGGGCACAGGGCGGGAAGGAACATGTGGTGGCATAGACATAGATATAGACAGGCTCCAGACGTTCTGGAGTGGTGGAAAGCGTTCATCGTCCGTGATGATCCAGTTCGAAACGCGATCGATCCGGGTAAAGGCCCGTCCGGATCATACCGAGACACGTATGATTTGTTGCTGGATGTAGATACGTGAGAGCTCACCTGCTGTCGCAGTAGCCGACCTCTGTAACCGACACTGCATCTTTTGGATTATACACATGAACAGCTCTCCGAGGGAGTGATCCTTCAGGGGCTACGTGGACCGTCACACACTGAAATCACTACCAGAGCCTCTCACATCGGTCGTTATATGGACCTCAACTTAGGGAGATTACTAATATCGGGCATCCGTCCCTTTCTGTCGCAATCGCTGCCAATGTCTTGAGTCCAACACTCACTCGACACTTGGCAATGCCTTCTCCGGAGGATGAGAGCGATAGCACCAGCTGAGCAGGACAGGAAAGGCGAGTCTGGGCAATCTTTCGTAAAGACCGGCGTTCCGATTACCGGCTCACTTATACTCCGTGATGTTGTCACGCACCAGGACAACAAGCAACAAGCGCAGCAGGAACCACGCCTCGTCCCTGAGGCAACGGACCGCCAACCCCCACGCACGATCCATCTCATACCGGATAAATGAGATCATCGCGGCAGAGACCCGGTCACACACAAGACACAGCAGTCTCGCCGTCCGGGCGATGCCCAACTGCACCCATCCATTAAGCTGTGTAACTATCCACAGTGCCCATTATCGCGTCATTGGCCGGCGCGCGGGGGCAGAACCCCAATCATCAGAGCGAACATAAGGGATAGTATCCGTATTTTCTTTTCATTCGATAACGAGAGACGAGTTGGGATCGTCGGCATCTCAGGCGGCACGCCCCCTTTCAGCCGTCCACCGACATCCCCCCTCAGAAAGGTCGGGCTCAGAAAGGTTGGGTGGCTGAGGGTGGGTGATATGGTAAGTGTGGCAACGATGGAACCATTGCCCAGAAGATCGTCAAAACTTCTATCTGCCACTCAGCCAGACCGGACGAGTGAACCCCTGGGTAGAGGAAGCCGCATTTATGCCGGGTGTGGCACAACGCGCACGGCATTCGACGATGACAATGAAGAAAAGACAGCCAAGAAACACGGGGAGAAAAACATAAGGATGCCCACAACAGACAGTTGCAGAGCGGCCGCAGCTCGGCAGCGGTACCGTGGGATGTGGCGGTGTAACTATTGTCCAAGCAGACTGGGCCACACATGATTTCTGCATATTTTGCCTGCCCACGACGTGTGTGGTGCAATAACTTATGTACTTGTACATACGTATACCTATACAGTCGTTAGCAAGTTCGACAAGAGACCGGAAATCTCCGCCTCCGCAGAATCCGGACGGGAATGGCAGTCAATGGCTGGACATTAGCGGGCAGAAGATACGTTAAGAGGCTCAACAAGCTGATCGTCTCATCCGCGCAATGCGTCGGGCCGGAGGAGACGGGGAGCCGGCAGGATTCACCGACGCCTCCGGCACCATCATCACCAAGAAAGGGGACTGGGAGGATGGAACAAGCACCTTCCCATTCCATCGTCAGTTATTAGACCGAGACTGCGTGTACGCCCGGATGTACAATAACTACCTCTCAGTTCTGTATGGCGACAGCTCGCTCTTGCCACTGCCCACTGGGAGATGAGGGATCCAGACATCAGGCCATGGCACTCTCCTCCGCTCTCCTTCACGGACAACCTCTATCACGAGAACCCAACCATCAGTCGATGCGTCGCTCCCCCATCCCATAGCGCCGTCGATCACCCGGCGGAGTATCTCCAGTCGTCCGCACGGTAGGGTAAGACATTGGTGCCGCCGAGACCCCGGACACCACCTGCGGAAGTCCACTCACTAGCGGGCCCCTTGAAAGACGACAAGCCAGTAGGGTGGTCGACGCTAACGTTAGTTAGGTGAAGAAGCCAGGGGAAATGGTAAGACATTGGACCCCGCAAATCTCTCTTGGCTTGAACGATCTGGATTCTGGACCGCCGTCGTCAAGGGGACCCCAAGCACCAAAGCAAGCACCGAAGAATTGGGGGGGAAGGGGGGGGGGGGGGGGGGGGGGTCAGTCATCATCCATCCTGGAGGCTCATCAACGCCATTGCCGCTCCCCCTGTGGACCCTAATTCCAATTCCGAGGGTAGGCCCTTGCCTTGAAATCCCCCACTGGACGGTTTATGAGCCGAGCAAGGGTCCGCGGTTTCAAAAAGGGTGAAGAGAGGAGGGAATCCGCAGTCGCGGCTGACGGCTCTGCCCGCCCTAGTTGGTGGAGATTGTCGAGAATGTCATTAACTAGTAACGTTAGTTAAATATCCCGTTGCGCCTCTCCACGAGGGTGCGGCTGTCGACGGCCGTGCACACTATTGCCCGTCACTGCAACCCCCACTGACAACGTGCCCCGACCTGTTGGTAGGAAAGGTCGGGAGGAAAACAGAGAACACGCCTTGGGCGACGACCCGGATGACTGCGAACCCGGGCGATCTCCATCCCGGCTTGACGGACCCCTCCGCCACTGCCGAATATTGGACAGGATTTGGGACCGACTTGACCAATCCGGGTTGGCTTTAGGGGGGTGAGTGAGGGCGGACTGGCTTGCCCAGATCGGCTGCCCCCTGTTGGAACCAGGAGGACGGGTCCATTGGATGGTACGTACTGTACACTACGAGGATGTGCAGAACATACACGGAATACGGAGTATTCGTACCTGCACGGTAATATGTAGTGTAATACTGTATGATAGGGGTTGTCAAGCGAAAATCTCCGTAGTGAACAAGTCTATTATAATGTAACGACCAGCTGGTGAATCAGTGATCCACTGGTCGCCGTCTTGGTTGATGCGGGTCACCGCGATTCGGGGACCTGGGATGCGGCGGATGCCAGATACGGAGGAGCCATTCGTCCAACCGGTTGTTGCCGTGGCACGCAGCACAACATCCGGGGCTGCGTCCCGATGCAGGTACGGAGTGCGGCGGCGGCCACGGCGTCTCGGGATTGTCTGGGAACCTGCTGGATCTTGGGAACACCAGCAGCAATGCTGTTGGGAATTGCTTGAAAAAGCTCGAGCCGCAGTGGGCGAGAAGCAAAGTCCAACGTTAAGTTATCCGAGTTCAGCTGAATCGCCCGTCGCGGGTGCTGACATGGCCATGGGTCAAAGCGGCGCCTGCAGGTGGAGATGCTGAGTCCTGCGGTCAGTCACTACTAAGATAAGTTAGGTACGGCAATCAACTGAATTCAAGCCAACAGGTGTGCTCGAGATGTTCTCGTAAACAGTCGTGGCGCAGTTTTGTGTTCCCAAGGTTTCACCCAGCTGTCGACGACGCCTTCCTTTCTGAACCTGTAATGGCCATCTGTTTCCCGGTCCCCGACAATCCTGTTGCTATGCGAGCCTCGGCCTGGGATGGAAGAAGCTACCAAGGGGTTCCTGTGCAATTGAGCGGTTCCGGGTGCCGGGTCCCGGCCCGTTCCACGAAGTTCCACAATAGTGGACAAGTCCATCCTTTCCAGGACAGATTTGCGAGAGTGGAACCCTTTCACGTTACTCCATTCTGGATGGATTCTCTCCGCGATCAGACAGATCTTGCAGTTGCGGGCGCCTCCATCGATACGCTTGCCCGGCGTTTGACAATGATGAGCAGAGGCAGCCATTATGCCCGCCGCCGGCATCGCTCAAGACGAAATTGCGCAATCCGCGCTAAGCGCAATATGCGACCGTTTCACGACGTCTTCACCCGATTTCTATTTCCTCGAGGCCTCGAGCGTGCGCATTATTTGCCCCGCCCCCACCGAAGTTGGGGGTAGCATGAAGGAATTGGCGGATGAGTGCAACAACCAATTCTGCCGTGAAGCTTCTGCCGAGTGCCCCCCGTGCGGCTTGCAGAGCAGAGGGATATAGTTAGTATTCTCTGCCCAATAACCATCAAGGCAGAATCTAGAGGTTAGTATCGTGGCACCTTTTATAAACCGGTTCTCCCAAGATCCTGTAGGAGATTAATGACAGCTCTCCCTCGCAGGCCATCAGCTGACTTCCAGCCAACTGGAAGGGAATCCGCGTCTGCGGCAACATGATGTCGGTGCGTAGTGTATGTCGCTGCAGCAAGCAGTAGGTACCGTGCTCGTATGTATTGTACCTAGGCAGACTTGGAGGAGCCGGATCACGCCCGGAGACCCGGAAACCGAGCGCCGGCCTCTGCGCCCGCATGACTCCAGCGAGAGTGAGCCGTTTCATCTCAAGCGCAAAATCGCGGAAGCAGACCCGCGGACGTGGGACGGGGATGCCGAGGTCAGGAAACCCCGTCGCCAGGTAACATTCACCCACCTTCTCACCCCCATCGACGTCGAGGAGCCGCGCAAAAAAGGCTAGGTTGATAGCATTAGCGTGCTTAGCGCGTTATCCCCCCCCTCGACCCGCGGCTGGAACCGATGGGTTTGGAACCCGAGCTCGGTAGCCAATGGCGAGCCGGGCTAGAGCGTTGTAGGCGGAGAGGCACCTTCGTGGCCACTGGCTTCAAAGGCTCCAAATCTTGACCCCCGCAACTGCTGACAGACGCCATCAACCTTGGCGGTGAAGGGACGGCTGGACGACCCGGCATCCCATGATATGGCGGCGACGTGGGCATGAGATGACAGTAGCCTCGCCAAGCGATGTGGGCAAGGCTGCATGCAGTGCACTAATAAGATGGGGCTGATGTATGTAGTCGAGAGGCACGCAAAGCGTTGCTTTCGTTTGAGGTTGCCAAACCGGGGATGGGTCGGACTGGGGTGAAGAACCTTCATCACGCCTACTTAGGTCCTGTACCTAGTGTAGTGTAGGTAAGGTAGTAATAACTTGGAAGGTAGATATTACATCACCTCAGATGTCGGGACGGGACGGGGTCATGTCATGGTCTGCAGTGCCCGGAGCGCTGCTTTGACGGAAGGAAGCAACGGTGCGTGCGGGGCTGCTTCCCGTCTCCAAGGCATAAAAATAATAATAAGCTAGATAAACTGGAAGTGAAGTGTTGCATGGAGCCCCCCACGTTGACAAGATTGCGGTGAGTGTAGCAACTCCGTTGATCCTCCTGGTTGCGGGTGTTGGGTTTTCGTGCGCATGTACGAGGGGCTGTTTCCCTTCCAAGTTCTCTCTCTGTCAAGTGAAGGTGTCCTGATGTTAGAACTTAAAACAGCCTCCAGTCCGGAACGCTACCACTTGCCGACGCCATGGCCAGCACGTGTCCTTGACCATGGACCTGGAATCGGTGGACTGAATAGCTATAGTGTGTCCGTCGATGGAGGCGAGTTGGGAATATTTGGGGTATGAACTGGGAGTCTCTGGGACCAATTATCTCCCAGAGGATTGCTCCGAGTCCGACCCAGATCGACCTCAACCACAATGCTGGAATCAGAGACAAGCAAGGGCGGAGCCGCGGCACGCAACATTCCTTGCCAGAGGCACCCTTGAAACAGAAATTGGCTTAGCTGCCCAAGGTCGAAGGAGGGCGGGACCCCATGAACGATACATTGGATACCACCCTACCTACCTGGGTATCTCCGGTCTTTCAGCCCTCGTACACTAGAATGACGACAGAGTCGGATTTGAAGAACGCATCTCACGGAAAATGGAACACTCTCTGATGCAGGTGCCCATGACCGAGCCTGTATCTGTGCGTCAGAACCATATGTCTGCCTCTTGCCTCTGAGATGAGGCTGATTGGGGGTGCGGTGTCCTCGTTAGCTCCTCGTTAGCTTCCCCGGGGAAGCATCAACCTCGCCGGGTATTTCAGCCGGCCGTAGTCGAACTGCAACCAACAGGTTGCTGGCTGAAACGGCCCAGTCCCCCGGAGTAGCATCGGCGGATAAGCATCAGAGAGTGACGGGAGGGGGTACGAGAACCCGGTTTTGCTGCTCTGGCTTGTTCGCGAGAACCTGCCATATCTGGCGTCACCTGCAGGGGGCCGAAGAGGGTTGCAGGAAAGATGATGGCTCACATCTTGGCTTCCGGGGTGCTCTGAAAACCTGTGAGCTAAGAATAAGAACTAGTAACTACCGGCTCGCGGTTGGTCGAGGCCCAAGTCCTCGGATCATGTGTGGCAGAGACACGCGGGCGAGATGTCTTGCTTAGGCAACGTTGTCCCATTAAATCAGGAATGGGGACTTTCAAGGATGTCGGTAATATTCATCAGCTGTAATCGCCGAGGCGCTGAGTGAAGGACAACGCGCTGGGTAATATCGTACTGTCCCTTCTACATTCCATGAGACATGGAGATCGTATGAAGTGTTAGGGTCGATAGCGTACTCTGCTCGGCAAGTCAGCTATCCGCTGCGTCACAGCGTTACCTTTTCTATGTACATGTATATACTGTCCTGCGTACATGGCATTTCGAGAGATATCGCTCATTGCTGCGACCTGCAGTCCCACAAGTTAACTCGTCATGCGCGGGGTAGGTAGATGTGATGGACGGTCGCGCTGGAGCTGAAGCTGGAGCTGAAGCTGAATGACTTGTCATAGATGCTGACCGCTTCACTCACCCTTGGGCATGTAACTCATATGTGATTGATCGAGACAAAGACGCGTCTTCCCTGCGACGTTCTCGGATCAATATCAGAGTTGTGTGTGTCCTGCAGTGTATCACAGCACCCGGGAATAATTGACCAACGAGAAGGCCCATGGCTGCTGCTGCAAAGCCACCAAAAAGCCTCCTCCGACTCTAGCATCCAGTGAAGTCGTGTATACGCTGCATGAAACTGCCTGCCTTGGCTCTCCCAGCGTCTGTTTCCCCAGACTCGAGACCAACGGCTGGGTCTGTTGCCTGGGTCCCTTATTATTATTATTATTATGGAGGACCGGCCTTACCTAGGTATAGGTACCCGGGGGACTACGTTAGCCATAGATGAAATAAGGTATCCTGTGAAGAAAACTACCTTCAATTCTGTTTCAGATCGACGAGCGTCTTGCAAAAATGCAAAAACAACCGAAACCCGTGGGCACAGGCATGGCTCGAGGTTGTTGATAGTTACACGGTAATCCGTATATGATGCATCAAGCCTGAGCTGGGCTCCTCTCAAAGAGGGGCTGGGATGCTTGCTTGCCTCGATAGCCGCGATGCACGCACGGTGCATGGCGGGATGCAGCTCCTGGTCCCCCGACGCGGCGCTGAGGCGCCATCCATGGTAATGGGAAACGACTGCCGCGCTCGGGTTGCTCGATCCGGTTGGCATGCGGACCTTGATAAGTAATTGCTGTTCCAATTCCAGGGGCAATTCCCATGTAGTACAAAGATACGCACGTGCATGGCAATTGAATGCGGCAGGGCGAGTTCTTGAGAGCTTGGAGAATCGGCGATACAAGCGCGACATGCGAAGTCGAGCTTAATTGTTGTTTGGGACATCAGGTATTGTACCTGGTAGGTAGGCTGATGGCTAGTAAGGTACTAGTAGTACGGATGCGTAATTTACGGATCCGTACTACCTAACGGAAGAAAGCGGCCTTTCAAGTTTGTTGAGGGAACTTGCCGTGGTGATGGACTAACAAGTCAACCCATGTCCTGGAGCGCCGAACGTCAGGGGAGGTTTTCTCCCAATCACTTGGCAGGTTGCCTGACTGCCACTCAGGACCCTTGTCGCTCTGTCGTCTCTGCTACCACACCCGGCTACTTGCAACCGACTTGGAGAGTCTTGCGAAGTTTCCAACAGTACTACCTACCTAGGTACAGATCCATTGTCGATTCCTCATGGGAGCAGTTGCGGCTTCCGAAGAGTCGCTCTTGCCAAAAAGCGGGACGAAGTGTTATGCACGCACAATATTGCCCGGGGTAGGGGCAATGGGAAGCGTAGCCGATAAACAGGCTCACAGGACACTTTGAACCCGAAAAGGCGAAGCACTTATTTTTTCATTGTTAGATCCTGGACCGGGAGCTGCAAGTCAGCGAGAGATCTCAAGTCGTCTCCATGCCTCCTGCAGGATCTTGTCAAAGCGCCGAGCGGCTGCCGCCGCATCGAAGCAAGTCAACTGGAAGCAGGTCACGAATCATGATGCCCCTCAACACCAGGAACGAGGCATGCAGCGGTAATTTCCTAGGTCACCCGCTGGGGGCGCTGGGGGAACTTGGAGGAGGTCTGGATGCCATCCATGGATTGTGGCCCACAGAGGTAGTACATACAGATTATCCTTGATGTGGCTGCTGGCCCATGTCTCAATCTCACAACCCTGGGATGGGCAAGAGAGGGCTCCCCCCCTGCTCCCGGGCCACTTCACACACCCCTCGACGCAGTGTACAACACCACACCCCTCCCCGGCGACAGTCATCCACCCTTCTGAAAGCCACTCTCCGCTACCTATGTGGGGGTAACCAACACAAGGGCTCCATGGGTTTGGGTTAGGCAGCGGAGCCCATTCGATGAGATCGAGGCGTGGTGGCTTCCAATCGTCTGGCTCCTCCAGATCCGTGTAGTTACCCTGCCGTCCAAGTAGGATAGGTACTGATATAGAGACAGTCTCTCCCCAGCCCAACGCTTCTCCCCCCCCGTTGTCTTGATCAACACTCCGCATGGCGAAATGACCACATAAGGAACTCCCAGTATCTTGAACTAGATTGAAACGGCCCGAGTTCTGTTTCAGTACTATCTCATTCCTATATCTGTTCTGCCTCTCGTGGCCCGAGCTGCACACAGATCTTTCCGAAAACCGGTACCCAACAGAGAGATTGACCACATCACCGCCGAGATGGCCCTCGGAACCTTGCCTTCCAACGCGGCTCCTTGGGGCCGCTGGCCTCATCAGCAGCATGCTAGCACCGAGTGCGACTTGGTGGAAGCCAGCAACATGGCACCCTACGACTGCCGGTCAGGCACCGTGGCCCCTATCGCGCGGCCCGAGCTGGGCCAACAGTTCCTTCCAGGGCCCTTCACACCGGCTCCGCCGATGCACTCTCCAGTCTCTCTACAATACCAAGTGCCCGTCGCCTATCCATCATTCACACCATACACGCCCACGCCAGCGCTGAATGCCCCTTTCCGGCACCGTGAGTCTCTGGAGCACCCGCAGCCGCGTGGTCTGCCTGCGCTACCTGCTGTCGTTGGGGACTTCCAGGGCCGTCATGATGCTTTGCATGATGAGAGAAGCATCAGTCCATCCATCAAGAGCGAACCCAGGTCGACCGTAGCAGAACCCGCCTCCCCGCACTCAAAGACCATCGTCCCGAACTTACGGGTACAAGGGGCCCCCGTCTACCAATTCCACTCTCCTATAGACAGGCTTGCCAGGGTAATCGAGATCAAGCGTGGGATTCTGGACCCGCCAGAGCACAAGACAACGGGACCGGCAGAAGCAAGTGTCAAGCCAGAGGGAGCTGACACCCAGGAAAGCCACGGCAAGACGAAGCGGAAGCGTTTCTGCTGCGATATCCCTGGGTGCAACAAGATGTTCGCCCAGAAGAATAACCTGGACACCCACCGACGAGCTCATACTGGGGAGAGTCCTTATATATGCCCAATCTGCCGGCACCGTTTCACGCAGACTGTCAACCTCAAGGTAAGAAAGCCCCCAAAACTATTCCACGATGGAAACATTGAACCAAGTCTTACGCGATCCAGTCACACATTCGTCGCCATTTTGGAGACCGGCCTTACAAATGCCCGCAGTGTCCCAAGGCATTCTCTCAACCGTCCAACGTCAAGGCGCATATAAAGACGCACGAGAGGAGAGAGCTAAGGGCGCATTGGGTTTGCAGGTTTGATGGTTGCAAGAAGTCGTTCACTGCGAAGGGCAATCTCAAGGTGAATCGGTTCCGATGCTACGTACCCGCTCTATAGCATTCGACTAACCCCTGATTTTCAGAGCCATCAAAACACCTATCACCGCGAGGCCATCGAAGCCTTCAATGCTAAGCTCGCTACCATCGAGGACAAGAGCATGATCTCGGAGGAGGACAAAGAGATGGCGCGGTACATCGCCGATGTGCACAACCTCGCCAACAAGGGGATCAAGGGCCGCGGCAAGGGACGCAAAGTCAAGCGGATCCTCCCGCACCCACTACCGCAGGCGTCCGCCACTCCCCATTCGATCATCACAACCTCCACCACCCATTGTCCGATGCCCCTTGTAGCCCATGGGCTCCCTCACCTCCAAGCCCCGCCCCAGCAGCAGCCTATGGCACCTCACGGCCACCACTTTCACGGCTTGAACAGCCCTGCCGCCTACAGCATAAGCAGGCCATCCAGCTACCCCTACGGCGTCCCTCGGGATGCCCATGGACACGGCAGTTATGGCATGCTGGACTCGGACCAGATCAGCGAGACTAGCAGCCTGCACTCTCCTTCGCCGGTCATGGATGTCTTTGGCGATGAGCATGACCGAGGATTGGCATTTAGCGAACGGATGTACTGACCAACACTCTACAAGACGAAACGAAGATTACGGCGGGAGGCTAGTTAGTAGGTGGTTTTCTGATTCTTGTGTGTTTTGGATCGGCTGTCTGAACAGTGTGTTGCTTTCTGGTCTCTCTAACTCGACCTGTTGCTTTCCTTAAACTGCTTCCATTGCTTGTTGCGTTTCTGTACACCTCGGACCGGACGTAAAAAGAGGAGCGGCGGTTAAGCGGCTCATTATACCTAGGGAGGCGGCTTTCTGACTTTTTTTAAAAAAAAAAAATCACACGGGGCTCGTTGGTCATGGGAGGGGGCTCTGCTTTGCGACTTGGGGAGGAAGAAGGCCATCTGTTTCCGTTTGTTTGCTTCTCTTTCTTGTTGCCTGTAATGCAAGGCTCGAGTGTGCAAGTTGCTTTGTTGCTCTCGCTTTTGATCCTTTCCAGTCACGTGCAGTGTACGGCGGATCACAGCACGTCGGCCCTGGATAGGTTACCAACACAAACAAAAGTGGAGGCCGTTTCTGTTTCCAATAGTCGCATCCGAGGTCACATTAGGAGGCGGTCTTTGGAATTCCTTATTTGGGAGACTCGAATGGAGGAACGGACGATGCAGCTGCAATTACATTGACACGCGGGTGGACATATGACTCGGAGGCGAACTGGAAAGGACACTTGTTGATGGCCATCGCGGATGCTGGCTTAACTATGCCAACATCACGACAGACTGCCTGGTATGTACATACATACCTTACATATTGTACACAGCCGGATAGGGACGTACCTACTGTGTAGTTATGGTATGCGTGTTATGGCGTAATTAGTTGTGTCAGATTTATGAACCTGAGGTATGTAATTACCTCCACAACCGACACCGATCTCATCAGACTTTCCCGCGTGATGCAAGATCCAGCGATCCCGTTGCAGCACAACGTCGCATGCTTTTTCCCTTTCCCTGAAAGCCATTTCAAAAGTCCGATGTCGACAAGCAGGTCCGGACAAGGCACCTTCACCCAATGAAATCGGTCCTGAGTAATGAAGGCCTACGTAACCAGGAGGGCGCATAGCGGATGCACTCGCCGGTCTTCTTCTACACTACCTACTGTTTACTCCGCACGAAGGTATCCGTAGGTACATTACCACACTAGGTAAAACGCCGATCTCTCGCCCTCAATCAATTGGCTTCCCCACTTCCCCGGCGCCGCGGAGTGCTTCCGGACCCGAGGCGTCTTCAAGCCACCCCTTCCTGTCCCTTGCTTTCGACAAGGATCCGCCCCGGCTCCGGGGTTCCAGTCCCGGTGTCCACACTCTTCAAGAGGTCCACAGCAACGTTAGTGTACATACCTATTGCTTGCTTGCGAGGCCTGAGCCAACTCGAGAAACTGCCGACATACCGGCACTACTCCGTAGGTGACTGTAGGCTTGTTAATAAGGCGGTCGTTGTAGTTGTGTGGTTACATATACACAAACTCGCTAGTATATGCATTACCGCAAGCCACATCTAAGGACAATCTAGGTATTGGGCCCCCACATAAGGTTCAGACTGATGTCTTCGCATCGCAGCGCCATAGTGTGCATTATGTTATTTATTGTAGACACCGCCTGGGCGAAGGCGGGACGGTCAATACTAGTACCGTCGGGAGATTCAAACTCCCGCCGTGCCCATGTGCCTATGTCATGATCGAGAAAGACCGGCTGACGAAATTACTGTGTGGGAGGGGACAAGCAGCTTCGCTTTCACTTTTTGAGGGTGTGCGCATCACTAGCTTGATTCGATTCGGGCAGCTCCGTGTTTGTTAATTACTGAGTAAGTCAGGTTGTTCTGGGATAACATGTTTTCCCTGTCCCCGGGTTCAACCCGAAGTTTCGGGGCGGCCACCCGACTCGCGGCAGGGCCTTGTGTTCCTTTCGCCCACCCCTGGCCTATACCATACAGTTGTTATTCCCCGCGATCAGCCGCCGTTTTCTCTTCAGCTGCCTTGTAAGGCAAGGCGGGATGACATGGCTTCAATCCGCTTTTCGACCTGGTGACCGTCTCTCCGAGTTCGTGTTCAGTGGGTACGGTACCGAATGAGATGAGCAGTGTCCCCTTGAGCGTTGAGCAGGCTCCCCGGCTCGCCGTTTGCCCGTTTGACCGCTTGGTTTGTTGGCTCGATTTTGTGTGAGACATAAGCCGGCGCACCCCGGTAGAAGTAGAGGTGTGGAGCATGTTGGTTATATGCAGGACCGAATGGTCAGGTGAGTGGCAGCGAGTCAACGACCAAGTACCTTACCTACCTGTACCTATCTTAAGGTATCTGGTAAGGTATGGTACAATACCTGTAACCAACTCTCAGTTGTCGCCTCAAGTTCCTTGCTTCAGGCGCCGATATCAGAGGAATCTCAAGCCGCACCGTGCACCGTGCGCAGAAGACAGGCCTGTACAGTACGAAATGCAGCGGTACTGCACAAAAACAGGAAGAACTTTACTGGTTCTTGGGAATGATGCTCGGCAGGACAGGCCTCCGGTTGGACATGGAAGATTGAGATTACCTAGGTAGAAAGAAGGGGTTGCATGGCTGGCTGTTGGAGGTTGGAACCTGTAACATTGACGTCGCTTACCCCAGGGTAGCTGATCAGCCACCATGGAGAGTCGAGACAAACAGGATGTTGTCGTGCGGCTGGATCACATAAGCTTCCTCGCCCTCGAGTTCCCAATCGGCGTCGTTGATGAGGACTAGGATACCTGGGCGGCTGTCTCAACGGATCAGCCGGGCTATATCGGGCTGAGATAGATCTTAGAGAGAAGAGATGACTGTGAGACATACATATGCTTGTCCAGGACGAATAGGTCGACTCTGGGATCTTTCATGAGGTTTTTGCAGAGGTAGTCGATGAGGAAGCCAACAGTGGCGGGCTTGCCGTCGTCGTTGACGGCAGGAAGTGAGACAGAGTGCCGGCGTTGGTTGTCGAAGAGCATCTCGAGACCTCCCCTGAAGGCGGCGTGCCATGTCAGTTGTGAGATGTGGCAAAAGGAACCCCCCTTGCAACAAGGCTGTCGCTGGAAAGGGAATGTTGAGATTGACTCACGAGAAATCGACGGTGATCGGGATCGGTGCGGCATCGGTTACGTCAGACATGGTGATGTCCGCAGAAAATATCGCGCGTTGGATGGGTCCGTTGCGCAGTTGGTCAAGACCGACAGAGCGGGACTGAGTGAGGTTGTTACCTTTATTAGGCGTTCAAAGTTGATCTTTATGATCTGTCTGCAGGTGTTCCAAAGCTGTAGGGAAATCCCGGGGGTTTCAGTAAAATCGGGTACACTGATGCAAGTGGTGTTGTAAACGTGTAATACATGCAATGTGCCGTAAATTACATCAGTGACTCGTAAAGTCCTGCGGTCTGTGGTATTTTGAAATTGTCTTTACGTAACGACTGCATAATCGGCCGCCAGAGACTCAGGTATAGCTGGTCTCAAGTGTATTGTACAATACATGTACTAGCAGCCATAAATAAGGTAGTGTACCATGAAATTTGGTTTGCTGTTTATTACGCAGCTCAAGCTCTGAATTGCGCTTTCCTCTTCCAGTGTCTTCAGGTCTACAATAACTACAGAGGTACCTTAGTTTTACCTGCCCGAGAATCTGCACGGACCAATCAGACATCGCCAGGCGCTGCCTAACGATGAGCGATGAGCGGGAGAGTGAGAGTACGCGCACGAGTGAAAGTATGGGCGGAACCACTGTAGAAAGCCAGTATCTCTCGGCGGGCGCAAACAGATACGCGGCCGCTGCCGACTGGGGTGAGGCTGGGCTGGCTGCATTTGGTTCCGACACCAACGTGTGTTTATGGGACCCTACAGTGAGTTGCGCCTCGCTTCCCACTCACCGGAGACGCCTCGCTGATGGTGGTTTTAGGACCCGAGAGGCATATCACGCATTCTCGGCGGCCACGTTGCGCATGTGCGGGCGGTAAAATTCCTGCCCCGAGATGAGGGGGAGAAAACCGCCCACCTGGTAACGGGCGGAGACGACAAGCAGCTCCGGCTTTGGGCCATAGACTCGGAAACTGGCGCTGCTTCGTGTGTGCAGCATGTCCAGGAACACAGTGAGCCGATAAACTGCATAGCCGCTGTGCGAGGGGCAGCGTCCGCAAATGTGGCAAGACGAATTTTCGTTACCGGGGGCGCGGATGCCACCGTCAAGGTATGGGCTCGAGAAGGAAGCGAACTCGCCCTCCTCCAGACCATCAAAACGACCAAGAGGTACATGCCCCTCACCGTCGCCCTAGTGGCACTCGACGAGGAGGGCAGTGCGCTCATGCTGGCGGTTGGGGGGACCACCAATTCGGTCCAAATATTTACTGCGTCAGGGGCGGACGGGATCGAGGGGGTTGAGTTCTCGCTGCAGGCCACCTTGTCTGGGCACGAGAACTGGATTCGCTCGTTGGACTTCATCTGTGAGAAGCCGGAGCAGGGCAGCGACATCTTGCTGGCTTCGGCAAGCCAGGACAAGTACATCCGTCTCTGGCGCATTCACCAGGGCACGGCACTGTCTGCGCTGAATGCCGCGGGACTCGACCTCTCAGCCGAGGCTCTGACACCAGGGAACAAGATGCACAAGATCTCCGCTGGCGGGACCAAGTACTGCATCATGTTCGAAGCTCTGCTCCTCGGTCACGAAGACTGGATTTACAGCGCGAGGTGGTCCCGCGCCGCCGACGGCAGGTTGCAGCTCCTGTCTGCCTCGGCGGACAACTCGCTCTCCCTTTGGGAGTCGGATCGCGAGTCGGGCATCTGGATCACGATGGTGCGGCTGGGAGAGGTCAGCCGGGAGAAGGGAGCAACAACCGCCACAGGGAGCATCGGCGGGTTCTGGACCGGCCTGTGGTCGCCCTCTGGCACGACTGTCATTACCCTCGGCCGGACAGGCAGCTGGCGGCGGTGGGACTACGACGCGGCCGAAGACGTGTGGAAGCAGAGCTTTGCCATCTCTGGCCACACCCGTGCAGTGACGGGCATCTCGTGGTCCCAGGACGGCAGCTACTTGCTCTCGACCAGTTCCGACCAGACGACCCGCCTCCATGCGCAATGGGTCGTGGACGAGACGAGAGCTTCTCACTCCTGGCACGAGATGTCGCGGCCCCAGATCCACGGCTACGACCTGAACTGCATCTCCACGCTTGGCCGCTCCTCCTTCGTCTCCGGCGCTGACGAGAAGCTCATGCGCGTCTTCACCGAGCCCAAAGCCGTGGCACGCATGCGCAGTCGCCTGACCAACGCCACCACTACCACCACCGCCGCCGCCAACCCCTCCGAAGCCGACGACCTCCCCGACGCAGCCAACATGCCCGTGCTGGGCCTCTCCAACAAGGCAATCTCCACCATTGACGACGACGACGCCGGCCTCTCCTCCGCCCTGGTCACTGCTGCAGATCCCTCCAACCCGTCCAGCGACCGCGACGCCCTGGTGGACCCGGCCTCGGCGGTGCGCAAATCCGCCCTCGAAATCGACCACCCGCCCTTCGAGGAGTCCCTCTCGCGCCACACGCTCTGGCCCGAGGTCGAGAAGCTGTACGGCCACGGCTACGAGATCTCGTGCCTCGCGGCGAGCCACGACGGGACGCTGATCGCGAGCGCCTGCAAGGCCAGCTCGATCAACCACGCCGTCATCCGGCTGTTCGAGACGCGCCGCTGGACCGAGGTCCGACCGCCGCTGCCCGCACACACGCTGACGGTCACACGCGTGCGCTTCTCGCCCGATGATCGGTTCCTGCTCAGTGTGGGGAGGGACAGGCAGTGGGCTGTCTTTGAGCGGGTTGCAGATGACGAGGGTTATAAGTATGAGTTGCGGCAGGCGAACCCCAAGGGGCACACGCGTATGATCTTGGACGCGGCCTGGGCGCCGATGCCGGCGGATGGCGATGGAAGCAGCACGAGGCTGTTCGCTACCGCTGGGAGAGATAAGCAGGTCAAGGTGTGGATTAGGAGCGATGGCGGGGGCCAGTTCGAGCCAGCAAAGGCGATAACTGAGGATCATCCCGTCACGGCGCTGGATTTTGTGCCCGGGTTGTCGAAGGCGGGGCTGTTGCTCCTGGCTGTAGGCACCGAGGCCGGCAAGCTGCTGGTGCTGTCATTGAAAGTTGAGGGCCGGGAGGTCGATGTCGTGTCGACGATGAGCGTCAGGCCGGAGCTGTGCTTGCCCAAGGCGGTAATGCAGCTAGCTTGGCGGCCGGCGAGAGAGGGACAGCAGGGCAGGGACCTTGCTGTTGCGGGTGAGGACGGGTCTTTGAGGATATACTCGTTTCCTCTGCTATAAAAGGAGAGGGGTCATGCGAGAAGAAATAGAAATGAGCATCCCCTAGGTGACAATCGTTCCGTCTCGTCGAACGGCGCCCATGAACCGTAAGGTGTTACATGTCATGTCGTATTGTATTAGTCTACTATCGCCCAAACAGCGGGCTTTATTATCCTTGACAGCTGTATCCCAAACGCCAGATCCGCTTTCATCCTACATCTAGTCATCGGTATGCGACCAACCGAGAAGACACCGCCCGCCTCGACCATCGACACCCGCCTTCGCGTCGCAGCATTACCATCCTCTCCAACCAAGTAAATACAACCCATGAAACCAGCCCAGTCCTCAACCACCAAAAAAAAAAAGAAAAAAAAAGGCCCATTAACCAAAAGAGTATGTACTCCCATACGCTCATAGTTCCCTCATAGCATCTACCGCCGTCTGCGCCGCCATTCCAGTAACCGAGGTCACCACGCCCTTAGCCAACTCCCCGGCCGAATCGCACGCGTCGCCGTGCATGTAGAACCACGCGCGGCTGATGATGAACTGCACGTGCTGCGGGAGGTAGAGGACGGTGGCGATGAAAGTGAGGGAGATGAGCAGGAAGAGGACCGAGTCTGTTTGGAACAATGTTTCATTAGTTTCTCTGCGTGCTAGTGCTAGTATGCTGCAGAGTGGTGGTTATGGGGAATCTGGGACAGCCGCAGCCGCAGGAGGCCTCGACCAGATAAACAGAGGAGACGCACAGATGACGAATTTCTCGAACGGCGTGAAGATATATACGCTGAAGTGCACCTCGAACTGGTAGATCTTGAGCTGCAGCCACTTGCTGAAGGACTCGAGTTGGGAGGCCATGGTGGACGGCTTTGTGGTGATGGGAGGTGTGTTCGCGCGAAAAGGGGCTTCCAAGTCGATGTGGTGCGAACAGCTCTCCAGCGGCCCTGTTCCGATAAGTACGCGTCGACCTGATCGCTGTTGACAGATTGCTGGTTTCACAACTTCGGGTTCAGATTACTCCTTGATGTACAACAGGTGCTGGGATTTTTTGCTCAGAGGTCCTGTTTGAGAGGTCACTGTCGGGAAACACCAGGATCACTGCACTTTCTTTCGTGACGCTTGCCAGTAATTGACAAGGCTTGCCTGCTGAACGGAAGGGCCGGCAGACACTTTGATTGGCCAATCCTGTGCCCCGCCGGTTCCCATGCAGCTCGCAGGGCTGCCTGCGCGTTTGACAGCCGCGGCAGCATCCGGCGACCGCATTGGGAACTCGGTAAGCGATCCTCGACTGACAGCACGATGAGCTGAGAGAGTCCGGCTTACAATCGCCATGCTCCGGTTCCTCCCCAACGCGCGTCACCTCCTCCATGTGGCAGGCCCATTACAGCGCTGCAACGGCCCGCTCATAATAGCCCCGTTCACGACCACTGCCCCGGCCAGTCTGAAACAGCTTCCCCCTCGACCAAAACCGCCGCCCGAATCCGAAATCGAAGAGTCCTTCCTCAAGGGAAGCGGACCAGGCGGGCAGAAGATTGTATGCATACGCATCTTTCCCCTACCCCCCCGTGTCTTATATATTTATTCATATTCGTACCCGTTTCCCTTTCCCCTCCTCGGGCATCTATACAACTAGCTGTATTCACGCTACTACTGACTACAACACCATGACCCTGATCTGACCTGGGAGCGCAGAACAAAACCAACTCAGCAGTCCAACTCCGCCACATCCCCACCGGCATCGTAGTCAAATCGCAAGCGACACGCTCCCGCTCTCAAAACCGCAAGATCGCGCGCGAGCTGCTGGCGGCTAGGCTCGACGAACTGACCAACGGGACCCAGTCGCGCACGGCCATCGTGGCTGAGGTGAAGAAGAAGCGGGCAGCCAGCAAAGCCAAGAAGAGCCGGCGCAAGTACAGGAAGCTGGCAGAAGAGCAAGAAAAGGAAGGGGAGGAGGAAGAGGAGGGAGGAGAAGACGAGGATGAGCTGGAAGAGGGGAGCAGATCCGATGAGGTAGAGGAAAAGACAAAAATCACAGGAAGCATTAATACCACTGGCACACAAGTGATATCCCAGGGGACGGGATGAGGTAGGGTTGGCAAGAAACAATATTAACAAATACCCGGTTGTCGAGCCGAATGCGCAACCAGTCATTATCCTTGTATTCCTCTGCCCGCTCTAAACACAAGATATCCCTTAACGGCATCGGCCAGCTACGAAGTTAATTGACAACGACGGCTCGGTACGGCAGAACGAAATAAATGTATCATCAAGCTCGGCCTAGTTGTCCGCGCCAGTCTACGCACTCGCCCGCCCGCCCTTATGCCAAACGGAGAATGCTAGACGCCCACCAGCCCCTGACCAGCGTCAAAACTTTTGTAAGAAATGAGAGTCTTCCAGGAGATACATGCGCGACGCCAGATTCGTCCGTGGCGCGGCCAGCTGTGCCTTGCAACGATCCGGGAAGTTGCCAAAGTCCTGCGCTAAACGCTTCGTGAGCTGAAGCTACTATCGGAGGCGCCCAGTTGGTTCTTACCTTAGAAGCACTTGCGGTGCACGATCGACGGGCCGCTCTCGTCGTATTCCTGCTTCGAGATCCACATCTGCTGGAACGTGGACAAAGAAGCAAGAATCGAACCACCGATCCAGACGGAGTACTTGCGCTCGGGCGGAGCAATGATCTTGACCTTCATCGACGAGGGAGCAAGAGCAGTGATCTCCTTCTGCATACGGTCCGAGAGACCAGGGTACATGGTGGTACCACCAGACTAGCGCTCGTTAGCTGTGTTTCCCAGACGACCCTGCTTTCATCCGCTACTCACCATGACAATGTTGCCGTACAGGTCCTTCCTGACATCGACATCGCACTTCATGATCGAGTTGAAGGTGGTGACGTGGATACCGCCGCTCTCAAGGCCCAGGACAGACGGCTGGAAGAGAGCCTCAGGAGCACGGAAGCGCTCGTTGCCGATCGTGATGACCTGGCCGTCGGGAAGCTCGTACGACTTCTCCAGGCTGGAGCTCTGGGCGGCAGTCTGGATCTCCTGCTCGAAGTCAAGAGCGACGTAGCACAGCTTCTCCTTGATGTCACGGACGATTTCACGCTCGGCCGTGGTCGAGAAAGTGTAACCGCGCTCAGCCAAGATCTTCATCAGGTAGTCCGTCAGGTCACGGCCAGCCATGTCGACACGGGCAATGGCATGCGGCAGCGAGAAACCCTCGTAGATGGGCACGACGTGGGTGACACCATCACCGGAGTCGAGCACGATACCCGTGGTACGACCGGAGGCGTAGAGCGACAGGACGGCCTGGATGGACACGTAGAAGGCGGGGGCGTTGAATGTCTCGAAGACAATCTGTGTCATCTTCTCACGATTGCTCTTGGGGTTGATAGGAGCCTCGGTCAAAAGCACCGGGTGCTCCTCGGGAGCAACACGGAGCTCGTTGTAGAAGGTGTGGTGCCAGATCTTTTCCATGTCGTCCCAGTTGGTGACGACGCCGTGCTCGATGGGGTAGCGCAGAGTGAGGATACCACGCTTGGACTGCGCCTCATCGCCGACATACGAGTCCTTCTGCCCCATCCCAATCATGATGCTGAGATTGCGTTAGCTGACCGAGCCGATATCGCAAACGTCTGGACCAGAGCCTACCCATGATGGCGAGGACGGCCCACAATGGACGCTGGCCAGAGCAGTTAGCTTGTCCGTTCTTATCCCAAAGAGAGGCTCCAGCTTGGTTATCGCCGACTGGCCTCATATCGGATCGGATATGCGAGACTTACGGAAGACAGCGCGGGGCGCATCATCACCGGCAAAACCGGCCTTGCACATGCCGGAGCTGTTCGCAAGTTAGCTCCATGTATTCATATCACCTCTTCTCTGAAGCTATTGTATGTAGAGACCGAGACAGGTCGCGGTGGACAAGTGGGCCGCAGCTGAGGATACTCCGCTCGTCAGGTCGGTGAGATTTAAGGGGCTCGGCTTACCCATTGTCGATGACGAGGGCAGCAACTTCTTCTGCACAGTGAAAGCTAGATCAGCAGCTGCTCTAAGAAATGCAAGAAATGCGCGATGATGATGGAACTAGAAGAGGAGAGCTCGGGTTACGGGGACCGGAACCGGGACTGGGGGAGCTTACCCTCCATTTTGATCGTCTAGAAGGCGCAAGAAAATCGAAAGGGTGAATTAAATATCAACTTGCGCGATCCTGGGATCGTTAGCGCGAGTCGTGACGGTATCTGATGCGAACACGCAACAGAGGTAGAAGGAAGAGATGGTTGGTGTCGTGGCGCGAGGTTGGAAAAGGGAGGTGAATTTAAGGTCAGTGCTTGGGTTGGCGTGGGTTGAGGGGGGATATGTGTGCGGGTGGAGGCAAGGAAGGAGATGTTCTGTGGGGCAGCAGGCACGACCAGGTGGGCGGTGTGAGGAAGTGCTTGGTGGGGCTGGCTGGGTCCCTGGAGGCAGTTCAAGGCTGCGCTATTGGAAGAAATGAGGACATCTCCTGCCCGCTTTCTTAATGAAGGCTTCGTCATTTGTTGCGCTTGTAGGTTGTGTCCGGGATTTTTGGTCTAGTCCAGCTTCAAGACCGGGTCATCACCTACAGAAGCAAGCACAGGTTCTATCCGCAGGCAGCCAGAAATATGGCACGGCGCTGTAGACGGACACTCCCACTGCTCTCTGTCAACCTTGCTAGGTCTCGGCCGGACCTGCCCAACGCTTGAGAAAGTACGTGGCAAACCGCAATGCGGGACAGCAATGAACAACGGTCCTCTTCTTGGCATCAATGACGAAGACCACCCAAGATTAATCGTCCAGAAACGGTGCAGGTCTCGAATTTACGTTGCTCATGCCGTTTCGCACTCAACATATGAAAAGACACACGCACCACCCTCTACTGCCAAGCAGGCACCCCCATTTCATGTGCTCGGAGTTGGTTTAGTCATGAGCGTCTGGTTGAGGAGCCTTGGAGGTTTACGTATGCTGTCTCGCGATTGGGGAACTCGACGGGTTTCACGGAATGTTTTCGGCATTTCGGCGCCTATTACTGACTTATGCCAACTCTAAGTCTTAGAATTGAAACCCCATGATGCTTGATATGAGGTAAGCTCTTCTCGGAAAACATCCTTCATGAACACTAAGAATCTCAGATGATGCTCCCCGATCGCCATTCGGTACGCGGTATCCGTATGACATCGCTTTGGTTCAGTAGTACTATTGTAAGACTCGAAGCTCCTTAGGGTGCTTCAGGTCGACGGTTTGGCTAGTACTGTGAAGCAAATAGACTTATTATTAGCCTGACGGTGAATACGGCGAAGGGCAACGATGTAGAGACTTATACAGTCTACGCCAGATCCATGTACCTTAGTGAACAGGGAGAGGTGCTCCAGTTCCCCTGAGGAAGTCGGCGGATCTAAATATCTTTCAGTGCAATTCCATACACTACCCGTTGTTTTTGACGTTTATTATTAGAATACGATCCCGGCGGTAGTGACGGAGATTGTTCACACCCGAGACTCAAGATTCCATCCTCATCAGCATCCAGCCTGCTTACACTTTATTAGTTACTCAGGCTGCGTAATTTCCTTTAGGGGATACGAACGAGGGGCATAAGTTACATATAACTACGGTAGTGGGGCACTGAGCTCTTTCCAGCTTTGGCATGGAGGGGTCAGTAACGCACATACCAACGAGGTACCTGAACAGAAATAAATTAATAGTGAACGCTTTCAACATGAGCTTCCTCAATCACGCACAGGGTGAAGAACATGTATGAAATTTTCTGTCCAGGGATAGTAGGATGCTGTAACCTACAGGTAATTCTCTATCGTTTAAAATCCCGATCTCTGGGACTCTGGGAGGTTGTCGATGTTCTCCCATGTGAGTCTGATGCTAGCCACTTTGGGATGGAACTTTCATGAAAGTTCGTGAATTGCTAGCGTAAGGATCGCTATCGCTGAGCGCGGCAGGCAGAGAACTCATGGGATTAAATATATTCAACGGACTTCCAAATACTGATGTCACTGTTGCATCAACAATTGGAAGATATTTGCCAGTATATCGGCTTTCTCGTTCTATAGGACAGACTGACCTAAACCCCTCGACAAAAGCAAGACTAGCTGGTACGCGCTTCCACAACGCCCCTCCAGGATGGACAAGAACCTCAACAACTTGCTCCGATGGGGCATCGAGAATTCGGCGCCGGCATCCACAAACGGCGCCAGCGGCGCAACGGCCGTAACTGCCCATTCCGCCGACAGTAACGCCTCGTCGACAAACTCAGCAGCGCCACAGGCCCCGCGCAGCGACCTCAACCCCGAGCTCCTGCAAGCGCTTTTCGGCGGGCCGTCAGAAGCGGAGCTGATGAAGGCGGCCATGGAAGTGATCACCGACCCGTCCGCAGACCTCGAGAACAAACTGGTCGCCTTCGACAACTTCGAGCAGCTGATCGAATCGCTCGACAACGCCAACAACATGGAGCCGCTCGCGCTGTGGACGCCCCTGCTTAGCATGCTCTCGCACGAGGAGCACGAGCTCCGGCGGTATGCGGCGTGGTGCGTCGGGACGGCGGTGCAGAATAACGTGCGCAGCCAGGAGCGGCTGCTCGCGATGGGCGGGATCCCGCCGCTGGTCGGGCTGGCCACGAGGAAGGAGGAGCACGAGGCCGTGCGGAAAAAGGCCATCTATGCGCTCAGCTCGGCCGTGAGGAATTACCAGCCTGCTATGGACGCTGCGGCGGAGGAGTTGAGAAAGGGCGGGCTTGATCACGGGAAGGGGGATAAGGTGGATGCGACCGATATGGATGCGATAGACGATATCATGGCGTGGTTGAAGCGGATGGTCACGGAATCGGCGTAAGGACCTCGCGAGCATTGTGGCCCGGGTGGGATAGATTGGGTGGCTTCTGGTCTGGATTCGGCGGCGTTATAGGTTACGTACATACCGGCATTTGACATGATCTGGACCCCGGGTTTCACGGAAACGGACATAGAGAAATAAGGGCATGTGGAATAAAGCCGTCTATATTCCGCATCGATCATGCAGGCTCTTCTTTGACTGTTAGAGTTATACACAGATGGTATTGTACAATACATCCATACGGGCCCTAGTCCCGGACGGTTCCATAGAACGGCACGCCGAACGCCTGCAGCAGTAGCCGCGCTTGTCTGTCTGAAGTCGCCGACGTCTTTACGTACACCCGGCAACCGGGTACCATCTTGGCCGGATACAGCTGCGAGAGTCAGTCATGAATATCCGCTCAGGGATGACCCATTTGGGACCTTACCCAGTAGTTAACCTCGACCTCCGGGAACAGCTTTATCTCCTCCGGAGTGAAGCCCCAAGACAGGTTCCCGGAATCGTCACCCGTCGTCGCTACATCCCCTTAGTCAGCGCACAGCCTCCAACCACAGTAATCTACGTCAGGACAACAAACTCACCCCTTATTCCCCTCCAGTCCTTGATCCTCGGAAACACCATGTGCACGCACCGGTCGAGGAACTCGTATGCCGCGTTTCCGTAGATGGTCGTTTTGACACCCGCCTTCTCCCCGGCCTTGATCCCCCACTGCACGACGTTGCTCTTGGTGTGTGTGATCTCGGGCGTCGTGCCCGTCAGCGCGAGCAACACCGACCGCGCCACCAGCAGGTGGTCCGGGTCCTTGATCGCGTCGGGCACATAGCTCGCCAGCGTGACCTCCTTGATCTCGGGGATGTTTCTGAAGTTGATATGGCGCTCCATCAGAGGGAGCGCCGAGTTGCCCATTGGGCCCCTCAGCGGCCGGTTCTTGTGGTAGGGGGACGAGCCATCCCAGGCGCGCAGGCGTTCCGGAGCTGGTTTGGGCGGTGTCCCTGGCGGTACGTGCATGTAGGTGAGGGTCATGAGGTCGGGGGCGATGGTCGAGTGGTAGGTTTGTTTTAGGCGGGGCAGGTTGAAGGGGCCTGGGACAAAGTCCCGCGCGACAGGGTCTGAAGACGGAGGGGACTGGATGGGGTGGAGAGGGCCCCGTTGGTACTTTGGGGGGTGGAATTGGTATCTGAGAAGGTGGTTTGATTTAGCAGCGTCCGGGAGCACGAATGATGGGGTGTCAGGGTCGTGAAATACCTCCCGCCGGGCAGCTGGAACTTCCTGTCCGCTCCGCGCTTCCATGGCCTAAACTCCTTCTTCTCCTCCGGACTCAACTGTGGCGCCATGAGTGTCGACTGTTCAAGCTCGTTCAGGACTGGCGCGGCGGCCTCTGCCGCTTGTGACGAGGCGCATCTTATCGAGCCGGCTGTGAAGGTCTGGCGGGATAGTTGGGAAAGTGGGAGGCTGCGGGCCGGTCTCGACAATCCCCGGAGGCTCGCCATGGCTGGACACGCGGGGGTCGACTGAAGGGAGCGAGCGAGACACGGAACTTCAGCCACAAACCGCGAGACCGTCTAAGATCGCAAGGGGAAATATTTTCTGGGTCAAGGTGCAGAGACCGGATGAGCACAGGGTTAGGGTTCGTCGCAGCAACACACACTAGTATTTGATCGCTCTGAGAGACTGAGGCTTAACTGCGAATACATCAACTGCTTCTTGAAGCCCTTCGAAGTAAACTTGGAACCTGTTTGTTTACTGATTTGGGTGTATCCGAGAGATAGATACTACCTCAACCGTGGTTCAAAGATCAATTCAGCAATGCTGGAGCCCATTCACCTCAATTCGTGCCATCTCTACTCCGTACTGTATTCTATTCGGACAGGTCATCGTGGATTCTGACCGAGCCATGCGCCTCACCAAAAGTTTAAGGACGATAGTCCTCCTCGTCAGCATCAGTCCGGTGCTTTCCCCTCCCCTTCTGTCTGCCCTTGAAATGCTTCTTCCCTGTCACCAATTGCACATCCTTGGGATCAATCCCTTTCTCGAGTGCCACCATCGTCCGCAACTTCCGCCCGCTCAGCTGCTTCCCTGCGGTTGCTGTCATCCCCTGCTGCGAATATTTGTAGTTGAACGGCATTGACATATGCCCGGCGCTACCCTGGCCGGCCTTGAAGAAGGCCTTGTCCAGGTTCTGCGACTTGGCACCCTGCGGGACGGGAACCATGTCGGACAGGAGGGATGCGGTGTCATCGCCTTCAACCGACATCTCCTCCATCGCGGTGACGAGAGCCGCCCGTCTCTTGGCTGGAAGCTGTGACATGTCGTAGAGCTCGTGGTTGAACTCTTCGGGATCACTGATTCCGGGAGGCGGCTCGACGTAGAGCAGCTTGCCGTTGACGTAGTCCTTGAGCACATACCTCGCCGCTCTTGACTGATCTGGCTGGCCAAGTCCCTGGGTCATGAAACCTCTCCGACGGGCGTATGCGCTAAGCAACTCCTCGCCGGTAGGGATTCCGGTTCCTCCTTCCTCTAACGGACGGGTACGTATCTGGATACCGTAGACGGCCTCCAGGAAGGCTTTTGGGATCCTGCGCGCCACCAGGGCAGCTGGCCCGCTGTACTCCCGCAGTTGGTCGATGGGAAGCACACCGTTGCAAACAAGTTCTGCCTTGGTACTGGCAAAGTTCGGGAACACGAGACCCGGGCAATCGCACAGGATGACCTTGTCGCTGAGATGGATGGTCTGGAAGTGTTTTGTCTTGCCGGGAGTCGACGAGACTGACACCTTCTTCGCTCCGATGAGCGCGTTGATGGTCGACGACTTTCCAACATTGGGATAGCCCACCAACCCGACCTGGAGTTTCCGATCAGGGTCTGTTTCAAGTTAGCACCGAGTGATTCGGCCGACTCGAAGATATCACAAACCTGCGTCTTTTGGCGCGTACTGGAGGAGCATGCTCTCCAGTTCGTCCACGGTCAAGATCCGAGTGTCTGCCTCACTAGCGTCCTCCCGTTGCTCGACACCCTCTTCGTCTGAACCCTCCTCGCTTTCTTGGTCCGACTCCCTCTGTTTCAATGGTGCACCGGCCTCGCTGGGGCCAGCCTCCTCGCTCTCGTCCTCGCTTTCAGATTCCTGAGCCTCAAGCATTTCCTTGGCCAGGTGGGCCGAGAAGAACCGATAGGCGATACCGGCACCCTTCAGGTAGTTTGCCCACGCTTTCCTTTGCTTGTACGTCATCATGTCCGCCTTGTTGATGAGCAGCAGGTTTTGCTTTTTAGGGTCGACATCCTTGACATATGCCTCGAGATCTTCGGACCGGAACATGAGCGGGTTCCTAGCATCGACAATTTGCACAACCACGTCGGAGCGCTCGATGACTCTCCAGAGCTGCCTCCAGACCTCCAGGTTCCTCTCGAACGGCGTCATCAGCAGATCCTGGGTCTCCTGAAGCTCTGCAAGCCCCTTTCGCCATTCTAGAAAACTGTCGCGCTCAAGACGGTCCAGTTCCTCGCGCGTTGTCGACGCATCCCAATGCGGTCTCCGCGGCACTGTGAGACGGGCCTTGTGTTCCTTCTGCTTTCCCAGCACTGCTCTCTCCTCAGCCGCCGAGAGAAGGTAGGGATTCCGCTGGTCCGCGTGGATGATCTTGACGTTGTTGATCTTCTCGGCCGTGAAATCAGTCCCGGCGAGCTCGGCAGTGGCCAAGAACTCGTCCAAGGCACCCTGCTCGGTGACGGACCGCATCTTGACCCATGATGCTTCCTCTCGGTCGTTGGTGATGTACTCCTGACCGGTTGAGTGGTCGACACGCGTAACTGCCCCGACTCGCTTCCGGTCGCCGCCCTTGCCCTTGCCAAACCGGTCCTTCATCAACTGGTTGCCAAGGCCAACCGACTTCTTTGACTTTGCGAGCACCATCTTGGCGGTCTGGCTGTTTCAACTTGGCTCCAGTAACACTAGTTGGTGGACGTTGTTGCACTAATTTGAATGCTTTGGCTGGTAAAGCTGAAAAGGCAGCAGTAGTCTTTCCGCAGGAGGCGGGGGGCGTAATGTAGGGGAGCTTGCTGATAAATGGAGGGGCAAATTTGCGACGGAGTTTTGTCGCTTAGATTCAAGAGACGTCACTCCTAGTACTAACTGTCATATGAGGCGCAACTAACCTCCATAGTCATGCGACGATCGGGGGGCTTGGAGTGCAGCGGACACGGTACTGAAGTAATGGGAGGGACATCCAATAATCCTTTCTGCGCAATCAGCATGGCGTACATTTGACTCCCACTCCTCTGACCCCAGAGCTGTTGTTAGTACGCTCTGTACATGAGGCATGTTGTGAGGTTAAGTCTTACCGTGACCATAAGTGCGTATCGATAAGATAAGGCGCGTAGTTACCCCACCAAAATTTTCCCAGTCTCGAGGTGCCGCTTGCTGTGCGCACTGGATTAATCCCCCCACCACACAGCTTCCATCGATACGGTGTAACGCTTGGCTGACCTACAACTGTACCTCCCTACGAAAACACTCTATCTTTCGAATTGTAGTCAAGATGCCGAAAGGAAAGTGGATGTATGCATACCCCACGATCTTCAACCCCTCACAGCAGCCCGCTGACCCCTCCTAGCGACAAGAAGACGGCCACACACTTCACCTTGGTGTACCGCCCTCAAAATGACCCGCTCATCCACGACGAGTCGGCACCGGCCATGGTGCTCAACCCGACGCAGCGGCCTAACAAGTCAAAGGGCAAGGGGCTAAGCGACCTGGCCTCCGAACTCGGCTCCGACGCGCTCAGCATCCGGGACAACGAAGGCGAGGCGGCCAACTACGGCATCTACTACGATGACACTGAGTACGACTACATGCAGCACATGCGAGACCTGGGTCAGGGGTCCGGTGAGGCCGTCTTCATCGAGGCCGACCCGGTCATCAACAAGGGCAAGGGCAAGCAGAAGCAGTCGCTCGAGGACGCCCTGCGGCAACTGGACCTGCAGAACCAGTCCGAAGATCTGCTCGACGGCGAAATCCTACCCAACAAAAACCTCCAGCGGCTCACATATCAGGCGCAGCAGGACGTGCCAGACGCGATTGCCGGGTTCCAGCCTGATATGGATCCGCGGTTGCGGGAGGTCCTGGAGGCGCTCGAGGACGAAGCCTACGTGGATGAGGAGGGCGGCGAGGATATCTTTCAGGAGCTGGCCAAGGATGCAAAAGATCTGGGTGGTGAGCTGGCTCCGGACGAGTTTGAGGAGTCGTATGAGGACTTTGAGGACGATGACGGCTGGGAGTCGGACCGGACGGTGAAGGCGACGAGGGAACATACGAAGGAGGACGGCGGTGCGCCTCAGCTTACCGATGCGAACGAGGATAAGCCAGTGGAAGGCGCGTCAGAAGATTGGTTGGAGGAATTCAAGAAATTCAAGAACGACCAGAAGGCGGGAAAGAAGCCCAGGGCGGCGGCCACGCCATCTGAGTTGCAGTCGTCAATATGGACGACCACGACGAACGGCGGGCGGAGGAAGACGAGGAAAGGAGCGCTGACGAACCCGTCCGCGTATTCCATGACGTCGTCCTCTCTCGTCAGAACCGAGCAGCTAGGCATTTTGGATGCGCGGTTCGAGAAGATTGAGGAGGAGTACAACGCGGATATGGACGATTTGGGGTCCGTGTCGGCGGTGTCCACCATGTCGACGGTTCAGGGTCCAACGCGGCAAGACTTTGACGGCATGCTGGACGAGTTCTTGAACGACTACTCGATGCGTGGCAAGAAGAGAGTGAAGAAGGGGAAGTGGAAGAACGGGCTGCAGGAGTTTGACGAGATTAGGAAGGAACTAGGGCCCCCGATCATCCCGGCGAAGTATCGGTAGAGGGGCGAGGTGTGAACGAGTGGCATGGAACACACCTTCAATACCTGGGCGGTCTACTTCGTGACACCAAGTGATCCCATACTACCTAAGGTAGTACCTACTGTGACGGGTACCTTGATTTACCGTATCTTCCAAGACATTGGCATCCGCTCATTCCCGTTTCATATGAACTCTAGCCAGGCGCCGGGTTGTTTTGGCGAGAAATACATACACCGAGATGAACAAAAGGGGAAAAAAGATAGCGAACACCCCACCGTATGAATCAGCAACACTTAATCAGCACCCCATGTACCATCCCAGCTTACTCACCTCGTCATCCGCAGCCCCAAGGTCTTCGGCATTCCCGTTCGCCTGCGTCTCCAGCTCCTCCAACAACCGCTCAACGACCTTTACATCCTCGACCTCCCAGAAGGCATGCACGCCCTGGACAAACCTGTGCGCCGCGCGATCGATGTTCTCCTCGGCCTCGGCGGCGAAGCAGATGCGGTAGTACGCCCACCCTTCGACCTCGCGGATCTGCTCATCAGAACTGAACATGGACCCTGTCGCAACCAGCACCAGGTACGGCTTCGTCGTCAGCCACACCATCAGCGCCGTGGAGAGCGCAGGACCGTCCAGCATGGGGAGCTTCGGGTTTCGCGTGGTGGCGTTCCATAGCGGGTGCGACTCGAGATGCGCACGCAGCCAGATGAACATGCCTCCGCGCGGCCAGGTGTAGGTGTACAAGGGCGCGGAGTGGATGGCGATGGTGGCATCGTCGCCAGGGATGGGGGAGGAGGTGACGAGGCGGGCGCCGGCGTCCAGGATGCGGCACATGCGCACCATCCGCCGCTCGTAGGACCCGCGCAGGCCCTCGAGCCAGCGCACCCAGCCGGCCATGTCCCAGCCTTTGAAAGCGGCCTTTTCGCGCGCGGTGCGGAGGAGGGAGAAGGCGGAGCGGGCGGAATGTTGCTGCGGGGAGGGGGAGGAGGAGGGGGGCCCGAGGACGAGCTCAGAGATGAGGCTCTGCACAAAGCCCGACGGCTGCTGGGTGGTCTGCTCGTTGATCCGCTGGAGGCGCTCCGCGAGGGCGGGCTGCGCGGTGATCCAGCCGAGACGGCAGCCGGGCGCGACCGTTTTGGAGAAGGTGTCGAGGCGGACGACGCGGCCGTCGCTGTCGATGCTGAGGAAGGATGGGGTGAGCGAGTCGAGAAAGGCGTAGCCGGAGGAGTGGGCGGGCTTGTGCGGCTGCGCCGCGGGAGGAGGGGGCAGCCCGCGGGATTGGGCTTCTTCGGCGGCGGCGGAGGGGAACTGGAGGTACCAGTACGGCTCGTCCTCCACGATGATGACGTCGTACTTGCTGCAGACGGCATAGATCTCTCTCTTGCGCTCAAGAGAGATGACCCTGCCCGTGGGGTTGTGGCCGAGTCTAGGAGAGCCGGGGTCAGCGACTCAGAACGGTTGCAAACGGCCACTTCGCCGCCGGGGAACGGCACCTACGTGACGGTGTACATGAGATGCGGCCTCTTCCCCCTGGAGGGATCCCAGTTGGCCAGGACATCCTCCAGCCCTCCGGGCCCCTCCACTGCCATGCCGCCAGCATCCGCCTTGACGGGAACGATCTGCACGCCCAGCGGCCGCGCCTGGTCTAGCGCATTGCTGTACGAGAAGGTCTCGCAGAGAAGGCCGGGGCGTTCGCTGGCCTCATTGATGCCCTCGGTCCACTGGTCGACGAACAGGTTCAGCGCTTTGGAAAAGCCGTCGGTCGCACCGCAGGTCAGAACGACATCGGGCCCGCCACGGTAGGGCGTGTCCGGGTGGAGGTGCTCGCGTGTGAACTGGCGGACCCAGGAAAACAGGGGCGGGTACCCCTGGGCGAGTCCGTACTGCAGAGCCGTGGCGAGGTCGATCTTCTTGAGGGGGTCGGGTTCATTGACGACCTTGGGTACGGCAATGTGCGTGGCTGCCCTGGGGTCCGAGGGCGAGGAGGAGGACGACGATAGCGCGGCCTCGCCGGGATCGTTCGGTGAGGGCGTCCATCTCTCCGGCTTGGCCGCCTGCGCTTCGAGAGTATCAAAGGGGAAGAAGTCCACGTTGGGGAGGCCTAACGTCACAGCCCGAGTCAGTGTCTCCAAACTCGAGGACGCTGTGATGAGATAGATAAGGGCCGAAGACGGAGAGATAAGAGGCACGCACCGCCGGCAGCGTTCAGGATGCCTGGGATCTGGAAGAACTTGTACGCTCTTTTGATCTGGGACGGCAGTCGCCGCTTGGTGACCACCGAGTAGTGGTGACTGAGGTCCAATGGCGCCGGCTTCTCATCACCTGTCAGTCGGTGGGAGGCCATGGTCTCTATCGTTGATGGCTCTGCCATTGCGTTACCGAAATTACCCCCGTTGATGCTATATTTCGGTATGTCTACTTAATTCTGATGTCTTCAGGAGCCGCAAGGGTACCGGGCTTCAGACGCAATGATGGCGAGCTTCCAACAATGCTAACAGACGCAGATGTTGTGAAAGATCTCAAGTTGATATGCTTATAAATCCTCGGATGCGGTGGGTGAAACCCACCCTCATGGTTGAAGGATCCTGTGCCCGGGCGAAGAGATAGCTAAACTAACAATGCTCTGCATGGCAACGACGCCAAAGACTTACTCTTACTCTATTGGTATGTGCCAAGCCACATTGTATGTATCTTATTGGGGATTTTGGCACTCACTGTACTGTACCTGACGTTATGTCTACTCACGGAAGAGCTTACAGACCTCAAATGCCTGTTAGGCAAGTCGTTTTCCAAGTTATCCACTCCGAGCCCTACTGCTTGCCGATAGCATTAGCGATGTGAGAGCTGTACAAAGTGGGAAACCCGAAAAGAACTAGACACTGTCCTAGTAATCGGGGCTAACAGTTTGTTGCCAGATTCGATAAGATTGGCTATCTAGGTAAGTAGCTCCACTGCGTCCCGGGCCTCCGGTGGTGCGCCCTTCCGGTAAGCAAGGGGTCGCATTGCAGCGTGGGATCCGGATCCGGATTCGGATTCTGCCAACGTGCCTTATCTGCGGCCGTGGCTTTCCGCATTCTTTTGCAGATGAAGCCTTTTGGCCCCGGACCCGGGCTCGGTCCTGCTGTCCACGCGGAGTACGGAACGTCGCCGGCGATCAACCGCTCACTCGGCGGTCAATGCGAGGCATGTGAGACATGCATGTGGCTGACGCCCTATCGGAACTCCGTACCGATCCCGCCACTATCTGTATCCTGCCCAGCCTGTCTCTAATTTCTATGGTCATGGACATAAGTAGTTTGGTCTAAAACAGGAGAATGTCCGACTTAGCTATTCTCCACATTTGGTGAGTATTTGAAACCGAGTTCTTCAAGCGTATGAGCCCTTCGCCCATCCAACTCGAATTTTAGCTTGGCTTGGAAGTAGATCTGCCTCTGCCAAACCAGTTCCGGGTCCCAATGTGGCGGTTCCTTCCCCGGTGTGCCCGACCGCGTGATCAAGTCATGGACCGAGTTTATGTACGCAGCATCGCCTCCCTCCGGCCAAACATGGAACTTGGCCCCCTGTCTCTGGGCCTCTTCCTCCTCCCACTTCCTCATCTCCTGGGCGGGCGGCAGCGGTAGTAAATTCGCCCATGTCCTCGCAACTACGGCGGCCTGGCTCTCGGAGAGTGGGAACGGCACCACCTTTATGGGCAGCCTCGAGAAGACCAGTGTCGGGTGGTCGATGTGGAACAGGTGCTGGTACAGGCCGTGCACCCGCCGCCCGTCCGCCACAACTGGCGGCTTGAGCGACCGCAGGAAGGGGAAGGCAAACAGGTAGCCGGTAGCGAAGATGACGGTGTCAACGTCGCGTTCAACCCGTCCATCCTGGAACCGGATACCTCTTTCGACCACCAGGAACTCCTCGATCACCGGAACTTCCTCGGCGCCAGCGTACTCTAGGTTGGCCTGCGGTGTGGGGGACTGCACGGATAGCAATAGCGGCTTTTTGCACACAGAGCTGATTTGCGCCGCGATGTCGAGACCGGAGGCGGCATTGCCAACGATGACGACCTTCTTATTGGCGAATGGCGCTGGAGACCGGTACTGCTTGGAATGAAGAATGACCCCGGGGTGTGCCTGGTGGAATTCACGGATCCCCCTCGCATCAGGAATGTGCACGGCAGTGTAATGGCCAGATGCAACCACGACGGCATCATATGTAGCGCTCGTGGTCTTGCCCGTTCGAAGACACAGAGCGTCAAGATCCCACCGGTCCTGGCCATCCACCTGCCTCAAGCGAACATCCCGCACTTGTGTCGAGAAGCGAATGAGGTGGCGGATATCTTTTGCGTACTCAACCACATACTCCTGGATGTGCACCCTCGACGGGAAAATGAGCGAATCCTGTCGTATCGGAAGATCCGAATACCGCATGAGCGCGCGCGGGATGTTGGTGTGTAAGAGCTCATACATAGGCGATGGGAACACGGGCGCCTCTTCGCCCGGGACCGACAGGGGCGGATCGGCAGGGCAGTCCGCGCTCACCTGCGGCACTTGGAGCGTATCGGAAGGTCTGGGGCTATAATTCCAAACCCCGCCCGCTTCGGACTGCTGCTCAAAAATGTCGATTTTCTTGAACGCATTCTGAGCAAGCAAGTATTTGGCGAAAGCAAGACCGCACGGCCCAGCGCCGATGATTGCGATGTTGCTGACATCGAACTGTCTTACCACTCCTTGCGAGCCCATAGTGAGTCCTTGAGGTAGCGAGCGAAATAAGGAGAGCAACACAGCCTTTAGGCGAAATACACCGATGCAGCAGAACACCGAGGTACTAAGGAAAGGAGCTGTGCTGCAACTTGTCTATCCCGAATCTGCTCTCCTGAGTGATGGGTCGATGAGCGTATTATTACTGCTCCGGTCTCGGTTACCGTTAGGTACTCCATACCGGTAACAACGTCAGGTTGTTCTTGGCTGGGGGAAGCCACTCGGAGCTCAACCTGACCGCCTTCCAATCACAGCGATGATCGTGTGACAGGGGTGCGTTAACTCTAACCAGGTGTAACGTACCTGGTACTAGTTAGTGTCAGCGCGCAGCAACTGAGCTTGCCGCGCTTCGCTTCGTTTTTCTCCAGAAGCTCTGGGAGCTCCTGCTCTCTTCTTTCAAACCACGAACAGGTCAAGACCTAAAAGCTTGCTACCTACTGGTACCTCCTGCCATCGCCTTCCAGAATTCATTTCCTTTCCCCATTTTACGAAATCTCCATCCTCCGTCGCGACCCACAAATGACCTCACCAAGAGCTCCAGCAGCTCCGATTTCCATGACATAGCTGCAGTAGCTGCAATTCTGGTCGACCACAACGCTCTGGCCGGCTTACAGCATGACTTCGGTCAACATCGACAGCGCTGCCCGGCTGGCATCGCAACCGCCTACGCCAATTGCGCAGCTGCATCCGGACTTGCCAGATCAGGTTTCGCGGGTCGTTCGCGGCGAGATCACGATCACATGGCCTTACAGCTCAGTCAACAAGACCTTCGCCTTCTTGCTCGCCGAATGCGACGTGCGCCTTCGACGGGCCAGGGGACAAATTCGGATAGAGCTCCGTGGGCCCAGCGCGAAAGCAGCCTCTGAATGTGGCCTCGGGGCCGGCGATGAGTTGCTCGTTAGCTTAGAAGGTGTGGTGTGGGCTAAGGATGAGTCTCCAGGCCGCATACCTGGCGCAAGGGTGGAATGGCAGCTGCAGTTTAGCGAGAAACTTATCCTCCAGGTATGAGAGCTCAATCGCTTGCTTGTGCAGCATTCTAAACCTGTCCAGGCCAAATCTGGTGAATCGGGCGAAATAAAGCATATCAACACCGACCACAACACAGCACAATCTGCAGACGGCCCTGTACCTGAACCGCCGAAAGCAGCTACCCCCGAGCCAGAACCTGCCACGCTTGAAGTGCAATCTGCCGTTCGGAAGATATCGGAGTTCCCAGCGAACGAATACCCTTCGCCAGCGTTTGTGAAGAGGGCCAGACTTTCATATGGTGCTCTGTTCGAGGGCGGCTTTGATATTTTTGAGGAGGATGGCGGGGTGAGAGGCAAGGGTCGGAAGAGGACCCGGTTTGAGCACGGCAGAAGCGCGTGGAGGTATGCTAGTCAGTCACCTAGCCCCGAGCCTACTTCGCCTATTCAGGATGAGGCCGGAGAGGATGCTTCAGCGGATGTGACACCGCAGCCGTCGCCTAAGCCGCAGACGACGGACGAGGGTTGCCAGACTATCGATATTGAGATGGCGGAGGCTGCTCCGGAACCGGTCGAGACGGCCGGCGCACAACCGGCGCAAACCTCAACTCCGGTCTCCCAGGAAGGCCCGACTGCTCCTGTGCAAGAGGGAGAGGTTACAATACGTCAAGTCGACGATGCGTCCGCTATCCCGACCCCCGAAGAGAAATCGCCCCCTGTGGTCGAAGAGGGACAGGCTAGGGAGGAATCGGCCATGGCTACACAACCGACGACAATTGTAGAACCACAAGGGCGATCTGTCGAGGAACACGCCCAAGATGAGAAGGCCCAAGAGAAGCAGGCCCAAGAGAAGCAGGCCCGAGACCAGCCTATCACGGAAGCCCCGAGATCAAGCCCGCCGCCGCCGAATACTAAGAGCACTCCAGTCGGCGATCCGTGGCCTCTCGGTTCTAGTTTCTCCATGTTTGGCACTAGCGCACCTGTCCGAGCAGAATCGGCACTGAGCCTAGCAGATCAGGTCAGATTCGGCTTCTCCCACATACCGCACACTACACGCCCATCTTCCCCGCGGAGACCAGAGCATGATCACCAGCCTAACGATCAGGAGGAGGACCCATACCCTGTATCCTACCTTAACGAAGGATCAGCTCCCGGGAAGTATGCTGATATGAACACCTACACCAATGACGCGGATGAACAGAGCGACATGGCTGTTCTCGGTCAACCCGTAGCACTAGAACCACCCACGGTAGCGCGTTTCGACCCGGATCAATGGGAGATATCGACCCATTCTCCACATTACAACCCAGTCGAGGGCGGTCACTTCAGCACGGATGCTCTAGAAGGAGCGAGGGTCACAGCGGGACACGAATCACCGCCTACGAGTGGCGTTGTCACAGAAAAGGTTCCTGAGGGCTTTGCCAGCTACGGACATGGAAGCGTATCCGACAGACAACAGGATAGACCTCCGCGGGAAGAACATGGCCACGATGAACAGCTCCTCGTGGAGAAAGACGAGACAATGAGTGAAGACGGGGTCAGCATTGATGGGCAAGAGGAGGAGGAGGAGGACGCCAACTACGAGTATGCATATGGTGAACAGCTTGAGGAAGGCGACTATGATCAACGCGCCTATGAAATCCCTGACGATGATGACGAGGGCTTATCGGAAGAAGATGACGAGGTCGAACTAGAAACCGAGGAACGCTACGGCAATGCGGAGACGTACGATGAGGATAGTGAAGGCGAAGAGTGGGATGAAGATGATGATGAGCAAGGCGAGGAGGAAGAGGATGAATACGAGAGCGGGGAGGAAGACTTTGAGGAAAAGTATGACATGGGGGGGTGCCAGCCTCGGAAAGCAGCTGCGCCTGCGCCACCAGGAGAGCCAGTCGTTATCAGCCTTCTCTCCGATTCCGAAGATGAGGATGAGGATGAGCCAGCTCCACCACCGAGCAAGCCAGCAGCTGCTACGCCGCCTGCTCCTGTACAGCATCCGCGTCCGCCCATCACCTTTAGAAAAGCGTCTCGTCCAACGCCACCTGAGCGTTCGCCCCGCGTTTCAAAGACGGCCGACTCGGACAGCGTTGTGAAAGAGCCTGAGCCTGAACCTGCACCGAATAATATCTTTAGCCAGACCCAGGTCGTCGACTTCGCTGAGCGGTCAAACCAAGGTGCTAGTCAGCAATCGACAGTACCGGCAACTGAAGCAGGTGCCCTTACTGAAGGCAACTCATTCACCAGCCAAGTTCCAGGCTCGTTCGAAGTCTCCAACGCACGGGGAGAATCAGCTCCGCCCCAATCCGAACCTGCGCCGAGTGAAATTTCCTCAGAAGGCCTTTTTGTCTCACATTCGAAGCTGCAGCCCGAGCCCGAGGTCGGGCCCGAGCCAGCGCCGAGCGAGACTTCTTCACAGGGCCTGTTTGTCTCACAGCCCCGTGCTAGGTCTCCAGCTGCGCATGATGAGGATTTTCGCGAAGACCGTCAGGAGCCCAGCGAGAGACCCACAGATGGTGACATGGAGTGGGATCAGGAACAAAACCGGTCTAGGGGCGTTTCTATGAGTGTGGAAGAAATAGAAGAGAGCGAAGTGATTCAAGAAGAAGCGAGATCTCGCGGTGATTCTATGAGTGTGGAGGACATGGAACAGGCTGGGTCTCGGGGTGAATCCATGAGCGTGGAGGACGTAGACGAGGAGGGGAGCCCACACGCCGGCTCCCGGGGTGAATCCATGAGCGTGGAAGAAGCTGGAGAGGGCGAAACTACTCCCCGACCCGTTAAGACTCAAGTCGATACGCTCAGCTTGCCAGATGCAGATGACGATTCCTTCGCCAGCCAAGTCATGATGGAGGACGTCGTGGAGAATGAGGATGAGCATATGAGCACCGAAGACGACCTGCCAAAGGATACCGTCAACCTGGAAGAGCCGTGGTCCACAATCGAGGTTGAAGAGATTGCAATGTCGGAAATGGATGTGGACATGCTTGACGCGGGCTCACCGCTGGTGGAGTCAGCTTCGTCAGTGATGATGGCTTCACAAAGCCCCCAGCCGGGGACTTCGGCCCAAACAGCGGTGTTCGGATCTGATTTCATGGTCAGCGAAGTTGTATCTGAGGTTGCCGTGTCAATTGCTGCGGACGAGTCTATCCCGAGTTCTCAGATATCAGCGGAACAAGAGGCGGAACTCCCTATTAGTACTGCAGATTGGCAAGAACCGACTGAAGCGGCGCGCTTGCAGGAGACACCACGAACAATACTCAAACCGCAAGCTGAGGTTTCGGCAACAAGTGCTGACAAGTCGGGGGGAACAGAGGACCAAGAGAAGATCAGGTCTACGCCTTCGGATGTCATCGAGGGACCCTTGGATGCGCTGCCATCTAAGACCCAGCAGGAGGTGGATGAAGAGGTAACCACCGACATCAGGTCCGCCAATGCTACACAGAGTATTGGTTCGCCGGAGCTTGGAGAAAAGGATGCTATGGAAGATCAAGTCGCTGAGCTCCCTTCTCAGACGGAACAGGACGGGGCAGAGCAGGGGGCGAAGGAAGGTGAGGAATCTGCTCAACAGACTCCGGGGCCTGAGCTAGCTCCGCAGGCTACCTCCGCGGAAGCAGAATATCTAGACGACGAGACTATGATACTTCAGCAACTCACCCAAGAATCCCTCGATATCAGCGTCAGCCTAGCCAGGGGAGCTCTGGCCTCCCCCTCGAAATGCACCCAAGAGCAACTCACCCAGAGACTACAAGTCCAAGTAGCGGAGGCAGCAGAAGGCCAAACACCCGACTGGTCATCGTCTCCTGATCCCAGCGCCAGCCTAGCTAGGGAAGCCCTGGCATCACCCTCCAAGCATGCCCAGGATCTACAAGAATCCGCTGAGGATGAGGCAGCAGAACCTCAAGTACGAACCCGATCACCGTCTCCTGACGCCGGGGCAGCAGTGGCCTCGCTCTCGAAGCGCGGCACCCGGCGCCAAAAGAAGGCACTGGAGCCACTTCGAACGAGAATGAGCCCTCCTGTCACTCGCGCACGGTCGAACAGTCTCCGATCGGATACCACTGCGGAGACTTCCGAAGACTTCAGCGTCAGCCTAGCCAGAGAAGCCCTGGCCTCGCCCTCTCGGCGCGGCGCTAGCCCGGCAGCTACTACTGCCGCGACGCTAAAATCAGAACTCACCAAGCGACTACGCACGGAGCTGCCCGAATGCATCCCGCTGAAGTCCCTGCGCACGTACGTCGACAAGTTCCCCAACGCCGTCGTTGTCGTGACAAGCCAGCCTTCCACGCCGACACGCGCTAAGGGCGGGCCGCGCGAGTATTTCATGTCCTTCCACGTCACAGATCCGTCCACCGCGCCTTCGCAGGTGGTCGAGGTGCAGCTGTACCGGCCACATAAGGACTCGCTGCCGGTCGTCAAGCCCGGGGACGCGATTCTACTACAAAAATTCCAGATCAAGGCGCTGAGCAAGAAGGGGTTCGGACTGCGCACGGGGGTCGAGTCGGCTTGGGCTGTTTGGGATGATGGCGCTGACGACGATGGCGGCGCACCCCAGATCAAGGGCCCACCGGTGGAGGGTTGGGAGACTTATGTGCCATACGTGAAGACGTTGAGGGAATGGTTTGGCTTGCTGGTTGCGGATGAGGCAGCAACGGCGAAGCTGGAGAAGGCGGATCGGAAGTTGGCCGAGGTTGCCGGTGTTGGTGGGAAGTGAACAAACGGCTGGCGCGGATTTGCTAGGCATCATATTCTGAGTTCGGTTCATCATTGAGAGGTGCGTAGAAAAATGGTCACGGGCATCGGGATGGAGTTTCCGGGACAGGGGTAGCTATCTGCTAGGTATGGTAATATGGTAATGGTAGACGGTTATGCGATCTGCACTACCTCCAATATATCCTCGATTGGAGCCCAGCTTCTAACTCCAATCTTGCCTTGCAGCAGCATCGGGTAACCCCTTTCTGGCAGCGTTCTTTGCTTGGCTGGTACCGGGCTGGATGCCAAACCGCTTCCTGGCCAACACAGATCAACCCAATAGTGTAAGCACAAACACGTCTGTCCGCTGAGTTGTTTGCCTCATTTCTTTTCTACGTAACTCTACGTACTGCGACGTCTGAAGTTATGTCATGCCATATCATGCCTCCCACGTCGGTGGAGAGTAACCCCCCACGCCACCATCAGCTGATAGACCCTGTTCAAGGCCAAGACCGTTCAACACGCCCTCGCCCATTGCCGTCCACCCCTCCCTCCCTGGCGCCACGTGGTTGTAGCCGTGGTATCCAGCCGCCTGCGGATCCTCATCTCGGCATTAGGTACAGGTAGCTTAGACTACCTCCCTGGGTAGGTACCGGTTAGTGTATGGACGACCCCCACGTCCTACAATACGAACCGTCCTATAACTAAACCCCACGCCATTCAACTACAGCTCATATGTATATCCGTACCACTGCAACAATGCAGGTAAATAAGTACAGATCAGCCGACCGGTCAAGCCAACTGAGGCTGTGGTCGAGCATTAACTACCGTACCTTACACGTGTCTGGAGATGATGGTCATGTTATACACATGTCGATGTAGTTAGTATCATCCCGGTCTTGTATGGCCCCATTCTCTGTGTGGCGTGACACATTCTGCCCGATACGACCACATGAGTTTCCTAGTGTATCGTTGCTGGTCTTTGAAAGAGCAAAACAACAGGACCTAGTACATACATACATACAGTTTATGACGCTAATAAGCAGAGACCTGCTTTTTCTGGGATAAGTTAGCACCATCGTTTCCACATGGACTAACTCTGGCTCTATCCAGCCTCTCCCTGATCCGGCTCTAAGCTCTGCGTGACTGACGAGGTTGAACGTGATGGGGCTGCAGGAATGAAACATAGCTGTAGTTGAGACAGTAAAGATATATATACCTAGCTGTCGGTTAGGTGAGGCATCCTGTGGTGTGCGCCAACTGGTCGATGTTCACCGTGTCAGGTAGCTTGATTTCTTTACCTGGGCTGATGATGTATGAGTATGAGCAGGTCGAGGGCTCCACGGATGCATCTGCCTGAGTGCTGTGCCCCTCCCTGCTGGGATCTTGGACGCGACAACAAGCACATGCGGATTGTAGTCATTGCCACCTCTGGTACCAAACATCTTTAGGAGCGCCAATAAAATGTATTCAACCTCAGTCCTGCCCAAACCCATCCCCCATCTAAGCGAATGCGCTTATCCCCATCGAAACAGGAACAAGCCCGAGATGCTCACCCTCTGGCGGGCTCTTCTTTTTGTCTATGCGCTAACCATACTCGAATAAACCAGCAGTGTGAGAGTGTGTTCCCCCAGGCCCAATGCAAAGTCCCATCCAAGCCCAGTCCAAGCGCGTTTCAATCATGGGGCTGTGCCGTCCAAAGCAAGACAAAGGCTAGTTAAGCAATCAACCAGCCGGGGAATCATTAGGTAGTTAGTAAGAAAAGGGGTCGCAGCGTCAGGCGGTTGTGGGCCGGTCAGCCGAGAAAGGAACACTGCGCTTGGACAAGCCAAGGCGAAGCAGACGAATAAAAGAAACGCTATCCTTCTAAGAAAATGCCTCGTTGCGTAAAGACGCCCCGCGTCTGGTTCAAAGCTGAGGATCGTAGATCTGCGCCTTGATGTACTTGTCAAGAGCCGGGTCTCCCCACTCCTCCCACTCAAGCCACTGGTCCTCGGGCAGCTGGCTCACGCCATCGCGCCGCGCAGCCTTCATGACCTCGCGGGCGACGATGAGACTCGCGTCGCGCACGCGATCGATCCGCGGGTAGATGAGGCCCTTGTGGATTTCGTCGGCGTTGAGCGTGCCGGCGAGGGCTGCAGCCGACGTGTAGATCATGTTGTCCGTCACGCGGCTGGCCTTGGAGAGGATGGCACCGAGCCCAATGCCGGGGAACACGTAGACGTTGTTGCCCTGGTTGGGGTAGTAGGTCACGGCGTGGTCGCTAGTCTTCACCGTGAAGTGCGAGAACGGCGAGCCCGAGGCAAAGATGACGGTGCCGTCGGTCCACGTCACGGCCTGCTCGAAGGTGCATTCCGCCTTGGTGAGCGGGTTGCTCAGAGGGAACAGGATGGGTCGGCGCCCGAGACCACCGGCGTCAACGGACGCCTTGAGAGCGCGGACCACGGACTCGGTGAAGACGCCATAGGTAGCCGTCAGACCGACCAGGGCGGTCGGCTTGACATACTCGATGACTTCCTCGAGGGTGCGGAACTGGTGGCCGTTGTTGTCGGTGCGGGCAAAGTACTTCTTGTGCTCGGCGAGCTTGTCGCCGCGATCCTTGGTCACAAGACCCTTGGTGTCGACGAGCCAGAACTTGTCCTTGGCCGCCTGTTCCGACAGACCGCGCTTGGTGTAGTACTCGACCAGCTGCTTCGCGACACCGACACCGGCGGAGCCGGCGCCCATGAAGACGAGGCGTTGCTCCTCGAGCGGCACACCCGAGAGATTCACGGCGCCAATGTAACTGCGAAGCGGGTGAGAATGGGTAAGTCGCAGTTCGTGGTACGGATTACAAAGTAGGTACGGAATACAATAACCATGTGGGGCCCGGATGAACACTTACCCGCCCAGGACGACGGCACCAGTACCCTGAATGTCGTCATTGAAGCACTTGTAGTTATGCCGATAACGGTCGAGATAGTTGAATGCCTTCTCGCTCTCAAAATCTTCAAACTGCACCACCATGTCCGGGTACACCTCGGCGGCAGCCTGCATGAACTCGTCCATGAACTCCTGCTGCTCGGCAACCGAGGGGCGCTTGGCGCGCAGGCCGAGGTAAAGCGGGTCCTTGAGGTTTGCCTCGTTGGCCGTGCCGCAGTCAAGCACAATCGGAAGCGTCTTGGACGGGTGGATGCCGGCAGCCGCCGTGTACAGGGCTAGCTTTCCAATCTAGGGCATTGGACACACGTTAGCCGACCCATCGCGCCATTGCATTGGGACCCGTCCGCCCACGCCGCCCGCACGATTGAGAATTTGAGAGATTCGCTTGGGGTCCGTGGGCTCTGCCGAGGCCACCTACCGAAATCCCGACGCCGTTCACGCCCAGGTCGCCCAGGCCGAGAATGCGGGAACCGTCCGTCACGACGCAGATCTCCGGGTTCTGGTAGCGCCAATTCCTGAGGATCGTCCTCATTGACTTCCGCTGCTTAATCGAGATGTAGAGCGCCTCAGGCCGCGTGTACAGCGTCGAGTACTGCAAGCAGACATCGCCAATGGTGGGCGTGTACACGAGGGGCATCAGCTCCTTGGCGTTGTCGATGAGCAGACGGTAGAAGAGGTCGACGTTCTGGGCCTTGATATTCGACAGGTACATGTACTTGTCGATGCTGGTCTGCCGGGACCGGATCACTTTGAGCGCGCGCTCGCACTGCTTGCTGGCGTCCTCCATGACGTGCGGAATGAGACCGGTAAGATTCTTGGCTATGCGCTGCTCTGGTGTAAAAGACAGGCCTTGTGGAGGAGGTAAGTTAGCAGCCAGGGCGCGAAGACGAGGAAGGGCTCGCGAGGAAGACATGGTCAGGGCAGGTGAGGGAAGACTGGACGGCGTTGCCTTCTAGGAGTAGAAGGTGCGAGAGAGACTAAAGAAGGAACGAAGTGACAATGCTGCTCGAGGTGAAAGAGCGAAGCGATGAGGAATTGGGGGGAGGGGGGGGGGAGAGACGGGGGTTGGGATTGAGTGGAGGAAGTAGAGACTCGAGTCAGGGACACCGCTCGGGAGTCGGGACTGCCAAGCTGACTCACCCTTATTCCACATGGGCTCGCTGAGCACCTGGTAGCCGAGGGCCTGGTTCTGGCTAATGTATTCGGTACTAGCATATTGGTGCACCTCGGCGTAGTGGTTCTGGGCGTAGCCCCGGAGGACGTCTAGGTTCGCCATTCTCATGGCTTCCTCGATGGCGACAATGTCAACTGACGACATGGGGTTGGCAGCCGAGATGCGACGCGATGACGAGATGGACATGCGCTTGGAGCTAGATATAGACGAGTGTGACGACCGAGCTGACGCCACGGAGGAAGGAGAGATGGACCGAGGTGTGTTGATGTCGGAATTGGATGCGCTACTGTTCGCAGACGACGCCATGGCAGGTGTGAGTGAGGGAAGGGAGAAGTCGAGGAAGGGGAGCCGGGCGAGGAAAACGAGACTGTAAATCCACGGCGCGAGGTCGAGGCAGGGCCGGATCAGATGCAGAAAGAGGGTCCCCTGCTGAGGCGTGATTCTAGCAGTACGTGTATTATTAGAATTACGACTGGGACCGCTTGTCCCCTGGTTTGCAGCAGCGGTCGTCCGGGCCACCAGAGCCTTGGTCAAAAGAAGTGAGAGTTGCAGCGTCCGGCCAACGCGCCTGTTGCTGAGGGCGAGGCGGTTTAAGACCTTCTGAACGCCGGACGCCCGCGACGCGAGCAGCGCCAAACCGGCTCCTCGTTTGACCATGCCCAGCCGACACGGAGAAAAAAAATTAGTGACGGTGATGGACGATGCGACAGTGGCCGGCTTGTGAAGGTTACGCTTCGCGTTTCAAGACAATGCCGGCGTCGAGGGAGCTTTGCCGGTACACGCCTCCCTCATCTGGACCAGAAGGGGCGCGGGAGAAATAAAAGTGGAAAGCGTTTGTCACCTTGTCAACAATTCCGGGCACCCCCGGTAAGCAACTGCGTACTGGTCCGAAGCCAGGAATGAACCGGGCGTCACTCTTTGGCTCCTGTTGAGGAAAGGGGTACACTAGGTAGGTAGGTACATGGCTTCGGTGCAGTTCGAATCGAGCATTCCTTTTTTGGAAAGCACTTACAGTACGGATGTACACACGAGCAGGCTCGAGGAAGGAGTCACCGAGATGACATCCCGGGTGGAGTCCGGAGGGACCGTCCGTTCGCGCCATGGATTTTCATCATATTGCGGATTGCAACAATGCCCCTCGTTTTTCTTCATACAATTTCCGTTGTCTCCCGACATGTTGCCAGATTTATTGGGAGTGCAGTTGGCTGGTTGGCTGACCCGAGAACTTCTGAAAATGCTGACTTTGGCCGCCGCGCCGTTGTGCGACGTCGCAGGGTTCTCTCGGAGCTTGTGCGGCTGCCCGCGTCAGACATCATGCCAAGTGCCAAGGTATGATGGACCTTAGACCTCGCAGCTTGGCGGCACCTTTCAACGTCCTAATGTGTAAGTAAGCAAGTTCAGCAAAGACTCTGACCTGTTTTCCCCCCCGGGGTTCTAGCAGCGAAGCAGCAGACATCCGAAGTCATTGTCACGCGTTCGAGCTTGCTATCTCATGATTTGTCTGTCCCCTAATTGGCATCAGTCATGCGACACATTTCCAGGGCAGCCGATGAAGAGTTGGTGGACCGCAGCAACGGCATGCGAGACGGTCAGGGCAGTGCCCTGCTGTCCAATCAGAATTCAGACAAAGGGGAATCGGTTCCCTGTTTGGGCTAAGAGGTTGCGTCCCGATCCGTTGGTACCTACCTGAAGTCGGGATCTGTTCTCGGTCCTGTTGCTCAAGCATAACCGGCCGCTCCTTACACAGGCTCGGGCACGAACGCAAAGGAATGCCTTCTGTCGGGGCATTACCGCTAGTTTGTTACCTAATACATTAACTAGCAACTACACTGCTAATTAGCCGGCAGAAGCTGGTCATTCCCCAAGGGTCCAAGAAACACCGTCACTCTGTCTCGGGACACGGCACGGTCTTCTGCATAACGTTACTCTGTCAGCGCCGGGAAATTCTCTATCTTGACGGGACTCGATAATGTTACGGAGCAATTCCCGAGACTGTCAGATTGCAACATACCCAAGCTAGTGACTACGTGACTACTGTACCTTATAGTACTGCGGGCTCGACAAGCGCCTTCAGAAGTTCATCAGACTTCAGACGGCCAAGAGATGCACGCACACCTGTGCGCATCCCGTCGTTCTGTCCCTGGGGCCTGGGCCCACAAGCCGGTCCCCGTGGTGGAGCATTGGGCATTGGTGGGTCTCAAAGGTGGAGTTTCAGGGGAAGCTCAAGAAGCCGAGAAGCCTGCATCTCACAGCCATGGCCCCCGACATCACCCGATTTTCGACAAGGGCATGGTGCCGAACCCAGTCACAATTTTCCCTTTCGGAAAACAACCAGGCGCAATGCTTGGATGCCAAGCGAAGTGTTCCAGAAAGCACCGCTGCGTGATGAAACAGGCCACACCCGCGTCTGATGTCTGACGTGCCGCTGCCTGTGGGCGGCCTCCAGTGTCTCAGACAAGCCCTCGCTGACCGAGCATCTCCCTTGGCCGTCCCGAACTCCTCTGGTTGGGAACAGTTCGCTTGCACTGACTCGTATGTACATACCCCCGCAGACCACCACCACGAGGACCCCTTGTCGACAAAGGAATGCGGTCTCCATCTTCGGGACGAGATTTACGGTTGCAGCAGGCTGCTTCTCATCAGCTCCATGAGGAACACGGCGAAGGAAAGGCTGGGTTCGAGGAAGTTTATCTACGACTAATCTACGGTAGATCTCCGCTAGCAGACCGGATAACTACGTACATGTACCTTACATACATACACCAGTGTAGCGCATCCTGTGCATTCAGTGATCCGAAGGTCAGCATAGCGGTCGGTTGTGACGCGGCACATCGCAGATGTTTGATCACCCAGGCTCTGCGTCCTTCATCTTTAGGGAGCTTTTCAGCTGCTTGACGTTTCGCCGGAAGGGACCAACTGCTTCTCATTTAATTCACTGTCACTTGTTTAGCTCCACGATCCACCATGGCGCTTCTCGGTGCTTGGCCGGCAATCCTCCCGATGCAAGCCGGTCCGGCAATGGGCCTCTCAACAATCTCGGGAAGCAGCCTCCACCCGTTGCTGACCTGTTCCCGAACATCGGACACCGGGGGGGATATCGGGAGCACATGACCGCGTGCTTACGCAAATCGACGGCGAGAGGACGCAGTGTAATGCCGATAACGGCCCTCAGCATACATAGTGTACTGTACATGCCAGAAGGCCCCGACAGGACGCTAAGATGCATCCTCAAGCTTCCCCGGACCCCGCAATCCCCATGAGCCCAGAAGCTCGACCCGAGTCTAGCCCGACCATGCATACTCCACCTCCGGCCAAGCCCCAAAGCTTCGAGAACCTCACCGCTCCTACATACCTGAGGTATCCCCGGGCAACGGCAGCGACCCAGGCAGTCTTATCGCGCCGCCACCCCCGGATTTTACGCCGCGCAATATCGCCAGTCTGCTTTTGCCACCGAGGCTAATAACCCGCCGTGGGCCCAACAACCGCCAGCAGAATCTAGACACCTTGTCCATAGGTACACTGCCAGTGTTTCCTCTGTCTATTATGTACATACATGTATAGTACCGGCCAGTCATCGCTAAATTGGCTTTGCCCATTATGCAGTCTTGGTCCCGCAACTGGGGACTCAGCACGGCAACTACGTAGCTGCGAGTGGTCACGGAAAGGACTCTCTACCTAGCACGAAGGGACCGAGAAGCTCGACAGAGGAGTTCTTGGAGCTACCGAGCCCCAACAGCCCCCGTAGGCTCCGGCTACACTTGGGACTGTACAGGATGCCGTGACAGAAAAACACTTACAAGCGAGGATGAGCTCTATGTCGGATTGGGACAACCCGCCATTAACTCAGTACTCCCTACAGGACTCGCACCAATATAGGTACTTTTAGATATTACAGAGTCTAGTCGTCAGAGGTTATGTGGTCAACCTCAGTGACGGACCTCCTCTATCAATGCCCTTCGGACCATCGATGCTCAGGTACCCTGTTATGGCGCATGAGGCGGGCAATCACGTTGCCGGCAAACAAAGGCCTGGGCTGTTGGCTTCCGGTGGTTTCTAGATAGAAGCCAGGATGATGTTCTCGGAGGCACATCGCATCGCCTGATCTAGAAGTACATGTACAATACAAGTCTTGAATGCACCCCAGCGATACCCATCCCAGTCTTTAGACGTGTGGTGTAACATAAGTCGATTTCTACACGAACTGCGCATGGAGATATTCTATGAGCAAGGTTAGAGACCGAGGCAAACTATCAATCCCGTATGGATACCTTTTAGGCACCATTTGGCCGAGTTCTGTGAAATTTCCGCCTGTCTCAAAACATAAGCCAGCTTGCTCAACAGCGAGATTCTAACCCCCTTGGGCCCATGATGTGTGCTTGACTTTGAACACCAAAAACACCATGACCCAGAAGCTAGTCGTTGCTGCAAAAGACAAACCGAATCAATCAAGATGCCTCTCTCAATTCCGTCACTGCCGCCCGTGTTAATGTCTCACTCATTATCCTCGTCATCACCCTCGATAACCATTCCCTTGGCATTCGGGACGCCAACAAGGATTTTGCCTCTCGGTACCCGCACATCTTTGACTTTCATGCACCCAAACACATTCAGCTCCCGCAGGTTCGGACAGCTTCGGAAGATGCTGCCCGCCACAAAGTCAGTTACCTCCTCGCAGAAGCTGATCTCCAGCTTCCTCATCGCGTCATAGACCTTCTCAGGTCCAAACGCCTCCTCGAACGCAGCCGCCTGGATGTGCCGGCATCCATGGACATTGAGGAACTTCAGCGTCTTGCCCGAGTGCGCCATCAGCGCGCGGAAGCCGTCCGAGCACAGGCCGATCCCGTCGGCATTGGCTCGCGGGTGGGTTGAGTCGAGTTGCCGGCACTTCTGCAGGTCCAGGAACACTAGGCCTGGGTTGGCCCAGTCCTGGAACAAGCGGACGAAGCCCGCGTCGGTCATCTCCTCGCTGTCGGTGATGCGGAGTTTCACGAGGGAGCGGCAGTGGGCGTGGATGGCATCTAGGATGCTGTTATCTCCTGTTCTGACGCGGGTAAGGGAAAGGGTCTCGAGACTCGGGCCGATTTTGCTGAGCACGCCGACGTAGACGTCCGGATGGACCTCATTGCGCAGATCGAGGCTGAGGTGGCGGAGGCAGTTGAGGTTGCCGATGGTTACCACCCCCGTTCCGGTGACTTCCTGGTTGTGGCAGACCTTGAGCCGGGTCAGGGAGGGACAGGCGCTCTCAAGGAGTGACAGGACTTCATCGCCGAAGTGCTTGTCTGTCCAGTAAACGCGCAGGGAACGCAGGCTACGGCCCTTTTGCTGAAGGAATTCTTTCCACTTGGAATTTGACAGGAGGTTGGCGCCATGGACGTAAAATTCCTCCAGTTCGATGTGACGCGACATCAGATAGTCCAGAACATCGTCCTTGAAGTGGATCCCGTTGCGGACTTTCAGCCTCTTGAGACCAGGAACTGTACGGAAGATGCGGATGAAGTCGTCAGACGAGAGCTTTGCACCGTCATACACATGGACCTCCTCCGCCGTGGGGTTCAAGAGCAGGCTGAGAGTCCGTGAGTCAAGGAGCCGGTGTTTGGATAGCTTCCGAGCGACCATGTCCATGATTGACGGGGGGAGATCGCCCAAGTCTTCGGCCAGGTCAATGTTCTTTGCAAGAGTCTCGATGCATAAAGTCATCAAGCTCTTAGCACCCAAGGTATATGTCCCATCAAGGATGTTGCTCTGCAACTGTCGTCGCATACCGACCGCTCCGCCGCCGGCTCGCTTTGCCTGCTTCTTCTTCTTCGCAGCTGCGTCGTCTTTCTCGAGTTCTTTGCCGCACTTGTTGCAAAGCAAACCCCCGTTGGGTCCATTTCTAGTGTACGGCGTAACGGTGAATCGCGTCCCGCAAACCTCGCAGTTCTCCATCTGGCCCGGGAGCGGAGCGGAGCGTTTCAGGAGGGCGTCGACTAGATCATCCTCGTCCTCCGAGTCCCCAAGACCGCGCTTGCGCTTCTGAAACTTCTTGCTGGCCTTGATCTTGTCAATGGCCTTCTGCTCTTTGCTTCGCGCCGCCTCGTCCGGCGCACCCGTCCCTTCTGCGCGTCTTGACCGGGTAGCCCGCGCAGGGCTAGCGGACACGGCTGGAAACGGGGCTGGAGTAGATGCTGCGGCTTGGTCATTGGTTTGATCGTTCGCCTCGTCTTGTTCATTCTGCGCTGCTCTACGGCGAGCATCGGCATCCAGGCGGATTTGATGAGCAGAGATATTGTGAGACTGGTAGTACCAGCAACTAAGTCAGCATCTCAGCAGCCTTAAAGAGCAAAAGGATTGTGCTTAGACCCACCGCTAGAAAGTCCGTCAGAGCCGATTGCCTGCATTGAACACCATCAGTATAAGAAATCATTCTACCCAACGACGGAGGCACTCACGGGCCTACTATACGCCGCGGCGGCCGATTCTGTCGCGACCTGAATTGCGTCAGCAGAACTGCAAGTCAAGTGTAGGTTTTCTCAGAAGGAACGTTGAACTCACATGTTGGAGGATCACCATCAGAAGTGTCGGCAGCGTTGTGGCAAGAGTCCCAGAGATCAATAGGATTACAAGATTGGCCAAATTTTGAAAGGGGTGATCGAAGGATGGGACTTCGTTGGATTTAACACGCTTTGACGCGAGAAGGGGCGAAATCATTAAAGTGGCGGCGCCAAAGCACGTGACTGAAATGTAAAAGAAATGCAGTGCCAGCAAGCTTGTAAGAATAATGAAAGTTCAAGTTATTGAAAGAAGCTGCCTAACCATATTAGGTACCTCTGCGGTACCTTAGCTAGACTGCCTGCAGCAACTTGACCAGGCAAGCACAGACCGCCAGACTCGAGTAGGTAGTCAACAGGCGAATCTCACTATCATGTCTTCTGTCATGGCGATATTAATTTCTCAAACATGCTCAAGTCAACTGCTGCTTCGTTGGCGTTCTTTGAGATGTCATCTCATTTGCATCATCTGCTCCCAACCCAATAAGTATCATTCTCTTATCTCAGGAATCAGACGTCCTTCCAGGGTGCTTTTGGGGCCTTTGGCCGGTTGGGCTGGTATACTCGCTGGGCTTCTTAAAACGGCGATCAACCCCCCACTCTTGTCGGCTCCATTGATCGGACCCATGGGTTACGTGGAAAAGGCACACTCCAGTCCAGATTGTTTGTTTCTCGACTTTTGGAAGGTGTGACATACAACACCTGGGGTATAAAAACCTTTTGCACGCACTGGCCGGGCTCTGAGAAACCAACTTCTCTTCACTTACCAGTCAGTCCCCAATCCACATTTTACACTCATTCCATCCACCGTGTTTTTGCGCATCAAGAACCAACGCACATCCTCTGCAACAGCAACAAGCATTCTACCATGGCGCAGCCAGATTTCGATACGCTGCAATAGTCCGTCGACCAGCTGCAACGGACCGTTGAACAGCTGCAACAGTCCGTGGACCAGCGGCTCAACCAAGTTGACATCGCTATCAGAACACTGTACGTGGTATGCTCTTTTATCGTGTTCAATACCAGATATCTGACTGTGTGGCCTTTCTAGTGAGAGCAATGCGGTGGCCCGCACAATCAACACAACGGCGACTCGGCCAGAACATTTGCTACAGCCTTTGCGGAGTCTGAACGATGGCGAGGAGATTCCCGGGTTTCCACGTAATGTCGAGGCGATTCATACAATGCCCAGTATGCAAATGTTATTCTGCCCATATTATACCATTGTACTAACGTTTTTGTGTTATCTAGGCGCACAGTTGAATCAAATCTTGGCCGCACTAGGAGAGCCTACCACGGGTGACGTCCAAAACAGACGCCGTCGTCCCCACTTGGTGATTGGCGCCATAACAAAGCATGTCGTGGTACGGGGCGGCGTTTGATGTTCTTACTCAGTTCTTGTTCTTCGTTGGTTCTCGTTTTTCGTCGGTGGGAAATGCGTTGTTGGAACGCATATGGCATGTATAGAGCATTGTAATTGAAGACTCGAGTGCGAGTCTTTTTTTTTTGTTTTGTGGGGTTGGGGTTGGGTGGGGGGTAGGGGTTGGGGTTGGGGTTGTTACGGTCAGTATGGGTGCCGCCCCGGTTGGGAGTCGAACCCCCGACCTTGATGAACTGGTGGAACGGGTGGAGTGGGGCATAGGTCACGTGATCCGCAAATTAGGAAATATCTCTGTAATTCTGGGTCGGTTACCCAGAACCTTTTCCTTTCCTTTCCTCAGGCTTAGTTTAATAGAATTAAGTGTCACGAACAGCCGGCTTGACCACTGTTGAATGCACCATACCGTCACACCAGAGCGATATATTTGGTTGGTTGGAAAACGAAGCTTATAGTCAGTGGTTGGCTTTGACGAAGAGGATAAGAGCCGGGCCGGTACGACGGGGCCTCTAGGGCTCTTGGGAACCGAGCCTCGGCCGGAGTTATCGGGATTAACAGAGTGTGTCGACGTCGATGGCGGGTGCACCATAGTTGCGGTCGACGTCGATCTAACCGTTGGTCACGACGACGGTCTCGTCGTCCATAAGAGGCTCTCCCACGCCCCGCGCTGACCGTTCGACAAGGTCGTCAGCGTCGAGGCTTGTTGTAGGCACCATTTGCTAGGCGATATGGTCCTCGAGCAAACAAGTCCGGCTCCTTAGGCCGATGCCGACATTCGAGGTAGTCGTAGACTACTCACCTCCCCCAACTAAGGAAGGGTAGTGCGAGCACCAGTACTACTTGGAATAGCCGAGCCGTTGTCGACCGGGCCTATAGGGGCACCACTTGTAACAGGACAAAGTAATGTAGGTAAGATGGTTGAATTTCGAAGATGTGGAGGGCAACAGAGGTGCCAATCTATATACAGGTCTGTGGTGGAGCCCACTGTGGGTCCGGGTGCCGGGCAGTTGCGCCCGGGTTGCCGGAGCCAGGTGTGAGCCCACTTTTCCAAATTTCCAAGTGCCATATTCCTCCTGTAACAGCTGGACCCAGCACCCCCTGGTGGTCAAATCAATTCAGTGGGTGCTGCTGCCTGGGCCTTCTGTCAGCAAGCGATTAAAATTGCTCCGCAAGTCATGTGCCTTCGCGTTCGTAGAAACGCGACCCGCCTTCCTTCCCACTTAACGAGGTGGCGATAACTTTCTGCTTCACCGCACTGGACTTTCGTATTTTGTCGCTTTCCCATAACCAAGTTGTTTCACAGACGGGGCCTTCAGCATTGTCGTCCATTACACAGAGCCGGCCACGCTCATTCCATTCGCACCTCAAGTGCGCACAGCCTTGGGTTGCAGCCTTGATCAGCTGCGGCGGCCTTGCTGCAGATCGTACCCTCTCTTTGTCAGGACCAGCCTAGTGCGCCTCCTTTCTGGCAAACACTCGTGATCTTGAAAACTCATCTTTCACAGCCTGATCCGTTATTGTCTTATGACCTCTACTGAAAGGTTGCGTTTACACTTTACACCGCATGTGTGTGCAGAAGCAAGATGGTGAGGACAAGAAGGTCGGCGGTAGCCGAGGAGATTATTGGTAAGGTCCCCCTCCTTTCCTCACAACCTGGGATCTACTATTCTTTTACAACATTCATCAGCTTGGACCGCCAATTCCAGCCAGAACCCCAGAACCGCGCGAACAAAACGTGGTACTGTTTATCTCACGCACAATCGCGGTCGTTCCATCTCCAAATCTCAACGCATTTGCTAACATTTCATCCCATCAGCCGCAACTTCGCCACTCGATGCGATGAATACGTCAAAGAGACCTGGAGGCAGATGTAGTGCGTCGAGTGTCACCTCCGACTCGTCGGCTGTTTTTACATCAGTCACACCCTGCTTCGGAAGCGGTTATACGACCCCTCTCACTAGCAACACGGCAACCCCGGCGGAAATCGGGAGCCACCAAGCTTCCTCAGGCAAGCGGATGAATAGGATAGAGGTTCACTTACCTGCTGTCAGAGCGCCCGTAAACCGCACCCTCAAGAACAGCATATTTTCCATGAACAGCAAGCGCAAGCGAGATGTGGTTGACGACAGCGAGGAGGAAGATTTCTCCGATACCTCGCCAGATGCGGCACTTGCGCGAAAGTTGCAGGCAGAAGAAGATGCAGCCGCCACCAGGATAATTGAGCCCGCTTTGGAACCCAGCCCTGCCCCACGCCGTAGCCTGCGAGGATTGGCAGAGCCAGCTAAGGCCGCCACCCGTCTCGGTCCCGCACGAGTTCCCGACTTTGGCAGAGCCACCAGCAAGAGACGGGCCATCACCGTTGCTGATTCGGAAGACGACGAGAGCGCCTCGTCGGAATCGGATGAAGAGGACGATAGTGACGAGCCGCTTCAGACATCAAGCAGACCCCGGCGTGTTACTACGCGCCCACCCGCCAAATCCAAGGCTAAGAAGGGTCGGAAGACGGTGCGAGCACCTGCATCTGAAGAAGACGATGATGACGAAGACCTGTCGGACCCCGATACTAGTGATACGGAGTTCGGCTGGAAGGCTCTCCTCTCTGATTCTAGTGATAGCTCTGAGGTAGAGAGCGATGCCGAAGCCGGCGATGCTGGCAGTGGCAACGATAACGACGGTGGCGGAAATGATGTTACCGCTGCACAACGCTCAGCCCTGCAGACTGCGATGAATTCGCGCCGTGCCTACCGCCAGTATACTAGCAGACGCCGGGTCAGGAGGGATAGAGCGCGTCTCGAGGAACACCATCCGGAGCTCACGACGATGTGGAAGGAGCTCGAGGACATGCCTATTCTGAAGGCTGGTAAGGCAGAGCAACCCGAGTCCATAACCAGGCAGCTCAAGCCTTTCCAGCTAGAAGGCTTGGCTTGGATGATGGCGATGGAGAGGACCAAGTGGAAGGGTGGGCTTCTCGGCGATGAGATGGGCCTGGGCAAGACTATCCAGGCCGTCTCTCTCATCATGTCCGACTTTGGCGCCGTCAAGAAGCCTTCGTTGGTGCTGGTGCCGCCCGTGGCTCTGATGCAATGGATGACCGAAATCGAAGCCTACACTGACGGGAGGCTCAAGACGCTCGTCTTTCACGGGACTAACTCCAAGTCGAAGAACCTCACGGTCGCAGAACTCAAGAAGTACAACGTGATCATCATGTCGTACAATAGCCTGGAATCGATGTATCGCAAGCAGGAGAAGGGGTTCAAGCGCAAGGATGGACTCTTCAAGGAGAAATCCATCATCCACCAGACCGAGTTTCATCGCGTTATCCTCGATGAGGCTCACTGTATCAAAACGCGGACGACGATGACGGCGAAGGCGTGCTTCGCCCTCAAGGTCACCTATCGGTGGTGCCTGTCTGGTACGCCCCTGCAAAACCGCATCGGCGAGTTCTTTTCCCTCATCCGGTTCCTCAACATCCGCCCCTTTTCGTGCTACCTCTGCAAACACTGCCCATGTACCCAAGTCGAGTGGCAGATGGACGAAGATAGCCGCTGCACAAGCTGCAAGCACAGCAGCATGCAGCATGTGTCCGTTTTCAACCAAGAGCTTCTCAACCCGATCCAGAAGTTCGGTAACTATGGCCGCGGCCGCGAGGCCTTTCAGAAGTTGCGCGTCCTGACTGATCGCATCATGCTGCGTCGTCTGAAGAAGGACCATACCGATTCCATGGAGCTGCCCGTCAAGGAGATCAATGTGGAGCGTCAATTCTTCGGCGAGGAGGAGAACGACTTCGCCAACAGCATCATGACCAACGGTCAGCGCAAATTCGATACTTACGTCGCTAGCGGAGTCCTGCTCAACAACTATGCCAACATCTTCGGTCTTATTATGCAGATGCGTCAGGTAGCTGACCACCCGGATTTAATCCTGAAGAAGAACAGCGAGGGCGGCCAGAATGTTCTCGTGTGCAACATCTGCGACGAGCCTGCGGAAGATGCGATTCGATCGCGGTGCAAGCACGACTTCTGCCGCACCTGCGTCAAGAGCTACTTGAACTCTACGACCGACCCGAACTGTCCACAATGCCACATCCCTCTTTCGATTGACCTCGAGCAGCCGGAGATCGAGCAGGATGAAGCGCTTGTCAAGAAGTCGTCCATTATCAACCGCATCAAGATGGAGAATTGGACGTCTTCCTCCAAGATCGAGCTGTTGGTGCACGAGTTACACAAACTCCGCTCCGACAATGCCTCGCACAAGTCTATTATCTTCTCACAGTTCACGACCATGTTGCAGCTCATCGAGTGGCGGCTGCGTCGCGCCGGAATTACTACTGTCATGCTGGACGGCAGCCTGACCCCGGCCCAGCGGCAGGCCTCAATCAATCATTTCATGACAAATGTTGATGTCGAGTGCTTCCTGGTCTCTCTCAAGGCCGGCGGCGTCGCCCTTAACCTCACCGAAGCGTCCCGGGTCTTCATTGTCGACCCTTGGTGGAATCCTGCAGCGTAGGCCTTCCCTTCTTGTTTTTTTCCGGCCCCGGACTTATAGCATGACTGACCGTGGATACAAATCAGTGAATGGCAATCTGCCGATCGATGCCACCGGATCGGTCAGACCCGTCCCTGCACCATCACGAGACTCTGCATAGAGGATTCAGTGGAGAGCCGTATGGTTCTCCTTCAGGAGAAGAAGACGAGCATGATCAACTCCACCATCAATGCGGACGATGCGGCCATGGACTCGCTCAGCCCGGAGGACCTGCAGTTCCTGTTCCGCGGGACTTGATCGTTCGGTCTTTGCTGCGCAGTCTGCCGGGGAGTTTCGGCTCCCGAACAAGGCTTCTTCTGCTTTCTTTCTGCTTGCGAGGGTGCTACTTTTGCTATTATGAGATTCTGGACAGCTGGTACGACACGTCATATGGTTCGTGGACCGCCAATCTAGACACAGGAACATTGTTTATGGGTGTGCAAAGATGTGCTTGCTAAAAAAAAATTTTTAAAAAAAGAGGAGTAAAAGAAGAAGAAGAAGAAGAAAAGGAAAGGAAAGAAAAGAAAAGAAAAAGAAAAAGAAAAAGAAAAAGAAAAAGAAAAAGAAAAGAAAGTGTTAAGTAATGCTTTGAACGGTATAAATGGCTGGTTCCGGTAACCTTGATGGCTGCCCAGGTGGTGTTGCGGGCCGCAAGGAAAGGACCCGGTGAAGAGGGGGGGTGCTTTTGTTTTCGTCGGGATGGTCACTTGCTACTTGGTTGTGCTCTGTCTGTCTGTCTGTATCGTACACATTGCTAGATGACAAACGCAATTGCTATCACGGACAAATTGTCTGTGTTGCAGCCTCAAGCCTCGGAATGGTTGTGAACCTGAAGGTCCATATCCGTAGTTACGTACTGTGCATCCGTCCGTTCATGTGCTGTTCGAGACATCCCCCGTCTTGAGAGACTCCATTGTCCTGGGTTTCAGTCATCGACCCCACCAGCTGCTTGGCGGCGAGGGGAGCTAAGTACTGGGGCCATGGACCCCACCATACTGAAACATGACATCCTGGATGCGGGGAAGCAAGCCCGCAGCCCTGTGAACGGGCCCCATGACCTGGAATGAGGTTGACAATGGAAACGCAGCCGCTGAGCGCCATTCGGGTTACCGCAGCGCAGCTCGAGTTCTCCTGAGTAGGTAAGTAATGTAGAACATCTAACTACCCTCTTTAACATCGCTATGTGGTTGCATTCTTCATCTCTTTCTCTTGAAGTATTGGATACCTTAGTCATCTTGTTTTGCTGCTGGTTCAGTGGAGCCAACAACAGTCTTTTGTCTTTAGTCTGTTACTTGCTCGCCCCTTGCTTGTCGAGCTGTATTACCTTTGCGGTGGTTGGCCGAGTCCAGCGATGAGGAGCTGCTGATAATTTAGCCTCCCATCGCTCTGAAAACTTGAATATTGCTTCCTTTCCGTCCTGACGGTCCAGGATGCGGCTCAGCCTCCTGGCGCTGGGCGCTGTGGCCGGCGCATCGACACTCACTCCCAATGTTCTTCCGTTGATCGTCCGGAATCCGTACCTGAGCACCTGGCTCTACAACGCCCGCGATGCGCCCTGGGAGAATTGGCCTATGTTCTGGACCGGTGCTCATGTGGGCTTCTCCGTTATGGCATCCGTTCCCGAGACCGGCACGGTCTACCCCTTGCTCGGAAGGCCCCATGACTCGTTGCCGCGAGGCCACCACGTGTATGAGGTCGCGTACCCGGAGTATCTCGGCGCGACCTTCGATGCGTCAACGACGAATCTGACATATCGGATCCGAGGGACCTCGCGTAACAGCTCTGCGCGCTTGACCCTCTCCTTCCTGTCGCCCATCACGCCCTCCTCAACGTTCAGACAGTCGATCCCCGCCGCGTATCTCACTCTCACCGCCGAGGGCTGTCTTGATTTTAACATCTACACGGACGCCAACGGCGAGTGGGTTACCGGGAACCGGGACAGTATGGTCAAGTGGGAGCTGCACAAGCTTGTTCGCCGTGACGGCGACCCGGGAACCGCACTCAAGACATGGAAGGTCGCCCGTGCTCATGAGCAGCTCTTCACCGAATTTGCTGACCGCGCGGAATGGGGGACACTGTATTTCTCGGGCCCGGCAGACGTCCAGCATCAGAGCGGGACGTCTGCCGTTTTGCGCCAGCACTTTGCTGAGAAGGGCTTCTTGAGAAACGAGGTGGATAACAGGTTCCGTCGGGTGATGGATGATGAACCGGTGTTTGCCTTCTCAAAGTCGTTCAAGCTGGGGAGTACACCGCGCGACCGCTGCCGCCCTGGAGAAGAGAGCATCACGTTCACATTTGCGCTGGTGCAGGACCCGGTAGTTCAGTTTGCCAGGGCAAAGGGATTGGCCCACATGAAACCGCTATGGAAGTCGTTCATCGGTACCGCCGACGAGCTGATCGCCTACCATCATGCTGACTTCAAGACGGCAGCCGCCCTAGCCAGGAACTACTCGGACACGCTCGCCCGCGATGCCTACAATTCAGGCTCGCGGGACTACCAGGACATTGCCGCGCTCTCGGCCCGCCAAGTCCTGGGCGCGACCCAGTTCTCCGGCACTCCAGACAACCCCATCCTCTTCTTGAAGGAGATCTCCTCAAACGGCAACTTCCAGACAGTAGACGTCATCTTCCCAGCCTTCCCCTTCTTCCTGTATACCAACCCGAAATGGCTGGCGTATCTGCTCGAGCCCCTTCTCGAGCACCAGCTGAGCGGCCAGTATCCGAATGATTATAGCATGCACGACTTGGGCGCGCACTTCCCGAACGCGACCGGCCATTCCGATGGGAACGACGAGTACATGCCGGTGGAGGAGTGCGGAAACATGCTCATCATGGGTCTTGCCCTGGCCAATGCCCTGAGATACGACACCGAACCGGCTTTCGTGGAGGCTGCTGCTGACAGCAACGCGGAAGCGCTCGCCGCTTTCAGCGCGTGGAACACCTGCGTGGACGAGTACGGAGTCGACTTGCGAAGGGGAGAGAAACCGAGCTCGAGGACGACAGGGTCGAAAGCGGCGGAGAAATGGCTCTCCCGCGCCTACAAACTCTGGAAGCAATGGACGGGTTACCTCGTCAGGGAGTCGCTCATCCCTCACAACCAGCTGTGCACCGATGACTTTGCCGGATGGCTGGCCAACCAGACGAACCTCGCGCTCAAGGGGATCATCGGCATCAGGGCCATGAGCGAGATCGCCCACATTGTCGGCCAGGAAGACGACGCAAGGCACTACCGGGACATTTCCGGAGAGTATATCGACAAGTGGCAGGAATACGGCATCTCGAGGGACAAGACGCACGCCAAGTTGGCATACACCTGGTATGGCTCGTGGACAACGTTGTACAACCTTTACGCCGACTCTTTGCTGTGCTTCCACGTCAAGGACCGGGAGGAGGGGGCCGAAGGGGAGGGGGACGAGGACAAATCTGTCTCGAGCCCACCGAAAGGTGGCCAGAAGCCAATCGGCGGAGGAGGAGGTCGAGAGACGTTTGTCCCGGACAAGGTCTACCAGATGCAGAGCGACTGGTATCATGCTGTGCTGCAGAAGTACGGCCTACCCCTGGACTCGAGACATCTATATACCAAGAGCGATTGGGAGTTCTTTGCTGCGGCCGTCACAGGGCGGAAGACGAGGACGGAGATCCTGACCGCTGTGGCGCGGTGGGTGAATGAGACCGTTGTCGGTAGGTGATCCCTTTACCCTCCCATGTTACCAGTGTTTCGCCGGGCCATGTGTAGCCCACTGACCGTGATATATAGATCGCCCATTGACGGATCTGTACGACACAGAAGGCGATGGCGGATTCCCAGGCATCTACTTCATGGCGCGTCCAGTTGTGGGCGGGCATTTCGCCTTCCTGGCGCTGGAGAGGGCATGCGGGGGCAAGGCGGTGGAAGCGCTGTCGTTCCTGCATGAGAAGCTGCCTGCTGGGGTCAATGTTGAAGAAGCACTGCGAGAGGATCGGGATGGCGGGATGACAGTAGGCCGCGAGTGGGGGGAGCTCTAGGAGAGTAAAGTGACGAGGCATCGAGCGGCATGCCCCTTACCATCAAGTCGTTGAACTAGCATTGTAAGGGAACACTCAGTTCAGGGCTGCTCTGTGCTGACCCTTCATCTGTGGCCCCATGGAGGCTTCACAGCGACAGAGGATTGAATTGATCAATACTAGAATACAATATCTGAGCTTGACATTACTTGTAGGATATCATTTGACCTCCAGTACCGACTCCAGGCTTACTGAGCTGATCGGTTATTGAATGGATAAGGCTAGTACGCCAATTTCCGCGGGAATAAGTGGGGCCTCGCAAAAGAGCACGTCGCCTCCAAAAATTTCGCCTTCCCTTCCGCTCTTCTTGCCTCGCGTTTGCCTTGACAGTTGACACGCACCCGCCCGGTCTTGAATTCCATTGGTATTTCTTTGTTGCCACCAGATATCCCCCCACCCGCTCGACATTCAACCATCTGCTTTCCAGTCACCCAGTGCGAGGCAACAGGAAGTTTCGCGCATTCCATTGCTTCCACAAAAGCTGAATTTCGCCCTCGGATCGCTTGTTTTGCCCTTATTATTCATTTCACTTTGACCTCACTTTTGCAACTACTTCTCCGCCTCGCTCCACTCGACCACAGCGGCTATCCCCGTTTCCCTTTTCTATCGCGCCTCAACGACGTAGCGCATCCATTTCATCGCCATGGCGACCACCTCCATGGACTACGAGAACGCGGCTGGTGATCGGTTTGACGGTAAGCACTCCATTAGATGCATTCCCTTCATCCGCCTGCACGCATTCGCGCGACGACATTGCTTCTCCTACCGAACACTGCTGACCATCGTAATAGATGACGGCGCCCGCTACGACCGCGATCGTAGCGCGTCCCCTCGTCGCGATGATGGCCGCGATTCTCGCCGTCGCTCCATGTCCCCGAACGGCAACGATCGGTGCGTCGTCTATGCATTGAACCCGCCTGCAACGCTCGCAAAACAATCGCTAATACCCACAACAGTGCCCCGGTTAAGAATGAGAGCGGCTCAAAAGGTGGTGATGATGACGCCATCAATCCCGGCTCCAACCTTTTTGTTACTGGCATCCATCCCCGGCTGGAGGAGTCGGAGATTACTCGCCTCTTCGAGAAGTATGGCGAGGTTGAGAAGTGCCAGATCATGAAGGACCCACACTCCGGCGAGTCGCGCGGTTTCGGCTTTGTCAAGATGGTTACACCCGAGCAAGCTGATGCTGCCATGGAGGGTCTGCGTGGTGAAATCATTGAAGGCCGCACTCTGAACATTGAGAAGGCGCGCCGTGCCCGCCCCCGGACCCCGACTCCGGGCAAGTACTTTGGTCCTCCCAAGCGTGGTGAGTCTGGCCGTAAGCATCGTTGATCCCAATCGTCGATTCGCATCGCTAATCAACCATTTCAGAACCCCGTGGTCGTTTCGATGACCGTCGCCGCGGCGGATACGGCGGCTATGGAGGCGGCTATGGCCGTGATGACTCGTACCGTGGCGGCTCTAGGGGTGGCTACCGCGAGGACCGCGGTTACGATCGCGGCTATGACCGTGGCTATGACCGTGGCTATGGCGGCGGCGGACGCGACTACCGTGACGACCGTGGTTACAGCCGTGAGTATCGGGAGGACCGTGGCTACGATCGTCGTGAGCGGGATGACACCTATGGTGGTAGTCGCGTTGATCGTTACGCCGGCCGTGAAGACCGGGACCGCTATGGTGGAGGCCGTGGTGGTCCGGATGAGCGCCGTGGCCCTAGCTACGACCGCGGCGACCGTTATGACCGTCCCACCGACCGCGATTCTCGCCCTCGTGACTCGGCTCCAGGCAGTGCTGGTGCGTACGCTGACCCGGCCCCGCGTGGTGATGCCCGCGAGCCTTACGGTACCTTTCCTCTCCCTTCACCCTTATGCTCATATGAAGACTAGCAATACTGACTCTTGTAGGCGGCCGCTAAACCTGTCACTCATCGAGCTCCTGTCCACCAGGCTGCTAGCCATCTGACTAGTCTGCAGCACACTGATTTCCTTTTCTCTCGTTTTCGCTTTCATCATGGTCACATAATTCGGTTGTTTACGAAATTCGATCGATTGGAGTTCACGGCAGGCACTGGGGGATCAAGGGCCCTGTTCCATCACACCGCCTCTCGCCAGACAAAACTGGGCGCCTAGATTAGCCGGTTGGTGGTTGCGACAACTCGACTTTTTGATGGCAATGGGATCTAGCTCGGGCTGCAGCGGCACTAGTCGACACTGTCTTGGCCTCCATCTATTCCTTCTCTCCGCCACGGTTTCGGATCAGAAAAAAAACACGGAGTAGATGGGAGCCGCCTCTGTACCATTATCTTTTCCATTGCGCCTATTCACGGCACAAACGGCACGCTACTATCGTGACAACTCTGCTGTTGCAGCAGCAGTTTTATCGCCAGGGTTTTCACTTCCATAGTCGGCATGATACGAAAACAGCGTCAACCAGCAGCATTGATCGTGACACCGTCGAATGCCCTCGATTTGTGGCAGCGTCTTCCCTGACTTGGCAACTATCGGCCTGTTTCGGAAGCTCAGCAGCCTCTCCGACCCTGTAACGTTAAATGCGATCCCGGCGTCGCCTATCGCTCACACCTCATACCTTCTTGACCATATTCGCCTTGCAACCCGCGACTCGTGCCGTGCGTGAACCTTGCAATACCCGCCGCCTGCGATGGGCGATGACCTCAGATTGCACACCATTCGTTTTTCGTCCAAACCGATTCCGTGAATGGCGATACAAAATGGCCAAGCTCTTGTCTGTGGGCTATATTGGCGGCTCCCGGGATGTCAGCGCGTTCGAAGTTGAAGGATTGCACACTTCCGATGGAAGAGCCAAGGTATGTTTCTTGTTTGACGAGACGAGAAAGTTAACGTGGGTTATTTCCAGGGCCGATGCAACGGCATATACTAACTTGACGCACCCTTACCATGCCACCGACGGACTTAGGCCATCCAGCTTTGGATCTCGTTCTCAGCGATTTGCGTCATCCGTCTTGGCGATGGTGTTTGATCACCTGGCTCCACAGATGACTGATGAGACAATGATCTAGTCCCCCTCTCATGCCATGCTACACACCGGTCCGGCTTGCCGGAACCCCTTGGGTTGGAACCGGTGCGGCTCGTCCCGTCCCATCGGAGTGAGTTGTATGGGTGTGTTGACTTCATCTCGGGCCTTAGCTGAACTGGACACGCCGACTGGACTGTTCCATGCGAACTGTACCACTGAGGTTATTGAATGCTTGCCCAAAGGTAAACACGTCTCTTCATTGGTTCTCTCCTTTTGTCTATTCGCGTCACCTGGTTCCTCATCATCTGCTGGTCTCGCTAGCATGCTCCTTTTGAGCATTGAATGTTGATTGCCTAAGCCAAGTGGTTTACCTTCCTATGCTTTTATTGTCCTCGGGGCCTGGAACTCGATAGCAGGTGGCTTCAAGCCAGAGCTTCGCTGTATAGCTTGGTTGTAGACAAGCATCGAATTCCATCGGCGCAACGTAAGTCTCAGTTACCTGAGGTTCGTAGCCAGGGAGTCTGCATATGACTTGTGACTGATTCGGTCAAACAAGGCCAGCATAAGCATGTGAATAAGATCAATCCATACAATAGAAGACGATCTATCTAGCTTGGTGCTCTGTGATGCTGTCGTCGTCGTCCATTGTGAACCGTTAAAGCATAACATGAATTGCAGCGCCAGAGCCCGGCGCATGCCTGGTCAGATCGAGTCCGTGATGCAAGCGGAAAACCCGCCTTCTGTTACATCTCAACAGTAATAACTAAGTCGGGCATCTTTCATTCCTATGACCATCGATAATATCTGGACTGAGTACCATCAACAGCACCTCCCCGCGCAACGACCATCAGCAATGTGGTACAGGAGCGGGACTGACGGTTGGATAACTGTCCAGTAAAGCGGACTAGCCGCCAACGGACGCGGAGAGGGGACCATAGGGTGGGGAGGACCGGAGCCGGACCAAATATATCATTTGATTCCCGGCGGCTTCTTGGGAGCCTGCCTTGGTTTCCCAACATGGAATGTCACTATGGGCCCAATACTAAGGATGGAACTTCGATGGGTATCCGTATAGCAGGCCCTTACTTGATCTACAATCGACAGGCTCTCGGCCGAAGCGGAAGTCGGAGTGCGGTGTACTAGTGTCCGGCAGGACCGGTGAGATCAAGGATACCGTACCTTGCGCACGGTCCCAGCGTCATAATCTCGAGATTGGAATCCGACAAGAACATTATGTATGGTAATTGCTTCGCTATAGTGTAGGATTGGCGACATATGGCCTCGGAGCCGTCTTCTCTTCCGCCGGAGTGCAAGCTCGGGCAAGCTGCCACGGTATGATCTTGTCGGTGACGAGGGTCGATGACCGCCTTTTCCGTTCTTCAACTCATCAGTCGGTCAAGCCATAAGGCCGCGGCCCTGGATTTCACAGTCCTGGTGGAGGCTCAAAGGGGAACGGATTTAATCAAGCCAGGCTTGTTCTACATAAGTTTCGGTGCGGAAGTCGGATTTGGGGACTTCAATCCCAGGGTGACGCAATGCACACACTTGCGGAAGTCTCAAGCCGCTGTCTTCAGGCGGGTAGAAGAGTTATGATTTAACGATAAAGCTCTGCCGATCCACTAGGAGCTGTTGGTTGTCAGTTGCAGATTGCAACCCCTCATGGGAAGGGAACTCACGCATCGGCAGTGGAAGCACCGCATGTCGGGAGTGTGCATACATGATTTTAGTGGCGTCTTTCAAACTGCCATAATATAAGCGTGGTCCCGTCACCAGCTCGGTCTCGGATATGTTGAGGCAGAAGAGCCGCGTAACTGTATTCCGTACTGTACCGTGCGTTACGCGAGGACCAACCAAACCGGCGGTCCAAACGGATGGGAGGGAATGTTCTCTCCCGATATCCCCGAGCTTTTTTGATTGGTCATCAGGCCCACTTCAAACCCTGGATCGTGCCTTCCGGTGACAAGAAGAGCCAAGCCGGGACCGGACCGCCAATTTGTGGACTCCAAGACTCCGCAGAAGAAGCGGCAGAGTCGGAGCTTTCCCCTGCCGATGCACCGACGAACAGGCAGTTTTTTATTACCTAGCTCCCTAGCTAGGCAGGTCATCGATGTCATGGCTCGGGGGACGCTAAAAGCCTGCCCCTCCTGCTCGGCTGACCGGTTGCAACCATTCGGATCCAGACAGGGAAAGCATGGGACGGGCAGAAAATGGATGGGTCACTTTGAAAGTTTCCGACTCCTCCAGTCTCGCTGCAATCCCTCAATGTCAAATGATGGCTTATTTCCGTTAGAGTCCTTCCCAGATATGTAAGTCAACGCTGCTGCTGTTGTGCTCTCCGTTTGCTCTCTGCATCTCTGCTTTGGTGCCGCCTTGAAAATTGTAACACATTCAACACCGTCGGCGTCGTCATCGTCGTAACTGTTAGACATCGGCATTGCAGCTCCACTGGGCATCGCAAAGTGCAGCAATTACATTTTTCTTTGTGCAACACATCTGTCTGGTATCAATCTGCCGATCCCAGAACCTCTTGGCCTGGGCCGTGCTGCACACCACTCCGAGCCTCTGACGAGGCTTCGGCCTGCACTGCTCAGCCATGACGGAGCCATCGCATGAAAAGCAACATGAGGCTGGCGCATCAGACCCTCTGCAACCCTCGCCTCTCCGGCATTCAAACGATGCATCGATTCCCGAGATCTCAGAGAAGTCGGCGGCGCAGGGCCAGTTCCGAACGGAGGATGGCGATGCTTCGGGGGACAGAATAGCCGAGCACGGCGGCGGGGATGACGACCGTCCTGGCTTGAATCGCATGATAACCACGGCTACCACGACCAGTGTGACCAGCACCGTGGCAACAGCGAGACTGCCGGAGCAGAAGCCATGGTACAAGCAGCCAAACCCCTTACGATGGGGCAAGGTCCCCCAGTGCCCAAGGAGAAGAGTGTTTCTCCGGAACACAAGGCTGGCTTCCTCAGCCGGCTCGTCTTCCACTGGATGGCTCCGCTGATGAGCACCGGCTACAAACGGCCGCTCGAGTTCAACGACATCTACAGCGTCAACCCGGATCGCGCCGTCGATCCCCTGACCGACAAGATGCGGGGTTCCTTCAAGCGCCGCGTTGCCGCAGGCGAGAAGTACCCGCTACTCTGGGCCATCAACGAGACCTTCTTCTGGGAATTCTGGCTGGGTGGCTTCTGCTCCTTGGTATCTGCCGTTCTGCAGGTCATGTCCCCGTTCACGCTGCGCTACCTGATCCAGTTTGCAACCGACGCCTACATTGCACGTGTCCGCGGAGGCCCAGCACCACATATCGGGGAAGGCATCGGCCTAGTGCTGGGTGTGACGGCCATGCAAGTATGCCAAAGCCTGGCTACGAACCACTTTATCTATCGCGGGATGGTCATAGGCGGTATGTCGAGGGGCTCTTTGATCAGTTTGATCTACGAGAAGTCCATGGTGATCTCCGGCCGTGCCAAGGCCGGAGGTGCTGAGCTCCCGGACATCCCAGCAGCGAAGGCCGTCAAAGGAGCGGCCAGGGACAATAAGGCTGAGGAGAAGAAAGGGTCGGCGGGAAACCGACCGGGCGTCTCCGGGGACGGCGTCGGCTGGGGCAACGGAAGAATCGTAAGTCAACAACAACAACAACAACAGCAGCAGCAACAAGAGCACCGAGCGGATTTGCTGCTGCTCCTACGTAGATGCTGACGATTTCCTAGGTCAACCTGATGAGCGTTGATACGTACAGAATCGATCAAGCATTCGGTCTGTTTCATATCATATGGACGGCTCCCGTTTCTCTCGTTATCACTCTCGCCCTGCTCCTCGTCAACCTGACCTACAGTGCGCTCGCCGGCTTCGCCCTCCTGGTGATCGGCATGCCACTGCTCTCCGCGGCCGTCAAACGCCTCTTTGTTCGCAGGAAGGTCATCAACAAGATCACAGATCAGAGAGTGAGCCTTACACAGGAGATTTTGCAGTCGATTCGCTTTGTCAAGTTCTTTGGCTGGGAAAACTCCTTCCTCGAACGCTTGGACGAGTTCCGGAAGCGCGAGATCTCGGCTATCCAGGTCGTTCTGTCCATCCGCAACCTGATCATGGCTATCGGCCTGTCCCTGCCCATCTTTGCCTCCATGCTCTCGTTCATTACCTACTCGCTGACCCATCACAACCTCGCGCCGGCCGAGGTGTTCTCTTCCTTGGCCCTCTTCAACGGCTTGAGAATGCCGCTCAATATGCTTCCCCTCGTCATCGGCCAGGTTACGGATGCGTGGTCGTCACTGTCGCGTATCCAGGAGTATCTCTTGGCCGAGGAGCGCGAGGAGGAGGCCGTGTACAAGGCGGACGCCCCGAACGCGGTCGAGATGCACAATGCTTCGTTTACCTGGGAGCGGACACCGACGCAGGACCCGGAAGGGACGGTTGCTGGGCCGACAAAAGGGAAGAAGGGAAAGGCTTCGAAGCCGAAGCCGGAAACCCACGATAGCTCGGCAGCGGATTCCAGCGAAGAGGCTAGCACCCTGGTCGAAGAGCGCGAGCCGTTCAAGCTCGAGGACCTGAGCTTCGAACTTGGCAGAAACGAGCTGGTTGCCGTCATCGGCACGGTCGGAAGCGGCAAGACGTCCCTGCTCGCCGCCTTGGCTGGCGACATGCGCAAGACAAATGGCGAGGTGGTCTTGGGCGCCTCGAGAGCCTTTTGTCCGCAGTACGCCTGGATTCAGAACGCGACGGTGCGACAGAATATTCTCTTCGGAAAGGAGATGGACAGGGATTGGTATGCCGAGGTCATCAAAGCGTATGTGTGCCTGCATCCTGATTTGCTTCCAGTGATCCTAGACTAAACATCACACACGCAGATGTGCCCTACAGCCGGATCTGGACATGCTGCCCAACAACGATATGACAGAAATTGGCGAAAGGGGCATTACCATATCCGGGGGCCAAAAACAGAGACTGAACATCGCTCGAGCGATTTACTTCGACGCTGACATCGTTCTTATGGACGACCCCCTGAGCGCCGTCGATGCGCACGTCGGGCGTCACATCTTTGACAATGCCATTCTCGGCCTGCTCAAGGACAAGTGCCGCGTATTGGCGACCCATCAGCTCTGGGTCTTGAGTCGCTGCGATCGGATCATCTGGATGGAAGGTGGCAAGATCCAAGCCATCGACACGTTTGACAACCTCATGAAGAACTCGGAGGGTTTCCAGCAACTCATGGAGACGACGGCCGTCGAGGAGAAGAAGGACGAGGCGCTAACGACCACGTTGGTGGGAAACGACGGCCTGGCTGAGAAGAACAAGAAGAAGAAAAAGAAGAATGAAGGCGGCCTGATGCAACAGGAAGAGAGAGCCGTCTCTAGCGTTCCTTGGTCGGTGTACGCTTCGTATGTCAGGGCGTCAGGTTCGATACTCAACGCCCCGCTCGTCCTTGGGCTGTTGATCCTGTCTCAAGGAGCCAACATCGTGACCAGTCTGTGGTTGTCATGGTGGACCTCGGACAACTTCGGGTATTCCATGGGAACATATATGGGTGTCTATGCTGGCCTTGGAGCGACCCAGGCCATCATGATGTTCTCCTTCATGGTCTCGCTCTCCATCTTCGGTACCACGGCTAGCAAGGGGATGCTGCGACAGGCCATCACCAGGGTGCTGCGAGCCCCCATGTCCTTCTTCGACACGACGCCTCTCGGCCGCATCACGAACCGCTTCAGCCGCGACGTTGATGTAATGGACAACAACCTTACAGACGCGATGCGCATGTACTTCTTCAGCGTTGGCTCTATCATCGCGGTGTTTGCCCTCATCATCGCCTATTTCTACTATTTCGCCATCGCGCTGGTGCCCTTGTTCATCATCTTCATCCTGGCCACGAGCTATTATCGCGCCTCGGCGCGCGAGGTCAAGCGTATAGAATCACTCCTCCGATCCGGAATGTTTGCCAAGTTCTCCGAAGGCCTGTCTGGCATCGCCTGCATCCGAGCCTACGGGCTGCAAGACCGCTTCGTAGCCGACATCCGCAAGGCAATCGACGACATGGACTCGGCCTACTTCCTCACCTATTCTAACCAAAGGTGGCTGTCGATCCGGCTGGATATGATCGGCAACTGTCTTGTGTTTACGACCGGCATCCTGGTGGTGACGTCGCGCTTCTCGGTCAACCCTTCGATTGGCGGCCTGGTTCTATCGTACATCCTTTCCATTGTGCAGATGATCCAGTTCACCGTCCGCCAGCTGGCCGAGGTCGAGAACGGCATGAACTCGGTCGAACGCCTCCAGTACTACGGAACGCAGCTCGAGGAGGAAGCGCCCCTGAAGACGATTGAGGTCCGCAAAACCTGGCCCGAGAAGGGCGAGATCGTCTTCGACAACGTCGAGATGCGGTACAGAGCGGGGCTTCCGCTGGTGTTGCAGGGCCTCAGCATGCATATCCGCGGCGGAGAGCGTATCGGCATTGTCGGACGCACCGGCGCCGGCAAGAGCTCCATCATGTCGACCCTGTTCCGACTGGTCGAGCTCTCGGGGGGTCACATCACCATTGACGGCGTCGACATCTCGACCATCGGCCTGCAGGACCTGCGCTCGCGCCTCGCCATCATCCCGCAGGATCCCACCCTCTTCCGCGGCACCGTGCGCAGCAACCTGGACCCCTTCGGCGAGCACAACGACCTCGAGCTGTGGTCCGCCCTGCGACAAGCCGGGCTCGTCCCCGCCGACACCGGGCCGACCACCGCATTGCAGGCAGCCGATAGCAACAACACGAAAGACACGGGCCGCATCCAACTCGACTCGGTCGTTGAGGAAGATGGCCTCAACTTCTCGCTGGGCCAGCGCCAGCTGATGGCGCTCGCGCGCGCCCTCGTGCGTGGCTCGCAGATCATCGTCTGCGACGAGGCCACCTCCAGCGTTGACATGGAGACGGACGACAAGATCCAGGCCACCATCGCCAGGGGCTTTCGGGGGAAGACACTACTGTGCATCGCCCACCGGCTGCGCACCATCATTGGCTATGACAGGATCTGCGTCATGGATAAAGGGCGCATCGCCGAGATGGGCCCGCCGCTGGAGCTATGGAAGATGGAGGGCGGTATTTTCAGGGGTATGTGTGATCGCAGCGGAATAAGGGTGGAGGATATCCATGGTGCCAGGGAGGCGCTGGCTGGATATGACTATGATGGTGGCGAGGGTGAGGGTGAGCTCGGAAGGGGTGTGGTGGAAGAGAAGAAGGGGGAATGAGACAGGGAAGTGGAGGAGGTTGTTTACAGCTTTACCTAATCCGTACATTTCTGACTGACTGCATCGTATAGAGAATAGCGCCACATTGCAATGCCAGTAACACTACGGCACCACACAGTAGAAAATACAGGGCGTGAGTTTCTGCAGATCGTGGGTAGCTTTTAATGAATGACAAAGGCATAGATCGGCATAGGTCCATCCGTCGGTTCTGTTCCATTTGGCAGGGTCGTTGACTTTCGTACAGTGGGATGGGCATTGTATGAGCATTGCGGAATCATCCAAAATAAGTTACACTGCTTTATTTAGTCTCTATACAGCATCACCCGCTCTAAGTCACAGGTGTAGCACATACAAACTCAACCGATAGTGTGTAACGGTGTAATTAGAAGTCGCCGAATAGACAAGACACCCTTGGCTGGCCACCCCATCACCTCTTGTCAGACACCGACGTCACGAAGGAAAGATACATGTATTGTATTGTACCACCGTTCATGTGGTGTTGTGCAACATTCCTGACCCTGCCTGTCAGACCGTCCGTCCCACCTACCTGGCACCTGGTAAGGACTTATTATATCGAGATCTGATCTGATCCGAGTCCCCGTACCCGGGAAGCTGCAGGATCTCTAACAGAACCTAGTCACGTTAGACAAGACACCCTGTGAATGCGGACTAGCGATGACACGTTTTCCGTTCATTCTGACGATGGCACTCAAGAGGACTGGCATCAGGATACATCGCTGTCTTGCTCCTGCGAAGTTAGCCCTAACTGAGAAGCGTTGGCGCATTACGATGCCTGAATATGTTCATTACTGACGATGGAGCGTAAGCAAGTAAAGCAAAGACTATGTACAGTACTTTGACCCAAAAAGAGAATCGGGCAAAAGAAAGAAGGAAGAAGACCAGGCACGCGGCCACACCACAACACCTTCTATGCCGTGCAACAGGGGGGGGGGGGGGGGGGGGGGGGTTTACTCGAACCGAACAGGAAGAACAAAACTCCGCAACAAGAACCCCACGACAAACATGCCTCCCCATCTCGAAGCAGTATGCAAGTCTTGCCTTCGAAAGCACAAGCCAGGCCCAAACGAAAAGAAACCGCTGAATGCGTCGCAAAATCTTTTCCACCTCCGTTCTAGTGAAAGTAGAGTCTAATATCTCCGCCCGTGACTGCCGTGGGGCGACGGACTCCCGGCGGGCGGCGGGAACTGGCCTGGCTGCTCATCCAGCAAATCCTCCAGATAGGCGCTGGGCGCCCTAGCACCAGCACTTGGCGGGCGGTTCAGGTTGAGCGAGCTGGCGCTGAAATTCCTAGAAACGACACGCGGCCCGACATTGGGCGACTCCGGCGGCGACGGGCCCAGCTGTCCTCCGCGCCCGCGCGACGAAGGCCGCAGCGTGCTCATGCTTATTGAGTTGCCGTGGCCGTGGCCGCCCGGGCTGCCCGGCGAGGCAGACGCGTAGAAGCCCGAAGGCAGGAAGCGGGCCGAGTCGCGGTTCGCGCCGCCCAGGCCTGATGCAGAACCGGCAGCGGTGGGAGAGAAGAACAGGTTCGTCTGGCTCGGCGTGGACGAGGGAGTCGGTCCGCGGTGGGTACGTCGTCCGGTGGGACCGGCCAACCCCGCGGCGGCAAGCGAGGGCGAGGATTCGCGCTCCATGTACTTGTAGAACTGGGCAGGCGGCGCGGGGAACGATGCGGCGTTCTTGTCGCCCGCGGCGCGGCCGTTGTTGGCGGCGTGCTGGGCCTTGGCGGCGCGTTCAACGGACCGGTGCAGGAGGCAGGCGACGATGCCCCGCCATGCGAGAATGGCCACGCCGAAAGCGCCGAGAATGGCGCCCACTGCAATGAAGACTGTTCCATCGGGGAGGGTGGAGTGATTCATGAACGGAGCATTGTGTGTTGGCGGGACCGTTGGCGGAGGATAGTCGGGAACCGCTGTGTCGACAGTTTTGGACAGAGTTGGGAGGCCACTTAGTCTGGGGGGGGAGGAAGATGCAGAGGTGGTGGCTGTGGTCAACGCCGGCAGAGTGCGTGTGCTCGAGGTCGACGTTGATGTTGCTTGTGTCGTCGACGACTCCCTTTCCGAGGTGCTTGTTGTCTCGGACGTTGCGGTCGAGGTTGGGGTGGTCGAAGTTTTCTCTGCGTCCTGCGTCGGGGTAGATGTTGGCGTACTATCTTCCTCATTGTTGTTGTTATCTTGAGCCATGACTCTTAAGGCAAAGAAGGCCGTGAGAAGCAGTGCGCGCTTCAGTGAGAGCGGCGATGAACCCATGGCGGCGGTTTGACTCTCGATGGGAACAGAAACGAATGGAAGGCGCGTGGGGTCCAGGTCCAGTGGACACGGGATGGCCACCCCGGAAGCGCGGTGATTCTTTTCGTGAGCAGAGCGTAGTGGAAGTTGAGGGAGAAACTCGAGTTGCTGGCCTGTGAAAGCGGCTGAGTGCTTATTTGCGGCGCAGAAGTCGACGTCTCACGACAGGGCCCTGTGACTACACACAGGGGCAGCGAGACGATACCGCGCAGATATGGCGAAAGGTTCCCAAATAAAGACGAACGAGAGGATGCGACACGTATTTCAACGGCCGGCTGCGAGAAGGGAGGGTGGTGAGCGAAATGGATACGGATCGCGATACTCAATTCATGACCGGCAGTGAGGGACGGTTGAAGTGGGTTGGGTCGGCGTCGCATGGGGCAAAAAAGGAGGCAGTTTGTCTGCCTGGGCCCTGGGGTCGATTCTCTCTTGGCAGTACCTGCCGTATTGGCGAGCAGGACTCGGGCACGGGGTCTGTGCGCTGGTCGTAACGGCCATTCCATCGGGTCCGAAAACGCCGTGGATCAGGAAGGAACAAGACCCTCATTCATATCATTCGTATTCTTTTCTTCCTCTCGACCACCTCCATTCCGCTTTCTTGCACTCCTCTTCTCGTCTCTCTTTGATTTTCTTTAAAAAATGGATTCTGCTTGATTGACCCCTTCTTTGCTCAAATGTCGGGCTACCAAGTTTGGCGCCCGGCTTGTTGCAGAGTACGTACCTACCTCATGCTCCTGAAAACGCCAAACATGCAGCTCAGGGTCGGCAATCTACGCGTTGGCTACATGAAGAGATCGGACCACAAGCGAAGCCTGCAAGCCGCACGGCGATGCAAGTTCCCGATTTACAAACTACTCCGTAAAACCCTGGGAATGCCACTTTCGACTAGTCCGCAACATGAGCTCGTATAAAGATAACTTATAAGTGGTTGTGTTCCCTAGCCCGACAACATGGTGCTGAAGTCGCTGTGTGCATTCATCAACAAGCACACAAACATGTTGATCAGTCAGGGTGCCGAACTCATGGTCATGTAGACATGCAGTTGCAGTTGCCCCAACGACCATGAGTTCGGATGATTCGTCACCCGGACTGATTAAGAGCCAACAGGAGAGGTCTACCTACCTTATACTCGACCCAGGGCTAGACCCAGCAATCGCCGCTTTCTTCATTGTTCACCAACCTCTTCCAGCATAGGCTCTTGAACTTCAGGCCATCAACGCCCTACCCCCCAGTGCCTACTAAGATGGCGCTTCCTCACCTTTTCAGGAGCGAACGGGCCGATGATTATATTCTTCCTCGCTAACAACCCAACTCCGTACCTTCTACCATCGGCACCTGGACCGTCGACGCATAGAGCATCGGCACCTCGACCATTCCACCGTCCACTAGCCTACTCCCCTCCACCGCCGTACATCCTACGCATGCCGGAAACAGGACCCTCATCGAACACACTTACGACCCGGCCACTTGAACAAGCAGGTCGGCAACTACACCGGCAAGAGGCCTCGGATCCCACCATTTTCTCCGTCGAGATATCGACTGTGGTATTGTGGAGCGTCTTAGTCTTTGTCGCGATAATCGTCGCGCTGGCCGTCGTCAGGGCACTGTGGTGGGAAGTATAAGTCTTGGGACATGTCGGGGTACCGATCGTGATCATGATTTTGTGAGTGAGATGGCTGGTAAGAACGGGCCTGCAAGAAGCTGGCAGCAGAGCCACAGAGAGCCCGCGAGCCCTGGCTAGGACGCGGCGAGGTAGTCACATGGCGGGAGTTTCCCATAGGATGCAACTACAGAGGAAGAGAATGTAACACGGCTTGCACCTTGAGATCAAAATCATTGATCGAGCTCTAACGAAGTCTCTTGTTGTATGTACTAGTATGTATTTGCATACAATACAATACAATATATATGTACATTACCAGGGCTGGAATTCCAATTCAGTCCAAGCTCAGCCGCGCGTCAGCTGGCAGTCAGCTGTCCGTGTACAACACCTTCCGTTTACGACTTGCGCCCAACGCCGTGGTGAACGATCCATTGAATTTTCACATCAAGAGATCACGACGAAGTGACTAAGGTCTCACAGCAATTACTCGCAGAACCGCCCATCCGTCCTATACCGCCCAGAATCGATTCAGACTCCCATCCGCCTTTCGCTGTGAAAACATTGAAATATGGGTGTCGCCAAACGAACAAGAAAATTCGCCACGGCACGTGACCTTGAGATGCCGTCCTGATCATCACAACGCCGCAGAGACTAACTACCGAGACAGGTCAAGCGCATGATCGGTCGGAAGGATGACCGCCGCAAAGAGGAAGCAGTCAAGAAGGCCGAGATGGAACTCAAGAAGAAGGAGAAGCAGGCCGTGCGCGAAGTGTGCGTTGCCTCGCCTCGGCCAATGCTCTCGCCGTCGTTCTCGTCTGACATGTCCATATAGACCTCAGATGCCGTCATCTATGTTCTTTCAGCACAACGAGGCTTTGGTCCCTGTGAGTACACTCCGTCGAGTCCTTGCACGGGTGGTCGAGGGACCCGGATACTAATGATGGAACAAACAGCCCTACCAAGTGCTCGTAGTATGTCCTTCCATCGCGGGAGAGCAGGCCGTCCATTCCTCTAACCCCGTTTTAGGATACCAACTTCCTGTCGAGGACAGTAGGAGCCAAGCTGCCGCTGTTAGAAACGGTATGTGTCTATGGACTTGGCTGCTCGGACAGTCACTGATGTTTTCTCAGGCCATGGACTGCCTCTACGCATCATGCAACATCATCATCACATCCTGTGTTATGGCGTGAGTATTTTCTCCGAATTGCCATTGTGGTTACGTCTGACATCCATGACCTAGTGAGTTGGAGAAACTAGGGCCAAAGTACCGGGTAGCTCTGATGAGTGAGTGCCTACCATCGCACACCGGCCCCTCCGCACCGCAAGCATAGGCTGACCGCTCCTACCTAGTTGCCCGCGATGAGAGGTGGACGCGCCTGACTTGCGATCACAAAGGCACATATGCCGATGATGTCCGTTTGGAACCCCAGATGTCGACAACTCTCAGGCGAGTTGCTAACTGACACGGGTGTAGTGCATCGTGGACCGCATACAAAAACACCGCATTTACATCGTTGCCAGTATGTCTGTGCCGCTCATCTCCTATTAGAACCCCTTCTAACATTGATAACAGCAAACGATCGTGATCTCAAGAGGAGAATTCGCAAGGTCCCCGGCGTACCTATCATGTCCGTCGCAAAAGGCAAGTATGTCATCGAGAGACTTCCGGGCGCCCCCGCCACCTGAGGCGTCCGCGGGATATCCAGGACAGGACACCAGTCAGCGACCGGTCGGCGATAATGTTGCCTAAAGCGCCGAGGCCCGTTGAATGAGCATGAGCTCCGACAGACCTGCGGCGCGTAGAACGCTGGCTCGTTTCTTCATAACGACGGCTCCTCCCGAATTGCCCGTCTGTTTCCTCCTGAATCACATCATGGGTGCCTCCGGGCCTACGATGGCGTTGTTCTCGCAAGTGGGAGTCGGTCGGAAAAAGAACAATATGCTACAAAGTAGCGGCTTGACAGGCAGACACGGCCCTGACATTGATGGGGTTGGGAAAGATGGTGCGGTTGTCCCGGTGTTGGTAGAGTTCGCCAAGGTGAAGAACGGTGGTTGGTGTCAGCTAGCCGCCATTACTCGCATTGTGCTACCAAAAATGATGGGGAGATTGGAATGCGGTTGGTACGGGTACCGTGAGACCAAAGTTCGATCAAAGCTGTCGCTGGGGTGGATACCTATGATTTAACATCCTGCAAGACGGCCTTAAACGGAACAGCTGCTCTAAAGAGTCTGCGCCGTGACAATGCCCGTCCGAAGAAGCGCTGGAGCAACTTGGGACTCACCATAGTATCTATTTGTTTAGTGACTCTCAAGCAGAAGTCTTCCCATATCACTGCTGATGACATATGCTTCTTCTAAGGCCCTGACCGACCTTGGCCGCGCCTAGCAAGTTTATACATAACCATGTCTTTGGAAAGCACGTAAGATACAGGCCGAAACGATCACTCCAGCGCCCACCACGTCACCAAATGACGCCCTTCTCCACCTGACCCGACCGCCTTTTTTGATTCGCCGCACTCCGGAACAGATGCTTTTTTTGGAGTAATATCGTCATCGAGATACTTCGTTGAGATGAGGGGGAGGGAGATGGTGCCATAAATAATCGCGGGAAAAGCGACCCGAGGAGAGCGGCAAGCTGGTCCTAAGCAAGCCACTCCTCGTCGTCCCGCTTGACGCCGCGCATGACCAAGCCCTCGTCATCGTCATCGTCGTCGGCATCCGAGTCGAGACCAATTTGGGCTAGTGTGGTGATATACCCGTTCATATGCGGAGCATGGCCATTTCGAGTTGGATTATTCCCGCCGCCGCCGCCAGCACCACCACCACCACCATCACCCTCATCTAACATCCATGTCAAGCCATTCGCCTGCTCCTCCAGGGGAAACACCTCCCGCGCGTACTCCTCCAGGCCCCGCGGTCCCTCCCAAAGCTCCAGCGCAACCTTTGGGCAGCTCTTTTCGAGCTCGCGGTCCCCAAAGTAAGGGGGCTGCTTCTTGGGGTCGTCGTGGCCCAGCCCGAAAAGCTCCTCCAGCGCCTCCAGCTGGGAGCGGTAACCCTCGGGGATCGTCACCTTGATCTCGATTGGGCCATGGACGTAGCGCACGGGCCGGCCCACTCCTCTCGAAAACACCTCGCAGGCCTCCTTGGGTGAGAGCATCTCGTACGCGAGAGCAATGCGCTTGCCGCCTCCCCACTTCTTGACGCCGTCCTTGAAGATCTGCAGGATGGCCGGCCCAACGTCGTGTTCCGCGTCCAGCCAGGGCAGTTTCACGTCTGGGTGGAAGGGGGCCTGCCAGATCCAGGACCCGTCCGGCTGGAGCTCTGTGCAGAAGAGGGGGTAGGGAAGTGAGGTGAAATTGTTGTTGTAGATCCCGGTGTAGACGAATGTCGCTGGGAGCCCGATCTGCTTGATGTATTCCTCGACCTTGTGCTTGTTCGCCCAGAGTGGTAGCGATGGCCAGTCCTTGTTGTAGGCTGCGTGGTCCGGCATGGACGAATACACGTAGTGCTGGATGCCAGCCTTCTTGGCCGCGTCGGCGAGCGCCTCCCCTATCTTCAGCTCGTCCCCGTAGAAGGTGGTGTTGATGAATGCCAGCTGAGCCCCCCGGAACAGCTCCGATATCAAGGCGTGGTTGACGCCGATGCCGGAGATGGGACCGTTCCGCGTCACATCGACTTGCGCCGTCTCCGGACGGTTTTCCTTTGTGTACAGCTCCCCCGGAGGACTGTGACGTTGGGGTTGGTGGCTACCTCGGTCGCCACAACGCCCTCGAGATTCCTCAGCTGCGCTCTCACATGGTACCCGACCGCAGTGGCCACCCGGATGAAGGAAGCGGCCTGCCTCCCGCTGGCGTTGATGACGGCGATGGTTTTGTTTGGGGTGGGCATTGGGCGCTTCGCCGGACGGAAGGTCAATGAATTATTCCTCGACGTGAGGGGGGACGCCTCCGAGTACGATGACCTCGAGTGCTTGTGTCTTCTCTCCTCGCTGGCGACGTTGCTGACTGCCTTGATGTCTCTCGGAACCGGCCTGATGGCGAGGTCCGAGTGCAGTTCGGCCGCCATCATAGGATGGGATTGGGCGCAGTGCTACCCAAAAAGGTTCCCAAACCGGGAGGCGTCACCTGTCTTAAAATCCAGTTCCTTTCGGTAATTTCTGCGGTAAAGACCCGCAAAGCCGGGAGGAACGCGATCGCGTCCGGGGAGGGCGAATGGTTTCCCCCTGGTTGCGGAACGTGGTGGGATGGTTGGCGTCCGGGTGTATTCGAGTAGGGACTTTTGATGCAAGATGGTCTACGCCAGCGAAGACGCCGGACCATGCACAGCAGATGGGCACGGGAACACCAAGATATTGGGAACGCTCAGGCCGCAGTGAGGTAGCCTCCCAAATGCTGGAATTGGTCTGCAGGTGTATTGGAATCGGTCGAGGGCCTTGATGGGCAGCTCGTGCCGCATATCATAGGAACTTAGGTACCTCAAGGTATATCACAGATGGCGTATAATTTTGGTCGCGTTTATCTGTTAGTGGGGTTCATAGTAGATTGCGGGGCAGGCGGCATGGCAGGGTCGCTGATAAACGATATGGTTCGGGCAAGAGCTTGATTGTGAACCCGAAGGCAAAGGAGGGACGGAGGGTGGCAGCCGAGAAACAGACAGCGTTTAAGGCCCCTTTTTTGCCCAGAGCAGCCAGCGATGGTGCGAGAGCAAGTGAGAATGGACGAAGTCCAGGCGTTTGTCCACATGACGAGCCGCAGCTTCAGATGGAGACGGTGTGCTGCAAGCATCGTGTCCGAGATGGAGACATTGAATGCCCCACCGAAGCCGCGACCGACAAGCTCTTTTTTGTGTGATGCAGCAATTGAAGGGGACGATTTCAGCACGCTAATCCGACAAAGCGAACTGCAGAAGCCCACCATACATATCCACACGCTAGGGCTCAGCAGGCCAGCAAGGGGGAGGAAAAAAAGGACTTCGAGGAAACAGGCCCTACACCCGTCCAATCGGGAAGACCAAAGAGCCGTGTGGTGCTGTTTGACGGATATCAGAGGACCCGGGCGTCAATCCAAGCAGCATCCCATGTTCAAATTGTTTGCGTCGGTCACCGACTTCGGCCGGAAGGGCACGGGCCATACACAGAAGCGGAAAGAAAGCCAGTGTGTCTCAGATTCCAGGGGCCTGGTCTGCCAACCTTAAAAGCGTGCATTCTCGATGAATCGACAGCCTGCCATCGAAAACGCCTGGGTCATGCAGGATAAGAAGGACTGCATGCAAGAACAGGAACTGACCGGTAGATAACACGTGTATCGGTGCACGTCTTACAGGCACGGAATGCAGATGCGCCAATCTCAGCAGACGGATCCTAACGAGTCGAGCTTGTTAAGGCGGTACTTCAGACAATGGCCGTGGTACAGGAGCGTAATAGGCGAGAGTAAAGATACGCCAGGCTCGGTTGCTGGGATGCTGCTTCCGGGCACCATTCCTCGTTGGCGCTGCCTCTAAAGTCTGTCCGAAAGGGGCAACTGCGGTAGGCTGGCGCTTGCTTGCCTTATTGCGCAAGCTGGTCAGCTGAGAACATCTTAGAGATAACGACGTCTGCCGGGCCACTGACAGCATCGTTCCCATCAGTTCCTCTCCCCACAAAGAGAAAATTTGACGAGGGACGTGAGCCGGGCAGAGGCTCCAGTCCTATGCAGTTAAGAGGTTGTTGTTACCTGATGAATACCTTCCAGGTTCATAGCAACGATCAATTCTTTAGCAAAAGGTCTTGGCAATCCGGCGGTCGGCGGAAACGGCCAATTGGGGGCAGTTGGAAGACACCAGAACTTGGAACCTTCGAACCTTCGAACCGCGAACCCAGGAGTTGGGACGAGGAACCTCCTCAAACCTCACGGGTTGGAATTCGACAGGCTGATTTTGAATGATCAGTCTCGGTCACCCGCCCATTCAACGATGGATCGTTGAAAGATACGATTCCCTGTGGTGCCTCGGGCTATGATAAGGCAACGACCATGCCTCCAAAAGGCCTTCCTGACCATGGCCTATAACATTAACGTCCCGAGATAGCGCCGTGCCGTTTGCTTGCTGTCGACTGAGACTTGGTTGTTGAGGGTGTGCTGCTGTCAACCTCCTCAGCGGTTCACACAGTTTGTTGAACGTCAATAGACTAGGGAAAGAGCGCGTTCCATTCTTTTCAATTACGTACAAACCCGGCCACTAACATGGTTCCGGCAGGCCTGGGCCCTCTCACGTCACGCAATGCGTCACGAACGGCACCCAACCTTAGTAGCGGAGCCTGAGCATCTCCGCGGACACTGCAACGCCAACATGACAGTCGCAACGTGCTGCGCCAGACTGCCTGTCGTCTTTGAGAAAGGAGTGCCTTACCATCATGCGCTCGATGACCCAGGAGACAATGACACTACGTAAATAACTCTAATTTCCCCGCAATTCACCGTTAGCGGATATGCTCCGAATCGTGGGGAAGACCACCGGGGGTTTCTGTTGGCCCCGGAAGCGTGTTCGAGCCGACTGGCCCCGGCCGGGTGCTCCGCATGCTGCAGCGCCGGACCCACCATTCTCGGTTGGCCTTCCGCAACGGGTTCAGATTTTCCCTCCGCCAATGATTCGATCACGGGACCCAGGCAGGCAAACTCCCAACGACGCCTGAAATTCCAACTCGACGACGTTCAGCGACCACTATGCTTTACCGCCGATCCGTCTGAACGTGGCTTGCGCCGGACAGTGATTCGGTCCAGCGTCGTGACACGACCGTCAAGGCTTGAGACGTAATGACGCGAGGAAACACTGGTGAACCGAGCAGATGCCGCCTCAGGTGGTTGACAACGGCGCTCTCGCGACCGATTGTCCGTGCCTGGCATTATTAGCGTACAAGTTTTCGTCTGCCACAAATAGTCCGTATCGGGGACGGTGCAAGACACTGAGCGACGCTGGGTGTGTATCAAGCTGTCAGTCAAGGGGTTATGCCCATGGAGACAATTGGTGTGCGGGAGGAGCGCGTTTAGTCCTCAAAGCGTAGATCGGCGCATCTAAGTTCCTTGTCGTCGCAGGCTCGGCGCCTGTCCGCGTCGAGAGCAAGACTGCTAAGGCGCTAACATGTAGGATCGAGTTTCCCGCTCCAGGGGCTGTCCGGCCTTTAGAAGAGCCGAATGGCCGCACAACTGATAGTCCGCAATGGTATCAGAGGCCCCGAAAGAGCTTGAGCTGACATGACACCTTTTGTCCGCAATGGTTTGGGCGGAGAAATTGCGTCCTGCAAGCAGCACCCTCCCTGGGCGCTGAACTGATACGGATTGTCGTGGTGCTCGACGTCTGGCTCAGGGGCACGCAGCTGAAGCTCCGTTCCAAAGGCCACGACGGGGACGCAGCGGCTCCTGGTGTAGACTGACGAGCCTTGAGGGGGTGATAGTATCCATGGATGGTTGCCGCCCATGCGTGTTCTTGTGTTTGCCCAGTATTGTTACCGTTGAGCAAGCCTGGCGGCAGGGGAGTTAGCAGAGTTGCGCTGGAAGTTGATCCGGGACGATCGCATGCTCTCTCAAGCCGTTGACGGCCCGTGAGCAATTCATTACAGATTAGATGGCCCTCTAAGTCTAGATACATGGATGGCCTCCATATGCCGATGGGCCTTTACCCATCCAACCCGTCTAGGTCTAACCGTCTAATATCTGACTCCAAAAGAGCAGGGACAGCACTCTCTATCGTGCGACCCAATGGCTGGTTGGTATCGAGTGGCCCGCCTTCTCTTCTCCCTGAAGTCCTTTCCTTCAATACCCAACATCCCGGGACCCCAGTCCCCTCTGCAAGAGCTAGAGCCCCCGAGGATCAGAACTTGCCCCGCGCCAGGTTCCCCAGCATCTGCTTTCCCGTCACCCAGACCGTCCGCCACATGGTGGGCAGGTCCAGCGTGCTCGACAGGCCGTCGGCGAAGCCGAAGAAGAGCATGGGCGGGATCCAGCCGCGCGCGTACTCGAGCGCGAAGCAGCTTTCGGGCATCTTGTACTGCTTCACATCGCCGCGCCGCAGGTGGTGCACCGAGCTCGGCGGGTACACCTCGGGCTCGTACTCGCCCGGCACGTACGCCAGCTGCGTGCCCGTCAGGATGTGGAAGTAGTCGTCGGCCGTGTGCCGCCCCGTGTGGCCCTCGGTGCCGACCGCCGTGCCGAAGATGATCAGGTACTCGGTTACGCCTGAGTTCATGGGTTAGGATGATGAACGGGTTTCATGGTGGAAGGGAGGAAAGAAAAAACGCACTGGCGTGGATGATGTACATCGCGCCCATGGCGCCGCCGGCGTTGTTGAAGATCCATTCCTCGTCCTGGTTGATGTAGCTCGTCAGGCTGACCTGGCCGCTCAGCTCATCGACAATGTGCCGCACGATGGCGCGCGTGTCGTTGCCATACGTCTCGATGCCACGTTTCGCGACGTCATGGAGCTGGTCCAGCTTGAAGATGTAGAAGCGCTCCAGGTTCTGGTCGAGAAGGTAGTAGACCGGGGTCATCACACCGAGCAGGATGGCGAAGAACTTGAGCCAGCCGCTGAACCCGCTGGAGCCGGGGGTGGACGATGATTTTGGCGCCATTGCGACTGGGCGACGGGCGACGATGGCCGTGAACGGGGAGGAGGAATGGGAAAGAGGAACTGCCGTGACCCCGGGAAGAGGACAGACCGGGGAATTTTCCTTTAAGATAGGTAGTGAGTGCGTTGTCAACTTTGTCCCAGCCTAGGTTCAGGGGCCCCCTGGGCGACGGTCTTGGGAAGGCGGTGACATGGGGTAGCTGCAGCTTGGGTGGGTTCGGCGAACAAACACCGCTTATCCCAGCGAATGGAATGCCATCTCTTAACCCAGCTCCGGACCCTTTGGCGGCAGAATTTCCTTAGCTCAGATTTTCTTCCCACTGCTCATGATCGCACGACCCGGGTGCACAGTTTCCGACCGACGCCAAGGTTCAGCATCTCCGAGCATCTCGCGTCGTCCATTCCGCAATTCCAGAACGAGATTCCGCACCATTTATTCTCTCCCACTGCGGGGCATTAACAACGTCCAGCCCAGCAGCTACCGTACTGTGGTATAGTCGCATCGAATCTCCCCAATGACGACAAGCGCCCCCACCCTGGCCATCCCCGGCCAGCTGCTAGGCCCCGCATCTAAGTACCAGCCGGGCCCGGGCACGCACCTGCACGAGTCCAATCTCTACTCCTCCCTGCTGGGCCAAGTACACATCACGCAGCCCGCGCGTGCGCCCGGCCCCGCCAAGCGGCTGACCAAGATTACGCCCGCACCCGCGCCGGCTGAACTGCCTACGATTTCAGTCGCACCGGTACGAGCCCCTTCTTCCGGGTCGGCGGCGACGTCTGGTGGCAGCACAAAGAAGAGGGAAGTTCTGCCGGAGGTGGGAAATGTGGTGCTGTGCAGGGTAATCCGGATCACGCCGCGGCAGGCGGTGGTCGCGATCCTGGTGTGCGGGGACACGGTGCTCGATGCGGAGTGGCAGGGTTTGATTCGCGTGCAGGACGTCCGGGCGACGGAGAAGGACCGGGTGAAGATCTACGAGAGCTTCCGGCCGGGGGATATCGTTCGGGCCGAGGTGGTGAGTTATCTGGACCTGCAGCTGGCCGGGAGGGAGACACGAGGTGGGCAAGTGCTGACTGTGATGGGATGGCTGGGCAGATTTCACTCGGCGACCAGGCGAATTACTATCTTTCGACCGCAAGGAATGAGCTGGGTGTTATACTGGCCACGAGTGAGGCGGGGAATACCATGTACCCCGTCAATTGGAAAGAGTACCGGGATCCGGAAACCGGGCTAACGGAGCTACGGAAGGTTGCGAAGCCGTACTGAGGGGTGCCAGCGGCCTACTAGCTTTGGCTTTCAAAGTGTGATCACATCGCAGGCGCAAGTGCAGGGCGCTGCATCCGGCCGTTGGAGCCAGGTTGAGCAGCCCGTGACGGCGTGCATACCAGGACCGGGTTTGGGATTTGCAGTCCAGCTCCGCTCAGTTCAAGTTGTTCGCCGTCCGGGCCGACCCCCATGAGTTTGCCTGATCAGCATGGGAGGTGGGCAGATCGAGATACCAAAAGGTGCTGCGATGTCTATGGAGGTTCCGGTGACGGGCGCCTTACGCCTGCTTCTTGGGGCAGTTACACAGGCGCCGTCTCCTCCTGGCGGACTTTGGTGATCCTGTTCAACTACAAAAACTATCTACCGCAGTTGAGCGTCGGCATGCATGGCGTATAGTGTGTACTGTACATAGATACATAGATACCTGTAGGGCAGGACGGTACCGTAAGGGCCTGGATGAAGCCCTGCTTAGGACTACGTGAGTATTGGCCCTGCATGACAAGCATGCACTAAGGTACCTAACACACACCCAAGCTTCATTGGAGCCGTGGACCCAACAACGGGGTGGCGGTACCTGCAGCTACTTCGTTTCTGACGAGTAACCACGTAAGAATCCGTCAGTTCTGTGTATCTACATGTACTATCATGTCCGAGGATAGAATTGTGTCTGATTCTCGGTATCCCGTCGCCGATCGTGGGGGCTGAACAATGCGAGACGATGGCCGACGTCAGAGCTAACAATGGATCCTGGCATGCCAAGAACCAGCCACCCCTCGTCGATCCGACAACATCTCGCATCTCTCAAACTTCCAAGTCATTGCCGCCACCGCGAAAAAAGAAACGGTCGGCCAGGGTGGTCCTGAAATTCTCAATCGGTCGCGAACACATTCAACCGAAAACATTCTCGCACACAGCAGTTCCGGCATCATGACCATCGCAACCATGACTGTGGCAGGCGCGGGGACCTTGACGACTATACCATCTTCCACGTCCTGTTGCCCAAACTGTGGCTTCAAGGTGGACCTGCCACCCTTTGAAGAAACACAAGCGGCCCTCGCCAACGCGCAGAAGCAGATCTCCGACCTCGAAGCCCAAGTGCGCCTCCTCAACCAAAAAGCCTCCGCCGCCGTCGATCGCTGGGCCGACTACGAAGACGAACTCGCCAGACTGCGCGCCCAGCTCGAGTCACGACCGAAAACCCCCACACCACCGGTCGACTCCGCATCAAACCAACAACCAACCTCTCTCCCAACCCCGCCCAGCTCCGTAGCCGGGCTCCCTACCCCGTCGCCCTCTCGCGCCTCATTTCTCACCACCAGCGCCGCATCCCGCATCTCGGCTCTCCTCTCGCGCAAGTCAGCCCCGAACCTAAAACCTCTCCCCTCAGCACCACCACCACAATCCTCCCAGCGATCGTCGCCGGCGGCACCAGGACCGAGTCCCATCCCGTCACTACCCTCTTCCGCGTCGTTCGCAACATCCACCACCGCCACCACCACCGCACGTGCCGGTCCCGCCTCCCCGCCACCATCAGTACCCACCTCGAGCCACCTGACGACCGAAGACCTGCTCTCCGCGTTGTCGCGCGAGCAGGCGCTGCGGCAGGAGGCCGAGGCCAGGATGCACGACGCGAGCCGCGAGGTGGAGGAGCTGAGCGCCAGCCTGTTTGAGCAGGCCAACGAGATGGTGGCGACGGAGCGGCGGGCGCGGGCGAAGCTGGAGGCGCGGGTGGGCGAGTTGGAGCGGCGCGAGGCCGACAAGAGGAAGAGGCTGGACAGGCTGGAGCGGGCGGTCGGGAGGATCGACAGGGTGAGGAGCGTTCTGGGGGAACTTGAGGAAGAGGAGGGGAGGGCAAAATGAGGAAAGGGTGGAAAGGGAGGAAATGCAGGGAGGGCGGTATATGACGACATGATATAACACCGGTTTGGGAATGGAAAGCCCCATAGATACGGTAAGGTCTCGCTGACCGAGTTCATAATTGGGATTGCATCTGGGGATATATCCGGCACAGGTAGAGGTACATAAGCGATGGGAGGTTACGGTCGGGAGCAGGTCTGGGGCATCGGAACACGCATCTTGGTAGGCGTTGCAGGTAGAACAAGAGTTTGAATCAGTTTGCTTGCGGAATAGCTTCGGCGTCTTCGGCAGCCTTTCCGCCTTCCTCAGCCTTCTCCGACGCCCTTGCCTCTTTGTTACTCTCGGGCTGCCCCTTGAGCTCATCTTTGGGCTGTTCCTTGGGCTGTTCCTTGGGTTGTTCCTTGGACTGTTCCTTGGGTTGTTCCGCTTGCTTGGCCTCTGGGTTATTCCACAGCTCCAACATGTTGCGGACCTTAGGGCCCCAGATATCCTCCCCCTTCAGGAGCTCCTCGTACTCCATGCAGTTGGCGCCGCCCAAGACGAACTGGCCCTGCCGCGTCCGGCTCAGCTCGGCCATCATGCCGCCACAGCCTAACTTCTCGCCCAGATCATGGCACAAGCTGCGCACGTAGAACCCCGATGTCACAGTCATCCGGATCTTAGCCGCGGGGGGGCCCTTGCCCTCCCAGGGCGGAGGCGTGTTGGGCGCCGGCGGCGGGGGGACCAGGTTCGAACCCTTGCCGACCGGCGGGGAGGGCAGTGTGCCGAGCGCGCCGGACATCATGGGCTCGGCGCCGCCCTCGTTGGTCTTTTTCCGCTTCGCTGCCGGCGGCGCCTGCTCGTCACTGACGAGGCTGTCGACGCGCTCCTCGGCCTCGCGCTTCTTGCTGTTGTACTCCTCCAGCGCCTTGGTCTCCTGCTCTTGCTGCTCGGGCGTGGGCCTGCTGCCTTCTCCCTCCTCCGAGGCTGCGACCTGCCGCTTCGCTACCTGCCAGACCGAGTCGACCAGGTTCTTCTCGGCCTGCCCGGCCTCCTCCGCCGGCCAGCGGTGGTTGTGCGTGCCCGGCTCGTACCACTCGACCAGGTCGAGTTCTGTCACCTCGACCTCCCTCGTCTCGATCTCGCGCGGGATCGGCTTGCCCTCGCGCGCGTACTCGTAGAGCGGCTTCCCCTCCATCTTGAGCGCCGAGTAGAGAGGCGGCAGCTGCCTGAACTTGCCGCGGAAGCAGTCGAGCGCCTTCTCGGCGGCCTCCCGCGTGACCTCGTCGTACTTGCCCTTCTTGATGATGCGGCCGGTGCGGTCGTACGTGTCGGTGCTCGCGCCGAAGAGGACGATGGTCTCGTACGTCTTGGTGCAGTTGAGGAAATTCTGCAGCGATTTGGTGCCCTTGCCGACGCCCAGGATGAGCACGCCCGTGGCCAGCGGGTCCAGCGTGCCGCCGTGGCCCATCTTGACGCGGAGCTCCTGCTTGGCCTTGCTGCGCCGCCTCTTCTGGTACTTGTTCTCCTTCTCGCGCATCGCCTTTTCTTGGGCGATGAGCGGCGCAAAGAGGTTGGAGGGGTTGAAGTACAGCTGACAGTCGCGGATGACTTGGGCTGAGCTCATGCCAAACGGCTTGTTGATGGCTGTCTCTCAAAATTAGCTTGAGTCAGCAAACTAATGCCATACGGATTAGATTTGCGCACCGAAGACGCCTTCGAGGACCTTGTCGGCAGCCATCTTGGCCAGTTGAGGAAGCCTCATAAGGAGGGAAGAGCTCAACGATTGGGACCTAGCAATGTCTACGCATCGAATGCTACTTCCATTAATCCTCCTTTACCCAGGCTAATAGGTGACGGTCTACGCTTGGACCCCCGCGGTAGTGAATAAGTTTCGAGACAGAACGCATGCTTTACGCGCTAACCTAACGCTAGGCATCTTATCGATTGCATGCATTGGACTCGGGCCGAGCGAGCCGATTGATGTGAAGCCCAGAGTAATAGTGAAGTGGGTCTCGTGCTATCGAGGACTGAGACCCACGTTTATAATTAAAGCTCGACCCCACCTCCACAGACCCGCGTTCCCTAGCCGCGTTTGCGACGTGCCTGGCTGGATGTGTTACCGCGTGAGCATTCCATGTTTCAAGCTTTCAACCAACCGGCGCCGGCCATTACCTCAGACACTCCTGGCAGTCATCCCCTCCATTTGATCACTCGTCCTTCCCTGGCAGACAATTCTGATTGCGAATCAGCATCGGCGACTCAACCACAGTCTGAGGTTCAAGCAACATCGAATTCCTGTGGTTGCTCGTACGTTAGACAACGGCGCAGCCAGCAATGCCGCGGCGCGGACGTCTACGCCCGCTAGACCACTGACTCCTGTTGTCCCGCGTTTCTGACGACGAACATAACCACGATGGCGGGCCGCCCGCGAAGGCGCAGGTCATCCTCGGCTCCATCCGTTGAAAATGGGCAATCGCATATTCGGTACTCCAAAGAGTCGTCTATGCTTAGAAAGGCTCCACAAGATGTCCCAGTCGACGAAATACCCTCCTACGTGCTGACGGACGCTTCAATATATCAAAAAGATGGCAAGTCGCTGGCCAACCCGCTCCTGATTAACGTCCAAGGGCCTGTGATGGTCCGCGGCTTTCTCGAAGAGGTCGAGGAAAAGTGGCATCCTTACCGTGAGCCAAATTACTATCTCACGTACCGCTAGGGACGTTTGGCTAACCATCTGTCAAAGTGGTCCGGTCGAGTGTGAAATCTGGCTACATCGAGATCCCGCATTCAGAGGAATACTCCATCAGCGACGGCCCGCTCGCTTTCTGGGTTACGGGAGCTTCCGGCTTTTTCGAGATCCGGCCGTCCCGTATATACCAGCCCATGTACGATCAGATGATAGAAGCGATTACTCTCTATTACTCCGCTTTGGAAGTGTATGATGAATACGAGAAACAGTGTGGACAGAAGAAGAAGAGGAACTGGCCAAGTCCGCCAACTTTAGACGATATCTTTCTCAGGTATGCTGTCAGGGCCGGTGACGGCATCCTGCGGGACGAAGTCGAGCCTCTGTGCCATAAATGGGCCGAGTTCATGATTGCCCATTTCCCTAAGGAGGTCGACCTGGATTGGGAACTCACCTATTTCGCCAAATGGCTGCGCGATGCCCACCCGGTAGGTTACGATCATCTGATATACTATGCTATCCGGCGCTAATTCTAAACAGGACATTGAGAAGAAAATTCACGATATAGCGAAGGGTATAATCCCTCCTCAGCCTCCTCCAGAGACGCAGAACTCGGATGAAAGCAGGGCCCTGCACAAGCGGGGAAGCACCACGGTCAAGAGGGGCGTAGAGAAGCGAGATTCACGCAGTCCGCCGCCGAAAATATCCATTCCAAGGAAGGCCAAAACCAGCGAAACTCCCATACCGCTGCCAGAGAAGTATAGGCAGCATGTCCAGGCAACAAGTGTCAAATCATCCTCCGCGCCCATCGAGACCTCACGGAGTACGCCCACAGAGACGCCGGCGGCAGGTGGCGATGCCGACTCACCCGTGGACAGGCTGCTGGGGGCACTACAGGAGATATGCGAGGAAACTGACATCAAGAAAATCACGCAATCCAAGCTGCACTCGATGCTCTACTTCAAGTGCAGAATCCCTCAATATAACGTGGCTAAAGACGTGACTTCCTTTTATGCGAAAGAGCTCCTTCTCCGTCTAAGCCCCGAGTGGAAGGGCACTCCATGGTACGAGTGGCTTAAAGATGCCGCGACACAACCATGGGTACCGGGCGAGTTGACGGCCGAGATGGTCCCTAGTATGACCATCCGACGAACCAAAATGAAAAAACAACAGCCGGATCCTTCGAACAGACCCGCCGCGGAATTACCCGCTTCTCTCAACATCAAGGCAAGGACCAGAAGTGGGATTCAAGAGGAAAGCGAAGGCGAGACGGACGACGAGGATGTCACGGCGTTGCAGGCGCTGCCTCCGATGCGCAGCCGCAGGTCCGGCAAAGCGGCCGGCTTACGCCTCGTCACAAGCGGCAAGAAACGGCCGCATTCAGACATGGACGAGCTGGTGGTCCAAAGCCGACGAGGTCGGAAATCAGCCAAGACGATCCATCGCGAACGCGTTGACGACGATGTCCAAGAAGACGCGAGCGATGATGAGGTCGCCGGAGACGAAGACTTGGACGTCGGCTCGAGTCTGCCTCCGCCCGAGGGCGCAGTCCGCCTTGTTGTTCACGCTGAGCGGCTCCCGTCGACGAACCCGACCGGACCAGATGGGACCTGGACATGCGATCAGGAAGGGTGCACCTACGTGGTGCGGTCGGCGGACGACGAAGACGGGCAGCAACTGATCCAGGAGCATTTCCGCGAACACGAGGCGCAGGCTGCAAAGATTAACCTCGCTCTTAAGGAGAGCCGAGGCCATATGCCGATCAAGTTAGTCTATCCCCAAGCGCTGCTGTCTCACATATGTACGACTCTTACTGACTTGATGCTACAGCCATCTTCTCGACAAGATCCAGGCTATCGGCCGGGCTGCCTTGAAGAAGAAGCGGGGGACCCTCAACGGGAAGCCAGTTCCTGCTCCCGTAAAGCGGCGATTGCTGATCTAAAGGGCCTCACTCCATCTAAAAGGGGGGGTCGCGTGAATTCGACTCATGATGGGGACCGTCTTCTGTGTTTGTTTGTCATGTAATGATACGATACCCCGTGCACCGGCGATCAGAGGATATCTGGTGTACATGGCAGGTTGGGTCGATAGGCGGGTTCAGGGCCGTTGATTCGGCGTCGGTCGGATGGGTTGAGATCCGACAGCGGGATGAAGGCCGGTGTAACGGGTTCCATGTATTAAAGGTCGGGTTCCTTTCTTTCTGAGGGCCCCAAAGGGATCTAGTAACTATCTAGCTCCCGGTCTCTAGCCGAGATTTATATGATATGCGAAGGTACAGCACCCCATCGCTGTCTCTAAAGATGACCCCGGATCACGGCTTCACAAATGACATGACGGCATACCGGAAGCTCCCATTCGCATAGCCCCTCCTCATGGCGCGGAAAGCTTGCAGGAAGGCAACGCCGTCTCGCCCCTGGCTGAAGGCGAATGCCCACAGGGAAGGGTTCTGCACCAATGACCACGAAATGTCCCTGCAACCCGTCAGCCTCAAGCACTTACTCCAGAGCATCAAAACAGCTTTATTTTTGATGCAGGACAGAGAGCGGTGACACATACCAAGTCTTACTAACATCCCTACTAATATCCTTCGGCTCGCTCAACACCTCCAACCCGGCACCTGTAGCCAGGCCGATATACCCTTGCTGCGTACACAGCGGCGGGAGGAGCATCCCATCTAGTCTTTTACATCAGTACTCCTGTCTTTCTCTGCAGCCGATAGAGATAGCAGGGACAAAAAGGGGGGGAAGAGAAGGAAGGAAAGAGAGGAAGTGAAATACAGACCCTCGATAGGCTTAATATCAGCCTCAAACGCCCGCTGGTCCAGCCCCTCGGCCTTGAACCAATCCGCCAGCACAAGCTTCCCTCCAGGGCGAAGGAGCGTGTGCGCGTTCTGGAAGAAGAGGGCCTTGTTGGGGAAGTGGGACAGCGCTTCACTGATCCAGACGGCGTCGAAACAACCACTGCCTTCTTCTTGCCCGTCTCTTTCGGAAGAGGATGTGGAGGAGGAGAACTCGCCCATCTTCTCGGCGTCCAGCTCGATGAAGCGGACTTTGCCTCCCTTTGGGCCGAGGGGGATGAAGGAGGAAGGTTCATCATCATCATCATGGGCTTGGGCGCCTCCGTTTGCAGGGGTACTACTGCTACTGCTGAGGGTAGGAGTGGTGGCGGATGAAAAGGAGGAGGAGGAGGAGGAGGAGGAGGAGGCGGCGGCTTTGCTCAACCGCGTAGCGATATGGACTTGCTTGCTTGAGATGGTGATGCCTGTTACGGTTGCGCCCAGTGTGCTGGCCAAGTAGCGGGTTGTGCCGCCTATTCCGCAGCCTACGTCGAGGATGCGGAGGGGTTTTGCATTGGTTCCAGCGGTGCTGCTCTCGTCCGGGGAAAGGTGGGAGATGTCGAGGAGGAGGCGGATCAGGTTGAGCTGGGCGGTTTCTTTCGAGTCGGAGGCCTTGGACTCGTCCGTCGGCCAGTAGCCGTGGTGGATGTGCTCGCCCCTTGGTTCGAGTGAGGAGGTGAGACATGAGGGTACGAGGGGGCAAGGGAAGCTTGCGTACCACAGGTTCAGATAGTAGTCGCTGGCAAGGTCATAGTGCAGCTTGATGCGGTCCTTGAGCGCCTGCATGGTGCTGTGGGCGAGCCCCAACGGCGTGTCATATTGCTTGCTGAGACCGGTCGTCTCATCACTGGCAGCAGGGGAGACAGTGGTGGCGGACATGTTGCTGATGTCTTTGGCAGCCAGCAGCCTGTTGTCTACTTCAAAGTTAAAATGATAATGGGCTGTGTACACGACGGCCCTAGGTACCGTATTGCGGAGGGAAAAGAGCAGGTGTGTGCAACAAGCTCTCGGTTTTCCTTGTTAAACCCCAAGCTAGAGAGAGCTGCCGTCGGCACCTTCCCGGGCCGGCTCGATGACGCCCGGTTTCCAACTTGAACCATGGCACCCGCCCTTGCATCGAGGCACTGGACCTCAAGACCCTGTTATTGGTCGGGCGTGTTCATCGTCAGAGCACACCTAGTGTAAAGGGTGCTAGCATCATCACGGGCACTGGCATCTTAATAACCGAGGTGTTTCTGCTGTTCATACGCAGATGGTAGCACACATTCATTGCCGGTTCGAATCTGCGACACGGATAAGATGACTTAAAATGGACTCGGAAACAAAAAGCAAAATAGATCACACAGGATAACGAGGCATGTGTAACATAGCAAAAGATATGACTGGAGCGCGATTCGAACGCGCGCCTCTTTCGAGAGTAGAATGCACCCCGCATTTCCAGGGCAAGAACCAGGTTCTTGAGTCTACCGCCTTAGACCACTCGGCCATCCAGCCAATTCGATGGAGGGACAGTTCCGCACAGAGGTACAGTAGGGTGCGACAGGAAAAGCCGGAAAAACAAAACTTCTCTGTCACACCGTAGACAACCACAGTCGTCCCGGACCGAAATTGGCAAGTTATGATTTTCCGGATGAAAGGTCACTGCGCCCTCTTGTTTCATTCATTTTGCATAGCATTGATCCCGTGGAGCTGGCCATTTCCAGGTTCAGGACCAAGAAGCGATCATGGCCTGAACTCTAAAGGGCTTTTTTTCGGAGCCTACATCTAGACGTTGCGTCTTGCGTCGTCGACTACTGTGGCTGATTGTGAACTGTCGGCCACGTCTGGCGCTTGGAGCGGCACGGGAACACATCCCACACTCCATGTCCACACTAGTACTGTCGCTGGACTTGCTGGTCGATGGAATGGGATTGATCTGACCGAGCGGCTTCTTGATGCTTGATCGCAATGGTTCAGCTCCAGGCTTGGGACCTCCTCCCTCGTATGGACGTCGACTCCGCCTCGTCATGCCAGTCATTGCCGCGTCCAACCTGGGGACTGGCTGGCCCGCATATCACTCCGTATGCAAGTCTCGCTGCTGTATATTGCACTGCGACGGAAGCATAGTCGGTTGAGACGATTACTCTCTCCGCCACACAGACACCCGCTTCTGGCATTCCTTATGACTGGTTGTATTATGTATATGCTAGGCTCCCCAAACGAGTGTGCCCATTCTCGGGAAGGTATGGCGCAGGATCACCATGGGTGCAGGAATACTTGGTTGGGAAGCATCGCTACTCATGATGGGTTCGCTCCTTTATTATGTCTGTCGATGGACACTAGGGATGGACTTAGGGGCGCACTGGTCTCCCATGCCATAGAGAGTTCTGTCTTTATTTGTCGCCGATGACGGGCATATAAGCTCAGTCGGTGGTCTTGCGCTCTCCTAAGGTGTCAGATAATGTATAAGTCCTACGGTACCCTCTGCATCTCAAATCGATACTGCTGCATACGTCTCATTGTCTGGGAACCAAGGGGGTATACTATCTAACGCAGATACTCAACACGTTCATCACTCTAGTAACAGTAATAAAGCACCGTCACCCATCTCGCATGTCGCCGTGAAGCGGTCCTTCCAAAGTACGTCTATCCTTCCTGTCTAGGTAGGTACCTTAGGGTATCATCGCACTGGAAGAAAGGGAAAGCAAGTTGAAGATGGCATGTAGGGGCATAAGCGAGCGTAGACCTCGTGCATTCATACCAGGTATCCTTTCCTACCTGGGGTGTGCCATTATGGAAACGGAAAGACCAGTATAAAGAGCCGTCCTGGCATCTATAAAAACGAAAAGAAATTTTCGAAAGAATAGGGGAAGAAACTCATTATCATCCCCCGGGGTATCCCTAAGAATCGATCAACCCTGTGCTGTACTGCCGCCACGGCGCCTGTAACCCACCGCCGCGCCGTCTATCCATCCATCTAAATATCCATCCATCGTAGGTAGGTAGCTTCAGCCACCACTAGGTAATCACCAACCGCCGACCCGGGGACTGACCGCCCCGCTCCCGCTCGCACTGACGCTCGCGCTGCCCATGGCAAAGCTCTGGTCGATCTTCCCGACCCAGTCCAACTTATCCCGCTCGGAGCGCGCCGCAAACAGCCAGGTATTGTCCGTTCCGTAGACAGCAAACACGCCGGCCTGCAGCCGCTCACTGAGCTTTGTGATCCCTCCACCTCCGCCTCCTCCGGTCGCTGCTGTCCCGTTGGCATGGCGAGGAGGGCTCTTAATACCGCCACCGTTATTACTCGTAGCGCCAGGCCAAAGCGAAGCAATCAACCTCCCGGTCCCACTACCTGCAGTAGGAGTAGGAGCAGGCGGAGATCGTGATGGCGAAGGCGAGATGCCGCGCCGGGGCGTCGTGAACCCGTACCCAGTCTGTTCCGTTGTCGCCCCCTGCTGTTCATGCTCGTCACCGTACCCGTTGCTATGGACATCCAACAACCCTAAAATGCCGGGCTGGCTGTCCACGCGTGCATTCCGCAGACTGACGACACCGATCTCCTCGCCGTCGCCGACGGAATGCACATGCAGATAGGGCCGGCGAAGCTCGACGAAGCGCTTCACCCAGCGCGTGGAATCGGCGTTGGGAACGAGCAGGTAGCCGCCCTTGAGGACCGTCGGGTTTTTGGGTACGCGGATGACGGTCGCGACGAAGCATGGCGCTGGCGGAGAGGAGGAAAAAGGGTCGGCGGGCCCGTCTTCGGGAGGGTCGGTGTTCGCGGGGGAGAGGATCTTGATCGTTGGGTCTGGGTAACGTTGCCAGAGGTTGAGGCAGCGGGTCAGGAGCGAGATTTGCTGTTCCGAGTATTCGGGAGCTTGCGCCGCGGTTTCTTCCGACTGTTGGGGGACGGCGGCGTCGTCCTCGGCTGGCTGGGGCGATGCCGTCGCTGGGGATGAGGCTCCAGAGGGTTCTGGGGTGTCGTCTTTGAGGAGCTCGGCGATGGAGTCGGCATCCGAGTTGATTGCCGGAGGAGGAATGTCTTCGTCTCCAGGCGCTTCGTGGCCGTTGGCCTCGTCCTTGAAGCCGACCTTCTTGAGGAACGCCTGGACGGCCGCAATCTCGGCCATCATTCTTCTCCTCTTCCTCGAGCTGATGTGGTCCGCTACAAGCGACACGCCCCGCGGCGTCCACGCGGTCAGATTCTCCTCGCCCTTGACGTAGTCGTGCTGGCTGTTCATGCGCCACAGATCGCCCACCCGCTTGATCGGTGCCGGCCGCATCTGCAGCGTGAAAATGCCTGTGGCCGAGTGGACGATGCGCACGTGCTGCCACAGGGCAGAGAACATCGAGGTCTGACGGACGAAGGATCGCGACAGGATCTGGCAGCAGACGTTCATCGAGAACTTCATCGGCTCGGCGAGCTTCTCGGAGCAGATCTCCCACGACACGGTCATCTGCACGCGGTACTTATCCGACGTGACCCGGTCGAGGAGCAGCGAGTTGTGCAGACTCGAGTCCCACTGGCCGACCATAGAGACGCTGCGGGTGCCGTTCGCATTCGTGCGGAACGTCGGCTCCGTCGCCAGCTTCAGAGGGATCTCGGAGCTGGCGGAGCCCATGTCTGGCGTCTTGCCCGCGCTGTCGAGGAGTTGGATCTTGCCGGCCCGCATCGCCGTGACTTCGTCCCACGGCAGCGCGTCGCCCGAGCTGTGGGTCAGGGTGATGGCGATGCGCCGCTGCAGGCCCTGATGCAGCTGGAAGGTGCCGCTGTCCAGCTCGCTGTTCTGGTTGACCTCCACTGGCACATACTCGCCCTCCTCGTTCAATTCCAGGATCTGCACCCGCGCTAGCAGATCGTGCTTCTCTTCCGTGAAGAAATGCGCCTCGCTGATCCTCGCACCCCTGGGCTTGCCGCGGGAGCTGGGCACCGCGTCCCTCATGTCGTCCCAGCTGAGCAGCTTATCCAGATGCATCGCCGAGACCTTGGCGAAGATTGCCACCCTCAGCATCGTCTGCGGCGGCGCGAACAGCGGGACGCTCATGCTATGAACGCTCTCGAACCGGATCGGGCCCTCGTCGAAGTCCTTGATCATCTGGGTGGTGGTGATGCCGTCTTCTTCCGAGATGCCCGGGATGAAGAGCTGCGCGTGCACCTCGGTGCCTTCGCGCTCAGCAAAGCCCACCAGCTCGTGCATGACGATGTTGAACTTGAGCGTGTTGCTCGGCGCCCGCGCGCTGGACGGCTCCAGCGCGAGCTTGATGATGCCGATGGCGTGTGACGTGTGCGGCGAGAAGACGTCGAGCGTAAAGTCCTGCACCCGACTCTCGAAGACGGCTTTCAGGGGCACGTCAACCTCGCCGACCAGCGTGTACTGAGGCATGCAGGCCTCGATGAAAGGGTTGTCGATGCTCAGATGCTGGGCGTATTCCGGCTGATCGAGGTACTGGTACATCTGCCGCATCTGCCGCACCCGGTCGTGGAGCTTCTCGATGCTCCACAGATGCACAACGCTGTGCTTGTAGTCGATGACGCGGACGCCGATACAGGGCTTCGGCGCCTCTTCCAGCGCGATATCATCCCCCTCGCCGGTGAGCCCGTTGAGGACCATATCGTAGGACGAGCACACCATATGGCCGACGTCGACCACAGTGAACTGGAACACGACGTGTTCGTCCAGCTCATGGCTCATGATCTGGGCCTCCTTCAGCGTCGCAGCGTGTTGCAGGACTGCCTCGGCCATCCGCACGTAGTGCCGGCTCCGCCAGTGCCGGACGGCCACTTTCGCACGCTTAATCTCCTCCTCGGACAGCCTTGGCTTGGCCTTTGGCCGCTTGAGCGGATCCAGCTTCTCGATCTTCGCCTCGAACTCGCGCCGCTGGACCTCAAGCTGCTTCTGCATGTCAGCCTTGAGCTGGACCAGCGTCTCCTCCATCCGGGCCTTTTCCTTCTTGATCTCCTCAACCTCGACGTTGGCCGCCTCAGCGGTCTTGAGCTGGCCGCGGTACTCCTCCTTCTGCCTCTCCAGCTGGGTCTGCATCTCCTCGCGTATTTCGCGCAGCTTGTCCTCTGCCTCGCCCTGCTTAGGAGTGGACGGCATTGTCAGGACGGTGTCCAGCGAGAAGTTGTCGAGGGTGCCGGTGGACATGTACTTTTCCCTAATCGGGTACGATGCCATCGACTCCATGTCTTCGTCGCCTTCCCGACCGTTGACGCGCTCGGCCCGGGCTCGCTGAACATCTTCGAAGAGGGCATTGAGTTGGTCGTCCGTCAGGTCGGCAAAGTTCTGGTCTGTGCCGAGTATCGCAGGCGCCGCTTCTCTCCGCGCAAAGGACCAGTCAAACTCCTTTGCATTGCGTTGGAACGTTGCTGGCGAATCTGGACGACTATCGCCCCACTCCGAGACGCCCATGCTTAGACTCCGATCATGGCCCAGCCTCGAAGGACTCGGAGACGGCGACGTTTTCTCTAGGGCTTGCAGCTGGCTGGCGGTGATGGACTGCCGCAGAAGACTCTGCTCCTGCCGTTCCTGCCGTTCCGCCCGTGCTTCCATCGGATGGTTGAACCTGAAAATGTGGAAGTCGCCCAGGATGATGCGGTATCCCGAGTGCAGTCTCGTTGGCTCCGCTATTCGTTTTCCGTTCACCATCACTGCCGCTCCTTCCTTGGGTACAACCGTGACCGTCCCATCTGGCGCATTCTCGAAAGTGCAGTGTTCGTGGAGGATTTTCGAGCCGTTCAGACGGATATTAGCCTGGTGATCTGCGTTTGACTCGACGTTGCCAACCGTTGTGACACCCGGTTTCAAGTTGTAAACCAGGCACTCAGCCAAGAGGGGGTCATCTGAAAGATTGACCAGATGAGGCATCTTCTTCGGCGTCGACATGCCAATGAAGCCCTTCTCGATGCTGATTCCCAGCTCCTCCAAGGCAGCCTCTCGCTCCTTGTGGATTTCCTCTGTCTTGGCGAGCTTTTGCTCCCACGTCTGGTTGAGATCCTGCAAGAGCTTCTCACTCTGGTTCAGCTGCTCTGCGATTTCCGCCTTGGAAACCTTCTTTACAGTGCCATCGGCCTGCGTAATGCTGACGATTTGCTGTTCTAAGGGCGTGCCTTCAGCGTACACCTCCTCCGGAGGTACCTGCGCGCCGCCGGCACCACCTCCGCTGCTCAGTTTGCTGCGGAGCACCGCCAGTTCCTCCTTCAGTTCGCGAATCATGCGAGCGTTGGCGTCCTCGTTGATGACTGCGTGGTTCTTAATGCGTTTCGCAGAATCTGCATACCGCAGCGTACTGAGCGTCTCGTCGTAGTTGATGTCCGCCGGACTGATGGCAGCAATCATGGCTGTCATGCTGTTGCCGCCGAGCGAGTCCTTCAGGAGCCAGGTGAGAACGCTGTCGCGGTAGGGAACCTGCGCCGCGCCGCCTTTCTTTTTCTTGCCAGTCGACAGATCTGCCAACGCAGCAATAACACGGCCGAGCGTAGAGAGAGAGCGATTGATTTCCGCGCCTTCTTTGAGACGCGCGCCCGTGGCGCCTGTGGAAGTTGCTCTTTCCGAACCTGCAAGATCGACCAGACTGATCTTCGCTGCTTTCTCCATTTCCATTTTCGTTTCCGGGTCGAAGCGCTTCTGGGTCAGCATCAGCGTAAACACGGCGTGACTTCGACTCGATGTCTCATTCATGTTGGTCGCCGCCACCGTTCTTGCCTTGTTACCCTCGTCCATCAAGTGCTCGATCTCCTGGAAACTCCCTACCACCAGCTTCGCCAAGTCCTCGACGTACGGGCCTGTGGAAGGGTGTTCGCGGACCTTCAGGTTCCCTTTGTTGGCGGGGTTCAGCAAGTCGCGCACTCGCTCGTTGTAAATCTCGAGATACGACACCTCGACGGTGCAGCGCAGATTCTTGTCCTGTTGCATCTCCCCGATTCTCCTGAACATGTCCTGGCAGATGTTGGGGATAATACCGGCGTCCTTGCCATAGCCCATCATCGAGTACGACTTGCCAGAGCCTGTCTGGCCATAGGCGAAGATACAGTTGTTGTACCCCTGAAAAGCGTTGTCCAACAGCGGCTTGCCCAAGTCCTGGAAGAGATGCTCCTGCCCCGCGTAGTTGGGCGCATTCTTGTCGAAGGACCAGTAGGACTTGTCGAAAGCGAACACCTTCGCGCCATGGTCCTTGAGCACTTTCCCTCCAGCATCCGGTGGCGGCGTCAGGATGGTTTGGTTGTCTTTCATTTCTACGATACATTTTGCGCCTCGGTCATGTTCTATTCGGGCACCAGCATCAGCTTCCCTGCGTCTCCTCTGGTTCCGCAAGGAACGGCTTACCTCTCCCGTTGAAGGGACGGACTCTGACCACCACCTTGATATTCCCTCCCCCTCCCGAGGGGGCCGCGCCCGGAGCCATGGTTGCGGCTTCACGGAGATGCGCTGGCTCGGATTTCGGGATGTGCGACGGACGACTGCGTCACGCCTGGCCCTGGGCGACAGAGGGAGACCCCTATTCGAGCAGATGGGGTGTTCTCGGGATTATTGAGCGGTCCTCGGGGCTCCTAGCATATAATTCCCGGCTCGTAATGCAGCACCCAGGCGCATCCTCGCGCTACACACCCGTGTTGGCCAACTCAGGGCTGTCGAGCCGGGACCGGGCTCCAAAGGCTGTTCACTGTTGATTGAGTGTGCTGCGGGGCCGGGCGGGGACAACGGCCGGCCTCGGTAGATCGAGTCGTCGAGCTGTCTTGTCGCTGTCGGGATGATGTCTTTGTTCCTGTGTAGTGAAATAAGCGTTTGAGCGTTGTGCAATTGGGTCAGGTGTGCGCGGTGTTGGTGATGTTGTTGCCAAAGTGGCGGCGCAGGTTGATCAGCGGCGCAAAGGGATGAACTTCGAGAATGCGTCTCTTGTGTCAACAAATTCGGGGATCCGACGCGAGGCGCGAACTCACCCCTGTCCTAGGCGGACTAGCGGCTGTCCGGAGGGCGGGCCGACCGCCTATTGGTGGGTTTGTGCCTGCGTCATCACTAAATCATGTGCCTCGGTGGCAGCATCTATGACGAATGTTGTACGGATTACGGATTACAAGGTACGTAACAATCCTAGCGACGGTATCGAACCATTTTCATATACTGGATTCTGGTGCTCATTGCATTGCCCTCTTCTACACCACCCATACCTCGGCCTGCTGTACCTTACCGTACCTAACGTACCAGAGCTCTCTAGTCAATGCCCATTGTTCTGACCAAGCGTCCAATGGACTCAATCTGGGTTGGCTGGACGTTATAATAACCAGATGAAGTGGCTTACATTTTCGATGCTTTACTGCACCCGGGAGTTATCCTCAGATGATACCAGCGCTTGCCCTCTGCCTGATATCGCGAATGTCTAGTGTTTGTGATTCAAGGCGTAGCAGATCAGATGTGGCTCGACACATGGCGTGAAGATTGACGTCCTACCCGATCCAACTGCTCCAACTAGTGCACCTCTATCAAGACGATTTCGCATCAGCCAAGCCCAAGTCTTTCTCGACCATCTGCCGGCAAATCGGGTGGTAGAAATCACGATTCTTCTTGAACGTCTCGACGGCAAGGTCATGGTCCACCTTGTTCAAGCTGCGGAACAGCGGGCGGACAAACTTCATGCGGCCGACCTGTCCGAGCAGCTCAGCGACACTCGGATAGCAGCTGGCGTCCTTGGCCCTCATCGCAATCTGGTAATACGCCGACTTGAGCTCGACGTTCTTGGAGTCGGCGATGTTGTAGACTTTGCCCAGAGTTTGCTGTGATGGGGGGTGTCAGCTATTCGTTGCAAATTACGTAGGTAAACACATGTCGGCAGCAGCTCAACGTACCGATTGCTCCACCGTCAGGGGCTCCTCGAAGTCTTGGACGATATTTAGGAACACGAGGACTTGATTACCAGTCCAAGATGATATGTCTGACGGACTGGGTACGAAGTCCTTCTGCCTCCACTTGCTCGCCAGCTGGAAGCACACATCGACAAGCGAAGTGTTGAACTCGGGTTTCGGGGGAAGACCCGTGTTGTAGAAACGGCCCTCCCAGTCGATCGTCGAGATCTTCTCTTTTAGGCTGGAGTACTCGGGGCGGGTGAAGAACGCGAGGAAAGTGTCCTTGAACTCATACGAGTCCAGTGACTTGTTCGCCCACTTGGTGAAGTAATACGGGATGAACTTGTCAAAGTTCTCTCGCCCGACAAGGCGGTCAAGGTAGTAGACGAAGTGAAACCCCTTCTCATAGGGCACCGTGCTGAAGGCATCATCTGGGTCGATGCCCTTGTGGCTGATGCAAAGCTTGGTGAACTCGTGGTCACTACCGTACTCCTCGATCGCCCCCTCTGGAGTAGACAGTCGTTAGCGTGACCACCGCACTATAATGGGGAGCACTACCTACCAAGAGCCTTCCACCCGATGATGGCAGAAAAGTCGAAATAAGCATCACTCTGGTGTACGGAGGCAACGATGCGCCGCTCCAGATACATGGTCCAGCCTTCATTTAACCAACTGCGTAGTCCGGATTAGCATCTGGTCGACGGCTTGGCATCCCTTCGGGGGCAATATCGGGCTCACTAGTGCTCCCAGCTGCAGCTCGTTACTAAGTTGCCGCTCCAGCTGTGGGCGAGTTCATGGGCAATGACATCGACGTTCTGCCGGTCGCCACTGATGATGGTGGGAGTCGCGAAGGTGAAGATGGGGTTTTCCATGCCTCCGTACGGGAAGCTGGGAGGGAGAACAAGAACATTATACTCTCCCCATTTATACGGGAAGACAATCTTTTCGGCAGTATCCAAGAACTTGTCCATGTCACCCTGGAGTTCCCACTGCGAAGCCTTCAGCTCATTGGGGCCCGTGGCGACCGAGGAGCACCTTCCGATGGGCGCAGTGACGATGTCTCCGGAGGCCAGGGCAAAGAGATAGGAGGGAATCGGGACCTTCTGCTGGAACTTGTACACCTTATCCTCACCCGCATCCTCGGTTGCGGCGGGCACGGGGACGCCGCTGGCGACGACAACGTGGGGGCTGCGAATGATGAAGTCGTAGGTGCTCTTCACATCAGGAGTATCCTGGCAGGGAAAGATCGAACGAGCATGGATGGCTTGGCACTGACTGAACATGAAGGGGGCCTTCTTGTTGCTCGTCTGGGCAGGAGTGAGCCACTGGAGCGCCGTGCACTTGTCCGTGGTGGCCAGCTCAATCTCGAGTTTGACTACCTCGCCCTTGCCGGCACCACCGGGAACCGAGACATGGACGGGTGAGCCGTTAGGCTCGGAGCGTGCCTTGATCTCCCATTGCGAAGGCGCCGCGTTGAGCTTGATGGATGAGACATCGAGGTGGCTCGAGTCGAGTATGATCTCATTGCTCGCCTTGTCTGTCTGGGACTCGAGCTCGAGAATCACGGACCCGCGCAGACGCCTCTCGGCAAAATCCACCTTGAAGTTGGCGGTGGTGTGCTTGGTCCGCCACTGGTCGTAATTGGACAGCGTGTTGGGATCCCGGACTGGCGCCATTCTCGATGTGCTCAAGCTGAACCAACGACGTTGAAATTGCTCTGGTGTTGCTTTCCGAGCTGTTGAGTTTGCTGTTTCTCGAGAGAGTCGGCTCCCAAGTCGAAGAAAACCCAACATTACTGCCTAGCACTCCACTCTCCGCTGTCTGCAGCTCTCAGCTTAATAATGCCCAGAGCCACGCTGTTTGTCTCTTCACGCCTTCCTCCTTTGTCATGCGGGCGCTCAATCGACCCATCTGATAGGCCAAGAGTCGTGATACCAGCTACATCACGTGACGCTCAGGCGCGCGATAGATTGCACTAATTGCATCCACCTTCCGATTGCGTTCCTGAGTCCTGACAACACAAAGCATTAACAACAATAGGACCTCTCCTCGCTCCTGTTAGTATTGTTCTCAAGTCCTCACTTCTCCTCGCCGCGTTTTGTTCAAATCCCCACCTGACTCATTCATGTTGCTTCAATTCGCTTGTTCCTGGCTCTTACGTAAAGCTACGTTCATTGCCATCGTTAATAAGGAACTTACACTAATCCTCCAGCTGACTTTTGACTTGCGGCAGTGTTTGGCACCCCGAGGTGAGACATGGATGTTTCAGCGCTGCCGGGAAGCCGGGACCTGACCGTGATGTTCGGCTGAGTGGTCAGCACGGAGGCATGGTATAACCGCCCCGATGAAGAGATTTCCTTCTGACTTCGTCCGAATCACCTTCTGCAAGTGCAAACCAGTCACTCGGTCCGATCTACAAGGAGAGCTTTATGAAGGGTTGATGCTCGGTGTCCTACCTGATGAGAGCTTTGTGCCTCTCGGAGAACATCAAACCAGCATCATCGACTGCGGGACACCGACCGTGGAGCATCGGCCGTGTAACGGCGTGCTTGCCGAACAATGCACACCTACACGGTGCGGTACGAGACCGCAGCTCGAAGCCCAAGCTGCACGTCGGCCCGGTTGGGCAGCTCCAGACGGTTTAGTGCTATGGGCAGCCAGCCACCAAGGCGCTGCCCATGGAATGCGTCGTTGTGTTGGCAGGCGGAAAAGGTGCACTGGGCTTTCTCGGCCGTCTTGCCACTCAATGTGGGAGATTGCGACTCGCCCTGGACTCATTATATGTCGACATATGGCAAGGCATATCTACACCGGGCATGGTTCGTACCGCTAAGATGTCCATCCCACCGCTCTCATTGCTCACACAGATGATGCCCCTGATGCTCGTGATCGCCCGATGGAGGCTTCCCTCGCAGACTTACCCGGGCCACTCCAATATCTGCGCACCACAAATCCAACTCATGGACGGTTACGACTGGGAGGTTGAACTAAAGTCTATTAACCGGAATGCAGGGCGGCGAGCTTACCAGATATGGCCGGTACTACTCAAGTTATCACTTGCTTTGGCCCTCGCTCTATGGCAACCCCTTTTGCTGTGACAGTCCTGGCTAACGGTAGGAATGATTTCCCTAAGCTAACTGACGGCATAGTGAACTGATATATATGACTCCACTCCGCAGCAGAATTCTGAAACGGATTCTCGGGTTCCGGCCATAACGCCGTGACAGTTTACTGGAGACAGCTATACCTGTGCCGTGCTATTATAAGATCATCGGCCCCGTCATATCCCGAGCCTGCTGCTACATTTCGTTTGCAGTTCGGATGTTTCGTTAGTCATGTGACTTTACAAATGAGGCTTCATGAAACAGCTGACGTCTCCGAAACATGAAGGCCCCCATGGTTATATTGGAAGCTATCCTCGCAGGGCCGCACAACATGGTTCCCAAACAGGAGGTTTATAGCATACGTTCTTGCGGCAGACCGTGAGGGTCTTTGCTTGATGCATGGCAAGTGCCCCGTCTCAGAGCCTGGCAGGCGCAGAAGTTGCTCATGTAGCCTGCTGATGTTCCCATCCTAGCCGGGGTCAAGCAGCAGGTCTTGTACTGTTATGTTCAGTCCAGTCTGAGCCCGCCAAGTAACCCAACTTGATGCTTCGATATCTCTATCACTATGCGGAACAGAAACCCGGGCCATGGTTACCGCAATGCTCCTGACTATGCCGTTAGCGACTGAGATGAAGAGCAAAGGTAGCTGGCGCCCGGACCACCGGACGGCTGTCCGCTTGTCTCAGAAACCTTGTTCACTGCATCGAAGCGACCTCCGCCTTTGCAGCTCATGCAGCGCCCGCCACGGATTTGGACTGGCGCCAATGCATGAGCTTGCTGCTGGTGGCTTGCCCGGCAGCACCTCGTCACAATCCAGTGTTTTGCTGCATATCCGTACATTATCCTTTGTCCGCTCGGACTTCCTCGTGGGATCTACTTCTGTGCGTGCATACCAAGTACCTACGTACGGTGCGACAGCATGGTCTCTTCTTGGAGTACCTCTCCTCCAGGTTCGCCCATCAATGCAGCTCGGCCGGTGAAGAGACAGCCAGCGTGGCCACACGCCGTTAGTGATGGATGGATGCCTGTGCGCTGCATCTGGTGGCACAGATCGCTTAAGCTTAGCACGCTAACCTTACTCTAGCTTCATTTCTTAGCTCTGACACACAGCTCACCAGATGTTGGCGCTTGAACCAGAAGAGCGCAAGGTCCGATGCGAGGTCCGAGTTTTGGGACGTGTGACATCCCAGGCCATTGTTCTGCGCGCGCCACAGGCCCTTTGATGAATTGATGAAGAAAGCAACCCGCCAGCCCGGTCCCTGTTTGGTTCCCCTCTCTCGGTGACCGGTCCGATGTCAGGGGTCAGCTATAGCTAGGGCATCGCCGGCCAATGGGAGCTGGCTTACCCAGTACGCCGACAGCAGGGCGTCGTGAAGTGATGGAAGCTTGGAAAATATTCCATGAGACACCAGCCGAGGCTGACTGTTTCAGAGAGCTCAACCTGGCCACCGGGGCTGCTTTTTGTTCTAAGTGGCTTAACTGACGGTTTCTGGAATCCGGAGCATCGGCCTGTTGGAAATTAAGGTTTTTAGCATTTCCGCCGAGCAGAAGACTGAGAATCAGATCCCAACCTGGAACCCATGTTCCCCCTTCTGTGCCCCCCTGGGGCGATTGATGAGAGCTCTCACCCCGCGTGTACACTAGCTGCTGCGCCATCTAGCCCGACCGGGCCGATGCGGAGATTTGCCCTGTACTCAGGATCTATGTACTGTGGTATATGGGTTGTAACTTGTCCGCCGCCCTCCCTCGTTTCTTGACTCGATGATCATTGATCGGCCATCACCCTCTACGCGGAATCCGGGATACATACCCGCCGCACGTATGTAAGAGCCACCGTAAGTGAGCCAAGATGTGTCTAATTCTTGTTTGGATTCGCGGGTAGGTGTGAGTAGCCCAAGCCCCTGCGCTGATCACTATCACTGTTGCTTTGCGTTTAACTTTGACGGTTTACGGACTACTGAAGCTCTCATGTCTCTACTGTCACCCTACGAAGCTGACTCCTGCCCAGTCCGAGCTGTGGTGACTTGTGTTGTCAACACTCAACTGTGGCCTTCGACTCTGGAAGAAGATGATGAAAGCAGTTGCTTCGAGATGTCATTTCAACAGGGACTCCGGTTGTAACGGTGGAATAATTCCCTCTCTGGGGTAGTGTATACAGAGACCAAGCTATATCGCCAGTCTATTAATACACTACTGCGCGAAGCCAATCTTTTGACCCCCTCATCTTGCAGTGAGAACAAGGATCTAACCTCAAGCGATATGCACTAGTTATAGGTACCACGGTAGGTATGTAGTGTACATACCTCAACCCCCACTGTCACTACAACACAGAACGTCAAAATCGTACGATGCGCAAAAGCTTCTTGCTCGCACATAGCGAGTTTCCTCCGCTTCGCTTGGCGCTACGACGTATGGCGAACTCGACTCTGTTTCCAGTCTAGACTCGTCAATACTTCGCACAGACCTTCTTCCCCCGAGAAGACGAGAAGACGGCACGGGAGAAGACGGATCACTGCAAAGTGTCTGTCTGTATTCCCTTGATATGCATTACCTACCTTACTGTCACAGCACGCCGGGCGAGGAGGATGCGCGGGAAAGACGGCAGGAAGACGGGTGTGCCGCGTTGCTACAGAGAACACACTGGAAAGCTCTACAGTAATGTAGGGGTAAAGTAAGGTAATCCCTTCCCGTCTTTTGGTGGGCGCCTGAGCACTCACGGCACGTACAGTACAGTACAGATATAGCGTATAGTGGAATGTGCTTAATCAAGACTTGTTCATCTCGAGCCGTCTTGAGTCTCTCTCTCTCTTTCTCTCTGTGGTGCCTGTAAGACATGTACGGTACGACCATGACCGAGCCTGTATGTACCTACGTACACAGTAGGTAGCTACTAATAGTAAAAGGAAGCTGGAGCAGATCGAACCCCAAATTCCGGACGCAATCGACGAGTGAGGGAGGTGCCCCGGGGATGAAACGGTTTCTCTGGTGGCCCTGCAGTCTGATGCGACCTTGCGCGTGAGGCAAGAAATCTTGCTGTTGAGGATTGGGGAAAGGTTTCGTTTTGGGATTTGGAACGGGATTCCTGCCGTGGTCCTGGGACGAAGCGTTTCCCCCTTGCATCTGGCATCTGCACCGTTGCTCTGTTTCTTCGAGCTTCATCCATAGTTACATACACTGTGTATGTAGTTCCCATTGGTGTTTTCGCGTCAGGCACCACCACGCGGCGGAAAACTTGCCTCACACGTCCGCACTCCGCAGTCGGTCACTGTTGCTCTCGCTTATTTAAGTGCAAGGTCAGCCACAGATGGGTGACTTGGAATTGTTGCGTGTGAGCACTGAGCAGTCATTTCCCATCAACACTGGCCAACAAACGTCGAGGGGTCGTCGATGGTAGAGGCGCGCACCGGCTAAGGAGCCGAGATCACGGCCCCTGCCCTATAGCGTGTGACATAAGGTTAAAGCTTGGAGGATCTCGGGGAGATCGCTGCTTTTCCCTGGGTTCCACAGCCAAGGTGGGAAGGGCAGTCCTTCGGTTAAACAACAAACTCGAAGCGGGAAAAGCTCCGGAAAGTGGAACGGCCAGGGGTCTCTTCCTCTCCGTCCCCGAATCGTCTTGATACCGGCACTGGATCTCGCCGTGTCTCTTGATGGAGCCAACCCGAGCGTTCAATGCGGGTGCTCAGGCGCCCTGATACGCTCACAGTGGTGTATGTCGGGGTACACATGGGACATTGACTCCGCGGTCTGCATTTCTTCCCTTGAGGTAAGTACGTAGTGTAGTGTACAGGATTTCCTACTGGCTGAAACCGGGGAGAGGGTTAGGTTAGGAGAACGGCTCCCCATGCGCCATGGGAACGGCAGTTGCGAAGATCAGCTCTCCATCAGAAAGCAATGGGAAGCAGGGTGTTGCTCCCGAGCCAAAGACTAACCTACTAGGTATACAGCTGGAGCTGGAATCTGAACCACGTTTTTGTCGCTTTCTCGGCCTACCAGCCTTATTGTAACCGGCTGGTGACAGGGACGGAATACAGTACTAAGAGCCCTCGAACATTGCCCCGGATATTTGCATCTCATACGAAGTACCATTAGGCCGGTTCTTTGGCTGGCCAGTTCTGTGTCTTCGTGTGCTGTTGCTTCATCAGAATCGCAGTCCCATTGCCGAGGGGGAATGAAACTGCAGAAAGATGCCCGCTGCTGGTCAACTCTGCCCAACATCGATCTGTGAAGCCTTGATGATTAGTAATGCACAGTAACAATCCTCGTTGACTTTTGATTTGAAGTTTTGTCCGTCCATCATATAAGTTATTTTAGTGTAGTCCGCCGGCTGCCTCTGTTTCGTATGTATCCTTCGCTTCTGTGAACGGATCCGCTTGCAGAAAGATGGCCGACGAGGATTTTCAACGGTTGTTTCTGATCAACAAGGGCCAATTGGCAGCGCCCTGGGCTGAATCCACCAGGTGCAGGGATATCCTGTCATATGCAGTTTGACAGTTCAGGTTGATAGCGGCTCCCTGGGGGTGAGCAAAAGGTTGCAACGCGATCCGGATTGATGATGTCAATACAAAGTAGGTTCATCAGTTGAATCGCAATCCAGGTCCAGTAATTGAACCCGGTTGGTGTTTGACACTGTTCCCCAGTGTACATACGTACAGGCGCATACCTCGTCTGTTTCGCCGAGTCGTGCATTCCAAAATTTGCACAAACATCGGAGTGCCAGTGGTATGAGATTCGAAGTTTCAAATCTTTCGAGAAGTTTCCCCACATTTATAAGTTCAAAGTTGCCAGTGCCGGCAATGTGAGAGCGCTCTTGAGTAAGTCTCCATCTTCTTTGCCACAAACATCATGCAACAAGATGCCTCGAGCTAGCAGAGTGGAATGCGACTCCATGCACATGACCAGGATGAGCCGGCGACACACTTTCCACTATTCCCCATCAAAGATCGAAGACGACCACGTGCGGTTTGGATGAGAGACGCTGTTGAGGAATAGGCATCGAGAGGGCGAACAGTCATCGCTTCACTATGAACTATCGTCTGTACATCGACCGCCATTGGGCCACTTCGGGAGACATCACGTCCGGGCGGGAAGTTTAATCCTCTGACAAGATTCACCTTAACCTTGGTTCCAGGTTGTAGAGAGTCCTGCTAACGAGCAAGATGAGGAACTCCCCGAGCGTTTGTGCTGTGCCTCCTGCAAAGCTAGTACACAGTACTCCGTAGGTACTGTATTGTACAAGACAGGCGGGCACTTGGCTGAAAAATGTCACAGCGTCCCTGAGCCGAGTGGCGAGTCAGCGACTCTGTCGATGGCTGGAGGCTTGCAGTGGTCCACGACTATGTCCGCCGAATCTCGAGCGTCTGTTAGGGCGCGTGCGGGGTTGCTAAATAAGTCTTGATCTGCATCACGCAAAGCGCAAACAACTCAAGGCAAGATCATCAGCGGCTCTCAGCACGGACACTCCAGCGGTGGATATCTTGAAGCCATCGCCAAAGACCCAGCATCTCCAGCTCGGACCCCATGCTAGCTCGTGCTGCCTTTACCCGTCCTGTGGGGTTTGACGTATCAACTGCTCCTGTCCTGGCCGCATACACTACATAGCTTAGTTACATACAGTATGCACCTCAACTGCACCAAATGATGCACTCCAGCTTCGACCGATATCTCTTCGTTTAGCCAAACAACACCCATTGGATTGCTGAAGAGGTCTGTTGCACCCGTGGCGTGCGTGGGTCCAAAACGAATGCCCCGATGCGGACAGGTGTGGATGCGGCGGCAGCCCCCTGCTGACTAGTGGGGCGGGACCAGGCCCCCCCGGCCACACCCGAATCGGCAACTTGCTAGCCGGCTCGACAGGGATGCTGCTCAACAAGGGGTCTTAGCGGTTTCATTGTCCCTTCTCGTGCAGCTGCTTCTCACCTTGCAGGACGGTCACAGTGTTCCCTTCGCCATGGCCATTCCCTTCTCGGCTCGTTCTCCATGCCCCCGAGCAACCGACAAGGTGTCCCAGACATGGCTGCGCCTCTGTGAGTGAGTGCAAGAGCTTCGCAGAAGAAACAGACGCCTTGTCTCCGACCCTCCTCCTTGTCATTATGGCGTCGAGGCCGAAAGTGCCCCGGTACGGGAGGTACCTTTGGGGATCGCTCAACCTGTCAAGCCAGGGGGTCATCACCGTCCCAGCATCGGTCCCCTTGCTCACACAATCTTGCATTGGAGCACATGGGCTTCATTCCTCTCCGAGCTTTCGCTGCCCTGTCACAGGAACCCAGTCTCGAAGGACCCGCTTAGCCTAGACTGTTGTCGGAGCTTACAAGCACAGTAATATATTATATATCCTCACCACGACCTACCCGCCAGCCCGTCAGTACAGGCGGGAACCTTGACATGTCTCCCGGTCCTTATCCGCACTGCACCTCCTGAGCCAGTGTGTGCCATCTACCTCTTACGCAGACCAGACCCTGCATCCACTCCAATGGCCCACATCGCCAATTGCCTGTTGGACCTGGACTCGGACGATTTCCCAACCAGCCTTGATAATTATATAGCAAAGAACGTCTCCCCGCAGAACTCCAATGAGTCGGTATGCAGCCACTTTATCCTCTCCAGCCAATGTCACGTCCCTTGCCGTTGGTCAAAGCTCACCTGTGTATCCTCTCCAGTTAGGTAGCGCGTCCCCTTCGGGAGACAAACCCTTTGCTTGGAGGATGCAACATCCCGAGAGGAAATACCAACTCTTTCCCAAGGACAGACCAGCGGCCACCGCGCCGTGTAAGGCGCTGGATCCCGAGCAGGCATTTGCGTTGGCCATGGCCCAAAACAGTGATAGGAACGAGAAGACGACTGGCGGGACAGGCTTGAGGATCCGGATCAAGGAGCACAACCTCATCCGCAGGCGGAAGATTAGCGTACCGGAGCTGGGTCCCATGACGACAGTGCAAGAGACTCCTATGGACTCTCGTATGTTGCTGAGCCCCTCTTCGATTCTCCCATCCGCCCCGTGGCTGACACTTGCTAGCTACTATCCCGGGACGACCACCCATTCACGAGAGGTCCATCAGCGCTCCGGGAACTTCATGGAAGCCGTACTGCCTTGGAGACTTCACAATGGCATCGGGAAGGACACAAACGGCAGATGACAAACCCGAGCTTAGATCGGCTTGCAACAGCAATGGGGAGCCGCAACCGCAACGACCTGAAAACGAGGCCCGACAGCCATTATCGCCTAAGATGCTGAGGCCACTCGTGATTCCGACCTCCAACGCACCCGCTCCGCGCCTAGCACGGCAAATCTCCGTCAACCGACTCCGCTCCGGTACCGCGCCCGGCGAAGGGCCGATACGCCCAGCGAGGCCCGAAGACTCTCCTCGGACAAGGACGCCTTTCACGCCACTGTCTGCGTCTTTGACCACGCCACGATCTGCCGCGACGACTGCCATGACAACCTCAACGCTGCCGACTCCGCTATCAGCACCAATCGAGTGCAGAGCATCTCCGAAATCGTGGGAGAAGCCAGTGAACTGTGTTGTCTTGAAAACGGCCAAGGAGACCACGCCAGATGTTTCCACCACGCCAAAGGCGGAGCTCAATGACCCAATGGAGAGCGTTCCCCATTGGCATAGGAGGCACCAGTCCGAGTCGGGAAGCATCATGGAGCGGGGGCGGCCGCGGAAGCGGTCCGAGACGTGCGGGGCTGCTACTGTGAAGCGGACCGGTTCAAAGAGGAGCAAGAGTTCGGATAGGCGAGCGTTCGAACAACTGCCCAAGGGATGGAAGGCAAGCGACGCGGTGAACGTGCTGAGCCCGCCAGAAGTGGCGTCCTTGCACAAGCAGGCTGTTCAGCAGGCGGCTCGTTTCGAAGTCTTGAGGAAGGAGGAGGTTGACTGTCTCTCACGGGTGCGTCCACTCCCATTTCGTCAGTCCCCCTTTGGAGATCCCATTGCTTACTTATCTTCTTATAGGAACTTCGTCATCTAGACGAGCGTACTGAATACCTCCGGCGCACTTACACGTCTCTCCGAGCGGGCAGACGCAATCTGCACACGCGTATCTGCCAGTATCTTCGTTCCCCGCGGACAGCCAAGTTCAGCCACGATTCCATGCTCAAGCAGGAGGAAGCTCTTGCGGAGCTCGATAGCTCCATCGACGAGTGGGTCAACAAACTCGAACAGGCTGAAAATCGCCGCACTCGGGTCCGCCAAAAGCTGCTCGAGCATGTCGCCGCCGCCCTTACTCTGGCTCCTCCCAAGGGAGACATTGTCGGAGTCAGTGAGAGCTTGCAAGCCGCTCTCGGCGTTCGTCCGCTCAATGCCGTCGACCTTTCCACACCGCCCCGTAGCCCGACCAAGGTTTCCAGTCATACCAACTCCCCTTCTTCGCCTTCCCCGCACCGGGTCGCTCATGTGCCGTCCACGATTCTTGAGCAGCCCCTCTCCGAGGAAGCCGCGGCCGCCGATGAAGCCAAGGAAGGTGAAGACAAGGGAGGCGAAACTAAGGCGCCCTTGCGCCGGGCCGAGACCATTCGCATCTACGCCGATAACGACGTCTATGCTCTGCTCGCTGACGTGGAGCACACAATTACCAACATGGGCAGCGGCGACACCTCGGCTAGGGAACCTGCAGAGGCGCTATCGGATGCGGAGCGGAGAAAGCTATGCCGCGCCCTCAGCCACGACGTCTTGAACGGGTCGCCCGCCAAGAAGCCGTTGCCCCTTTCGAAACTGGCCGAGAAACCGTCTTCTTCATCTCTGGCTTCTGCTGTTACGGTCCCACCGGCGGCTGAGCCTGCCACTGAAGAGGTCCCAGTCTACCTCACCAGCGCCGTCTTCAAGCCCTGAGCGCTGAGTTATGTATTCCTTCATCCCATGTGTCGATCCTGATTCCACTGCCATCTCCGAGAGTATGGCGCCCACTTTACACTCTCACTTTCCCCCATCTTTTTTCGCAATGGCGTTCTGGTTTACTACGGTATCATCACGATGCTACGGCCGACCACATGCTACCATTCTCATGTCATTCCTTTCAAGTTCGCATTTTTTATGATACCCTTCTAGTCATTCCTTCAACTCGGCTTTCGACTATTACCTTGTATAACTGAGGACCATCGCTATCATTTGTACTTTTTGCATCTTGCATTCTTCTCCGTTTCCTTCTGTAGATGTATTCCAGCATACACGTTACTTCAAGGGCATCAGGGCGTCTGTGGAGGCAATCTTGATTCCGATCTGAAAAGGCCCTGTTCACTTCGTCACGGCCGGAACTATAGCATGACGTGCCTGGTGCTCAAAGGGCAAGGTAGTCATTAGCAACGATACCAGCGGGGGATAATTCATATTGGACTCTTTCCACATTCGTCTCTATCTGTGTTCACGACACTAGTTACCCCTCATAATGCAATATGATCACCTAAGTGTACCGAGCCGGAAAAAAAGCCAGGGTGGTCCGAGTGAGACAGGTCTCGGAGGGGCGCAGGATCTTGGAAAAGGGGTGGTCGTGTGAAGGGTCAGGAGAAGGGGGTCTTGCGTGTTCTCTCGAGGTAGAATCTCACGCACAAGGTTCTGCCTGTCTTCGTTCACAGGGAAAGCAAACTCCATGCTATGTATGTACCGTACCGTACGAACCTGTGAGTCCACTGGGAGCAAACACTCGGTTTCTACCCCGTACTACTGTGTAGGATCCGCGAGTCAAACACGCATCTCCGGACCCAGATCATTACCGTGACCTATATCCATAATCATACGCTGCCATGCACCGCATGCTTTGTATTGTACTTACTACAAGACATGGCTCCGGAAAAGTATATGCTCTGAGAGCCCGAGCCTTCGGACTCTGAAAGCTCGGGGCACCCCAATGTCTCGCACATTCTCCCTCCTCTGCTGTGGTGCTGTGTAACGGGTGCGCTGCATGTCAATGGCGTAGGTGGCATATCCTGTCTCAGCTTGGTTACCCCATGCTGCTTTGTTTGTATTCTAGAATCTGCACATCAGTTACCTACAACCCGAGACTGAGGTTATAGTTAAACACCTTGGAGTCTCTGCTCGCATAGTTACAGCATCTAAACAACCCCCCTCTCCCTATTCCCCCCTCCAACCACGCCGGCTCCCCAAACACACCCTGTCAAGAGTGTGACAGGCACTTCACCCAAACAAAAAAAAAAAAAAAAAAAAAAAAAAAAAAAAAAAAAAAAAAAAAAAAAAAAATTGAACTCAGTCCTCGGTGATGCCGTCCCCTGCCAGCTTGGCAAAAGTTCTAAAAGAGTCTCAAAAAAGTTTTCACGAGTCTTTACACTAAACTACGGATCTTGTCTCGAGTCATGTCTCCTGCGTGTGGATAGTACTGCGGATTAAGGGGGCGCGAATATTCTCAAGTTTGCCTTTTGTTTGCTTCCAGTCGTTTCCGGGTATTCCCAGTATAACTGACTCGTTTGTATTGTGCAAGAACGGAACCCGTTGTTCAGATGAGAACATAACTGACTCGCGACAAAAGGGGAGTGTTGTACATTGACATGGGGGCGACGTCGAGGTTGTGGACCGCCCGGGACAGGTACGGTACATGTTTTGAGGAGGGGAAGTTGAAGAATCGCATATGAATGGTTAGCGGAGTGTATTTTGTACACTACAAGCACGTGTAAAGTTGTGTTGTCGTGCGAATGTGTTGGCTTACGACATGAAATTCCCTTCCATTGTCCACTGCATCTAGAAACTGAAGCTACGGTGAAGCCAGCCCGGTGATCAAAGACAGGATCTCTCACTGCTCTTGGCCCACTTTATTCCGTCTGCACTGCTTTGTGTACTCCGAGCCGGAAGTGACCGTATCAAGCTTCCCCTGACACATCATCAAGCCAGCTCGAGCGCGGGAAAGAGGGATTTGGGGGGGCCGCTCTTCGTCCTCAAACTCCTCAATTGGATCACTGTTGTAGTTAGGGAGTGCCCGAATATCCGCTCGGCCATCGTTAGCCCGCTTCTTTGGCCGACCTCGCTTCCTCTTTGACAAGGTGATGCCAACACCAGGCCCTCCCACCAGGTTGGGCTGTGGCGCGTTTGAACGGCGGCCCACGAAGGATTTGGGCTGGACAAACCGGAAGTATTCTCCCGGCGTCCCAGTTTCACTGGACGCAACATGGGAGCGAGCGGGTGCGACCGCTAGCGAGGTTGTTACCGAAGGCGGACCAGCGCATGGCTCTGATAGAATACTCTCCTTGCTTTGCACAGATCCCGGCCCGGTAACATCTGAGCTACCAATAGCATTTGCTACCGACACGTTGCTGCTACCCGCATTGACCTCAACACTGGGGGCGTGGGCAGGGCTCGAGATGTCCATCGCTGGTTCCGACTCATGGTATGCGGCTTCGAGGCTTGAAAACGCGTCGTTGAGAGGGTGTGCGTCTACTGGATCGGATGGTTCATCATAAGGAGGCGCGATTAGTGTGCCGACAGTTGCACTGTTGCTGTTCGCATCTGAATCAGGTCTATCGTCAAGGAAAGCTGGTGAAGTTGATTGTTGCAGATTGCCTATCGCTTCGTGTCTGGCATCTTCGAAGGCCGCCTGACCGAGTTCTTCGCTGCCCTCATTGCCGAAGACGAAGCTTTTCCACGCATCGTCGGGGTCGGATTTCTCTGACACCGCAGGCCCTTGTCGTACGGCCAGAACCTCTTGAGCACTTGAGTAGTTGGGAGGTGTGGTGTTGAGATGGGCAGTATCACCATCGCCAGTAACCAGAGAGTCAAGGCCCTGTTTGTTGGCTTCGAAAGGCAGACTGGCATTTGTCTGCACATTGTAAACAGCGGGGTACGCCGTACCCCCCTCGCGAGTGTGGGTGTCATCGCTCAGTTGCCCAACATCGATGTTTGCTTCGACAGCATGCTCACTCGTCGGATTGCTATGCACAGGTGTATCGGGTCGTTCAAGCCGCCGTAACCGAGCAATAAACTCTTCGTACCGACTCAGTATCTGGGAAGTGTCACTAGAACTAGGAAGCTTGCTGGAATCTCGTGGCTTTCGCAGGTTGTCACGGTCAAGCTCCCCTGGAAGTGAACCACCCGTGCGGTCCGGAGACTGAGGGTCTTGCTTCAGTCGACGAATCTCACTGACTCCAGGACTCACCCTGTTCTCGACGGATAGACGACTCCCTTCGACCGCGACATCACTGCTGACAGGGCTGCTGGACTCATGCAACAACTTGTGCCATTTGGCATTATCGATCTTCTGGGATGATGGCACGGGCGATATCGCCCGCCCGACCTGCGCGACGGCGGTGTCGGTAGTCTCGGAATCGAACCGGTCTAGGAAGGAAACGACCTCCGGGATGGGCCGTAATGAGAGCGGATGAGAGAGGGAGGGGAACGATCTCAAGATTCGACCGTCGGCAGAACTCGAGATGCAACAACGCCCCTCATCCCTTTCATCCCGATGATGACTTGGCAGTCCTCTCCCTGGGAGCATGGAACGTGGCAGTCGCTCCTCACCTTGGTACGGACTGTCCGAAACCGAGATACCTATCGGGCCGTCAGTACAAGAGTCGACGCAACGGGAGTTGTGGAAATCGTGCCATTTGTGGTTCCTGACACCGGTTGCCTGACTAGCCTTCCGGGTTCTCGCTGCGGCGAATTGCGGACCGAAATGGTGGCTCGCGACCTCGTCACGCTGGAGCTTTCTCCCGGGCGCTTCTCCTGGCTCCCAATTCGAACCGTCACGTCATGACGGTCCAGGAAATATGTGTGTTGCTTCTCACGTCTCAGGGCCTGGTGTCTGTCGTTGAGTAGATGAGACCGCCTTTTCCTGATCCCTTGCGGACTTGCAGTTGGGCTCTGAATATGCGATCTAGTAGCTGAGCGCTTCCTGGGAGAACTTGGTAGAGGCTGGCGAATGGTTCCCTAGTCCTTCTTCGCGAGCAGCTTCTGCCTCATTCGCTCCAGTGCCTCCTCGTCATATTGAATAGGTGAGGCAGCGGACTCTACGGCGCCGGAATATTCCTGCAGAAAGCGGCTGATGGTTGGCAGCGGGGTGTCGTGAGGAGTGCTGGCTGTGACCTTGCACCACTTCCTGTCCGGCTCGGCAGTCCGTCGGCTTGGTGGTCGGGAGGCATGGCGGCCGGCAGAAGACGCAGACCTATTTGAGGTCTGGGAGCGCCGAGACAAAGGGGAGCTGTTTTGAAGATACGAGATCGGAGGCGGGCCGTTCTCTACTGCAGCCTTTTGCTCCGCGTTGCGGGCACGGGCACGAGCGAAGTACTCCTTCTGGCGTTGACGGTCCGGATTTACTTTCCTCAGCCGGCCGCGTTTGTGTCGATAGAGGGCACCCTCGGTCCAGTTCATGATGGCGATTTCAGGCGTTAAAGATGAAGTTGCGTGGTTTATCTTTCCTTTAGGGGACACGAGATTACAGGGTCACCGGATCAGCTCATCAGCAGGTGATCTGGCGGACAACTCCGAGGACTAGGGGTTTGTGAGAAACATCAGTTCAGATCTTAGTGCTAGGAGGAGGTTCGATGTTAGAGGATCCTCGAAAGTTTTGAAGTAGAGTATACGGTCGACATGTCAAGCCAGGGGAAGCTAAACCCAGGATCATTGGCGTCAAGACTCAAGTTGTGCATCGGCTCGTTCCTTCCGTCGTTACCCGCTGTCCCGCGCCGCCAGATGGGACCCACTCGTCAACACCCCGCGCCGATGACCTTCCGAACGCCGAGAGGGAGTAAAGCCCACCGGAGCCTCTTCCATCCAGCCCCCCGCTTACCTCCGCCATGCTAGTAATAACAACAGCTTGGAGGACGTTCCGCGTCCTCGCAAACTCCCTTGCCCGACCATCCTGCCGCCACCGCGCTTCTCTATTGAAACGGACCCTCCCACCATCAATAGCCCCGCTCTTCCGCACAATGGCGTCATCAGCAGCAACACACTCCCCGGTCCTCAAACAGTCAGTCAAGCTTGCCTGCGTGCAGCTCGCCTCTGGCCCGGACAAGACGGCCAACCTCCTGCACGCCGCCGACAAAGTCCGCGAGGCAGCCTCCGCCGGCGCCAAGATCGTCGTGCTCCCGGAATGCTTCAACTCCCCCTACGGATGCGATCACTTCCCCCGCTATGCCGAGACGCTCCTCCCGTCCCCTCCGTCGCGGGACCAGAGCCCGTCCTTCCACGCGCTCTCCGCCATGGCGCGCGACAATGGCGTCTACCTCATCGGCGGCTCCATCCCCGAACTCGCAACCACCACGGGGGAGGGCGAGAGCGAGAAGAAGACGTACTACAACACCTCACTAACCTTCTCGCCCACGGGCGCGCTGTTGGCGACGCACCGCAAGGTGCACCTCTTCGACATCGACATACCGGGCAAGATCACGTTCCGGGAGTCGGACGTGCTCTCGCCGGGGAACAAGCTGACGGTAGTCGACCTGCCCGAGTACGGCCGCGTGGGCATCGCCATCTGCTACGACGTGCGGTTCCCGGAGCTGGCCATGATTGCGGCGCGCAGGGGGTGCTTTGTGCTGATCTACCCGGGCGCATTCAACATGACCACGGGCCCGCTGCATTGGCAGCTGCTTGCGCGGGCGAGGGCGGTGGATAACCAGGTGTATGTGGCGCTGTGCAGTCCAGCAAGGGATCTGACTGCGGGTTATCATGCTTGGGGTCATAGTGTTGTGGTGGATCCCATGGCGCAGGTGCTGGTGGAGGCGGAGGAGAAGGAGGCTGTTGTAGTTGCGGACTTGGACGGGAACAAGATTGAGGAGGCGAGGAAGGGGATTCCATTGAGGGATCAGAGGAGGTTTGATGTCTATCCTGACGTGAGTCAGGGCAAGGTGAACTTCGAAGAGCCGTAGGGTGCGTTGTAATCGCAGTATTTGTGGTCACACGAAGACTCGCTGTGTCCCCTTGGAAAGGGAAGAGCTGGTCTATTCCGGGCTTTCGCCCTCCTCCCATGGCCTGCCAGCCTTCTGTGGCAGTCTGGCGGTCTATGCCAAGCACCGTCGTCTATCTGCTAATCCAGCAGCCTTCGGCATCGTTCTGATGCTCGCTGCAACCCCCTTTTCCTGTTGGGCTTCTTAAATCAAGCCAATGGCCCCGAGCTTGCTTCAACACGTCATCGTCCCGCGATTCATTGCAGAGCCTCCTGAGCAAAGGTGGGAAGGATGAAGCTGGCCCTGTGGATCTCGGAGTTGTAGTACTTGCACAGCTTACGTTCCTCCTCCTTGGTCCACGAGCGGAGAGGCTCCCGGACGTTGCGGTTCGCGTCCTTGCAGCAGACCATGAAGCCGATCTGACCGGACGGGTAGGTCGGGATGGTGGTGTAGGCGTATTCAGCAACAGGGAAGATCTCCTTGCAGTCCTTCTTCAGCTTGGTGATCAGGGGTAGGTGGAGCCATTGGTTCTCGGCTGTGTCCAGGAGTTAGCCAACGTGATAGCGTCCAACGGTGTCAACGCGTACGGAGTAAGAGAGATCTGGGAGAATCATGTGTTGGACTACAAGAGTAAAACGAGAAGTGAGATAAGCGGGCAGGAGGAAACGAGTTGGCGGAGCCGAAGAAAGAGAAAAGGAGGGAATTCGTCACAAAGGTGAAAGCCGAGACGAACTACCACTCGGTAGCCTCCTGAGAGATGACAGAAGATGGGATCAGGCAAGTTGAGTGCCTGGCCCGGTATAGGTGGACATTCCTCCCAGGTCTCGACTTTCGTAGAGTAAATGAGACATACAACCTTGGGTGGTGATAACGCCGCCCTCGCGGAGGGCATCGTGGAGCAGCTGAAAGTAGGGCTTCTGGAAGAGCGACTCGGCCGGGCCTTCGGGGTCGGAAGAATCCGTGATGATGACATCGAAAGTGTTCTTGTAGTCGTCGAGGAACTTGAAACCGTCGCCAACGTGGACCTTCACCTTGGGGTGGTTGAAGCCTGCTGACATGGTCGGGAGGTACTGCTTGGAGAGGCGGATGACGGCCTGGCAAACATGTCGGTACGCGGCACAAGACTTGTGTTGGTGGCCCAAAAAGGAGCAGGAGGCTTACCTCGTCGATGTCGCACAGGATGGCCTCCTCGACACATTCGTGCTTGACAACCTCGCGGAGCACACCGCCGTCACCGCCACCAATAACCAGGACCTTCTTGGGGTCGGGGTGCGAGTTCATGGCAAGATGAGTGATCATCTCCTGGTAGGAGAACTCGTCCCGCTCAGTGCACTGAATGACATTGTCCAGGACCAGCACGTTGCCGTGGTTGGTGGACTCGAAGATGAGCACATCCTGGTACTGGCTCTTCTCATGGTGCAGGACCTTCTTGACTCGGAGGGTCATGGCCTGGCCTATCGAGGTGGATGGTCAGCGCCAGGGGTCCCGTCTGATGGAGGTAATCTGATGGATGACTTACCGGGCCACATTTCCGAGATCTCACGGAACCAGCCATCTATTTGCCCGCCCGACCTGGTCAGCAATGCCTCACTTGAAAGAACAGACGAATGTGTGAGTGCAAGGCGGTGATGTGCGTGATTGGATGGCTGCACCATGGCCACCCTCTGAGGCTGCCCGTGTGAGGCACAATCCGCCCGTTGGTGCCCTTCATGCTGCGAGTGTGGTGATACGGAACGGCACCGCCTGAACTCGGAAACCTCCGCGGCCGACAATGGCGAGAGCGGCGGCAGAATGGGGAGTCGGAGTTTAGCAGTGCCGGCAGTGCAGGCAGTGCAGGCAGATACACAGGTAGGGGGACTATGAAGGGAAACAGGTGGCCGGGGTCTGGACAATATCCGTTGGGAATGGCGGGGTAGCTGCGTATCGACCAAATCCCACGGTATGGACGAGATGGAGGAGACAACGAGGGGGGGATCGTAACATACCCTTAATGGTAGCGTGCGTGATATCACCCATCTTGCGAGAATGCCCTAGGCGGAAATGTCTTGCAAAGGCAGAGTTGTTGACTTGAGGCGGCTTGGGGAGGAGCCGTCGTAAGCAGAGCAGAGGTAACTTGAGCTGAGCCAGTGATGTCGAGGCGGGGTAGTGTGTAATGTAAGCTGTCTGTGTGTGAGTGCTCTTCTCTATGTATGAGTGTGACTTCAAGTTTGCAAAATTTTCGTCCTGCGGCCGCGTTTCTCAGATCCGACCGATGCAGTATGAGCGAATAAAAATCGCTACACGGAATAGTTAAACCCTCAAGTGGCCGGAACCAATGATGACCGGAAGGTGGAGAGCAGGCTGTGAACATCCAAACATCTCCTGAACGGGCAACTGGAGAAGTCAACATTCGCGCCGCAACTCGCCGCAGTGTTGCATCAGACCGAGTGTCTTTTTATACTTCCCGTTCCGCTGCATACCGTCTTTTGGGATAGAGGTCCTCATTGTTTCTCAGCGGATTCGGGGACCTCATGGACAAGTTCCATGTATCTGATGAATCCGAAATGCCGGCCCCGCTGAGTGCCCAAGGCCGCCGCATGCCCCGCTTTGAATTCTTCGGCAGGGCAGGCAGACCGACAACGGACTCGGCGGTGTTTGGTCGGTGAATACCGTACCCGAACCGGCCTAAGCTAACTCACCATGCATCACCAAAGCACTGTTCGCCGGACCATGCGAGGTTCAAGTCGTGGTTGGAGACTGCTAATGCTTCTAGCTTTCCCGTTCCCAACACCCTGGCGAGCTGAAGATACCACGGATACCAACAACGGTGAACTAGCCCCGAGTGTACGACACATCCTGTAGCCTGTTTAATATGTGGCTTGTACGGTAGTACAGGACGGCTGTCACTTCTTGTCAGCACGACGGAGACCAACCGGGAGCTGGTTATCGCACTTCCAGCGGCACGTGCTCCCCTACAGTACGTACAACTTACTCACTGTCGGCTTATATCTGACTGCCCACGCCGCTGCCCGTAACGATGTGAGATGGGTAAATGCTGCTTGATGTCAGGCACGACAGCATTTATATAGGTAGATTTATCGAGCGCCAGTGGCGTCCGCAACAAAGACGCTTCTGGCAGCTATGCGATACATCACCGACTGCTCATTTGTCGTCCATTTTTCAAGGTCATGTATTGTACAATACAGACCAGGAATAGTAAGGTCTCACAGTAATATATATGCATGTATGTATGTCAACATGTACAGATCCGTACTATATTCTTATTTAAGAGAGAAACGTCAACTGGAGCGGTGGAAAGGAACCTTCAACTCAACTCGACCAACGCTGGTAACAACGGACTCCGCATGGCGGCCATTTGCATCAATTTTCAACATCCCCAGGAGCAGTGGAAACTCGCGTGGCATCGCGTGTGGGGTCTGACAGTAGCTTGTGGAGACTCGGGCAGCGCTTTGACCAACCGCATGCCGCAGCCGCGGTATTTCGAAGAATGGTCCGCGATTGGCTAAACGCTTGTCCGGACCCGCCGTTCTCTTTCTCTCATGCCAACGCCGATGCACGAGAGTCCCATGTCCACATGGGGCGTACCACAGAAATTAGGGGTTGAGCATCAAGTTCCACTTTCCGTGCCCGTTGCCGCGCGACATCTTCCACCGAGAGATAGTGTATTGTACGGCCAGATACCGATAGGACGTGCCCGCAAACTCAGGGGCTCGGCGATTCAAGGATGAGAGAGAAACCGTTAGCTCGCAGGCACAGATATCACACTGGGAATTGTGAATCCTAATCGGATTCAAGGACCTGTATATAGGACTGTGTTTTGCAAGTTTTCACTGGGGAATGAGACTTCGAGACAACCCTACACTACGAATCGCTGATGTCGATTTCTCCCTGCCATCCCGCGCACCCGGAAAGGGACCAGGTTCGGATTGCACGGACTAGCCATGCGGAGCTAGTTTAAACAGTCTGCAAAACCGCTGGCACGTTCTGAAAATGGAGCCATTTGGTTGCGATCGACCACTTGTGGCCGTTGACGACCGGCGTGGGCGGGAGAGCCCGATGGTCCCGTTCTTGAGGTCGATTTGTGCGTTCCCTTACCACAAAACAACGGGCCTTATGTACACTAATACACAGGAGGGTGAGGTCGAGTCGGACCGTGCCGGACTCGGATGTCTTCAAAACAACGTGGTTTGGGGAAGAAATGTGGAAGCAGTGGAAAAGATGGTGTGGATCTAGGTAGGCAGAAAGCCACATGTGGGCTTGCCGGGCCCACCCTTGCTTGTCGCGGGAAGAAGCAATGGACAAGGGCGCCGAGACGCCACGCCGACATGGGGTCTGGTGCGCGCGGCAGCAGATGATTTTAATACGTAGGGGGTGGTCGCACCTTGTTCTGCGCCCCAAGTAATGTTGTATGCACCTCTTCGTCTTCGACTGGCTCTTTCTTTTTCGTGTCTAGAGTTTCAATGCCGATAACTCACACAACGTTCTTTGCACCTCTTCAGCCGTACCTCGTACGCTTGTCTCGCTCTTCCTCCTCGCCTGAAGTCGACTGATCCCCGATCACCAACACCTGCGAGAGCTTATTACCTACGGTACACAATACCTGAATCCAGGCGTCTGGGAGAAGAAGCACCACGAAAGTCGGATGGAGTAGCAGGAACATAATCACTCTAGCTTTCCATTGACTTGCGTTTGCATCTGCATCGATCGCGCGGTGACTGGGTTTCACACAGCTCGGAGAAGCTCTTCGGCAGCTCCCGTATCGGCGTGTTTCAAATCGCTCCGTCTCTACCTCTTAGCACCCGCACCTGCCCCGCCGGCATCATCCCACTAACCACTACTCGCGAACTTGGACGGACGCCGGTGGACTTTCCACTGAATCTGACGTTCGGGATTGGATTTGGGATTTTGACTACGAGGTGAACGTTTTCCGAAGAACGACATCACGATGTGTTTCGGGAGTCGCGGCAAGAACGATGAGGAGGGCGCTGCCCGGTCTCGGGAGTTGGATAAGATTATTCGCGCGGACGAGAAGAAAATGTCCAAGGAAGTGAAGCTGCTACTTCTAGGTGAGGACTGGTCGTCCCTTAGCCGGGGGATCGTCGCAAAATTGACGTTTGGGGAATACAGGAGCCGGAGAATCCGGGAAGTCGACAGTGCTCAAGCAGATGAAGCTCATCTATGCGCAAGGGTTCAGCAAATCCGAAAAGATGGAGTGGAAACCTGTTGTGTTCACAAACATAATCCAGTCCTTCCGGCTCATCTTCGATGCGATGAACGACATGAATCTCAAGTTCGAGAACGCGGACAATGAGGTGAGCTGCCGCGTTCTCTTGCCCATGTCTGGCACAGAGGCCACCCACATGCTTACTCGCTGTCTGGACAGAAAAACATGGCCCAAATCATGGTCGACTACGAGATGACGGCGCACGAGCCGATGCCCGAGGAGTACTTGGAGCCCATAAAACAACTGTGGATCGACGCGGGTGTCAGGAAGGCTATGGAGAAGGGGAATGAGTATGCCCTACACGACAACTTGGATTAGTAAGTTGGAAGCGATGCGTTAGGTCCGGCGCGCGGCAACTGACAGACTTCCTTCAAGCTTCTGCGATGACTTGGAGCGGATTTGGGATAAGGACTACGTGCCCACAGACCAGGATCTCCTGCGGTCAAGACTAAGGACAACCGGCATCACCGAAACCATCTTCGAGCTGGGCCAGCTCACTTACCGGATGTTCGACGTGGGTGGTCAGCGGTCGGAGCGAAAGAAGTGGATCCACTGCTTCGAGAACGTCAACTGTTTATTGTTCCTGGTGGCCATCTCCGGGTACGACCAATGCTTGGTAGAGGACAAGGACGGCGTATGTACTTGGGACCCTGTTTGCGTGGAGCGGTGGGGGTGACTAACAGGGCATGCCACAGAACCAAATGAACGAAGCGCTGATGCTGTGGGAGTCGATCGCCAACTCCCACTGGTTCACCAAGTCAGCGCTCATCCTCTTCCTCAACAAGATGGACCTGTTCAAGGAGAAGCTTTCCAAGAGCCCGATAACAGAACACGGTTTCAGCGACTACCACGGACCGCCGGATGACTGGAAAGCGGCCAGCAAGTACTTCATGGACAAATTCCGGGCACTGAACAGAAATCCGGAGAAGGAGATCTACGGCCACTTCACTAATGCGACCGACACAAACCTGCTCAAGCTCACGATGGGTTCTGTACAGGACATGATCATCCAAAGGAACCTGAAGCAGCTCATTCTGTAAGAGGCGATATTCACACATTCAGGAACTCTTTTCTTTCCTCATCCTTGCGGGGCCCCAAAGGCTTTACGGTCAACGCAGCACCATGCGCCAGGCGCAGGCGCAAGCAACCGTGTAAGGCATCCAGGCCGGAGTGTTTGTTACTCACTCGGCCAAGGTTGCGAACAACAGCCGGGCCCCTTTTTGCACGTTTTCATGATCTTTATGATACCATTCTTGCAAGTCTCAATTCACACAAAGTGCTGCCCTACCTAACACTGGTGACTTGTTGATAGGGTTTAATTGATGCGCACTCCACTACCGCGAGCCCGATTCCTGTCGAGATGATTTTCAGCCACATTGCTTTCCAAATCTTCTCTTTGTACGTATAGGTGCTAGCGGCATGGCCATTTGTTTTCGTCTTGTCTATATTAAGAACTTGGTACGGTACGGAACACTGGGTGGATTCTTGCGTTCATCATCCCACAAACGACCGCCAGCAGGAACCGCCGATCCCGCTACCCGAAGCAACTTTCTCGGCACTATCCGCTCGCTCTACTTTCAAAGATTCGGATTATTATATACCACATGTGCGCGGAGCTCTGGCTGGCTGGTATTACTGGCCTGGCTCCGTGGTTGACGGTAGAGACGGAGCGTGATGACCAGTTATTAGACAGAAAGATGGATGGGGGAAAGGGGTGGTTTACCCAATCAATAATACACCCTACCCGGGCTGTGGAGAAGGGGGCCTCGGTTCTGGTCTGCGGTCCTGGACGCCGACGCCGCCGGGCCGGGGGATGGGGTGGATATGAGAACGACACTGGCGTCACAGCGGCTTGAACGCTTTTACCATGGTGTAATGTATGGTACACGTGTATGTAGTGGCCTGGTATTGTGGTATATTGCACAAGGGGCAGAATCTGGCTTGGCTTGCGATCAACTGCATGAAGCGATGGAGGCAATCAGAGACGAAACGCCAATACTGGTATGTTAACTTTCAACATGGATTTATTCCTACGCATGCTCCCTGTCCATAAGACTCCCATCCGGCCGGAAATAATGTGGGTTGATCAGCGTTTTTGATGTGGAGGTCTTGTCGTCGCTTGGTAATAAAGCCCCGTGGATGGTAGCGCTCTTGTGGGGGCAATGACATTCGCTTTCGGCTTGTGCCCGAGACAGCGCACGTGTATGTCGGCAGTTGCTGGGATGTATTCGCGATAAGTCAACTACAGGAAATGATACAGGCTCGAGACAGGCTTGTGATAACCCAGTTCCAGGCGCAGCATCCTAAATATTTTCTTACGTGTGCTGGTGCTTCGTTGATCGCCTCGCCGAGGGAGCCTTTCCCCTGCTAGGGCAACCTTCCCGCAGATCAGCGCCTCGTTCTCTGGGCTCGATTTGTTGCTTTTCGGCAGCCGGCCAGGCCCTCCGGAAGCCGTGATAGTGGGGGGTGGTCTGTGGTAACTCCACGTAGTGTACGGAAGACGCTACCAAAAGAAATGGTACACAGCCCGATTTGGCCTAGCGGGTTACAGCGGGTTTTCTGCCAGGCAGAACCACTGAGCGCTAAAAGGCGGTGTCCCATTTCTTTTGGTAGGGTCATCCGTACACAGCAGTTATCTGATGGACCCGAGGATCTGGTGTTACGCGGTGGACTGTTTTCTTCCTTTTCTACATATGTTCCCGGGATGGCGGTTCCAGTCCGCACGGATGGAGTTTGATTTGAATGTGGCTGATGGGAGCTTGCATAAGGCTTGTGCTTCCGAGCTGTGAATCCTGGAGTATTGCGCATCATAGGACGGATGACATTTTGACTGCTCTGTGGAGGACTATTCTGTTTCCTTATTAGTTCGTACCCTGATGTGAAACATTAGATTTTGTGGCTTGCAGAACACCATCAGACGCCACCATGCAAGAGGATGAACTGGTTTAAACATGGCTGACCACCAATTGACCAAACCGCAGGCGCTTCCCCACGACCACGGCCCGATCGCAGCGAAGAGCACCATACCACCGCGTCAACAGCTGTTGTTGCTGTCTTAATAACACAAGCTTGAGGGCAGAAATGAGAGAGAGACATATAACGAAGTTTACCAGAGTTTTGCAATCACAGCAAAGCTACCACAGTTGACTATCTGCCGTCAAATTTCCGTCCTTTTAAGAAATATCCCAACTCCAGGGGGGCTTGGCCCAGTGTTGCTCGGGTGATACCTGAGGCAAAGTAAACAGTGTCCAGCGCACCTTCTCTGAGCTTGAAATCCCACGGCATGATACCGCTTGGGACCCGCCCCAGCTTTCAGAACGAATTCATGTTTTGTGTTAGTACTGATCGCTGAACATCGAGCAACGAAATCAGAGTAAATGCACAAATTATAGTTTCTGTTTCGCTGGGAATTTCGCTACGTATGCTTCCCCCCTGACCTGCACTCCACGCTCGTCAACTCGTCAACTCTCGCCTACTCCACAGCCAGCACAATGGCGACGAACTCCGCCAGAAAGCCCCTCATGAGGGACACCGCTGTCGCCGCCGCGGCGACCCCGAAGACTATGAGCACTATCTCTCAGCCACATGTCGCCGCCACGAGCAGTTGACAATCAAAGCTGACGCGGCGCTTCCCCTTCCTCAAGACGAAGCGCGGCATTGCCATCCTCATCGCCGTCATCCTTGTCATCATCGGCGGCGGCCTGGCGGGTCTTGCCGCACTTCCCAAGAACAGCAAGAGCCAGGCGGCTGCGGCTGACCAGCAGAGTGAACATGACGGGGAGATCACGGATGACACATATTTCTACGGCCAGTCGCCGCCGGTCTATCCTTCGCGTGAGTGTGCCCTTTCTCCTCAATGGCGAGAGTATATGTGGGGAAGAAGGGCAGGAGGGCTGACCGATGGCCGGCCGCAGCGAACATGACGGGTTCCGGTGCCTGGGCGGAGGCGTTTAGCAAGGCCAAAGATTTGGTGGGGCAGATGACGCTTGAGGAGAAGGTATGTACAAGACTACAAGTGCATGTACATGTATTATGTAAACGACGCGGCCAAGGACTGGCGTCTTGCTGGTGACGATGATCTGACTGGACGGGTTTAGCTCAACCTGACTTCAGGCGTCAAGTCGAACACCAGCTGCCCTGGCTTTCTGCCTGCCATCGAGCGCCTAGGTTTCCCTGGCATGTGCCTAGGAGACGCGGGCAATGGACTCCGCGGTACTGACTTTGTCAGTAGTTGGCCGAGTGGCATCCATGTCGGTGCCAGCTGGAACAAGGCGTTGGTTCGTGAGCGAGGCGCCGGCATGGGAGGCGAGTTCAAGACCAAGGGCGTGAATGTCCTGCTGGGACCTGTTGTTGGGCCCGCTGGCCGGGTCGTGCTCGGCGGCAGGAACTGGGAAGGTAGGACAACGCGCAGAATGTTGGTGCAATAGTACGGTCGCTGACACACGCCAGCCTTTTCAGCAGATCCCTACTTATCGGGTGCTTTGGTGCATGAGACGGTGTCGGCGGTGCAAGCTGTTGGCGTGATCACCAGTACCAAGGTGCGGTTCCCCAGGCGCGGGCAAGTGAGAGAAAAAAGCTCGCTGACGCCCATCTCCGCATTCTCCAGCACTACATCGCCAACGAACAGGAGACAAACCGAAATCCATCCGGGAACATAACATCAGTCTCGTCGAACATTGACGACAGGACGATGCATGAGCTATACCTGTGGTATGTTCATAACTGCCCGGCTATCTCTCCCTCTTCTGACGTGTTCCCAGGCCCTTTCAGGACGCTGTTCACGCCGGTACCGGCAACATCATGTGCTCGTACAACCGACTCAATAACTCGTATGGGTGCGCCAACAGCAAGTCGCTCAATGGCCTTCTCAAGACAGAGCTGGGATTCCAGGGCTGGGTTGTCAGTGACTGGGATGCCCAGCATTCCGGAGTTGACACAGCCCTGGCAGGCATGGACGTAACTATGCCTAATGACGGCCATTGGGGGTCTCGCCTTGTGGAAGCCGTCAACAATGGTTCGGTTCCGGAGAGCCGGGTCGACGATATGGTGACAAGGTAATTCGATGCTTCAGACCTCCGCTGCTTCTTGCTGACAACGGTAGGACTATTGCAGCGTGGTACCAAATGCGCCAGGATCAAGACTTCCCGCAACCGGGGATCGGCATGGCAGCCGACCTCACCAAGCCCCACCGGATCGTTGATGCGAGGAACTCATCTTTCCGCTCGACTTTACTCAATGGCGCAGTCGAGGGCCATGTCCTTGTCAAGAACATACGCAATGCCTTACCCCTTGACCGACCGAAGATGCTGTCCATCTACGGGTACAGCGCCAAAAACCCCGATCACAACTATCCCGCCGGCGGCAACTCGCCCTGGCTCTTTGGCTCCGAGTCGTTCAACTACACCGAGTTTGGCAACGGGTTCTTTGGCGGGTCCAGCGACTTCGGCCACGCAGCGATTGCCATCAATGGCACCATCTACTCCGGCGGCGGTTCCGGAGCCACCTCGCAGTCCACCGTCATCTCTCCCTTCGATGCCCTCGTCCAGCAGGCCTATGACGACGGGACCGCGCTCTTGTGGGACTTCGCTAGCGGCGAGCCCGTGGTTGACCCCGTCTCCGATGCCTGCCTCGTCTTCGGCAACGCGTACGCGACCGAGGCGGCCGACCGCCCCAGTCTTCGAGATGACTACACCGACGGGCTCATCAAGCGCGTCGCAGACCAGTGCAACAACACCATCGTAGTCCTGCACAACGCCGGCATCCGGCTGGTCGACCAGTTCGTGGACCACCCCAACGTGACGGCCCTCATATTTGCCCACCTCCCAGGAGAAGCCAGCGGCCGGGCGATCGTTTCGATTCTGTATGGGCAGTCGAACCCTTCGGGGAAGCTTCCCTACACGGTCGCCCGCAACGAATCGGACTACGCCGTGCTCGGCCCTGACCAGCCCGAGGGCATGTTTGCGAAGTTCCCGCAGAGCAATTTCACCGAGGGTGTCTTTGTCGACTATCGGCATTTCGACGCGAGGAATATCACGCCGCGGTATCCCTTCGGTTTTGGGCTGAGCTACACGAGTTTCAACTACAGCAACCTGTCCGTGGTAAAGGTGGAGGATGGGAACTTTGATGAGTACCCCACGGGCCAGGTCGTCGAGGGCGGCCAGGAGGACCTGTGGGATGTGCTGGTGAACGTGTCGGCCGACGTGTCCAACACGGGCGGAGTGGATGGCGCCGAGGTTGCGCAGTTGTATGTGGCCATTCCGGCCGAGGGTGCCCCGATACGCCAGTTGAGGGGGTTTGAGAAGCCGTTCCTGAACGTGTCGAGCAAGGCGACGGTCACCTTCGGGCTGACCCGGAGAGATCTGAGCGTGTGGGACGTGGTGGCGCAGAAGTGGAAGCTGGTGAGAGGCGAATATACCATTGAGGTCGGCGGGAGCAGCAGGGACCTACCGCTTGTTGGGAAGGTCACGATTTAATGAGTAATACGGGAGCGGATAATGAGCCTACGGTTATGCGATGAAGGACGCACGAAAGCAGGGCATGACTGATGGGAATGGTAACGATTACGAGCGTATAGGATTTATTGTATGGTCCGGTATTGTTTGTCGGCGTTTCTGAGGGCCTAGAATATATAGTAGTAAACCAGGATGATATGTTTAGTATAGCCTGTGGCCTAGTTCTGCCCTGGCTCCTTCCCCTTTCCTCCCCGCTTTGGTCACCTCATCTAGGGGACCGTACTACTTCAGCATCTGATCGAGCATGGCAACGACTGTCTGTTCAAAAAAGAAATCCTGGTATACGCTCTCGCGAGAGTCGCCAAACTAAGAACCCTTCCCTGACCTAAGTAAGGTAGTAAGGTGCATGTAGCTAAGGTAGATATTCGGTGGAAGAGCAAGTCCGCCCACGCACTCCGTTCCTCGAGTGAGCACTACTAGTAGACAGCATCCGATGTCCTCTTCCACATGCCATTATTATTCCATGAGCCATAACAGAGACATTCCCTTTATCAAAAGGGTATAACTTCAGGCGGTTTTTGAGTTCTCGTTTGCCTGGGTGAGTCAACCCCCGAGGCCACGTTGGTCTCCACAGCAGTCCTCCACATACATGAGAATTTTCCAACCACATGGACCAGTCAACAAGCGGGTTTAGCTCAGTTGGGAGAGCGTCAGACTGAAGTCAAACTTCAGGAACTCAATCTGAAGGTCGTGTGTTCGATCCACACAAACCGCATTGCTAGGAAGGGTGTTATCGGCGAATCCTCAGCTTTTTACCCCTCAAGACACCTCACTGCAAGTAACCCCCCTCGTTGCCTTGCTGGGCTTTTTCACACCTGCAATGAAACGGTGCGCGAGCTTTAAACCGAGACTTCATTCTTGATTCCCGTCTTGTAAGACGGTTCCCCCTAGCCAGACTAAAGAAATCATGGTCGGGGGGGAAGTAAGCAGTCTTGGGTGTTCTCTGGTATGTGCGCTTCCACTTATCTCTAATGGACTCAGCAAGCCGCCATTCCAATATCAAGCCTACCCCGAGCTACCTCAAGCTGCGGGGAACGAACGCAAAAGAAGAGTAACTAATCAATCTTACGAGTCTGCGCACCGTCTCTTCTATTCTTTCTTCTGTTTCTCTCATTCGAATCACGAGCAAAAAATTGATGTGGGCTCCAAGCCCTGGACAGCAAAAGACTCGATGATACTGGGACTCGAACCCAGAACCTTTACCAACCTGAGATTTCAGGAGACCGGAAAGTAACGCGCTACCATTGCGCCATACCACCGTTAGTTACATGATAAGTTTTAGAGAATGAGTTTATGGCGAGACGGAGCAGGGTCCGATAATGACTGCTCTGGTGGGGTGAAATGGCGGGGTCGTGCAACCTTCTCTCAAGTTCTTGTCTCACCTCAACTCTTGTTAAGAGCAGTTGGTCTGCGCAAAAGAGTGCCTATTTAAAACAGACGCTAGTGGTATATAGGATAGAGTTAGCTATTGATGTCCCTTCTCAACCACTAGAGATTGCCTTGCTATACCTACCTGCCTCTCAAAGTTTCTATAACGTCTATACTAATTATGTAGGTATAAAAAAGAAAAATGGAGCTAGCTAGAAAGCTCTTCCAGCCATAGGTAGATAGGTGCGACGTTTCAATTATCAGCAGCAGCGTCGGATCATGTCACCTTACGCTTATTAGTTAGATAGGTAGGTAGGACATCTAACAGGAAAAAAGTTGTAGACATAACCCTTGGACATCTAACTCGGATACCGGGAGTCGAACCCGGGGCTGTTGAGAGAGCAGTCACTCCTGAGAAGTGAGAGTCAACGATGTTACCGCTACACCATACCCGATTCCGCAATCGTGTGTGGTTCCGACAGGGGTTGCTTGGTTGGACATCGAGGTCGGTGGGAGGAGTCTTTATCTTTTCTTCATGGAGCAGAAAGGTTGGTCGTATTTTGGGGCAAACGGGGGAAGTTTCCCTTGACCTTACTGCACATAATGCTTAGGGAGGTAAAGTGCCTCTTAACAGAGCCTACGGGCGTATGGTCTAGTGGTATGATCTCTGTTTTGCAAAGCCCCAGCGGCTCTACAGATACAGATGGTCCCGCGTTCGATCCGCGGTACGTCCATATGACTCTTATTTTTCCTTTTTTTCCATTTTTCCCTTTTTCTTTCTATAATATCCGCATGATCTAAGAAATGGCTAGACTGTAAGAGAAGGTGGTTGAATAGATTTATGGAACGAGGGGCAGTGCTACAGAACGCTTCAGCATTTCGCGGTACTCCGTAGGTAGGTAGAAGCATGTTCCCAAGACACCCTTCCACTGTCCAATCCATCCTATGCTTTTGAATGGAAGACGATTTTCTGTATCAGTAACAAGCACCTTCAAGCAAGTCAAATGCTCGATAACCTTCATCATCACCCCTCCATACAGGCCTACGCTAGCCGTTCCCTTTCGCGCAATCCCCTACCAGATCCGTGGACTACGAAAGCAGCGTGCCTGTTGTACGTAGCTAGGAGGGACTGAGCCAGACCACAGAGTTCGAGATTTATACAGGTCTTTTGGCCCACGAAACAGGTCCGATAACTGTATCCCGGCTTCAGGGGAATCAACTGTTGGATGATGTGGACAGTTCTTTCATTTGGTGCTTCCGTAGGGACATGGTGTGGAAAGCGGAGGCAACGGGCGGATGGCTTCCTAGTACAAGTAGCACTGAAACAGACTGGGCATCAAGTGAATGAAATAGATCACAACCACTGGGTATATTTCCCCTAATATCCCACCGCCCAAGCCCACACACACCCACTGTCTGTCTCTTTCCCCCGAGCCAAATTTGGTATCAAACATGTTACATAGGTAGGTATCCATTCATCCCATCGTCCCAGCCCAACGCAAAACAAAGCGACGGAATGCGCTTACGCCCTGGCATCGGCCTTCTCGTCGTCGGCAAACTTGGCGGCCGCGACGTCGCCGCCGACCTCGCCCTTGGGCAGCATGTTGAGCTCGTCCTCCTGCTTGTCGAGGTGGCGGAACTGCAGCCAGAACATGGTGCCGCCAAAGACGGCCAGGATGGCGACCACGGCATAGTTCCAGATGAGCAGCGGGTCGCCGGCGAGCGCGACGAGCGCGAATCCAATGGCCGACGCGATGGCGTTCATGAAGAGCGCGATGGACTGCACCATGGAGCGCATGTTGGCGGGCGCTTTGGAGTGGGCGTACTCGAGCGACGTGATGGAGGCCATGATCTCCGAGAAGGCGATCAGCACGTAGGACCCGGTCTGGGCCCACATGCTGATCTCGACGTTGGCGCACTCGCGCGTCGTGCCGTCGGGCATGTCGCCGTTGGCGTAGTAGCCGCACTCGCTGGTCTTGTAGATGTAGTACTGGATGACGCAGGCCCAGATCATGGCGGCCGCGCCGGCGAAGTAGCCGACGGCGATGCGCTTCAGCGGCGTCGGGTTGATGCGCATCTTCCGCAGCGCCGGGTAGATGACGCCGTCGAGCAGCGGGATCAGGATAATCAGCGCGAAGGGGTTGAGGTTGGTAAGAACGTCGTTGGGCACACCGCCGATCTTCATGGTGGCGGCCTGCGAGATCAGGTTGTTGTTGACTAAGTAGTACAGCGAATAACGATTAGCGAGGAGGATCGGCAACCCAGCGCACGCAGAATAGGAGTCCGGAGTCCAACCACGACTTACTCTGGTTGTAACAAAGCCAGAACAGAGGGTACCACAGGAACACGGCGCAGGCATTGAAGCCGCGGCGGACCTCGTCGACCCAGGCATCGTTGAAGTCCATCCACTTGGGCCGGGTGGCGGCGTCGAACCGGGATGGCTTGACGCTCTCCCAGAAAGTGCCGTCGTGCAGCTGCCGGTACGTCTTGACCGGGTTGATGGACCAGCGGCCCTTGTTGGCGAGGAAGAACAGCTTGAACGACCGGCCCAGCACGGAGCCCTGCGGGGGAACACGCTTGTAGCGGCGCCGCCCCCACAACATGACGAGCGGGCAGAAGCACAGCAGGATGGTCGGCAGCGTGTACGACAGCCAGAAGCCGACGTAGTGCTCGCAGTACACCATCCCGAGCTGGCCGGCCAGGGCGCCGATGTTGATGAAGAGATAGAAGTAGTGATAGACGCGCGAGGCGGTGGCAGCAGGGTCGACAATGACCCGCTCGCCCGTCTTGAGCGTCTTGACCACCATCCTCTCCAGGTCGAGCTGCTCGATAATCAGGGGGTTGACGTTGGGCTTGAAGCCGCCGGTGCCGATGCCCATGAGGATGATACCCATGGAAAAGGCAGCAAGCGAGCCGTTGGCGGTCTTGATGACGGGAGGAAGAGCCGAGACGATGAGGATGATGTGGCCAAGAATGTCGATCATGAGAGCACCTCCAATGGTCCGGTAGCGGCCGAGGTAGCTGTCGGCGACATAGGCGCCGAACAGGGGCATGGTGTACTGCCAGAACGAGTTGAACGTGGTCAGCGCGGTCGAGGTCCGCTGGCCCAGGCCGAGCGCACCGGCTTGGCCGTTCTCGATGTCATAGCTGGCGCCGGTGGCCGAGCCCTCGGGTAGCGGCTGCTGGATGAAGTTGGTGAAAACGGCGGTGGTGCCGTAGTACGAGAAGCGCTCGCACAGCTCGACGAAGGCGATGGTGTAAATGGCCCACGGGATCCTGTCCGGCACCCGCCGGAGCGTGTGCAGCTCCTCCTCCGTCGGGGAACTGCCGTCGGCCCCGAGCCCGATGCTGTCGTTGTCCTGCGTCGTCAGAACGGGAGCCAGCGCGAGCTCCTTATTATCTTGGACATCAGCGCGGACACCGTCGGCGACGGCAACGTTGGTGGGGTCCGATGCCATCGTCGGGCAGGACAAGCTCGCTACCTCAGTCGAGGTTGCGACTGACTATCTTAGGCCAGGAGGCGAGGGAGAACAGAAGAGCGGGAGATGGGAGAGCTTGCCTGGAGAAGGTTGCATTGGGGCGAAGTGGCAGCTATATAGAGTAATCGTCCACGGGCGAGTCCCGGCGGATATCAACACGGCATGTGACAAGCTCTTGATGTCGTCTATACTTTTCTTCATCTTATCTCCCGCTCGCCCCGCAGCCCGTTACGGTCTGCTTCAGCTGCCTCTCATCTCGACGCAGGCCGTTACGGGCCGTTGCGCGCGGTAGCTAGCTCTCAAGGAGTGTATAAGTGACTTGGCCGGTGGCAACGGAGCAGCGTGATGCTTCCGCATGGGCCTGTTTCCGTCCGGAGAGAGGTGGTGAGCCATCCACAGAGCAAATCACAATCCTCTGGCAGACTGGAGACGATTGCAAGCTCTGGGCAACGGACCACGCAAAGGAGCAATGTCCATGTGTGGAAAGCTGCGGTCTTGGAAGCCTTGCCACCTTCCGGAATTGACCAAAGCGCCAAGTGATATGGCGATCTTGGGGGATCCTGCAACCTGTTGGTAACGGCTGGGTAGTGTAGAGGTTGTAGATTATCGTATCGTCGTCGCTATCCAAGGGCGTCGCCCTCCATACCCTTGAAAGCATCCGCCATCCGCAGCAAAGGCCGGTTTATGTATGCATGTTGCTCGCCTCCACACCGAGATACTACATGTAGTGTAGTGTACTAGTAGTCAGAATCTGCTTGAGCGAAGCTTTCCTACCACGCCGCCACCGCTTGGCCTTGATCCTTGAGGAGCCAGGACGCGCCTCATAACCGCCCGGCGCCCGCAACGGCTCGCTTCACCCTCGAAGCTTGATAACTAAGTAAAAACTCAGCAACGGGAGCTTCCTAAACGATCCATGCCCAGCATCTTGGCGGATAAACGCCCAACCCGCTACTGGCTCGACGTTGATGCGGATGTCGCGAGTCCGCTTGGCAGCTCCCACCTCCGGTTGCCGCCAAGGAGCGCCGAGAGAAGTCGAATTCTCGGCGATTCTCGGCAGACAAGTTCCGCTTCCCACGCCCGGTCAGGGCCGGAGCTAACGCCGCTCCTGCCAGCGCGCTGACTCCACTCCTTCCCCGGACCCCGAGGCGAACAGCCACGTGCCGGATATCCAAACTCGATGCCTGGAGTCCTGGACGGCAGTTCCTCCCTCGCGCAGGCGGCAGGATACCGCTATGTCAGTATCAGGGCGCCGTTCTCTCCTCCTTCCCAAATGGTAGGCTGATGCTCTTATCTTTGACAAACGAAATCGAGTCCGCGGAAGAGAGTTGCCGCTCTACACCTCCATAGAATGCCTTCTTAGTTTCTCTTTAGGTTGAAGTGGAAGACTGCCAAAGCCTATACACGGAGATCGCCAGAGATGGCGCGTGACTGAGCATCTTGCTCATAGTCATCACTGCGTGATGCTATTTCTCGTGTTATGGGCATTATCATACCTGGATAGAGACTCCCTCGCTTGAGGGGTTAGATTGGCTGGTCCTTCGTCGCGCTTTGTCGGGTGCTCTCTCTTCTGAACTATTGAGGCTCTGGGCTTGTTGTCAGAAAATTGGAAACCAACCGCGGGGAACGTCTGCGCGCCGAGACGCCCAACACGCCAGTCTTAGTTGCACCTTCCAAATTGGGAGACCATTACGGTCAGAAAGCTCGGGCCGAAATTGAGGTGCCTAGTGGCAGTAAGTTAGACATTACGGATGTACACACATGAGAAAAGCCAACGATGCAATGCTCGTAGTTGGCTCGCACTGCGACGCCCTATTCTAGCGAGATGTCATAATGTGTAGAATAAGCTGCAGCAACTCGGGTTGAGTACATGTGCATACAATTGTCAACCTTACCTATTCAAACATAACATCACTCTCCATCTCGTGCACGTCCCGCGGCTGGGCATTGGGGAAGGGTAATACACTTACAGTATAGTATATAGGGTAGTGAGAGTGAAACTAGCACATAAATTCTCGTAACAGAGAGGCTCAGGTCAACCTTTCCATATGCGAAGCACGTCTGACGGACTGAGGAGAATCGCATTCTACACTGTAACTAGGGAATGACAAGAAATTGCAGGGCTCAATCCGGGCAGTCCGGAGAGAGTGGGTTCAGCGGGTTTTTATAAAGTCATTTATTGTACTACAGTATTTTATGGCAGCCCAGTGTTAAAAGTTGTACAGCAAGCTCTTCGCCCCAATACCTTAAGTAATGAATGCAGTAGAAAAGAGTGGGCAAAAGAGAAAACAGAGAAAAGAGAAGAGAAGAGAAGAGAAGAGAAGAGAAGAGAAGAGAAAAAGAGTGAAGGAGGAGATATAACAGGAAAAGAGCAAGTAAACAAAGACGATAAAATGTGAACCACTATGGAAGAGGACGAGGAAGAAAGTGTTAGTTAGTAGATAAATAAAAATTGTTCCGCCTACTACCTAACGTGCGTGTCTAATTGAGAGGATATTTAGGTGAACGGCACATATGATAGGACGTAAATGACAGTTCATATTGGCAGGATGTCCGGTATCGACGACTTAATAACAAATCATACTTTAAACTGTCATCATTAAATGATTGAAAGTTGAGTCAGCTTCAGAGTGCTGGAATAAAGAAGGTGTACAGGACCAAGTGAGTACCTTACCCTAATGACCTCAATGTACCTGACCCAAGCTGGCTGTATTACGGTCACCGTTTCTAAGTAACGTTGCTCACCGTAACGCCGCCACCGTTCAGATCTAGGTAGTTGCCTGGTCTAGCTTGACTCCAACGCGATGTCGTCGAGCGAGGGACGGTTCGTCCAACAGAGATCTGGTAGGTCTGCGAGATTCAAAATTGATGAACGATACTACGCTTTGACACTATGGGTTTGATGACCTTGGCAACACACTGTATAATATATTGACTGTTCGCCGCCGAGTACCGTGGGCCAAAGGCCTCCACCAGAACGTTGACTGATCAGGATTAACCACCTATGCTGCCTCTGGGTCCGTCCAACTCTGTTGCCACTCTCCTGTAGGATCACTCAAGCGGAAGAACGGAAGTTGAATTTGTCTCAATTGAATAAACATGGCGCAGCGAGGAACTTGGGCAGACGAGGGGCGCCTTGGGCTAGTGTTGCTCAGCCAGGGCTTGATCGGTCCAGTTTAGCTGTTTATCCAGCCAGGCTCTTCTGCTCGATCTAGCCCGGGTAGCTGGGTTCAATCCGGACTGGATCTGTTTGATCCCGGCTTCGCCTATATTCAACGTAGCTGTTCAGTCCGTGCAGGCTCTGTTCAGTCTAAACAGCCATGTTATATCTTGGCCGGTCGCTGTAGAGCTCATCTGAACGGGAGTCTGGCCGAATATTTAAAGGAGAAGCCCTGCTCGCAAATTGTTCACTCTGTTGTCATTCCACACCTCCACTTCCTCAACTCCTCAGACCCCGGAGAGCCGAAGCCGGCATTGACAACGAAAAGGACCAACACCCTCCTCACGTTTCACTATGGCCCGCTACATGGATCTCCCTCCGGAAATCCGCCTCCTAATAATGGAAGAGTTGGTCCACAACGAGGGTCCTATGGTGGCGCTCCATAACTTGGTGGCAGCGTCGCCGGTAGATTACCGGCTCTTCGCCCGTTACGGAGCTGCACTGCTGGGCAGCAAAGAGAAAGCGGAGAGATTTAGACGCAATCTCATCAGCCTGTGGTGGAGGTGGTGACTCCCCTGGTCATCACACCACTAGTCCGGCAGGCCAAAGAAGGGATTATCCGATTGTCCGGAGACAAAGATTCGGGATGAGTATGGTTAAGGGGATATTCGGTTACGGGGGAAGTAATATGGGGGATGTGTGTGCACGATGCAGTGGTTCATGGTTCGGGTCATCAGATGTATGGTAGAGCCCTTCAGTGAGCGGTTAGATTGGCATAATGAATGTTATCGGGCATGAGACGGATTATTATCCCTACCTCAAGTGGCCATGTGACATAGTAAGCAAATGCGTGTTACATACACCTAAGGTATATAAACCGGCACTCAGGGGCATAACATGTCTGTTGCTGCACACCGTCATATGTAAATTACCGACTGCATGTTATAGGCCCAGCGTCTTCTGATTACCAATACCGTCCTTTGAGTGATTATTGAATACAGCTATTTACGCTTCGTCGTTTGTACCCCGGCTTTACCTAATCTAGTGCCTTATGCCCCGTTGGCCCTGCAGCCGAGTTCCTTCCTCGCGACAGTCTGCTCGGCCAGTCTCCTCGCCCTGCGCCATCGGTCCACCCTTTCCCGCCAGCCCTTCCCCCACCAGATGGTCGCTTGCGTCGCGGCCGTACTGACAATCAGGAACAGCGCCGTGATGGTCGAGAACCAGCCGACGCCAATCGCCTCGACAGCGGGCAGCACGCAGGCCGTGGCGGCACACGCAAAGAGGTAGCGCACAAAGTAGTTCCCCGCGATGACCTCGGCGCCGCGGCCCTGCATCACGTCCAGGCAGTACGTGTTCAGGCTGGGGAAGCAAAACAGCTGCGCCACGCCCTGCACAAACAGCGTCACGACGGCCAGCGGGATGCCGCCGGCCTCTTTCTCGATGCCCCAGCCATAGATGAGCACGCACGCGGGGATGACGACGCCCATGAACGGCAGGGCCGACCGCAGCCTGTCCTCGGGCACTCTCACGCCGTCGCGCCTCCGGATCCAGCGCTTCACGACGTGGTCGGCATAGCGGCCGCCCACCAGCGTCCCGACGAGGTAGCCGGTGCCCGGGGCGAGGTAGAACAGGCCCGACTGCATCGGCGTCGTCAGGTCGAACCGCGGGTTCAGCACGTACCGGATCGGCGTGAGCAGCGAGTACATGTTCCAGATGACGGCGGACGAGGCCAGGCTGGCGGCGATGAGGTTCGGATACACGAACAGGCGCAGCACCCGCACCGGGTTGACCATGCGCCAGAGGACGGTGAGCTTCTGCCGCGGCGAGTAACCCTCTAGGTCGTCGACCTTGCGGTGGTAGATGGTCTCGGGGAGCAGCGGGGTGAAGGTGAACAGCGCGGCGAGGCCCGACAGCCCCGTCTGCAGCCAGAAGATCACGCGCCAGGACGTGTAGGTGACGATGATGCCGCCGATGAAGGGTCCCAGGGCGGGCCCGATAAGCGTCCCCGAGAGGAACCAGCCCAGGGCGGTGGCGCGTTCGGTGGGCCGGTAGATGTCGCTTTTGGTTTGTCAACTTGACTCCTATAAAAAAAAGGAAGAAAACAGAAGCCAAGCGGAAACTACTAGTACTGGTACTCACCCAATGCAAGCCGACCCAACCAGGATGAACGCCGTCCCCTCAAACGCCGTCAGCACCCGAAAGACGAAGAAGGCGGCCAGGTTCGGCGCGAGCGCGGTCCCGATACTACACCCGCAAAACAACACGGCCGTGACTTGATTTACCTACACATGCCATTATTAGTCAAACGAAACCCCCTCCCCCCCCAACTTTCCCCTCTCCCCTTTCCCCACAACGTGGTCTATGCATGCAAGTTGTTACTAGTACTGACCCTGCGACGGCCATAGACCTCGCTCATGGGGCCCCAAACGACCGGGCTGAGGCCCATCATGAGCATGTACACGGCGTTGACGACATTGACGACCGTGCCGTCGGTGGCATACTCGCGCGCGACCTCGGGCGTGGCCGCCAGTACCGACGTGCTGGAGACGGGCGCGAGGAAGGAGCAGAACGAGAGCAGCGCCACCATGGCCAGCTTCCGGTGGCGCGGGAAGCGGTCGTACACCTCGTCGGGTATCTCCACGAAGGACGTCGTGTGCTCGATCGGGTTGTCGCCCCCCAGCGAGACGTGGTCTTGTTGGTCCGGGGTTATTACGGGGGCGATGTCCGAGGCGGAGGACCGGCGGGAGGAGGAGGCGGTGGAGGAGGAGGAGGATCTCCGTGTTCCGGTTGTAGCGTGCTCCGCTTCCGGCTCCATCCCGGTGCCCGTACCCGGCGGCACTTGTGGATGCCGCTCTGTGGAGGAGTTCTCGTGAGGTTCTTCTTCTTGTCGCACCCCAGGAGAAAGGTCCTCCGGGACGGGCCCGTTTTGCTTCTCATCATGCGCCTCCTCTTGAAGTCCTTCTCCTGTGACTTTCGAGTGACTCATGGTTCATACGGATCATACCGGCTCTCAGATCCTACGTAGATCGTGCCCTCGCCCCTCTGGCGCGCTTGGCGACTGCTTTGTTAGCTAGGAGACTGCTGGTATAAAGATTTTTTCTTTTTCTCTCCAAGAAGCGAGAGTAATAACAGAGGTTAGGCTGATATCATGTGGTCGGATCAAGATTTTTCTTGGTTGGGTTGCTCCTGCCCGGCGGAGATAGACCGGGCAAGGGGTTTACCTCCGGTTCTCGGCTCCGTTGCGGCAGGGGTGCCGGCCCGTTGCCGAGGCATTGACCGGGGTGGGCCGGATGGTAGATTGGGTCTTCATGGCTTCGTCGCCCCATATATAAACACCTTATTAGTGATAAAAGGTTCCGTTGGAGATCACATATGTCTGCGAAATCAATACGAAAAGAGGTGGAGGAAGCAAGTGGCAATGCAGTCAAACTTGCTCAGCTGGTACTTAGTTACAGGAGCCTTTTTAATTTGATTTCTTGAAGCAACAAAGGAAAATGGTACTATGCTGTGGCCTGATCATAACATGGATTTGGACAAAAGGTCATCCTCCGTCGGACTTGAAGAAGCTTTAGGGCTGATTCCTTCCGAGCTCGCCTATGTTTGTTGACACCCGATGATGTCGTTCCGGAACCTGGGGGCCAGGTCCTTTCAGAGCCCAAAATGGTAAGGGTAACTAAGGCATGTCTCGTTCAGGTCCATCGCGTCCAAAATATTACTTTCGCCAACAGGGGCGTTGTCGCTTCGCCCGGGTGTAATCAGGGATGGGGGTTGTCCATCTTTGGCCGCGGTATGCGTATCGCTGACATAGAGTAAGCACAGTCCCGAGCTGGTTTTCATTCTAGGTGATTCGCCTAGACTAGGTAGGTAACCATCAACGCAAACAGCGGCGACGGGCGTGCCGACGTCCTCTGTCATGAGACCAGCGGTCGTATCACTGGCTGGCTCAATCGCGCAAATGGCATGGTGAATGTTGGCCTAGGCACGTTTGCAGAGGCTTGGTGGATTCATACCCCCTTGAGTGTGCCTTCTCAACGGCAGACTAATAGCGCACTGGTGATTCTGTATGGACCGTGCCGACCTCCGTTTCGCCGACGTGGAGAGGTCCGGACGAGCTGATATCATCTGGCTCGACAAATACACAGGGGCGGGAACGGTTTACTCCAGCGCTCCCAACAACGCAAACAACGCAGAGGCGGCCTTCGCTTTACGTTACGTTGCGAGGAACGGGCACCTTTGTGTTGTCTCTCCGTTAGTGCAAGCATTCTTTGTCTGGCAGTACGAAACAATCTTACCTACCTACCTACCTACCATAAGGTACCTGTATGTATGAAGCACTGTTTGTCTCAGACAGATTCCCTCGAGCTCCGAGGTGTGATCCGAAGGTTCTAAGTGAGGCTTTTGGCGAAATGTCCCGATGACAGAGTCCTTTGAACTTCGACGTCGACAGTACAGGCCACATTGGCACTTCCTTCTCCGATGGACACACGTGCTGCTGCCGTGGGGTTGGCAACTGCATGGCACAGATCGCTCGGATCTAGGTAGCTTCCAGGGCAGCGGATATGGCATGAAACGGCTCTCACAGTCCAGGTGCGGCGTCTCGAACTGGTATTGTTTCACGGGCCTTTTTTGATATGTTTGGTAGGTTTACCGGCGGAGTACTTGTGACACGCTTGTCACAATGAGCGAGCATGCCTACCCGGATAATCGATTAAAGTGTTCGAGGAGGGAATGTTAACATGTTGAGACTTTGTGTCTCGCTCCCCAGGATGTATGTATGTATCGTACAATACAATACATATAAAATTTACATCCGTACACTGACCATCACAGCTTGCTGCAAATAAACCCCCCGAAAGAGGATCTGAAACTTGGCATTCTGGGTGTTGGTTTTGGGTCCTGTTACTGGCATTAGAGTTGAGGGATGATGCGCGGCGCAGCATCCGCAAGTCTTTGTTCGTTCTAGAACAACAGGTTTGGGGAGTGATGTAATTACTGTACTACGTACCTATTCATACTGTGGTACTAGCACTATTACGGCTTCAGCACAGTACGAATCAGAGTTGCTTCTCATTACCACACGTTGAAGCCTTGGCAGATCCGAGAGGACGGGACTTGGTGGTTTGCAACCTCTATCGTAGGTCTTCCAGGTAACTCAACTAATAAGGGATGCACGGAATCATTTGTTTTGTGCCACAGTTTTGAGCTCTGCCACTGAGTCGCCACAGCACTCATCGTCCTGACTTGACCATTTTCGGCAGAGGCCCATCTTTGCGACATGCTTACATCACTCCCGCTCACATCCATATCGTCTGCCTGGTGTTCCAGGCCACTGAACCGCCCTCTTGCCGCACGGAAGGTCAGAAGTGCCACATGCCGGATGTTATGGGATGCGAGGAGATCCACAATCCGGAGGGATTGTAAGAGGCTCTGGCCGTGCATTTGACGAGGCACCTATGGCGTCTGCTCGCTAGGGCATGGCCGAGGGGCGTCTGCCCTTGTGTCGCCGGAAAACCTTACGGGCATTCTTACGGTCTCTCACGCCTTCGATGCTGATGCAAGTGTACAGTATATGGCCACCCGACCGTCTCTGGTTATGCTGTGAACTAACTCGCTTCCCGTTCCCATGCCTGGTGCCCGGTTGGTTGCTTGATGCCCAGTGTAGGCTCTGACGCTCTGGCGTATTTGTGCTGTTCCCGTCGTCTGATCTTCTGGGTACGTACTTGTACCTAGCGTCCCTTTGCAAGCACCTCTACCTTGGAGAGCTTAAACATGCATTGCTTCCTTCCCTCCTTCTCCCGACTTCCCGCTTCTCTCATTTAGAAGTCGTCCCTCGCTTACACGCTCGCTAGACGCTGTCGTTTGCTGGTTACCTTAGCCAGGACGAGGTTTTGCCTAACCTCGCACCCGCCTCCTAAGCGATGGACCACCGCTCGTTCCTCAAACGAAGTTCTTCATTTTTATCGAATCTCTTCTCCAGCGACAAAGGTAGCCTTCTTTCTCGATCGCCACACCACAAGCCGAGGGTTCAATTACGGTCGCTTCTCTGCCACAGCTACATTCACCGTGTTATCCTCTGGGCTGTCGGATCGCTCCTTCTGCTATACCTCGTCACGCGCCCCATCGGAACCAGCGTGCAGAGGGAAAGGCATCTAGCACGGATAATATTCGAGCAGGCTGGAGATGGCGACGATGCTGACGCCAACAATGCTCTCGACAACACTGCTGGCGGCCACATCGCTGACAGCAACAATGTCGGGGACACCGATGCTGACGGCATGGTCCTTATCAGCATCGATCCCGGGTCAACGAAAGCCGACAGCTCATTTTGGCGCGAGCCTATGCCCCGTTGGCTGAAGTTTAGACAGTGAGTGTTCACACCCAACCCGAGGAACAGCGAGCGCTGACCCAGCAGCCTCGACGGTTTTTATGTCGGGCTCAAGGCCTTAGTACCGGTCAGCGAATACAGGCCTGAGCACCCCAGACCAAGAGGCGAAGAATACCCTTTCCCAGTCACAGTCACGTACACGGGGTTGCCAACTCCCACCCCGTTTATACCCCAGCCTGATTACAACTCGGCGGACTACACGGACCAGTACCACCACGTCGAGCCGTGCCATCTGGACAAGGATGGGAAGGTTCCGGTCCCTGACCTTTACGCCTACACAGGTCTCATCCAGGCCCAGCCCGAGCCCGTCATCGGCTCGCATAAACTCCTGGGTCTTAGGGACGATATCTGCTTTGACAGGTTCGGCAGGTTCGGCCCCTATGGCTTGGGCTACAGCATCGAGGACGGAGGTGTGGAAGTCGGCTTGGATACTGAGCGAGCCGGGAACGAAGTTGTCTGGGCCAAGACGGGCAAGATCAACTACACCGACATCGATTGGGGCGATGCCCAGGCTCGATGCTACCAAGCCAACAAGAAGCGCTTTCTTGAACCGGACGGCCAAGAGGATCCGTTGAGGATGATGAGCCAAGGAGAACCGCCAGATAACGCGGAGCAAGCCTTCCGGGAGACGGAGCGACAAAGGATACCCCGGACAGCCGTCGTGGTGCGAGCGTACACCGGGTTTCAATGGAGCCATCACGCGATTCTCAATTTCCGAGCCATGATCTCGGAGCTTGCCCTGCGGTCTGGCGGCGAGTATGCGGTGCACTTCCTACTCCACGTCCGCGACAACAACGAAGCCATCTGGGCCGATCCGGTAACTGCTCAGCGAATTCTCGACGACAACGTACCGGCCGAGTTCCACAGCATTTGCACGCTCTGGTCCGAGGAGCAGATGCGCCTTGTATATCCGACTCAGTTTGGCCTCAGTTTCACGAACCCGAGTGGTCAGGCTATCCATGGAGTCTACCGCAGTGCGCACATGCCTCTTCAGTATTTCGCCATGACCCACCCGGAATACACGCACTTCTGGAACTGGGAGTTGGACATGCGCTGGATCGGGAACTACTACGAGCTGTTCGACCGGCTCGGGGAATGGGCCAAGCAGCAGTCGCGCGTAGAAGCGTGGGAGCGATCGGCGAAGTACTATATCCCCAGGTATCACGGAGACTGGGACAACTTCACCGAGCTCGTCCACAACGAGACCAGAGCCAGCGGGCGCCCCGCCGTGTTGGGGCCCGTGTCCTTCCCTGGCCGCACGCCTCTCCGCTCTGAGCTGGGCGGCGAGAGCTTCCTCCCGTCCTCATGCTCCTCCAGCTCCGACATGTCACAGTGCGGTGTAGGCGAAGACGCTGACCTGATCACGCTCAACCCCCTTTTCGACACCGATCAGTCGGGCTGGATCTTCGCCAGCGACGTGACGGGCTACGATACCAAGCTCCCCATCCCGCCCCGCCGGTGCGCCATCGTCACGGCGGCCCGCCTGAGCCGCCGTCTGCTGGCCGTCATGCACGAGGAGAACTGGCGGCTCCACCACAACATGTTCAGCGAGATGTACCCGGCGTCCATGGCGCTGCATCACGGCCTCAAGGCTGTCTACGCGCCCCACCCGGTCCACCTCGACCGCGAGTGGGAGCTGCCCGCGGTGGACAAGGCGTTCAACGGCGGCCGCGACCACTCGTCTAGCGGGAAGGGGAGCCCGTTCGACCTCAGGAACGAGCACAATCACAAGGGCACCAGCTGGTACTACCACAGCGAGTTCGCCGGCCTGCTGTGGCGCCGCTGGCTGGGCTATGCGCAGTATGACGGCCGGGGGCCGAACGGCGGCCGTTCCGGCGAGGGTACCCTGAGGGGCGGCAAGCAGGAGGAGGAGAGCAGCGATAGCACGGGCCGGATGTGTCTCAGGAGTATGTTGCTTCATCCCATAAAATGGGAACATCCGTCTGAGGTTTCATAACCTGGAAGGTGCCGCCGCACGTTGTGTTTTGGTTCACTTATTTTTTTCTCTTCTATTTTCATTCTTGGTTTTGTTTTTTTCAGCACTCTCTGCATAACAACGTTCCGACTTGCATAATAATGGCGTTAAGGAGCTGAGTTCACATCTGTACTTTTACCATGTACAATACCTTGCCTTTTTCTTTCCCATGTTTGGTGCCCTGGCCGGGTCCCCGGGGGGGGAGGGGGAGGGGGGGGGGCGGACCGGCCAACACGTCCGGGCTATGAAAACGGCGTTGGTCGGGATTTGTTTCAGGATCTTCCCAACACTGGATAGAAGCTTATTTTGGTACATACCGGTCTGAAGACGGGGGCATATATGTACACGTGTACTAAGGCGCAGTCGCCGATGTATTGTTTAATGTACATATGTAATTATCATGACACTAATGAGATGAAAGAGGCTGCGTTGCTCTGGCTTGGGTGAGACCCCCACGGGCAGTCTGAAAACTGGTACATCCTCCAGCCATGGCGCCTATGTGGCTATCTATACTAGCTACCTTACTTTATTAGGTAAGCCAACTACTTGGAGCGCTAGCGCTATGACGCTGTACTATGTACCAGGATTAGAGTGGTCGGCGCCAAGCTTCGAGAACCATCGGCGTCGTTTTCGAAGAGATGGAAGGCGACGGAGAAATACCACAGGGTAGGTAAATTGAAGACAGAACCTTTAAGTCACCAGGTGTTCACGCGTGATTTTCCTTCAGCGACTTCTTCCCGGAAACGGAATGGAAATCGTGGGGTAGGCGCGGGTAGTGTTGTACCTACCGGGCCGTGACAGGACTGCGGGGGTCAGCTCGGAATGATGACATTCAGCCCTGTGCGCTCGCTTTCCGAAAACACCGCGATTGCAAGTTTCCGGTTTCGCAAACAGGAAGCTAGACCTCGGTGTCGGATCCGGGACAGATACTTGACTTGTCGTGCTTGTGAAGAGCTATGCGTTTTCAGCTTGTGCCACTTCCAGTTTACTCCTCGCAGGCAGTTCAGGCACTGAAACGTGAGAGAGCTTCGTCATAGTGGAACCAGCCCGCTTGTTCCGTTGCTGACTTGCATCCGTACGTCACCCTTTTACTGTTATGATCCACATGTCAGTGCATCTGCAAAAAGGGAGTTTGACGATAGCACGATACTGTCTACCAGCAATCCAGTGTTTTATCCTAAGACAGTCGCAGAAAATAGGGCACAGACGAAAGATTGCCTCCTAGCTTTGCTTAGATATAACCCGGAGGCTTCCTCGTGTCTAAGAGGTTATTTGTGAATCGGGGCTGTCAATGAGGAGGCCAATGGAATCAGGGAATCAGAGATCTGCATGCAGGCTCATCATCACGTATCCGTAGTGTAGTGCAGAATTTATCGTGGGTTGCCACAGATCCACTATGTACAAGCGTGTGTTCTCTTCAGGTTGCACGAGCTCTTCAACATTAACTGTTGTCCTTGACACAAGATTACCTACCTGACCTTATCTGAGCAGGAGCAACCGGTTGAAGCTCTCGAGATTATCAATCCAGAAGCGAACACTGAACGCATTTCCCCGCTTTCAACCCAACGTTCGCATTACACGGCAACATTACGATAAGACTCGCCTTCGCCTTCGACTTCGGCAATCTTCTTGCCAGCTGAACCCCGTTGCTGCTGCAAGGCTAGTTAGTTGTGGTCCTTTTTTTGGGTCCGCGTGATCTGATCCCAATCTCGGCCGCCCCTGCCAGTTTCCGCGGACCCTGTCCTCCTGAACCCGGCCGGACTTCGCCGGACTTGAGGCAACTTCTCCTAGCAACGCCGCAGACCTTCATTTGCACCTGTCCTGTCCTCCTTACTGCTACCAACAACAGACCACGAGGCATCGTGTGAGCGATCTTGATCACCAGGGGACAAACTTTCCTCGATACGAAGCACGAGCCTAGCCCATCCAGTCCTTCCTTAGCTTTGTCCGGCCACCAATCCGCCTGTTCTGACCGTCGCGATTCACGATGCCCGTGATCAAGGAGCACGATCTCGTGGGACCCGCGCCCCCTGGTCCCCCGAGGGCGCGAGGGTCAATCGATGAGTTGGGAGTCTACGACGATGCGAGGACATACTATACCGCGGAGGAGCGCCACAGGAACAATCGGGCTGGGCCGCGAACACGTACCTACTCTCAGGTAGGCGACAGTGAAGCTCTCGAGTACACGGCTGGTCGCTAATCAGGATCTACCTTGCAGAATAGCTTGTTGAAACAGATGGAGCAGATGCGTATGCATGAGCCGTATAGGCGAGGAAGTCATGGTACGGGAAAGGTCCTCGACTGCAACCCGAGCTTTCCGCTGACAGCTGGTTACTAGACGAGTCTACGATCCCCCATGGCCGCCGCTTCCTGATCCAGGTCGAGCCGACGCTACAAAGCCTGCAATTGCAGGAGGACACAGACAGGAACATGCAAATCACAATTGAGGACAATGGGCCTAAGGTGAGTTAGTTAGCCGTCCGAAGACCTCATTGAAGCAGAAGATTGACAGATTGGCCGCCCAGGTTCTTACCCTCCGCACAGCGGCTTCCAACGGGCACAATCGCTTCGACGTCCGCGGCACCTACATGCTTTCCAACCTTCTGCAAGAGCTCTCGCTCGCCAAAGAGTATGGCCGGAAGCAGATCATCCTGGATGAGGCGAGACTGAACGAGAACCCCGTCAATCGGCTATCACGGATGATCCGGGACCACTTCTGGGAGGGGCTTACGCGGCGCATCGACGCTTCGAGCATCGAGATTGCCGCGCGGGATCCAAAAGACTGGACCGATGACCCTCGACCACGGATCTATGTGCCCGGGGGCGCCCCTGAGCAGTACGAGTACTACAAGAAGCTGGCGGAAGAGAGACCCGAGATCCGACTGGACGTGCAGCTGCTGCCAGAGAAGATCACACCGGAATTGGTCCGGGACATGAACTCTAAACCCGGGTTACTGGCAGTGGACATGGAGGAGGTGACGGATCCTAAGACAGGGGAAAAGACTATGAGGGGTCGGCCATTTGTGGTCCCTGGAGGTCGGTTCAACGAGTTGTATGGCTGGGACAGTTACATGGAGTCGCTCGGGTTGCTGGTCCACGACAAGGTCGAGTTGGCCAAGTCGATGGTTCTCAACTTCTGCTTCTGCATCAAGCATTACGGCAAGATTCTCAACGCTACACGGTCGTACTATCTCTTACGATCACAGCCGCCATTCCTGACCGACATGGCCCTCAGGGTGTACGACAAGATCAAGCACGAGCCGGGCGCGCTCGAGTTCTTGCGAACCGCCATCCTTGCTGCAATCAAGGAATATCACAGTGTCTGGGTAGCCGAGCCGCGGTTAGACCCGGTTACCGGTCTCTCCCGCTACCGGCCCGAAGGCCTCGGTGTGCCGCCGGAGACCGAGGCTGGCCACTTCGTCCACATCCTGGAGCCTTACGTCAAGAAGCATGGCGTCACCTTCGAAGAGTTCGTCGACGCTTACAACCACGGGAGGATCAAGGAGCCCGCGCTGGACGAGTACTTCATGCATGACCGCGCGGTGCGCGAGTCGGGCCACGACACGACGTACCGCTTCGAAGGCGTCTGCGCCAACCTCGCCACGATCGACCTCAACTCGCTCCTCTTTAAGTACGAGACCGACATCGCGCGCACCATCCGCAACGTCTTCGGCGACAAGCTGGTCATCCCGGCCGAGTACTGCGTCGGCAGCATGACACCCAACCACGTCGAGACTTCGGCCATCTGGGACCGCCGGGCTAAGCGCCGCAAGTTGGCCATCGACAAGTATCTCTGGAACGAGGCCGAGGGCATGTACTTTGACTACGACACGGCCAAGCGCGAGCAGTGCACTTACGAGAGCGCGACGACCTTCTGGGCACTCTGGGCGGGCGTGAGCAGCCCCAAGCAGGCGGCCGCCATGGTGACCAAGGCGTTGCCGCGGTTTGAGGCGTTTGGCGGGCTGTTGTCCGGGACCAAGGAGAGCCGCGGCGAGATTGGGCTGGAACGGCCGAACCGCCAGTGGGACTACCCTTACGGATGGGCGCCGCAGCAGATGCTGGCGTGGACGGGGCTGTATCGGTATAGCTTCACCGAGGAGGCCGAGCGGCTGGCGTACAAGTGGTTGTTCATGATTACCAAGGCGTTTGTCGACTTCAATGGCGTGGTCGTGGAAAAGTATGATGTCACGCGCCCGATCGATCCCCACCGCGTCGATGCCGAGTACGGGAACCAGGGGCTGGACTTCAAGGGTGTTGCTAAGGAAGGGTGAGTCTTTTCTTCAGTTCTATTTCCGTAAGCGTGAAGCAGGCAACATGGGGACTGACTGGTGTGGCACAGATTCGGCTGGGTCAATGCCAGCTACGTTTACGGCTTACAGATCGTCAATGCCCATATGCGCCGGGCACTGGGCACGCTGACCCCGTACGAGACGTTTGTCAAGGCGCTGGAGGACAACCGTGCCAAAGCTCTTGCCGAGTTGGTTTGATTTTTTGGTTGAGTTCGGGAATTGCTGTTGCTAGCGTTGTACATGCTGGGAGATGGCCTTTGTTATGGGAGTCATTCCGCATCTTTCGGTGGAGAGGGGCAGAATACTGCATATGCATATTCAGGTTGACTGCATTCGGGTTTAGGTGCAAAGGGGACCAAGGAACAAGGGGGCAGAGCCGTACGGGACCTACTAGGTGAGACGTCAGTGGCGAGAAGGCAAATGAACAGCATGGCAGCTAGACGCAATAGCTATGCTACTGCAAGGTTATCAGCTTCTGGCTGGGAATCAGGGGGACATATTTCCCATTGTCCGTTGGTGTTTTAGGTAGGTTCTAGGCTAGGTATGGCATTCAGATGCGGTCAGTTAGTCTGAGGTAGCATTTAGCTTGCGGGTCTTTAGCAGAATAGCGATAACATAAGGTAGTCCTTATCAACCACTTAGTTGCTAAGGTTTCAAACGTCATTGTGACTGCCCGCTTGTGTTCCCCTGCGCAAAGAATTTGGACAGGTCTTGCAAGCTGTGACTTCGCCGTTCTGCCACGTTCCGGATCTCTTTCCGGGCCGTTCTGGAAATCCGGGGTTCGGCAACCGCAGGAGTGGCAACCAATCATAATAAAAGTGCCAAGCCACAATCAACAAACAGCGCAAGACGGATTTCACATGCCCCGCAAAGACTTGCCCCTCTAGAAAATTTTCCCCGCCATATATGGAGAGCTGTTGTTACCCGTTCTCCGGTTGAAAAAAGTCAACTCCTAAAAAGATGGAATCAAGTACAGGTTATTACTATCACTCCTTCCATTTGGTCCTCCTGCCACGAGGGTGAACTTGAATTCGCGGGGGTTGCTCCTGGTCTCCCCTCCCCTCCACCGTATCTTTGACCCCGTGCCCTTAGCCTTATCCCGGGGACAAGACCGACTTCGGCACCGGCCAACATTCCCTGTGCGTTGCCTCCGTCGACCAATCTTTCAAGTGCCGATTTATCGCGCTCTGCCGGTCTCGTGTTCCCTGCTGTGCAGTACCTTCAGTCATCGATACCGTTCATCCATCCGAATTATTCGTGTATTCCTGAGGGTGACAGTGTGCCCGAATTCGGCAATAAGATGTGCGGCATTCTCGGCCTCATCCTCGCCGACTCGTTGAGCGTCGATGCGGCAGTTGACCTCCATGAGAGTCTGTACTATCTCCAGCATCGCGGCCAAGATGCCTGTGGCGTTGCGACGTGCGCGGCCGGCGGCAGGATCTTCCAGTGCAAGGGCAACGGCATGGCGTCCAAGGTCTTTGAGGACGGCAAGCGCGTCGCGGATCTGCCCGGGTACATGGGCATTGCCCATCTGCGGTATCCGACGGCAGGGACTAGCTCGGTACGGTGCTCTTGCCCGGCGTGAATCAAAGCTGTCTGGTTTTGTTTAGTCAAGCTGACCCCCTTATTTGCTCTCAGAGCGCCGAGAGCCAGCCGTTCTACGTCAATTCCCCCTACGGCATCTGCTTCGCGCACAACGGCAACCTGATCAACGCCCCCGAGCTGCGCAACTTCCTCGACAAGGAGGCCCACCGCCATGTGAACACCGACTCCGACAGCGAGCTAATGCTCAATGTGTTCGCCAATGCCCTGAACGAGACGGGTAAGGCTCGTGTCAACGTCGACGACATCTTCAGCTCCCTGGCCCAGACATACCAGCGCTGTCAGGGCGCCTGGGCCGCTACCGCCATGGTTGCCGGTTTTGGCATCCTAGCCTTTCGCGACTCCTTCGGCATCCGCCCGCTGATCATGGGAAGCCGGCCGTCGGCCACTGTCGAGGGAGGGACGGACTACATGCTGGCCTCGGAGAGTATTGCCCTCCGGCAGCTGGGGTTCCGGAACTTCCAAGACATCCTCCCGGGCCAGGCGGTCTTCATCCAGAAAGGCGGCCAGCCGCAGTTCCACCAAGTCGCCGAGGCCAAGGGCTACTCTCCGGACATCTTTGAGTATGTCTACTTTGCGCGGCCGGACACGATCATGGACGGCATCTCTGTCAACAGCAGCAGGCAGAACATGGGCGCTAAGCTGGCTGACAAGATGAGAGAGGTTCTCGGCGAGGAGGGTATCCAGGAGATCGACGTCATCATCCCGGTACCGGAAACCAGCAACACGGCGGCGGCCGTTGTGTCGGAGCGCCTGGGCAAGCCCTTTTCGAACGGTTTCATCAAGAACCGCTACGTATACCGTACCTTCATTTTGCCCGGCCAGAAGGCGCGGCAGAAAAGTGTTCGGCGGAAGCTGAGTGCCATGGAGTCCGAGTTTGAGGGGCGCGTTGTCTGTCTGGTGGACGACTCGATTGTCCGGGGCACTACCAGCAGGGAAATCGTCAGCATGGCCCGCGAGGCTGGGGCGCGCAAGGTCATCTTTGCAAGCTGCGCCCCGCCTATCAAGCACCCTCATATCGTATGTTCCATTCAGCAGTTAACCTCTTGAAAAGCAGCACCTAACTAGTTGCGCAGTACGGCATCGACCTGGCTACCCCTCAGGAACTGATCGCGCACGAGAAGACCAGGCAAGACATCGCGCGGCACATCAACGCCGACGACGTCATCTATCAAGACCTCGGTGACCTCAAGGCCGCTTGCATGGCGGTGGCGCCGGGTGGTAAAGTTAAGGACTTTGAGGTCGGCGTGTTCTGCGGCAAGTACAAGACGGAGGTTCCTGAGGGCTACTTTGAGCACCTCAACGAGATCCGCGGCAAGAAGCGGAAGATGGCCGAAGAGGCGGGCACCCAGACCGCGGTTGGCAACGGCGGTGCCGTCAACGTGGCCAAGCGCTCGCTCACGGATGGGAGCGCAGGGCTCGAAATCAGGAGCCAGAATGGTGCCGATGGCGGCGTGGAGGATAAAAACGCGGGCATGGCGAATCCTAACAACCGGCAGGATATCAGGTATGTCTTGTCATTGCTCTTTTGAGTGGCTGGGTGCAATTGCTGACATTGAACTGCCGTAGCATCCATAACCTGGCGAACGAACCGCCCACCCAATAAGAGGTGTTTGACTACCCAGGGAAGGTGGATTGGGGTATTGCACATAGACAGATACAGGCCGTGTCCTGAGTAATCATGTCTTTCCCAGGACATGTCGCATCATGGCGGGATTCATAGCTGGCGGCTGTTTGTGTCAGTTTCGTCGGCAACATAGACAAGGATAGTTTAGGGATGGAGCAAACATGTAATCAGGGTTCTCTTGGGAGTCTTGACGTGCTACCACAGTCGTCGTGTAACGCCGGGGGGATATTACCTCGCTCCAGTCTCTGGCCCTCTTAGCTGGGATATTGAAGCCATCTACATCAAGTCCTGTGCCACCCCAGTCACTACATGCATAGGCATACATGAGAACACATTCTCGTCTATTGCAAAGACATGGTAAGGAGTTCGACTAGGTGGTGAACAAGGCAATCATTAGAAACGGCGAGGTAAAACTAGAGGAGGCTCAGACTTGAGGATGAAGACAACTAACTACCGATGTAAGAGCTAGCTAGATACGGTCTCAAAGGAAGGAAAGCCACGGTGGGCACCTCAGAACCGGAGCATATAGCAAAATGGACGAAAAATACCAGAGATACGTGATGGAAAACAGTAGAAAAAGAGAGTCGTTCGACGGGAATTGAGCCCGACGTGGGGGTCGAACCCACAACCTTGAGATTTCGGAGAACTCCTTAAGAGTCTCACGCTCTACCGATTGAGCTAGCCGGGCAGGCTATTATTTGATGTTGAGGTCGGGTCAGAAGTTTGTTCCTATAAGGTCAGCGTGAAATCAACAATTCCTAAAACCACTGCACAACCCTCTCCTTTACCGCCAGGAGACTTCTGGAGGGAGATGAGCAGCTGCCTGCTGGAATTATTTAGGTGTCACTGCACGGCTTCGATACCCCCTGAGCTTCTAGTACTAATATACTCAGTCGAGGTGCCATGGCAACGAGGACACCGCAGACTGCATAAACCCGCCCCCTTTTCTCCTAAGCTCAATGCAATACCATTGCCACATTGGTGAACGGTTTATTATGAGACTCTCTGAAATGGTTACGTGACCTAACTAACAAAATGTAGTAAATACTTATGACCCTATACTCTGGAGAACATGACCGAAAGTTGTTCTGCCACGGTGGTGGTCGATCCGCCCTTCTGGGGCAGACTGACTTGCGGCGACAGGGACACGTCATGAACGCTCGCAGGCTGCCCGGCCCACAGAGAAGTCGATGAGTACTAGTAGTCCAAATTGGAAGGAAACCACAGGAGCATCTTATTCCCTTCCCCACTGTTAACTTCACCGTACCGTTCAGGGGTAGCCAAACCAGTCGACAAATAGACACATTTCCTCCGATTCTCAGCGAAAAGCTGGGGCGATGAGGAAACCCCTATCAAAACAATGGACCATCGGGGACAAACATAGGAGGGGCCGGGCGGGGTAAAGACAAAATGGCTGTAAATAGCCCTCCGGCCAAAAGAAACGAAGACCCCTCCCCTCCTCCTCTTAGGAGAGTTTGACTCTGCTAGGTAGAGCCTTTGGTAATTCGGACGCAAAATAGGAGACAGCGGAAAGAACAGAAGTCGAGACAGCAAGGGAACCAGAACTCCATTTCTCCAACGGTAATAGGCCAGAAAAGTAAAGCAAAAGTAAAGCACGAAGCCCGTCCCGCCCACTCCATACTCGCTTTACCCGCTGTATCCCATCGCGTTGTCAGCTGGCTGGCTGGGTATCCTGCGAAATTGCTGCCCGCAACACAACGCTCTACAACCTCTTCCCGGGTCTGCCCCTATGGAAAGGCGACAACCCTCTCCCACTTAGGGACCCAACCGTGACATATGCCAACCCTCCCTCGTTCTTGTATCACTTCCCCTCTTCACCCTAGGCAAAGCAGACAGTCTGCCCCTCGTCACCTCTTAGACTTATCAGCCGCACACGCACATCACCTCTCCTTTCCTCCCTCTCCGACTCCTCGTCATGGTGACTAAATAGGACTCGCCGGGAAACTCCTCACTCCGCCACCACTGCTCAGATCCCCGCTCCCCGTCCTCCTCAGCGCCTGCGACATGGTCTCGATGGCAATCTCCCCGCTCACCGTCGGACCCCCCGCACCCAGCGCCAGGCTACCGTGCTGCATGCTCATCATGCTGGTCGGACTCCCGAGAGGTTTGCGACTGGGCGACATCTCCAGGCCCTTCACCGACCCGGACTTGCTCGTGGGCGGGCTGCTGGTTCCCGGCCCGCCGGCGCTAGAGACTGGGGAACGGATGGGCGACGGCGAGCGGTTGTTGCGCCCCCCGCCCATCGAGGCGAGGGACGTCAGGCCGGCGAGGTGCATGCTGTCGCGCGAGCCGGCGCCGGCGGGGTACTGCGCCTGCTCGGCTTGGACGACGTCGGCAAACGAGATGAAGCTCAGACGGCGGACGTCGGTCGTGTCGAAGCTGCCGTAGTTGGACGCCGTGTCGGTCGCCGGCGCCGTCGCAGCCGTGGTCCGTTGCGCCGAGAAGGCGGCCAGCTCGTCGGCCCACGAGGGCTCGTGCGGCACGAGGCCGATGCCGCCCGCGACGGCGAGCGACGCGGGCTGGTGGGACGTGTGCGTGATGATTTCGACGTTGTCCGGGTCCAGGTGGTCGTCGGTGATGGCTTCGGAGGACGCGTCGAGGACGGGCGGGATGTAGTTCTCGGTCTGGATGTGCGAGGGGATCGCGGGTGAGTTGGGGATCAGATTCTCTTGCACGTCTCGTTCGAATATTTGGCTTCCGGCGGGAGAGGAGAGGCGCGGCGAAGAGGCAAACCCGGAACGCCCTGGCGAGGAGGGCTGCATACGCCTGTGATCTGTTTGGATGGGTGATGTAGTATTTGCCCGACCGGTAGTCGGCGCGGGCTTGCCCGTGGAAGTGGGCTTGGATTGCGACTTCGCCGAATCGTCTGCCTTCTTCTTCCCAAAACCGAACAAGCTGCGCTTCTTTTTCTTTTCTTCTCCGTCTGCTGTCGCTCGCGGGGTCACGTTGCCCGTTCCCGGCTCGGACTCAGGCTCAGCCAACGTGGGCACCGCGGCCCTGCCCTGGGCGGGCATCGAGGTCGCCAGGCTCATGCTGTCGATAGGCCGAGATTCGCGCTGCTTTCAACACAAGATGGCTCACTAAGATGGCAAGGTCCTCGCGGAGCTGTTGTATGCAATCTGTTAGCAGGGAGGGCTTATAGGTGCAGGTACAGCTCTGAGGATCCCCCAATCTCCCGGCGGAGTGCACCCGCAGGCACTGAGGATGAAACGGGTGTCTCGCGACAGGAGAAGATGGCGTGTGGCCCGTTGGACCAGTTTGCCGATTCGCCGCAAATTAATCACTTGTAAAGTGGCCTTCATGTATGGGACCAATTACCGCGGCAAGAGATGAGAACGGTCGTACCTTGCTCGAGACCCAGCGCGGTGCGACCAAGAAACAGTTGAGCGAATGCAAATTTGGAAGTGGTCGATGCTGTGTGTTAATGTTTGGCGTACAGCTTTTGGCGGCTCGGGCGATACGCGCAGCGTGACGCAGGAAGGCCGGGCGGCTCTCAGCGTTTCTTTAGCCCAATGCAATTCGAGATGTTTCTCTTCTTGCCGTTTTCCGCTTGTCGGTTTCGGCCCTAATCAGAAACGGGTATTCCGTTCGCGCAACCAAGGATATTGTCGTTATGGGAAGTGCAGTGAAAAATGCCGAAGATCGTAGAAGGGAGGATGAAGCTGTGCGCTGCTTCGATTGTGGGCGGATGCGGTATTATTGAGTCGTGAAACGGGAGTCGCGGATCTTGCTTTGTCTTGTCCTTCAATGCCCGCTTGGGATCCGGTGACCTCGGAGTGCTCAACAGGAATGACGCTGCTTCTATCATGCTCCACAGCGTTAAAAGAGAGGGGCAGCTCAGGGCCTTCAGCACCGTGACGCCGCCAAGTCGGATCCGCAGGAATATCCGTATGTATACCTTGAAAACGGGGACCTTGCTCATTTCAAGTTGTCCTTCCCGGGAGCCGTTATTCTAACAAGTCGACCCCTGACTGCGCCTCACGATTCATCAATTTGGAGCCAGGAACTGGGCTGATAAACATGACATCCTTGTCATGATCTTCGATTTCTGGTACCTACACACCTACAACATTCATGGGCCTACGCGGCCCATCGCGCCGCATGAACTCATGTAGTGAAGGGAGCGGGAAGAGCGCCGCGATGGGTGGGATGCGCAACCACATGCTCCCTTCTTCACCCCTTTCCATCTTCTCAGCCCAATTTCCGGATGCGATACGATGCTCGACCTGAAGGCGTATGCGTTCACCCAGCCATATCTCTCCACCTACACTCCTGGCCTGTCCACACAGCCCGAACCGGAGAAACAATCGCATGGAAGAGCAGGCCCCGGTGACGGCATTCTGTCGACGGCAATAAACTAACTGGAACGCGTCCTGGAATCAGATGCGGATGCATGTCTGCATTCCTTGACTTTGTCGCACAGTACGGTTGCATGCGGGAAGGGTGTCAGAAATGGACCTTTCTGTCTCACACTGCAGCATTGCATCCGGCGGGTGGTACCGACTGCACCGGTACCTTCACTTGTCAACAGCAAATGACAGACCTGTTGGCACGCTGCTTTCAATTTTGCGATGGACCTTCTACAAGGCAGTAAACCAGGACTGTAGGCTCACCTGATCATGTAAGATGGAAACCAGAAAGTGATTATGGTTCTACATGGGACGGTTACTAGAGTCGTAACAGGAAATGCGGTATCCTCTGCGTCCATGGTATTGAACCATGGGCAGAGGCGCCCAACCGGAACGCGGAGTCGATGTCAGCAGGAAGTCAAACCCTTCATCTGCCAGTGGGTTAATTCAGGTCATCCAACCGGTCCTCCGGTCAGTCCACGCATCAGCAGACTCCACCCGGCCGACCTCCGGAGAAGTGGAGCATAGATTCGGCGCACCGATGATTGGCTTACGATCCACAGCGCCCGACACCGTACGAAGACGGTCCACCATCCACGTGACAATACCCGAGATCCTCCAATGCATTGAGAGAAAAAGTTCATTTGCATCGCGACCCCCAGACCGCAGCTGCCGAGCGTGAAGGAGGTGGACGGCGGCCACGACAACACACAAGCCTAGCCCGGTTGCTAATTGCAGTTCCTACTTCCCGATCCGCACACCAGGCGGGTTGACGTCCCATTCTTTTCTCTCAGTTGTGTTTTGGTAGTGTAAACCTCTCCTCCGCCCCTCCTCCTCCACCACCAGCACGATGGAGGCCATCGCAGCACGACCCGCCTTCTCCTGCTGCCGCAGCGCCGTTGCTGCCGGCTCAGCGTCTCGTCGGCTGCTCCTCAACACAAGCCCCGCGAGCGCCCGCCAAAAGTCTAGCACAGCCCGGACAAGAAAGGCGCTAAACATCCCACCGCACCAATCCTTCCTCAACTTCAACGGCTCAGATGGTGCGACCCGCCCGACATCTGACCAGATCATCTTCAACCCGCCGTCGTCCGCCCCGTCCGTCTTCCACACGCCGTTCAAGTTCCTGCCCCCGTCCGACCCCCGTCGCCGGGCCAACCTCGCCTCGGAGCTGTTCGCCTCATCGGCCCACAACAGCCCCTCCAGCTCATCACAACCATCATCATCAACATCAGAAGCCGCGGCTACACCGGAGGAGCTCCCGCTTGCGGGTGGGGTCCCGCCCCTCAAGCCGCGGCACCACCTGTCGAAGGAGGATATCGAGGAGATGCGGCGACTGCGGGCGGAGGACCCGGTGAAGAACAGCGTGCTGAACCTCTCGCGGCAGTTCCAGTGCAGCAAGCTGTTTGTGCTGATGTGCTGCCAGGCGCCCAAGGAGCACCGCGAGAAGATCCAGTCGCAGCTGGAGCAGGTCAAGAACCGGTGGGGCCCGCGGCGGCGGGCGGCGAGGGAGGAGAGGCAGCGGCGGTTTGCCATGCTCTTCAGTGGGGAGCTATAAAACACGGAAAGGGCACGGGGGTGGGAGAAGAAGAAGCAGTGGTGGGTGGCAATGGTGCCCACTTGTTCTTCTCACACCAGACCACGATGGCACACCTTCTCATGTGAGCAAGGGCAGGATGGCTGCAGCAAAGAGGACGGCACTGTCCACGGGATTGGGCGGACATGGGGCCAGCCGCTTTGAACATCACCGACGACATACTACTGTTGTCCGGTCTTGTACCTCGGAAAGGGGGGAATAACCACAGGAAAAGACGCTGCGGAAACTTTGTACGGGATGTTGGATGACACGGGAAATGCCACTGTACGATCAGGAGCATAGGCATATTAAGAGGCGCTGGGGGGCATAGACGGAGTTGTAAAAGAGCCGAAAGGGTTGGGCGGCCGGATTCTCCAGTCTCAAGCCACTGTATAATGCACAGAAATGCACCTTGTATGTTTCCCATGCAACGGAGCCGCGCCATTGGACGATTGATGGACTTTGAAGTGTCTTGACCATGGAGCACCCCGTTTATTCATAGACACCTTAGTTAACCCCTCTCCCGACCATTTTTCGAGCTCTAAAAAGACAAACCCAGCTCCTACCACGACCAGCATCCCGTATTATCACCCCGTTAGCTGGGGTTCCGGGCCCTCCTTTTCTTTCCCTTTCCCCTTAGCCTCCGACCGCCCAGCCTCCTCGTAATCCTTCCTCGAGGGGATAACCCTCCTACACCAGCCACACCAACTCCTCCGCCTGCCCTGCACCTCGCGGCCCAGGATCTCTCCCTTTGCCCGCTCATCGTCCCATTCCGGCACGCACGCGCCTACCTTTACCATTCTCACCATCTTCTTCTTCAGGACGCCACCAATCCCTTCGATCTCATGCCTCTCATACCCTGGCTTGAGCGCCGGGCTAGGCGTCCTGCGATCGAACAGCGAGGTGCCTGACGAGCTGCTCAAGCTCGCCGTACTACCAGGGCCGCTGAGGGTCCAGGGCGCCAGGGATGAGACGACGCTGCTGGCACTGCTGTGGGAATAGTGCTCAGCCTCGCGTGCGTCCTCAGCGTCTCCGTCTGTCTCCTGCTCTCGTTCACGCGCAGCACAGCACTCTGTCTCGCGGCCGCAGATGACGCCGCGGTCGCCTTCGCCTATGCCGGTGCCGAGGCCGCCGAGCACGTCGGTGTATTGGTTGCGCCATTTCCATATGCTGGGTGACGGGGTGCACGGTGAGACTGTGCCATAAAAGGGGAGAGTGGAGTGGATGCTAACTCACCCCTGATATTCGGAATCATCACCAAGGATAGATCGGCCGCACGGCTGGCAGAGCCAGACAGCCTCGGATTCGCACCTGCAGATCGCTCGTTGCATGTCATCTGACTCGATGCGGACCTCTGGCCCGAGGGTTGGCTTGACAAGCGAGCCAAGAGGTGCGTGCACGCATGCCTCGCAGAGCCGCCGATGTCGACCGCTGAGGGCAACGGGCGCTGGAGGCTTTTTGGCACAGTTCTATTGTGGGTGGTTAGGTTTAGACGTGGCCGAAATTGTCATTTGGGGCCCTAAGCACTTACCCGACAGACAACAGTGCCGCACCGCCGGCACTCGGCCACTAGATCGCGAGCACACCGTCCGGACTTCCCACCATGCTGCGACCTTCCAGCATCTTGCATATAGTACCAGTTGGCAGCACGGGCTCGGTAACGCAGTGTCTCCTCCGGATCTACGGGAAGGCCCTCGTTGACGCAGTGCAGGGTCGAGATAAGCAGCATCTTGCGGTACTGGAGCAAGCCCTCCCGGATCTGTTTGCAGGTACGCGACAGGTTATCGAGCGTGTTCAGGTCGATGTGGGAGGCCACCGACATGATGATACTGATTACCCGGTCAGCAATGCTTTCCCTTGGCAGGTGGAACTGCCAAGGTGTTGACTGTTTCATGCAACGGGAACGCAAGCATGAAAGGGTGGTGTCCGCCTACGGATAGCATCCCAAAGCCTGCGTCATGGAGTTCCGGTTCAGGTTCTCCCTGACGGCGAGCCCGTGAGCCTCCTCGCGTTGCTTGCCCTCCGGGGTGTTGATCCCGGAATCGGCGCCCGGCAAGCTGCCGCCTGCCGCGGTTACGGGCATCGGCTTGACGGCATCGACTCGGCCGGGCCACAGCGGACGTCCGTCCTGTTGAGGGCTATCATCTTCCTCGGCCAAGTCTACGAACACGGCCATGATTGCTCAATGCGATGTAAAACGTGAGGATACGAGATGTGGTGTCCGTGCAAGAGTCGGGTCGTTGCCGAGGATCAGCGGTGTTGTTTATCGGACTCGGAACATAAACGAGGAGAGGTCACAAAGTGAGTGGTAAGAGGCGGCCGAAACACAGAGAACGATCATAGGAGAATTGGATACGAAATCAATGGGGCGGTCATTGTCACAACGGACGAACTGGCATATATCTGGATGCCAGCCCTCCTTGACGTGTACAATCCAGCGCGCCTTGTACCGTAATAATAAGGTAGCTTGAATCAGGGAAAGGTTTCCGGACAGAGCATCTCCCTTCCAAATCTCCACTTGACGAACCCCGCTCACTTGGGCGCAATCGGAGCCCCGCCTGCTAAGAGTTTGGCAGAAGGCTCACTGCCGCCACTAACTAACGTGAACGAACAGCTCCAACTCCTGCACAACCGCAGGTGACTTCCCGTCTATGGAAAGTCACCAGCTTATAGTAGGTCCACGGGTAGGTACCCGTACTTACCATTTCATTCAACACCGACTGAGCCCGTCCACCACGTGGATTACCGCAGGTAAACATTATAGCTGCACACCAATCGTTGCTGCGGCGATTTCCCGGAAGTGTGAGGCAATGCCGTTTGTGCTTTCTTCCTCAATTGCTTTGGGGAGTTTCGAAACGCAGTCGTTCATGTCGAAAGGGTTTTCAATTGATGATTGGAGACACAGCCACCGGATAAACGGTCTACGGACGACTTCTCTCAATGCTCGTCTGGGGCATCCTGAGATTCCGGTATGAGGCATCTCGTTCGCACGAAGGAAGATCTCCCGTTGTGCAACGTCGAGGCTTCGTATTCTTATGCCCCGTTACTGGGCACTCGAGGTCAATAAGCGCATCGAAGACAGTGCATTGATCTCCTTCCACGTGTGTAAAGCACGTTGTTTTGTGTGGAACACCTCCTGGCCTGCAGTCGCCTCGTCTACGGACTACAGCTTGAAGGTCAACGGGCGCCACGCTGCGAATGGCAGCGAACTAAGGGTCGAGACATTCCAACGCGCTGGAAATTGACCTCAAGAGGCTCAAGGTGGTGTAGCCGATAAGATAAGCCTGTGTCTGATATACTACCACAGTAGGTTGTTTGTCCCATGGCAGGTGACGGTCGCTGATCGTATAAGCAGGCAGGAGTGTCTCATCGTATCTCCCGGCGCAGTCACCATCACCTGCAGCTTCTTTGCGTGCGGATTCTGCGGCCGTCTGAGTTCGGCGATTATGCGCAATCTCCTTTCAATGTCGAGCTCGGATTGGGCGGTGACACCATCGATAAGGCAGAATTCGGGGAGTTCGATGTTGCGATACTGATCATCGGAAACCCGAAGCGATCCTCCTGCGCACTTTGCTCAGCGGCCAGTTTTGCAGAAAAGCTGCTGCATGGCAGGTTCAGCTTCGTCGGGAAGAGCCATGGAACTGTTATACCCCCAAGGACGTCAGGTTCTACTCCGTACATCGCTGGTTGCTTGATTACCTACACAGTATGCACCATGATCACCGCCCGAGCTCGTGCCGAGCCACCCTGGACTGTTGTCTATCTTTAGCCCTAACAAATCGTCGATCATTTCGGCGGGGGGTTGCAGCGGATCGGCGGGATACGACTCGGCCCAGCGACAGAAGCGCCGAGCCCGTACACTATGCGGACCAGATCGCGAGGGATTTCGAGGAGTCAGCTCACAAAACTGCAAACAGCCATCGATAGGTCGCAGCCAACGACTCGCGTGGGGGTCCTCGACCTTTTCAGAGCGGCAGGCACCCGTGGGCCCTCCTCCCTTTTCTGCTGCTATGGTTTGACATTGGCTTCACGCCATTGAACGCCAACACCGGAGAGGCTTTCGGGTACATATGGTGCCGAGCAAGGACAGCTTAGTAACTCAGACCTCGAGCCTCCTGCTCTTATTACTACTATCACCGGCACCTGGAGCCATTTACACCGGTTAACTAGCGGGAATGGGAGGCGCTAGAAAATTTGGTTGTGACAAAGCGCGCTAGTTGTACGGACGGCAGAGCGGGCCAGCTGAACGGGCTATGCAGCCAAGACGGCATATGTGATTTGAGGTGCCACGATATGGCAACGTGCGACGCCCAGTCAAGCCGCCGGTGTCACAGACTCATCACAGGTTCCCGGCGGTTGCTGGAGGTTGGGCTTTTAGATGTCTCGTGCATCACCAATTGGTGCTAACTAACTAACTATTTACTGTGTAGTGACAGTACCGGGTGGTGAGGATCGACGTCTGGGATGGAAGGCGGGAGCATGTTGTTTTTAGAAACTCCAACTGACGCGCCGTGTCTCGTTATTGCTTCATTTTTATCGAGAAAGAAGCCGTTCTGGATTCTTGGCATTCGTTTCCGTTGATGCCGGTATTCCGAGACCAGGGCCAGATCCGGAAAAGTGGAAAACAGCTTCTTCCACAACGACAGCGACCTCTCAGCTCCCCAGGGCCTGCGCTCTTGGGCGTTGCATGGTGCGTGGGGTTGCGCTTGTGAACTGGCTACTAGGCTATGCCTGATGCGGGAGACTATCAAGATGGCCGACGGCCACCACCGCCAGCCGAGGCCGCCTCATGCAGGAGGATGCAGAATTCCATGAGCATGGGTTCGCGCGAGGCCTGCTCCCTTAGCCAGCGCCAAACGAGGGCGCAACACAAGCGGCAGCTCGAACCGTCTGACGAGCTCTCGAGAACGCACGGGTGTTGCTCGGATGGTCTGCTCGCGTAAAGGGGGGCGGCAGCTGGTCTTCGGCGGTGAATTTGTGAGACGCAAACCTACAGTGTACGGAGATACGTACAGAGGCTGAACCTACCTACCCTTGTCTGGATAACCACTCTGCCTGCAGGGGTCTCGCCGATCGATGCGTCCTTGGGAGGGGCCCAGGCGGCTCGCACACTGGGACGGTGCGTTGGCCCTCTCACAGATCCACTGCTGTTGCGTTGTCCAGAGCGTGCTGAGATGAGCGAGCTGAAGGGGCCTGCATCCTGCATCTCCGTCCGCCGAGATAAACATGGGTGCGCGAAAAAAAGAAGACGCGGACGTGGGCCGGGGCTGGGAACTATGGACGCCTCCAGGTTAAGGCCTTGGCAGCACTATCAGTGCTCAATTTCTGACGGCTTGCAAGTGTCTGAGCGGTCGCGGCCGAGGGTATCTCTCTCCCGATGCTAAGTAGAGACCTAGTGGCTCTTGCTCTATGCCCGCAGGGTACCCAAGGGCCCCGTTCACAGCAGCTGTTGTGCCCAACTGCTCTCTTCTCTTCTGTTCCTTCTCTCTCTCTTTCAGTCCTTCTGCACCTGTCGATCACTTCCTTACCAGCTTCCCGGCTCTCCTGTCTTGGGTTAGCCCTCCCCGGTGAAGGCATCTATCTTCCTTCGACACTCTCCCTCGACACAACGGAGCAAGTGTAACCAGCCCGGAGGTGACCCGACGGCGAGGTCAAGGGGTATTCCGGGGCGCACCTTGAAGAGACCCACGCGCACCGATCCGGTCTGGTCGTTGCCGAACATGAAGAAGTTAAAGTCGTATATCTCACCCACACCCCCCGCGGGGGAGGAGCGGAAGAAGGAAACGAATGAAGGGACAGGGGCAGCCGGAGGCCGGTCGAGGAGAGCGGGCTCCAAGACGCCGGCACATCAACTACAGCAGATCCGGCCGCAGCCAGAAGGGAGCTCATTGCAGCCCGCGGCGGCGGCGGCAACAACAGCGCCATCGGCACCATCAGCGGCCACCTCAGCACGAGCGAGCATGCTCTCGATTCCGGGGGGCGGCACCGGACAGGCCAGCCAAGGCAAGTCGCACAACCACAGCCCGGGCACGTCCCGGCCGGCGTCGCTGCGGCACTCGTCCTTCCTCCCCGCGGGCGACGTCCGCAACGGCGACTCGGAGGCCATCAACGAGATCCGCAGCGACATCATGGTGAACTGGCTGTACGAGCAGCAGCTGCGCAACCAGTACGCCTCGGGCCAGCACGCCTTCGAGGGCGTGGTGCTCAAGCGGGCGCGCGGCACCTTCACGTGCTGCCCGCCGCAGATGGCCGCCATCCCGGACTCGCTGTTTGCCGTGGTGGCGCGCATGAACGTGCGCTGCGCCATGACGGTCAACACGCGCCTCGTGCGCGCCATGCTCGACTCGGTCCTCTCGCGCACGCGGCTCGACTACGTGCCGCTGCCGGACGGCCTGCGCGTGCAGGTGCTGCGGACCATGGCCGACCTGCCGCGGCGCGGCCAGCTGCACCACTTTGCCGCCTTTGTCGAGGACGTGCGGCTGCTGGTGGTGTGGGACGACGAGCCGGAGAAGCTGCTCGCGAGGGCGCAGGGCCTCGAGGCGAAGCTCATCGAGATCACCTGGGGCAGCGGGGACGACGCCGAGGCTGTGGACGAGGACGACGGCGGGGCGGAGAAGAAGGGCAACAGCAATACGGCCGTGGGCGTGCAGGAGCTGGAGCTGGACCCGGCGCAGCTGGAGGAGGCGCTCGCCAGGGAGCACCGGCCGGTCCGGCTGGAGAGCGCCGTCATCGTCACGTTCACGCTGGCGCTCTGGCTCGTGTGTCCGGCGCTGGGGATCCGGTGGCTGGTGTACCAGTCGGTCGTGGACGGCACGTACCTGCGATGGGCGCTGCTGGCGGCGCTGCCGGCGCAGCTGTTCGTGAGCCTGTTCTTCTTCCAGTCCATGGTCACCAGCCTGTTCCAGGTGTTCGGCCCCATCTCGGCCGTGGCGAGCAACAGCAGGTACTACAGCGGCAAGCCGCCGCGGCGCATCGACCGCAACCAGGGCCCGCTGCCGCACGTCACCATCCAGATGCCCGTGTACAAGGAGGGCCTCGCGGCCGTCATTAAGCCGACCGTGGTGTCGCTCAAGGCGGCCATCAGCACGTACGAGATGCAGGGCGGCACGGCCAACATCTTTGTCAACGACGACGGCATGCAGCTGATCTCGGACGACGACGCCCAGGCGCGCCGCGACTTTTACGACGAGCACAACATCGGCTGGGTCGCCCGCCCGCCGCACAACCCAAACCCAACCGCGGACGGCGACGACAACGCGCCGGCCGAGAAGCGCTTCGTCCGGCGCGGCAAGTTCAAGAAGGCCAGCAACATGAACTACGCGCTGCACGTCAGCAACCGGGTCGAGGACAAGCTCGCCGGCGTGGAGCGGGGCAGCCGGTGGGACAACGAGCAGGAGACGGCCGCCTACCAGCGCTGTCTGGCCGACGTGCTGCGCGAGGACGAGGGCCGCACCTGGGCCGAGGGCAACATCCGCGTCGGCGACTACATCCTGCTGATCGACTCGGACACGCGCGTGCCGCACGACTGTCTGCTGGATGCCGTCAGCGAGATGGAGCAGAGCCCGGAGCTGGCCATTCTGCAGTACCAGTCCGGCGTCATGAATGTTACCAAGTCGTTCTTCGAGAATGGGTGAGTAATATCTTTTCTTTATCTTTCCTTTTCTTTTTTTTCTTTTTTCTTTTTTCTTGTTGATATTGTTCTCTATACTTGTATATGCTTACATCCGGCCCCCCCAGCGTCACCTGGTTTACCCGCCTGATCTACTCGTGCATCACCTTCGCCGTGGCCTCGGGCGACTCGTGCCCCTTCGTCGGCCACAACGCCTTCCTCCGCTGGCAGGCGCTGCAGGACGCGGCCGCCTTCACCGACGAGGATGGCTACGAGAAGTACTGGTCCGAGTCGCACGTGTCCGAGGACTTCGACATGTCCCTGCGCCTGCAGGTCGCCGGCTACACGATCCGCTACGCCTCGTACACGGGCGACGGCTTCAAGGAGGGCGTCAGCCTGACCGTCTACGACGAACTGGCTCGGTGGGAGAAATATGCCTACGGCTGCAACGAACTGCTGTTCCACCCGCTGCGCTTCTGGCTCGTCCGCGGGCCCTTCACGCCGCTTTTCCGCCGCTTCATTACGAGCAGCATCCCGCTGCCGAAGAAGCTGACCATCCTGGCGTACATTGGGACTTACTACGCCATTGCGTCGGCCTGGCTCCTGACGCTGGGGAACTACTTTGTGACGGGCTGGTTCTATGGCCACCACGACAAGTACTACCTCGACTCGTTTGCCATTTACATCTCCATCATTGTCGTCTTCACCGCGCTAGGCAACGCCTCGCTAGCCGTGCTGCGGTATCGGCTGAGCGAGCAGTCTCTTCTTTCAGCATGTACGTTTCTCATCCCCCTCTTTTCTTTCTTTTTTGTTTTTTTTGTTCCCCCCATTTCATTCACACGATGAAAACTAACTAACACGCCCCCACCCCTGCAGACTTCGAAAACCTCAAGTGGATCCCCATGTTCTGCATCTTCCTCGGCGGCATCTCGCTGCACCTGTCGCAGGCCATCCTGTCGCACTTCTTCGAGATCGACATGGTCTGGGGCGCCACGGCCAAGGAGCTCGAGGAGGTGCGCTTCGGCCCGGAGATCCTGCGCATCATCCGCCGCTTCAAGTGGACCTTCCTGTACTGCTTCGCCTGCACGGCCCTCATGGTCTGCGGCAACACCGTCTTCCCCGTCGAGTGGCGTATCAGCATGTTCTACAGCATCTATCCGCTTGCCGCGACCGTCGTGTCGCATTTCTGCCTGCCCGTGCTGCTCAATCCGGCGCTGATGATGTTTACTTGGTGAGCTGGCGAGCGGGGGAGGTGAGGGAAAAGGAAGGGTGGTAAATTGTTAACCTATTTCGTTTTGGGCTTCCTTTTCTTGGCTTTGTTCTACTTTGCCTAATGTTTATTGGTCGTTATCACCCTTCCCCCCCGTAGTCGTCTGAAGGGGTCTGCGGGAGTGCAAAGTCACAAAAGGCAGAAGATCGGCTTTGGTCAAGCTGCCCTACCTACCATTCGGGTCCACATAAGTACTAGTACCTACTAGTAGTTTACTTCCATATATTTCGCCCATGCCATAGAGATGTCGTAGAATCGATAGCAGCGGTGGATATCGTACCAGCCAGACAGCACAAAAACAACTCGTTTGGAAATACTATAGACCCAGTGCCCACGAGCGCTCCTCAGCAACGAGACTCTCAGAGCTTAGAGCCTGCGGCAGCCCCTTGACCGGGCGCCTTGCCAGCGCCGTACACGATCGCCTGGTCCATGGCCAGCGCCTTCTGGCCACGCCATTCCTGCTCCCCCATGAACCGCTTCTTGACCAAGTACCTCCTACACATCTCCTCAATCTCCGCCCCGGGATGCACCGCCGCATCCACCATGTACAGCACGGCAATCAGGACCTCGGCCAGCCGGAACACAACCCCCCTCGCATCGGGTAAGAGGTCCTCTTGGCTGGTCTGTTCCACCCTCTTCTTTAGTTTCTCCCATTCTCTTCTGACCCCTTCCTCCGCCTCTTTGGATAATACCCCTTCTTCCATCCCCTCCTTGTTACCGCCCCACCTCTTATCGTTAACAACCCCTCTGACGAACTCCAACCCGGCATTGACAAACCACCCCACCGCCGCCTCCACCGTGTCCTCCCCTCCTTGCCGGGAATGCTTCATCGCCCGCAGCGTATCGCCCGCCAACACGTCCGTCGTGCCTTCCCAGATGGCGCCGACACAGGCGTCGCGGAACAGCCGTGCCACGTTGATGTGCTCCGACTCCGAGTTGAGCAGATACCCCACGCCGCCGAGGGCTTCCATGCACGCGTAGACCAGCGGGATGGCGGTCTTGCATATGTAGGATTTGTGCAGCGACGACAAGGCACGCAGTAGGGGAATCACTAAAGCGGTGGTGGGTGGTGTGAGCGGTGCCACGGGAGGGGCAGAAGCAGTACTAGGGGAAGGGCGTTCGGATAAGCCCAGGAGATAGACCGTGTAATACGTCAGGAGCATCAGGCCGTGGTAGTCCGCGGTAAGATCGGCGAGCGTGCGCATGTGCAGGCGGTGGGAGGACAAGGGGACGCGGCGGCCGCGCCCGGCGCCGGCCTCGCGCACGCTCGCAAAGGATCGCGCGATAGCTAGGCCGCGGCCCAGGTAGCCTACGCTGGACACGGTCGTGTGCACGCGCGTGATGGTCAGGATCGTGCTGATCTCGGCGATGCCCTGGCCCTCTGTCCCGATCAGCCAGGCGCGCATGTTGTTCAGCTCGAGCTCGGCCGTGGGGAGCGACTGCGTGCCGAATTTGTGCTTGAGCCGCTGGATGGTGACGCCGTTTAGTTCGCTGCCGCCGATATTGCCTGTTGCGGAGATCAGGGCAGGGTTGTGCCGGCGCATCGGCGCCAGGAAGGCGCTCACCCCCTTGGACGGGTCGGTTTTGGCCAGCAGGATGGCCATCTGCGAGTCGGTCGCCGAGGAGAACCACTTGAAGCCCGAGATGGACCAGGGGCCGAGGGGGATGTTGTCGTCCACGTCGGCGAGGGGAGCCGGGCCGGACTCCTCGGGATAGGGGTCGTAGGTGGCGACTGTTTCGGTTCGGGACACGTCGCTGCCGCCGGGGCGCTCGGTCATCCATTGCCCGCTCGTCCAAGCCCTGGCCGGGTCCCGGGAGGTAAGATGGCCAAAGGCGTTCTGGAAGACGCGGCGCTCTGTCGGCGAAAGGCCCGTCTTTTTGTTGGAGAGATGCCGCTGCAGGAGCCGGGCGGCGCCATCCTGCATCGCCGCCGGGCACAGCGTGTTGGCGCACGACGCCTCCCAAAGGTGGCAGCGGATGAACTGCACCAGTCGAGTGTACGGGCCATAATCCGAGTCGTAGTTGAGAGCAACGACGCTGCGGGGGGGTAAGTCAGGCTAAATACGAGGACTAGGTAGGGGTATCGGCCTGCTTACCCCTTTCGGAACCCGAACTCCTGCAGCTTCCTCCAACCCTCGCTTACGACCAGCTCACTCTTGGGCTTGCCAAAGGCGTCGCGCCCGCTGCCACGCAGATACGGCTGGCTGCGCTCGGCATCTATTACCCAATCGAAGACTTGTTGCGTGAGAACTTCATCTCCGAGCTGCGCGGCTTCTGGGCTGATCTGGTCCCGTACGGGGTGAGGTAGAAAGACTAGAGCGGTCAGCATCAAGCACGGCGTGACAAGGCTAGAGGAGTTGAGGAGGGAAGAGAACGCGGCTGCATACGTCTGGTTATCCGCTGCAAACTAACATCGTCGTGGAATTGGTTCTTGATGACGGGCTGCTGCTGAAAGAAGCCTGTGTTGGAACTGGACGGTTCCATGGTCTCCGATAGCTGCTCACGTCAACAACGAATGACTGTTGCCATGAAGACGCCTGGAGCCTTGGGAGGACGATCAAGCGTGGACGAGTTCAATGGGGGTCATGTCGGTTCGCCCGTATCGATGAGCACAATGCAAGATACCTCAAGGATACCTATGTAAAAAGGCAAATGCTCCCCGTGGCATTGGATGTTAACGTTGCTAAGCATTATCCCCTTCCGGAAGGCCGCCATTAGGCCCGCGTCACCTGAAGCCTCGGCTCGCAGTGCCTGAACAAGGCAGTTTGTGAGCCGTCCCATTCCAAGCCGTTGTCGAAGCCGGGAACTGAATAAGAGCACGCGGGGGCAACAGGGGTTGAGCGCTTGAGTACAGGGTTAGGGTATCTGCTAACATCAATTCGTCCAGCTCATCTCACGAGTCACGTGCGCACGTTCTGCGATCGCGCTTTGTCGCGTAACGTACTACTCCGTAAAGCAACCCCGGAGTCTGTGTGGCACAGCTCACCCTGCCTCGTCGCAATGCCACAGATTTCCAACAATGACCAATGCAATCGAAATATCCGACGATGACCGCACAGCGTCATCAGTGGATGACAATACGTCCTTGAAACCAACGACACTCGGGAAACGGAAACCGAGATGCGACTTTGAAGAAAAGGTCGCCTGGACCGACGATGAGTCCGATCGCGACGAGTATTCGAAGCGCCAACGAACGACAAAGCGCAGGAATTATACCAAGGGGAAAGGGAAAGGGGCAGTTGGGAAGGGTGCCGCCCGCGGGACAACGCTCGCGAAGAAGACCGCCGCCGATGCATTCACCACGCAGGGCCAGTATGCCGACGCCTGCGTGCCAGAATACCTGCTGCAGCGAAAGAAAAACTTCGACAGGGACAGAGAGCTGCTGAAGGATGCGGGGCTCAAGCTGCCCCCGGATTATTCCGACATCTACTTCTCGGACGACGAGCTTCTATCGGCCCTCGAGGAGCGCCCCAAGTTCGACGACAGCAGCGGCGTCAAGCCGTGTCGGCCCTACCAGGACATTGAGCTCGAGTATTCGGCAGGCATAATCCCGGCCGCGATTGCACAGTATCTCCGCGACTACCAGATTGCCGGCGTCAAGTTCCTGCACCAGCGGTTCGTTTATCAGAAGGGCTGCATCCTGGGCGACGACATGGGTCTGGGGAAGACGATACAGGTCATTGCGTTTCTTACGGCCGCCTTCGGGAAAACGGCCGACGAGCGAGACGCGAAGCGGATGAGGAAAATGCGACGGGCGGGCGACCACTGGTACCCTCGGGTACTGATCGTCTGCCCCGGCTCGCTGCTCCAGAACTGGCGGAACGAGCTGGATCGCTGGGGTTGGTGGCACGTTGACACATACCACGGCGCCGGGAAGGAAGACGTTCTGCAAGCGGCCAGGGCCGGGAGGCTAGAGATCATGATTACGACCTACGGCACCTACAAGAGGATGCGCGAGGCAGTCAATGAGGTCGAGTGGGACTGCGTCGTCGCCGACGAGTGCCATGTTCTCAAAGATCGCAAGTCCGAGACCACCCAGGCCATGGATGAGGTAAACGCCCTCTGCAGGATTGGCTTGACCGGCACGGCCATACAGAACAAGTACGAGGAGCTCTGGACGCTCCTGAACTGGACAAACCCCGGCCACTTCGGGACGCTTGCCGAATGGACACAGACCATCACGAAGCCTCTAACCGTCGGCCAGTCGCATGACGCTACGCTCAAGCAGCTCAGCATTGCCAGGACGACGGCCAAGAAGCTGGTTCAGAACCTGCTCCCTGACTTCTTCCTGCGGCGCATGAAGACGCTCATCGCGCACCAGCTCCCCAAGAAGAGCGACAGGGTCGTCTTTTGCCCCCTAACAGATATCCAGCGAGAGGCCTACCAAAATTTCTTGGAAGGGGACCAAGTCGTCACCATCATCACCGCGTCCGAGCCCTGTGACTGCGGTTCGGGGCACAAGAGAGGCTGGTGCTGCTACCAGTCACTGCCCGATGGGAGGCTGTGGAAGAGCCTGGTATTTCCGACCATCATGACTCTCCAGAAGATCTCGAACCACCTGACACTCCTGATTCCCTCTGCCACCGACCCCAGCGACAAGCAGAGCTCCGAGCTTAACGCGCTCCAGACCTGCGTGCCGGAGGACTGGGAAGAGCTATACCGGAACCGAGATTCGATGCTCAATCTGGCGAACCCCGAGTTTTGCGGGAAGTGGAAGATCCTGAAGAAGCTGCTGCGCTTCTGGCACGAGAATGGAGACAAGGTTCTCGTCTTCTCGCACAGTGTGCGACTCCTGCGCATCCTACAGCACCTGTTCCACAATACGAGCTACAATGTTAGCTTTCTAGATGGGTCTCTGAGCTATGAAGATCGGCAGAAGGTAGTCGACGACTTCAACTCCGATGCCTCCCAGTTTGTGTTCCTCATCTCGACTAAGGCCGGAGGAGTCGGCCTCAACATCACCTCGGCCAACAAGGTGGTCATCTTCGATCCACACTGGAACCCGTCGTACGACCTGCAGGCTCAAGATCGAGCATACAGAATCGGTCAAGTGCGTGATGTCGATGTGTTCCGCCTCGTGTCAGCAGGAACCATCGAGGAGATTGTCTATGCTCGCCAGATCTACAAACAGCAGCAAGCCAATATCGGCTACAACGCGTCCAACGAGCGACGCTATTTCAAGGGCGTGCAGCGGGACAAGCACCGAAAAGGGGAGATCTTCGGGCTGCAAAACCTCCTCAGTTTCCACGACGATCAGGTCGTCCTGCGGGAAATTGTCAATAAGACCAACGTCGCTGAGGCCAAAGCCGGCGTCTACCTCAGCGACATCGACATCGACCGAATAGCCAAGGACGAAGACGACGAGCTGAACTATATCAAGCAGGAAGACGACGACGAGGAAGGCGGCATCAGCCAGCTGGCCAAACTCCTGACCACCGAAAACCAGGAAGAGCTGATCAAGGCCAAAATGGCCACCAAGCCGAAAAGCGACGCCATCGCGGCCATCCTCGCCTCCGCCGGCGTGGAATACACCCATGAAAACTCCGAGGTGATTGGCACCAGCCGCGTCGAGGCGCAGCTCTCGCGCCGCGCCGAGCTGGCCGTGATGCCAGATAGCCAAGACCCGGAGGGCAACAGCGCGCTGTTCGCCGACAGCCAGGCTAACCACGTGGCTCCGGCGGGTAGCGGCGGCGGCGCTGACAACAACACTAACAAGGCCTGGGGGAAGAACAACCCGTGGAGGATGCACTACGTGTTCAATCCGCCCGACGACGTCATGCGGCGCCAGTTCTGCTCCATGGCGAGGGAGTTTGGTTTCTCTAATGCGACCGAATTCGCGCTTGTCGTCGAGAGCTGGACGCAGGAGCAGCGCAGGAACTGCTTAGATATGTTTTACAGGGTCAGAGAGGTCAAGGTGTTGGAGAGGGAGGTGGCTGCGTTGAAAAAGGAGGAGCCGGATCCTACTGATACTGCGGCTAAGGCGGCGGAGATGGTCAAGACTGAGTCGGTTGCTACTAGTAGTACTACGACTACTAAGACGGAAAGTGAGGGGGCTGTGGTCAAGGAGGAGAAGATGGCATCGCCGTCTCCGACCCGGGTCAAAGTTGAGAAGGTAGAGGTTAAGAGGGTGCCGACGATATCCTTGTTTGACGATGACGAGGATGATGAGCTTTGATTGTAGCTTGCATTGGCTTTTTACACTGGCGTTGGAGGATGGATGATACCCCGAGCGTTTTCGATTTCAAGATTCTAACTTCCCGGTTCTCAAACATAGATGCTAGTGCGTTTAGGTCTTGACTACCTACCGATATAATATGGCCAACGGGATCCTTTTTGCCCGTTGGACTTTTCCCTTGTCACAGGACATTCCCACAGGAATCAGTCTTTCGATCAGAGGGCCTACTGCCTGCTCACAGGCATCATGAAGGTACTCAGGGCACTACTCTAGTATCATCATGTTACCATTGACATTACAGAGTTTCGGACACGGGGATCGATCCATGAAGTACGTAGCTGAGTCATCAGTAGCGGAACCACTACAAGGACCCCACCAAATCCACACACAGCAAAGGTATCATCTTCACATGCCAACATGCCAAAACCGAGTGTGAGCCAGCCCAGCCCAGCACGTGACACTGCGGGTTCCAACTTTCAGACTCACTCACTGCAGCTCCTTTCTTGCGGGGGTGGGGCGACCGCGGATTGGGGCCCCCCAGCCAATCAGCCCAAAGACGAACCAATCAAACTGCGCCGGAGCCGGCAGGGCTCGGCAATTCGGTCATGGATGGGCTCGTGGGTCCAATGCCGAGGGCGGCGAACATTGGCAGACGCAAAGCTCGGCTCAAAGGGACTCTCGGAGTCGGAGAGCCTCTGACACACACACTTCTCGAAGCCCACTTGGCCAATCCAGTGCGGTTTTAGCATGTGACGTCGACATCGAGACTTCAGCCTATATGGTGCTCTGAATCATGGGCAATTGGCCTCTGCGGGATCTCAAGAGATCAATTGAAATGGCGAGGACGCCGGAATCCAGAGACGAGCCTGCCATAGGGAGCTGCTCACGGATTATCTGGGCATGGAGAACTATTAGAGTCATCAGAATGGTAGTCCTCTGCCCGCGGACCAAGTGTGGAATGTGGGGCCAGGGTGATAGCCGTTGGACCGATCCGTCCCGAGTCCCTTGTCGTCCTCAGCCCGGGAGCTCGCCGGTTCGGTGCCGTTCTGGTCCCTGTCTCTGTGACTGGGCCTGGTGTTTTTAGTCACTCGTGCAATTCGATTCTGTGTGCTTCTTCTTTCCATCTTCCCGTTGCTTCCTCCCTCTTCGCCTTTCTCTCTTCTCCTTCTTTGCTGAGGTGTTTGTTGTCAACGTATAGACCCCAGTCTCATCATCCCTTGCGTCGACCGCTGCGCCGGCACCGCACCGCTTAGCTGTTGCAACACCATAACGTCATCCCGGTTCTTGACTAGATCCTACTCACACTACAGTGACTAGACCGCCCAGCATGGCTGCCAACAACATGGTGAATCCCTCCGTGGATCCAAACCTGGAGGATGAGCTCTTCGCCAAGGAGGTTGAGGAGGTCAAGAAGTGGTGGAGCGACTCGAGGTGGCGGCACACGAAGCGGCCGTTCACCGCTGAGCAGATCGTCAACAAGCGAGGCAACCTCAAGATCGAGTATGCCAGCAATGCCCAGGCGAAGAAATTGTGGAAGATCCTTGAGAAGCGCTTCCAGGTGGGCAGCAGAATACGCAGAATGGCAGAAGGCATCCATGGCTGATTGGAACGGTAACAGACGCGAGACGCCAGCTACACCTACGGGTGCTTGGAGCCCACAATGGTCACGCAGATGGCCAAGTATCTCGACACCGTCTACGTCTCGGGCTGGCAGTCGTCGTCCACGGCCTCGTCGTCCGATGAGCCGGGCCCGGATCTTGCTGACTACCCCTACGTAAGTCGGTTCCGCAAAGGGGGGCAGAAAAGAGAAGAGAAAAGGGGGCGGGAGCTGACGGGCGCAGACCACGGTGCCCAACAAGGTTGGCCAACTGTTCATGACCCAGCTCTTCCACGACCGCAAGCAGCGGCAGGAGCGCATGTCGGTGCCCAAGGCGCAGCGCGCGAAGCTCGCCAACATCGACTACCTCCGCCCCATCATCGCCGATGCCGACACGGGCCACGGCGGTCTCACGGCCGTCATGAAGCTCACCAAGCTCTTCATCGAGAAGGGCGCGGCCGGAATCCACATCGAGGACCAGGCGCCCGGCACGAAGAAGTGCGGCCACATGGCCGGCAAGGTGCTGGTGCCCATCAGCGAGCACATCAACCGCCTGGTGGCCATCCGCGCGCAGGCCGATATCATGGGTGAGTTTTCTCTCTTTCCGAGACGGCGTAGCCCCAGCAGAGATTGATGAGAGAATGTGTGGCCGCCAGGCTCCGACCTGATCGCCATTGCCCGCACCGACGCCGAGGCCGCGACGCTCATCACCTCGACCATCGACCCGCGCGACCACGCCTTCATCTTGGGCTGCACCAACCCCAACCTCCAGCCGCTCAACGACCTGATGCTGGCCGCTGAGAGAGACGGCAAGGCGGGCGACGCGCTGCAGGCCATCGAGGATAAGTGGCTGGCGGAGGCCGGTCTGAAGCGGTTCGACGACGCTGTGCTCGACGCCATCGCCCAGGGCTCCTACTCGAACTCCAAGGGCCTCGCTGAGCAGTACCGCAAGGCCGTCCAGGGCAAGCAGCTGTCCAACACGGAGGCCCGCGCCATCGCCCGGGGCATTCTGGGCAAGGACATCTACTTCGACTGGGACGCGCCGCGGACGAGAGAGGGCTACTACCGCCTCAAGGGCGGCTGCGACTGCTCCATCAACCGGGCCATCGCCTACGCGCCGTACTGCGACGCCATCTGGATGGAGAGCAAGCTGCCTGACTACAAGCAGGCCGAGGAGTTTGCCAGGGGTGTGCACGCCGTCTGGCCGGAGCAGAAGTATGTTTCTAAAAGTTTCTCTTTCACTCACCCATCTCTCTATCTTTCTCCCTCTCCCTCTTACACACATTCCCACCAACTCACCAGTCAGTCACACACACACACACACACACACACACACACACACACACACGCACACATTACTGACCTCCGTGGTTCAGGCTAGCCTACAACCTCTCCCCCTCCTTCAACTGGAAGACGGCCATGGCGCGCGACGAGCAGGAGACCTACATCCGCCGCCTGGCCAAGCTGGGGTACTGCTGGCAGTTCATCACGCTGGCGGGGCTGCACACGACGGCGCTCATCAGCGACCGGTTCGCACGCGCCTACTCGCAGCAGGGGATGCGCGCGTACGGCGAGCTGGTGCAGGAGCCCGAGATGGAGCTGGGCGTCGACGTGGTCAAGCACCAGAAGTGGTCCGGCGCCACCTACGTCGACGAGCTGCAGAAGATGGTCACGGGCGGCATCAGCTCGGTCGCCGCGATGGGGAAGGGCGTGACCGAGGATCAGTTTCACTAGGTAGTCGGGCGGTTTTGCAAGGTGAAGTGCCTACCCAAGGTAGGTAGGTAGATGAAGAAGAGGCATGAGAGAGTGTGTTGGGAGGTTAGGTGGTGAACGGAAGGGCATGGAGCGGACTTTTTTGTATGGGTTTTGAATTTTGGGATAGTTTAGTATATTTCTTATATACGGGAACGCTGCACTTGTCCTTTTATTCTTGCAGTTGCCGGCTCTTGTTTGGTTTATTAGCGTCAACTTGATAGCGGGGTGGATCGGCTATAGTTGGCGCGCCGGCGTAGCCAGTTGAGGGAGGCCTATACTACTTACATGTAGATTACTACACCAGCGGTGCCGGGCTGGTGGTAACAGGTAAGGTACCTTAGGTAAGGTAGGTTTGGAAAGCCTCCACGGGAACCCTCCCGAGGTCCTCGTCAAACTCGCGGCGAGGGCTAGGTGGCACGGAGAGGGCTGGCACCGGTCTAGGGCGTGGCTCCATAATAACAGCCCGGTACCCTTCAGCGCTCTGAAATTCCATATCCTATGTTTCGGGCGCACCACTGAGGAAATCAATGTCCCCTCTCCGCGGGCAACGGTTATGAGGTTTATGACGGTTTCGGGCACACCGATAAGAAAGTGCAACGTCCATGTACCTTCTCCGTAGCAACCCTCCGTGGCAGCCTTGCGCAAATCTATGACGGTGTCGGGCCCACCGCTGAGGAAATCGATGGGCCCGGACCCTCTCTCCGTGGCAACTCTTCATAGGAACCTCACGGAGAGAGCTGCTACTAGCCTAGGCCTAAGGCGTGGCTCTATAGCAACCACTTAGCGCTTAGAAAGATCGGAGCATGAGCCATGACCCTTTGGCGCCTCAAAAGAGCATGTCACATGGTTTCGGGCGCACCGGTCAGATCATCAATGACGTCTCCTCTCCGCGGCAGAATGACGAGAGTAGATTGTCCGAGCGGCGGGCGGCTGCAAACGTGGTGGAACAGCGACCAAAGACACATGAGGGCAAATCAAGACCACAGAGCTGCGTATCGCGTACCTTCTGTGTTCTGTGGATGTTCACAAGTTAACGGTTGCACCATGTATAAATAAGTCGGTGACCGCGGTTTTTCACCGTCATTGCCCGCATCCAGACAGTGCAGTACTCCGCGTCTAGCCCAAACTCGCGTCAAATTGACTGAACTTTCAGGTCTGAGGGCAGTGCTGGCTTGGGATGAAGACGGGAAGGAGGAGTTCAGTCCAGGGGGCATCAACCGGACGGCTCCAGTACCTTACCACAGTAAGCTTCGGTTTCTTCCACAGCAGTATCAGCGTGCGAACAACATGGCAATGCCACTACAGATAGGAATCCAGCTCGAAGGGGCTTCGGGAAGCAGAGGGCAACGCCGCCTCACTTCGCGGGCTACACCCTTCGCATCGAGAAGGCGCCCGATCTTGAACGTCATACATACGTAGAAGAAATTTTTTTCTATTCTCCTGAACATTCAGAAGTACCCCTCATACATAGCACGCAAATGAGGCTGGCTAGTACCGTAGGCCGGGAATTACCTAACTACCTTAGGTACCTTATCCAAGAAAAATGTATAATACCTTGGTACCTACGGTAACTCCCTTATCCCTGTGTGGCTGCCTTCCGGACCGAAAGTCGTCCGCAGAAGCTCAAGCACAACCCCAACCCCCAACGAGACGCTTGTTACCTATCAGTGCGTATGAGGCGAAGGGGGCTGGGGGGAAAGGGGGGGGGTGGTATTGTTCCACACACACCCATCACACATCCTACAAGTCTAGACCGTGTGAGGTTGCTGAAGAAACCTGTTGATGATCTCGGCTCTGCTCGGTGCCGGGCTAGGGATCACCGTTGCGAGCGTTTACTGGTGCCTTAGGTGTGCAATGAGATAGGAATCGGCGATGCTGAACTGTATGTACACTGTAACTGTATCGTACTAGTACTTGTCATAGACGGTGTTCAGTTCAGCCGCGTCAATCCGATACGGTACGTCCATTCAGCGACGGTTAGTGTAATGCACTGACTATGTGTAATACCGGTACTGACAGGCTGGCAAGCCGTAACGGACGGGCAGGCAGACTGAGAAAACACTTGTTGGAGTGCATGTTTGAATAACCAAAGTCAACCACTTGACTTGGCAGCGCCCTGCTCCCGCCGCAGATCCAACAAGCAAGACGAGATTGTGTGGTACTGGAACATTGACATGCGGCACAGATCCTCGACTTTGGTTTATTAAACCTTCACCGCCGCCTGGGGTTTCTTGACGGGCTGGTCTTGGTGTTGGGTCGAATTTCTGCCGTGCAGTGGGATCAGTGGCCTCAGGAAGCTGCCCATTGTATGCATTTTCGTAGATCATGAAAATGGCCGATGAGGGGAGAAGGGGGTTTGAGAAGAGGCGTGGCAAAGGGAGAGGCTGTGGCATGGTACAAGTACGAAAACAGGCATTCGAGAGGCTCTGGACCGTGCAGCGGCAACATTGCCAAGTTTTTCGAGGGCTTCGCCCACGAGGTGTTACCTCCGGTCGGTTTTGTCGATAGTACCTTACGTTCCATTGGTATCGACAACGATTGAAGTGGACAACGAGAGAGTAGCTTCTGATTAGCAATGATGCCACCGTGCTGCTCAGGATCCCGGTAAACTGCCCAGGCACTGCGCCGCAGCCTTGCCGCCCCCATCGTCTGAAGCACGATCCTCACTCCAAGGCAATTGCCGTATCTATTTTTGCTACCCGACATCAGATTTCTCTTCTTCCGCTCGGGAAGGATGATACAAGCGGGTCAGCGCGGGATGGTCACCTGCCTTACCTACCTTACCTATGTTGCCATCTATCTTGCCGGCCGATTACCTGGCTGCCGCATTCTGTATGTCGGGCATGGTATTGATTATTGAGCCTCTGTGCAATTTTGCAGGATGCAAATCGCAAGCTTGAGAAGTACGGAACAAATACACGATACTGTGCAGAATGCCCCATAGGGTCAGTTTTGTGAATTGTTTCGATAGACCATTAAAACGGCACGGGGTTTCTCTGCTGTGGTCGGACTCTGCCCAAGAGTACCTAGGTACTTACCTGACCTACTTTCAGAGTAGTACTAGTACCTCGTGTACCTCGTAGGTTGCACGAGGTGCATAGGCGTGAGGTGCAACTGGACCAAGGTAAAGTCGAACAAGTTCAGTACGTCGGAGTGCAACTTGGTGTTCGCTGACTTCGCTCCCTCTCATTGACTGTAACTATTCATCTACATGGAAGAAGCCTACCTGGTACCTTAGGTACCTACTCACTAACCACGATGGTACAAGACCGTTGCCGACATTCACAAGAAACTTGCCAGCTCTGGCAAAATGTCATCGCCATAGCACTGCAAACCGAGGAGTTGGTCAGAAGCCCACTCCCTGATGAGCGAGGCCTCTCCAATCTAGGGCTGTGCTGTCTCACCAGTTGCACGGAATATGCGGGTGCACAATTCCGGTGTCTCTGAGGTTGTGGGGCCCGCTCGGTATGGTAGTTGACAGAAAGAATACCCGCTGAAGGTGAAGAGGCCCGATACTGAACAGTGTACAACCGTACGGTAAGGTAACCGGTTCGCAATCCCGCCAAGAAACGCAGTCAGGGTTCCAAAACCCGGTGTGGAACCTAACCCCAAGATCAGCAACCAACCGCTTCCAGGTTGTTTCCCGTGGCAGGTACCAAAACATACCTAAGCACATACCTAAGGTAAGGTTACTACCTCAGGTGGTAGTACTAAGGTAGAATAAGCTCAAAAAGAATCCTTAAAATGTGCGGCACTTGTAGCGTCATTGGCCAATCGCAAGATGAGCCATCATACAAATCACTTACAATCATACAATCATACATGCCTATTTGGGCAATGTCACTGTTAGCCTAGGGGCTCATCCGTAGGAGGTGGTTCGTACACATGGTCTTATTCGGCTTGGAATGGCGGAAGTTACCTTGATGCTTACCATTGTATGATGGGACCATCTGTTAGCATCTTCACTAACCGTGACATGTATGAAGGATCGCAATTCAAGCAGCCTCTGTAGTGGGCGGCAATCATAGTACTGCACTGTGTGATTAAGCAGCCCTTCAGCCCTGCGAGAAAATGCTGCGAAGTGTGGATCAAATCACCGTTTCGCGGGATGCAGGGTCTGTAGAGAATTCCCCGAGCCGTTGAGCCTCCTGTACATGCGTACTGTAACTTACCGTGACCCACCAGCCTTCCCAAGCTCTAAGGAGTACTCCGTAACTAAGGTACCTTACCTTACCTTACAGGTAGGTAACCCTCACAATAAACGCTGCTGGTCAATTGAGGGCCGGAGCTGACAAGCGCAGAAGAATCACTTGCCTATCAACAAGTACGAATTCATCTCCAATTGAACTGTTATTTGGCTCCCGCCAGTGACGTCATCTGGTGCATTCCATTCAGTGAACTGACAAGGTGCTAGGGTACGGACTCATCTGGATAGGTACAGGTACGTATTGCATACAATACCATACGCATGCCCCATGGATGATGGCACCCGGACTCACACAAGTCTCGGCGACAGCCGTTTCAGCCCCACCTCACACAGTTTCAGCCCGTCGATCTTGAAGCTGTTAGTGACTCTACTGCGCCTCTTCCACCACCACCACCAAACTATAGCAATGCTATCAAGCTTCCTTTGACAGCACCATCTAAGAGACACTTAGAAAAGGTGGTGCTTGGTGGTCATAGCATTGAGAGTGAGTCAACAGAACAATGAGAAGCAAGAAACATATGAAGCTGTCGTATTTGTGAAACTGTGTTCGTCCTCTCGCGCAGCGGAGTTAACTGTGCCAGAACTTCCAGGTTAGAAGAAAATGAAACAACGTAAGAGCGGCGTATCGGTACCGTGACCGTGAAAGTCGGGTCAGGACGTCTGCACTGACGCCTTTCGAGTTACTCCTCACGATCATTGACGCAGACGTATCTGGGCCGGGCGCCTCTTCATGATGACCCTAAGGGCGGGATCACGGATGGGTTAGGTTACTCTTAGGAAGGGGTCCCATGCGCATGCTCCACCTCCTGCACCACATCGGAGTGGGTGGTCCCAACAGCTGACGTTCGTTTGGTGCCGCATTAAGGCATTTATTAGGACCCGTGCCCCCAAATGATCTATGGGCGACGTATCTTTCTTCTTCATTTAGACGAACCTGCCCATACACACGCAGCTTTTCACGTGCTGGGCTTCCTTTTCACCTGCTGGCCTTCCTAATTTGGCACGGTCCTACGAATCTTCGTCATTTGTTCACGCCCGGGCTCAACATGCAGATGATGGCTCCCCCAAATCAGCAGGGATGTTCCGAAAGGCTGCCGGGTGTGGCGGCCCTGTTGAAGGACATCGAAAGAATGGGATGGTACCAGATGAATAGCTCGGTTCTGCCACTCTCGTTCGGTATGCCACATCATAGGCCACAACAATCGTTGGCAGATCGAGATCGGCCACACCCGCACGTGCGCAATTGTGTTCGGCCAACCCAGCCAGATCCGCTGGTTTCCCTCGAAGTTGTGACCTACAAAACCCGGTCGCATACCAGGAGGCGTTCACTCTCCTCACCAGAACTTTCACCCACCACAGTCTCCCCCACAGTCAATCGATCTGGACAACATTCGAGATTCTCTTCACTCTCCACGCTTGTTGACTTCAGCACAACCGAGAACACATCTCAAGTGAAGCACCTCGATAATACTGGCAGAATGGCTGAGATGGCGCCCGTTGGCACAAGCACAGACACGTCTCAAGCCAAGATCGAGATAGATAATGCCACCAGAACGGCCGAGATGTCGCTCATTCCCGCGAACGCCTCTCAAGGGAAGAAGGAGATCGACAACACCAACAGCGTAGCTGATATTGCGCCCGGGCCCGGGCCCGATCCCCAGTGAGTTAGATCATACTGATCGTCCCTTCGTTACTTTCGCCCCGATTGCCGCTGCGGCGATTAGGAAATTACCCCGGAAGCCCGAAGCCCTTTTTTCGTGGTTTACGTACCCCTGCCCGCGATCTGAACGACGATGGGCTTCATATTCGGGATCGTCAGAGTTCAGATCGCGGGGGTGAGTGCCCGTGGTTCCATCGCGCAAAACACTACGTCCTCATTCACATTCCCACAAACCGCATTCTGATTAACGCTGGGGCTATGCCGCCGCTCTCGCTGGGACCCGTCTGAAAGTTCAGATCGCGGCTGCTCAAGGCTTGGTTCATGGGCGAACTTTCGGCTCTCAAACCAAGAGTCTCCGGGGACACCATCTTTGCACATCCTCCCGATGGGATACCTACTTCCGTGCAAACCCCGCTTGACTTGCGGCTCCCGGAGCCGGGCATGCCCCACACTCGCGCCGAGACCCACTTTCCTCCTTCCCTTTGCGGTTACCCTTTCAGCCTTGTATGGCCGACGTCACAACCCGGTTCCCGGCCCCACCTCCGCATCTAATGTTACCTTATTCCGTACAGACATCCCCCCCAATTCACTGCAGGCTAACCATACAATCAGACCCGAACCATGTAGATCGCCACACCATTACCTGTGGCCTACTGGGTTGCTAGACAACGCCATTGGCCGTCTCTTTACAAATCAAGAAGAGATGGAGAGGTGGTTGAATATCCATGACCCCACCCCATGCAAATGGGATCCCAAATGCCCACTGGTGTTTGGCGAAAACGACCCACCTACTCGGAAGTCGATGAGCCATATTTTTGGCCGCAACAAAACTTGCACGAGGTCGATCCCCTTTCACGTGTGGCTGTCATTTTGTCGAAAACACTACCAACGAGAGAGGTACCGCAACATAGCAGAGTATGTGGCCAATCTAGCACAGATCGTAGAGATCCAGGTTTTGCGGGTCGAGTCATGGAGTTACTACAACCATCACAGCGGCACCCCAGAGAACGGGATCGTTCAGTCCTGGGCGATCCAGCTGCGCAAGCGTCAGGCACTCCTCCTGGAGAAGAAGAAAGCCGAAGCGAAGGCGGAGGCAGAGGGTGAGCAGGCGATGAGCCCCCAGCCTTCTTCCAGTGTAGTCCCGGTGCCTGACTGGGTGCACGACTGGGTTGGGCAGGATTACACGGCCGCCACGATCCAAAAATTTTTGATCAAGATCTATGACGAGTTGTTGAATAGTCGCCTGGGCCAATTCCCGGAGATTGAGATCCTCCCCACCATTACAGGGGCGAACGCGAAGCCGGAGAATAAGCGTCGCAAACGTCAGCAAGACGAAAGCGAGGCTGGCCCATCTCAACCCCCGAGCAGACGGCGCCGCAGCCGCCAGGAGAGCAGCACGCCAGCACAACTGGCCCCGGCACCACCACCCGCCAGTCAAGCATCCGCCATACCGCAAGTGGCAGCTGGACCGGCACTGCCGGTGTCCCAGCCGCCCCCAAGGCCGCGTAGAGCGCAGCCGGCACGTCCACCCCAGCGGGCCCAGCCCTCTGTTACCGCTGGACCGGCACTGCCAGCGTCGCGGCAACTGCCCATTCCCCAGGTCCCGTCACCCTACTCCGGGGTCATGGGGCCCCCACCGCACAACATGTATGGTGCCCAGGCTTGGGATTGCGTCCAGGCGCCACAGCAGCAGCCCACATTCCAGCCCTCCCAAGTCCAGGATGCGTACAATTTCTGGCAGTCACAACCGGCTGTCAACTCGTTCAACACACAAAACATCGAGCCGCGCTATGCGGGAAACCCTTTCAGCGGTCACAATGTCGACCCTCGTTATCCGGCCAATACGTTCACCTTCCAGAACGTCAACCCTAGCTATCCGGCCAATACGTACGCCTTCCAGAATGTTGATCCTCTCGTTCCGGTTTACCCGTTCGACTCCCAGAACATTGATCCTCAGCTTGCGAACTACTCGTTCAACAGTCAGAACATCGACTCACGCCGTTCTGGTATGTTGTAGAAAAGGATGGAGGGCGCAGGATGGGACGGGGACATAGCATGGCGTACAGGGGATTGGGGCAGGAAAAAGAAAAAAGCATCTGGTGGTGGTGTTCTGGAGATGGGTTTTGGGCCTTTTGGTTTTGGGGTTTTTTTTTTCTTTATTTCCTTTGTAATATTCTCTTTCTGGTCTTTTGGGAAAGGGCGGGGAAGTCAGAGGTCGTTCCCAGCTCGTCGTTATCGCCAGGTCGGCCATCAACCGACCAGGTAAAAGCACGCGGCGGGCTCCCACTTGGATGGAACGGACATCAGGCAGTAGGGTCGGTTAAAATCGCCCTGCATAAGGCCTTGGAGTTGCTTTTTTCTTTCTTTTTTCTTTGCTTCGTTATGAGATTAGTGGCCTTGTGAGCGGTGGCCAAGCCATAGAGTTACCTTAATCATCGTTGAGTTCTCACTTTGCTGTTGTTGTTCTTGCTGTTTCTGTTGCTGTTGCTGTTGCTGATGCTTCCCACGGTCCTATGTGGATTTTGGATACCCGTGTGTGCGCGCTGAGTCACGCGGTGTGTGTGCTTTTATGGATTTGTTCCTTGACTTTGTGCTACCACCTTTGGAGATTGTGTCGTGCCTTGACATCTATTCTATCATTCCTTTCTGTCGATCATTTCTGGCTGTTTATCCCTCCTTACCTGTTATTCTGTTCATTCCTTCAGTATACCTTTATCTTAGATAGTATCGTCTCCCTTGATGGCCAGGCATTAGATACCTACATACAGTAGTTAATATTACCCACTACGGTGGATGTCACTCCTTAAGTCAGCTTGGCAACTCCTTGTCTGAGAGGTTTGTGTATATGTGAGGATCAAGTCCACGAGATGCTTACTTTTTGTTGAGTAGCCGTAAGAACGAACGGCTACTTTGACAAAAGCTGAGAGTTTCACTTGTATGTACAGGGTGCCTGCGAGCCGGGGATACGGAGGGGTTCATTGACTGGATATGTTCAAAGTATCACGGGTGTGTGTGATTGCATCAGGGCGGTTTCCCAGGCCTTCACTTAATACTTATGTACAACTATCCGGGTGCAATTGGTGTTATGAAGTCCGCCTGTAGCCCACGCTGTCAGTCTCTTCAACTACCCGATTGACCCAGTGCTGGCTTTGACATCATACACACAGAGTTCTAAAGGTATCGAGCCAGTCCCAGAGCTCCGTCTGTTCTGTCATTGTGGTGTTATATAGCCCAGGGAGGTAGGTGAGAGAGTCTGTGACGGTTACTGCATTGGCCTAATAGGATGCTAATAAGCGTTGCGTGGCCAGGCTGCGAAGCTCGACATGCCCGTACGATCTAAAAAGGTGGCGGCGGCTAAGCTTAAACCCCTCAACTCATCTCCAACACGGCCACTCCTTGCAAGCAGGGTCCAGGTCTTCGGAGGTCTTCCGTCTCTTGGGGACGTTGGTTCAGACGGGCTCTAGGATCGCACCGTGAACTAAGTTGCCGGCGTAGATCTCTGGCATGCTCATCCCGTCTTAGCCATGATCATCGGGCGGGGGCAGGGAGGAACTGCCGGGGTCCCCAGGGGAGGGATGGGATCAGAGACGTGAAGCCCGGGCCGAAGGGTATGTGATCGATGGCACCTGAGTCATGTCCTCTTGACTCGTCGCCGTCCGATTTGTGGCGCACGGCCCGTGGCCGAAGGGAGAATCCGGGGCAGCTATCTCTGTGAGGGCCCAACTTCACGCATAGTACTGGTTCGTCCGAAAAGGCGTCGACAAATGTGCTCAACGTTGAGATGTTCGGTTAAGGCCAAGCTAAAACTGGTAGATCAACGGTGCGGAGTCCCCACCAGCCCTCTGCTGTCCGTTAGTATCGTAATTCAACATTTTCGGTATTTCTCATTACGGAGGTGGACGGAGAAGGGGAAGGGGGGCTAGACTCCGGGGATTCAAAGAAAGTTTAGTAGAGTGATCAGAGGTGGTTCTGACTACGTGAACAATGGGGAAGAATTTGACGCTTGCCTTGAGCCACTTTGAATGTCCTCTCACAACCACGCCTTCATTGTGCTTTCCTCCCCCTTCCTCATCGTCTGCACCGTCTGTAGGGCGACCACCCGGATCTCCTCTCCCAGGCCAGATTCCTCCTTAGCCAGCACTTGCAGGCGGTGCAGCCAGAAGCGCCAGCGCTCAATGCACATGATGGCCGGGCCATCATACAACGGACCTCGTTTGATGTAATTCGAGCCGTCCTCCTCATTGCCGTAGCTCTCGTTCTCCCGCGCCCACCAGAGCAGAGGCTTCGCACCATGTGTAAGCCATGCGCAGGCCACCTTGACCCTCCATCCGGCCATCTCCACCTCGGCGCCAGAGAGCGTATCCAGCGGCTCCTCGAGCGCGGATTGCACCGCATACATAGCCTGGGCGTGGACCGCAAGCACTCCAGCTGCCATGCCTCTCGCCCCGAAGCTGCTCAGCTTATGCCAGATCTGGGCCGCCTCTGTAGTGAAGGACTCTTCCCCCTCACAGGTGGGGTCTGCGATTTAGACTGTAGTCAGCAACTCTACCCCTTCCCAGGACTATGAAAGTCAGCACCACATACTGGTATAAGAGGCGTCGAAGCAGTCGGCAAGTCCAGGCAAGTCCCTCCAGACCCGTTTCTCGTCCAGCTCTCCCTTCGCGCACTGTAGCAGCTCCTCGAGAATGGTCAGGAGACGCCCGTGGACGTTGTCCTCCACCTCCGGGCTGCTAGCGATATCGAGCATGATCTCCCAGGTCCTCCAGAGGTAGTCGCGCGCGTCTTCTTTGTGGTCCAGAGAAGGGCAGAGACTGTTGAGCCGGTGCGCCGCTTCTATCGCGGCATCTGACGCGCGGCTGGCTCCAGGCTCAGCATGCAGATTGGGGATGGCGAGAGCGAAGGCGTTGAGAACATTGCTTTCCTGCTCCGACAGCGGCCTACGTTTAATGAGCTGGAGCTGCGCTAGACTCCCTGCGTTTGCATTGTATGCCATGTTCGGTTGCACGCGTCTGCCTCCGTCATGGGCGATGAGAGTTGCAGGCTGCTGGAGAGTCACGGTATTAGCGGTTCGAGATACTATCCATAAGAATCATGTAGTAAAAAAAAAGAAGGTTCGACTAATGCGTGGAGAGCTCCACCTGTCGGAAGTTGGAACAAGTTGGCCGTTGTAAATGGAACGTGAAACAGCGTCACTACAAGGCTAATCCAACACGCTCCACATAATGTGGATGACCTTGGTGCGGCGTAGCCATGTGGTCGTGGGTGAGGCACCTTAGCTATCAGGTACCCAAGGTAGGAAGTTACTGGCTAGGTGAGACGCTATAGGATGCTAGGGAAACAGGGTTAGATAATTTGCCTCAGGCTTTCAGCCAATTCAGTTCAGATTTCAGAACCGACCCTGGCACTTGACTCCCTGATCTCAACCAGCAATGAACGTCCCGCTGGGAGTGTCGCGGCGGAGAAACTACCTGGTATTTGCTGCATGTTTTGTGGGTCATCGCTTTGGACCTAGACGACGATTAGCTGTGTGAAATGTAAATTCAAAGCGGAAGCCAATCGTTGCTGTTGACTCCCGTTGGCCGATCGGCCAGGCCTAGCATGAGCCTATGACTCCATACGGTCGGCCACCTGAGATGTTCAGCTGAACGAACAGCCGCTGCGGCCCCATGCAAGTATGGTTTCAGAGGTTGGTCGACAAATGAACTCGAGGACATGGCCAGACATGGATGGTGCCATGGTGGACCAGACGGGCAGGCAGTAGGTACTTAGACGGACGGTACGCAGAGTAGAAAGCAATATAAAATCCATTCATCTCCCGGCATCGTCCTTCAAACTCCCATGGTCCATTCTATGCTCCGTAGTTGACAGAATTCCTCGCTACAGCCCTCCTAACTGACACCCAGCTTGCATCTCGTAATAGTCGGCGGGTCTCGACCTTCGCCCTCAACCCTTAGTCAGCCCAGGTTGCTTCAATTCCCTGAGCACAGCATGTCTAGCTCTCGTCCAAAAAAAACCACGACCACCACGACCACCACCACCATCTCGCACTCTGGTGGTGGTACTCGCTCTAGTGCGAGCACCTCCGCTGCTTCGAGTAGCGCGACCCACAAGATTCCCGTCAAAATCACGGACCGGAACGGGCAGCCATACGCCGGGGACCCGTACGAAACCCCCGGCTCTCCTCCTTTTGTGCGGCAGGGTTCCTATGTAAGCGATCCCATTGCCTCTGTGCAAGTCACATACCAGAGTAGGCAAGCATGCTGGCAGCTTGGTACTTTTGTATCTGACAGAGTACGGTGTACCACATAGTACGAGACGAACTCCAACAACGAGGAATTCAAGTACCTAAAGGCGTCAGACGTGCGCCGCCAGGCCCAGCAGGCGCCCGCGCAGAACGCATCCGTCGGGCGCTATCCCAAGCCATTCGCCAACCACGAGAAACTCAACCTAACCTCGCAGGGGCCGCACAAAGAGTTCCCCCTCAGCCCAAGCCCGGGTGCGAGCACGAGCACGAGCGGCAAGCCGCCTAGTAACTACCGTGGTGGCGACCCGGGTCCCGTCCGCGCCGTGTACAGCGATGACAGGAAATCCGTCGACGTCGTCTACCACGATCCCAACGGCGCACCCGTTGCCCCCCGAAAGGGCAGGGCGAAACCGAGCACGCCCTACGCGATGGCCAAGTACCGCGAGAGCCCTACCTATGCGGATACCAGCAACGTAAAGCCCAGCTCCTCCACCAAAGAACGCTGAACCTGACTGAGGTGGTAAGGTAGGTAGGTCGGCGGGAATGGAATGGCGTGTCCTCTACTTACTCCCGTGCTGGCCGCGGGGTTTCGGTAGGACTCGGTTCTAGTTGACGATTTGCAGCTCGATCTTCAACATAGCATTGTTGACTTCCAAACTTCCTCATATAAACGGTCCCCCTTTTGCTTGCCGGGCATTGCACCTTTTTTTACCGATTCAAGGTAACGCAAGTGACATCGAGGATATACCACTTCGTAATTGAGCTGAGCGGGAAACTAAACCTGTGGTGGTACACACCTAGGGAGGTGAATCAGGCGACCATGGTAAACCTAAGGCATTCTCTGGTTCTCGCTTGCAAGCAGATACCTATAGGACAAGAGCCTTTTAATTCAACCGTTGAGTTTAGAATGAAATTATCAATCTGGAAGCGATGAGCATATATGCCCCGGAATGTGACAGCTTTGTAAAGATGTGCCTCCTCGCCCTGTAAGGATGTGCTCCTCGCTCACGTTCGACTAACATCCATGGTAAACGCTATTTCTACATCAATCCTAGCTCATTCTCATGAATCCATTGCGATATCTCTGCATTCACTCCTCATAGTTCTTGTTGCCCTCCTCATCACCCTCGCTGGCAGGTGACTCCCTCAGAATTGTGAAATGGAGTCAATGATCTTCGGGTGAGGTCTGTTTCCCAAGTTGGAAGGAACCTGTGGGAGGAAACCACCAAGTCCTCTTGGCATGTCTGTTTGGCTGCCCAGCCTTTGTTGTTCTTACCTGTGCCGTCAAATGCAATGCCAAGAGGACTTGGTGGTTTCCTACCACAGCGGCAATTAGCTCCGGATCTTTGACTTCCCGCTGCGGGTCTCGGCTTGGCCTGCCATGTCAGGTGTGGGGCTTCCGCAGGGAACTTTCAAATGGAAGGGACTTTGTAACCCCGATCATTGCGGGCGCACAAGATCAACTTGCCACTTTGCGCCATTGGCAGAGAGCTCACCACTAGTATGCTCGAAAAGTCGCGAAAAGCCTGGTACCCTCGAATGGATTGACTTGAAATTATCATCATCGGGATTGTTTCATCAGCTCGACATGTCGTCTTGAATCGAATGCGACACTACACTAACCAACACCTAGTGGAGTCCAGGTTCTGCATGCTGTTGCATCCACCCCGCTGGGCCGGCCCGGGGCGGCCCTCCTCTGGACACTCGGATGAATTCGCCAAAAAGACAGTCAGTGATAATGTTGCTGCGGATCCTCCGGATGGTGGGAGCGAGTTCACAATTCCGGTCCCAGTCCGATGGACTGGGTCAAACATAGCAGCTAGCTCACTTACACTACTGGTCGTCGCAGCGGGAATAGACGGGAGATATGCTGTTCAGTACCTATGTATTGTACCTAGTGTATGTACGGAGTACATACTCCTATTCCAACAGGAGATGGTTTCCCCGGCCGCCTCGGTACTGACCTATCATCCACGCAAGCTTTTGAAAGCGTGGCTGACGAGTGACGACCAGGTTATGTGGTGGCCGAATCATTGGCGCTTCCCAAGACCGAGCTTCTTGTTCGAGGCAGCGCCGCCTAGTACAAGCCGGGCGTGGAACTTTCGCACAGCAATGGTTTCACTGGGTGCTGTGAGTGTGGGCAAGGCGCGCCGAGAAGCTCCGGATGTAACATAGCCGATCTTCCAGACTTTTGGTGTTCGCTTGAGACATGGCGCATCACAACAGGGATTGGAACTTTGCCCCACCTGGAACCCCAAGTTCTCAACCATCCCGGAGTACTAATTCATTCCCCATCTCCCTCTTCGATATTTAAACTCGTTTCTTCCCGCCGCCGTTCACTTGTTGCCGGCAGCTACATACCCGGGTACTTAGCTCCTGGGCTCGATCTCTTCGTGCTCCATAACCCACCCTTAACCAATCTCAACAGATATCTTCAATGAAACACTGTCCAGTGAAAGACTGCTAGAGCACGGAGCCACGTAGGGCCCATCAACCTCCGCTCAGGCGTGGTGAGGCGTGGCCATGGTGTTCCCTATCCTCGCTGCCGTTGGCGCTGCGTTCGCAGTCGCTATCTACAAATATGTCTCGGGTTTGCGAAACAACCTTGCCAAAGCGCGCAGGACAGGCCTTGTCTATATAACTGTCCGTAAGTGGTGTTCCGCGTCTCTGATGCCCATACATGCGCATCCGAGCACCACTCTGACGAACGGACTCCAGCTGTGAATCCCATCTGGGTCGTCTGGCAGCTCACGTTCAAGCTATGGGTCCCCCTGATCAAGCTGTTCTTGCCCAGGTCTTGGTGGGAGAACTGGCTCTTGTAAGCCCTCGTCTCTGCTCGCCTGCTCATCTGCCCCCCTCCCCCACCCAGCATGATGCTATGATACTGACCAGCATCAGCGTCATGATCCCGGAATGGGGATATAAAACGGGCCAGACACACTTTGACCGGCTGGGTTCCGAGACCTTCTTGGTCGTTACTCCCACCAAAATACTGCTGTACAGCCAGAACGCCGAGGTGATACACCGAATCACGCAGCGCCGCGAGGCCTTCCCCAAGGATGTGGCGCTGTACGATATCCTCTGCATGTTCGGTATGAATGTGCTCACGACGGAGGGTGCCCTCTGGCGTATGCATCGCAAGATCACCAGCGCCAGCTTCAACGAGAAGAATGCCGCGCACACCTTCGCCGAGGCGATCAAGCAGACCAGGGGGATGCTCAACGTGTGGTTTGGCCCGGAGGGCGAGGAGAAGGGCACGACCAAGACCATCAGATCTCTGGAGCACGACACCATGACTTGGGCGCTCAACATCATCGGCTACGTCGGGTTTGGCCTCCGCCTGCTTTGGCCGGGCGAGCAGCTGCCCAGCGATACTGACCCCAAGCTGGCCAAATACGGCAGCTTGGACCCGGCGCCCGGGCATACGATGAGCTTTGCCGAGTCGATCGCGCTCACGCTGGAGAGGATCATAGCCATCCTCGTCTTCCCCGATCTGCTGCTGAGTGGGTTATGCTGCTCTTGCTTCGTCTTCCTTCGTTGAAACTGACTCCCGTGTAGGAATCCTGCCTTTCAAGTGGGCCAGAGAGACCCTCCACGCCAAGGTCAACTACACCAAGTACATGGACGAGTTCCTGCACGACAAGATCGAGGAGGCGCAGAGCGGCGGCGCCCCGAGGGAAGGCATGGACATCATGGGCCAGCTGGTGCAGTCCAAGTACGGCGCGAAAGCCAGCAAGGAGGGCGGCGCTAGCGGCGGCGGCAGCGGTAGCAGCGCCAAACTCGAGGACAGCGACATCATCGGGAACGCCTTCATCATGACGGTGGCGGGGCACGAGACGACGGCCAACACGCTGCACTTCGCGCTCGTCGAGCTGGCCGAGAACCCGGCGACGCAGCGGCGGCTGCAGCGGGACATCGACGCGCTCTTCGGCGACGCGGACCCGGCCACGTGGGACTACGAGAAGAGCATCAACGCGGTGCTCGCCAGCCACGTCGGCGCGTGCGTCAACGAGACGCTGCGCCTCGTACCGCCCGTCACGGGCGTGCCCAAGATCGTTACGCCCGACGCCGACCAGCCCATCACCATCGATGGCCGCACCCACGTGCTGCCCGCCGGCACCTCCTGCACGCTGCTGGCCGTGTGCGCCCAGCGCAACCCGCGCTGGTGGCCCACCAAGCCGAGCGAGCGCACGGGGGCGCCCCACGACCTGGACGACTTCCTGCCCGAGAGGTGGTACCGCTCGCGCAGCGACGACGAGCACAAGGACGACCACGACGACATCGACGACGCGGCCGACTACGGCGGGTTCCAGGGCAGCGACGTCAGCGCGTCGCTGTACCGCCCCGTGCGCGGCAGCTACATCCCCTTCAGCGACGGGCCGCGGTCGTGTCTGGGCCGGCGCATCGCCATGGTCGAGATGGCCGCCGTGCTGGCCGTCATCTTCCAGAGGTACAGCATCGAGCTGGCGGTGGACGAGTGGGCGAGCGACGAGCAGGTGGCGGACATGAGCCCGGCGGACAGGAGGGCGGTCTACAGGAAGGCGCAGGACAAGAGCCGGGCGACGGTCAATGGGGCGGATTCCGTGTTGACGCTCAAGCTGCGCGGTGGGAACCACGTCCCCGTGCGGTTGGTCAAGAGGGGGATGGAGAGGTTTGTCAGTGATCCGGAATTGTCATGATTGCTTCATGGTTTTGGATGGATTGGATAACTGCGTTGGTTGTATGTACGGGTAGGTAGATTGGCATTTCACAGCGCAGCCATGTCTAGCGAGTATGCAAGCACGATATCTTCACTTCTCTGCTCAGTAGTAATAGGTAGTTACACCGCTACGGATGCAAGATAGTTAAAGCCAGGACATTGATCCTTTTGGATTCCCAGCGTTGAGTGAGTTTTCGAAGTGGAGTGTAAATCGTCAGGTCCCCAGCCACCTCAATTTTTCGGGCGCTGCGAACGGCTTAAAAGCTGCCGCGTCGGCCACCCCTAACCCCAAAGACGTCAGACAAAACGTAAACAACTTGAACTGAAACGCACTGGCACAGTTCACCTCTGCAGCCCCCTCCCCCTCCACATCTCATCCCAGCATTCTTGCATCATAGCTCACCGCAGCTTTCGCCCCGTAGCTCTAAACAACATCCCAGCTCCCCCGACCGCACCGCGCCAGCTTTCCCTCGCAACCTGCACATTTTTGCAGTCGCCTTCTTTGTGCGACCAGAACGCTACCGATCACGTTGAGATTCGGAAACCCGAACCATGTCTGGCGCAAACAGCTGGCTCGCGCGGCAGCGCAAGTCGGATCTCGTTGCTTTGGCAGAGGCGGTCGGGCTCACAGAGTACGTCACTTGAAGTTTACGTTGCCTGCACGTTCGTTAGATAGTTCATCCTGAGCGAGAACTCGATCTTTGGGTTTCTTGCAAGCGTTTGCCACTTTTTTCGCAAGTTGGAACGCGTGTTCGGTTTGAGTGTTACTCGAGTGTGGAAGCCGCCTCGCGTTGCCTCACCACCACTCCCTGTCTCCCTGGGCCGTCTCACCGCGACGCGAACGCGTCTCAACACCTGCTGTGCTCCTCAAATTGCATTATCTAACACGTATTGCCGCCAACAGTTATGATAGCATGCGAAAGAGTGAACTGGAGGTCGCGCTCGACCAGCACCTCTCCGAGCATGCCACGCGCTACCAGTCCAACCCACGGTTCCAGGACTACTTCAAGAGCCGCGCCCGCGCAGGGGGGTCGCCCGTCAAGAAGGAGCTCGCGCATGAGCTGAAGGTATCGAGAAGGCGAATTGCCAAAGCTGTCAAGGAGGTTATGGCACCTGAGCCTGAGTGAGTTCTACCCCCATGGGAGGGCGCGTTCCGCCCACCTAGCCGAGTAAACAAACACAAATCACCTGACTAACACCCCCCGAAAGAGATGAGGAAGAAGAAGAAGAAGAAGAGAATAGCGAACCCTCCCCGGTAGCACAGGCCACTCAAGCCGCGTCCACCGCGCTAGCCCAGACTCCGGCCCGCGCCATGTCCCTGGCGTCGCGCCTCCAACTCCCCGCCACCCCGGCCGACGTCGCCCAGGCCGTCGACCGCGGCACCGTTGCGGTGCGCGAGCGCGTCGTTTCCCTCTACCAAGAATCCGGCATCACGGAAGCGACGCAGACGACGCGCGAGCGGCTGTCGACGGTGCACTCGGTCATCTCGCTAATCGCGCTCTTCGAGCTGTACAAGCTGCGCCAGGAAGTGCTGCCCGACCGCTACGCCTTCACCATCCCCGCGCTCAAGCTGCTCCACACGCCGGACTACCCCGTGCACCTGCCTGACATGTTCGCGCTGCTGACGGCCAGCTTCTGGGGCCCCGCGCTGACCTGGCTGCTGACGAGCGTCGTGCTGCCGAGCCTGTTCGGTTACTTCTTCAATCTGAGTGCCGCGCATCACAGCAACAGCTCTTCTGCTTCTTCTTCTTCCTCCAAGAGCAGCAGCCGTCGCGCTCAGTATGCGGCGGCGGTGTCTGAGTACGCTGTCGATCCGCTCACCTTCAGCATCGTCAAGGCCGTGGCTACCTATGTCGTCTACGCGCAGGGCGTCACCTTCGGTGGGCTGATCAACCCGGACTCGGTCAGCCGCATCAACTCGGCGCTGTACAGCGGCTGGAGGGGTGTGCTGGTTGGCACTGCGGTGTCGGCGCTCACCTCCGTGTATGATGCTGTGTTGAGCAAGTAAGGGGGCATGCCATAGAAAAGGCCTTTTTTGTGATTCTAGTTGGGGACGGAAGGGGAAGGGCGGACACGCGATGCTTCCGACTTAGGCTTGGCTCGAGTGGGAAGGGGGGCGAGAAGCGTTCCCGGCTATCTTGGGAGTGAGCGGGAAGACGGGCTCCGCGGCGTTCGAGGCGTTAGGATTGTGTTGCAAGGAGCCCCTTTTCTTGGTTATCATTTCAGATTTTATTTTTTTCTATTATCTTTTTCCGGCGTCACGGAATTCTGGATTCTGGAATTGCCTGATACCATCCTCTTCTCTAGTCTGACTTCCTCTCCTCTCCGTTGTCTCCCTCTCTCTACATTGGGACTCTGGTCTACCGGACTCGTCACAGAGGGGCCGCCAGGAACACGACGGAGGAGTGGTTCGTGTTTATATTCGCCTTTCCCTTTCCTAGAGTTGCTCTCTTTTCATTGTAAGGATGGGGTCTGGGTTTCGCGGCGCCGTAAGGGTTGTGGGATGCTTACCGATGGGGATGGGGTCTTGCCGACGTTCTTACCTCCTAGTCTTCACAATGTTTTTGCAAGATGCAATGGGACAATAACCTGGAACCTCTACACGGTGCTCTGTTCCGGGATCGGCTAGATTGCGGCGTGTTGTGTGCAGAACCGTAGGGATTTCGACATACTTGCCTTAATCTGTCGCCAGCAGCTTTCCTGGAATCTTGGGGGAAGTCATCCTCCGTGCTAGTAGGACGCACATGTGGAGAACAACTTTGTTGTGAGATTGTTGTCGCAGCGGACTTGCTCGCTCAGTGTGTTAACTTGAAAGACATGGAGAGACTCGAGATAAGATACTGGCCTCTTAGACGGCGGGGTCAACTCACCCCTCATCTCAGCATCACCCGAGGGAGCTCTCTTCTTCAACCACCAGTAGACCACCTTTTCACACTCTCGTCATAAACCCAGCCCAGTTGGGACAGGACCTACATCTCTCATTCTTACAAGGTACTCAGGAAATAGAAAGAACATCCCGCCCGCATGGCCGACGATCAGCCCATCCAGCAAAAACATACCCTTTCGGAGTTCACCGAGGAGGAGGGCCTCACCCCCTCGCAGCTCCACGCCTTCAACCGCGACGGCTTCCTCATCATCCCCGACGCCCTGCCGCCGTCCACCGTCTCCGCCTTACTCGCCGAGACGCATCACCTCCTCGACTCCCTGGACCTCTCCACCCACCCGCTGACCCGCTTCCAGACGGGCGGCGAGACGGGCAACAACCACGTCGGGGACGAGTACTTCCTGACGTCGGGCGACAAGATCCGCTTCTTCCTGGAGGAGGACGCCTTCGACTCCCAGGGACAGCTGGCCAAGCCCAAGCACCGCGCCGTCAACAAGATCGGGCACTACCTGCACGGCCTCTCGCCCGCGTTCGCCTCGCTACTCACCACCTCGCCCGACGACGACGATGATCCGCGGGGTGCTGGTGGCTACGTGGCCGGGATGAAGGCCAGGCCCGCCGCCGTGGCGAAGGCGCTGGGCTACTCGGACCCGCGCGTGCTGCAGAGCATGGTGATCTGCAAGCAGCCCGAGATCGGCGGGGCGGTGCCGCCGCACCAGGACTCGACCTTCCTGTACACGGACCCGCCCAGCGCGGTCGGGTTCTGGTACGCGCTGGAGGACGCGACGCTCGTGAACGGTTGTCTGAGCTTTCTGCCCGGGTCGCACCGCTGGTCGGGGATTGAGAGGAGGCTGGTGAGGAAGAACGGGACGGCGGAAGGGACCGAGATGGTTCCCAATACGGAAGGGAGGAAATTCCCCGCCGGCGGCGGGGAATTATTCTTCGGGGAAGAAACGCGGGAGCTGGTGAAGGAGCAGTTTAGAAAGGAAGGGCTGGAGTATAGGGAGGACGAGTATGTCCCCGGGGAGGTCAAAGCGGGCTCGCTGGTGCTGATCCACGGGAATTTGCTGCACAAGAGTGAGAAGAACACCAGCCAGAAGGGGAGGATTATCTATACCTTCCATATCATCGAGGGCGACGAACAGACTTGCAAGTATGATGAGCGGAACTGGTTGCAACCGCCTGCCGAAGGGTTCACGCGGTTGTATACGGACAAATGAAGGCTGGAGTGGAGGAAGCGAGTCAGCAAATACCTACATACCCAGATAGCAGTGTTACACCAACACGCCACCCATTGGTTGGCTCGTATTTTCATCTTACTCTACCTAGTTATTCACTACGGCTCCGATATATACTGGGAGTAGTGCTACAGGTGACGGGAAGAAGCGTAATAGATTGTGCAGCCAAGGCAACTATACTATATTGTACAAACGAACCAAGAACCGTAATGGAAACACCCCCCCCCCCCCCCCCCCCCCCCCGTTAGTGTTGCTGATGCTCTTTAGGAAACCCCAACGATTGTTCTCTTCCCCCTTTCTCGGATTAGCCCCGCTGCCATCCACCTTTCCTGCACAACATCCTTGGCCTCTGGGAAGCAAACCCAAACAGTACCATAAGACAGCCAATGCGAATAGACTAGCCCGTAAAACGTCGAAGCCAATGCCGAAGGAACAGCAGAAAGGAGACTAGCAGTGCGTGGAAGGCCAGACCAAACGATCACTCTCAACCCACAAGAAGCAAGGCTTCTTCTAGCTCCTCGCATACGGGTGGAACCCTCGGTTGCCTCCACGCCCACCGCCGCGATAGTTGGCGCCCGGCCGGCCCGCGTTCTTGGGTCCTGTCGGCGCGTTCGGGGGCGGCGCGTTTCCGGGGTCTACCGGGCCCTGAGGCATCATCTGCTGTCCGCCGCCACGGCCGCCGCCCTTGTGGAACCCACCACGCCCTCCACCAAAGCCACCGCCAGGACCGCCGGCTTGGTTCATCATGGGCTGGGGCACGTCGTCGTACATGCCCTCCCAGCTGGTAGGGCCGCCCTGTCCGCCGCCAAACCCGCCCTGGCCATAGGCCTGCTGGTGCTGCATCTCACCACCGCCCGGTCCGCGACCGCCGCGCCGGCCCTGACCCTGTCCCTGCTGTCCCTGCTGCTGGTCGAATTGCTGTTGGTCGTAGCCGCCGCCGTAGCTGCCCCGGTTCGAACCGCCGCTCACACTGCCGCCGGAGCCGGCACCACCGCCGTGGCTCCCTCCGCCAGGACTCATGCCGCCCTGGTTCATAGCAGCCGGACCGCCAGCGCCGCCGGCCTGGTTCATCATCTGCTGCATCTGCTGCATCTGCTGCTGCATCATGGCCGGGTTCATGTTTCCCATGCCGCCGGGCCCGCCGCGTCCCTGCTGCTGCGCGGCCAGCATCATCTGCTGCATCTGCTGCATCTGCTGCATATACATCATCTGGGTGATGTTGGGGTTCATGTTGCGGTTCATCATCATCTGCTGCTGCATCATGGCGAAGGCTTGCTGCATGCGCTGGATGTACTGCGCCATGACCTGGGGGGACATGCCCGCGGTGCTGCCGCCCATGCCGCCCATGCCACCCATGCCGCCCATGGCTCCCTGCCCGCCGGAGCCGTCGTCCATGCCGCCGCCCATCCCCTGTCCCTTGCGCCCGAACTTGCCGCCGCGCCGGGCCGCATCCTCCTCGTCCCGGAGATTGCCGCGGGGCTGGGCCTTCTTAACTTCGATCGGCTTGCCGTGGATCTCCAAGTTGGCGGACAGACAGGCCTCGACGCCGGCCTCGCTCTCAAAGGTCACGAAACCAAAGCCGCGAGGGCGGCCCGTGTCCTTGTCCATCATAAGCGTGGCGTCGACGACGCGGCCGAACTGGGCAAAGTACTCGCGGAACTCGTGGTCGGTGGTATCCTGGCTGACGCCGCCGACGAAGATCTTAGATGTCTTCTCCTGCTCATCGCGGGGGATCGCTCGCTTCGGATCGATCTGATACAGGTGTGTTGTGTGGTTAGCATGCGCTGCAACAATGCCACGACAAGCGCCTGGGGGAGCCCATTTACAATTTTGCCGTCCAGATAGTGTTCCTTGACCATAACAATGTTCACTGTCTTGGGGTCTTTGAACGTCAGGAAGCCGAAACCGCGCGAGCGCCCTGTGGCGCCGTCTCTCATGACCGTGCACTCTACCACCTCGCCGAACTGCGAGAAGTAGTCTCTCAGGGATTCTTCAGGAGTATTAGCATACGCGTTTCGGCAAACAAGCTATCTTAGGCAGAAACCTACGGTCCGTGGTTTCCCAGTTTAGTCCACCGATGAACATCTTTCTGTTTTCGCAATACTGTTAGCACCATCTCCGCGTCATCAGACTGACTCCTCTCAACAGCCCTCGTCGGCAAACATTGACTGGGAATGAACAAGCAGGCAAAGGATGTGGTGGGTTAAAGTGCAGGCAATCAGTGGCTGAGCGCGGGTTCCTCGTCCTCGCCGCTCTAGCACCCCCCATCAGCATGGCTGCTCAAGTAAAGCATCCGGTAGGTGATGGTGTTGGTAGCCACGTGGGGTCTCATGGACTCCGGTGTGCGTGAAGCGAACAATATGCAATGTGCCGCTGCTGCGTTCTCATCCCCGCTATGTCTGCGCGCGCCGTTGGGCACTCATGGCTGTCCCAACCTTCCATTCGGCCCATAGACGTCGTTGACATTGGACGCGTCATCCTCCGTGTTGTCGTCGTCATGGTCGGTATCCTCAATCTCAAAATCCATTCGACCATCAATCTGGAAGTCGCGGGAGGTTGAGGGTTGTGGCGCTGGCGATGAAGACACAGAAGTGGGCGACGAGCTGTCGCTGTCGCTAGAGTCGAAAGGGATGAAGTCGGGGCATGGCGATAACTTCGGTCTTCTGCATTGGACGACCCAAGATTTGCTGTCTGGCATGTTGGCGGCGGAAAGGCGACTGTCTTCGAAGCGCGAGGTGTTGTAGAGCCCAATGCAGAGCACGCTACAGCGGTTCTCACAAGTGAGAAGAAAGATGCAGCGCAGAGTGCCAGTGAGGATGCTTTGCCGAATTCTTTTCTTGTTCCTGTCTCGTGCTCTTGCCTATCGTCAAGCTAGCTGCTTTGCTGGTTGCTGCGCTATTCGCTGCCAAATCTTGACCTAGATACCGGCGCCATCGGTTCCCAAATCTGCTGGGCCCGTGGTTTCCTGGTGCTAAGATTATCTGCGACTGGGCTAACAAGACAGGAGCACAGACTCCCAATCTATCGTGTTGGCGGTGTATTATCGGCGAGCGTGCGTTCAGGCAGAGTCCAGTCCCTCCTCTTGTTCCTTTTGGCCTAGTTGATTGCGCACCATCTGCAATGGTTTCTCGCCCCGGTCGTGGGTCCGCCCATGTCGGTCCCGGGATGCGAATCAGAACCCTGGGGCCAGACCCTGATACCATCTGCGCATACACCTTCCCAATGGCTCACGCCGAGACCTAGCCCTGCTCCTCAAGTCCTTGCTTCCAAGGTATCCAGCTCTTCGCCGTCATGCCATCCCACATGCCTTTGCTTTGCCAAAGCACTGTGAAGTTCAGGCAGAGTAACACTGCCACGATGCAGTAGGGCATATCACATCCAAGGGTTGGGAAGGTTCGCGTGCGTTCATGTACGTCGTCTCAAGCAGAAGAAGATTCACTTACCCGTCTTCTTTGGCATTTGGGCCCTTTGCCGGGGCAGCGGGTGCAGGCGGTGTACTATGCATCGGCCTTTCTTCCTGTTTTATTGTGGCAGAGGGTCCATTCCCGAGATTGAAGTCGATCTCGTCGTCATCTTCTTCTTCAGCATCCTCATCGTGGTTCGGTTGTGCGTCATACCCTCCGTCGTAGTCTTGGCGCTGGCCAGTATCTTGGGTACGCTCATTCCTGCTCTCTGTATCCGCGGGTTGTACAGCAGAGTACTGTTCAGGCTCCGAAACTGGCACTGGTTTGGCCCCCGTCGCGTCATCATCGTTATATCTGTTAGCCATTAGTATTCGCTTCCGACGCAAGGGCTGGTTAAGGTCGGACATACAGGTCGGCGAACAGCTCGTCGTCGAAGTTCTCGGGCTCCGTCATGATGACGCTGTCTTCGGCGTGGACAAGAAACGGGACGCGTCGCAGTTAAGAGGAGTGTAAGAGAGTGGAAGAAGTTCGCAGAGGTAAGTAAAGTCCAGATAACCTCTGCGCTCGCGTATATTGAGTGGACCGGATGGAAGTGTATCGCGTTCGCTGTTGATGGTCTGATAAGAAAGTTGGTTGAAGTTGTTGCTCCAAGCTCAGGCGCCTGCCAAAGGCGCAATTTTATGTACCGTGGTACTGTACATACATCGGTGCCGGAGTGGGGCCAGTTGCCTTGTTGAGCGACGGTGTCGTCCAGTCACAGCGCCCCAGTGTCCTCGGGGTGGGTCGCCTGCCGTGCAGGAACGCTAATCATTGAGCACCTGCTCGGCTGGCCACGCCCGGCAAGCAGCTGTCACCTATAAGACGGCCGGCTCACTGTCAGCGCGTGACGGTATGTAAGGTAGGTACTGATGTACTAAGTTAGGTGGAAGGTCAAGTAGCGCCTCGAGACAACGGCCTCGGACAGGAAGACAAGCCATGCGATTGCTTTCGGATAGCGCAAGGAATTTATGATGTTCTCTTCTTCCGCCGGCGGAAAGAAGGTCCCTCCCCAGGTACGGTTGCCAACAGAGTGTCCTGGCAGAGACATGGCTAACATTGGCCGTCGCGGAAGCAGGAGATGGTGCAAGTCGGTATGTACCAACGCCCAAGACGACAGCGAAGGATATGTCGCCTTCACCACAGCAACACCTGATGCTAACTGCGCCTTGTGTCTGATTCAGACAGATCCGAGTATGTCTTACCTTTTTCACTTTATTCTTTTTCACCTTGTTCGTCGCTAACCATAAGGCTGCCAGCTCGGCCTCGCCCTTTTGGAGGGCCCCTCCTCGGGACACCCCGCCTCCAAAGAAGACAACACGCGACTCGGGCCTCGTTGTCGGCGCCGCATATTCCCATGCAGACATGCTCAAGATCGATTCTTTGTATGTACACCACCTAGTACCGGCACATTGCGCCGCTGACTTGGCTCCAGGTCCCTTTCGAATTCGGGCTCGCGCCCAATGACCCCTCCGTCCGCGACTTCGGGACACGAACGAAGCGCCTCACTGAGCTCTGCGTCGCGCCAAAGGAGCTCCAAGTCGCCACCGCTCAAGACGTACATGAACTTCCTTTCAAACACCAACGATGACTGGACTGTGGACGAGGAGGAGGAAATGTACGGCTACGAGTCGGACGACGGGGATGACTTCGGCCTACCAAGCCTGTCTAACATGAAGAGGAGGACAAGACGGATAGCAGAACAGAGTAGGGCACAAACCGACAGCGGCCTAGGTCATGACAGTCATGGCGACGCGGTGGGGGAGCAACCCCGCCAACGAAGGAACTCCGACAGTGCAGACATTGCTATTGAGCGGCCGACACCAGCCTATCCCGTGCCCAAGAAGAGCGAAGGGAAGATCCTGCGACCACAATACAAAGACATACTGCGCGACCCTGCCAACGCCCTCCATCTCATCAACTACCCATCGATCCCGCCCAACGCGACGCCCAAGGAAATCGACGCAATCAACTCCAGGATAACAAGGATAAACAAGTTCAAGAGATTATTACAAGCATCAACAATACCCCTCTCCGACCTCCGGGCGCTGGCTTGGTCCGGTGTGCCAGAAGAGGTTCGCGCGATGACCTGGCAGCTCCTCCTCAGCTACCTCCCAACTAGTAGTGAGAGGCGGGTAGCGACCCTCGAGCGGAAACGGAAAGAGTACCTGGACGGGGTGCGACAGGCCTTCGATAAGGGAGGCGGAGGAGGAGGTGGTGGGGGTGGTAGCAGCGCCCCAACACCCTCAGCCCGCGGCGGGCGCGGGCTAGACGAAGCCATCTGGCACCAGATCAGCATCGACGTGCCGCGTACCAACCCACACATCGAACTCTACGGCTACGAAGCTACGCAGCGCTCGCTGGAGCGCATCCTCTACGTGTGGGCGGTGCGGCACCCGGCCAGCGGCTACGTGCAGGGCATCAACGACCTCGTCACGCCGTTCTGGCAGGTCTTTCTGGGGACATACATCACAGATCCGGACATCGAGAGCGGCATGGACCCGGGGCAGCTTCCCAAGACGGTACTAGACGCAGTCGAGGCCGATTCCTTCTGGTGTCTGACCAAGCTGCTGGACGGCATCCAAGACCACTACATCGTGGCGCAACCGGGCATCCAGCGGCAAGTGTCCGCGCTACGCGATCTGACGGCGAGGATAGATGGGGGGCTGGCGAAGCACCTAGAGAAGGAAAACGTCGAGTTCATTCAGTTCAGCTTCCGCTGGATGAACTGTCTCCTGATGAGGGAAATCAGCGTGAAGAATACGATCAGGATGTGGGACACATATATGGTATGAAGCATCCAACCCTCTCCTCCGCCCCAGTTGCGTAACCACGATGAACTGACACTCTATTTTTTTTGCCGGCAACTCAGGCCGAAGAACAAGGCTTCTCCGAGTTCCACCTCTACGTATGCGCCGCCTTCCTAGTGAAGTGGTCCGACAAGCTGGTGAAGATGGACTTCCAGGAAATCATGATGTTCTTGCAGTCGCTGCCCACGCGCGACTGGACCGAGAAGGACATCGAGCTTCTACTGAGCGAGGCCTACATATGGCAGAGCCTGTTCAAGGGGTCGTCGGCGCACCTGAGAGGTCCGGAGAACCGGGTGCCTAGCACGAATTTCCAGTTATGAGGAGTGGCTCGAAGAGCGGACATGTATGAATTTTAATGATCGAGCTTTTCAGGGCGCATAGCATACCTACGTAACAGCACAGGCGAGAGCATCTCAGAAACGGATAGATAGGATAGCAGTTACTAATACCCGGGAAGTGCCACCGGTCGAAGGCAAAAAGGCACAACAACAATCATCTGTCTGATTAGTTGTATTTTTCTGTGTCTGTAACTCACATCGTCCTTGCGCCCCTATCCCAGAACCGACCATTTTGCTCTTAAAGACATCCCAACCCGTAAAGTACGCCGCCCCGAACAGAGACTCTGAGAACAGAGACGGGAACAGGAAAATGAATACATACTAGTACATCGATGCCTTCCAGATGCCAGTTGGGACTTCCTTTTCCATCAAGCCAACAACACCAAACTCATTACCAGGGCTTCATGCGTAGCTGAAAGTCAGCTATCAAGCTCAAGTAAGAGCATAAGCAAGCACACACGACCCCACCTAGGTCATCTTCGCATCACCATCTTCCCGGGCCTTCTTGGCTTCGATCTCCTGCTCCTCAGCAGGCTTCTCCTCAGCCTTGCGCTTCTTCCTAACCAGACCGGTCAAGTCGGTAGCATTGTTCTTCACCTCGTCCGGCAAGACCTTGGGAATCTGCTGCTGTGCGGAGGCGGGGATCCCGAGGGCGGCGTTGATATCGACCGGCGGCTTGCGCAGGTCGACCAGCCGCTGCTCCATGTCGGCGAGCACCTCCTTCACGTCGGCGATCTGCCGCCGCGAGGCCTCGTTGTCCTCCGGGTCGTGGAGCGTCGCCAGCTCGACTTCCTTGTTTTGAAGCTTCTGCTTGGTGCTGTTGATGGCTGCCTCGAGCTCGGCTGCGGCCTCGTCGCGGAGTGCTTGGTCGATCTTATCGTCACCGCTGCCGCCGCCGGCTTCCTTGTCGTCGTCTTCGGATGACTTGGTTACCGAGGCGAATTCGAGGGCCAGCGAAAGCTTGAAGTGCGCTTCCGCGATAACTTCGGATTCGAAGGGGTACAGCTGCTCTTTGTACTTGAGCGAGGCGCGCGAGTCAGTGATGGCGTTATGGTACCTTGGTATGTCAGCTTGCGAGAGTCGGGAAGGATTTTGCGGTTTTGTGTGTGGTCCTTCACGACCCTGCGACATACCTCTCGTTCTCGAGCGAGATTTCCGCGAGGAGATCGTGCGTATCGGCGAGTCGTTCCTTGATGTGCTTGGCCACGGCAGAGTCACCGTCCTCGGCAGCCTCTTTCCCCTTGCCTTGCTGTGCCTCGTCCTCTGCCTGTGTCGCTTCGAGACGCTTGTTGAAGAGGACGCGCGCGAGGTCGAGAACCTCAAAGGCAACAGCAAGGTCATCCTCCTCCTCTTCTTCCTCATCGCCCTCACCCTCCTCAGCTCCATCTTCCTGTTCGGAGTCGACAAAGTTGTCGTCGCCCTCGAACTGGAAAAGCGGCTTCTTCTGCTCGGGCTTCGGCGCCTCCTCCTCCTTGGAGGCGGCCTCCGCAACAACCTCGTCTAGTTTGCTCTCTGCCTCGGCAATTGCAGCAGCCGACGAGCCGGCGACCTCAGTTGTGTCGTTCTTCTTCTCCGCTGTAGCCGGACTGCTCCCGTTGGCGGACTTGGCTGCCTTCGGAGGCTTCATTTTGGCCGGTTTCTTGGACTCGGGCGCCTTGCCGCCGAGAACGTCACTCTTACTCTGACCGACCTTAAACAGAGCACGGCCGTAGAGAAAAAGGATCTCGGCGTTCTCGGGGTCCATCTCGCCGTTCATCTCAGCCTGCATTTCGGCGGCCTGGGCGTAGACTTCGGCAGCCTCCTCATATTGCTTGTGCGCGTAGAGAGCCGCCGCCTTGGCTGCACGGTCGGCGAGCGACACCTTGAGGCTCTTGGCTGTCTCCTCCGGGTCGAGCTCGACCTGTGGCGTCGATGCGCCGGTTGCGGGCGTAGGCGTAGCCATTGTACCAGCGGTCCAGTAGGTATGTTGTGGTTTTCCAATTGATTGTCAATGTATCCTTGACAGGGAGCAATTGATGGTGTGAAACACTGAGGAAATTGATGCTGAGATTCGGTCTGAAGGTCTGCTGTTGCATCAGGTGCTCAGCCCGCTGTTGGTCGAAGAAGCTCGAAGTGACGGAAGGAGGGAGCTCTTGGTAGGCGGGAGGCTGGGTAGCTCTTAGCGGAGCTTCGAAGCAGTGCACGGGCAACCCGTCGCACTGCCCTTGGCTTTCGCGACGCCGGGCAATGTCACTGCTGTACCTGTCCTCTCACTTCTCTATTGCCATGTAAAAGGCCAGAGCACATACATCACGCTTCTCTTTCAATTCGCATAATTGAGATCTTGCTGTTTGCACCGCTTCAAGAAGTCTTCGTCCTCAAAGGGGTGATCAGGGTTAGGGCTATGACGTAGACTTCGGTTTCCCACCATGCGAGCAAAATACGCTGTACTGTACAGATTCGTTACATGCTCCGCCCCATGGATTACCGATATTGTATTCCATACACACACACACACCCTGTTCGTGCCATTCCTTTCTTCCCTGCTCTTAATCATTCTCCTTTTATAAGTCCCCAACTACTTATTTACTTTATTTCCCCGTACGCAAACTGTCGGTCAGTTCAATTTGGTGTGAGCGAACAGATGTACAGTACATACATGGTACATACATATGGCTTTTGAGAATGTGGAGCAGCTCTGCATGAGGGGAATCAGACCCCGCATTCTCAACTGTTCGGGTTGATCGCGTCAACACGCCACTTAATAAAGCGGCCAAAGGAAGACCCGAGACTCAGAACATAATCAAAGCAGATCGACTGCTCTGCCTTCGGATCGCTAGTTCTCGTTGTTTCACAGTGTGTTTGGTAGGAATGTGTAAGCGATTCCCTCTGGCTCGCCTAGCATTCGATATCATTGTCGAAATAGATTACAGAGCAAGAGCCGAAGCTTTCCGGTAACGCTTATTTGCTGCCTTCCCTTTGAGATTGGTGTCGTGATCGTCTCGTCGCAACATTCCACTGTCAGCGTCCTATCACAAGCTGCAAGAAACGGGCTGGGGTCATGCATGGCCTGAACGGAAGCTGATGCGAAGCAACCTCCTCCAACCGGACACGACTATCCTGACGATCGAGCATATCAGTCCCATGTCGGGAAGGAAGTCATCGCCACCAGATACCGTTGAAGCAATCCCCAAGTGATTGTTGATATATTTAATTGCGTTTTAGTTTTCTCGCTCCACGACGGTAGTTCCACGCCACAGGGGAAGAGAACTTGAATCGACTCAAGATGTTGCATCCTATCAGTTCAGAACACGACACACACTACGAGCACAGCCAGTCGAACTCTATCGAGGCTCTAGTCGCAGCGCGCAACGATGGGAAAAAGCATCTGCTCCTAGCGTACGCTCCTGATTTCCGCATAGTGCACCTGCCTGATACCAGGAAGCTTTGTATCTGACACATTCTACCCCAGGGCGTCTGGCTCCGTAGCCACCATCAAAAGCAAGTAGAAATCCTTATCACCGTGCTGCTGCTTCGGCTCCCGACATACTGATGGACCGCAGTCCCCGTCATCGTCGAGGCTCTGGCCAAGTATGAGGGCACCCTCTCGATCCGCATCATCCTGACTGAGTCGGCTACCCACTTCCTCGGCGGGCAGAGTGCTGAGCAACCTACTGTCTCCTCTCTGCTGCATCTGCCCAACGTCGAGGCTGTGTACCGGGACCATGACGAATGGGGACCTCAGCCATGGCGCCGTGGGGCGAGCATCTTGCATATTGAGTTCGTTCTTTTGCCTTGCCGATCCGTCGGTTTCATACGGATGTGTCTGGTTAAGTAGACTGACGAACATGGACTCGGCGGGCAGATTGCGGAGGTGTATGTGTGCTGCTTTCAACTGCGGCTTGGAGAAGTGTGTTATGATGATCGCTAATATCCGGGCGGCACATAGGGGCTGATTTGCTGGTGGTCGCTCGTACGTGGTTCCCGGGAACTCAGACAACCCCTTTTACGACAGACGCGTGGGCCAACTAACAAACTCGGCAACAGCACTTAGCGCAAATACACTGGCCAAGGTGCGCCTATGGGAAGATGCTACGCTATCACTCGGGGCCTGTTGCTGCCTCGATCCCTGATCTCATTGCTAAACAGAAAACAGGTGGTTAACGGCATGTCTGACAACCTCTTGACGTCCGTAATCCGCGCCTGGGACACAGATGCCAGTATCGACATGAAGAAGAAGATCATCATCGTCGCGCCCGCGATGAACTCGGTAACCACCTGCCCGATTCTTCCTCTCCATATGCTTCCTCTTGCAAAGGCACACTAACCGCCGTCCTGCTATGCCCAGGCCATGTGGAGAAACCCAATCACAGAGAAGCAGATCCGCGTGCTCACAGACGAATGGGGCGTCAAGGAGGAAGAGCACGCCGCGGGGCGGGTGCGGTCCATCACGGGGTGGTTCCAGATTATCATGGTAAAGCATCCTTTGGGCTGGTCAGGGACAGATACGCTTACTGACCTTCTCTTTGCAGCCCGTTAGCAAGTATGTTTCTGCTACCCATCCGCCTGTAATAGAAACGGAATGGGCTGGGGCATTGCTGACGTGGACTCCCAAACAGAACGCTTGCATGCGGTGACACAGGAGGTGCGTCCTTCGTCCTTCCCCACAAACCCCCCATTCTCCCCCTCCCGTATCCTTTGCCAGATCTTATATGCTAATATTACCCGGTACCATAGACGGTTAGTCATTCCTTCTAACTTGAGACTTTCAGGGACTCAATCCTCCTTCCCTTGACCACTAAGAGGAAACTGTGGGTGTCGCTAACCACGTCTATGCAGGTGCCATGGCGGCAGTGCCCGATATCTGTGCGGCTATCGAGCAGAAATTGAATCTGACTGCGGCGGGTGAGCCAGGTCCTACTCATACAGGATGACAAGACGGGGTTAGAGAGCACTCCCGGGGGGTTCGGACACAGACGATATGATATGCTCCTCACCACCAATGGCTTGAGCCACAAGTATACCTAATACCGCCTCCATTCCTCGTACTTGTTCTCTCCGTCCCCTCAAGTCCGATAGTCTAGAAATGGAGCTCATGAGTTTAGATGGATTATACAACTGCCTTCTGGATCTCTTGCTCTTCCCCGGTCTTAAGTTGACCCTTTGACGGCCGTCATCCGGGCTCCAGAGCTGCCCTTACGATCCGTACCGACTGACAACTTGACAAGCGTTTTGCATCTTTCAACCTAGCAGCCGTCTGCTCCCATAGTGGTTTACGAACGCGGACACAAAATGTTATATTCGCTTATGTCCTACTCTTGTGTACACATGCATTGTATTGCACACGCTTCACTTCCCGGCCATCAGACATACTGTTGTCATGTCCAGGTCCAGATGAATTAGGGTACCTTAGTATCCGACAATTGTAATCTACAATACAGTAGTGCCTTTTTGACCGCCGCCAATGCCAATGCCACCGGGATCTCTCAATCTGGATCCCAGAATCCATTTGGTAACTGGCCCTCTTCTTCATACCAGTTCGGCGAGGACGCGAAGGGTAACACCCCTTCATAAATGCCCAAGCTCGGAAGAATCCTCTTGCGGCGCGAAAAAAAGAAAAACAAAGTATGCCGTCCCAAGAAGGCGAGGTGATGGAGGCAAAGACAAGAGAGATGACCACCATCTCCTCCGATCATGACCGTGACCGATGATGCATCGCATGCCACCTTGCTATTTGCGCCCCATGGAAGAGGGAAAGCAAAGAAAACAGGCGAAAAACAACAACAACAACAACAACAACAACAAAGTAAGCCTCCCACATGCCGTGAGCCGCTCAATGAATGGATAAAGTAACGTTCCATGCAATCGGATATCGCCTATCCCTCGTGCCGTAGTCCTCCACGTTGTTGGGAGAGACAAGATACTTAGTTTGCTCTCGCAAAGGGCGGATAGTGCACCAATAGTGAAGTGAAACGAAAAAAGGAACAGCGAAGCCAACCCAAGCGAGTACGCCTACTCATGGCGGAAAGTACAGTTCTCTCCTTTTGCACACTGACCCTTGGCCCAGAAGGCGCAGGTCTTCGTGCCGATGAGGGCGCGGTTGATCCCCCGGAGATGGTCGGGGACCTTGTCGTGCTTGTTGCCGCCGCCGCGGCCCTTGCCGCCACGGTGGTGAAAGTCGCGATCACGGTTGTTGTTCTCGCGCTCGCGCTCACGCTCGCGGTCGCGCCCGTAGCTGTCGCGCTCCCGGTCTTGACTGAGGCCGTATGTCTGCCCGTATGCCTCACGCTCTTGGTGGTTGGCTTGGCCATAGCTTTGGCCGTGAGTACCGTACGCCTGCGAATTTTGGCCATAGGAGTTCCAAGTCTGCTGGGCGCTCTGGCCAGCTTGGGCTTGCGTCTGGCCTTGGTTCTGGGCGGTTGCCCACCTCACCACTTCCATTACGTACTGGGTGCTCTGAGGATCGGCTGGGGCGGGAGCCGCGGCCTGGCCTTGATTGCCACTGGTAATAGCAGCTATAATTGCCTGGAGCGGAGCATTGGGGTCAGCAGCAGATGGGTGCTGAGGCTGCGCAGCGTGCTGCTGTTGATTGCCGAGCGCGGCGAGGATGCTGGCCACTTGGTTGTTGGGGTCCGCGGTCTGCTGCTGAGCAGTCTGCGGGGCTTGAGCCTGCACATAGGGATTGGCAGCTTGAGTGTACGGATTCTGATACTGGCCGTACCATGCTTGGTGCGCCGCCTGGTGCTGCTGCAGCTGGTGCTGTTGTTGGGCGGCGTAGTACTGAGCCCAAGCAGCGGAGTAATCAGGGGCCGAGGCCTGTGCGTCTTGTGCATTGGAAGCTTGGGGAGCCGAGGCCGCTTGCTGCACGGGTTGAGAAACAGGGACAGGCTGCGCGGGCGGCGCGGGCTGTGCGGGCCGCGGGGGGTCCTTGGGGATAGATGCGACAATCGCCGCGATGTCGGCAAGCGCTTTTTGGACCTTGGCCTCCACTTCGGGATCGGGATCGGGATCACGCCGCGCAGTCCTCGCGAGTTCGTGGTTATACGGATCGGGGTCCTGCCAGTTCCTGACGCGATCCGAGTGCAGGAGGTCTACGACTTCCTGGTCGCGCCGGGCGGCTGCGGCGGGCTCGTACCAGGCGCGCGGATCCTGAACGGCGGGCTGCTGAGCGGGAGCCTCGGGCTGACGAGTGGCCTGTCCGTTGACAGACTCTGCGATCGACTGAAGGGATTGCAGCGTATTGGTATAATTGGCATAATCCGGACGAGACTGGAGATCCGCGCGGGACTGGGCTGCGTGAGAAGCATGGCGAGAGCCCCATGATCTCCACTCTTGAGTGCGCCGCATCATCTCATCGTATCCAGGAGTGGCGGGAGGCAGCCGCGACTCCTGGCCAGCACTGGAAAGCGACGGCTCATAAGGGGGCGACCTCGGAGTGGGCGGTATGTCCGCGCTGTTGTGGTAGATAACCATCAACTCCTTTGACTCTCGCTCCATGGTGAGCTTCTGCTCCTCGGTCTCAAAAGTTCTGAGTCCGCCCCGGGTGTCGTAGGTCTTCGCCCTCTGCTCGGAAATGATGTGGGCGGCGAAGTCGATGCCAGACAGCTCCTCCCAGTCGCGGTCATTAATTTCAAAGGCTTTGATGCCTTTCCCTGAGTGAAGCCGCTTCATCATCTCGCTCTCTTCGCTGTTTTTGTAGCGGCCTTCCGTCGCGGCGTTGCGGGCCATGCTAAGGCTCTCGGCAATTTCTTCGGGGTGCCGCATAAACTCGCGGACTTCGACCAGTGCGTCCCCGCTCTTGAACGCAACTCTCAATCCTCGGCGGCTCTCCTTACGAAGTCGGCGCGCCCGCTGCTCTGGAGTCTCGTTCGGATCCGGAAGGGTGGCCCGCTTTGCGGCCGTCTCCGGCGTCTTGATCTTCTTTGCTTCGTCAATCTCCTGCATCAACTCAGAAAAGATAGACCTGCTCGCGGGAGCTTGCTTGGTCGCTTCGGCTGGCTTGGGTTTGGCGCTCTTCGCGGCGCCGGACGCGGTCGGTGTGGACTGCGCCTTCGTGGTGACCGACTTGGATGCGTCGGCCTTTGTGGCTTGCATCTTGGAAGTCGAGCTTTTCTGAGCATCGACCTTCGCGGGGTCGGATTTGGGCACCGGCTTTTGAGCCGGACGTGCCTTTCCAGGAAGCAAAAGTCCAGACCGCGGCTTGGTCGGGACAGCGGTGGAACTAGAAGCCGTCGTGCTTGTCGATGCCTTCGTGGCGGGAGCCTTGGTGCTGGGACCCGCCGGTGACTTCCCAGCAGCAGAAGACGCCTTCGTGCTGCTGGACGATGAATTGTCGGTCGCAGGCTTCTTTACTGAGCGCACTTCGGCGCCGGCAGCATCCTCTTCACGCGACCGCTTTGCTCCGGCAGCGGGGGCAGGCATCTTTTTGGGTACCTTCGCCGCGGTTTGGTCAGCCCCTGTGTTAGGTGCCGTGACTTTTGATGAAGCAGGTAAGGATGAATTTTTTCGTAAGTCGGTCGTTGAGCTGGCCGACTTGTTCGTGGACGAGGGGCCCATTTTCTTGGTGTCGTTTCCGGGAGTCGATTGTTTTGAAAGCACCTTGGTCTGCGCAGGCGCGGCTTTCTTCCCACCGCCACCTGACACCGTGCCGGCCGAGTCACTTTCATTCTCGGCCTTTTTATCATCGTTCCAGCTGGCCATCTCAAATATGGTAGCCATCACCCCCTTGGCCTCCTCGTCTCCTGCCTTCTCCAACCTGTTCCTGATCTTGTTCATTTTCCACAACATCAGCTGCTCCGAAGTCACCTCGGTAAGGCGTGTATACAGACGGAGAATGCCCTTGACCAGAGAGGAGTTTGCCTCGCCCGCGTTGATGAGGTTGACGAGGACGTTTATCAGTGTGGCGAACAGCTTGTTTTGGCTGCTCAGCTTCGCCAACAAGCCGACAGGTTTGGCTTGAAGTCCTGCCACAATTGCGCGCTCCAGCAGGTCTTTAGCCAGACGAACCTGAGCCTCGGCGTCGACCTTGTCCTCTTGCGACTGTTCATTGGGCTTTTTCAAGGCAGTCAGGAGGCTCTGGGCCCTGCTGTGAAGGAACACGCCATACTCGCTGCACACGTTCTGGATTACGTGCTTGTTGTCAACATGAGCGGGATGAACCCGCAGGATTTCTTCCGCCTTGATGGTGGTGTAGAGCGGCTCTGCTGGAGGACCAAGACGCTTGGGCTGGGTGATCACCGCTTGTCAGCAAACATCCGGCATCCGACATTGCATCTGGACCACGACCTACCTCCTTACCCAGACCATCTTTCAACCCTTTCCTCCACCAATCGGGGGCGATTTCTAAGACACGAGATTAGTAACCACACGTCAAACTATTTTTTGTCTGCCCTGGGACTCACCGGTATTTCCCCGCTTCATCCAAATCTCAAGGCAAATATCAGCCCGTTGGAAGTCCACGTCACCCGTCGCGTGCTGATACGCATAGAGATGGTTTCCAAGGCACTCAGCTGGAGTCCATCCCCGCGGCAACTGGGGGAACAGGGGAGGTTTGCCGCCTTTTGATGCCAGAGTCATGTTTCGAATCGTCGGCGGCCGACTCTGGAGTCTCACCGGTGCTGCACCAATGACGAGATTGGCCACTCCTGGCAACATCGCCCCGGGACGGCCCTCGGCAGCCGAGAGCAGATCATTGTCCTGAAAGTTGATCGAACATATTCTCCCGGACACAGTTTGGGGTTGGGTCTGCGTGGATGCAGAAGGGGAGCCCACAGAGGCAGAACGAGGACTGGCAGCGGCCGTGGGGAGCAGTTTGGCCTTCTTTGCGACAGCCGAAGCAGCTTGCGGTTCTGATGCTGGCCCGCGCTTAACACCTGCAACAGCAATCGGAGCCGAAGACTGCTGGGCATGCAATCCTGCTTGAATCTGATTGACCGGCTGTTGGTCAGAGGTCTGCTGGCCAGCTCCGGCGGCGCGAGGGGCAGGCTGGACACCAGACCGCTGAGCTACCTGGTGGGGGACCTGCTGAGGGGGTTCCTGGCGAGGAGGACCAGGAAAGGTTGTATCTCGCGCCGGCGGCTGCGCGTGAACACGTGGGCTGCCAGTGACGGCCACCGGCTGGTCCAACGCGCCGTCGAACGACGCAGCAAACTGCGGGTGTACCGGGCGTGGCGCTTGCTGGTGCTCTTCTTCCTGGTATCTGTGGCCAGAGAAGAACGGCGCGGGCGCGCCATGGGGAGCCGGAGCTGAAACGGCCGGTGGCCGGGCAGCAGCAAGCGGATTCTCGTACTGGGGACGAGGTTCATATCCGGCCCACTGTGCAACCGGAGCCTGGGTATACCCGGCAAGCGCAAATCTGGTATCGACCGTCTGATTAGCGTCGGTAGGATGGTGTGCGTCTCCGAAAAAGGCTTGTCCATACCCAAGACCAGCGTCATGAGAGAACGGGGCGGCTGCCGCCAGAGGGTCATCTGACCAAGCGCCTCCCTGGCCATAATAGGGATCAAAAGGTCGAAATAAATCGACCTGGTTGTCTGACCTCGCTGGCGGCGGGTTCAGACCGCCCCCAGCGAGGAAGCCTGGGTTGGCAAAGGCATTGTCTTCGCCTCCGCCTTGATAAGCTAAATGCGAACCGCCGAAGTCATGATCCCACGGCTCGCCGGGATAGCTAGCCGGATCCCAGCTGCCAATCCCTTCGCCATGGCTTTGATCCATGGCGCACTGGAGTGCGAAAGGGGCGTCACGTGAGACTATCAAGCAGTTAATACTCGGTTAACGGCATATCTCCGGCTAAACACATACAGTTGTATTGTTTTGTGGCAATAAGCGTTCAACAATGTCGTGAAGATCCGTGCACGACGGTTAAACGCAAGGTTGCAAATAGCCGGAGTTTTTGCGGTGCAATGAATTTGTGGGAAAATTTGTGGGCAGGTTTGAAGTGGGGCGAGCGCGCTGCGCCAGATTCGGACTAGTGCCAAAGCTAAACTCACAAACGTCAGCCAGCGAGATCCCTCAAAATTTTGCAGTCCCTGCGGGCAAGATGCCAGCCCTGAATCCAGCATCCATCATGCTGGCTGCAGACAGCCAAGGAGAGAAACCAGTAGCAAAGACAGCAGCCATTCCGCAGCAAGAGCAACACGCAGCTTGAATGAATGGTCTTCCAACATGGCCAGAGGAAGAGGTGTTTGCTGGCTGTGGGACTGTAATGGATGCAATAGCATTTGCATTCGAGCATCGATTAAGCTGATCCCGCGTTACCGGAGGAGGGGGGTTTGCAGGTATTCCGTGGTCGAGATCGGGAATCCGGTCGTTAGGGTTGGTTCCCCTTGTTGCCCGCCCTCCATGAAGCTCGAGATGCGATCTGCGTCCGCTCGCCAAGACCACGAGTCACCACCTTGGAACCGCTCAGGATTGACTTTGGACATTTGTGTCTTCAAATTTCCCAATTTCCCTCCTCCCAACTTCGCGTTGCCAATTTCAACGAATCTCGCAGAGATTGAAGCTTCCGGGTAGAGAAGGGGAGCGAAGAGTGACAGCTCCAAGGCCGGAGGTCACCCCCTGAAGTTGGAGCGTCCATTCAAGGGTTGGTGAGGCCCCGCAGTGCCATCATCACCAAGGCCACGTAGTGCTACTGCGGCACCAACAGCCCAAGTTGACCTTAGTCCCAAGGGGAAGGCGACCAGCAACTCTGGAACAATTAAAGCCCAGCAGGGGCGTGCGGGTGACTCCGATGGCTGATGGGTGCTGTGGCATTTTGAATATTATTGCCAGCGTTTGCAGGCAGAGACCTCTGTCTCCCCTGGAACAGCGGTGGCCGTTCTTGGCCTTCTGCTCTCACATTGCTGTCATGCTGCCTTGCTCTGTGCTGGTCTCTCCTGGGTTGGCTGCCTGCATATCTCGTGACAGGGTTTTCAAGCGCTACTTGCAGCGTATGGCGGTTCCGTTGGACACCCCAAGCACGCTTTCGCTGTCGCTTTGCAGCTCTTCAGCACGCAGATCAAAGCCGCGGCGTCCAGGCCGCTAGGCTGAGCGGGCATTCAAAGGAGGAGAGAGAACACGCATTATGCTGCAGGATGTTTTAGACGGGGGACGGGTGATTTATGCATACCCTTGATTTGAGTGAGCAGCAGTCTTTCTCCGCTCTGTGTTGCGACGCCACCTCACAGGGCGACGCCCTCTGGAAGGCAACGACAACGCTGCTCACCGGTTCTTACAACATGACCCGCGTATATATTAAACAGGAGACCTGTATGGCAAATTGACCAGAGAATAGGGGCGCGAACGTGCGGGAAAATGACCCGGTTGAGAGGTCAACGTGCGTCTGGGATGTGTCGAGAGGTGTTCAACTGCCTATACAACTGGGCTGACGCGATAAGATATCACGAGATCCCGCAACCTGAGCATCCGGGTGATGGCTAGAGACGGGCGCGTTGATGAAGGAAGATGGGAGAACTGTCACACCAGGGATGCTGTGGTTGCTGATGAAGGGAAAAGTTGGCATCCACCACAGCAGACCGGGCCGCGGCTGCCAATAATAAAGCGGTGGCTGTTGGCGGGCTTGATGGTGGTCAATGCTTTGTGGCGGAGACACACACGGAGCGTGTCCCACCTTCAGATACGCTAGTCCTAAAGAAGCTAGCGATCAATCCGGGCTTGGTAGGTACGTACCGACGTGCTGGACACAAAGGTGTCTTCATGTGGGGAAGCTTCGAGCCATGTTGTTGAACATCTGAAGGAGCTTGGAGATAAGAGAACCTAGCAACGAAGAAAGGCTTTCGTTTACGCCCTACCAAAAGTGTGACAGCATCCTGACCTTAATGTCCCGCCGTTCGTTCGACAAACAAGGACTCTAATGCTGTGCAGCCGCCTTCTCTGAACGGCAACTACAACCCAGAACTTGCTCATCCAGGGCAATTGCTTCGACCTATCCTCCAGTGTCAGTAACGTAGACGTTGATAAGGGGCCAACCATGGCGGCGCGGGGGAGTTCCTTGCGCGACAAACAGATCTGTGTGTGCCTCCTGGAGAACTTGAAGTTGCATATGTTCCCCGTCAAGCTAATGCGCCTCAGTCGCGATCAAGAAGTTACTCAACCTTAACGAGCCCCTCGACACAAGCGAAAACGATGACGTCCATTCCAATGGCATCGCTGTGCCCTCTGCGCCGATAACAAAGGATGGGAATCCGATCTGGAAGCTTCTCATATTCGATGTGAGCGACACCCTGTGTCTCCGCTTTCCTGGAACCGTATGAACAGGAGCTGAGCTGACGGCGCCGGACAGGACCTCGGTCGCGATGTGATCAGCCCGGTGCTTCAGGTGTCGGACCTTAGGTCTATGGGTGTGACAATGCACATGTGAGCTCACACATCTTGATCTCTCTCCACGGAAATAAACGCTGACCCAAGAAGGCACATTGGGTCCCAGAGAGCCGCCATACCCGATGTCCCGGCGATATATTTGGTCGAGCCGACTGCCGCGAACTTGAAAGCGATCACGAAAGACCTTCAAAAGGGGCTCTACAGCTCAGCCTACCTCAACTTCCTTTCCTCCATACCACGACCTCTGTTGGAAGACTTCGCCGCGCAGACTGCTGCTGCGGGCACCTCGGAGCAGATCTCGCAGGTCTATGACCAGTATCTCAATTTCGTTGTCACTGAGCCCGACCTCTTCAGCCTGGGAATGCAGAAGGAGCACACCTACTGGGCATTGAACAGCGCAAAGACAAAAGATGAGGAGCTGGACCGTGTCATAGACCGGATCGTCAGTGGCCTGTTTAGTGTCGTGGTGACATCAGGTACGGCTTCAATCCTCCGCCAAGGCACCGAGTCGTTGGGACTGACACCTCTCAGGAGTGATACCCATTGTATGCCCCGATTCCTGGCTCCCGCCAATTTCATCTGACGTGTACTGACTTAGCGTCACCCAGATCCGCTGCCCTAGGGACTCTGCCGCTGAGATGATTGCTGCCAAACTTGACCGCAAGCTTCGCGACCACGTTGTCAACTCGAAAGACAACCTGTTCTCTTCACAAACGCGATCTGGCCCTTCGGCTACCGGGACTCCCACATCAAGACCTGTACTGATAATTCTTGACCGCAATGTCGACCTGATACCCATGCTATCTCATTCCTGGACATACCAAAGCCTATGTTTTGATGTCTTTAAGGTGCGCCCTCCTCATAGATACAGAGGCATGATGTCGTTGCTAAGCTCGGTCACAGTCGGAGCTAAACCGCATCACTATCGAGACCCCTGTCGACTCCAGCAACCCAGCAAAAGGGACCACGAAGAAAACATATGATCTCGCCGCAAATGACTTTTTCTGGGCCAAAAATGCGTGCTTGCCGTTTCCCCAGGTCGCCGAGGATATTGGTAAGGCACCCCGGGCTTGTTCCATTTCCCTCGCGAGACCCGTCTGTTGCTGACCCCTGGGACGTAGATACTGAGCTTACCAAGTACAAGGAGGAGGCGGAGGCGATCACCAAGAAGACCGGAGTCAGTAACTTTGAGGATCTCCAAAATGACACAAGCGCTAGCGCGCAACACCTCAAAGCAGCCATCACCCTTCTCCCAGAGCTCCGGGAGCGCAAGGCAATACTGGACATGCACATGAACATCCTTGCCGCCGTCTTGGGAGAGATACAAAATCGGCAGCTCGACAACTATTTCCAACTCGAGGAAAATGTGATGAAGCAGACCAAGGCGCAGATGCTCGAGCTTATCAAGACGGGCGATAAAGGGCAGCCGATGGACAAGCTGCGCCTCTTCATAATCTGGTTCCTTAGCACCGAACAGGATGTGACGCGGCAGGAATGGTCACAATTCGAGGAGGCACTAACTGCGGCGGGATGTGACAAGACATGCCTGGCATATATCCGACAGTGAGGCACAACCAGACTCTGGCTCCCATCTTTCGCGAACGGGTTGTGTACTGACGTGCGAATAGGGTCCGAGCAACCAACAAGATGACACAGCTTACAACCATCAACAGCCAGGGGTCAGCAAACCAGCAGCAATCGGGCTCTTCGGACCTCTTCAACCGTTTTTCAGCGATCTCGACGCGCCTGACAGACCGGCTTAAGGAGACGGGCGTCCCGACAAGCGCGCTGACATCCAATGTGGCGTCACTACTGGGCGGCATTAAGAACTTCCTGCCCGTCGATAGGGATCTGACAGTGACCAAAATCACCGAGTCGATCATGGATCCCTCAAGTGCTAGCTCGTCGGCGATTGCTAAGACGGAACACTACCTGTACTTTGACCCTCGCAGCGCCAACGCGCGTGGGACAATGCCTCAGCCGTCGGCATTACGCGCTTCCGGGAGTGGAGCTACGGCGCCGGGCGGACTGCCGGGCTCAGGTCTTGGCACGCAGGTCGGCGGTACCGGGGCCACCTTTGGGCAGCGGAGGCAGGGGTTTTCGGAAGCCATGGTCTTCATGGTCGGAGGCGGGTCCATGGATGAATACGGAAACTTGCAGGAGTGGGCAACCCGCACAGCGGCCGGAGATCGGGTCAAGCGAAGGGTCATTTACGGCGCCAGTGAACTGGTTAATGCAAGCCAGTTCATCAGGGATGAACTGGATAAGCTCGGCAGGGAGATGTCTTAAATCCCCATGGCTCCGGTATGGATTAGGCTTATATGTACAGTACCTTCCAGGGTCTCAAAGCATCAAGGGTACTTGGTGATCGCTTCGGAATGATGCTTATACAGTCGCCGATGCCTATCAGGACGGGCCGCGATGAAAGCTAGGCGAACGACCGAAAGCTCAAGGCATTGTATTGTGTGCTGAAGTGAAAGGCGATCAAACAGAGCGAGATACCAGTGAACGCTGTTCCTGCCCTTGACTGTCCCAAGCCAGGGGTTTCGCTCCGCTAACAAATCTCAGGGTCTCGAATGCGACATGGCCTTGCATATGCAACTTACCGTACTGTCGGCAGTTAACTAGTCGGAGTCCAACAGGACGCGCGTTCAACTGCTAGTTACGAGAAAAGCTTACGCTGTACAGTCACCTTCAGCGGCCGTGTCTTCCGTGGACATTGGAAGTTGCCGGGCAGTGCCTCTTGGAGGCGGCAATGCGACAGTTGAGCCAGTAAGTTAACGTTGATTCCGTCTGCGGCTGATAATGGAGCCTCCTGACAATCGCGCTATTTTTGATAGTCCAAAGGTTGATATCAACAAAGGCTACGACAGCGAGACAGCCTAATGCCATCCCGCATACACTGTACTAGAGAGAGCTTCACCCGATCTATGGCAAAGGGCCAAGCAAGCAGCTGCATCCGTTACCCAGTGACTAGGTAGGTTACACAAAGATCTCGCGAATCGCGATATCTCAATCATTTAGGAGGCGCGTTGAGATAGTGGTGATGTGGTGACCGCGGGAGTGAAGAAACGGGAAGCGGCATGGACCGCTGCGAGGCGGTTTCTGTGGTTTCCGTCGCGCACAGCCGCCAGGTCTAAGCCTTCCAAGTGTTTGTCGTCGTGTCCCTCAGCTGCCAGATACCAAACTCTGCTCTTGTGGATTCTGGGATGGATAACCCCCTTACCCTGGGCCATCATTGACCTTGCTTTCCCCGCACTGCCGCATTTCCGACAATCGCAGGGTTCAATAATAAAGTGTCGATCCCGAGACTTTAAAAACAACAACTGTTGTGAGACGCAAAACTCCAGGGCAACGAACGGGCTTTATCCACCGTTACCGCCTCCTAAACGGAAGCCTCGACCCAATCACCAGCGCCGAAAGGCTTGCGACGTCGCACTTGCCCAGATTGGGTGCTGAAACAACCACACGCTCTGCCGGCGTCTTCCCGGCAAGGAGAGCCCCTTCATTCAATAGCCCCTCGATAGTCTTGGCAGCCGTCCGAACAACTTCCTGATTCTGGGCGGAAATCTGCCTGGTCTGAAACTGCGACTCCTGTTCCTGCTTGCCGATTTTCCGCGCCTGTCGAGCAGTTGCGACAGCATCTGAGCGCCGTGCTAGCCAACAAGCCAATCGATCGAGAAAAGTCGGCTCGTTTTGACCGCGGCGCGGTGCAGATAGACAAAGGCCGAGCGCTACGGATCGCGCGCCAAAGGAGCGTTTGCGCACAGCCAACCGATCGACATCTGCGCCTCAGTTCGACAACTGCGGCCGCGCGGCTGCCGCAAGGGAAGGCAGACAGGCGGGAGCCGAGGAACACGGGGCCGCGCGCCGACACCACCCAGACATTCACGACACCTCGCATTCCCGGCGGGGAAAAGCACTTGGAGACGCGCAGCCGTCCGAATTGGAAACGTCTCTTTGGAACCGGTGTTGGCATTCGCAAGGGAGCATTTACATACTTGCGCCTGGGGTGGCGTTTTGGCACATTTTCTTTCGAGATACCCGGTCCAGTGTGTTTCAAGTCCACCGCAACCACCACTAAGCAACCATGTCGTATAATCGATTAGGCAAGTCGAAGTCTCCATTCCTTATTTCACGGCCTTTTTCGCTCTTGTGGGCCGGTCTCCTCACGACCCGACCTACGTACCGTTTCCGAAGTTCTTCCCTTCAGTCCCCGTCCTAGGCGTACGTGCCTTATTTTGGTATCACATTCTTGTACCCAAGAGGCCGGTTCCCTGGGACCCGTTGCTCGTACGCCTGACCGCGGCCTGGAAGCCGTTCCTGCGGGCTGTTGCTTGTGCGGTAGTTTTGATCCCATTGCCCGGTGCAAGGAATACCGCGATACCAGCTTGGACCTGTCCGGTGTTGAGGTGTATCAGATTCCGCGGCGCAAGCAGCTTGGCTTTTCACCATCGCGGGTCCGTACTTTGTTGGCCCGCACGCGGAGGAATCTCCGACGTCCGGGCCTGGGGAATACTGTTGCACGACGGATTGGCTAACCTTGGCGCCATGTTGCAGACGACGACTATTACGAGAGCCACCCCATGGAGAGCCGGGTGCATAGGACGCCCTCCCCAGGGCATCCACTCCAACACGGGTATCACCTAGAGGACAACCCGTACGGCCATTCACAGCTAAACATACCGGCCGGCCCCGGGAGGTACAGCCCGGGCGATTCATTACAGATGCAGACTGCAGTTAGTAAAGCTCGTTGTGCGGGGGGTTGCGCTGTGATTGAAGCTGACGGAACCACAAGCAATCCGTCGACAACCTCGGGAGCTACTCGGTCAACCCCGAGGCGCATCATGATGCCTACTACAACCAGCCGTACGAGCCAAATCCCGCCCAGGGCTACGATCCAAATGTGCACCAAGGTTACGACCAGACACCCCAGGGCTATGACCAGACGCCGTATTACGAAGACGATAGGCGGCCGATGTTGACGCATAATGACTCGCAAGTTGGCGCGAGCGACCCCTTCCACGACAACCCGCAGCCTCCGACGAACAACCAGCCGATTAAGAGGTGGAAGACGGTAAAACAGGTGCTCTTGTACCGGGGCAACTTGGTTCTGGACTGCCCAATCCCTCCTAAGCTGCTGAATCAGCTGCCGCACGGTGAGCGCGATGAGTTCACCCACATGCGCTACTCGGCGGCGACATGCGACCCCTCGGAATTCTACGAGAACAACTTCACTCTCCGGCAGAAGCTGTTTAGCAAACCCCGGCACACCGAGCTCTTCATCGTAGTGACCATGTACAACGAGGACGAGATTCTGTTTGCGCGGACCATGATCGGCGTGTTCAAGAACATCGAGTACATGTGCAAGCGGACCGAGAGCAAGACCTGGGGCAAAGACGCCTGGAAGAAGATCGTCGTGTGCGTCGTCAGTGATGGTCGTGCCAAAATCAACCCCCGGACAAGGGCGCTGCTGGCTGGTATGGGTGTGTACCAGGAGGGTATCGCCAAGCAACAGGTCAACGGCAAGGACGTCACGGCGCATATCTACGAGTACACAACACAGGTCGGCATGGCGATCAAGAACGATGTCGTCCAGCTTATTCCCAAGCAGCAACCGGTGCAGATGCTGTTCTGCCTCAAGGAAAAGAACCAGAAGAAGATCAACTCTCACCGTTGGTTCTTCCAAGCGTTTGGCCGTGTCCTAGACCCCAACATCTGCGTGCTGATCGATGCCGGTACGAAGCCGGGCAACAACTCAATCTACCACCTGTGGAAGGCTTTCGACCTGGAGCCTATGTGCGCTGGCGCTTGCGGTGAGATCAAGGCTATGCTGGGGACCGGAGGCAAAAACCTCATCAACCCGCTGGTCGCAACGCAGAATTTCGAGTATAAAATGAGCAACATCCTGGACAAACCACTAGAATCAGCTTTCGGCTTCATCTCCGTCTTGCCCGGTGCCTTCTCCGCCTACCGATACGTGGCGCTGCAGAACGACAAGAACGGCCAGGGCCCGCTGGAGAAGTACTTTGCCGGCGAGAAGCTACACGGCGGCGACGCGGGCATCTTCACGGCGAACATGTATCTCGCCGAAGACCGTATCCTCTGCTTCGAGCTTGTCACCAAGCGCAACTGCCACTGGATCTTGCAGTACGTGAAATCGGCGACCGGCGAGACAGACGTGCCGGACACGGTCACCGAGTTGATTCTCCAGCGCCGTCGCTGGCTGAACGGTTCTTTCTTCGCTGCCATTTACGCCATTGTCCACTTCCACCAGTTCTTCCGGTCCGACCACTCGCTCTTCCGTAAGCTGGCCTTCTTTATCGAGTTCGTCTTCAACACTGTCAACATGATCTTCGCCTGGTTTGCGATCGGCAACTTCTTCTTGGTCTTCAAGATCTTGACGACGAGTCTGGGCGACGAGACGCTGCTTGGCAACGTCGGCTCGATCCTGGGTGTCGTGTTCACCTGGCTCTACGGCGTTTCGTTGATGACGTGCTTTGTGCTGTCCATGGGCAACCGGCCGGCTGGTTCAGGGCGGTACTACATGGCCATGGTGATCTTCTGGGCGATCATCTTCGTGTAGGTTGCCCTATTGCTTCATCCGCAGCCGGTTGCAACACCAAACTGACCTTAGCAGTTACCTCATGTTCGCCGCAATTTACATCTCCGTCAACGCCATCATCACCGACCTCCAAAAGAACAACTTCTCGATCGACTCGCTGTTCAAGAATGAGGTCTTCTACACGCTCATCATCTCAGTCTTGTCCACCTACGGCCTCTGGCTGATCGCGTCGCTGCTCATGTTCGACCCCTGGCACATGCTCACCTCTCTCATCCAGTACATGCTGCTCTCGCCGACCTACACCAACGTGCTCAACGTCTACGCCTTCTGCAACACCCACGACATCTCGTGGGGCACCAAGGGCGACGACAAGCCCGACAAGCTCCCCAGCGTCAACACCAAAGACGGCCAGGGCAAGACGGACCTGCCGGACGAGGGCGACCTCAACGCTCAGTACGAGCGCGAGCTGCAGGTCTTTGGCCGGAAGGTCGTCAAGGAGAACAAGCCACCCACGCCCGCCCAGCTCGAGGAGAAGCAGATGGACTACTACCGCGGCGTCCGCACTGTCGTCGTGCTCTTCTGGATGATCACCAACTTCGCCCTCTGCGCCGTCGTGCTCTCGACCGCAGGGCTCGAGAACATCGTGCCCGGCAAGGGCCAGACCGAGGAGGAAGTCAAGACCAACCGCGCCAACATCTACCTCAGCGTCGTGCTCTGGTCCGTGGCGGGCTTGTCGGCGTTCAAGTTCCTGGGCGCCATGTGGTTCCTGGTGGTGAGGATGTTTAGGGGTGTCTAAACGAAGAATGAAAGCGGTTTACAAGTAAATAAATGGCGGGGAGTGGCCGGTTTTGGCTTTCGGGTTTGGTTGGGGACGGGGTTGCGCTTATTTATGATGATTCGATACTGTAATGTTTGGGCATACGTTCTTCATTTCAACACCCCTTTCTGTGGGTTGGCTTCTTCTTTTTGAGCAGTGAGTGAAAAGGGGGGTGTGCGAGGCCCGCGTTTTGTATGACTTACGCTTTGTTTGGCTTTGCTTCTGTCGCCGTTGGAAGACTCATTTAGCGACGTGATTTTGTGGGGAGCGATAGAGACATGTGTATTCCCTATGTAAAAGAATAATACCCCCTCGTCAAACGCGGTCAAATCCTTCCCAAATGTGATGAGTTGGGAGATCTGCTCCTTTTTGAGTTCCGATGTATATGAGACAATGACCTAGGTATATCATTGTTACATCATCGGTCCGAGAATCTATTTGACAAACCCTGTTGTACCATGTCATTCGAATACCTTAGTGATATACATGAACGGAACGTAGCACCGCATTTATGAAAAACATCCATTTCCGTGGAAGCAATTTGCCGAGCTTCGCTTTTCACACATTTAGAGTGGGCATACCATTTAAAGCCGCGCTGGCTTCACCGGTTTGAGAAAGCTCGGAGGAGAACATGAACAGAATATCTTAAGCGGGAAGAATGGAAAAAGTGAGGTATCAGAAAGGGGAACCAAATCGGGCACAAGCACCACTGCCGTCATTCATGAGATGAGGAGGGGCGATGAGGCGACAAGGACCCGGAAATTCAGGTGAGGCGAGCTGAAGCTGACGTTGGGGCTGAGGCTGGGAAAGGCACGCGCCCAACTTGCGTCCGCTGGTTGCCCCTGCCGAACCAGCAGAGCGCCCAGATTGGTTCGGTCAAGACCGGAAGAGTTCATACGACGACCTACTCGACGACTTGCCGGGCTGTAGCTGTTGGACAGCACCCATGATTTTCTGCTGAGCTGAACCGCCGTCGGACCGAGCATTCCTTTGCCCTACCAGGCAGAACAGAATACTGTAGTACGCAGATTGTTTGCTTACACTACACGTGCAAACTACACGCCTCCAATGGAAGTTGATCGCGTCCACCTTGACAGGCTCGAGACAGGAACCGGCAGCCCCATGACCCATGAAAATCCGGGGTAGCGTCATCGACAGGGGCAACAGCCCCGCCATGCCCTCAACGATTGGGTTTCTCCTGAGGTCCACATCCGTAACATGGGAAGCTTTCTGTGAAATGGCAAATTCTTCCAGCTTGTTCGCGCCAACTCACGAGATATGAAAATTTTGGCTGCCAAGTCCCGAGGCTTCAAGGTCAGCCTGCAGGCAAAACGCAACTGCGGCCATCCGATGGCGATGTTCCTGCCGAAGGGATTCAAAACACCCCCGGTCGAATCGGAATTGCCAAGCCCTTGCTTTCGACCTGTGACGTCGAGAACGCTTGCAGGGCTTGCAAGCCAGGTACCCTATCGATCCATGCGAGCCATGTCGGCCAGAGAAGGGACAACGTGAGAATGATGAGAAGGCGCGGCTCGAGTGCGCAGGTGGCATCGTCCCTTGATGTGGATTGTGCCGAGACAGGAGAGGTACCAGAAGGCTGGAAACACAGCAGAAGGGTACCTGAGCGGGGCGCAAACCATAACGTAACAATAAGACCCTAGCGGCCCGCGTGACTCTCCCCTGAGTTTCCATCAGCTAACGGAAAGCTCGAGTGGACTCGACAACACGCCGGCATCAAACTTTGCAGCCCAGAAGCGCTGGAGCTGAGCAAGCAGAGCACCTGACACCATTGGCGCCTTTGAAATCTGGATACTTCTCTGTCTTGGCCATGGCCCATCAGGCGCCGCAAAAACTTGTAGGTATTGCCAAGTGGCGGAGGCTGTTCGTCTCAACAATGGCCCGGTTGGGCAAGCGTTTGCCCGTTGTTGTGGTATATTGCGCGATTCTAGCGCAAGGGCATGTTAGTCATGCGGCTTCCCGCCCAGCGCTTGTGCTCAAGTTGGAGCTTTGTTTGCTAGTTCGTACTGTACCGTGTACACCGAGGGGCTAGTGCCACTTACACAATACAATCCCTTGGAACCCATCCTGGATCTTAAGGATCCGTTCTCTCCCTCAAACTCTCTCCAGATTTCGGACCACTTTCACACTCATCCACCGAAAGAGAATCGCAAATTCAAACACTTCTACGGGCCAGGTCCATAGAGTTTCCCAGCTACCTCTTGTCAACAAAAAGCCTTCTCCAACAAACCGACTTGACGCTCACTCACCAGACCATATCCATACAACCCCAACATACGGATATAGCGTCGACGACCTAACGAAGCAAACAACATGCCTTCTCTCAAGTCCGCCTATACAATCACCGAACCGCACCCCACCGTGCCCCAAAACACATACACCCACTCCGGCCGCGGCGGCCTAGGCAACTTCTTCCGCGCGCCAGCCACCACCCCGTCCTCGGGTGTTCCGACGCCCGCCACCTCATCCACAACAAGCAGCAACAGCAGCAGCAGCACCCGCCGCTTCTACTCGGGCCGCGGCGGCGCCGGCAACGCCCACGCCGCGGTTGAGCGGCCCGTGCTGTCCTTCGACGAAGAGTTCCAGCGCGCCGAGGTGCGCGAGAAGACGGCGACGATCAGCCACGTCGGCCGCGGCGGGGCGGGCAACATCTTCAGCGCCTTTTCCCCGTCCTCCTCCAAGGGCGGCAGCGGCGACGACGGCGAGTCGCTAGCCCGCCACGAGTCCGGGAGCTCGGACAGCAGCACGCGGTCGGTTGCTGACCGGCTATGGGGGCGGATCACCAGCGTGGGACACCATTAGCCGGCGGTTGTGACAACGGATTCTTTGACGGCCCTTCGAGAGGGATAGCTTTTTTTCAGTCGGGCGACCTTTCCTTTTATGTTGGCGATTCTTGTTTTTCTCCTCTCTCGGCATGATGTTGGCCTCTCTCAAGCATGGCGTTTCCAGGGTTGTATCACGGGTTTTTCCAGGCGCCGGTTTTGTTCGAGCCGAGCAATGAGTCAATGAAATGGGGCCAACAAAAAAGTTGATTTCTTTTTACGGTGTCCAGTGGGCGGGCAAGGAGTTGGGGACTCGTTTGGTGTGGTTGACTAAGCCGTCTGGGCAGAGCAGACGGTGACTCTCAACGGCATCACCGTCATCGGGGTGGCGAGAAGGACCTCCTAGGAGTCCTCCGAGCAAGGAGCAAGTCCAGGTGGTTCCGGCGCCGCGTCCATTATTGGCTCACCCAGATGCGAAAACGGCGATGTGTGAGGGATTGGCGTTAGTGATGGCGAATTGCGGTCTTCTGTACAATTATATCAATATACCCCCCAGCTGCGGTGTTGGTGATGAAACGATGCGGTCACTTGCTTCTACTCTTGGACACTGCTCACGACCATGCTTGTATATGGAACTGACTTATTGGTGCTTCTCATGTTACCGTCTCAGCTGGCATCTTGGGGTATTGTCACCGAACAAACACGCCGGTGCTGCCCCCTCAGAGACGACTCGGAAGAAGCAAACGTCTAGCGGGTCCGTGGTCCTCAATTAACTAAGTAATTTCATCAACCAAACCTGGGTATCATTCGTTCCTCTAAAACGCTCGCGGCCAGCCTATCTCGATACAGTGCCTCCGGGCAGATGACCCGGATCCCCCAGTTTATTTGTACGCCAGCCGACCCTTTCAGACATTCGTCCACCCAGCTGCCACTATTACTCTCTCCACCTCGAGACGAAGATCTCTGATAAAGTCTGCCTGCCAACCTTCTCCTTCATCCCACCCGCCAACTGGATTCAACACCTTCCACGCGTGACATCTTGCGGCAGGAGTTACGCCTAGGGGGAAGCGGCCGTGCCGAGATGCAAGTTTATCGTTTGGTGAGTCCATAGAATTCCATACAACGCCGCGAAGCGCGGAAAGCGCATGTTGAATAGAATACTAGGCGATCCCGGCATTCACTTAACGACAGCTTTAGGTGAACTTGGTGTGGATAATGTCGGGATTCTCGTGCCAGTCGTCAATGCTGACCCACATCTATGGGGATCTTATTAGCGAAGGCGTCCGTGGCTAAGATGAAGAGGGACTGACCTTTCTGAATGTACTGAGACCAGCAAGAATGCTTCCGCCGATCCACGTCGAGTATTTGCGCTCTGGAGGGGCAAAGATCTTTATCCTCATGTCCTTGACCGCGACACGTTGCACCTCGGACAGCAACCGGTCGCCGAAGCCCTTGGTGAGGGTGCTGCCGCCGGAGAGCACAATGTTGGAATACAGGTCCTTTCGCAGGTCGAGATCTGTCCTGTTGATCGAGTCGACCACAATCTGATGCACGCCGGGGTACTCGAGGCCAATGATTTCCGGGTCAAAGAGGATCTCTGGCGCACGGAACCGTTCTGCCCCGATCTGTTGTGTCATGTCAGTGCTCCGCGTCGCCAGAAGAAAAGGACAAGAAGGAGCAGTGGGCGTACCTTGAGCTTGTTCCCATCCGGCAACACATACTCGGCGATTTTGCTTTGGTCCAGTTTGGCAGCCGCCCACTCCTTCTCCTCCTTGCGTGGATCCCTGGCGACGTAGGTGACCGCCTCTTTTATCAGCCGAACCACCTCCTTCTCGGCGCTTGTATGGAACACGTAGCCGCTCTTGCGGAGCAGCGTTTGTAGGTACTCGGTCACATCTCGGCCGGCCACGTCGATCCGCCGTATGCTGTTAGGTACTGTAAACCCCTGGTATACTGGCACGGCGTGTGACACGCCGTCGCCGGCGTCCAGTACCACGCCCGTTGTCCGGCCGCTAGCGTACAGGGACAGGACGGCTTGTATGGACGTGTAGAGGGCGGGTACGTTGAAGGTCTCAAAGAGAATTTGGGCGGCTGTGTCGCGGTTGGAACGTGGGTTCAGGGGCGGCTCAGTAAGAAGAACGGGATGCTGCGGCGGGTCAGCCTGGGTTTCGCACTATGGCTTGCCCACCCAGCATGGGATCTGTTACCTCTTCGCTCAGTGTCTTCAACCCCTCGTCATATACATATGCCCAGATCTTCTCCATGTCGTCCCAGTCCGTAACAATGCCGTGCTCGAGGGGGTATCGAATCTTGAGCAGCCCCCGCAGTTCCGTTGCGGCCTTCTGGCCGATGAAGACCTCGCCTTCTAACGCGCCTGCAAGCACACGCAAATGTTTCGGTCTCCCTACCCAGGAGGGAAAATGGCATTTCGGGACATCCTCCCCAGCAAACCCCGCACGGATGGTGCCCGACCCATTATCGAGCACAATGGGCGCGTTGTGGAGTGAGTCTGCCATCTTTGGTTGAGGGGGGCTGAGAAAGGCTATCGGTCCAACATGCAGTTTTCAAGGGCTTTTATTACTCGGGGACCCGGCTGTTCCGTCGGCTAATGCCTTGATCGCCGCACCGATGTAGATGTAGAGGACCTTCCTCGACCTGTCACGCCTCTTGGTTACGTTGCCCGAGGAAGAGCTCGGGTAACCTCGACTGAAGCTTGCCGAGGATTGTCCGATATGTTGAGCAGAGCGCGTTGGAATTGGTGTAAGAGTGCGTGATAGTAACGCGATCGCAAAGTAGCGGAGGTTGCTGCTGTCCGTTGTCCGTTTGGTCCCCTCGGCTGTGGCAGGAGCTGCTGTCCGCGACGCGTTCTTCGAGACGAAAGGGCGTTCGTAGAGGCGCATTCATTGGCGCTCGCACTCTGCCGAGTCTGCCCAATTCAGGTTGTGGATCTAGGACCGCTCTCTGCACAGACCATCAGGGGCTGGATTGAACTTCCAAGTTGATGCCAAGCTCGAATGAGCCGGGAGCTCCTTCCTCACCAAAACTCCCGAGTGGGCACTTCAGTGACTATCGCTCCCTGGGGGGCAGAACTGCATTGGTAGACTCCTAGTCAAGGGCAGATTTATGAGTCCTCTCCAACTTTGCCCGAGCAAGGCAGGACAAGATTCGCCACATACTATAGTATGAGTGCGGTCAGTACCGGCATCAATACGGTCATTGCCAGCATTACTACAGTCAGTCCCAGTATCAGCCTTATCAGGTCGGTCAGTACCACCTTTAATTAGTATGGTCGGTATCTACCTAGTACACCATTCGACGTAGGTTGTCCCAGCGCAAGAACCTCTACTTATCTTGAGCGCTTCAGCCGAGTCTCGAGCTGCACCGTTGCCCCGATGCTTGACGGCCACACCTTGACTAACTCCAGTCCCACGGCATCGAACATCTCCCTGAACTCGTCAAGCGTCTTTTCCTTTCCGCTGATGGACATCAAGTTCAGATCCAGCCAGTACAGCTCCTTCAGATGGCCCGGTTCAACCTTCTCCGGCACCAACATGTCGCAGACGATCAGGCGGGACTCCGGGCCCATGGCTGAGACCGTGTTTCTGAGGATGTCAATGCACACAGACGGGTAGAAGTCGTGGAGCAGCCGCCGCATGAAGTATACATGCGCGTCTGTAGGTAAGTACGAAGGTCAGCCGATCAGCCTCTGACGTTGTCTGTGCAGAGGCATGGCCCGTGCAAGGAGAGGAACTCACTCTTTACCGGCTGTGGTGTGAAGATATCATACGCCATCGGCTCAATGTTCGGGATTTCCTCCGGCTTGAGCGAGTTGATGACGATAGGCAGATCCTGCAGAATCAGTTTGCCGCCAAACGTCCCAGGGATCTCCTCCTGGAGCTTCAGACAAGCTTGGCCACGGCCCCCGGCCACATCAACGAAGAACGGCCGCTCTGGTTCCTTCTCCACTTGCTCCTTGAGCGACTCCCACGGAAACATGCCCGAGATAGGCATGTTCTTCTCAATGATCTGAAGGCACTTGTTCCAGATATCGCGCTGCTCGGCATCCTCATCTATCGCCTCATAGTATGTCTTCCCTTCCTTGCCGATGCTGAAGCAGAACGGCGACTTCTTCAAGTCGTAGATCTCTTCGGGCTGGTGCGTCTTGAAGTACTCGGGAAGCGTCATACACATCTTGTTGAAGCCCATGCAGAGGACGAAGAAGGGCCCCTGGGCATCGAGCTGGTACGCCTGCGAGAGTGCGTTGTGCGCGTACGTGTCGGGGGCGGTTTCGGCGAAGAAGCCGGAGACGATGGCTGCTCGCATCAAACGCTGAATGGCCGACACATCCATGTTCATCTCGACGGCAAGCTCCCTGGCCGTGATGGTGCCCTCGTTCGGGACCTTCTTGATGGCCCCAGTCATGATCAAAGTGTACATGACGCCAGCAGCGCACATGACTTCCTGCTGCCTCTCCATCACATCGTACGGCGTCTCGAGCAGGCTGCGCACCTTGTCGACGCGTTCGAGCAGGGCGAGGTGCTCGGCCTTCGACGCCCGCGGATGGCGCTTGAGAGCTTCGACGAGCTCTTCAGCGGCTCTGAGCGCAGCGCTTGTGTCCTCCATGGTTTGGTGCTTCAAGGAGATCTGGGGGTTGCAGTCGGGAGGGGGAAGAGGATACCGGACTCAAGTGAGTTTCGTGACGGTCTTATTGAACGGATAGAGAGGCGGAGGAACGCCCCAAATAGTCTAAAGCGCAGCAGCTAAAGCGACCAGGGCCTGCTCGGTGCCTTATCACGCATCCCATTCCTGACTGATGGTCAGTTACCTGGTGGGATTCGCCCTGGCCAAGAGGACCTTAGTGAACAGCGGCCCGCAGGGTTCGCTCCACTGGGCTCCAAGCTCTCGGCATCTGGTGAGACATGACGATAACTTAACCAGGTTGACAGCGATCATGGCCTATGGCAGTCGCGGCACAAGCGAACTGCCACCCTGACCCTTTGGACTTTTCGCTCATCGGGACGGAAATAAAAGCCGTTCTTCAACAAACCTCGTGGAGACCCCGCAGGACAACCCTGGCCGTCCCCTTCTGCGGGGCCACAACCAGGTGTTGCAACGTCTCAGCTGCAAGATGGTGGGAGCCCACCAACCACGGGATAGAACCATTGGGTGGTTGGCCGTCCGTAGTGCATGCTTCGTGCAGACACACGAACTGAGCGCCGACCACAGCACATAGGAGCCGGACCCGCGCAACCCTCCAGTACCTTACCATCTCATACCGAACAACCTGGAAGGCGTCATGACGCTCGTGGTCAGCGTATCAACCCGTGCCGGGCACCACACACCTCGACAACAGACACAAGCCACCACCGTGTTGATAAAGCCAAGGAGCCAGTCGGCTGTCTGAGGAATCCGGCTCCCCGCGCAAAGGCCCGCAAGCCGTAGTTGTACCTGCACCTACCTACTGTGGTACTGTAGCAAGAACAGCATTGTCGAATCAGCATCTGCATTCGCACATCTGGTGCGCTCGCCTGCATGTTGAAGTCGATAGATGATGTGACTGCTGCTCAACGTTATGAAAACAGGTGGCTTGATGCTGCCAGGGGGTAAGATTCTGAACGCGTCTCGTCTCATGTCCATACCCTCTTTTGCGATGGAATGCTGGCCACTTGTATGTACGCTGCTCTTGATTGCGTGCGTTCTCACCTACACTACCTTGCCTTACCTACATTACAGGTACCTATGTAGCGTGTGGGCTCGCCTCGGGTCGTCGATAGGTGTCCGCTCATTCTCCGCGCTAGCGGGATTCAGCTACCCCTGCCGAAGAGCTAGGGAGGTCGGCTTGTTTTCCGCTTTGTCACTCAACTCGCTCAGTGGGCCATGGCCCCCCCGGAACGTCCGACTAACGTACATACCGACGGCGGACCGGTTACGGGAGGAGCCTATAATAGCGCTCATAACATTTTAGGCTATACCACCTAACTAAGAGTGGCAGGAGCTCCCATCCGTGGCTCACTGCTGCCGACACGGAAGAGTCTCCGCGACCAACTCCAATCTCGCGAACTATCTTTCACCTCAAGAAACCCCGTCTCCACCGTTTTTTCGCTCGACGAGTAACTAGCGTGACTCCTCCGGGGCGCCCAAGGACGCTGGAATCATAATGGCCAACCCGCAGCAGCAAGATCCGATTACCCCTGACGATGTAAGTTGTATGAAGACGCAGTCGAGTGTTGACCGACATGGTGCATCACCACCCACCCAAACCAAAGCAATGGACTGACCGAATGCGCTAGGCCTGGGATGGTTGGGACGACGAGGTGTGTGTGTTTTTCTCTGTCTGTTCCCGACGTAAAACGTGTTCGTCCACCAACCGAAACATGACTCGCTGCACAGGGCGCTGAGGTGATGAGTTCCGGGACGTCATTGACGTCCATCACCTCGTCGATTCTTCGGGGCAAGGTCGAAGATGGGCGTGTATATGCCGTCTACGGCAAACAAGGTATGTCTCCCTCTTACCTTGGCCACAGCGGGCGCCCTGTTGGATGGGAATACACGTGCACAGAGTCTCACACCAGCCAGAATACGGGATGCCGATGGACGACGCGGAACTCGATAGAATTGGTCAGTGTTCTCTAGTATATTTACCTTCTTTGTGGTCATCAGGCCGGGACGGAGACGTGGCTCGCGAGGCCGTGATTAACGCCAGACCGGACCGGAGTGATGATGGAGACTGCTCCAAGAGGAGGAGGTAAGACCCGCGGCTCTGACAATTGGATGCGTGCAGATATGTGCCACGCAAAGTACTACGCATTACTCGAGAAGAAGCGCTTCATTGCCCCGATCACAGAAAATCCTCAGAAGATCCTAGATCTGGGTTGCGGAACAGGTAGGTTTATTTTCTGTTTCACACCGCATGGCGTGCGCGGTTAGGCTTGGTAACTACTAGTACCGCACTTCCCCCTGCTGACTCATGTCTCAGGAATATGGTCGATTGATGTCGCCGATATGTATCCCTCGGCCGATGTAAGCATTCTCCATGCCTAAAGTCGTGACTGGCCACGTAGTCTAACATGGTGGCGAGGTTCTGGGAGTTGATATTGCGCCTACACAGCCAGAATGGTAAGAGGACTCGGAGTTGTGGCACAGGAATGTATATTGTATGGAGTCTCCTGAAGCTGACAATGGAATTCTCAGGGTACCGCCAAACTGCCGCTTTGAACTCGACGACATCGAGCAAGACTGGGACCGCAAAGAGAACTCGTTCGACTTCATTTTCGCCCGCGACCTCATTCTTGCCATCCGGAACTGGCCCCGGTTGATAGACCAGATCTACACGTATGTGCTTGTACATATTGAATCCCATTTCCATTCTCCGAGCAATCCACTAACTGGCTTCCAAGACACCTCAAACCCGGCGGCTGGGCCGAGCTGCACTGCGTGACGGGCGTCCTGGGCTGCGACGACGGCACGCTCACCGACGACAGCCCGATGAAGAAGCTGTCGGACGCGCTGTACGACAGCACGCAGAGCTTCGGCACGCCCATCGACGACCCGACCCGGTGGAAGCGCTGGCTGGAGGAGCGCGGCTTCGAGGACGTCACCGAGGTCGTCTACAAGATGCCGTGCAGCCCGTGGCCCAAGGACGAGCGGCTCAAGTTCATCGGCGCCTTCGAGCTCGAGAACCTGCTGTACGGCCTGAGCGGCATGGTCACGCGGCTGTTCTGCAAGGGCCTGAACTGGACGCCCGAGGAGGTGCAGGTCTTTCTGGTGGACGTGCGGAAGGAGTTGAAGCGGCGGGATTTGCATGTTTACTGGCCATAGTGAGTTTTCTCTTTGCTTTTTCTTGTTTCTCCGGTTCCTTGCTTTTATTCCTTCCCCAAGGAAGGCTAGATACTACTACTGTCTGCTGACACCACGGACCTGAAAGCTACGTCGTGTACGGGCGGAAACCCGGTGGCTCAAAGACCGCTGAGAAACCAGTGCCCCAGCCATCAGCGCCCGAGCCAGGGCCGTCATCAACAGCAGGGTAATAGGATGATAGCTGGCACTAAAAAGGAACCCCGGTCGGGGGAGTTTGTTTGCCAGTCTTGCAAGCCGACTGGGTCCATCGCGGAACTCGGGGCATATGTACAAGACAGCGGCAGAGCTTGCGATGCCTTGTCTTGCTTACGACGTACAAGCACATATGGATATCCACCTTTCTGTCAACTACTTATTGTAATGATACCTCTCTCTCTCTCTTTCCAATCTATCCAAAACCAAATATATTGCTCTATGGCAGTCCGTGGTCTTTAGCCGCGTTGAATAGAATCGGATATCCAAAACCCCCCTTTAGAATGCTCCACCATATCCAAAAACGCCGAAGAAGCAAATGCAGTACTGGGTAGTGTAGTATGTACGTAGGTATGTATCTCGACCAACCCTTCCCGGATTCTTAACACCCTCCGATCCGTGATTTAGATATTCCCATCCAGCATAAGTCTAGCTGCATACGGCCACCCAAGCAGCGTGAGGCCCAGAGGGAAGTACCTGTTCATTCATCCGCAATTAGCATCATACTGAATCCCTCACAGATATAGATCTGTGTGCGAGCCATTCGAGATCGGTAAAAAGGGAAAGGAATGCATCAGGCGGTTGCAGGGCACCTCGGAGAACATGGAACGGAACGGGAACGGGAACGGAAATGGAAACGGAGAAAACGTACACCATAGCCTGCGCCCCAGCTCTCCGGACCAGCCTGCTATAGTCGGCCGGCTGCGGCTTGCTGGCCACGGGCAGGCGCTGGAAGGGATGCGGCTCGAACTGGCGGGCGAAGCTCCGCAGGTTTTGCATGAGGGAGAAGTTTGCCCGTTGTTGGGGGCCCGCTCGGCGGGCGAGCACTTGGAGGGTTGGGCGGGCGGCGGCGCGGGCGAACATCTTATTTTGTTGTGATATTGGGCGAGGAAAAGGGGCGTGTGGTGCGATCTTGGTTGGAAGGTGAGGTGAGAAGCGAGAAGCTCGAGAGATCTCAGCGGGGGGGGGGGGGGGGGTTGGTTCAGGTTGGAGTGGAGAGTTTGAACCCCCGGATTTGTATTGTACAACAGAGATAAGGAAGATGATTGAGTAGAGTTGATTGCAGGCGTTGGTAGCCAAGGTTGATGATGCTGATGCTGGTGCTGGGCTGAGCGACAACACCACCCATCCAGGGCACACACATCACATCTTATAACAAAGTCGAGCCCGACAGCTTCCAACCGAGATATCCCGCAGCTGCTTCCTTCGCCTCTTCTTTTCCCGACTAAGATCTTCTCCATCTGACCACCGCGAGCACGCTCCCATACCAACGCGCCGGGTCTTGTTCGTCCTCCTTCCCCAGCATCTCACATGGCGGGAGCAGGCGGACCCCCCCGCGGCCTAGTTTCGGGGCGCAATACGGCGCGGAGAGGCCAAAGGGAAAAAGAAAAGGACAAATCAAGCAGGAGATCACGCCAAATCGCCTGGAAAGCATCCCATCGCAGGCCGATGCTTATAGGCGTCCAACCAATGGGCGGTGGCCATGACTGAAGGTAGCCGGCGCGGTGGCACGATTCTGGATCGAGTTGTGAGGCTCGTGGGCTGATCGAGGCTTGGGTACCCGGGGACCTGGGCCAGGCTCCACCCGACGTCGGGGCCGCCCGTGGTTTGATTAGTTAGGAGGGCAGCGATTGGTCAATCTCGGCAGGGGCTTCTTGTTGTGGGGCTACTGTGGTAGGTACTCCGTAAATCCGGTGCCTTCCTCCAAGTTTCCAGGTTGCTTCACTGTCTCCTGTTTTGAAGCAGGTGTGTAAGTAACCCGACTTTGACAGTTTTGTGGTCTCCCGATCGGATCTGGCTGTCGGGAACTTGCATTGCCGGGCCGGAGAAAGCATATCAAGGGCCATCCGGTTGAGCCTCCGCTGTTCAACATGCACGCGACAATCTGAATGGTAGAAATAAAAAAGCGACGGAGAACAACGAAAATGGGGTATCACGATTATATTTCTAGTCCCATCCCCCGGTCAAACAAGCCTACGCCCTGATCACCTGCGTGCCCTCGGCCGGCTCCAGCACCTTCCAGTTACACACAATCTTGTTCTCCTCGAACTTGGCGATGATGCGGTCGGCAATCTCGCCAAAGTGGCCCGTGGCCAGCGCCAGGATGGTCGGCCCGGCGCCGGACAGGCAGACGCCCAGCAGGCCCGGCTGTGTGGCGGGCGTCATGGACTCGACGATCTCCGTCAGGCCCGGGATCAGCGTCTGCCGGTACGGCTGGTGCAACTTGTCTTGCATGGCTAGGTAGATGAGCTCCGGGTCCGGCGGGGACTGGCCGAGCGCGACGGGGAGCAGAGCTATTCTTTGGAGGTTGAAGGTCTGGTTTCGTGCCGTTTTAGTATTGCGCCGGTTCCGATCTAGAAAGGCCATGCATGGATCTGAGGTATTAAGGTAGTAAAGTAGTAGTACTCACCACGTCTGGACGAGGATATTGCAGCGGGAGAACCTCGCGTGCCTTGGCCGTGGGAACCTCAAACTCAGGAATGATGGCGACAGCCTTGATCTCGGGCGCCCAAGGGAACTTGATGTGGTGGCCGATGCCGTGTGGTGGCGCCGGCGGCTTCGCACCGGTGTCGACACCGCCGGCTGGTGCAGGAAGCACCTCGCTCAGGGGGATCTCCACGCGCGCCACATCCTCCGGGGCCAGCGGCTTCAGGTAGGTGCCGACAAAGCCGCCGAAGAGTGCAGCGCCGACGTTATCCGGGTGACGCTCTTATTTTCATCCATCCCGGGTTAGTCATGGGCTAGATAAAGACCAACCATGTACATGTACATGTACATGTAAATGGGGAGAAAACAGACTCACCGATCATCAAGCAGAAATCAAACAGGCGCTCAGGAGTGAGATGATGCAGACCACCGCATTCCTTGCCCAGCATGACACCGGCCACGACGGCCGCACCGGACGACCCGAGTCCCCTGCCGAGCGGGATGGGGTTCTTGATGTGCACGTGCGTCTCGACGGGGAAGCTGCGCTGGTCGTGGCAGCGCAGCACGTACAGGGCCACGCGCGTGAGCAGGTTGACCTGCGGGTCGAGGCTGATCTCGTCGGTGCCCTCCCCCTCGCCCTCGTACGTGATCCGGCAGTTGAGCGGGTGCTCCGACTTGGTCTTGGTGCGGTCGATGGTGACCTGCAGCTCCAAGTACATGGACAGCGCCAGGCCGATGACGTCGAAGCCCGGGCCGATGTTGGCGCTTGAGCAGGGGGTTTTGATGGTGAAGGACTCGGTAGCGGACGCCATGGTTGGCGGTTGGTTGTGTCACTTCAACTTGAACTCGGCAGAAAATTCGTCCTTTCTCTTATTGTCCCATATAAATAAGTTATCGGGTTCGACGTGAGAGCTGGGCAAGTTGAATCAACGTGAGGGCGTGACTTCCAAATCGACACATCGACTCATTTACTGTGTTTATGAGTTGCGTAGAATGAGCGGTGCTCAAGACGACTCACCCCCGGGGCTAATAATTCGATTTTTGCTGGATCGGGCCACCGATCGCGGAGCGGGGGCAGACAAGCCGGTCCACCCGGTCGAGCACGCCCGAGGCCCCCACAGCGGCTACGACCGGGAGGCGTCGACCCCCCCCGAGACCGATGCTCAAATTGGGTGCATCCCGCACTGCCCACCCCGAAGTTCGAGTAACAGACGAAGCTAGCAATAGTGTCATGAGAAAAGTTGAGAACACATGTTTCCGTGACGCCTTGGAGTGTATGTACAATGGATGTATGTACCTATGTATGTATTGCACCCCACTCATCTGAGGAGTTGAGAAACGAGTATCTCGCTGAACATATCTAACCGAGCGACAAATCAAACCTAGTAATTATAATCATCCCCTATATGTCACACCGGCGAACTCAGTCCCTATTCCGAACAAAGACATAAGTTAAGGCAGTATAAACGGTCAGAACGGCTCTGAGGGAAGGTTGCCAACATGTCCCCCAGAAACCCGCTAACATATCCCCCACGCCAAAATCCCAAATTGTTTTGGAAACTCTGCGAAACGGGGATCAAAGGTCTACATAGCGGTAAACATCAGAACGTTGTACACACAGTATCAGCATATCTACCAGAAGCACAAGCATTATGCGAGAGGACTCGGGAGCATTCCTTTGTATCATCACATAATCGTAACCCAACAAATGGTATAGAGTCAGAGCAAACAGTTTTTGCTTACGGCCCCTTTTCCCTCCGGAGTCAATCAAAACGACACCAGCTCTCTCAAGGCCTCCTCGTCTGTCTGTATGTACCCCCGGCTTCCCAACCATTTCTCCCAACCCCCTCTCTCCAAGTTAATGTGAATCATTAACGGCATTTCCCAACGGCATAAGCTACCTCTACGCTCCTCTTAGAAGAGATACCCATAACCAAAACACACGAGGTAAGAGGAAAAACAGCCCAGCTAGATCCAAACCCATCATTCCTGAGCAGGAGGTAGATAATAAAAAAGTCTAGGTAGTCATATAAAAATCAGACCCCAGCAATAACACACACAGATACACACACGCACAGAGAGAACCTAAACATCCATTCGTTCAGTCATTCATTCCACCCCCGCCCCACCCCTTAGCACCCCAGAAATAACCCCCGTGCTTCCATTCCATCCCATCCATCCACTTCCCAAGCCAAAAAACGTCCGCCGAATATTGTAGGCAGCCACACCAAGCTCTTCCGCCCTCTCCCGCCTAACCCGCTTTCCCGCCAACTCAAGATTACCTAGATACGGTACGTGGGGATGCTTCGTACGTCAAAGAACCCAATACAGGAATATATCGGGGGTGAAAAGTGGTAAGAGAGTAGAGAGGAAGTCGGCCCAGACCAGCCGGCAGCCTGGACCACATCGCATCCCATGTGAATTCACCCAAAAATCCAATGCCATGAAAAATTTCTTTACCGACACCTCGGAGGCATCGGCTCTGGTGCCTACAGGGTGGTGCTGGTGGCGGTGGTGGAGGTAGCTTTCACCTAGAAAGTCTCCGTCTCCTGCGAGGCCATGGTGCCAAAAGTATCTGAAAAGTTTCACAGGGTGTCAGCAATCCTCCTTCAAGACCCCACCCTGAACAAATAAAGAAAAAGCTAACCTCGTTTCCGCCGCTCATCCTCGCCCTGCGCCCCCGCCGCCAGGGGTGACGGGCTACTCCTCCCCATGCCCTTGGTAGGCGTCATGGGCCTCGGCCCGCTCGGCCGCCTGCTGACGCCGTCGCGGCCCAGGGCGCCGCTCAGGTTCCTGTTCTCCAGGCGCGGGCTACTATTGCCGCCCGTGGCCGTCCCCGTCGTCCCGTGGCTGATGTAGCTTGCCGTCGGCGCGCCGTGGGTCATGGTCCCGTACCCGCTCTCGACGCTGTGGTGAGGCAGCGGGCTGCCCGGCTGCTGGTGCTGCAGCTTGCTGAGCCGCTTGTTCTGCGGCGGGGTGGCGTGCCTCATCATTTGGCTCGGGCTTGAAGGGGGCTGCTGCTGTGGTGGCTGGTCAAGTGCCTCCTTGGGCGGGCGCGGTGGCGGGCCGCCGGCCGTAGGCGTCATGTTTGCCGGTCCCGGGGAGGACGAGGTCCAGTGCTGCTGGTAGTGGTGGTCACCGCCCGCCGAGCCGTAGCTGTCGGTGTGCTGGTGCTGGCCGAACCTGTTGAGGCTGGTTGCCGAGCCGGCCCAGTCTGCGGACTTGGGGCTCAAGGGCGAGTCGAATCCAAGAGCTTGGGATTCGAGCGCTGCCTTGAAGCGCTCTGTCTGGCCCTGCCGGGGCTGGGGGTGCACCAGGTTCAGCGAGTCGCGGTGGGCCTTGTATTTGGCCTCCTCGGGCGTCATGTTCATGCTGACCCAGTTAGGATCAGTCTGCGAGGACTGCATGTGCCCGTACATCATCCCTTCGTGGTCCTCGTGGTAGCCGTGCTGGGCCAGGTCAGTCTCCGAGAATCCCGTGTGGAGCTTGTCGCTCTCGATGGGCTGCGGAGCCGAGAACTGGTAGTTGTCCTGATAGTGGTCCAGGGAGCCCGAGCGAGAAGCTCCGGTGGGGAAGTTGGCGTTCTCGTCTCTGCTGGATTGCTTGCTGTGCCCGGACTCCGGGACACCGCTCGACGCCGTCGTTTCCGACCACCGCGAGATTCTGGGAATGCGGAACCAGCTTGATCTCCCGGACTTGCGCTTCTTGCTCTCTTCAGTTCGGGGAGTGTTCTCATTGCTCATCGAGTGCTGCGTTTGTGCAGCAGCGCCAGGCGGGGTCGCCAACGGCACCGAGCCGCCGCGTTGCTCGTGAGCGGCAGGCGTCATCATATGGAGCTCGTCGTCCCTTCGGCCGTGGTCGTAATCCTCCTCGTTATCCTCGGGCACGGTGCTTATCCTGTGAGCAGAGACCTTGCGGTTGTCGTAGCCCTGCTTGACCGACGTCCCGCGGGATTGGATCGAGAGATAGCCAGACTGCGACGCATGGCTGGTGGTGGAAGTGCCGGCATGGCCTTCGGGTTCGTAACCGTGATCTTGCTCGTCCTGAACCTCGGGCTGGAGGTGGTCGTACGACTGCTCGCCGAGCAGCTGCTGGCTCTGGTTCCCCTGCATATTGCCCGGCGCCGTCTGGGCCTTGAGCACGTCCACCTCGTTCAGGAGCTGCATGAGCATATCCTCGATCCGGCCGAGGTCGTTTGCGCCCTTGGCACTCAACCCCTTCAGCGCACGCCGGAAGATGCTCCTCTTCTTGGCGGTGACGTCGTCACCGTTGATGGTGCCGGCCTGCGAGCCACCCTGGATGGAGTGCCGAGCGCTGCCGGGGTAGGGGCGCGGGCCGTTGATGGCACGCTGGACGGACTTCTCGGTGTTGTCCTTGACCTCGGTGATGATGACATCCTCGGTGTCGGCAAGCAGCCGCTTGAGATCCTCAAAGTTATTGCGCATCTCGGTAGCGGAACGGACGAGCGTGACCAGGATCTCGGTATCCCGTGCACTGCGCTGGGCATCTCGGACCATCAACTGCAGGCGTTGTTAGCATCTTGCAGCACCCCCCAGGAATACGAATTCGAGAACTCACGTGTTGCATCAAGGCGATGATATCCTTGGACTCAATCCGCTCAATGCCTGTGCCGGTCGCGGCGTCATACATCGGGGTTCCCATCCCCTGCGACATACCGCTGAGGTGTCTGCTGTGGTTCGAGGTGAAGAACGGATCCTCAACACCCTGACCACCGGGCCCGGAGGTCATGCTGAAATCGACGCCTTTACCCTTCGGCACCTGGATGTCTGGCGTCTTGTTGGGGCCCTGCGAGATGTAGCCCTCGTCGAGAACCTTGTGCCCTAGTGGGCTGCGGGTGCCGTACAGATCGCCGTAGCCCGAGTTGTCGAAGCCCTGGCCGCCCAGGAAAGTATTGTTGATGCCCGGAAGGTTGGCGATGGGACTGGATCCTTCGTACGGGTTGGTGACAATTGTGTCACGCTTGTTGTCCTCTGCGTCGCGGTACCACTCATCATGCTCCTGGCTCGGCTGGCGGCTGTGACTCTGAGCAGCCGCCATGCCCACAGCTGCGCCGACTGCAGCTGCTGCACCGGCGACGCCGGCAAGGTCCTGCCCACTCCTCTGCTGCTTTGGCGTCCCGTCCAGGTGCTGGTAATCCACGTCGTCCTCTCGGCGCTGGGGATGTTGCCGAGGCGTCGCATCTCCCCCCCAGTGCTCCTCCTCCTCGTCGCGGCCGCCGTGACCGTCGAGAAGAGAGGGGTTGGTCAGCAAGTCGTCGTCCTGCCAGTCTCCTATTTCCGGCAGAGGATCGTTCGGGTCGGGCATGCTGCTGAAGCCCAGCTTCGGCTTCTCCGCGTTGTTGGCCAGCCCCTCAGCGCTCGCAGTGTCGATACCCGGGCGCGGCCCGTTCTTCGTACGCTCCTTGAAAGACTTGTTGCGCTGCACACCGGCTCCTTGGAACTCGACATCGTCATCCGAGACGACCTCCTGCTGCGCTTGGGCATGCTTGGCCCGGAGGACCGCGGCCGCGGCACCGACTGCGGCGCTGGTGATGGCCGCCTCGGACACGGTCGGCGACTGCCGGTAACTAGTCTGAGGCACCTTCCGGCCATACTCGTCGAGCTCATACTGGACGAACTCGCGAGACTGTTGGCTCCTGGCGGACGGAGTCTGTGCCCGCTCCTCCGCATACTCGCGCTGACTTGCCACGGACCGCTTTGTCGGGGTGCCCGGATCGCGGGACTGCTCCTCCTCGAGCGTTGCCATCGATTCCCGTCCGTTGTAAGCCTGGTTCCCTACCGCGCTGGAGGCGGTTGTCAGGGCAGAACCCTCGAGCATCGATCCGTCAACAAGAGATGCCACGTTTGACTCAACGCCGGGCGGGTGCACGAAATCTGGGTTCATGGCCACGGCCCGAACAGCTTGTCCGGATGTGATTCGGTCAACCTCGCTGCCGGGCGGGCTCACAGCATCCCCCTGATCCACGACTGAGCTTAGCCCGCTTCGTTCATCCTCGACAAGTTCGTGGCTTGGCCGCGAGTGCATTGACCCGTCTTGCCGCGGCGACCTCTCTGCTGAGGACACGGATTCGTTGGTGCGGTGAGTACCCCCCGACCCGCGATTTGGTCCTTCGCTGCCGGCATCCGTGTAGCCTGATACACTTGGGATCGGACTCAAACCCCGTCGCTCGGGCTGATAAGGAACGTACTTCAGCGGGGGAGGAACGTCCTGAGTGCTGTAGTAGTCGTAGGGACTCTCGGGCGCATACGCCGGCATGTCACCGTTATCCTCATACTCCTCGTCCTCCTGGTACTGTTTGGAGAGACGCGAAGGGACTTTCTTGCCATTGTCATCAATGACGTATTCATCCCACTGCCCGGTCCGTTGATTGGGCAATGCTTTGAGGTCTCCGTGCGAGACGTTGGCGTGCTGAGTGCCCAAGGCCTGCAGGGTGGTGGCGGGAGTCCTGGTTGGTGTAGATGTCGTCGATGGTACAGACAACTGATCCTGCGAGAGACCGCGGCCCGGAGCCACTTCTTCAGTGGCCGAGTGCGGACGATCCGTTTCGGCCGATAGGATGGATGCCCGTGTCACATCCGAGGCGTTCACCTCGCTCATCAAGGGCATTGGGAGCACCGGGGGCCCGAGCTCGGATTCTTCGTCCTCGAGAGCATGGTCGGACCCGCGACTCCGCATCTCAGCCCTCCGCCGCCTCCTGGAGCGGTGCTTGTCGTCCGAAGGGGACTGGAACACCTCATGTGCAGCGACGGCCGCCGCGCCCATAGCCGCACCAGCAACAGCAGCCTTGAGACGGTCGTTACTGCGGGTCGGAGTGTCTTCGATGACATGGTCGTCTTCGATCGAGTCGTGACTGAGAGCGCTGCTGTCGTCGAAGTCATTACGCGCCTCGCGATCCCGGCTCTCTTTGCTCCTCATGCTGTCTCGCTGTGTTACCATCTTCTTGTCAGTAGCGCCGGATCGCCGTTTATCACTCGCGAGGTCATCCCTTGAGACGGTCGTTGTACTGGACGTGGTCGAATCGCGGCGAGTCTTGCGACTGCTCTGCTCCCTCTTCAGGGCGTTGAGCTCTGGCAAGATGAGACGGCGGATGGCATCCTCGACCGTCTCGAGCAGCTTTGGGTTGTTAATAGATGATGCCTTGGAGGCCCCTGACCGGATAGAGTGTTGATCCACCGACCGATGACTTGGAGCCAAGGCTGATGACACGACGCTAGAATCGGCCGCGGAGACAACAGACTCGCTGTAGCCTTTGGATCGCCTGCGAGGAGATTTCGCACGCTCGGCATACTTATCCTCCTTCGCAACACTGCTAGCCCGGCTTTTGCTAGATCTATGCCTGCGATCCCTCTCCTTCTCCTTCTCCTTCTCTCTGTCCCTGTCCCGAGTTTTAGACACGCTCACTCTGTCCCTTTCACGCTCATCACGGCTCTTGCTCCGGACCCTGTCGGCGGCGGCCGCGGCGCCCAAGCCAGCGGCAGCACCAAGGAGATAATCACCGGTCCGAGACATCTCGGGACTCCTACTCCCCGTACTCTTCACGTCGGACATGCCGAACGATGTTGCCGGTCCCGATCCGTCAAGAAAGCTGTCGGCCGGGATAGCGGAAATCTCACTCGCGGTGCCATGATAGCTGACCTTGCTGTCGGCGGCTGGAATCAACGGACTCGCTGGCCGGCGGCGGCGTACGTTGCCACTCCGGTCGATTTCAATGTCGATGGGGTTGCGGCTGACGGTGCTCTCCTCCGTTGCCGAAGCATACGAACCGGCGTCCTCCATATCCCCGCTGACCGCCGAAAGCCCTTCAACTTCGCTGCGCGTAGGGCCACCGGTAGGCACCGACCGGCGGCTGGCGCTGCTTTTCCTCGATTTTGTCTGCGTAATCTGGATGCGGTCCCGGTCCGATCCGCCCTTGGACTTGGTCTTACTGCTCGGTGTAAGCCGGACGCGGACGCTCGGCTTACGCTGGTCGGTGGCACCAGATGCGCTGCTCGCCTTGCCGCCTTCAAAGTATTCTATGAGCAGTGACGTCTGAGACCTGCTGGCGCGGTGGCCTGTCTTGATGGTGACGGGTGTGCCGTCGTCCGGAAGCGAGTAGGACGATTTCTCGTCGCCGGACTTGGACAATTCGGTCCCCACGTCGCTCAGAGGGGCGCTTAAGAGCGTCGAGTTGGTCTCGGTGGGGGCGGGGAGCGGCGGAGGAGCGGATCTTTTTTGGCCTTCGACCCCCATGGTTGTGTTCAGACCCAGCGGGCAGCGATGTGTTGGTTAGGTGTCAGCAACCCCTTGTCCTTCGTCCAATTAGTCCCTTCCACGGAGTCCTTCGCCGACAATTCAGAGGCAAGGTGGAGCCGGAGTCGACAAGCGAGCAATCAGTCGGAAAAGCCGAAACTACTGTACTGGAGAACAATTAAATCGACTGGCTCCCGGTCAGGCGGACATCAGGTGCGCGAAAGTCTGTGGAGGGCGAGGGGAATGTCAGCCGGCACTGCTCCCATACCCAAGGGCGGGCTTCGACGAGAGGTTGAACACAGCCGGTCAACACAGCCGGTCCGCTGGTGAAACAAGCAGAGAAAATGCGCCCGAAGAAGCCGCGGTAGTAGAAGGGGAGTAGTGATGGTTGTATGCACGTACGTACAGCAACGGAAGCACGAAACAATGGGAAAAAGGTGGCCTGTAAAAAAGCGAGAGGCGGCGCAAGACGGGTGATGGGGCGTTGTCGAAGCGGCAACTAAGGTCGCGGGCGCAGCGGGGCAGGTCGTAACGTTAACCAGCGCAGGTCCAATCGCAGCGGCCTCGGCTGCTGCAACTCGACGGGGAAACGGGCTGCTGGTGATGCCTCGGGGAGGTCGATCAAGACGTGCGCCGAGCAGTGGTGATGGCCTAGTCCAGTGGCGGATTTGTGATGAGCACAGGCAGAAGAATTGGGCTGAATCTCCCGTTCCGTGGCTTCTCACAGAGACCTCCCGGCCTCCGTCTTGGTCCTCAACGTTTTCGCTGGCGGCCAACCTATGAGAAACTGTGCTATGGCCAGGAGTGGCTGGGATTGCTTGATGCGCTGGCGGTGCGTATTGGAACCGGCCAATGGCACTCGGAGTCCGGTGATTTTCATGCAGCAACGTGCAGCTTGGGAAACGGCGGAGCAGACAAGAACGAGACCAGGCACACAGGTTGCTGCAAATGCCGTTGTGGAACTTCGCAATGCAAAAGTGTCGAGAAGCTGAGGTTATGCGCAACGGGCTAGAACTTTTCTATCATTGAGACACAGTTTTGTTTGCGCTCCTGCCCTGATGGGTTGGCAGATCCCGATGACGGGATGTGGTCAAAATGCCGGAGGCTGGAGGAGGTTTGTTGACATTCAGCTCACAGCTCCTCCGCCAAGGAAAATCGGCAGGCCGCCGGTTCTATCAAGTGGGGCCTCCCACGACAGGGACGAACTGGCTGTTGGCCTTGCCCCTGCTCGGTTGGTCGACTCCACGCCGGCGTCGATCTCTTGGGAAACCAGAAGCGCAGGCCCACAGCTCAAAACCGGCGTCACTCCTGCCCACGCACATGCCACGCTCGCCACGGCCACCCCAAAGTCCGGGTAGGGTACGGAATACGGATAGTGTACAGATTACTACTAGTAGTCTCGCAAACGCAGACCCCACCACCCGCGGCAGGTCCCAATCGACCAATATCAGCCGTCTATCCGTTTTGATAACGATCCTACGGCCTGTGGCGAGTCTGTGCGACATTCGGTGATCGGGTCTGCTTTGATTTCGCCGGGGCTCAGCCGCTCAAACGGCGGGGTTTACGTCTGCTGCCACGGCCATGTTCTGACGAGGAAGTTTCCATTTACTTCATGGCTCTGTTCGCTGTCGTACAATACACTCACTGGTTAGGGCATGCTTCGACATTGGAATTTCAATCAGGGACTGGGTTGTCTGGAAAAGCTACGGACTGGTTGACAGGCTGCACTCGAGCTTAGATCCATGGTGTCCCGTCCTTGCCGCCCTGTCGATGCGCTCCCGCTCGGCTGGACTAGAGCAACATTCGTGAGGGCAGCTTACTAGGTGTGAGCTCCATGTTGCACGGCAAACGAAGGGTGAAATTAACAATGTAAAGAAAGTCGGGACGCTAATATTAAGTCCGAGTGACTTCCATGCTCTCTTAAGTACATAAAGAACCAAAACATACTTCCAACCGACTCCAAGTCGAACCCTGCAAAGTAGAAATTACCTCATACCCATACCAATTCATTCCGTTTAGTCTCGAGTATTCCTCCGCAACTTCGCTTCCTCCTTCCTCCGTTTGCCTGTCGAGATGAACTCAACCTCAGCATCGTTGAGAATATCCTTCACGACTGGGTTCTCCAAATAATGAACACCCAGCCCGCCGCCAAGCAGAGTCTTCAGCAACTCCGCTCTCGCATGGAGTGACCAGGTGTCGATGAGCAGGACCTGGTTGCGGATCCGAACTCGTTCCCGGTAACCAAACTCTTGGACATCGCCTTGGTCGTCGGCCTTGGACCCACCGGTGTGTGGGTTCGGCCCTGAACGACCGGCTGTCGAGTATCCTGGTCCCGTGCCTCGCTCAAGGGATGTAACGATGCTGGAGAAGTTCGACCGGATGTGTCTCCGGCCCTTCTTCGACACCGCTTTCGATGAGTCCCGGACAATCTCGGCCATCCGAGTCATAATCCGGTACCGATTGTACTGCATATCGAAGCTCTCGCCGGTTTCCTCTTCGTAATCGCGTGCAGCTTCGAAAAGGAGGGCAATGTTTACCCCAGCGCTGGTTTGGACATCCGGATCTCCACTGTCCAGCTGCTCCATGAAAGCCTCAATGGCGGCCTCGCTTTGGAGTGTCAGGTCCTCCATATGGGTCGCCACGAACGCCCATGCCTGCAGTGCCGCCGTCACTACCGGACCGCTGTCGTCTGCTCCGACCGACTGACCATCGCTTTCGATAATCTCGAGGAGGAAGTCGAGCGTCTCCTCCGCAGTGCTGCCTGACCCTCCTCCGTACGAAACGGCGATACAGACGGCATGGATTGCTGCCACCTTGATGTCGTCGCCGTCTGCATCATGGCATGCCGCTTTCAGAATCGGCAGTGCTTGCTCGAATATCGTGTCCGAGGGACATGTAAGGACGGTAAGGGTGAAAGCTCGGAGCGCCCGGAGACGCTCTTCGTCGCTGCTCCCACTCCTAATACCCCTGAGAAGGATAGGCAAGAGCTCTGCAACCGACCGGTCCAGCTCTCGTTGGGCGAAGTGGTGTTTGAGAAGATGGTTGTAGGCTCCGAGCGTCGCTTCACGCCCCTGCACGCTGCTTCCCTTGCGATCCTGTAGCTCCGTCACACGGTCGTGCAATCGGTCGGCCCACGTGTTGTCAACCTCGTCTTCGTCTGAAACGGAGTTGGTGCTCATGGTCATGGTGTCATCCATTTCAGACTCGCTGTCAAACTCGTCCTCCGAGGCGTAGCGGCTACCGGGCCGTGAGCCGGCGTGTGAGCCCGCTCGCGAGTTTCCGGGAGATCCATTTGGGGAATGGTTGGCAGAGGAGAATCCCGATTCAGGCTTCGAGCGCGCCTTGCGTGACACCGTCTTCCCTCCCCCGAGAGCCTTCCTCCGAAGCTCAGACATGTTCGCCCTCAGTTGTCTCGCGGTTCTCTCTTAGGAGGCGAGGTAGGAAGTAGTTTGCGTATGATTTTGCGGTGGACGTCGAATGTTCTTGATGACAGGTTTTATTGTTTCTTGCCGTACACAACGTGCTCAGGTCACCGTGGAGATGGCTGGCAAGAGGCGGTGTGTGTGGGAAGATTTCAAGGTGGAATGGATTTTTGCAATGAGGATTGTGTGGACTGCAACAGGTCCATAGGGATAGCTGAAGATAGTGTTGGGTGAGCTGGGTGGCCAAAGCCGTTGGAAATTGTTGGTGGTTATGAAGGGCGATTCTTCAAGACTGGGAAAGTAAGGCAGAGAAGGTGAGTTTGGTTGGGATGAAGGCAATCGGGTGACGCTGAACTCCATATATATACCTGCCCGGGTTTGAGCACCTGGAACACATGACAAAGTTGTCCGTGCGTTATCACGCAGTGACGCAAGCGAAGCAACGCAACCGCCACCATACCAGTAGACAATGCACGCTCGCACAGTAAGTATCGTACGTTACACGGTGAGTCGCACAGTAAGCTGTCGGCTCGGGGTGGTTCGGAATCATGCACACAACGTCGTCGCTTCCATTCGCGAACCCGACATTGGATAATCCACGAGACCGTATGTTAGGTAGCTTTTGAATGCTGTCTCCTTTCTCTGTAGCTGTTTTTGCTCCTTTCGGTTGCCAGTCTCCCAGTATAGGGCTGTCTGTACGGATGTACGGAGCACTGTAACAGTCAAGCCTCGACATTGCGGGGCCCTCCGCATGGAGGTGGAGTTGGCATTCATACAGTAAAGTGGTTGCATAATGTACTGTACTACTAGCCTACACAGTATGATAAAGAAGTATCTCGGCAATGATTCAACACATGTCAGGTAACAGCATGTGAATCCTTGAGATTTACGGAGTAAACACCTGAAAGTGGACTGGACAAGTATCAGTGTACGTATCTAGAAGAGAAGAGTATAGGTAGGTGTGTAACTTGGGAAAGTCGCGGACGATAAGGCAGCTTACACCAAGGGGCCGTACCAACTTGGAGTGACACTGTTTGTCCCTGGGGAGTGATGCGATGGAAGTTGCTACATGCCCTGATGCCTTATATTGAGTTCGATCAGGGTACGAGGCATGCTTATTAGCTATCTCATTTATTACCTTAGGCATCTGATTCGATACATGTCACAATAGTATTAGTGGCTCAAGCTGGACATAAGTACCGTCGTTTCCTTCCACGTTGCTGAGCTGTTGTTCAGCCCCGCATCCCGTCCGGGGGAGCTCCGATCCACATGACTTGCAATTAGGTGGTACCTACGGAGTACCGATTCCCGTCATCCAACGCAGGCCTCAAGCGTGGAAACCTCTCCTTTCATGAAGTGATTAGAAACCAGAGTATGGTCGGAAACAAACCCTCATTCTTCCAATATTCTGGCTGCTTTTCAACCTAGGTAACCTCTCCCTGACCTCGAGCACCTTGGAAAGAAGTGATAAGGCAGTCGTCCAGCTTATCATCGACCTGGAGGGCTGGGCTGCCTGGAACCCCGCCTTCCGAAACCGCCTGAACCAACAGTGTTACTCCTTTGACTCGTCATCTCGTCACCGATCCCCTCCTCTACTCGAATTCATACTTCAGTCGACCGACTAGTTTCTTTCTCGTAACCCTGGTGCATGCACACGTACAAAGGCCACGGCAAAGACAAAACAGTGGCATCAGCGAAGCCGAGGGAATCGAGCTGCTGCACTCCGTTGGGCCTCATTCTGGGAGTACCGGCTACCACTCGAGCCTTCTCTGACGTCGAAGACTCGAAGCACACCACTCAAGCTCGAGCCTTCGGCCCTTCTCTGACGTCGAAGACTCGAAGCACAACACGCATGACCGACCGTTCCCTCTAGGCCGCCGTCAAGCGTTTCCCCACTCGTGTAAACCACCTCACAGTTCAGGCAGGAAACCGACTGTAAATGGGCACAGCTCGCAACATGTCAAGACACGGTGCGTTCGGCTTCTAGTTTTAGCCTGGCTCACTACTCGCCATCCTCACGAGCCCCTAACTACTTGGAACTAATACGACTCCATCATTAGTCCTCCTTAGCCTCTCCGCGGATTCGCCTTCGGGTTCCAACATTGTTTATCCTGAACGTCGCATCATACTAACCCCAGAGAACGCTAAGATTACCATTGGCCGAGCGTCCAAGAAGCTGGACAGTTGTTTCGTCGCTGCCCTTGACAACGCGTGGTTTGATTGCGCAGTAATGTCAAGACTGCATGCACAAATTTCTGCGAATATGGACCAAGAGGTGCGATGCCATCCATCCCGTCTCCTTAGTTGTCGGCTTGCTGATATTCAGCAGAAGCTCGAGATCCATGACGTGGGCTCGCTCCACGGAACCTTTATAAACGGCGGCGGCCGCATCCCCCGCACGGAAACCCGAGAACTCAAGGATGGAGACATGCTTCGATTCGGCGCTCCGATCTGGCGGGGTACGGAGCAGTATGTGCCGACCACGGTCAAGGTTGGCGTCCAGTTTGTCAATCCGTAAGATCCATCCCCCGTTCACTGCTTGGCCAGCTTCTAAATAAGTATCAGCGATACATCAGCGAGTGGTACATTCCAGGTACCCGACTCTGATGATGAGTCGGATATCGATGTATCCACCGATAGCGATGAGAGTGGGGAAAGCGCGGAGCAGCGTTCGCCCACTGCGCAGAGTACCAGAGTCCTCACCCAGCCCAACGTGATTGACCTGACGAGCAACCATGGTTGTGCCGGATCTCGGCAGGTGATTGACTTGTCATCCGACTGTGGCTCTCCCATCTCGATCGGCGACGACAATGAGCACCACGCTACCAGTCATGCGGATCCCGTCAACCGCAACTTGGATGATCTCGACATCAACCACTCAGCCAGCCCTGATGGCACAGATGACCTGAGTGACTTGGGCGATATCGATATGGACCAAGACACTCAGATCCATGACCACGCCGAGGACGAGAGCGGATATGGTGAGAACTCTCGCGGTGGTGTGACCGATGACATCAGCAATGCCACGGACGATGGATTATCTGAGTACACCTCAGATGATGACAGCTGGGACTTTTCCGATGGTAAATACCATTCTGCATCCTTGAACTTCATATCCTCAGCCGCTGACGCTCTCCAGACCAGAGTAGTGACTCGAGGGACGACCCGCTGAACCCTCCTGGCCACCCTCCTGACTACACTGGGTCAGTTGAGCATCCAGAGACATTGGCGCTAATCGAGTCCTTGTCACATCCCATACCCCAGCCAAGGATCGTCGCGCCAGTAACCATCATGGGCCTTCTGAACAGCGATGAGCCAGAGCCTCCTGCTCTCCCATCTCCTCGCCTCCTGCCTCGTCCGGAGCCGGAAAAGACAAATCCGGAGCAGCCAGTCAGCGCCACCAGCCTTCAGAACTTGAGACCTCCTCGGGACCTTATCGCAGATTTATCATGCTCGCTTCCCCACGACATCAGTGCTGAGTACCTCGGCGCCAAAACGGGGAAGACGGAGTTCTTCTTGGCGCGGGAGCAGAACAAGTTGGCGCTCATCGCTGCTGAGCAACAGCAGAGGACACTCATGGAGGAGGTCCAAAATTCCCAACGACGACTGGCCTCTGTGCAAGCTCCTCGCTTTTATAATCCTGAGAACATGGCGCTACCGTACCAACTTGGCCCTGCATGCTTGGAGCCTCTTGGGCCTTTATCTAAAGGCCCAAGTCTTCCTCGTCTTGCCGATGTAGCGGAACCCTATGCTCTGCCCACCTCGTCAGGACTTGGGCGGGCCGATCTAGACCGGCCATTGTCTCCTCCCATCATAGCTCCTTCTATAACCATGGCTGGAGATGTGGACAGCTTTTTCCGCCGGACCCATGTAGGGATCTCGGACATCGTTGAAACTCACCAGCAGAGCCCTAGTAAAAAGCGGAAGGCCGATGACATGTCGTCAAGCACTCATAAGCAGGAGCGCTGGGCCATCGAGACCGCCCAGACACCTCAGACAGAAAACACAAACCACACGGTTGCCGCCAGCCGGGAGGACTCTTCGAAAGAAGGCGAGCGTGCACCGGCTAGCCACTGCGAGGATAACCTCCTCCGTGTTATGGGCCGTGTCAGCCCTGCCCCAACACACTTTTCCGATCAACCTTCCATCGTGGAGGAGCCGAATCAGTCGTTCGTTCTCTCCAAGCAAGGCAAGGAGAATACCGAGAGTAGCGTCATCACGCCCCCCCTCACCCCCGAGAGACCTGTGAAGAAGCCCCGCATGATGATGGTTGCAGAGCGACTCGGATACGCAGCTCTCGGAGGCGTCACCGCGGGAGCTATGATCATGGGCACACTCATCTATACGGCTCCTACATTCGGTTAAGCGGCAGTAGACATACACGCCGCTTTCCATTGAGATTTTGTATTCCCCATTTGCTATAACTTAAACATCTCACTTCATCGCGCGACGGTTTTCTAGGCGGAGGGTAGGTACATTCGGATGGCGTTAGGAGCACCATTCGCGTCACACTCTCCTTCATTAGGACACTGGATGGGTCGGGTTGACTTGGGACATGCGGACTGGAATGGTGCATGAGGTGTCCTGGAGGACACCACAACGGGGCTTGACCGGGTTATGGGACAGGGAATTATAAGGGGTGGGTAAGGCCGGAACGGAAGGGATATTCTACCGAGTGACACCGAGCTCTCGGGGGTCATGGCGATCGGTTCCGTATTCTCATCATCTTTTTTTTCGTTCTCTGCAGGGTCTGGACATGGCCATTAATTCCTCTCTTTCTGCCTTTTTTTTCTAGTCGTTGCATTACGGAGGCCATCTGGCTCATTTCTCTCACCTAAGTAGGCCGCCTCTTTACGTGGCCGACTGGAGATCGGCTGAGCAATGGACTACAGTTCTACAGGGCTAGGCAGTGAATGATACGCGATTCGATCCATAAATGACCGACTATCTCTCTCTGATGTTACCGAATGATCTAAGTTCCTGGAGCGTGATCGAGGGGATAATGAACGCAGCCCCCCCTCTTGGTCTTCGTTCGCCTGCCCTCGATCTAAGTAGCTACCTGATTCATAGCTTCAACCAGGCAACTCGCATCAAAACAGCAAGGGTGGAGACAACAGATGATAAGATAAATGAGCAGGAGGAGCAGATGATTTATGTTTAAAAGCCAGTACAGTTCGCTGTGTAAGCGCTGCAAACCCTCCATTCTGGCTTAGCCTTGTGTAGGTAGGTAGGTATCTGGGGCATGGAACGGTATTTGAGACGATCTCATATCTTCTTCTTGACCCCCTTTTCCCTAGCGACCTTATTATTACAAGTAGACGAGTCCGGAAACTTTTGCTTGGAAGATATCCTCCTCGCCTAGGTATCAAAGGTACCTATCTATCCATTTCTCAGCTGTTGCGTTTCTTCATTGCAACGCAACGACGCACATAACTTACCGCAACCTAGGTTTTTATGCAGTCGGTCAATTTGTGTTGGATGGCCTCTGTGGCGGCAGCAATAGGCAAATACTATGGGAAGTGGGAAGACTGAGGATTCAGTATGCCTAACCTTGGAATAAGGGAGGGACGGCAGGGACGGGTGTGTCGGCCCACGCCCCCCACCCCCACCGCCCAGCCAGTCTGCAAAGCTAAATCCGGTCGCCTACTTACCTACGTAGTAAATAAGAAGGATGAATGAGGTGACGGGGGGATGCCTGGGAGCCTGGGAGTGGATCATGACCAAACACCATGGGCCGTTAAGGCCGCCATCATCAAATCAGCTGGGATCTATGGTACATTAGTTAACCCTCGAGAAACATGTAAGTGTCTTTCAAAGTAATTCCTGCTTTTGAACTTCCTCTGCAGTTTCAAGTCTACCGTTACGCGTTTTAGCAGCAGAGAGCCTACGAGACTAGAAGCGAAGCCATAAGGACAAGGCTTGATATGGGCATGGTGGCACATAACTACTGAGGTTTATTGTACAATACATGTACAAATGCATGGATGAAAAGACGGGGAGCTCCGGGGGGAGAGGCAGAGAGGGTGAGTGCTGTATGTGTTCGGGCGAACAAGCAAAGGAGGGTCTGGTGCTTATGCCGACGAAGGCATCCGATTCAAGTACAGAAGTAAATATATCCACATATTGAACATTACAAACGGGAACTGGGTGGGTATTCATTTGGAACTTGTCTGGAGGAAGCCAGCCACGCGGCTAGAAGCCGGAACATTCCATCGGTGGTGATACTTACTACCTGCCGGATCTCTTCCAGAGAGAATGGAAGTCTGAGTGTCGTCAGAGCACTCTGCAATCAAAAGCCGTGCTTGGCTATACTGCGGCAACAACAAAGCTCCCTTGCTTCTCGCCGTGCCATGAAAGGCAGTCTTGCATCATACCAGTATAACTGCTGCTTTTTACGCCCGAAGCTCCCAGACCAAGCACAAAAGTCAGCCAGCAGGAGCAAGACAAACTAAGCAAGGCAAGGCAAGGAAAAGTAAAAGCACAGTCACACAACATCTGAAGTATCTCTCCAGCTCATTCTGCTTCCGCTCTACCGACGACAAAACGACGACGTGTGCAGGTACCGTCCTATCTAGTATCAGTATAAGCGGCGATAAGCGGTTGGTTCCTTGAGGTTCATCAGTGACGAGCTCGAGCCGCTGGCTAACCGCCGACACCGCTGCTGCATAATGCCGGGCCGGAGGGAGAGGGGGAGCGTGGGGGAGGGAGGCAAGACAGTGCAGTCGTCCCCTTGCCGGCCAATGCTTAGCCGAAGGTAGGTGAAAGTGATAGTTACCTAGCATTCCCGGTCTCTACTTCCATCACGACAGTCGTCCGGAGTGTAAAAGCTGGTACTCCAACTGTAGCTCTCAGTGTGTGTGTGTGTGTGCGTGTGTGCGTGTGTGCGTGTGTGCGTGTGTGTATGTGTGCGTGTGTGCGTGTGTGTGCGTGCGCGCGCGTCTCTGTTCGTAGGTAAGGTAAGCAAGGCACAAGGCGGGATATTGGACGAAGAAAAGAAGAGGATTGCCTGTGGACAGCAATGGATGTCCATCCCACGTGGAACCAAGAGCAAGTGTGGTCGTTTGGTTGCCTCACTTCCGTGCGACTCTGCTCACCGACAGTACCTCTGGTCTTCCGCGGATAGTGATCCTAAAGGGAAGGTGTGCCAGAGCGTACGGACCGGTGAACCAGTACATATCCGTTTCTTTTCCGTGGTGTCATCCAGGACAGCCTATTTTGTCTGACAGAGTAGGGGGAGCTATCGTCCTTCTCAATCCAGGGCATTCTACGAATGAGACTACGGAGGTATCCCCGACCTTTGGCCCTCACAACGGCAGCTACGAAATGTGCATTATTAAGGGGCTGTGCTATGCAGAGCGTATAAGAGCGATGACGTACATTATGCATATAAGAGAGGTTAGGAAATGGCCCGACTCGAAGGAAGTGACAGGTCGGAATCTGCGAATTTGGGAACGCACGTGTTTGGGTCCTGCATGATGTGCAGAAGTGCTTGCCGAATGTGATCAAAATGAGCTTCTGGATAAAGACCGCCTGCCGCGATCCCAGGTCTGAAGCACCAAATTGACCAGAGATTGACTGTCCCCCCTTGGAGAGAGAGGCAGCGACGCTGCGTTTTGGGATCTGCAGTTATGCTGTCTGACATGGTTGAACATGGCCGCTGCAGTTAGGCCAAGCCACTTTCGCTTTCTGAGCCAGTCCGCCTCAGTTCCTCCTTGGTACCTTTCTCATCGAGTTCCTGCGAGGAGAACCGGTGTGACGGCTGTCCACACGCCACAACTGCCCCGCGGGGGTGGTTCGCTTCCAGCTGTTTCGGTTTCCAGTTAACATCGTGAAGTCGTGATAATGGGATAAGGCGACCCTCTCATGTATCGCCGCGATTCCGTCCACCGCAGAGTCGAGAGGCTTGCTTAATATGTATATAGTTGGGAGTTGGCTGTGGTTTGTGTGAGACCTAATTCTTTTGGTGTAGTTGGTATTGGAATGTTTTGAACCATCTGATTTTCACACCAGTGGCCCCAATACGCCCTGCCGGACTTGCCCGCTGCAGATGCGGCGCGCTTTCCAGGGGATCGGCACATGACGGTTTGGGGATGTATACAAAGCACAGGTCCCTTATCAATCTTGGGGTGAGGGAACGAATAGCCTTCGTTCGTGATGGCGTGCTGGCTTTGGTTACACAGCTCCCAAGCCAAACATAGGTAGGTAGCTTTTATCTGTCGACGCCAGGCAGCCGGTGAACCGTAAGGGTGCATGGAGCGTTTCTGCCGTTGCCTTTCGGCACCACCTTCGACCGTTGCGGAAGCTGCCCGGAGTAGCGGCACGGAAGGGGCCTCGGACAACTACTAAGAGTAGTGCCTCGGAAGTTGAGGGTTGTGACGGTGTTACCCACCCGCATCATACAGCTAGACCAATGCGGAGAGCGGATCCTTAGGCTATTCGTCCAATTCGCATACTCAGCACCCGTAGGTAGCTAGCTCTCTTCATACAATTGACGCACGTGCGTGATTATGTGCTTGCTGAAACAGGGCCCGGCGCCCTGGAACTATATTCGGCCCATTGCATGCGGGCCTTAACAGTCATGGCCGACCCTATTGTGTGCTCGACTTGCAAAATAGGAGCGGGGGACGAACGGATACGGGGTTCAAGTGAAGTTACGATCCGCCCCGACTGAGACCCCAATGGTTTGGGTATTCCTGTTGCAGGGCTAGGTGGCATTTGTCCCTACTCTGGGGACCTGCGGGTACCCGAAGGTGGGCTTCTTTTCGAAGGCCGGCAAAAGTTCGTTGGCAGGAGCAAGGAAGAAGTGGCGCCCTATCAAAAACCGGTATGTTGGGCTCGAGTCGCGGGTAGTTGCAGCTGATACGCATGATCTCGGCTTCAGCCCGCCGGTGTAGTCGTCTCGTTGTTGGCTCTAGAGTACCAATGACGAGGCCGTCAGCTAGACTTTTTAGAAAATCGTATCATGTAGACAAGGCAACCGTGACGGGCAGCCAGATAGCTTCCCAAGCAAGAGTGGATGGATGTGACTCAACCGGGTTAGCAACTTCAGGTCAGGTCTTCTAGTGGCACATCGAGTCCCATAGTTGTCTCACCGGCCGGCTTCGTTAGTCGTTGTGCCGTCTTCCCGACCTCTGAGCTGACCAGTCGTTGGTGCCGGTATCGCCAATCTTGGCATCAAATCATGATCAGCAGACCGTCTTCGTCCTCGCTTTCAATATCGTCATTGGCTTGTGGGATACCGATGGCCCGGCAATGATATATGGATACCGGGGTAGGCGGTGAGTCGGAGTGTGGAAAGGAGTACCAGAAACCTGGGCTTTGAAGCCGAGGAGGGTCCCTCATGTCCATATAAGGCCAACATGTCCTGTGTGGATCTTGAGCCCAGTCCTGAATGATCCCCTGTGGTTCGCTCGCACTTCCCAGGTCGCAGGTTCCCAAGAGACTTCTCTACAGCCCAACCAGACGTCAATCAACGTTTGATGTACACCCACCATATCGGATCTCATCCATGGACTCTTGCGGATGTATCTCGTTCGGCGATGGGCGACTGTACGAGCCGGTGACCTGCGTATCATGCGGAGGAAACATGAGAGTGTATGGCGTTAATGTCCGTTCCCATGACTCGGAGATGAAGCTGAATGTCCTAGGTATTGTGATCAATGTGGTGGCCGAGGGTACGTGTATGTCCCATGCTCGCACCAGCGGTCGATGGGTATACACGCCAGCCCCTTGGCTAGGTCGGAAGGCGTCCCGTCCCACGGCAGCAACGTCGCTTCCAGAAACAGCCACTCTTCGAAAACCCATGCGACAATGACGCCCCATGGGGTATGAACCTGCCAGAGCCATCAACGCCCCAAAGCGGCTGTGCTATGGACAAGCACAAGAGTCTTGTCCTGGGGTATTCTTTTGTTTCCTCTGAAAGTCTGGAGTTAGAAATGGTTCACGGGGGCTTCGTTGTGCATATTTTCACACCTTTTGCTGTCTCTCCTTGCATCCACGAGCCATTGACGATACTAAGAATCGGCACTGGGCTTATGAGTCAGGGCGTGGACAGCATTGTGGCTGCTCGATGTAGGCGTATAAGTTGCATTGTATCGCATCTGCCTTTGAGAGTTTGTGATTGTTCCAGTTACGATTCGTGCTCTATGTGTCAGTTATCATTATAGCACATGACTTTCCCCCTATAGCACAAGTAACCACATACCTCTTTCCAGCCACGTCGACTCCTTGTGCCCTCTGGATTGACCTTGTACCTGGATCGTTGCTTCATGGAAGCCACGGCAACACCGCAGTGGAATTTATTGAACAGGGACGTCATTTTGTGCCACGGGGCTCGGCCGAGTCAGACAAGGCCGCAAGGATAAAGTTGAAGAGCACAAGTTGTATCCATGTTTAGTACCTGGCTGTACTTCGAAGTTGGTGACCCCGGGAGGCTCGAATTCCCCAATAATGAGACTGCATAGTCCGTTGCTGTAAGTCGAACAACGAGGGAGGTGTTCGAGGCGTGCTGACCTCACGCAGTCACGGCTAACATCATGGATGGCTTTCCATTTTGCTGGATCGATTTGAGTATCTTGGATCTTGCATCGGTAGCGGCAAGCGGGTTGCGTCTTCTGAGTCTGAATTTGCTGCGATGGCTCATAAGAAGTTCGTAACTAGCATTGCCGCGATCGATCCAGCTTGTCTTTATGTCCCAGAATTCAATCAAGATGCTTGAGATGGTGCAGTGATGCCAGGGTTCGGAAGAGGCACGAGGGAGACACGGCATGAGCAAGCCACACGGCATGTCTCTGGGCAGGAGCCGATTGGACGCAACCACGGTTCATCAGGGAGAGCAAAAAGTGAGAAGTGAGAAGTGTGATGGATTCGCTGCCACAACGGATGCATCCTGCTTCTTCTGGCCAGTTGAGGCTGAATTGAGCAGTCGGAGGTAGTCGTATACACCCTCAGAGCGCGCCTAGAAACACCAGGACCATTGATTGAATTGCAACACGCGGATTGCCGACGGGATAGACACTCTTAGATTGGAGCCTTGCCACCGAGAGACAGCGAATTCAGGTTGTGCCGGGGTAGCACAATCCGCTAATAAGTGCACACGGTAGAACAAGGGATTCTCAATCTCTAGTTCAAGAATGCTGTCTGTCTCAATGAGTAACTGCGCAATTGGCAAAAGAGAAGAAGAGGACCCACAGATAAGTTGCAATAAGGGGCCTAAACAGGAATGATTCATGGCTAGAGGTACTTCGTAATAAGCCCTACTGTGTAGCCGCTTCAATGGAAGTTCGGTGATCGGGATCGCGACCCCGCAGGCCCGCGACTTGAAATCGGACGGTGGAGCGGCAAGGGGTCAAAAGAGCCCCACTTGGTGAAAGTGAGTTCTGGAATCGCGAACCATCAGCGCAACTTTACGACCATTATTACTTTCGGCTTATTACACCGTCTCATTTCTCCCCACAACATTCACTCTATCAGAAAGAATCGCCATGATGGGCATGTGATTGTCGTTAAAATGTCGGTCATTCTTTGCACAGGTAATTATTCCCTCTCATCGTATGAAGCGCGGTATACCAAGGTGGTTGCTGACATGATGAATACAGCTGGTTACGACCATACGATTAGGTACGCCGTTATTCAGTGAACTCGGCCATCCCATCGTGGGTCTCATCGCTGGGCTGACCTGTTGGCTAGGTTCTGGGAGGCCCTCTCTGGAATCTGCTCACGAACCATCCAGCATCCCGACTCGCAGGTCAACCGGCTCTGCATTTCTCCCGATAAGCGGTTCCTGGCGGCTGCTGGCCACCACACCGTCAAGCTGTTTGACATCCGTTCCACAAACCCCGCCCCGCTGCTCGAATTCGAGGGCCACACCAACAATGTCACCGGCGTCCAGTTCCACTGTGAGGGAAAGTGGATGGTAACCAGCTCCGAAGACGGCACCGTCAAGATCTGGGAGACGCGCACCGGCACTATCCAGCGGAGCTACAATCACGGCTCGCCGGTCAACGATGTTGTCATCCATCCGAACCAGGGCGAGATCATCAGCTGCGATAGGGGCGGCAGCATTCGGCTCTGGGACTTGGCTGAGAACACCTGCGCCCACCAGCTGATTCCGGAGGAAGAGGTCGCTGTCTCCAGTGTGACCGTGGCCAGTGACGGCACTCTGCTCTGTGCCGCAAACACCTCGGTATGCTCACGTCCTACCCTATATCCCAGAACTTGGGTGAGGCAATTTAACTGACGACTTTCAACAGGGTAACGTATTTGTCTGGCAGCTGATCCAGGCGAATGAGCGAACTCAGCTCATTCCCCTGACGCATTTCTCAGCGCATAAAGAATACATTACCCGGATCCTCCTCTCCCCCGATGTAAAGAAGCTAGCTACCTGCAGCTCCGACCATACCGCCAAGATCTGGCAGGTCACGGAGATGGAGCCCGTCGGTCCCGACACCGAGCCCCGAGCGTTCCCGCTCGAAGCCACCCTGACGGGCCACCAGCGCTGGGTGTGGGACTGTGCCTTCAGCGCCGACAGCGCCTATCTCGTCACTGCCTGCAGCGACCACTACGCGCGTCTGTGGGAGCTGCACACGCAGCAGATCATCCGGCAGTACAACGGCCACCACCGCGGCGCCGTCTGCGTGGCGTTGAACGACTATTCCGAGGCACGCTAGGAGCTGCCCAAGGAAGAAGTCCTTCGCGTAATGTCTGCCACCGAGAGACGCGCCTACATCGAGGCTTTCAGACTCCTTCACTCCGGGTTTGAGGAGAAGCAGCCCCTGGAGGAGGGGGAGCAGTCCCTGGAGCCTGAGGGGGAGCAGTCCCTGCGGGAGGAACACTTGATCCAGACCCAGAGCGCACTGGAAGGCAGTGCCCAGCCGTCAGGTTCAGGATCGGCCTCCGGCTCGGATCCGCCACCCACGGCAGGGGAGAAGAGATGGCTTGGGCTGCCACCATGCTACCAGAAGGACAATGTGTTCCTGGCACCTATGCGTCCCGACTCTCCCCCTCCAGCCCCACCCGGGTCGGATTATCGACCCGAGCCGACTCTGACGCCGATCCCACGCTCGGCCCCGAGACCCATCACCCCGAAGAAGAAGGAGTGGGAGCACTGGCCTATCGCCTAGAGAAGGGCTTTTCTGTTGCTGTGACCCTGTGTCTGTGCGAGTTAGTATTGTACATGGTGATTTGGTTCAGTGAAGGGAAGCTAAATTGGTTCACGCAACGATCTGTCGGCAATCGATTAACTCTTCTGTCACATGGACTGAGTGGGAACGAGTGCCTTCATCTGCTGGATTGATAGCATAATTCAGGTCATCTTGCTCACAAGATGTACTTATATTTCTTTGCACGGGGTAGGACTTAGAAGAAAACTGAAATCACCTGTATTTCTGGGGTTTCATAGTTGCCACTCTTCCACAATGATAATGCGTGTTGATGCCTCCATTCAAAGACTTGGCGCATCGGGATCGTTATGCACTCTACCATCACTCCATATTATCTATCCGTATTCCTAAACAGAACCTCATCCAGACGCCACGCATGCCCTTCCAGAAACCTAAACCCAGCGTGCCGCTCTTTGCTGAAGGATTCTATACCAAAAGTCAACTTCCCATTCACTTAGCGCTCTCTACCATGCAACACGCTCCCTCCAGCCCCTGGGCCTTGAATCTTTCTTAACGGGTTTCACCACCCGCCCCACCCATCATCTTCATCAGTCTCCTTCGGCTTCAGCTCAATCTTCTTCTTAGCAGGCGCCGCCGTCACCTTCGGCCTCGCGACCGCACCGCTGCTATTCGTCTTCTTTGGACCAGCAGGACCAGACCCCTGAGTCCCGGCACCTGAAGAAGAAGACTTAGCCAACCCTTTGGGCAGCGCCTTGCCACAGCTCTTCTTCTGCGCTTGCGCAGCCAACCAGCCGGCAAAATCGGGCTCGGAGCCATCGTCGAATGGTGTTGCGCTCGCCGTTGTTGTTTTCTTTGGTATTGATGTTGTCGATGACGAGGATGAGGGTCGTAGTGGCAATCTTGAAGACTTGTCGCTGTTGCTTTCTGCGGCGGCGAAGACAGTCTCTCCCGGGGAGTTGTTGTTGTTGTTGTTCTCGTCGTCTACCATATCGTCCATGTCACCCCATGCGTCCACGGCGTCGTCTTCGTTGTCTGCAGACGCGGACTCGTCTTGGAAGAAGGAATCCCTACCCAGGGAAGAGGCTGAGGGCGGCGGAGATTTGAGAGCTTGGCGGTGCAGCGCAGAGGCGGAGGAGGTGGATGGGGTTTGGGACACTGCAGCGGGGTGTTTGGGCGGTGGTGCAGCGGATCCGTTGACGGGGGTAGAAGATGGTTGGATCTCCCCTGCTGCAGCGGAGAGCTTGTTGGTGAAGGAGGAGATGGCCCAGCCTGCCCAGGAAGATGCAGAGGATTCGGCTGGTTGTGGCGTGCTCATCCTAGGCCCCCCAGCAACAGCGATGCCTTCTGGTGCGAGCGTGGTGTCGGGCATGCTGGCTGCCGCTTTCTTGATCTTGGCTAGGTAGACGTCGACGGTCTTGCTTGCTTGGTCGCGGACGAGCTTCTCCTTGTCTATCAGGGAGGGGCAAACCGCTGGGAGAATGCGAACCGCGCAGTCCTCCTCCGAGAAGTATTCTGATGTTGCGCCGAACGCCAGGAGCGCTGCATTCCTAGCATGGACGAAGGGATCCCGGAGTGATCGAGTAAAGGCAGCTATCAGGACCTTGGGTCTCGAAGAGGACCCAAGGTGCTTGGCGATCTTGCCAAGACAGATAGTTGTGTTAGTGCGGATGCCTGGCTGCTCATCGTTGGCGGTTTTGGCCAGATATCTCAACAATTCGCCATTGATGGTCCGATCTGAGAGCTTCGGGACAAAGGTAAGGACAGACTTCAACGTCTGTTCTCTTACGACCGGCGCAACATCCGTAAACCCGGTTACCTAGCCTACGTAAGTATATGCCTTTCATCAAGCCTGCCGGGGAGGGCTCTGAACTTACTATTTGAGGAAAGATTTTGTCGTTTACCACTTTCTGGGACAGACGATCAATCATACGCGGCAGATTGTCTAACAAGCACACCCTGATCGCCCTGTCTGGATTGCTAAACAGCCGAATCAAAGCCGGAGTGACCTTGGCATCGAAGTCCTCATCCGACAGCTTCGTGGCAATCTTCATGACAAGTCCAAAGGCCTTGGGGCCGCCGTTGCCGAATTCTACCGATTTCAACAGCTCAGGCAAGACTTTCATCTTGAAGAATTCCTCAGGAAAGTCATCTGTAAGCTGCTCCAAATCACTGAGCGGGTCAGCACAGAGCGATGCAGGGGGAACGGAAAATCAAACACTTACTCTAGGAAGGCTTCCCGTTCCTCCTCCGTCTTGACGCCCAGGTTCTCGATCCCGTCGGTTAGTTTGATTAGAGGGGTATCAAAAAAGGCGCCATTCCGGCGGCCCTGTTCCAGGAAGTGCGCCACGCTGAGCCGCGCCTTGGGGTTGGCGTTCGTAAGGCGCTTGTAGCTGGAGTGCATGCTCGGTGGGATGTTCTTGGTAAGTCCCGCCTGGTCTCCGCCATTGAAACTGCCGTTGAAGACCTCAAAGATCAGGGCGCCAAATCCATAAGCATCAACAGCAGAGTGAGGGCTGCCCTTGAGCGCATCCCAGCCTGACGTTGCTAGTTCAGGCGGGGTGTACCTTCCCGAGTCCGGCACGAGGCTGCTATAAGTCTGGTCCTAGGTTAGACGCTACGTGTGAGAATCGCGATCGCGGTGGAATACGCACGTAAATCACGGCCTCGTCGTCTTTGACATTGCTAAGCACCTCAAAGCCGCCAAGCTTCCACTCGCCGCTCTCAGTTGTGTAGACTGACGCAACCTTCAAGCTGCCGTGGACCGATGATGCCTCATCATTGATAAACTTGACTGTCCTCTGCGCTCCGCGTCAGTTTGTGTTGTCAGACAGAGCTCGCAGTGTGCCGCCGAGGCCTCCGTGACACGCACCGCAATGCTATATAGACCCCATTTTGCCGTCTCCGGGCTTAGGCTCTTCCGTTTAACGTGCCACCGAAGAGGTACCACGCGCTCTGTGGCAATGTAGATGTACGAATCCGACTTCCCGCAGAGATGTCAGCCTCGGTCGCCATTTCAATCGTCGAGCAGGTGTCGTACCTCGGCCGTGTCTAGCACCTTGATGACTCCGGGGTGCCGCAGCGTTCGTAGCTTCTTCAGCGCGTTCTTAGCTAGGGGCAGGGCGGAGCGGTTGGCGGAGATGTCGAACGAAAAGATGCTGCAGTTCGAGCCGTCTTCCTGCAGCACAGGGTTAGTGAGACGGCTTCGGCTAGCGTCTGGCGGGGAAACAGCCGGTCGTAAGGACATACTCGCCGTGTGCCATTGTAGAGTGTCCAAATGGAGGGGTCGAGGTCGACCTTGTCGCCGAAGCTGTATGGGAACGATGGGCCCTTCGCTATTGCCGAGGCGACGGCCGACTTGAGGAAGTCCATGGCGCGCAGAGGAATCAGGGGGACTGCGCGGAAGCCTGTGTCGACGTCGTGGATCGGACAATACGTGGTCGCCGTGGGGCGCTGTGTAAAAGGAGGCTATCGCAACTCGCAAGGTGTTATCGCGAATGCCCAGCTTGGCGCGCTAATCCGATTCGGTGGACGAGACTCGAGAGAGACAGCGCCCCACCCGACTTTAATTTGCCAGCGTTCACTCTTCCCCACGCTTTTCCCTCGTTATTTCAAATACACATGCTTCTTGCAAACCTATCGCGAGTTGTCGCAACGCCCGTCGTGCTATTCTGTGGCACGTTCAGAGCCATACCAACGGCTGCTGACTCGGGTCTACAGAGAGCCGCAGTTTTCCACGGCCGCGACGGCTACCACGTGGCTGATCCGGGTTATACTCCCATGACATAGCTTCGCCGCGCCCGCTAGTCGAATGGTCGCGAACGGCGAGAGAAGCGCGGCTGTAGCGGGCGAGCTCGCGCTACGACAGCGCTGGTCATTCGATTGCCAAGCCGTACTCTCGATTACTCAGGTAAGCACCTCTTCACTGTCTCTCTTTTTGCTTCGTCCGGCGTTTTGGTGTCAGTGATGAGCGAACTGGTAAAAGGTCAGACGGCCAAGTGCTCTTCTGGTTTTGTGTTTCTGAGTGACACGGCTATTGCGCCTCGGCGCGTCCGGCTGCCTGTCTCCGCTACCGCACGCTGCCTCAAGACAGCTGGCAGTATGGGGCCGCGGTGGCCGGATATATCAAAACAACGTCAGAGATCTCGGTCGATGATGCTGCCACTTCCCGGAGTCTGGTTTTCATTGATTTCACAAGACTGGGCCCAAAGGCTGTGGTAGACACTAGGCACCCACCGGGCTAGCATTGGAGGGCTCGGCTCTCCCCAACGCCTGCCCCGAATACCTAGTCCGCCCGTCACTCCAGAACCACGAAGCCGCTGCAGCTGTGCCGGGTGATGACTCTCTATAAACTGAAAAGACCTGAGACACCTCCTCCTATTTGATTTTGGACGTGTTTTGAAAACTCGCCTGCTCAATCTCGTAGGCAGAGTGGCGCTAACCCTTGTTTCACAATCATCACAGGACGCCCTCCGAGGCTGAGCAGGACGAAAAATGGCGCGCCGTTGTAGACGTTGCAAAGGAGAAGAGTCAATTGACAAACCACTCTTCGGATGTGTCCGCTGCCGAAGATATTACCATTCTGCATGTCACCGACCCCATCCGAGTGCGCCCGCGTAGGTCGTCTTTCTCTTCCATTCCTATCTTGCCAGTCTCCACAATCCTCTCAACCCCATTACATCAACTCCAGCCAATGGAAAAGTCCTACAGAGTCCGAGCGGTCCAGCTGGGCCCCACTCGTAGCCTATTTTCCTCGTCCCAGGGCAGCCGTGTTTCCTCTCCGGCCTCGCGCTTACCTTGCCTTGCCCTCCTCCTGCTACAGCACACTATTCTTATTATATAGTATTGACTACGCGATATTCAATCGATCATTTTTGGACGTATTTCTAGCCAAGAATAGTAGCTAACGGAGCCCACAGCACCAACTGGGTGTGCAAGCGCTGTCTTGCCGACCAGGGCCTGGGGAAGCGCCGCTGCTACCATGACAATTCGTTCTTGTCGTCGCGGGCCGCCTCTCCCAGCTCCGCAGCAGCATCATTATCGAGCCGTGACAGGTCCCGCGGCACCAGCATGGCTACGTCTAGCGCCACAGATACAGCCACAAGTTTCTCATCATCATTTGTAAGCCAGCAGAAGGACTCAGCCGCGCCGATCATTAACTGCCCGGTCCCCGGGTGCTCGGCCAAAATAGACGCTAAGCGTCAAGTCATCTGTGAAGCGCATCTGCGGTCTATGTCAACCGCTGACCGGAGTCGCGATGCTTCTCAAGAAGTTGGCTCACGCACGGCGGGGCCGCCGGGCACCTCCAGCTTGGCGCGCCCACCTATGCCATCCACAAGCCCAAACCCGAGGAAGCTGCTGCAGGAGACCGACAAAGATCGGCCAATGATCCTGCGGCGGAAGACCGCTGGCAACCTACCGCAATTCATTCCTCAACAGCCAACTCCCGGACTAGCTTCTCGCAGCGGCCCAACTCTCACACCACCCTCACCTCAACCCTTGGCGCCCCCTCCACCTGTTCACTCACCACCCGCTAGTCCTGCTCAGTCACGGAATGGTGAGCCTGCGTGGAAACGGCAAAGATTATCGCCGTCCCTAGAGCACTCGCCGAAAGGCAGAGTGAATGGGATCTCGTCCAGGCCGCCGAGTGCAGAGTCTGGCCAGGGGGGCAAGTCGGTAGACTCAGGGAGCCCGCAGCTCGGCCGCCGTCCTTCTAATGTCTCGCCTCAGCGTATGAAGGACGTCAAAACTAACTCGAAGCCGAATGTCAAGCATCCCGTGAGGAGAATACCGCTGCAGCTATCCAATCTTAGGTTTATTGATAGCGTCGAGGAGTCTACCTCCGGGGTCCTTTCGGAGCAGTCAAGCTCTGGTCTGAACGGTTGGCCGAGAAATGTCTCACCATGGAGTGACGGCGAGTCGGTCTTTGCCCTTAGGGAAGGGTTAAGGGGCTCCTGGACGGAAAACATGGGCTTTCCAACCCCGACCGTAGCCCAGGTTGACGCCACAGACACACCGCGTGAGGTGCAAAGGACCTCTGATTTATCGAACGGGTATAGCCACAAGGCACCGCCTCCTTGGGAGACACCGGATGGACGGACCAGTGCTCAAGGGCTGCTCCTCGCCAAGGGCAGCGTGGTCTCAAAGCAGCCAAAACCATGCCCTCAAACAGAACAGACTCCTGTTCTACCGGCCCCTATCGCAAAATCCAAGCGGCCCGTAATACCACCACCGAAGAAGATTGACCCAGCTCATTTTGACGCACTCGTTTACTCCCAACCAGGCGCCTCAACGCCGCCACCGGGCGTAGAACTCGCCACCATTGGGCCCGCAGAGCCCCCGAAGTCCAACCATGTGAAAAAGGACAGCATAAAAGACGAGCCACTCTATCTTGACATTGACCCGCGGATTCACTGGCCTCAACGCCATTCCGCGGCGTGGCATGCCGCAAAACAGCGGGAGATTCGCGCCCGCGGGAATAAAAAGGCGAACTTTGGGCGCGCGGCAGAAAGTCTGCGGAGGCAGCGGCAGGAAATGGTGAAACGGGGCGTGACCTTCGAGGATACGTTACCGGACAAGATCCTGGAAAACCCCGCGTGGGTGAAGGTTTTGAGGAAGCTAAACGGTTTACCGCCGGCTCCGGAAGAAGAGAGCAGTAACTCTGGCGGGACCGGAAGCGCCGATACCAATGGAGTGGAGGGGCACGGCCAGGAGCAGGGGCTTGAGCAGGGACACCAGAAGAAGGGGAGGAAACAAGGTAGGATAACGGGCAAGAAGGTTGGTCCGGGCCGGGTAGTGGTTACCGGGCTGAACGGGTTGGAGTTGAAGAAGCGTCTCGGGGACGGACTGGCGCTGAAGAAACGCCTTGGGGGAAGGAGTACCTAACCAACGAGTCATACTGACAAAAAGCGACGACGTCGGTGAGGTCACGAGGGAGTGAATAACTTACTTAGCTTGGAACGACGACGTTGCAGCGGCGAGGAGCAGAGGACTCTGGTCTGTGGATCTTGGAATATAACATTTTGCAAGGTATTATTGCTGGCTGCTCATTGCTGCCGATGTATGTATACAACAGTTTTGGAGGCAGGGGGCGGGGGAAGGGAACTTGGAAGGGGGCCATGGGACCGGGTTGCATTGTGAAGGCGCACCGCACCGTTTCTGCCAAAAGCGGATTTTTGCTTCTATAGTGCTTCTTCCTAGCTCATCCGGAATATCTATGAGCGTGGGGAAGAGTTGCTTATATTTTCTGGGATGTAGTCCCGAGAAAAGCCATTTCTTGTTGGTGTTGGGCTTGTGAGTTACATGTATGTAGCCTTGGTCGAGAGCCTAAAATAATCCCACCCGTGTACCGTGTACCTCAGCTTGTGCGACTGCCGCCGTGTCCGAGAGTGGCAGATGTGAAGCGTCCGGTGAAGGGGAAGGTGCAAGGAGGCAAATATGTCTACCTACCTTACCTACCTCTGAACGCTGATGCAACTGCCTGACCCCTACGGTACGGTGTATCTCCGCACTTGAGCGAAGGGGAGGAGTGAAGAAGCTGCAGCAGAACTGCTGAACACGAGTGAACCGGAAAGCAGAACGCGATTCGTCGTGATCGATATGCATGTATGCATACATCGAGCCGCAGCTGGACCCATGTAAGCACAAGTTGACTAAGGTAGGTAGGTAGGTACTGTGGTAAACAGAGACTATTGGGGATTAGGGAGAGCCAAGAGTCTGGTAAGGTGGTAGTTACCATGCCAATGTTGTTCTCGGAATTCAGTACAGTACTACAGCCTCATGAACATGATCTTTCTCTCTCGCACTACCACACCTATCACTAACGGCCTTCGCAATCTTCGCTCCATATTCCTCCGCGAGGGGGCCCGGATGGATATGATATGGCAGGGGACCTTCACTAAACTCGGGCCCACCCAACGCCGGATTCCAGATTCTCGGTTGGAGTCTCTCTAGATGGGTGATGACGATGGACAACTCGGATTCGATTTCCGTTCAAGTAGGATGCTGATTTGGAGATGATGTTACAATAAAAGAACCCTGCCGCCAACTTGTTCCCTGACGAAGCATCCAAGGTAGGTAGTTGGCGGGTTGTATCGAATCATATTCGGTAATGAAAATTCAAAACGGTATGGATTTCCATTAAAATGGGAGAGCTAGTATTAGCAGTCACAGTGGTCACCTAACACAGATTGAGCCTCCCATATCCATAGTCGACGAGACATCACCTCCTGAATTGTCAGTCATACATCCGATTCCTACGTCGAGACAATCACTTCCAGCAGGGATCAGATCCATGAGGAAGTTGTGGTTGATGGTCAAGTATCCTGCAAAAGAAAACTACCTACTACCACATGGCTCTAGCAGAGCTAAAGACTCACAAGTCAGCGGTCATGTACCTACCTCCATGGACTCATACCCCGTCTCTAGGGTTCGACCTAAGGCAGGTAGGTAATACCTGGACTGACATGCCAGGCGCTGTATGCTTACGGTATTTTGGATTTGATACTACACAGTGGTCACACGGTACACCACCTTCCACCTGCACCCTAGTAGGAAGATTTGGCATGTCAAGCTACCCGGGGCGAATCCATGGCATCATCGTAACCCGTCCCAGAGTCCAAGACGAAGCGCTGTCCTGTTACTCCTGTCAATATCCTCTTCCGCATCTCTTGTGACAGGTGAAAGAGGTAAGTAAGGTTACTGATTTTCTCCGTGACTCCGCGAGCGCGTGTCGAAGATGTAGAAAAGGGCCATGCTGGTAAGGTAGGTAGGTAGCGAGCCACCCTGGGTTGGTCTAGCTTTGCTCAGATAACGGGAACTAGAAATCATGACATAGTACCGTATTTGTAGTAGAAGCGTAACTTTATTCGAAAAGCGTCGCCAGATACACCACCTTCTCCGACGCGTTTCTGCTCATGTTAATGCTACTTCGGTTAATCTACTGCGTCTGGGACTAGCGAACTGTGAAGTTTATGAGACAGGTATAAAGTTCATTAACGTGAAGCAAACGATCCTCTTAGCGATGGGCTAATACTAAGCCCGGTAGCGCCTACGAAGATTTCGAGGTAGGGAGCATTGATGCCAGACTTCATTGAGAACGCCATAGCTGCTGACAAGGCTGTGTAGCAAGGGTCCGTAGAAAATGAATACCAACACACGTGGATTAACAGTAAAAGTTGTCATGTTCGGCTAGAAAAGCTACTAGTAGATTTATCCCCAAGTCAGACTTGTCAGGGTGTGATTACCGAATGTAAATGTGGCCACCGTCGCGGTGGAAACCAAGTAGCGTTTAGCTACCAGGTAGGATCGTCTGTTTACTCGCTGCCATCTCTCCTCCAAAATGGCGATCATGGATTTTCGTCTCCTTTAAGTTGCTGTGACTTACTCAGCTCATAGACGGCCCACCCAATCACCTGGTAGGGTCGATCTTGGCACTGGCATCGGGCGACATTTGTTACCTACCTAGGGACCTACCTACCTTACGCAAACTTGCAGAACGGAGTAACGGTCGAGTCAATCACTGACGGCCTGAAATGCAGTTAGATTGACTACCTTGCCTAAGTAAGGTAATTATAACGCATGGTCAATGGACACCTCCGAGGGGTAAGATGGGGGTGAAGTGAGCGAGTACTGTATGCATGTACAGCACACGAGGTACTTGTATCACCTACATTACCTTAGGTGAGGTCTGTGTATAACATAGGTAGTACTAGTAGAGGCAGATTGACACAATGTAGACTCCGAGTCATTACAGCAGCGGCGAGCTGAAGCCCTTGTCTTATTTTATTCCACTATGTACCAATCCCTTCCCATGGCAGCACCAACACTTAGTGGGTAACGGGTATACGGCATTGATCCTTCCTACCTACCCTAGCACAAACACACCTTAGTATCTCCATCCCTTGCGTACCTAGGTAGGTACGGATAGGTATCTTAAGTTTTCTTTTCAACCCCCTCTAGCGAGCAGGTTCAGCGCGCTCCCGGCCAGAATAAACCTCGCCTGGTCCGCGCTAACGGCATGCTTGACGGGGATGAGCACCTCCTCGCCCGTCGCCCGCCTCTTGACCTTCAGCTTCACCTCGCCCCGGGCCCCGTTCCGCAACATGTCGTACAGCCCGACCGTCTCGACCTCGTCGCCGGCCCCGATGCGGTCGTAATCCCCCTGGTCCGCAAACGTGAGCGGCACGACCCCCTGCTTCTTGAGGTTGGTCTCGTGGATGCGCGCGAAGCTCTTGCACACAATGATCCTGGCGCCGAGGTAGCGCGGTTGCAGCGCGGCGTGCTCGCGCGCCGAGCCTTCGCCGTAGTTGTGCTCGGCGACGACCAGCCATGGCTGGCCCAGCTCCTTCCAGCGGCGCGCGAGCTCGGGGATGGTGAACTTCTTCTTCTCCTCCTCGCCGCTGCTTCCGCCGCCGGCATAGTCGTACGCGGCGTTGACCTCGCCCGTCTCGGCGTTGACGGCCGTGTTGAGCGTGTTGGCGCTGATGTTGGGCAGGTGGCCCTTGTACTTGAGCCAGGGCCCCGCGGCCGAGATGGTGTCGGTCGTGCACTTCCCGGACACCTTGACCAGCACCCGCAGGCCGGTCAGGTCCGATTCGGGGAAGGGGTCGAACGGCTCGAGCAGGGCGAGGCGTTCGGACGCGGGCGAGATGGCGACCCGCACCGAAGGGTCGGGCGGCTGGGAGGCGACCGAGAAGACTTCCTTGCCTTGCTCGAAGGGCGTCTGCGGGCCCTCGAGCCCGCGCGGCGCGGGGAAGCGGAACTCCTTGCCGTCCGGGGTCGGGATCACATCGGTCATGGGGTTGAAGGTGGTGGAGCCCGCGTAGGCCATGGCGGTGACGACCTCGGGCGAGGCGAGGAAGTTCATGGTTTCCAGGTTGCCGTCGTTGCGGCCGCGGAAGTTGCGGTTGTAAGACGTCAGGATGGCGTTCGGCGTGCCCTTCTGCACGCCGTCGTGGCGCTTCCACTGGCCGATGCACGGGCCGCAGGCGTTGGAGAGCACGATGCCGCCGGCCTTGGTGAAGGTCTCGAGCGTCCCGTCTCTCTCGAGCGTCGCGCGGATCTGCTCGCTGCCGGGCGTGATGTAAAAATCCGCCCTGGGCTTCAGGCCGGCCTTCTCAGCCTCCCGCACGATGCTCTCGACGCGGGTCATGTCCTCGTACGAGCTGTTCGTGCAGCTGCCGATGAGGCCTGCGGAGAGCTTCTCCGGCCATTGCTGCTCCCGCACTGTCTTCTTGAACTGGGACAGCGGCGTGGCAAGATCTGGTGTGAACGGACCGTTGATGTGCGGTTCGAGCTTCGAGAGGTCAATCTCGATCAGCTCGTCGTACTGCGCACCCTCGTCGGCCCCGAACTTGAAGAAGGCATCGTCGGCGGCGCCAGCGCCCGGGAAGTTCTGGAAGAGCGCCGCGTTTCTGGCGGCCTGCTCCCTCCGCGTCGCCTTCAAGTACCGGCTGGAGGCTTCGGTGTAAGGGAAGATGGATGTGGTGGCGCCAATCTCAGCGCCCATGTTGCAAGCCGTGGCCATGCCTGTCAGGCTCAGCGTCTCGACGCCAGGGCCGAAGTACTCGACGATGTAACCGGTCCCGCCGCGGACGGTGAGAAGCCCGGCAAGGTGTAGAATGAGATCCTTAGGGGCCACCCAGTCGTTCAGCTTGCCCGTCAGCCTGACACCCAGAATCTTGGGCGCCTTCAGCTCCCAGGGAGCGCCGACAAGCGCCTCCACGGCATCTGCCCCCCCCACCCCGATTGTGATGGTGCACATCCCGCCGGCATTGGGCGAGTGACTGTCCGTGCCCAGCATCATCAGGCCCGGCAGCGCGTAGTTCTCCAGCACCGTTTGGTGGATGATGCCCGCACCGGGGGGCCAGAAGTCGATGCCGTATTTCTTGGCCGCGGACTCGAGGAAGTCAAAGACCTCCCGGTTCGTCTGGATCCCCGCCGACAGGTCGTCGTCAGCACCGCGCTCGCCCACGATCAGGTGGTCGCAGTGGATGCTGGCCGGGATGGCGGTCTGCGGCAGGTTGCAGGACATGAACTGCAGGAGCGCCATCTGCGCCGAGGCGTCCTGCATGTTTACGCGGTCGGGCCGCAGCTTGAGGTTGGCCTTGCCGCGGATGTCGCGCCCATCGTTCGTGTTGGAGAGCAGCGACTCCTCGACGTTGTCCAGGTGGCTGTACAGGATCTTCTCGGCCAACGTTAGCCGCTGCGCGCCCAGCACCCGGCGGACCTCCGAGTACTTGTTGTAGAGCTTCTCGTACGTCGGGGGCAGCAGCGGCCCGTTCGAGTATGGTCGCGTGATGGCGATTCGGCGGAGCTGCTGCGCTCGGAAGGCCCTCTTGCGTGTCTCGTTAGTGAACTGCTGGAAACCGTTTGGCCTGAACACCAATACACACCTTCAGGGCAGCGCCCGACCGGCCGGCGAGATCAATTGGCCTCATGTTTGAGTGGCCCGGTGAGTCTGCTGGCGGGGTTCACTGAAGAGGGAAAGAAAAATTAAGGACTTTGCGCCATTCGTCAGACTGTCAAGGGTCCGATCGCGGAACCGAGAATCCGGGGAACCGGGGGCGGGCGATCAAGGAAGGCTTGGCATCATGCTAAGATCTTAAACCTATCACAGCCGGACCAATTCAAATCAGCTCCTGGTATTGAACTTTTCAACTTCTCTCCGCAAATTGCAATGCAAACGACGCCCCCCAAAAGCCATCCTCTTGCCGGGAAAGTGGGACACGGATCGGGTGGAACGTACGGCAAGCCGGTCAGCTTATGCTTCACTGCACTGAGGGGTTATGTGTATCCGTACTCGGTACCTGTATGCTATATACTATAGTATGAATAGTAGGTACATTGGTCATCGCAAGGCAAAGGATGACCTAGTGCGCAATTCATGTGACGGGATCCCAGCTTTGGATAGACTGGGGATATATCCACCCAGCAAGTCGTCGTTGTCTCCTCAATTCCTATGCGTCCGAGCAAGAGACTCGCCATAAACATTCAATCCAGCTGCCCGTGAGATAGACATATATCCCCGCAGGTCCCGTTCCATAAAAGGAGCCCACAGTAGTAGAACCTTGGGGCCTTTCCCCATCCCATGCAACGCCTACAAGCAAGCCTGTACCATTGTATCCCGCCAGAAAAGCCGAGCGAGGATGAGGTAATGAAAAGCCCAGAAGCAATGAGCGCAACTCAATCCGGAGCGGTTCGATCCCGCGCACATAAGCCACATCTGATCCGCACACTCCCTTCCTAACCAATCCACCTCCCTCATCTAAACCGACCCTTCGTCGTAAATGAACTCATCCTACGAAGTCCGCAGTCTCTTCGCATCCGGCTCAGACGGATTTCCTCCCGCAGCCCCCACCCCAGGGAACGGGTTATTCGAGACGTCCTCCAGCGGCACCCTCGCCACGCCACCACCGTTGTGTCCAGGACCAGAAGAATCAACAGCTGCAGGCCTCTTGACAGTCAGCGGCCGGAACTGCCCGCGGTTCCCGACCGGACTGGACGAGATAGGAGGCGCGCCGATCCGTCTTGTCTGGTCCAGCTGTGGGTTCACAACATTCCCTGGTCCCGGTCCCGGTCCCGGTCTCCCATTCTGCACGACTGGCCGACTAGGACCGGAGCCGGCAGCTGCGGCGGGTTGTTGTTGTTGTTGTTGTTGTTGTTTTGGTTGTTGTTGTCCGCCCATGGCACCTGGTTTGATTGGCGCGGCAGTCGCGCTGATGTCCGGGTCATTCACGTCATCGGCGATACTTATCCTCGGTGGGACGTGCTGGCCGCTCTTGGTCACCGGTCTGCTCGTCCTGCGGTCTACGCCTGGCGTCCGGCGGATGGACGGGCTTTCGTAGTGAGGGTTAAAAGCTTGGTCTGCTTTGGGGGCTATCGTGCCATGGACCAGGATGTCTTCCGGGATCTGTTTCACGGCTCGGGCGGAAAAGAAGTCGCCAGGTTCTTTCGTAGGTGCCGCGCTGTTGTTTCCAGCGGCTTGTGGAGGTACCTTGTGAGCTTGAGCGTTCTGATTCTGGTTCTGGTTCTGATTCTGATTCTGGTTGGCACTATTGGACTGAGCCGCTGGCCTGTTTTGGTTGAATTGCTGCGGAGGCCGTGGACCCTGAGGAGGACCACGGTTCTGTGCCCCGGGGAAGTTGTTGGAGTTGGGCCGCGGTGGTTGCTGGACTGGCGTCTGTGGCGCCTGTCGAGGAGGGTTGCTGCCTGCTGAAACTGACCTCGCTAACTGTCTTGCTGGGGGCTGCATAGACTTGTTTCCGGCATTGCCAGCTTGGTTACGGCTACTGTTCGACGCACTGGACTGATTTGAGTATGTCTCACTCGAGTTAGGTAGGAGAACCTCGTCTGGATGGCCCTCATCAGAAATGTTGAAGTCTGCCTCGTCCAGCTCTAAGAAGGAGTGTTAGCCGAGTATCAGAAATCAGTCGTTGTCTTGATCAACCGTTACCTCCCAGGAAATCCTCGAATGATTCTGCACTTGGCACTGTCTCCGATATTAGCCTGAGCCCTCCCCCAGAGACATCTTGCACGGGCTTACACTGCGGCGGCGCCTGCTGCGGCGCACTCGTCTGCTCCTTGGACACCTGATTCACCACCGGATCCGTCTTGACAACGAAATCGGGATGCCGATGTAAACCGCTCTCATCAAACTTTACTGGCGCGGCCTTCATCTTGGTGACCTTTGCCAGGTATGCCTTGTCGTAGATGCAGTTGCCGAGCACATTTCCAAACTGCCTCAGCGCCCGCTTCAGCGCGTCTGTGGTTGCTTCTTTCTTCGCTTTCTCGTATGCAGCCGCCTTCCCCCTGCCGTTCTCAATGTGGCCATACCCGATGTCCTCATGGTATGTGCCGTCGCGCAGCGTGACCCGGACGATGACGGATAGGCCGATGTTGACCTTGAACGTGTTCGGCTCCACATCGCAATAGTCCAGCTGGAGGTTTACGATGCTCGATGACCATCCGTTGAAGCCAAACACTTCATTGGCAAGCGCAATGCACTTCTCGGCGCCGATGTAGTAGACCTTTTGGCCATTGTGGCCAGGGCGTGATGAGAGGTACTCCGGGCCGAGCTGCTTCTCGAGTCGGCTCTGGAGTGTGGCAATCTCCTGGGCAGTGTACTCGGATATGCGCTGCTTGGGTTCCTCAAAGGGGTTGGGAATGCTAGTGTGCTGGTCGCCGGGGCTGCGTTGCGCGTTGTCAGTATCAAGCTATCAACTCGAGGTGAGGACCTGGTTCGCGCATTGATGTCACGCGCGCGATAGTGACGAACATACGCAGGCATTTCGGCGACGTGATGAGAGGCGCTCTCTCATAGAACGGAGGGCAGCGGTGACAGAAAATTCAATAGCTTCAAATCCCAGCCTCTCGTCGGTCTGGGCGCTCCTTGGGCTTCTGCCTGGGCTACGACAAGATGCCTTGTGTCAATACGCTACATCAGGGTATGTAAGGTACCGAACCGTGTCGGGCAACGCGCAGGTGGAAGCTGCCATACGCGCTGTGGGGCTCATCCCGGACAGGCTGTCACGTGAGTGATTGCGTCAACCTCGGAACAATTACTGTGTAAATCACTGAAGAATCATGCAAGTAATCCACAGGTTGAACCAAAGTAAAGATTCAACCGCCGTTTTCTCAGATAAATATTGGGTATGTCTCGGTGAAGGCAAGAAAACGGGAATGGTGCTTGAATATGCTGCCAATGGACCCCCACCCTGAGTTGGAAGTTGCAGATCGTTCATGTCACTTGCAAGTTGCAACTTCAAGTCCTTAACGCATGACAAGCGGGCCCAACTGAAGGTCGAGGGACCAGTTGTTCTTACTTTCGCTCACCTACCTATTTTCTTCCATGCCGTGGACTTGAAGAGCGGCCGGGAATAGCTGCAGCTCCGCCTAGAACTCGCGCTACGCAAACTGAAGAGATGCCAGAATCGTGCCCACTCGCTGGATAACGGAATTGGAACAACTCAACCCAGAGACCGGGAGGGCCCCTTGTGTCGGACGTCGGCCGCATGTGTAACAGGTAGCTGGTGCGCCAATGGACTCTAATCCAGGGTTCCATGTGAGCACCGAGACGGCAATGAGAGAATAAAGCGATACCAAGAACACACGTCGTCGCGGCGTTTAAGTTCGACAGGGATCGCCTCCAAGAGCACCCAGCAACGTTGTTATACGCGCATCAAGAGACCCCATACACACAACATACAAAACCCAGACGCTTGGCCTCCCCATCCCGCCCGACCGAGCCCTTCGTATAGGAGGGAACATGATGACGCCATCTGGAGTGCGAATACATAGGAAATGGTAACGATGGATATCCGAGGTAAGAGAGAAGATACAAACGCCTTTAGGCAAATACCCCCAACTCCCCAGGTGTGCCCCGTTCGCTGCATGAACTGTGTTGGCTCGTTGTGGGGCTTCTCGTCGAAGAGAAAACCATTTGGACCGCTATCGACCAGTAGATAAGATGAAGTGGGCGTTCCTGTCCATGGCGGCTCTATCTCTGCCACGGACCGACGCGTACAGGGGCGCCGTACGTGTTGTTCATGAGTTGATTGAGGATCGAGTTTGGGTCAGACAGCTTCGAGGTGGGCGGTGCGCTTGAGTTTGAGTTGCCGATCCATCCAACTTCGCTCGACATCACATTCATTGCCTGTTCCAGCTTTCCTCCCGACTGTTGATTATGCTTGGCCAATCGCTGGTCCCATCCACCCCTAAGCAAAATGATGCCCCCTCCTCTTTTAGCCGCCTCAGTGATAACCACAGCCCATGCACACGAGATTTCGTCATATGCATTGTCCTTATGGTGTCGGTGTGGTCGGGTCTCCCAGTCGGGCAAATCATGGATTAGTTTTGTCACAGCATCCAGATATTGTAATGAGACGCCTGCCTGTTGTTCGACGGGCGGAAGGAACTGCGGTGTGAAGTCCGAGATGGCATCGACAAGTGCGACAAGTGGTTGCTTGACTCGGAAATATATGTAGTCGGAACTCGACTGGCCGAAGGGAACGGCGGCTCGCAGCTTCTCCTGGTATTCGCCGAGTACCTGGAGCGCCGAAGCGACGGAAGGCCGCGGCGCACTTGTCACAACCTCCTGACCAATATCTGGGTGGCGCTCGCAGATTGTTTGTAGGACTGTTCGCAGCTGTGCGTTGTCCAGTGTCTCGAGGAGTCTTGGCAGCGATAAGGGCCGGCCCGACATGTCTCTGACCCCTCGCACTTTCTTCGATGGTCTTGCAAGCTGTCTAGAAGACGTCGCAGGCGAGCTTAGCGGTGAGACCGACATCTCTTCGTTTTCGTCATCCGCCTTTCGCTTCCTGGAAGCCATGGTGTACTGCGACGCTGCCGAAAGGTTAGTAAGCCTGGGCTGCCTGGCTGCTTACGAGCTCACACCGCGAAATAGCCGCCTTCTATTTCTCGTCATGCGCCGACGAGTCCGATAGCGCCTACCCAAGGTGTTGACACAAAGACTATGGAGGGCAAAACTCACCAGGGAATGGCGGTGGGAGTCGGGCCGTTTCGTACTTGAGGGCAAAGATCGGGGGATGCGGCGATAAAAGGACGTTCATTTTCAGACGCAAAGACCTCGGGCGAGTTGTCGACGGGCCGGCCTATGTGCATACAAATGTCAAGCCGCCAAATTGCCAATGTCGAGCACGAAATGGAAGGGTTGTTCCTGTGGAGGAGTTCTGGGAAAATGGGGGGTGCGGCGAAAGCAGCAACTTGCAAGGAACCATCCAGTGATTCCAGGCGACCAGGTTCCGGTGCTTGGCCAGTCATGTGTTGTTGTGGAAGAAGTTCGGTGAAGTGGAGCAGATGTGCTGTTGCTGGGTAGGTAGCTTTTCTAACCGAATTGGGTAGTTAGAGTACGTAATGATGACGCTCTAGCTGCAAATAGCAAACAGAGCTGCGTCGTCCTTTATTATTGTTAGTGTAGCTAGCAGCTCTCCCTCGCTTAGCTTTGTCCGGCAATGGTCGGGTGTGCGTTTGGGTATCAATTCGCCCCGCCACCCTTGTCCATTTGAACTTATGCAAAGTGGTTCCTTGGGCTTTGGTCGTGCCGCGTGGCCGAAGACGCCTTACCTAGGTACTCCGTCCTACTATTCAGTTACTACCTATGGAATCGAAGCTCATTCGAGCACAAGAGTTACCGGGTTGCCGAGGGCATTGCGAATGTGATAGGTGATCCCTTGCATAATGTTGCTTGGCCACCACAATGTCATGTACAGTAAAGTTAAGGTACAATACGTAAATCTGCCCGCTACTTATCACTGCCCTGGATGCTTGCCTCAGAGGTTGTCCACTGTTCGAAATACATGGCCTTTTTTATGGCATATACTGGTATTTTGGCCATCAATCCTGCTGTGTCGCGCAAAACTTCCGCCCATCCATACTTCGGCCTTCCCTATCCATGTTAAGTCTTGAATGACGGCTGGACTGGAACCGATTGCCCGTGAAGGGTAGGTGGTGTCCCATGAGACATGATCAGGTGGCGGGCTCCCTTTGTCAGGTCCTGAGTAGTGGGAGAGACACAGCAATAAGAGATCCCCTGTGAAAGGAGAAATAACAAGGAAAGGACCACCAGCGAATTCAAGAATCGAGGCCCTGCCAGATCAGGGAGCGAATACCTAGACAGGAGCTAAGGGTTAGGGGCACCCGTTCTCAAGCAGCTTGTTGAGTGTCAAGATGCGAGTAGTAGATTTGCTAGGACATTGCAGCTTGTCATAAAAACAACGCTCGAGGTCAATGGCTCACAAAGCTTTCAACTTGATAAGATGATCAAGGGGCAACAGTTCACAAACTCTCAGCTTGGTAACCTGTCGCAATGTTCAAAGTATCCGGGGTGATTTTGGCGGGGCAGCTGGAATAACCCCGCCAGGAGCTAAGGTTACCACGCTAACTGAACGCTAAAATTGGAACAATCGCTTATCACTTATCAAGCTAGGAGTTGGTGAAAAAAAATAGGGTACCTCGTAGATGCGTAGACATCGGATGCTTGGAATTCACGTCTGAAGCTTAGTCTCGCCATACCAGCGTCCATAATAAAGCTAGCTCAGAGACCATGGCAACAAAAACCCTGGAAGCAACCGCTCCCGAAGAGCAACAAACCGCCTCTTCCACCAAGAAGCGCAAGTCTGCTCTCACCGAAATCGAGGTCGATCTCTCGCTCCCGGAACCACCTTCCAAGAAGGCGCGCCGCGCCCTCAAGAAGGGCAAGACACTGCCCGCAAAGCCATCGTCAAGCGATGATGAGGACAACGAGAATACTGCCGCGGACGGCAAAGCTGAGGGAGGCAAGGACGGCAAGAAGAAAACGAAGAAGGAGCGCTCACCGTACGGCGTCTGGATCGGCAATCTCCCCTTCACTACCACCAAGGCCGACCTGCGCAAATGGCTGGTCGACAATTCGGGCGGATCCATTACCGAAGAGTCCATTACGCGCATACACATGCCGACGACGAAGAAGCCCGTGGTAGGAGCCGGGCCGAAGAAAACGGCATCCGAGAACAGGGGCTTCGCCTACGTCGACTTCGCATCGTTCGACGCCAACGTCGCAGCCATAGCGCTCTCCGAGACCGAACTTAACGGGCGCAAGCTGCTGATCAAAGACAGCAAGAGCTTCGAGGGTCGGCCGAAGAAGGAGGAGTCCGCAGCCGCAGCTGACGCGGCGGAGGCCAAGGCCGCGTCATCATTAGAGACCAAGGGCCCCTTCAGCGGCAGCACCAAGATATTCGTGGGCAACCTGTCGTTCAACACGACCGAGGACGACCTGCACGCACACTTTGAGAAGTGCGGCAAAATCCGGTGGGTCAAGGTGGCCACGTTCGAGGACTCCGGAAAATGCAAGGGATACGGCTGGGTCAACTTCGAGGAGCCCGAGGCAGCATCGTGGGCGGTGAAGGGGTTCGTCAAGGTGCGCGAGACGGTCGAGACGTTGGAGGATTTCATGGACGAAGACCAGAAGCCCGCAGAGACGGAGGCGGAGGCGGAGGGTGACGGCGACGCGGCCAACGACTCAGGGGAAGAAAAGGCGAAGGAAGAGTCTGATTCTGACTCCGACGCCGAGTCCAATTCCAACTCAGACCAAGAAGCAGAGAAGAAGCCAACGCAACCCAAACCCAAAAAGACCACCACTACCACCCCGAAGAAGGAGCCACCCCGAACCCGCACGCGCAAATGGTGGGTCAACCAGCTGCTAGGCCGCAACCTTAAGATCGAGCTGGCCGAGGATGACCAGACCCGCTACCACAAGCGGTTTGGCAAGGGCGCCAAGAAGCACCAGGAGCAACAGCAACAGTCCAGAACCAAGAGGGAGCAAGAGAACGGAGAGCAAGCCAGCGGCGCGGGGGGCGCGGGGGACAACAGCTACAAGAAGGAAAGGAAGAAGGAAGTCAAGAAAGAGGCCAACTACCAGACGGATATCAGCGTCGCTCGGCTGACGGGTGCGGCGGTTGCGCCGCAGGGCAAGAAGATTACTTTTGACTGAGTGTGAATACAGAGATACCCTAGCTTGTGGGTGGTGGCGAGCTGGGGTTGAAGCTCCCGTCGGTTCAGGGGGAAGGCATGTTGAAATTGCTGACTGGAAGTCCATGTCTGCCAACATATCATCGATATTTCACGGCTTACTACATCTGTAATGTGTGTGTGTTGCTGTTCGTCCCGGATACCCTGCCTGTAGCTACCATGAATACACTAGGCCATCAAGGTCGTGCATGTAAGGCTCAAGTAGAACGCGAACATCGATTTCATGTTTCCCTGGCCTGCGGCCCTAGCTACGGGAGATAGATGTCAATCTGAGAGAAGTACATTCGTGACACACTCAAGCAAAAGCAGACCTGTACAAGGAAAGTGGGGAAAAAGACAAAACAAATCCTGCGAAGGCAAAGCCATCGCGTGGTCGTCCAAGACCAACTTGAGCGTTCACACCCCGACAGAGTCGGCAGACGTGATCGTCCAGCCGGAAAATATCCGCCTTTCAGTTTTCACCGTCCTGTTGATAATCGGATCTTCGTACGCCCCATCCGGCGCAAGGCCTCTCAAGAGGTGATCGGCATCTTTCAACCCGGCGCATTGGTGTGCGCCAGTTGGATGGTCAGCTTCTTGTCGCCCAGTCCCGTGGTACCTGCTGCGTTGAAAAGCGAGTACGAGAGAAAAGGATAATCAGGAAAGTAAAGAGAAAAGAAAAAGAAGTGGGGGAAAAAACGAAAAGAAAGAGCAAAAACCATGACCATTTCCCATGCCCACGAACCCAAGCCAAAGAATCCTTTTGCCCCAATCCCTATCCCTAAATTACCCGCTCACGCAAGGCCAGATGCAGAAAACCGCGAAGCAGCATGCCTCCGTCATACCTTGGCTGACTCCTTATTTCCGGGCCACGCTATTACCCACGAATTCGTCATCGGAGGCAGTAAGGACGTCGTACTCCTCGTCAGTCGAGAAGCCGCTTTCGTCAATGTCGTCTTCCTCCCACTCAGGGTCCTCGCAGTCCTCGAAGTCCTCAGAATGCTCGTCCACGCCCACACCGTCGGCCTCAGGCTCGACAGCCTGGTCAGAAATCGGCTCAGCCTTGATCTCCTCGTGCACGCTGGCGACGGGCGATTCTTTGTCGAGCTTGGGAAAGATCATCAGGCTGTGCTCAGGCCGAAGCTCGGGCTCAGGCTTGATGACCTTTGCCTCGTTCTCCTGCTGCTTCACGGGTTCCTCAGCCGCCGGCGGCCGGGGAACGGGCTGCGACTCCTCGACGACAATGTCGCACCAGAGACGATGGCCGAACCGGAAGCCATCCTTGGTAGTCAAACGCCAATTTGACACGAAGCGGCCGCTGCGGCGAGGGGCTCGCAAGACCACGTTGAATCTGAACTCCTCGCCGGGCTGAACGGGCTTGTGGCAGAGGGCAGATTCGCACGATGAGTCCAGATCCTTTGAGGCGGCCGGGTGCTCAGAATCAAGCTGACCCATGTAATCTCCACCAACAAACTTGATGAAGCAACCAGCCGGCCACGCGACATTGCCATCGTTGCGAAGGAACCAACACTGCTCGAACACGTCACCAGGCGCAAAGACGGTTCCGTCAGGGACTTCGTCTCGCACAAACGTGGCAACGAGAGCATCGGTTGTAGCGGGCTTTGAGGTACCAATCATCGAGTCCTGCATCATTTCACTGAGACGCTTGATTGCCGTCTCAATCTTGGCAGGCTCGACCGTCCTCTCAGTCTTGGCGGGCTCGACCGGCTCTTGGTTGACGACCGTCTTAACCTCGCCAATCAAAAATGAAGACCGCTCGCTGTCCCGGCGCGTGGGAGCAGCCGGACGAGGCCGGCGTAAACGGTCACCCATGATGGGCATAGGCCGGCCATTCTCGTTCTCACCAGTAGTCGTCACGTTCACGTGGCGCACCGGAGTCTTGAACTTGATCAAGGGGTGAGTGCGGTTATGGGTATTCGCGGGGCTCGCCTCGCAGGAGGCGCAGAAATCGGTGTCGTCGCAAACGGCACATTTGTAGCGGTCACCGATAATGTAGTTCGACCCAGAGGTGCTGCGGCGGTTCGTGCACAACGGGCCGTCGCAGTAAATGTGAGGATGGACGACGTTCATGCGGGCTGCATTACCCAGCGGCTCATAGATCGGTGCGAAACGATGGCCAGGGTGGATGTAAGGAGCATTCACCACGCAGCCAGAGCAGTAATCCCAGTCAGGGCAGTTCAGGCACTTATGGCGCACGCCCTCGACTCGTTTATCGCAACCGTCGCAGATGACGGGGTGCGGTTGTCCACGGCCAGCGGAGAGACGGCGGACGACCTCTGCCTCCAACGTGCTGGACTCGACAACTGGCACAAAGGTATGCCCGGGGTGGTGGCCATGGCGGTCCTTAGCGAAGCAGGCCTTGCAGAGATCATAGTCAGGGCAGTCCTTGCAGTGGACAAACTCGGCGTCGGGGAACTCCGTGACGCAGCAGTTGCATGTACGGATGCTGGCGCGGAACGCCAGAGGCCCGTCGAGGAGCGTACGGCCCATTATCTCCCGAGCAGGCGGGGCTGGAGTCGAGACGTTGTCGGTCTGAGGCTCGGGCTTCGGTTTTGGCGCCAGGCGATCGGTTGTGCTATTGATGATTACACCATTCTGGACGAAACGCTTGATCAGCCAGTGGTTCGGTCCCTTGCATGTGACACCCCGGTCGACACAATCCTGGCATAGGTCGAAGTCACCGTCGTCACAGGTGGAGCAATGGTAATGAGCGTTGGGAATGGTGCGGTCGCAGCTGTTGCAGCAGACACTGTAGTTGACACGGGCCACGGGGCCGGGCACAGTCCAGACCGGCGCACAGTGTGCATCGCGCATTGTCAGCGGGGAATTGACCGCCAACAGATTGTCCAGTTGACAAAGTAGCTCTTGCTCTGTAGTCGTCGATTCATTGTCGACGGTGGTCTTGGGTGCATCCTTAGCGCTGATGCCCTCAGATGTGGTAGGTACATTCGTCGAGTTCGAGTCGCTGGTTGGCGCGGCTTCCCGCTCGATATCAGTGGGCTCAGCACTGGTGCGGGTCTCTTCCTCGGGTTCGTTCGTAGCCTGAGTCGACTCGGGCTCCGTCTCCTCTTCAGTCTGGCTTTCCTTGGGCGTCGTCGTGACGCGGAACTTCAGCTTCAACTTCGCCTTAGCAGCGCGCTTGAGCTGCTTGTACGCCGGTACGTTGGCTTGGTTTAACACCATGTAGCCTTGAAGCGAGTCGGACCACCGCTCGATGAGGGCGTCCTTATCATCAGGGATGTCTAGCGCCGTACGCATCTGTCATACGTTAGTAACTTAATTTGATACCGGAGCTGCCACGATCTTCGGCATGAGACCAGATCCCGTGTAGAAAAATCATGACGCACCTTGCCCTCGAGCACATTTATGCCCACATCGCTAAGCGGCAACTTGAAACGGCGAGCAGCGCCGTCGATGGTCACCTTGCAGGTGACCATGGTGGGTTGGGGACCCTCTGTATTGCACTGGGATTCCATGGTGCCGATAACCAGTAGCTATGGTCACTAGTTGGGCTATTGTTGAGACACCGGCTTTTCCGGTGTCGATATGGGCAGGTAAGCTGATGGACGATGATGACAATGACGATATGAGGCTGCGGAGGCAAACGCGGAACACAGGGAACCGGTGATGCTCGCGAGCGAGTTTGATCACTCGCTACTTGTGTTGGCCTTTTTGATAGCCGCAACAAACAGGGTAAAGTTTCCGTGATTGAGTGCGTTAATACGCTGAGATTCAAATTGTGTCCCCAGGGTTGGGAAGGATGGGAGTTGGTGGACGGTTGGAAGAAGCGGCTGCAGCTTGTCGAGCGAGGAGATGGGGTGGTAATATGGGCGGCACGGGCCAACTAGCGCTACAGTGCGCAGAGTGACGACACTGGGGTAGCGTTGACCTCGCACTGCTAGGTTCCGCTCACCGCCAGCTTGCCTCCCTGCCGTTTCGCCTCACAATCAACTGCATCTGCGTTGAGATTGGCAGACTACCTTACCACATCTCAAATACACATACACAGAAGTCACAGTGCCGCACACCCAGTAGCGGCCGCGATCCATGATTGCCTCACGCTTCTGTGGTCCAGCTTAAGCTTGCTGTCACCTTGGAGGGGTGGAGCAAGTGCTAACAAAGCATCGGTAACTTTCACTTCCCCATCAGATTGCCCGACGTAATCCATCTGCTGCCTACCGATCCGATCGGAATAGCGCAGACAGAAGCGTTAAGTAGGTACCTTAGGTATGTGTCGACCTTGTACTGTAGGAGGTTATCCCCGCTCCCAGTTGTTTCGAAAACTCACCTACACTAGGTACCTGTGTAAGTAGAGGACATGGGAGGCACGAAGCTGGCGTGTCCGTCTGTAGGTACTACCCTAATAACTACCAGTACCTGATCTCCATAGGATGCCGTCGTTCGCTCTTGTGTATGCGAATACTGCTCACCTTGGCTTCCAAGTTCCTCGAGGCGCTGCCCCCTTTACCTCTGCTTCCGGCTTTCTAAGAAATGGGCGAAAGAAGTGCGATCTGGAACCGCGATACCATTGCCTTGTTAGTGACATCCAGGCCAGACTCAAGACGGCTGACGCAAGTCCCTCACGTGGGGCCTGGGGAGGTGCATTGGGGCCATTTTGGTGGCAAGCTTACCCGTGTCCTACCCCACCTTCATCGCGCATTTGATCAGCAGCTCGGAATCTGGAGCGCGAGAGCGCGTAGCAGGGCGTCGCCTCTTTAAGTTTAGGTTTCAGTTGGCTAGGCGCAGGATTACGTATGGAGCAACCTGTGGTGATGTTCTGAGATTTACGTCGCTGTTTGCACCGCTCTGATTCATCAAGTCGGCTGGTGTTTGCTTCTGACCTTCACCAATCAGTCTCAAGAGCGCAGCGTTGGTTCCAGCACTGGATTCATCAGAGCCTTGCGTTGTGTGGTCGTCCTCGGAGGAAAGGAGCTCAAGAGGAGATCGTTCCAAGATTTGATCGGGCCCATCTTGATTACCTAACCTTCCCATAACAACCATCTCCGCCTATTCAAAGACCGATCGAGATCTGACATCTACATGTAATACCGAAGAGAGCGGAAGGGCACGGCTTATTATCGATGGCGGCAGCTATACGTACGCATCCGTGCGGCTTAGGAGTCCAGTTGCCATCCGATGGGTTGACCTGCCGTCGGGAATAGCGGGCTATCATAGGCTTTCTCTCGCGGGAGGTCGACGTCAGTTTCTTGCCTGACCACATCATCACCTTTGACGTTGCCTCGGAGCGATGCTGTCGCCGTACTCCCGATCCTGGCGACTTCCCCCACGGCCTCGATCACTCCGACTTGCCGTGTTCTAGATGGCGAACTACACGCAAGCCGTTTCAGCCGCCGTTCTACAGCGTCTCTTGGCGCATCTGTTGTGCGTGCTCCCTCTCTCCGCGTTACTGACAAGCATTATTCCAAGGAAGCCTCTAGATACCTGCCCTGAAATGCGTTGGGCTGTTGTCTGCTACCACCTGCCGGCTCGAGCCCCTCCCACGCCGCTGCTTCATGTGACACAGAGTGTTCTCGGATCACCCCGCGGTGGTACAGGTGTTCAAGTCTGCTAAGATGCGAACTACGATGTTTCTTGAGATGCCTCTGGAGATAAATCTCTCTTGGTTGGTTGTGGTGTAGAAGGAGCTTCGCCCTTCATGTCGTCTCCCCAACGAGAGTCTGCTCATAAATCGACAGCATGCTGGATAGAGCGAGGTGCACCGGTCCTAGCGTAGCCTCTATGCCGCCATTAATTATTCTAAGCTGCTTTGGAGAAATAGCTATGTCCTCATCATAATCGACAGATTTACATTAAGCTTCAATTACGGCCTCTATTCCACGGTCATCTGCCCAGTTCCCACGATAAATAAGGGCCCATCCTGTGTAGATCCGTCACTAACACCGCAGAATCTCGTCAGGAATCAATGATAGCCTCCAAGACCTCTCCCAACGCTGCCTCATCGTACTTCACCGCGCCCTTCTGGCCCGCACCGCCGCCAACCGCCTTCCCAGCAACCTTGACGCACTTGATGCCCAGCCTCTCCAGCTCGTCCACATCCACCGCCGGCCCTCCCGCAGCGCCGTCCAAATAAACCAAGTGACTCACGTACCTCCTGAGCAGCTCCTCCCTCCCGACCTCCGCCGGCGCGGTGCTCTCCACGCAAGCCCGCGCAATCGCGGCGACAAAGTCCCTAGCCGTCATGGGATTCGCCCGGGGCCCCGTCTCCCTGTCGATCCTGCTGTTAAGGATCAGGACGCGGTGGCGTATGCGACCCGCGGCGGCGCCCTCGCCGATGGCCTGGCCGACCTTGCGCAGCACCAGGCTCGGGATGATGCTCGTGTACAGGCTCCCGATGCTGTAGATGACGGTGCGCGAGCCGCCGAGCGCCTCGACCACCTTGGGGTTGGCCGTCGGCGCGATCTCGTGGCCGTACGGGTTGATGTACCAGAGGCGCTCGATGCGCGCGGGCAGGTCCTCCTCGTCGTGCTTGCTGAAGGCGATGTTGGGCCGGCGCAGGGCGGGCAACGAGCCCGGGAGGTTGGCGTCTTCGATGCGGTCGTGGTCGGCGGCCGTCAGGGCTGGCGCGATCTCGGTGTCGTCTGGGAGCGCGGTCGGGTAGGACGGGTGGCTGATGGCAACTTGGCCTGCGATGGTGCTGCCGTCGGTAAGGCCGGCCGAGATGTGGTGGGTGAAGTTGGAGTTGATAGCGGGGAGCACGGAGACGGAGGGCGGGATGGAGCAGATCATGGACAGGAGGTAGATGGCGGACTCGAAGGAGCCCGAGAAGATGCGGGCACTGACAGCCGGCACGTCAGCGGGTGAGCAATCTTGTATGGATAGATCTCTTGAGGTACCCACCCAGTAAGGAACATGTTGCCAATGCTGGCACCGGCAAAATTGAACACGTTTGGTGGCCGGGCCCTCTTGACGACCTCCAAGTTCAGAGTGTTGAGGACGGAGCGGATGAGCTCCCTTTTGGGGCTCGAGATGAAGCCCCATAACAGGGAGCGCGACTCGACGATGTCCAGCCACTCTGCTCGGGCTTTCAGGGGATCCGAGTCGAGCCGATGCTCGAAGAGCAGCTTGAGCGCCGACATCTCCTTGTCTCCCTCATGATTGGGAATGAGCCGGACCAGACGGCCTATATCAGAATTCAGAACCAGGCGATTAGATTGTGGTCCCCAGTCCCACACGTAGTCAACCGCTCCAACATCGAGACTCACTCCGGATATCGCCCACGCCTGCAAAATGGTCAGCGTATGCCGTTCCAGCTTTGAACACATTTCAGACATACTCGGCCCTCCGACAAACCTGATCAGCTCCGACGAGCTGCCGCCGTTGTCGCTAATGGGAATGACGTAGTTCAGGCGGCATCCCCGCCTCTGCACGATTTTGTTGAAAACATCCACGAGGCTATTTGCCGCGGTACCTTCAGGACGAATAGTTAGTCACTCATTCATGGTTTGATTCGTGGTGGATGGAATCTGGAATATGTTTATGTGCCAGCACCTCATCATGCACATACCTCCCGAGAAGACGGTAATTGCCCCCTGCTTGGTCTCGGTGTGCCCGTTTACGTTTGTGTCGTCAAGAGTAGCTGAAGCCATGAGAACGTCGAAGATATATAGGGAGTGAAGCGAGCGATCGGACCCGACGAGGATTGTTAGAGGTTGGCGTTGCTGTGGTGAACCCCTGACTGATGTTGCTCTACCTAGGCACCTACACTTACAAGACGAGTCTGTGGGATTTGTAGCGTTGCCGGGGCCACCAATTTAGGTAAGACCGACACCGAGCGGTGGTAAAGAGCGGCGCCGAACTCTTCCCAGCCACATCCATTCAACGTGTCAACTTCGTATCATCATTCCTTCAATTCTCGATGAAACAAAGGATTCATTTCCGAGTCACTAAGTTCTGAACACGCTGCTGAATTCCGGACGGAAACCAGTACGATGATAAAAGTCACCGGCAAATCTACGGAGATTACAATCACTAACACAGTCACCCTGACTGAGGCTGTGATGCACATCAATCTCGCCGTTCCAAAATGAAATCAAACTTTATTAGCTGGATAACCTGAAGTTGGATACAAAAGACCACGTTGACACAGTAAAACCCCCATACTAACTTACAAACAACGAAAGTGCAACGTCAGCTCCTACGTGGCCTCAACTTTTCCAGCCGCCCGTTAATGAGGATGAGTACCTTAGCTTCCATCACGGTCAAACAGCAATGCCCAGCACTGACACGGGAAAGCCAACTGGCACGAAGACAAGCACCTAGTATGGCAGACAAGTCCACAATACTACATTGCTTTTAGTACGCCGGAGTACCGTAATCAAGCAAAGCACCACCTCAAGCCAGAAAGAGCAGCGCCGCCTATGATTCCGCAGAAGCCCAAACCCAACCCAGCCAAAAAAAACTTGTGAACCTCGATTGGGGGAGCCCGGTATCAGACCCAGACACCGTTACCGTTCGCAGTTCCAATGCCATGCTTAGCTGGAATTGACCATTGAACAGTAATAAAGGAGAAGAGGCAGACAGGAAACCTGAACACCTCCAACACCGCCAGTGCCATACAAATCAAAGAAACTAGGAAAACAGAGAGGATGTCATTGAGCAGGAGGATCATGTTAGACGAAAGTAGTCTTCCTTGCGTTGTCCTCCATAGACGAAGTCGAATTGCAATTTGGACCTTGCCCCTCGATGCAATCCAACAAAAAGGAGAGACAAATGAGAAGCCCCTCGAGCCATGAGCAAAGCGACGCAAAATGCAGCATTATCATGAGAGCATTAGCAGAAGCAGCAGCAGCAGTAGAAGTAAAAAAGAAGAGACAAAGGAAAGGGAAGGAAATAAATGAAGGGGCGTTCACCCAAAAAACAGAACGGAAAGACCTGAGTTCCCGAAGCAACCAAGCACGATAACTACCTAGTCATCCATACACCCAAGCAACCAGATAGTCAGACGATAAAAAGGAGATTGAAGACAATGCTTGGTGCAAGAACCAACTGCAACCCTCGAGTAAGGATGGTAAGACATGGTAAACCAAAGGACGGACTTTAAAGCTTCTTCCCTCTTACCCGCCGCCACCACACCATCCGTCGTGGCATTTCTCCATTCCACAACGGTAAGCAACATCCCCTCCTCTTCAGCGAAAACCAAGTTGAACAAACAAAGCAAGAGAGGCGGCTGAGCGAGATGATGAGGATGAACAAAACGAGCTGGTTGCGCGAACCCGTCGTAACTCTGTGATTAAAGGAGGTAGACGTAGGATAGGTAGGTATGTGGGTAGGTAGGCAAAATGATATTTCATCTTCCTAACAGAGCGCGCGCGTCGTTCGTCAACCGCGAATGAGTTTCTTGGGTAGGTAGTAGGTAGCGTAGCGTAGAAGCTCCGACGTCCTCTGCATTTCATCCTCACCCGTGATCAGAATGTCCATCCTCAACATCCTCTCTTCTTCCTCCTCCGCTGCTTCTCCCCCGTCCGCGAAGAGGATTCCCTTTCGCTCTCCATCCAACTCAATACGTTCCTAACACCCGCCTTCCCGAGAAGTCCAGTCCAACACCACTCGCATGCTTCAGCCTACCACCGTGGAAGTCTTCAGGCCATTGAAAGGACCTATGCCCGGCGTCGAGAGCACAAGACTGGCGGTCTTCGTTACTATCCCGTACTACTGGGAATAGTAGATCATGGGCTGTTGGTAGTAGAACGTGTCGGGACTGGGCGTCATCATACTGCCCATGCCCACCATGCCGGGAGGAGCATAGGGTTGGCCAGGCGGCGGAAAGTGTGCGTAGCCGGGCATGGGGCCCACCTGAGAATAATAATCGTAGTACACGGTGCCTTGGGACTCGCGGGGTTCCACGAGGTTCTGAGACGGCGTGCCTTGCGCGGGGGGCTGCGCAGCAGGTCCGTCGCCTTGGGCCGGCTGCGTATAAGGGACCGGCTGGGGCTGCTGCTGGTGTGTTGCCGGGACAAAGGTGGGAGCGTTTGCGTTAGGCCCCATGTTGGGGCCAAATGCTTGGGGATAGTAGAAACCCTGCTGTGGCTGCATCGTTGCGTATTGCTGGCCGTAGAAACCGGGTTGGGCATACGTGTTGGGCTGGAAAGGAGCGGCATGGACGGCACGCTCCGGGATCTGTGACAGGGGTGTGGCGGAGGAGAATTGCGACTGATAGGATAGATTCCGCGCGTGTGACTCTTGGGCGAAACCACTGGACACCTGCGGCGGAACCTGTTGATGAAAGGCCTGCTGGTAGGGAGTCGGAGCGTTTGTCGTCTGCTGAGCGGGTGACTCGATGTTCTCAACGGAGACAGTCTTCTGTGGACGTGGTTGGTGCATAGGTATTGTGTTTGGACGGTTTTCTTGGAAGGCGGGTTTTTGCGGGAGTGGGTGCATCTGTGGCTGTGGGAGCTCGCTGATAGACGTCTCCGGTGCTTTTTGAAGAGCATCAGACCTGGGCGGGATAGGCATCGGCCCAACTGGTGGTTGAGCTAGCGGGGGGAGCCGGACGACGGGTCGTACAGTATCGACCGGGATCGGGGCGCGTGAGATGGCGGAACCCGTTGGTGAGAGCAAGAACTCCCTACTAAGGTCGGGGGCAATGGATGACCGCCGGCTGAGAGCGATACTGGGGGAGTAGATGCTCCCGTAAACACTGCCGCCCCACATACTAGTCCCGCGCGAGAAAACCCCTGAGCCTAGTATCGACCGTGGACCTTTACCCCTCGTCCGTTGCTGATTCGGCCGCATTGCGCGCGGGATAAAGATGAACGATCTGTCACTGGCCGGGAAGATGTAACGCGGCATCACGGGAGGATCGTGGTCGGGGAGAGAAATCCGAACAGGTTTGTCGCGGCGAAGAGGTGGGCGGTGATCGGGTAGTTTCGTGTATTGCTTCAATGCAACGCCGGGGAAGAGCTTGGGCGCAGTCATTGGCGGTAGAAACACCCTGATCGTCGCGTTACCAATGTGCTTTTCGGTTGACATGGCTCGATTAATCGGCGTCTTGCTTGTCGGCGCGGTAGGAATGATGCCGTTACCGTTCGGGGGGCCCTCGTTGTTAGGAAGGTAGCGGGTCTGCCGTGGCGGTTGCGGCTCGGCGACTACTTCGTGCATGTCATGTTTCCATACCCCGTTCGCTATCGGATCCGGCACATTTGGGATTTGGCTGCAAGCATCGGTCAGCTTCAACGAGGAGCGTTTCAGTCACGGGCAGAAAACCAGCAGTTGCAACATACCTGAGCGGGACGAAAGCGCTTCCAAACGCCCCTCGTCCCCGACCACGAGCCCCCCGCGGAAAGGGCCGGAAGCCATTCGCGGCAGGGCCAGCATGCCGGTGGTCGTGCAGGAAGAAAGCACCCCTGTTAGGAACGAAGGTTGGGTCTTCGTCCCTCCTCCGCCTGTACTCCTCGTGCTCCCGCCTCTTGAGCTCCTGTGAGGGCAGCCGTGGCTGTTGCTGAGAAGCAGCGCTCGAGCTCACGACAATCGGGGCCGCGTCCTTAGCAGGCGGCGCTTGTTTGATGTCGTCGAAATGCAACTCTTCCGGCCTGTTCTCCTTCTCGGCGAGGGACAGCTTGGTGAGCATAGTCTCGGCGTCGGCTATTGTGGGCTGCAGTGGCTTGGCCGCCGGACTCTTGGTGGGCTCGGAACCGGTCCGGCGGCGGAACCCGCCCTTCGCGTGCCCGTTGCCTATGGGTTTCCGGACGTTAGGCGATGTCGGAGACACATCGTCGATGTTACTTGTATCGCTATCGTCGCCCGGATCGTGTTCGTCGCTCGCGATGGAACCGTCGGTCACAGAGTCATCTTCGAGGTCTGCTAAAGACTCGACGACAGTATCGTCTTCCCCCTCATCCTCGACGCGGCGTCGTTGGCCGATGATTTTCCTGCGTCTTGTTCCCGCTGCGGCCATCGTACTACTGTGGAAGCGGGCCCGGCTCGGCGCTGAGTCGGCAGGATGATGAACCGGTTGCACCTTGGTGTGGAGGTGCAGAGAGTCGTGATGACGTCGAGCTGCTCGGTCATGCGTAGGTGGGTGGCTAGACGACTCTGTCTCTTGCTGCCGCAACGGATGTCTGGATATGCGTGCCGCAGCAACCGACCTGTGGGCGATATTAAGTTAAATCGAAGGTGGAATCCCGCCACGATGTGCACGTCGGGAACCAGGGGAACAGCGATCGGTTTGCGATTTCCAGGTCAAGCAGAAAGATGCAAGCTCGACGGGATCAGCCCAGTGCGAAAGTGCAGCTTCAATGTGGGTGGGAGTGGGAACTCTGCGGTGGATGTTGCTGCCAGGTGGAACAAGCCTACGGATCCGTAGAAAACTCCAGACAAGGCTCAGGCCTGCGAGAGCTCGGACCGTGCTCAATCAGTCGGGGGTTGCCACAAGCCCAGAAAACGGAGCTAACGGAGGAGGGATGGCGGGCTCCTCTAGCGCTGCTTAGAGGAACGAGTAAGGCAGATATCGTGACACGGGAAGGACCAGAATTTGACGAGGCTGCAAGATAATGATGGCGTTGTCCTAGTGTAGTTCCCATGTCTTTCACGAGATGGGCTTGAAGTCCGTTGACATGGTTGCTCACTGGTTCACTGCGGTCCAAGAGCACAGTGGGAATAAGCAGCATCTATCCGCTTCCGGTTAGACTAGCTAGATGACGACCGTCATGTCTCCGTCATGATTCATCTGCGCATTTGACGGCGCGATGAATCCATCGTCTTTCTAACTAAACTGCACTGCGCATCATTTATACCTTACTCTGCCTGCCACATACAAAAGACCGGGGTTGACAGTTTTCGTGCATTCCCACCATTTGGTTCGAGCATGCTTTGCGCAGGTGCAACCCCCACGGAGCCAACAGCAGTCGCATATGGCATCCTCTGGACGTCCCGCCCGCCACGCATCCAGCAACCAGAGGAACCGGAACGAGTGCGATGATGCACAGAAGCACACGGCTGCCTCTGGCAAGCCAACAGAGCCAGCCATCTCCCCAACCGGAAAAGCACGGCGCGTTCACAGCGCGCCAGACCCCGTCCGCCGTCAATAGGCTTCGATCAGACCACTCCAATCCCAACGGCGTCCTGCAAGTGCACTCGCCACCTATGGAATCATGAGATGAATGGCAGTCCCCTGCGAGCGGAGGTCCTGAGGTCAGTTATTAGAAAGCTGTTCCCGGGCGGCCAAAGCGGGGAAGGTTTTAGCTTATGAGATCATGCGAGGGTTGACCATGTCTACCTGGAAGTGATGACGAGCAGCATCCGATGGATGGCGCTCCGCCGTATATGGGCCGTCCGTCTAGAACTTGCAGACACTACGACTTATCGGCACTGTACGTCGAAACAGCCTGTATCCCCATCCTTCATGAAAAGGCCCGGGGAGCATTCCGTCTTCTGGGTTTCAAGTCTCACCTAGCATGTGATTCTGATTGGCGATCCATGTCCCATTGTCTGTTGCTTGTCAAAGCAGACTTCGACAGCTCCATGGCCTTGGGATTTCTTGTTTTCTGAAGAGTCCCTTTTTCCCGCCGGCGTCTGCTCAATCTCTGCCGGTCTTGATAATCTTAAGTGAGATGTCTAGTAATCACCAGCAGCGCGGTCCTTGGTAGAGGCTTAAATCCGGAAGCCCCGACCTCTTGGCTGACATTACTGTGAATGGGCAATCATTGAGTTCCCAAGCACAGGTGTGTCTAGGTAGGTACCTTAGGTATGTACTTATTGTGTATCCAATCTGGAGAGTTGCATGTGAATCCTTACCTCGGCCCGTGTCTACTCGCGATGCGGTAACCTACTGCCTGCTTGGTTAAGAAGAGAAACATTCAATTTCAACCTCTTCCCGAGCCTACCCTCAGGGCCTAGAATGTAGGCTTCCGCTTCGCACTGTCTGTCTAACCAATTGGTACGAAAACGGCAAGGTGGCCGAGCGGTCCAAGGCGCCAGGTTCAGGCCCACCTGAATTTGATATCTCCACGAGATTTCCTGGTCTCAGAAATGGGGCGTGAGTTCGAATCTCACCCTTGTCACAGTAACTTTTGCTCATCCTTGTGGCTTAAGGTGCCTATGAGCCTCTTATTTATCCCGGTTGAAATTATTTTTGCATATACCTTGAATAATCGCCGTGGGTCAAAGAATGCGGTACGATTTTGGCTACCGTTAGAGTACCTCACATATGACTTTACGATGATGGGAGCAACCTCATCTTGTCTCATCCCCCACCAACACCTTGCGCCCCGCAGAGTAACATGTGAGTGAAGTAACATTAGCTTAGCTGCACCAGGTAACCGTAACCTTTTTACAACACCCGACAACGCTGGATGCCCTAAATCATCCTCAGGCACCTGCGCAACGATCATGTCCTTTCCCCGTAACTTCCACAACCGCGATATCATATATAACAGCCAGCCGTTTTCACTGAGGGCATCTTTTCGCTCCTGTAGCAAAGGGCCCCAATTCCATGTACAAAGAAGGACCGTCGCCCTCTCCCCCCAGCTCCAGATACCTAGTTACAAAAGAGAATCCCAGAGCCCGTAATGTGCTTCTTCGTTAGGTCAACCCAGTTATGGGCTGCATCTGTGGTTCGTTCTTTATATACATCAACATATCTCCGACAGACTCGCCGGTGGATGGGGCAGTCTGCTTGATTTTCTTTTCCCCCTGAATCATCTTCTAACGGAAGGGTCATTGCGGGAGTGTAATGACGCTTTATCGCATCACGCCCTGGCCCATGCCCTGCAGCTTGCTGGCCAGCTTCGGGTACTTCTCCTGGACCTGGATTTGGGTTCTTGTCGCCTCTGCGTACGATAGAGCATTGACCAGTTCACCTTCGGTCCGGGCGAGTTCAGCTGCCCGCTCAAAGTACTTGAGCGCCTCTGTCACCTTGCCTTGCTGGAGGAGTAGCTGGGCCATGGTGGCGACGGCAATGTCACACTCGGGGTCGACTGCAATCCCACGTTAGCGGGCGTGCAGATGTCCTCTGGGAGCGGTGGGGACTTACTGATGAGGGCCTTCTCACAGAGCTTCTCAGCCTCTGAGAAATCCTGCTTCCACTGGAACAGCGCAAGCGACTTGTTGATGAGCGGCAGCACGTTCATGCACGTGGGCTTAGTCTCCTTCTCGAGCTCGATGGCCGTGTCGAACTTCTCGATGGCCTCCTGGTACTTGGTCTGGTCCAGGAGCAGCTCGCCATAGTAGTTGTAAACGTCCGGCGTCTTGTCGAAGTTCTTCATGCATCGCCGGAAGGTGGCCATAGACGAAGCAATGGAACCCATCTTATACTGGGTCACGCCGAGCTGGATGTGGGAGAAGATGAAGTCGCGATCCAGGTCAATCGACTTCTGGTAATCCTTCTGCGCCTCAGCGAATTCGCCCTTGATGAAATGCAGTTGAGCACGGTGATAGTAAATATCGGGATCCTCGGCGTTCTTCGCCAAGGCAGCTGTGAAGTCTTCCTCTGCTTTATCCGGAGCACCTACGCAGAGATCAGTCACTGAAGGAACCACATCAAACAGAGAGGGTTGGACATACCAAGCTCCAAATTCATACTCGCCCGCTTGATGTAGCTCTGCGTCATCTCAGGATCAAGCTCGATGCTCTTCGAGAGATCCGCCAACGCCTCCTCGTGCTTGCCCTTGAGGCAGCGAAAGGTACCACGCAGGTTGTACGCGTACGCCTCATGCTCTCCCAGGTCTCCCAGCTCCAAAGCCTTGTCGAAGGCTTCCGCAGCCTCCTCGTAACCCGGGCCGGTCTTGCTCTCCAGTGCCTTCAGACCCTTTTGAAGCTGGCCCTTTCCGGTCCCCTCCGACAGCTCCACCGAATCCTCCAGGCCCTCAGGGCGCGGTTTGGCTCTGAAGCTCTGGAGGTAGTTCCCAACAAATGTAGAGCTCGGGAGCTTCGCCGGTTTGGTCTGCAGAATCTCCTTCGCTTTCGACTCGGCCAACTTTTTAAGCAGCCGCTCCACTGCTTGGGCACTCTGTTCGTTCCTAAAGCCGTCGATAATGCAGCTCGCGGTGAAGTCGAGAAGAGCCTCGCTGTACTTGCCGAGGTGATCGTAGGCATTGGCGCGGCGATTCAGAGCCTTGATGTACTCGGGGTCGAGACTGATGGCCGCCGTGGTATCCTCGACGACCTTCTCCCATTCGCTGAGAGCGTTGTAACAGGCGGCACGGTTGGAGTAGTAGACAGGGTCGGGCTTGCAAAGAATAGCTTTGGAGTAGAGACCGATGGCTTTTTCGAAGTCCTTAGCATTGTACGCCTTGTTCCCGGCCTCCTTCAGCTTCTGGGCGTATTCCTTGCGCTCGAGCTCCGAAAGTCGCGGGACGGTGTTCTCGTCGATCTCGGGCAGCTCGTCGGCGGTCTCAACCGTGGCAGTCTTGGCCGCAGAAGCAGCAGCCTCGGCCTGCTTTGCTGACGCCGCTGCCTTCTCTTCTGCTTCCCGCTCAGCCTGCTTCCGTTTCCGCCTCTCCTTCTTGCTCGGCCTGGGTGCTGTGTCCTTGGATTCCTGCAGGGACGCGTTCGAGGGTCAGTACGGGACAGCTAGACCCGACAAGAGGTGGGGCAGGTATTCGAGGAATGGAGGCTCACGCTGCGGATGTAGTAAACAGCACCGGCCGTGGTGACGACAACGGCCACGCCGGCAATAGTGTAGACAACGGCCTTGTGCTCCGAGACCCATGTCGAGATGCGATCCCACAGCGACGAATCGGGTGGTAATGGGGCCGAAGGTGTCCCCGTGGCAGGGATAGTGGGAGCCATGGTCGTGTTGATCGCACAATAACAATGGGAACTCTGGGGAAGACGGAAAGGTCGATCGAAGAACCTCGTTGCGGCAATACCAAAGGAACGGGGAGATGTTGTGAACCGACGTGGTGCTACTCGATTCGATGATGCATGCGCATTGAGCTGGTCGGCTGCGGGCAGTTCGGCCGGCGGGAGCTTGGAACAAAAAAATCAGCGGCCTGACGCGCCCAATTGCAGCGCCTCGGAAGTATCCGCTTGCCGCAGCCCCTTGAACCCTTGTCAACTTGGGACGCCAAGAGCCCAAGCTTTCGAGATCCGTGACAGGGTCAGGCAACTCAAGCTTGATACTATGGGACGCAGATGAAGATAAAAACACCGACACGCGCCGGCCATCAGCTTATCTGCCATCTAGGAGGCTCTGCGCTCAAACACAGGACTCAAAGCCGACCGCTTGGATATAGGCGGCCAGCCTGCCCCGCTTATCTGCGTCCCCGGAGCAGCCGCGAGTTTCGCAGCAATGGAGGATGACTTTCAGCTGTTCTCTTCTCTGCGCTATGACCCGGCGCTGCTGCACGCGCCCGCCAGCAATTTAACTCATGCTGGGTGGAATTGGAATAACTCTTCGCCCTTATACATGCTTGATTACCACAGGGACCGCATGCTACTAGCAGCCACTCATTGGGGCTGGGATGCCGCCGTTGGGGTTCTTGAGGGCGATGCCGGTCTGAAAAGGTTAAGGGATTTCATCATGAGCAGCGTTGGGGACAACCAACCAACCCCAATAAGAGTGAGGGTGGCCGTCACGAGAGAAGGGGAGTTGAGTGTAACTTTCGGTCCGGTTCCAGAAACACCCCTCGCGAATCTCTTCCCAGAGCAGCTTCCGCCTCCTGGAGAAACACACAGCAATGGGTTGAGCGGACATATTCCGACTAAAGCAACAGAGTACCAAGTCTTGGTGGATGGCGTTAGGGCAGCCTGGACAAAGCACAGCCACTTCAAGACGACGAAGCGAGCGGTGTATGACGTGGCTCGGCAACGGGCGCAGATCAACCTTCACGACAAGGAGGTTCTGATCATCAACGAGGCGGACGGTACTGTGATGGAAGGCTCCACGACCACTCCTTACTTCTGGAGGGAGGGCAAGTGGGTCACTCCCGCTGTGAGCATGAAGCAGGGCCCCGACAAGGGGATTGGCGGCCAGAACGGCACATCGAGAAGATGGGCGCTCGAGAGGTGCGTCACGCGCTCTTCCCTGGCCCAGTTCGGGGCCTATCACTAACAGACACAGGGGGCTCGCCGTTGAAGATACCGTCCTGGCAAGCTCGCTGAGGGACAGCGAGGAGTGCTGGTTGAGTAATGGTGTCAGGGGGTTCATTTTCGGGAGAATAAAGCTCTCATGACACATCCTTTTGCCCCCCAAGGAGGCTTTTGCCGAGGCAAGTCTACAAGTCGTCCGAGAGGCCAGCTCCCACGGGGGATATCATACGGCCTCCCTATTCCTGTACAGGACTGATAGTCTCTGTCCTTCTTTCCAATGAGCTGAGAGAGGATTCGGATTATCAGTGCAGGTCGTGACCACCGTGGTCAACTGTCACTGGCGTTGGCGCTTGCCTATGCAGGCTCGGCAGGGACGATGCAAGAACACCGAAAGCCTGGTCCAGCCCTCAACTTGAGTGCACAGAGCAAGGCACCATGGTTCGATACCAGCAATCAATGTCCAACCACACACCGGGAGCACTTAATCGGAGACACCACACGCCCCACTGGACGCGTAACGTACACATTGTAGCCCGGGAAGCTGCACTCTGGCCTTGGCACCAAGCGTGCCTGGCATTAATGTGGTCGGTTCGACTAAGGGAACCGAGATGCATCCCGCGCGGAGAGCTTGAGCGGGTGACATCACTCCTCGATACCTGCAGGCAAGTGGGATTTGGTTTGGGAGATTGCCTCCAACTTGGGGATCAATAGGGGCCATCCCTGGCCGATGTAACCTACAAGCAACGGCAGCTCGCCTTGTTTTGACGTCCACGCATGTTGAGCCAGTCACAGGTTGTGCTTCAGGTCCAATGCCGGCTACGTCCGTTACATACCCGACAGGACCACTCAGGATGGCCTCTCCCCTCCGCCCGGCAAACAAGAAACATCTTCATGCTTCGTTCATGTCTTGCAGGAAGAAATGTTCGACCTGGGTGTGCTCGACAAGCTGTTTGGCTGCCAGCCAGGGATGGAGTTGCCCGTTTCAGTCCATAGTCCCTGGTCTTACCCATCGTCGCTTCCCTGTCTGCCATCGTACTGCCATCGTCAGTGGCGCACTGGCATCGCATGATGTGCTTTCCGTTCGCTGAAGAGGACCGGGCAGGGACACTTCTCCCCTCGGGGTATTTATGACCCATTGCTCACCACCTCAAGTTGTTCAGACTCTCCCTCGACCTGACCTGCGCCACTCTTCATTCGCACGCTCCAGTCTTTCTCGCTTCCTTTCAGGAAACCCGATCAAATCCCTCAAGACTCATCAGCGTCTTCTGATGCCATCTCTGTTCCACTATCGACAGTTCTCTGCCAGCCTCCAGAAAGCCACCGGTCTGCCCTCCATGGACGCGAAGTCTCTGCACAAAGTGAAGGCCATTCCCAACCAGAACTACAAGCGCCATGGCACCAAATCCTATGTCTACCTGCTGAACCGCTTCGGGTTCCAACCCACCAAGCCTGGCCCCTACTTCCAGAAGTTTGTCAAGCCCAGCGCCGGCACAACCCCCGGCAGGGCCGCGCCAGGTGTGAAGCCGGGCCTGGTGTGGGAAGGCTTGTACAAGAAGACCAAGGACCAAGAGCAAGGGGAAGTCACTGCGGAGGACCAACAGAACGATGCCGAGTACCTGTGCGAGGTCTCAATTGGCACTGAGCCTCAGAAGGTCCTCCTAGACTTTGACACCGGCTCTGCTGATCTCTGGGTATGGCTCTTCTTTTCTCTTTTATCATAGATATTTCCCAACAGCGCCCAATGCTGACCGGGATTTGTGCAGGTAAGCGAGAAGAGCTTCTCGCCCAAAAAATCATCGACCTTCAAGCTACAGAAAGGCATGACCTGGAGGATCCAGTACGGCGATGGGAGCTCGGCCTCGGGCACCGTTGGGACGGATGTCCTCACGGTTGGCGGTCTTGCCATCAAGAACCAGGCCATCGAAGTGGCGAACCAGATGTCTGCCCAGTTCAGCCAAGGCAGCATGGATGGCCTCCTCGGCCTTGCATTCAGCAAGATTAACACCGTCCAATTGAACGGCCAACCGGCACCCCAGCCCACTCCTGTTGAAAACATGATCTCCCAGGAGGACATTCCTAAAGACGCGGAGCTCTTTACGTCCGCATTCTACAGCTCCCGGGACCAGGGAGAGAAGTCGTTCTACACGTTCGGCTGGATCGACCAGGACCTGGTGAAGGAGTCCGGCGAGGAGATCGCCTGGACAGACGTCGACACCTCGGAAGGCTTCTGGATGTTCCCGAGCGAGAGCGCGACGATCAACGGCCAGAAGATGACGCTGTCCGGCAACAAGGCGATCGCCGACACTGGCACCACGCTGGCGCTGGTTTCGGACGAAGTCTGCGATGCGCTGTACGCCCAGATCAAGGGCGCCTCGTACTCGGAGGAATACCAGGGCTACATCGTCCCCAAGACCATCACGGTCGCCGACCTCCCAGACTTCAGCGTCGCCGTCGGGGGCAAGGAGTTTGTGATCCAGAAAGAGGATCTGCTCTTTGCGCTAGCCGACGACAACAATTGGTACGGCGGCGTGCAGTCCCGCGGGGAGAACCCGTTCGACATCCTGGGCGACACCTTCCTCAAGTCGATCTATGCGGTATGTGTCTCCCCGAAGTCGGCTGACAACTCTATGACGTGTTCTGGTCATGAGACTGACGGGTGGTTTGTAAACAAATCTAGATTTGGGACCAGGGCCACAGCCGCTTCGGTGCCGTCCCCAAGATCGAGAAGACGCAGAACATTACTCCTCCTTCTGATGAGCAGTAGCCCCAGACGTCAACGCCTCGCTAGGCGGAACGGCGACTTTCGGCATGTTACTTGGCTGAACCACGGCGTTCGAATATACCGACACTAGGGCAATAATTGGTTCTACTAACAGATTCTGTCCTGACTTTTCAGTCACTTGCTCTGCTTGTTTTGCTTTTCCGTTGAAGCCTAGAATTGTTGGAGAGTGTTTGGGTGGGGGAGTCAAACTCAGCCGAGTCCACGTTCCTTGTACTGGTAGTGTGGTATTGTTAAGCTCTTTACGACGAGATGAAATAACGAGCCTGTATTCTTTTCACCTCGCCGTATTTGAAAATCGTGGTGCGTTCAATCGGTCGACAGTGATTGAACCCTCTGTCGGGCCAGCTACCTAGGGATGACGACTCACTGTCACTCGGCATCGAACTAACGAAGTAGTTCAAGTCGTGGCACATATGCAACTGGAAGTAGACACAGCAGAGAGATCCTCAACACACCATGGCAACACCAACAACCTAACTGAATCACCGTATTTGTATCGTCTTCTCTAACTCAATTCGCAAATGAACCGAATATTACTGATAGAGGGGAATCATTACTCGATGGCGGATACACAATACATGTATGTACGCTTTGTGTGTCGTACACCATCCTAAACCACACATAGATAAATCCTTTATAAAGAACCCGTCGCATCCCATCAAGTCCGACATCCCCAGCTCAAGACGAAGAAACCCTACCAATCCCCAAAGGCATACCAAGGACAAGTAGGCGCCGCTGGCCCACACTCACTGGTCCGTTGAACCGAAGAGAAGCCAGGCCCTCCCACGCATACATCAGAGCAACGTAAGAAATACCGACGAAAAGGAAACTCAACGGGAACACACCCGCCGGTGGGACCATGATCCATCCATCCCAAATGAGCGGGTGGCATTTGTTGCCCGTCTCCCGCTGTCGCCCAGTCACACTCCCTCCCAATCCGGATAGGTAAATCACCACCACAAACTCACCCCTGCTAGACCTAAGTTAGGTAAATAAGGGTCCTTACTAATTGTTGTTGTTGCCGCCCCCTCTGTTGGCCATTGAGACGCCCAGCCCGACGCCGAGCGCGATGACGATGCAGATGAGGACGACCACGCCGAGGCACCACCACTTGAGCTTGCGGGCGCGGCGGGCGCTGCGCACGCCCTGCTCGATCTCGACGTTGGCCTTGTTGAGGTGGCCCGTCGTCTTCTCGGCCTGGTCGGCGATCTGCTCGACCACGGCGCCCTGCTGCACGACCTGCTGGTTGAGGATGTCGAGCAGGTCGAGCAGCTCGATGATGGACTTTTCGATCTTGACCAGGTCGTTGTGCCGCGCGCGCACGGCGCCCAGCACGGCCGACGCTTGGCCTGATCGGTTGGTGCGTAGCTACGAAAGGAGGTTAGTCGGGTGGACAGATAGATAGGGGGGCGAAAGGTTGAACATACGGCAGTCTGGAAAATGCCCTCGTCGCCCCAGTCGGCGTCCGCGGCCTGCTGCACCTCCTCCTCGGTCGCGTCCGGGTTGACGATGCGGTACTGCCGCGCGATCTGCTCGCGGTAGCGCTGCTTGTATTGCCGCTCCTCCTCGAGGAAGCGCTGGATCGTGTCCTTGAAGTCGCCGTTGAGGCTCTCAAACTGCCGCTTCTTCAGCCCGAAGCTGGCGTCCGTCGTGCGCTCTGTGTCCGCCTTGAGCTGCTGGATCTGGCTGCGGATCGACGTGTTCTTGATCTGCGTCGCCGCCACCAGGTCGTCCAGCTGCTGCCGCGCCGCGTTGTCGCTGCTGTTGAGCGTCTGCTGGTGCAGCGTCGCGATGTTCTGGATGCTGACCGTCAGGCCCTGGATGTCCTGCCGGATCGCCGACACGCGCTGCAGGAACTCGGTCTGCGAGAGCACGTTCACGCCGGCCCCTTGCTGAGGGTGAGGCGACCCGTATTGCTGCTGCTCCTGATGCCCGTACTGCTGTTGCCCGTACTCCTGCCCATACTGCTGCCCGTACTGCTGCCCGTACTGCTGTTGAGGAGAGCCATATGACTGCTGTCCGTATGATTGCATCTCATGTTGCTCCTACCGCGTCGCTCGTGTTAGCTACAATATCAACTTGCGGTGGCCTGGACCGGACCTGGGGCTTCCGGCGCGTCCGGGGAATCACTCACTGACTGGCCGTGTCCGTAGCCGGACTCAGCGGTCGGCCCCTGGTTGTAGGGGTTGTAAGACATGGCTGCTCAATTGTGTGCCTTTCCCTACGTTCGGTGCTCTGAAGCGAAAATTTTCAATCGCCGATTGTGTGATGGTTTCGTCTTCGCGGTGAATGATGCGGCAATCGATGGCTCTTTGTTGAATGGTTTGCACAGGGGCTGATAGGTAGGTAGTCTCTTTTTCTGGCGCGACTGTTCCTTGGCTGCTGCTTCGCCCTGCTGAGTCCTTGGACGGGTCCGCTGTGGCTCGTTGGGGTCTGGTCTGCGAAAGGAGCCCAATTGGAGGTCCCACCGCCCGCCGTTTTCTCCGCATTCAACGTCAAGTGTCCACTGAGATCCAACCTGTCAGATCATGCCCCTGCTTCCTACTCCACAGTTACGAACCCAGGCACTGACACAGCCTGAGGTTTACGACAGCCCGAAAGACACGGGACTTAACATACGGAAGCTGGGAAGGAAGGAGAGGCAACGGAAGTATCTCATAAAGTTGCGAGATTCATACCCGTATTCGTAAGTCTAGTGTACATTACTGTAGAATCAACCCGACCGTGGGCTTGTTCGGTTCGCGGATGGCAACTGAGATGGCGTCACTAAGCGAGGCTGAGGACATGATCTGAAGATCCCCACTTCCTGCCCTTGTTGCCCCATGACGCCAGCCTCAGCCTTCATCTGCGTAGAACAGCGCCGATGAGCATGCCCAACCCTTACTTGGTATATGGACCATTGGAATGTCCGAGGCTCCACGGCAAGCTCCCTGCTTTGTGTGAACTCTGTCGCTGCGGCTTGTGAAACCTCGGCTTCTCTCTTGCACGAGGTACAATACCTACGTCGGCACACCTAGGTCAAAAAAGCTGACTCCCCAGACATGCACCGATTCGAGGAAAGCAAATAAAAGTAAAGTCGAAAGGGAGGAGGGAAAAAGGAAGAAGGGGAAAAAGGTGCAAATAAGCAGGAGATGAAGAAAGAGGAGGAGGTAGAGAGAGAGAGAAAAGAAATCAAAGAACAAGACGAAGAAAAGGAATAATAGGACTTATGTCCTGATCCCCGCGTTGCAAGTCCGTGCAATGACGACAGGAGGCCTGGCGTACGGCTACTTTTGTCCACAGCGAGACAGGTAAGTTCCTAGACTCGCCCGTTGGTAAGGCACGGGGGCCAGATCTCCTAGTGGCTAATATATTGACATGTCGTAATTGCGAGGCAATCCCTCGTCAACGACGCCCATGATGCCCCGACAGGTATTCCACGGTGATCCCTCACGGGAACTACTTCTCATCCTTCCCCAGGTTTGGCTCTTCCACACCACAAGGTGAGACACAATCCAGCGACCGTCAACGACTCACGTACCGCCATGTACTGCACGCTCGAAGCCCACGCGGAGTGGACTTTCATTCTTTAGTCGCGCCACCTTCATGCCTCCTCTGTGGGAGTTCCATTGTTTCCCTGACGGACCAACACGATATGGCGTTCCATACACCAGCTCAGCCGTCCGGTCTGGCAGAATGGCCTGCCACCTCCACGATGACGCTGAGACGAATTCGGCAAGGTTATGCAAGCAAGAACCACCTAGAAATAGTTCTTCTTCCGGCCGGTGCGCGTGTACTGGCTGAGATGCCACTCCACATCCGCGTCCTTGTTCTCTAGAGTGCCCATGGTGATAGAGAATGGCCTCATGGTGAACCGCGGCCCAACCTCGCTCAGCTCCACGGACTTGTAGCTCGTCCTGACGTAAACGTGATGGCGTACTTCGATACAGTCGTCTTGGTTCACAAAGGTAATGACCCGGTTGCCGGCTGTCTTGCTGGCAGTGGGGTCCCGCGGAGGAAACAGGTGCTTCAGAATCTTGACTATGCGTTGGCCGAGCGGGGTCTTGAAATTCTCGAAGATCAGATGGGGATAACTCTCGCTCACCGTCCCCTTGATGGATCTAGGAATGTCGGCCCGCAGCACTACATTGTGCAGTGACGCCATCAACGTCGGCCCATGAGGGAAGTGACTGATAGTGATAGCTGTCGGTGTCCCGCGGTGTTCGTGGAGGAGAACCACATCGCTAAGGCGTTCGCTTTGCGCCGACCGGACAAGTTCTGGGAGGACAAGGTTTCCTCGGTTGAGCCGGATCGCCGTTGGGAATAACAACCTGATCTCTTTGGAGAAGGACATTAACCTAGAGCTGGGATCTCGTGATGTCGTCACCAGTACCCTCGGATCTGCAGCAAAGTTAATAACTGCCCCCAAGATGCACTCTGGGCAGAGCGTGCGGCAGACGGCCACTCAAAGGCACTTACCAACAACGCCGGATAACTCTGAGTATTCATCATCGATGTCGAGGGAGTCGTCCTGGGCGACATCCCGGGACGCATCGTAGTCGTAGTCCTTCCGTAATTGTTTGTCATTCGCAATCTCCGGATCCAAAGGCTTCCCCGAGGCCAACGCTGCTCTCAGCTTCGCCCGTTTTTCCGCGACTTCGGCATCGCGCAGGAGAAGTGCTCGGCGGTAGAGGTAATCTCTTCTCTGACGGGCTTGCTTACGCTGCAACGAGTATTAGTATCGTGCGTTCTACGGAGGGGAAAGTACGAATACATACAATCATTTTCCCTTCTTGACGTTACTTGACAGGACAGCCAGATTAAAATGCAGAAATATTCCCGGCTGGCCTGGCAAGGCTGCAAAAGACAAGGGGATTTTGGCGCTGGGCGGACTGAAGCAATGCAGGGCCCCGCTAAAAAGTCCAGCGCCAAGACCTCTGGCCGGGGCTTAATTCCGACCCACCCTCTCCGCCACTTTCCATTTTCAGCAGCATCTCCTCGTCGTTCGTGCCACACTACCGTGCCGCCAAAAATCGTAAACTTCCCACAACAGCGACGGCAAGGGATTGGAGCGTTGATTCAACAACAGAATAGACGAGGGCAACGCAGTCCGAGAACCGCGAGCTCGTAGCCGCTTCGACACCTGCCCGCGATGACGTGACGGTCTCTCTGCTTGCAACTTTCCCAGCCTTTTCCGACGAACTCACTGCAAACGAAGCCGCCCGCGCGCGCTGACGTTTAAATTTATTTCTCGACAGTGGTGACTCGAAGGTAGTTTCCACCCTCTTCCTTGCCCACCGTTGGTGCTGCCGACGCTGCAGAGATTTCGGTACAGCGCGATCCGAAAGGCCTTGCGATTGGTGTGCCTCTGCGTCAATTCCTAGCATAAACTAACCGTCCGGTTTTCCTAGCCGCCACTGTCCCTGCTTCGCTTTCTCCGAAATGGAGGGCGCTTTCACCCACCTCGGGAACCACCTCATTTCCGACTCCGCTGCTGCTATCAAGGCCGGCGGCTCTGACGAGTTGTCCAACATCGACCCGGACGAGAACCTGCTGTACAGCGGTTACGGAGGACGCGGTGCTCGCGCTGGTCTGGGCAATGCAAGGCGCCGCCAAGATGACGAGGACAACGAGACCGAGGTTTTCGATGATGACGATGAGAGCTTGGCTAGCGTCCCCGTTGATGGTGTGAAGGCTCTCAAGTTGGATGCTCCAGAAGTGGAGAGGGAGCTTCCGGCGCACGCCTGCGCGTGAGTTGTATCCCTACATCCAGCAAATGGTGAAGTCTATTAACAAGATGACAGGTACTGCGGTATTCATTCTCCAGCTAGCGTTGTGAAATGCCTTGCCTGCAACAAATGGTTCTGCAGCGCTCGTGGCAGCTCGAGTTCTTCCCACATTGTCAACCACCTCGTCCGGGCTCGCCATAAAGAAGTTCAGCTTCATCCTCAATCATCCCTGGGCGACACCATCCTCGAGTGCTACAACTGCGGGATGAAGAATGTGTTCATGCTCGGCTTCATTCCGGCCAAGTCCGACACCGTGGTTGTTCTCCTGTGTCGGCAGCCTTGTGCCGCATCCACGTCAACGAAGGACATGAGCTGGGACATCTCGAGATGGCAACCCCTAGTGGAAGATCGGTCCTTCTTGCCGTGGCTTGTACAGCCGCCCACAGACGCCGAGCAGCTTCGGGCGAGACATCTCACGCCACCAATGATCGCGAAGCTCGAGGAGATGTGGAAGGAGTCCCCTAGCGCCACTGTCGCCGACCTGGAAAAGGGGGTCGGTGTCGATGATGATCCGCATCCAGTTCTGCTCAAGTACGAGGATCCCTACCACTACCAGAACATTTTCGGCCCGCTGGTGAAGATGGAGTCGGATTACGACAAGAAGCTCAAGGAGGCGCAGTCCGAGGATAATCTTACCGTTCGTTGGGATACTGGGCTGAACAACAAGCATATCGCCAGCTTCATCTTGCCGAAGATCGAATCGGGTGATGTCAAGCTGGCGGTGGGCGACGAGATGAGGCTGAAGTACAAAGGCGACCTCCGCCCTGCGTGGGAAGGTGTGGGCTATGTCATCAAGATCCCGAACAACCAGTCCGACGAAGTTACGCTCGAGTTGCGAAAATCGGGCAATGACAAGGCGGTGCCGACCGATGTCACCACCAACTTCTCTGCAGATTACGTCTGGAAGGCGACCTCATACGACCGGATGCAGTTCGCCATGAAAACGTTTGCCGTTGATGAGATGAGTGTGTCGGGCTACATCTTCCATAAGCTGCTCGGCCACGAAGTCGCAGTGGCTCCGATGAAGACGCAGATGCCCAAGAGGTTCCATGTCCCGGGCCTGCCGGAGCTGAACCACAGCCAGATCACGGCCATCAAGACCGTGCTATCGACCCCGCTCAGTCTGATTCAAGGCCCTCCGGGCACCGGGAAGACGGTCACGTCTGCGACCATCATCTACCACCTGGCAAAGATGAACAACAGCCAGGTACTCGTCTGTGCGCCTTCTAACGTCGCCGTTGACCAGCTTTGTGAACGGATCCACCGCACCGGCCTGAAAGTCGTCCGCCTGACGGCGAAGTCCCGCGAGGATGTCGAGTCCTCTGTCAGCTTTCTGTCGTTGCACGAGCAGGTCCGCATGAACGACTCAAACCCCGAACTCGCCAAATTTCAGCGGCTGAAGAGCCAAACCGGCGAGCTGATTTCTGCGGACGAAAAGCGGTACAAGCAGCTGACACGTGCCGCCGAGCGCGAGATTCTCAACAACGCCGACGTCGTGTGCTGCACCTGTGTCGGAGCCGGGGACCCGAGACTCGCCAAAATGAAATTCCGGAACGTGTTGATCGATGAGTCAACACAATCGGCCGAGCCGGAATGCATGATCCCCTTGGTTCTCGGATGCAAGCAGGTGGTGCTGGTTGGCGACCACAAGCAGCTCGGTCCAGTCATTATGAACAAGAAGGCGGCCAAGGCAGGCCTGAACCAATCGCTCTTCGAGAGATTAGTGAAGCTCAACCTGACCCCGATTCGGCTGAACGTGCAGTACCGTATGCATCCCTGCCTCTCCGAGTTCCCATCCAACATGTTCTACGATGGCTCCCTGCAAAACGGTGTCACGGTTACCGAGCGGCTCAGAAAGGATGTGGACTTCCCCTGGCCGGTGGCCGAGATGCCTATGATGTTCTGGTCGAACAATGGCCACGAAGAGATTTCGGCATCCGGCACGTCCTATCTAAACCGTACCGAGGCCGCAAATGTCGAAAAGATAGTCACCCGCTTCTTCAAAGCAGGTGTCAAGCCGAGCGACATCGGCGTGATCACGCCGTACGAGGGGCAGCGCAGCTATATTGTCAGCACCATGCAGAACACTGGCACTTGCCGTAAGGAGGACTACAAGGAGGTGGAGGTCGCATCGGTCGACGCGTTCCAGGGCCGGGAGAAAGACTTTATCGTGCTGTCTTGTGTTCGCTCCAACGATAACCAGGGCATCGGTTTCTTGTCGGACCCTCGCCGACTCAACGTCGCGCTGACCCGAGCCAAGTACGGCCTGGTCATTATTGGGAATCCGAAGGTCCTCTCGAAGCACGAACTCTGGCACCATCTCCTTGTCCATTTCAAGGACCGCAAGTGCCTGGTTGAAGGCCCCCTGACGAACTTGCAGACCTCGCTCTTGCAATTTAGCCGACCCAAGGCCGCCTTCCGCCCGCCTCGTCACGGCGCTCAGCAAACTCAGCATGTGGCTAGCGGCTACCGATACGGCGGCACGAATGGCTCGACCAGGGACTATGAGACGGGTTCGACGGTCTCGTACATCCCTGACGATGTGTCATCCATCCACAGCTCCACCTTAGGCGGCGCAGGGTTGAGCTCGGCTTACCCCCACATGTTCTCGAGCTTCCATCCCGATCAATGGCCGGGTCTGCCGGGTGTGGGTGCGCCTGCGGGTGCGGGTGGTCGTCCTGGCGCGAAAGCTCGGGCGCGCGGTACCGAGAGCGTCGCGGGCGAGAGTGTCGCCAACAGCGAGTTTACGGACGCAACCGCCAGCGTGGTTGGCGGTAAGGGTGTTGGCCAAGGCGGAGCCAGTCTCGGAGCCGGCCTTAGCGAAGCCATCGGCTCGGCGCGGCCGACGTCTTACAGCCAGAGCGACCGTCTCTTCAAGCAGTACGTTGAGAGTGGTGGGCGCATGGGCAGCAACGGGTATGGACGGCGGTTCGAGGACGACGAGAAGAGCGTCAGCACCGCTTTCGCCAGCCAAATTGGGTCCGGGTTCGACTGAAGGATCCGAGAGAGATGGTTTGTTGGTTTGCCACGAGGCAAACTAAGGGACAGAAACACAGGCACCACATCAAATCCCCACGAGCAACAGGCTGCCTGCTTGCTCGCCTTCGGGCCTCTAGACCTCGGATGCGACCTCGAACCTGCAGGCATCGCTGGATTCGCAGACCAGGGAGAGCCGGGAAGATGCTTCTCAAAGAGCACGCCCGCTCGACCGGTCGGGTACTTGCTTCTACGCCGTTTGCCGCATACTGGCCGGGAGCACACCGCAGGAGCCACTCCGCCTGCCATCGTTAGCACGCGGGGTTCTCGGCTCCTTGGCCGATGTGTTGGCTGGCGAGTTTGCTAAGTATTGTTAGGCTGCGATGTTGACCGTCAATGCGCTCTACAGAGACCAGCTGGTAGCGGAGCTTCTGGTCGGACAGGCAGCGGAGAAGTCAGCGAGTGCCCCGTTGGAAACGGGCCTTGCTATTCTGCGCCTGGTGACTCGAGGGGCGATCTTAGGCAGCGTTGGACGAGGTGGAACTGAAAAGAACGGGACAAGGATACTCACTCATTTTTCAACCGCCGATACAGACGTTCACTTCATGAGGGAGAACCCGGATGTGCCCTGGTTTGGGATCCCGGGTGGTTAAAGCTGCCAACAGCCACTCATTTCTGGGGCAGTTGATTTCAGCGAATTGCGTGTGGTCAGATAGGAATAGACAGACAGACAGCTGATGTATTCATTCGTTTACTCACTAATTGAGCGCCACATCAGCATGCTTCCATACGAGCAGGTCCAGAGAGAGTCGTCTTGCTTTTATCCCTCCCCTGTTGCGCTTAGAGCGGCTAACTCGCTGGAACCCAAGTCCAACCTACCTGAGCGGCTCCCGGACTTTGCGCGGCGTCTGCACGGCGCTTCAGCGGTAGACCATCCCAATCCTCAGTCACAGCAGCTCATGAAGCGTGAAACACCGCCATGTCTTGGCGGCATGTGATACGTCATCGGCGCCTAAAGCTCATGCCACATTCAAAGATGGTGAATTGTAGCTGTTTTAGTTCTTTTCGTTGCGTTTAACAACTTCGTTTCTTTACCCTACCCCTAGTGTCATAACTGCCCAACAAGCGCAAGCATCGATTCCCACTCAATCATTGGTATCAAGCGCCCTTGAGAGCTGCCACGTGCGTCACTCCGCTGGACGACTTACAAGGACACAGCCACCCTCGTGCAGCTGGCTCTGCATGTTCATATTTACTTATTTCCCACTCGAGGTTGAACTTCTTTCCTAAGCCCTCTCCACACCACCGAACTGTGACTACGGTATCTGGTTCTATCCGTCTTGTTTTCCAACACTACGAAAGAACAATGGCATCAGCACCGCAAGCCGTCCCAGGCGCCATCCCAGGCGCCATCCCCACCACCGGAAGAGACTCGACCAAGAGGCCTCCGACGGCGACGACAGTCGGGTCTGCCGCCGCGACCGCCCCGCCGCAGACGGATACCGCAGCCGTGACAGGCGGCGAGGGGGTCGACCCGCTGGAAATCGAGTTCGACGGCTCGGTCGACAGCAACCACGAGCTGCCCAGTCCGGAAACCATCCGCAAGATCGACAACTACGTCGTGCTGGACAAGGACGGCAAGTCCCACACCTTCCGCAGCCTCTACACGGGTCGGCACACAGCGCGCCGCGTGCTGATTATATTCATCCGGCACTTCTTCTGCGGGGTATGCTTTTCCTCTCGCTCTTCTCTCTATCTCTCTCACCTCCCGCTCGTCCTTTTCACTCCCCATATTGTGTGCAAACCAAAAATCCAAGTGGCTAAAAACTAGATATACACATTTCCCGTGGTGGTTACAGAACTGCCAAGAATACCTCCGCGCCCTCTCGGCCTCTAGCATCACGCCGTCCTCACTCCTAGCCCTACCGCTATCCACCTTCATCTGCGTGGTCGGCTGCGGCGACCCGGGGCTGATCGACATGTACGCGGCCGCGACCAGCTGCCCGTTCCCCATCTACGCCGACCCGACGCGCAGGCTGTACGCCGAGCTGGGCATGGTGCGCTCCCTGGCGCTGGGCCAGCGGCCCGCCTACATGAAGAAGCACCTCGTCAAGAGCAGCCTGGAGTCCATCGCCCAGGGCCTGAAGCAGATCCCCAGGGGCTTGGCGCTGAAGGGCGGCGATAGCAAGCAGATTGGCGGGGAGTTCTTGTTTGAGCCTGTTGCTATGGTCACAAGTAATAATAGTAGGAGTGGTGGTGGTAGTAGTGGTTGTGGTAGTAGTGGTGGTGGTGTTAGTGGTACGAATAAAGGCGGGGAGGGGGGACTTTCACTTGGGGGGGAAGATGATGATGATGGAGTAAGTCCCCCGCGGGCATGGGAAGAACAGAAGAAACAACAGGGAGAGGACGCCTCGAACCTGACGACGCGCAAGAGGATATCGGAGACCAGCCTGGACGGGAAGGGCGAGCCGGGCAGCGAGGGGGAGGACAAGGTGGTGACATGGTGCCACCGGATGAAGACGACGCGGGACCATGTCGAGATCCCCGAGCTGATGGAGGTGCTGGGGCTGGATGGCCACGGGCGGCCGCTCACGGGGGATCGGGAGAGGTGGGAGCGGGCTTTGAAGGAGCGGAAGGGGACGGGCACGAGCTTGGCGCCGCAGATCCGGGAGATGAATGCTAAGGCTGAGGTGGCCTAGTAATTCTGCTCTTCTTGGTTGGTTGAAGACTGGGCTGAGAAGAAGAGATACCGGGGTTAGGCTTGGGATATGGAAAGAGTGCGGATCTTTGCCTGCCTCAACTTTGGGTTGGGTGTTGGTAGGGGGCCTGGGAACCGGCGTTGGGCCATTGTCAGTCATACTGCTGAATGATACCAAATTTCTCGTTTCATGACACGGGCATCAGGATCCTCCTACCTAGGTGGGCTCAAAGCCGGGCTTGGGTTGTGCAGGAGAAGCTCGGCTGCTGTGTGACTGGCGTGACAGGTTGGACAAGAGCAGCGAGAATATCCTCCGCCACCAGTTGTCCCAAAGCAAGCGGCTGACTGCCCCGGACGGAAGACACGGTCGTGCAGGTACGAGCTCATCTCAACGGTCCGGCTACGTGGGCGCTCTTCTGATGGTAGACCAAGGCCAGTTGCACGCAATCATGCAAACCACTGCAGTCCCGGTCTCTCTCGAATTTTTGCCTTCGTGAGATGTTGCGCAGACATGGCGGGTTGCTGGCTCTTCCATCCCACCAACCCCCCTAGATCCCATTTCTCTCTCTCTTCGTGCCTGTCTGAAACTGTACATCCTCGTCCATCACATGCCATACCGGACTCTGGACATCAAGACAATGCGACGATACCCAGGAGCCCATTATGTCCACCGTGTGCACCATCCAAGGTAGCCCGAACCTCTACGGCCTCGGCATCCGTGTCTCGTTCTACCTCCTTTGGTTTTTTATCCCGCTCGCCGAGCGATGGCATGAGGATCATGCTGGAGTGCCTCGGGCCGCCGAGCTGATTCTAGCCCTTGCCGTCTTTATCGGCCTGGCTTTGGCCCTGTCAGATGGGTATCTCTTTGCCGTCGAGGTCTATATCGCACTGCTACTTCTTTCGACAGGGATCTACCTCCTCGTCCCTCGCAACGTAAGGCACCTGGTGGGCTGGATCCGCCCGGACTGGGGCTCAGGGACCCGGCGTAGTAGCTTCGGTATCGGTGGAGTGATCCGGTTCCTGTTTGTGCTCATCATAGTCAGTCTTCAACTGTGGTTCTGGGCTTCTGGCGTTGAGTCGACATCCATCGACCGTAACTTGAGAAATCCGAGCGGGTGCTGTCCGTGTGAGCCGCCGCAGCAGGTCGGCTTCATTTTCGGCCCCGTCGAGATGCATAGTGGCGGGTTCCGGGCTACAAACGGCCTGTTTATGCTGGGAGTCCTTCTAGGAGCGTTGATCATCGGTGCTATGAAGGCGGGAGTCATCAGGAGGAGGAGGGCGAGACGTCGAAGGAGAGCCAAGTATGTAAAGGGATGCAGGCGGGTCCCCCTGCTACTCCCGCGGTTCTTGCTAGCCCGGTGCTCCAAGCTGACCATTGCAGCCCCTTGCCCAATGCCGTCATAAAAGAGGTCCAAACCTTCGGTGGTCTAACCGTTGCAAGCCTTCTAGTGGCTGCTATTGAACTGACCATCGAGTGGAACGGAATTTCGGCTGCCGTTAACCAGGTGAACACGGCTGCGCAGTTGATCCCCCTTGGCATTGTCATTGGGATAATTCTGGCGTTCCTGTATGATCGGAGAAACGACTCTCCTGGCAACGACAGAGAGAGCAATACCAATGGCGGCAGGGGCAGTAATGGTACCGGCGACATAGACCCCACTGCCTCGTCGATGTATTGGTGGGGGGATTACCCCGTGAGAATCGCCAGGTCAGTCACTGCCTTAGATACACGAGGGTAGTTGGACAGAAGACAAGACTTACGATGTGCTCTAGCCCACGGCTTCTTCGTGCTCCCCCTTCCCCTGCTCATTTTTCTCCCCCCATCGCTCGTCCGGTTCGACCTCCAGTACCGTCTCCGAGCCCGTCTCCGGCTCCGTCTTCGGCTCCGTCGTTAGCTCCTTCTCCAGGCCCTTCGCCAGGTCCCTCACCAGGTCCTTCTCCTGCCCCTTCTCCTGCTCCATCACCTGCTCCGTCTCTTGCTCCCTCTCCAGCTTCGTTTCCGGCTCTTTCTCCTCCACCAGATACTCCTCCAGATACTCCTCCAGCGGCTTCCTCAGCTCAGTCTCCCGTTCCAGACCCGCCTCCCAGCTCGGCGCCTTCAACTTCAACACAACCGCCAAGTACTAGTGCAGGGCCATCAGCCATGGCAGAGCATCCGGCGACCCCAGAGCCGCCTGCAAGTCCAGAACCTCATCAGTCTCCTCCGGCAGCGCCGGCGAGTCCAAGAGTGAGGTTCGAAACACCGTCACCGTCTCAGTCGTCTAGAGAGCCACCTATGGTTGTTGACGTATCTCCCAACCGCAGACCAAGGCTGGTGAGAGGCGTGTGGACACTCTGAGAACTGGTATAAGCCAAAATTCATCAACCATCGGCGACAAGCGAGACGTAGGGTTTCCAAATCAACGTCTATACGGCAGAGCTCGCCAGCCTGGACGGTCCAATGTGCTCCATGGCATCTGACAGGTCCAAAACGCCGCGGGAAAGCCCTAAATACTGGCCTGTCAGTTATGGGTACCGAACGGAAACCAGCTCTATGACCTATCCCGAGCCACGTCACCGGCATCGTTGAAAAGGAGAGGAGCATCGTCTTATATGATGCGTACCTATATGATGCGTACGAGTGGTTGGGCAGGCCTCATCAACCAACTCAACGCCAATGGGTCAAATTGGTGCCATGAAACGTAACGTGAAGTCATTCGATCATGCCGCATCACGTCATCAGATTCCAGTAGTAGAAGATGGTATACCACGGACTCATGACCAGAGAACGTCGAAGACAAAACAGGAGCACCAGTTGATACACGTCGTTTTCCGAAGAGCTTTGAGCACGGGCTCTCGAAATGCTGCAGTGTTCAGTCCTTATGGGAACCCCGAGTTGGGCGAGCTAAGGTAATCTGAACCCTCACGACTACCAGCCGGTCGCGCCTTCCTTCGTGGTTCATAACCAGGCAACCAACCCCTCGTCCCGGGCCATCCTAAGGTTAGTAGGTTGATATTGACAATCAAACAAAGGCCGATTATTCTTCAGTGTCGGTACAACGGCATGGTGCCGGTCTGGATTGCGTGTAACTTCACAACATCGCTCAGCAGCAACGCCAACGCACTTGGAATTACATTCATTGTATCCTCACCATGTGTTCATCCACTGATACACCGCCGATTGAACCATGGACCGAGAGACTGCGGACAACCCGGGCCCGAAGCCTCAAGGGGTCTCCGAAACAGCAGCGTTCTCGCCGCCTCCCTTCTCCGAGACCAACAAACCTCAGCAGCACGGACATGGTTGCCTCTTCCTCTTCGCCAAACAAGCACAAGTCGAAGTCCAAGGAGAAATCACTTCAGTCCCTCCGCGAGCGCCTCAAAACGCCAGCTAAGAAACTCACCAGCCTCTCGCCCGTTGCCAATGCGACAGCTAAGAGACCGCCGGCCAAGCCCTCCGTTGCCCCTTTCTTCAAGCGCATTGAGGCTGCCTTCCAAGATAAGCCAACAAACACAGCAAGATCTACCAGACCCGCCCCTCGAGCGCAGGAGCCAGTCCGCCGTGCCGCTTCGCCAGATGCAGAAGACCTGATCAACCAGCTGAAGGGTATTGTCCTTCCAACCATTCCCAACCACTCCGCGCATAATCCTCTTTCAAAACTAACCTTCGCTCCATGTATGCATATGCAGAACACTACCTGCGCACGGCAACCAGTCTCCACAAGCAGGCAACGATGCGCCTCAGCCTGACACACGCCGACCTGAACCGCAAGCTGACGCAGTCGCTGGTCAAGGACGACGAGGCGTTTCTGGCCGACACGGAGGCCCACATCAAGAAGCTGACCCAGCCGCTGGACAGGTTCCGCATCCGCTCGCAGCAGCGTGTTGGTGGTGCCGCCGCCGCCGACGGGGACGGCGACGGAGCGCTCCGCTGCGAAGAGAACAGCGTGGGCGAGCTGATCGCCCGCGCGGAGGAGCAGGTGCGGCTGTTTGAGAGGGACGTGGCGGCGCTGTGGAAGGAGTGGGCTGTTGCTGAGAGCGAGGTGCAGAAGTTGTTACGGGGGGTTGTTCATCCTGCTTCTGCTTTGGGACAACAGGGTGGAGGTAGTGTTGGCGGCGGCGACGGAGAGGGATATGGTGATGGTGATGAGGGGGAGGAGATGCTCAGGAGGTATAGGGAGGTGGTCGAGAAGGAGATTGTAGAGGCCGAGGAGGAAGTTGTTGAGATTGGGGAGGAGGCGGTGGCGATGATGAAGGATGTTGAGAAGGTGCGTCCGTGAAGAGCAAGCGAGTTGAGTCTGGGGGGGCGAGGGCTAACGGAAACACAGGACTTCAGGAAGACCACCCTGCCTGACTTGCACATTTTCTTTCAGTCTATTGACGAGCCGTGAGATTGTCATGGAATCTGAGCTGATGATTTGCTTGCTTTTTTGCTCGGGTTGTGTTGCCAGAACTTCACTTCACTTGCCTGTTTCTGAAGTCTAAAGTTACATCCCGTCACCTTGCATTCATCCTCGCAGGCCATGCATGCGTCAAGCTAATGGTTTATCAAATGTCTATTCGGATGCTGCAAGTTATACGGAGCATCTCTTATGATCAGCCAGAGGCGGCTGAGTAATCCCATGCATATGCATGAGGTGTGACCTCTTAATCTGAGGTATATATGCTATGCCACGGTCCCATTTTCTCAATGACCTGATCTCCCTGAACGCCCTGCCCGAAACCTCTTCTTGCAGCCCGTCGCTCAACTCTATGCACGATGCAACGGAAAATAGTACCAAATCGCATATTTACTGCTCCTCTTCCACCACAACAGCCCAAGGATGCGACGGCTCGTTACCCCACATGATATCGGCCACCCACCCCTTGAGCTTGGATGTGTATTGACCAGCATGGCCCTTGACCATGGGGATGTGGACGTCGTGGTTGCGGTGTCGGATCTGTGAGACGGGGCAGACGAAGAACTGAAAGGAAACGTCAGCAACCGCTCACATGTTGGATGGACGTTAGAAACGAAGAACAAGGCAGAACACATACCGCCGTGCCAGCGGCAAAGGCCTCGACCAGCCGGCCCTCCTTATCCGCCTCAATGACCTCGTCGATCGTGTATTTCCTCTCGACCACCTCCAGCTCGCCCGCCAGCCGCTCCCGCGCCAGCTCCACGATGCTCCGCCGCGTCACGCCGTCCAGGATGAGCTTGTCGTCCAACGGCGCGGTCACGAGCTGCAGCTTCCCGCCTTGCTCCCCCTTCGTCCGCCACACGACGAAGAAATTGCTCGCGCCAGCCTCGGTGCAGTACCCCTCGGGCCCGTACAGCCACAGGATCTGGCCGAAGCCGCGCTCGCGCGCCTCGTTGGTGGCCAGCAGGCTGGGCCCGTAGTTGGCGCCCACCTTGGCGTAGCCGAACCCGCCGACCCACGCGCGGATCATGTCCTCCGGGTTGGTGTGCAGCTTCATGCCGCCGGGCGGCGCGTCCATGCGCGGCATGAAGGACGCCGTGATGAAGAGCAGCGCCTCCTTGGGCGCCTGCACGCCCAGCTGCGGCTGCGTGCCGATCACGGCCGGGCGCAGGTACAGGTAGGAGCCCGGGCGCGACCGGGGGAGCCACTTGGGCCCGTCGACGGCCATCAGCGCCACGATCAGCTTCTCCAGCTCGACCGGGTCGAAGCCGGGAAGCGAGATGCGCAGCGTCGACATGAGCATGCGCTTGGCGTTGAGGTCCGGGCGGAAGAGCCGCAGGCGGCCGTCGTGGCCGCGGTACGCCTTGAGGCCTTCGAAGCACTCGGTCGCGTAGTGCAGCACCGACGCGGTCGGCATGAGCGAGAGGGGCCCGTACGGCTTTAGCTCCGGCGCCGCCCAGCCCGTCGACGCTTTCCAGGTGCAGGTGATCATGTGGTCGGTGCAGATGGTCTCGTTGCCCGACGTGGCCGTGACTTCGTCCGGCACTTGGCGGGCGTTGGGGTCAGCCCGCGTGACGACAAGCTTGGAGGCGTCGAGGCCGGCGAGGCTGTCTTTGCCGTTGGCGTGGTGGCCGTTGCCGTTGCTGCTGGTGAGCGCCGGCTGCTCAGCGATCTTCTGCTCCATGGCCGTCGAGGTGAGATCCTCGGTGGGGGAGCCTTGAGAGATCATGTTGGCACCTATTTTTCTTGAGATCTTCGAGTCGGTGCCGAAAAGATGGAAGTGTGTGTGTGTGTGTGTTGTGGAAGTAGCAAGGTACAAGGTATTAAGGAGATATGGCCCGGACACCAGACAAAGGAATGGGTATGGGTATGTGTATGTGTATGTGTAGAGTAGGAGGGAGAGAACGCTCAGAGGAGTCACGGGGGTCTGAACTTTTAACTCGGTCTAAAAGTTTACTGAGACGAACTGGAGCCCGGATACCGGCTTCGACGTTTCTGTTACTTGCCACCGACTGATTGGTCAATCGAGACGCCCCCAAGTTTTACCCACCTGCACCGAGTCGACGATAGGGCGTAGGGACCTTGTGGAATCTTCTGCCGCACCGCACTTACACGGCTCAAGGCCGAGATACCGGCTCGATTGTGCCGGAGCTTACCGCGGAGCGTCCGTTAGTCGGACCTCCCGCCCCCGGTTACATAGAAGAAGAAACACCGTCATTGTTTACTGCTATATTGTGGAGATGGACTTAGTCGACCTATACATACCGTATGACCCTGCCGCAAACTCCGAGCACCGGAGCCTGAACTACATTGGCGAGAGACGCGAGTTTCAGTATCGTACAAGGCCCGCTTTGTGAGTCAAAGTTGGCGGCGAGACTCCGGGCCTAACTTATCTCTGGACCCGGACGGACCAGATCCCGATTCCTCGACCCGGTGGTGGAGTCGGCTCACACAAACGGGCCTTGTTTGGTACTGGACCTCGAGCTACTGCCCCTCGGACACATGACGAGGAGATCACAAGATCAATCGATGCCCTTATTATGGCGTAGCTGAATTTACCCCATTACACTTTGTATGCACAGAAACCCGACACAACGCGCGGAAAAGCGGTGGGATTTCCTCGTTGATTGCCTTTATCGGACGTCAGATCTTGAAGCAATTGGCCCGTAGATAGCCGCTCATAAGCGTGACAGCGAGCGCTGTGATAAAGACCGCTCTCCGCCCAATCAGACCCTTATCGCTGTGCCCCGCGCCGAGACGAAGAGTTTCCTGGAATGCAGTCATGCTGTCATGCTCCGCAGTCTCATCGCTCCGAACAGAAGTTAGACCCGGCTGCTGGTCAGGCCGATGCTCCCCCGCCGTGCGACCCGGCCGTGATCGGGGGCCGGCGCCAAGTGCTTGTTTGCGGTGGTCTTTCATGATATTAATGGCCGAGCGCCAAGAAACCGGGGGCGGCCAAGTCAGCTGAACCGTCGTCACGCGCTCTCCGTTACTCTTCCCACCAGGAACGTCGCTGGTTCTATCTCACCGGCCGCTCCTTTTTCACTTTGAACCTCAGGCTCGCTCTCCGAGCTCGCAACTTCCGGGAGCTACTGCCAAACTCGACTGCCGGCCCGGCCTCCTCTGGCGCCGCCGACGGACGGTGTTACACGTGGATCCCGGATTGCCCTCCGGACCCGAGCCAAGACGTCAACAACTACCTCAAGACAGCCAAGGTCACTCGTCCACAAGACCGGACCATCCAAGTGCCCTCACGCGTGCTGACACGCGGCGATGCACCGTCACCTATACGCAATTGCCAACTCACCGCTCCAACCTCGGTGGCCGTTGGTGTGGTTGTAGACGGCAAGCCGCTCCGTGGCCGGACCAGGACTGCTGAATAAGAAACTCCGAAGTGGTTGCTCTCTCGGGTGTGTCACGATTCTCTCCTAGAAAGAGCCGCGCCCGTCCGCCGTGGATAAGATTGTGAGTCTGGGTCTGCGTGACCGCCATCGACTTCTTGGAGGAGTCGCTCAAAATAATCACAGAAGGTGAGACTGTACCTGAATCTCAACCCCACACTAGTAAACAACACTTTGCATCGAGTGATGCCAGATGGCACGACGGGAGCAGAATGCTGCATGATGGGGACCTGCCGCCGTGATTGGGCCCCGCACTCATTGGCGATGCCGTGCTGCAGTTGTGGCCCAACCTCCACGCCCGAACTCCCGTCAGCTTCAGCTTCATCAGCACACTCCTCAGTGTCTGTCCATGATACCAATTGTCGCTCTTGTGAGAGCAACTGCGTCCTGTTTTTCAAGGCAATTCCATGTAGCTTTAGTCCGGGCAGAACAATTCTTGATGGTCTTGTCATCTAAAGACCCCCCTTTTCCTTCTCCTTTTCCCTCGCGACCCGGCTATCGCTATGTCCAAAGACGCCAAAGACCCAAAACATAGATTTGAGAACTCCCGCCAGCCGCATAGAAAAGACTCGCTGTCCTCCATTCTTTCGTGGGCCGCATTGCATGGCAAGATCACGGCTTCCAAGACATCGCCATTGTCTTCGTCTGCTTCGCAATCACCTCAGACATCCCTTGGCAACGGCAGTTCCAAACGGCGAAGGCACAGCCATAGCGCTAGTACCGAGACAAAACCGAAGGCACGTAGAGGTTCCACCACATTGCGGAACTTCTCGCTTTCGAATCCGGCGGCGAGCCAGGCTGGGGCTGGTACTAAGACGAGACATGCAAAGACTTCTATGGCGCCCGATCCGAAAGCTTCTCCGGGAATCTCCAAGACAGGAAGTGATGACTTCTCAGAGAAGGTCAACGAGACCGCCTCCCCAGGCTCAGGTGGAAAGGACACGACACAGACTCGGATCGCGCAAGGACCTCAAGACAAGCCAAGGTAAAGCGCAAAGGTCATGGGACCCCGTCGTTCGGTACACTAACACGCACATCTCTAGGTCTGCTAGTGCTCCGATTCCCATCAAGTCCATTCTGCGTGTCTCAAGCCCAGACGGATCCAAGCGGCCAAAGCAGTTCGTCAATCCGGAGAGCCGCGAGCCGACGAGCCCAGGACTGCCTGCTTCCAGCCCGGAGACGGGAGGAGGCATGTCGCCAGCCTCATCACCGGGCTCCGATCTGACGTCGCCAATGAGCAGACCCATGTCCCCAGGCGCGACCGTCCGCTTCGCCAAAGCCACGATCCACCGGGTCGAGGTTGGCCCAGGCCGGCGCTTCCTCCCCGTCAAGCGCAAGAGCAAGAGCACCGTGACCTACATCTCGCCGCTCGACCCGGGCCCGCAAAAGAGCGCCCCCAAGACGATGCTGCAGAGCCCCACCAAGCTGCGCCGCCACCAGGAGAACCAGAAGGCCATGGGCCGCTACTGGATGCGGACCGAGGAGGAAGAGGCCCAGTGGAGAGCGGAGGCCGAGCGCAGAGCCCAGGAGGAGGCCGAGCGGTACCGCAACGAGCCCGCCAGCCCGCCGCCCGCGTCTGCTTTGCCCAAGGCAGCTGTTGAGGGCTCACTGGCGGATAAGGTCAAGGCCATCGACAAGCTGGCGCCCCTGGAGAGCGATCCGTCCAAGGATAAGGTGGATGAAGAGTTTGCGGATTCGGAGATCTGCGATTCCGACGAGGATTCGGGGGTGGAATGTGGTCAGGGGGCGGGAGAAACAGAATCCGTTGCGTCGACGGAGTCAGCCCAGGACAGAAAGGTAGTTTACAGGCCCGAGACAGCCGGAGCGGAAAAGGGGGGTGCGGAGAATCCGAAGGTCACCGACGTGCAAGCTCGGCTTTCTGTGGCAGGGCCAGATGAAGCCAAAACTACCCCTACTCCCACCGAGAAGGCCAATAACAAAGCGCCCAACTCAGTTCCGGAAATCGCAATTGCTGCAACCAGCGCATCCATGGCAGCGGAAGCTCAGCCATCAGCAAGAAAGGATGCCAATCAGGCGGAATCCGGATCGTTCTCCGGAAGGCTAGCAGAGAAGCAAGCGGGAGAAGAGGAATCAAAACAGGTAGCAATCCCAGTCGGTGCATCGAAGGCAGATGTGAACGAACCGAGCAAAGGAAGTTCGGCCCACATCTCCTCCGACTCACCCTCAAGGGATAAGCCAGAAGAAGCAGTGAGCCGACTGTCAAGGAGTCTCAGCACGAGCAGCCTGCACAGCTCCTCCAGCTCAAGCTCACGCTCGAGCTCGGGCTCCACGACAGCGCGACTGCGACTCGTCAGGGCCCAATCCAGGGATATGAAAGGAAAAGAAACGGAAGGAAATAGCAGAGAAAGGCCGAGGCTAGAATCATCACCGACCACCAGAGCTTCTACTTCCTCATCATATTCGTCCAAATCATCAGCGGGAGTTAGCAGCACGTCAGACAGACCCCGAACTAGTCCAAGCAACAGTCACAGCCACAGTCATAGTCATAGTCACAGTCACAGCAGCAACAGCAGCAGCAACCATTTGCATTTGTCTGGGCGCAGGAGCAGGCGGCGTTCTGAGGATCATCGGCAGGGGATTGTGGCTTAATTGCCTACTTTTCTTTTCTCTTTTCCTCCTTTCTTTTTTGTCTATTTTTTCCCCCGAGGAGCGTAGCATCACGGAGTCCTTTACCATCCGTTTTTTCTTTTCCCCTTTGTATTGTACACTGCTACTACTATCCACGGCGGCACTCTCTTCTCTTTTGTTCTGTTTCTCCCCTTAATGTTCTGTCCTGATTACTCCTGCATCCAAGGTGTTCAAAATATTTGTTGCATGATATGAGATATGGGCGATGTATGATCTTCAGCCTCAGCTTTCAGCTTTTCTTTTCTCCGCGAGTCAGCAGCGTCTCTGGACGGGTGCTTTTGGCACATCATGAACAGCCGCTATCCTATTAGGTTAGTAGTTCTCAGATAGCTTGCATTCTGCAAGCAAAATAGTGAATGAACCACGCCGCGATTCATTGACCATGATGCAATGTACTATGCTGGGATATCTCTCATGCCATCATACGTCCCATCCAAACGCCGGTTGCTTCTCTGATATCCGTCAACCACCAAATTAAACTCGAGACCATGCATGTTCGCTCAGCCGAGCCACATAGATCCCTTCCTGGGAGCGACCCATTCCTCCTCTATAACCTCCCAACGCTCATTAACTTCTCCTACTCGCCGCTGCACCCGGGAATAGATGGGCCAGCGACTTCACAGACTCGTCGTGATGATCCCCTCATCAGCCGCCGGCGGCTCCTTTTGGCCCCTGATTGCACGCCCTGAAAGGACCATCCACTTGACCAACCTCGCCTTCTTCCCAAGTGCTCTCACATCAACCCACCCAAAACTACCTTGCCCACATTCGCCACCTCCGCCTTGACCCCGGCCCGCCCAGACTCCTCAAACTCCCTCACCACGCCCTGGATGAACAGCTTCTTGATCTTGCTGTCCGCCTTGGTGAACAGCTCCGCCACCGAGCCCGTGCAATCCCTCGGCGTGGGCAGCAGGCTCAGCAGCCGCGTGTACGTGTCAATCAGCACGTCGCACAGCGTGGCGAACGTCTCGAAGAAATCCGGCTCGAACGGTAGTGTGGGCGTCAGCAGGTACGTGTACTCCTCCCCCGGCAACAAATCCACCTCGCTCGCGCCAAACGCCATCACGCTTCCCGCGGGCGGGCCCAAGTCCCCTGCCGCACCACTGAAAGAGGAGGAGACGGTGGTGGAGGTGGCGCCGGCGCCGGTGTTGCTCTCGACTTGCTCCAGCGGATACCCGCCTCCTCCTCCGCCTCCTCCTCCTCCTCCCATGTCTCCGTCGCGCCCGGCCGCGCTGCTGCTCCGCCTGCCCTTGGAGACGGGCGCGGCGGCGCGGCGGAACATTTGTGGGATGCGGGTTCGGGTGAGCGAGGTGGCGCCGATGCCGTTTTCCGAGTGGATTTGCTGGAAGGTGTCGAATTCGGCGAGCAGGGTGTTGAGGCTGCGGAGGAACTCGACGGGCGTGCTGGAGTTGAGGTCGATCACCGCGGGCAGCGAGACGCCGAGCAAGAGATAGTTCGTCGCGCGCCGGCCGAGCTTGCGTGGGTCGAAGTACGCCATGCGCTGTAGGTCGGGCTTGTCGAAGAGCAGCGTGTTGAACCAGTAGATGCGCCCTTCGTGGCTGCTTTGGGTCATTAGCGATTTTTTGAGACGCGGGAGAAGGAATAGGTTTGGAAAATGGGGTTGGGCGCTTACGCTTTGCGCAGGTACTCCAACGTTGATATCCTCTTGTTGGCCGTCTCTTGTATCTGGTGGTGGACGGCCCCCAGCTCGCTTGGTTGCGCACCACTGCCGCCGCTAAGCATAGAGCCCGAGACTGACATGCCAACGGGGTAGCCGGATACCGGCGTCACGGCGCCCCGGCTGAGCATCTTGGAGAAACCGTCGCCGGTCCTGGGGGAGGGGTCGGGGAGTTGAAGCGCGGTATTGTCGGAGAATTGGATGGTGCCCGAGGGTCGACGCGCATTACCAGCGAGGGCAGCCCAGTAGCCATCGACTGGTGGCCCGGTGTTTGAGAACTTCCTCTTCCCTGGCGATGTCGAAAAGAATGATGGTTTGCGGCCAAACGAGGGTTTCCGGTCCTTCTGCAACAGTTTCTGCCTGGGACTGTCGCCAGCAACGTCTTCGCCGGAGGTAGTCGGTCGTTGCAATTTGCCAGTTGGTGATGATGGAGCGTTCCGTTCGGCTTTGGAGTCCTGATTGTTGATGGTGCCGCCGCCGCCGCCAAAAAGCGACGAAAAGAAAGGGGCGGCGGTCTGCGTCGGAGTGGCTGCCGAGTGCTGCATGGCGCCTGTTCAGGGTTCAGCAACGCCGCGATATCATTTGCTGTCGCGGCGTTAGCGTCCCGGATTGGGTAGGAAGCGCTGGCAGGGCTAGAAGGCGCAACCAGGGTCGTCAGCAGGGGTTGGGTCGACGCCGGAGAGTTAGGTATAGGATAAAGTTCTTCATCACAACCACGAGGAAGAGCGGCTATATACAATCAAGAAAAAGATGTTGAGAATTGAGGAAGAAGACTCGACCCGCCGGCGAATCGCTGTCGTCGAAGATTTCGAAATGATCACAGGATGAAAACAAGGCGACCATCCAGGGTCTCCCACGCTCAACTTTCAAGGGTCTCCCTATTCAACATTTCGGCTCATGTGTTGCGGGTTACCTCCATCCACGGCTTCCGGCCATAATGGGTTCCCCCACTCAAGCAAATGTCGTGCTTGGGCGATCACAGCATGAATGTGTTGTTGCAGATTCAGCCGCCATCATCAACGGAGGCCTGGGACATACATCCTTGAAGTCGGCTGGTTTTGGTCATCATTGCTAACCCCAGTGTATGTAGGGGACCACCAAGTGTTGGAGAATATTGGATTGACGCCCCTGGGACTCCATGCCGCCGTATGGCGAGGCTGTGGTAGTTTCCCTATTATCTGCCTGCTTCGCATCCATATCCGTCCTGGGTTTGGAAGTCGCAGCGGCATCAATCGAACCTAACATTGCGGGGCCACCATTCCACCACGAGTGGTGTGGGGGAGGGGCACCTATGTACTGCGGGAGGGGTTAATGATGCCTTAGAAAACAGTGGTGCAACCTGATGAGGCAGGTTACGTATTAGCAACCTCGCTTGCAAGCTTGTAATGCAATCTTAATAAATGAGCCACTTTGGGTTTAATGACATCTCAAACACATCATCGTTATTTGCTGGTTCGCAGTATACATGAGCCACTGCTTGCGCCTGCCACGGTCACCGGACAGAACCCAACGGACTGTTTTTAGCAAACAGCCGTCTTTGCATACTGGATTGATCCCGCATAGACTCACAAGCAATGGCTGCCACAAATGACACTCTCCCGCCTGGAGACCCGGTGCCCGAGCTGCTCGAAGGACGCCTGTGGGTTGACGGGTGCTTTGACTTCTTTCACCACGGTGGGTTGGCGTCTCGGCGCCTTTAACAGTTCAGTCATGTTGGCTAACTCAATGTCTCAGGACATGCTGGAGCCGTGGTGCAGGCCCGCCAGCTCGGCGATGAGCTTTACGTGGGCGTCCACTCTGACAAGGCCATCCTCGAGAACAAAGGTCCCACTGTCATGAACCTGAAAGAACGGTACCTTTTCTCTGTGCCCACTTCCCCTGCCGGCACCGTCACTGACGGCACCTCATCAGCCTCCTCGCCACAGACGCGTGTCGCTGGGTGACCAAATCGATCCCAAACGCCCCCTACGTGACCCAGCTCGACTGGATCAGCCACTTCGGGTGCAAGTACGTGGTGCATGGCGACGACATCACGTCCGACAGCAGCGGCGAGGACTGCTACCGCTTCGTCAAGGCCGCCAACCGGTTCAAGGTGGTCAAGCGCACACCTAGCATCTCGACGACAGATCTCGTGGGCCGTATGTTGCTGTGCACTAGGGGTCACTTTATTAAATCGCTTGAGAAGGTGCTTGTCGGTGAAGAAGGGCACGGGACCGAAGACGAGAGGAAGGCCAATGGTGAGGCGATGCGGGAGAGAATCCGGTTGTACGCAACCGATGAGACGGCCAAGAAACCCGGTGCGGATGTGTGGTTCTGGAGCCCGCAGGGCGGATTTAAGGAGCTATTCCGTGGGATTGGCCCGAAGCCCGGCCAGAGGGTTGTGTACGTGGATGGCGGGTTTGATCTCTTCTCCAGCGGCCACATCCAGTTCCTGCGCCTGGTGACAGAAGCCGAGGAGGAGTTGGCCAGGAAGGACGGTTGGTACTCGGAGCAGGCCGTGAACGAGAGGCGAGGCAAGGGCGCCGATTACGGGCCTTCTTTTGTTGTTGCTGGCGTCCACGACGACGAGGTCATCAACAAGTGGAAGGGAGTCAACTACCCGATCATGAACATCTTTGAACGCGGCCTGTGCGTTCTTCAATGTCGAGTGAGTTGGAGCCTAGGGCTGTTAAGGAGATCATGGCTAATATGACAACAGTATATCAACGCCGTCATCTTCGGCGCCCCGTTCACCCCTACAAAACGCTATCTTACCTCTCTACCCTGGGGCACTCCTGATGCTGTCTACCACGGGCCAACGTCCTTTATGCCCTCCACCGACGATGTCTACACTGACCCCAAAGAGATGGGCATCTACAGGGAGATCGGACACCACGAGTTCGAGGACGTCAACGCTGGCACGATAGTGCAGAGGATACTGAGGAGCAGGGACCTATACGAGGCTCGACAAAGGGCCAAAGGGATGAAGGCTGATCTCGAAGCTGCCCACAAGCAGCGTGAGTTGCTCGAGGAAGAGCAGCGGAAAAAAGAGGCGGCGCGTTAGAGACGCGTGAGGCGGATCGCCGTGAAATTGGTGTTTCAACCAAGAGCATGAGAGGAGTGGGCTAAAATGGGGGGGTTCAACAGGCCGGGGGCCAGCAAAGGCGGCCGTCATAGACATAAACCTAGTGTAAAGAGTACTACCTAATTCAAACAGGAATAATCGTTGGGCAGTCCATCAGATACCATAACGCATTCCGAGTCATCAACGGGGTCGCGCGACGATTTACGCCGGCTCCACCTCAGAGCTTGACTCTATAAAATGGATTATCATCACTTGAACTGCGACCCTCTTTAGACACCGGGACTCGGCGGCAGGCAGCACAGACAATGGGGGCCTCCCGCGAAGCCTAGAGTTTCCGTTTGTCCAGCTGTTTGCTGACCGCAGAGCACCGGGCCTTAGAAAAGATCAGAAAGTGCGTTGAAGCCCCCCTCGCACCAAGAATGAGCCCCGTCGAGTAACTCGCCCCCCTGGCTCCAGGAGAGCGAGCAATCGCATATCTGTGGTATCTTGACGAAATCTCTCGAGCCAGCCATGACGCTCCCAGTCCAGACCGGACCAGCGGCAGCCCCCCATCGGCCAGTCAACCCACCGACAGGCACAGCACATCGCGGCCCAGACAGCCAGAGCGCGGACTCATATCTTCGTCCATGTGGTCTCCAACCCGGGAACCGGACTACTGCATGAACCCTGCGATGAGCAAGTCGGCCGACTTTGGAGTGGATGGGCCGGGCGGTAGCCGAGACAGACAAGGAACAGGCGGCCGAGATCAGCCGCAGTGCTTCTATGGCGGCGCGTTTCCGCGACCAGCTTCTTCAGTGACAAAGAAGGTGGATGTCCGGGGACTTTCTCCCAAAGCTTGTTTGTGTGTGTGAGTGAAAGAGCAAGTGCTCTCTCCGTTTGTGAGCTTCGAATAGCGATTTTTCGGACGAGGGGGCCTTGAAGAGGGAAGAGGAAGAAAGAGTTCTCGTCGCAGCTGGTTGAACTTTTTATGCAGCTGAAATTTTGGGATTGTGGGGCACCTTTGGTGGCCCAAGCTTCTGGCGACTACGTATCTGCACGGACGGGGGTGGTCTTAGCGCTCGCGACTCGAGCTGGAATCCAGCCTCTAGCGCGAAGGCAGCGTTGCCACTTGTCGCGGTCGATTTGACATCTTTCGTCCGAGTCCATCTGCACCCAGATACGGAAAACTGCTAGACAAAGAACGCACACCCGTCTGGCAGCATCGCAGACAGACTCAAATATCCAGCAACCGCGACGATGGCGGGCCTTTTTGGATCGGCATCGGCGGCGACTTCTAACACACTCGGCGACCTCAGTAAAGATGTCGAGCTCGGGAGCCCGCCCGAGGACAGCATCTCGGACCTCGCGTTCAATCCCAATCCGACCGACCCCAAGGATTTTCTGGCCGTGGCGAGCTGGGACAAGAAGGTGCGGATCTACGAGATCATGAGCAATGGCCAGGGCCAAGGGAAAGCGCAAATCGAGCACGACGGCCCCGTGTTCTCAGTCGATTTCTTCAAGGTGGGTGAAATGCCGTGATGGGAACAAGAACAGTCGCTGACCGCGTGGCAGGACGGCCAAAAGGTCATCTCTGCGGGTGCCGACAAGCAGGCCAAGCTGCTTGACCTGGCCACCGGACAGTTGGCGCAGGTAGCGCAGCACGATCAGCCCGTCCGCTGCGTACGGTACTTCGAAGTCAACGGGACGCCGATGGCGGTCACAGGCTCTTGGGACAAGACGGTCAAATACTGGGACTTCCGGAGCGCCCAGCCGGCGGGAGTGGTCAACTGCCAAGAGCGGGTTTATACCATGGACGTCCGGGATAACCTTCTGGTCATTGGCACTGCCGACCGGTACATTAACGTGATCAACCTGAAGGAGCCGGCTAAGTTCTACAAGACTCTGCAGAGCCCCCTGAAGTGGCAGACGCGGGTTGTCAGTTGCTTCACCGACTCGCAGGGGTTCGCCATCGGCAGCATCGAGGGCCGCTGCGCGATCCAGTACGTCGAGGACAAGGACGCGAGGTAAGCCATCCCTCCCGGCTCAGCTGCTGACATCCACAGATGCTGACCATGCATTTAAACAGCATGAACTTCTCATTCAAATGCCACCGCGACCAGCCTCAGGGCAACGTAACGAACGTCTACGCTGTCAACGACATCTCGTTCCACCCACAGCACGGTACCTTCAGCACGGCCGGTAGTGACGGCACGTTCCACTTCTGGGACAAGGATGCCAAGCATCGGCTGAAGGGGTACCCGAACGTGGGCGGGAGCATCACCTCGACGACGTTCAACAAGACCGGCACCATCTTCGCGTACAGCATCAGCTACGACTGGTCCAAAGGCTACCAGGGCAACACAGCCAACTACCCGACAAAGGTCATGCTGCATCCCGTGCAGCCGGATGAGTGCAAGCCGAGGCCGAGCGTCAAGAAGAGGTAGGACAACGGAAAGACGTCTCGGGCAAGTAAGTGATGGGGCACCATGGGGTAAAGCAGTTTGCTAGGTAGCAAAGAGGTCGACTGCTCGGATTTGCATACCAAAATAAAAAACAAAAGAAAAACCGAAGATACCAATCGAGATAAGGGGAATGGACAGTCAACAAGTCAAAGTCGACGGGGAGTAATACAGGCGTAAGAGAGCCAATACTCATCTGTCTCGGGGATGGTTAGTGTAGTTGTTACATTGTTACAGATAGGTAGCCAAAATTGCAATTCAAAAGCCCACTCGTGGCGACCATAGTAATAACAACCTGTGTACCTAAGGCCCGTGGTTGAGCTTCGGGCCGTGCTTCAAGCGCCCTCACAAAATTACAACGTTAGTACATCATATATCGTCATGTCATCCTAGATAATAAAAAGGCAACCACACCTCCCCCACCGCCTCATGTCGCAGACAAGTCAAGGCCACCCCACCTCCATCAAGCAGCAGCAGCCGAACCCCCGTTCTCAGCGTCGCCACTACTACTACTGCCACTATTCAAAACATCATCCACCATCCCGCGCCACATCCTGATCATCCCCTTGCCCATCTCAAAACTCTCTTCCACTTCCCTGCCCAAGAGGTGTGCGAACCCGAGCTCCACGCCGTCGACTCCCATCCCTTCAACCTCGGTCAGCGCGGAGGGGAGGACCTGCTCCGGATTCGCCGCGACGACCACGATCTCCGGCTGCGGCAGCGGCGCGTCCACCGCCTCGGCGGCGCGCAGGCCCGCGGGAGGGGAGGTGTTGTCCGGGAGTAGGGGCACGCGGATGTGGGCGTACGGATCGTACTGCGCGTCCTGGGCGGCGAGGTCGGGGAAGATGGCGCGGTCGATGGTCACGAACGAGGGGGCGGCTGGTTTCGGGGCCGAGTGGTGGAAGGTCTGCATGAAGGGGATGGTCCTGGGCTTTGACTGCGACGGCGGGACGGGACGGTGAGGGGATGAGGAGGAGGTTGTTGAATGGGCGCGATGCTATGAAAAAGGGAGTGTGATGTTAGTGAGCTGGGGATTGAACCTCGAGGCGCACCTCGGTGAGGTAGGTGATGGATGGCACTTACGTCGGCCGAGGTTTCCTCGGTGACCGGTTTCCTGGCTTTCCTGCCTGCGCCGGTGGCAGCTGCTGCTTTTGAGGCCTTGTTGAGGAGCTGGCTGGGCCGGGCAGCGGCGGGCGTGCTGCTGAAGGAGCGGCTGACCAGCTTGGAGACGGGAACTGTAAGTCGCGACGACATAGCTATGGTACGGCTCGGAGATGTCGCTGATGGTTCTGGTTGATGGAATCTGATACGGATTGGGATCACACAGACGGGGACTCAGGTCAGGAACGGTTGGACAATGATAGAGCTTTAGGTAGAGTCGGAGAAGGAGGGGAGCCAAACTGACTCAAACGGAAGAGGAGGGCAGGTATAAGTGACGGCAGATCCGGACCTCCGACTGAGGATGGTGCATGGAAGGAAGACCACAACAGCACACCTCCCTGACACCCAGTGGACCGGCTAATTCCATTGGCGTCAAACAAGGGCCTAGAAGGTGGTTGCATACCGCACCTGGACGACCGTTTCTGCAGACTCGACACGGTACATGTCAGGTATGTAGAAGGTGGTTTCATGCTTGCGATGAGCCGATGCTTGCGTCGCACCAACCCCTCACCGGCATGCAACGAAATGCCATTTCGTCTTCAAGAACTTCGACAATTGGATGCCAAATTGATCTCAGATTCGCGGTTCTATCTCAATGGCCACGACTGAATTCGCACTCCTTCCCCTGTCACCTCAATCTCGACAATTCCCAACGAACAGGGCTATGTCCGCGCGTCGGAGTCCGACCCCGGTCGACCACGCAACTCCCGACTTGCGGTGAATCCACTTTTGTTGAGTCGGAGCTTGGACCATCGGTGAACGTCCCGTTCCCTTGGGAGGCGGTCAACCTTAACAGACATGGATGACGACCTCACCAGATTCGTGTTAGTGTAGGTAGTAGTTATGTACGTACCTTATTAGCGCCGGTACGCTGTCACCGAATCTCGGGGCGGAGAGGCCGGATTCCGAGCGTAGCGAGGATCTGTCAAGTCACCTGAGCACTTTGGCCGCCTCACTCACTGGCAGTTTGCAACCCACTTTCTCTACACGTGTACACATTACACAGTAGTGTACGGAATAGTAATAGTGTAAGATGATTGTGGATAACGATGTTGTTCTTGATCTCCTTGCCAATATCCTGTCCTTGTCACGTTCGCCCAGCTCGCGGACTCCCACCCCGTGGGGTTGATGACTTGCATCCGGTTCAGTCGATCCTGAGCTCTTCCCGAGGCCCGAATGAGTCGGAACGACACTGCCGCAACACCGGCCTCTTATCGTGCCAAGGCGGCAGAGCCGCAATTCCTCGGGCGAAAACTAATGTTAGTTTGAGTCGACAAGATGGGCTTGCACATGTTCAATCATTCAATCTGTGTCAGGCCGCTGTCACTCTCCGGTGCAATGCCTTCGACTGCTTACTAGGGATATGTGACAGCAACCGGACGAGAGAGATGCCGTGTTTTGTACCCCCTGAGCTGTAGTTCATAGAGTGAGTGATGGGTTGCCAAACCTTTGTAGTCTAGTGACTACTTTGTATATGCCCTGTGTTTCCCATCCCACAAGGGCATGCCCCGTGGTGACCGGCGTGACGACACACCAAGGCGTGCTGCTTGATAAAGCCAGCGCAAGCCGGAATGTGACCAAAGTGTCCATCGACCCTCATGCAACCCGGTTGGGATTTGAACTGGTCTGAAATTCTGGATGAACAGGTTTGGAAGAACACGGTACAACGGGTAGTATCCCTGTGGATCCGCTCAACATGAGAGTCTTCAAGTAACATGTAAGGCGGAAAGGTGAGGCGGTCGACGTGGCTCCTACGTCAGGCAAGTCACCTTACCTTAATTAAGGTACGGTAGGTAATACCGCCCATGGAGATTAGCCCACCTCACCGTATTTCACATAGAGCTGCATACTTGGCTGAAGTTCCTGCCGGGCAAGTTGCAAACTCTTCCACCCTCAAAACATCCATTCCGGACGGGGGGTTTCAAACGAATATAGTCTGTTGACAGTCTGTTAGAGCCGCAACATCCAGATCACGACTCGAGCATACTTCTGACATCATGTTCAAGCCAACATAATAAGGGCTGCTTACGATGCTGTTCACTCAATAGGCTTTTCACTTGATAACGTACTCTTCACACTAGCCTAGGTCCTATAAAGCTACTTTCTCTGTTCGTGGCCGAACAGACTGTTCTATCTAACAGGCGGATATCCTGCTGAACAGAGCCGTCAGCAGAACCCGCCTAGATTCAACAGAGAGAGGCTCGCACCTGCCACCATCGCAGGCGCCAAACCTTTCCAAGGTTATTCGTAGACTGCGACTTCCACACTCTCCTCAATGTGTGCTTGCCTTCGTAGTACGATCGTAAACATCGCAGCTTATACCTTGTAGTCCCAAGATCCTAGGTTCGAATCCTCGCTTTCCCACGTTCATTGAATTGAATGATACTATCAATTGAGAGAAAGAAGGAGAGCGAGGATTTAGCTTTTGGCATTACCCCCTCCTATTATTGGAACCATAACCTGGTAGGTAGGTGATCTGTTTCACTCTCTATACAAGACATTAACAGACTGTTATAGGGGTAACAGACTATTGGTGAGACAGGCTATTTCTGTCTAAATAACTCTACTCGGTTAACACTATAGCAAAGGGCGCAAGCCTCCAGCTGTTATACTTTTCATAATATTCTCCAATACTAGTAGTTATGCTACGCAATACTGTTTCAGTCAAAACGCTGTTACCGACCTAACAGACTATGGTGACGAAAGGCTCGTTGTATGACCCCACCCTCCATCCAATGATGTGGTGGCGAGGCGGCCGGAATGAGATCATGAATCATGATCGAGAATGGATGAGCTCAGCTCATTCCGCAGGGCGGCCCCTTCCTAGGTCCGCATGTTTGGAATTAGCACACATATTAAGGGACCTAGGGGTGGGCTCCTTCCCGAGAGCATCACTGCCCTGGCGCCAGTGCTCTTTCCGTCTCACTGGGTGTCATTGCCTTCGCTTCCCCATCTTGACCACCAGTCTCCTTCCCCATGTCACGGTCCTGCCGCCGAGCCAACATAACTTAACTTCCCGGTTTCCTTGCTCTGTTCGTGTTCTGACCGACGAGGGGAACTACAAAACAACCCGCAGGTTCAGTTTCTTTCGACATCAGTAACAACTTATCCAAGGCTTTTCAATTTATTTCCACGCAGAAACACCATTCAACAGTCTCAGTCGACTTGCGGAGTTTACACAGAATACACTATACAACCCATTCAACATTGTCAAAATGGCCAGACTGAACGGCTCCGGGATCACGGACGAGCCTCTTAGGCTCTCGGAGATCGACTATGATACCCGGCACAAGATCTATGGGGGCATGGTTCTGAAAGGAGGAGCCCTGGAGCGCGGCATGGCCTACGGAGGGGTCTTTGCTGACAAGATCAAGGCCAATGTCCATCGACGCATGAATGACCCGAACATGCCCTCATGGTAAGTTGACGACCTTCCTCGCCCAGGGTATTCCGAGTGAGCAAATCGAACCGCTGACCGTTGTCGTCAGGGAGGTCTGCTCGCAGCTGATCATACAGCACTACATTCCGTCCCTGAGGGACCAGTGGCTGATTGGATTCGATGAAATGCGCGGCATTGCATTGGGAAGCGGCGTGCCCCTCGAACGTGTGGTCTTCCTCAATGTATGGGAGGACCTTGCCGCCATCGGCCACATAGGAAAGTCGGGCGACCGACGCGGGGGCCGGCCGCCGCAGCCACAAGATGCAGACGAAAGCATCAGCGCCTTCTTCTCTCCCACGGCAACTGTCGACGGCGAGACCGTCCTCGCGCATTCCTTGAGCTCGTCCAAGAAGATCCAAGACGAGAACCTCATGGTTTACCTTGAGATCCGTTATCCCGAAGCGGATTTTCCCACCATCTTTACCGTGGTCGAGGCGGGCATGATCAGCGGGTGCGGCATGAACTCGGCAGGCCTGGCGGTGACGGCCAACTGTCTCTGGTCGACCGATGACCACCTCCCTCAGACCGGCCGCGGCTTCTACTTTCCTGTCACGTGCATGCAGCGCTTTCTTCTTGAGAGCTCGGACATCCACGAAGCCCAAGCGGCTATTCACGACATGCGGCGGCACGCATCAAAGCATGTGCTGCTTGCGGATGAGTCTAGATCACTCTCGTTGGAGCTCGGCCCGGAGCACGTCTTTACCCACCATGCGAGGTACGACAGCAAGGCCAAGGTGCACACGAACCACTTCCAGTCGTTTGAAGCATTCCAGTGGCGCCGCCAGATCTTGGACCGATACCAGGGAAAAAGCAGCCAGGCCCGACTCTACCGCCTCGAGCATCTCATCGATGACCGCGTGCCTGACCGGATGTCGAGACAGGACATCGTGGATGTGTTCTCTGACCACAACGGCGATGTCCAAAGCATCTGTCAACACAACGACGAGGGATGCCAAGACAGGACGACCGTGTCGTTCGTCATGTTCAACCCGAAGAGGAAAACTATCTCGGCGTGCAAAGGTCCCCCGTGCGAGGGACAGATGATGCACTTTACGCTGGAAACGGCCGCCGAAGCGGCTGCGCGCAAGCAGCAGGAGGAGGCGGCCAGACGTCTCCGTGGCAGCGGCGGTATGCGTCGGCGTGTCAGGGAGGAGATGGATATGGAGACACCGCGGTCTCGGGCGCCGTCTCCGCCCAATCATCGGTTTGACGGCCTTGTGTTGGTGCCCGAAGAGGGCAGCTCGGACGACTACAGCCCAGTCCTATTGACACCTCCCAGGTACCCTTCCCCGGTCGGGGTTACTTCGTCATTGGACGCCATGTTCTCGCTCACGACGAAGGACTTTGAGAAGCTGGAGAGTGTCCGGAAGGAGAAAAGAAAGGCCAAGGAACCAACCGGTGCCAGGATGAAGTCGACGAAAAGGAAGGAGGCTTGAGCATCGAGTATCTGGTAAGCAGGTACTGCAGAGGAAGGAGAACAAGACTCAGTTGTAGTGTGTAGGGATAGCGGCATTTCTTAGTGGAGGGCGTGTGGTATGTGGGATAGAGTCTCTAGTGTAGGTTTGCTTTTCAAAATTCATCAAAGCGGGAATCCAGACTCCTGTCGGGGACTCGGATGAAAAAAAGCTGCCAAGAAGTGATGTGCCGAACCCCTGTTTGACGATCCACATCCGGCTCAGCCCAGCGAGCAGCATGGCCAATGAGTGTGAGCAGGCCCTGAACAAGGGTCCAGCGTACGCGGCGTCTAGGCTGGGATTCTTTTTGGTCAAGCTGTCCTCAAGCATCTGATGTGACGGTGTTGGTTGCTGATGGTTTGGGTGACGTTGCTTTGGGACAGCTCTTCAATTCGATTCAATTTTCCGCGCCTTGCCGCGTGGACTGGCAATCAGCGATGCGGATGTGACTTGGCTTTCAATTCTTGCTTTTTTACAAAGAGACCCGACGTTTCTCAAGTCCTTGCCCCGTGGAGGGCTTCCGGCTCAACCTAATCTCCGGCGTTGGCCGGGAGAAGCAATAGAGACAGCTACCCCGACGAAAGACAACGAAGCGCAAGTGACACCTCTGTGAGGTCGCGCAACCATCGCCATGATGAATGGCTACGATGAGAAGCGCGAGCTCGACGATGATGCCTTCGGCGCAAAGGGCAGCATCGTGAGCGCCTTTGACGCATTCCGTACGACAATCCCCGTCCCAATACTCCCGACCCTTCCTTCTATACCCGTCCGTACGTAAAATCTACATACCCACTGACAGCCACTTCCCTTCTGCACAGCCAAATCCAAACCGCAGTACGTCCAGCGCACAGCCGGCGGCGGCAAATGGACCGTCGCCATGGCGCTGGTCTCGCTCGTGCTCTTCTGGAGCGAGCTCGCGCGCTGGTGGCGCGGCGAGGAGCAGCACACCTTCGCCGTCGAGAAGGGCGTCTCGCACGTGCTCAACATCAACCTCGACGTGGTCGTGCGCATGCGCTGCGCCGACCTGCACGTCAACGTCCAGGACGCGGCGGGCGACCGCATCCTGGCCGCCGAGAGGCTGCACCGGGACCCGACCCTCTGGCAGCACTGGGTCGACGGCAAGGGCATGCACAAGCTCGGCCGGGATGCCCAGGGCCGCGTCGTCACGGGGGAAGGGTACACGGGCGTCGGGGAGCACGACGAAGGGTTCGGGGAGGAGCACATCCACGATATTGTCGCGCTCGGGAAGAAGAGGGCGAAGTGGAGCAGGACGCCCCGGTTATGGGGCGCCGAGGCGGACAGTTGCCGGATCTATGGTACGCTGGAGCTGAATAAGGTGCAGGGGGACTTCCATATCACGGCAAGGGGCCACGGGTACAGGGGATTGGGGGAGCACTTGGATCATAAGGGTATGCTGCCGTCCCACCGCTCGGCTCATCCCCCCTACCCTCCCCCCCTTCCCCCCGTTCTTGAAACTCAGCAGCTAACCCTCAACTCGGCCCCCCCTAATCACAGCATTCAACTTCTCACACATCATATCGGAGCTCTCCTTCGGGCCCTTCCTTCCGTCGCTCGTCAACCCGCTCGACCGGACCGTCAACGTCGCGTCGGCCCACTTCCACAAGTTCCAGTACTTCCTCTCGGTCGTGCCCACGACGTACAGCGTCGGCCACCCGGGCGAGATGGGCTCGACCTCCATCTTCACCAACCAGTACGCCGTCACCGAGCAGAGCCAGGCGGTGCCCGAGACCACGATCCCGGGCGTCTTCGTCAAGTACGACATCGAGCCGATCCTGCTCAACATTGTCGAGACCCGCGCCAGTCTCTTGATGTTCCTGCTCAGGGTCATCAACGTGGTGAGCGGCGTGCTCGTGGCGGGCCACTGGGGGTATCGGTTGACCGACTGGGTGACTGAGGCGCTGGGGCGGAGGAGGAGAGGGCATAGCGAGGGCATGTTGGGTGTGAAAGGGCATTTTGATGAATGAATATTACTAGACTGGTTGAGGCGGGCCGGGGTGGTATATTGTACAAGATGCCTCTTGGTTGGAGGGGTTCCAATGGTTTAGTCATGTCAGGCGTTTTGCATTGCATTGTTATTTCTCGGCGGAGTACAAGTCATAAAACATCGCTGTTCATTCTTGCCAGTCCCAAAGACACCAACACATCCGGTTCTTCCCCTAGTAACATCAGGGGAAAACTCACTCAACGCCACCAAGCGGCTAGAGGAGCAAAGATCCCTTACCAGATTAATACCGCTCCATCAACCACTGCCGCCGCTCTTCATCTCCCATCTCGCCGAGAAAGTTCAGCTCAAACTCCTTGAGCGCAACATACCGCTCCACCAACTCAGGCCCCATCAACTCAACCAACTCCTCATCCTCCTTCAGCGCCGCCAGCCCCTCCTCCACACTGCCAGGCAGCATCTGTGTCACCCCGAGCTCCTTGCGGTCATTCTCGGTCAGCTTGGCCGGATCGATCTCGCAGTCGTCCCAGTTGAACGCCTCGCGATCCGCGAACCCGTTCACGCCCGCGAAGAGCACGGCCGCGACGGCAAGGTAAGGGTTGGCCAGCCCGTCGAGGCACTTCAGCTCCCAGTGCGAGCCCTCGATCTTGCGCAGCGCCGCCTCCCTGTTCTGCGTGCCCCACGTCACCCACCGGCCACCGGACCAGGTCCCGTCCGACATGCGCTCGTAGCTGGCCGGGTTAGCGTAGGTGAAGGCCAGGACCGCGCGGAGGTGTTTCAGGACGCCCGCGTAGAAGGGCTGGTATACCTCCGGCTTGTCGCCGTTGGCGTTGGGCGAAGTGATGGACAGGTGCATATGCGAGGCGGTGCCCGTCGCGTGGGCGAAGGGTTTCGGGTGTAGCGTGAGCCTGAACCCGGCTGCTGTGGCGAGGGCGGACATGACGTCGCGCGCGTGGAGGAGGGTGTCGACGGCTTCGACGGGCGGGTACGGCGGCAGGACGAGCTCGAATTGCCCCGGGGCGCTCTCCGCGTGGACCTGCTCGGCGTAGATGCCCGTGTCCTCGAGCGCGGAGACCATGTCGCGGAGGAGTGCGGAGATCTTGGGATCGGCGAAGTAGCGGCTGACAGACCAAGCGTGGCCGTCCGTGGTGAGGGTTGAGTAGCGGGTTGTGGTGCCTGGCTTGTTGGACTCGACGCGCTCGATGAGGACGAACTCGATTTCGAAGCCGATAAGGAAGGACAACCCATTCTCCGCGCCGAAATCGACGGCCCGTTGAAGGGTCGAGCGGGGGCAAAAGGGCACCCGAGCGCCGGACTGCTCGCGGAATTCGCCGTTCATGCTGATATGTCCCTCGACCGGGCCCTTCTTGAGCGAGGAGAAATCCGGGTGGAGACGGTATTCACCTGTCGGATATACGCCCGGTAGCAACGAGTCGTTCTGGAGCAAGCCGAATACAGCCTTGGTGATGCCGATGTCTGTCGATTTGCCCTCGTTCAGGAGCGTCGTAAGCTTCCTGAAGGGGATCATCCGCATTCGCTGTGTCGCGGTAAAGTCGTTCCAGCAGATCCTAACAAAGTCAGGAGCCGGCTGGGTCTTCAAAAAGGCCCGAAGGATCTCAGCATCACTGAGGTAGACACCCGGCGCCAGACCCATCTCTTCCTCCAGCTCAGAGAACTCAACTTCCAGATGATACAGCTTGTTGGCGTTTCTGAAAAGAACATCTCGTACGAGGTCGATTGCGGCCCTCCAGCCCATGTGTCCTTTGCGGACATAGTCGCACAGGACCTGTACAGGGTCAGTCATGTGTCCGTGGCACAGCAATAAGGAGAGCTCTTACCGTCTCGAAAACTTCCCGCATCTGCTTAAGGGCGAGCAGGTATGTCTCGGGAAACCAGTGCCCATCTGTGCTCCACAGGATCTTGGACCACGGGCAGAGCTCTAGTATCTCCCGCAGAATCCGCTCCTGGCCATCCTGGCTCACACAGGGGAACACTTCCCCAATGTCTGCGTAGACGTTCCCATAGACCGATGCCAAGTACCCGATCTCGCGAGTGAAGGGGTAACCAGCGTGGAGGAGCACGATGGGAACCGTCTCGTACGTCCGGATGAAGTCCTGGAGATGAGACGGGGACGATTTGAGCAGGGTTAGGTCGTTGTCGCCCAGGCCGGTATGGAACTGGATGGGCTTCTTCTGCCCCGTTGGATTGTCGCGGATGAGTTGGGCCGTATAGTGAACCAGCCAGTCGTTCAAGCCCTTCGCCTGCACTCTCTCAAAGCCCGAAGACTCATACGTCTTGATGATATTCTGGAACACTTCGCTCCCTTCGGAAAGGCCAGCGAAGCCATCCGCGCTCACAATGTCGAGCCCGGTCCGATAACATATCACCGACTTGAACCCAACCACATCAGGATCGTCAAGGGCCGTCAACATCACGGTCTTGAAGTCGCGCTTGAATTCTTCCCACGCCTCATCCAACACTTCGATCGTAAAGTCTGCCCCTTGCCGTGCTTTGCCAATCCGATGGATGAGGTCAGCAGCGACCTTCTCGATCCGCACGATGCGCTTGCATCGGCTCCGCGTGTAGTCGTCGTGCCACGCATAGGGATTAGCATCGTCCTGACTGTCGAGCCCGTCGTCGATCAGAATGGTCTCGATACCCGACAGGCATTCGGCCGTCCAGTCCTCGGGGCAAGACAGACGTTTCTCTTCAATGGCGGCCACGACCGATTCCCAAGTGAAGCCGCAGCTCAGGGCGGAGGCCAGCTGGCGGACAGCGCGGAGATGGGGTAGCGAGGTAGTGGCCGAGTGGATGGCATCCCCGTTCGCCTCAGTCGTGATGGACAGCAGCGGGTGTTTGCTGAGAGCCTCCGGCTTGAGGAGGGGATGCGCATGATGGTCGATGATCGGGGTACTGCGTATGGCGCGGGCGACAGCGTCGACCTGGGACGGCGTTGCCGTTGCCCGCATCCCAACCCACGAGGCCATGTTTCTCAGCGGCCAGAGGACTCTCCTTGTGGTTGGTAGGCTGGAACGCCAACAAGAAACCGGGTCGCTGGTGACTTACGTGTCGTCACGATGGACGTCGTTCGGTCGATGCTGCCAAGCCGCTATGATGCAAGCTGACGATCGAGATCCCGTTGGTTGGAGCGGCTGCTGATAGCAAGCCCGATCGGGAGAGCAAGCTAGAATATGTGCATGTACTTGCCGTGCCGGACAGACTTACGAAGCTGACGAATACTCGCCTGTCTGGAAGCTGGAATGCAGGACACTCACTGCTACACATGAGCTGATTCGGCCGTGTGCACAGAGTTGTTAGATCCCCAAAAGGGAAACCAGCTCCCCAACGAGCATTTGCCATACTATTCGCGAGTTTGTATGGCACATGTGTGTACCTCTCATCGTAACGCAACATGGGTACAGTGTGTGGTGCAAACCTGTGAACACGGCGATTCTTAGCATATTGCAGAAAGATATCCGACCTGTGACTCCGCTTTGCAACAGGTATCTTCGCTCAAGGTTTGTAACACCATCTAATGGAGGATGTTGTTGCGATGGAGGATCGCAAGGGTTAGTGTAGCCAGTCCCCATCTTATATACAAGAAACTTGGTAAGTCCGCATTTCATCGCTGAATGCAGCACAGATGAAGGGCTCGTCCAAACCGCTGTCCAAACATCGAGACTGAGAAGGGAGCTCATGCCCAAGGAAAGGAATACTTCGAGACTGTAGCAAGACAAAGGCACTCTACTGCAATTTGTTCCACCTAATCAGATTTGATATTGCGCAGAGTAGTCCGTACACATGCACGGTTACCACGCATGCGTCTGTACAATACGTGCTGTACAGATAAGGAGATTTACGGCGTTCTTTGTATGGCTGGAACCCTGGCTGTGACACTAGGATCCAAGTGGGACTCGGGACAGTTCTTGGCATTGAACCCGAAGATCACTTCGAGTTGCAGTGGCAGCCTTTGGTGTCGGACGGAGTCAGCCTGAGCAATGAATCTTTTTGTTGGTCGAGTCGGCTTCAACCATTCCAGGTTTCCCTCGAGACATTGTCGATCAAGCGACTGATTTGCACATGCCGTATAGAAGTGAGCTTTGTGATTGCAATTCAATGTCGAGTCTGTTCCGTCCAGAACACTGCTGCATTGCTGGACTCACCTGGCAGCATCGCCATTGCGTACCGTCAAACTGTACAGTCCGTACAGTACTGTGCAAACCTTTGGATATCGCTCGTTGCCATCCCATCTGATGTTCACCACTCAAGAGCACATGGTACATAGTAGGGAGGGACTAGGTAGGTATCATGTCGCTGTGCCGTCGGATTGCTTTGGGGCGTATCTCGCTTGGCAACGCTTGTTTAATCGCCAAGAAGCATGGCGGCACGAAAACAAGCTCAATCGCCCAGGAACGCCCAGAAGATGCCCAGCAAAGCCAAGATGATCTTCTCAACTCCATGTGGAATCACGTCACATGCATTTTATGGCTAGAATAAGAGCAAAGAATTCTGACGGTGAAGTGTTAATTGGAGCCCCGTATTCTATCGGACAAAATGCCGAATAGGCGCCAGACGGAAAGTGGGAGATTGCATGCTTGCCTGCTGTTGTTACCTTACGCGTTCATCCCAAAGCGTCTCCACCGATCAGCGAAGACGCAGCGTGGTTCGCATGTCCCGATAGCCGAATGGCGACGCATGGGTGGCCATGAATCATGAAATGACGGGTGACCACCTCCAGCTGGGACCGGTGAGCTGTTAGACTCGTGCCCCTACTTTCCACGCTTTCACTATTTCTTGGCTCGTACCTCTCAGCGGAGGGACACTGTAGCTCGAGCGCACCACACTCCGCTGAGACAGGACGCCCGGGTTCCCCCAATTCCAACCTGGAACTTTTCCCTTCCCCTTTCATGCAGCCAATCTCCACTGCAAGGCGCTTGTCCAAGGAACAACACCATAACCCTCGTCGATGGTCTCAGTCCAACCGCCATCGTAACTGAGGGCCGTTCGCATTCTATCTTTTCTTCCCTTACTCTTCGCGCGTCCTACCTTAGTCGCTCACTTACCATTTTCATACCATGTTTCTGCCACGCCTCGCAGTGGCAGCCCTCGCAGGTGCTGGCGTCACAAACGCTCTCTACAGTATCGCGACAAACGGTGCGCGCCCATCGCTTCGATAAAGCTGGGGTCAGATAGACTGACAAGGCATGCAGCCGACATCAAGCAGACAGCCGCAGATATCGCATGGGACCTGTTGCAATACTATCATGGCAACGAGTCGGGTCAGACACCAGGAATCCTGCCCGGGCCGCCTCCGGCAGGCGATTATTACTGGTGGGAGGGCGGTGCCATGTGGGGGACGTTGATCGACTACTGGAAACTGACGGGCGACGACACGTACAACGACCTGATCATGCAGGCGATGCTCTGGCAGGTCGGTCCGAACAAGGACTACATGCCGCCTAACTACACAGCATCACTCGGCAACGACGACCAAGGCTTCTGGGGGATGTCGGCCATGTCGGCCGCCGAGAATAACTTTCCGAACCCGCCATCGGACCAACCGCAGTGGCTGGCGCTCGCTCAAGCTGTCTTCAACACCATGGCAAATCCCGATCGGCACGACGACACATGCGGCGGCGGCCTGAGGTGGCAGATCCCGGTAGTGAACAACGGATACAACTACAAAAATAGTGAGACACGCGCCAACGTAGTTCGTTGCTCGGACCTTGCTGACGGTGGTAGGCATCGCAAACGGTGTTTTCTTCAACATAGGTGCGAGGCTCGCTCGTTATACCGGCAACAAGACCTATTCCGACTGGGCAGAAAAGACATGGAACTGGGTTAGGGGCGTGGGTTTGATGGACGACAATTACAACATCTACGACGGCGGCCACGTCGAGTACAACTGCACCGACATCAACAAAGCGCAGTTCTCGTACAACAACGCCGTCTATCTCTTAGGAGCTGCCCACATGTACAACTACGTAAGTTTCAGCCCTCGCGGATGTGGCGGGCGCTGTGGCTGATTCACCTATTACAGACAAACGGGAGCGATGTGTGGAGGGGCAGGCTGGAGGGCATCATCAACGCAACAATCAACACATTCTTCAAGGACGGTGTTGCGTATGAAATTGCCTGTGAAGAGCACATGTCGTGCACCACGGACATGCTTAGCTTTAAGGGATACCTCCACCGGTGGATGGCAACGGCCACCACGATCGCGCCCTTCATCAAGGAGCGGGTTCTGAACGTCCTCAACACGTCAACCGCGGCTGCAGTGGCCACATGCACGGGCGAGGCAAACCAGCGAACGTGTGGCTTCAAGTGGAGCACAAAGACGTACGACGGGAGTCACGGGGCGGGCCAGCAGATGAATGTACTAGGGGCGGTGTCGTCACTCCTGATCGACACTGTTTCGCCACCATACACGAATAACACGGGCGGTACCAGCAAGGGCGATTACAATGCAGGTGCGCACTCCGACTCGTTCAATTCCAAGCCAAGCCCCCCATCAGTGGGGGACAAGGCAGGCGCGAGCATCCTGACTATCGTTATCTTGATTTCGGCGATGAGCACTTTTGGGTGGATGAGCACGGGCATATCGGAGTAGCTTGCTGATGGGACAGCGATAGGGACGGCGATGGGGCGGCGATACGATGGGGGATGAATCGTTACTTAGGTATGCTCGATGTGGTGGCTTTCTCATATAGCTGGGCTGCGCTTTTCTTTTAAAGGACCTCGCGGCGTTACGGTATGACGTGGATATCCCTATGTTCTATGGATTTAGTTTCTTTTCGGCAGCTCATCTTTCACTTCAGCTTTCTCACCTTTCGGATGATGGCGGCCGCAGCTTGTTGGCTCATGGCCATATTGCACGAATGGCCTTGATAATCTTGCAATCGGCCTTGTGTCCGCCCTCGTTCCAGCCCTTGACCTGGCAGTCCTGGAATCATCACAACCACCAGATAAGTCATCGCACTCCCGGCACACAGCTATCGCCATCAACTTTGTGAGACGAGATACTTGAACTCACCTTACTACAATAGGCAACCTCCCCACAGCCAGTACACTTCCTCATCATCAGCCCTGCTTCCCTTCCTCCACCCCTTTTTGGAGTCTCCCTACAATTCTCACAACAACCCCCCTCACCACCACCACCACCCCCTTCCCCTTCCCCATTATCCCTCTTCTCCCGCTCCCTCAACCAGGCCCCAACTCGTACAACTTTGTCCAACCCCGCGGGAATAACCCTCACACTGGCTTCCTGCTCCCTCTGCACCGCCACAAATCCCTGGCCCCCCCCACCACCACCACCACCACCACTGTCTTCCTTAGGAGGAGTGCGCTTGGCGTTGGGTATGACCAGCGTCGAGCCCTTCTTGAACCCCAGCTGCGCGAAGAAGGGCGTCTCTGGGCCCTCCTCGGCGGCGGACCGGGAGTCATACACAAGCGCGAAGGAGGTTGAGGAGCGGTCGGTGAGGATGAGGGTTGGCTTGGTGAGCGTCATGTTCTCGGTTATTTGTCCCAGGAGGTAATAGTCGTCGACGTCATCGCGGGCAGAGGACGACGGAGAGGAAGTGGTCAGGGGGAGTGAGGGGAAAGGGGGGAAGATGGTTGCGGAGGTGAAATCTGGTAGGGGCATCGTTTGTCTTTTCTTTGGTTTTTTTAGAGGGTTGGGTTCTTATTGGGTTCTAGATTGGGACCGGGTGAGTGGATGCCTTGATTGGGGGGATGAGAAGAAGGACGGATAGAACGCGAATATGTCCAAGCGCGGGGTCGGGGATGAGAATGAGGTTTAGGAAGCTCCACCTGGGCTTGGCATGGCCGTGCTTGGCGTGGGTACGGTACCATGAGAATTCTTGGTGATGATGGTGGGTGTAGATGGCCTTTTCCTATATTTTGTTTTGCGTATCTGGGACGGCACGCCCCAGCAGATACCTTAGGTGTACGCTAAAGGGGACTACTACGCTGTCCACCCACACTTCCCCTCAAATGCAAGCCCCTTACTCGCCCCTGACGAGCTCATACAGGATGTCGGTCCGCATGGTGTACTTAGTCCCAGCCAGGACGTCCTCTCCAGAATGATACAGCCGCCGGTGCTGGAAGATGAGCACGCGCCCCGCCTTCGGATTCACGTCAATCTTCCTCTTCTCGTCGCTCGAATAGAACGTCGTGGCGCCGCCAACCAGCTCGGCACCCTCCACCTCGGCCTGGGAGTCGTTCAGGTACAGATGGATGGTGAACATGGTCCGGACATGCTTCGAGTCGTCTTTGTCCTCGAAGTACGGCGCGTCACAGTGTGCTGGTCAAGGTCAATCACTCTAATTCATCCCCCGACATCAAAACAAGCAGCAAAAATAAAAAGGAAATCAAAAAATAAAAAACAAGAAGGAGAAGGAGAAGAAAAGAGAAGAAAAAGAACTCACGCCTAAAAAACCCGCCCTTCCCATACTTCAAAAACCGCATCCTCTCATTAACCCTCACAAACACCCACTTATCCCCCTCCCCCCTCACCGAGCCCGTGATGCCCTTCTCGCCATCCCCCAACTCAGCAAACCGTTCCGCCAACCCTTGCCCGGCACCACTGAGACACCGCTGCCAGAGCCGATCGACCACCTCCTGCCGGTCCCACACGATCCGCTCGCCGTTGCGATACCCTTGCTCCAGCACCTCAAACCCGCCGCCGACGTTGACCAGCGCGGGGCCCCACGGGTCGTCGGGCCCGTTCCGCAGGACCTCGCCGCCGTCCGGCGGCACGCTTGCCTCGGCGAGGGAGAGCAAGGTCGCGCATTCCGAAGGCGACAGCACGTTGTCGAGCACCACGGCGTAGCAGTTGGCGTACTCGGGCAGCGGGCTGGTGGCGAAGTCGATGGGCGTCACGGTGATGGGCTGGGCGTCCGGGGGCAGCGTGGTGAGGAAGGAGTCTGGGAGGGGGATGGGCACGGAGGCGTAGGTGGTTTGGATTGGTTTGTTTGCCTTTCGCTTTCGTACGGGCGGCGCGGGGTCCGGCGGGGTGGGTTTGACGGTTGACTTGAGTTCTGCCATGAGTTTGGAGAGCATATTTGGTGGTATTGGCCGGGGTGGTAATTGTATGTAGTTGTAGTTGGAGTGGTTGATCCTTTTGATGGTGTGGATAACGGTATAGACTTCAATCACCTTATTACCGGTGGAACCGAGAACTGTAGGGTGGCCGTCAATGAAAGTTTGGGATATGTCCTGATATATGATTTTATCCAAGAGTAGACACTGTGGCAGTGTATGTTGATGCCTGCCAGGAGAAGTCGCGTGGTGTGCTTGGCGCCAACACCGCCCCTGTCCAATCGCGAAGGTGACCTTCCAATAGTTACGGTACTACCTAGAGGTGAACATGAGCCGGACTCACACCTCGAGTGCGTCAAAGCAGAGCGTAAAAGACTGGACATTGCCATCGCCTTGGTGGTTTGACTGATTCACGGATCCTGGCGACGTGTCAATTCCACAGCAGTCTTCACCAAACACCCACCACTTACAGCGATTCGAAAGTGGAAGCCTCGAAAGTGGAAGCCTAAAAAGATGTGCGCCGTCTCTCCTGATCGCCCAAATATCGCACATCAACACGGCCAGGCAACCTCCATTACAAACCTGTTCATTAGAAATAGGAACATCTGGAATAAGTACTATAGTACCCCCACGATACATCAACCCGACCGAGGTATCTCTCTATGCCATGGCGCCCAAGTCTATCGTATGCTGATGATGCCGTGACCCAAACGCGCGCTTGATGCCAATCCACAGTTCGAACGCCTCCAGTTTGATTTCCACCCTCAGCAGCCCCAGCCATGCCGCAAACACCCGCAGAGCGTTGGGCGGCCAATACAGCGACCCGCGCTGGCGTATCTCCTCGAGCTGCTCGCGGAACACGGTCCGCATGCAGTACCGCGCCAGGATGAGGAACTGCCGCACCGGCCCCTGCCGCGTCTGCAGGTTCTCGTCCAGGCTGCGCGTGAGGTCGTTGGTCTTGAGGATGAGCAGGATGATGCGCGGCACCTGGCCCAGCATCTGCACCAGGTCCACGAGCAGGCCCTCCTGCAGCGCGCCGCTCATCGTTTTCTGCTCGCTCGGGTCCTTGGGCTTCATGATGGACGAGCTGACGATGCTGAAGTCCCGCCCCGTGATGGCCGACGCAAACAGCGGGAACTTGTCCTCGCCCACGCCGGCGACCTCCGTCACGTACTTCTTCATCCGCTCCATGTCGCCGTCAATGATGGCTAGCCACATCTTGGCGTACGACCGCCGTAGTGATTGCGGGATGTCCCGGTACAAGCCGTGGTCGTACAAGATGATGTCGAAGTTGGCTCCTCTCCGTCGAGAGGCGTTCTTGCGGATCGCAATGTTCCCGCCGTGCGGGTCGCAGTGTAGCGGCGCCCCGTCGCCAAAGATCATCTCGTTGAATATCCTGGCCAGTGTTGCTGACACCTCGTCGCGGTCAATCCCGTTCGAGTCGAGATACCCGAGGTCGTCCAGCCGACGGCCTGTCTCGCAGGCCATGACGAGGATGCGCTTCTGGGCCCAGATCACGTCCGGGATCACGAGCGGCAGTTCGGGAATCCGTGCGAAGTACTCCTTGGTGCGTCTCGAATTCTCCGCCTCGCACTGGAAATCTAGCTCGATGGGGAGAGACACCTCGATCTCGGACGACAGCCACTCGAGGTTGTATTCGGGGAAGAAGCGCTTGAGGGTGGAAAAGGTGAACTTGGTGAGGGACAGATCCAACTTAGACCATTGTTCCAGGTGCGGATGTTGGACCTTGACGGCCACCCTCTGTCCCGTCTCCTTGATTGTTGCTAAGTGGACTTGCGCTAACGAGGCGGCGCCGATAGGCTCAGGCGAGAAATCGGAGAAGTAGTTCCACAGCTCTTCGCCTGTGTCCTTCTTGAACATCTGCTCAATCGACTCGAAGGACGACACTGGGCATTTGTCCTGAAGGGGTATGAAGGTAGTCGTCCATTCGGCTGGGAGGAGGTAATTCATAGCGCTCTGAGCGTGGGTCAGCGACGGTTCTTATTTGCCTTGTCCTCGTTGGATTAACCTACCAAATGTTGCCCAAGCTTTATGAAGATCCCCCCGTTCTTCTCAAGCACCTTTAACGTCCTGACAGCGCATCGCTTGTGGCAGGCCTTCAGCACATGATCCCTCTCCTTTTCGTCTTCTAGTTTCTCTCGCTGGTTAAGTGTGGTCCTGTAGCTGTCCTAGGTCTTAGCATTCACTCGATTGCAGTTACGACTGGCGATATAGCTTACTCATTGATACATAGAACAAGAGTCGCCGCCACCCTCCCCGTCCGCTCCATTGCCTCGTAGCTATTCTTTACATCGTCTCCGACCGACAGCAGCATCGCAGCCGCGCCGCCTCCGGCCGTGGCTAGGAGCACAGCTACCCGCCGTCGAGACTGAGGCTTCGGTACAGCGAACGCAGGTGCCGCTCTGCTGCCATATTGCCTTGAAAGTGGCGTCCGGACGAGGCTCGGTTTGGGAAGTTGGCTGCGACACCGGGCGCATGTCCAGCCCGGCGCCAGACGCTTCGCTACGAGCGAAGAAAAAGTAGGGTTCATCATCCTTCTCGGTCCAGGAATGTCATTGTAAGTGTATGCTCAACATCTCAGACAAGCGCAACTACTCAGCGCATGTATCTACTAGTAGATGGAGGCAGACTCGGAGGACAGTAGAAACAACCCCTGCTAGAAATTTCGAGCCGGCATCGCATTCGCAAGAATTTTGGATCACAGCCCGGCTGCGCCTCGGGTGACTCCGGGCCAGGGGTGCCAGGTGGCCATGGATTGCAGTCAGTAGGGTTAGGGTTATTCTCACATTGTCTTGTATAAGTCGTCGATCAATATAAAAGGAACAGTGCGCTCCTTACATGTACAGCTGTAACAAGCCCGTGATTAGCTAGAGGAGCCAGGGGCGGAGGCCAGCATAAGGGAATCGTATACTGTAAGGTAGCCGTACGCTTCTTGGGCCCACAAAGTGTCCGGCGATGCTAGGCGACATCTATCAGCATTGCGTCAAACAACAAAAGTGGGAGGTTAAGGTTGAGTCTAACATCTACAATTTCCAGCTCACGAGTGCCTTAACCAATACAGTTGATAATATCGTTCTCCTACCATACTCACTCTGACCTGGATCACTCGAACCAGGCGCAGTCTTGAAGCCCGCGTGTACACTGCAAGCGACTACCCGATTTTGCTGTATCCCTGGATACCAGACGCCGCTCACGGCATGAAATGTTATGTAGATCACGACGAATGCTGCCTTGACTGATCGTAACCGTACTCGAGCCGTATTTAATTGTAGCGGGCTGTGATATCAACATTGTGGAGCGACCAGAAGCAGATCGGTGCCAAGACCGGGCCTACTGCAAGTTGTTCCGGGGTAATAAATGACGTAAATGACGTCACCGCCACTACCCATTGAGGTCCCCAGTACGGATAGAAGCAACTCGATATCGATATGTAGACCCGTCTCCGTAGCTCTCCGTGCAGTATTTAACTTCTAACTTCGATTCAAGTTCCAAACTCTTGCTTCTTCATTCTATCATTGACAATCATAAAGCACAGCAGACCAAAAAACCTTTCGAAGAGCTTTGAGACTCTTTCTTCGCAACGCTTTACACACTCACATCCAGTAAGTTGGCCATGAACGAGTTATACCAAGAACTCGAAACCAGTTAACTAACCACCGATCCAGAAATGGCGCAATCCAAGGCCGACAAGATTGAGCAGGTCAAGTCCAACCTGCCTCTTCCCGAGCAGCCGCCCCAGGCCTCTGACTGGCAATCGGCCGACACCAAGACCACCGCTGTATCCAGCGGCGGCGTTTCTGCTGGCGACGTCTCAACCGGCGACGGAGTCACTTCTGGCCTGCGCGAGCCTGCTACCAAAGCTTCTGGCGACGTTGACATGAGCGGTATCGGTCGCCAGGGCAAGGAGGGCTTGGAGGATACGCCAAAGGATGCACGGAGATAGGCCACTTCTTCCCTGAAACACAAGGTGGCTAAGGAGGGAAAGGAGCATATCCATTGATTTATAGTGGTCATTCTGGCGTTAAGGACAATCTGCATTTTCTCGTCTCGGCATTGCGATGGATATGGGTGCAGTAGTCAATCGGTACATTTACCTCTCGGTATCCAGCTCACTGGACACTGGACAAATCATCAGCAATTGACTCACAAGCCTGGTTTCCGTAATCACTCCCTGCTCTCTAGTACCTGTAACAAAGCTCTGACGACCCCGGCTTTACCATAGGAGAGTGAAACCTGAAGCAAAGGGAATGGTCACCAAGGAGCTTGATACTAGCTTTGAGACATGCAATTGAACCCGAATTCAGATCACATGTCATTTCAATAACACCGAGATCTTCAGAAGAGCATGTGTAATTTGCGATGGAACGTTTTAAAGCTGCTCGGCGGTGCCAGTGACGCTAGCTTTAACACGATGGTGGCACACCCGGGCACCGCACGGACCATATCAAGAAGCGCCTTGAATTACGAATAGGGGGTAAGTAAACAAGCTGCCTAGCAACGCATAAAGAGAAGTAAGTGAAGACGCTGATATGAGATTGAAGTGCCTCCTTTGGTTCGGCCCTAAGCGATTTGCTAACCGGAAGTAGGAGAAGTCCCTCGTAATGAGAGCCTCATCACGGTGTTGGCGACAGGCGTTCCGCACCGCAGCTAGGGGGCCATCGTCAGTCCGATACGGTGTGCCTCAGGAAGGGGTGTCACGCACTGGTCTGGCAGCACAACGGCCACGATGTCAAGGCCGGCGTATGATATCGTGATCTCGGCGAATGACATCGTGCCTCCAGGCTGAAAGCCAGCACCGGAAGGAGGGCTTGCGCCCTACAGCCACTTTCTCTTCTTTCCGCCGTGTTCCGGAAGCCCACGCCCCTGTTTACCCATAGAGCATATATTGTTGAGCTCTTCCTCGGCGAAAATTTTCTTTCCCTTTTCCTCTTCCTCCAACACAAGCTTTCCAAGGCGGGGAGCACCTCCATTTCTTTCCTCTCTCCCCTAAACCAGCACCAAGACTGGCTGCAACCTTGCTTATTTCTTTGCATATCAAGTCTCTCTCTATTTGGCTTTGGGCAAACCAAAGCGCAGGTTGGCTTATTTCTTCCTGAGCAAGGCACTCGTGGCAGTTGTGTTGAGCTGGTCGGTTCGGCTCGCTCGACCATCTCCCTTGGGAAGGCACGGCAGGCGCAACTGACGGCAATCTTTCTTCCTCAACCGTTCCTGCGCTTACCAACTGCGCCTTCCTACCAACTGCAATACTAGTCCTGGCACAGTTTCGTCAGCTCTCAGTTTGTTTCCCATCTTTCTGCCTTCTTTCGTATCCTTCTTCACGGCATCGATAAACCTCGCGCCGCCACGAAGACGCCTAATCCTGTCTTGGATTTCTGACAGCGAGACCGATTACTCTTCGTTCTATTTTCATTAGCTCTACAACCATCAGGTCGTTGACCAAAGTCGGTTGATCCATCCTTTTCGGTCGATGTTCAAGCCAGACCTAACCTTCTACTCAGCGAACCAGCTGACTACCTTACTCCGAGCACGGCTCTCGACTTCCACGGAATCGTCACCATGCCTTCCATTACGCACGCTCAGCTGCGTAGCGGCGCGTCTACAAGCCAGCAAGCTGCAGGCAATGAAGAAGAAACGAGAAGAGCTGCTATGCAAGCAGCAATGATGGTGAGCGTTTTCGCTTAGCACCTGTTTTCCGTCACTTGGCCGTCCGCCCCTACTCCACCCTTTGCATATTCGCTGCTTCACGGCATTTATTTAGCTCGAAACATCTCGCCCTTGTTCTTTCATTGATGTTCGATGTCGTTGCCCTGACCAGTTGCTGACAATTGATAGGATGATCTGGGCATAGCTCGCGTGGCAGAGTTACCCCTGGACGATGGACATGGGGGTCGTGATCGTCACAACCGCGGCCCTGGTGCCAATCTTAACCACCCAGCGCCTCTCCCGATGCCCTCGGCGTCTTCACTGTCACGCCAAAGTGGCAATGCTGGAGCAGCGAGCTCGAGCGCGGGTGATCTGTGGAGACGTATGTTTACCCAAAGCTAAGGGCGTATCAAGTTTGCTAACCCTTCCTAGAGGCTTATACTGCCGGCATCTTCGATGATGAGGATGCCGCGGCAGTCAGGGGCCTAGATGACCTTGGTGGTGGGAGAATCTACGAACGGGTCGTTAGCCAGACGATGGAGATCCTCAATCAGCACACCAGGAGGTTTGTGGTGCACCATGGACACTCGAATAGCTGTCAGGGCTAACTCCTAGTTTGTAAAGGTCTAACCGCCAATCCGCTGAGCAATCAACCGCTGATAGAAGATTCCATTTCAATGTACTGCCGAGGAGAATCGGCCACAGCCATATCCAGTCTCGTCACCAGGATACGAACGGAGCACAAGCCTCTACAGGCCGGGCTTCAGTCCTCCCCTCGGCCAGCTCCAGGCCGCCCTCTCGGGAACTCAACCCACTGGCGAGACCGGCGAGGGTGCCATCGCGGCCGCGTCCCGTGGGGCCCCGTCCGGCTCCAGCGCCCCGTCCGGCTCCAGCTGCCCCCTCTTTGGCTCCTGCAAGCAATCCGATGATTCCAGCAGCCCCTGTTGCTGGTCCTTCAAGCGGTGCGGTAGTTCCTAGCTCCAACACTCCGCTGCCTTTTGTGGACACTTTCGTGGTACTCAATGTTGTCTACCAGCGGTCGATCAGGTTTTCGAGCCGGGATATCAGGGAGCCGGCTCCTGCGATTGTCCTCCTATCAGCAGTCGGGCCGCCAGCAAATGGCGGCTTCACGGTCGTGATTTGCAACCACAAGTACTGCCAATGGCCGATCTCCGCGTGGTACGATTATACCAGCGGCCCTGATCTGCTGTTGGGCGTTTTCTTCAAGGAGGACAATGGAACCATGCACGGCTATGAGCTTCATTTCGATGAGCAGAATGACCTGCTGGATTTTATGGCTTTTGTCCAGAGGCTCAGGGAGGGCCGGATCTCTCCTCCAGTCGGCCAAGCATATACTTCCCATAGGTCGACGGCGCTACATTCTCAGCCCGCTTCCGGCGCACCTCATCCTGGTCCCGCGATGGTACCAACTCAACTCGCTCCCATCGCGCCTCTTCAGCACACTCAGACTGCTCCTCTTCAGTCCGCGCCTGCTGCTCCTCCCCCGGCTCCGGCGATCAACGCAAGGAGTCCTCAAACTGCAGTTGCTGGTTCTTCTGATGCTGCGGTTGATACTCAACCTAGACGTGGGTCGGAGCAGCCGCAGGATAGTCTCCCATCCCATCGGACCGCAAGGGGTCCTACGGGCGAATCGAATCAACCCGAGGCACGAGCCTCCTCGTCCGCCAACACTAGCAACACCGCACCGGTGGTTGCTGCGGCAAGTACTCGGTCAACAGTGGCTTCGATTCTTGGAGACAGCCTAGCCGAGAATAAGACCGAAGATGTCAACTTCGTCAGCCATCAATACACGACGTCATCCCCCGGCCATGGCACAGTCGATGCTACTTCCATAGCGGGAATGTCCCCGGAGGGAGTTTCGGTTGCGGTTCGCGGTCTCTTCCAGTATTTCCTCAGCAACCCAAACCTTGCTGCTATCTGGACGGCTGAAAAGAAGAAGGAGATGGCTTCGGCAATCAAGACAGGTGTTTTAGACCACATAGCACAGGAGGCAAGATCTCAGGGACTCGACGATCAGCAAGTTCACGGTATCGGGCAGTTGCTCGATGACACCCTTGCTCCCCTCATTCAAGATGGCCAGGGCGAGTCTGATCACCAGGGCGAGCCGGACCACCAAAGCGGGACGTCGCGTATTCGATACCCCATTGAGGAGCTGATCTCAATGCGACCCGGCGCCGTCAGCCCTCCTGCCTTCTTAGCCGATATCCCGCATCTCCCGAAGCCGAATGAGCGGAGACAGCTTCAGAGGGTCCTTGATGCCATGATTTGGGTCCAAGGGGAAGCACCATTGATGGACATAGAGGAGACTCCCAAGGTAGAACCGGAGGCGGCCGCAGCTCCCGCCCCAACTGTTACGAGACCTGCTGATACTCAGGTCACGGGCCTTCGGGGCTCACGTTGGGCATCTGACGAGGCTCAGATCAGGCACGCAAATCACTTCACTGGTCCGGCGTACGAGAATGTCCGGTCCGGGCACGGTCACATGAATGATCTCGCTCAACTTGAGCCCCAAGCCCAGGTGACTGGTTCAAGTGTAGACCTTATTGGTCTTGACTTCCACGTCTCAGACACCGACACGGCTAGAGCGGGACTTGAAAACTCTCAGGTAGCAGTTGACCACATTAGTCAGGCGTCTGCCCTGACTAATAGCACCTATACGACCACCGATAAGATTGAGAATCTTGGCCTCAGCATGTCTCGCCTAACGATCAGGTCCCCGACAAAGGCTCGAGCGCAGCTGGTTACGACCTCAGCGGCCCAGTCATCGGACCGGGGTTCAGTTTCCTCTCCCGGCCCCGCTGCCCCGACTACCCTCCACCCGACCGCGCCGGTGTTCACACCTAACACGCTCCTACGTCCCTCGGTGAACCCTGCCCCGGTGGTAAACCCCGCCCCGGTGGTAAACCCTGCCCCTGCGGTAGCTCCGCAGTTGCCGGCAGCGACGGCGCCACGTCAGACCTTGCCAGCCCATCCCTTGGCCGCTCCTGAAACTCAGGCAAGGCCGCGGGGCCTTCTTGCGTCAAGACATGCCCCTGGAAGTGGACTTGCCCGGAAGTAGCCGCCGAGCCACCTACTAGGTGCTGACTCCTGTATCCGGCCTCCATCTACTCATTTACTGGAGAAGAAATCTCGGAAGTCACGGTAGGAGCGACTTTCGTTTTTCAGGATCACAGACATCGTGTGAAAAATACACCATGTACAACTGAATGTACGTACCTCGTCGCCAAGGCACTCGATCAACCTGGGCAGAATGCCTACATGCTACGGTTCGTGGGCGGCACGTTGGGCTCATCAAACGAGATCAGGTCCTGTCTCGACAATGGACCACATCTGAATTCTGGTCGTACTGAAACCCCTAGTTCGCCGACAGACTAGATCTCGAGCCAATTCCGGCGCTCGCTGTCGACATGAACCTCCCCGGCTTAATGAGGTCTTCGACTTGGCTTCATGAGCCGTATGCTCTCGTTTCCTTTCTCTCTGCTCTCTCTCTTCTTCTTCTTCTTCTTCTTCTTTCTTCTCTTTTTGGCTTTGCGAGTTTGGGGTTCCTGGCGTTCACAGTCTTGGTGGATGGAGTTGGGAAAGATGGTTTTCGGGCTATTAGTACTTGGGCTCCTGGGTGACACCCCGCTGCTGGGAGTGAGCAAGGATTTGGAACTTCTCGCAGGCTATTGACGGTAATGGCATGTATGTACGGATAAGCAAAATGTAAATATGTCGGAGTACAGAGAATGCGGGATGTTGATTCCTGCCAAATTCTTTATTACCAGTGCATGGCCGAGCAGTAAACTAGCAGCAGCACGACGCGAGTAAATCATCTCGGTCTCATGCTCTCCAGAACGCCCCTTGCGGGCTTAGAGATGGAACCTTCAACCTTGATTCTTCCCACCCTCAGCCACGACCCGTCGACCATCTGCACAAGAATGGACTTCCCAGTGCCGCTACCGCCCACGACATACCTCAACGTGACGACTTCCGCCTTGCCCAGTGCCGGATCCACACCCGCTTTCCCAGCGCCATCTGACTTCTGCAGCCAGGTTACATGTCTCGCCCCTCCTCCTCGCCCTTCTCCCTCCCCGGACCTTCCAACAACTGCCTCCTCAACATCCTCCAAAATAACCCTCTTTCCCACCCCTTCCTCTATCGCCAGATGACTCCACAATGGACCCAGCACCCTAGCCTGCAGCGCCACCCTGCCCGCCCCGGACGCAGTCCAGCGGATCTGCCTGTCCGCGGTCGTGATCTTGGGCGCATGCCGCAGACGGCGCCCTTCATCATCATCATTATCATCATAATCATTCTCCCTGACAGGCCGGTACGGCGGGACGTGTAAGCGGCGCCGCAGGGCCTCGACCAGCATCCTGGCGCCCTCCGGCGCGAGCAGGTCGTGCAGCTGCTGTGGCGTGCACTGTGGCGGGATGGGGATACCCGGGCTCGGGGTCTGGAGTAGGATCGTCCCTTCGTCAAAGGCCCGCGGGGAGAGGGTCTGGATGGAGATGCCGGTGTGGGTGCGCTCGGCGAGGAGGGCGTGGTGGATTGGGGCTGGGCCACGGAGGCTGTGATTTTATGTTTAAGAAAATGAGGTTTTGTTTTTTAAATTAAAGGTAAAGTAATGACTCGTTGGGATGAGAAGGGCGGGGTGGGTTAGGGGTTGAATCGTCTGGGGAAGGAAGGGGCTTACTCGGGCAGCAGGGAAGGGTGGACGTTGAGGCCGCCGTACTTGGACGCGTTGATCAGGCGGGGCGGGACGAAGAGGCCGAAGGAGACGGCGATTATGAGGTTGATGGGATCGCCATGGGGTTTGGGCATCTGTTTGTTTGAGATGTCAACACAATCTGTGCGTGAGGGAGGGAAGAGGGGTGCGAGCGATCAGCTTACAGCCCAACCCGTAAACGTGTCCCTCACATGGACTGGGAGATTGAGCCGTTCTGCAAGTGTCCGGATAGGAACTATGTCTATATGTTAGAGGCTTGTCGTTGAGGGGGAAACTTCTTTTGCTCGGCTTGTTACCTTCTGACATCACCTTGTTTCCTCTCCCCGTTGGCTTGCTTGGTCTGACTACCACATCGATGGAACGGATAAGGTCCGTATCACGCTTGTGCTCGTCGTGCAGAGCTTGCAAAGACTCGCAGCTGAACTTATCCGAGCCGCAAAACAGAATCCTCAGAGGCTCGGACGCTTTGGTGGCTATGCTATATGATTGCCGCCATCGTATAGGTCTGGCGGCTGTCCGAAGGAGAGATCTCGTGAGATGTAGCATCTCACCTTGGGTAGGGAGCTCTCGGGGACCTCACCATTTCATACTTTCCAACGGCCCACAAGTTCGTGCCTGATGAAGTGAATGACACCGAGAAGGCTTCTTCCTTTCCTTGTTATGGTCAATCACATGGGTTGAGTGACTCGATCATTCATGTTTTGAGCTTACCACTGTGTTGTTGTGGTGGAGTTTAAACCCCTGGCGGCGAGTTGAGGTGCGAATCCCTGCGCGGCGCACCATCTGGGAAGTACCAATGACAACTTGCGCTACGGTTCTTCGTAGTCTATATATAACCCTAAACCTCTCCATCCACGTCCGTCACCCGCGTTCGTTGTTCGTTCTTCTTTTTTACTTGATTCTACCACCGATGCTTATTGTATAACCTAGGCCCCTTTAATTTCACTCTCCTCTTGTTTTTCTTCAGTTATACGCATGACATAACAACTGTATAGACCGGATATCTTCTCAGCCACTTGGGCCTCGGTGGACCAGGGGCCAGTTTTAGAAGTTAACAGCGCGAGCTCAAGTCCCAGGGCACGTTTTCTGAGGAGCGAGCCCGACACGACAAAGTTGACTGTGTACTAAAGACATGCGAGAGGGCGTCCTTAGCTAGCTGTGCAGCCATGCTCAGCAGTTCCCAGCTCAGACTTCCGCTTCCTCCTTCATCATCCGACGTCGCCGCCAGGCCGTTTCACCGCCTCCCACCGGTAAGCAACTGCCCACCGGCTGTCCAGTTCCACGTCCCACGCAGGTGGTGCAATAGAAATCACCGCACCAGGAGCAACCGAGCCCCGATTCCCACCCCCTCGGCCACCGCCCAGACCCTCGATGTTTCCCTCCCCAGCCAAAATCAACCTCACTTCGGCGTCCTGTCTACCACCGGCAGGGGCATCCACTAGTCGACCAGATATCAGCGTAATCCCCGGGCCGCTGAGGGAAGCCTCGTCCACGACCACGCTCGCCGTGGTAGTAGCGGAGCTGAAACTCAGAGCGGCCGAACTGGTTTTCACTTCTCCCGCCCCGTCCACCCCCCCTTTCACATCCACCAGCCAGTCACGCAGCTCCGCAGCCAGGCCGCCGGGGAGGTACCTGGCTCCGCGACGCTGCGGAGAGAAGGGGTCTGTTAGGTAGATATCAGGCTGAGAGTACAGCTGGTCGGATGGCTCGGTGACTTTGAAGCGTGGCGCCGCGCGGAAAGCCGGTTTGGCCCTGGTTGGCCTCGGAGTCGCTTGATTGTTTTCTGAATCAGCTTTTTCGCTGTCGGAGTCCACGGACCCGAATTCGCCTTCTGATTTGATATCTGGAGACTGTGGACATCTTGGGGAGAAGGCGGCAGACTGGGAGGGTAAGATACTAGCTTCCCTGCCCCGTTGGTTCACCTCATCGTCGTCGGTGTCGGAGCTGTTAGAGAGAATGTGCTGGTTCGGAGCGTCTGGGAGAAATTCGACATCGGTCCGCTCTGACCCCTGCGAGCTGGGTGCTGAGCCTGTCTCGGAATCAGAAGAAGCGATCGATATGCGCCTGCGCTTTGGCGAGCGTCCTCGTTCTAACGGTTCAGGATGCGATGATTGGGGCACTAGGGAGGAGTCGGGTTCAATAGGCTCCGGAACCGTAGTGCGCGTGTTAGGCGATGCGGATGGTGACCCTCCATTGGGTGAAATTGGCGAGCTGTCGTCAATGATATCCTGGGTTGAGCGAGTCCTCGGCGCTCTGGGCTTAATGGCCAATGCTGGCGTTGTGAAACCCGCCCTCGCCTGAGTTGAAGACGGCCTCGGCGTCGAGGCAGCAAATCTTGGCGTGGCATAAAACTGGCGTGGCCCATTCGTATGCTGACTTGGTGTGTGACCTTGGGGCTGCTGTTGCTGTGTACCCGGTCTTTTCGAGGCCAGGAATCGAGAAGGAGCCGGTGTCTCCATCTCCAGTCAGTCATGAGCCTGCGGTATGGGACATGCTAGCCACACCCACTGCTGGCGGCATCCTTTGCGTGAAAAAGTGAGTAAATCCAAAAGCCCAATGCTGAGGGGTGTTTAACTCAGCATCTGAGTCCTTTAGAGTGTCTAAGTGTTTGTCTGGTCAGTATTCGTATGATGTTGGTTAATAACCTAGTAGGTAGGCAGCAAACTGGTAGATGAGTGAGATGGCGATGAAGCGATAACTGGGTGACCCTAACCCTGACCTAAGCACCGCTTCCCGCACCGCTGTTAGTGCACCTGAAAGTTTCAAGACCGCCAAGCTGCAATTACGCCACGAGTCCGTGCGTCCAATGTTGCCATTAAACGAAGTCGGCAGCGCGTAACCGCGTGACGCTAGCGCGCCGCGTCGCAACAGTTTCGCGTTCTCCCGCATTAACTTTCCCGCTATCCTACCAGCGCCACTACTGTTCAGAGTGGCACTCAAATTGGCATAAGCATTCTCATCATCGCTCAGCAAGAAACATTAGTCCTGCCATCCTAACTGAGTTCAACTTACCATGTTTGCCATAATGCCACAAACCCCGCCGAAATTCTCGTTCAGCCGGAGTCGTGACCACGCTCACCGGCCCACGACCTCCTCGCCTCTGTCCTCCTCCCCAATACGAGCCTCCTCATCCTCGCCGCCGCCGCTACCACCCCCGCAGCAACAGTCAACAACATCGCAGCCGCTCTCACCATGCGATCCCAACGCACTCAACACTCCACTACAACAGCGCGGGACACAGTCCTCTCCGATTTCTGGTCCATCCTCGTCATTATTCTTTGGCAGCAGCTGCAACAGTACTCCTCAAACTAGCATCAGCAGCGGTAGCTGTAGTAGTAGCAGCAGCAACAGGAAATCCCGCTTTGCCACACGCAACCCGCGGCCCAACCCCGTCGTGAAGCGACGCGAGGAGGCGCAGGAGAGCAGGCGGCGGGTGTTCCTGCAGAATGTGCGGCAGAGACAGGACGACAAGAGGTGGGAGATGCGGGGCGGGGAGGATGAGGTAGGCCGATTGAAACCCCCGCCCGCCAGGGACGGTACTTCTCTATGGTTAGACCCGTGAATCGGCTGACTGGTTTTTTGGTCACAGCTCCTCAAACTCGAGTGGTATCGCCTCAATCGCGAGAGGCTGCAAGCCAGGGACGCCGAGTTGGACGAATATCTGGCCGCGATGGACGCGGATTTGGTGGCGCAGGAGGAGGCGGAGCTTCGTCGGATATGGGAGCAGCAGCAACTGCAACAACAACAACAACTGCTGCAACAACCCGGTAATGCGGACGTGGACGCGCTGATGGCGGATGTTATCGCGCAGGAGGAGGAGGCGGAGCTGGATGCGTTGGTTTCTGCGTTGCAGGCTGACTCTGACGGACAACGACAGTCGACGCATTTCTCGGATGATGAGGACTACGATGGGCTTTTTATGGATCTCATTCAACAGCAGGACCGGGAGAGGATATGTTACTCCCAGGATGTGGAGATGACCTGATGAGGCTGGCTTTCCTGTGCGGGTACTAGTAGGTTGTGCACATGTACTGTATCACATGTTGGTCGGCGCTTTGGGTCTTGCTGAACACACAGGGAAGTGTGATGGGCTCTTGCATTGAGTTATGGTATTAGAGTTGAAGAAGGGTAGCGGTTAGAATTATGCTGAGCTATCCTGACTAGTTGCTACGCCTTCTCGGATTGGTTAGCACTATTGGGGATTGCACGACTCGTCTGGCATGTTGAGCACATCCTGAGTCGAGGGCATATCCCCGACGAGGTCTGAGGGCGGCGACCCGGAGGCTTGCATCTGCTGGCAGTTAGAAGCATGTTGCGGGTCCTTGAGAACAACCAAGGCTCGCTCACCTTCTGCATCCGGTCAACGATGTATTCCCGGTGAGCCGTGCTAGCGTCCGAGTACGTTGGTTCCTCAAACTTGGCGACGATCTCTCGCACCAGGGTCTGCTGCTCTTCGTATCTTTTGAGATCCTCCGCGGAGGTTTTGTCCCTATTCTTCTCTAGCCATTCGGGGAACTTTTCGTCGAGCTCTTTCATGGGCTCGTAGAGAATCTCCTTGTTGGTAAGTTGCTCCATCATCCCCATGAGCATCTTTGAAAACTCCTCGTCATTGCCTTCGCTGCTGTCAAGACTACTACTCTGCATCGCTTTGAGGAGTTCCGCAATGAAGTTGTCTGAGCCCTCGGCCGCGGCTGCCGCTGTCGCCTGCTCGCCCGAGGTCTGCATCCGCTCCATTGTCCGTCGGATGGTTTCTTGGAACGATGCTTCAGCACCGGCGGCGGTCTCTGTTGAAGCCGAGCCGCCGGCGCCGAACCCTGGAGGGGTCGGAGCTGTCGAGGTCTGCTCTGCGCTCGCCGATGCAGCGGCGCCCAGCTCTTTGAATATGCTCTCGAATTGCGCTTGCATCTCCGGCTTCGGCAGGGTCAGTTCGCGCGTCTTCGCCATGATGGGTCGTTGTCACTCACAGAACTTTCCAACTCCCCTAGCAGATCGGCCATACCGGCCTGCAGTTGCTTTGCGAAGTCATCCTCGGACAAGACCTGGTCCTCCTTGACGCCTGCGGCACCTTGCTGGGGTGGTCCTGAGGGCGCCTCTGGCCTTTTCGCATCGATCCTCACCGCGGAAAACTCATCCAACATTTCTAAGTCTGACCGTTAGCTGCGACCCCCTCCCGTTTCACGCGCTGCTCGAGGCTTGCCATCAAGATCGTCCAAGTCATCCTCGTCCGGGTCAGGAACGTCGTCCACGTCCTCTACCGTCACGGTCTTCTTCCCCTGCGCGTCCACGGCGGATGCGCCTCCCTCTGCATCGTTCTTCGACCCACCAATATCACCTGCGGGTGATGCCATTGTGATGGTGTCTCAAAGCTTGTGCCAGGGTGAGTTGCGAGGGGCAGATATGAGACCCCGGGGTGTGGGTATGGATCAGGAAGTTGGAACCCCACGTGGGAGAGCAATCGCGGGGAAGACTTAAACTAGCGCGCGGGGGATGCTTGAGGCTGTCAATCTGTAGGACAGTCGTAGATGGGTGAGATCACTGCCTACTGGGACGAGAGCATGGAAATTACTGCGGTACAAAAGGTAGCTACCTACCTAGGTACTCCGTAATGCTTAAGGTACTTGGCGACGTCGGCATTGGCATGTGCAAATTCCCCGACCCAATAGCTCCATGCCCCACCATGAGCCGAGGGCATCCCACAGCGTACAATACCTATATATTGGGATATGTATGTAACGGATCGGGTACGTCTACCCGCGCGCAAGGAAAGTCGGGTAGGTAAGGTATTGGCGAATTAGGCGCACAGGACCGCCCTCAAGTTACAGTTTGGCTACTGTTGTCTTCCTGTCTTGTTTGTCAACTACATAATTTGGGCTGCGTTGACTCCTCCACTGGTCTCTAGTAGCTCCTACCCCGCGATTTCGGGCAACGATCCGGCGGCTTACCGGATAAGTCTACAGTTGGGTATCTCCGGGCCGTCGTGTTCTAGTGGTTCCCTCAATCTTTGGATACGCCAGTATGAGAAAAAGAAAGAAAGGCTATGACAACGGGGCATGGAGGAGTGAAAGAAAATAACAGCTCTAGTTAGGTTCGCCACGTTACAATATGTGAATTGATGCACAGGGCAACTTCTCAAGGTACTTCCAATTCCTCTCCGCCTTCCTGTTTGAGCTCCGGCAGGCAACCACTGGCGTCCGTGCGGATACCAGAATTTCGGCCGCGAAGCTTCCGGTTGAACATCCTCAAAGGTCAAATCTAAGAGCCGCCCGTTCGTCCCATTTGTTGAGGCGCGCTGCAAGCTTATCTCGTTGCACATTCGAAAACCAAATTGTCCCCCAGATTTTGATCTCTCCGCCATCAGCTCCGTGCCACCTCGCTTCTACAAGCAGCGTTCGAATCACCTTTCCCCACGTTCCTCTCGCCGTTGACTGCTCCAACCCCCGCAGCAACATCCGTTGGCGCTGCTTTTGCTTTCAAGAGAATACCGAATACCTTACTTCTCTCGCGCAGTCCAAAACAGCCAGCATAATGTCGCTATGCCAGAATCGCTTGCAGGAGGAACGGTGCGTAATCAATCGCACCCTACAAACAGAGCTCGTCCGGTGTGAAACCACGACGGCCCGGCTAATCTATCTTGACGCTCCAGGAAGCAATGGCGAAAAGACCACCCGTTTGGCTTCTATGCCCGGCCGCAGAAGAATGCCCAGGGAGTGCTTGATCTCAAGGTTTGGGAGTGCGGCATTCCGGGCAAAGAGAAGACGATTTGGGAGGGCGGTCTGTTCAAGATGATAGTGACGTTCCCTGACGGTATGCGATCCTTACTTTTGTCACAGTATTTCGTGGCTTCTAACCATTCCGTTCGAGACAGAATATCCCACAAAGCCCCCCAAATGTAAGTCGAAGCCCCTGTTCAGCGAGCATCGTGATCGGCAGGCCAGGTGTGACTGACACGCGGCTCCGCGCAGGCAAATTCGTGCCCCCGCTCTTTCACCCCAACGTCTACCCCTCTGGCACCGTCTGCCTGTCCATTCTGAATGAGGAAGAGGCTTGGAAACCGGCGATCACGATCAAGCAGATCCTTCTCGGCGTCCAAGACCTCCTCAACGACCCCAACCCGGAGTCTCCAGCTCAGGCGGAGGCGTACAACATGTTCAAGAAAGACCGGATGCAGTATGAGAGGCGAATCAAGCAAATCGTGCGCGAGAATGCCGCGCCGTAAATCGACCACCCCTTTCAATGTTTCTACCCAGCATCGGTGGATGAGATCGGCACGCAGAATCTGTTACGGAGTTTACGGGATACCACTTGGGATGGGCATATGGAGTTCGGACGACACTATCCATTGGGGTGGCCTTCCTTCCGCCACAATTTGACGGGTGTTTAGTTTGTAGAGACGCGCTGGGTGCTGGGCGGGTGAGTCCAGTCTGCCCGACTTGTGTCTGTGCACACGTTCCGGGGCACATTCACCGTTTCGACCCATCGTGTTGTCTGCGAGAGTGACGGGCTATCTCAGGAGAGAACACAGGAGGCACGGCTCGTGACCTGCGCCCTGAGATGCAGCATGACGCATTTGGCGATGCTGTTAAGGGCCCAGACTCCCAGCTTCACTTACACCCCGCGCAACCTCAGTTCACAGCTCAACCTATTGGTCTGACCCCCACAATGGAACTGTGGGATTTCAACTGGGAAGATAGTTCATGCAATTTGCCATTTTAACTTCTCACCAATATGTACCACTCTCGCACCTCTTATACACAGTACTAGTATAACGCTTCACGTGAAATTTTGCCACTGAGCGGCCCAGCTGCCCCTTATCATACTGATTTAGGTAAGGGAGCGGGTGGAACTCCAAGAGGGTGTCGGACCAATCATTACCATGCCCCGACATCGGCCTAGGAATTTGTGACTCCGGTTGCCCGCCGCTTGGAGCTCCGTTCCCAGCTCGGCGGGCCTCCTAGCTCACAACTGATAGCCATTGAGTCAAAGCAGACTGGCCATTGCCAGAAGGCCAGATCTGGGACCTGGAGCCGCTAGTCAAATCTCTAACCTTGCCATCGCCCGGGGGTCCCTGAGGCGAGCCGGCCGGATGTACAGTACATATGAACAAGCGCCGAATTTAGACACTCCACACACTTTTTCTGAGGAGTGTGACTCTTCTCTCCCTCTTCCACACACCTTCCACTGTCCATATCATCCCACTCTGCCCCGTCTGTGATATCCGTTGTGCAGACAGTTACCCACGCCATCATCCAAAGCGCCCAGTAGATCACAGGCCCCCCGTGCCGGCGAGCGTAAGTATAAAAGGCCCTTCCTCTCTTCGCTGACGGTGGTGACTAGGCTCTGCTTCTCAACGCCCGCGCGCAGAGTTCTCCTCAGACTCAATCCCATAACTGCCTTGCCGAACACCCTGACAAGCCTACTCCCAAGATGTGTGGCATCTTCGCCTGTCACAAGTGAGTTCGTCCATATCGGCCCTCGGTCCCGCGATAGTGTTGCGAAAGCTCCATGCTGTGTGCTTCTGATGGAGGGGCACCTTTCTGCCCCGCTATCGAGACTCTCGGCGCAGACAAGGCCACCAAATTTGCGGCGCGCTGCTAACATAGCCGATAGCCACCCAGACGTGGTCAAGTTCAAACCGACTGCTTTGAAACTGTCAAAGGCGTATGTGCCTCCGGATTGAGCCTACAATTGCAGGAGAGACGGTGTAATTGACATTGCCTCACCGCGCAGGATTCGGCATAGGGGACCTGATTGGAGTGCGTTGGCCGTTCACCTTCAACACCTCCCTCGGCCCCTGAGACGAGAGAGACAAAACAGACACTGACACATATGACACTCTTCCAGGCGGCAGCGTCACTTGTCACAACACGAGTATGGATTGCATCCGGGCTAAGAACACTCCCTTCTTGCCAAAAAACCTCGGTTGATTTAGAGGCATTGCTGACAACTTTGCAGTACTATGCCATGAACGGCTCAGTATCGTCGGCGTTGGTGGGTCCGGTTCCGTCTATGCGATCGAGAAGCGATCTTCTCACACTAAAGCAGAGAGCGGAGCTCAGCCACTCACCAATGCCGATGAGAGCATTGTACTCGCCGTCAACGGCGAGATTTACAACCACCGTCTTATCCGGAAGAACTTGAAGGAGCCCTACCACTTCAAGACCACCTCGGACTGCGAGGTCGTGATCCCTCTGGTGAGTCTGCGCCCCGGGATAACATGGAGCGGCGACGGGACACCGAAGATGCTAATCATTGGCGGCAGTACATGGAGCACGGTCTCGATGCGCCCAAGCACCTCGATGGCATGTTCTCTTTCGTGTTGTACGACAAGAAGCTTGACCGCACGATCGCCGCGCGTGACCCCATCGGCATCACCACTCTCTACCAGGGTTGGTCCTCGAAGGAGCCCGGCGCCGTATACTTCGCCTCCGAGCTCAAGTCCCTGCACCCCGTCTGCGATAAGATCGAGTCCTTCCCACCGGGACACATCTACGACAGCAAGACCGGCGAGCGAACCAGGTATTTCGAGCCGACGTGGTGGGACGGCCAACGGATACCTGAGAAGCCCCTGGATCTGAAGCTGCTGCGCGAGACGCTTGAGAAGTCGGTCAGGAAACGGCTCATGGCCGAGGTTCCGTATGGTGTCTTGCTGTCGGGTGGTCTGGATTCCAGCCTGGTTGCGTCCATCGCGCAGCGGGAAACCTTGAGGTTGAAGAAGCTGGCTGAGGAGGCCAACGGCACTGCCGAGGAAAACGTAGACCCCGACAGTGGCGAGGGGCTGGTCGGCATTGACGACGAGAACAAGCTCTCCACCATGACCTTCCTTCCGCAGCTGAACTCCTTCTCTATCGGTCTCCCAGGATCGCCAGACAACGAGGCGGCGCTGAAGGTGGCGAAGTTCCTCGGCACCAAGCATCACGTCATGACCTTTACAATCGAGGACGGCCTCAACGCGCTCTCGGATGTCATCTATCACCTAGAGACGTACGATGTGACCACCATCCGTGCCTCGACCCCCATGTATCTGCTGTCCCGCAAGATCAAGGCCATGGGTATCAAGATGGTTCTGAGCGGCGAGGGGAGCGACGAGATCTTCGGCGGCTACCTCTACTTCCACGGCGCCCCCGACAAAGCTGCTTTCCATGAGGAGTGCGTCCGTCGGGTCAAGAACCTGCACCTGGCCGACTGCTTGCGCGCCAACAAGTCGACTTCGGCTTGGGGGCTGGAGGCTCGGGTGCCATTCTTGGACAAGGAGGTGAGTGGATCAGCAAACTCGAGAACGCCGGCGTGCGTCCAGAGAGCTAACTCGTTATTAGTTCCTTGAGGTGGCCATGAACATCGATCCCAAGGAGAAGATGATCACGGACGAGCGCATCGAGAAGTACATCCTCCGGAAGGCCTTCGACACCACAGACGAGCCTGAGACCCAGCCGTACCTGCCCGACAGCATCCTGTGGCGGCAGAAGGAGCAGTTCTCGGACGGTGTCGGCTACGGCTGGATCGATGCGCTCAAGGACACCGCCGAGAAGATGGTCACCGACGAGATGATGAAGAACCCCAAGCCCGAGTGGGGGAGCGATATTCCGGACACCAAGGAGGCGTACGTCAAGCCCCGGTCTCTCCCGGGCCATTTGCAGAAGCTGACCGTGAAAACAGATACTGGTACCGACTGATGTTCGACGAACACTTCCCGCCGTCCTGCGCCTCGACAGTGATGCGGTGGACACCGAAGTGGTCCAAGCAGACCGATCCCAGCGGCAGGTGAGTGAACCGTCCTCTGGCTGGTTTCTCCTGGTGTCTGTACGGTGGGCTAACCCGGTTCCATAGAGCGATTGCGATCCACAAGGCCAAGTACGCCGATGCGTGATGTCTAAAAGCAGTTGTGTCCTTTCCGTAAATATCTTGCCCTTTAGATGGCCTGGTCCGTTGCCATGGCGTTGTATGATTAGGTCATATACCTCGAACGTCTGAATGAAAACGGGCCACTTCGGTTGTCTTGTCCCTTATATCGGTCCAAACCCTTATTAACATGGTTGAGGAAGCTGGGTATCCTGGCCACAGTAGCTGTCCGATGTCGCTGTTTTGCCTCATCAGCTTCTTGTATATATATTAGTTGAAACATAGCATGCATAACACACGACCCTGAGTCGGGACACTAAGGAGAAAAGAGCGAGGGGGTTCGGAGATATCGCTGTTTGGCAGGTCAGGATATTCCGCGAGTCGCCCTTCCTGTAACCGTATTATCGCCTTGGATTCCATGATGTTTGTTTGAAAAAATGATCGAGGTGAGGAACTCGGAGAGCTGCCCGACGTGCAGATTCGGAAATGCATGGACTCAATGCCATTGGTAGGCCCACGTGGTTTCAGAACGCTTCATCGTGAATGGGCGAGCGAGAGATCTCCAGGACGAGTGTAACCGAGCCACCAATCACAGCGATCAAAGAAATTCTCGTAGCATCGTGTGGCCGAATTCCGACCCCTTCCTTCCCAACAAATCCCCAGGCGTTTGTAGCTCGATAACAAGAAGCTCGCTCACTTCCTTCCCACCACCTTCGCACCAGGCACCAATACTTCAAAGTCTGCCCTTCCAGACCACCGCCAACATGTCTGTCCCGGCCTTCTCAGATATCGCCAAGGCGGCGAACGACGTATGTGCGATTATGGAGCTTCGGCAAGCTTGCGCTCGGCGGAGCGGCATTTCTCGAGAGCTTCCCCCCTCAGTGCGCGAAAACCACTGACCACTGACTGGCTTCCTTTCAGCTCCTCAACAAGGACTTCTACCACCTCTCCGCCGGCACCATCGAGGTCAAGAGCAACACCCCCAACAATGTTGCCTTCAAGGTCACCGGCAAGAGCAGCCACGACAAGGCTACCAGCGGCGCGGTATGTCATTGCGCCCAGCCCGGAGCAGGAACCGACGAACGACATGCTGACCAACCGCGTTGAATAGATCGAGGGAAAATTCACCGACAAGCCCAATGGTAATTTCAGAGATCCCCCAAAGAAGTTGAAGAAGATGCGACCCCCGGCCCTGATCGACTGCCAAGTGGCGCTGGGCCGAATCCCCGGGCCGCGGATCTATAACGCACGAGTCCAGTGGATGGTTGCGATGAGCGCGCGCAGACCAGCACAGCTGCTAATGCACTGGACACGCGCAGGCTTGACCCTCACCCAGACATGGAACACCGCCAACACTCTCGAGACCAAGGTTGAGATGGCCGACAACCTGGCCAAGGGCCTCAAGGCTGAGGGTATCTTCAGCTTCCTCCCGGCCAGCCAGGCGCGCGGCGCCAAGTTCAACCTGCACTTCAAGCAGAGCAACTTCCACACCCGTCTCTTCTTCGACCTGCTCAAGGGCCCCACCGCCAACTTCGACGCCATCGTCGGGCACGAGGGCTTCCTCGCTGGCGCCTCGGCTGGCTTTGACGTGCAGAAGGCCAAGGTCACCGGGTACAGCGCCGCCGTCGGCTACCAGGCTCCGACCTACACCGCTGCCATCACCGCGACCGACAACCTGAGCGTCTTCGCTGCCAGCTACTACCACAAGGTCAACAGCCAGGTCGAGGCCGGCTCCAAGGCCACCTGGAACTCCAAGAGCGGTAACACTGTCGGCCTCGAGGTCGCTGCCAAGTACCGCCTCGACCCCGTCTCTTTCGTCAAGGTAAGTCTCTTCTAAGACAGGAATTATATGTCGAGCTGGATGCTGATAAAGTGAAACAGGCCAAGATCAACGACCGCGGTGTCGCTGCCGTTGCCTACAACGTCCTCCTCCGCGAGGGTGTCACCCTCGGCGTTGGCGCTTCCTTTGATACCCAGAAGCTTGACCAGGCCACCCACAAGGTTGGCACCAGCTTCACTTTCGAGTCGTAAGCTGCTGGCACCTGATTGGCGGGCGGTTGGTCTCTGCGACGGTGTGGGCCATGGGATTTGATCTGCGGACTCACCATGGGGTGGACACAGCTCGGTAGCATTGTATCAATCTAGAGCTAATGTGCACTGTACAAGTAACGCCGCTGCGACTGTACATGCCAATTGCACGCGGCCTGATGACTTATGTGCGTATGTATATGATGAGAGAAGATGACCAACCATCCGGAAAGCCTTCGCTACGAACTACTCATCACTTCGCCTTGTTTTCCCTCTTGCTCTCCCTCGCTGCCGCCTGCGCAGCTTTGTCATTCTTCGTGTTCCTATTCCCAGTGAGCATAAGCGGCGCCATCACCACAACCGCCAAGATGGCGGCCGCGGCAAAGAAACTCATGTTCGTCGGCGAGTCGGGCTCATCAGGATTCAACCCAGCCCGTCGCGCCGCCCGCCGCGCCCGCAACTCCTCACCCCTCCTCTGGGCCCTCTCATGCGCGTCCCTATCAAAATGCGGGACGTCATCCCTATGTCCGAATGGGTTCTGCCCGGGCCCCATCCCTCCTACACCCCCACCACCACCTCCTCCACTCCCGTGCGGCGGCGGCGGCGGCGGTGGGGGCTGCTGATGCGCAGCCCCAGCAGCGCCTGAGCCGCCCCGGCTAGAATCGGTGCCGTATCCAGCCCCGAACCCGGTACTCTCCTCGTGCGCGGCGCGCCGCTTGGCGGTGTGCGCCCCCCACCCACCGCTGCGGAAGAAGGACGGTGGCGGGCCCTGGTAGGTGCCTCGTCGCCGACTGCTCAGTCCGGACGCCGGGCGGCCGCCGGCGGGTCCCGTGCTGTGGTACGAGCCCTTCGGTGCGTGGTGATAATGCGGATTGTTGCGCGTTGTGCGCATGACGTCACGGTCGTATAGCGCGCGCTTGTCGGCGTGGCTCAGGGTCGCGTACGCCTCGCTGATGCGCATGAAGCGGGACGGCGCGTGCGGGTCGGATGGGTTGTGGTCTGGGTGGTGTCGTTTGGAAAGGAGGTAGAAGGATCTGTTGAAGCGGGAAAAGGGGGGGCGGATTAGTGACATTGCATAGTTGAGAGAAAGGGGAAGTAGGAGGAGAGTTGCCTTTTAATTTCCGCCGGAGAGGCATCGGGGCGGACGTTGAGGGTTTCATAGTGATTGGAGGCGTCGCTTGTGTTGCTGTCAAGGTGGAGGAGACGCGGGGAGGTGTGGAAGAAGCGTCGGCCGCTCCATGCTGCGGTTTGAGTTGCGAGCTGGGCGGTTATCGCCGTGCCGGTGGGAGCGTAGCGGAGTGGCATGCCGCATCCCGATGGTTTGGCACATTGTCTAGAGACGGCGGGATGGCGGGTATGTTCTGGCTCGCGGAGGTTGAAACGAAAGTTGCCCTTGTACTGGTTGGATTGGCGGTTCCACTTTATATGACGAGTGACGAAATCAATGAATGAGCGGGCGAAGCTGGAAGGAGTGGCTCAAGCTGATGCCAAGACAGGGCTGGAGTCATTTAACAGCCCGAAGCCACAACTGCCCCGCGCCGCTCTGGTGGGTCCAGAAAAAGAGACCGTTGGCGGGGCTTTGAAGCGTGAAACGGATTCTTAGTGTTGGTCGTTGAACCCTCCAAGTTCATCGCTTTTCCTCTCCAGCTGATTTTTAGTACAGAGCCTTCAAAATGGCGGCCCAAGCCCCTACTGAAGAGCTCAACCAGTTGAGTGGTAAGTGTTGCTGACGCGCAATAGATGATGCAGCGTTTTCTAATTGCGCACAGTCGAAGACGCCGGGAGTAAACCGAAGCCAGATGCGTCTGCCACCAGCAACGGCAATCTAAATCATGACAGCGATGACTCCGAGGATGACGCTGAAGACCCTGCCGCCGCCGGCGGTGAGGGCGGTGCCGCTAAGAAAAAGAAGAAGAGAAAGCCCAGGAAGAAGAAGAAGAACCCAAAGCAACAGTCGGACCCTCCGCGAGTCCTGATTTCGCAGCTGTTTCCGGACAAGAAGTACCCGAAGGGCGAGGAGGTTGAATACGTGAACGAGAACCGCTACCGCACGACCAGCGATGAGAAGCGCCATCTCGACAACCTTAAGAGCGAGTTTGTTAACGACTACCGCCATGCCGCTGAAGCTCATCGGCAGGTTCGGCAATGGGCGCAGAAGAATATCAAGCCCGGACAAACGCTGACCGAGATCGCCGTGGGTATTGAAGACGCCGTTCGCGCCCTGACTGGCCATCAAGGACTCGAGGAGGGCGATGCTCTGGTCGCCGGCATGGGGTTCCCCACCGGCCTTAGCATTAACCACTGCGCAGCGCACTACACGCCCAACGCGGGCAACAAAATGGTTCTGCAGGACGACGACGTGATGAAAATCGATTTTGGTGTCCACGTGAATGGCAACATTGTCGACAGCGCGTTTACCATGGCCTTCAACCCCCGCTACGATCCACTCCTGGAGGCCGTGAGAGCTGCCACCAACGAGGGCATCAAGCAGGCCGGCATCGATGCTAGACTCGGTGAAATCGGCGGCGCCATCCAGGAAGTCATGGAGAGCTACGAGGTCGAGATCGACGGAACGACTTACCCGGTCAAGTCAATAAAGAACCTGAACGGGCATACCATCCTTCCGTACAACATCCACGGCACCAAGAGCGTGCCAATCGTGAAGAGCAACGACACGACAAAAATGGAGGAGGGCGACGTCTTCGCCATTGAGACATTCGGAAGCACGGGTCAGGGGTTCGTGCGTGAGGATGGAGAAGTATCGCACTACGCATTACGAAGCGATGCCCCGAAGGGCGACCTTCGTCTGACCTCAGCCAAATCGCTGTTGAATGTCATCAAGAAGAACTTTGGCACACTGCCCTTTTGCAGGCGATACCTGGATCGTTTGGGGCAGGATAAGTATCTGCTTGGGGTGGGTTTTGCTGCGAAGCCGAACAAAATCGACGGCCTGCTGATATCGCTGTAGTTGAACAACCTTGTCTCGAACGGCATCGTCGAGTCGTACCCGCCGCTGGTCGATAGAAAGGGCTCCTACACGGCCCAGTTCGAGCATGTGAGTGGCTGGCGACATCTGGAAAAGTCCGTTCACCTGCTAACGCGCTGCAGACCATCCTCATCCGGCCTACCGTAAAGGAGGTTATTAGCCGTGGAGATGACTACTAGTGGAACTGTCTGAATAGGAATCGGGTTGCGCTAGTCTTCTCCCTGTCGCGGCGTAAAGCTGTTGACACAAGTTTGGTTACGCAAATGGAGTTGATACTATGTCAACTGGCTCTACTTGAGGCACATCTACACTCAAACAAAACAATTGATTGAATTCCGAGGGTCGTGGCAGTCGGATGGTACGAATCCGGACCCCGAGCTACGAATGCCGAGACTGGGATGCCGAGACCGGGCCGGGACCCGGATACCTCCGCAAGCAGACGGAACGTCATAGATCGCGAACGCCGTGGAATGCTCCATCCGAACCCGGGGGTGCCGTCATGGCCGTAGTGTACCACTGTGTACCTCCACAGGTGCCCCTACTGGACAAGTAGTGTAAATGCACCGGCCTCCCCGGATGACGCACGGTGGAAGGGACCATGACGGCAATGAGAGGAGTGGCAGTGGCAAATGGAAACCTGAACCCTTCTGGAATGGTCACATTCGGTCATTGGTCACTAGCATTCAAAAGTTATCCTGGTTTTTCCGAGATTTTTCATCACTGCCCCACGCCTTTGTCCGTTTTGGATCCTTGGCGAGCGGGTCCGGGGGTTGCCACCTCATCCCGCGAGATAAGAAAAAAAAGCCTCCCATAGAAAAGACCCGGCCTGAAACCCATCTACGGCGTTGTTGGGATTTTTGACTCTTGCATGTGCCACAGCGGCTTCCACAACATTCACTAGAATCATCCGGGAATTGCATAAGAAGCTTCCTGGAGTATATCGACAACGCGAAGGCCGATTGTCGAACTGCGATCTACGATTCAGCGATCATTTAACCTCGCAGCCAGCCGAGAAGGTTTTGCCGATCTCTGCGCGTCTCTGCCGAGGCACGCGAGCGACATCTACATCATACTATATCGCAACTCAACCAACTCTTGCCGCATACCGACGAAAATGAAGGTCTTCTCCAATTCAGAGACCTTTAACTACTCCTGGGAGGAAGTATCAACCGCCAACTGGCGGAAGTACTGCCCATGGAACCAGAAATCAACGCACGTTGTGGCCGTCGACACGATTACCCGGGCGGTCGACCCAGACACTGGCATCCTGCGCACAGAACGTCTGATCACCTGCCGACAAAGCGCACCAGAATGGCTCAAGAGCCTGATGGGCGGCTGCATGGACGAGTCACAGGTCCTCGAGACATCCTACGTCGACCCGCGCAACAAGACAGTCACGATGGTGTCGAGCAACCTGACGCTGAGTAATCTGATCAACGTGCAAGAGACGGTCGTGTACCGTCCGCTCAACGACCACCAGACGAAGTTCGAGCAGGCCGCACAGATCACCGCGCTCTGCGGCGGGTGGCAGCGGATTAAGAACAGCATCGAGGACACGCTGGTCAAGCGGTTCCGCGAGAACGCCATCAAGGGCAAGGAAGGGTTCGAGGCAGTACTCGCCATGAGCCGGCGCGCGTTCGCCGAGGAGCGCGAGCGCGAGGGCATGATGATGCTTCAGGCGCAGGCCCAGAACATCCGAGCGGCTGCGTGACCGGAGGATGAGAAGCGCCATCGACGCATCACGATTTCAACAATGGGGTGGGTGGGCGCGCAATAATCATCGCGCCATTGTCACTACCCCGTAATCGGGAAGAGCAACAAACAGGGGAGCCACAGCTTTGCACACATATGGCGAAAAAGACGACGGTTGGCGTATGAATGACGAACAATGAGACGAAGGCAACCTTCAACATAAAAACATTCTTTGCATCTCTCGGGCAGGACCGGCTTGCATTCTCGCCGTCTTACCGAGCCGGTTAGGAAAAGGGGTTTCATCAAAAACGGCAGCATTAGAGATGGCGATGGTTCAAAGCGGGTTCGAGCATGGCGTCACGGTTGATTTTCATTCCCTCGCTGTCTGTACTTGTACAACACAGGGTCGGGTTTCTATTTCTATTTCACGGAGTCCGGGATATACCCGTGTTAAGCAAGAGCTGCCTTTGTTTCCTCCGCGCCTCACGCTGCCACGCACCGATAGATTCATTCGGGGCTTCCTGTCATGGGCGGAGGGGCTGTTTCTTGAGAGCGACAGCCGCCCTAGCTATGGGGCCCCAGAGCATTGATAGAGGATAGATACCTTATGTATAATTGAAAAGGCTACACTCTCCCCTGCGCACATATTCATGACGCTGCGTCACATTTGTTGGTGCATTGATGAACGCAAGCCATCATCAGTACCTCACCGAAGCTGCTCCGTCGGCACTGCTATTGGAATTCCAGATATTGACTTTAACGGTATCCATAACGTAAAACAACACTCTTCAAATAGGGGGTCTTCTCCATGACGACAGACGGCCCCGGTAGCGTAAGGTACCTACTCCTTTCGTGGCCCGGTACGGAGCTCAAGTTAGTCATTTACATGTTTCTCCCATTCTAATCCGCATTTCTTTTATCCAACCGTCCCTCTCTCCCCACCTAACTAACGAATTCAGATAACCCCTTCTGTCCCCGTTGTTGAGTGTTCTGCTTACGCGTCTCCTCATCCGAAGACAGACGAGCGAGACATCGACGCTGATAATCCTGCAACAGCCACGCCGTCTCACCATCGATCAGTCGTTGTTCCGCCTTGTCCTCCCCCTCCGCAGCAGCGACAACATCAGTAGCAGCGAAGACCTCCTGCAAGAAAGCCGCTGCCTCGGCGTACCGCCGGAAGAAGTACAGCTCTTCTGTGGCGTGCAGCAGCGCTTGGGCTTCTGGTTTCGATAGCTGGGCTCCACTGGATGATGATGATGACGGTGATGGCGAGGTGGGGAGTTGTATTGTTTTGTAGATCTTGGTTGATTGTTAGAACTACTACTTGAGATAAACAGCTATATATGTCTGTCTGATTGAGTGGTCATGGGAGGAGAGCGTTTCTCAGGTGATTGTCATGGAAAAGGGGGGAAGGCGGGAGGGGGAAGAAGGAAAGAAGGGGAGAAGACAAAAGATATACATTGCCGTTCTCAATCTTGGGCCGATAAGTTTGTTTGAGGCGTTGGAAGGTTTCTTCTGAGAGGGCGGTGCGCTCGGCGCGGGTGGGCTGGTGTTCCGTTGTTGTCTTGGTAGCGGCGGTGGTGGAAGGGGCTGCTGCCTCCTCAGGCTCGGAGTCGGACAGGGTAAGGGAGAGGAGGAGATTCGGGTCGAAGCCGTCGCCTGTCTCCATATTATTGAGGATGCCCTTTTTCTGTGAATGTACAGCCAGATGGTGATCGGAGTGAATTGTCGTTTTGGCTGAATGCTGTCACTCTTGTGTTTGGTGATGAGATGCGACTCTCACTAAAGATGGAAATTATGGTGGCCCCTCGTCAAATCCTTAGTAGATGTTGGATAGTTTTGTATCTGGGTGCTCTCTGCAAAACAGATGGAGTTGAGCGAGATAAAGAAATATAGCAGGCCCGAAATATAGTAGCTGGCATTTCCAGACAGCGGAGTCTAAGTTGAGCTAGCGCCGAGACAGCTTTCGGCGCCGTGTGTATTGTGGAGCTCGAAACCGGCGCCGAGCCGTGTCGCCTCCACCTCCGGCATTTCTCCGATCTCCGCAGTAGATACACGCTTACACCTTCCTTCCTTCCCCCCCGTTACCCGTTGCGACCGTTGACCTTCAAATTTAGAGCGAGTCTTGGCCCAGACCAACAGCCATTATTACCTCGTATTAACAGTACGCTGACCGGGTCATAGCCTCGGGGGTTCCGCATCTCGCACGGGTCAAGGGGCATCAACACACCACACCCCTTCCAGGATCCCGCCGATTCGTCCACCAGTGCAGCTTTCTTACCAACCCGAAGGCAAGCCCTCTAGCCGCCATGGATTTAGCACTGGACCGGCTGGTCGGCGAGGCCTGGAGTGGATTTCTCGAGACGCCCAAGAACATGCGGTACTGTAAGTTCACATTATGTTACGATCTGGGTTTATGTGAGGGCTCGCCATCTACAGGCTAGCCACATCGTTGGGCCTTCATCGGCGATGGGACCCATGATACTAATTGCTTGCTTTCTATCCTGCCCTTTCACCTCTCTCAAATACCTTAGCTCTCCCACAACACCAAACTCCCCTTACTAATAGCTAACCCAGTCCCACAGTGATTGCCATAGGCGGCATCCCCGGCTCCGGTATACACACCGCTTTCCCACCCTGCCTCCCTCCTTTCCACCTACTTACATTTCCAGGGAAAACGACCCTCTCCAAGCGGCTCACAGCGGCCCTCAACGCGCGGCACGCCGCTCAGTTTCCGGACCAGCCCCAACCCGTGGCCGCGTTCGTGCCGATGGACGGCTACCACCTCACGCGCGCCCAGCTGGACGCCATGCCGGACCCGGCCACGGCGCACGCGCGGCGCGGGGCCGAGTTCACGTTCGACGGCGAGCGCTTCTACGGCTTAGTCCAGCGTCTGCGGGAGCCGCTTACTGATAAAACGGGAACGGTCTGGGCGCCGTCGTTTGACCACGCCATCAAGGACCCCAAGGAGGATGATATTGCTGTGGAGAGGACGCATCGGATTGTTGTTTTGGAGGGAAATTGTAAGTCTCTTTTTTCCCCTTCTCTCTCTTCTGTTTTATTCTTCTGCTTCCCTCCTTTTCTCCTTTTCCCCTCCCCCCCCTCCCCCCCCCCCCCCCCCCCCCCCCCCCCCCGGCTCTCTCCTTTTCCCTTTTCCTGGTTTCTTTCAACCCCACTTTCTTCTCTTACTACCATTATGATTTCGCGTTTCGTTTCATTTCAATGGAAGATAACTCATATGGATACTCTGATGTTTCGGGCAGACCTACTCCTAAACAAACCCCCTTGGCGCCAGGCCTCCCAACTCGCCTCCCTCAAAATATTCGTGTCTGTCTCCCCCGACCTCGCACGCAAAAGGCTAGTCGCAAGACACCTGGCCGCCGGACTGTGTGCCACGCCAGAGGAGGCAGACCGCCGCGCGGTCGAGAACGACCTCCCCAACGGGGAAGAAATCGTGCGGCTACGGATCGAAGACGTCGATGACGTTGTGGAGAGTCGTGAGGATGGTTCATGGTCTAGTTGAGTTGAGCGGCTTCAATAAGCGAGACCTCACGCCGTCTAGTAAGTACAATCAAGACTTCGAGAGGTCGAGTGAGAAGAAGTTGAGACCGAACCGGTGGGTAATGGTTATGGTACAATGAGGGAAACCAAGGCCTGATGGACGAGTGAGTCAATGAATGATATACGAGACACGACTATAGATCATAAATGGATTTTACCGTAGTCAGGGGTCTGATACTCCTGCTTGTACGAGACGACGGGACAGGTGTAGGGCGGAACTTGATGAATCTGTTCTGATCAAGACAGGACACAAAGGTATCGCATATTGACCTACCCCTGGCAGGTACATGCACTCATGAACCTGGCAGAAATGACACGTGTATGAATTGTGAACGGACCTCGTCCGTCAACTGTGAAGTTGATGCTATCGTACAGTGCGGTATGCCAACCGCGTCATAGCTCGATGAGCTCGTCGTCATGTGTGGTAGTCAGATAGAAGGCATCTTTCCCGGCTGCTGAATATCGCCCCAGAACAGAAACGCCCTCCGCCATGATCCATGGATTCCCGCTATGAAAATTCATTCGCAGGTGACTGCCGCACTCACATCGTATGTAACATATTTCGCGGTACCTCTAGCACACGTTCACAGGTCCTTGTGGGGGGCCTTGCCCTCGTCGACACTAGTTGCGCTCGACGAGCTCTCCATCTTGTCTTCCTCGTCCTCGGGACCCATGCTCTCCTCGAAGACGGGCTCGGGCTCATTGATCTCGAACTTGGTCTTGAGGTTGTCTAAGTTGGTCGACAGGGTGCTGCTGTTGGAGCGGCGACGGGGGTTGGCGAAGTTGAAGTCCTGGTCGATCGCCTCGTCACCGGCGTTGCCCCTGGGGATACAGGTCAGCACTGTTGACTTGGGACATGTCGAGACCGTTTTGACTCGAAGGGCAACATACCAATTGGCCTTGCCGGCACCGTTCTTCTTGGTCTTCTTTGGGTCAGCATCGGGGAAGCCATGCTTGGCGAAGAACTTCGGGATATGCTCCCCGGTGCCGTCGGCCAGGCCCGAGTGGTCCTTGTCGTTGAACTTGTGAGAACGAGTCACTATGGGTAGAAGGGCAACTGGTTAGCTGCTGATGATATCACGCCGGACATAAGACAAGAGATGAGCCGAGCCTTACTCTTGATGAACTGAGATGGATGAGACTGGAGGGGATAGCCGAATGGGTTGTTGCTTGAGTGTTGCCGTTTAGTGACTGCTGGGTAGAGGTCAGCGTCGTACAAGGGATGCGGGGTCGGTTGATATGAAGAGCCAGAGACGGGAGTAATGAGCTGCAAGAAGCAGGGGCTTTCTCACCTTTCACCGATGTCGTTGGTGTCGCAGATGGCTAGAGAAGGGGGATTAACTGCCAGAGGTAATATAGAACAAGTGGTAGGTCGGTTCCTGGCGATGGAATTGGATGGAACAAGTCGATGGAGACAGATAGTTGATCGTTTGTGGCTTCAGTGAGACAACGAGGAAATGGCGACAATGCGGAGGATTGGAGCAGCTGCCTTTAAACCATCGAGCAGCTCATAATGACTCCAATCGCCAGCTCGAGTTCAGCCAGTCACAACCCGAATTGGTCAGGCGAGCGTCTCCAAATGGCAAGAACAAGGGGTGCTGGCGGAACACTGCTCCTGAGCCGCAACCAGTAGGGAGCCAGGCAGGCGTTGAGGGAGTCGCGTGATGAGGTGTGGTATGTATATGGAGTCTGGGCCGATCCCTTACCAAGAGCTCACCATAGTCACCGTGCATCTGTGATCTGCACGAAAACCTGGCCTTAAACCGAACATCTTGACCTCCATTATCAATTTACCCATAGTGGAATTTGCGCATCTTTCTCATACCCAATTGATGCCTATTGAGGGCCATAAATGCAGTGCTGTTGCTGCCCCTTTGTGAGCTTCGCCTCGAGACCGTTCTCGAGTGTTCTTCTCGCAGGAAGCTGCCAAGATGCGTGACATCAACTCAGGCCCCGCACGGCTCCCCATTGTCTCAGGGACTGTTGCTTCCATCCGCCGGACCCCGGCTGTCATTTTGCGGGGTATGCAGTAACCAACGCAGAGCCATCCTTTTACTAGCTAGCGTCGTTTGTCACCCAACCAGCTGGGTCTTGATAGGATCTTCGCCCTTACACTACCCAGACTTATCACTAATAGGCGGATAGTCGGGGAATTGAGAGCCTACCTACCTAGTTGAGGAGTAGTTGCGGTTAGAGCTGTGTGTTCCTTTCCGAAATGTTATTGTGCACTGCCCTGGCAAGGTAGCGCAGGGTAGGTAGCATCAATGAGTCGCAGCTAGCGCCTCTTTTCGCTATGATCAGGCCAGCCCCATCCCGGACGTCTCCGCGGTTGTATCGATATGCACCCGGGGCCATCACGCAACTCCTGCTGGTGTCTGGCTCATGACTCGATCTTATACATACGAAATATGCATGACAGCCAGGAGCGAGATGCATTACACAGTGGTATTGCTCCATCGTCTACCAGGATTTCTGGTTGCTATTCACTTTGGAGACCATGTATAGGTGATCCTGGAAGAACTTGAACACCCAACGGCTGTTGACATCGTGTGACGTTTTGAGAGAGGCCATTGGTCGTGATTCCCAGGCTCCTACCTCTATGGCCAGGAACCGCTTGCATCATGAACATACGCGTCTGTATGGTGTCATTGGCGGCATCAGAAGCCATTCTAGTTTAACAGTTCGTTTATTCCATATATAACTCCGTTGCCAATCTATAGTTGATCTCGTGAGGCAGGCTTTGCTGACTGGGAATGACGTCGGCATCGAAGCGACATCGGCCCGACCCCCAGGGCGAGAAGTGGACAGTGTCCGTTTCGTATTTCATACTCAGGGGTATGCTGAGTCAGCCGGCCCGGAAAAGTTACTTGTAATTGTAAACCTTATCCACATTTCAAACTCCACGGATATCTCAGCCAGCATGATGACATCTCAACCGGAAATTTCAAGGTGGTCTGCAACACCGCTGGGTCCCGCGATTGACTGCTCTCTTTGTATGGCTCTCGGCGCTTGCATTATTATTGCCGACTCGTACTCTTCTCGCATCGTTAGGCTCACTCTGGCTCGTCTGGTTCCACGACTCTTGCGGCCGCATCGATCGCGCAGGGTCCAGTTTGGTGATGGGGTCTTGCCACAACCTCAACGCATGACCTCCTCCACCGAGTCCCAAGTCATCCGCCACTTTCAGACACAATGAGGACCAAAGGGGTTTCAGGAGTGTCTAACAGCCACTGCAAGGCTCCATAGGTTTGATACATTATTAAAGTTCTACGACATCCGATGGGAATCATTATAGACCTTGTTGCGCAGGCAACTCGGCCGGTGGTAGCACTGGTGGCTCGCCATGGTGGTCGTAGACAGGCAGCTCCCATCGGCCGCTTTGTTCATACTGCATCTTCGCCCACACCTCTTGGTCCCACCGGCCTGCCGATGGACACTTGTCTTCCAGGGTGGATGCTTCAGCGGCACCTGCTTCCCGTCGACGAGCGAGGTTGTTCCGCAGCAGGTAGACGACGGCAATGATGCATCCTACCACTAGTGCCAGACCACCTATGGCGCCGCCGATGATCGCCCCCGTGTTACCGGCGTTTTCTCTGCCGCCGCTGCTGGGGCTGCTATTAGAGTCCTCGAAACCGCTGTCGCTACCGTTTTCGGTACTCTTGTAGTTCAACCCGGATGGGCTTGACATCGGAGAGGGCGTTGTGGTCGAAGTTGGCAGGCTCAGCGAGGAGGGGCTGGCTGACGGTCTTGATGATGGTGTCGTCGTGGCCGGTACAGCGATGGGCACGACAAGATAGGTTGCTCGGCCGGCGCTGCGGGCACAGTCGACATAGTCGTAGGTTTGGTCGGGTCCGAAGATGAGGGACGCGGTCGAACAAAAGACGGCGTTGAGTTGTTGTCCGCCTCGGGGCTGGCGTGTGGAGGTGCGTGTTAACGACAGTGTTCTTCATGTTGACACTTTAGGGGTTAGTGAGGCGTACCAAGTCCAGGTCTTCACGTTAGGGTTGTTCTTCAGGCTCGCGCGACCGCAGCCTGTCCGACACGGGCCAGCGTCGAAGCAGAAGCCGCCCAGGCCGCAGTCGGTGGCGGCGATGACGGTTGTTGGGAAAACCCCCAGATGCCGTGAAGCGTGTCAACGCGGCAGTTGAACCCGTCGGGCGCCACCCACGACTTTGCCGGGTCACCGTCACGGAAACCGCACGTAGACAGCGCTGTGATGGCCTCCCGGCCTTCGAGATAGCGTGGGAAGGCGGTGCTTGCTGGGTTGGGCAGTGACGATGTGACAAGCGCGCTGCGTCCGAGCACGACAAAAGGGCCGCGAGGCGCATCTTCTTTTGGATGCTGATCTAAATGAATGGCGCGAAAAGAACGGAAAGAAAAGCACTTGCATTACCTCCTACACACATGTGCCTTATATATAGTGAGGTACTGTCACCGGTCGATTTATCCCCCTGGGAATGCTGGCTCATCATACCCGCCAGCTCATAAGACTTGATACTCCCCGTCTATAGCTCTTACCCTAACCGCCCGGTTGCCGGTCAAATTTCAAACGTCGTCGGCGGTCTGTTGGTGTCGTTCACAGGGTGGTTCTTCACTTTGGGAGGCACGGCGGCCGCATCAGCAACCGGCGCCAACGGTAGCGATGCTATTGGCTCAGCGGTCCCGACAGTTCGGCTCGGCGGCTATTCCCCCCGTTTTCCTCCCTATATAGCAAATTATTCAGTCACTTAGCCTAGCGTTGCATTGACCAAGCGCTGAGTTCTCTCTTTTTCTTCGTCTTGAGGTTCTGTTCCCTTCCAAACTAGATCTTATCAGTCAATCCACGTCTTGGCCTTGGACTCGGCAATGGTGAGGTTTACACCACGTGCTTCCGATCCTTGGGCACATGGATGAACGATGCCTCGCCGGAAGCCTCTTATATACGCCCAGGTTGCTGTCATCGTTCTAATTGCGCTGGCGCTGTACATACATAGCGATGCAGGGGCTGCAGTCGGTTGGCGGTCGGGGGTCGACGGTTTCGCTGATGTGCCTGCGAACGGTATATCCTCACACTGCTTTTGATTGACCCGAACCCTTCTAACGTAATGCACCACAGCGACACTATCGCGGGCAGAACTGAAAGGGTATGTCAAGGCGATACTTGACCCCGACGACACGGCGCTACCGCGGCTTGAGTGCCCGCGCGCAGACATCTCGCGTTACGAGTACCTCCGGGTAACGGGCTCGGCATCGACGCGGACGCCCTACTTCTTCGCGCTCGACCTGCGCAACTGCGTCGGCCTGTTGCCGCGGCTTCTCGGCAGCGTCGTGGAGGCGATGCGCTTCCTCGGCCCCGAGCACTGTGCGCTGTCGATAGTGGAGGGAAACTCGGTCGACGGCACCGGCGACGTCCTTGCGGCGCTACGCCCACGGCTGGCCGCTCTCGGCGTGCGCACGCACCTGGTGCTGGGTAACGAGATCGATCCGCTCGCGGAGGGCACCCAGCGCTTCGCGGCGCTGGCCGAGCTGCGCAACCTGGCGCTGGCGCCGCTGCGGGCCGAGCCGGAGCGCTATCTGGGCACTGGCGACCGGGACGACGAGTCAACTGTGATCTTCATCAATGACGTCGCCATCTGCCCCGACGACATCCTCGAGCTCGTGCACCAACGCCGCCGCCAGCGCGCCGACGTCGCATGCGCGATGGACTGGATCGGTGACGATCCCCCCGTCTTCTACGACTCGTATGTCGCCCGCGCTATCAATGGCGACACCTTCTTCGAGATCCCGGCCGGTGGCAGCTGGGCACGGGCAACCGACCTCTTCTGGAACGAGCCTGTCGCTCGCGCGCGCTTCGCCGCCCACCGCCCCTTCCAAGTGTTCGCCTGCTGGAACGGGGCCGTCGCCTTTACCGCGCGGCCTGTTGCAGAGGGCGCAGTCGTCTTCCGCGGCTCGCGGGCCGACCGCGGAGAGTGCCATCACGGCGAGCCGCAGCTGTTCTGCAAGGACATGTGGGCCGCCGGGCGTGGTCGCGTCATGGTTGTGTCCTCGATCAATCTCGAATACTCGGACGCAGCGGGGCGCGCTATCAAGGCCGCTAAGGGCTTCACGTCACAGTGGGTTGCCGCGGAACAGTCCGGCGGCGACGGCGGCGACGACGGGGCCCTTATAGACTGGCAACCGCCTCCTGAACAGGTCAAGTGCATGCCGACTTTCCAGGACCAAAGTTGGCGACCCTGGAACGAGACGTTGGATTTGTGATACCACGGATATGGTGAAACTGTTACACTCTGTACAGCGCGAAATATGGTCTTAGACGGATAATGACCAGCCATGAACAACGATCTCGGTGCCTGATTCCATTTCCAGATTCTTGTAGGACAATTCTCATGGGTGGTTTATAGAGATTCATAAGACACTACCTCCCAGCTGTTCTAGTAACAGTGCGAAGTTGCCTTGTTTACCCCGAGTCCCTTCAGTTATTCGCTCAATCGCTTTACCCTATATATTGACACCCTTTTAGTCCTCTCTGCTTTCATATTTGTTCTCCCCTTGCCCCTCCGTAATGATCAGAAATCTCCCAACGTTCAAGCAGCAGCATAACCGAACCTCTTACACGGAGGAATACAGACGACTATTCCGTACATGGAATAAGATATATAGTCGCGACCGATATCGGCCCCTCTCTGGTATTATACAGAATACGTACAGTACGTATTGTACATACCAGCGTTACCTCGTTACGCCCCGATCGTAATACCCAGAGCTGGACAGTTCACCACACGACAGCCGGTTTACCTTTCAAGACCAGATCCGGCATGTAACATGGTCTTGGCTTTGCACAAGTCCTCTTACCTCCCGCTCTTTCCTTTGGGAAACGCTTTATATGTACCGAGTTTCAGCGGATATGAGTACTAGTACCTGATGCCGCACCTTTCACTGGAGCTGCAGGTGGTCCGATACCGTATCGCGGGGCGTGATTACATGGTTTGTGGCGAATCTTTCTCCGTTTGCAGCATGGTGCGTACCTAGGTAACTACTGGTATCGATTGTGGCAATGCTTGGCAATGCTTGGTAATTGAGCAACTCCACGGAAATTCTCGCCATGATTTAGCAATCTTATCAACCCCTCCATAAGCCAAGGGTCCTCCTACCTACTAATCGGGCTGCCACATACAAATCTCAACGAACACCTCACTCGACACCATTCACGTTCCCGTCTTTGCGTAAACCGACCGGCGGCATTCCTCTTATTCTCATCCCACCCACTCATTTCGCCGCGTCTGCAAGATGTCTCCGAGTCTCGAGATGGATCTAACCCCCGATTTCGACCCCGCCAACCGCGCGGGGGCCGGCGCCGGCGCCCCTCCATCCACAAAAACCGCCACAACAAATGACACCTCTTCTTCTTCATCATCATCATCCAGAACCCTCCTCCTCGCGCCACCCTCGCTTGCGTCCCGCCAGGACCGCATCGGCGCGCTCTTCGCCACCCACCCGCGCGCCACCACCGACCTGCAGATGCTGGACCGCCTCGCCGCGGGGCTGGTGACGCTCCCCGCCGCGACATACGACCTCGTGCTCGTGCTGACCGACCCGGACGGCTCGCGCCGTGCCGAGGCCTTTGCGCTCCTGCGCGACCGAGCCGTCTGGGCGCGCTTGGTGCCTGCGCTCAAGGCGGGCGGGACGCTGCGGAGCGAGGACGGGAGTCTCGCGCCGGGCCCGGATGCGGGTGCGGAAGCGAGGGAGGCGGTTCTGGCTGGGTTGGTTGCGGCTGGGGGGGACGGTGTGGATGGGTTCACGAAGCCGGAGTATGAGGAGGAGGTGGTGGTGCCGTTGCGGTTTGGGTTGAGCAAGACGAACGGGAAGAGTACAAATGGTGGGGAGGAGGCGACGCAGAAGCAGAATGGGACGAACGGGGAGGCGAAGGCTGCGGCGCCGGCGGGGGTTGGGTTTGTTGATTTCAGCGACGAACTGGATCTAGATGTGGATCTGGACGCGGAGGATGACGACGATGTTATTGACGAAGATACCCTGTTGACGGAGGAGGACCTGCGGAGGCCGATCCAGCAGCCGCCGGAGTGCCAGCCGCAGCCGGGCAAGAAGAGGAGGGCGTGCAAGGATTGGTAGGTTCTCTGCCCGTAAAAGACTCGCCAAAACAAAACTAACAATTCCCAGCACATGCGGCCTGGCGGCGAGGATGGAGGCCGAGGACAAAGCGCGACGTGCCAAGGCTGACAAGGAGCTGAACACACTGAAGCTCAAGTCCGAGGATTTGAACGAGTTAGACTTCACCGTCCCCGGCAAGACCGGCTCCTGCGGCAGCTGTTACCTGGGCGACGCGTTCAGATGTTCTGACTGTCCCTACATCGGTCTTCCCGCATTCGTATGTACCTCGCTGACGTCCCCTGATGTATCAAGAATGAATGCTAACGAGTTAAACAGAAACCTGGTGAGGAGGTCAAGATTCTGAACAACACTGTTCAATTGTAAAGGTGGCGGGCTTAGGAGCATAGCATGAGAATAAGGAATACCACAACCATTTGGCAAGCTTCGGCGGACGAATGCGGATAGTGCGAAGGATTTCTGGCCGTACGATGAGAGGCACCACGTGGTTAGTTCTATCACTGCCGTCTCTGCAGAAGGATACGGTACTGGGTTCGATGACCAAACGAGTACTCAACAGTAAGAAGAAACCCTGCCCTTAAAATTGTGAATGAGCTGGTGAAATAGAAGGACCCTTGGCAACGTCTGGGTAATGACACACTTGTTGATGATCTGTTGTGCGATAATGGCTTATTCTAGTCCTGTGTTGTGAAGCGCTGTGGAGGCAAATACATGTCTCTGTTAAACTTGGATGTATCTCGCACTTCGAAGCACAGCGTCTCCATGTCATTGTTTTTGATTTGTAACCCATAAACCAGCTCAAGGCTGGTCATCTACAGAATCCCAACCATTCCGTTCATACACCCCGCCAGCAACTCCCAAGCTCGCCGAAGCCCATTTCATCACCCAAACTCCGTACATGTATGGGTATCTTTTAGTACACATCAACCCTCACCCGACCCTTTGGGCATCTCACGCGCTCGGTGCAAGTAGCTGTTTGAGCACTCTTGGTGGACCCCCATCCATCATCCGGCGTTGGGGGCTCCGTTCAGGAAGAAGTCTAGCTCGTTGCCGGGACCCATGAACGACTCGTTCTCAGCCAGCTGCTCCAGTAAGCTGAGGAATGGGTCTTTTTCTTCTCCCGAGCCTGTCGTAGCGGCACTCTCGTTCGGACTCGTGTCGTTCGGAGCGGCGCCCAACCCGTTGCTCGGTCTGTTATCTCTCTCCTCGTCGCCGTGCCAGGCGGTGGGCGTCGCAAATGCGTTGGTTGGCAACTCGCCAAACATGGGGTCAAACCCTTGCGGTCCTGCACTTGCGCCGGGCGTTGAGCCAGAAATCTGATTGAAGTTGAAGGATGCGCTGAACGAGCTGCTGTCCATGCCGCCGAAACCTGGAGGGATATCACTTGGTTGATTGTCCGGATTGCCGTTGCCAAGAGAGAAGCCAGTCAAACCATTCGCAGCATTGCTATTGTTCCCGGCCACCGGGCCATGCGACAAGCTCATATGTCGAGTTTGTTGCGGGACCCCTAGAGGCGAAGTCAAGGAGGCAGGCGTGTGAAGGACCCCCGGTGATGACTGCGGCGGTAAGGATGCTGGCGAGAACAGCGGACGATGCGCGGTTGATGGCGCGGATAACGACGGAGTGGCTGGCGGGTTCAAGGCGGTTTTCAAGGAGAGGAGGGTCTTGAGCTCTGGCCTGGGGCGCCCCGAGGGAGCCGTGTTCTTCCTCTTGAGGTTCGGCCGAGATGTCCCAGGCTCGGTGGCGTTGAGACGCGGTGCATAGAGACCCTGGCCCGGATACGTGTCTGCCGTGAAATCGACTACCACATCGGCGAGGCTCAGGTTTGCCGCATCAAAACTGAAACTCTGCCCTCCGGGTCCACCAATGTTCGAGTACCGGTCGAAGAAGTCCTCTAGCTGGAATACCGGAGAGTACCGCATTGGGCTTTGCGCGAGGCTCTTGACGAGCTCCGAGTGTGCGTTGTAGATGCCCTGAAGAGTCTCCCGCTGGTGCTGGACGCTCGCCCAGGAATACCGAAGCTCGCTCAGTTGCTGCATCTCCCTCGACAAGAAATCGGTCGACGAGCTGAAGACGTTGACCTCGCCAGCATTTCCGATCCTGCTGTAATGCGTCCCGTGGATGTGTACCGTGCCGGCAGTGCAGATGCAGTAACCCACGAACGCTGGCCACTCGACCGATGCTGTTTGCCTGCCGAGTTCCACCAGCTCGGCGATAGCATTTGCGTGCAGGAAGCACATATTGGTGGCCTCAATTTGCCACGACTGGTGCTGCCCCGATCCTGCCAGCTCCGCCAAGTCGATGGGGAGAAAAGGACGATACACGAGGCAGTGAATAAGGTGATAGATCAGCTTGCTGAGCACGAGAACCGTAGAATCCGGCCGACCAAACAGCGACTCTACGCTGGAGAACACATCTTCCGTCCCCGATGCCCAGACATCCAGGTCCTGGCGGATCTTCGACAGGTTCGACAGCGAGTGCCACGGGAAGTGGGAGTCGCCCTTGACGCCCCCGGCCGCCAAGTACTGATTCGTGGTGCCGAGGATGCGGCAGATATCGATCAACATCCCGCTGCTGCCCTGGGGTTTCTTCCCGCCGCCTTGCAGGTGCTGCAAGTTCGTGTAGCTCTGAAAGAAGTCCCCTTCAATGGGTAGCGAGCCGGGTGTCGGAAACCAGCAAGGCAGGCGTAGGAGAATGGCCCTATCGGAGATGAGGGAAGGACGCTTCGACCCGCATGCCAGGAATCGGTCAAGCAGGTAGCAAGTCCAGAACAATCTCCGGCGAGTCTCTCGTTCAATCTGAGTAACGCGGGCATTGAAGTCCATTTCCCTGTGCAGTTCCAGGGCCATGGCCATGCCGACAGCATTGGCTAGCCACGACAGTCAGCTGGCAAGCTTCGAGGGCGGGAGGAGAAACGGAAGCCATACTCAGCAACATGTATGCTTTCTTGCCCTTCCCGGACGCTGTGAAAGCGGTTACGAGGAGGACCAAGGTTTGCAAGGCGTCCACAGACGGTTCGTCTGTGTCAATTCCCTGCCTCGCCTTTGCGGCATATTCTTCGCTGAGTTTTACGGCAGCTTGATACCCGCTCGGATGAGGCGCATACCTTACCAGTTTAGCAAAGAGGTTACCAGCAACATGAGGTGGGCGCTTACCTTGCCGCTACTGCGTAGATAGCATGAACCAAGTAGGTTGGTACTTGGTTGAGCTGGAGGCGCTGTCGTAAAGTGGACTCATCGAAGATGTGGAAAGGCTTGTCGTGAAAGCGGGTGAAGTAGATATCGAGCAAGATATCAGGATGAACCCCGGCAGGCAATTCACTGCGACGAGTCAGACGACACAGCCCTGGCGAAACGCGAAACATGAACCTCTCACCTTGGCGGGCTAGGGGAGAGGAGCATAGCTGAATCTTGGGATGCTTGAGAGGGATCAACATTTGCTCCAGCTGTCCCGTTGGATGTTTGTTGAGTGGAACTTGACACCTCAGAGCCTTTGTCCACGGCGTTCTCAGAGCTTGAGGTGTCAGATTCTGCCTTCTTGTCCTTCAATCGGGCTTCGAGCCCATCGACCCTCTTCAACAACGCTTCCAATACGTCCGTTTTCGGCCCCCTTTTCTTCGGAACAGCATCTGTAACATTGCGTGAGAAATCAGATCGTGAAAGGAGGCTAGGCATCGGAGCTTAGCTGCGCTTGGAAAAGGATTTACCATATATACAGGGACACTGGAAGACTTGGCATGCCTCGCAGGCGGGACGAAGCCGGTTGCACTTGATCTGGATTTCCAAGACTGCATTAGCTTATAAAGGTTCTACAGCAGTGGGTGTGAAGGTGAGTGAACTGCTCAGCAATCGAGTGGCATACCTTGCGCTTCCGACATGACTTGCAATTCATCGATTCCCGTGGTTCGTTGCTCAGACGACGAGTGGGGAGCCTCTCGATGCTGACTTGCGGTCGTGGCACTGGTGTTAGCGGCATACGGGGCAGCGTTGACACCGCCCCTGGATCGAAAGGCTGAGCCATGGTGTCTATCAAGATCGCGAGGGTAGGCTGCGTGAACCCGGCGACGGATTGTGTCTAGAAAGCTTGTAGACTTCGCAGTCACCGAATTTTTCTGGGCATGACTCTATTGGACGAAACGTCTAGGACACAGCGCGAGGCAGTTCTTCGCCAAAGAATAGCGTAGACTCGTATGAGTTGTTGGCAGACACTCGATCCCGCCGAGTTCGGCTCAAGCGAGCCCCTAGTCCCGAAATGCTGTCTTGTTGCAGGCCGCTTGCTCGTTTTCCAGATGCCCCGTTGGTGCGGACTAAACTGTAAGGGCCGTGTTCCCCAGACTCATCTATCATTCATCATCGTGTTCAAATCGCGCGAGGGTGCCTTCCGTCCCGGAGATTCTAGCGGAGGGTTAGCCGGCACCGGAAACCAGTGAGCTTGCCAGCCCGGATGGGTCCTGCAGGAAGCCGGGGCGGAGCTGGACGTCGACACAGTTTGTGTCTAGAGGCAACAGTCGACGAACCCGTACTGCGATGGCAGAGCAAGAAAAGGTATTGTAGTTCAGAAAGACGCGGCATCGGCTAAGCAGCCGGAAGTGAAAGGGGCAGGCGCTTCTTTTGGGGACAACGGGTTCTGGCCCTGCCCTGGGATTTAAACGGGGAATCCCTCCGTCGCATTCATCCACCGTGGACCGGGGTCGGCAGGTTCAGGTCACGGGGATCCATCTAGCCACGGCACCCATTGACAGCTTCACTGTATGTATGCACATACCATCAACTGTGCCTGATGGCAACTTGACACGGGGGTTGAGGACGATTCGTAACGAGCACGTCGACCGGGAAAGTGTGAATGAAAGATGAAAGGTCAATTGCTTGGGTAGGATTGAGGTCGCGAGACACCGAGGTCTATTGGTCGCTCCACCTTACCATGTCGAGGACCCCAAAGCTTCGGGATCAACGAGACGGAATGTGCACCTCATGCTGTTTGTGTCAGGGCAAGTTGAAATTGACGGGGGCACAATTGAAAGACAAGCCAGTGTGCCCGTCCATCCTCGTAGGTAGAATTGTACGATCCGGAGCGTTAACTCTTCCAGAACAATTGGCCGGTGCAATGCCGTCCCGAGAAGCACTGAAGAACCGACGAGGATCGTGGATCGTGCGGGGATGGGGTGGAAGCGTGGAAGTGTGGGGTTAGCGCTGAGGAGGTATGGAGTCTCGGTGTCACCCGAGCTCCACTCACCTGCGGCTTTGGGTAAGGCCATCCGCTGCAGTTCCCTGAATTCGACTAGGACCGGACCGGACAGAAGCGAGCTTTCAATGGAAGTCAACACCTTGAGCAACACGCGAACGTGAAATGCCAGAATCAGTGACCTGCCTCGAGCCTGAAAGCCTGAAAGCCTGTGTGGTATAGAGCGTGCATTTGATTATGCACGCTTCGAAATGGCCGTATCGGTGCCCATCGAAACCGGGACGGACTCTGGCTGTCATTCACATTCGCATCCATCCTCTGCATCGGGTCATTCGATGAATTACTACCGCTCTGATGAAGGCGCGTTTAAGTTCAAGTTGCCTTCCTTGGCGCCGGCAGGCACTTGAGTGCAGGTTGAGTGCCGGGCCTCGGAGATCCACCCTTCCAGGACCAAGCGATGCTGCAAGCACCACGACCCGAATGGAACCATCGCTCCCAGGACAAGCTCTTTGCTCCGAGTCCCCTCAGACTGAATAGTAGCAAGTCCTGAATATACTTCGTACACCCATCGATTCACCTCGTCCCGACGTCTCCGAAAGTGCATTGCATGCGGGTGCAGGATGACCGAGCATAGCTCTGCTTGCTCCTACTGTTCGCGCTTGCGAATTATCTGCAAGACCTGATGGCTGATGTGGCCGCTGCTCGGGGGTTCAAGTCACTGTCACGTCTATCTACAAAATGGTCTAAGGAAGCCAATCGGTTGCCACATTCCCTGTTTGCCGCTCCAATGACGAATGGTTCCTCGCGACACAACGGGCCCGGCCTGCACGGACTGGTTCAATCTCAAGGCTGTTGCCGGTACTCCGTAATGGCCATGCTCTGTCCCAAGTCCAATCGGGCTGCCCCATATGGCGGACTGGATATGATCTTAGATGGGGACTACTGAATCACCGTCCCAGCTATGTCGTTATGGCAGTCCCGTAGCAGCATTTGGACTCAGCGATATGATGGAGGGCTTCTCTACGTCTAGCAATGCCACTCACCCACTACGCGCCGTACCAGGTCATCCAGTCGTGGTATAAGGACCGAGCCTCGGCCGAGAATGTTCCTCAACCGACGGCCGAAGCAGCAGCGAAGCTGTCGTTCGTGTGTCGCTGCAGACGGGGGGACGACCCCCCCCCCGAACGGAGCTCTCGAAGTATCCCTATTCACTTAAGCACCAACAAAACGGCTTCTGCACCCCGCAAATCTCGGTGTCCAGGGGCAAGCCCCTGGACGTACCCGCCACTGATGAGCGTCGCATCCGCGGATGCTCGACTCCGTGTTCGAATGTCTTGTCGCCTTGCCGGTCCCCTTTAACTACATCTGGATCAAAAGCCGATCAAAGAACTTGAGCTTCCGGGCTCTCAACAGGGGAAGTGTCGCGCTCAGTTACACCACCTCGCATCGCGAGTCTGTTGCAGGGGACTATCAGGGTCACTCCCGTGAGGCGGTTACTATGTAAACTCCGGCAATCTGGATCCGATTACTGCGTCTGCCTATCTGATTAGGGCCCCCTCCAGGGGTTAGGCTACTGCCACGCGAATTCACCCCACAAAGGGCTGAAACGAGTCCTGGATGCCGCTTCGTCGAAGTCCGAGCCCTGACATCGCCGGTCGTTCAACGACTTCCAAAGCTCGACCTGGGCTGGAGTTCCTTGAAAGGAGCGCTGTTATGAAAGGGGTGTTGAAGTGGGCTCACATGCCAGTATTGTAGCACTGCATCGTGCAGACGACAGACGGAGAACGACATGCCGGACGCCACACACACATAAAGGTCACCGCTCTTCGTACAAGTACATACCTTACATTAGGTACATAGCAAGCTTTTCTCAGAACTCTCTAAAAGCTACGGGCCATGTCTCCTCAAAGGAGCTATCGGACCGAGACAGCTCCGTCCGCCGTCTCGTGTGCGGACGAGCTGCGCATGCTTTCGGCTCCACGGGGACGTTTACCGACAGGCCCGGATGTTTGGCCAACAAGGTTCATTATTAAGATGTCGGGCCTGGTTTCTCTGCTCGTGACATCGCGCCTCACTTGGAGAGTCCCAGCTTCCCGACTCGGGCATCAGGGGGGCCGGTCCGGTTCCAGCGTTGTCGCTACTGGATCTCTCCTCGACAACCATTTTGGGCTCGCTGCATAGAAAGTGGTGAAAGATCGCCTTCCGTGTCTACTTAGAAAGTAGTAAATACCACAGGATTACATCCATGATCATGGTGTGATCCAGCCATCAACAGCTCCATGGTCTCTGTTACAGCCTTGTGGGTACTGCAAGTGGGCAGTCATATAGGTAAGTACTTATCTACATACCACAAAAGTAAAGGAGAATCGTCTTCAGGGGTAACCTTAAGTGGCCCTCTGGTCTTGCTCGTGTCTTCCCGCTCCTCCGGCTCCATGTTACACCTTTTTCCCCATCACTTTGGATCCGACTCCTCGCTCGGTGCGAACTGAGGTCACAGCTCAGGGGTAAACAACCTTGAAGTGGGCAGTGATCCCTGGTGTTTTCACCTCCAGGCTTCAACAACCCTAGCTACCTCTGACTTGTTTCGATGATGCAGATAACCATGTGAGACATGGGATTATGTAGTTCTCCATTGTATGTGCGGTAAAGTACGTAGTCCTCGCATACATACAGCTCGGGGAATCTTGGAAAGATGGCTGAGTTGTCTCGTCGATCCAAAAAGCCTTCAAAGAATTCCAATGCGTCCATGCTATGTATCGGTACATGTCAAAAAGCGACATCCAGACCGGTCGCGCAAAATGCTTCTTCACACACGCCACCCTCTCCGTTCTGGTCTGGTCTAGCAAACTCACAGAGCCGTCCCCTGAACTCCCCTCCATCGCGCCCCACTAACTCCCTGAAATATCATCCATGTGCATCGGTTACATCAGACCCATATGCCGAGACAGGTGTGCGTCGTCTGAGATCGTTGAAACTGTCGGTACCGGCGCCATGTCTCTGCAGCATTGCTTTAGACAGGTGTGCAATTCTAAGCGAGCTCTTCTGAGCAAGTTGGCGGTCTCGTGCTAACCTCTGATACCGCCGCCGGGCTAAAACACCTTGCCAGCATCACTTCGGCCATGATTGGAACAACAAACCCGGGCTCCATGCTCAGAATAATGTCCGACCACTGGCCAGCCGGACAAAGCTGTACGGGACATTTTGCCCAACCAGAAGCCGCAGAGTTTCCACCGTGGTAAAAGCTGTGACATCGGCAGCACCGTACGCTGCGAACCCGCTCTGCTCGGCAACCAAGGCTGGATCGCCCTTGCGGGATGCCGAGCGATCGGCCAGATCCAGAAAGACTTTCCGAGCGTTTGTCGAGCCTCGCGAGCCAAACAGCCGAACCAGCATTCCCACGAGCGTGCTCTTTTCTGGCCCAAGAGCGCTCACGACCAGGAACGGTGATCCCGTCCCTGCCGACACGTCCGTCCCAACCCCGCCGACCGTGCGTGCTCGCTGAATGCTCTCAAGGCTGGTAAAAGGCTCAATGAGTAGGTTTTTGCCGAATGCCGGGGGCGTCTTGAAGCCAACAGTGTAGACCTTGCCAACCTTGAGAGCTTTAAGGGCGAAGAGGGCGCTGGCTGCGTCTTCGGCTGATGACGCCAGTACTACAGCGGCACATCCAAAGTATGCCGAAGGGGCAAGGTCGCGCGTCAGAGTGCTCAGAATGCCCTTCCATGACGCATTGTCGAAGATAAACGACGTGGTCGGCGGAAGGCCGGACTGTGCCGGGCCTAGTGTACCAAATGAGTCCTCGGTTCTGTGTCGTGGAGGGCTCGACGGGTTGGATGTTGGCGCTGAAGGCGGAGCGCTGGAGGAGTTCGGCCGCACGACGATGGTGTCGACCATGCCAATGAGGCGAGCTGCTTCGCTGAGGATGGGCCCAGCTCCGTTGTTGAGAGATGAGAGGAAATCGCTGTTGGCTACCAGGCTCTTGAAGCTGACAGCCGGGTTGAAGTAAGCACCACCGAAGTTCTTCTGGTTACACCAAGTCCCAATGCTGCCGTATCCTTTTGGCTGCCACTCCACGACAGCAAACTGGTGCGGTAGCCCTAGCTCGTTAAAGCACTTTTCGTAGAAGGGGGCTTGAGGAGTGGCGCTGCGCATTGACGGGCTAGTAATGCCATACATGCTCTTCTTTGGCAACTGCCCGAGCATAGCCAACGCCTGATTGATCTCGGCAGCGCTCATCTGACCGGGGGCTGCGATTATGGGCAACAGGGGATGAGTGATGGGCGTGAAGAACTTGTTCAGGGTTCGTGACCATTGGCCGGTTTCGCCCATGTTTAGGGCTGACAGGGGCACAGCGTCGGAAAACTTAGCTTTGATCTTGGACCGGAAGTATTCCAGCTCGAAGTTCTCGTTGTGGTCGTTGATGATGGCGATCATCTTCACACAGTCTGCATACCGCCGTGATTCGAGGAAAATGGACTCTGCCCTTTCTGAGGTCCATTTAAATGTCCCAGAAAAGTCGTGGAAGGCTGACATGACGCGGCTGTTTCCTCGTTGTTCGTACAGTTTTCTCCTGATCTCCTCTGGAAGCCAAAGTTCAACGTCGATGTACTCAACACCCCACTGAATGGCTCGGTAAAGGTAGTCGTAGTACAGGCCTGGATTGTCCATCGGGAACCGGCCATTTTCTCTGGTACACCTCGTCGTGAAGATTATAGGTAACTCAGTCCGCTGACGGAGCAACATGACCTGCTCGCCAACGTAACTCAGACTGGGGACCTCGGAGAATGTGCCGTCGCCAAGTGGCTCTTTGAGGAGATCGACCCGGATTTCGATGGCGTCTGCCCCAACCGTTAATATGTCGATGTTCGGCAGGGCGGCATGTACGTCTGGGAACGTGGTCGAGATGATGAAGGTTCTCGGCTTCGCCACCAACGCTTGGTGCTGGCAAAGTTGCCCAAGAATGTGTGAGGTGAAGCGAGCCAGATCCCGGCGGAAGAAAGGGGTCTCGGTATAGAGGAACTCGTAATCGCAATGGGCCGAGAGATAAGTATCAGGAGGCATGCCCAGCCCAGTGCAATGGGCATTGATGGCAACAACCAGCCCCCTGTTTCGCGTCTCAATGTCGGCTTTTGCGTTCTCTGCGGCGAGCCCAATAACCCAGTCCCGGTCCTCCTGGCCAACATCCCCAAAACGACTCTTCATCCTGAAAGGCTTCCCAAGCACCTCCGCAAAAACACCGACGATCTTTTCCTGGCCATGGCCGTACATGATTATGACAATCCTGGTGTCTCCTCTCCGCGGCTCGCTACACAAAGGCGTGCCGGGTCCAAGCGGCACCGGTGCCGCGTCTATATCGACGTCCCTGGTGAATGTCCCGCCGTTCATGCTCTGTGGCCGCGCCAGCGTCGGCACCGGTTCCATGTGCTGCACGGCCGCCATGATGATAACCCCTGGCCCCGCTTGGGTTTGTTGCAGAAATAAGTTAAGAATGCTCGATGTCGTAAGATCTCAGGGCCGGGAGCAGACGTCTTCAAATCCAACCTAGGTGAGAGGTGCAGCTGCCCGTTCCCCGCCCACAAGGTTCGTCTTCCAAATCCAACCGGAAACAATCGGGATGGTATTGATGCGCATGGCCCTGGTGTCTGGCTCCGGGGAGTTCCTCAGGGAGATGATTCCCAGACTTTAATCCCGGAAAAGTGTCGTAGGGCTAAGAGTTACGTAGTCGTCGATGCTAAGGGAGTTGCATGGAATCGGAGATTTGACACTGTCTCTTAAATGTTATGGAGCTGTCGCTCTCTTCTGTTCTGACAGCTGAGACTCTGGAGTCTGCCACGACCAGAAAGGACCTCGGAGAACGAGAGGTTCGGATGTATGTTGTTGACCTTGCGCTGGTACCGAGCGGTCGGTGACTTCTTGGAGTATCCAAAGACACCTTTGTGGCCACCACTGCCTTCAAGTCCTATTGGCAAGTGGATCTGGCGCCAGAGGCTCAAGAAACAGCCGGAGACACGCAGCCGGAAAAAAGAAGGACGAAACGGAGCGGCTAGAACAAGGAACGAAGATCCGGCGGCGATAGCAGCTGGTGTACTATATCACTGCACCGGGGCCCGCCGTGTCATGGCTTTGGAGGAACAGATTCCCGGGAATCAAGATGGAAAGAGCTGCAAGCAGTAGATAGAGCAGAGAGCATATACTGGCTCTCGGGGCCACGCCAAGGCAAATGGAAATTTCGCCGGTGGTTCCTCAGACGGCTGGAGACAGTGATAAGCGTCCAGACGATGCACAGCTCGGGAATTTGGGACGGACTGGCGGAGGCCTAGCTAGACAGGGTTGTAACGGCGACGACTGGTTGAATTGATAGTTGAGGGAAGACAAGTGGAGCTAGACCGCCGAGCAGTTCCGGGGAACTTTGCGAGATCCACGCGTTGTGTCACTCCTCTAGCAAGTCGGATATTGTTGCACGGTACGAGCCTTCGCTGTTGAATAGAGCTGGTCCGTTTACAAATTCGAGAAGGCAACTTCAGCTACTATAATGGAAGAGCACTGTCCAAAGGTAGAACAATAAATCGTATTTTGGACAGAGTTGCGGGCAAGGAAAGCATTTCCAATTCGAGATCCGCCTGCTCGATGTTTCGGCCCAGGCCGACCGTTTTGCAAGGTCGAAGTGGACAGCCGAGCAAGGTACCCCGCATAATCTCCACAATTCCTCCAGCTCTGGAGAATTTGTCCACCAAAGTCCGCCAATGATCGCTCGCTGCAGCCTCGTCCCCACACGCCGCGTCCACGTCAAGGAAGAAGCGACTCAGCATTTGGGGGCCTGAGAGACAGGGCAATCGGGCCTGGGGTGCAGAAGACGAGCCCCTGAAGGACTGCTAAGCTTTAGGTAGCGGTCCATTCAAACGGGAGAAAACCCGGCTGTCTCAGACAGCATCCACCATTCAAACAGACCGTGACACGCCTTGTTTTCACAAGATCAATCGCTCAGTCCACACCTCGCGAGATGTACAGAATTCCTCCGGCGTGCCTATTATCAGCCATGCCAAAGGAACGGAATTCTCACTTTCCATCCATATCTCGGGCCCTGTCGGGTTGATCTCGCCACAGCAAGCCGCAATCTTCCGTCTTCGAAACGGTAACATCATTCCGGAAGCCCGTTTCACCTCAACCCTGCTGGATTACCATCGTGCTTTCAGGCTGAATAGGATCCCATATTCCCGTCAAAGCCAGGCTTGGGCAACCCCCAAATTTTTAGGGGAAACTGCTGCTTCGAGCCAGCAACACACTGGGCAAGGCTACCCGGTTCTCTCATGCGTTAATTCCCTGACGTCACTAATAATAACTTATCGTCGGTCCGTGATTCAAGCCCACAACCAGGCACGAGGGAACCGAAGAGAGGTTGAAGGATGGGCATACAAAAAGAAAGCATGTAGAGGACAGTAACCGCAGAAGCGATTCTTCAGTTCCTAGGCTTCTGGGTAGCATCAGCATGCTGATATGGTCAACCTCCCGATTCGACGGCCCGATCCATGCTGACCGATGGACCATACCACTACGGCCAAGAACGAGCCGCTCCTTATCTCTGCCTGGAACGTTTTCCACTGCTGGAAAATTTACATGTCCTAGCTACCCGAGCTTGTTTCGCCAAGTCGTCGTCTGTGGCTATTGCGGCCCATGGGGAGAGGGCGGGCTATCGCAAGAAGAAAAGGCGGCCAACGGTCCCATCACGCCATGTGCACAGCTGGCTCATTCGCATGTAGCCAGGGTATGGGACCACCAGTCAAACGATCTTTCAAGTCGGGATGCCTCCAACCCGGAAGTCTGGGGAAACTGAGAAGCGGCAGATACAGTCTGTCCTCGTTCTGATCCACATGGTGGCTCGACGCTGTCTGGTAACCGGGGAGATGACCACAGTGTCCGGACGAGGACCGGGAGACGCCTTACCACTCCCCTCGCAAGCCCGCCTCAATCTCTCCGAATATGTCCACCCCCTTCAAGCCCAAGCCAGTCGCAACACCGACCACATGTGCCCCCACAGCCCTCATACGGCGATATCCCTTGGCATCAAGCACCCCGCCCACCCCGATGACCTGCACATGACCCAACGTCGCAGCCCTCGCCGGAGCATCCAGCATACGGCGAATCGTACAGACGTTTCCCAACGCAAGCGGGTGGAGCGGCGCTCCCGCCATACCGCCTAGTCCAGAATCAGGTAGGGCGAATGAACCGAATAAGGATAACGTGGGGTCCTCAACCTCGGAACCAGACTGAGGAGGCGCAAACACGAGACATGATCCAAGCGTGTTGGTCGCTGTGATGAAACTGACGGGGCATACCCCGCCGGCGGCCGGGGCGGCCCTTTCCAGAGCCGACATCAACGCTTCGTACTCGGGGGCGTGAGTGAACGGCGGCGTCTTCAGGCCGACGGGGATGTGAGGGATCTCCTTGTCACCGGCGTCATGGATAGCTTGTTGGAGATGGCACAGGTAGGTCGAGAGCGCTTCTTCGGAGTATGCTGGCGGCGGCTTGTTGCGAATGTTGGGACAGCTGAGGTTGATCTCCATGGCGAGGGGAAACTGTAGGCCCAGAGCCGCGGAGGCGACCAGCACGTAGCTCTGCGCAATGTCCTCCGGACTGCCTGTAACGGACACGATGAACCCTTTACTAGACCTGGTAGGCAGAGCGTCCGAAATGGTTTTGATGAATCCAAGGTAGGTTTCTAACGTGAGCGGGCTGTACCCGAGAGAGTTGAGGCTTGCATTTTGGGCGAGACCGGTTTGGGCTGCGTCGAACAAGATGTACTGATGCTTTGCCGGATCATGGTCAAAGCCATTGATCAGAGAGGTCCGCGTCGTAACCGCTCCTGTTGAGGGACAGGTATAGAGACGCCGCAGGTCGTCGAGGGTGGTTGCCCAGGGGTTGGCCGAGTTGATCAGGGGCGGACTGATCTCCAGACGGGGAGGCGGCCCAGTCATGATGCACCATACTTCTCAAGCCGCACGCCCCTCTTTCTTGCCCCGAGCGCTGTTAGACTGTATGAGTGTCTATCAAGCCCTTGACGGGAGTCGATTGCTGCCAGCTCATCTGCCCTGTGGTTCATTTCGGTGAGGGTTGTACGTAGATACCGTGAGCTTCAAGATAAGCTGCAATAGACAACCCCACTTAGACCCGGACCAATCAGAGGATCGAAGGGACTACGGCAAACGGGTCAAGATGTATCACAGGATGAAAGCAAACACTGCATCATCAGAATAGATCATCAATTGCCTTGTCAGAGTCCTTTTTGATCAGATCAACCATGCCCTGCGCCGTGTTCGTTAGCAGCCTGAGATTGAGGGAAGAGGACGACATCAGCAGCACTCACCTCCGGCATGACGGGTTTCCCATCCTCGCCCTTGACATAGCGGAACGGCATCTGGGTGCTCTCATGTTCGTTGAACTTGAGCTCCGGGTGATCGAGATAGGGAATCTCGCTCAAAGGGGCTAATACACTATTAGTATAGATCTCGAATTGGGACCCAGATCAGCATACCTTTGTCCTGGACAACCATCCGAGTAACTCGTACTGCCGTGTCCGTGGTCATCTGCACCGGCCCAAGCCGGCGGCCTTCAAAACCCTTCTTGCGCAACTCCGAAGTTCGATCTCTCGGCGGATCATCTCCTGTGGGTGTATCAGCAAACATCCTAAGCGGCAAGCTCTCGCAGTCGAGCCACACACCTAGAATCCCGCCGAAGAGAAATGCGTCGAACTTGTCTCCATCCTCCGGTGCCAAATCGCTGGCGGCAGCAGGGTCGAGTAGACACACACGTGACTTGTCATTGGCATAAATCTCTTCAACTCCCCTACTCTCAGCCGTGAAGGAAGGAATCTGCTTCAATGCCTCGGGGACCTTGAAGTTCGGGGGGAGGGATGACAGACAGAACTTGGCCCCGGCATCGTGCGACTCGCGGGCGATGGCAAGGTATTCGAGCTCTGACCAGGCTCCCAGTTCTGGGTCGAGATGCTCGACGATGTAAGTTTTGCTCATGGAAGCCATCGCAAGAGCAGAGGCACATCCGATATTTTGATTTATGAGTCGTTTATTACCTCTCGTGATGCTTGAAATTTAGCACCATAACGCTACGCTAGATTTGGCGCCGATGCCAAGAATGCTTGGCAACCGGAGCCGGCACATCGGGACCCCGCCCCACCTGCTAGCGAGGTGACGGAGAACGGATATAGCTCTTCATCAATGTGAAGCATTCATAATAATTTAACAGATGTCGCCGCAAGGGACCGAGCGATAATGTAGTGTACAGAAACATAAACGTTTCACGAATATCTTGTAGTCACGGCGATCGAGAATGCGGCGTTTTATTCAACCCCTATTCCGGAAGGGCCGCCCGTGCGGGCCAACTTTGCCTTTGTTAGTCAGAGACACCAGCCTAATAACGTTTTGAAACGGCCCTGGACGCAGAGCATCGGTTCTCCGACTTGTTCGCCACCTACCTACGGAAGTAAAAGGGAAAAGAGAAAACGAATTCTTCAATAACTAGATACCTCTTGTAGCACAGCTGGGTCCTTTTGTCGTTACTTAGGCGGGGCCGTAGAACCAATACCTTTGGTCCTACCGTGACCTCGCGCGAATGCCAAGCTGCTGCGGTCGTCAGCCGCCGCCTGCATCCGCGCTCCCGTCTGGCCAGATCTGCTCCATCTCAAACGGAGCCACCTCACCTCCCCTTCGTATCTTTGCAGATGCCAGTGTCACCGATCCTATGACGGAAAGTGTCAGAATTCGGTAGCCATCATCTCTGTCGTCCTCCTTTCCCCTTCATTCGCTTTACTTCGTTGCTGTCGGGTTCGTCGAACCCGCGCAACCGGGCACCATGGCGCACCGTCGGTCATCCGCAGGTTGGAGACACCTGCCGGCCATCATCAGCGCCCTTACGGTACCATGGATGGCACCACTAGCCGCTGCCGACAAGGCGGCCGGCGACTACTTTGTCCATTCACTCCCTGGTGCCCCCGAGGGACCCCTGGTGAAGATGCACGCTGGGTAAGAATTCCGCTCTAAGATGGCGGGCGAGGAGGGTAAACAACCCTGAACGAGGCTGACGCGATGCTGTTCAGGCACATCGAGATCACGCCCGAACACAACGGCAACATCTTCTTCTGGCATTTTCAGAATAAGCACATTGCGAATAAGCAGCGGACAGTCATATGGTTGAATGGCGGGCCGGGATGCAGCTCTGAAGATGGCGCGTTGATGGAAATCGGCCCATACCGGGTGAAGGATGACAACACCCTCGTATACAACGACGGCGCCTGGAATGAGTTTGCCAACGTTCTGTTTGTCGATAACCCCGTCGGCACCGGTTATAGCTACGTCAACACCAACGCCTTTGTTCACGAGCTCGACGACATGGCTGAGCAATTTGTCACCTTCTTGGAGAAGTGGTATGCATTGTTCCCAGAATATGAGCACGATGATGTAGGGTTTCTCCGCGTACTTCTGCTACCTTCCACACTCTAATCTTGTCTCAGCTTTACATTGCCGGGGAGTCGTACGCCGGCCAGCATATCCCTTACATCGCGAAGCACATTCTTGCTCGGAATAAGCTCCCGACTACCAAGCACAAGTGGAACCTGATGGGTCTCCTCATCGGCAATGGATGGATCTCACCTCCTGAGCAGTACGAAGCGTACCTTCAGTTCGCGTTCCAAAAGGGATTAGTGCAGAAGGGGAGCGATATTGCAAACAAGCTCGAAGTCCAGCAGCGCCTTTGCCAAAAAGAGCTCGCGGTCAGCGAGGGCATCGTCGACAACCCCGACTGCGAAAAGATCCTCCAGGATCTTCTACAGCTCACGTCTTCACGCAATAAGGACAATCGGCTCGAATGCTACAACATGTACGACGTGCGTCTCAAAGACGTCTACCCGTCCTGCGGCATGAACTGGCCCCCGGACCTCAAGCAGGTCACCCCTTACCTCCGCCGCAAAGAAGTGGTCGAAGCCCTCCACGTCAACGCGAACAAGGCGACAGGCTGGGTCGAGTGCGACGGTTCGGTCATTGCGAACTTCAAGCCGGTCAAATCCAAACCTTCCATTGATCTGCTCCCCGACATCCTGACCGAAGTTCCCATCATTCTCTTCTCCGGCTCTGAAGACCTCATCTGCAACCACCTCGGCACTGAGGCCCTCATCAGCAACATGGCCTGGAACGGCGGCAAGGGGTTTGAGCTCTCCCCGGGCACCTGGGCGCCGCGGCGGGACTGGACCTTCGAGGGCGAGGCGGCCGGCTTCTGGCAGGAGGCGCGCAATCTCACCTACGTGGTCTTTTATAACAGCAGCCACATGGTGCCCTTTGACCACCCGCGCCGGACGCGCGACATGCTCGACCGCTTCATGGGTGTCGACATCAGCTCCATCGGCGGCAAGCCCACCGACAGCAGGCTGGATGGCGAGAAGGGCCCCGAGACGACCGTCGGCGGCGCCGCGGGCAACGGCACCGCGGATCAGCAGGCCCAACAGGCCAAGCTGGACCAGGCCAAGTGGGAGGCCTACCAGCGTTCGGGGGAGATCGTGCTCGTCATCGTGGCCGTCGCCGCCGTGGCCTGGGGATACTTCGTCTGGCGAGACCGGCGCAGAAGGCAGGGATATCAGGGCCTGGCCGGGGGAGAGAACGGGTCCGCTGCGGGGAGGAGGGACGCGGGTAACGGTGGTGCTATCATGAGTCAGCGCGCCCGGCGGGACAGGGATCTGGAGGCGGGCGATTTTGATGAGACGCAATTGGACTCGCTGCACGTGCGCTCGCCAACCGAGGAGGAACGGGATGCGAGGTACAGCGTGGGCGGCGTGAGTGATGATAGTGAAGATGAGGAGCAAAAGCATGGAGGTGGGGAAAAGAAGGAGAGCGGAAAGGATAAGGGGGGACACGATGCGGGGAGTTCATGATTTGGTTCGTGTGGGATACCATGGGAGTTTGAAAGCGAGATATACAAGAACACATATGCCTACATACCTGTCTGGTTGATGCAAGTCCACGGGTGGGTTTGGCATGACGTATAGTGAATAAGTGCTTTTATAGATTTTGACTAGTGGTGCTATAACATGCCTCCAAGACGGAAGCGGCTCCTTATGTGGACAGACAGACTTCCACCACTCTCGTTGGCATTGTTGAAAGGAGATAACCGATGCAGGGTACGGTTGTGTTGTCTGGAGGTGCCATATTACCTCGAGAATACAGTTTGTGTATCGGCGTTGCTACTTCCTGCATGGTATGTGCTACCTGGTAAACCTCGCTAGAAGGTCCAGATTGTCAAACGGTGTTATTGGCATTCAAGTCCCTCAGAGACACAAAAGAGACCAAGCTACGTCTACCGATATAGACACCAGATATACATCATGTCTCAGTACTTACCCGGAATAATCAAAGTTTAGCCTGGCAACAGGACAACTGAAGATCGATCGCAGTTTCATCACCGAAGGGCGCGGCCGCTATGGCGGAGCTGAAAAAAGGGAAAGCATATACCCGTTGATGCATCCATGTCAGTCACACAAACACATATCCACGAGGCCAGAGAATGCAAAGCTTGATTCATATCTCAGTTATGCTTACCCCCTTGAACTTTCATTCCCGTCCCTCACGACCTTTTCCATTCCCCTTCCCCTCCCAGCACCCAAAACGCTCCTAACGCCCGAACAAACCAACCTAAACACTACCCGACCCCGTAAGATAAACCGCTAAGCCGAGTGAATGACTTGTGCCACAGGCGTCTTCGGCGTGCTCACCTTGAGCCCCTATGCCCGAGACGTATTCGCCGCCGCAGCTGCCGATCCACTTCCCCCTGCACCGTGCTGAGCTTGAGCCTGAGCCTGGGCGCCGGCGCTCCCCGATGACGCTGCTGCAGACCTCTTCCGCTTCACTGGCTGATACACATCATTGAAATTCATCGACACGCCCAGGAAGCGCATATCGACATCCGGCTGGTACGCCAGGTCGCCCAGCAGGATCTGCAGTCTGGTGCGGAAGCTGGAACCCAGCTGTGTCAGCCGCTCTTGGAGCGCGGGCAGTTCCGACTTTGGATCGTTGGTATCATTAGCTCCCAGCCCGCTGCCAGCGGAGGAAGTGGTGGTGAACGGGTCGTTGTCGAGATCCATGCTGCCGCTGCCGCCTCCTGACGGGTGATGATGGTGGCCGGACGATGACAGCTTGGGCCTCTTCGCCCTGCGCATGATCCCCACCGCGTCGGCCTCCTGCCGCCGGGTGAAGTCGGAGAGCGACCAGCTATACAGGCCGTCCACGCAGTCGCGGTAGGCGAGCATGGTGCGTAGCAGCTCGCTGAGCTGGACCATATACGAGTTGCGGTCCTCCGACACGCCCGCGAGATCGGCCGGGTCGCGGCCCTCGCGCGCGGCGGCTTCTTTCAGGGACTCGTGGTACTGCCGCCGGCGGGCGCCGAGCAAGCCCTTGTGCGTGATGGCCGTGAGGTACCGTGTGTGCGCGGTGATGAGATCGTCGAGCGTGCAGTCCTCTTTGCGGATGTTCTTTTGGAGCTCGGTCCAGCTGGATTCGATCACCTCGAAGAGGATGTAATACTGCAGCTGGCCGACGAAGTGGACCATCTCGGCGAGCGTGCCGCGGGTGCGCTGCCAGATCTGGAGGACCTGCTCGTCCGAGGTCTGGAGAACGCCGCGAGAGCCGGTCATGCACTTGCGCCAGGTGGAAGCGAGGGCGAACTCGACGCGCTTGACGCGCCATAGAAAGTTGAACACCTTGAGGTATTGCCGGTTGCCCCACTCCGTGACGACCACGTCGACGGGCGCATCGATCTTGTATTCGAGAGTGAAGCAGTCCCAGCCGATGTCACCGTGGCTGAGCTGTAGCATGCGGGCATCTAGCCGCCTGAGGACTTCGTCGCTGTCATACTGGGCGTTGGAGCCTCGGATGGCATGTTCCAGCTGCGCTGTCAGGGTGTGGCGGTACTGCGCAAAGGCTGGCCGGTCTAGGTTTGCCGCAAGTGACTCCATCAGCAGCGCAATGAAATCGCCCTGCCCGAGGAGGATGTAATTCTTCAACGCTTGTAGGTGGTCGAAGAGATGGAAGCGGTTGCTCATGAGGTGCATCAGGCGCCGCATTGTTGTCTTATACGCTTCGTCGATCCACTTCTCGAGCGTTGCCGTGTCACCGTAGCTTAGTTGCTTGGATGAAGACTTGCTGTATGCGTCGACCCATTGGCTGTCACCGCAACTATGGCGGATAAAGTTGAGCGACTTTCCTATCAAGAACACCTTCTGCGCGAAGTCGGTCGTGATGATGCTCGGCACCATGGCGTCAACGACCTCGTACTTGGAGTTCCAAACACTGGCCTGACCCTTGGCCTTGGATTCCTTCCGATTCTCGTCGCTGGCGCTCTGCTCCCTGACGAAGAATTCCAGATGCGGGTCCGAAAGCTCCCCGTCATAGATCCAGCGCTGGAGAATGTCGTAGAACGGTCGCGTGACGTCGGCGAGGAGTCGCTCAGCAAACGCGGCTACAACCGGGTCTCCGTGAGAGGTAGAGAAACCGTGGATCATGCTGATCAGCTGCCCGCCATGCTTGGTGTTGCTCTCCTCGGCGATGAGAGACATCAGCCGTAGGCCCATGGTGGCCTCGCGGGTCCAGACCACGCAGCGCTTCAGGGTCACGCCAGCCTTGCCAATCCCGCCGCGAGGCGCAGATTCGTCGAGAGAAGAGAGCGCTCGCCGTATTTGGCCTTCGAGGGTTGCGACAAGGGTGAGATATGACCGCAGCTCATTGTTGATGGCGGCACGCAGACTCTGGCCCAGCAGCCCCTTGGCCGGCGATTTCGCAAAAGATGCGAGTCCTCTGTACAGTAACGAAGGCTCGGCGAGCGTATGCAAGAGCGAGATAATGGGAATGGGCAGTGTGGCGGGTAGCTTCAGGGCGGTATCCTTGGCAAAAGAAAGCGTGGTGGACGAGAGCCCTTGGAGAGTGTAAGGTAGATCTCTCAAGAGGGCCATCTCCGACGGCGCAAGCTCGTCAGAGATCTCGGCCGGCTGGGCCGGCTTTGTCGAGACATCCCTTCCGGCCTTCTTCGGAGGACTGTCGGCGGGGGCTTCCGTGGGCGGTCTCTCGTCCGTTTGGCTGCGCTTCGGCTTCTCCGTGGGGAGCTTCTTCAACCCGCCCGGGGCAAACGCCTCGCGGACGGACTCATCCTCGGGTGCGCCGACGACCGTTGACGCCCTGGAGCGCCTCTCTTTCTCGACAGGACCAGGGGGGCCTCGTTGCGCCGGGCTCAGCGGTAGGGGCTCGTTGGCATCCGGGGAATCGGAGAGCTTGTACAGCAGGTATAGGATCGCCCACTTCTGGTTAAGAACTGGCAGCGAAAGCAGCCTAGTGTAAAGATTCGAGAACCTCAGGGCCTGACTGGGGTTGCTCTGGATCAACTTGCGCTTGATGAGGTCTGAGGCGTGGTTGACGTCGGATGAGATGGCAGGCGAGTCCGGGCTGCCAAGAGCGTCAGTTATCTCGTTGCATTCTGCCCCGGCAAGCATGCGCAGGAGAAGGCGTCTCACCGCTCGAGCATGGTCCGGACGAGCTCGAAGCAGGCATCGTGTCTCTCTTGGGCCCTCTGTTCGTTCTCGCCGGGAATGCTGGGCACCAGGTGCGTGATCAGACTGTCGATGGCATTCGACACTCGGTTGCGCTGATTGTTGGCCATGGTTGCATAGTGCCCAATGGTAGCCGTGTGGATGACCAGTGCCCATTCATCGCATCTTGCTGTGTTGCTGTGTTTTCCTAGCTGGACATTCACGCTGCAGGTGGTAGTAACGCGACGCGACGGGGTGGGATAAAGGCACCTGAAAGAAACGGCTAACAGCGTTTATTACTGTGTAACTTAGTGGTTATCTGTCATCAATGATAGCTGCTACAGCATACAGTACCACTAGTAGTACAGGGCAGCAGCACCTAACAGACCGAAATGTGGGGAAGCGCGGTACCTTGCTTGCAACGTACTTCTGCAGCAACAAGAAGTACTGTACATGTACTTGTACCCTTTGCTGCAGCCACCATCATTACGCCCGTCCGCGCTACGGTCCATAAAATTGACGACCACCGAACCACCGAACCCAAACCGACCGCATCAGTCCGGGCCGGTGGACGCGATTACCATCCCATTCGGCAGCGTCAGCATGTCCGATCCATCGATCTGAATCCCGATTTCTGATCGCATGAGCCCGGGCTTAACTTTCATGCGCAAATGAGCGCGATATCGGCCCAAGACTGTGCTTGAGTCTGCGCGCGACGGTCCTGACGCCCCTTCGTTTCGCGCTCTTGCCCGTCCACTTTCCGCATCGCTCGCTTACCCAATCCGTGGTTGGCTGTCCATCGCGAGCTCCCACCATGGTTGACATTAACCCCGCCGCCCTGAGCCGGCCATCGATTAGCCTCTCGACACCGGTCCTTGCTAAGCAGTCCATTAACGTCTCCGTACCTTCAACACACAAAACACCCAAAAGCAGTCAGCTTATCCCGGCCCGCATTGATCTCGAGCCCATTTACACAGCGCTGAAGGCCAGCATCGGCGCGGAACAATGGCCCATATACAAAGGAACGATCACCAATTTCTTCATCGGTATGCATTGCAAACTACGACGCAACATGCCCATTTGGAGATTCATGCTGACTTGTTTATACAGGCCGGCTCAACCAGGCCGAGTTGAGCGAGCGCATCGACCCCCTTCTCGCCTCCCCCGACGGGTCGAGAGAGCACCTCCATAACCAGCTTATCGCTGCCATAATCGGCAATGTCACGCGTGAGATGCCCGACCAGGGCCTTGCGCCCTGGGTCAGCGCCCACGACAAGCCTTCGACGACATCAGGGAACAAGCCTGTATCAGGCGATGCTGCGGAGCGGAAGTTGAAGGGGGAAGTCATGCAGCTTCCGGCGCGTGACCGGAGGCGAATCAAGGACTTGGTACACAACGACGTGAGTCGAGGTTGCACGGGGCCTGCTTTCTTGTCCATACTGACCGTCACCTCAGTCTGACCCCTACGACTCGTTGGCAAACATGTTCATGGACCATGCCCGGATGCGGCCCGCCAAGGCCGCCGAGGTGCCGGCCAGTGCGGGCGGCGCCGGGCTCAGCAGGATGAGTATGACCACACCCTGTCGAGTATATTCCGGGCATCTGTCTAACCTGCCTTCCTAGACTTCGACTTAGAGATCAGAAAGCGCTATGCTCAACCATTAGCCGTCGAGTCGGGCGAGTTTCCAGACGTGAGTAACATCGAGGGGCGGATGCTCCCCTTCTGCTACGAGGCAGGCCTCGCATCGGGCCACGCGCCAGACGCGGCGCAGTTCATGTCGATCGCCACCGAGACATTCATCAAGGAGGTCTTGTCATCGATATTCAGCCGCACCCGAAGCAACGCGCCTGGTGACTCGGGCAACGCCGGGTTCGGCCCCAACAATAACTGGATACAGACGCACAAGTACCGGCGGCAACTCGCGAAGGAGGAGGAGGCGTTCCAGCGCGGCGAAGTCATACGCGATAAGAGCGGTTTGCTTCCCGTGGAAGCCAAGGCGGCGAGCGAACGCGGTCCCTTGGGCATGGCCGATCTCCGGCTCGCGCTGGAGATGGGCGACTGCGGCCTGGCCAATTTCCCCACTATTGTCAGGTCGGTCATCTACAGCTACCGGGAAGGGGAACTGGAGAACTGGAACGATTACACCTACGTGGACGGCCGAGAGAGGATTGCCGATTTGGAAGGAGACGTCGAAATGGCCGAGGTAAATGGAACAATGGCGAAGGCTGAGCCGCTCACGAACGGGATTTCGCACGGTGGTGACCACATGGATATTGACAACGACTTGGGGTGGTGGGAGGGTGCCAAACCCGCGGACGGCGACTTTCTTAACGGAGTCCTCGACTCGTGTCTAGCCGCAGGCTGAGACCAGCTCAGACAGCGCGGATGCCACATACGAGTGAGCTCCATATCTTTCTCTGGGAGTTTCTGGGAGTTCCTTAGCGGTTTGCGAAACGGCGTTCACGAAGCGAGATGGCGGCGAACGGGTTGCTTACACGGCATTGCATCGGCACTGGCATTCTTATTTTGCAGCCTGCCCTGTATAACTTTTCTGGTTGGACACAGGAAAACAAGGGCGGACATCTGGGCGTCAAATTGGGGACATGCCGGCCATCTTTGGGGATTTGACGCATGTTTGGATGGGGCTTCTGTACTCTGTCCTGTAATTTTACGCACGATACCCGGAAAAGTCCTGGAGTGGATGGAGATAGATGCACTTAGCTCTGGGGTGCTTTGCTCTATATAGTTGCAGCACGGATTTCTGGATACGAAACAATGTTCAAACTCATCTCCCGTGTTCCTCAGGAAGCTGCGTCAAAGATGCCTGCCGTGATGCGTCGACCAAGTGTTATTGGTGCAGGGCCTCAACACGGTACGTATTGTACAACCAAACAGCAGGGCTGCCGCAAAGGCGCGTACCCGTAATTGATACGCAAAGAAACGCGTCTTGCAGCGCGTCTTCCCCACTACATCAGATCGACCCCCGGCCACCCAACATACGTGACTACCTCACCGCACGCATCTCCCGAGTCTACACACCATTTTAGAGGCAATCATAGGATATGTGCCTCAGAGGTCAATATATTTGACCGTTTATCTCTAGAATACACCCACTTTACCGTGCACAATGGCGCCGTCAAGGTCCCCGTCACCCGCTAAGGGCGAGCCTCGCGGCACGACACCCACGACGACACGTCCAACAGCCGGAAATCCATTTGCCGCCCTCTCCGACAGCAGCGCCGAGGAGGATGGCGATATCCTTCGACCACGCGGGAAAGTGGCGTCAAGAATGCAAGTACGCGGCAATACACAGCAAGCTTCCGACTCGGAGGCCGAACATGACGCGAACCAGACGCGCGCCAGCTCGCCGAGGAAGAGCAGCAATGGTACCCAGGCCACCGCGGACCACAGTAATGCTGACGACTCCGACGACGACGATGTGGTTCGAACGCGTCCCAGGACTCTAAAGCCCCGGCGAGATCGCAGCTCTACGCCCGACACACGGCCGCAGGAGGGACATGACTCTCCCGGTCTCTTCGTCACGCCATCCAAACCCCGCTCTCCCTCTGCAGATAACAGCGAAAGCGATGATGATCTCCCCAGTCCCCCCGCGCTGACCAAGAACCCACGGTTTCTTGCCCTCGTCGAGAAGAAACGACAAGAACGGCTGGCCAGGGAGGCCGAAGAGGCCCGCAAGAAGGCCGAGCGCCTGAAAGCGGCGGGACACAGCCTGGACGACATGCTCGTAGATGACGATGAAGACAACATCACGGATGACGATGGCGGCCGCAGGCTCACGCAAGAGGCCGCTGCGACACGGCCTCCGCGCAAGGCTAGCAAAAGGGCTCTTGAGGAGATGAACCGCGAGACGCAGCGGTTGACCCGGAGCCTGCAGCTGGCCCATGAGGCGAAGGTCAAGAAGAAGATCACCAAGGCCGCCTTGTTTGAGCGCTTCAATTTTAAGCCCGAGGGAGCAGCAGCGCAGGCCGAGGAAACGGCACCGGCGGCGACGAGCTCTAGCCGTGCTCCGACGCCAGCGTCAGCCCGGCAGAGCGATTCTGAGATGAAGGATGCCGAGACGCCGCCTAGCTCCCCGCCGCAGATTAGCAAGGATCGTAGGGCAGAGGGCCCTGTTGCGACTGTGGCAGGCCCAACGCCTGCAGCGGACGACGACGACGACTTCCCCACACTGGAAGAGATGGTCGAAGAGGCCGCCGCCACTCGCAGGAGACTTGACAAGGGCAAAGCCAAAGCAACCGCGGCCGACCTTGACGAAGCGTCATCCAAGGCAGAGCAGCAACCGCGGAAACGCAACATCCGCGTGAAACTGCCTGCCCTCCAGGGCAACGCCGCCACCCTCTCCCTCTCTCTCGACGAAGACGACGACGACGACCTGCAAGTCCAGCAACCGACTCGCAAGGCCAAACTCGACGCCATCTTCGACCGCGTGCCGCTCAACCAAGCCAAGGAGCCACACTCGCTGCAAATGCTGCGCAAGCTGGCCCACATCGACGATCCCGACAAGAAGGCCGCGCCCCCCTCCCGCCGCGGGGGCAACAAGCTCCAGAGCAAGCATGAGCAGCAGCACGCCATGACGGTTGCCGAGCTCCAAGCGAACCTGCTCCAGCGTGCCCGCCAGCAGGCCAAGCTCGAGCGGGACCGGCATCTGGAGATGCTGAGGGCCAAGGGGATCCATGTCCAGACGGCCGAGGAACGGGAGAAGGAGCTGCAGGAGGTAGAGAACATTGTCGAGAAAGCGAGGAGGGAGGCCGAGGAGATTATGGAGAGGGAGCGGCAGGCGGCCAGGGAGGAGAGGAGGAAGAGGCGGGAGGCTGGGGAAGAGGATCCGTTGGGGTGGGATGATAGCGATGAAGAAGACGAGGAGTACGTGGAGGATGAGAAGGTGGAGGCGGCGGCGGCGGCGGCGGCGGAAATTGACTTATCTGGCTCGGAGGAGGAAGAGGAGGACGAGGAGGAGGACGAGGAGGAGGAGGACGAAGCTGATGTCGCTGGGGTGATGATTGATGATGCTGCCGAGAGCGCTGAAGAGTCTGAGACTGAAAACGCCGAGGAGCAGGAGAAGCCTGGCGGCCAAGATTCGGATGAGGAGCTCGTAAGCTCCAAGCCAGTCCGTCGCCGGCCGAGGAAGCAGGTCGCTATCGTCTCTGACGACGAGGACGATGCCGGCGAGCCGCTCGTCAAGGCTACACCCCGGCCAAAGGCTCACTTCGCCGAGTCGCCATCGAGACGAGGTGCTAAGTCGCCCAGCGTGCCGACCTCGGTTCTCCGGTCAGCCACAAAGACTTTCATCCCGGGTCTTCCCGTTGCCGGCCCTGCCGGCCTGGGACTGACGCAGATCTTTGCCGGGACCATGGACGACAGCCAAGTGGACATGCCCCTTGAGGACTCTCGCTCGCAGCCGCGGCCCACGTTTGACGTGGCTGCCTTTCCGGGCTCCAACTTCTCGCAGACGGCTCAAGAGCCGGCCGAGGACATGATCTTAGACAGCCAACCGACACGGGACACCCAGCAAGCCGAGACTCAGGGCGTCCAGATTCACTTCGCGCAGTCCCAGATGCACGGCTTCGACAGCCTGTTCCGGGATACGCAGAACCCGACCCAGGCCTCGGAGCTCATTGAGCCAACTCAGGACGAAGGGTTCCACGATTTCTCGCCTCTGCGCCAGCGCTTCGTCGAAGCCCCTGTCTCGACGGTCGCGACAGTCCCGGTTGGACACAGCCAGGCAGACGCAGACCAGAGCGAGTCGCCTCTGGTGCGAAGGACCGGCAAGCTCAGGCGCAAAGCTGATGTGGTGCTTGCCTCGCCGAGTCGCCACCGCGCCGCGCCGGATGAGCAGGACGAGGGGATGGAGGACGAGTTTGGCTTCGGCACTAGGTCCAACAACGCCTTTGCCGCCATGAAGGAGGCCGCGCTCAAGGAAAAGAAGCGCAAGGAGGCCTTCGACAAGAAGAAAAGCAAGGCCCGCGAGATGGTGGAGGAGCAGGCCGAGGAGTCCGAGGACGAGTACGCCGGGCTCGGTGGTGCGGACGGCGAGGATAGCGATGATGAGGACGATGCGTCCGTCAAGGAGATGATTGACGACGAGACCAAGAATGACGAGAGCGACGAGAGGAAGCTGGCTGCCTTTTACGCGTAAGTTTTACCCTTGGGCAGGGAGTCTATGTGTGCACTATGCTCACCCTCGTTCCACAGTGACCGCGAACGCGCAGCCGACGAGAAGCAGGTCGAGAAGCTCTTCCACGACGTCACCACGGGCATGCTCCGGCGTAAGCGCCAAGGCAACTGGGACGACCTGTCCGACTCGGACGACGGGGGTGAAGCCCGCCGCCGGCTGAAGCGCCGCCAGTTCGCCAAGATGCAGCGCGCTCTCCTCGCCGATGAGCGCATCAGCAAGGTGGCCGAGAACCCGCGCAACCAGGCCTTCCTAAAGACCATTGAGGACCGCGGCAGTGACGACGATATGGACTTCATCTTTGCGCACCCGCCAGCTGTCCCGGGGTTGGAAAGCCAGGAATCGCAAGCTTCCGTTGCCGCCGGAAAGAACGCAGTCATCCCCAACAGCCAGCCGCAGACCGCGGCGACTGCTGCCTCTCGCCCGCTTGCCAACCCCCGCCGCACCAAAGAAGGCAGCAAGAAGCCCTCGAGCATCGCCGAGATCCGCGAGTCCCTGTCCAATCTGCTCGAGGAGCCCTCCTCCGTCATCCCCGCCACCGAGCCCGACTCTTCCGACGGCGACGAGGAAGAAGAAGCAGACTCCCGTCCTCCATCCAGCAGCAACAAAGAGAACGATATCCGCCACCCGCGCCGGAGCAAACCGACCCCCTCCATCATCGACCGCATTACCCTCAAGCGCAACTCGTCTTCCTCCCTCTCCTCAAACAGCAGACTCGCCTTCTCCACTACCACCGTTACCGCCACGGGGGGAGGAAGAGGAGGAGGAGCAGGAGGCGGAGGAGGAGTCCCGCCCCTCCTCCGCCGCGCAACAACCAACAACTCCCTCCTCTCCACCGCCACCACCACGTCCTCCTCCGGTAGTAGCATCTCCACCAGCAGAGTGGGCATGATGAGCAAGCGACCAGGAGGTGATGACATGAAGATCAAAAAGACGGCCGGCAAGCGCTCTGGTGTCAGCTACCTCGCGCGCGAGACGGAGCGGCGCGCGGCGCTGGCCGAGGCGGAGCGCCGGCGGGAGGCGAGGAAGTGGAAGGGTGTTGAGGGGAGGGCGAAAGCGGTGGGTGGGCTATTCGGTAAGGGGTCGTTTGAGTAATTCGCATCCATCATATCTCAGTGGTCAAAGGTTATGTTCTTGGTCTGGGTCGGGTCAGGTTCCCCTGTTGGCTTTGGGCTAGTTAGTGTTGGCGTCGGTTGAGTTGAGCATGGGTTGAAGTGGTTCGGTCTTGCATCGCTATACTACTGTTATACAATCTGGTTCTTGAAGATGTATGACTACCTTAGTTATGGGTGTTGGAATAGGTGCGGTCTGTATCTGTCTGGGCGGCGGTGGCGTACGGGGCAAAGCAAGGGGTACAGTACATAACTAGACTGTATAGGATTGAGGATGTTATGGCATGACTCGGCATGGTTAGAGTGGTATGGGTGAGGATAATGGGCGTTACACAGGTTACTGGGCGTTGAGAGTGGGGGATTTTGGAGCTATGGAGCGCTTGTTGTCTCTCCGTCTTATGCTTCGAACAATGAGGTATTCAAATCCGATTGCCTGTATATTGTGCTTGTGACCGGGCAATTCGTTGTGACGAACTACGAGCAGCCTTCGCCCTGCGTCTATATCCCAACACAAATTGCTCTTTGCCATCCGCCGTTCATCATCATCTCGCGCTCCTCAGCAAGCCTGATGCAACCGGCTTTTCCCTTTTGTAACACCCACCCCGTTTTATATACTCCTCTCTCCAAGCCACTTTACCCCGCCATGCATGTACTATCATTAACCCGCCCTAACCCTTCTTATTACCAAGCCAACCAAACCATTTCATATCACTCCTATATCCTCCCCCCCACCCTTTCCTCAAGCAGCTGATTGGTACCTTTCAGGGACAGAATAAACGCACTACAACCACTCAACACCCCAGGTCTCCTCCCCGGCCCGGAACGGCACAACCTCGACGTCGTCCCCCTTCAACGACTCCTCGATCTTGGCCCCGCCGCGCGTGAGACGGATCTGCTGCGTGGCGGGCGGGAGACCGTAGAACCTCCGGCCGTAGTCGGAGAAGAAACCCCGGAGGGCGTCCTCCGTGACTGACGATTCGGGGATGTCCCCGCGTGCGACGGCTTCTTCGAGCGCTGTGAGGACCTGGACGTATTCGGGATTAGCGTGATGGGGGTTATGGAAATCCTCCCGAGTTCGGGGAAAGGGGGTATGTATAGTATATGTATATATGCATTGACATACATAGCCTAAGGCGTAGGGCTGGGTGAAGACGCCCGCGGCGGTGTTGCCTTTGCCTTTCTTGGCTGTTATGTCGTGGGCTGGAAAAGAAAAAGAATTGGTGTGGTCAGTGAGTGGGTTTGAGATCCCGGAGAGTATGGGATGATGAAACAACATACGTGCGCTGTCGGTGCCCAGGAAGAACTTGCCGTTGCTGGTGACGACTGCGTTGAGGAGGGTCCGCCGGTCCTCGGGGGACTTGGCCGAGGGTTTGCAGTAGTGGTGCTGTGCGGTCAGCGGTGGAATGGGAAGGATCGAGGGGAAGGCGTGGACTTACCACATTGGCGGACCAGTCGTCGACCAGAAGAGAGAGGTGATGAGCCGTCTATTCAACGAGCCACGTCAGCAGGCTGTTCAGTCAGGGGCAGCAGGAGGAAGAGAGACCTACAATAGTCCCCACGACATTCTCGCCCAGCGACCTGACGGCCTCGACCGCATCCGCCGTGGTGCAGTGCTCCAGAACGATCTTCAACCGGGGGTACTTCTCCACGAGCTCCTTCAGCACCGGCAGGAACCGCGCCTCGGCATTCATCACGGTGACCCCCTCGGCCGCACTGCTGGGCCTCTCGCCATGCAGGTTCAGCACGATGCCTTCCTCCTCCATGGCCTTGAGGACCTCATGGAACGGCTCAAACGACACCACACCCCACTGCGAGTTGGTCGTCGCTCCGCGGGGATAAGCCTACTTATACATGTCAGTCTCAGTTTGTCATGATATCACATCTCACCCCCTGAATTTAAGGTAAATACTAAACTAAAACACACAAATACCACAAGACTCACCTTAACCCCATAAATCCCAGCCTCCTTCGCCCTTCTGATCTCATCCACAGTGATGCTCTCATGCAGGTAAAGCGACATGAGATAGTTCACCCGCGAATCCAGCGCCTGCAGGGCGTCCCTGTACGCGCGGGCCTCGGCGACCGACACGACGGGCCGCGGCGCCAGGTTGGGCATCACGAACACCGTGTCGATGCCGGCCCTGCGAATGGTGGGCGTCACCAGGGAAGCGATGGGGCCCGGGGCGTTGCGCAGGTGCACGTGCATGTCCGCGGCCGCGGGGAGCGTGTAGCTGTCTCGGAGGGGGGCCATTTTTTCTTTACGGATTCTTTTGGGGGTTTCTGTTATGGTCGAAACTGGGGTTTCGTGGTGTTTTCACTTCAGATCTCTGAAAACAGAAATGGGGAGGGGCGTGTCGTTGAGATTGGTCAATACAACATCATCATGGAGGGGCAGAAGTTCATGATGGAGGGGTGGTTTAGGGTGGAGTTTGTTGATGCCTCTCGACAGGGGGATTGTGTGAAGTTCAAAGTTGTAGACTTGTGGTCGAGTAGAAGGGGTTAGGGTTGACGCGGACATCATCCCATGATCCCCCCATGATCCCTTTGCCTCGTGAACTTCAATTCAGTTTCCCTTGATCTTCGACCCAAGTGGGTGGTTCGAAGATTTGGCGGTAGGTAGATCGTTCACCAAATAGTCTCAGTCAAGAAGACGATTCGCCTCCCCCTTAGTTAGCCGGTAGCCTGGCTCTGCCGTCTTCACCGCTAAGCCAGGAAGGAGCGGGCCGGTATCCTCCACCACTGAGATCGACTTACAAATCATCCTTCATAAAGTGCCCGAGATGACGTCTAATTCCGCGATCAGGCCGGGCTATTCTGCCAGAGCGAATCTGTTGAAGTCAACACAGGATGTGAACATCCAAGACATACCTTCGTTTCCTTTTCATCACGCTGTATATTTATCAAATCCCCTCACAGTTTAGCCCAATTGACTGCCCACTGCGTCGTGCGTCGTCCCGGGACACCCGGAACTTTGTTTGGGAAGCGGGCCCAACAACAGAAGAATGACCGCCAACGTCGAGCCTCGCCGACAGGGCGGGGGAGACGGCTGGGATACGTCCACGACGGCGACCGAAGACACGCCGCTGCTCCGCTCCGAAACGGCCAGCTCACGAACTGCGCGGGATGAGTCTCCCACTCCCCCAACCAGCGCGCGGCAGCCCAGGTCCGCGCCCGCGCCGGCGGAGCAGCCGCTCGGCTGGAGGCGGGCGTCGTGCATCGTGCTCAGCATGTGGGCGCTGATCTTCCTGCAGGCCAGCAACATGAGTGGCATCTCGACGACGCAGTCGACCATCGCGGCCGACCTGGACGCGTACGAGTCGGCCATGTGGTTCACCAGCTCCTACATGATCGCCATGTCGTCGGTGGCGCCGCTGGCCGGGCGGCTGTCCATGATCTTCTCGCCGGCGACCATGATCCTGCTGTCGTCGGGCTGCTTTGCCGTGGGCGCGCTCACCACCGCCCTGGCGCCGACCTTTGCTGTGTTCATTCTGGGCCGCGCCATGTTGGGAATCGGCAGCGGCGGCATCATGACGCTGTGCATGATCCTGGTCATCCACCTCACGTCCAAGAAACGGAGGGGTCTGTGGGTTGGCTTGACCAATGCCGTGCGTGTCACAACTACCTTACCCCGGCAGCTGAATCGTTTGAGAAGCACTTCGGAGCTAATATAGATGCCTAATCTCAGGGCTTCACAATCGGTGTGTCGGCCGGCGCTGTGGTGTTCGGCGCCTTGCTGCCCGTGTTGGGATGGGTATGTATATTATACTACCGCTCTTTGACGGTTCCTTGATATCCTATCCCTGTGGCTTACCATCCGCAGAGACTCCTCTTTGGAGCCCAAGCCCCCATGGCCGCCCTCGCCGGGTTGGGCGTCAGCCTCAGCCTGCCCTCTCACAGGAGCCACGAGAACGTCAAGGACAAGACCACCCTGCAGAAGCTCGCAGGCCTTGACTACGCCGGCGCAGCCACCTTGGTCCGTCCCCCACAACCAAAGAAAGAAAGAAAGCAAGCCAGACCACTTTCTGAACTAACGCAAAAAAAAAAAAAACTTCAGGCCATAACCATCGTCCTCTTCCTCTACGGCCTCTCCGGCTCCATCCGGCCGCTTCCCATCCTCCTATCCTTCATCACCCTGCCCCTCTTCCTGCTCATCGAATCCCGCGCCCACGACCCGGTCATCCCGCTGGCCGTGCTCCGCTCCCGCGGCGTGCTGCTCTCCTGCTTTTCCCAGCTCGGCTTCATGGCCGCGCGCTGGACCGTGCTCTTCTACGCGCCCATCTTCGTGCTCGCCGTGCGCGGCCTCTCGCCCGCCGTCGCCGGCGCCGTCCTGATCCCCACCAACCTGGGCTTCGGCCTGGGCGGCCTGGTCGTCGGCGCGCTGCACATCCGCCGCGCCGGCGCCTTCTGGCTCCCCTCGGTCCTGTCCCTCGCGCTCTTCGGCGCGGCGCTCCTGGCGCTCGCCTTCGCGAGCAACGCGGCCGCGCCGCCTGCCGTCTACGTCGCCACCGTGTTCGTCAACGGCCTCGCCACGGGCGCGGCCCTCAACTACACGCTCGCGCATCTCCTCCACCTGTCGGCGCCCGACGTGCACTTCATCGTCACCGGCCTGCTGTCCACCTTCCGCGGCTTTGCCGGCTCCTTCGGCACGGCCATTGGCGGCGGCGTGTTCACGCGGACGCTGCGGGACGCCCTGATCGCCGGGTTCCGGAGGTTGGATGGCCGTGACGGCGGTGGCGGGGCAGCGGGGAGGGAGAAGCTGATCTCAATGCTGATCGGCAGCCCCGCGGTCGTTTGGAAGGACGGGGTGCTGAGCGCCGCCGAGCGGGCCGTGGCTGTGCAAGGGTATGAGGCGGCGCTGGCGCTGTTGTACAAGTCGGCTGCTGCCATGTGTGTGTTAGTTGTGCTTATGCAGGCCGGAACCGGGTGGATGGCGCCGGCGGGCGGGAAGGATGGGGAGCCTGATGATGATGGAGAGTTTGAAGAGGAAATTGCTGAGCAGGATCGGGCGATGGAGGCGTGAGGGAGGTTGCTGGCTCGGCTGTGTACCTACCTTAGTCTACTAGGCTAATTAGTAGATACCTTACCTCGTACTTGGATGTCTGGGGACTTGACCATGTCAACAGGACTAGAAGGGAACATGAAGCTATACATCTCTGGCGTTATGTTCTAATCATAATCTACCACAGCTCCCGGCAGACACATTTCCGACCCGCCCTCCTCAACTTCGCTCGACCGACAAAGGAAATAGTATTATGTTGGTCCGAAGGTACGTACATACAGAGTGAATTCTTGCCTCTATATCGTTGTGTGTCATCCCATCGTTATTATCGTCGTGACGATCGATTCCCCTCCGCTGAAAAACATTTTGCGAGCGCCGTAATGTGTGCCGCCGCCGCCAACCACCAGCCGCCGCCCGGCAGGAGCCAGATACCCATAAGCCAGTCCAGCAAAATGCCAATGCAACCCAGCCGTAGTCTAATACATGGATGCATGGATGCTCTTCATAATACAGGTTCGTCCCCGCCCAAAAAAAAAAAAAAAAAAAAAAAAAAAGAGAAGACAGAACAAAGGAAAAACCGGCGTGCCGAGACTGTACCGAGCATGTTCCTCGTGTCTCCGTACCTCCGGCGTAACGCTTTAGTAATGAACGGACGAGACCAACACAGCTGACGCCGTTGTCTCAGCATTACTCCCCGGGGTGGTTTCCATCGGTCGCCTGAGGGCATTATCCGCCCGAGTGCGCCTTGATGGTCAGACCACCTCCATGTAACGATAACCCCCCAGCCCAAACAAAATTCCAAGGTCAAACAAATATGCTGCCCAACTCCTAACGATGCTCCTCATCTGATAGAAACCCGACGCCATGGGTAGATGCAGTTGCATCAGCGACGTGAAGCGTCGTCTGGAGCACTCCGTAAACCCGCGTCGTTGTTCGGAGTCGGCGTCGGATATAATGAAACCGAAGGACCGCACACCCATTCCAGTTGAACTCCATACCAAGCCCACAACATGGCCCACCATCCACGGATTCCAAATGGCCTTGATATCCCATCTGCTATGGATATCCAGCGATGATAGCCGTCCAATTCAACTCCTTTACTACTCAGACATATCCTTCTGATGCCGTGCCATAAAGAGGGGCGGCGTATCCAGCATCGTTAAAGACAAAGAGCGGTGATCTGCTCTTAAAGACCGGCAGGAGGGCTCTCACACGTCGGTCATCTCCGTGTCGACAAGCTCTGCCACGGATGGGCCGACCATGGGTCCCCAATTGCCTTCGAAGACCGTTGCACCAGCAGCGCGGCGGCTCGAGATCCAAGCCACCGGTGTGAATGCCAGCAGCTGTTCGGCAGTGGGGCGAATGGCGGGTTCCGGCTGGATCATCCATTTGACGAGGTTGTCCAGAGAATGGGGGTGGTCCGGATCCAACATGAACTCGGGCGGGTGCTGCAGCTCCGTTCGTTTTTGGGCGCCAAAGAGATTGCTTGCGTCATGTGTGGTAGCTCCGAAGGCGAAAGAGTCGCGTCGTCTGGTGCTGATTCCAAGGCCGACGTCGTGGCCATCCGTTACCTGAGAGATGCCGGAGTCGTGTTCAATAGGCAATCCCTTGGCATCGCGAGCAATGACCCCGGCCTCGCCGCATGTCAGCGTTGCGACCGTGCTCAGGTCACCGTTCCGTAGGGCCTGCCAAGTCGGGCCGTTATCAGGCATGAACACGTTGCACGCGATCTCTAGGATGACTAGGCCTAGCGAGAAGATGTCGGCGGGCTTGTCAAATTTGCCGCGAAGGATCTCCGGGGCGATGTATTCGCGGTCACCCTCGCCCTCATGGCCCTTGGGAGCTGGCAATGGAGTCGCGAGGCCAAAGTCGCCGATCTTGACGTAACCGTCAAACGTTATGAAGATATTTGCAGGCTTGATATCGAGGTGAGCGAAATTAGCCTGGTGGATGGCCGATAATCCCTAGAAACTTGTGTCAGCAAATATGACATGACATGTCTGTAAGATCTATAAGATGTCTGGGCGCTACGTAAACCTTACCTGAGTCGTCTCCAAGAGTATCTTCCAGATTCTGAAGTCATCCAATCGGCCGGCCTGTCCGACATCCTTCAAAAACCCGTCGAGGCTGCCCTCAGAGCAGTACTCGGTCTGGATGTAAAGGTGGCCATTGTGCTCCCAGCTGTCGATGAGCTGTATGACTTTGCTCGAGTGGCGCAGAGACGCCAGGATGGCAACCTCTTGAAACTTCGCCTGGCGTGCCCTGACGTTGTGGACGGGAATCCGAAGCTTCTTGACGGCATAAACCCTGCTCTGATCCGGGCTGGATGGTGTCCGGGGCGACGTTGAAAATGCCGTCATGAACGAAGCAGGAGCCGAGTACTTGACAACGCGGTACACCTGGGAAAACTCTCCTTTGCCGACGACATCCGACCTGTCGAACCGAGCCATCAGAGACTCGTCGAGGTCGCTTGGACCATGCCCATTCTGAGGAGTGATGCTCACTCGGCGGCCGGTCAGGCTCGAGAACAGCTGCCGTGTCTCCGAGTTGCTGGGCGTTGCCGGCGTTCCGACTAGCTTCGCGTGACCGTTCGAGATCGACAGACCACTAGGGTCGGGCGGCGCCATCGATGCCGCTGCGGCGTGGGACGGCGTATGAGGCGATCCAATCCTCATGTTGAGGGGGCTGGCGGTGAGCGCAGGGTCGACTCTGGCATAGTGATTGGCCGCGTTGTTGACTGTCGCGAAAAAGATTGGGGATGTGCGGGCTGGCGCAGGTGTAGTAAACGGTACTGGATGTGTGCGGCTCCCAGCCAAAGAGGCGAACGAAAAGCCCACAGGGGGCGATGAATCGTAAACAAAAGGAGTGGAAGGACGAGCAGCGCCGCCCTCGCCTGCTCGCTCGTCCTTGGTTGACGCGCCTTGCCGGTTCTCCGACTTGTAAACAGCGTCAGCACCTTTGGGGTCGCTTCCCAAAGAAAACAGTGGCGCGCGGGCCGAAAACGAACGGAAGTCGCCAGGCGACTGGACGCCTTCGCCTGGGGTCGTTAGCGACTTGAAGAACAAGTTCTTCGTCGGGGTCGGCGGGAGCTCGTCATGCACCCCAGCTAAATCATCACCATCTAGACTCAGCGCGCTTCCCTTCCTAGCATGGCTGGAGTTAGCCGGTTGGAAAAGGAGGTTGCCGGACTTGTCCTGGCTTCCGAACAGGTTTCCCCGGACGGGCGCGCCGACCAAACTGAAAGGGGTGGACGGGCTCCCAAAGGAAACTCGGGACCGTCGCCCGCCGCTGCCGCTTCCCGGCGGAAAGGTGGCCGAGCTGTAGGGCTGCTTTTTGCACGGTGTATCCGGCATCGTGGTGATCGTCGATCCGGGTTGCTGAAGACTACCATCCCGGTTGCGGTTCATCTTCGAAACAAGACCGGTCGACATGAAAGCCGCCTGTAGTGGCTTGGCATCTTTATATTGAGGTGTCGCAGTCGGTTTCGAATCATCCAGCGGCCGTTGGGAGCCTGGAGGCAACGACTTTGAGAAGTTGTGTAAGGCCCGCCGCCGCTGGCTCACAGGTGCGACGGCAATGTGGGTTGCCGTGTCGTCAGGGAGGTCCGGGCCAGACGAGGATTGAGTTATAGCCCGAGACAGAGGATGAGGCTGGTTCGCGGACCGGTGGAATGGATTGGCGGCCAGATGTGACTGGGGCTCCTCGGAGAATGGTAGTCTCCGTTCCTCCGGCGGAACATACTGATCCAGAGAGAGTCGGGGCCTGGCCCGAGGGCTTACTGTATCGGCCTCGGGTGTGAATTGCGCCAGCTGCTTCTCCCCTGCACGGCGACCCAAAGATGATCGGTTCTCGCCATGCCGCTGCTGAAGTGTGCTCTTGCGCAGCGAAGTCGTGCGCTTGGGCAGCGCTGACTGTGTAGGCGAGCCAAGAGGGTCCCGGAACGGCGACCCGGACGATCCAGTTAACTGGTACTCATGGTTCCCATCGTCATGAATGTCAAAGCTTTGAGGAGGCGCGGAGGGCTCATCAACGGCGGCTAGTTCGCCTTCGAGACTTGAAATGCCGTGGAGACTCCGGCGCTTCGCCACTGGGCTTCCCATGCTTGCCTGCCCCAGACTCATGGTCGCGTCGCTGCGCTTCATAGGGCTGACGGTGATGGACTGGAACGTCTCGTTGTTCATGTCGAGAAATTTCGAAACGCCGCTCTTTGTTGACGTCAACACGTCGAAATTGGTCGAGTTCCGCATTGGCCGCTCAAAGCTGCGACGATGCGAGGGGCTTGACGCGATATGGAAATCGGTCGGGATCGCGTTTTCTTGACCGCGTACCTCAGCGCCGAAGGCGGCCGGAGGCATTTGATTGCCAGAATCTGGCGCAGAGCCGAAAACGCGCTTCAGGGGGCTTTTCGGCGACACGCGCGATCGGGAGAGAGGCCGATTTACTTGCTTTGACCTCGTAGAGCGAACGGCTAGCTTGATGTTGGGTCTGAAAGGTGTGCCGGTCGCGGGCAACTGAGGCGCCGAAAACGAAATGGGCGAAAGCGGCCGGGCCGCAGGTCCTGCGGGCGTTGCGGGAAGTGATGTGGTTGCGGAAGGCTCTGACTGCGCGGCAGGTGACGGCACTGGTACTGGTGGCTGGCGGAAGACTGCTGACTTGGCGGGAGTTGGAGAGGCAATTCCCGACAGCCTGAATTTAGAAGGTGATCTCGAAAGAGACCTCCGCAGGGAGCGAACGGTTGCGCTCACGTCGACGTGATGAACGTGTGTCGGCGAAGGCAGTGTGAGTGTGCCGCCGCTTCCGTTGGAGTATGACATCGTTGCTCCGACTTAGTGCGGAAAGCGGTGCGAACCGCAAGGCAAGCGCGTAACTCGAAGCACTCTGGGCCCTAACGACGATCGGCCAGGCGATGGGAATGCTCGCAGAGAGAATGCGGCTTTCAAGATGCGAAATCAGCCGATGGCTAAGGTCGGGAAGATGGAGGAGAGTTGGTTGTTTTGCTAGAATGTTCGCTGGCGGTTCGCTGTGAGGCGGTTGTTGCGAGGCCAGGCAAAGTTAAGCAGCAGATGGGGCCGCGTGGACAGGTCGGATTATATCAGTTCGCCATCAGCAACTTCGATAGCGCCTGCCTGCTACCCAAGCCGCAAACAAGTTCTCCAATGCTCCTGCCTCAGGTGTTACCAGTTATTCGCCACAAGCATACCACAGAGAAGGGACGGTCGACTGGGGGTGGATATCGTCGGAGCAAGGCTTCCACACCTTTTCGGTTGGCGATAACGCGCGGGTGCGCCAGGATGCTAGTTTGCGATGCGATGCGATCGGCGGGGTTGACGCAAGGGAGAAACAGTGATGCAATGAGGCAGAGACAGCCACAGGAATCTGACAAGCAGTCCAAAGGAATTGAGAGAGGCGACAATATCGTCAGACAGGACTTTCGATATCACATTTCGTGTTCAGACTGGAAAGGAGCGTGAAGGAGGGTAGATCACGCGGCAAAAGCGCACAAGAAAGATGGAGCGCCACCTTGTTTACACGGCGCATTTGACGCGTCTTCGCGTTTAATCAGCGCGTTTTGGCAGGGGTCCTTGTCGTGCCTGACGTTTAGCGTTAGCGCGGTCTTCTCCACTCCAACCGGCAGGGTCGAGGGTGGCGTGGTGGCTGCGCCGTTCTGCAACTTCCCCAAGCTGCATCTCGGCCATCCTTCCCGCCCGGGAGAAGAGAGGAAGACCCATCGGATTATGAGGGTCACCATTATGCGAGCCGCCACGGTCACAAGAAGCAGACAGCCGGAGACTCAGAGCATTGACAGATGACCTGGAAGCATACAATATTGATCTAGTCGGTTGTTAATATATGTACCTCACCGCTTTAAGCGAGCCAGTAACTGCGGCGTTGAGGGGTTCGTACTGTACACAACTGGATTGAAACTCCAAGCGGTGAAATTTTCTATCTCAGTGGTAAGTAAAGACAGACAATCCTTGATCTTTGAAGCTTGGTCAGTCTTCGGCTAGCATTCAAAGCCAATTAAGACCAGTGCGTAGGAACGGTAGGTATGCGGGGAAATGCACGATAGGTTCACACCGCTCCAACGTTCACCTCCCCGCTCACATAGACGCCGCTAGGAACACCAACTCGAGTCACTCTTTTCCCAAGAATTGATAGCCTCGCATCTAAGAATGCAGGTTCGCACATGAAACGTGATCGTGCGGCTGTCACATGCCAAAAAAAAGAATGCTGTGTCACAGTCGGTCCTCATTGTGCCTCATAGACGACCTAAAAATGTAACCAACTCTGACCACCTTTGAGGGCCTCTTACTCGACCACATTCAGGCACCTGCCTGGAAGACGAAACAGTCATCCTGTTAGGCCAATGCCCATGGGCCTCCTTTCTGAGTCAGGCACAAAATACTCAGCTATGGGCTTGTCGCAGGCTTCTGTCCTGTTGTTTTGTTGTTTTTGTTTACTTTCACCAGACGCGTCAAAAGTAAACACCGGAAGTTCTCTTCCAGGACCCCGTCAAGCCTCTCTGGTCATCCCAACTCCCAAGAGTCCCAAATCGGGCGAGGAACACGGAAGTCGCGGAATCGGAGCAATTCCATTCGAAGACTTCAGCGCTATCACAACCTGCAAGTCTCAAAAAAGGAAGCCCACCACTTCAATGGTCTTGTCCGACCTTTTCTTTTTTCCTGCCAGGTCCCCTGCTCCACTCCCCCTCTTTCCTTCAACGGTCACGGGTTTCCCACACGCAAGGGGACGGACCCAAGCATCCGACTGGACGGCCGCTCACCGACCCTGACCCTGATCAGCACTACCTTAACCCCGGGGGACAAGATCAACCACGAACAACCGACCCAGTGGCACCCAACCACCTCTTTTCAACTGACTGCCTCTGTGTCGCGTCTCCGCGAGTGACGACCACAGCACCGTACCTCCGTACTAGTAGTGTTCAATTAACAAGCCACTTTCTTTTACCTCTCTGATCGCTGCCAGAACGAAGCTGTACAATACATAGAACCCTCTCGTCAACGCAGTTGATGTGCACAATGGGACAAGTATGTAGGTGGTCTGAGCGGAAATCCTTGGAGAGCTGACATCTGATGACGTCTCTGGGGTTGACCCCTGTTTCTTTCTGCAGCAGTCTGTACGGCGCTGTACGTAGTGCTGATCTGATCTTGAAAATCTGCATGTCTTGGCCTCCATCCCGTCCCGTCCCCAACAAAAGGGTTCCTGTCATCCATGCGTGTTAGGTGCTTGCTTATTATAAGACGCTGTGCTTTATACACATTATAGTACTGTACATTAAAGTATGCCGATGACGCACAAAAGTACTTGTGCAAGCGATCAAGTCCAGTTGGTACACATTATTATCGTTCATTATCTAAGTGACGGTTTCCTTTTTTCCTGTCCAAGTGAGGCGTTTTGTAAACACCGCGCGCGACTGTGCGTCATTGAGATCGTACCCTAGGTACGCATCCAAATCCGCAGAACAGATGTGCCCGAGAAGCAGACCATCGAAGAAAGAGGGTGAGACATCAGTTCACTCTGTAACCCCAATGATGCCATCAGTGACGTCTGAAGCCAACCCTCCCAGTAGAGCCAGGGGTATCACCACCCCCCGGCCTCGGAACAAAACATGCAGCCAGCATTCCATAACTGTGCATTATGGACAGTGCCACGCCCCGAGGCCGCCCTTCCCCAGCCTACCATGATGTAATTGTTCGAAGAACCCCTGTCGGCCAATTCCTCCTCCTCCAGAAAGCTGGCTATCCCGAAAGGCCCCTAGTACTGTACTGTAGTGTACTGGATGTAGGATCCCCGCCCAATCCTGTCCCAAACTTCGCAAAGCCCCAGTTCAAGCCCACCTCGTCCGAATGAACTCCACCCACTTCCCAATGTCCTCAGTGTACTCCAGCAGCGCGCCGATATCCTCCACGCGCCTCTGCCGGCCGTTAGGCGCCATCACATTGCTCTCGTCGAGCACGTCCTGCGCCACGACGCTCAGGTGGCCGTTCTCTTGGATCTCGAGCGTGACGTCGGCAGTCTTGTCTGCCCGAAAAGGGAAGATGATCTGCAGGCGTGGAACGGGCAGCAGGGTCAAGGAGATGTCGACTTGGAGCGGCTGTTGTAGTAGTTGTTGTTGTTGTTCCATGTCCGAGTCTTCGGGAGGATGGGTAGGTTTGTCTGTTGTGCCTATGAAGTTGGTGAAGTCGTCTTCATTTGTGGTCGTTTTGTTTGTTGTGCCTCTTGTTTTGGTGGACGGCTCGCCGTTCACTGTGGAAGAGCGGTCTTGTGCTTCCTTGACAAAGCTCTGCTCCAGTAACCTGGCGAGGAAGACGTACTGTCGCAAGAACGGAAGGATGGTAACAAGCTGCTGTGGGTGAGAGAATGTCATTTCGGTCAGCGTCCTACATAGGACTTCCTTATGGACTGCGAGGGTGTTCGCATGACTCCTCCATGACAAGTTGGACGGATCCTCTGGCGGTCCGAAAACGATCTCTTTGTTGCAACTGACGATCCTCGTCTCCTCCGAGCCGAAGGACTTCCCTGGGGGAAAGGGGATGATAAGACTGTCGAACGATACTGGCTGGCTCAGCGATGTTTCGTCCATTATGCAGCCTAGCTCCTGGATCTGCTGCCACAGGCTAAGTGGAATATGGACAGGCGGCTCAAAAGCGGCATGGAACACGACTTCGGGAAGACGGGGCCCGAGAAGCTGCGCGTCGGGCTGCATCGGATCGGCCTTTGTCTGATTGGAATCGGGAAGAAATGTGCTTTCCGGCTCCAACCAGTCGATGACAGGGCCGCCCGCATGCAGCTCATCAGGAAGAGGTGCTTTCTCGACGTTGGGGCCGATCCACCTGTCCGAGATGCGGACGGGACTGACACCGATATGACGCATGGGAGCGCAGCCGATGAGAATGCTCCAGGTCTGTTCGTGGTCTTCGACCCAAGGAGCCAAGTCCGGACTTGGCGGTGGCTGGAGCCTCCTGTCCTTCCAGTACTCGAGCGCCATACCCACTCGGCCCTTGACATTCATGGTTGGCTTGCCGCTCCTTGTGCAGAGCACGAGGTTCTCGAGGTACTGATAGGGCCGGCCGGCCAATGTAGGCTCCTGGCGGAGCTTGCGTAGTTCCCATGCGTGGAGACGGCTGAGGCTTTCGTAGATGCCGGCTACAGCCTCGTACAAATTAAGTCCGGGGTTGATGCTCAGCTTGTCCAGCACAGCGAGTCGCTCAAAGTTGGCGGCAAATCTCTCCATCGACTTGGTCAGGGGGCTTTGGTCTTCGCGCAGGCGCAGGTCGTTGAATAGAATCTCCCCCGCGGATTTGGCATGCTTGTTCACGATCTCAGCAGAGTCTGGGAAACCCAAAGTGACCGACTGGACGACGTTGCTGGAGAACTCAATGACCAGTTCGAGCGCAGAGCCGGCGACGATGAGCGTCCTCTTGCCGCTGCTGTCCATAGCACTTTCCCAGATGAACTCCAGCTCGAGCTTCTTTGCAAGCCTTTCCAAGCCCGCCTCACTAACCAAGCCCTTGTTCCTCTTCCAGCGATGCATTAGTCGGAGCGTGGCCCGTAAGTTCAGGGCAAACTCACACCAAGGACTGCAATAACAGCGTCTAACCGCCTCGCTCTCTCATCCTCATTGGCTCTGCCCAGTTGAACAAGATTTCGGAGATTGACGTCTAAACCGGAACCCATCTCCAGAGCGGCGGCAGCAGACGGGCTCTCGAAGTTCACGGGAATGCTGGAGTTGGACCGGCCCATGGTTACTGAGGTCATGGCCGCTGGAGACTTCTTGACCTGCTGCGGTGATGACCGCGGGCCATGCGGCGACAGGGCTGCCTGGGCCATCGAGAACGGTGTCGAGACTTGGGGAGTCGCCGCCGCCCCATGATGGGGTTGCGAGGGGGTCTTGCCCTGCTGCGACAGGGAGTTCTTTGGAGTCGACATGACTGGTCGGTCTTGGTAATTTTGATGTTACCAGCATTCGAATGCAGATGTCGCGGGGTGACAGGAATGTGAGCGACTGCCCAAGAACAGTATAAGCGCAAACGGAGAACTCGCCTGGCTGAGTTGCAAAGCCACAGCCAAGAAAGGGCAAGCTGCTGTCCACCACAAGTTAAATATCCATCTCTGTGGAAGGGGCTTGAGGAATTGCGCGCAATTCGCGTCGAGTTCAGATCAGCTATAGTAATGGCGTTCGCCGGCACCGAGACAAGTACGAACGTTGTGATTGAAATGAATGGCACGAATGAGTGTCTTTGGTTACTAACTTGGATGTGAAGAGAGCTTTGTTGGGCGTCTAGATTCCACAATAGAAAACCAGCCACGAACCCTAACCCTACAGACAGCATCCGTACTAGTAGTAGCTTGGCCTAAGACTCTGTACCAACATACCGGTAGGTTAACAATGAAAGCTGGCTATCAGCGTAGCAGAGTTGATGCACCTGCGAGTGAGTTCGAAAGTTGTCCGCAAATACCTTTTGGGTTGCCTTTTGGGACTGATGCTCGGCCCCACGGGGCCTCGGACTCTATCAGGTGATTCACTCATATATAATCCTAACCCCAGCTCTCTGATAGACTAGCTCTCTTTCTCCCTTACCTCTTATCTTTCTTTTCGTTTTGTTCCTCTTTTTCCTCCTTTCCCTGTCATTGTATACTCGTTCTGTTCCTTGCTTCGTTGTTTCTTTTTTCTCTTTTGTTCTTTCTCCTCGTAACTTATGCGTTATGTTTTCTCTTCCTCTCCCTGTGGTTTCATGGTCACATCCTCGGAGCATCTGATTAGCTCAGTCATCAATGGCATACATTGAGACAAAATGATGATCAATGATCACACTCTTCATCCTCCAATCCCATGCAGACACAAGACCATATCATCCGTCTGATCCCCCCTCGTAACATTCAATCCATTCACCGACACTCTTACCCACCAGTCCCTCTCCAGCCGCGGATTGCCCACCCTCTCCGCCACAGTAACAACAATACTGCCGCTGCCAGCGAGCGCGTCCACCATGGTAAACCCGCACGCTCGCACGCGGGGCACGATGGCGTCGACATACTCCTTGGGCGTGCGCGTCACGGTGACGATGGTGTGGCAGTCGCTAGTCGTGCACTTCCTGCTGCAGCTGCGGCTCGAGCCGCTCCCGCTGCTGCTGCACGAGGTGCTGCACCGCTGGTCGCAGTCCCGGCGGTCGTAGCAGTCGCCCAGCCAGCCGTGCAGGACGCCCGCGATGGTGCCGTTGGGTGACACGAAGAATTGGTTCCAAGCTGGCTCGTGGCCTGTGCAGGGGTAGGCGGAGGCGCCGGAGGGCGAGGTGGAAAGGATGGTGAGGGAGGCCGTGGTTGCGGTCGCGAGGGAGCTGAGGCTTGTACGGGGCTGGCTGCCGCGCCGGGATGAGCTGCTGCTGCTGCGGCGTGAAAGGGGTCGATCGTCGTTGTTGGTGGGCTGGTGGTGGTGGTGCTTCTCGTCCTTCCACATTGCTGGACGGCAGATGGACCACTTCTTCCCGTTGGACGACTTTTCTGCTTTTGCTGCCTCCTGTTGTGCCTTGCTCGTTGTCAGGCGGCGCCACACCACGTAGGTGATCACGCCACCCACCACACCACCCAGGACAGTCAGGACGATGATAGCCAGCTGGTTGCGGTACGACTGCTTGACTCGCTCCAGCTCCACGCCCATCAGCAACTGTGCCACCGCCATGAGACAGGCCTCGGGGTATCTGTCTGCTGCGGCCCAGTTCCACATCTCTTCGCCGGCGCAGATGATGCCCTTGACCTTGGCCTGCGCGGTGAGTTGGCATGCGTTGTAGGCAAAGCTGGGGTCACTGCAGTCGTTGCAGCCGTAATAGCACGCATCGTATGCCGCAGTACGGGCGGTTTGGAGCCATCTCGACTTGTCGCCGTCCACGCTGGCATTGGCGATCAGGTTCTGAACCCGGGAGACGAGCGCATAGGTCGTGCCGCCGGTAATGGCTCCGCCTACTAGGAGGGCAAGGGGAATCGCGAGGCGGCTGAGGCCGAACCGCTCTGGCAGTGTATCCCGCTTTTCGGAAAAGTCGTCTGGACCGTCCCGTCCCGACGTGTCAATGCCGTCGCGGACAGACTCATTGCTGGAGTCTGATGGTGACCTTGTGGATCGAGCCTCTGGAGCTGTTGAATCTCCAGCCATGGGCTCCCCCATCGTGTAAGAGGGTGGGTAGGTCTCTACTGTGAGACGCCGAAACTGGAGAGGTTTGATTATTCCGCTCGGGATCAGGTATCAGCACCTCAGAGTCAAGACCCAAGAGAGCAACCCCAGGGGAAAGCAGGCTTTGGCCAGGCCGTCCCACGACAGCATAATGAAGACTCTGAAAAGAATCACTAGTTTGGTTGTTGCTTGTCAGCTGAAGACGCCGCTCATCAACGGGGCCAGGATATCCCCAATGGTCGGGCCATGGGGCTGAACAAGCTTCTTGGCGCCGGTAGATAGCCCGGATCTAGACCGCCTTAGCCCTCTCTAGTCTCTACGACTACCGAGAAGAAGAGTCAACGGAAACTTTCAGACGTGGCGACTAGCCTAGGAATAAGGAAGTGCGCGGCACGCTAAGTCAAAGCCCTAGGAGGTGAGTCGTGAGACAAGGAGGAACAGCTCCGAAATGTCTTAAAGGAACAGACATCGCCAACTGTAAGACTAAGACATAGAAACCTAGTGAATCACAGTATAGTTACAGTCAGCCTGTAACGTCACTTGGCAGGGACAGGCCGATGGTGGTATGAGCTCTTAGAGCTTTACAGAAACACCAACCAAGCAAAGGCTGTTGTTGAAAGACTCCGGCTTGAGATTGGGTTTGCTGTTCGACGCTCATGCTGCTAGGTCCTTGTCGTCCTTCTTCCTCGTTTCTGCTGTTGGGATTGGAGCTGTCATTTCAATACTGCGCTCCCTGGTGTGATGAAACGGATGCCGGGCATCGTGGAAAAAGGGTGTGATGACTGGGTACGAACAACCTCCGTTCTGCATGCAAGGGATGTTATACTCTCCTCAGCCAATACCTGACTCGTTGATTCTGGATAGCAAATAAAGCCAACAACAGGGCAAAAAAAGCAACTACTAATTACACTTCACTTTCAAAAGTTTTCAAAGCAAATTTGTAGGGACGGCCCTCTGATCTCGTCTTTATCTAGTCTACTAGTGCAAGGAGCCAAAAGCATTTGCAGAGTTGAATCAGACACTTATGTATATATTAGAGTGCTAGATAGTAGGTAGGTATAGTAGGCTGCTGAGGTCGTATGCAGCGTGTGAGCACGGAAGGGCTCACCCGGCTCAGTACATTACCCAGCATGACCCTCCCGCTTCCACGCAAAGAAAATGTGATTCCTTTTGACTGTGTCCCATGGTGTAGTGAGTAGTTGTCCTGTACTTTATTTGGATGCCTTATGTTTGTCTCTGAAGACTAGTTGATACTATGACGCTGATGGACGACACCAATAAAGAACGCCTATCATTTATAGTCTTCCGACTCTTGCTCTAGTCTATTTGGTAGCTCACCCTGATTCGGCCTTCCTATCGTCAGTCGCTGAGATGGATCCAAAGCCGCTCGAGAGAGCTCCCATTCAAGAAGTGGATGAAAACTGCCCAGACGACAAATACCAACAAACACCAGGAAATGGAACAGCAAGCTATGACCTGGAAACCCTCGTCACGTGGTCTGCTTCAAAAGCTTCCGGCCGAGATCTTGATCATGATCTGCGGGTATGTGCTGGAGGAGATCAAAGATGGAAAGAGGGCCTCAAATGGCCGGCGGGACTTGATTTAGCTGGGCAAGACATGCAGATGCTTGTACCACCCTGCTCAACAACTTCTCTACCGGGAGATCACGAGGATTACCGCCCGTATAAACCTCGGCAAACTGGTTTGTCGTCCCTTCAAGCTTGCCACACAGCATTGGTAGAAGACAAGTCCTGACAAGGTTGGGCTTTAGATACGTTCGCTTTGGCGAAACCCGAGCCTCGGGGCTTTGATCCACCATATTGGTCTCCGCGAGAATTCCTTTTACGGAAGCAGTAACCACAACTTCTGGTTCATTTCGAGAGCGGCGAGACGATTCTTGGGCCTGGGTCTCCGCAGAGGTTCCCCATCATATTCTCCTTTCACAGCGGAGTGGTGTCGTCGTAGCGCGGTTCCCATGTTTCTTCTCATGTCTATGGCGCCTAACCTGAAGTCGGCGGTTATACACGTCCGTAAAGGGTGGAAGGCAGACAGCTTTGCTCTCGAGCTCGCTCATTCCCGCAACCCACCGAGGATGACCTTCCCTAGCTTGACCAGCCTTGTGCTATGTAGCACTAGCCGCTACCCCGAGGACCGCAACCAAGCCTTTGAAGAAAGCTTTCTTTGCGGCCTTCTGGCCGCCGCTCCCATCTTGAAGTCTCTCGAGCTCGAATGCTTTGTCTTCCTGGAAGCACCTCATCCTCTTCTAGCCCCCATGACATATTCATATCCACCTTTACCACCCAGTGGCATCACATCTTTGAAACTCAGATACGTCGAGATTTCCGCCGCCTATCTTCATCACATCGCTCGGAGGTGATCGCAACTAAAGAGGATTTCCTTTACCGTGACGCCAGCGGTCAACGCAGCGGCCACACCTGGATCCGTACCGTCTCCCTGTACACTCCGAGTCAGCTCCTAGAAGCTCTTTCTCCGCTGGCCGAAACACTGGAGAGTGTCCATCTTCAATTCATTGACCTCGGACAACTTTCGATCTCGCCGCAAGAAGCAGACCGCCTGTCAACAAATGCATTGAATGCATTGATTACCAGCATCACGCCCTTCCGAGCTCTGAAAGGTTCTCGGCATCGCGTACCGAGCCTGGCCTTCCTCGAGTCTTCTGCTCGGCCTGGTCAGGGCCTGTCCACAGCTCCGCGGCCTCCTTGTCCATTCAAGGCGCCTAATCCGAAAGGGGACGTGATCCGGTTCGAGGATGCTGTTTCGAAAAGACACATTCCCAACGCGTTACGGGAGGTCAGGCTCTACGGCGGCCTGTCCGGCTTGCATGCCTCGGGCTGGGTTCCCACAGACTGGAGCATTCCCCAGGACTCGATTCGGAATCGCCCACCGTACCCCAAAAGAACGTACCGGAAAGGAAGCATCCAAGTCATATCCCTGAACAGCACGTACAAGATTAAAGAAAGAGCCTTCGAGGAGCTGGAAGCAGAAGTGTTGTCGGGATGAAGATGCAGGGGAATGGAGAAGAGATACCTGGAGTAATTCGAGGAGGTACAATACAATACAAGCCGTTTCAGGGGCTTTCTTTGTCTTTGAGGAAGACCCCATGGCTGCAGCAATCGCTTCATACCTGTAGTCTCTGAGAGGGCCGATTCAAGGTATTCAACCTCTGAGGGAGTGCGCCTCTCATAAGTACCTAGGCTGAAAGATCTTGCCCCAGGCCCCGGGTATGGTTAGAACTTAGCGGTTAAGGTTCATTCCGCCACCCCTAACAGACGCGCCTTGGTTTGGGGTCAGCGGTAGGGCTTCAACTTATCTGGTTAGGAATTCGGGCATGTTACATAGGAAAGTCGGCGATGAGTGAGACCTTTTTTGTTAATGTTATGAATGTTCGTTCTCTCTAAGTCCCTAAAGATCGTGCAGCCCCGGCTGAGGTATTGTATTGTAGGTAACATCAGCGACCGGGCTTTTGACCCAATCAGAGGTTAGAGCTCTAAACTTTGGACCCACTGGACCTGGATAGCACCCACCGGAACGTACGACGGAATAACGTTACATGTATCATCATATGTGTACAGGTATGTACTGTATTGTACTGTACATACATACCTTAGGTACTCGAACATGCACTTCCAAGCTTCATACTCCTAGACATCGGCGCCATCTGCGTCCGCTGCACACTCAACGATATCTCCTTTCCAGCTCATCATCGACTCCAGCCGCTACAGCAGCAGCGGGCTCTGAGACACTTGCAGCTTGTCGTCATGAACGGCATGAACGGCGGCAACATGCCCGGCGCCATGGTCGGCTTTCCCACTCCGGCCGGCCACCAAGCCGAGCTCAATTACATCTACGGCATGGTAGAAGAGCTCAGCCGTCAGCTCGCCGAAAACCAGCGCACGTTGGAAGAGGTCGTCGCCGGCGTGGGGCGCGTACGCAGTCACGCGAAAGCACAACAGCTTGGGAACGAGGAGCTGATCAGCGGAGCAGCTGATGAAGTGAAAGGTTGACATTTCACTTCCTCCCTACCCCTTCCTCCCTCCCCCTTCCTCCCTCCGGCTTCTTTAGCCCTTCCTTGCACATCGTTGCTGACTCGGGACTCCAAAACAGCCCAAGAACCCAACCTCGACACGCTGATCTCGATCCTCTCCGAAGCGCTCGAAAAAGCGAAGTTCTCGCGCGACGCCAACGCCGCGCTGCTCAGCCAGTACGCGTCGGCGCTCGCGGGCATGCTCAAGCAGTTCCACGACTACAAGGCCAAGCACGTGGCCGACGTGGCGGCCTGGCACCGCAGCTACCGGGCGCAGCTGGCCGAGGCGCGGGCCGAGAACAGCCGGCTGCGCGAGCAGATCTGGGAGATGCAGGCGCGCGCGGGCGCCGCCAACGAGATGCTGCGCCGGTTCCGCACACGCTACGACGCCGACGAGGCCCGCTGGGAGCGCCGCGTCGAGGCCAAGGCCGTGCGCCAGGAGCTGCGCTTCTGGAAGCGCATGGCCATGCCGCACCTGGAGGACGACGACTCGTGCTGGAGCGACGACGACGATCTGATTGATGTGGCCGAGAAGAAGAGGCTGGAGGAAATGCAAAAGCTGGCCGCTGAGCAGCAGCTGGCGGCGGCCGCCGCCGAGTTGGGAGATATTGTTGGGGGAGGAGGAGATGATGGCGGGGTGCCGCCTGAGGTGCCGTCCGCGCCGGTCCCGCAGAGCATGATAGGCGGGGTGCCGATGCAGAGGGACGATGGGGGAAGCATGATGCTGCCTATTCCTCCGCCAAGGCCATCGAGTGTGGCGAGCAGTACGGGGTCGTCGGGGCAATGAGCACCTGGTTTGCCCTTATGATGTTTCTGGTCAAGTTAATGTACGAGTAAAGGCCACTCTTATGGGTTCTAGGTGCACGATGGATGATATTGGAGCCTGGATGGCGTCGGAGGGGATGGCGTTTAAAAGGAGACTGGCTGCGATTTTACGGATGATATCCCGATCACTGTACGGCAGGGGTCCATAGCAAAAGGAAAATGGATGTTCTTGGGATAAACAAGGCGATGTTACACATCATCCCTTATCCCTTAAGATTGCGGACTATGACACAAATGTGCTTTCAGAATAGGCCCAGGCAGGACGTAGGCTAACGTTTGTCGAACCCAGTCTGCAGACCCGTGGCTGAGTGTCACTTGGCTCGGTGTCTTTCTCGCAGGATCAAACTCGACGAGCTGCAAGGGCAAGGACTCGCAGCAACGTCGCCTGTACCGGTTGGGTGGGAAAATCCGCCCGAGATTGCGAACACTTTGTCTCATCTTGTAGCCATCGGTAAGGGAAGCGTCCATGAGAGAGGTCTGCCCTGATAACGAATCACGAATACTGGCACGGGCACCAGCGCAGAAGACATCCATAGTGCAGGACAACTAAAACCTAGCATTTCCCCAAGCGCGCACGCCGTACTGTTTAAACCTGCCAACGACAACTACAAACTCCGGAAAATGCATATTAAGCCCAACCATCAAGCACAAAGCCCAAATGAAAACGGATCATAATATTCCCTTTCCTTCCCAGCCCAACCCCCTATATCAAAACAAACCCACCAAAGGCTTACACGCGACTACCTTAGTAACCATCCTGCTCCCTCCTAAAGTCAGCCCCATCAGCCCCATCATTCTCAGCCAGCTCTCCAGCGTCCTTGATCGCCTGATCATCACCCCTGAGCTTCGCGAAGTACTCCTTGATGTCCTCGGCGCTGATGGCCTGCTTGCTCTCGGCAAACTGCTGAAAGAAGGGCATCAGCTTGTCCTTGAGGTGCTGGTACGCCATTACGCCCTCGATGGCGCGCACGCGGTCGATATTGCGCAGTGCCGCCTCGCCGCGGTCGTATAGGCTGCTCACCACGGAGCCGCTGTCCTCCGACACCGGCGGTTCATAGGTCTCTTCCTCTTCCAGAAGCTGCGGGTGGGGTGCCAGCAGCGGGAAACAGGACCGGCAGTGGCAGAGGTGCGACCTGAAGGACTCCGTGAAGAAGAGCGAGAACTGCCCTGATGGTGCCGGAGGAAGGGTTGACAGCTTGCAGGCAGGGGATGATTCCTTTGAGGCTTCGGTGGCGGGTGCCGAAGTGCTGGGGATCTCGGTGGATTGAGGAGCAGTGTCAGTGGCTTCGCCAGCGCCCTTCTGGCGTTTTGAGGCCTGGGAATCGGTTTCGTCGTCTTCAGCTTTGCGCTTCCGAGATTCCCCATTCAACTGCTCGTTATTGAGAAGAGTGCCTGGTGGACTGGACCCCTGAGTCGCATCCGCGTCACCCTGCTTGGAGAAGACCGGAGCCAAAAACCCAGGACTGCCGGCGTATCTCTTGATCCAGGGATGAGCGTCAACGCACTTGTAGCAGAGGAAGCCGTCGAAGTCGTCCTCGGACGGGAAACCGGGTGGAGGCGGCGGGTCGTCATCCTCCTCATGTTCTCCTGCTTCCCCAGGTGGGACGTCGCCGTTCTGCTCTGTCGCGTCCGCATCCTCTGCAATGACTGGCAGCGCGCCATTCGGCTTAGAATCCTTAGCCTCCGCCTTCACCTTGGTTTTGGGCATACTCTCAAACCACCTGGGACCCAAGCCAACAACACAGCCAGGGTGCCACCAGTCCTCGCCACAGCCACCCGTCTCATGCGTTCCAAGGCCTAGGCATTGGAACATGGTGCCTTTTTGCTCCAAGGGGTCGTATTCGCACTTGCAACCACAGAAGCGGTTGCGGAAGTTTTGGTTGTACTTGTTGTTTGTGTTCGGCTCCTCGGAGTGTACGCCTCCCTTGGCGTTGGTCTTCGGGTTGATGCGTAAATTGCAGGGGGCTGATTCGGGGAACCGTGTTGTGCCGCAGTCGCATGTGAAATTCCGCTTGTTGAAGATTTCCACGAGTGTATGCTCGCCGTGGCACTGCACGGAGCATGCATAACACACACCGGCTGCATTGTAGGCGTCTGAGGGGTTCGTGGGAGGTGGGTTGCAGGTCAAGCATGCAAAAACGCTTTGGCGGAGCGGACCCAGTGGTTTCGTACAGTGATCGATGCTCTGAAAGCAAGTCAGCTAAGGGCGGACATGTCTGAAGAAAGCGGTCATACATAGGGCAAGGCTTCGCGCGCGTCCGCCTCAAGTTGCATCTGATCTCGAATGATGCTGGGAGCAGAAGTTAGATTCCAAATCTACCACAGCAACTTGGAGCGGATCATGGACATACTCCGCTGCAGTTCGCGAGTCATCGGAACGTTGTGAGACGCTTTCGCTGCGCACCTTGGTGCGCAGCGCATCGGCGCCGTTGCAGGGAGCGGACGGCTCGGAGACGGAGGAATCCATTGTCAGAGAATGACAAGATGATATGTAGACACCTAATTGAAGAAGCTGGCGCCCAGCTCAGCTCTGGCGATACAATAGCTGAGAAATCGACCTGTGATGATCGAGGTTGTGTTGCGGGAAGGATGTGAGTTGCTTGCGGCGTTGTTGTGTAAGTCCAGACGGGACCGTTATCTTATCGCGGGGCGGCCCCGTATATAACGTTATCCTCAATCAGCAACCACTTTACGCGACCTTACAGATTGGGCTTAGCGCTGTCGCGAAAGCGCGTTTACTTTTGAGTGGACAGCGCGAAATCCAGGGGTGAAGCAAGCAGCCGTTGTTGCCCAATTCCCGTGCCCTCATTTGCATCCCCTCCACAACTCCCGGCCGGCTGCAGTGTCCTCGACCTTACAACTACGGATACAGCAATACCGTAACTATCTTCTCAGCCCATTGAGTCCTGGACTTCCTTTTTCCCAAAGCGAACGGCAATCATGAGGTGAGTTTGGGAATCTGGCACTGTGGAGCCCACCAATATTTGCAGCCTCGAGAGATGTGTTGACCGAGATGTTAGCTCCCCGCTTCGTGAGCACCCGTCGTCAGCAAACCGAGGTGTGCCGGCCGGCAGGGCAGGCCGCAAGCGTGCTCGCACAAATGGTGACGATGCCGCTTCCTCGGTCGGGGCTGCCTCCAGCCCCATCATGCCCTCGTCCCCGCCCGCCTTCAATATCGCGCACGGTGGCGACGACGAGGACGACATTGAAGAGGAGGTCGAGATCCAAGATGACATTGACGACATCGACGAGATGGCTGAGGATGATGTTGATCTGTTCCGTGAAGGCTTCGAGCGGGACTACCGCGAGAAGCCAGACGATGACTACGAGGACATTGACATCGACGACGAGGGTGAATACGAGGCTCTGAACCTGGGTGAGAGGAGGCGCCTCGAGGCCCAACTCAATCGCAGAGACCGAGAAGTTGCTCGGCGACAGCGCATCCCCGCTGCCTTCCTTCCCGGCGAGGACGACGACCGCGACATTGACCTCACGGCGCAGCCCCGCCGGCGCAGGTATCGGTACGATGAGGACCCCGATGAGGACATGGATGCCGACATCATGGACGAGGAGCTCTCGCTCGAGGCCCTGCACGATGTCAAGGCTTCCAGTCTGACCGAATGGGTGGCCCAGCCAGCCGTGCAGCGCACCATCAAGAGGGAGTTCAAAGCCTTCCTGACCGAGTACACAGACGACAGCGGCTCGTCGGTCTACGGCAACCGCATCCGCACTCTCGGCGAGATCAATGCGGAGTCTCTGGAGGTCTCGTACGAGCACCTGTCTACCTCGAAGGCCATCCTGGCATACTTCCTTGCCAATGCCCCGGCCGAGATGCTCAAGCTTTTCGACGAAGTGGCGATGGATGTCGTCCTGCTGCACTATCCAGACTACGAGCGCATCCACTCAGAGATCCATGTCCGCATCTTCGATCTCCCCGTCCACTACACCCTCCGCCAGCTTCGGCAGTCGCATCTCAACTGTCTCGTGCGGGTCAGTGGAGTCGTGACCAGGAGATCGGGCGTCTTCCCTCAGCTGAAGTACGTCAAATTCGACTGCGGGAAGTGCGGTGTCACTCTTGGCCCGTTCCAGCAGGAGTCAAACGTGGAAGTCAAGATCACGTACTGTCAAAGCTGCCAGTCGCGCGGTCCCTTCACGCTCAATTCGGAGAAGACGGTCTACAGGAACTACCAGAAGCTCACTCTTCAGGAATCCCCGGGCACCGTCCCCGCTGGCCGACTTCCTCGGCATCGGGAGGTGATCCTGCTCTGGGACCTCATCGACAAGGCCAAGCCTGGCGAGGAGATTGAGGTCACCGGCATCTACCGGAACAACTATGACGCTCAGCTCAATAACCGCAACGGGTTCCCGGTCTTTGCCACGATCCTCGAAGCCAACAACATCGTCAAGTCGCACGATCAGCTTGCTGGCTTCCGGATGACTGAGGAGGACGAGCACAAGATTCGCCAGCTCGCCAAGGATCCGCACATCGTTGATAAGATCATCAACTCCATCGCTCCCAGTATCTACGGACACACCGATATCAAGACAGCCGTCGCGCTCTCTCTCTTTGGCGGTGTGGCGAAAAAGACAAGAGGCGAGCATCACGTCAGAGGAGACATCAATGTTCTCCTGCTGGGCGATCCGGGCACTGCCAAGTCGCAAGTCCTCAAGTACGTCGAAAAGACAGCCCATAGAGCAGTCTTCGCTACCGGTCAGGGCGCCAGCGCGGTCGGTCTCACGGCTAGTGTCCGTCGGGACCCGCTGACGAGCGAGTGGACCCTGGAGGGCGGCGCCCTGGTGCTCGCCGATAAGGGCACCTGCCTGATCGATGAGTTCGACAAGATGAACGACCAGGACCGGACGTCGATCCACGAAGCCATGGAGCAGCAGACCATCTCCATCTCCAAGGCGGGCATCGTCACGACGCTCCAGGCCCGCTGCGGCATCATCGCCGCCGCCAACCCAATCGGCGGCCGGTACAACTCGACCATCCCCTTCTCGGCCAACGTCGAGCTGACCGAGCCCATTCTGTCGCGTTTCGACATCCTCTGCGTCGTCCGCGATACGGTCGAGCCCGAGGAGGACGAGCGGCTTGCCCGCTTCATCGTCGGCTCCCACAGCCGCAGCCATCCCATGACTAACACCCAGGGGACGACGGCCGGCGGCGCTGATGGCGAGTCGATGGACGTCGAGCCCGACTCCGGCCGCACCGACACGCAAGCCACCACCACCGCTTCTTCTTCTTCTTCTGCAGAGCGCAACAAGGAGGGCGAGATCCCGCAGGAACTGCTCCGCAAGTACATCCTCTACGCGCGCGAGCGCTGCACGCCCAAGCTGTACCACATGGACGAGGACAAGGTGGCCCGTCTGTTCGCCGACATGCGCCGCGAGAGCCTGGCCACGGGCGCTTATCCCATCACTGTATGTCACCCCTCCTTCCCACCCACCGCTTCAATTCCCTCAGATTATACAAAAAAACTAACGATTCTTTTGCAGGTCCGCCATCTTGAAGCCATCATCCGCATCAGCGAGGCCTTCTGCCGGATGCGGCTGTCCGAGTACTGCTCGTCACAAGACATTGACCGCGCCATTGCCGTCACGGTCGAAAGCTTCGTCGGCAGCCAGAAGGTCAGTTGCAAGAAGGCGCTTGCGCGGGCGTTTGCCAAATACACGCTGGCCAGGCCCGGTGCGGCGGGTCAGAGGAGAGCAGGCGGCGGTGCTGCGCGGGGTGGAAGACAGACTGCTGTTTCGGCTTAACAAGTTTTTCGTCTTGTCTTTTTTTGCTGTGTTTTCGCTTTGGTAAGTCTGTGGGGAGGCGTTCATGGATGTGTATGTCTTGGTTTTCGGTTCGGGGTCATATGTTGAGACGAAGCGGTTGGGTTGTGAGGAAAGCTGGGTACAGGATGGGTGGATGTGATACTGTTATTTATGGTAGGAACAATGAATGTTGTTGGTCTGCGTCAGGGGCCATCCAATATCTCAATCTATCACACTATGTTCACTTTCCGGGCCCCAATCTTCTGGAGGCAATGATGCACTCTGTGCAGTGGAACCTACGATGTGAACAGCAAATGGTTCTGTGTATGAAGAGTATTGCTCATGGCCTTACATGGCATCGACCTGTTGAAAAACCGCCAGAAAAGACTGGCTTGACTGACTTGATTATAAGGAGTTATGTTGCCGTCTGATCAACTCCCACATCATAATAAACAGTATGAATAACTCACTCCACCTCCAGCCCAGCCGAACGCCCCATTTTCGATCCTCAAGCCAGGTGTCTCTTAAAGTGAGAGAGTATTGCTTCAAACCTGGCATTCAATGAACCCCCCGCGCAAGCTGTTATTTCACCACCATCGCTGACCCGGCCTCCCTCCCTCCCATAGCTGCGTGTGGGAAATAAATAACCACACCGCTGGTTGTGCAGCGGTAGTACCTCCGTTACATACTATCAACAACACTGTCGGCCAAACAGACACAGTTTCGCACTCAGTTCAGTTCAGTCCTCCACAGCCATCTCATCCACACTCGCCGCACCACCACCACCGCCGCCGCCCTGTCTCTCCCTAGCAACGGCCTCAAGCTTGACATTAGCCCTCGCCATCTCCTGGCTCTCTACAAACCGATCCCAGTGCGCCGGATCCGCCGCCCTCAGCCGTCTCAGCACATCCAGCCTGCGCTCCTTGAAGACACTGACGACGCCCTTTTCCCTGGCCTCGGCATTCAGCTCCTCGTCGCCCAACTCTTCCAGCATCTCGTGCAGCAGCCGGGCATGGTTCGGATCGGCGCCCACCATCTCGACGCCCGACGCCAGCAGCGCGTAGTGCTCGGATCGCAGGTCCGGCGGGCCGTCGTCTCCGTCTGCGCGCTGGGCGCCGATCACGCCGGCGCGGAACTTGTGGCCCGCGCGGAGGACGCGGCCTTCTTCGTGCGCGAGCGCCCTGGAGCTGAGCGAGAGCTGCGAGTTGGAGCGGGAGAGGGACGGGGATTTGATGAGGGTGGCTACGGTGCCGTCGTCTTCGGCTTCGAAGTTGTCGTCCGAGTCTGGGAGGGTGATGGCTGCCGGGTCGTCGACGAGGTCCTCGTTTGAGACGGGGATGGACTTGTCGCTGCCTCTGTCGTCGCTGTCTTTGTTATCGCTAGGGATGCGCGTGTCGGGAAACTCGTCCTCGAAGCGCTTGATTATGCCTTTGAGCGTGTCGTCAAGGAAGATGAGGCGATCTGTATGCGGAGTAACAGGCATTTTAGTAAAGAAGTCCGCTACGTCAGGAGCTAGGGGATGGGTGAGGGACATACAGTAATTTTGGGTGTCGTCCGTGGCAGTCGCCCTGGCCTTCGCAATCGCCGGCTGCAGGCGGAGCCTGATCTTCCGTGCGCTCAGCAGCAGGTGTTTGGACGTCTCCTTGGCCTTCCCGCCGCTGGGCACGGCACGCGGGTGGACCACGCCGTTCTCTACGTCGCGGATGAACTCGCCCGACTGCCGTCTCGACTCGTCGCCGCGGTTCTTCAGACAGGCCGTCAACGCCCTGACAACGCCGGTGCCGCCAATGACGTAGTCCTCGTCCGGCGCCGCATCCACGTCAGCGTCCATGTCCGACGACCTGGCGATATCGTGACCAACCAGCCGCTGAAGCACGTCCGGGTACTCTGGCTCGGGCTTGGCGAGCACCTCGGCCTGGGCCTTAGCCGCCGTCGCGGCCGCCAGCTCCATGTTGCGCAGACAGTACGCCACGACCTGCTTGGCCAGGGCTTTGACGAGGTCGCTCGACTGTTCGCCGGGCACCTCGATCTCGAGCGCGACCAAGCTCGTCGAGACTCTGGCGGCAGCCAGCAACGAGGCGAAGAGAGCGCAAGCCTCTTCTTGGGTGTCTTCTGTCTTGGCGTTCGTCGCCAGCTTCACGAGTTGCGGGTTCTCCAGGAAGCTGACATGGGCAAGACCGGCGACTTCGGGCAGGATCTCGGCGAGCGCAATGGCCTGCTCGGGGCTCATGGCACAGTCAGCCAGGTGGATGCGTTTGAGACACGCCATCTTGGGCAGGTATCTGCAGAGATACATCATTAGCCTGAAATCTAACCGACAGAAGAGATAAAGAAAGACTTGTGCTGACTGACCTCCTCAACACGGACACGGCGCTAGGGTCCGACTCGAACAGTTCGTGATTATGCGACAGGTCGATAAAGCGAAGCCGTGCCAGCTTGGCCAAGGTCGGCAGCAGCTTGCACAGCGACGACGGGGTCAGGTTGCAGTCGGCCAGACTCAGCGCCGTCAGCGGGCAGTTGTCGACCGCCAGGGCATCCGCCAGAGTCGCCAGCCCGTCCCGCAGATCGTTGCCTCCCAGATCGAGGCCCTCGCAGAGTCCCGTCTTCAGGAACCTCGCAACATGGCCGAGCCCTTCCGCATCAATGCCGTTGTTGGCAAGGCCCAAGCGCTTAACGCCACACCGAATGATACCGTCAATGATGTACCCCAACTGCTCAGTGGTGAGGCCCGTCTGGCCAAGACTAAGCAGGCTGAGCGTCGACCCACCGAGTCTTTCCCCTAGTGACCGCGACAGCAGCTGGCACAGGCCCTGCGGCTGTTGCTTGGATCCTGCCGGCGCCGGGCTGCCGTTCAGAGATACGTGGGACACGGCCTGCCGAGGGATTTGTATCCCCGAGAGATCGAGGCTCTTCAGCGTCCGACAGAGGTAGATGAACAAACAGATATGCTTCCACCCCTCCGGACCGATCTTGTTGTTCTTCAGCACCAGCCGCTCCACCACTCCGCCCTGCTCGGTCAGGCCGTCCGGCACGGTGACCGGCCTCCGCCTGTTCCGGCCGCCGTGGGGCGTCTTCCGGGCCGCGAGCAGTCCGGCTAGGATGACACGCAGGCCCTCGTCTGTCAGGCCGCAGCTGTCCAGTATCACCTCCCGCACGGGCACGACGGCCAGGTAGTCGCCGAGGGTGATGAGGTCGGTCAGCTGCATCCAGTAGCCGCCCAGGTCGAGCTTCTCCACCACGCCGGGCTCGGCCGAGCAGTTGGCCGGGTCCATGAGCTGCTCTGTGATCTTGCGAAGGATGGGCGTCTCACGGAGCTGACAGCAGCGGCGGTAGATCCGGACCGGGTTGGTGGTGGGCGCGGCCTGCGTCTTGGGCGTACCCGGGCGCGGAGGCGTTGCGCCGGACGAGGAATCGCTGTCGTAGTGCAGTTCCATCGGGATGGTGCCGTTGGCCTCGGCCTGTCTCCGCTTCTTCTCTTTCCTGGCCTTCCGCTCCTCCTCGCTCTTCTTCTTCTTCTCCTTCTTCTTCTCGACCGCGGCTGCCGCTGCCGCTGCCGTCGCCTTTTCGGAAGTGCTGTCTATGCTCGCTCTCGGCTGCTCGCTGCTGCCGGGTTGCTCGGTGCCTGCCTTCGTTGGTGGCTCCTTCGGGAGTTCTTCGCCGGTGGCCTTGATCTCGCCGTCTGTCTCCTTTTGCAATTCCACCTCCTTAGGATGCTTAAGCGCCTCCCCTTCGCCCCTCTCTTTCATCTTCTTCTTCTGCTCCTTACTTGCCTTGGCCCCGCCTTTGCTGTCCTTATCTTCCAGCTCGTCGGCGTACTTGGGCATGGGCGCAATCTCCACGTCGACGCAAAAGGCAACCCTCCGAAGCTTGGCCTGGTTGAGCCCGTTGATGCCGCAGCGCTCCCTGTGGCGATCCACGTTCAGCACGCGCCGCTCAACCAAGCCGTGATTGTGCGACTTCATATTCGGGCCCAGGTTGCCGTTGGAGGACGACAGTCGCCGAAGCACCTGCAGCAGGCCGGTTTGTGAAGACCGCGGCGGCGCAGGGGTGTAGGGGCCTTCACCCTCGTGTTTGGATGCATGTTGAAGTACGGCGTTCTTGGACGGGACAACCTTGGGCACGGAGAACTCGGCGGGCTTCGGCGAAGCGGTGTTCGCTTGCGGCGGGCTCTGCGCGGCGCCGCCTCCGGAGCTGAACTTGGACGAGATGTTGGAAAACCAGGAATTGCGCCGTTGAGGTGTGGATGCCGGGGCTGGCCTTTTCTCATCCGTGCCTGTCCCTCTCAACGAGTTCGATCGTGCGAGGGTGGTCTGATTGCCGCTGGCGGTCGGCGACTGAGGAGGATGTGGAGCGGGGTCTGGGGCTGGCGCCTCGCGGCCTGCGTTGGATGATGACCTCGGCCGTGCTGTCGCATTCTTCGCAACCTTGTCTGAGATGTTTCGAGACCATCATTAGCAACGCACTCTCAAAGCGTCGCATCCCAATCCTCCTATCTATCCCATGCGCGGACCCAGTATCGGAGGATAACTGCGCAAAAAGTAATGTCAGATTGTGCTGGATGGGCAACCCACCTTTTGGATTCCCGTGCGTCATCCAGCTCACATCCAAACTCTGCATGTGCTCCATCTTGCTGCTGTCGCCGTAACCACGGCGTGCTCGAAACGGATGTCGTTCGCCGATAGCCACCGCGAAGGGGGCCACCCGGTTCGCTACTTAATCACCCTTCTCTATCCACCGACCAGATGCAGGCTGGCAGCGCTGCAACCGTGATCCCCTCGAGCAGTCGAGATCGCAGTGTTCGAATCCGCAGAGCGGTGATCCAGCTGTGGATGCTATGTGCGGTGCGCTCTTCTTTGTCGGCGGGGCTCCGTCACTGATGACATGTGATAGTACTTGATCTGGCCATGGTCTCGGTCAAGGCTGAGGCTGGTTGTCGTTTGTAGGAGTAGAGGATGGCAGCGATCGCAGCAGGAGTCGGTGGTCGCGTGCCTGCGGTTTCCAATATCCGTGTCTCTACTAGTACTTCCCCACAGGTTGACGATACTGCGGGATGAGGTTATTTTCTGGGTCCCCGAACCTTTGTCGCTGGCGCGCGGCTGAGTTGGAAGGTCAGTGCACTGCAACTCAAGGTATAATAACGTAAAGTAAGCCAATGAGCTCCAAAGCACTGGGGTACGTGAGTTGCTCAGTAAGGACCCAAGGAGGCTAAAGAGTCATGTAGTGTTTGTATTAATGGCTCTGTGCTTAAGTTGGCCAAGAGGCGACTATCCCGAGGGCGTTGGCTTGTAGATCACAGGGTCGCCCAGTCGCCACTTTAAGCTCGCCCAGCATGGGCAAGCCAGCGAACTTGTGACCAGCAACTTCAGCAAGCGACCCGCGGCAATGACGCTCAGCTCCATCTTGTGCGCTTCAATGCTGGCTCGGCGCCTTAGGAAGCGGTTCAATTACAGATCAAATGGACCTGTGCCACCCTTGTCCAGCTTCATTGTGAAGCCCTGCTGTGCGAGGACTGGTCCGTCCCACCTGCGCGGACAAGATCGACACAATCACAGAATGCAAGATCGTTTCTTAGACAGACAATCCAGAAAGATATTATAACCTTGCTGATTGTATCATCATCTGGTGCTCAGCACTCCAAGGTTTTTTAAACAATCTTGAATATGTGGAGCTCAAGCGATTACACAATACTACATCCCGAGTACATGTAGAAGCCCGAAGCGCGAGAGGAATAACGTTATGAGGAAGATACAGCATGCAGCCGAGAGGTCGAGCAAGCATGGGCAGAAGACTGACTGCTACCAGGGATACATGGCGATGATATCATAGTCCATATAAAACTTCACTTAAGCTAAGGTTCCACACCTGGCGGACTCGCCGATTTCGAGGGTCTTGCTCTCATATCGGGGGTTCGGCCCACCACCTCTCCATCCGCAGTTCCCTTCGCCAACAAGAAGAAAGGCCGAAAAGAGCGAGGCGGCAAGGTAAGAACACAAACAAAAATAGTTGGAAACGACTCCATCTTGACGAATATACGCCTTAAGAAAGCTCAGCCTCAACAACACATGAGAACGTTCCTGGGGAATCCGATTCGGGAACGGCACACTGTTTAGGTACCTGGCTGCGGGAGTCCCAGTTTGTCCCCATGACCGCATCATCCAGAACGCCTCCCTCTCCTCGTCTCTAGAGCCAATCTGAAACATGCTACTACACTCAACCCAGACACTTTTGGCGCTTTATGTCTGCATACTCGCTCAGCCGCTGTCCTGTTTTACCAGAGCATATATTAAGAAACATCGAATCACCGACTCAAATGCAGCTCTTGCGTCACAGAGCTTTATACGCAAGCTCGGAAGTTGATTGGCCTCTTTTTGGTGAACCCTGGTCATTGTCCCATTTGCCCGCCCCGTCCCATGCGATGAAACTCCTAAAGAACAAGCAGCCATGAGCCCAGATAATGTGCGACCAGTACCTAGCAAAAGAAAACCATCTACTCCTCCCGAAGCTCGGCAATCTTCTCCTGCACCCGCTTTTCGCGCTCCTCCTTGGTGAGCTTCGACTTCTTGTACTTGAGCGACTCCTGCTTCCACTCCTCCTTGCTCTTCTTGGGAGCGTCGCTCTCGTACTTCTTGAAGGGGTCTTCCCGAATAGCCTTGTGGGCCTCGGCGTACAGGTCCTCCAGAGCATCCGCCTCGATATCGTCCTCAATGTACTTGACGAACTGGCTCCTGTAGCGCTCCTCATCATCATCGGCGAGCGTCTCCATGTACTCGGCGACGTGACCACCGAAGATGTACTTCTTGAGAACCTCGGCATCGAGCTCCTCGGTCTCCATGTCGAAGCCAGGGAAGCGGTTCTCGGAGTGGGGGACCAGGATGCCACCGTCCGAGGCGCCCTTCATGACGCCGAAGACACGGGCACCGGTCGAGGTGCGGGCAAGACCGACGTCGAGGAACGCCTTGAAGGGGCGGCGCTCGCCGTCGTCGGTCTCGGCAGCCTCGGTGAGAGTGTACTCTCCATCGGGCTCCTCAACACCAGTGAAGGTCTTGTCAAGGCCGAGCTTGGCGAGGACACGGCGGGCGAGCAGGAGGCCGGTGGCGTAGGCAGCGGCCCAGTTGGTCAGACCGTGCTCAATGCCGTAGGCACGGAGCTCGTGCGAGTAGGCGGCGGCGAAGACCTTGTCGCCGTTGATCTCGGAGGTCACGATCTGGGTGATGATGTCGCGGTTCGAGAAGCGGACGACAAGGCGGTACTTGGGCGCGCCATACTTGTTCTTGGCCTGGGTGATCAGGCGCTTGCGGGCATAGTAATCGGTCTTGCCCTCTCTCCTGCGCTTGTACTTGGTCTGGAAGCGGCTACGGGCAGTCAGCACGTCTCTGCCGGCATCTCGTTAGTCAAGCCGAGAGCACTCACCTGTAGTACGCGCTGTTCTTGACCAGCTTGTGGAAGGCCTGGAATCTCGCGATCCCCGAGTCAGCAATTTGCGCTTCAGAATATTCCCCTCTTCCGAAGCATCTTGCATTGACTCTCGATAACTCGTTCGGGAGCTGCCGCAATGGCAGACCGGCATGTTAACTCACCATTTTGACTGCTTGTCGGTGGGCGATGCGTGTTCAGCAGGTCGACTCACGGGTTGCACAATCGAAGGAGCGAAATTCGCGGCACGAAATATTTCGTGCGTCAATTCAACCCCACAGCCCTAGCGGTGGGGGACGAGGGCGGTGAGAGAGCCGGGTTGGGGACGACTGATTACATAAGGTAGCCAAGCCAAGCTGTTCCTGGGCGAGCCGAGGTTCTCATCCTCGGTTGCCGGGCCCGTTCACGTCGCTGGCCGGAGCCATCTCAGCCGCGCAGCGGTGCAACCTCCTACCACGATGGCCGTTTCAACATTCCAACGTCTCACTCCTGGAGTGACATAGCACGGGGATGTTCTCTAAAGAATTTTCTGTTGAACTGATCCTCGAAACCATCGACAACATGTCCCAATCACCGCCCAAGGTCGTCCTCTTCGACATCGGCGGTGTTTGCGTGTGTAACATCACAAAACCCAAGTATCTTTGCAAGAACTCTCATTGACACTCATACTCCGCAACCAGGTCGTCTCCCCCTTCCAATCCATCCTAGACTACGAGCTGAGCCGAGGCATTCCGCCAGGCTGGATCAACTACTCCATCGCCAAGTCCGCGCCCAACGGATTCTGGCATCGGCTCGAGACGGGCAGCATCCCGATGGACGCCGCCTTCTTCGCCGGCTTCAACGCAGACCTGCATGACCAGTCCCGCTGGGAAGCCTTCTACCGCGCCCAGCAGGCCCGCAACCCTTCCGTTTCTTCTTCTTCCCTGCCCAAGCAGGAGGTGCCCCCACTGCCACAGGTCGACGGCGAGTGGCTGTTCCACGACATGATGGCCGCGGCGAGGGCGCCCGATCCGTGGATGTACCCGGCGCTGAAGGCGCTGAAGGCGAGCGGGCAGTACATGGTCGCCGCGCTGAGCAACACGGTCATCTTCCCGCCGGACCACGTGTACTCACAGAAGGATTTCCTCGACGATCCCGTGCGGAGCCTGTTTGACGTGTTTGTGTCGTCCGCGCATGTGGGGCTGAGGAAGCCTGATCCTAGAATCTACCAGTTGGCGCTGGAGAGGGTGGATGAGTTTGCCAAGGCGAATGCGGACTCGGATAGGGGCCGGGCGCTGGGGTGGTCGGAGGGCGTCAGCGCCGGGGAGATCGTGTTCCTAGATGATATCGGCGAGAATCTGAAGGCGGCCAAGGCCGCTGGTTTTCGGACTATTAGGGTGCCGCTGGGGAGGGCGTATGAAGCCGTGGAAGAACTTGAGAAGGTGACGGGCCTGAAGCTGGCGGGTGATCATCCGAAAATTCCTGTCAAGCCGAACTTCAGGGGCAGTAAGGCGAAGATCTGAGACGCTCTTATTAGGTCTGGGCTCGGGGGGCGAGATTCACATGGCAGCAATGATACCCAAGACGATATTTGGCTATGTTCTTGCGAGATATTGACCAGACTACTGGCTCAGTCGGTTAGGTGATTTGTTGCGTAAAGCACCTGTCCACCTTCCTCTGGCCAATGCTCTACATACCACGTCGCCCGTTCCCGGTGCTATTATGCTATAACCTCGCCCTACAGTCAATCCTCCTCCTGCCAGACAGGAGGCCTAACCCGTCTCTCCATGGTCAAAAGAAGACATATATACACCAAACTTACCCCAACAGTCGAAGCAGAGATGGGTCGAGGAATCAGAATCAGATCCACGAACAACAATGGAATAAGAAAAATGAGAAGACCTAGATAGTTAATCTTCCACTTTGTGAACATCGTCCCGCCCCGTTTTCTATGTGATGCCCAGCTCCCTCCAACCCGAACAACACGGGATATGCCATCCTAATCGCCCCGCGCCAGTCTAGATGCAGAAACCCCCGTTCAATGAGAAAGCGCGTAGATCTGCTATTGCGCGGAGTCATCCAGAAGAATATGCTAGCCACGGTAGTAGGGAAAAGGAGTGAGTCCAGCAGAGAAAAAAGAATAATGAAAACCAAACCGAGATAATGGCTAATGAGTCAGTCCAGACATAAACCCCCACCCCCCCCAACTCCATTCTAAACCTACTCAAGCGCCACCATACCTAGTACCCATATCAAACATCATGGGATGGAGTACCCAGTTACTCGATCCTCGTACGCGCCGCGATTTCGGTGCTACTTCTTGTATTTCTGCTCACAGTCAGCGATTCCCGTCCAGGGCAGGCCTCATATTTAAGATAGGCAAGACTTACCGCGTCCACCCGCCTCCGGTGCATCGGATCCAACGAGTTAGTCACGCCCAACAGGGTCTGCCCAATCGCCCTCGTCGCACCGATGGCCGGCCGCAGTATGATAGTAGGTGCCTGCTTCAGCACGGCCTTCGCCGCACCCTGTGCGTTCTGGCTCTGCATGACCTCGGCCGGCACCGCAATGATGGCGTCCCTCGCGACGGCGAGGTCTCTGGCCAGGCCGGCGTACGCGCCCCGGATGCCCTGGACGACGCCTAGCGGCTGGTGCGCGTAAAGGCTGATCTTGCGGTGGCTCTCCTCCTCGTACTCGTCCACCTCCCAGTCATCGCCAAGGACGGCCACGCCGGCGGCGGAGCTGCTGCCTTCTCCCGCCTGGTGGGGCGCAAGCAGGTCCTCGGCGCCTTGCAGGGCGTTCTGCGTGCCGATGGCGAGCTTGGCGCCTAGCTTGACGACCTCGATGCCCGTTGACTTGGCAAAGGCGGTGGCGCCTTTCTTGATGCTTCGGATGATGCGGCCATCCTTGCGATACTCCCTGATTGGGACTTCGATCAGGTCTCGAAAGCCGCTTCCTGCGTTGACAAGCGACCGCACAGACGCTAGACCAGCGAGGAACGTGGGCAGCTGGTTGCCGATCACGTCTTTCATCCATACCTTGTCAAGCCGCTTGCCGAGGTCCTCGAGCCCGGGCACGCCGTACAGGATGACCCGATGGAGGACCAAGCGGGCTTCCTCGAGGATCACGAAGTTCATCAGCTCCGTCGTCGAGCCCGAACGCAGCCCGGCATAGTCGACCCGCTTCGGCTTGAAGTCAAGTTTGACGGGGATGCGGCTGATCTCCGCCCGGTGGATGAAGAGGATATCGCTCGGTGACGCCACTGGCACAGACTCGTCTTTGAACTGGAAGAAACGGATGATGAAGTCCAGCGCGTCCTGGTCGACGTGCAGCCTCAAGGGCAAAACCTTGGCCTTTACGACCAATTCCGTGACCGGCGTCTGCACAGGCCGTATAGTCATGATCTCCAAGTGCACCATGCTCGCCCCCATTTCCCGCTCGCCGGCGTCAATGTCATACGTAGCAAACTTCTTCCATGTCGATGTAGGAACGTGGTCGAAAATGTCAAGGTCTCGGACCCTGACATCGACCGAGCTGAGCGTCTCCCCGGATCCTGGCGGGAACGCGACCATGTCCGCATTCACGCCCTTGAGCTCGAATGTGATCTTATGACGCTTGCTCCTGTTCAGTTTTAGGCTCTTGGATCTGCGATGTTGCCCAGCCGCGCGAACTGTCGTCTGGGTGACGGTCGTGGTAGCGACGGATTCCGTGTCCCCGAAATCCTGCAAGCCCTGGTTGATGGCCTGGGTCAACTCTCTCGGGTCACGGCTGGCCGGAATGCCAATGTAGATCGAATTGAAGAGGCAGTCGCCAATGACGGTCTCATCCTCGTCGAATTCTTCGTCATATCCGCGGCTGCGGTCTGCCCAAGTTCGTCGCTCGTGCGCCTTTGTCTCCACCTCTTGAACAGCCCTGGCAATCACCTCCCGGGTGCGGGCCCAGTCATATCCATCAAACAGGTTCCATATGATATGCATATCACGAACCGAGACCTTCAAGGGGTAGTGCTCGGGCCCGGAATTGTTGTTTTGCGCGTATCCGTCCTCCTTGGGGTTCCAGCGATGCGTTGTGCCGTCATCCTGAGGGGGCTGTGCAAAATAATCCTCGTGGATCGAGAGATCGGAGCTGCTGCTTTCGAGTTCGCTGCTGCTCTTAACTCCAAGACTGGCAGTGCTGAGAAGAACACCGTCATTGGTGTCTTCGATCTTTGTGCTTTCGGACGCGGCGTTAAACAGTTCTTCATGGAGAGCCCCTTCCTCGTACAACTGCGAATCGAGATTCAGCGGGTTGTCATTTGGTCCGCCATACAACTCCTCGTCGCTGCCAATGCTCTCTCCGAGCTCCTGTGCCACGGCGAAGTCGTTGTCGAAATCGTAATCCCCTTCGGCACCACCAAAAGCCTCGAGCCTGATGGAGTTCAGTAGGTCTTCGAACGGAACCACAGACGTCCGATACTTATTCTCCTTGCTTGGCGGAGTAGGCGGCGCGAGTGCACCGGCCAAAGCAATCAGCGTCTGTGTCGAGTCCGCGCATGTTTCGAGGATCAGGAGGTCGTCGCGCACTTCGACCTCTAACCGGGTCTCGCCCGCGGCGTCTTTGGTCGCCTTTACCGTGGCACCTGCCGAGGAGATCTGGCAGATATTGACGTATCCCTTCCCGCACAGCTCAGTGACCTGCGGAGACGGAGCCGCTTGGGGCCGCCGGGTCGATGCGAAGGGAGCTCCGCCGGACTCGAGGATAGAGACATCATCGATGAGTAGGACAGCGGCTCTCTTCAATCTTGTTACTGTGATCAAATTGTCTTTTGTCCCCGGCACCACGTCAATGTGAGCATCGGTAAGCGCAAGGGTCAGCTTGGACGGTAACCCAAGAGGATTGAGGCCAACGAGACAATCCCGGAGGGCCACATCCACTTTCATCGGCTTGGACTCTTTAGCTTTACCCGTCGACAGCAGCGCCTCTGAAGGGGCTCTTTGAATGGCGGCATGAGCTTGACCGCCCAAATTCGCAACAGACGCGGCTAGGCTGGCCTCGTAGTCTTGAGGTGTGGCATCCTCAGCGAGATCCAGAATGTCCATGATCGTCGGCACTCGGTACTCCACGCTCAATCCGGTCAGAATGAGCTTGAGGACCGGTTCGATGTCATCGATCATCCTCATCCTCAAGACTGGCGGGTTCTGCGAAGAACCAGTTGCCGGTGCCGGGGAAGTCGCCACAAGCTGCTCAACCGTGTTCCGTTTGAGGGAAACATGGCCCAGAGCGATAGCAACCAAGGCAGGCACTGTGATATGGGCAAGTTCGAGGTCCGCGAGGGAGGCTTGAACGGCACCGAACCTTCCGCCAAAATGGACACGACAATCAGCACTCTTGACGTGACCCAGAGTCAGTAGACCTGGCCGGTCATCTTCGGGTAGGTATTTGGCGACAGTCCCAAGCTTAGCGAGATCCTCGGCAAGACCAGGAAGGCAGCTGAGCTGCTGCAGGTTGCCCGCGTCAACCCTTACTTTGCCAACAGTGAATGACAGCACCGGTCCCTTTCTTCGCTGCCGGAGCAGAGTGTCGACCATGATCTCATCCTCGTCCTCGTCGAACTTAGTTTGAGAAGGAGTGATCAACTCAAGCAACTCCTCAAGGTCTTTGGTCCGCGGGAGCAAGAAATAGTCGAGTCTGGTATCCACGATTTCGACAGCGACGGGGGCTTCGGATTTGGAGGCATTTAAGTAGGGCCCGAGCACTTGTATCTTGCTGAAATGAATGCCAATATGCCCACTCCTGTTGATCAGTTTAAGGGCGCTAGTGTTCAGTACGGCACTGCAGTCCTTTCCAACGACATCGAGCTGCAGACCGTTGATACGCAAATCAATCTTCTTCGCGTTTGATGCGGCCCCCTCGCCCGGGTGGGAAGGTTCTTCAAAACGGACCCCTCTGGGTTTCTGAGCCGACTTGGCCGGAGTTTTGCCAGCCCTCGACGCGGTTGATGTGATCGAAGCCCCCATGTTAAGGAAGCCACTGAGCCCACCGAACCAGCTGAACGCCTCGTCGAGCCTCTGAAGATCCAACTTGACGTGGAGGGGCAGAGTGTTTACCTCTATCCGCGAAGTATCAGACCCCATTGTGGCCTTGACAGCGATGTCCTGGCCGGCCGAGGGAAACGTGTTTGCCACGGACTCGAACAACTGAACGGAGCGGTCGAACGAGATTATGTCCTCATTTGCGTACCCAAACCTCAGCTTCTCGACGCTGAGGTCCGCTGCTGTTTGCGAACCTTCGCTGGACACCGTGCCTCTAAGGTCTCCAAGAATAATTTGGAGCAGAACAGGGGTGCAGTTAGATGGTTGCTTCTCTGATGTCTTGCGAGCGATGGTGGAAACCCCGGGAAGCCTCTCCAGTAACAATACGGAAAGCTTCTCCACGGCCACTTTGATATCAGGAGTCTTAGATTTGGGCCCCGATACCGATGAACCAAGACCGGTAGCTTCGCTCGGTTCGCCTTGGGCCGCTTCAAGAAGCCGAGCCGCCACCATAGCCACCAAAAACCCAATCGAAGCATCGAAACGGAATTCTACGGGTTTCAATGCAATCTCGATGGATGGTTGCATGCTCGTCTTTTGAGCTGGCTGCGTAGGAATCGGCATGACTTTGGGGCTCACAGTCGCTGAGGCATGGAGTGAGAACGCCCCTGGCATGTCTGGAGATATCGACTTTTCCATGTCAGGAGCCGCGAGATGAACGTGCTCGCGCGGCGATGGCACGTAGACTGATACTGAGTCAACCGATAAAACCTCTTTCACCAGGCGAGGTGGACCACGAGGGGTGGGAATATCTTCTGGTGCGGGTTCGGCCTCCTCAATCACCGGCTGCGCTTCGTAAAGAGTTTGTTGCGCGGAGTTCTCGGCCCGGTCACTCCCTTCGTGGAGAGCAGAGGGGGTCGCCACGGCCGCAGCCACGGTGTCATGGGGAGAATCTTCGAACGCATCCCAGGCTCCCGGCATTCCGCCACGCAATCTGGTCGATTCAGCCTGCGAGAAAGCACTCATATACATACTTTCAGCTTCCTCGTGGCTGTAAAGGTGGGATTGCGTCAAGTCCTCTGAGGGCGCGCTTCCCGAACTGATATTGGAGTCCGAGTGGACGGATGCAGCTGGAGAGAGGGCAACTGGCTGCGAGATATGTTCGGGTGGTTGAAGAGAAAGCTGAGACTCCGCTTCCTGTCCATAGGGCGACAAGGCTCTAAACCGCTGAAGTATTGTCGATTCCGAGTCTTCGGTGAGAGTATGAGGCGGGGGAGAACCTCGGTAGACCGAAGCCCTCGGAGTGGAGAGTGGCGAACTTGGTTCCACGACTTGATCAGAGCCGGTGTTTCCCCCCAAGTCGTAGGGAATGTTGAAAGCCACCTCGCCATCTCCCGGTAGATATCGGCTCTGTGAAAGGTCGCCGGAACCTGCCATCATCGAATCGGAGCTCACACTACTAGCGAGTCCAGCGGCAGGGAAGGTGCGCGACCCAGTCACTACTGGCGACCGTGATGCCATGGGTGAGAGCATCGCCGGGGAGGAGACCATAGATGAGAAAACATTCGCCTCGGTGATCAAAGCGGCGCGGATGTTGTCTAACAGGATGTGTCGTTTCCCATCCTTGTGCACAATCAAAGGCCCTTCGTCTGGCGAGTCCGTGGGCGTAGTCACTCCTTCCACGTTGATAGTGTCCAGCGATAGTTCAAAGGTCACCGGTTCTAGAGTCGAAGCACTTGGGTCAAGCGGCACATCGACATCAACCTGAAACCGCACACCCTGCACACGGATTTGCATTCTGTCGATGATCCCTTGCAGGAAGCCGGTCAGGAATGTAGGCAGGGACAGGTTCTGACCAGTGCCAACCGTCGAGCCATCGACGCTGTCAGGCTCACTTATGGCCACTGAAGCCCCGAGGTCTTGACTTCCAGCTGCGAGGGCCTGTTCCAGCTCTTGTTCCAGCTCCTCCTTTTCTGCCACCGGCTGTATCTTCAGAAAAGCCTGCGCAAGATCTGCAGCGGTCGGGACAGCGTCAGAGACGCCCGCGCCCTCGCCATGTTTGGCAGCCTTGTCTTGCTTTGGTGCAACCTTCAGGCGAATGTCAACGCCATCTACCTCGACCGTGATGGGGCTGGTGTAGAAGTCCATGGGGACCGTGACTCGGAGAACGAGAACCTTGGCCTTTTGCAGTGAGAAGGCTGGTGGGAGCCCCAGCAGCTTCTCGAGTTTCTGGGTAGAGCCGTCAGTGTCTGCAACCCCCTGCTGACTTGGGTAGGGAGTAGCGGGGAAGGGCGCGTACCTGAAGCACGAGACCGACATCTCGAAACTCGAGGACCGTATTTCGACCGAGAGCGAAATCAAGCTTCTCCAGATCTAGTGTCTGCTTGTCGAGAACATCCAGGCGGGACAGTGCAAAGCGGAGTAGTTGCTTGGGCATCAGCGAGGCCCGGAAGGACTGGAAAAATGACGCCATGGCGGGCAGGCGGTCTCGATGATGGTTGTGATATAAGAATCCGTCCGAGAAGTTGCGAGATGGAAGCTAAACAAGTCGACCTTGGAGTGAGAGAGCCGAACCGGGTGGCAGCGTTCTCATCAATCGACCACCGGGGTTGAGCACGGGGGACGGAGGAAAGCAATAGGCACGGTCATGATGGGACGAGCATTCGGCACGGCCTGGAGGTCGAGGCTGGATCTAGATTCGTGTTTGATGGCGCATATATGATGTAAACCACTTAAGGCAGAACGAGGGGGTAGAGACCGATAGAGTCTGTGAACGCTGGCGCAGGGAGAAACCGCCTGGTGGGCCGCAACAGCAAAATTGTTGTGAGGTAATGAAGTAAGGTCGGGCGATACCAGATCATGAGCTGGCGGCACTGCTTGGTGTGATGGTAGTGCATGGCACAGAGCACCCGTGACGATGGTTTGAGAGCCCGTGTCGGGCAGGGAAGCCAATCTGTTGGTCGACCTTATCGGCAGGCAAGTATGAGGCGCGGGGCGTGGGGCAATGGGGATTCAGGGCCCACTTTAGAGGTTACCAGCTCCACAGTTATGCAGCGGCGCTGAAGGTGCAGGTTCTCGGATGCCGGCTCAGTCCTTGCAACGGGTGGCCGGAGCTCGAGCGACCTCCACCAAAAACAGTTCGGCATTAGGCAAGGCAGAACACCAGAACAGGTAGCTAACCGTTACCTAACTCCAGAATGTATCCAATGGATGTTAGTATTCGGCATTCTGCTAGCTAGTGCCGCTGCCTTCCGGGTCTTTCAATAGGCAACCAGCGAAGTGGCCGGTAACGATGGGAAGACGGTGTGCTTCTTAGCGGTCTATGCTTGCGAGCTACCTGAAAGAGGCAATGCCGGCCGCCTCTGCGATCAGATGATCAACCTCTTTCCTGAAGGACGAAAGCGGGATCGACGACACATTCGGGGAGAATACAAGACCTCGAGGCTCTTACTACAAATAGCCCGAGAACCCACAAATAAACGGTAAAAACGCTGTGTTTGTATGCAAGCACGAAACTACATCTCTAACGGATTCTACGGTGTAATGGATGACTCTGTGTCCCAGCTCTCCTCACCCCACGCTCACCTCAATTCTAAGAAAAGTCTATTCCCCCCTTTCCACCTCAGGCCCCTTCAGCTCGCCGTCCCCGTCTTGAGGTCTCCGATCCCCCTGGGCAATCCTCTTCGCAACTTGCTCGCCGCTCCAGTACGCCCCCGTCACCGTTCCCAGGGCGACGAACGGCGCCGTGTGCTCTCCCGCAAGCCATATCCCCTCCGCCGGCATGCCGTTCCGCATAGCTACAATATCCTTGTCCCCTTCGAGCAATCCCGCCTGGAAGTTGGCGTAGCTCCCGTTGCCCGCCAGATCGTCGCCCGACCAGTCTGTCGCAAAGCAGGCTGTGGGCTGGCAGTCCGGGTTGGATGCGTCGTACGACGGCAGGCGCGAGTAGTACGGCTTGAAGTACTCGAACAGGAAGGCGTCTCTGTCCTTAGCAGAGGGGAGGGAGCGGCGTTTGGAGGTGAGGAACCGGGATTGCTCCCCATAGGTGTAGAATAAGAGAGTTGGGTGGGCGTGGCCGGCGGCAAGGGAGCCGAGCTCGACCATTTCTTCGAGCCAGCGGTTGGGGTTCAGATTGGGCGCGTATGTCGGGGCAAGCCACTGACAGAAGCCCTGCACTGTGCGGCCGTCGTCCGGAGACGGAGTGAGCCAAAAGGCGGAGGGAAATGAGATGTAGACCTGACAGCGCTTTTAGCAAGTGGCGAAATACAGGGCGGCGACAGGCTTAACCTTCTCTAGGGTCCCGTAACCGATGCTTCGGATGGCTTTGCATAACCGGTCGGGAAGCGGAGGGAAGAAGGATTGTAGGTTCTGTTTTAACCAGCCCAGCGGGCAGGTAACCACAACTTCATCGAACTCAAGGACCTGACCATCGGTGGTTTTGACCTTGACCGTGTCGTTTTGCCCTGTGGATTTCCCATGTACTTCGGACACGCGGGTTTGGTAGCGAATGTCTGCGCCGCCAACAGCTGGCTGGGCGACCCTCTCTAGGACTTTGTTATATGTCCCCGCACAAAAGAGGTTTTCTAGGCGCATGATTAGCATGGGCACTGCCACAGCCCCGCGGACGGCGGGATCTATCTCACCGCCCTCTATGCATTCCTCCAGCCAGAAGAACTTCAAGCTTTGTGTGCTGAGAGGGCTGCCCACGAAGGTCCCCCATAGCTCAGCCATCTGGAGAACCATGCGTCTTTGCCTCACATAACCTTCCTCCGTGTCGGGTATCCTCTTCGTAACCTGCTCCTGGAAGAAATCCAACAGTGACCTATCCGGGTCTATCTCTGAGCCGCACTTATTCGAGTACTCAAACGCCTCCTCGATGATAGTCCACATCAAGGTCGAGTACTTCTCGCCCTCTTCGAACGGCAAGAGCTGACCACCCTCGTCGAACGCGTAGAAGTGGTTCTCCAGACCGCCGACTGCCGTCTTCGTCTCCCGGACCAGGTCCATGATCGGGTTGTCCGTTGTACCGTGAATCCAGTTTGCGCCAACATCTACCAGGTGGCCATTTGGCAGCCTTTCCTGGAATATCCTGCCGCCCAAGCGATTCCGTGCTTCCAGCACTGTGACGCGGAAACCGTTGCGCAGCAGCAAGTCGGCGCATCTGAGGCCCGCGAAGCCTGCACCCACGATACCAACATGCGGTTTCCTGCTCTGGTCGAGGGCCTCACGCTGCGGTGGATGATTGTGAGCATGGTATTCGGTTTTTGTCATGCTTTCGCACCCGGCTCCGAAACATCCCGTCGTACCCGCTTAGGCACTGTCAGGAGTGCCCACGAGCTGGAGGCCACGGGATGAAGCAGCTATTTTGAGCTGGGTACCAAATACCTTCAAGATTTTATCCATGATGCTAGATCCGCTAATGGTGGAGAGTCGAGCCCGTTTTAAATCCTGGTATATTTTTGATGAGCTCTTGCGTGCTGCACTGGTAACGGACATTGAATAAGCATCCATGTTGAGCTGTGAGAAGATGCGCAGAGTGGATGCTGAGACTTCAAGCTGAAGAAAACGAAGACTGTAGGTGTAGGGCAGGGTGGTATGTCCCGCCTGAAATTGCCACAACCAGGGCGGTTTGGGTACTGGGGAAGGACAGAAGGTGCTTGCGGTAACAACTCAAAGACGAGTCATCATGATGGAGTAATATAGACGACCCGGTGAGTGGTTATTTGAGGTTGGGGGACGAAACTCAGCGGGAATGCCACCGGCCGCCGGGCTGGATTCACCTGCCAGGGCATGGGAATGGCGAGACGGGACGGAGAGAATACTAGTAATCTACCTCCTGAGGATCAAAGAGGACATGGTGGTATGGATGTGAATGGCCACCTAGGCAAAAGCCAATAAGATCCCGCCGCCGGCCCCGATAAAATAAAGGCAGGTATGCACAGTACCTCCCTCCTTATTATTATTATTTGCGGTCTGCTGCGGCGCGGCAATGTCGACAGCACGCATATGGCAAAACGAACGGAGTCCCATTTGGCAAGTCTGGGGACTGGACAACCTATCCTCCACCCAATGGAGCCGGGGAGGGATGAATGCAGGAGAAACCGTTGTCGGAGTGCTCGGTTGAGACCGGGTGACCACTTGGTATCGCCGCGTGCTTCTCCTTCCCCGCCGAGCAGCCAATAATGGTCGCCCTCTTGAGCATGCCATCTGACCTCTCGGCCTGGGCTAGATGTGGTGCCGTGCTGGGCGAAAGCGGAGAGAAGCAAGCTCACCGAATTGGAACACACTTTGTTGGAGGGAGCCTCCATAGAGAGAAGAATAGGGGCTGGCTGTGTGCGTAACACATGCGCGCCTCAAGTTGGCAACTTCGATCTTGTGTCTAGTCTAGACCTCGCACCAGAATAAGAATGCGCTAGTAGGCGGACTGCTAGCGATTCCGATCGGAGACAATCTAATACTGGAAATAGGTCGATAACTTATAAGGTGCCAAAGAGTAGATGGCACGCACCTCGGTTTTGCTTCTGCGGCTTAAGTTCTTGTTCGTTAGTGCCGGAGTCGAAACCTCTTATAACATCATGCTAGAGGTAGGCCGCTAGCAGATCGCGGGGGCGGAGAAGAATCCCGCAGGAAGCAGCAAGGCGAACAAGAATCCTACAATACCACACAAGTCCGCACCATACTCTGTCTCGAGTTTGTAACTACCGTCCTTCGCAGTGGTCTCCTTTTGTTCCACATCCTCCCGTCAGTGATATTCTCAATGTTGATCCTTGGCCGGGCAGCGAGCCTGAGGGGGGCGATTGCGGTGAGGGGTAAGTATCCATGGATGCAATCCGTACAGACCGTGATACAATATCGTACCTGTACAGAAATACCTTTCGTTACTTTCCAGTGGACATGAAACACGGGACAACGCCAATTGCTGAGGCAGGAGGAAGCCCTCCACCAAAGCGTCGCCTGCACTGACAGATTTATGCCGTGGTAGGCACCCAGTGACAATGACTTGCCATTACAGCGGAGCAGCCTCATATATCCAAGCATTTGGAACTGTAGGTCTACTTTCCAGGAAGAGACACACTGATGAGTCTGACACTCGAGTCATTACAAAGCCCGGGATAGTTGCGTCCCGCTGACAGGTGCGCAATCCAAGTGACATGCCAAGGCTTCGCCTGTGGAGCTGGACCTGGGCGCCGAGGGCCGCAGCCAATCAATGCCAGTCTATTTACCTTCGGTTCCCCAGATTCCCGAAACGGCCTGAAGCCGAGCACGTGCCGAGGCAGTCAGGAAGGTGCCGGCACAAGGCCGCGGGCACCTCGATGGTCCAGCCGTCAAGGTGCGAGGAATAAAGTGTCAGCGTCGGCCGCTCTTTGTGTTCCCCTGGACATACCTTCCATACTTTTCTTTTTCTAATACCCCCAGCTCTCTCCGTCCGTTACCAACCAACCACAGCCATGCCCCTCGAAGTCCCCTCCAAGACCTTCACGCGCGCCGAGGTCGCGAAGCACAACACCGAAGATAGCACATGGTTCATCATTGACGCCGTGGTCTATGATGTGTCCGACTTTCTAGACGCCCATCCGGGTGGTGAGGCGGTGCTGCGGCAGGTCGCCGGGACAGATGCGACGGTGGCCTTCTACAACCTGCACCGGCACGAAGTGTTGCAGAAGTACTCGGACCTAGCCATCGGCACCATTGAGGGCGAGAAGCAGTCCATCATCACCCCCAAGCTCGGCGAACTGTCGCCCGTCCCCTACGCTGAGCCGCTATGGCTCACGCCGCAGTTCAAGTCGCCCTACTTCAACGACAGCCACCGCCGCCTGCAGCGGGCCATGCGCGAATTCACCGATACCTACATCACGCCCGAAGCCCTGGAAAAGGAGCGCTCCGGCGAGTATGTCAGCCAAGAGCTCATCGACCGCATGTCACAAGCAGGCCTATTGCACATGCGGATGGGACCAGGGAAGCACCTACACGGCGTCAACCTGCTCAACGGCGCCGTGGACGGTAAGGAGTTCGACTACTTCCATGACATGATCTGCGCGCAGGAACAAGTCCGCGCCGCCTGCCGTGGCTTCCAGGACGGCAACCTGGCCGGCATGGTGATCGGCCTCACCTGCATCCTCAACTTCTGCAACAACCCGGAGCTGCAAAAGCGCGTCACCAACGAGGTCTTCTCGGGCAAGAAGAAGATCTGTCTCGCCATCACCGAGGCTTTCGCCGGCTCCGACGTCGCCGGTCTCCGCACGACGGCCACCAAGACCTCCGACGGCAAGCACTACATTGTGAACGGCACCAAGAAATGGATCACCAACGGCGTCTTCTCCGACTACTTCGTCACGGGCGTCAATACGGGCAAGGGGCTCAGCGTGCTGCTGATCGAGCGCAGCGAGGGCGTCGAGACCAAGCCCATCAAGACGTCGTACTCCCCCGCGGCCGGCACGACCTACATCACCTTCGACAACGTCAAGGTCCCCGCTGAGAACCTCCTCGGCGAGGAGAACAAGGGCATCTACGTGATCCTGTCCAACTTCAACCACGAGCGCTGGACCATGGCGTGCGCCACGATCCGGTACATGCGGCTGGTGGTCGAGGAGTCCCTCAAGTGGGCACACCAGCGCCTCGTCTTCCGGAAGCGGCTGATCGACCAGCCCGTGATCCGGCAGAAGCTGGCCAAGATGATCGCGCTGTGCGAGTCGCACCAGTCGTGGCTCGAGACCATCACGTACCAGATGTGTCACATGCCCTACTCGCAGCAAGCGAAACATCTTGGCGGACCCATCGCGCTGCTGAAGATGAGCGCCACCCGGGCGGCGCATGAGATTGCTGACGAGGCCGTGCAGATTTGGGGAGGTCGTGGACTGACCCAGACTGGGATGGGGAGGGTCATTGAGAACTTCAACCGGACCTACAAGTTTGATGCGATCCTGGGCGGTGCGGAGGAAGTACTGGGTGATCTGGGTGTGAGGCAGGCCATGAAATTCATGCCGAAGGCGGTGCTCTGAAGGATATGCTCCAAATGAGAAAGGAGAGGGGAAAGGGGGGCGGGGGAGCGGGGGGGACTCGCCCGAGACAGAACATCTATACAACTTGTGACCGGTTACTCGGCATTTCGGCGTTTGGGGGGCATCACCATGGGCGTTTACAGTCGAGAGTTAGAGCGGGGGCAGTCAAGAGGAAGCGCATCCGCTGTTTTCCGTTCCACCAACCCTGGGCCAACGAACCCGGACCCGTTGTCATTTCTATGGAACCTGAGGTATGAAGCCCATTTTCCAGACCCATCATCTAGTCATGAATCCGTGCCGTGAGAGAAAACCCAGAGGCCTGACCTGCAACAGAGTCGTTGCAGCGCTCCACCCGATGAGGGAGACTTCAACGGAACCCTTTTAAGGTAGCCTTCGCCGTCCCGACGCCAAAGTGGTCAAACTTTTTCCGTTGCCCGATGATCCCTGGTCATGATGCCATCCGAATGGGGAGAAGTGTAATGAAAAGAGGATGAAAATCGGAAAGTGGAGTGCGAGAAGGAAAAAAGAGAAAACAAGAATGAGCGCTCTATGCCATGAACGCGAGAATAGCCATGCGAGGGCATGCCAAACTGAATATCGGCATCCAGATGGCCACCGAGATACCAGCAAATGCAACCCGTGAAGATCCAGCGCGCGAGCACCAGACCTGCCCAGCAGAAAGGCAGTATAGCGCACCCAGCGCCACCCTCGTGTCCATCAACCTTCATCGGGGGCGCCAGTCACCAATCCAATTGTCTTTCACCCATGCCTCGTGTGCAACGAGCTAGAATCGATCGCATAAGGCCGGCCGATCTCGAGGAATCAGTCGAAGAGGTCTTTGGAGGTAAGGTTGCCGAGCCCGCCTCATAGCTGCGACTTAGTTGTTCGGGCACTGAGACTGAACGTGGCCAGGTTGCTGGCACTTGTAGCAGATCTTCTCGCCGCCGCTGGACTCCTTAGGGCAGTCGCGCGACAGATGGCCGGAGACACCGCAGTTGTAGCACTTGTTGCCGTTCACGCAGTCGCCTGTGAGAGGTTAGATTAAGCGCTCAGGGGGCCTCCAGGTGTTGCGGTGACTTACGGGAGAGATGGCCGATGCCACCGCACGAGTAGCAGGTCTTCTGGCCGAAGCCGCCGCCGCCGCCATAGCCGGAGCTGTAACCACCACCGCCATACGAGTTGCCGCCCTTGCTGCAGTTGCGGGCAATGTGGCCGACCTCGCCGCACTTGACGTCGCGTAAGTAAAGAACTTTCCGCTTAGGAGAACTGAGTCTTACCTTGTAGCACTCAGCACCGGACTGGCCGCCGCCGCCGCCGCCACCAGTCGCGCAGTCGCGCGAGATGTGGCCGGGCTGGCCGCAGCGATAGCAAGTCTTGGTGTCCCTAGGACCTTCAGGGCAATCACGGCCTGTTTGTTGTCAGAGACTGATCCACGCATGCAGTAGAGCGATCTTCACTTACTCATGTGACCCTCGCCTGGAGCACGCAGCGTTCTGTTAGTCCAACATGTCCCGACAGACGTTCGAATGGCAGCCAAGCTTACCACCGCAGTTGTAGCTGTACCAATCAACAGTCAGAAATCATAGTGTTCAGCGGCATCTGTGATGGAGAATCAACTTACCACTTAGCTGCACCCTTGTTGGGGCAGTCCCGAGCCTGGTAGTACGACATGAGTCAGTAACTGCAGAGGCAACATCATGATACTTCCCCGTGACCACAAAATTCCATTTCTCCAACTCGCCGACTTGTGCATACCTGATGCGTGGTTTGGCCGCCTGTAAACTCTCATGTCAGATGATCTCACTCCCCCAAACTCAAGCATAAGGTGCGTTTGACAGTGGTGCTGCAAAAGATAACGGCCGCGGAGCACAAGCGGGACGACTTCGAGCGGGCAAAATGTTCTTCCCAGTTCAATTGCCGGGTCTTGGCTGCAATTGACCAGTATTCCAGAACCTCTGAAGGCGCCCGCGATCGTGTAGCTGAGGCTCCAAAACGTCCGTTGCGATGGATTGACATCACCAAGGCCAAGGGACCGACCAATTGCTGTGCTTGCGTGCGCGGAGAGGTACACATTCCGCGCGCGCGTATATATTTGGCGATATGTCCCAAGCTGGCTATCCGACCAAGATCGCCAACGTTGAAGTGCGGCGCATCATGCGCAACATTCCCAAAAAGGTGGGTGGGTGGCGACTGCGCGCAGAGCCGCGGGGCAAGCAGGAGGGGCAGAGCGAAGGAATTGCGACGGCAAACTCACAAGTGAAGCAGGCCCGTCCCTGAGATTGGAAGTCCATCGTGAATACGAGGTTGGTGATTGTAGTTGAGAAGTAGACTTTGGTTCTGCGTGAGGCAATCGAGCGTCAGTATGGTGGTGTAAGTGGTAAAAGAGTTTCCAATTCCAGAATGTGGTGATGTGCTCAGGTATTGGAGGATTTTTCCGCAAGGAGGGCGCAAAACCAGAAAATGGTGGGGGAGGAGACTTCAATGTGGGGTAATTCCTTACCGACCGCACGGGTGGATTCGTGCAACACAAACTGCCAGTAATTGATTGAAAGTTTTGTTCGAGAGTTGGAAAGCAGCCGCACGGCAGAAGGAACACCGAGGACTATGTATTCTCCGGATGGTACTAGTAGTGCTCGATAAGGCAGGTCGAGGCAAAGGGAGGCGAGGCGGGAAACAGGTGGACGAGGGAGCGGGTTCACTGTCGTTGAAATTTTCTGGAGTGACAATTGGGTGGGTCAAAGATCCCCCTGCGTCCGAGCTACTTCGCCTGAAGTTGGCTGCCGAAACCCTCTAACAGGACAGCCTCAAGCTTGTGGCGCCGTGTGGATGTCGATCTTATGATATTGGCTGGGGCAGCAGGCGGAAACAACTTACAGAGGGAAAGTTGTCTCGGTTGAATGCATCCCCCGCGGCATAGAGAGAAGCTACCTCATGCTTTCTCCCTCGGCCGATACACTGCATCCTGCTTGAGCCTCGGTCTCAGAACGTTGCCTCCACCTCCCATGCCGCTAAGACGTTTCCGAGTTCGGCTCACAGCTGATTAGGTCAGTAAGTAGGTCTCTTATTAGGACGGCTTGATTCAGTATCCGTGGACTTGGTTCTTGGTAACCCTAGCCCGCTCTGGTGGGACGGCTGCTCGACGCAAACAACGCGCGGGCAAAACTCCGTAGCCCCTGCATAATGCGCGGGTCTTGTTCGTCTGGACTTCCATCTCCTTTCTCGAACAATAACCCGTTAGAGAGCCAATGCAGACTCAATACGTGGCTCGACCTGGAGCCAGCCCCTTGATGTGAATTGTAAGCACCGCTCCCCCAGGGTCCGATCATCGTCTTGAGTGTTTACAGGGCATGCAGTTTGCCTACTGCAGATGTGAACATCCATCTGCTGTCCAGTGACTCCAGTCAGACCACATGCGAGCCGAGCTATCGTACCGCTCGGCTTCCTTTCCGTCGGCCCGCTGCTACGTTCATGCTTTTCGCAGGGAGATTCTGTTGGGCATACAGACGCAAAGAAAGGGAGTTCTCGGATGCCATACATAGTGGCTGCGACGGAGCAGGTTTCTAGTTTTGTCCCGAGCCCTTTATCCTAGGCTGTCACTCAGGAGGGTCACATCCATCCTTCTCGGACATCATCTGGAACTTCGCTGGAAGCTTTTTGGCAGATCAACCCCTATCTCCATCGTTGATTGCCCTCGAGTAGGTTGATCGAGGGGACGTCCCCCAGTTGTGGCATAGTATCGTACCAGAAGCTCGAGTGCAGCAGACAAACCCATCAAGACGTTGAGGAGTCGGAGGTTAATCTTGTTCGTGAATTGATTATCCGTATATGCCGGAGTGGTGCTACCGGGTGATAAGGCCAAAGCGCCTCTTTAGTAACGGTAATGACGGCTCCATGCAATGGAATGGGGGTCTGTTGCTTTCATACAGCTGGGTCCATGCAGACGGTCGCTCACTTCGGAGCCGCTTCGGCTGAAGGTCGCACCGAGGTCTGCTTGCCCATGTTCGGGTTTCGACGGACCAGCAACACGAAGATGACCGCAAACATATTCATAATATGGCACCTGTAAAGAAGCTAAGGCCATGAGGGTGGAGGGGGTTCACGTTGACGCGCCAAACTGGAAATCTACCAGCAAGCAAGCGTGGCAACCTAGTCGCCCTCATCAGTCGCCAACCTCGTAAGGTCCTGTGGGGCACGTTAGCTTGGCGTGCGGGATTCCAATACCTCATTCCGATTGGCTCAAAAGCTGGCACTTTTGGGCACAGCACGTGAGAAGGCGAACCGCGCGTCTGGGGACTTTGGCGGGAAATCTGACGCGACGCGATCCACGGCTTACTCACTTCGCTGTCGTCATTGTCGGTTCCTCACCTCCGCTGCAGCAATGGATTACTGGTCTGCCAAGGGACGGCCGATGCTCCTCGCGGCACTGGAGACGGTCTGTAACACTGTGGAGAAAGAACTAGCTGCTGGTGCGTGCCTCTGAATACTATCATGAATTCTTGATCGTTGCAGCACATCTTCAGGCGAGTCATGTATGGCTCAGCTAATATCCGGTCAGACATCCAGCAGCAGGCTGAACGCCGCCATGCATCTATCCTGGATGAGATCAGTCAGCTGAAGGCTACCGCTGCGAGAGCCGATCAGCTGGAACGAGAGAACAGGTCGCTTCTTCGGGAACTGGAAGAGTTTCGGAAAAAGCAGGTTTCCCAACATCCAGCGACAGCTCGATCTCCAGTTCGCGGTTCGGTAGCATTGGGAGAACAGACGCTGCCGGCAACACGACCTGCCCTCGCAGAGGTATCCGCCAATGTCAATGCACGCCCAGTTAAGACCCGCGACTCCGCAGCACGCGACCCAGTGAAGCCAGACCTCGAGAAGGATTATTCGCGACTTGTAAGAGTGCATACTGCCCTGGTCGAGAGATACCAGGAGTCCAAGCTCAGGGCGACGAGACTCCGTGAAGAGCGGCAGAGCTGGATAGAGTACGCTCAGTCACTCGAGGTCAAGATACGGAAGCTGGAGAAGAAGCTCGAGCGTAACAAGGCTCATAATAACGAGCTACTTCCTTCCAGCAATACGACGAAACCAGAACCGGCTAGAAGCGTTTCTGCCAACGGCATCTCTAGTAGGGCGGCCTTTGAGACAGCGGTGTTAGATCATGGAAGAACACCAGTCGAAGAAGAAACGCAGGATGAGAGCGGTCAGACGCCTGAGCTACCACCGGTACCTCCAAGCATGTCTACGGATCCTGTGGTCGAGATCAAAGAGGAGCCGTCCTCAGATGAGCCAGTGATGATCTCCGAGAGGATCATACGCAAACGCAAACATCCGTCTGACGATGCTGAAATACCTACGCCGCCGCGCAGAATCAAGAGTGAGCAGAGCATCAATTCAGACCCCATTATCACCAGCGAAGTTCCCGTTTTCCGTCCTCACGAGAGTATCGACCTGGATGAAGAAGATCAAAGGATGCCGACACCGAGAAAACAGCGCGCGTCGGGACACCAACGCCTTCAAGAGGAAGGCCCCATTAAGCATGAGGACCCCTTTTGGCTGCATTCCTCCGAGCCACAGTCCGCCAACAGGGCTGTGAACGCACCGCGCGGCGGTCTCGATAGACACTCCGATCGACCGGTTGCAACCAGCCTGTGCCCAACGCACAGACAGCCAGGGGCGCACAAAGATGGCAGGTCACCAATCAGGGCAGGTTGGACTTTAGATAACGGGATTGCGGAAGTTGCCGAAGACGGCTCTGAACTCTTCGAACCCCGGGGCATCGGGGAGAATGAAAGGGATCATATGCCCGCACATGGTCGGCTGCATTCGCTTTTACATCAGAACGTGCCGGAAAAGACTTCTCCTTTGGTTCCCCTAGCGGGGCCTGGTCGTGGCACCCGTCCACCTCGAATGGGCCATGGACACATCGAAAACGTGACGGCACGACAAACCCCAGGACAACGTCGCAACATCTCGGCCAGAGCATCTCCTACAGTGGAAACGCCCCATACCACTTCGCCCGTACGGCACGCGCGGGAACAGACCGATCAGTCGAAGCCTGCTCGGTTACGGGACCGGCCATTAGCAGAGCTGCGACCGGAAGACTTCAAAATCAATCCAAAATACAACGATGGCTACAGCTATGCCTTCTCGGAGGTTGTGCGCAATAAGGGTCAGCGGGCCGAGCTTGCTGGGTGCACCGATCCGAACTGCTGCGGTAGAAAATTCCGGGCCATGGCAGAATCAGAGCTCAACGCAGCCGGACCAGGCATCCTCTACCGGGTAGCGGACACCAAGATGATGGAGGACTATTTGGGCAACGAAGCGTATCGGCTCCTCTGTATGACCAGGGAGGAGAGACGGAGGTTGTGGATCAAGGCTAAGACGCAGGATTTGGCCGATCGATATGGGCGACATCGAGACAGGTTTGCACGGAGACCATCTCCGCCGGGGTATTGGAATCCGGATTTCCCGAGCACCCAGGATATTGAGAAGAGCAAGGAGGAAGGCGAGATCATGGAGAAGAGACTGGTCGAAGAGAGATGGAGAGAGGCAATGCGAGGTGGAGGTAGATGGTTGTTCCGGGACGAGTGAAGAAGTGACCTGCCAACACGGGACTCGAATTTCTCTTGGCTGCTAGGGGGCCGGAAGGAGTACCCACCACTCAGCACGCTCGTCGCGAACGCAGCGTTGCTCGACCCTTCCATAGATCTACTCGAAGGTCTAGGTACTGCGTCACACGTCGCTATTGGACTTCCTGCTTCCCTGATGTTCGCGATAGATATCCCATTGTGCCATGTTTTGGACCTCGTGCGAAGTTGGTTCCATAGCGTTTACGAATATTTAGCGCTTATTTATCAAAACTTTTGTAACATCCTTCATTTTTAAGTCTGATGCCCGGAAGCGGCCCGTGTGAGTGTCATGGGTCCTTCCGATACCCCACACCGACCCCTGCCCTTTCATGGTGTCAAGATCGGTGGCCATTTGGCCCGAGCGCCAGCCCAGGTGTTTGCCGCATGAGTTTTAGCGGCAGCAATGTTTCCCTCGATGCAGCCCATCCTAAATTTTGTCACAACCTGAAGCTGGTGGAAAGCCAGCAACCAAGCCCGCCAGCTCCTGCATCACCTTTCTCAGCGGCCATTTGCTCGCTTGCGCAGCAACGGGCTGCTTAAACAGATAGCACCTCGATCCCAGCGCCTTTGAGGTCGTCGGTCGAGGGAACAAGGGCAGAGGCGGATCGCCGTGGAAAGAGCGCCCACCCGACCAACGCGCACCAACAGCCAGGCGCCCGGTAAATCCCCCAGCTGCAGCTGCAAACCATTTGAACGCAGAGGGCACTTTCCGACAGACTCCTTGCCGGTACCCCTAACAATCCTCGTCATCACTCCAAAAGACGTCAACACTGCCATCCCGGACGCCCACTTTCCATCCTTCGTCACGGCTGCTTCTCAAGATCCCGGCCTCTTTGCTGGGCTTCATTTATCGCCGTTACGCCGCGGTGGCCCTCACGTCCAAGTGAGAAGCTACCGCAACACTAGCCACACCACCCACCCCAGGCCGGCATGATGAACAATCGCGGGCATCTGCCGGCTGGGCAGCAGGTGCATGGTGGTGCCGACATGGGGCCCGCGCCTGCCGGCGGTGCCCCGCCTCGCCGGGGAGGCCGGCAGCACTACCCGCCCGCCCACGCCTACCATCCCGGCGGCCATCACCACCAGCACGTGGGCCACCCCATGTACGCCACCACCTATATGCCCGCCGCCTACGGTGCTCCTCAGTATTACATGCCCCCGCAGTACCAGAACGGCGCCATGGCCGCACCGGCTGGCTACATGCCGTATCCCAACGCCGGGTATGTTCGGTCGCCGCCCGCGATGCCGCACTACATCCCCGTGCAGCAGCCGTACGGCCGACCCTCTCAACACTCCTCTCCGATCGTGTCATCCCCATACCATCCTCCACCGCCTACAGCGCCGGCAGTCGTTCCTCCTCTCCCCCACACTCCATCCTCGACACACTCTTATGCGGTTCCTCCTCCTATGACTCCGCCTGTCCGCCAGGTCCACGAGGCCATTCCAGCCCCGCCGCCAGTCCAGCAGTCACAGCTGTCCGAGCCTCAGCCCGAAACTCAAACTGAACCCCAACAGCAGCCGCAAACAGTGCTGCCGCCCTCACACCAAGTTGTCGATACCGAGGTCAAGCCAACTTCGGCTCTTGCTAGTCCGGCCTCGTCTCCAAAGGCGCCTTTCAGACCACCAGTAAGTGTCCGGAATCGGATCCAACAGGATTCCTATCCAAGTGGCAGGCGCTGACTGCATTTAGCTTCCTTGGACCTCGACTGATTGGCCCTTTCCCCCACGAGCTGCGAGGCTTAGGAGGAAGAGGAGGTTTCTTGGCGCCGATGCTGAGCGATTAGAGCTGCCCGAGAAGCCCACCCCGGCAGCGGATGTTCTTACTAAGGTGCAGAAGGAAACCGAGCAACAAGCGCCGGCTGCCGCCGCAGAACCGTCGTCCAAGTCTCAGGATCATCCACCCCGGTCTGAGGCCCCGTCCACACCAGCGCAGCCATCGGAAGACGCTGTCTCGACCTCTCCGACCTCGCCAAGCTCGGTGCAATCCTCCAAGACGTCTACCACTGCCTCGGCCGCTCCAACGAACACTGTGAAGCCGTCGGCGCGGTCGGCTGTTCCTGCGGTGCCAGTGATTCCCGCCCTCCCCAAAGCCAGTCCCAAGGAATCCAAGCCTGCAACAGGTGCTGAGAAGAGGTCAAGCGCCGAAGCCCAACCCGCTGCCGAAGCCCATCCCGCTCCCGCAGCCCCTGGCGACGGACCGGCCGAGGCGAGCCAAGCAGGTGAGGGTGTGAACGGGACCACCGAGACCGAGGCACCTAAGGCTGCTCAGACTGCACCTGCCCCGGCCAAGCCTAAACTGTGGACCGGTTTGTTCAAGGCCGGCACCTCTACCGCGGGCACGAGCTCTGCCGCCCCTGCTGTCCAAGGGCAAACCAATGGCAACGCGGCCGATGGATCGGCTGTGATCGCCGGAGCTGGCAGCTTTGCGAAGGCCAATGCTAGCTCTCTCGCTCAGGTTCTGCAAGCCTACCGGCCCGGTGTACAGGACAGACTCTCCTTCTTGGAGCCGAGAGGATTAGTCAACACTGGCAATATGTGTTATATGAATTCGGTAAGAGCCAAACCATGCCGAGCCACGTCCGATTTTCTAACCGTCCAAATCAGGTGCTACAAGTTCTCATTTTCTGCGTTCCCCTGTACCATCTCTTGGATTTAGTTGGCAAGAATGCCGCTCACAGCTTCAAGAGCGAGACGCCCTTGATAGATGCGATGTGAGCCTTTGAGTCTTCTCGGCTCGCCATCACTGCTAATGTGTAACAGGGTCATGTTCATGCGCGAGTTCAAGGTGATCGACTCGGCCCCGTCAGCCGAGCAGCTTAGGAAGCGCCTCAAGAGTGAAGAGTACGAGAAGTATGGCGAGCCATTTACGCCCGAGTTTGTTTATGAAGCCATCCGTACCCTTCCGCGCTTTGCAAGCATGAGAGTAAGTTTTGGAGCCGCTTCAAAGTCCGCTCACGGCACTAACGGTTGGCAGCGCGGCCATCAACAGGATGCTCAGGAGTTCCTTGGATTCCTCCTCGAGCATCTCCATGACGAGTGCGTTCAGGTGATGCGCGCCGCTCCCGCATCGACCGCTTCTACCGCCCCTAACTCGTCTCTTCCGTCTCCGACCTCTTCCCGGGCGAATGACGCCTTGGAAGGCGGCGATGACTGGCTCGAGGTTGGGCCACGCCAGCGTGCCGCTGTTACCCGGTCCTCTGGCCACCCCAATACCTTGTCGCCCATCACCAAGATTTTCGGCGGGCAGCTCCGCTCCGAACTGCGTGTCCCCGGCAATAAAAACTCGGTCACCCTGGAGCCGTACCAACCCCTCCAGCTCGATATCGGCTCCCCCGAGATTCGCAATATTATTGACGCTCTCAAGGGACTCACGCGGCCCGAGGTGCTGCACGGCGATTTCAACTCACCGCACGGCAAGGATGTTCGGGCGACCAAGCAGGTCTTCATCGAGTCCGTGCCGTCGGTTCTCATCCTGCACCTGAAGCGCTTCCAGTTCGACGCCGAGGGTTCCGGCGGCACCGTCAAGATCTGGAAGAAAATTGGCTACCCGCTGGAGTTTGAGTTCCCGCGAGAGGTGCTGTCGCGTCAGACGCGCAACACCATCCTTGCCGAGAACTCTGGTGCGCCCCGTTACCGGTTGATTGCGGTGGTCTACCACCACGGCAAGAACGCCAGCGTTGGGCACTACACGGTTGATGTCCGTCGGCAGGATGGCCGGGAGTGGATCCGCATCGACGACACGGTCATCAGGCGGGTGCGGGATGAGGACGTTGCCGAGGGCGGCGCCGAGGAGGAGGCCGGCAAGGTCGACGGCCGGAAAGACACCAGCACGCCCGCCACGGCTAACCGGTTCCTCGGCATCAACGACGAGGATGCCGGTGACGACGACGGCTGGAAGCAGGCGGCAGGCGGCAAGAAGTGGAGTAGTGTTGTCAACGGGGCGACGTCCAAGACAAGCAACGGCCAGCAAAAGGCCAAGCAGCAGCACAAGGAGAGCATGAAGGAAAACAAGGTCGCCTACCTCTTGTTCTACCAGCGGATCTGATGAGCGATCCGCGTGGAACGGAAGCAACACCGGTTTACTGTCGCGGCGTGGCAGCGCAGAGCATACAAGAGAAGGAAATTTCAAAGTCGCCAAGGTACATGGTTAATCACGCAAAACACCGCGGCGTGAGCGGTGTGCGCAGGCGGCCGGGCAGTAAACTATGCTTAGCGGTCGTTCATGGTCGCTACATTGGAGGCATCCGACGTCACAGAATGGACACGGTTGCCGCAGTGGCATGAGACGCGACGGCTCCCAGGAAGGGAAGGAGTCGACGATGTCAATAAGTCCATACTATCGACGGGTGAAGTATTCGCGGACACCATCCCGACATCTACCATCATCCGAAAACCTACGTAACCTTATTCCGCATTACCACATGCAAGCTTCCGGACTCTACGTCCTCATCGCTCTACCTACTACCTCGAGCCTACAACCCTCGCCCCTCTTCCCTGTGGATCCTACCCAGTACCAGCCATGATCCATAGCCTACGGAATGGAAATGGCTGGTAGCGTCACCGGGTGTGGAACGTGGAGTAGGCTGTGAGGCAATCGCCTGCAGTGGAACAGACCTAGAAGAAGAAGAAGCAAATGAGCATGCGTTGGTGGGACGGCGGCTCGACTTAAACCTAATCTTACCCAGGGGAGAGAGACCTACAAAGCAGGCTCAACGCGATTAGGTCATATCTAGGTAGATATGGATAGCGTATTGCGTAGATAAAAGTTGTTTATCTTGACACTTGTTGACATGTGACTCTGCTATGCCTGCGCTGCGCTTTGTTTGGTTGATTCTGACTATGGTCGGTGGATTGTACAGCATAGTAAACCATTCATCACGACCGGCGCCAACCACCCCCTAATGCCGACCTTCTCCCAAACCCGTCTTCTCTTCGACCCTCAAAACCTAACCACTGGCCGACCGGGCCCAATTCAGCAAAGCCACACCTCTCCTTCCTTCCCTTTGAGGTACGTACTAATAATTAACCTATCCATCTTCACCCGCCGTCTTTCATCTTCATGTTAGTATACACCCTGCCACACCCCAAACCCTTTCCCCCCACCTAATATTATAAGACAAATCTACCCAACATTCTCCCCTGAGACTACCTCCTCCTATAATCCACCTCGACCTCAGCTCCTGAAAGACTGAATGTCGAAAGCATTGCCGAAGAGACAACCAACAACTTCAACAACATATGGACTTATTACACAGGGCATGCGGTAGTGCGGTGGGCTCCTTGCCGCTGATGTCCCTCTGAGAAACTGGTCTATCTCAGAGACCAGTCAGGTCAACTCATGCATAGTTGCATACCGAATTTGGCTGGAGATATAAGCCGACAGAATGAAATCCGTCAGCCGCATCGTGTGGTTAAGCCTTTTTCATGGTCTTCGTTGGATAAGGAGCCATCAGGCTTGATACAAATAGAAATCTCGACCGCGAGGTCCTCACACTCCCTCATGGTCACGAAGTTCCTGGACATAAAAGCATGGGAACGAGTACCACAGGAACGAACCATACTCAATCTTGATGTCCGCTGTAACACACTTCTAGTTATGCCTATATGGAGGACCGATGAACTCGACGCAGCGACCTCACATCTTCGTGCATCGCCTCACAGCCTCAATGCCCAGACGGTGTATTTGTAGTGTGTTCCGCGCTCCTCTCTCTACTCGGTGTCTTTGTCGCCAAACCGGTTGCTCGCCGGACCGCCATCCAGGAGCTGCACAATCCTGGGTCCAAATCCATGTTAGGCAGGCGTCCCCTCTTCCTCAACAACCTTCTCCTCGCTCGAGTCTCTGCTCTCTCCGCCAGGAGCCACGAACTTGCCGTCGACGATCCTCCATCCCTCTCTCTTCATAGTGCTCCACTTCTCCTGCACCTTGAGCCGCACCAACTCGCCCGCCGCGCGGGCATCCTCGGCACTGTCATGCCCCATCGCCTTGCCGTCGGTCTCTTCTACTTGTATCGCTTTGTTGAGCTGCGTCTCCATGAGCATCTTCAGTCCGTATCGCATCGGCAAGCCGCCCTTGTGGTGTGGGTACAACAAGATGGTGTCGATCACGGTGGGGTGTATGATGCGCACCGCATTCAGGTCGTTTTCCAGTCCGTGACCGATCAGAGGCGTAGTGGGCGATATGAGGGAGAACAGGAGATCGCGGGCAACAACAGGAGACGGAACGATGCGCATCCTTTTCCGTTCTGTGGGGTCCGCGTCTTTACTCGCTTCTCGCTCTTCTTGGGTCTTATCCTTTTGGCCTTCGCTACCCAGCGTCTCACCTGACCAGGGCTCGGCGTTGACGATGTCCTCGGGCCATACGCCAGAGTATCTCGAATTCAGGTCCAGGATCTCGCCGAGGGGCTGGACGAGGACATCCAGCAGTTCCTTGCCGTCAGGCCAGCTTGTGGCCGTGATACGGATCAGCTCCAGCCCGTAGACAGTGTAGCCCATCTCGCAGTCGAAGCAGACAGCGCGGTCCTTGGGCACCGACGGGTTGGGTGGTGTCCGGACGAAGGGGATAAGTGCCGCCAGGCGTGCTGGAGACGTCGTCTTGAAGACATGCGTGTCGCTGGCCGCGCAACCAGGCGACTCGCCCACCACCTCCTGGCAGCATCGGTAGCGCTTGGCGGGTCTATTGAACACGCCGGGCGTCCGATCGGGGAAGTACGCCCTCCCTGGATGATGTACGCATTTGCCGCCCGACGCCAGGGCCCCATCCTCCTCACGTCGGCCGGGAAATACCTGAAAGCGAGTCGCACACCGGTCGCATACCTCCCATCCTCCTGAAGCCTCATCCCCTTCGCGGGCCCTGGCAATGTCCTCGTCGCTCGGGGCCGTGGGGACGTAGTTGAACTCGGAGAGGTGGTCAATAGGAGTGTACAGGTGGGCCAGGAACTCGACTTCTTGCTCGGGAGTTAGACCAGTTTGGACATCCTTTGGCGGGCCCATGACGGCCTTTGCTAGGTTCTTTGAACTCAGTGTATTTGAACCCGGCGTCGCCGTGGCCGACTTCTTCTTGAGCTCTGCCTCACGCTCGGTCTTCCACTGGGCGGGCGTCATGCGCTTGTACGCCATGATCCGGTTCTTGATGACGTTTTGGTAGATGGATGGCTTATCCGTCGCCATCCGCTGTTCCTCATCCAACGCCAGCCAGATGACTTCTTGGTCCGAGAGTACCAGCTTTTCCTCATCTTCCTTGGCGTCCCTCTTCAGCTCGTTATTGAGGCGCTGAAACTGCTCATGGAGAAGTTTGAGAGCCTTGTAGCGGAAATCATGGCCCGTGGGTGCAGACTTCAGATGTCGGGGATTTAAAGCCTCCGGCTTCCTTGGTGTTGCCCTTACTGGTGTCGCCTTCACTGGCGAGGGCTTCGCCGGTGCTGCCTTCACTGGCGTGTTCTGATGGGGTGCGACATGTTGAGACGTGGTGGCCCGAACCGGCTCGCTTGCTGGCGTAAACGATCCCGCTGAGCTCGGGGGCGGCTTTGGCGATGAGGCAGTCGGAGCAGTGATATTTGTAGGCTGAGGAAGCTTGCGTTTCAACGGCGGAGGAGAGACCGGTCGCAGTGCTGAGGAAGGCTCTGGATGAGTCGATAGAGACCCTACTGGGGCAGAGCCAGGTTCAGAAGAGAGCTTTCGACGTTTTCGTGGCCCGTCTTCGTCCTGGCTACCATCATGTGCTAGACCTGGTGGAGACTTGATGTCCCAGCTGTGTTGCCATTGGCAATCACGCTTGGAACAACCGTCCCCTTCTGGGCAGGGAATCAGCTTGAAGTTGCGCAGAACGGCATCCATCGCATCCATGGGTCCTGAGACGTGTCTAACAATGAGTCATATGTGACGTGGCCGCCAATGACCCCCTCGGCGGATGGCAGGAATCACCGCAGGATGGGTAACTTGATGGGAGAATAGCGATGCGCCGCTCAACCATGGACGATGGAGGAGGGTGGGAGACGAGTCCAGAGCGCAACCGAACCTGGGATTCCAGCTCAAGATATGCTTGAGCAGTCTTGACACTCCGGTCATCAGCAATGCCCAGCAGTCCGGGAGTGGATGGTGAGGCCGGGTTCGGAATAATGGTACTCGGTAACAAACCACTCGTGGAATGTCTCGCAGATGGTATCGCGCCCGAGATACGGTTTGGTATCAAAAAGCGAGTGACGTCAGACAAGGAGCGCCGTATGAAACGCCGACGGCTCCTTAGAGGCCTTCAGGGTATTTTCTGGGCGACCGCGGGAGTTATGAAGAGTGTGACTACGGTCCGTCTCTCAGTTTGCTGGCAGAGAGGGACGATGTGTTGATCTCGGCGATGCAAATGCAGCAGGTGAGGTTGAAGGCGAAAGCAACGATTGGAAGGCGCGAGGAACGGAACCCGCCACCAAGGACCCAGAATTAAGTATGGACGTCTCGGGAGATGAAGAGGATTATCAGAGAAATGCAAGTCTAAGACTGAGCTGAGGCAGGACATGCAAAGTAATGGATGCTGTTTTGTTGGTTTAGAGAGTTGAATTGCTGATGTAAATACACAGTGAGCAGGGATACAACTGAACAATGGAAGGTGCCTTGCGCCAAGGCTGAACCTGTGACTTACCTTCAAGGGTCGAAAGTTAGGATTCGAGGTTGCACTTTGAATGTAGTTTAAGCGGGCACATCAAGGAAGGAGGGCTAGAATCAGGTTACCTGCTCTCATGAGTGCAAGCCAGGCAACCTCTGGGTTCGATCATTAAGGTACGTACTACCTATAACCTATCCATTTTAACAGACACATAGGACTTGGACTCTTGGAACGGCCCCACCTCGAGCTTGTGACTGTCCGCCTCGTGAACAAGGCTGCGCCTCGTCTCGAGAATTCTCCGGCAGCTCGGTTTTCGACTTCCATAGCCCTTTCCCACGTTCCACCCTGAGAGCGGCGAATCCAGTGTTCCCGTTAGCATGGCGGCACCACCTCCGCAACCGCCGGCACGTACCGGCTTGTCACTCTACGCCGACCTCCTCGAGACCGACAGCTCGGCCTCCATCTCGCGCGATCCCGTGCTGTTCAAGGATGAGAGCAAGGGCGACGCGGCTGCAAAGAAGGCCCTTGATCCAGGTATGCCCCGGCAATCAGGCTAGTGCCTTGACGGTGAGGTTCTTCTAACTCATTTGCAAGCGCTGCGCTTCCAACCCATCCGCCGCCCCCAAGTCAAGCAACCCAGCAAGCCGAAGCCCATCTTTCCCAAAGCGCCGCCCACGATACCAACAGCAGCAGCAGCGGCTGCAACTACAGCAGCGGCCGCACCAGCACAGCCGCGCAGCACCCTCGCCGATTGGGCCGCCACCGAGGAAGATGAGTACCTTTACGGTACGGCTGAGAAGCGGCAGCGCGGTGGGCGTAGGAGGAAGAAGAAGAAGGCCGACCAGCCCCGCGAGACTGACTGGGACGAGCTCTATGACCCGGCGCGGCCGACCAACGTCGAGGAGTACCTGCACAGTGAGGAGCGCATACGCGAGGTGCAGGACTGGAAGGCCGTGCTTTATGCCCATCGGAGGCGGAGGCAAAGGTCCGAGAGTTATGAGAGCGAGGGACGGAGCGGTGAGGAGGACAGGGCTACGTTCAGGAGTGAGTTACTTGTTCTGTCTCGCGTGCATTATGGCAGTGCTGACTGTCTAGGCCAATTCGCACCGCCGGCCTCACTCGCCTTCGCGCCGCCACCAATGTCTCCCCCGCGCGCGACTGCTCCTGTATCGAACGATGCAACTGGAGACGACGCCTATGCTCGCCGTCTAGCGCTGTCAGGCATGGCGCCACCATCTCCTCCACCGCCACCACCACCACCGCCCCCTGAATTCAAACCACCGCCTCATCCCCAGCCATCCACCGACAGCGCGACCATATCCCGCGCCCCCGTGCGGTACGAAGCCCCACCACCACCACTACCGCCACCACCACCACTCTCGGACACCACTCCAATGGACCTCGACGACAAGGAAGAAGACGACTACGACCCCGAAGTCGACTACGCGTCCATCCTCCTTCCTGCTCCTCCCACCAACCCATCCGACGCCGCCGACGTTGCCCAACAAGAACGCACCAGCCGCCCAGGCCAGAAGGGCTTCGCCCAACGGCTCATGGCTAAATACGGCTGGACCAAAGGCACCGGCCTCGGCGCCTCCGAATCCGGCATCACGTCTGCCTTGCGCGTGCAAGTCGAGAAGCGCCGGCGCAAGCCGGACGCCGAGGGCGGCGGATTCGCCGAGCCCGGCGGGCGGGGGCGAATCATTGCGCCCAAGGCCAAACCCCGTGCGGATGGGGAGGATGCTGGAAAGGGGAAGATGTCGGTGGTGGTGGTACTCCAGAACATGCTGGATAACATGCCGGACCTGGAAGCCGAAGTCGAGGCAGGGCTGGGCCAGGAGATTGGCGAGGAGTGTGGGGAGCGGTACGGGCGGGTAGAGAGGGTGCTGATCGACGTGGAGGGACGAAGGGTGTTTATCAAGTTTGTGGAGGGGGTGTCTGCTCTACGGGTAAGTTAACTTCTTCCTTCCCGTATCCGGTTCTCCCCTGCGTGGGTGATTGCATGTGAGCTAACAGCCGAGGGGAATCATAGGCCGTCAATGCACTTGAAGGCAGGATATTTAACGGAAACTCGATTGCGGCGAGATTTTACGATGAGGAGAAATTTGAGGAGGGCATATATGATGGATGAGCTGGAAGATGTCTCTTATCATTTCGAGTCCTCAACAAATAGAAAACCATGTCGTTGTACTGTACCGAATGGTTGTTGACGCTCTCCTGTAATGGCGCAAAGCGGTGCACAAGTCGTGGCACTTGGGTTGTCTCACACTTCCCAGTAACAAGGTTGCCTACCTGGGACACATGCTGTCAGCATATGAATGCCTATATGTTGCGCAGGGCACACACACACACACACACACACACGATACACTACATGACTTCGCCCACACGAGCACCACCTAGGACCCGGATCCGGCGTATAACAAAAGCGTACCAGAGTACAACCAAGACACTCTGATTCAACGACAGAACTGCTGCTCTTGCACACCACCACGCATACCTCTGTCTCGTAGCATAGCATAGCCCCCGTCAGACACTTCGCTCAAGCGGGCGGCGGAAGCCTCACACTTCTTAGAAGCCTTTTTGCATTGCATATCTTAAGGTGTTGTACAGAGACAGAGGAATCAGAGCACACACACACACACACACACACTAAAGACAAAAAAGGGAGACATCATAAACACCAGCCAGCATTATTACAACGTACTAGAGAGACTTGCATACAAAAAAAAAGTGCGAGGAAACCAGGCGACAGACCAAGCACAGCTAGACACAAACAATTCCATCGACTGATTACAAACCCCTCTGTGATCGACCGGCTATGAGAACAGACTTTGTGAGCGTTGGGCAGCACATTCAGACATCCCCCCTCGCTTACGCGCAGACCCTCTCTTTCTTTTTCCCTGTCCAAGAAGTACCTGGTAACCTGACCATCGTCATTACCGGTCCTCATGCCCTTCTGTAGACCCGAAGCCCCTTCGTTCAATTGAATGACTGGTAGGGTTTGTTCATTCCCCTGTCCTCGGCGGTTCGTGCATGCCGGACGGCTTTCCCCACTGGGATGCAGTTTATCACACATAGGCAGGGAGGGAGGACAGGAACCCAAATGTACAGATCCAGCGTCTCTATCGAGAGATATTAAGTCTAGCGGACCCAGTGTGTAGAATGGGCGCGGCGAGGTATGGGGAAAGCCATTATCATCGGCAGTGATAACTCCAGACAGTTCGTTTCAAAGGAAAGACAGAAAGAATCCAGCGCGATGACGGCAGGGGTGGGTGCCATGTTACGGAGGTGCTGCGCCGACGGTGACCACCAGACCAGAAAAGAATCCGTATTTGCCTGACCTAGTAAACGCCAAAGGACCCAGAACAAACATGGGTATCCGTCACTTAGAGAGCCGAGGCAAAGGCGGCAACGCCGACAAGACCCAGGAGCGCGGCGTTGAAGGCAATGCCCGCGGCACCGTTTTCATCGTTGCTGCCATTGCTGCCACCAGAAGAGCCGCCGGCTGAAGTGCTGGAGTCGGTGTCCTCGTTGGCCTTCGAGTTGTTGCTGGTGCACGCCCAAGTGCCCTGGATATTGCCGGAACCGCCCTGGCTGCGGGGAGCGAGCTCCTTCAGCTTATCGCACGCCTCGTCGATATCAGCAGTGCTGGAGACATCGAAAGCACCCTTGACGACATCGAGCTCCGGGAAGCTCACGCTAAAGGGATGAAATGTCAGCCGAGAACATAACTACTAGTACAGTACCGGGACGTCTTACTCGGTGAAATTTCCGCGGAGCTTGACAGCACCACCCACGGTCTCAAGCTTGTTGAAGGCGTCGATCTTGTCCAGACCGGTGTTGTTGGCAACGAGCAGGCCACCACCGATCGCCGTCAGCTTGGGGAACGTCATGTTCTGGAGCTTGGCGTTGCCAACGAAGGAGATATCGCCCGACTCGGTCTTGGTCAGGTTAGGAGCGCTGAACGATGTGAAGAAGTTCGAGTCAAAGCGAGCGGAGCCGTTGACGACCTTGAGTGACGGAATCGAGAACTTGGTGACATTGGCAACAGTCATGTTGGCGATCCAGATCAGGTCGGGGAATTCCACCTCGAGGTTGAGACCGTTGGCTTGAATGTTGAGGAAATCCGACAGGCTCTTCAGCGAGTTGCTGATCTTGACGAGGCGGCGGTTGTTGTTCAGGTTGAGGACCTTGACAGTGCTCAGGTTGAACGCGTCCAGGTTGTTGAGGAAGGTATCGCTGATGATGACCGAATCAGCTTCCCTCAGAGGTCCAAGGGTGACCGAGTTGATGCCCGTGAGCGATTGCCAGCTGAGCGATTGAACCGAGGTCAAAGACGAGAAGTTGATGGTGTTGAGCTTGGTCACGTTGGTCATGGTAAAGGCACCGCCAACCTTCTCCAGGCTGGAACTCGAGATTTGCGAGATCGCGCCATTGTTGAGTACCTTGAAATCACCGGTGATCTCCTTCGGACCGTCAAGATTGATGTCGCCAGCAGTTGTGCCGACCACGACAGAGCCCTTCACGGTATCACAGTCTGCAAGCTTGGTCGCATCGGCCTGGCTGTTGACAGTCGTCGTGGACACAGTGCACGTCGACGTTTGGGCTGTAAGAGGGTGTCAGGAATACCTGGTCCGGGTCCTGGTAACTGCGCGGGTCTTATCAGGAGCACTCACCCGCTACAGAGCCGATTGCCACGAAGGCAGGGAGAAGCTGCTTGACAAACATCTTGCCGGAGTCTGTTTCCCGCGTGTTAGCAGGGTAATTCTGGAGTGCAGTGGAACTGAAAAGAATATGATAGTGAAGCGATGTGGGCTGGGACGCGAAGACGCGAATTAAATATGTCCTGGTTGAGTCAAGCGATGTTTCGAGCGATGGTCTAGACCGCACGTCAACCAGCACAGACTGCCGAAGCTGGCCAACGTTGAGTCTCGCAGAATAAACACGACAGCAAGCAACTGCCTTCCGTCTGGTGTCCGTTCCTTAAGCCAAGCTACTTCCAGTGGCTCTCCAAACGCCCGGTGTCAGGAAGGCGGGATGGGCCTTGTTCTGGTGACTTGACTCGTGAACTCGTGGACCGCGTGCAGTGGAGAGATGCGCCAGAAGAGTGGGCAGCCACGTTTTCCGTCCTGGTACCGAATCCCTCTGCGCTGTGGATGCAAACCGGAGTTCAAATACAAACGCACCTATTCTTCAATAGAGTATCTCGAATGTCGAATCCCTTGCGGTCAATTGGCGATGATCTCGTGTTCCTGAAGTCAAGAAAGGAGCAAAGGGGGGAATCGGGGAAGCGACCTTCGTCGTATCACTTGCTTCCTTATTCAAAGCAGTGAAAGGTCAACACAGGTAGTAACGAGTGAATGGAAGCAAAAAGGCGTTCGGGAGACGGAAGGAAGAGGGTGATGTAAAACAGGAAGGAAAGAGGTGTGGTTTGAGGAGCAGCTGGGCCAAGGGGCAGAAAACACGGCAGGCTTCGAAACCTGCCCAGGAGACGGCGAGGGCGATTGGGAGCTCAATAATTACTGGTGGGCCCGTTTCATTCGGACACGCCCCTGCAAGTTACCGGTACGAGCGCACCCGCGATGTCTCCAAAAGTAGTACCTTACACTAGGGATGGTGTCAGTTTCTGGGAAACGATCGTGTGCCCGGTCCGGGTCGATTTAGGCGAGTATCTAATATCTACAGAGTATTCCAGCATGCGGAAGGAAGCAGATCCATATATTCTTGTTGTCGGCTTCAAAACGGCGACGGACATGACTGCGCAGATTGGTGCAACCAACATTCTCCCGCCGATGCATCCGAGCTTGGCGGGAAATGAGGGTGTGGATCTAGTGCCCGCTACTGTGAGCACTGTGACACTGCAGTGGGGCAGATTCCGTGAATGACAAGGTTCTCCTGGAAGGTCGTTCCAACTTCCCAGCTCGGCGACACATGCCACCGTTCTGCTTCGGCGGCCGCGCGACGTCGATGGCGCTCTTGGCTCACCAGGGGCCAAGCTCTCCCTCGACCAGGCAGGGATTTGCAAGTTTGCAACTCGATCTCTAACGTTACGAAGTATTCTGTACCGCGAGGCGCATCGCTGTGCCAGTGCCTTGGTGCCGTTTGTGTTTTGCGGGATTGATGACAACTGAAGCCAACCGTCCGGAGGCGCAGCATCGCGGACGACCCGGCAGAAAGCCTGCATCATCCTCGAGTTGATCAACGCAGACAGCTTCCTCTCCATGTTCATGCATGACGTCGACACAAAACAGGGCGAATTGAGGTGCACTGCTGAACTGCATTGTCTGTTCTAGCCACAGGCACTGAATGCAGAGAACTGCAATACGAAAAGCCAGTTTCGCTCATTGGTCAACCATTCCTTGCCAAACCCACCTTGGCGACGAAGATCCTCTGCGCCCAATGCACTCTAGCCCACAGAACACCGCAACGTCCCGTCTTGGACGCGGGTGGCCTCCTGATAGAACTTCACCGAAGAGCTCGACTTCTACCTACATAATCTCCCTGCTGATACACCAAGCACATCACCATCCTCGCTGTGCCTTCACACGAGCCTCCTAATCAGCGCATTCCGGGTTCCCTAGCGACTAGGTATTCCTGTTCACGGATACCTAGGTATGCTCTGTCCTACGCTTTGTTAGTTACCCCTAAACTAGCTTCGCGGTGCTTGCTATGAACTCCGACCTGGATATTAGTCTACACTATTCTTCTACCTACAACATGATCATGACAACGCCGACAGGTTTGTGACGTACCATCCACCAACGGACGGGAAATCTGTGTGCGCCATGGAGGCATGCCCTTGTGGAACAGCCGTGCGCGGCCTCTATCATGCTTGCGTAAGCTGCGCTGTCCATGTGCCCGTGGTCCCAGTTCTCGCTCTGTGAATAACTGCATTCTCGACAAGCCAACGGAAGACACTCGATCGATCATCCCTGACCTTGACGAGGCTTGTTGCTCCTATCAGCGATCCTGGCCCCGCCTCAGCGACGTTCCTCCGCGGCACAATAACTACCTAGGTAGCTGTATTCCTGTGATAACCTAGCATCCGAGTGGGCCAGGAATTCGCAGTGCCGTATCGGCTTCTAAGGGGAAGGCGAGCGTCGTCTCGCCAGTTTCGCGGTAGTTGCTCTGATTCTAATTGATGGGTGTACCGTGATGTACGAAGGGGCCAAATGCTGACCCTATTGGTGACTCAGTCACAGACTTGAGACATACACGTACCTAGTTACAGCAATTCACCACCAATCCGAGCTCGGAAGGCCATGACGAGGCGTACGGTAGGTAGGTCAACTAAGACCTGTTGAAACAGACCTAGACGTTGGCAACGATCGACAGAAATTCCTGCCAACGGGTGTCGCGATGCTTCTGATGATAAGCTTGTTTCCTAGTGACCCCCCTGTTCCCACCCTGACACCGGATGGTCCGTTTGAGAGACTTCAGGTTTGTGACGTGCCCCAAGGAGACGGCACCCAAGAGCAGTCGTACGCGCATACACATACCACGGTGACGGGATCCTGCACACACCCTCCCCCGCCAGCCGATCACTCCAAGGTACTGATATCTGTCTCCTCGACCCTCCACATATACCACATAAACACGCTCCGGAAAGGCCGAAACCGCTCGCTAATCTCCTCCATCTCCTTCTCACTTATATACTTCCATTTCCCGCCCTTCGCCTTCAGCTTGGCCACGTCCCTGCCCACGAACGCCGCCATCCCCCGCTGGACGCCCAGGTCCCCCGTGGAAAACACGTCCATGCGCTTGAGCGCGAAGCAGGCGAACATCTCGACGCTCCATTTCCCCAGCCCGCGCACCGCCGTCAGCTTCTCGAGGATCTCCTCATATGGCGCATCCGCGAGCATCTGCGCGGTGAGTTCCCCGGAGGCGAACTTCTCAGCCAGCCCCTTCACGTACTCTGCCTTGCGCTGCGAAAGGCCCGCCGTGCGCAGTGTCTCGAGCGGTGTTGCGGCGACTTGATCCGGACGGGGGAAGATGGCTGGGGGGGAGGCTGCATCATCTACTACAGGGCCATCCGGACCGGAATCCTGGCTGTTGTTACTACTGTTGCTGTTGTCCTTGCTGTTGAAGAGTGCAATGAAGCGCGCCTTGATCGACTTGGCGGCTGCACCGCTGACTTGCTGCGAGATGATGCTGCTGCAGAGTGACTCGAATGGGTCGATCTGCTCGGCAAGGCCCTCCGGGGAGAAGATGCGGCAGTGGTGTTTGTCAATGAGCGGCTTCATGCGCGGGTCGACCTTGATGAGGTGCGCGCACGCCTCCTCGAGGATGTTGGCCGTTGTTGTTGTTGTCGTTGTCCCAGCTGTGGGCTTGATCATCTCACGGAGTTTAGAGGGGACAGCGTCGACGGGGGTGGAGGAGATGATGCGGGATGTTTTTGGGGAGCGGAGCAGCGCGTTGGTGCGGCTTGGGTCTGCTAGACGGGTGATTGCTGCCGGTCTCGGTTTCCGTGAGTGAGCCTCCTCCGCGATCAGGCTGACTGGGTTGGGGGTCGGAGTCGGAGGCTCCCCGGCATCCTGTTTAGCTGTTCGTCGTCGACGAGGAGTTGACGGCACCTTCCGCCCCGACTCCTCCACAGTTGCCGAGGCCTGTGTTGCGGCTTTCCGTTTACGAGATGCTACCGGAGGCGGCGGTGGTGGTGCCGGGTCAGTGATACTGCCGTTGTTGCTAATCAGCGCAGCCAGGCGTGCTGATCGTCGTGATGCCATAGTTCCAGCTGTTCTGCCTTCGGTGGACGAGTATGTTGTCACAAGTATGCAATGCTGGCAAGTCGAACAAGGAGTGCATCCAAAATCGGAAGAACCCCCGGCAGAAGGCTCGAAAGGAATGGATGGGTTTCCCCCAGGTCGAGAAGGGGGGGGGGAACGGATTGAGGCTGGGCGTGAGGCACACGACTATAAAAGGCAGCAAAACGCGCCCTTCGGGATGTAATCGCGCCGCTGACGCCTGCTCACGTGAAGGCTCAATTTGAGCTCGCCAAACAAGGACACTGTGCCGCATGCAACGCTGGTTTCCAGGTTCCGGAAGCCGCCTGTCGCCCCGCCCCCGCCGCTTCTGCAATAGCAATTCGGATCACGCAAGAACCTGTCTTAAATTATCGCAGGTAACTATTACCTAGGTATGTAATCTGTAAGTGATTCCATACCGGTTTCAAGTAAATATCCCATTGCTCTCCCCAGAGGCATCGCATCATTAGTATCCAAAACGCCACTTTAAATGAGCGTTGGGTGCTGATGATCAACTTCCATTCTTGAAGTTTGCAAGTTGACACTACACCTCCTCCAGCATATTACACGTTAGCGTGGTACTTGCCCCACCCACTATCCCATTTTCAGCATACAGTTACGTCAAAATCAGCATACAAGTCACTTTTCTAGTACTTTCCATAGAAAAGTGACCTCCTTCAAAATCCGTTCAGCCGACCCACTAAAAATCCATAATCTTCGACTTACATGCGCATCAGGAACACCATGGACATCGACACTATTATCAACCACAACCAAGACCTACACAAGTCGCCCTGCGCAGAGCGTTTTTACCGACTACATGCAAATAAGGCCAACAACCGTACAAAACACTGGTTCCAACAGGCCACTAGGTCCCAGGACCTATCACGTGATAAGAAGGTAGGCACCTTGCCTACTAGATTACCTACCCACCTACCTATCTTACTAACTCTCTCTCTCTCTAATAGATTGAAATTCGAACCTTACACAAGCATGCCGGCTGGGACTATTCCACTATTGCGAAGGCTACGGGCACAACACAACGGCAAGTGCAGCTTGCCCTGCAGGGTCCTTTGACCCCAAGGAAAAAAGGAAGGGTTGGGCCCCGGCCTGTCGTCAAGTCCCCGCAAAAGAACGAACTGATCGAGTTCCTACGGTCCGATCCGCTGAACCGCAAGCTTCCTTGGGCTGATTTGCGGTACTATATTCCAGGTTTCGAGCTCTTCGGAGAGCGAGCTATCTCAACGGCACTCGAAGCCCTTGGATACAAACGGACGATTCGACCCCGTCGCATTCAGCTTACCGATAAACACAAAGCCGATCGCCTCGCCTTCGCATACGAACAGCTTTCATTACGCCCGTACCAAGAAGACTGGGAGAATGTCCTCTTCTCCGATGAAACGTGGGCGACCAACAATCCAATGTGGAAGCAATGGATCACAATTCACGACACGGAAGATCCAGAGACCTGGGCACTCATACGAACTAAGCCACACGGGTGGATGTTTTGGGGCTCATTCGCCGGCTGTCGCAAAGGACCTAGCTTCTTCTGGGAGAAGGAGTACGGTGGTATCACTGCAGAGAAGTATCAACGGTTCATCACCCCTTTGGTCCATACATTTTATATAGAGTTTGAAGACATGTGGTTCCAACAGGATAACGCAGCACCCCACGCAGCTCGCGTAACCAAGGCATTACTGACGGCACTTGGGATTGACTACATTGTATGGCCGGCACGGAGCCCAGACCTTAGCCCTATAGAAAATGTATGGTTCTGGATGAAGAATTGGATCGAGGAAAACTATGATATTCAGCGGTTAACCCGGGCTTCGCTTCGCCGGGCTATTCAGGAGGCTTGGGATACAGTGCCCATAGAATTCTTACGGCAACTAGCTCACTCAATGCCCCGACGGCTCAGACAGGTCATTGCAAATGAAGGAGGGAGAATTATGTACTAGGTACTCTGGATGCAGTAGAAAATTGTATGTGTATGGTGGTATCTTGACTCTCTCTTGACTCCTGCAGGGGGTTTGCCAGCTCTGGTTAGTCGGGTGGGGCAAGTACCACGCTAACGTGTAATATGCTGGAGGAGGTGTACCTGCAGTAGCATCAACCCTGCAAGAAACCCTGGAAATACCTCGCTGCAATCGTCGCAACACTGTACGGAATACATACAACTGATAACGTTAGCTTTAGCTGGATTTGACCGCCGTTTTTCCGTGTGTGTGTTTCGAGGGCCGCATCAAAGTTCGCATCCCGCAGGCGGCGTCTTGGCCCGCTTCCCTGCTTCCGCTAACTTCCATATCTGGTGGAAAGTCCCGTCCAACCGCCTCAAGGACCTAACTAAAGGGTCTTCTGTACATGATTGGGCTGCAGAGGTCCGCCCGATGACGCGGGCAAGGCTGGACAGACTTTGCTCTTGCGACCCGGTCATATGTAATGATCAAAAGAAGCCGAGCTACCGGTATGTCTCCCCGTTCATCTTGAACTTGGAGACGGTGATTGCGTGTGTCTGTCGATCGAGTGGGAGGTTGACCATTGGGAGACCGAAATTTCATGCAGCAAAGGAGCTAGGAAGTGGGTCCCGACCCCCCTACTCCGGCGGCTCGGCAGTGGACGCTAATCCGCAACCAAGATTGTGCATGCCTCCTGTCCGCTAGGCTTGGCATCAATGGATGTCTCGAGGGAGAAGCTCTTGAATTCCCACGCCCTTTTCCAGCAACCCAGCGCGGACGAGTGCGGCCAAGTACATAGACGAGTGCCAGCAGCGGACACGATTCGATCTTGCGCATTACCAATATATCAGCAGGCTGGGTCCCTGTTGCATGATCAACTTTGCAGCGCGGCCCGCCGTCGCACCAAATTCCTGACGGCTCTTGACACTTTGCTGTGCCCCCCCACGACACCCCCCCGGTTTTCGGATTGGCGCAACCCGGACCGCGTCGAGGGACGAACGGCGCCGGCGGCCCCGTGTTCTATCAGCCGCGCCCTTTTACGTTTCAAAGCGGTGCTGAGGGCCACCGGCCACCGCGGTCCGCTGCAGCTCAAGATGCTGCTTCCGAAAGGTGGCGTTAGCTGGAAGGCCGCAAGAGCAAGTCTTCCTCCAACGAGGGCGATTTGGGTGCTGTTGACCAGGACGCGTTTCCTTTTTCTCCTCGCCCTCGCCGGCATAATATTATTACTATGGCGTGGGATACGCAGTTCAGCCTCCGAGATGCAGAGGTTGGTCTTCTCTCGCACCATTACCATGCTTGGGACGACCCTCGTCGCTAACGTGGCTCCCTCCGCGGCAGTTTTTACTGTTGGGGACCGTCGAAAACGCCCATGGAGATGACCCCCAACGAGCAAGCTGCATGGACATCACACCTGCGCACTCCCGTCATATTCAACAACCACGCCCCGATAGAAATCAACTCGTCAAGCATCCAATATGTCGATCTGAACCCTATCAAATCGACGACGAGGGCGGTACAAAACAAGGAACGAGTACTCATCCTCACGCCGCTCAAAGATGCCTCCAGTCACCTTTCTAAATACTTTGAGCTGCTCGCAAAGCTTACCTATCCCCACGACCTCATCGACCTCGCTTTCCTCGTCAGCGACACCACCGACGACACCCTTGCTGTCCTCTCGGCCGAACTCGCCCGGCTTCAGAAGCGGCCAGATAACATCCCCTTCAGGAGCGCCATGATCATTGAGAAGGATTTCGATTTTAAGCTGAGCCAGGATGTGAATGACCGTCACGGGTTCGAAGCTCAGGCCCCCCGGCGGAAGGCCTTGGGCAGGGCGCGGAACTACCTCCTGGCCACGGCTCTCAAACCAGAACATTCGTGGGTGTATTGGAGAGACGTGGACATTGTGGATTGTCCTGAGAAGGTCATTGAGGACTTTGTCGCACATGATCGGGATATTATCGTTCCTAGTACGGGCAGGCCCGCAATCACTGTACTTGGTGCATCAGCTAACCGCTTTGTAGATATCTGGTTCCATCGGTATGAGAACGGTCGCGACATTGAGGGTAGATGTGAGTGCTGGTGCGGTGGCTCCGTTACGGGGCTCTAGCTGATCATTTCTAAGTCGATTACAACTCTTGGGTCGAGTCAAGAAAAGCTCGCAAGCTGGCTGCGAGTCTTCCAAAAGACGCGATTCTCGTAGAGGGTGTGTTCGCCATCCCTGAATATCCCCTTTGCTACCCCAGCTAACCGTGGGCCCCAGGCTACAAGAAACATTACGACACCGGGCGAACATACATGGCCCTAATGGGTGACTGGCGGGAGAATAAGGATGAGGAGATTGAGTTGGACGGTATTGGCGGCGTCAATATCCTTGTCAAGGCGGATGTTCACAGATCAGGTGAGTAATGACCGTCTATCCAGCACTTCCGTGCTCACACGATCTAGGGATCAACTTCCCGTGCTACGCCTTCGAAAATCAAGCGGAAACAGAAGGATTCGCAAAGATGGCTAAGCGGGCCGGGTACGGCGTGTATGGACTCCCCAACTACGTCGTTTGGCACGTCGACACCGAAGAGAAGGGCGAGAAATGATGTTCTCGCCGCAGCATATTCCCTTCATGATTTTACTGCATGACAGCCGACGACATTAACCGAAAACAGCAATCTGCGACAAACTGGGGTCAGGCGTTAAAGGGGGTCAACACGGAAATCTCATCTTGGTTTTATTGTTTAGTTTGGGCTTAGCCGCCACAGCGCGTCACCCCGTCTTGCGTGTACCCTTAGGCGGTTTCCGGAGCTTTCAGAATCCGGGCAAGCCGTGTTTTCCATTCTCGCCGGTGTCAAGGGCACAGGGGCAGCGGAGGCGGTGCCTCATTAATGCAATTGCTGGGTTTGCTGTGGGGATGGGACTATGGTCCCAAGTTGGACAGAAGCGAGGAATTATACCCTCTATGTTGGAGTGAGACAATGGCTGCTTCTACCGGGTGTCTGGAAACTATGAGTGGCTGGTTGTGGCATGATCGGATTTGGGATTCTTTGCATCGACTGGCGGTCTCAAAGGTGTTGCGGCCTCGGCATTTGGGCGTGCTTTTCACTTTTGGCGTGAAACGGGGTGCTCTCAATGCATATATTCCCTTGGCTGAAGCTGGAAGATGAGGGAATACTCATATAAAAGCGGTTTGGAAAATCCTCAGCCCAGCACAGCGGTTCTGTGTACATAGCGTCGAAACGCTGAGAAAATGCTGTCAAGTATCAAGTGTCCAGTCTCTAGCCTATGAAGGCCTGGTGTTGCTCTAAGTCATACCGTTGCACTCTGATAATGAACCCCAAAGGGATGTGACAATACCTACCTTAAGTAAAGACGGGAAGGGGAGACCTGACTAAACGAGGAAACTGGGCGAACGGGTTTTTGATTGATGAAGCAATCCAGAGTCTATACACACATGCCGTCTGGTCTCCGTAGAGATGGCAGCTCCCCGTTTCCCCAACGCCTGCTTCAATTCTCTTGTCGCATGCCTCTCCTTTACAGTACAGGGCGTAACCAGCCGGCAGCCTCCTAATCGCCAGTACTCCTTATCTCTTCATTTACCCGCCGCTTAGTGCTTCTTGAGGACGGCCAGGGTATCGAGCTGCTGCTTTTCCTTGGCCTCGGCGATCAGCTGCTCCAGGATGGGCTGGAGGTAGGGCACGTCCTCCTCGGGCTTGGTCCACTCGTTCTTGGGCAGGAGCTTATGTTGCAGACTGAGCTGAGTCGCGCGGCGGATCCGGTAGAGGCGGTCGTATCTCTGCCTGGGTGACAGGCGGTTCAGGGCCTGCAGCACTGTTTCGTCCTCCTCGAGGATGAGGTCGTCGGCCCTGGTGGCGGGGAGAATAAGTATTAGAAGACGTGGGCAACGACGAAGCGATGTATTCGGCGCGGGCGGGGTACCAAGTGCAGGTGATTGGCATCGCGTGTAGTTCGTGTGAGCGCAGAAGGATGTCCGAGAAACCTTACCAGAGACCCATTTGGCGGTAGCCCGCAGCGTTGACGTATGTGTTGGCGACCGGCTTGAGCATGTTCGCAAGCCAAGGCCGCTTGAGCACGAAGCTAATGAGGGACGGTGCAGACATGGCGGCGGTTTGAGCGTGCTTCGCTGGGACGTGGTGGATGCTCTCGACGGTCGTCGACCAAATTGCCGCGAAATCAGACGCCCGCAAGCTCAATTGAAGCTGGGTCGGGAAAAACCGTTGCTGCCTGAAGTTCTGCCTTACGGTAAGGTTGTCAGGCTAGGGTAACGTACGCATCCATATTTCATACAGTGTACGTACGACTATGACATGGTATATTACAGGGTTCGGCAATGAACTTCGCTCATTGCGCCAATACGTCAATGCGCCAAAGGTTCGGGTCTTTGCAAGCCTCGGACACCTGGATCTGCACATCTACAAGCTTGCATCACTAGCATCTACTGCGCGGACATCACGACTTGTGACAACGGGACAAATCTATTTTCTATGACAACCAAAAGGCTCGCGCAACCCCTTCGGCACTCAGCGATAATTGTATGACCCTGAGAAGACCATCATTCATACCAAATCGCTCAGAGACGCCGCCCTCTCATTCAGCGAATAGCTGACGCTACCGACAAAACCCGCGTGCAGCCGACCGGCGCCCATCTACGCTCCCGATCTGCGGTCTCCGACTCTGCAGTCCGCCCGCGATCCACCTGTTTGCCAAGAGCGAGTTGGATTTCGCGTGCAAGTTCCTCTTATCATCGCTTTCGGGACTCTGCCAACGCATTACAGAGCAACTTCGGCCGGGCCTCTGCGCCGCGAACTCTGAGCTTGAAACTTTGACTGTCCCATCTCCGGCACTGTAGTCCATGAGAAGGGGCAATTACTAGGAACCGCCGTCACGATCCCCTGCCTGCGCGGGCTTCTTCCCCGCACATCGGCACCAAAGGGAATCGCAGACGAAACCGCACGGGAAATTTCTCTTTCATGATATCGCCACGGCTGCTGCCCAAATCAAGGAACCAGAACCCCGCGGCCCGTGACACCTGAAATTGCAGACACACCTGCAAAACCGCTGAACACGGACTGTGCCCGTCCCGAAGGCGGCATGTCTCATAACCAACACTCACTCTCCACCCACGGACAACCTACGCCCGCACCTCCAGCGGAATATGGGGTAGCACTACCTCAGTCTCGGGTAACTCAGTCTCAGTCGTCAGACTTGCGAGCAGAGTCGACGACATCACTGGTTGACGAAGCGATGCCAGTCTCCAACCAGCTCACGATCGAGGAGCGATGGGCTGTCAGCGCCACAGATTCGCAGTTCAATGCGCTTTCCGGCGCGATTGGAGGTTTCATGTCGGGCATTGTCACCTGCCCCCTGGATGTCATCAAGACGAAGCTACAAGCACAGGGAGGGTTTACGGCAGAGGGGACGCAGCGTCCAAGGGTCTATAAGGGCTTGTTCGGGACAGCCAACGTCATATGGAGGGACGAAGGGCTCAGAGGCATGTACAGAGGCCTTGGTCCTATCATAATGGGATACCTACCGACATGGGCCGTATGGTTTACCGTCTACAACAGAAGCAAGTTGCTCCTGGGTGAATACCACCGTAAGTGTCGAGAGTTTGGATGGTTAAACTGTGATGTCCAGCGCTAACTGCGGTTCTGCAGACAACAGCTTCGTCGTCAACTTCTGGTCATCGATCATCGCAGGGGCCAGCAGTACTGTTGTCACGAACCCGATTTGGGTCATTAAGACCCGTCTCATGTCGCAATCAACGAGCCACGACCGGACGAAGCTCTCACTCTTTCCTAAGGGTTCGAATACACCAACCTCGCGCCCAACATTACACCAACCATGGCACTACAAGTCGACATGGGATGCCGCGCGCAAGATGTACACCACGGAGGGCCTGCTCTCATTCTACTCTGGACTTACCCCGGCTCTTCTGGGCCTTTCTCATGTGGCGGTTCAGTTCCCGGCGTACGAATATCTTAAAGTGAAGTTCACCGGCAGACCTATGGGGGCAGCACCCGCAGCAGGGCAAGACGACAAGGCACACTGGTTCGGCATCCTATCAGCATCAATAATGTCCAAAATCCTGGCCAGCAGTGCCACATATCCACACGAGGTCATCCGGACCCGGTTGCAAACACAACGGCGTCCCATGCCCGGCCGCGAGTATATGGAGGGCATTGGTGGTGTGGCGCCCGGAATCAACGGGGGCTCTCAGCAAGTGCAGGCCGGACCCAAGTACAAGGGCGTTATCTCCACAGCCCGAACGATGCTGCGCGAAGAGGGGTGGAGGGCGTTCTACGCAGGGCTGGGCACGAATATGATGCGCGCCGTCCCAGCAGCCACGGTCACGATGCTAACATACGAATATGTGATGCGCCATCTCAACCATGTGCGGGCGAGTGGGAAGGAGAAGTTGCAATTGCAACACAGAGAGGGCGAGCTGTCGGGCGCATGAATCTGGGATCGCGGACACAGATCCTCTATCCACCAGGAGCTTTCCAGCATATTCCGTCAGCACTAGAAGCCGATGCGAACCAAGCGATCCTCAGCTTCCCTATCATCCGGACGACATCCCCTTTGGCAGCAGGAGAGTGCCGGAGCGTGTGGCACGCCCACCTCGTGCCAAGATAGACGAGAGGAATGAGGAGAATAGTCTTTTCTTCATGCGATACCCCAAGATCGAGAGGAATAGGTGGTCGATGTAACGATAGACTCGGCGGGCGGACGACATCAACATGCTAGCGGGAGAACCTGAGGAAGGAAGCAGCGGCAGCTAAGCTGTCTCCCTCGGTGCGCACGTTTCGTTTCTGTTTTCTTCTGGGGGCGGGCAATTGGCGTTTGCCGGACACATATTGCGTGCATTTACTTGGTCGGTGGTGGGCGGTCGGCTTTGCTGCATGTTTGGTACGGCACGGCACGGGGTTTTTATCTAGTCCTGGGTTGCACCCATTGTATGTACAATACATATTGTACATTCATGCATTCCGCTTGGCGGACGGCGACTAGGTCAGGAGAAACCATGCCTCGCTTGCACGGTCTAGTGAAGTGTATGTGAGGAGATGGTTAGTGGATGTACAGATAGCAGGTAGGACTGCATTATACAAATGCGAGGTGCATCATATGATGGCACAAAAGACACCACCTGAACAAAAATGCTCTCATGGTGAGAGTATGATATGACCTAGGAGATACCTTCACAGGGGGGATACTATGCAAAGGAAAGCCGATACAATTTGTACACTTCAAATCTCTTCGGACTAAACATGGATAGCGCCACGAAGCTTCAGGCAATTGGCAACCCATTCGGTGTCTTCGGTGGGAATAACAAGGGCTGGGCTATACTACAGGAGTGCTCTCAAAAAGTATGTTATGTACAAGGCCAACATGAATGCCGTGAAACCCCTGCTTATAAAGGTCAAGTCCCTCCATCTACCGCTAATACCCAAACCCGGCCAGTCATACGATACTGTGAAATCACCCAACATTTCCTCGCATTTCTCACTGGACGCCTTCAAAGTGCGGTAATAAACCAGACAACAAAAGATGAGACCCATGCAAAATGGCGAGAGGTAGCATCAATCCGCGGGTAAGTTGTCAACATGCGCATCTGACACGAACACTGGAAAGGGATCGCTAGTGATGCTCATCCACCAGACCGTCATGGCGCCGGCAGCGGCGTTCACCATGGCTTGCGTCCTTTTCATGCAAGTGCTCACATAACTATCTGCGTTTCTAAATGAACACTACCTTGGTGCTAATCTGTCTGGTGTAGGTATACACGGTCTTCAATTCGCGCTGCGAGGATGAATGCGGTGAGTACTACTACATACATATCTGAATCCACGCACTATGTGCAAAGGTTGTGGAGAGCGAGTTCGTTTAGTTACCTTTACTTTCTATGTTGTCCTTCATTTCGTTTTCCCAGCTTCACTGCTTTAACTTTGCTATGTGTCTTGTCCTCTGGTGCGTTGAGGATGTCTGGTTGAGACGCTGACATGGTGATAGAAAGTTGAGCGAGATAATCCACAACACCGGCACCTGCATCAGGAACGGGAGGCAGAGAAGAGACAGTGACAGGCCGGGAAAAAAAAGGAAGGTGGTTGTACAGCATGGACACCATGATGTTTATACAGCGGAATCTGGTTTGAGATGCTGCAGGAATAAGCGGATACTTCTTGAGTCCGCTCCAAAGGTACTACTGTAAACACAGCGGATTGCAACGTTACCTGCCTACGAAACTCGATTCATACCAAACGCCATCATATATACTGCTTGGCCGCTACCTTCCTCAAACTGCCTCGTACACCACCTTATCCAACACAGCACGCAAACCCAACAGTGTGCTCATTCCCCACCACCCCATCATCCAACCGCATTCTCTACTCCTCTTTCTTCTCCGCATCACCCTTCTCCTCGGCCTTCTCCTCCCCGTTCGCTAGCGCAGCGGCGCCCTCACTCTTCTCCTCCTCCTTCTTCTCCTGCGCCTCCATCTCCTCCGTCTTCTCCCCGACCTCCGCCCGTTCCGCCTCCTTCACGGCTTCCTCCACCACCTTCTTCCCCTCCGCATCACCACCATTACCACCACTCAACGACTCAACAATCCCCTTCACAACATTCACCGTCCCCTCGGGAGTGCCAGCCTGCGCAGCGAGCACCTTGCCCGCCTTGTCGACGACAAACACGCCGCGGGTCGTGCCCTTGGGCGCCTTCTTGAGCCCGACGGCGCCGATCAGGCTCGCTTGCGGGTCGCACAGCAGCGGGTAGGGCAGCTTCTGCTTGTCCTTGAAGGTGGTGTTGGCCTTGGGCGAGTCTGTCGACAGGCCGTAGATGGCGAGGCCCGAGGCGCCCGTCAGGGCGGTGTAGGCGTCGCGGAAGAGGCAGGCTTGTCTGGTGCCTATGATTTATGTGTGTGAGAAAATGTTTGTTGGCGTGTGAGAAGAGATGGGGAGGAGGGTGATTAGGATGGAAAGTAGGGGGAATATCTAAGTAGGCTTTGGAAAGGGGGGATTATGTGGCTAAGGCAAACTGATGGGTTGCAAGGTTGCAATGTTGGGGTTCGGGGGCGGAGGATTATATGGGACGCACGACTTACACCCTGGAGTGGAGGCCTTCGGGTAGGTGAAGAGCACTACGCCGGCCTTGCTCTCATCGACGAGAGCCTTGAGGGTCGTCTTGGTGCCGTCGTTGGTCTCGATCTCACCACCGAAGCCGTCGAGGGTGATGATATCGCCAACGGTGGGCTTGCTGGTGGAGCCATTGGCGCTGCCGACGGCTTCAGCCGCCTTCTCCTTGACCTTTTCCTTGGTCTCGGAAGCGATCTTGGCCGCCTTGCTGGGCTTTTTGGCCGTCGGCGCCGGGGGAGCAGCGGGCGCCTTGCGCTTGCGCAGTTCCATAGGCATGATGGACTCGGGAGCTCTCGCGCACGCGCGTGACTTATAAGCTTACAAATTGGGAGCTTAGAGTGTCTAAGGGTGGATATCGAGTACAGCACAGGGTCGCCAGCTAGCCGCGACCACAGCACGGTGGAGTGGAGTGTGAGAGACGAGATATGAGAAGAGAGGATGAAAAGAGATGAAGTTGGGAGCTGGGGGAAGGTAAACAGGAGGTTGAGCTGGTTGCGCAAGGAGCTAGCCAATCACGACGCGGCGCGACCGCCAGAGGAGGCCAGACGGCCCAGACCAGGGGACGGGAGTTCGGTTGCGATGGAGCTCCGCTGCGCCAGAAGCCCAGAGCACAAGCATAGCAAAAAAAGGTCCGTGGGAAGTGCCGTCCGGGGCTCGGGTTACAGGGTGACCTGGAGTCAGCCCGGCCGTGTCAGTCTGTGCGGTGTACCTTTAAACAGATGCAGAAGCAACTTCCAGTAAGTGAATCGCCCAACAGCCGCTGAGGGCGACTCAATATCAGACAATGGAAGCATTCAAACCACTCCAACCTGACAGAGATGTCAACCAGCTTCTTCGAAGCAGCCCCCGTCTATCTTTTCCCGTCGCAACTTGAAACTTCCTTGATTCGACAGTCGTACACCTACGGATTCGTTGGTGGATCCATCTGCTTGACTGGATGGTCATTGGAAGTGCAGGTGAGATGGTGTAATTTCGGCGTTGCGAAAGCCTTCTGCTCCCGTCGCGAAAGAACAAGAGGATTCGGATGGTCGTTTGTGAAGCTGGGGATGTGGTCAATGCAGCCCCTGCAATCATGCGGGTCCAGCCGGGATTCTGTAAGTGGTCAATGCGTTCAATCGTGACCGGTTAAACTCCGGAGCACGTACCTAGGTGGTCGAAGCCCGAACCCTCGCATTGACATCGTTTGGCATCCGGGAGTCTGGGTCGTTGATGTTAGAGCGATTGCACATCCTCCGGTGCACCTAAATCGCGAACCCGACTGCACACTCGCTACCTGCTGCCACCATGGCTTCCAAAGCGGTAGCGACGGCAGCGAAGGCTGCAAGCAACGTTACCAGCATAACAAAGGTAAGCCGGCCTGCAGTCGTCACTCAACTGCACGACTTGAGATTAGATATGCCTCGTTGTCGAAGAGCCGCCATTGGAATCAGCCACTACCTACTCCACCGCATCCTCCCAACAGAACCTCTGGGCGGGCACTAACCCGGCGATCTGCTAGAAATACACCGTCCAGTCAGAAGGCATCTGGGAGCGCATACGCCGCTCGCTCGCGATCGACCCCAACCGGTCCAACGGCGTGCCGCTCAACCCGTACAACCGCAACCCGGCCCCGGGCTCGTTGGAACCGCTCAAGTACGACGACCCCGTAACCGTCCCCGCGGGCGACATCGCCGACAACCCGTACTGGAAGCGCGACGCCCGCCGCAACTACCCGCGCCACAGCGTGATCGGCCAGGCGCAGCAGGTCGCCCTGCTGACCGTCGGCAGCGCGGCCCAGCCGAGGGTGGAGCTGATTGGCGAGGAGGGCAGCAAGGCGCTCGTGGCGGCCGAGGAGTCCGGCAAGGAAGGGGGCGTCGCGCTGTATCTGGAGAACAGCGGCGTCGAGGCGGCCAAGAGGGTGCTTGACTTGACCGGCGGGTTGCCGCCCCTGCCGAGCGGGCAGAGCCTGGCCACCGGGAAGTGGGATGTGCATAAGTACGACCTGGACACGGAGCAGTCTTATCCTGAGGAGTGAGTGTTTCGTTGAGAGGAGACCGAGAGAGGGAGAAAATGCTGACTTGACCCAGGTATCCGTGCAGGTCCTTTGTATAAGGAGTGGGGGAGTGGAAGACGAGCGTGAGCGTGTACATATCGGCGATATGAGGGCATAGAGGTTACAGTTGAAGACTTCATACGCTCTGATGGTGTTCAGCGCATTACAGTGAACGCATTCCGGTCGGAGAAACCTCCCTGGGTGTACATGTCAACCCAGACGCTGCATTCCCTCAATATACCCTGCCCAGCAATCGACATACATCCCCCCACGGGCATAAATCGGCACGCGCTCAAACGTCGTTTAGCACATCCGCCTCCGACGGCCCAGCCCCAGGATCATGCGCCTGTCCAAGTGCATCACTCCCAGTGTCACTGCCAGTTCCCTTCCGTGTCTCCCCTCCTACACCATGCTCTCCAACCATGCGCTCAATAACCTTCGCCCGCCCGTGTGCCCTCCGCAACCTATCATCGAAGTCGTTGACCGCCTCGTCCGTGTTCTCTGTCGACAAAGTCTCCGACTCTACCAGCGCATACAGCGTAGTGATATGCTTCTCCAACCGGGCGTTATCTGGCAACGGCGGGAGCTCTACTACCCCCTCACTTGTTGCTCTACCCCCGTCTTCTAGCTCTGCATCCCCCGCCTCCGCCGACGATCCTGGTGAGGCTAATGGACCGGTTCGCTGCTGATCAACCGAGCCCGGCAATTTTGGCCTTGCTGTCGGTTTGGAAGAAGGAAGACGGTTCGCCCAGACGATGGCCCGCCCCTGGAGCCGTCCGCTCTCGAGAAACTTTTGAAACCCTCGCTCGAGACCCAGCTGCCGACCCTCTGTCCGCCCGGCAACCTCGCCGTCGGCAAGGCCTTGGCTGTACCCTTCGGTGTAGAATTGGTCTTCTAGCGTCAGGAGGGTGTCGAAGGGGTCTGTTGCAGCTGAGGGTGGCGTCGTAGAGGCGGGCGGAGGTGATGATGTGGTTGTTGTTGCCATGGTGTGGCTTTGAGGTGATGTATGTGCTTGCGATCGAATGAGGATTATGGATCTTGTTAAGAGACGAATTGGATGAAGAACGAGGCAAGAGAACGGTGTCTGTATTCTAACCAGTCGGGTCGCGGATGAGTTGCGATAGCGGGGTTGCTTCGGAGAAGCACCGGAAGCACCGAAGCGCGGGGCAAATTCAAGGCCCCGCCGCATCCGGGCGGTGGCAGACGGAACGCCGAAAGCTCCTTATACCGCTCCACTCACCACGTTTTACTGCCAACCTGCGCAACCTATAGCTGTCTTCCTTCCCTTGAATGGGAGGTGACATGGCGTTTCGCAATACGAGAAGCTGTGCCATTAAGCTGAATTGGCCCTTGCTTGACGGCTACTGGTCATCACGAGCTGCCCGGGATATCAGAAGGAGCAGTTTTGCCATCCAAACCGAGAAATAGAGGTGAAGACAAGAAAAGATGAGGGAATATAAAATCTGAGAGCATAACCACCTCAACTCTCACAATCTAATGCAGCATTACCATCCCGCCGTTGGCACACACCACCTGCCCGGTACACCACCCAGCCTCCTCACCGCACAGCATGCCCACGATGCCCGCAACCTCGGTCGTCCGCGCCGGCCGGCCGCCACTCTCCTTGGCCTCCTTCACCACCTCCTCACTGTCGACCCCTTCCCTCGCCTTCATCAGCGGCGTGTGCAGCACCCACCCGTGGATGCCCTCGAGGAACTCGGGCGTGTTCGACGCATACATGGGCCCCTCCACGGGACCCGGGTTGACCGCGTTGACGGTGGCATTCTCGGCCAGCTCGCGCGCCCAGGTGCGGGTCATGGCCTCGAGCGCGGCCTTGGTGCCGCCGTAGACGGACTGCGTGACGAAGCCGGTCGACGAGGAGACGGACGAGATGTTGACGATGCGGCCGGAGCGGTCCCGCGGCAGGTAGGGCTGGGCCGCCTGTACGACGAGCAGCGGGCCTAGTACGTTGACGCGGTAGGTCGCCTCGAAGTCGTCGACTGTGACCGAGGGCAGCAGCGCGTTACGCGCGATGCCTGCGTTGTTGATGATGATGTCGATCTGGAAGTGGTCGGTGCTGCTGTCGGTGAAGTGTTCGCGGGCAGCGCTGATCAAGGCTGCCGGGCCGGTGGCCGTGCCGACGTCAGCTTGGACTGGCACCGCGCGGATGTTGTATTTTGAGGAGAGCTGCGAGGCGAAGGAGCTGGCGAGCTCCGTCGAGGAGGCCGAAGTGTAGTTGATCACGAGGTTGCAGCCTTTGGACGCGAGGTTCTCGGCGATGGCGGCGCCGATGCCTGGTGATGGTCAGCTGCTATGCTCGAAGGTGGATAGTAAGGTAACGAACCTCGAGACGCGCCGGTCACGATACCGAGCTTCCCATCGAGTGGCCGGGACATCGTGGTGTGGAGGATCTCTAGTCTGGCTGTTGCTAGGCGTGTAAGTCGGCAAACCCGACTCTAGTACCTGCCAGTGATTTCAGGGTTAGGCTATGGAATCGAGATGCAGCTGGACCGTCAAATGCAAAATCTGGAAGCTGAAAGTAGCAATATCTGTAGTTCAAGTCAATTCGAGACGAAAGCTTCACATATATACAGCCAATATGTGAACGTGGCATGTGGACACAAGAACCCATGCGGCTAGTGTTCATGACAGTATCACCGTTGGAGAAGGGGTCGTGCCCCGCATCGCCCGCGATGTCGGTCGAACTCATTGTGATGCGCTGCCCCGCCATTTGTGCGGCTACCAGAGATCCCCACATGGCGGCCCCATCTTCGGGGCACTCCCGTGGAATTTCAACTCAGCCCCACAGCAGCTTGCGGCAGGACTAACCTTCACACCAGGTGCTATTCTTCCGCGTCTACTAGTAGTTTACACAGCAGAGCCGCCGTCACCCTTACCCTGGCATCGCATACACAGTAGACCCGGAGCAGACCAAGTCGCAATCTGCACTCCCCAAGAAGAGAAATCGCCGACATGGACATCCGCCTCCTCCGCTCGTCCGACATCCCGCTAATCCAGCACGCGAACCTCGAGAACCTGCCCGAAAACTACTTCCTCAAGTACTACCTGTACCACGCGCTCTCGTGGCCGCAGCTTTCCTACGTCGCCGTCGATGTCTCGCGCCCGCCCAAGACACCCTACGACTATCCCAAGATCGTCGGCTATGTCCTCGCTAAGATGGAGGAGGAGCCGGCGGACGGCGTCCAGCACGGCCACATCACGTCGCTGTCGGTGATGCGCACACACCGGCGATTGGGCATTGCCGAGAAGTTGATGCGCCAGAGCCGTACGTCTTCACTCCTTCCCTCCTTCCTTCCTTCCTTCCTTCCTTCCTTCCTGTTCTTTTCTCGTCCAATTCCCACTCCCCTTAGATCTCCGGTTGGAAAAAGATGAAAATCACTAACACGAACGGGGGAATGCAGAACTAGCCATGGTCGAAACATTCGGGGCGCACTACGTGTCGCTGCACGTGCGCGTTTCCAACAAGGCGGCCATCCACCTGTACCGCGACACGCTCGGCTTCAAGACGGAGAAGACCGAGTCCAAGTACTACGCCGACGGCGAGGACGCCTACTGCATGAAGCTCGACCTGGGCTTCATCCGGGAGCAGCTGCGCGCCGAGAGCGATGACGAGGATGAGGGCGAGAAGAAGGAGAAGGCCGGCGCCGAGAACGGGGAAGGGGAGAAGAAGAAGAAAAAGAAGCAGGATAATGCTGAGGCTGTTGATGAGGGCGAGCCGGTGGGTGACGTGGGGAGGGATCCGGCCAAGGCGGAGAGTAAGAAGGGCGAGCAGAAGATCAAGGTCAAGGTAGGGAGGGCGCTTGGGGTCGGGGAGTTGATAGAAAAGGTCGAAAGTAAACATAGCTAAGGGCTGTATATAGCGTCGGGCGGAAAAAGAACGATCGATATGTCTAAATCCTATCTCAAGCACCGCTAATGTTTGCGCTGATGGTCAAAAAAAGGGGGGGCACTGGAGGTTACCATGTTTGGAAGGATAGCGAGTTGGAGAGCTGCAATAGATCTCGGTCCTCGGGGCGTTACACTCAGCAACGATACATATCTTCCGAAAGGAGATGGAGAGGGTGGGTTTGAGTAGGATTGTCACTACCTAGCTAACTAACTACCTAAGCCTTGGAACCAACCACTTTGCCTAACCAACCTCAAGAAAACTATTCAAATCATACTCTTCCCAAAGCGGGCCATGAGCGTCGTCACAGCAACAACAGGCAACTAGAAACTCGCCTGCCGCTTCTCCTTCTCAGCCAACTCCCTGGCGAACTCCTCGTCTGCCTCTGTACGCAGCCTCTCCATCTGCCCGGCGAGCTCCTCCATCTCCTTAATGACCGCCAGGGCCTCCGCCTCCATCTTCGACGGCCCGGGCTTCTCCTTCTCAATCCCATCCCCTTTGCTACTGCTACCGCTATGCTGTCCAGCATTACTAGCAGCCGCCTGCTCCTCCACAATTCGCTCATACAGCTTCAGCAGCTCGGCATCCTTCTCCGCCATCTTGGCCTCCAAGTCCCAGGCAGCCTTGTACTTGGCATGGTAGGCGGTGTAGGTGGTGGCATCGGCGACGCCCTCGGTCTGCTCGTAGGGCGGGCTGGTGTCATCGGCGGGCCAAGCGCCTGGTGTGCGGTTGTGACCGGCCCAGGGGAAATGGGAGAACGGGCTGTCTATGGTTGGGCCAGAACCGGGCTGCCCGTCATCATGCGGCGCCGGCGGCGGGCCGCGATGGCCGAAGATGGGGGGCATTGGCGGCATGGGAGGCATTGGGGGCATGGGAGGCATTGGGGGCATGTGTGACCCGTGGGGCATAGGAGGCATGGGAGGCATAGGCGGCATGCCGAAGTGATGGAAGGGTCCGCCGTGGCCGTGGCAGTGGCCATGGTGCCGTCCCCGTCTGGCGTCCTTCCCCGCACGCCTCGCTTCCCGCCTCGCATCTCTACGCTCGCGCTTCGCCTGCCTGCGCAGCTGCTTCCGTTCTCGGCGGAGCTGCTTGCGAGTTCGCTTCTGTTGCTTCTTCAAAGCCTTCCAGTCCCTCAGGAGGTCCTTAACCTCACGGCGGAGGGCGGCCCTGTCATGAGCCATTGTGGCTGGATCGGTGGTGTGTATAGCGGCTTTGATTTGTTCTTTCAGGTTCTTCACCTGCTCTTTCGTGATATTCTGGTCAGGCCGATGCAGCCATTCTTGGAGGTACTGCTTCGCAACGGGCAGCTGAGAGTCGCGGAGGTCGTCATAATCCGGCAGGGAGCCGATAGAAGACTCGGAATGGGCAGATGACGACCGCGACGAGCAACTGGATGCGGAGCTCGAGCGGGACCGGTGGCAATCTCCGGGATGAGGACCGCGTTGATCATCCCGCCCGCGTCCACGACCGTGACCATGATCACCAGTGTCACCCGGATGCGGTCGATCCCACCAGTTACCTCTGCCCCAACCACCACGGTCAGGCCACCAACGACCGCCCATGGGACCCCCGCCCCGCGGTCCCCACGGACCGCCTGCCCCGCGACCACATCCCATCCCGAGACCAGGCGGCCCGCAGGGTCCCCGACCGGGACCACCGCGAACACCAAACATGGGCCGGCCGTTGATCCTAATCCCATTACTATCCGCTACTATCCCCCCAACACGCAGCGAGCCGGTCCGGCCGTCAGCTTCGAGAATGTTCCCGATCGACACGCGGTCATTCTCAATGTTGATGCCTCCGAGTCGGAACCCGCCACGACCGTTGCCCGGTCCGTGACCACCGCGGGGACCACCGGCACCACCAAAGAAAGGGAAGCGGGAACGCGGCGAGGCCGGGCCACCAAAACCACCTGTGGCAGCACCACGCTCGCCTTCTCGCTCAGCCTGCTGGTGATCAAAGGACTGGTCCCATGCACCGGGCATGGGCTGCTTCTCTGGCTGCGAGGTTACTTCGTTGAGGCCGCTGTTGTTGTTGTTGTTGTTGGTGGTGGTGGCGGCCACGGGTTCGACTTCCACATGGATGGTGACGCGGCGCGGGCCGAAGAAGCCGTCGTTCCACTCGTGGACGGTAGCATCGATGGTCTGGCGCTGCTGAGCCGGGTCAACATCGATGGGCGTCCGGATTTGGTTCAGTTGGGCCTCCGCGTGACTCCGGGCCGAGGACTGAGAGCGGACCTCGTCGTCATTATTACCATTGGTGCTGCTGATGGCGGTCATAGTTTCGGCACGCAGTTTGCGGTTGATAACTTGTTCGTTGACCGTTGCTGAGTGGTGCGGTATGAGACAGTTGACGAAAGTCTGCCAGTCTTCGAGCCGTACGTCCCGGGACGAGAGCACCCTGGGGTAGGGCAGGGTATCTGGCGTGGAGTTGGGGCGAACAGTGATGAAGTGAGATATATGAGGTTGAGGACTGCTCAGGCGAGGTGCTGGTCGAGTCTCAAAGTATGCTGCAGCTGCTGAGCTTAAGGTGTGGTCAACTTCACCGGCGAAGTTGGAATTCTGAGAGCTCCTGGGACTCAAGGGAGGGGTATAAATAATATCGCCATTTGAAGATGATGTGGAGCGACTGGCGGCGTCGTCAGCGGCGTGCGCGTCTCTCCCGGAGGTCGAGTAGATGTCCGTCTCAGAATACGGCGGGGGAGGTACGTCCTCGTGCGAGGCCATCATGGAGCCGTGTAAGTGAGCAAAGTGGGAATGACGCGCAAGGATGTCGGGGAGGAAAATGTCCGCTTGCTTGCCACCCAGAGGATTTCAGCAATTAAATGTCGAACGTTTCGGTGATGACCATGACAGTTGCACACAAAGGGGGGCCAACGAGTGGTGGGGTGATGTGGTATATTGGATGAGCAGAGCAAGTCACAGCAGTGCCTGCCTTGCGGCCTCGACATCGCCCCGAGGCGTAAGCTTAATCGCCACCCATGTCAAGGCGCTGGCCTCCCATTTGCCAGCGCACTGCGGTGGAGACCCTAAGCGAGAGCGATCCCGAATGGCCAGGCTGACAGAGCCCGCTTGTTCCGCTTCCTCATTTGTTCCCCCGCCCTGTGTCCCACGCAAGCTCACCCCTCGATTACGCGGCCCAACCTGAACGCTGCGGGAATGACATGGGTTTCGTTGGACATGCTGTATTCTGGAACTTCCAAATCCAGACGGACGTCACTAGCCAGGCTTCGATTTGCTTCGAAGGACACAAAGAGCTGTCGCGTCCTGCGGCGACCCGACAGTCTAGAACTCTAGATAGATCGAGGATTATTAGGCATACTAGTATTGCAGCACCAGCTTACGGCTCGCCGGGCTGCATGGAGAAGCCTATATCCTCGGTCTTATAGTGGTCCGCTAGGATATTGGCCAGGTGATCTCGGGTTTGCGGACCCCTGCAGCGGAGGTTAGTAAAGGCCGAAATGCATGCTTTATCCGAAATCTACCCACAAGTTGGTAAGGTATACGTCAACGAGCTCTGGCGGAATGTAGTCCGTGACCGTGTTCTCAACCTCAAGGGCGTCCACCCCGGGGCCGTTCGCATAGCTCACATAGCTGGACGGGTTGCCCAGCTCTCCTCGCGAAACCTCGTCTGATGGATCTTCGGGGCAGAATTTGTAAACAGGACAAAGGACAATGACGGGCTTGAGATACTCATGTGCCGCCTGAGCAGCAATGCAGCAGCCGCTGTCCACAAGCAGCCCTCCGTTCTGGTAGACTGCTTTTGCCCCGAATATGACCTTGTTGACGCGGGGTATGTAAGCCATCAGGCCATTGCTCGCAAGGTTGATCGTGTTTACTCCCGCGGCATTGAGCTTCTTCCGTAACGCGGCATATGGGCATTCCACTGCTCTACCGCTAGGGGGGTCGAGACTGGCGATAACCGCCGTGAACTTCCGCTTTGATGCAGCTTTCATTAGAAACCTCTCGACGGAACGCGTCGGCTGATAGGCGAGCACGTAGTCACCGGGATGGATCTGAATGTCTGAAAAGCCTGCAATCTGGTCGTCCGCCTGGTTGATCTCGTCCAAGATTTCCTCAATGCCGTCCATGACCTCGGATCGTAGTGCGTGCACGCTGGCTGGCTGAGCCTGGGATAAGGGAGTCGACGCCCCCGTCGCCGGCGAGTCGCCGGGGTCTGCTACTGAGAGCAGGTTGAACATCGACTTAGAGACTTGCATGCCCGTCGTAATGGCCGACGGGCCGGGGCGGATAGTGACAGGGACGGGCCTCGCCGGAGGAGGCGGCGCACTTGCAGCCAGGCTCTGGATGTCGGACGCGGCCTCGCTGGCCAGATCATCGGCATTATTTCTGTCCTCGGACGCCTCATCCCGGATTAGACCCAGCACTCGCCGTACGATGTTTCCAATAACTGGCTCCAGCGGAGCAGCCCTTACGAGCCTCGACCCCGTGCTCTGGACTCTGGAAAGGAGCTGGTCCACATCGTGCCACTTCGACTTGGCGACAACCTGGCGGAGAATATGCGCAGTCGCTCGGGCGCACTCATCGCCCTTTACTTGTCGTCGCTTGAGAAGACTGCGACAGGTCAGCTGCTGTTAAGCAAAGCTCAGTTGGGCCAACGACATACAAGACCAGTGCTTCAATTGAGGCCTCAAGCGGCTGGCTGTTGAACGACTTGATCAAATTGTCCAACGTGGGCACATGAGCCGCCTGTGAAGGCGCCATGGCTTTGTGTGAGAGCTGAAGACCGGGGAGTGACAACCCGGACCACTAGTATGTGTGACAACGACTTCGCGGCGGGGACGAACAATGCCGATACCCAAGAGAGATCAAGTATCCTGGGTGTAATTCGATATCCTTGTCCTTCACAGCACTGTAGCGCACAGCGATGGAAGTGTTTGCTTCTGGCCGTGGACGCGACCAGGTCCAAGGTTAGCTTGAGTCGGTTTGATGTGAGTCAATGGCATGCTAAGCTTTCTCGAAAGATTATACAGCAAGTGGGGGAATATGCACACCCTGCCCCGCGATCCCCATGGCATGGACCGGCTAAACTCCGGGACAAGACGGACCAAGGCCCTGCTGGAGCACGTGTGGTCGGAGCGTCACGCTAGCGTGAAGTCCAGAGGCGGATCGGCAATACAATTGGCCTTCAAAATTTATGGCCTGCCGATGCCATCCAAAATCTGCAGCGCAGAGAGCGATCAAGTGGTGAACTGCACGGAAAGAAACCAACGAGTATTCTCTCCACCGACACCTCACGCAAGCTCTTTGCCGATAACTGACATCGCATTGGTGACTTACATACTGGACAGTTCACACCAAACATAACCGACACAATGGCGACAGACGGGAAGGTCGATGTCGTCGACGACAAGAAGCTGAAGAAGGAAAAGAAGAGCAAGGACAAGTCGGAGAAGAAGGAGAAGAAGGATAAGAAGGAGAAGAAGCGCAGCGAGAGCGAAGGCGTGCACAAGGAGAAGAAAGACAAGAAAAAGGAGAAAGCGAAGCAAGATAAGCTTGCGCGTGCCCTTGATGCCCACTTACAAGCCGATGCCGCGGCGTCAGTCGCGGCTGAGGGTGAGATGGTCGAAGTCGATCCTGAGGATATCATCAAGCCCGCCGAGGACCTCGTGCCATTTGCGCTGCCGCTGGCCGATGACAAGACACACAAGAAGATATACAAGCTTATCAAGAAGGGTGCGTCGTCAGCTCACTGTTTCCCATTCTCTGGCTGGAGTCTCTTGTGTCCCACTGACCATGTTCACAGGCGCCAAGCTCAAGTCCATCCACCGCGGTGTGAAAGAATGCGAGAAGGCCATCAAGAAGTGTCCCGTCAAGACAGCCGCCTCGGGCGAGATCCCCGCTCCAGGGCTGGTCATCATCGCGGGCGACATCTCGCCCATGGACGTCATCATGCACTTTCCGATCCTGTGCGAGGAGCACGGTGTGCCGTACCTCTACGTGCGGTCGCGGGCGGATCTGGGTGTGGCGGCGTGCACGAAGCGAGCGACCAGCGTGGTGATGCTCAAGCCTGAGGGCAAGAAGGGCGGGAACAACGACGCTAACAATGCCAACGACAAGGGCAAGAAGAAGGATGACGATGCGGAGATGGAGGACGGCGAGGATAAGAAGGTCAGCGCCGAGGAGTATCTCAAGTCGTGGAAGGAGCTGGTCAAGGCTGCGGAGAAGGAGTGGCAGGTGCAGGTGCAGCCGTGGGTCAAGGGCGTTCACCCGTTGCAAATTGCCACGAGGGAGAAGTCGAGGCTGCTCGAAGCCAGCTCTTGAGCGGGTCCAGGTGAAGCGGAACCACTTCCCTCTGCTTGGAAGTTTATGGTTGTCATGGAAGGCAGGCGCCAGTCCACTTACAATCACCATGTGGACCCGCTAGGCCTGCCCGTGACTGCTTCCGTCCTTGGACTGGTCGCATTCTAAAGTTACTCAGTCTCGGGGGCACTACGACACCAATTTCCATCTGGGATATCGCGATTGCACAGATCACTGGTTGCATGATTCCCATGTGCTGGCCGGCTCTATTTTGTTGGCTCATTGGCTCTTGTGTAATGGATGGCGTTAAGAGGGGTTTGGCTCTTTGCATGGGTTACGGGAACTTAGAGGGATCCCGTTTGTAGGTATTGAAAACATGAGAAGTTCTCTCTGTGCTGCTGTGACCGGAGAAGCCACTAATGGTTTGTTACGTTGTCTTTGGAACTGTGATTCGGGGAGAGTGTGAGAGAGAGAAGAGATGCCGGCTTCACAAGCGTTGAGCGGATCACAATAGTGATTACTTCAGAAGTCTCCGATTCGCAAATGCTAACTCCATATGGATTTACAGACAAAAGAAAATCAGAATTCATTGCCCATTCCGTCCCAGCAACCCTGAGGTCACTCAATCAGGTGCGCTCGATGCATGTAAAGGCGTGTCGACACAACTCTGCTTCCCACTCCCATCCTATCCGCTTACTCGGACCGGAAAGGGCTCCGGCTCAGGGGTGTGCCACCAGCGCCAGTGCTGCGCTCTGCGTTAGTATCTACTATAAAACACCTCGGACACATAGATCGGATCGAGGATATCACTTACTGCTCGAACGGGTTGGTGCGGGTTCCCCACCAGGTCAGGACAACAGATAGACCGACAGTCTCGAACAGCTTAGCCAGCACGCTGACACCCACTTGCTCCAACGCGCGCTTCTCGACAAGCAGCTGGCTGATGAAGGTAGGGGCGCTGGTAGCCGCGAAGATCAGGCCGCCGAGATATGCCGCGCCCTTGTAGCTGAGGGTGCCGGTGGCGTTGATGAGCGCACCGACACCGTATGCCTGCAGGGCCGAGCCGACGAGCGAGGTACCCCATGCAACCGCGGCGCCCGTGGCTTCCCGGGACCGAGCGAACTCCTCCTTGCTATTGGCTGCCTTGGCGCGCTGGTAGGTCTGGCCGAAGAGGGGCGCCATTACCGCGAGCTCGGCCGTCTGGTTGAAGACGGTGCCGAGGGCAATGGCTGACGGCTTAACGGCGGGGAGATCTGCCAAGAGTGGGTTAGTCTGTGAAGGGATATATGGACAGCTTTGTAAGACGTGGTGATTCCGTTGTTGTTCGAGTTCCGACAAGAGACCATCTTCTGTTACACCTCCCCGGCCTCATCCCCGACTGGATTCGTCGCACCCGACTGGATGCCAACAGACAGAACCCCGATTGAGGTGGTATAAACCCAAGGCGGTACCCCCAGTGGAGTCCTAGTCGGTCTTGTATCACCCAATTGCTGCTGAGATCTGAGGTCTAGGGGCGTGTGAAGATGGCCAATTGCTTCACGGAACCCGGAAACGGTAGGGTAAGACAGATGCATGCGGGAAAGGACTGTACTGACAGTGCAGAGACATGGTGGCTGGAAGTTCTGGACTCTAAAGTGAGATGATTTCGTCGAGCTAGTTGATCGAGAAAGCAGAGGGATTGGTTTTTGTTGTTGATTGTTGTGTGAGAGGTCTTCGGGGACAGGTGGAAGGGTTAGAGAGGGCAGGCAGGTTTATAGCACAGGCAGCAGGACGAAAGCAGGGCCACAACCTCCGAGTCGGTCCATGGCTTTGTAAAAGCCTCCACTTGTTAGACAATTGACCAGCAGCCGCACCCGGCGCATAACATCATCGCATCGCATCATAGCTCCTTGGAGGGAAGCGCTCTTGAGCAGCTGCACAATGACGTCACCCACCCTGACCTTCCGCTCCGGTCCCTGGTCTGCCTGGTCCACCTCGGCGACCGAACAGCCTTGGTTAGCAGCAGCCGAACCCCATGGTTGTATGCCGAGAGTGTTTCAAAGGTACGCAGAGCGCCAGTATAGGCTTTTTGTCTTCCTGTGTTACAGAATCCGTAGCTGGCTTGGACTTTTGCTCGTCTCAAGCCAAATTCCGTATCCGGCAAGTGACGTAATTTGGGTCGGACGGTAGCCCATCTCGGGCCGAGACCGCCTAGCCGCTGCTTGGGTCCACACCGGAACTCCCTGTCCTCAACCCATAGAAGGTGGCTCTACTAGGGCGCTTGAGTTTTCAGTTAGGACTCGGTCCAAGAGGCTTGCGATGATGGAGTAGGAATTCTAACTTTCACTACTGCCCCTTTGTGTTGACAGGGCCTAAAGATAGTACGGGTGATATCGTGGTTCAGGTGGTCAGTACTGTTAGTCTTCCACCCACCCAGTACAGCAGACATTCCAGGTTCATTTGTCACATTTTTAGGAAGAACTGCACTAATATCTTTCTATGGTTGGTCAGGGTATTAGTATCCCGTTTCACGCATGTACGTTCTCAAGTAGGCACGGTAGGTAGCAACATCTTATAGACAATACGCTTTACAGACCTAATCCTCCATGATAACGATAATGATGATACTGCTCGCTAGAACCAAGCGCCATTACTTCCATCCGTGCCTGCTCACCTGCTTGCGCGGAATGTAAACGTTGAGACTCAGACAGACCTCTTTTGTACTCCCTCTCTTCAGAAAAGAATCAAATATCAATGACAATGCTTGCTCCTTAAGTACACCCTCCAAAAAGTGATGTCGACGCCCAATGCTCCCTCCCTGCTAGCAACATCTCACACCATTTCCCGTCAATCACGTCATATGCTGGCCGTCCTCTCCTCCACGCAGCGCCAGGAGTGCACGCACGTCTGACACGTACTGCAGGCCTTCTAATAGGGGTATCAAATACATGAGGTCGCTGTCCGTCGGATCACTTATCCAGCCCTGTATAGGGATCGCATTATCTAAATAGGAAACCGAGCATTAGTATAGCTTCGGGAGCGGGACTCGGAGACACAAAGAGAAAAGTAGGAAAGGAGAGAAGGGAGAAAAAGAGGGAGAGGGGGGGGGGCGCCACGGTACGTGGGCTTGACAGGAACACACCTTGATGAAACATGTAGCTCAGCGGGCTGTTGTCCAGGATCATGACCTTGCTGAGATCAGGCTCGACGGAGCTGAGGTCCTTGATGAAGGCGCCGTGCCGGAAGGTGCAGTGCTGGCGATAGTAGCGCGCCGAGAAGTACTTGCGCTCCGTCTCGAGGAAGTCGATGACCGGGTCGGCGTACTCCTGGACCGACGCCGTGAAGACGACTAGGTTATACCACTTGCTCACGCGGCGCAGGAACTCGTCGCAGTGCGGCCGCTTGTGCACGTAGTAAAGGATCGGGTGCTGCGGGCCGATGGTCGCCTGCCCACCCACGCCCGTGTACGTCGTGTTGAGCCGTACTTCCACCATGTGTCCCGAGCTCATCCGCGTGCCCTTAGACATGCTGTGGATCAGAGTTTCGTCCAGATCGAGAATCAGCGTCTTCTGGTGCCGGACATCGGTCATTTCTACGTTCTTATTAAGATAGGAGGGCTGCCGACGCGGTATTAGCGGTCGCGGCGGTGCTGGGGTCTTGGGGTACTTGGTGAGAGCGCCGGCGGGAGAGGTCGGCGATTTCAGCTGAGCCGAGATGTCGCCCACGCCATCGCCAGATCCCCCATTTCCCGTCGACTGCGCTTTTCTATGTTTTCGCTGCCGCAGCGAGTCGTCGGAGCTGAGCTTGATTCTTATGGATCTCTGTGCCGGCGCCATCGCGTCTGAATCTGGGAGTGACTGGGAGCGTAAGTGCTTTCCGCTTGAGCCTCGACGGCCGCCATGCTTTTTACGGTCGGGATCTGACTCCGACTCCGATGACAGCCCTGACGACGAGGAACCGTTTGAACCAACTGCACGCAATCTTCTACTACTCCCTCGACCGCTCTTACTGGCGGACCCGCCCACGCCGTGCCGGCTCTTTTCGGACGCAGCTATCCCTTCATGGTAATCCAGGGCCATCTTCTTTGGGTTTCCACCGTAGAAGCCGAACAGTTTCCTAAGTTGCCGATATGGCGCAAAGCTGCCGCTCTCGTCGCAGAAGCATGCGTACAAGTAGACGCCGGGAGCCGTTAATGTCGAGAGGATCCACCGTATTGAATTCACGAACGCATTGGCGATGCGCTTGGGGTAAGCCACCCAGAGAGAGCCCCGCGGGCTGAGGACCTTGGCCTCCGCCGGAGCTATTGGGGGAACCAGCTCGTCGCGTGCATAGTCGCGACCCCCGTCGTCCGCTGGTGCGCCCTCTCGCTGGAACTCGTCTGGTTCGGATGTCAATCCGCCCTTCTCGCTGATCTGGGGGAGTGCGCTCTCGGTTTGGTTCTGTCGCGATCCGTCGTTCTCGGAGCTGACTGCTAGCCCTAGGGCGCTGAGTGAGTTTGACCTCGAGGGTGTTGGGCTCGGCGGAGGGGATACTCGAGCCGAGATAATGTTGAGGGAGTTCATCTTGTCGACATCGAGAAAGCCATGAAGAACAGGCGCGGCGGCCCCAGGGGGGGCTGGGAACTTGGAGAATTGCCTTGCGACTGAGCAGGGCGCCGGGCGAGTAGATCGTGGCCAAATGGCCCGAAAGCAAACCGTCTAGGCGCGCAGCAGATAGCTCTCGCTGTTTGAGGCCGCCACTAGAGTCTGTCGTATACGGGACCCGTGTAGGGGCAATCGGATGTTTGGGAGGATGATGCCGAGAAAATGGTGAGGGACGGGATGGGACCAGTGCTTGCTGCGCAGAGGCAGGGGGTTGGTGTTACTAGTTACACAGTACACTGGAAAGCCCAGTTTGGACGGGCGATGCTATTCGCCTCGGTTCCATTCAAATCGGGCCCTGTTCTTTCGGCTGTTCCAGCCCCGATTTGCGCCCATCAACAATGACAACACTTGGGAATGATTTTACAGAACATCGCCGAGTTGCAATGCAATGTCTTCTTCTCTGGCTTCGCTGGGACAGACTCAAAAGTCCCAAGCTCGTCAGCCTGGCATTGGCGCGAGAAAGCGCGGCGCTAGCGGAACGGTTCAGCAGCTCACCCCAACAAATGGCACCCCTGCTCCGAGCCCTGTCACAACGCCTGTTCCCTTCACGTGCGAAAGGGAATGCCTGGATTTTGGCAAGGATCCACAGGAACACAATGAACTCCCCCACTGACCATCAACCCCAGCAGTCATGTGCGAGCCCGGACGAGAGCATTCATGTATAAAGTTCCGATCGCGCACCTGCTTTCTTCCTGCGCTGGTAACAATGAACTTGACCACCAGTTTTGGATTTTGTCCTGGCCAAATCCAGAGTGAGCACGGTAAGCTTCACTTGAACGGATCGCTTAGTAAAGCTCGATTTCGGTACGTCAATGGTTAGAGACGGGAAGTTGGCCGCACACACGTATCATGGGCTGACTTGCCCTGGCTTCTCTTCTTCAGACAAGATGCTTGCTACAGTAGTCGAAAGCGAATGCATTGGTCATAATCTTTGTAGGTCCTGGGTGCCTAAGATAAGGTATATGGCTTGCCGTGGGTCCTACGGCATACTGTCGAAGTACTGTAGAAAAAGAGAGGGCCGGTCAGGTGATGCCTTGATTGCTTCAAGCATGGTCATCGACTAGACTCGGCGGCCCTCGGAAATCATAATTCGGATCTAGGTAGACTTAACTCAAAGTTGCCGACGTCCGGTCACTGTGCGCGGTACAAGGCCCAACAAAAGCAGCAACATTGAGCCAACCCTCGACTCCCGCGTTTGTGATGTACAAGCTCCTCTCTATATCACACAGGTTCCCATTCTCTCCGCTATCCCTCCTTGCCAACCCGCTTATTCCTCGCCGGCAAACTCAGCGCGGCCAGCCTTCGAGTTGAGATACTCGTTCCTGTAGTTCTGTTAGCGGCAGATTCTCCCCCGTCGTAGATCGGATGGCGTACCTGTGGATAGCCCAGTTCAGAACGTAGTAGCCGGCAATCATCGGGGGCGCGAAGTAGATGACCTGGTTCCTAAAGCGTCTCCAGGTGTTGAAGAGGGCATCGTGGAAGGCGCCAGCGAGGGGGTTCTGACGGTTAGGGGCGACGCCATAGGAGACGATGCCCTTCTGCTTTAGCCCACCTGTCGCCAATGTTCCGTCAGCTCGAGGTCTTGCCGAACCCTGAGTAAGTTGCTTGCTGTAGCCGTCCTCCGCAGCTCTCCGTTTCGTGTGCTGCCTCGCACACTCGATCTCGTCCTTCTCAACGGCCACGCCCTCGTCGAGTATCACTCACCAAAGTTGCCCCAGGTACCGAGGTAGCTGCAAAAGGGTTAGCAAAGCCTGCCGTCAAGAAATCAAGGCCCAAAGGGCCAGGTGCATGCCGCCTCGGGAGCTCGGAAAAGGCGCATTGCGTGACCGCAAGTATCCGGCATACTCACTGGTTGTATTTGCCGAGGGGGATATCGCCGCCTCCGCGGAGAGCCTGTGTAGGGCGCATATTGAATTGGGTATCGGAACGAATGCGTGGGAGGTTGTCAGTCGTTGCGGATCACAGAATCGGAATCGTTTGCGGTGGTTTGCAGTCGAATTGAATCAATCGACAAAAGCCGGGAACTACCGTCCCAATGTGGCTAGTGCAAGCCTATAATGCCTACCCGGCCGGAGTTCGCGGCCGGACCACCCGCCTCAAGCCGCCCCACCACTTTTCCACGGGCTTGAGCGCAGACTGCAGCGACAAGCTCCAGCATCCAGCATCACCGGGTGGTAGGATAGCTCCCTTCAATAACCCGCCAATTCAACCGCCACAGCCAACAGCAGCACCGCGGAACCTCCGGACTTAAGATGGCGTCAAGAGGGCTGCAGTTCGTCTACGCGGCCGCCATCCCGACGGCAATCGGAGTCAGCCTACTCCAGTCGTCCATCTACGATGTCAAGGGCGGCAGCCGGGCCGTCATCTTCGACCGGTTGTCGGGTGTCAAGGAGACGGTAGTGAACGAGGGCACACACTTTCTGATTCCCTGGCTGCAGAAGGCCATCGTCTTCGATGTGCGGACAAAGCCCCGCATCATCCCGACGACGACGGGCAGCAAAGATCTGCAAATGGTCAGCTTGACGCTCAGAGTGTTGCACCGGCCTGAAGTACAGGCGCTGCCCAAGATCTACCAGGTGCGCTTATCCCTATCTCCCTTCCACTGCTCCCAAATTCCGCCATACTGACAAAGGCACCCCCACCCCCCCACAGAACCTCGGCCAAGACTACGACGAACGTGTGCTCCCTTCGATCGGCAACGAAGTCCTCAAGTCCATCGTGGCTCAGTTCGACGCCGCCGAGCTGATCACTCAGCGCGAGGCCGTCTCCCAGCGGATCCGGCACGACCTGATGAAGCGGGCGGCCGAGTTCAACATCGCGCTCGAGGACGTGTCAATCACGCACATGACGTTCGGCAAGGAGTTCACCAAGGCGGTCGAGCAGAAGCAGATCGCGCAGCAGGACGCCGAGCGGGCGCGCTTCATCGTCGAGAAGGCCGAGCAGGAGCGGCAGGCCAACGTAATCCGCGCCGAGGGCGAGGCCGAGAGCGCCGAGACCATCAGTAGGGCGATCGCCAAGGCCGGCGACGGCCTGATCCAGATCCGCAAGATCGAGGCGAGCAGGGAGATTGCGCAGACGCTGGCCAGCAACCCCAATGTGGCGTATCTGCCGGGCGGGAACAAGGGGACGAATCTCTTGATGAGCGTGGGTCGGCAATAGGCGGGGGCATTTGGAGAGGGGATGGGAGGTCCGGTGGCGTTGATGACACGATAAAATCAGACGAGGCTGTGTATTACTACTCTACGACTGCTGTTTATTCCCCGCTTCGGACTGTCAATAGGAGTACGGATTCCAAATGGTTGTCCCCTTATGAGCCGGGAACAGGCTCTAACTGTCTCAAAACACGGCATGAAACGTTGCGTATTGACTGCTCCTAGGCCGTTATTGGACTGTACTCCTGATATAGTGACGTTCAATAACTGTTGAAGGTAGCATGTCATCTAGTGTTGCCGCCGATGCCCTGTGCTCCATGGTTATGCGGAATCACCTCTCCCATAACGTCACAAGATCCTTGGTACTTAAAACTCCTGAATGGCTCTCCCCTTCCTTGCTACGGGTATCTCAAATTTTAATACTTCCTCTCCTTGGGCAATTTCTTATGCTCCAACAGCTCCACGTCCTTCTTATCATAATAATGCCCGCCAAACTCTGACAGCCACTTCGCATCGATCGGTATGACCGACCGCACATACTCGCGCGACGTCACCACCAGCTCGTGGTAGATGATTACCTTGGGCGGCGGGTCCATCGACTTGACCACGCTGCTGGGGTGCACATAGACCGTCATGTTGTTCTTGAGCGTGCGGTACCCGTCGCCCCCGCGGTTCAGCCGCGCCGCGTTCAGGAAGAAAGCCGACGTCAGGGCCCGCAGGATAGGCTGCATGTTCGAGATACCGCCGCACGACGACGTCGACCCCTCCAGCACCCTGTCGCACAGCTTGGCCAGCTGGTCGCGCACGTCCCTCGCGCGCGTCAGCGAGCGCTGCGTCAGGAAGTTCTCCTTGGCCCAGATGGGCGAGTAGTCGGCCTCGACCCACTGGTTGTAGACGTTGAGCAGCGTCAGGTGGTCGCCGCCATCCTTGACCGTAAAGCGGGCGCGCGCGCTGTCGGCGTGCACCTTCTTGTCCTTCGGGCGGAAGAAGAGGGTCGCGACCTCGCTCAGCATCGAGACGATGGTTAGCACCTCTTCGACGCACCCTTCCTGGGTGGCTGCGATGAGAGCCTTGGCCAGCATCGGCTCGGTGGGGAACTCGCCCATTTGCCGCCCGATGCGGGTCAGGGCACCGGCGCTGTTGAGGGCGCCGAGAGCGTAGAGCATGTTGAGCGATTTGATGAGGAGTTCGGTGGGCGGCGGGTCGAGGAAGTCGAAGCCGAGGAGGTCGTCTATCCCAAGGGCTTTGAGCTGCAAAACCACGCTGGAGAGTGACGTGCGCTGTATCTCAGGGGTCGGTGACTCGTCCATCTCGGAAAGGTAGGCGAACTTGGTGTAGAGGCGGAAGCACTTGCCCGGCCGTACACGGCCAGCTCGGCCCATCCGCTGGTTTGCCGCGGCCCTGGAGCAGGGCACGACTGCTAGTGTTGACTGCCCCGTCGTGCCAACCGGGCTGAAGGTATTTTCTTTGACGTACCCGCAGTCAATGACGTAGACGATGCCGTCGATGGTCAGCGATGTCTCGGCGATGTTAGTTGAAAAAACGACTTTCCTCGCTCCGGGAGGCGTCGGCTCGAAGATCTTGGCCTGGAGCTCCGACGGCATGTTGGCGTAGATGGGCAGGGCTATAATCTCCGGTACTCGACTGCCTAGCTTCCGTTTGATCTCCTCTACCCTTTCGCATGCGCGGTCAATCTCCTCCTGGCCCGTGAGAAAAACGAGGATGCCGCCCTCGGGTTGCGTCGCGTGGATCTGGAAGACGGTCACCAGGCTGGCTTCCAGATAGTTGCTCTCCGGCGCCGACGTGTAGTAAACTTCCACAGGGTGGACTCGGCCGGGAACGTTGAAGATGGGCGCATCATCGAAGTATGCGCTGAACTTCTCTGCATTCAGCGTCGCGGACGAAATGATTAGCTTCAGCTCTGGCCTCGCTCGTGTGAGATCCTTGATTAGGGCTAACAAGATGTCGGTATGCACCGTTCTTTCGTGCGCCTCGTCGATCATTATGGCCGAGTAGCCCTCGAGTGTTGGGGACGTGACCATCTCCCTGAGGAGCATACCATCCGTCATGTACTTGAGGATGGTCTTCTCGCTGGTGCAGTCCTCGAATCGGATCGAGTAGCCCACTTCGTGTCCAACCCTCACCCCCATCTCATCAGCGACACGGGCAGCAACGCTCATGGCTGCGACTCGACGTGGCTGCGTGCAGGCGACCTTCATGCCATCCTTGGTAAAGCCAGCCTCGTGTAGGTACTGGGGTATTTGTGTCGTCTTGCCCGAACCTGTTTCGCCGACCAGGATGAGGACCTGGTACTCCTTGATCGCATCCAGGAATGCATCGCGGTACGCATATACTGGCAGGCTCTTCCTGACTTCCTGGATAGTCTTGTGTGCCTTTTCCGCCGCGTCGATCTTCTCTTTCAAGATCCTCTGCTCCTGTGTTAACCCATCATTTGGCTGCGCATACTTGGCCGCGTCCCGGACGAACGTGATGGCGTCTTCATCCAGCAAAAAGTCGTACTCCCCCGCGTCGTCCCGCTCGCGGCTCTGAATCTGCGCTTTCGCCTTAACTGTCTGCTCGCGCTCCCATTCCTCGTATTCTGTGACGTGCCTCTCGTTGCCGAATTCGTCTCGTTCCACCTGACGCTTGTACAGGGCATCCTCCTTCCTCTTGCTATCGACACCGTACTGGTCAGGTAGCCGGTAGCCGTCCTGATAATCGTCTATCCGGGCGCGTTCCTCGGCAAGGCGCAGAATCTCGCGGTTCTTTGCAAACTCGGCCTTTTCCCGCTCCGAGAGGCGTACACCAGACCTCAGCTCCGCTGTCTCTTCGGCAACCTGTTTCCGTAGCAGAGCGAGCTTTTCGGCCTCTCTCTTGGCGAGATATTGCTGGCGTGACTTAAGCCGCAGCTCGGCCATCTTAGGATCCTCGCGCCGGGAATCGCTCCGGCTGGTCTTCGAACCGCCATCTCTATCGCTTCGTGGTGACCTGGATCGCCGTCGAGGGGAATCATCGCCATCGTGTCGCCTGCTTTTGTGTCGCCGCGGCGACCTCGACCGGTCTCTGGATCTATCGCGTTTCCTGTCCTTTCTTTCCCTGTCTTTCCGACCATCGCTAGAACGAGGCGCGGGCTCGTCGTCCATCGGGACGAACGCATATCGTTGTGCGGACATGTTTCTAGATACCGGGACAGCCTGGGCGGTTGGTGTTTGTATAGGTCTGGCTCGCCGTTACCATCGTCGCCTGCTCTGTGACAAGGCCACTGGAAACCTTATCTTATCAGAATCCATGCACGGCGCAAGGTGCCGAGCCATTCTGGGGTGGCTAGCGTCATTACGTAGGCGGTATGTAAGGGTACTATGTATGCAACTGACAGTACATACAGAATCTATGTATGCAATACTGAATCTTACAGATCTCTTCACAGTTTCATCAATGCAGCCTTGCAGGTTCTCTTCTAAGTTCCGTGTCTTGGACTCTTGGCCACGACGCATACTGGTTGCTCTCAGAGTCGATGGTCAGGATCTCGCCATTTATATAAGTCAGATGTTCAATGGCTGTCGAAGGCATAAACTATTTCCCGTCGTAGCTGGTGGATTGTTGCAGCATCTCCGTCTACTCCCGCATTGCAATGTCCCTAATATTGCTAAGACGCCCACAAGAGCTAACATTAAGATATCCGTATCGCTAGCAACACTGACCACTGCGTTGACGCTGCGTCCCTGATATATGCCTCCGCAGTCCCTCCAGCCCTTCTGTCCATCTACCTCCTACCCTCCATACCGGATATTGATCTCTTTTCCCAGAGACAAGCGTTTCGTACCTTATTAGCATCCTCGGTAATAGCATGGGGGTTGTTAGACCCACTCGTGTCGAGACAGTCGCGTGAGACTGAGCCAACGGCTTTCGGCACGGCTTGACGAACTCGAATCAACCACGACGAAGGGCCCGGATATACCCATTGATTTCTCGTCACATAAGCTCATTTTCGTGCTTGTCTGTTTCGCTTCAGTGTACAAAAGCCTCGTTTTCCGGATTGCTAGACAACTCTGGCTTAAGCAAGCCAGTGATACCTTACGTTCATCATCTGTCATCCGAGACGAGACATACAAGTCACGTACGTTTACCCGATACAGTCAACAACTCGACACAATGAGTGCCAACGGCTTAACACTCCAATCATCCATTCTGGGTGCGGGCGACTCTGTGGCCATCATTGTGCCCTCCCAGCCTCAAGCCCTGACTGTCACCTACAAGGAGCTGGTCTCCGAAGTCGGCCGGTTCCAGCAGAAGCTCGCTGCCATCGGCATCGGTCAGGGGTCGCCGGTCTCGATTGCCACTGTGAACTCATATGAATTCATTGTCTCCTTCCTCGCCGCCGCATGGCAGCGCGGTATTGCCGCGCCGCTGAATCCCGCCTATAAGCAGGACGAATTCGAGTTCTACATCGAGGATGTCAAGTCAGCCATCGTCCTCGTCCCGCGCGGCGCTTACCAGAGCGGCAGCCCGGTCGTGAAGGCAGCGCAGAAGTTCAACGCGGCCATCGCCGAGTGCTACTGGGATGCCACGAAGAGGGAGGTCGCTCTCGACGTCAAGGAACTCGGTCAGCTCCAGGGAAAGCCTGCACAGCCTGTCTTGAGGCCCGAGCCCGAGGACATCGCCTTGGTCTTGCACACGAGCGGAACCACGTCCAGGCCCAAGGTCGTACCTCTCTCCCACCGGAACCTGACTCGGACCATGAAGAACATCCAGCAAACCTACCAGCTCACTGCCGCGGACCGGACGATGCTCGTCATGCCCCTGTTCCACGTCCATGGTCTCCTCTGCGGCCTCCTTGCGCCGCTGTACTCGGGCGGATCCATGGTCGTCCCGCCCAGGTTCTCCGCCTCCGACTTCTGGCGCGACTTCATCGCCCACAAGGCAAACTGGTACACGGCGGTGCCCACCATCCACCAGATCCTCCTCAAGAGCCCAGCCCCGTCTCCCCTGCCGCGCATCCGCTTCATCCGCTCCTGCTCCTCCCCGCTCTCCCCGACCGTCTTCCACGCGCTGGAAAAGACGTACAACGCCCCGGTGCTCGAAGCCTACGCCATGACCGAAGCCGCGCACCAGATGACGTCCAACCCCTTACCCTCCGTGGGAAAGCGCAAGCCGGGCACCGTCGGACTCGGCCAGGGCGTGGAGGTGGTCATCCTCGACGAGGCAGGCAAGGCCGTGCCGCAGGGCCAAGAAGGGGAGATCTGCATCCGCGGGGAGAACGTCACGCGCGGCTACCTCAACAACGCGGACGCCAACAGGTCCGCCTTCACGCGCGACGGCTACTTCCGCACGGGCGACCAGGGCCGCAAGGACGAGGACGGCTACGTGGTCATCACGGGCCGCATCAAGGAGCTGATCAACAAGGGCGGCGAGAAGATCTCGCCCATCGAGCTGGACAACGTGCTCACGCGGCACCCGGCCGTGTCGGAGGCCGTGAGTTTCGCCATTCCGGACGACATGTACGGCCAGGACATCGGCGTGGCGGTCGTGCTCAAGGGCGGGATGAGGTTGGATGAGCGGGAGCTGAAGGGGTGGGTGGCGGAGAAGCTGGCCAAGTTCAAGGTGCCGAAGAAGGTGAGCGAATCGTTTTATGACTTTTAATTATCAACGGTGCACTGGCTAACCATCTGTTTCTCCTCGACAGGTCTACTTCACTGATGTTATGCCCAAGACGGCAACTGGCAAGATCCAGCGGCGTATTGTTGCCGAGACCATGCAGAAACAGGAAGGCCGGTCGAAGTTGTAAGAGGCGCCGTTTTCGCTGAAGCATAGGTACTTTGTAAAGCTAGTTGGCAGTGCGGCTGTATTAGACCTGCGAATGGCATAGACCGTGTTGTCCGGAGTTCACAAGATAGAATGGATATGAAGAGAGTTTGTACATACATGCGTATATATACAAATGGTAATCTCAGTATGGCATGACTACGTTGTGTACGTTTGCTGTATCTTAACCGCTTGGTTTGTCTTGATCGTGTTTGTTTTCAGGGGTAAGTAAGCCTGAGGACGAGCCTGAGTTCATAGAGGCACCATCAATGGCCTCCAACGCTTTTGAGACCTTTGCTAGATGACACTCTTCTGCCTCGAACGGTTCAAGTTGCAGAGCCATCCTGATGACTTGCCCATGTAAATGCCGCATGGCACAAGTAGGGGAAGCTGCACGACCATGCGACATCGAACGACACGTGGCTCAAGTGACTAACCAAGTGATTTCGCTACCATGAACTGGCCCGCTACCAGCAAATGGATGGCTAAAAAGTACAAGTTGAGATATACCCGTTCCGCAAAAGTCCGACAATATAACAGCGAATTCAGACAAAGGAAAAGCCAAGATCCCGGCGCTGCCACAGCGGTACAGGATGAACAGCCGACTCTCGAATTACACCGTCACCACCGGCTGGACTCTGTCCACAATAGTAAAATGGTGTCTGGTCTTTCCGGTTCCGCCATCCTGTGACCAGCCAACGGCACCAGCAAATAAAAAAGCATTAGCCACGTCTATCCATCCCGTAACCACATATGGAACACAGCTGTCTGCTTTTGGGCGTCAAAACGAGCGACTGAGCTTAGCGTTTACTTCCCCACCACGGCAGATGAGCCTGCGCAGTCTGAAGACGCTCAGAATACCCCTGGTCCCACTAGAAGAGGAAATATGCCAAAAGGAAGCTGGCGAGGCAGAGTATGGCGACGATCTGAACGGGAACGCCCTCTGTGGCTTGGGGCTGTGGTCTCTCTGCCTGTGCCAGCTGCTGTGTTGCCCCGCTCTGCTCTGCTGTCTCGGATGTAGTCTTCCGCTGTCTCAGACCGCTCGTCGCCTCGTTCTTCAGCGAGGCGATTGTAGCCTCGGCCTTCGCCAACTTGTCCTTCAGCTCATCGTAGGTCTCTGTCGCGGCCGACTTGATGGTCGCAGCCACGGCGGCAGGGGTGGAGAAGGCGTTTGTCTGTGTGGCCGGTGCGGTCTCAGGCTCTTGCTTGACATCCTTCGATTCGGACTGGGATACGGGGGCGGTGTCGTCGGCGACCGTGGTGTCCTCCTGGGGAGAAGAATACGCTGGGGGAGCGGTATCGGGGGTGGCATCGAACTAGGTCGAGAGGGTTAGTTGCCGGGAAACAGCAAAAGAAATAGATGACATACGCCATTAGCAGCTTGCCGCCGAACAGGGGTCGCGACTCCGCTCCCTTGCGAGGGGGGAAGCCAAGCTACACGAATCTTCTTCTCTTGAATCTCCGACTTGTCTACTGAATCCCACTGCACAAGCAGTTAGTAAATCGCTAGAGTGCATAGAGTCGCTCAAACCCACAATCTCCGACACATTTGTAAACTCCTTGTCGGCGGCAATAAGTACTGATTGGACCAGGAACTTGTCACGACACTTGGCGTCGAGCGGCGGCTCCTGCTTCATCGCTTGCAATAGAACTGCGAGGGTTAGCGCCTGTCCGTTTCGCCGACGACCAGGCTCCAGTGACCAACCTGACACCTCGACTTCATACCCCGGGTTGATGCGGCCAGAGTTCGGTCGGACGCAATACCTGGGCAATTAGTCAACCTCAGACCCCGAGCGACCTGAGCTGGTTTGACCAGGGGTGGACATACTGCTTGGGCGCCGTTGTTTTCACCTGGATTCCGTCAGAAAAGAGAAGAGTATAGACGAAATTGGTATCAAGTTACCTTGAAGGCGACGGGTGCAGTATTGGGGTTCTTGATTCTAAGGACTTGCGCAACCTCCACAGTGAAGGGCCCTGCTCAGTCAGACACGGGCGGGCTCAAGAGAGATTCGGAAGGGACGTACTGCGAAAGCCGAGCTCCAGCGGATCGATCTCGACGGACATGGCGGCGGTGTGAAGTCCCGAACACCCTAACTTGGGTCAAATGTCGGCAGGATGGCACTCGATCGATGCACACGACCGAACAGACGGGAGATGGCAGGATGAAGCGTAACTGGACCGACTGCTGGGTTGAACCTCGGTAACAACCTTGGAAGCGTGTTTGTTCACGCACTTTGGGCTTGAAGAAATCAAGGATCAAGCACAGCGGCGGATGTCGTTTTTGGCCAGAATCTGACAGTTGGTAAGAGTGTATGAAGTGTTACAACATGGATTCGGGGCACATTGATGGCAAAACACCACTGCGCTTGGTCAGGACAAGCTTGTGGGCCCCTGCTGCAATGTGGACTGCCCGGGGGTGAGCAGAGTACACTAGTAGTAACCCGAACCCTAGCCTAAGCCTCCGCTCGGCTGACCAATTATGAACAACACCATCTGATGTCCGTAGTGTATGACGTGCGACTTGTCAGCCTGCTAACACCCGTTGAGGCAAACGCACAGTTGTAATAAGTCTGTGCGTACCTGCAATAACGTCAAGCTTGTTCACCTGGTTGGCTCAAGCTCTCACTTTTAGGTTACTGATTTGCCCCCAGACCGGCCTCCTTAAATGCCTGCAGCTTGCCCCGCCATCCAACTACTCGCTGGGCCTCCCCCCAATTCCCGACCCCCAGTCCTGCAGGATCAACCATTTCTCAACACGGGAAATTTCCAGCTTTGATATCGGAGTCTGGTTTTCATCTCTCTTGATCTCGTCGCGATTTACACCGATATTCACGATGACCCAGTCAGACCTCGATCTCCTGCTCGAGATGGGCTTCGAGCGGGCGCGTGCCGAGCTCGCTGTGAAGAAGACCGGAGGATGTCAGTAACCTATCTATGACACACTCCTCTTGTATGATGCTCAGGGTGCTGACGCTGGTTCCAGTGCAGCAAGCCTTGACCTGGCTCGAGGAAAACCAAGATAAGCCTCTTGAGGAACTACAGGCAAGCCAAGCCTCAGCCGCCACTGCTGGCGAGGGTGAGGGTGATGAGGAAGGCGCACCCTCCATTCCTTCAGGCGTGACCGCCCAGTCTCTTGTCTGCAACGAGTGTGGCAAGAAGTTCCGCAATCACGATCAGGCCTCGTTTCACGCTTCCAAAACGTAGGTTCTCTCTCACTGTTTATCACCGTTGCTCCGATCATGGTTATTGATAGTTGCTGCAGCGATCACACCGACTTCTCAGAGTCAACGGACGAGATTGCGCCGTTGACCGAGGAGGAAAAGAAGGCCAAGCTAGAAGAGCTTCGCCGGAAACTGCAGGAGAAGCGGGCCAACCAGGCCATCCTAGACAAGGAGGAGTCCAAACGGAATGAAGTATGTCGAGGGCCAAATACATTGTTCATTACGACATGTACTCACGTTTTCTTGCAGCAAATCCGGCTTAAGGCTACCAAGGAGTCACAAGACATCAAAGAGCAGTTGCAGCGCAAAGAGCAGATGAAGGAGGCTGCCAAGAAGCGCCAGGAGAAATTGGAGGACCTGGAGGCCAAGAAGCGCATCAAGGCTCGGATAGAGGCTGACCGGGCGGAGCGCAAACGCCGGGAGGAAGAGGCGAAGGCGATGCGCGGGGGAAAGCCGTTGCCGAATCCGACCACTACACCGGCCGCTCCGTCCGCTGCCGCCGGGTCATCCGCTGCCGTTGCCCGGCTGCGGCTTCAAACAGCGAAGGGGAACCTTGTGAAGTCGTTCCCTAGCGAGACCACGCTGTTTGAGGTTGCCCAGCAGATCGAGGCCGAGGTCGGGGCTCCAATTCAGAGCTTTTCACTGACCTTTCCCAGGAAGACGTTTGAGGCTGGCGTCGACTTTGGGCAGACGCTTGCGGAGGCCGGCCTGGCACCCAGTGCCGTGCTGGTGGTTAAATAAGCCGGCAGCAGAGTATGTGGGCATCTCGGAATGGCAGGAAGCCGGCGGTCACCGCCTTGCCTGCTTTCCTACTTTATGAGTACTGTGATTTAATGACATGACATCTTTGGGAGAGGATGTGGCCTCTTTGGGAGAGGATATGGCCTCCGGTGTTAATAAAGAGGAGTTACCCGAACCCTGTATCGGATCATAGGGAACCTATGTCAAGGATGGGACGTGGCACTGGGGATCTCGTCTTTGAAAGGGCGCACCATGACCTACACTAGAAACCAAGCGCCTTTCTCGCTACATCCCCACCATATCACACATATGCTGTATAAACAAATCCCACTCGAGCGATGTTTTCCCTGGTACCTCTCCTCAATTCACTCTACTTATGCGATAGCGACCCCGCATCCCCTGCTCGAGACAGGGGTTTCTTAGTCCTGTCCGGCAACAGCGGCTCCGCACCTTCTCCGCGTCTCACGGTCCCGTCTTAGTCGTTCTCAACCGCCTATTCAGGCCACCGCTGTGACCGCCCGCTTATTATTGACCCGCCTGTTTCCGCTCACTAATAGGTAATACCTCGACCCCATTGGCGACCCGGCAGACTTAAGACTTCCCTTCCCGTATCTCACTTCTGCACTCCGAGTCCGCTCATGGCCTTACGCTTACATAGTAGCAGCCTCCTCCTCCGAACCATCTCTCAGTCTCGCAACTGCACCTCCAATTCTTCGTTTAGTAGCAGCAACTCCTCCATCCTAAGGAGGAACCCGGCAGTCTCACTGCGTAGCACCGCCCTCCCCACCTTCCAACTCACACAGCGCAGCACCATGGCGACAGGAGCGGCGCCCAACAAGACGGAGTGGCTCGTCGTGGTCCCGGACTTCCCGGGCGCGCAGCAGAAGAGGCTTGAGGTCCGCCCGTAAGTTCATTATTGCAGGACGTGCGACACGCCTGTTCTTGTCTTATATCCCGTCCCTACATGGTCGAGTCCGCCCTGCTAACCCTGCTTGCCTTGGCAACGTAAAGGCAGCACTTCGCTGGCATCGGCCCCTTCAAGGAGTCGGGTGTTTACCAGATGGGCGGTACGTACAATACATATACATACATACAGTAGTATCCTTGATGCATCCCCCCGGGGGCTTTATGCTCTTATGTTACTGTATGTAGTACTAACGGCACCCGGAAAACAACAATTAGGCGCCGTCCTGCATGAGCCGCCGACCTCAAACGACCCAGCGACCTTCTCGTTCGCTGGCAGCACACTAGTCATGCAGGCCTCGACCCGCGAGGAGGTCATCGAGACTCTGCGCCAGGACATCTACGCCAAGAGCGGTGTGTGGGATGTTGACAATGTGAGTCTTCCCCCGCCCCCTCCACCCCCCCCCCCCCCCCAACAATGACAAACCCTCCTGTTGTCCTCGTCTCCGGTGGGATAGAGATCTAGGATGTGTTGTGTGGGTGAGATACATATGCTCATCATGGCTGTGGATCGTACAGGCTCAAATATGGCCGCTTCTGTGCGCCTTCCGCCACCCGAAATGAAGGGCCGGTCAGCTGTTGAGGTGACATGAGTGCGGAAGCCAGCTATTAAGGACCATCATCATAGGCGTTGAGGAGAAGGCAGATACTTCATCTATGTTCTTCCAGACAAATATCGATGTGACCTCCCCCTGAGCCCCGTGGAAACCGCTAATTGGCGTTGCCGCTTCGATATGCCCGCCATGTGCCTGCTCAGAACGCCATACAACAGAACCACCAAACCGTAGACTGATCGTACTCATACACAAACCCATACAGCCATCATGCAGTCCCTTGCGGGGCAGGCGATTCTGCGCCGCTCTGCTTCCCGCTCTCCTTCCCGCTCCCCTCCGATTCCTCCACGGCGACCCTCAGCTCGTAGTTGAGATCGAAGCATTCCGCCAACAGCTCTGCTACACTCCCTTGGCCTTCTGGGATGTCGTCACCGACCATGAACTTGCCGTCCACCCTCATGTTGTCAATCGAGTTCAGCTACATAACAGCCAGTCAGCGAACTGCATCAGCTAGGTTTAGCTGGTTTAATGGCGGCCGCGGTTGACGAACCTTCATGCTGTAAGGATAGAGCTCCCGCACTGAGCTGACCCCCCCTGAATTCTTGACCTCGATCAAGCACCGCTTCAGTGTCTGCAACTGGTTGTAGATAGGCAGCAGAGCCTCCGATACCGGCTCGGAGGACATCATAAGGTAATAGATGTAGCCGTAGCTACGTCGGATGAGGTAGAGCAGAGTCCGCTGGACGTAGAGCTCAGCCGGGTTGCCGTCTTGATCCAGCCAGTTGCCATCCACCCTCGACTCGTCAATCTTGTCGAGTTCGCGCTGGAAGTCGTACAGGTCTGTCTCGCGCAGCGACCAGGCCTGCGTGATCGACAGCTTCTCAAGCTCGTTGCGGATATTGATGAGAACGTTGTACTTGTCCCGGAAGGCTTCTGGGATCTCGCCCTTTCTGGAAAAAGTGTCAACAAGAGAAACGTGCTCGGGTAAAGCACATGCGCATACCTCTCGATCACAATGTTCGACCACATCAGGCATCGCTTCAGCAATTCTGAGACCGCATCGCTTCCACGCAGCTCCTTGCCTTCAGCATCCACAAACTTGCCGTTCACCATGGTTCCTTCGATCTCCTTCAGTTTCGCAATGAACTTTTGGACTTCAGTGACAGAAAACTTCAAACCAGGTCAGCACTTTGCCGTCGCTCACCGGGCTTCTTTAGTAGTACCTTCGACTTGGTATTGGCAAGCGACATAGACCGCATGATGGAGATCAACCTCTCGTAGGTCGCCTGTAACGGCTCGTCCAGCTGGTCCAGCTGCTTGCGCAGATTGGTCAGCATGGACTTGCACAATGCCTCCCTATGTGCCAACAGCTCCACGAGATATGGCGAGTGCGCCGACTCGGCGTTCTTCAGGATTCCATCAAGTCTGCCTAATGTGTTGGATATGCTGTCGAGGTCCTTAGGTGAGAAGAGTCTCGCTTCCGTCAGGTGATCCAAGAGGCGCTTGATGGTCGATGTCAACGCGTAGGCTGCAGGGACGTCGTTCGTTCGTCCGATTGTCATGAAGAAAAGTGAGATGAGCTGTAAACAACTCTCGAGAACTCTGTCCACTGGGGTAACTATCAGCATACAGCGTAGAAGATGGAGATTGCTGACCCGTGCTAGACCTACGTCTGTTTTCCCCCCTATGCTCGCCCTTGCGGATCTCATTCAATTGCTTGACCTGGTCCACTAACTGGTCATAGAGCACCATGACATCTTGAGATCTAATGTACTGTGTACGGTCCCTCTTCAGAAGCAGCAGCTTGTCTCGGATAACAGTGAGCCGATCTAAGATTTGCCGCTCCTGTTCATCTTTTGGCATTGGGACAGCTGGAGTGTCCATCTTGGGGTGCGAAGGAGGAGAAGGACGCCTTGAGACAAAGAGAGATAGACTTGTTTGTGAGCGACGGGAACTTCACTTTAATACCTCTGATTTCGAAGCTCGGGTTGCCCTTCGCTGACCGAGTGGGGAGGCCGATCTGCTATCAACCGCCGCTCAGCCACTTCAGACTTGCGCGTAGATAGTCGACCGGTGAACGGGAAATATTTGACCTTTCTAAACTGCACCGTGGAGATTACGCGACTGGAGTACCGGTAATTCTCTTGCTGACAGAGCACCAAAGCTATGTTCTGGTTCGTCGAAACGGTTTGCCAATGCATGCGCATTGCTCAGTAAGGTTGCAGCTTCTCAGCGTCGTGTCCGACGTCAGTGGTAGTAAGTGGGGAGGTGGGTCATGCAAGGTTGCCTTGCCCATGTCGAGCGACCCCTCACCTTCTAACCAATCACCGGAGCTGAGGGTTCTTCATTCATCTTATCAGCTGACAGATGGCAGGCAGCTGTGCATTTGCCACTTGGCGGCCGCCACAGGGCCACGCTTTGCGGATTTCGAAGGCACACAAGTTGAACTAAATATTTCGCCGCTCGCGAATTTCAAGCTCGGCCTCAGCAACCCACGTCAAGAACGCCCTTCGAGTTCAGCACTTTGCGCCTCGACAACCACAGTCAAAATGTCCACCGCTGAGCTTGCCACATCATACGCGGCGCTGATCCTCGCCGACGACGGTGTTGAGATCACCGTAAGAAGCAGCCTTGAGGTTTGGGGGCGACCCTAGGGGTGCACGCAGCTGACATCCATCTCCAGGCCGACAAGATCCAGACCCTCATCAAGGCCGCCAACGTCGACGATGTTGAGCCCATCTGGGCTTCATTATTCGCCAAGGTACGAAGCCGGAAACCAGGCGGACTTGCGATCGGAGGCTGGAATCGAGACGAACATGGTGACTGACTGGGATATTGTTGCACTGTAGGCTCTCGAGGGCAAGGACGTGAAGGATCTTCTCTCCAACGTCGGCGCGGGCGGTGGTGCTGCTGCCCCCGCTGCGGCTGGTGGTGCCGCTGCTGCTGGTGGCGCTGCTGCTGAGGAGACCAAGGAGGAGGCTAAGGAGGAGGGTGAGTTTGCCCCAGCGCATACTTCGGTTTCGGGCCGTTGGTATGCTCGGATTGCTGACAAACTGCTGCAGAGAAGGAGGAGTCGGACGAGGACATGGGTTTCGGTCTCTTCGACTAAGCTGGCGTTGCCTTGGGCAGGGCGTGGTTTTGACTCCTCGGGTTCCCTTTGTTCATCCAAAACTTGCATGGATTTGCGGCGGCATTTCGCACACGACCACAGGGATGGAGAATCTGATATCGGGGCTCCTGGTTCATCGGCGTAGCTTTACATGGAATTTGAAGATGCGCGTTTGAGCAACTGCGGCGGCGCTCGGTCGGCGATGTCAATGACGGAGGTACTCTCCAGGTCATCGCGCCTGGAGTCATGGTCAGTGGCAGTTCAGCTTGGACCTCTATCCTGCGGGCTACGTCACAGAAGCAATTCGAGGATTATTGCTGCGCCAACATGACTCGTCTGAGAAAGCGAGCTATCTAGTTCATCATGTGGATTCTATACCTACATTTCCCTGCTGCTGCCGAGCCGGTTTACGATGGATCGCGTGGGACGGGTCGTGAAGGGGTTCGTGATGCCTTCCCCTGCAGCCATATTACGCTCCGTCACGAGGGGCTTCATGACACGAGCTGTCGTGTAAGTGAAAGCCCATTCATATTGAACATTCATACGCCACCCACATTCCCGGAATCCTGTAGACGGATCGCGTGGGCAAGAACCTCAGACAAGCAGTGCACGAGCGCTGCTTTATTAGATATGGATTGTCAGGGCGCTGTTGAGACCGTCGTTGAGAGCATCAGCCGTAGGATTCTTGGCAACCTTGGAAGCTAGCCTCGCTTTCCGACCGGCATCTGATACGGTGGGGCTACACTACGATGACGAAATGGCTCCTCCCGCCCAGCAACAGCGGGGTCGAGCTTGAATTGATCTTCTCCAAGCTATTGCTGTGTCTCATTGCTTCGACTGATTGCAGCCCTTACAGGCGGTAAAGAAGCATACATCGACAGTTTCTGGGTGTGGGCTTTATTTTGTGAGCATGTCAGAATTGCGGCGCAGAGGTCAGAACTTGAAAGGGCCTCGCACCCCACCAAGACTGGGGAGGGGTAACGGGACGACATAGCGAGTCGCAAACCGGTCGAACGCCTCTTAGAATGATGGGTCGATTCTCGAGGGTTCGTTCTATCGGCGCGGTATCTCTCAGGACGAATATGGAGCGAATTCTTGGGTCAGATAGAGCCGTGAAACTCGGCGAGATTTGTTGGGTTGGTCTCACTGTTATGTGGGACCCGAGAGGTACTAGGTAGTGATGACTCTATGAGCAACGCCGCCCTCAAACGACCGTCTGAATGCTCGTGGAGTAGCACCTCAACATCACCCTGCAGAGAATCACTACAATACGTTATATCAGAAAGGTGTCAAGGACCTTCGGAAATACTAGAGTGGCTGGTGACCAGGTCACAGGGCTGTGCCTCGTACACACACCCTGGCCTGCTCGAATGCCGTGTACGGTTCCGGCTCAACTTCCATCGGGCGCAGTGTGGGGCCTCCGGCCGCACCGGAACTCCCTCGTGGACCACAGACAGCAGTTTTTGCGCCTCGTGCACCTGGCTTCTGCCACCGTGTTCTCGAAATTCGGTGGTCCCAAGCTGCGGATGAAATATGAGGTAACCTATCTCATTGCTGGTAGTGCGACAAAGGGTCATCCGGCGAGTCTCCTGATGGTAGCACAAGACATGCATGCCTGAGAGATGAGAGAGGATGGTTCGCAAACACTGCTTCTGCCGCTTTTGCTTCGCTCTCGTCACTGTCGACTGGAGGGGCTGTTGGGCTTTTTGTGAGTAGAGAGAGGGCCCTCAACAAGCGGCCCACTGCTGTGACTCGAAATCTACATGGTTTGCGGCGTAGCTGAGAGCGGCGCAAGCACGCCAGGCGCTGTCCTCTGCTGCACATCGCCTAGAGTGTTACCTCAATAAGGCCATCTTCGACGACCTGCCCGGCGGCAGCATGTTTCGTTTTCTTTCTGCAGCGCCATTTTCGAAGAGCCCGAATTTAGCAGCGAGGATCTGCTCAACGGGTCGGTCGCTATCCCTGGCCAACATCATCTGGAAACCAACAAGGCGTCTACTGTGTAAGGGACCGATATCGTCACATCGTGAGTCTAGAAGGCGCCAGCTGCGCCGCGGTTGGTTTCTCAACGGAAAATGCTATGCGTTTCTCCTGCTGCAAGTAATAACGTAATGCATCGCTGTGCATGGGAACCAAGGCCTGTCAGCACAAGGCAGGCGCTTCTCACGTTCCGGCCCCAGCCATCCCGTCCCATGGACTTTCCACCTTCCAAGCTTCCTTCGATCCACATCCCCCTCATATACGACCCTACCTTACTCACAGCCTCCAGCCTCCCTTTCCCACCCTGCCTTGCTTCGAGAGCCTCTGAACCTTCCACACTCTGCTTCGCGTGTTTTTACGTTCCTTCCTTTTTGTGCGATACCCCAACCGCAAAATCGGACAAAAATTCAGCGCCTCCGATTCTCGATTTACAGCCTGATCTGAACTTACACTAGCCCACTTAAGATCGCCCTTCACAGCCAATTGCCGGGTGTGACGACGCTCACCAACCGGCATGCCTGAGGTGTACCGCGAGTCCCGCTACATGCGGGAGCGGGACCGGGACACGTCCGACACTGAGGATGAGCGTTACAAGAGGACCACAGTTCGCCGCTACAAGGTCGCGCCAGACCATGTAGAGCGGGTCGAGCGTGAGGTGGATGTGGTTGAGGAGGAACGTCGCGGCCGCTATGCGCCCGCCCGCCGCTCCAGCCGGGATGAGATCGTTGAGGTCGACCGCCGCGTCGATCGCCTGTACATTCCTGAGAGACCGCGGTCCACAATCGACCCATCTCCCCACAGCGCAACGTACGTCGAGCGCCAGGTGTATGAGCGTGAGCGCGAGCGCGAGCCCAGAGACGAGCACTACACCCGTGTCGACCGGGTCGAGTATCGCGGGGATGGCGCCCGAGGCGCCGTGGTCGAGCGGGAGCGGGTTGTCGAGCGCGATGAGCGCGATGTGTATTCGCCCGAGCGGACGCGCACCGTGGTCGAGAGAGAGATCGTCGAGCGGGACCGTGATGTTTACTCGCCAAGGGAATGGGAGCGACGCTCCTACTGGGACGAAGACAAGGACACTGAGGTGCGCGTCGAGAGGAGGATTGAGCGCCGGGATTCGCATGGCAACGAAATTCGCGTAGAACGTCGGGTGGAGGAGCGCCGCGATGAGGGAGCGGAGGTCGAGCGCTACCGGAAAGAGACCGAGTACTATGAGCCAGCTCCGCCGGCTCCCGCTCCCATCGTCATTCGGCAGCGAGCTCCCGAACAAAAGATCATCCTCCAGGAGGCTCCACCGGCAACCGTTGTCATTCGAGAGCAGCCAGAGGCTCGGGAGGTGGCTGTTGCTGCTCGTGGGGGCCGCGACGGCGAGTACTACTATCATCGCGAGTCTCGGGAAGTTGGGCCTTACCGTGGAGAGCGCCGCGAGGAGGAGTATGCGATCGCTCGGTACGAGGACGATCATCGGCACCGTCATCATCACCACCATCATCACCACCGACGTCATCACCGCGAGGCTTACAGTGACGCTGAATCCGATGACGGGTACTATGTCAAGCGCACCATCGTCCACCGAGAGCGCAGCGCGTCAAGTAGCCCGCACCGTAAGCGTCATATTGCTGAAGGCGCTCTTGCTGGAGCCGGCATCTCTGCTCTTCTCGCTTCCCGGCGCGATAATAACGGTGAGTTGAAGCAACACAGAGGCCGCAAGGTTCTCGCAGGCGCTGCTCTCGGCGCCATCGGCACTGAGGTCGCCCGGCGTGCACACAGTGCATACCAGGAGCGGTACGGATCCGATGAGGAAAGAGAGCGCTCCAGGTCGCGCTCACGGCCGCCGCATTCCAGGCTCAAGACGGGCCTAGGCATCGCGGCCGTTGCTCTCGCAGCCGCCGGCGCCGCCAAATACTACCAAAGCAGCAAGATCGAAAAGGAAGAGATGACCCGCGGTCGTGCTCTCCATCGTGACAGCGACAGCGACCGATCGCCCAGCGGCAAGCGATCCAGGAGCAGGGCTTCGTCGTTAGCCAAGGCCGGCTTGGGTGCGGCGGCCGTAACCGGGCTGGTGCAGCACTATCGCCACAAGAGCAAGTCGCGGGACGGGAAGAGCCGCTCTAGATCGCGCCTGCGCACTGGCGCCGAGATCCTAGCGGCTGGTCTTGCCGGTGCCGGCGCTAAGAAGATGTATGACCGCCACAAGGACAAGAAGGAGGCAGAGCGCGAGCGCGAGCGCGACTTCAGTGACGACGAGTACTACGATGATGAGCGTGACTACAACCGCCGCAGTAGGAGCAGAAGTTTGACTCGGTCCGGACCCACGTATCCCGACGGTGACTCTTCCTTAGCTGATCCTGAGCTAGGCATGGTTGAGTACGGGGCCCACCCCCTGTACGTGGACCCCCCGTACCCGGCGCACGGTGACGCGAGGGGGGGAGCGGCAGCGGGGTATGACTCTGCGGCGGAGCAACGGAGCCGCAGGCGTCGGGGGAGCCAGGGCGGACGGAGATCGAGAGGCGACGACGACTATTCTGCGGATAGCGAGGCTGAGACGGACAACGATAGGAAGGCTGGCAAGAAGCGCAGCGGGAGCAGACTACGAGACCTTGCTGCTGGGGCTGCTGCAGCTGGCGCAGCCGCGATTGGAATCAAGAAACTTAGTGAGCGGAAAGAGAAGTCGAAGGACCGGGAGAGGGAGGAGCAGAATCGCGAGAGGGACAGGGACAGGGACAAGAGAGACAGAGACAGAGACAGGGATAGGGAGAGGGAGAGGGAGAAAGAACGGGAAAGGGGGAAGGAAAGGGACCGGCGCCGTGAGTGACTCCTTTTCCAAGGACATCGCCGAATAGCCGTGTACTGACGATGCCAAGGCTACGGAGACGAGGCTTCGGACTATGACACCTACGGCGGTCGTGGGCCTTCGCCGCCGCATGCGTCCGGAGGCTACTATAATCCCCCGCCGCAAGCAGCACCGCAGGTACCTCCAGCTGCAACCAATGGCTTCACTCAACATCCGAATGTCCCCATCACCAATCTGAACCAGCAGTACACTCCCTATCCTCCAGATCCAAATTACACCCCACCGATGCCGACGGCGCCGCCAAACTCGGCTGCACTTCCGGACGGTATCCCTCCTGGCGTGCCTCCGTCATTGGTGCCCGGCGTACCTCCACCGACCACTCCAACAGGCCCTGAACATGTGAGTGAAGCTTCTCGTTCCACTCCAAAGCCAGAAGCTGCCGCCCGCTCCGGTGATGGCGGCGAAAAGGGTGCGTGCTCTCTCGGCGGGCCCCTTGACAGACCAGTGCTTCATCGCAATGCATCATGTGGCTATTAGCTAACCCCGTTTCTCACAGATGGTGTAAAGCCCAAGCTCACCTGCGTCCCTCCTGTGTCTGTCCCCTCCGAGGCGGATCCCGAGGAGCCTCGTACAGCCAAGTCGGTCACATTCATCCCCTTGTCTCCCAAGTCGTCTGCCACGCTACGCCGCCATCGCGAAGAGCAAGCAAGCAAATCCGAAAACGAGGACGCAACTAGCGATTTCGAGGCCCACAACAGCAAATCTCGTCGGCGTCGTAACTCCGATCCGTCTTCGGACAGGCCACTCGTCTCCAGCCGCCGCCGGGACACCGATTCTGAACCAGACACCGACGACGAGGACGTCATTGAGATGCTACCAGATCGCTTCGACGCCCAGGGCCGTCCGCTCGACGGGTCCGGCGCTACGACCCCACGCGGCGGCTTTCCGTGGCACAGCCGGCGCGGCGACTTCGAGTACCGGAGTCCTCGTGGCGCGGATGGGCTGAACATGCGGGGTGAATGGGGCATTGCGGGGACAGATGCTGAGACGGTGGAGCGCATCGTCAATCAAGTTACCGGGGTACTGGAAGGCAGGGGCAGTTGGATGGGGCTGATCAGCGGTATTCTGAGCGGGAGTCTGCTGGAGCCTCCGGCAGAATCCGGGCAAGGGCGGATATCAGACAAAAGGGATCGTAGCCGGGAGGACCGAGATGAGCGTAAGCGCAGGCGGCGGAGGGATTATGAGGGTGAGGACGAGGGGAGAGGCGAGCGCAGTCGGAGGAGCGACCGGAGGTGGAGGGAGGACGAGAAAGGGGAGAGCAGTAGACATGCTGAGAGGCGGGAACAGCGGAGGAGAGACAGGGAGGATTACGACGACTATGACTCCGATGATTATGACCGTCGCCATGACGAAGACATGAAACGGAGAAGGCGAGGGAGGGAGGAGCCGCGGGATCGGGGAGTTGGGAGGGCACAGACTTGGGCTTGAGGATGATGTTTTACGGCTTATGACTTGATGACTCTGCTCTCCTTTCCTTTTCGTTTTTCCCCCCTATCATAGTCCTTGTTCTTTACGCTAGATACGATGCTTGCTTGTTTTGATCTACTTACGCGAGACGACTCTAATATCTCACGAGCTACGAATACCATCAATAAATAGGTAGTTTGATTTGTTTGCTTTTGTCATATTTCATTCCTGGTAAAATTTACGTGATATCAAGCTCTCTATTCAAAACGGCCAAATTTTGTCCATGGCAGTAGCATGGTTTGTTTATATGAGGACTCTAGTCTACATCCTTTCCACAGTTTATTTTTACCATCATAACTCCTCATGCCCATGCTCATGCACATCATGCATAACCGGCTTTTCAGGTCTCCCGCTGTCCTTATGCAAGTCCACACCCTTCTTCGCGCGCCATTTCTGGAACAGCGCCCACAGCTCCTGCTCCATGGCGCTCTCCATCTGGTCCGGCAGTACCACGACGTACTCGACGTACAGGTTGCCAAACTCGGTCTTGTGGTACACGCTGTCGCCATCCTCGTGCCACTTGGGCATGCCCTCGCCGGGGATCGTGTCGACGTGGTTCGGCTGCACCACCTCGCCCCGCCGGCGGCCCAGCCGCACCACGTGCCCGTCCAGGTGCGTGAGGTTCCGCGTCCAGTCGCCCATCAGCGCCTCCCGCAGCGAGAGCACCTCACGCCAGAACAGGTCGTCCCCCTTCCGCCGGAAGAACGCGCCGTCCACGTGGTCCGGGTTGGTGTTGGTGTCGTCCCCGTCCCCTTCCAGGCTCGGCTCCTTCTCCACGAGCGTCACCACCAGGTCGCCCGCCACCCAGTCCGGGCTCTCGTCCGCCTCGTTCTCGTACGCGATGCGCGTCCCGTCCGCCATCCCGCGCTGCACCGTCACCGTCACGGGCGTCGGCTTGCGCACCACGCGCTCGCCGCGGCACGCGGGGCACGGCTGCTTGATGGTCTTGCCGCGCCCGCCACACGCGTCACACTGCATCTGCACCTGCGTGATCATCCCGGGCGCCAGCTGCTGCCGCACCATGCGCACGCCGCGCCCGTGGCAGGCGTGGCACGTGTGCACCACGCGGTCGGCCGCGCCCGTGCCCTCGCACTCCTCGCAGATCTGCTGCTTGTCCCAGTGGAACTCGGTCGTCTTCCCGTTGTAGAAGTCGCGCAGCGCGATGGCCACCTTCACCTCGACGTTGTGGCCCCGCCGCTGGCCCGGCTGGTTGCCGAAGTGGCCGCCGCCGCCGAAGAAGCGGCTGAACAGGTCGAAGGGATCGTGCGTCTGGAAGCCGCCGCCCTGTTTGCGCTGCTTCAGACCCTCGTGGCCGTACTGGTCGTAGATCTGGCGGGACTCGGCGTCGGAGAGCGCCTCGTACGCTTCCGACACCTGGACGAACTTCTCGTGCGCCGTCGGGTCATTGCTGAGGGGTGGGTTGGTTAGTCAGGGGAGATATTGAGCATAGGTGACTGAAACGGGGAGTTAAGGGGCGTACGGGTTCTTGTCGGGGTGGTATTTCTTGCTTAATTGCCTGTAGGCGGACTTGATCTGTCTGTCGGTGGCTTGCCGGTCGAGACCGAGGACCTGGGCGTCGTTGCATGTCAGATAAAGAAACATGGACAGAAGAGAGTCAGAGGGGGGATCCTCGGTCGCACCTTGTAGTAGTCTTCGGCGCAAAAGGCCAACTGCGCCAAGGCAAAAAGAGGCAGGAGGATCGCCCTGTAAAACCTCATGGTGCTGTGGTGGTGCGCCGCGGCCGTTGGCCAGGCTGTCCACTTGTGACTCAGATGTCGATTGCTTGGGACTGGGTTGTCGCCTGGCCAAGTGTCTGGGCCAACCAAAAGTACAAAAGGTCTAGTGTGAGCGACGATAAGCAGGAGCGAGGACGGCTCGTCGGAGCGGCAGGTCGAGGGCGTGAGATGGGGTGAAGTGAAGGGTTCACTTACACGCGCGATCGAAGGCTGCGGCGGACCAGCTGCCACCGAGACATTGAGCCAGCGTGGTCACTGCCAGCCGTGAAGCTTATCGGAAGCCTGCGGTTGGCTTACTCTTCGTTGCGTATGCCAAGCAGCCTTATCACTAACACAGGCCCCTTCAGCCGGCGCGCTAGCTTAGAGCCCTAACCCTTGACATCGAGTCTTTCCCTCAACTTGAGGCTCAGAAAGTTCTGATCCACACCGAGCAGTTACTAACGCGTAATAAGTCCCCGGGTGATATGAAGGCGCATAGAAATGTCTCCGAGAAAGCAACAGAGTCACTTGAATTCCTCTCACTTGAGCTAATCTGCAGTCAATCTCATCTTGATCTGCTTCTAACCTCACATATCCGCGCCTTCCTCAACCCCCTGTCTTCTTTATCCCAACCTCAGGACAACAGTCATCAGGACATCCAGCCAGCAGGGTACACACCGCAACCACCGTCACCACCACCACCACCAACCAGCCCTAAATACTAATAATAAGTCACGATGTCAATCTTCCTCACCGTCCTCTCCTACCTCCCCCCGCCCCTGGCAGCCTTCCTCGATCCATGGCACTTCATGGGCCTAGCCCTGTCCTTCCTGCCCTCCACCATCCTCTCGTGCCTCCTATCGCGGGACCTCCGCACCCTCTTCTCCTGGCATCGCCTCCGCGCCGCCTGGTTCGGCCGCTTCTGGGCCGTCGCGGGCCCCAACTTGCGCCTCAACGGCGAGAAGAATGTGGTCCCCCTCTTGCGGGGCCACGTCTCACACGGCCACATCTCTGTTGACACCACCAACACCAACACCAACACCGCAAACACAGCCACAGAACATCACCCAGCGGTGGCCGGCACGGTGATAGAAGTCGGCCCCGGCTCGGGAATGTGGACGTCCATCTTCTCCCCGCGCTACCTGCCGGGGGTGAAGAAGGTGTACGGCGTGGAGCCGAACGCGGCAGTGCACGGCCTGCTGCGGCAGCAGATTGCCGCGGCCGGGCTGGAGGGGACGTATGAGGTGGTTCCCGTGGGGATCGAGGACCTCGCGGCGAGCGGACGGGTGCCGCGCGAGAGTGTGGACTGCATCGTCACCATCATGTGCCTGTGCAGCATCCCCGAGCCGAGGTACAACATCCAGCGGCTGTATGGGTATCTCAAGCCTGGGGGCAGGTGGTACGTCTATGAGCATGTCAAATGCTTCGAGTCTCAAGGGCGGGGGATCGGCATGTATCAAGGTTGGTCTTTATCCGTTTCTTTATTTCCCCCATCGTGTTCATGTTTTGGCAGAGAGCACTGACTCGCTTGTCTAGCCTTCTTGAATCTGTTCTGGCCCCAGTTCATTGGCGGATGCGAGATGTGCCGCGACACTGGAAAGTGGCTCAGGGAGGCCGGCCCGTGGAGCGAGGTCGACCTGTGCCCGCTGAAGAGCGAGCCATGGTACCACACTATGCCTCATATCATCGGCGTGCTCACCAAGTAGAGAGCCCTCGAGGCGTCTAGGGACTCGCCAGGTCCCCGTCGGGGAGCCTGTCTCAGAAGGAGGCCCCATACAGCAGGCAACGAACACCCCAGGTCACGCGTAGCAAAGCAAGCAATCTCGCACATTCCAACTTGGAATCTCGGAGGCCGAAACCATTTTATCTCGTCATCTTGCGCCGCCGTTGCGGTATCTAGGCGTGGCATCGTCATCCATCTCGCTTGTTATCAAACGAAATGCAACGCTCGAAGCCAATGGCTTTAAAGATCGGCCAAAATCGACGACCTTTGCCAGTTTGCCTCACCAAGGAAAGATCACCAGCCATAATTTGGCCATGCATAAACAATCTACCAGCCGCCCCCGTTGGCAGGAGTCGACTCCCAATCGCCGGTGGCAGCAGGAGTCGGCGCCCAGTCTCCACCGCCGCCGTTGCCGAAATCGCCACCGCCAAAGCCAGCATCCCCGGCATCGGCAGTGTCCGGTACCAGAGGGTTGGGGCAGCGGACCTTGGTGTGGCCCATCTGCTGGCAGTTGCTGCACTTGACGCGCGAATCTGTAAATACCTAGTTAACAAACATCAACATCCATGCCAAAAATCAAACCTGGACTTACAGTCGCGCGGCTTCGGGCAGTCCTTGCCCATGTGACCGTACTCATCACAGTTACGGCACTGGACGGCGTCCATGTTGCGAGGCTCGGTGCAGTCTTTCGCCATATGGCCCTCCTGACCGCAGTTGCGGCAACCACGGCTGCCGCCTCCCTGGGGGCAGTCACGAGAGAAGTGTCCCACTTAGCAGGATGTCAGCAACAACGACCGCGACACTAGGGGGAAAACAGCGAGCTCACTTTCGCCGCACTTGCGGCACTCGACATTGTCAGTGTTCCGCGGCTCGGGGCAGTCGGCGATCTTGTGACCGGATTTTCTATGCCACTGTCAGCCGCGTCCATTCACAAACAGTGGAGGAGTCTTGACGGACCCGCAGTTCTTGCAGGCAAACTTGTCGACGCGCGGGACAGGGCCTGGGTTGTGGACTTGTAGTTAGCCTGTGGTCTACACTCAGCAACCCATCGTTGAAGAATGTACAATCGCGAACACGATGGTTCTTCTCGCCGCAGTTATAGCAAACGACCTCCACTATGGTTTGCTCTATCTTGTCTTTGGGGCAACTCTTCGCCACGTGGCCGAGCTCATCACAGTTGCGGCATTTGGGAAGGCCGCCAGGCACGGGCTCTCCGGCGTCCTTCAGGCGCTCCAGGTTCTCGGCTTCATCCTTAGGCCAGAGATCCCGCTCACGAGGGCGGGGCGGATTCCACTGCAGGCGGTATGTGACCGTGTATTTCTTGCTCAAGTGACCTTGCAGGTCCATGTTGGTCAAGGTCACAGCCAGCTGTTTCTCGATGGCAATGAGCCACAGCGGGATGTCCTGAGCGCGGAAAGCCTTCTCGAGCTCTTCATAGGTTGTGTCCGGAGACGACTTAGAATAGGCCTTGACGGCGAACTTGGCGTCGTCGATATCGCGCTCCTTGGCGGCTTTCTCGATGAGCGCCCAGGCCTCTTCGGTCGTCATGTCAGGGATCTCGGAGTGGTCGATCTTGCGAGGACGGTCGCACTTGCTGACGGTGTGGCCTAGAAGTCACTTCAGCAAACCCATCTCACCAAGAACGGCCCGCTCAGGTGGTATCATACCAGTCTCGCCGCAGTTCTTGCAGACACGGTTGGGGCAGTCTTTGGCGAGGTGCTCAGTCGATTCGCACTCTCTGCACTGCATGGGCGGAGCATTGGGGCAGTCCTTGCTCCAGTGGCCCTCTTCGTTGCAGCGACGGCAGGCGCCGCTGAGGACACGGGGCTTGGGACAATCACTCTTGACGTGACTACAGCGCCATGTCAGTCATGTTGAGTCCTATCGCCAATGATTCCAAGAAAATGAATGTCTCACCCGGTCTCGCCGCAGTTGAAGCAGGCACGATCACCGTCGGCGTTGCCAGCATCTCCATTGCCGCCATCCTGCTTATTGTTGATATTGAGCTTCTCGACGCCGAAGTTGTCACCGCCGGTGGCTACAGTGCCCCAGTCCGCATCAGCGGTGCCAACCCCGCCGCCCCAGCCGTTCTCGTTTCCAGTGCCGGGCATGATTCCTTGCCGTAGTGGCGATCAATGTGACTGGTGGGTTGCTTGTCAGTGAGCCTTTCTACTCAGAGGAAAAGGGAAAATCAATAAAACAGGCCGAACGAAGAGAGACTCAAAAATGGAAAGAGGGCGCCAGAAAGGAGAAGACAGGAGGCCCGAGTAATGCGAAGCGCCCGCAACTAGAAGACATGGGCCAAAGAAGATTCCGCTTCACTTACCTAGTGGGAGATGGCGAGGAAGTCGGATTCTGTTGCGGCAACGCAGGTCAGCATTGCGATGACCACGCCACTTGTTACCTTCCCCTTTACGAGGAACTCGCGACTTGGAAAATGATGACGATAAGAGGTCGCAGTTCTCAAAAAGAACGAAGAGGCAGGCAATGAATGTGCTTACTTGCTCTGATGATACGCTCGATGAAGTCGATCAGCCAAGGGGTGACCGACAATGATTAAATCGAGGGTGGGTTGTGGAAGGAGAGAAGAATTCAGGATGGAGAAGAGGAAGTGGTGGTCGAAAGAAAAGAGGTTTGGGAGGAGGCAGAGGCAGAAAACCTAGCCGAGAATGACGCCAAACCTTTGCCTGCTTTTCCACAGTCAGACTCCTCTTCTTTCGCGGAAACAGATTCGATACCTAGGGTCGGGTATTCTTCGCTGGCAATGATGCCGTAGTATTGCCGTAGCCCGGCTTACTAGGAAGGTGCGCAGGAGGAGGAGAGGGCACAAGTCTACGTACTCGCTGGGCCTCCCAAAGCGGCCAAACCCAGCTCCCCGCCAAAAGGCGAGTACCTACTACTAGGGCGAGACGGGGAGGCGGTCTGCGCCCTGCTTGGAACATATTAGGAAGGAGCAACTCGTCACGAAATGCTCATGGAGGATGAGTGTTGATTGGCTTGACACTGGACAAGGAAGTATATGAGGTTCTACACATCCCAGGGGGCGCGTAGGAACCGGTGGAGGTGATCAAGGATTTGTCGATATGTCTTGACGTCTCGGTCTAAGAAAACGGTGATAAAGGGGGCAATGTAAATAATCATTCAGGGGCTATCACTCGTCAAGCTGCATGACGCATAGTCTATATTCCTTACGCCCATACCGGGAAGGTAACTCGGAAACACTGCTAAAGCAGCTTTCTAGTTCTGATAAGCAGCTTTGAATATCAGCTATAACTTACTGAGTTAGTCGGTATAGGGCCTATCCAAGACAATGTTTTGATGGATTATACCGACATCCCTATCAATAAAGGCGTATAGCGATGGTCAGTACTGCTCCTGATCGCTACCTTATCTTACTAAGTACTACCTAGTCAATACAAACTGTCAACCTCGTCCCAGCTATCCGTCCATTCATAACCATGATTGCAACGTCCTACACTAAGAACCCCATGGCCAAGAAAGTCGTCCAAATCAAAACAAAAGAGGATCGAAGTAAAAGTGAACGGGCTACGAGAGAAAGAGAAGATTCGAGACAGCAAAGAAGAATTAGATCTAAGAAAGGAAAAAGACAGATATTAAAGAAGATAAACTCAGCTGTCTTACGTGGACCGCACAATGGAATAGCAGCTAAGATCGGGGTTGGTGTACGGTCTCTTTCCGGCCAGGAGGAGGCAAGCTCTAGTAAATGCCATCTGACTGACTGCCTGGACCAGCCCCCGCGGAGGAGGCTTAATGCTCGCAAACATCTCCCAGAGTTAACCGGATAAATTCCAATATGGATTTCACCGGACTTAGCTTCAGCACTTGGTCATCAAACGCCCACAGGGCCCTTTCCCGCCGGGACGGAGTTACTGAATCCGACCGGCCGGTCTTTCTCGCCGCTAATCTCTAGTCCGGCTCCGCTCACTAGACAGCTACGTGAACTTAGCTGCTCAACAAACCCCGGGGAAACTGCGGAGGGGCAACCTACAGCGGGGCATCCAACACCCCGCAACCATGCAGGCCGGCGCGACTGCCCGAGATCCCGGGGCATCACCACTTAGACTATAAAGGCAGGTTGGGACTGGCAAACGAAGGCGTCAAGAGCGATTTCTGTGATATATCCTTCCTCCGGAATCTCTGCTTTACAGCGTGCCGTTCGGACTGAGTCCCGGAACCACAACCACAATGTCGAAACCAGACAACCTTCCCGAGATGGAATACCGCTTCCTGGGCCGGTCCGGCCTGCAGGTGTCGGCCATCTCTCTGGGCGGGTGGCTTACTTACGGCGGCCACGTCGATCGCGAGGGGACCTACGCTTGCATGAAGGCTGCCTATGACTGCGGTGTCAATTTCTTCGACTGCGCCGAAGGGTATGCCGATGGCGAGTCGGAGAAGGTCATGGGGGAGGCCATCAAGAAGTTTGGGTGGAAGCGGAACGACATCGTCATTTCGACCAAGGTATGCCGCGACCACACTACTGTGTACCTAGACCCCCCTTCCATCCCCGGTCTGTACACTGACGGTTCTACAGCTCTACTGGGGCGATGCCTTCAGTGACAAGAAGGTCAACACCAGGGGTCTGTCACGGAAGCACATCATCGAGGGAATGAACATGTCCCTCGAGAGACTGCAACTGGAGTATGTCGACCTGATTTATGCTCACCGCCCGGACCGGCACACGCCCATGGAAGAGACGGTGCGCGCCTTCAACCATCTGATCAACACGGGCAAGGCGCTGTACTGGGGAACGTCCGAGTGGAACGCCGATGAGATTGCGCAAGCGTGGCGCTATGCCGACAAGCTCGGCCTAATCGGCCCCGTCATGGGTACGTAAACCTGCAGCTACAGCTTCCCGGGGCGATACGATCCTCAAGAGCTAATCGGATCAACAGAACAACCGCGGTACAACATGCTTGAGCGCATCCAGGTCGAGAGGGAGTACGCGCACCTGTATCGCGAAGTCGGCCTCGGTTTGACCGTCTTCTCTCCGATGCGGCAGGGCATCCTGTCCGGCAAGTACAAGAACGGCATCCCGGAGGGATCTCGCTTCGCCCAGACGCAGGTCGAGTTCATTGCCGGATTCTGGAAGCAGACGGGCAGGGCCGAGTTCCAGGCCATGGCCGACACGGTCAGCAAGCTGGAGCCCATCGCCGAGCGGCTCGGCATCAAGCAGAGCGTGCTGGCCCTGGCGTGGGTGCTTGCGAACCCCAACGTGAGCTCTGCCATCACGGGCGCCAGCAGTCCGGCGCAGGTCTATGAGAACATCGAGGCGGTGCGGGCGTACAAGAAGTTGACGCCCGAGATCATGAAGGAGATTGACGACATCCTGAACAACAAGCCGCCCGCTGTTACCATGAGATATTAACAAAGCCGGAACAGAATTGAAATATGTAAGACGATGTTCGTGACATCCATAACCGTACTGATGGGACTTTTGACGACACTGCGTGGCGTATTGAACATTGAGTTTTTCAGCAATCATCAGGCGATTTGCGCAAGAGACAGCCCACCATGACAGGTTCCTGGAACGATGCACCTCCTTTCCGATCACTGGAGGGAGCGGGGAGCAGTGAGCCCCTGCCAGTGGATCGCACGTTTGATTGGCCCAAGCTTGCCCGCTGCTCCGCTCAAGGTTATCGGGTCGCTGCGCTCCGCCCCGCTTCCCCTGATCGATAACGCTAAGAAGCAGTACGAATTCCGTACTGGGCGGTGAAATTCCACTGCATGCTCCAGGTCTCCGATTCTTGGGACCGCCGTTCGTTTCGACTTCCTCCAACTCGGCCGCTGGCAGCTCTCGGTCGTGTACAGGTTGCCATGGCTCGCTCGGTGACAGCAACAACGAATGGCACCTCCAAAAGGAAGAACCGTGCCGTCAATGGCAGCGCAGACGGTTCGGCGGTCGCGAGTTCAAAGCTCGAGAATGACCCAGGGTACCGAGACTTCTTCTGGACTTACACCGAGGAGCCGCACCGGACAAGACGCCTTGCCATTATTAAGGCGCATCCAGAGGTGAGTCCATTGCATCATGGGATTTCTAGTTGACTCAGCTTTGCTAACAGAACCCTCTGTCAGGTCACAAAACTATGCGGGCCGGAACCTCTGACCAAGTACGTGGTCGCTGGTGTTGTAGCTCTCCAGCTGCTGTGCGCCCACCTCCTGCGAGATACATCCTTCTGGTCATGGAAGTTCTGGGCGGTCGGCTACGTTATCGGTGCCACTTCGAACCAGAATCTTTTCCTCGCCATTCACGAGATCTCTCACAACCTCGCCTTCCGGTCAGCCATGGCCAACCGGCTCTTCGCCATCTTTGCCAACCTGCCGATCGGGGTGCCATATAGCGCCTCGTTCAGAGTATGGCATACCCTTTGACCCTGCTCCAGATAGAAGCGGCCATACTGACGTTCTCTAGCCCTACCACCTTACGCACCACAAGTCCCTAGGCGTAGACGGCCTCGACACCGACCTCCCCACTGCCCTTGAAGCTTTCTTCTTGGACTCCATCCTCGGCAAAGCCTTCTTCTGCACCTTCCAGATCTTCTTCTACGCCATCCGCCCCATAACCGTCTACCGCGTGCCGTTCACCTGGGTGCACTGGATCAACCTCCTCATCCAGCTCGGCTTCGACTACGTGCTGGTCTACTGCCTCCCCTCCTTCTTCAGCATCAACTCGCTGCTCTACCTCCTGCTCTCCTCCTTCCTCGCCGGCTCCCTGCACCCGACGGCAGGGCACTTCATCGCCGAGCACTACGTCTACGAGAAGGTCCTGCCCGAGGCCAGGGACCCGAGCAACAACATCCCCGTGCCGGAAACGTTCAGCTACTATGGCCCGCTGAACCTGCTGACGTACAACGTCGGCCTGCACAACGAGCACCACGACTTTCCAGCCATCCCCTGGACGCGGCTGCCGGTGCTGCACGAGCTGGCCAAGGAGTTCTACGCCGATCTGCCGCATCACCGGAGCTGGACGTATGTGCTCTGGCGGTTCATCTTCGACGAAGAGGTGGGCATGAGATGTCGGGTGAAGAGGAAGCAAGGGGGCAGAGTGGTGGGCGGGGGCACCGCCGTCGCCAAGGTGGCTGACTGGAAAGAGGATGAGGTTGAGGCGTAGATTGGCGGAGTCCAACCCTAGATCTTAGATCTCTCACCCCCCCTTTTGCTGTTGAGCGAGACACATAGACTAGATTTAGGGTAGAACTTGTACAATACGATGGGTTTTTGTTTTCTGCATCGTGTCACCCGGAGTATCTTGGTGGACATCCGGATCGAGGTTTTAAACAGTGGAACGCGTTCGGTTTCTCCTAGGGCGAGCTGGTCCCCTAGCTGGGGCTTGGCTACGAATAATGGACGCGGAAAGGAGAGGATGGAGAAGGGGGCTGGTGAAGTGGGACAATAAGCAACGCGACAACTGCTACACATGGGAATCAGGTGCTGCCTCGTGTTCACCCAAGATCTTGCACCCCGTGACGATGCCGTCCGACGCTGTGGACGTGAAACGGGGACCACTCGGGCCACAAGGTGGAGGCAGATCTACCAGGTGGCCATCTTCCCTGTCGGTTGCCTCAATGCGTCCTTCTTGAGGCAGTCTATCCCCGTCAGACGTGATGTTCTCGTTCAAAAGGCTCTTCCCACTCAGCGATGGTGTTCCGTTGTGCATACCTAACTACGTTACCTATCCAAGCTGGTTGGTATGAGCTGACATTGGTACAAAGGGATGATAACCGTACCAGGTACATTAGGTAAGACGACAAGAGGAGGGCCAGGCAGTATCTTCATCAACCCTGTGACATGATCGGAGCTCGCAACCTTGTATCACGGCTTACACGATCGATCACAATCCACAGGCGTAAGCACAAGATATAGAGTTGTGTTGTGTTTGTGCAAGCACCTAGTAATACTCCGTCTTCTCAAGACTAACTATAACCTGTACTTGAGTCGTACATATGTACAATGCCAGCCTAACTTCTGGAGCCGCCCGTACCATGTAACTAACCCGCCCTCCTAACAACCCTACCTAACAGACTGTAACGACACACTCACGTCAGGGTGATCACTGCAGCTGAGAGATGCAGGCCAGCAATAGCAACCGAGGGATGTGTAGTAGTGGGTGTTTTCGCATTGCTCAACAACTGAACCTTAGGGGGGATGTCCTCTTGCTTCTTCTTCTTTATTTTTTCCACATCAATGATTTCGTTTGATTCACTAATATAAGCTCTAGGATAAGAAGTTTTGATGAACGGCCGTTTGTGATAATAGGGTGACTACCTACCTTAGTTAGGGTGCCTCAGCGGGGATGGTTGATGCTGGGTTTTGGGCGTAGAACTGGCCAAGAAAGTTGGTCCGTCATATGTCAGACATGCAGTTGGGATATTTAAGGAACCTGCAAGCGGTAGGCAGATAGACCTGAGATGTATGTAAAAGACACATAAGTACAGTAGTACATGTGGAGGAAGAGAACTGTAGACAAGAGATAGAACATAACAGTACTAGTTGACAATAACAAGCAAGAAGAAGGGGCTCTATGTGGATGGATGCCGCCCCGCTTTACCTACTTCCTCCCTCGTAAAGAGCTTTTCCCGCTTATTGACATCGTCACCCTTCCCTGGCTTATTGACATCATTCACCCTTCCCATCTCTTGTTTGTCTACCGGTATATCCACCCCGGACTCGACCCCCGCATGTTAAAGAAAAAGGTCGAGCCCATCTAGGTACTAGAAATTCAGAGAAAATGACTGTTGCTCCAAGCTTTCAGCCTCCATCATATCGCGGCTGAGCGAGCCCTGAGGCACTTGCGGTTTAAAAGGACATGAACAAGGTAGGTAGGCATAAGACATGACCGCGGCCAGAACCGTTGGCCGGGTAGATAAGTAAATCATCAGAAATCCGCCGACCCTCAGCGGCCCCAACTCCTTCATACTTCCCAAAAAAAACCAAGGTGCGAAAGGCAGTAGCCCGCCATGAGAGCAGAAAAAAAAGGCCTGTTCCCTGTGTGTCTTCTTATGTGCTGTATCTTTTATCCATCCACCCATACCATTCAACGCCCAGAAGCAATCCCTCCGTTCCCACTCCCAACGCTCCAGCTCTTTAAAAAAGGGGGGGAAATGTTTGTCCCGCAGCACCATGCCATACCATGCACGCTTGAGTAAGGTAGTCAAATCAGTGTACAGAAACCCGCTCCAAAACCCCGACCCAAAACGACAGGTGCGAAAATTATCTTCTCACAAAGGAAAATGATGATGTGTTGCTGGACGCAGGGCCAAAACCCTGCCACTGCTTCGGTTTCAACCTCCTCCATCATTTGGCCCCTCAACGAACACGTACAGGAACAGAAATAGAGACCTGGTCCCCGTCGTGGGGCGGACGAGCTCCATCTGTAGAATTCGGCCTCCGGGTAGGGGGATCGTTCGCCGCGTTGGGCTTGACCGTCGTCTTGCCCGAAATGGTGGCGGTCCTCACCCGCTGGCTCAGCGGTAGGGTATACTTGAGGACGCCTTTCAGGATCAACTGGAATTCGTCCTCCATGATACGCTCCCATCGCTCTGGGCCGCCGTACGTGCCGTTGCCGGGGTTCTTGAGGCGGACCTCGCCGCTCGAGTAGGAGATACCCTTATGGAAGAAGGAACCTTCGAACGAGAGAGCGCTGTCGAAGTCTGTGATGGAGCCCAGGCGCATGTTGGGCGCTGCGTCGTCTGGCTGTGATGGATCCGGATTTGCCTCCGTAGCTTTGATACCGCCTTCACCGCCCTGCTTTGGCGGAGGAGGGCCCATTTCCCCGGGGTGTGTGATGTGCCACCATTCGGAGTCAGTCATCGCGTGGGGAGACTTCGCAAACACTTCGATGTCGGCTGAATCGACCACAACAACAACGACGTTGGGATTGTGTGCTCGGATTGTGAGGTCGAGCATCAGTTCCTGTTGGCTCGCGACGACATGATCCATGGATACTAGTTGAATGTCTGTGAGTGGCTGCGACGTCGCAAACATGAATCCAATGGCGCCGGATACAACGAGCAACAGCATCACCGTCAGGACGAGACAGCTGGCAAACCGATTGAGGACCGAAGGTGGTGCGCGATGATATGTCTGCGCCTCCATGGACCGCAATGAATGTATGCCCCTCCGTCCTCTGCCTGATCGAGACGATCTTACGGTCCCGGACGGGATCAGCGGTGTTCTCTCATCGTCGGCGCCGGTCGTCGTATCGTCGAGATCGTAGCCTGCGGACAAGTGCGAACCCCGCTTGCCGTTCATCCCAGCACCGCTACGGTTGGCGAACCGAGGACTGGGGGGCTGAGAAGATTGTCGGGAGCCTAGATTCCCCGTGGCTAGTGATGGGCTGAATGGAGAGTGCTCGGCAAACAGAGATGGGTGGCCGTTACCGCCGCCGTTGCGGCCCCACCGCCCGAAATGATGATGGTGACGGGCCGTACCCCGAGTAGATCCGGCATTGCCCCTCCCGGTACCTCTGCCGTCGTCATCGACAAACGCGCTATCGCTGTTACCGTTTGCGTTGGATGAGTTCACAAACTTCATGCTCTTCTTGACCATCGGCGGCGGCGGGCCTCCGCTATCCATGACGGCGTGGATTGACCGCATGCCGCTGCGGTCGATTTGACTAACCATCGAAGTGGCACTCGGTGTCCGCGAATGGAACCTCAAAGGTCGGTCGCGGGCATCTGGAGGGTTAGAATCGTACACGAAGGTCTCCTCGGAGTCGGACGAATTCGCTTCTTCCACGGCACTTGCCACCTTCGCCTCGAAGATGTCGGCCTTGGACGACGCTAAGCGATGTCTTGTTAGCAGGCTGCTCATTTGGTAAATGACCATACTTTGTCTTCGCATGCTGGGCCGATGAGAACGACTCTCTGCTGCTTCGTCGAAGTGGGATTTCGTCGGCGAAACAGACCTTTCAGCCGATGGAATGACTGATCCCATGGACTGATAATGGCGCAACCGGGGGAAGAAAACAGCTGAACTTGGTGGCTCACCGTTGGTGGCCGTCACGGTGGTCTGCTTCCGTGTCGGCTTCTTCTTCTCCTTCTTGGGCCGGATCGTTTCTGTGCTCGGCTTTGTGCGCAAGCTGACACTCGATCCTTGAACTCCTGTTCCCGAGACAAGCGGGGCTTGTGGAATCGACGTCACCGTTTCCGTCTCCACGGTCATGCTCTGTATCGATGGCTCGCCCGTTTTGGTTTTGGTTATGCCCTGCCTGATAGCGGTGCTAGATTGTCTCTTGGTCAGAGGCGGCACACTTCCCGCTCCGCCACGTTGCCCAGTTTTGACGTTGTCCGTCTCGCTGCCGCTGTCGTTGGCACTTGACCTCCTGATCCCTACATTCTTCGACAGCATAAGATCCAGAGACTCTGCTTGTGACGCTTCCGACACCATGCTGTCATCGAGCTTCTCCTCGGCTGAGTCCTGCGGGCCGCGCGGCGAACCTATCGGGCTGGCCTCCTGCACAGTTTCGAGGGTTGACGAGCTCCCGCCTCCCCCTCGCGCCGGCGTCCTCAACCCCGTCGGCATGTGGAGATCTTCCTGATCCGTGTCCGATGGCAAATCTATAGGTGCTGGTGCCGGTGGAGTTGGGCGCTGGACATTAACCAGGGGCGCCTCTTGTTCTGTCTTTCGGGGCGGCCCGAGATTCGGCTTGTGCAGCATTGGCGGTGGAGAGCGTAACCTCGGCGAGACGGGCCATCTGGGAGACTCTCGTAGATGTTCCATTGTGGTGGGCGACTTGACTGGCGCGCCTACATTGGCACTCGGATCGGAAACGGACGGCAGTAGCGTGGGAGTGTTGGTGGAGGACAATGTCTTGGACGAGGGGGCTGGCGCTGAATTGGTAGGCTTTGACAACCTCGAGGGACTGAGATCCTGCTGACTATTCTTCCGAGAGCGAATTCCCGAATTGACAGACGAGGTGCGCGAAGTAGCCGTCCGGGATAACGGCCTGGTTGGAGAGGGCTCGCGTGAGGGGAGGGGCGACGGCGCGGCTGATGATGAGCTGGACGTAGCGGCAGTCTGCGAAGAGAACTTGGACGGTCCCGACTCGGTCATTGGTGTTATTGTTGCCGTGCTTGCGGAAGACTGGCGGGAGAACGTGGGATGCGCACTTTGGTTGGGCTTAACGGCTTCCGACGGCCCGGTCGATATGCTTGGTGATTTGTCCATGTCTGCATGCGAGCACTGGTGCTGGCTGGACTGGCTGAAGGGAGAAAGATGGAGGATCGATCCGGGCCACACATGCCACGCCTAGCCTGCTTTCAGAGTGAATTCCTAGATTATGGGCTCACTCCGCCAATCTAGCGAATCATCAAGCCTGCCCAACTGGAAAGCGAGTCCGTCGAGAGCGGGTGCGGACGGGCTCAGTAACCGGAAACTGCGTGGTGTTGTGCGACGCTGTCCCGGCGTGGGTGTGAGTTGTATTGATGCTCTCCACGGACAACCTCGTAATTAACCGGATTGACAGAGGGTCGGCAGCATCACGGGGTGTTTCATGTGTTGAACGCGCAGGCAGCTGTCTTGTTGACGAGCAGGGTTGTCGGGCGACGCGGGTGGGCTTCGATCAATGTGTGGGGAGTCGAGAAACACAAGAATTGGGTGGATGATGTCGTTGGTCGATCCAGTTCAACGCCCAAGCTTCTGTGCGAATGTGTCTGGAAGGAAAGAGTGGGGAGCCCAGCTCTGGTGCGCTGGGCCGTCCTTCACCGTTTGGGCCTGGACCCTCGCTTCGCTACGACGGAAGCAGTGCCGAAAAGGGTTGGGCGGCAGTTGACGGCCCAGAAACGGCGCAACAACCAAGGCACCATCAACTCAAGCCGGAAGGCGAGTAACCCTATGTACTTTGCACGTACCAGTTTATCCCACCAAACTCATCTTCATCACACTCCACTGCGGCTCATAGGCTACTGTTTCTTGGTTCTTGGTTCTTAAAGGCCATATATAGTAATATTATCTGTCTGGTTTCATCGTTTGTGTTTCGTCGGATCTCATTGCGAAGGTAATATAGTCCAGTTGAGGTAACCAAGGAAGGTTGATGTTACACATACGCATATTGTGACATATTACAGTATTACGGTATATTACCGATCAACACTTTTATCAGGGCTGAAACTTTCAGAGGAGAATACCTGGTACAATACAATACAATACATGCACCTATAGCGGGATACGGATACCTGTTGGGTACCGGTAAAGTAAGTCGCGCTGTTATACCGCGAGTCCTAGTGTATTTATCAACTCCAAAGGCTTCCACTATGCTTGCCATTCCATAATCAGACCGGTATCTCGAGGAAAACTTCAGCCACTGTCGACAGCTTGAGTGTTGTTAAGGAGATACAACATGGATACGCTGGGGCTCTGTGGGACTTGTAACGTAAGGTAGGATAACGAGGCGATGATGCACTACTAGTATGTACACAGCAGCCGACATTCTGAAGTTCCAAGTGCAATAATGACGCCATTCTCCAGTCACTATACCGTAGTTATGGAGTTTTCCTCGCTTTTATGTCTGTCAGGTTTCAGGCTCGCTCGTGTTCGTCGGCTGGAGGTGGCACAAATTCTCCCTCGACTGAGGTGGCGATGCCCGTATCTGAGGGTTGAGGTATCGATCCCGAGTTTCCGGTTCAAGCATGGCGGATCGAAGCCATCGCGGGCGGCTGCGGCTCTCGGGTGGACAATTTTCGGGGGGTTCTCTCGTCATGTACTGTACGTATTGTAATACAGTACGATTTCGCCGTTTAACAGCGCCACATCAGTCCGAACTGCTAGCGGGCCCCGTTCTTCCCACCGAGCAAGATCAGCACTCGGCGAACATGATGGTAACGATCACACGACACCTAACTAACTGTTGATTCACTAGAAGGGAAGATCACCTGATGAAGACGCTCTCGAGACGCTGAGCTCACGGCGGCGACCAGTGCCTGTATGGGTCTGGCATCCACGACCTCTATGTAATAGCCGGCCCGGCCTCTCACAAATGCCCAAATTGGATGGTGACACATCTGCAACCTGCCACAGCCCTGTTGTTTGGGTGTCAGCGGCCACGCCTTTCCTTCCCGTCTCGGTGACGGGAACAAGGAACAGACGCAGTACCTAGATTGTCGCACCTTGACCACAGGTTAAGGGTTTGTTGCGCAATCAATCTGCCTGACGTAGCGATCTTTATGACAACCATCCTACCGGTACGGATACTCCGTACCTCTTCTCCGCTAGTATTACTACGGACGTACGGAGTACCTAGGTAATAGGATCTTGCCGAGCCCCGAGCATTCCGGCGGCAGGGGCCGCTTCGGCCCCTGTCAGCATCTCACGCACAGGGGCAAGTTGTGTCTTCTCTAAGCTTCTGCGGCCCCTTCCATTGTCGGACCGCGTTTGATATTCCGCACCGCAAAAGAAACGGAGCAACAAGAAACGGGGAGACCAACAACGACACTCACCGCTCTCCCTCTTCACAACTGGTCAGGCAAAGATTGTTCGTACCAATCTCAAACCACGCAACCTCACGACTCATATCGAGACTTGTACCAACGGCCGAGTGACACGTGGTACGGGTGGGAACCAAGTTTCTGCTCCCAAGACCGTGCCATCCACCAATCCCCATGGGCACCCCAAGGAGCACACCCACGCCTAAAAGTGCCGCAGGCTTTTCTGGTGAGCACTGCGTGACAAATAGGGCTTTGTTAAGCCGATAAGGGAAGCCTGATGATATGGATGCTCCCGCCCGCTCCTGATGAATGGGCTACCTAAGGCACCTATTCTTGGTGATACCTTAGCTCGAGCTTAGGTATCCCGCGGCGCGGGCGGCGAGATGTCACCTGGGTCAAACTCGTCACTTCGACCCATACACTATGCGCAGGAACCCGCGGCTCGTCACTGGCTCGGCGCCGCCATGGTGCAGTAGTCGCTGACCTACGCTTACGCAGTATAGGCATGTGCGCGCACATCATCCTCAGCCCTGCGCTCTGGATGGATCTGGCGATGCCCAAAGGTGAACGTGGGCTCACGCACACCTGTGATGGGTTGGGAGTTGACTGCAGCCAAAGGCTCTGAGCTTGCCACGAACGAGCCAACCTATAGTCGCGTGACAGGACGGCTCGAATCCCACCCCCACGGCCACTTTGGACCCTGAGTTTTAAGTGACTGGGACTTGTGCTAGCAGCATGCTTCGACGGACACCTCAACGTGGAGTGGTGGAGATCCCCTAGACCCTGACGCAGCTGAAGAGATGGTCTCTCTCAACTGCTCAGCCCACTTCAACAACAATCGCTGATGGTCTCCGTAGTATCTTGGTTAAATGCAAGGGTTGGGGTTGTGATTCCAAAGAGGATCAGAGTGAGGATGGCGCCTTACGCCCTCTCGATGACCGCTCCGATAAGCGGTCTCACCATCAAAGTACTGCTGTGGTGAGTCACACAAACAAGGAGTGAAGATGTAACAGGATCCATAGCTGTAAACAACATCCCGTTGTGAGAAGAAAAGAAAAGAAAAACGAAAAGGACCGCCGTTGAGTTGCCACTCCCATCACCCGCATCCGCCTCGCAAGGTGTTGTACAAGATGGCCTCATCAGACTCGGCCTACTCGCCAGCCCAGGTAGCCGAATACCTCGAGTACATCGGCCTACCCCAGACCTTCCACCCGTCCTCCAAGCCCACGCTGGACCTGGATTACCTCACCACGCTCGTCACGCACCAGATCACCGCGATCCCCTACGAGAACCTCGCGATCCACTACTCGGCCCAGCATGCCGTCGACCTGGACCCGCAGGCCATCTTCGCCAAGATCGTGGCCGCCCGCCGCGGCCGCGGCGGCTACTGCATGGAGAACTCGATCCTGTTCCACCACATGCTGCGCGCGCTCGGCTTCGCCGACGTCTGCTACCTGACCGGCGTGCGCACGCGGCCGCGCGTCGACGGCGTCCCGCAGGGCGACTCGTACACGGGCTGGGTGCACCTCGTCAACATCGTCGCCATCCCGGCGGGGGGCCGCCAGCCACCATCCTCATCCTCTTCATCTTCATCATCATCATCCGTCAACAGATACGTCGTGGACGTCGGGTTCGGCGGCGACGGCATGACACTCCCCATGCCGCTTGTCGACGGGCTGGTGCACCACAACTCGGTCGGCACGCAGCAGATCCGGCTGGTTCGGGACTTCATCCCCGACCAGCGCTTCCGGGACGAGAGTCGGGGCGCGCAGAAGATGTGGATCTACCAGGTGCGCAACGGCGGCGCCGAGCGGGAGTGGGTGAGCTTCTTTGCGTTCCATGACCAGTTCGAGTTCACCGAGCCGGATTTCGCCGTCGTCAACTGGTATACCTCGCAGTCGCCCGAGAGCTTCCAGACCTTCACGCCGCTGGCCATCAGGTTTGTGAGGGGCGCTGGGGGGGAGGATGGGAGAAGACCCAAGGTCGTGGGGAAAGTGATGCTCGTGAAGGGGGTGGTGAAGCGGAATCTTACGGGCAAGACCGAGGTGGTGAAAGTGTGCGTGACGGAGAGGGAGAGGGTCGAGGCGTTGAGGGAGCACTTTGGGATTCACCTGACTGAGGAGGAGGCGGAAAGCATACGCGGGAGGCAGGTAGAGTTGCGTGGGCAGGCTGCGTAGACGGCTTGGGATATAATGAATGAATAAACTACACCTTTCTATACTTGCACTGTTCTGGAATGGATTCACTACCTAAGTAGCCAATTCCTCCCCTCTGTTCCCATGACCCTCCTACCCCCGTATCAACCCAGACGAAGGCCTCGGGAGTTTTGTGCGGGAACGTGACACAGGTAGTTTCTATTCGCACGAGTACCGCAACGCCTGTCTGTCCCTGGTAGAGCAATGTACGGAGCAGAGTTTGGTGTTTTTCAGGGTATGTGCTTCTATATCATACCAGGATGACTGACACCCAAGTCAATGAATCATTCGCATTACTTCCCGACCATTACGTAGGCAGCCCCTGGCCTGACTTCGCCAGTGCAAGACCACGCAAACGAATCCCAGATGAACAAGTGATACCGTTAAGGGGGTAAGCTGGGAACAGAGAAGCAAGGTAGTAGTAACATATTGAAAAAGACTTTGATTTCTATCCTGACCGTGAATTTCGTCGCCCATGGTCTTCTGTAACAGAAGCAGCACATCATCATCCCATGCCCTTCCTCGTCCTGGGCCCTGTTATATAAGGGGCCAAGAATAGAGGGAACTATAGGTACATCAACTGCGTCAACATGGCATGGCCGTCGTTTTCCGCCAGGGACAACAGAAACGACGACAGAAAAACAAGTGGACATCCTCTTTCTGAGGGAGATGCAGACAAGCTGATAAGAAAGAAAAAAAGGTTAGGAAAACAAGAAAATAGATCCCTCGGACAATCTTTAAGGATAAGTCACCGCACATCATCATTCTCATTACCATCTCTCACTCCCGGATAACCTCGCCCCCGACACCCGAGGTAGTGGTCTCCTCCTTCTTCCCGCCAAAGCCACCGCCCAAGAAACCGAGCCAGCTCTGCCTCCTGTTCGCATTCGCCGCCGCCGCCGCCGCCTCGGCCGTCTCCTGCACCAGCCTCAGCGGCCTGGGCTTGTTCCCCGCGAACGTGGCGCCCTTCTCGTGATGGTGCACCGACCGCGGCGGGCTCTGGGTCGGCGAGGCGCTGCTGCTGGTGCTCCTCACCTCGGTGTTGGGTGTCGCGGCCGACACCGACTCGCCGCTGGTGCTGCTCGTCTCGGACCTCATGCCCGGGAAGTTGCCGCTGGTGCTGGCGCTCGTGCGGTTGCCGGCGCCCTGCGGCAGGTTGAAGAAGGTTCCGCTGGAGCGCAGCGACGGCGAGAGCGGGCCGTCGACGGCGCCGGGGCCCTTGTACATGGCGTTGACGATGCTGGCGGCACCGGCTACGCTGGTGTATTGCTCGCTCATGGGCCGACTCCGCCGGCTGCTGGCTGACCGGTTCAGGCCGATGGGGATGCTGGGCGCCGTGTCTGGGTTGCTAATCGCGGAGGCGGCGCTGGTTTGGTTGGCCGAAGGCGCGAAGGTCATAGGCCGGGGTTTGGGCCTCGTTGCGGCGGAGCTCCCGCTGCCGATCGCCATAGACTTGGCGCGTTGGAGGAGCGATGGCCCCGCGGCGGGCTTCGGAGGCGGCGGGGGAGGGAGGTCTTTGTTGGTGTCGGGAGCACTGCCCTTGGCATCGTTTGTCTGGTCAAGGATGTGCTCGAATCCCTGGTGCTGCAACAGCCGTTCTATGATCTTGTTGATGTAAAGTGTCAGGGCCTTGTTCTGGTCCTTAACATTCTTCAATTCCGTCTCCAGCCGTCGCTGCGTCTCCGTGTCTTCCTCGTTGGCTCCCGAAAGCTCTTCGGCCAAGCTGGTGCCGTTGGTCCTCCCCTCTAGCGCCGCCAGGGCGTCTTGGTTCGCCGAGGCGCCGCCAGAGTAGCTGAAGTCGTTGGTGGCGAAGTCTCCTTTGAGCGTACGATCTTGCAAAAGGAGCTGGTAGCTCTCATTGTCTTCCATTAGCCTCGCATTGGCCACACGGGCCTCCATGAGTTGGCGCTCGACCTCCTGCAGCCGACCGCCGCCTTGATTTTGCGACTCGACCAACTTGATCTGCGCCTCGGCCAGCTCGAGTCTCAGCGACTCGATCAGCTTGTCCTTCTGCAGCAACAGTTTGGAATTGTTCCGCGAGTCGCTGCGCTGGATAGAAGATGGCGGCGCAAAGCTTCCATTGTCGATGCTTGGCGAGCTATTCACCGCTGTTTGAGGAAAAATGCCAGGTCAGCATGCGTAAACGAGGAGGGGCAGCAAAGATCACCTACATTGCCTGGTTGGGCGGTCCTCGTCGAGGTTCCTCTGCGCCAGGCTGTCCTTCAGCCTCTGAATGACTGCCTGCATCTCTTCTTCTCGGTTGGCCATCTCCTCCTTCTCCTTCATCATGGCGCTGCGCTCCGCCTCGTATATGGTTTCCATCTCGCGCATCTGCCGAGCAACTTCGCGTTTCTCGTTGGTAAGTGACTCGATTTGCTCCTCGCTTTCGTGCACCTTCTCCTCCAGCTTTGCCTGCTCCTTCAACGCATCGTCCAGCTTGCTCTGCAACACCTCCGCCTGCCGCTTGTACGTCTCGGAGGACGACTCAGCCTGCGCTAGTCGTTCCTTCAGGTCGTCTATTACGGCCATCGTTTCGGCGCGGATAGCCTCCTCGCGTTCAAGGTCCGGCGAATTTCTGCCTTTGCCGTTGACCGCTGTTCCGTTGCTCATCATCGACTGGCGCCTCTGATGGGCGGCAGCACGAGCAGAGACCGGTGTGCCGGTGCGTGTCGAGCTGGTGCGGGCAACGCCAGCGTTGCCAGGGTTGCTGGTTGATGATGGTGTCGCTGCTCTAGGAGTCGGACGTTGTGGTGTTCCTGTCGGGGTCTCGCGGCCAGTCGCGGGGGGCTTCTTGACAGCGCTCGCCATCTTGGTACTCTTGAAACGGTCCGCGCGATTGTGAAATATTCATAAGACGCACGACGCGTGCGTTCAAACGAAGTTATTCTCGGGGTCGAATGCGTAGTCCGGCTCCAAAATGTCCTGCAACGCGTTCTGTTGGGGGGGCAAAGGGAAACAGCGGTCTTGGACAGTTGCGTGCAGGAGATATTTGCTGGCCCACTTGCAACCTTACTCGGCCGGGCGTTGATGGCCCCGGATTTGAGACCCATTAACAGTGGCACTCCAAGGGTGCCGAGCAACAAACGGAAACGTCGTGCAGTGAGACAAGGGAGATGCCGAACCAATGAGGTTAGACCCGATCTTGCGCCCCTTTCAGCTCGACAGCGCATGCCAGTCGAGGCTGTCTGTCCTTTGTGTTACAGAAAAAGCGTCGACGGTTCTGTCTTGAACGAGTTCTCCGGTCAAAGCTGACTTCGCCACCTGCATTGGGTAAGATAAGGTACCGTTCCTTCTGGGAAATGCCACATCTAATTCATTCTCATTAGAGTTGAACGGCATGAATGCGCAGCGGAAGTCGGTTGGAGCTTCCGTCGTCGTTATGGCATCCCTGGACCGAGAGCCACTTTTGTAGTTCCAGCGTTGCTTCAAATGCTCCCTGGCCTTGTGTGGCCGGAGCTGAATAACTACCTTACTTACAAGTAGAAACGTCTCGCCGAATTGGATCTGCCCGAAAAATCGGCTGGCATGCTCCTTCGCACGCTATGCAACCAGTCTGATTGTATCGAGCACGAGCTGTCAAGCACTCGAGGACGGAAGATTTGTCTGTGCTGCAGGAGGTTGGCGAAACATACCGCAGGACACAAGAGCGGTCTGCTCCGGACGCTAAAGGGAATGCAACCACTACGATCGGGTGTTCCCACCGCTCTTATGTTTGATTATGATAATTTGGGATTCAATGCAACGACCTGCGAGGTGGGCACAGCCAAACCCACTCTGCCGGCATGAACCATGCTGCCACGGAGTATATGTCAGGCAGGCAGTGGAGGGTGCAGAGTAAGACAGTAATCCGCACAGTATCGCGCACCTTCGGCCACAGAAACCAAGTACGAAATGCTCGATGTAGCACTACGGATACAGTACCATAGTCAACTGCTCAGATCTGCAAACCACGAGTCATGGTGCCTTGAAGCCGGACTCGATCGAGCTCAGCGTCCGAGCAACGATAGAAGCGGCATATCAGAACAGGCTAGAGAACCGAGTTGTCATGAACTGAACTACGACTAGTCTACGGAGCGCCTCTCCTGGTGCGACTCCGAATGTCGAAGATGGCCGTCAAAACCTTTTGCAGCCGGATATCGCCAAGTCGTCATGTCATTTTTTTCCCCATTTCGGACCGAACGCCGTATCAATGCCAACCGGTAACCCACGCCTTGCCCCTGACTTAGGCCTGCTGGTCGCTGAGGATATCACTGTCACCAGCATCCAGAATGGCCATGGTGGAGCAGCGGAAGAGTTTACCGCAAGCGGTGCCGAGCTCAATCTGTGGAGGGAGAGTAAGCATGGGAACGGTTACCCTCCAAAGTCTGCCACGAGACTTCTTCTCTGGGTAGGAGAGAAGACATAGTGTCTTCCAGTAGGAGAACAGCGACGAGCGGAAGCTTCATTCTGCTCACGCGCAGACCTGGGGTTCAAGGGGGCAAACTCACGTTGGTGCCGGTGTAGTGGTGGACCGCAGTCTTAGACATCATGGAGTAGCTGCGCACAACATTAGCCTCGGCCATCCTGCACCACGCGCCTGGTAGATACTGAAGATGAATCGGGAGCGCATAGTAGTAGTATCACGGGGGAAGTAACCCTCCGAAAATGCTGCTACAGGCGCTCGTCCAACACACTTCTCGATGGCGGCGAAGGCTAGATATAACGTACTACTCAAGCTCGGACTTGCGGAGGGGAGGGGTGTTGGCCTAGAAGATTGTTAGCATCAATGTGGTTTGCAACATATGTCGGGTGCGCCAGCAACTTACGGCGATGAGGATAAGCTTCGCCTTGCCGCTGCGGAGGGCCTTCAGGGTGCTCCGGTAGCCCAGCACAACCTTACCAGACTTGATGACGAGGGCAAGCTGCGATCATGGTCAGCGGATGAACCTGAGATCTCAGGGCATCGAAACCGACCTTGGCGCCAATGGACTGGGCGTCGGACTTGGACTTCTTGGGAGCCATTGCGATGATCTGTTGGTGAAAAGGAGGAGAGGATTTGAAGAGCTCCTGTCGTTGTTGTCACGGTCCTCGTCGTTGGCTGAATACCTCGGAGTCGCTCTCAAAAGCAAAACCGTAACATAAAATCCCGAAATATTCTTGCAGGTGTTGATTCCCACCGAAAGAGTGGGCTGAGGTCTCATTGGCTAACAGATGGCCGTGCACTCCTCAAGCCCTAACGACCCCACTATTTCCCGGTGAGTCTCATCCGGCAGGATTAGGAATCCGGATTGGTAATCGCCCCGGGAGGCGAATTTCAGGTTGGTCAAAACTGCAGAGGCCTTCCAACCATTCCATCCTCTCACCCCCAACACCAAGTCGATACCCATATCCTGTGACATCACAACAAATCAGTCACAATGGCCCGCCGTCCCGCTCGTTGCTACCGGTACTGCAAGAACAAGGTGAGCGACCTTTGCTTCGACGGCGACCCCAGCGGTATTCGCACCGACTTTTGTGAGGGGATACGGGCAATGAATGGCCTGATCGGAAATGCTGGGACAGATCGACAAGAGGAGGACTTTGCGACCGGGATTGCACATCATGGGGCTTCCACGTCAGCATGCTAACCAGTTGTGCTTCACAGCCGTACCCGAAGTCGCGGTTCAACCGTGGTGTGCCGGATCCCAAGATTCGCATCTTCGACCTTGGCCGTAAGCGCGCGACCGTCGACGACTTCCCTCTCTGCGTCCACCTCGTCTCCAACGAGTATGAGCAGCTGAGCTCCGAGGCCCTCGAGGCCGCGCGTATCTGCGCCAACAAGTACCTCGTCAAGATGGCCGGCAAGGAAGGTTTCCATCTCCGTGTCCGTGCCCACCCGTACCACGTCGTCCGCATCAACAAGATGTTGTCTTGCGCCGGTGCCGATAGACTGCAGACTGGTATGCGTGGTGCGTGGGGCAAGCCGAACGGCACTGTCGCCCGTGTCAACATCGGTCAGATCATCATGAGCGTCCGCACTCGTGACTCTAGTGAGTACTCCTTAGCTTCCGCCAGTCGCTGCTCGGAGACGCTGACCGGTATACAGACCGTGCCATCGCTCTCGAGGCTTTCCGTCGCTCGCAGTACAAGTTCCCTGGTCGGCAAAAGATCATTGTCTCCAAGAACTGGGGCTTCACTCCCCTCCGCCGCGAGGAGTACTTGGAGAAGAAGGCCGCTGGCCGCGTTAAGGTCGATGGTGCTTACGTCCAGTTCCTTACCAACCACGGCGACCTCGCGACCAACATGAAGCGCTTCCCGGAGGCTTTCAGCGCTTGAAGTGGCTTGTTGGGGGTCAATGGGGATGGTTATCTGGTTCGGGTTGGCGTCTACGGTCATTTTAGGGCTGAAACGAGAGCATGTTAACTAGCATCATGATCTTGATTTGGCACAGTCAATGGAACCATTCAGCCAAAGTGGTTCTCAATGGGCAACATAACAACAGTGCACTCGCCGGCGGTCCTCCCGTCCTTGCCGTCGGAAATACGTGACATGATGGAAATTCTTGGGCCTCTCAATAGTGCACCTTCCACCGGATGGGAAGGACCAGAGGCTGAGCAGAAAAGGCGAGGTAGCGGCTTGGGAATCATACGAGGGGTGGCAAAACCGAGACTCACCCCACACTGGGATTTGCTTACACATCCTCACTCATGCGCATGAGAGTGGAAGGTTGAGATGACTTGAGCCATGGCCTGAGTTGACTTAGTGCCCCGGTTGCTCTCGACAAGCCTGACGTCGTCGAGCAGTGTTCGGGGCCAGACTGCAGTGGTACGTTCAGGCAGAAGATAAGGGAGTCATTAACGGTTACTTGTCCCACCTCCAACCACCCACCGCCTCATATGCCATCGTGATGGTCTTTATCGAACCCTGGTATTCCGGGTCTACTATTCAGAGACCTGAATTTTACCCTACTTTCGGCTGATGCTGCTATGGGCTAGCTTTCCGAGCCGAAGCCGAATCTTTCTGACACCCGCTTCTCCCCGTCTCTCTCTGACTACCACACCTACACCGTCGACCCGCAACCCCGGGGCCAAGACAAAAAACAAACAGGGCAGATCCGAGAACAGTGCAGCAGATAGGGGAAAAGAGCACACCAGGCCTTGGTAGACAGGCCGGGACTCGATCATTGGTATGGATACTCATCGTAAATAGATGTTGATGCTGGTGGTCTAATCTGCTGGACATTCAAAGCACCGGCTAGAGGCTTTCCCTGTCTGCGGGACATGCTATTGCGTTGACCGCGTCGATGCTATCTAGACGGTCCTCCATCTTGAGGTCGGTAAGACTCTGCCACCTCTGGATAGTGATATCGTCGGCTTCTTCGTACCTGGCATCGCGGTTAGCCGGAACTGTGCCACTGACTCGGGCTCATCGATGACATCAAGGGACGACATGTTTCTTGAACTGGTCTGCTCGTGTGTGTCACGCTGCAGGCTAACCAAGGATGGAAGACTTGTGTAGGAAGACGTCAGACTAGGTATATTGTACGGATTCCAGCATTATATTTTGAAGAATGCGAGAAACGAAAGAGTATCGTAGCTCACTGAGTCATCCGGCATCTTGAGTGAACCCAGTCCACACCCCGGACAAAAACAAAAGGAGAAGTGAAAGGAAGACGACTGATTGCCCCCTCACTCGACCAAAATATGCCATGCACCAGCATCGCTATGTATAGAGGCTGCTTACGGATAGTTCCTCAATAAATCATTTAGGATCTTCTTTTCGTTCTACCTCTTCGCTTTCGCTCTTCCCTTCCTTCTTCTCTTTCTGGTTCTCTCTCATTTTCTTGTTTTCTTTTCTTCCTATTTCCCTTGTTCTTTGCTTTACCTTCTATCTCACTATTTCTATCCCCATTTTACGTAGGTATTTTCACTTCGATTGACTTGCTTATGGGAGATTGGGCGATCAAAGTATACACATAACCCTAACCCAGCAACGTGCCGCCCACTCATAGTCAACCATGGGGCGAGAGAAGCGGTAACAGAGTTGCCAGTCGTGACACTATAGAGTGTAGTCTGGATTTCATAGACCATTCAACTTACAAGTGACCATTCATCCTGATTACAACGCTGTGAGGACTATTGTTCCGGTTGGCTTTTGTGGTTGTTGCGAGGTGGGCCATATCGGAACCCCTCGGGCTGATAACGTTAACGTCAGACAAGGCTCATTCAGCTAGCTGTCAAAGGAAGCGGCGCTGCGGAATCGCTGAACACTTGGTACTCCGTACTCGTACAGTGAGCCCGAGATTCGACCGGAAATCCACTCAGAGTTTTCCCAAGTCAAACCGGGGCACAGTACTAAGAGGTCGGACTTACTAGAATACCTTCCGTGGCCTGGTAAGAGTTCAAGCGAAAGCGATCGTTACAGAGTTATCACAAGATCGATAGGTAGAAGTAGAGTGGGGCATGCGAAGGTCAGGCGGCGGTGGTGGGGCAGAGCTGGACCCGAGTTGTCCTGCTTGTCAACATTGGCGTGTCCCCTCATCATCAAATCATCATAGGCCGATCACACCTCATGCTGAGAGCTTAACTTGAGCACCCCCCCAAAACTGCCTCTCCCGCTCCCGCATCATCCATTCCAAGATTCCCATATTATACCTGCTTGTCCCTACTCTGTACCCGGAATCGCCGCTTTTTGGACCCGCAACCGCGAATCTTACCGGGTTACACGACTGCACTCAGCCGCCAGCGGTCAGCACCTTGCAGCCATGAAGACATCGCCATCGATATCTTTAGTTCCGTAATCTTTGTCCCACGTATCAAACGGTTGTTCACCGCCTCTGCCCAGCCTAACCCGCCACCGGGCACCTTGAGATCTGCAGTGCCCACCGTGCTCTTTATATTCCCCATCGTGAGCAGCGGCCTTTTATGCTGCTAATTGAATTATCCCGGCTGAGTGTCTTCCGCCAGTTGCACTCAACGACGGTGCCTGTCCCGCGATACCAACCCACGATAATTTGCGAGCTGGGGCATACATCATGGCTTTCCAGCCGCCCACTCGACGGCTCCCACCGCAAATAAACCGCTCCGAATCGGAAGACGGGGAGTCTGCGATCCTCTCGCCGCTGAACCACCCGGCGCTGAACCACCCGGCGCCGAACGAGTCCCAAACATGGGTTCTCTTCACACCGGGCACTGATGCAGGAACTACAACCTCTTACCTGAGTTCGGCCCAGGATGACCAAATAACGCCCGGGAGATCGAGGATTAGTGACCCTGGCAGCCTTGATCCTGCGGCTAGGTCCGATTCCAACCTGCAAGCGCCCTCAGAGGTGCTAGAGGAGAGTGTTGCCGAAGAGGACGCCGAGCTCGACAGCCTTGACAGCCATCTAGCGGAATTTAGAGCTGTCCCCAACCCCTACAACCAATTCGAAGTCCCGCATGCGGCACCGGTAGTCCCAGGACATGATGGACTCGGCTCGTTCAGGTTCGATGGCGCGGGTATGAACGTCGAGGCTCAGGAACGATTGTATGCGTTCGAGCGATTCAATCCCAACCGTGTCATGCGCACGGTCGAGAGTTTTGATCTCGCTAAACTGGAGCTCGAAATGGAGGAGGCGCAGGAGCTGGAGAGAAACCGCAGAATAGAGGCGTGGCGGCTAGAGCAAAGCCAACTGCTGCTCGAAGACGTCCGGAAAGAAACCAGGAGACGGCAGTCGGAGGCGTCAGTTCGGAAGCTGCAGCAAAAAAGCGGCCCTGCGCAAGAGGTTGCGGAAAGAAGCGTGGCAGACGAGGAGGCGGCAGATATCAACCTCGCTGGAACCGACTGGCACGACCAAGACACGCCGTCATCGAGCGAGGCGCAGCCCGGCTTTTGGAGCCGAATTGCCCGGAAAGTCATCTGCGACCTGATGGGGATCGATGACAAACTGCTTGCCATCCTCTTCGGGGAAGCTCTTCCGGACGAGGCGATGCTTCAGTCGACGCCTCAGGCACCCGTTACCGGCAACCCCGCACAGCGTCGCACCGACGCGGAGTCATCGCATGACTCTGAATGGCAGCTGCGTATGCTGGAGCGCATCGCTAGGGAGCTTGGCGTCCTGGTGCACCAGATGTCGACTCATCCCGGGGCCTTCTCTACCTACGCGCGGGTGCAGCAGACAACCTTGCCGTATGCGGGGCTGCCTGTCATACCAGAGACGCCTGGCGATATGAGCGATGGCGGACAAAAGATAGATGGCAGTGTTCCATCCATCCCGCAGTTCAAGCCGACGTTTGGCCCGCCGGCCGACAATGATATGGATGCCCAGGCGTCCGAAGCCCCCCAACCTTCGGCTCCATCGGCGCCTGACGTGACTCCGAGCGATACCCAGACCTTCACGCAGCAGGAATGGGAACAAGACCTCGATATCCGGCTTGTGTTCCGTTACATACGCTCCCGCTTCACTTCGTCACGCTCATCACCGCCGACATTCACATCCGGTACATCCCATCTCGCCACCTCCAACACCCAAGACGCCGCGGCGAAGGCGGCAAGGGTGCGTCAGCATCACCCGCTCGTCTCTCACCCACATACACACGGCTATCACCGCGCCCGCCCGGTCGAGCGGCGCACGTTCAAGGCGACAGTGCCATCCAGTCCTGTCACAATGAGGCATCCACCCGGCAGCTGTGCCAGTCAAAGCACTCGGCGGTCTGCGAGGAGGAGCAGTATCTCCTCGAGGCACTCGTCCCGCCACTACTGGGATATCGGTGGTTCCATTGGAACAGGAAGCGTCATTGCGAGCACCGGGCCGATGGGGAGTTGGGGCGAGGTGTAAAGGGTCACCACACCATGCCGAATCCCGGTGTGAAACTGTATTATTATCTCATCTCTTCTGGCTGTCACATTCCGGGTCTCAACAGGGAGGGGGGTGTTTGGATGATATGATCCCATTTCGTCTATTTAGATACCACAGAGTAGATGATCTGTAGATCTCGCGGTGCATTAAGGGATACGAAATGCATTTATACCCTTGCCCGTTCCGCCCCGGAATGCTTGCCTTGCAGTTTCACTGGTTAAGGCGTATTCTTCGATCGCATGGTATATGGAATACGCCGAAGTCTTATCACCGTAGTCATTTCGCCCGCCTTGTTCTAGCAGAATATAAGCTTTCTTGTCCACAGACGTGCCCGCCTCGAATACATGGTACCTGGTAGGTTCATTGCACGTCATGGACAAGGGTGTGCGGGAAAGTTCACAGGAACGCTACAAACTCAGGTACCGGAGTATTCAGGTCGTGACCCTGAGGATGCAAGTCACCGTTCGGGAGAGCAGCCGCTGCTTCAACGGGAGGACGGTGAAGCTGCTCACCAAGGTACTCCCTCCTCCCTGAGGGTTACACAACCTGGAAGCAGCGACGCGAAAAGTAGACAGGGGTCTAAAGTGGCTTCGAACCAATCAGGCTGCTGCAGCTTGCCAGCGAAGCGAAGCGAGCAAGGGTCCGTCAGCCAATTCCGTTGCGGCCCGCTGCGGACCAGCGCGTCTGGACGTGTTTCGCGTGCCAGGCGACCAATGGGCCTTGCGATTGAACAGCTTTCAGACACAACAAAAAACAACCAGAAAGAGCAGCTGCGATGCCGCAGCAAGCCCTAACAGGAATAGGTTACCGTTCGCTTGAATCCATACCGAGATAGCGGCCCTGTCGGCTCAACGCAAGGTCGAGTCACCGTTTGCCTAATGCCGTCGACCGGATGAAGCTCCACAGCTCCCACCCTGGTCCCCGTCCGCCAGCTGCTTCAGCCAAAAGTGGCCACTGCCCGCACCCCGCCTTGCATTTCATCGGACCTTGCCCGATTCACCCGCTCATCCAGAGTTGCGACACACCTCCACCTGCGCCTCACTTTGCCTTTGCGCCGTGCGAACCTGATTCCACCTGATTTGCGACTGTGCGCCTTTCGGTTTAAACTCCTGCTCAGACGCCGACTCCAATACAAGTATATATGAAGAGTTGGTCCGCGCCCTTTCTTACATAGCTCTCCTCCCTCCCTCTCGTACACGTCGATGTGCAAGGGCCAGGTGCATTTGGCGCTGCCTAACTTTTCCGGCTGTGGGCTGGGTCGCGACAATTGCTTGGGCCTCGAAGCTGACCGCATGCAGTATCATGTACTAAAGCCGCTGTGCTTTGATCGGACTCGGCTAGCCCAGCGTTGGGTCGCCCCGGGAACCTGCCTGCCGCCCCGATCGTGCGCTCCCTCTCCTCGCCGCCGCCGCCGTAGTCGAACGGTTCGCAATCCGAGTCTAATCTTGGGCTTGTCCTAACACGCGCGTTTTCGAGGTCCCTCGGAGTCCAATCGGTCCGAGGGATGGTGTCTCGACGACTCAATGGCTGCAACAACACCGTTTGACATCACCGGGCTAGGCAGTTCCTACGCTTTCGATATCTACAATGACGCCCACGCACTGCCGGCGAGCGCGCCAGCACTCCCTGGCGGGCCCTGCAACTACACAGACCAGACGTTGCCGCGCTGTGGTTGTCGCCGGTTTTGGAGTCGCGCGTCGCTCAGCAGCGGTATCTTCCAGGACAATGCCGTGTCGAGCCAAGCTGAGGTCTGCATGTGTTCGCACCATGCCTGCTTCCATGAGGATGTCCAGCCCGGACAGGCGCAAACCATGGCCATGACTGCTACTGGATCACAGGAGAACCAAATGCCCAAGCCCATCAGGGAACCATTGAGCCCCGCCCAGGCTTTTGCCTCTCTCCACATGCCTGCCACTTCCGGAACATCCCTGGATCTCAACTTGCTCGGTTTCCATACCTCCGGTCCTGTCCCACGGATGGATCCCGCCAATCCTGCCCAGGCTGAGGATACCCGCCCCGCCCAGGATAGTCTAATGCCGGATACGTTCAATAGCTGGAGTGACTTGAGGCCTCAAGTCGGACATGCCAATGGAATGACGCCGTTTCACGCCCAATCGTTGATGTCGCCAGCGCCACCACCGTCCACGGCCTCATCTAGCCAGGGCAGGTACCTCAGGCCGTTCGCCGGGAAGGGGCTCCAGACACTAAGTGGTGCCTCGGGCCTAAGATCAGAAGCACGGCGTCCGGAACGGATCAATGAGGAGAGCGGCCCGGAGACAATAGCAGATCCTGGATGTGCTGCAACGGAAGCCGCTTCCACTCCTAAAGCATTACCTTCGCAGGCTCGCTCAGCGTCGGAGGCAGATGCTGCTTACCAAAAACTAGCAGACAGGGTCGACAGTCATGAGCAGCGACTTGACAGACTCGAGAGCACCTCGTTTTCCATCGCCGGCCACGACGACTGTCACGACAAGCACGAACACACCGATCTCCGCGTGACCGAACTTGAGTCCCGGGTGGAAGAGGTGGAAAAGATCCTCAATGACAACGGCAGTGTGGTCAGCGGCAGGCGGACCGCCAAACAGGATGGTGGCGCCGACGATGCCACGGCCAGTGTCGTCTCCGTGTCCACCAACGCGACCGTGACGGCTGCGACTCGTGCCGAGGTGTACAGTCAGCTGCAGCAGCTGCAAGCGCAGGTCAGCCAACTCCAGGCAGCCTCGTTGCCCTCGTACACCAAACCCTGGGAGCTTGAGGTCGTGTACCTCCCGTTTCCGCTCAAGGGCATTTGGGTCGAGGCCAAGGATTTCTATCAGCGCCGATCGATAGGGTCCAACGCGGACGACTGGACACAGATGCCCAACACAATCAGCAGAGCAACTCCGGATCCGCAGTCCCCCAAATTCCAGGAATGGGCCGGGCAGGGGCCAGACTCGAACTGGCTGCTGCCGAGGGCCTTTGTTGCAGGGCGCGTCATCGACCAGAGACTGAAGAGCCGTGGCTTGATCAAGACGGTGCTCGTCAGAGGACCAGACGCCCGCAGCGTTCAGCTTGCCATTCACAACGCATTCGGCGATATTCTGCGGATAGGCAACTCGGATGCGCGGCCAGGACTCGCGCCAGAGTATCCCCTGGCTGAGTTTCTCGGGCTGAGACATGCGTGGGTCCCGTTGCGCAAGCTCCATAAAGATTCGAGGCTTCGCTTCCTCGCGCCGGCCGAGATGGCAACACCAGCGCTATGGGACTTTACGTTTCTCGTGTCCAGCGTCGTCATGAAAGCCACGGGTGTCCAGCGACTGTACATCACCCAGCCCGAGGCGTACCTCCAGGACCACCCCTTGGGGTACCACGCACTTCAGGGGGGTTGGACCTGGCAAAAGTTGCGACAGCTGAGCAGGGTCTACCCTGACTCTCAGAGCAGCGCGGGCGACGTGCCCGAGGCCGACGCGCTGGAAGAATGCTGGAACTGGAATGAGCGCCTCGACGAGATGCCAAGCATAGAGACCTCCGCGATTAGTCTCCGTCGATCCATCCATGAGAGGGCATCCAGGCGCTCGTCAACTGAACCGTCAGGGCAATTCTACACAGGAGTGCAGTCGCCCATCCTCTCCAACGGCCCCAGCCGGTCGCGGGCGCAGTCGCCCCTCATCCAGCGTGAGCGCAAAGGTTCTTGGCCGCCTAATATCCGCACCGGCTCTCTTCCTCCAGTGGGACCGGGTCTCATGTCGCCAGCACAATCCCGCCGGCGCGTCTCCACCCACGCAACAAGCATTACGCCCTACGAGCGGCGCGCATCGCCCTTCGTGCCCCGGGCAACCCCCCGGCCCAGCCCTCGTCTCTCCGCTGCCCACCACGGCCACATACCATCCACATCAGCAGCAGCAGCTGTCCCGAAGCGGCGCTTCACCCGCTCCCCGAGCCTCATTCCCCGCAACACCCCGCGCTGGAGCCGCACCAGCATGTCCCGCTCTCCATCCCTTGCACCCGGCGGCCCTTACGGCTTCCACGACGACAGGGAGCGTGAGAACCGGGAACGGCGCACCACGCCTTTCTACTACGCGACGCCACACAGCGAAGCCGTTCATGAACCGTACGGCTATCATCGGGCCGGCAGCCGTGGTCCGCCCCCTGCCGCGGTGTTGAGGACCAACGGGTACGAGCCTGATGATGACGAGGACGAGGAGATGGGCTTTGACGATACCGACCACGGGTCGGGGACGGACGGGTACGACGATGAGAACGACAGCGAGATGACCAATGCCGACGACGATCACCACCAGCGCCATAGCCGTCAGAGTGGGTCAGGGAGGCGGCGCCTGAACGGGCAGCATCCTGGTCCCTTTGGGTTCAACAGCGCGGACGTCGACGGGGACGATGCAGATCTGGACATCGATGTCTACGAAGACGAGGACGAGGACGAGCTAGACGGGGTCGACACCGATGTCGGGAACAATAACAACAACCCGCACCATCACCATCACCACCACCATCAGAGCAACAGGGCATGGCACGGCTTCGGCCGGCAGCGTGTCACGCCGTCGCAGCCAAGTCACCACCAGGCCCTCATCAGGCCGGAGGACATACCCTGGGCGGGGATCGAGGACGGCGCGGACGCCGAAGGCGACAGCAACATGTCGGACGGCGAGAACATCGATCCCACCACGGGCGCCTCCTCATCGTCACAGTCGCAGTCCCATCACTCTCAGCCGGAGGAGATTGAGATCCATCAGGACGACGATGTTCGAGGGCCTGAGAATGACGACGACGAGGAGGAGGAAGAGGGCGACGGAAGCAGCAGCGAGGCGCCGAGCGTGTACGAGAGCAAACCCGTCGACGCGTGGCAGCTCGTCCCGTCTGTGCCTGGGCCAGCATCCATCGAGACGATGGGGATGGGGCAGAAGCAGCTGAGTGGTAGCCGGAGGGGAGGAGGCGCCGGGGAAAGTTCGATGATGGGGTTCCGGATCCATGAGGATGGGACGGCGACGGCGGCGGGTGGTGGTGGTGATGGCGGTGGTGGGCTGGAAGCGGCCGGGGGGGTGTTGGACATGCAGTGGGGTTGAAACCTCATCTCTCTATCTCTCTCATTTTGCTTTGTTTTTCTCCTCTTGGATGAAGCATCTCTCCTGGTTCTCATGATTGGCATCTAAGGTATCTCTATACAGGCACGCAGGCATATACTACGTTGGACTTTTGGACAGCGGAACTGGAGCTGGTGGGTGGTTGGCCGGATGAGTGAAGCGATGCTTCTTTTTTTTTGCCAAATCAGCGCGAAAGGCGTTTGGTGGGTGGGTGTGCATGAGACGGTTTCCCCGAGATACCTCCTTACCTCTCTCCTCGCTAGATACTACTAACTCTTATCTTACTCAATGTTTCTTTGTGTGCGGATGTGAGGTGTCGAAGATGGTGAGGGTATGTGTTTGTATGTGTTTGTAGTGTACGGAGTACCACTATGGCTTGGGTTGGTTATGAGAGGAAAGGTGATAGAACACTCCCGTCTCGGTCTTGATAATTATCAGCTGCAAACCTTAGGTACCTTATCTGAAATTCTCAGCTCAGTTGTCTTGGTCGTTTTTGTGTCTAATGGCCTCAGGTACCTACCCAAGACAAACTACGGCGGAGATAGAGATAGAGAGAGAGAGTCTCAGAGAGCGCAGTTTCCTCTGTTGCGACCTAGCCAAGAGTGGGGGGAGGTGTAGGGGGGTTCTCTCATCCAAGTTGATGATTCTGTACGCCAAGGACCCAGCTTCCCCATCCCACAAAGGGAGCCCAGTGATACGGCGTCGAGGGATGGCACCTGAGCCTTTCCCCAGGTTCCTTCCTGGTCCGGAGGCAGCCTCGCCTCTGACACGTCCTCATGGCTCGCACGGCGCTCTGGATCGCCGTGGCAAGGTCAATGAGTTGTTGTTGTTGTTGTTGTTGTCGACATTCCTCACTGCCCCCCTGTCCTTGCTGCTGCTGCTGCTCTTGTTGTTCTCGTTGTTCTTGTTGTCCTCCTTCTCCTCCTCCGAACGCGCACAGGTAAAAGTGCCGCGCAAAGTCCCTCCCGTCCCGGTTGTCCAGCGGCCAGAGCGTGCTGACCACGGTGGTCGCGCCGGCGGCCAGGAAGCCGTTGACCAGGCCCAGTGCGTCGTCGCCCCGGCTGACCACCAGCTCGCCCGACCCGCAGCCGATGAGGAGCACGAGCCGGGCGGTCAGGGTGGATGCGTAGATGTCTTGCAGCTTGAAGGTCGTTTCTGTTTCTGCATCTGTCGCTGTCCCTGTCGCCGGCAACTCTGCTAACGGAGAGGGGGACTGCTGCTGTCGTTGTTGTTGCTGTTGTTGGTCGGCGACGTCCAGCTTCAAGTGGAGGAATTTTTCCAGGTTCCTCCCATCGACATGGCCATGGAAATGCACCAGGTCTGCGTCCGGCAGCAGTGCCCTCAGCTCGGCAGCCGACACGCCTCTGTCCCGCGTCGTGACCGTGAACGGGATGCCTCCTGCTCCGCGACCGCGCTCCTCCAGCACCGTGGCAAGCTCGGCCATTGCGTGGTGGGATGATTTTCCACCGCTATCGTCATCGTCGTCGGTACCGTAGCAGTCAAACAGCCGCGCTTGGAGCAGGCGCTGCTGGGCACCACCAACCCTGGACCTGGTGTCGTCGTCGTCGAGCGCACGCTCCACGCAGTCGCGCAGCGCGGCACAGCTGGGCGCGTACATGACCGGGTGGTACTGGATGACGGGCTCGTCGTCGTCGCGGCCGTAGGGGAGGGCGTGGAGCGGGATGCGGTTCAGGCATAGCGAGGGGGAGAAGATGAGGGTCGCGCCGCGGGGCAAGCGGTTGGCGGCCGCAGCAGCCGAGATGGGCGCCACCAGCATGCGGATGCTGTTCAGCGCGGTTGCAGCGCCGATGGGATCGGTCAGGAGGTCGCCGCCGGGTTCGACGTGGTCGCGGATCCATTGCTCGATCGTGGGCACGTCCAGCTCCCGGATGTGTTGCTGGATGCACAGCGTGCCGCCGCCGCCGTCGTCGGATGCGTTGAATCCGCAGATGTAGAAGTGGCCGCGGTAGAGGATCCAGTCGATGAATATCACAACAGCACTGGTCGCCGCTGCCGCCGGACTGGGCTGCGGCAGCTTGTTGCTGCTGTTCACGCGATCGCGCACGAGAGACGACATCTCTTCCAGCGTCGGCCGCCTCCCCACCCTCCGCAGCAGCAGGGGCAGCAGGTCCGGGTCTTGGAGCATGGCCAGGCGGTGTCGGCCCAGCCGGCCATCCAGCCTGGAGTGCGGCAACTCATCCATCAGCGCGGCTTCCTCTTGGTAAAGCCGACGCGCCGCGGGGAGTGCCATGAGGCGGTCTAACATGGCACGGGGCACCGTCTTGCGGTACTGATAGCCGAGGACCGTCCCCTTGAACCTCTGCACCTGAACCCAGAAGTACGCCCCTCGCTGGCGGTTTGCAAACCTATCGAAGTCCTTGGCGATGAGACCGAGCTCAAGAGCAAGCTGCTTGGCTTCCCTGAAAAGGGGGTTCTCGGCAAGCCGGACGAGGTTAAAGTTCAGCTCGAAGGGGCTGTCGATGCGGACACCGTCGGCGATTGTATCGCTGGGATTTGTCCATCTCTAGTATCAGTGGCCTGGCACAATTACCTAAGGTACTTTGCCCCCGGGGTCTAGAAACATGTACAATACGTAGCTAGAATAGGGGTTACTAAGTACTCACAATGCCTGCTCGATCTTGCTTATAGGGTTCTCAGCTCTCCGGATGAGCTTCACGACCCGCAGTAGCATATCCCTTATCATTCCGGAGGAAGAAGAATCGTCATCTTCCGGCGGCGCCGCGATAGCCATGTCGAGCATCGTCTTGCACGCGCGCGCCTCGTCCAGCAGCGACGAGACAAGCCAGAGGTTTGCCTCGATGCTGTAGAGGGCCGAGCCGGACAGCAACAGCTGCGAGTCGCTCGCCATGTCGGCCGCCGCCGAGGCAAGGAGCAGCCGGCCTGGGTCGACGACGTGCATCCAGTGCTCCGGGTCGCGGTTGCCCAGCGCCACCATGAGCTTGCCAGCCTCCAGCCGGAGGCGCATGACGGACAGGGTGTCCTCGGAGTGGCAGCATCGGATGCCCTCCCAGTAGCACCGGATGGCGAGCTCCGCGTTGCCGATATAGCCCGCCACGGCGCCGAGGGCGTGGGCAAGCCGTGGGACAATTGCGGATGCGGCGTATACCGGCATCGCTGCATACAGCCCAAATGCCACGCGCAGGTGGTCGATCAGGGCGTCTTCGAGCGACGGGTCGCGGGCCAGCACTCCGTTCTCCGGGGCCCGCTCGATCCGGCCAGCGAGGGAGGGCAGAAAGCAGGCGCCATCGATGAAGCGCTCGATTTCGTCGCAGCGGGGCTGGCCCTGGTCCCATCGCCGCAGCGCCGTGGACTCCAGCCATCCGTTCCATCGATCCTTGAGCGCGGGAAAGCGGGACTGCAAGCGCGGCTCTGCGGCGACGGCCTCCGAGAAACAGTGCAGGGCGGACAGAACGGCTGTCTGGTGGCTTTCGGCGTCGTTCTGGATGCTCGTGAGGCTGAGGTGGAACAGGGCGTTGAGCGAGGCGGCAAAGTGGTTGCCGAGGGTCAGGTACGCCTTGGCCAGGTTGAAGGACGCCATGGTGGCCAGCACGGTGCTGTGCACGACTGCGTCTCCCTTGAGCACCTCCTCCGATGCCTGGATGCACGCGCCCACCACCTCGTCGCCGGCGTATTTTCTCATGTTCCAGCGGTGGTAGGATATCATGTCGCCTGCCTCGAGGGCCAGGCCGCGCAGATCGAGCACCTGTCTGCTGCGCCAGGTGGCCGCAGTGGTGTGGATGCATGCCGTCTCGGAAGAAGAAACCTGGCCGCCCGTCGTGTCGACCGCCATCTTCCGCAGAACGCGGAGCCGGCCCAGGTCGTTTCTCGCCCGTAGCTTATCGTAGAGGGGACCGATGGAAGCATATGTCAGCGGCGAGTGGAGGATTTCGACGTCCAAGCAGCCGACCGCGCAGCCCGTGTCTCGGTAAAGCTCCATGGCCCTAGATGCGGCAACCGCCGAGGACGGCCGTCTCCCAGCGTCTAGGTGAAGTCTGGCTTCCAGAAGAGCAGCATGGCCTCGCAGGACATCAAACTGCCCTCCCTGCCCGAGCAGACTGCGTTGAAAGCGTTCGATGATTTGCAGAGACGCCTGTTCGTCGTGCAGGAAGTGCGTCATGCTGAACGACGCTTCGTGTTGTAGGTATTGGTCTCTTACCCATTTCTTCTTCATCTCCATCTCGAGCAGAGCCACTTGCCACAGCATCGCAGCGACTTGGATGTCGTCAGACTGCGGTGCCAGATGGTCTTGGATGCTCTGCAAGCGGCGGATGGCTGCTTCCTGCGGGCAATGTCGCAGGATGTCGCGGTAGGCCGCAAGAACGGTCTTGTGGAAAATAATTTCTAGTTGGACCTGCATAGTAGTTAGTAGTAGTAATGGTCAGGACGAATCTTAGTTCTCGAAATGTTAAACCACTCCCAGCCAGCACCAGCAACTCCCTCACTTACCCGAAGCAGCAGGTCTTTGCGGGTGTAGCCTTGGGCGATGGCATCGTCGGGAGGCAGACAGTGATGGTGAAAGAGAGTGGGTAGCAGCGTGAGGGCAGCCTCCCAACCGGTGGGACTCCTGAAGCACATGGCGTAGAGAGAGATTGCATAGATGCAGGCGGCGGCAGCGCTGGTCTGAGCGAGCTCGTGGACGGCCTGCCCGGGATGTTCCGCCCCGTTCGAGAGATATCGGAGGTAGGATTCAGCCTTTCTTAGGCAGCCCTGCTCAAGGAAGCACAGTTGGACTTCTAAGACGTCCTCCAGGGACGGACTGCTCCGTCTCTCTTCATCCCCGCCCCCGGGCTTATTAGGCATGAGTGTTGCAGCCTTATCATAGTCGCCGAATAGTCTGTGGCGGAAGGCAGTTTCCGCGATAGAGGAAGCGTCCGGCGATCCTATAGACTCAGGAAGCTGGGCGAGGTTTGTGTCAGTCGGAAGCTGTTTCCGTGTTAGCGTCGGTAAGTACCTGGGTAGGCAACCCTTGCCGGCACTCCTAGTATTAGTAGTAACCTGGGAATCTAAATGACGTGAAAAGGACGATGGTCACCAAGGTCCCGCCAACTCACAACTTGGTATTGAATTTCAAACAGTGCGTTGCGGACCGCGAGTTCTCTAGCCAGGAACCGGTCCCATTCCCCGGACTGTATGTATTCCAGGGTGTCAGCGGGCACATGATACATCCATCCGGCTTACCGGAAGAGGTGTCGATGCTGCACTGACCGTGTATTGCATGTAAGGGACAAAGTCGTTGAATACCAAGGGGGTCCTCAGCTTCCCGAACCCGTCGTCGTCTTCAAAGATAGCCTTGAACATGGGCCACAGTCTATCCCCCTCTGTGAACAGGAAGTTACTGAGATGGCTGCCCATCGACGTGCCAGCAAACAGATGGTGGCCGTGGTCCCCGGCTGACACCAGAAGGTCCTGGCCATCCTCTCTGCAAGGGCGCACGACCCGGCGCAGCTTCTCCCTGTTGATGTCGCCGTTCAGGGACCCAGTCACATGCAAGGGGACAAGGTAGCAAGCGAACTTGCTGGGCATCAGCGCTTCGAGAAAGCCAGAGGCATATAGAGCTGCCGCGTCGTAGGCTATGTCCCCCTCTCCATACTTGCTGATCTTCTCCTCGACAGAGCCGTGCAGTTGCTCAAGGAGCCCGCTCAGCGCCGCGGACCGGCGAGCGACGTGAATCCTCTCGTCCACCAGCGGCTCGACTCGCGCGTGGAACTGCTCCCAGTTTCCCGTGGCATATATGCGCATGTACCAGTCGACAGGGGCGCTTATGAAACGGTAGATGTCGTCACTTTCACTGGTTGGGACTTCTACCGGGTCCCCTGGACCAAGGCTCAGCGAGCGGAGGAGATCCTGGATCGGGGAGGACTGTAGAAGCGCATGCTGATACACCAGCCGCAGCTGATCCATGCCCTCAAACGAATGGAAGAACCACGGGAAGTAGAGGAAGAACTCGTCCATGCTTGTGCCGGCCTGCTTGAAAGCAAGCAGCTGGTCGAGATCACCGCCATCAAACACGGGGGACCAGTACGGGCGAGAGGTAATAATGATGAGGCGGCCATGTTGGGCGTGAGGGTAGAGTAGCACTGCGACAATGGCCGGGTCTCCCTTCTCGAGACAATTCCCGCACAGGAAAAAGCCGGGACAGCGGGTGCAGTGCAGATACCGCCAGTGGACATTGTCTATATGGAAGCTGTCCAGGTCGTCGCCGTCGCAGCAAGAGCGGCACAAGATGGGAAGCTTGAGCATCTTCCATGGCTGATGTGCCTCGAGCACCTCGATGAAGTTGATATCTTCGACGGTCCTGCCCACCTCGGGTGCTGGGAGTTTGGCCGGGTCGTCCTGGTCGGGGTATCTGTGGCGGGACAGAGCCCAGTATTTGTCACGTCGAGCGAGCACGGGATCGGGAAAGGCCCCCGAATGAATCCCCGGTTGTTGTGTTTGGCCTGGCAGGATCTGAGGGTACCGAATCATGATTACTATCACTATCACTATCAGTATCAATAGTTTCTAGATCATAAGCCTGAACCTGGAAGAAAACAGGTGTTGAACTGGGCGGGGCATCGAGCCATCGACATTGTTTGGCAACTTTGGCTGAGGTGAGGTAAGGGGGGTTTTGAGCTGAAGGTTCGCTACCTACTACCGTACCTTATCGTAATGTACGTGGTCAGCTGAAGCTCCCATTGCCGATGGCGCTTAACCAGCGGAATCGATTGGGTGCCACGGGCTTGCTGCCTGGAGGATGAGAATGAGGCTAACGTTAGTTGAATTGTTGAGCCATTTATTTAGGTGACGTTCACCACCTCATTTCAATTCTCAACAGTCCTCAAAAAAGCAAGAAATTAGAAGTGCATCACTTCAATAGACCACAATCAAATAAAACCAGCATGTCGACCAACGTCAACGGCAACGGCAATGACAATGACGACGACGATGCCGCCGTACGCTCCTCCGAGTTCGAGTTCGAGCCCATCACCGTCACAAGCGAGTTCGAGCCCATCGACTCGCAGCAGCTCAGCCTGGGGAACGCCAGCACCGTAGGCACCGCTCGGTCGTCCAAGTTCGCCGCGACCACCACGGTGCGGGACGTGCGCCGCGGCGTCTTCCGGGACGGCAGGGACCCCAGCATCGAGCACGTCGGCGTCGTGGTGGTTCTGTGCTTCGAGTTCGGCGTCTACTACCGGCCCGACAGGGTGAGCATCAAGATGGAGGTGGACGAAGCAGCCGACATCGACGGCCAGGCTCAGCAGCCGAGTACTAGTAATCCCGAAGCCGAGCTCCGCATCAAGGCTCGCTACCCCAGGGAGGCGCGGGGCCCTTCCACGGAGAAGCCGGTCACGCAGACCATCGCGGGCGTGATCGAGCCGTCGGTGGGCTCGGTGTCGGTCGGGAGTGTGCGGTTTGAGCGGTCGACGACGCGGGTGCAGCGCGGCGCTACCGCCGCTCTCAGCTCGGCCATCGTGGGCGACCTGTCGGTCGCGTGGAGTCTCGAGGGCGACAGGAATAAGATTATCAATAACAGTAGTAATAATAGTTTTAAGGGGGCGGCCGGCGTGCCAGGTTCGCTCGCCTGTGCTGTGCTGCTGCAGACCGACTGCATACCCTTTGAGATAAGCGTCGAGTTCACCGCGCCGCTCTTCGGGAGGCTGTATCGGGCCAAGCCAAAAATCGTCATAAGCCAGAATCATCTCTGGGAGAGGCGCGGCCGAGACCCGTGGGAGGCGGCCTCGGAGTGGAGAGACTTTGATTCGGATGCGTTCGGCGACTGGATACAGCGGAAGACCAGGAACGAGTGGGCGGAAATGGTCCTCTATTAGAATAGAGGGAATTCTTGTATTGTATTGTATTGTACATAAAAGGAGGGGTCTATCGTAACGGGCCATTTGTTGAGAGGCGTTGTATGCACAACTAAGTACATACTGTAATAGGACTGCCAACAGCGCTTCTGATATGTGTTTGAAAATGTTGGCTCCCGGCATGACTGCAATGGTCCGAAGCCGCGACCGACTTTTCTGAGAAGCTCCTTAATAACAAGTGCCTTGGGTTCCCTTCTTCCACTTCCAACCTCGAGCGACGCAATAAGAAAGGCATTCCCCTCGGACCATTCGAGAAATCAAATTAACCCTTGCTAGAAACAACCCGGAGTTTTAAAGCAGGACACAATGGTAAACACTCACGCAGAAGATGCCACGACCTCTCCGTTCCCAGACTACACTTCCCTAACCATGATGCATATCCAATATTGCACATTGGCTCTGGTGTAAACATCTACGCTGCCCATCTTCCCATCCCACTTCTCTTTCCCCTTCCCCCTTCCCACTCAGACTCAGTTGAGCATTATTGTTTCCCACCTTCATCTTCCCTCTCTCAACCCCATACCTACCTTGAACAAACCATCCGAGTTCTGTTCAAAAAAGAAAAGAAAAAACGGCAGCTCGGGAGTTGCCCTCGGTCCCCTCCTCATCGTCTCCCATTTATAAACCCTAGTACCACCCCAACCCCAACCCCACCTCCCCTTTCCCTTTTCCCTTTTCATTTTCTTATTCTTTACCCCAGAGCTCCCCCTTCTTTTTCCCATTATCAACACCTAACCTACCCTACCCCTTCTCCGGCGGGAGGCTAGTCTCATCCGTGTCCGTCACCCCGCTATACGCAGGCCGCGCCGCGCCCGGCGGGAACACGGGCCCCGTCATCTCCTCGGCCATGGCCTCCTCGTATGTGGGCGGGGCATCGTCATAGGGCGGCGCAGCTTGCTGCTGCTGTTGTTGTTGGGCAGCCGGCCGCGGTGGTAACGCCGGTGCTGCTGCTGCTGCTTGTTGGTGGTGGTGTGTTTCTGCTGATAACGGAGATGATGGAGACGGGGGCGGCCTTTGTTGTTGTGATTGTTGTTGTTGCTGCTGCTGTGGTCTGGGGCGTGTTGAGGAGGAAACCCGGCGGCCTCGGCCCTGGCGCATCGCTTCCACCAGGGCGGGCGGCGGGGTGAGGCCCGAGTAGACCTGGACGGTGCTGAAGTGCAGCGGGAGGTGCAGCTCCTGTGGCAGGTCGGAGGGGTCTCGGGATGGTGGTGGCGGTCTGCCGCGGCCGCCGCGGAAGGAGGTGCTCGCCGTGGCCGGGCCCGCGGGCTTGCCCCAGCAGAGGCCCAGCTTGACTTCGAGTTGGTAGTCGCGGCTGGGTGGAGAGGGCGGTGAGTAAGCAGGGATTTCAGGGGTAGGGGGTGGGGTGACCGTTGGGGGAGGGGGAGAGGGAGATGGGGAACGTACCTGAGGTTACATGTCACGAAGGTCGGCATGACGGTGTTGGGCAGCGGGAAGCTATTCCACAGCGTATCGGGCACGACCATCTCGGTCCCGACGGCGTCTTCCGGCTTCGACAGGGGAACGGAGAGGCCGTGGCGAGCCACTATCACCCAGCGGCTGACCTCGGTGTTCACGAGGTTCTGACAGCGGACAGTGGTATTGCCTACGAGCTCGATCTGCAGGGCTATTAGGTACACTTCCGCGTGTGATGGCACCAGCTTCTTGGCTATTAGACGCAGAGGTATCGGTTTGTTGCACGTGAGAATGGCTGGGTGCGGCAGCCGCGCCGACATCTCGACCGACGGAGGGGTTGCCGAGCCGGCTGGCGACGGGGGGCCGTTCACCGGTGTTGATGGCGCGCTGCTGGATCGGCCAAAGAAGGAGGACCGCTTCTTCTGGGCCAGCGGCGGTGGCGTGGGACTGGGACTCTTCGTGTGGAAGGCGTACGGACGACGAGCGTATGCTTCCTGGTTTGTCTTCTCGGGCCGGGGCGGCTCGATGGGCAGGAACTTCAGACCCATCTGGTATCGCCAGTTCTCCCGGAGCAGGCCGGGCCGCTGCACGGTGACTTTAACGAAGTAGCGGATCTCCGCCTCGCCCGGGAAGCCCGTGAAGCTGGGGGGCAGCGTCTTGGTGACGTGCGAGTACATCAGCTGCTTGGTGCCGTCCATGACGCGGAAGCCCATGCCAAAGATGCCGCCGGCGCCCATCACGCCGCCGATCCGCGCCATGGCTTCCGAGTTGCTGCACGCGTTGTTGAACGGGAAGCGGAACTGGAAGGGGAAATGGTGCTGTCCCCGGTTGAGGACAAAGGGCGGCTGGGCCGCGCCCCCGTTCTCTTCGGGGAAGACCTGGGCGACTTTGTACAGGATCTTGTGGTTCTCGTGCACCGTGTCTCCGGCGGACCTGCGCTCCCTAGCGATGCCCAAGCCGGGGTTCTCGGGCGGGATGCCAAGCGCCGTCCTCGACTCGCCCTCGAGCTTGACCGTGATGGTGCCGACATGCTCGTCGCGGACCAGCGTGAGCACCACCTGGCCCCGGATGGTGTCCAAGTTGGTGTAGAACTCGGGCGGGCTGTCCAGGATGATGCGTATCGACATTATGCTCGCTGCAGCTGCCAAGGCTGCTGTGTCTCAAGCACTAACTCAAAAAGATGTCAAGACAGGGCGAGCTCGCAGTTGAATAAGGAAGCAGTGTCAGTCGCCCACAGATGCCCCATGCATTATTAAAACTTGGATCGTGGAAGGCAATGTAAATTCAAGACGGATTAATTACGACAACAGCAGTTCTGTATAATAGCGCCGTAACAGAACCTGCCAGTAATGGATCAGCAAGCGGAGTGAACGCAAAGCGGAAAGTGCCCTTTGAAGCCGCCGAAGTCTGCCTTTCACAGAAGCTCCGCCGCAAAGCTCACGCGGCCAGTTACGTCAGGTTCCTCCAGCGGCGGCTTACAAGGGTGCTGAACGGCCTAGAAGGGAAATCCACGGGGCCAAGCACAGCCCAGGAAGCGTCGCGGCACAGAGGTCGTTTCAGGTTGGGGACATCTACTTCGTAAAGCCAAGGCGGTTTGCGGAAGTGTCGGCGTTGAATTGGCACCACACACACCACCCTTTTGGATTTGCACAGAATGACGAGAAGTCCCCGGGTACTATATGTACTGTGTTTGTCGTAGGGTGTCACTGTCACCGGGACCCGCCTATGGGCTGCCTCCACCCGGCTTGGCAAGCGGTGTGGCCTGCTTGATATCTTATCGCATTTGGCGGGGCATTTTTTCTGCCCGCCCAAAATAATTATTCGCCGTGATGCGGTGAGCGATGGATGATGGTGTTGCTGGCGAGGAGCAGACGTACCTGATCACCCTTGCTCGCATACCGAACCATAGAGGATAAACCCGTTGAAGGGCTTCGCTTACGATGCCCAAAGCCGCCAAGCAGAAGCGTGCCGGCGCCGGCAGCGGCCCTTACGATCGCAAATCGGCCAAAGGCGCCGGGGCCACGAACATCTTCCGCTTCGACAAAGACTTTGGCCAGCACATCCTCAAGAACCCCGGTATCAGCGATGCCATTGTCGAGAAAGCCTTCCTGAAACCCACCGATGTCGTCGTCGAAGTGGGTCCGGGTACCGGAAACAGTGAGCCCTCATCGCGCTGCTCCTCCGGATACAAATTGGGGCCGGACACTGACGAGCATTTGCCCATAGTTACGGTCCGGGCACTCGAAAAGGCGAAGAAGGTCATAGCAAGTACGGCACATCCTTTGCCAAAGTTATGCCGCGCAGGAATCGGCTGACCGCTGGCCCAACAGTCGAGCTCGATCCCAGAATGGGTGCCGAAGTCACCAAGCGCGTACAGGGCACGCCCCTGGCCAAGAAACTCGAGGTCATCCTGGGCGATGTCATCAAGATGCCCGAGATGCCACCCTGCGACGCCCTCATCTCCAATACACCCTACCAGATCAGCAGTCCGCTCATCTTCAAGATGCTGTCTATGCGGAACCCGCCTAGGGTCGCAGTGCTCATGGTGAGCAGCAGCCTTCCATTGTTGGAGTGTCTCGGCAATGTCTACGGCCCAGCCAGCTGACCATGGCCGCAGTTCCAGCGAGAGTTTGCCAAGAGACTGGTCGCGAGGCCTGGTGATGCGCTCTACTCGAGGCTAAGCGTGAATGTGAATTTCTGGGCCACATGTAAACACATCATGGTATGACGGCACACACTCGTGGGGGGCCCCGGAACGGCAGCGGACTGATTTCTCCCAGAAAGTAGGAAAGCAAAACTTCAAACCGCCTCCCAAGGTCGAAAGCGATGGTATGTCTCAAAACTCCCTGCTGGCACGGCCGTGGCTGACCTTCCGTCTCAGTTGTGAGGATAGAGCCGCTGGTATGAGTGTCACCCCTCCTTCTTTAGTGTTGCGTGGAATACTGAAAGGAGAAATCCAGCTCGGATCGGCGCGGCCAAATGTCGCTTTTGAGGTGTGTAGCCGTCTAAACACTACCGACCGCTCTGTGCCAGCCAGCTAATAATACCCTGATCAGGAATTTGATGGTCTTCTCCGTATTGCATTGTGCGCCACCCTGCCAGCACTCCTCACTCCGTTGTCAAGGGGAGTAGGAACTAACATGGTATCAGCAACCGCAAAAATAAAACATTACGCGCCGCCTTCAGCATAAAAGAGGTTCTCGCCATGTGTGAAAGAGTCAGCATCCCCCTGCTCTCCTCCCAACGTCGGTACTGACTGACTCTCTCAGAACTACAAAATCTACTGCTCCTTGAACAACATCCCCATAGACGAGTCCGTCGCCGACGCCGACGCCACTACTACAGGAACCGTGGACGTGGACATGGATGTTGACGACGACGACGCCGATGATGACAACGAACCCGGGGACGACCAACCCATGAACGCAGACGCAGACGACAACGACGACGACGAAGACGAGGAGATGCCCACCTTCTTCCAAGAACTACGAGACGCCGAGGCCGCCAAAGAGGACGGCAAGACGCCGAGCCGCAATCCCAAGTCCAAGGTCGCCCTGGTCGTCCGGGCCAAGGTAAACAAGGTGCTGAATGGCACTGGCCTGGGCGACAAGCGGGCGCGGCAGTGCGATCAGAATGATTTCCTGAAGTTACTTCTGGGTACGTTTCTTCCTTTCTACCCCCTTTCTTTTGCCCCCTTCGTAGTCAACCCTGATCCAATCCCGGCGGTGAAAGGGTAAGTAGCTAAAGAGAGAGTGTGTGTTTGTTTGCTAACACTTGGGGTGGTGGTGGGGTTTAGCGTTCCATGAAGAGGGGATCCATTTCTCGTGAGGAGATGAGATGATATGATATGGTGAAGGGGGATAGTTTATCGGGAGTAAAGGGATGGAGTTGTTGGCGTTCTGGAAGTGGAAAAAGAACTTCATGTAGGGGATATACGGATAGTTCAGCTTTGATCAAGGCGAATGTGCCAGTTACCTAGGTACCTACCTGCCCTTACCTTACCTCCCCGACTAGTTGTATAGTGGATATGCCTCATGGTTTGTATAAGGCAGGAATGGAGAAGCTAAGTCGGCCTAATTCTTGTTCACGGGGATAAGGTATGTCTGCATACATAGGTATATACCGCGACAGGGCAGCATGATCTAAGTAGTAGTGTATCCAAGCATGCTATTCTAATAAGTAAATACCACGGACAACGTCTTGATCATGCAAGGCTCGGCAGTTCTGCATGGTAATATGTAGAGATACATATCGTTCATAAGACCACCTGGATATCTGACCCATTGACACCCCGGCATACCTCTTCCATAGCTCCCTGCCCTGAAGCAGACCTTTAGCTTCATTAGGCACCTTACCTATAAACCGAAATACCAGGTAACTAGTTGTAACGCACAAGAAGGGATGTGAGGTATCTGCCACTCAACGACATCAAATTCCTGAGAGCAATGCCGCCGGATCAGAGCGCTATGTCAAGTGCTAAGTCAGAACGAGCTGTACCGACTGCCCCTTTCCCCGGCTAACTACATTTACACACTTGACGATAGCTCTCTGGTCACTGTTACTCCCCAAGGCGACCCTTACAGCTATCACGGCTGACGGAAGAAGTGACGGCATGGCAAAGCCGCCGATCAATACACAGGGTATCTACCAAGATAGAAAGGTAGATACATACCTAGGCCCATACACATGTGCGTAGATGCATACATAGACACGTTGCTAAAGCGCCCCCCCATCAGCATTCGCCAAAGCACCTCACCATGAAATCATTCACGAAGCCCCGAACCCAATGCGCCATGTCCTCTTGTCTCCTCGCTGCTACCTTGTTTCATCTGTTTTGACTCCCTGTAATCAATCGTCTTGGCGTTAAACGTGGAAAGTCTCCTGTCGAGAGCATGCCAGGTTATGGCATACTCATCATGCTCATGCAGGAACCCCCAAACCTGACGCCCGCAGTGAATAAATCAAGGCAATAGAAAGATGAGAAGAACTCCACCTCCCCTTGACACCCCTTTGGCCCGAGTTGCCGTGTCAGCCACCCAGACTGATGAACCGAAATGCAGATGACTGAAAAGAGAAGACGATAGAGATGCGCCTCTGGTGACGTAATGCCGTGATCCAACCGTTAACGTTGAGCTCCTCGGTTGTGGGTAGGGTCATATTCCCCACTAATGGATCACCGAGCGATCGCAAGAATTAAAGAGGTTCGACGCATGCTGCAATAAGCCAGGCGATTGGTATATCTCCCGGCTGTGGAAGTTGTTGTTGTTGTTGTTGTTGGACGTGAAGGCCGCGACCAGCATTGAACATGGCCGGATGTGTTAGCGGCAATATGATCCGTGAATTAGTAGTCGTAATAACGGCTGCGGTGGCAGGCCGTGTTCTCTGACTGAGGAGGACCGCGATGGATAGAGGGGTAAGAGTTATTAGGGATCGGTTTCAGCCGGTCGCTCCGGGGCCATGTTCAGAGGGAGCCAAAGAAATTGATCAGTCAATCTCAATGACTTCCACTTCTTTCCTCACACCTGTCGTCGGTGCCGGCTGGTTCGCCCTCACGGAAGCCGAAGCCGACCGCGCAGTAGGACCCTCCCCGTCACTTTCTCCATCCTCGTCCTCCTCAAGCACGACCGACCAGCTCCCATCTGCCTTCACCCGCATGCTCTTGGTCCCCAGCTTCCCCTCCCGTTCCAACTGCGTGCGGACCTTGAGCAAGAAGATATCGATCCGCAGACTATACGGCCTCGCATCCTTCGAGCAGATGGGACAACGCCACTTATCCGGGTTCGATGGCTCCGGGGTGTTGGGACAGGTACACTTCACCAGTTTGTGCGGACACTTAATCTGCGGTTTAGACGGTCGCGTGTTGAGCCATGTCTCGAGGTCAAAGCACTCCATGTGCGTACACGCGGCGCCGCGTGCGGGAATGTTGAAAATGGTCGATGTGAAGGGGTCGGCCAGGTCGATCGAGAGGTCAGGTGCCTCAAAGCACACATCGTCGTCCGCCGTTGGTTCTAAGCGCTTTTTGATAGTTGCAAGCGTCTCTTCTTCGGGTATCAGGCCGTCTGACCAGACAGACTTGAGGATGGTGGAGTGATTGAGCGTCTCGAGCAGCTCCACTGCCACGAAACGGTTCGGGGCGCTACCCCTGTGCACGTCAGGGATGCTTATTTTGAGAGTGTTAGTGCCACAGATGACGAAGTCGGTGATTTCTGTGGGCAGATCCTTCCCATTGTGCTGTACCCGGCGGACATCAAGAGGTCGGTCGTTGAGCGACATAAATATGCTAGACGGCCAGCTAACATCCAATGTCGCCCACTGTTGCTCTGTTGGTTTGGTGATTGAGACGGGGACCGTGCAGCACTTGATCCGCCATCGCAGTGCGCCATTGGAATGCTCAACGACGGGTAGAAGAACGCCATCCGTTTTAAATTTGGTCGCTGCCAGGGCAAACTGTTCCTCAGTAACCTGAAAGCGGAAATCATACAGCGTGTCCTTGGGTGCCAAGGGTGCAGGTGCAACCGAGAATGTCCTCATAGCCTGGTACAAGCGTTCTTTCTCACCGTCTTTGATGACCCGCTTGGGGCTGCGAACATGAGCCTGATGGAGCGACATCATGATCGATTTCTTATCTGATGGGTCGTATGGCCAGTCTGGCCGCATGATGAAGGCGCCTCTGGGAGGGAACAAAGGATCCTGTGCCTGCAAAAGTTGATTCCTCTGAGAAGCGTCACGCTCTGTCTGATCTGGTGCTCTCTGATTAACGCGGGCTGAGGAGCCAGCAGAGTTTTGGCTAGCAGCAGGCCGGGCAGAAGCCACAGATGGCTGCGCTGGTTGGGCCCCGGGGATGTACTGCGACTGTTGCGGTTGGGTGTTTCTCATGGACTGGGTTCCGTACAAAGCTCGAGTCGCGCCGGTCGAAGACTGTGCTACTGTAGCCTGGTGACTGGCCTGGACAAACAAGCTTCCGGCTGCCTGCAAGTTTCGTTGATATTGCTGCTGATTGAACTGCTGCAGGGCTTGTTGTTGCTGTCTTTGCACCATAAGTTGCTGCTGCTGGGAGGCATATTGCGACGCCTGCGTATGCGACTGCTGGCTCGAGACGCTGCTACCCGCAGCAACAGGATAATACTGCCTCGGGTTGAAGAGAGGCTGTCCCTGTGATGTGAGAGGTTGAGAATGCCTTGGCGGGCCCCTTTGCATTGTTCCTGCAGTGCTCTGCCCTTGTTGATGTCCATAAGGATTCAACGGCGCCATCATCGACGGTAAAGACGGCACCGGTATGGCAGAGCTTGGGAACATCGGCGGGTAGGCATTTGCAGCAGATTGAGGAGCAAAGGCAGCTTGGTGCTGCTGTGCATGCTGCTGTGTAGTCTGCATGGAAAGTAAGGGGTCACGGAATCCTGCTTGCAGGGGGCTGATGGGTGACGGCGCGCCGGGAATGGGGGGGGACCCGAGGTTCCGTTGTGCATTTGGCCCGCCGCGGAACGGCACGGCGGACTCGACGATACCCTTGAAATAGTCGATAAGAGCAGCATTCCGACGGTCGATCTCCCCAGGGTGGTTGAAAGGCTGCAGAATCTGAACCCCGGAAAGGTCGCTTCGATGATTTTCTTGATCGTCGCGGAAAGCTCTGTCAATCTGACCCCCGAGATGGCCATCTGGCACGCCCAACCTTCTCCTAGAAGCAGTAAAGAATATGAACTGCAAGACTGGGGAATAACAGTGTAGCCGGTACAGCAGCTCGTCTACCAGAAGAGGGTACCGTCGCTGCAGCGATGCAGTCATCAAAGACGTGTATTCTCTGCTGAGGTTGCCCAGGAATGCCGCAATGCGATTAATCACATCAGTGCCGCCGATGGGTCCTCGGCCGAACTGCTCAGGTCTCACGGGAAACCGAGCAAACCACAGCTGAAAGGGCCGCGATAGAAGCTGGTTCTTCTTAAGCACAGTCTCGAGTATGGCAAAAGCGCTGTCAATGATCTGCGGTGCTTGTGGGAGACGTTGGTAGGCATCGTGTGGATTTAGGGACCACATAGCGAACACCTGATGCAGAACGATGAAGAATTCATCTTCGCGATGGCAGGCATCCCGGAGGAGCATCACCCGTGGTTTCACGACGTTGTCGACGTTGGATTCGAGAGCATCGTCTCCTCCATTACACTGAACATAGTCATTCAGGATGGAGAGCAGTGACGAACAATTGGCTGTGGTAGGTGCAAGAGTAGGCACTTGCGGACTAGGTGTAGAGTTAGCATAGCAATACGGTGGAGTACTACTAGTACTTTCTCTCATCAGTGACGTACTCTGTGCGCCGCTTCTTGAGGGGCGGAACCGGACCACGCGCCGGGGCAGGACCTGCGGAAGCCAGTGTTATGCTCTGCCCGCCCTGTCCATTTCGATATTCGTGTGTAGAAAGCTGGAAGGCTTGGCTTCCGAAGTGGTTACTGTTCTCAGGGACGACGCTCGAGCCCGCGGTCGCTTGTCTCGGCACCTCCTGCAAGTCAGGAGCATGGGAAGGTTCATGGACAAACCGGGCCTCGGTAACCGGCAGTGCAGTTGGAGTCGAGACGGCAGTGGATCCCATGTTGCGGGTATCAGTCAAGGAGATCGAGTGGGTGTTCGGGCTATCGAGCACGTTCGACACCGAGGGGCTTGGCTCGTCGCTGGGTGCTGGTGATGGGAGGACAGCAGGCCTGATATAGAGGAATGGAGTCAGCGGGTTCAACTCAAAGGCGCGTATCAGCGAGGCGACAGCCTCAAAGAGCACTGGCGCATGACTCCTTAAAGCATAGGCGGCCTTACTGATGCTGGTGTTGCTGCTGCTGGACGGCCTGCGCGACCGGCGGCCGGGAGATGGTTGGACGTGAATTCAATCTTTTTGTCGTTGTTGCCCCACCAGAAGTCATCCATGATGGCTGTCGGCCGCCAAGAAAGGCACTGGCCGTGGCGTTGGACGACGCGATCTGCTGGTCGGTGGTGGCAGACGGACGTGAATTTGCGCCCGGGCCAGGATGAGAGGGCGGCATTGTACACTCTACTCTCCTCCTGGTCGGCCGGTCGCAAAGCGACTTGTTGCGTTAAGAGACTGCAAAATGACCCGTCAACTCCTGGTTGGCAAAGAAGAGGAAATGCCAAAATGAGGTTGGTGCGAAATGAGCGGTGGCGGCGATGCGTGAGGAACACACACCATTGAATGCGAACTGGGTGACCTCATGCGGAAGTTGGGCGGCGAGGACAACCTCAAGGAAAGCGCGAGGTCTGAGGCGGTGAACCCGATGAGCCCGGGAAACACAGAGTCGGTTCGAATTTCTGCACGCTGCTGGCAAGAACTGCAGTTGGAAGGTGCGGTTGGTTACAAACGAAGAGGGAAGTCGTGACCAGCAACCGACAAAGATGGGAGGAAAGCCTCAACAACCCCACACAGGCTCTAACTAGCAGTCTGCCGGATTCGAGCACATAGAAACCTAGAGGCCGATACAAGAGGCCATGTTGACAACTTGGACTTTTCACGACGACTTCGACATTTGGGATGCTATTTCCCCCCCTGCTATTGGCTCTGGAACTCATGGTGTTTGATGCATATGATGCTGTGACAATTCAGTCCCCCGAACGCCTCCAACATGCTTAATATGTAGCATTCATCGCTGGGGTCCTCCACGCCGGACCATTGCACTCGTACAGGGCAACTCATGGTTGCAGCTCACAACAGGGTCTTCCACCTATTATGGAAGGAGAGGTCCTTGTGGACTAATATTACCACCGGGACTGTATCACAACGTTGTCTCTGTGCTTTGTCCGAAGTGTTCGGACTTTTGTGCCGTGACTGCCATCAAGGGTCATCGATCCATCCCGAATGTTGCACGGAACCGTGCCGCAGAAGTACGGAGGTACCAGACGGGAAACATCGATTCCTCGGGTAAGCTTGATAGGGAGTAGCAAGGGGATCTGCCTCTTAATAAAGGCAGTACTACACCACCGCTATGCGCAGTGTATACATTGAAGACAGTCGACATCCAATTTAACACATATGCTATAAAACCTTGCTCTCAACTGGAGTGAAGCATCATCATGAGCAAGAAGAATCTGCACGGACCACAGTTTATTAGTGAAAACAACTTTGGCTTGGCTGAGCTTGGCAAAGCCTAGAATACCATGGACCCCGCTTCGATACGCGTGTGGTGGGGTCAGTCACCCGAGAAACCAATGGGCTGCGACGCCGCCGACAAAGCGCCATTGGGGAGGCTTGGCTCCAACTGCAGGGCAGATCCGGAAGAGAAAAAGTTAAACCTTTCGAGCATCGATCGCAGCAACGAGAGTGTGCAATCTGCCGACCGACAAGCCCGCGCACCGCCAAGGTCGGATTGAAACAACACGAAATGGCGGCAGAAGTGCTCCCGCTGGCAACGGTGAAGCTGCCCTCGGGACCCAGTCCCGTAACGGCCGAGCAGCGGTATTGGAGGTCGTTCAAGAACCAAAAATCCCACACCTCGACGGCGGCATGGCCCATTTCACACATCAACTTCCCCGCCGCAACCGGCGCGGCGCACTCCAATTCACTTGTCGCTGCCGCGAAGCTCAACGACCTGTTTGCCGTGACGTCGGGGCCGCGTGTCGAAATCTACTCGATCCGCAAACGTGAGCCGCTCAAGACGATCGGTCGCTTCGACAGCGAGGCCCACTGCGGCGAGATCCGCGCCGATGGCAGGGTCCTGGTAGCCGGCGAGGACTCGGGCAGGATGCAGGTCTTTGACGTCGGCGGTGGCACCAGGGCGGTGATACTCAAGACGTGGCATGTCCACAAGCAGCCCGTCTGGGTGACGAAGTGGTCCCCCACAGAGCTGACGACCCTGATGAGCGCGAGCGACGACAAGACGGTCCGACTGTGGGACCTTCCGTCGAACGAGCCTAGCCGGATGTTCACGGGGCACTCGGACTACGTACGTTGCGGCGCCTTCGTGCCCGGGGGCAATGGCAATCTGTTGGTCTCGGGGTCCTACGATGAGACGGTCCGTGTCTGGGACGCGCGGGCAGCCGGTGGCCCCGTCATGACCTTCAAACATGCCGATCCAGTCGAAGAGGTCTTGCCGTTACCGTCAGGCACCACCCTCCTAGCTGCTTCCGGCAGCGCCATCTCTGTCCTCGACCTCGTCGCAGCGAAACCGCTTCGGCTGATCACAAATCATCAAAAGACGGTCACATCTCTCTCGCTTGCCTCTAACGGACGGCGGGTCGTCAGCGGCAGCCTTGACGGCCATGTCAAAGTTTTCGAAACAACCGGTTGGAACGTCGTGGCCGGCTCTAAATACCCCAGCCCGATCCTGTCCCTGTCCGTCATCGCCGCTGGCGCGGCCCAGGAAGACCGGCACCTCGCGGTAGGCATGCAATCCGGCGTGCTTTCCCTGCGGACACGGCTTTCCGGCACGGCCGCCGAGAAGGCAAGGGAGCGTGCTGCGGTAGAAGCAGCGCGCGACATCGGCACGGAAGCGCTCGAGAAGCTCGACGCGAAGAAGGCGAAACGCAAGCGCTCGGCCATGACCAACAAGTCCATGGATCTCCTCGGCGAGGGCGTTGACGTGATCATCCCCACCGACCTCTACGGTGGTGGCCGCTCTCGGCGCGCCAAGCTCAAGCCGTGGCAGCGCAATTTCCGCCAGGGCCGCTACGCAGCCGCTCTCGACGAGGTCATCGACATGTCCAGCCCGCAGTACCAGTCAATCACCGCGCTCACCCTGCTTGTCGCGCTCCGCCACCGGTCTGCTCTGCGTGAGGCGCTCGAGGGCCGCGACGAGGTGACGGTGCTGCCCCTGCTCAAGTGGGTGAGCAGGTACATTCCGGACCCGCGGTATCTCAGCGTCTGTGTCGATGTGGCGTTCCACCTGCTCGATATCTACAGCGAGCACGTGGGCGGGAGTGCTGATCTGGCATGCCAGTTCCAGGCGCTGCTGGGCAAGGTGTCCAAGGAGGTGGAGAAGGCGCAGATGGCTATTCAAACGAACGGGATGGTCGAGAGTCTGATGTTTGCCGGGATACAGTAGCCATTGGGGCAAGCGGGGAGAGAAATCTGCTGTACCCTTGTCAAGGGTAGTGATTTGCATTGCGCCGGCGTTTTCTGGTTTGGGAGTATGGGAAGGAAAAGATCTAGGTTGTGTGGTATGGTACAATACCATCTTCTAGTGGTCAAGCACAGGTAGATAAAAGGTGATACCTCAGCAATGCTGCTGGCGAGGAATCGGATTCAGTTACCATGTTGACTGCCTCAATATTAAACGTACGCTGTCCTACAGTTGCCTGAACTCTTTCGCGGGCTCCGAGGGCATCTGCTGAGAGAACTCGGGGGAGGTTATGACGCCTTTTGTTGACTAGGTACAGCAGAAACTGCAACATCACTGTGTCCTCTAACTGCGTCTGAACGATACGTGATAATGGATAACTCCTAGGACAACGAACAAACCGCGTTATGGTCAACCTCTCACAGCAGAAGATGACCCCTTTGTTACCCTATCCTTACTCGCCTAGTCAAAACAGATATTTGGCAAGCCAACGGTGAGACAGCTTACCCTAAATCCCCTCCTAGACGACGATGCTCGCTCACTCGACAACTGCCTGCTGTGGAATCCACGGGACGACTCGGTCTATGCAATGATATGATATGCCTGCTGAGAAAGAGATACCTTCAAACAACTGAAGTCGAGAAACCGCTCGGCTGACTGACACAGGTCTCAAACCGCTTACAATACGCACTATAAGCCTCACGTGCCTTTTCAAGACATTGCCTTCGAACCCGCTCGCCACGGCTCTCATGATAGCGCATGAAGTCTTTCCAAAACGACATGTAGCACTCCCACCGCGACTCATCCCAGTTCCTCTCCTTGCCCAACCACTTCCTCTGCTTCCGCGTCATTTTAGTCTTTTCAGGTCCGCTGTTAACCATGTCGGGAATGTCCACTGCCGAATCCTCGAATTGGGACACCTTTAGCGTGCCTTTATCCACGTTCCACTTATCAAGGAGCGCCTTGGCAGCGGCAGCGAGTCCAAAGTCAGGGTAGCAGACTCCTCATCTGCCACCCAGCTCAGCCTCCAGCCCCTGCACGGCCCCGTACTCCTGCGGTCTGGGGTCCTCCGCAGTCCACTGATGGGGAGCGCCATTGGCGGGCAGAGGTACCGGCGCCGCCACGGGTTGCTGGCCCGGGGCGCCGTGACCGCCCGAGCCGGGAGCGGTGCGCACCAGTTGTCGGAACCGGAAGACCTCGTCAAGGATCATCTTGCGCATTTCGTTGACGTCCTCGATCACTTCAAAGTCGAAGTTGAATGTAGCCGGGCAGTCCGGCTCATCGCTGGCGTCGTGCCAGATGGCGAGGTACGGGTGCTCGAGCGCGGCCTCAACCGAGATTCTGCGCGACGGATCGAACGCAAGCATGCGGTCCAGTAGGTCTAAGGCGTCTGGGTTGGCGTTCGGGAAGAGCGACGGGAACGACTTCTTCGCCATGTAAGGCAAGTTTCTGACATATTCCTGGGCGCGGGGTGAGCCGATGCGCGAGAGCGTCTCCTCGTTGGGCGTGCCAAGGATGTGCAAGATCTGGTTGAGTTGGTCGACATAGTCGCGGCCCTTAAAGAACGGGCGGCCGCCGAGCAGCTCGGCAAGGATGCAGCCTACTGACCACACGTCGACTGTCAAAGGAAGCGTGTTAGTCCACTGTGCCAGGCAGCGGATGGACAAAGGTTAAATCCCCCTCTGCCGGGGCATGACTTACTGGCTTTGGTATAGTTCTGGAAGCTGAGCATGATTTCGGGCGCACGATACCATCTCGTTGCGACGTACTCGGTCATATACCCGGCGTTCTCTTCGGGATCAATCGAGAAGCCGCGCGCGAGGCCGAAATCGCAGATCTTCAGCTCGCAATCGGCATTAACAAGCAGGTTGCCCGGCTTGAGATCGCGGTGCAGCACATTCGCCGAATGGATGTACTTCAGACCGCAGAGGATCTGGTAGATGAACGATTGGAAGTGGGCATCAGTGAGCGGCTGCCCAGACCGGATAATAGCAGCCAAGTCGCATTCCATTAGCTCTGACGTCCGATACTGTCAGTAGGTATGTTGGGCTGGGGGAGAGGAGACCGGAGCCAGGCTGGGAGAAGTACCCTCGTAAAGATATGTCTCGTTGAAGTTGTCCGGTCGCGGTATGTCCATATCGTACAGACAAGTGATCTGGTTCGGGCGAGCCAAGTTAGCATGGAGCGGCCTCCGCATGCTAAACTAAAAGGCCTTACGTTGCGGTGGCCCCTGAAGTGCTGCAGAAGCTTGATCTCGCGCAGAGCGCGCTTGGCCAGGATCTTCTTGCTAAAGACATTGGTGACCTTCTTGATGGCAACGCCCTCGTTCGTTTGATTGTTGACGGCCGCGCTTCATATTCCTTGTCAGTTCAGTGCTGTCGTGCAGCCCCGACTCCGACCGCGCGACCACGGGGGCGGGGCTGAGGAGAAGCGCCCGCGTACCAGACAATGCCATAAGCTCCTTGGCCCAGCTCCTTGGTAACCGTGTACCGCTCATCAACGATGAAATCCTGATTGAAGACCTTAAAGATCTTGCGGCCCTGTAGATCGGCCATGGCGAATACTTGTTCTCCGGGTTGTTTGTGAAGCTTTCGCGACCTAAGATGGACCGGAGGTGGGGACGAGGGGTAGATAAGCGCAATCAGCTGAAACTGTCAGGCACGAAAGACAAAGGACGACGGAAGGAAGCAGCCAGCCCTGAGACAACACGGGACAGTGCGGCTTTGAGGTCGAAAAGAGAGTCGGTGCCTACAAAAAGATAACCCAGCAGGAGTCCAGCTTAAGAGACCATAGTAAGCACTGATCGAGGCTCGACGTTGTACAAGTATGGAGCTGGGGCCGAGACAAAGAGCAGGGGAGTGGCTGGCAAACGGCGAGGGGCAAGCGGGGAGGGGCGAGGGTGGTGGTGATCCCCACTGTGCCGCATTGTCTTGCTCCGCTTTGGCGATGTTGGTGCTGAGCCGTGCTTGGGACCATCGGTGATTGGTGCTGTCCCGTCAAGCTGACTTGCGGAACTGGGCAGGACTGAAGTCCTGCCTCAATACGCGCGCGACAACTCCGGGCATCCCCACACGAATATATTGCAAGCTGCAAGTGACGCGCCGTGAACCGCACGCCGTGCATTCCAAACGGCGCTGCCCAGGCGGCAATCCGATACCTAGGTAGCTTCCTGTGCATGTGCTACTTGCCACCACGGTCCCGTTCTGCTCTCAGACCCTGCCAGGCGTATCGAGTCCAAACAGTTGTCAGTTTGGCGCGCCCCTTTCAGCGGGTCTCTCCATCCTTTGGACAGGTCTTTGGAATACCGACTGTGTAGTGGGTGTCGGGTATTTCCTAAGCCATCTCAGGTGAGTTGATAGCTACTCGTGGGGAGAGGAACTGGCTGTCTGGTCCCGCTAATATTGATATTGGCTGGCTATGTAGATCGGTACCGAGTGGCCGCCTCATCGGCAAGGCCATTCAGCTGGTCGTAGGGCTGAAGTTGTGGTCAAGGGGTTCAGGGGTGGAGGCCCGGCATTGCCGGCCAGTGGTCTCAGGTCGGCGTATGAACGGTCCTTGGGATATGCTCGCAGCGAGATGCCCTAACAGTATGGACGGAAGTATAAGACTTCGCCGTATCCAAGCAACACAGTATCGGACATCTTGGCATGCTGTGGCAAATTCAGCAACAGTGTCGCAAATCTCAAATCCTGGAGTGCCGTTGCATAGTCGTGTGGGATGTTGAGCAGTCGCAGAATGACCGGACCTCCGAAGCCCCTGACTTCACCATGCGCCATTGCACCTCACTCCCTACCGACCTGAAATTTCAATACCTACCCTACTCCGTACTCTACCCAGCCTCAAAGATTGGGTGGCTCGACATCCGGAAATACCTCCTTCAGGAAATTTATCGAGAACCGGGTCGCTTGCTCATACGCCTTCTCGAAGCCTTGCCTACCGCCATAGTACGGATCGCTAATGACCTCGGTCTTGCCCGTGCCGGAGTACTCGCCGAAGAGCATAAGCTTGGCTTTGCTGTTGCGCTTGCGCCGCTGGATGCGCTGGAGATCCTCGAGGTTGCCCCGGTCCATCGCGAAGATGTAGTCGAACTTGTCGAAGTCCGAGGCATCGACCTAGAACCGTCAGTCCTAGCTGCGACCCTTGAATCGAGACTTACATACCTTGCGAGCGTAATGCACATAGTCTGTGATTCCATGGTCCTCTAGCGTCGACATCGTCCGTTCGTCTGGCCCTTCGCCGATGTGATAGCCGCCTGGGTCGGGAGTCAGTTCTACAGGCGAAGTGGAAGGTGGGGACAAAGGGCTCCGAGCTCACCAGTCCCGCACGAGTCAATCTTCCCAACAAGGTCCTCGTATGGCGGTTTCCTTGCCAGCGACTGAAAGACGCCTTCCGCCATGGTGGATCGGCAAATGTTGCCGAGACAGACGAACAGCACTGAGATTTGGTCGGGCATGGTAATCTTGAAACGCAGATGTTCCGCGGCCTACGAGATGGAAATTCTACCGACACCGGACGCTTATGCAAGTCGTAATCGCTTTCAGATTAGGTGCAGAAGCAATGGAAGTATCTCATAGTAGGTTGAGAGGGCGAGACATGGTGATCAGAAGGGTCCAAACTCTCAGTCGAGGAACGACGCTACTATTGACGATTGTGATAAGGGTTAGGGTGAGACATGGCAGGCAGGGTCTCCTGGTCTGTGCACAGCTGCAAATCAGCAAGCGTGCACAGACCAGCAGTTCCTGTCTATAAATTTCCTCTCCTCCTCCCCGGGTCTTGCTTCTCTTCTTTTCCTTTCTTCTTCATACTTACCTTGGTTGGCTACCCCTAGATCAAGAATTAGGGGTAGCAGGGCGGCAGGCCTCCATTGCACATCGGGGAGTCGGCCGCTCTGGATTGTCCTTCGGGGCCGTCCCGGCCGTAATTTTTGATGTCAAACACTCTTTTTCACTGTATGCTCAACTATGAGTCGGGCTATGGAGAAGAAGGATTGAGCCACGGAAATAGGCGCGCAGCTTATGGTATGACCGTACTATGATCGTGTTGTCCGCGGGTGCCACATGCGCCTTGTAGCAGAATGCAAAGTGGATTACCATCACGGTCGGTCTGTTTGGTGCGCTGGTATGAGAAGTCATTGATTGACATTGACATTGATAGCCCCTCGAAATAAAAAGTGACCTCGAAACACGTATCACCCGCATCCACAATATGAAAGCACGCGAACTCGCGCGAGGGCAGGGGATTGATTGCATGGTCGCACAAGCGGGGACCCTGCAGGAAAACCGCCACCCACGCAAATCGCTACCCCACCATTGGGATGTCGATTCATCAGCAACGGCTACCGTTCCCCAATGGAATGAGATGCAGTGCTGCTAACTCCGTCCGATTGTTACCTAGTAAACCGAATACCCAGACATCTTGAGGATCTAGGTGTGATCGGTCATTCTTTTCAGGCAGGTAGTTGACCATCGATCTCAAGTACGAGTCGAGTACTGCAGGTCCCCCGCAGCGTCGGCCGAGTTCAACTCATACGCACTGCCACGGTATTGATAGAGATTCGGATATGACGGGATGCGACTATAAGCCGTCGGTGCTCCGAAGCCGTTATACCTAGCTTTGCTCACCCATCTCCGTTCTTCAACATCCCGTTTCCTTCCTCCTCAAGTTTCTTTTTGTTTCTCGTCTCGAGACGCTACGGATTACTTGCCGACAACACCCGATCACGGTACTACCCCTAATCTCCTCCGGAGCAGTACTCCGTAATCCGACCGGTCGCCGCTGGAAACCGAGCCGACAACACGGGTCCACTTAAGCATCAGATATCCCGTACCTACCTTAGTGTATGCTGCAAGTTCCGCTTCCGTTGAGAGGATAAAGTGAGAGTCGCGAAAATGGTGCAGCAATGTACACAACGGTTCCCGCCTTCTCCTATCACACCAGCCGAGAGCGACTCATCGCTCGCCATTGAATCTCTCAATCTCCAAACGGATATCACCGCCTGCGACAAGAAGCTCGCCGTTGAAGGACGCGTCTCCCGCGCTGTCCATGTTCTCGCGACCGAGACCAGCGCCCTGCAGAACCTGACTCAGCTCTACGCCTCCGACCGTTTCGCCCGCGATGAGTTTAACCGCGCCATCGAAACGCTCACCCGCCGCCAGGCCAGCGGCGGAAAGTTGGTTCTCATCGGGGTGGGCAAGTCAGGGCACATTGCGAAGAAGCTCGTGGCAACCTTCAACAGCCTCGCCATCCAAGCCGTCTTCCTGCACCCGACCGAGGCGCTGCACGGCGACCTGGGCCAGATCTCGCAGCGCGACACCTTGCTGCTCATAACCTTCTCCGGCAAGACCCCAGAGCTGCTCACGCTCCTCCCGCACCTCGACAGGTCTCTCCCCCTGATCCTCATCACATCTCACACGTGCCCGGAGACATGTGAACTGGTCCGCCACAGACCAGATACGATCCTCCTCCCGGCGCCGGTACACGAAGAGGAGACAACCTCCTTCGGCGTTCCCGCGCCGACCACATCCACCACCGTGGCGCTCGCAGTCGGGGACGCCCTCGCCATCGTCGCCTCGCACGAGATGCACTCCTGTGTTGCGTCGGTCTTCGCGCGCAATCACCCGGGCGGCGCGATCGGTGCTGCTCTCCGCGGGACGAAACCAAGGGAGGACGTCCGCTCCGTGATGGTCTGCTTGGAGGACATCAGCTCGCTCCAACACCACACTCGTGGAAATCCAACAGGCCTGGACGTTCTCCGCGCGGGGTATGCGAGTCCCTCCGGCTGGGTGAAGCTGGTGCCCGACGAGGACGGCCACAGCGGGAGTGTGAGTGGGAGGGAGACTGGCGGCGTCATCGCGCCGAGGCGGATCAGGCGGATGGACGCTGAGGATATGAGTCGGCCACTGGACGAGCTGAAGAAGTGGCTGGTTGCGCCGAGGAGCGGCTTCATCCCTGTCGCGGCGGACACCAGCGTGCAGCGGGCGGCGGAGTGGATCAGGGGGTTGAGGACTGCCACTACCACTATCGCTGGGGAAGAGAGCGAGGATCATGAAGGGGGCGCGTACGGCGACGAGGCGATTGTCGCGGTCATGGAGAGGGGTGAGTGCATCGGCTTGTTGGAGGTTGGACGGCTGCTGGAAGAAGCATGATCAGAGAGGAGTTTGGATATGAGCACCTCGGTACCTACTTAGAGCGGCTTGGGAGGCATTTTGTCGCATTTGGCATGGCATTGGATCTGGGTGGCGTTTTTGGCATGGCACAGGGGAAAAGGGATACAAAGGATATTTTGTTTATGATCGGATCTTTTCTTTTCCAGGACGGCAGTCGGCATGTCTCACGACTTTTAGACATCGGGTGGCAGCATCCGGTGCCACAGCATTTGGGGGTACAATACAGGTATTCTTGCTTTAGAACATGAATGGTCGTACGCTAGTTGTGCAACTAGGATAGTGGTACAATACATATCCAACTCTCCGTGGGTATTCTAACATCGGCTGCCCTTCCTCCTTCCAGACATCGTGGCACAACCCTTGTTCAGTCCTCCTCACTGCTACTACTCCCCCCTGATTCACTTTCTGCGTCCGACTCACTCTCTGAGTCTTCTTCCCCTTCTGATTCCGATGACGAGCTGCTACTACTCGAGCTCGAACTTGCCCCGTCGAGCGCCGCATCTACCATCTCCTCATCCTCCGACTCATCATCGCTAGAGCTGCTCTCGGACTCGCTCTCGGACAACTCCGACTCGGACGAGCTGCTGTCGTCATCAGCGATGTCGGTCCGCACGTTCCTTAGCCTCCTCCGCTTGGCCGGCTGCTGAGAGCTGTCGCTCCGTGGCCGGCTCCTGTCCACGGTGGCAGTGGTGGTGGCTTCTTCCTGGCCGCCGGAAGAGGCAGAGGAGGACGTGGTTGTTGTGCTAGCGGATATTGTTGTTGTTGATGTTGTGCTCTCGTCACTGTCTGATAGCTCGTCTAGGATAACCTCGGCGCGGATGCGCTTGAGGAGGCGCTGCTTGACCTCCGGGGTGGCGATCCGGATGACATACTTCATTTCGTCGAGGGCGCGCTTGCCATTGGCGTTGGTCGTGCTGCCATTGTGCTGTTTCTGGTACTGTTGGAGGTCTTTCAAGAATCGGGATATCGTTTCTTCGTATTCTCTTTGCTTGCTCTCCCTGTCCTTGACTGATGCCGGAAATGCGCCCTGGCCGGCCTCCATGTCTTTCTTCTTGATTTCCGCTGCCGTCTCTCGTAACCTTGTCCGAACGGATCCTTTTAGGTCTCGGATGTATTCGTAGAAAATCGAGATGTCGGACGAGGGAATTTTGCCCTCGTCGAAGACGTACTTGATTAGAAGCGTCTGGTGGTTCTTGTTGAATTTCCAAGCTTCCCTCGCCGTGTGCCACTGGCGGAGGTAGTTTAGGGAGGGCTCGAGGCTGAAGTCACTCTTCGGTGTGTCGGTGGTCTGTTTGGTCTTCTTCTTCTTGGCCTTCTTCTTTGATGGCTCGGAGGTCTTAGCCTTGGTGTTGTCCTTGGTACCGTCGGCGAACGAGACCTGTTTCCTCACTGAAGACGGCGTCCCGCCATTCACTGCCCTTTGCTCGTCTGTCCGCGGCTTCTTATTCGGTGTATGCGTGGAGACAGCGTTCGCCTGGGAAGCAGAGCTTGGTTGTTTCCTTTTCAAGGCGCTCGCTGGATTTCCAATTGCACGGGTTTGGTGGGCATTGGGAACCTGCGCGAAGGGCTTTGTGCCTGCATTGGGGCCTCCCGAGCTAGGGATAGCTTCGTCAGATCCAGGCCCCTTGAGCTTGAGGCCCAATCGCTTCCAGGCCGGGACGCGCGAGGCGGACATGGTGACCACCGAAGGGAGGAGGGAGCAAGGTAGAGTCTCGGGAATTGGACGATCAGGCGCGACGGGTGGTCGGGAACGGGGCTGCGCGAGATTCGATAGGAACAGGAAAACTTCGGCTAGCCAAGCAACGCCTCTTCTAAGCCCAAGTTGCCGATAATGCTGGAATTGGATACCTGAACGGCATTCTGTGTGTTCTATTGGGCGTTTGGACTGGTGCTCCCAGAGCTTCTCATCCCACGCGCAGCAAATTTCTGCCCAGATGGATCTTATCGGTACCCGATGCAGGGGTACAGGAGCCGATAAACCTTGAACAGTGGGGCATTTCAGGCCATCAGGGTGGTCGGGCCAGTGATTTCTGCCTGAGGCAATGACGCACTGACTGCCCCGCAAAACGGGGCCTGACATTTGAGGCAGCTTAGCAACTTAGCACCTGCTTTCTGTCAGCCTTGGCTCTAGGCAAACCGCAGCAACGCGTCAATCAGTTGGACTTGGGAAGCTCCCGATCGAACAACGAAGCTCTCCCGCCTAGTCCAAACAACCCCGTTCTTCAAACCACAACAACAAATTCCGGCCCTATTCAGCGAGCTTTGATTCATCCCGACCTGCTATATTACGACACAATCTTAAGGCGCTCTATCGTCCGTCAAAATGGCGGGTATGTCTACCATCGGCTGCTGCGACAGCTCGGAGCTCCACTTGGTCATTGCTAACGCAGGGGACAGGCAACGCTGGATATGACAGACATATCACCATTTTCTCGGAACAGGGAAGGTTGTTCCAAGTCGGTACGTGCGAACGCGATATGCGGTTCATTGGAAGACGGCGTGGGGGGAATCATATTGGAGACCTGGTGCTCGGGGCCATGGTGGAATACTGGAAGGGGGGGTTATGTCGACGATGCTGACGGTATCACCGCGCTGCAGAATATGCCTTCAAGGCGATCACAGCTGCGAACATCATGTCGATTGGTGTACGGGGCAAGGACTGCGCCGTAGTCCTGTCCCAAAAGAAGGTGCCGGTATGCAATTCCCGCCGTGTGCCCTCTCAGGCCGGCCCGAGCTGACGGCGTGACTAGGATAAACTCATCGACCCCTCGTCCGTTTCGCACATCTTTCAGATCTCGCCGTCGGTTGGCTGCGTCATGACGGGGTCCATCGCCGATGCGCGGGCGTTTGCGCAGCGCGCCCAGTCCGAAGCTGCAGAGTTCAAGTACAAGTTTGGTTACGAGATGCCATGCGACGCCTTGGCTAAGCGGCTTGCCAATATCAGCCAAGTCTATACTCAACGGGTACGGATCGGATAGCGAGTAGAACAAGCCGAGCTATGCTGACACTACTTTCAGGCGTACATGCGGCCGTATGGCGTTGCAACCACGCTGATATCCCTCGACTCCGAGTTCGGACCCCAGCTGTTCAAGACCGATCCTGCTGGCTACTACATTGGGTACAAGGGCACCGCCGCCGGGCCCAAGCAGCAAGAGGCGCTCAACCAGCTCGAGAAGAAGCTCAAGAACAAGGACTGCGCGCCCGGTGATTGGAAGGACGTTGTGGAGCTGGCCATCACTACGCTCAGTTCTGTACTCAGCATGGACTTCAAGAAGACCGAGATTGAGATTGGGATTGTGGGAGGGCCGCGCCCAGATGGCAAGGAGGGAACGTACCCAGGCTTCAGGAAGCTAACGGAGGACGAGATCGACGAGAGGTTACAGGCAATTGCCGAGAAGGACTGAGGAGGTACTAGTAATGGGTAGCCCCTTTTGGGGCGGACGGGCAACTTGCTGGATGAGTAGGTTGATCCGTCACCAGTTGTCCAGGCCAATCGATGGCCGTCAGATGAGGCTGTCACACACATGGTGCGGTTGATAACTCCGATTGTCAGGTTACTTATTTTCCGCCCCAACCATAACGTCCACATGCATCATGCAGGTCAGAGTTCCGAAAATAGAGCGGTTGTTGCCGATGACAGTCGAGCCAAGGTCCAGTCAGAGCTCAATGCTGGAACGTTATGAGGTGTTCATTAGGCATGTTGTTGCAGGCGTCTGCGAACGGGGACTTAGATGTTGGTGATGGCGTTCGGCCATGCATGTTTGCCACTTAGGTTGCCGTCAGCCCAGCCGGACAGACGAAAGCCGCCGTGAATACGGCCGTTGACGGCGGCAGTTGTCGATCACTGACAAATCGTGAATGAGCAGTCCAATGCCTTGTCGGCTCACGTGGCAGTCGATGACATTTCTTCGTTTTGGGTCCCCTGCTTCAAGCTGCCTCAGAATATACGGGGATACGTTCCATACTTTCCGTGGAGTTCTGGGGTCGGATTAGGCTCACATGAGGTTAGACAGCGGGCTTTGGGACGCCGATGACATCTGTTGCAATCTTCGGGAGGGTTCGTCAACAACAAAGAGCGGATAGGCTTGAGCTAAGAACCCTGCGAAGCTGATATCCAGCTTCTTCGAACTCCTTGGCAAGGTTGTCAACAACGGCTCGGGATGAGCGAGACTGGACGACAGGATCTCACCGCAAAAACAGCTGCTCCAACCTGCAACTACCAGGTACCTGGACAAGTCAACTCCTCGGGTGAAGCCGATTGAAAAGACGAACTGGAGGACTTGTCATCGTCGCGATTCAGCGCCGAACAAGCACTTGGAGGTTGCTCGACAGCAAGGCTCTCCAACATGATTGGTTCCCAATAAAGCCGAGCACATGAGCTGCCTCCCGCAAAAACTGGGCTGAGGCCAGGGCCTTGCTGGATTGGGCTGTAGCGCGGTTCAGAGCGGCGCTGAAACCTCGCCAAATTATCCATTTCGGGGACCCCCCTGTCGAAACAGCCTCCACTCTGACCCATGACAGACTCCCAAGCCACGCCGAGCGGCTCTTCGACCGACGATTGTCCCACATGGCTTGGCATCCACCTCAAGCTAAAGAAGACCGGCCACTTGGGCGATGCGGATGCAGTGCCGCTTGGAGATGCAGCACGCAAGGAAAGGGAGTTCCGGACGAAAACCCAGGTCTCCCGCTCGCACTTGTCGTGGCATGCACACCTCCATCCATCTTCGTGCATGCGGCTGCATGCCGTTCCCAGCCTGACCGGGGCCAGTCTCTTAACTCACCGTTGCAGCCGTGGATTCCGACCGTCGAATTCTCCGTGAGCCTCCAACGTGCCGCACTCATCATTGGGCCAGGTGAAGCTCCTGTGGACTCATTGCATGTGCCATACAGCTCTGTAGGGGCTCCCGTTAGGCTCTCTTACCCCGTCGGTGGCGTCCGGCTGCTGGAAGCAGATGCAGGAACAGAACCATGGAAGTTCCAACTCCCAACCCTCCTCCTGCAACCTCGCATTAGCCTTGCAGCCGCGGGACTGGCTCGTGGTGCCCCATGACATATGTGTGGTGTAGATGCGGATGACTCCAGTTAGTCAAGTGTAGACATTGTGCTGTTGAGATGGCGGACTACACACACTGGCGTTCCCCCACAACGCCGTGACGTCTGGAGAACTCGGGCTATGGGAGACCTCCCGTGCAACTCCCTTTCCCTAGTCTCAACGGTTATGGAGACGGCGATGGAAAATTCTACAAAAGCCACGAGAGGGCATCTTCAAGCCCACCACCAAGAGCTTCATGCTATCAGCGATCCTCAACGGCGAACGCCAATCTCTTCTCCTTTCAGCCCTGCGCTTCTTGTTCCGCGCATAAACTGTACATTGATATCTTCCTGTTATTCCGTCTTTCTTGCGGCATACTTCATTATCTCTCAACGCCCACTCTCGGCGAGACAGGATACAGCGGGCTTGCCTGTTCACATCGCTTGCTACCCTTCTGGGTGTCCTACCGCAGTAATACGTACAGAATGGCAGACGGACGTATGTTGATGATTTACCATGGCCACTCCTCCCCAAGCACCCCAAGCGCCCTTACAACCAAACACGCACTACAAGAGTCCTTAGCTCTCTCCACTGCTGGGCCCAGACAGCCCTACAGGGCGTTTCCCCAGACGCCTCCCCCTCCCCCCCCCCTCTCCTCCTCCCGGGGGTGGCAATACGAGGCTCTGACTAACCAAAACAATGGTCAACAGTCAACGAATACCGCACGGCGCGCGTTGCTGAGCTGCTCTCGGACTTCCGCACACTACAGTACTACATCGCCGCGGCACCGTGCAACCCGCCCGACATGGACGACTACTACACCGAGGGCTGGGCCGCACTCCGGCAGTGCGCCATGGACGGACAACACATCCTCAACTGCGCGGCCGACGTCACAGTGCCGTGCGCTACGGGCGGGCCCGACGAACAGGCCAAGGCGGAGCTGAAGCAGTGCGTTTTTGTCTTTTGCCTTTTGTTCCATCCTCCTTACTTCCCGTCTCCTCCCTTCGCTATATTTCCGCCCTTTTGTGGCTTGCCACCGCTCCAAGCTAACCCTTACCCATCCCCTCTCTTCAGAGTTCTTCTCGACGCATACGCGCGCAGGCATGAGGGACAGAAGATCTACCTCCGGCAGGCGGCGGCGCAGCGCTGGATCGAATGGCGGGACCAGATTCTCATGGGCGGCAGGCCGCACCCGGGCAACCAGGCACAGCTGCTCCAGATCGATCAGCAGTTGCGAGCTGTAAGTGTTTTTCTAGTCCTTGTTCCGTCTTATCCCCTTCCCACTAGTACTCCCAATCACCCTCTCTCGTCCTTGCGTGAACCACATTCCAAAACTGACAACACAAACTCCCCAGGAGCTCGCCAGCATCACCGACGAACTCGTCTACTCCGAGCTTCAAGCCTCCGACATGAGCATGGGCCGCTGGACGGCCGAGGACCCGAGCCTGCGTGCTGTGCAACGCTGGGTGCGGACCCGGAGGTGTTAGCTAGACGAAAAACACGACAGACGCCATGACGAAAGCGATGGCATATTTCCCACTCTAATCACGACAACGACCACGACTCTGATGAGCCGCCCCGAGATACCCAAGGCCATCCATTCTCCCTTTCCGGCGGAGCTCCATTACCTTCTCTTCCTACATTCTCCTCCTTTTTTGTCCCTATTATTTCACGGGTTTTAGATTGTCAGGAGCATTATTATTACTATGGGATACGGCATTGGTAACAAAAAGGTTCGGGTTAGACTCATTCTTGGGGGTTTCATTTTGTTTTTGTTTATTGCGATACCACGGGGATATCTGGAACAGAGGGTGGACAATGGTCGGGCTGGTGCCTTTCCATGTTGCACATGTTTTATTGGAGGTTGCGGCGGGCACGCTTTCCGGTTTGTATATACTGTAATGGTGCACTGGTGTGTTGATCTTAGCGCTGAGCGGACGGGGGTGGATGTGCAAGGCACCTAACTAGGGGTAGGCAGTTACATATGAGGCGAAGGCAAGGGGGTAAACTGCCTGGAGCAGGATGGGTGAAGGGGAGATAGGAGCCATTGTCCGAACTCGAGACGGCCTGAGGCATAGGTAGCCGGTTCGGCCAGATGGTTTCTGAAGATTATCGACAGTACTACATTCTATGAAGCGGCAAACAAAGAGGTGAATTTTAAAGAGAGGAAGGAGTCGAGCGGTGGCTATATTCCCAAAACCCGACTCTCACCCCCGTTGCCTGTTACGAGACCCGGAACCGATTCCTACCTAGGTAGTGTTCTTGCTATGCACACACAGCGCAATGCCCCCAACCGACAGGAACATCCCCATCAACGTCTCTATATAGCAGATCAGAACCCATCATCAGCACATCACGACGGGCCATTCAACAGCGCAGGAGCAGTGTGGACATACCTCGACTAATCACCTTCCCCTCAACCCACCACTCCCCGAGCACGGTGAACAGGAACGCCAGTGTGTTCACCACCGGCACCGTCAGGCTCAGTTCTGGCCAGGTACACACGATATCAGCATCGCCCTCTAACTCCATTGCGAGCAAGCAAAGCAAAGCAACCGGTAACAGTGGAATATAACGAGAAAGGAAGAAGATGGGGAAAAAAATAAGAGAGAAAAAAAAAACATACCAGCCTGCCCAATCAACAAAAAGAACCACACGCTCCCCGTCAGGTTCAGCACCAGCGGCACCGCATAGCGCGGGTTGCGCAGGAGGTCGAGCACCGCATAGGCCGCGCCGCATACCCGTGTCTTTAGCCGGGCCCACCACGTCCCTGACAGGTTCCTCTTCCCGTCTTCTTCTTCTTCTGAAGAAGAAGGACGTCGATCTCGAGGGCGGTGGTCCCGGGCTGCGCGCCGGATGAAGGGGACTGTGAAGCCCCATGCTAGGCCGACGAGTAGGAACGAGAGGATTACGTTTATTGTTGGCGGAGGGGGAGGACCATGGGAGGGCGGTGGCGGCGGCGGTGGTGGTGAAGGGGTTGTTGTGATGGTCATCTTAAAGAGCAAAAGGATGAGAGTGAGGCAAGGGATGAAGGAGGAAGAGATGTGCGTCCGCGGTGTGGTTGTATGAGGTGGGATGTGAGTACCCGCACCTAATATTTTCCTCGCTCAACGGACTGCTCGAGATGCTCTGGGTAATGGCGGAAGGTGCTGATCATCTTCGACGGGAGTTGATAATGTAAGGAGGTGCAGTACGGAGCTATTGGGTGTTGGCAAGGAGTCGGGGTGCTTATCGATAAGATACCCTCAACCCTGGAATGAATGGAACAGTTTAAGGTGAGAAAGACATCGACCAAACCCCAACTTATCCGACAATAATGAACGGCTTATTTTGACGAGTCGCTCATTTAGGTTGACCGCTGAATGAGGGAAGATACTATCTTGGAGTTGCGTGATAGTCCCAGCTCGAAACTTTTTACTGCTTTACCATTTCAGCCGATCGCTTTATTAAGATGTCAATACCTCCGTAGTCGACACTGTGTTAACCGCTCCTCGGACTTCCCCATGCCCCGGTAAGCTACCTTACCTTAGCTATCCACTATATTCACGGCATACTCGAACTTGAGTACAAGGTAGCCTCGCCTTGTTGAGTCTTTCGCCAGCCAAAACGAACGTCCCGTAACCAGGCGGTCGGCCAACCCAACGTTATCTCCTTGGCCCCTACACACTTTAGCTAAGGTATGTAGGCAGGTGCTGACACACTTTAGGTAGGGTCCATATTGTACCCTGAATCTCACCATCTGTGCGCGCCTCAGGATTTGTGACTTATTTACTAATACCAGGTAGTTGAGTTGCACAGGTAGGACGGACGGAAGCCAAAAGAAGCAAGAGGCACCGGGCCTGAACTGAAATTCCCCCATATCATAACATATCATATCTAGTATCTAGTATACAGTACCCCCAAGCAAAACCCCCAAATCACTCCGATTTCTACACCAACCAAACATCAATGCTCAAAGAAGAAGAAGTCTAAACCCCAACGAACAACCCGAGACAGGCAAGGCAGACAAGAGCGTCAATACCACCCACCCCCCAGCCCGGCCCCGTCTGAAGAAAAAAAGGCCCGTCAATGTCAATACCCTCCCTGTCCATACACAAACCCCTGATTGCCATGCTGACCCGAATGCCTCCCCTTCATGGAATAAGTAGCATATTTTCGCCTGGAACTTCCCGTGCCGATATCAATCTGCCTGAGCTCCTCCTCCAGCGAGAGCGCTCCATCACCCCCCCTCCCTCCAGGGACACCATCATATGCACGGTTATACCCTTCATACGGTTCATGCTGATGTTGCTGATGCTGGTGGTGGTCATGGTGGTGATCAAGCTCTTGCTCAGAGTAATACTCGTCATCGATCCCGCTCCCCGCCCGTCTGGCAAGGCTGCTGCTGTGCAACTGCAGGGCGCCACTCATACCACCAGGCCCTCCAGAAGAGTTAGCATTGTTGCTGCTGTTGGGAGCGGGCAAGGCAAGCGGGATTTTGGCGGGTATGGGCGGCGGACCGGAGCCTCCACGCGTGTGATGAGCGTGCGGGGAACAGCCGTGTCCTCCATAAGAATGGGAGTGGGAGTGAGAAGGTGCGTAGTTCTCGCTGCCTGCTCCCAGGGCATAGTCGAATGTGGCTGCGCGCGGGAGATGGCGCGGCGGGGTGAAGTTGTCTTGATGCGGAGGGATGGGCGCGAGAGGGGTGGGTTCGATGCCATTCCCACTGCTGCTCGGGCGGAAGCCGTTGCTATTAGAAGAGCTGGGACCGGGCCCGTTGGCGCCTGACATGACGGGGGCGATTGCCGACGTGGACTGGCGGTAGACAGCCTTTTTCTGCAGGCGGCTGCGCGCTGATGAGGCCGGAGATGAGGAGGATGTCACGGACTCGTTGACGTGGTCGGAGGAACTGCCGAACGAGACAACAGAACTGCTGGGGAGCATCGATTGCGGCCGGACGCGCAGGGGGCGACGACCCGAGGACGGAACGGGCTGCGGTCCAGACAGAGAGGGGCGAGCCGACGGAGATGAAGATGACGGAGGCTTCGGCTCGGGTTCCGGCGCCCAGCTCTCCATCGGCAGGTGGTCGGAAGGGTCGACCTCTCGGCCATCGTGCGTGATGATCTTGCCAGTCGCTTCGTCGTAGTCTGGACGCGAGGATGCGGCGTCCTTAAGGGCAGCGGATGAAGCATTGGGGTTTAGCGCGTCGTAAGAGTCGGGGCCAAACGGCACGTCAGATATCTGGCGCGTGTTGTCCACCGGCGGTCTCGGGCTGACTGACTTGCGCCGAATGGTGTGCTGGGTACGTGGGTTGGGACTCGGGTCACGGGCCGGGTTTGGCGAGTAGGCGCGGGACTTGATAACAACATTGACACTTGAGGTCGATGGTCCGTTTTGGTACGTGACGGGGCTCCTGCTGTGAGCGGGTACGACAGCGTTGTACGCGGCCGGCGAGCCATCATGGCCGTATCTCTGGTCCATCGTTCTGCCCCGGGGCGGCGCCTCGATCATGGCCGGCTGTGTGTATCGCCGTTGGGTAGGCTGCTGTCTGTCCTGATTAATCCTCTCCGAGATCTCCTGAGCGATGTTCGGATCGATGCCGGGGATCAGCGACGGAGGCACAGGAGGCACAGAATAGCTCTTCGAGGCTTCGTCTACCTCACCCCGGTACGTCAAGGCTCTCTGGTCCGCGTGGGAGCTGTGGGACCCCAGCGCAGGTTCGGAGTGCCTGCCGAAATTCGGCGCATACTCGAAAGACTTTCGCCGCTGGCTCTCCGACAGAGCCATCTGGTACCCATTCGGTCCCTGGTGGCTTGGCTCAGGAGCGGCCGGAGCATGGGAGTACTGCATCAACTCGCTGCTGCGGCTTCCTGAAAGAGTCAGCGGTGCGGGGCTGGCGGTCAGATCATAGTCCGGGGTGAACTGAGACTGGGGCTGAGGTTGCTGCCAGCGCCCGGAGGTTCTTCTGTGCGGATTGCTCATTGATTCCGGCGACTCGGGAACATCCTCAACGGTCGGCTGCAGGGCCCTATGGGGAATATCATAAGCCGGATCATACGAGTAGTGGCGCACCGGTGGCGCCTGTTCCGTGATGGAGTGTTGAGAGCCGGAGAGTACCGCCGGGGCAGTGTCGTGTGCTTTGTATGTTGGCCGTCCCGGATAGCTTGCAGGCCCAATTGAGTTCCGATGAGCTTCGCTTCGCAGCACATCGTGACGCATCGTTGGAGGGGTCGCCTGAAACCCTGTATTCAGGGGAGGATTGCTACCAGTCCTGCTCCGATGTGCGGGCGGCGGTGGTGGCCTATCATCCTCAAGATTTCTTGCTTCGTTTGCCTGGGGAAAGTCGTATGGCCCTTGATGGTCGTAAGTCAACTGTTGCTGTTGCTGGTACTGGGGGCTATAGCCTTGGTCATGATGTTGGATGGCATACTGCTCCGCTCTGTCGGGGGTTCGGAATTGCTGCGTAGGCGCTTCCAGCCTTCGAGGCGGAGTCTCGAACTCTCGACTGGGTTCCCGGCGGAGATGGTCCGGCTGTTGGTAGTATGGCTGCGACGGCGCTGGTGGGGCTGGGTTGTACTCGGCCTGCTGGAAAGACTGGTGCGAGGTAGGCGTGGGATTCGGTTGTGGACGAGGCGGCGCCTCTACTACTTGCTCTGGAGCAGGAGCAGGAGCAGGCGGAGCTGGGGCCTCTCCAGTGACCGGATCCGAGGGCAAAGGTCGACGCTTGGGCACCTTCCTGGGACCGCTTGGACCAGTTGGCGCGGAAGTTGCTTCAAGCTCGGCTTGGACCGGTGGCTTTGCCTTCGCCGCGGGCTTCTCGGGCTTGGGGCGGCTGTCGTAGAATGTGATCTCGATGCGGACCTCGCCGGCATACTTACCTCTGCACCCGAGCTGGTGCCACTGGTCGCTCTGGCCGCCTCCCGGCACGACAATGTTGCGTAGGTCGATCCAGGCCTCTCCGATCAGTTCCGTCCTCTTGTCGTCGTTGAAGACCGAGACCTTGAGCTGATAGTAGTCGGGTGAGTCGTGGACGGTGAATCGGAGTTCCTGATCCCTGCGTCGCCGGATTCCCCGCGGTTAGCTTCGATGTGGGACAACAACAACAATTGGAAGGGTCGTGGTCTGTAGCACTTGCCATTTTGGGGTCTGGCCACCGCGGAGGTCGGTGTTGGTCTTCTTGGCCTCTTTCCCGAGGCGAGCAGCGCAGTAAGGGTTCTGCTTGCCAATGGTCTTGCGATTGGGCAGGTTCTTGGCCCGGTCGACCACCATAACCAGCGTGCCGATCTCTGGTCCGTCGACGCTCATGTCGGAGTAGATACCCGCCGTGTGCGGGATCCCGTTGAGGGGGTTCGCTTTCACCAGCTTGGTCGTCATCTTGTCTGTTTCGCTGCGCGAGGCCGTCTCATGACCCGAGGTCGTGGTGTTTTAAGCGGCGGTTTTAAGAGCCTGAGTCCTGAAAAGGGAATCAAAGCGGTTTGTTTACTTGGACTCGGGGGTTCGTTTGTTTGTGGAAGTTACCCCGCCGATGGCTACAAGCAGTTCCAAGTTTTGGTTGTTGTCGACAAAAACCGGCACGCACACAAAAAGGAAAAAGACACTCGGAATCAATAGAAAGCAACAAAGGGAGGATTCCCTTTCATTGACACCAGACTGCACCAGAATAAACCACACCAAGCGAGGGGTTGGTAGGAACTTGAACGAAGAATGAGCTGAGCTGCTGGTCGCCGGGATTAAAGAGCGCCCACATGCAGGTGTGATTGGCTGCGTGTTGATCTGCAGCAGCCCGGCAGGCAAGCGGAGCTTGGGCAGTTCGCGTCCGCAGTGGCTGGGGCCCGGGGGTCAATTGCGATTGCGCGTCGCTAATCAGGATTCGAGATCCGGGTGGCTGGCATCCATGGATGCGGAAAAACACGCAAATCAGTGAGGCTGGGGGCCTGTTGGGCGCATCCGTGCCCCGCAGCCGCTGAAACCTGGAAGCTGCAGGCGGGAGGAATGCAACACCACTCCACCAGGGCGCTGATGCAGGCTTCCAGATTCTGCCGATCCTTGTTAACGTTTAGCGACGTTTTTAGTGCATTTCCGTTGTTGCATTGATGGACGGGAGTCGACATCTGAGACTCGTCATCCCACGGGAAGGGACACGAGAAGGCTACCCTCGGAGAGAGGGAAGAGACACCACAAGATGAAACTCATCTCATTCATACGCTTCACTGAGAATGCGCAGTACATACAATATCCACAGACATGATCATGGAAAAAAGGACACCGCCAAAACGCCCACGCTCCGCTCAATCAACCCACCTACGGTAATTAATCCCGGTATCAGATCCGGCCACTGCTCCAAAAAATGAACAAAACAACCATCAAGGCAAAAAGCACACCAACACCGCTCATTCCACGTGGAAGACTCTCGCTAGGCCAGCTCATATGGCCGGACACCGTATTGCTGTTGCTGTTGCTGATGCGAGCCCGGCAGTTCTGACCGCACCGCCTCGGGCCAAAGCTCATGGGGCCCGTACGCCTCGGCTGATTTCGGGGGCGGCGGCGGCGGCGGCGGTGGGCCACCTTCGGCCGGAGGTTGTGTTCCGGACATTGCCGCTTCCGCCTCTGCTGCTGCCGCTGCCTTTGCCTTCCTAGATCGAAGGAGGTACATGGTGGCAAGGAGTGCCGCGATGCCGACCACGCCCAGGCCGATGCCTACGCCGATACCGATGGCCGCGCCGGTTGGTAGGCCCGAGGATCCACTTTCGCCCGATGGTGATGATGATGATGAGCTTATGCTTATGCTGGCCGCACCAGGTGCTCCGATGGTGGGTTCCGTGGGCAGGATCGAAGTGGAAGGGGCAGATGTTGGAGGTGGTGTCGTCGTCGTCGTCGCCGAAAGTGTTGAGGATGTTGTTGTTGTTGTGAGAGATGACGATAACGATGTCGCCGCCGTCTGCACTGCGATGCTCCATCCCACTACGGCGATGGCGCCCACCACAGAACGCCGGGCCAGGGTTGTGGTAGCGATTGACCACGCGTCCGACTCCCCCAGTGGTGTCGAGGCGAAGGTCAGAACCGCGCCCGAGGGGACGTCGGATCGGCAGTCGCCCGCGACGGAGCCCGAGATGCCGTTTGCCAGGTAGTAGTCCCTAGGGAAGGGCGGATGTCAGCGTGCGCGGAAGGCTGATGGGGAGATGACCTGGTATACTATACTCACGGCGGGCAGCACATCGCTAGTGTGCTGCTGGCGTCTCTAACCGAGGTTACCACCGTCGTCCACGCGTTGGGACACGTCATCGGCCCCAGACTGGCGGCGGTGTGCCCCGGGTCGTCACCGCCGCCGAGCCGGCCTTGCTCCCACCATGTCGTCACAGCCGGTGGTGCGCATTTCACTCTGGGGTCGATGTCGAGGCCATAGCCGGGGTCGTACGCGACGAGACTCGGCCCGTTGAGGCGGAACTTGGTCTCACATCCTATGGATGGTGTGAAGGTGGTCGTGAGCGGTACCCAGGATGTCACTACCCCGTCGTTGGTCTCGGGAGGATATACAGTTGCCATCGCAAAGAATTACCGTATGCCTTGGGAAAAGGGGGGCGGTGTTGTGAAAGGTGGACATGATGTTCGACACAGTACCAGGGAGTAGGCGGGATATCTCAGGGGGTCGTTGTTGTTGGTACCGTAACCGTAGCGCCTACCAGCACCCAATCAACCCCTTGACACCCCTGGACACCCCTTGGGGAGAATGTCGTGAGAACATCAAAAATGCATGCAGCCCTGTATGCGCACTGTGGATATGCGGTGTGATTATGTGGTATCTTAGCCGTTTTGTTCAAGTCTGTTGGCGGCCGTCGTCTAATGGGCACTGTCTCATTCGCTAAACCAGGGGGTCAACAACCAACAGTCATGCAACATGCAGCCAACAACCATGGAATAACAAATTACAGCAGAAGGCCGTGTCCTTCTTCACCTTCTGCCTTCCTCGTCTTCTTCTCTGGACAAACGCCACCGAATATGACGGGGAAGAAAGGAAAACAGACGCGGCGACCGGCACCGTCGCGGATCCCGTCACGGCTACGCTATGGCGTTGCTACCCTCGCTGCCACAGCAGCTCTCGGATGGGGAGCATTGCAATGGTACACAGATAATCCGATGGGCTTCTCTCATTACCAAGCATCCTCTGTCGACTGGGACGCCCGTCGAGATGCGGTGAAGGAGGCATTCGTCACGAGCTGGCAAGCATACACTCAGTACGCATGGGGTGAGTTAAGTTTCGCAGTCACCAACTTACTTCAACTGACTCCCATAACCGCGGGCCATCTAACATAACGGTTAACCTGTTTGTTCCAGGCCAAGACCGATACCACCCCATCACGGCCCGGGGCTCGCAGATGAGCCCCAACGGCCTTGGCTGGATCATCGTCGACAGCCTGGACACGATGATGGTGATGAACCTGACCGAGCCGCTGGCCGAGAGCCGCCGGTGGCTGCACCGGAGCCTATCGTACGACCAGGACCAAGACGTCAACACCTTCGAGACGACCATCCGCATGCTCGGCGGCCTGCTGGGAGCGCACCACCTCGCCAGCCGCTTCCCCGACGTGGCCTCGCGCCGCGACTCAGTCTATCTGACCAAGGCGGTCGACCTGGCCGACCGGCTGCTCGCGGCGTACGAGTCGCGGTCCGGCATTCCCTACGCGAGCGTGCACCTCGGCAGGAAGGCGGGCCTGCCCTCGCATGCCGACGGCGGCGCGTCGTCCATGGCCGAGGCGGCCACGCTGCAGCTCGAGATGAAGTACCTGTCCCATCTCACCGGCGACGAGCGGTACTGGCGCAGGGCCGAGAAGGTGATGCAGGTGCTGGACGACAACGCGATGGAGGCAGGCTTGCTGCCCATATTTGTCCACCCGGAAACGGGCCAGTTCACAACGGCCGAGATCCGCCTGGGGAGTCGCGGCGATTCGTACTACGGTCAGTTCCTCTCTCATGATTCATCTCGTCATCGATACCACTAGCACATAAAATCATTCACTGACACAAAAGAAAACAAAACCGGCAGAATATCTCATCAAGCAGTATCTCCAGACATCCGGCCAGGAGCCCGTCTACCAAGAGATGTGGGAGGAGGCGCTGGCCGGCATCCAAGCCCACCTCGTCACCACGACCCGCAGGGCCGGGCTCAAGATCGTTGCCGAGCTGCCGCAGGGCATCGGCGGCGTCCTGTCGCCCAAGATGGACCACCTCGTCTGCTTCCTGCCGGGCGCCATCGCCCTCGGCGCTACGGGCGGCCACATGCTCGCCTCGGCCCGCGCGCGGCCCGGCTGGTCGGAGGCCAGGGAGCAGCAGATGCAGCTGGCGCGCGACCTGATGAAGACGTGCTGGGCCATGTACGCGGTGACACGGACGGGGCTGGCACCCGAGATCGCGTGGTTCGATGTCGCCGAGGAGGATCTCGTCCGCCGCCCTCGGCGGCCCGGCGACCGGATCAGCAGTAACAGTGGTGGTGGTGGTAGTAGTATTAGGCGTAAGACGCGAGACTCGCTGGCGGCGTGGAAGCAGGACTTCATCGTCAAGCCGCTCGACGCGCATAACCTGCAGCGGCCCGAGACGGTCGAGAGCCTGTTCGTCATGTGGCGCGTCACCGAGGACCCGCTGTACCGCGAGCTGGGGTGGAAGATCTTCCGGGCGTTTCGGGAGTGGACGTAGGCCGGGCTGGATAAGGGGTATACGTCGGTGAACGACGTGAATCACATCGCGCCGCCGTTTAGGGATAATATGGAGAGTTTCTGGCTGGTGAGGATATCCTGACCCTTTTTTTTTCCCTTTTCCTTTTCCTTTTCCTTTTCCTTTGCTCTGCTTCTGTCGAACGAATGAGAAAGCAGTGCAGCTAATCACCGACATGGTCTCATGTCTACTAGGCCGAGACTCTGAAATACTTGTACCTGCTGTTCTCGCCGACCGACTTCCTCCCTCTGCATGAGGTTGTTTTCAATACGGAGGCGCACATCCTGCCCCGGTTCAAGAGCGAATGGGAGACGGGGTGGAAGCGGAAACGGTGAACAAATGGACGCTTTTTAGGCCGAAATGTAAAACATGCATCGATTTAGAAGTTCACTGATTGACTTGGCCCAACTCGAAGTCTGGATTGTTACTGGGCTGACTCAGTGTCTCAGATTGCAGTTTTGAATTCAAGTGGCTTGAAACTCTTCTTCAGGGGCGGATTGATTCGCGGTAAGCCGTTTTGCTACCCTGGTTTCCGTACTGGAGTGAGCATTTCAGTTGCCTAAAGTGAGGTAGGTACCGTACGGGTACATTTCGAGACGCTGATATCCCTTTAGCATCGCCTGACATAAAGCCTGCCCTTGTCTTCTTTTCGTTTCGTCTGCATGCAGAGATAAAGCTGTGTTAAGTCCCTGGTAAGTAGTGTAACTCGTCTCACCCCATTGGCTCGAGGAATTAGAAGCGGCGCTGCACCGACAAGATGTCGAGCGCCGAGCTCTCCGAGGCCACCGACTCCAATGTACGCATGATCCCGCGATGCGGAGATATGCTATGCCTACTTGGAAGACGTACCGTCTCCTACGTTCGGCCTTATCAGCTTCGACTTGCCGGCAGCCCGCTGGTTCACCACGTGGCTGGTGTCTTCAGGAGCTCATCTGCGCCTCGCATACTGGAGTTCTACGCCTCCGACTGAACAATAACCGGCACGAAGGCCAGTCTATGCCGCATAATTCAGCAGAATACAGCAATCCCACAGAGGATGCTCATCGGGGAGATTGGTATCCATATGCCTATGTTATATATGGCGAAGGAGAGCGGGCATTTACCGGCTGCAAGAAGAGATCATCCGACAAACGGAGGACTATTCATTTCCTCTCTGGACTACCATAGCGGAAAAAGGACGTCCTAGTCCCCATTCAAGGAGGAGTTGGTAAGCCTGGACGTTGTGCTCCCGTCATCGCCGGCCACCACCATCACCATCGGCAGATACAACCAACCGTTCCAATTCTCTGGAAGGTCACTGCTTCCTGAGGATCTCCTTTGAAATTCTCACCCACAACACACCTTCGACTGGAGGTCCATCGCGTCACCATATCCAAGTGAACATTTGGTCAGGGCGCGGGCCGGTCAGTTCTTCAAGATGCTCGCTTCAGCTGGCTGGAGAAGGGTGGCTCGTTGCACCCGGATCCGAAACCCGTCCAGATCGTAATAGGGCAGACTCTTACACTCCCAAACGACCAGACTGTGGTCGCATATGTCAAACGAGTCAAGAAAGCACTTATCATACTGCTGGTCGACATATTGGGATCTCCCAACGAATCCAAATAAGTAGGTAAGTAGTAGTGATGTTTAGGAGAATGTAATCTGAGCCATGACGCAACCTCAAACAACCAGTCCTCCCTCAAGACGACGCATTCCTCTTTTCAACAAAAAGGGATCGAGAAGAGAAGATTTGGTATTGGTAGGCGCAGGTTCTATGGGTGCATACTCAATGGATAAGACTCTGTGAAACATCATACACACCAGCTGACGCAGGACGTGACCTACGGAAACTGGGCACCCTCCAGGGTACCTAATTTGAAATGAATAGCGGAGATCGGAGCACACTCACTGAGTGGATTGGACATGTAGTTCGGAGGAGCTTAGGGAACGGGGACTGGAAGGGGAACGGAGGGCGGAAAGAGAAGGGGGGAGGGGTGGTGTTGCTGTAACACTGGTATTCATGAAATTTCCTTTGGTGAGATTGACTGCCTACTTCTGCTTTTTGCAGCCGAGGGAAATGGTAGGGGAGCTTGAACACTTCCAGTACAAGGCACATGACCAGATGCCCGGTGGGGGCTCCTGGCACGCACGACCCGGGGGGGGTGGGGTGGAATTCTGGATGAGAAGCCTGAAACACAATGACAAGCTCGGTGGTAAGGTAAGGTAGCGGATGAGATTCTGAGCGTTATTGGCAGTACACGCCACGCATTGCAGGCCGCTGTGGAAGAATTATCATCACGATGGTTCGCGAAGAGAGGATAGACCGCCTTGGTACGGGGGTGCCTTGAAGCCACGTCAAGAACGGCAATGCAGCTTGGGATTGTCCGTAAGAACCCTCTATATAGGTAATAGCAACCGCGCGTCCCAGAAACTCCTGCCCGAGCCCATTGACCTCCGACTGAAATTACTTTTGCCCCGTAGATGTGATAGAGGGTATATATCCGATCCGGACCGGATTAGAATAGAAAGAAATGCACACTCAAAGCCAGAGCCAATCCCATAAGCGGAAGCAGAAAATTGATCCGATGCAAATGTCGCATGTGACGGTGTAAAGAGGATGAATGAAGAAGAGAAGAGGTGTGCCAGGCCTCTGTGTTTTATGAGAAGAAGAAGGGAGGTGTCATGTTGCACAGCGATGAGATGAGTTAGGTAGGTAGTACGGAAGAGGCGGGAGTGGCTTTGGTTGGCCGGATAAAAATAAGCCTGACGGCTTCCCTCCGACAGGTGCCGCCCCTTGGCCGCGTCCATCCCGTCCGTTACCCTCCCCAGACCATTTTCGGTGGTCGGACGCCAACCCATGTGTGCCGCGGAAATAAGGACCATGTGCTTCGTCCACGCCGCTTCAAACCCAGAGCGCCCACTGACGCGTTCACCCGTAGAACCAGTAGTAGGCCGTGTAGGGCACGCTCTGCACACCGGCGCCAGAGACAGAGCAAGCCTGGGCGGCGCCGCCAGCCGTGACGACGCGGTAGACCAAACTCACGCCCTGTGATTCTCCGCTGCCGTTGTCCCCAAGCTGCAGCCACTGCACGGCGCCGGAGTCGGTTATGCCCTTGTCGGCGTTGCTGGGCGCGTTGATGCCATCGAGCTTCTTGACACTCGCCTTCAGCGATGCGGCGCTCAGGTCGAAGGTGGGCACGCCGGCGGAGCTGAAGTAGTGGTGGCCGAGGAATTTGACGGTAGGCACGTCCGGGCAGGTCAGGTCTGCCGGGTCCGGGAATGGGTTCGCCGGGTCGGCACCGTACTGAGATCCGTATTGTATGTTGAGCGGTATCTCCGTACGCCTGAGGACAGTCGACGGCAGATTGTCCCAGACTTGCTTGCTGATGCCGGTCTTCTTAGTTCCCGGGTAAAAGCTCGTGGCGTCGTAAAGGACGGCGAGGGCGCCAGTTGCCACGCTGGTAGCGGTGGCGTCTGCGCAACTGTAGTTCTGAATGCCATGACCGATGGCAATCTTCTTGACAACGAAGCTGGCAGCCGGGGCAGGAAGTTCGGTGCCTATGACCAGTTAATCGAAAATCTCAGGCCCGGACCAGTGACAGACTTACCCCCGCCGACCTGGGGGAGAGTGGGCGTGGCATCCTGTTTGCAGGTGGGAGCAGCGGAGACCACTGCCGCCAATGTGGCGAGGAGAAACGAGGTAGCGGAAACCATGATGGCTGATGGATCGCAGTGCAAAGAACGAAGACAAGATATCTGGAAGTACGAGACTGAAAGTTGAGACCCTTGAACCCGAAGGTGATCCTGTCAAAGGTAGGAAAGAGAGAGAAAAGATGACCAGGAAGAAAGGAGACGCAATGTAAGACTTGGAAGACCGGCTTGAGTGGGCAGTTTCGAGGTGAAGCCGCGGGATGAACGAGTTCTTAAATCTTCCAGACCGACTCGTGGTTGAGAGTCGGTTCCAAAGAGGTTAGATAGCTTGTGGCTTCCGGAAGCCTACTCCACGCCGGATTCGGATGAGGAGAAGAAGAGGCAGGAGGAAGGCGCAAGGGACAAAGGGAAAGTCGAGAACAACTGACAGGGTTGCTCTTGTACGACTAGTACCTCTACATCCTGCAGGAAGGAGCGACTTTGAGGCTCGAGACGAGGAGGTCTCAGCTCACAGGAACACCACCCCTGTTTGCCATGTAAGTACCTCTCTACGAACGAACATGGAAGCGTGACGCAAGCACTGGCTTGGAACAGGCAGACCGTCTGCAGCCAAGAACGAAAAATGCGCTTCAACGGCGGAAACCGCAGACGATAGAGACCAAGCAACAACGAAGTATGTAAAGCTCTAGGCGGAAAAGTCACGCAGGGCACGGGAGTGGCACGGATACATACGGTACGTACCCCCGGGCCATGATCGGCTGAAGCCTCCCCGTTGGCTGGCGAAAGCAGGGGTCCGGGCGGCAGGAGGAAGTCGTTCAGATTAAGGCGCGAGACCCACAGCACTAGGAGTTGCAACTTGCAAGGGTCTTCTCGAGTAGGGGCCTGGAAGTGTGGGTGGGATCGTGGATGGGACGAGGGATGGTCTCGCAGGGGTTCCCAATACTGTAACCTGCAAGCCAGAGACCCCCGCCTGTACTGTGTATGTGAGTCGGGTGCATGTAGTGTACAAGACATCCGCAGCAGGCAGTGTCCTTCTCGTCTACTGGCATGCCCCGGGACGCACTCGTTTAGAAGACAAAGGGGGAAACATTGTAGCTTCGCTCCTCCTGTGGGGAGGCTATGGAAGCGGAGATGGCAGCGCTGCACCTATGCTGCCTCGCCTGGACGGGATGGAGATTGCACCGGCTTTGAACGAGTGGCCGTACACCCAGCTCCAGATGCCAATGAATTATCCGACCGCGGGTTGTTTACCTACTACTCCGTGTTAATACCGATATGCTTTGGGATATCTTGGGACAACCTGGACGGGACCGAGAAGGCGGGGCAAATTCGATCTCTGGTCAAGCTGCCATAGGGTTACTCTGCAGGCGCTTGGCCGCAACGACGGGCCTCGCTAGGCCGTTGAGGGCTTGGAGCGGCTGCCAGCGTGCGGCAAGCAAAATGAGGGGACTTGGCTTTGCGGTTAAGGACGGCGGTGGTGTACTGTGAGAATATCAGAAGCATTTTAGCTTTCAAATATGCCTTGCTGTTTGCCGAGTCCCGATGTACGCGTGTATCAAATGTATGGCCTTGAAGGTTGTGCTGCGGTTCTCATGGCACGCAGGGCAGCTTCCCAACCACCAACATGCAGCATTTTGAGACGTCAGCCTCGAAGACGCCGCTGCAGAGGTTTGTATAATCCTGCATGGGGCATCCGAGTGTCGGGTTCGTGCCGTTGGTGCCTTCGTGCTGTGAGCTTGACCGGAGGTTTGGGAGGGGGCTCGAGCGGATGAAGGAACCATCGGATTGACAATTTGACATGGATGTTTATTTAACTACCTGGTATGTAAATTCGCGGGGCTAACTTTATCTGGCTTGGCCGCTTGGCGTACCTTACTCATTCTCCGGGAGCATTTTACCGGCTCGACTGGCCCATAGACCTACACAGGAAGGTTACCTAGACAGTAACTAATTACCTAGAAGCTAAGCTATTCGCCATGGATCCTCGCTACCTTTGCGATCGGAGTCATTGTCGACTAGGAACCTTGGGTTATCTATGCAGTAAGGTATGTATCTACCCCGTGGAGGAGGGCACAAACGTTACAGGTTTCCAAGGCTATGAAACGCGGGCGGACGATTCCGCTGCGGGGGATCACCATCTGAGAGTTCGGACGGCCGGGGATTTGTAGGTCATCTCTGAGCAAGCCTGTTGCGCCTGCGCAATTCATCAATTGCCCTGGGAACTGGGAAGACGCAGGTCCTGTGGCCCGTGCTGCTGACAGGAGTCGAGCTTTGCAGGAAGGGAACACTCGAAACTTAGCTCACTCACTCGTGAAATTTCATCCTCTTTTGCAACCTCCTGGGCGAAGACGCACCCAACTCAGATCTTGAAACATCTTATGTGCGTGCTAGATAATGGTCTTCGTGTGATAGTCTCACGGATGCGATCCTTTCTCAGTGACGCATCGCTCTGAGGTGCAGCAGCGATGGAGCGAGCACACATCCATGGATGAAACGAGACAACCTGGAAGCCCTGTGTTGTGGAAGACCGTCCGAATTACGCTCGCTACGGTACGCCGCGGGCGAGGCTCCGGGAGCACTCCGTTGGTTGAACTGACAGTCTCCCGAGATCTCTGGCCATCGCTGCCACTGCCCGAAATAGCTAACTTGACGAAACGCCGTCGCCGCCAACGCTCAGACCGTTGGCCTTTCCACCCTTCCAGAAACTACATGTACTACAGTAAAAACCAAAAATTCCCCGCCATCACGATCTGCGGGCTCCAGCAAGGCTCTGCACGTGGCAGAGATCGACCGGTTGACCTTTCGCGTGACCCGCGACAACTGCGCCTGTTTTACCAACTGTTGCTGGGAGAAACCTTGCCCTAGATACATCCAGACCTCCGGGGCACTTACGCCTCAACCCTGCTCAAGCCCTGCGCGATACGATACCAACCGAGACGGGTTCCGGGAAGCTGGTGTCATAGTCGTTGGGATTGAGCATCGCAAGCATTGTCGAAACATTCTTCTCGATTTAGCCAACTATTTTGTTTCGTTTCAACGTTTCATATCCTAGTAGTTCGCCCGCGTTTGAGGTCGAGAGCCCCTGGCAACGTGTTGCACGGACCTCTTCAAGCTCAGAGAGTCATCACGTTCACCGGCTGAATGCAACACCTCCTGATTAGAGAATCTTAGAAATCCGACTTCGAGATTCCTCCTACGAGCAGGGAGGAGCATCCCGAACTCACACGGGCGCACTGACCTCATCTGAAGGGATGCGACTCCTACCACCGCTACCGACCACCGCTAGCTTGGATTCCTGACCCGTGCCGCGAACCGGCAGCGATCCGGGAACAGTTGCGAGACCACAAGGTAACTTACAGTACAACGCTCTCGGATACTCGACTTCGATGCACACGCTAGGATTCTGCCAGCAGGGCGACATCTTCCAATCTGACAAGCGGGACTGTCTCCGGAGTCCAGGACTACAGAAGCAAACAAAGCACGCTGCTTCGCGCACAGTGCTGCTCTTGACACCAGCATCTTTCCGCCCAGGCCGGCTTCGCGCAGTGCGGGATTACCTACCTCACAGAAGTCCCCCTCTCCACGCAGTGTAACGCTCGCAACGGGATCTGGCATCGGTGGTCAGCAGCAACGGGCAGTCAATATTGCAATGTCGGCATCATGTGCGGATTCCCTGTACGAATGAGGTGGCGCAAGTCCGGCCAATGGGGACAGAGGCGAAGCGGTGCATCCGGCGCTTAGAAGCGTGTTAGCTGCAGCTGCAGCTCCTCTCGGGCTTTTTTGCCTTCTCCTCATTCACCGAGATAAACGAGGATTGCCGAATAACCGCAACAAACAAACAAGCTCCGCCGCGGGCAAGAAAAAAGATGTCTTGGCCTTCCTAGCTGTCCCATATGCGCGTTTGCTGCGCGTGGTCGCGGCTATCGAATCCCCTTTGCTGTCCGGATGTTTCTCGAGCCGAAAGGGGGACGTTCTCACTTCTCACTTCCAGGTCTGCATTGGAAAAGCAACTTAACATGCAGCTTTGCGGCAGGTGAAGCTAGGGATTGGCCCATTGGCGCGACTATCGAACTGTCGTGGCCGGATTAGCCGACCTTCCCGGCAAGCCCTGTGCTCCTTCACACGGACAGCACAGCGGGAAGTTGGAGTTCCGGAATGTTTGCTTTGTTCACTCAGATTCTCTCTGACCGCCGACCGGCCGGATTACTGAATACCCGAGGCAGCACAGCCAACAGCAAGCTCTTCCTCACATGACAAGTTGCTTCTCCAGCGTCTGATTTGCCGTGTCCGCCGGTCGATACGGCCGGCTCTAGCTCCAACAGCCAGGACTAATGCAATCCTCTTCTCTGGAAAGAGCCACAGATTCATGAGCCACGTCGCTCGCATTGGGTCCAGGACCATGACCGTAGGAGTCTCTGTGTGCCAACAGCTTGCACTAGGTGGATCCCATTGGACGGTATCCTATCATGACCCAAACAAAAGCCTATGAAGAGGAGTGTGCTGCGGTTGGCTTAGGCTTGCAGGCCAGGCGTGATCCTCGTTCGTTGACAAGCGGGCTTGGTTGATTCCCACGGGCTTGGGTTCCATGCAGTTGGAATCCTCGGGACAAACCTACCTCTATGTATGTACAAGTACATGTGAAGGTACCAGTGAAGAAGGCTGAGGGACAAGGGTAAATCCAGACGGCGCGGGTGATCTGGCCTATGGGTAACGAACGATGTCATGAAGATGTCGCGTAATATCGTACTGATTCTAGACGCTCTGGAAAGGGCATATCGGCGAGAAAGCTGGTCGACTCCCAATACAGAGACAATCCTTCAGGCAAGCCCATGCGTCAAAACCGACCGCGCGGCTCTGAAGGAGCCCACTGCAGAGCCCAACTGGTATGTGGAAGCGGTAAGGTGCACTACGTGGTGGGGAGCAGGTCGTCTTGTTGAGTAGCTGGCGGAAGGGTTCACGACTCGTGAGGATGGTTCTCACACTTCACTTCCTCTTCCCTCTTCCCATGACTTTATCAGCTACAACCCCAATCGGGTCTTCTCTGGATCAGAAGACTGACACCCTCACTGCCGAAAAGATCAGGATTAGGGGGCAAGTCTAGTTCATGTTCACACCTTCTGGTAGCCATCTCATACTCTACCCAGGTAACACGGGCGACCTGGTGGGGCCACACAGAGTACCTATGTAGTAAGTACCTACACGATAGGAGACAGGCGCGGCTATTGTTTGCTTGATATTGGCTACCGTTGGTCGGTCGGTGGTGTGTGGCGTCTTGCTAGCTTCGTGGGATTTGAGGACTCGCGGGATGTGCTGTTGTAGTTTGCTGGCTTGGTGGCGTTGTGACTTTTGGAGTCTCGAAAAGTCTTGCTTAGGCATGCTAAAGAGGTTGGGTTGACGTGGATGTTTGGCTGTGGCATTCATCCTGATGCCGGCAAGGCTGGACTGATGTAGTTTGGCCACTGTGTCGTACTGTGAGAGCTATCACTCCCCAATGTCCGTGGCCGTTGTTTGCACTGCTCTTGTGACAGCCGTACTCTGCTGAAGATGTGGCGGTGAGCAGGGTTAGACCATGGCTGACCGTGTGCCTCGCAATAAGAAGCGGCTCAGTGGAAGCTCGGTTCTAGTGTGCTCGAGTCAAGCTCGTGCTCTGCTGAGTATCCTACCTAGGTAGTGAAAGAGACACAAGGCAAAGGAGGCTCAGAGGTCCAACCACGCGGATCACTCTAGAATGGTCTTCCCATGCGCGTACGGCATGTAGCATGTCGGTTGCGCAAACGGTGCTAGTACCCCAAGCCTTCGTCTTAGCGCCAGGATCGTGCAGCGGGAAAGCCATCTCGCTTCTATATCCTTCGTGTTCAATTGACCAACCCTATGCGCTAGGGCAATATGACGGCGGAGCTGATCGTTACCTGCCTTCGGTAATCAAGAAGAAGCAGGCCAAGGCAAGCCATCTACGTCCAGGCTGTCCATTATCGAGTACGGAACATCAGCATAATAATCAGACCGGGGGAAACTAGAGATCAGAAATCTGTGCGATACTGACAAGGCCCAATTGGGACTTCCCTGTTGAGAAACACCGATATCTCGCCTTGCACCAAAGCCGCCTTACCAGCGCCCTCCATCGTGACATATTGCCAAGGAGCTCGGGTACTCCTAGCGGGATGGATATTGCATTAGGAGTTCAGGACATGCCTTTCCAATACTCAAGCAGATACTGTCCCGTCCGTGTTGGCACGGCTAAGTTTGTAGTACCTCCTGACTACCATCATAGGAGTCATAGGACAGCATGGCCTATGATATGGGAAATGGCCTTTGCATAATTTTGGACAACACTACACTCCAAAAGTTGTAATGCTCTGAGGTCATCCCATACGCTCTTCCAGTATCCCGACTGCATAGAAGAATAAATACACCGTTGTGCTTTGCAGGAGCTGATTCGAGATACTTCTGGCTGTACGAGTGCTCTATGAGCGATATGAGGAAGTGGGAGCTGCGGAATTCAGGGGTTTGTTTACAGTCGTTAGGTTGCGCCAGCGACAACCCTAACCCACTTCGCACCTACCCACAGGCGCGACCTAAAGAGAACCTTAATAAAGCCCGGCGACCTTGCTAGTGCCAACCCGGTGTCTTCACTAGCGCCTTCGTTATTAACTCGCTAGGTAGTAGCCATTGGCAGTATCTTCTCGAAATAAGAGGCTTTCACATGTCAGCGGCTGAAGTGCAACCTCATCGCGCAAAACTCCCCAACAAATTCTAACGTCATCAGCAAAAACGAACGGCGATCGGGCCCGGAGCTGCAGCGAAATCCGAGCCTCGGCTCAGCCCCCACGCACCTAACAGCTCGGATTGGACAGTTCGCGCTGACAAGGCGCCGCCCCGCTCACAATCAGCTTTCCAGCGCGGTGTTCCAGAAACTTGGCGTGCTTGGCTCGGTCACTCGGTGCCTGAACCACCTAGCACTCGGACTCGGATCCCCTGAGACCCTCCCCACCGCGATCCAACCCACTCAGCCTCAACAGAAAATGTCCAGATAACTAAAAAAGGGTGCCCCCGGTCCCCATCCGGCGCGATGCCTCTGTCGGTCGCAGACGCCCGCAGCACCTCGTCGTTCCTTGTAGCCAAGTGCGGCAGCACGCTCTTCTGCATCGGTCGGAGCGTTGTCCTCTGGGCCGCCGTCGTCGCTGCGCTATTGCTGGCCGCCCTGCGGAATCGCGTTTACACATTCTTTGCGCCCCGTGCTGCGGAAGGGGACGAGAAGAAGAGCTGAGCTGAGCTGAGCTGAGCGGAGGCTTGTTGTCTACACACACTTCCAACCTGATTGCGACTCGCTCGTCAGCAAAAGGAGCTGACGAGATGGCTGTCGGCACGCTCGCCCTCTTCTACCCGGTGTTCCTGCCGATGAGCGCCGCGGCGGTCGCGTACGCCGGCCACCGCGCGCTCTACGTCGACTGGCGCACCGTCCTGACGCACTTCCTGACCGGGCCCGGGCGCACAAGCCGGATCCTGTTGGTGTTCTTCCTCGTGCTGAACTGGAAGAGTTTGCCCCTGGCATGGACGGTAAGGTGTTCCCAGCCCCTCGCGCTTACACACTTAACATCGTATGCCACCACAACCGTGAACTAATCAAAACTAGGTCCGCGTCTTCCACTCCTTCATCTACCACTTCCTGCGGCGGCCCAAGACGCTCCCGCCGCGCGCGCTCTTCCACTACAGCGTCACGTCGTCGCGCACCTCGCTGCTCGAGACCGACTACAACATCCACAAGAGCAACTCGACCTACTTCGCCGACCTGGACGTCAGCCGCTCCCACCTGGCCGTCCACCTGCTGGGGCCGGGGATGCACATCATCGGCGACAACGCGACGCACCAGCGCGTGCGCGACAAGCAAGGGAACCTGGTCCAGGGCAGCTTCGGCATCGGGCTGGGCGCCGTGTTCTGCAGCTTCCGCAAGGAGATCGCCCCGCTGCAGGGCTACGAGATGTGGAGCCGCATCCTGTCGTGGGACCGCAAGTGGGTGTACCTGGTGACGCACTTCGTGGTCAAGGGCAAGGTGCGACCGACGAGCTGGGACGGCCGGCGCATGGGCCCCACGCGGAGCCGCGTGCTGCTGAAGAAGAAGAAGGAGGCGGACGGCAGTAGCAGCATCACGGGGGGGGAGGAGGAGCTGCCGGTGGACGGCGAGGACTTTAGCAAGTATGTCATCGCCACGGCCGTCAGCAAGTATGTCTTCAAGCTGGGGCGGTTTACGGTGCATCCTGCGCTGGTCATTGAAGCGGCTGGCTTGCTGCCCGAGAGGCCTGGCGACGGGTGGACGGGAGGGGAGACGGGCACGGGGACGCCGGAGGATTTGGGTGACTTGGATGAGGAGGGCGAGTGGGATTGGAGGCGGGTCGAGGCTGAGCGGAGGAAGGGGATGCAGTACGCGGAGCATTTTGCTGCGTTGGACGGCACGAATTCGCTGTTTGATGGCGGGGAGGACGGCGCCATTGGACGCTTTCCGTTGGGCTGAACAAGTGAACGGGCAACTGCGGTATTTCGGGACTGGTTGAGATAAGCCAGGTGTTGTAATGTGGTAGAAAGCTAGAGTCGCGAGACGACGTTAATCACTAGAATAGAAATGCTCTAGATCTGTCTTTAGTTGGGAGATAAACAAGATCTGTCGACCTCTACCTCTTTTCGGGAATGGCGCCAAAGGTAGAACAGCGATTTCTTGCTAATAAGAACCCTTCAGATATGGGCTACCTCAGGCACTATGAACGGCCAGTGTGCTGTTCCTTATTAACCTACCTCTCAATACCTAGTCAATACAACAGATGCTGTTTTCTCTCTTTCCACACTCATCTTCTCACTATCAAGAGATACACTGATGCTGGATGCTTGACGTGGTTTCGCTGCTGCAACCCATGAGTTCGTCCCGACGTTGGTGATCAACAGGGTAACCGCCCTGCGCTCCCCACCCTTGCATAACTAACCTGCCTCGGCCTCCGGCATTCGCACCGGCGGCAGTGGAGCGCCGTGGGACTGCGGGCTCGGCATTCATTCCACGGCACCTAGCTTCAAGTCCCACAACCCCCCAGCGTCTAGGTACCTTCACATGCGTCCTCGTTACGAGCTTTTTTTTTTTCTTTTTCTGCAGTCGGTAAGGTATCCTGGCTGTCTCAAGGCTCCTCATAAAACCAATTCATCTCACCCCCAAGAGTTCAACCTCTCCTCAAGTCATGGCCTCCCTACGGTCCCTCTCAAAACAACTGCCTTCGGCCCTCAAAACCACCACCACGATGGACCTGCAGCAAGCCAGCGCCCGCGCCGCCGCGGCGCAAATATCCTACTTCCGGTCCATTCCCTGGTGCGCCGCACACTTGTCACAACCGGGCCTCGTCATCGACCAGGCCCAGTCGCGGTGCCTCAAACCCCTCCACGCGGGCGACACGCTCATCTCGCGCACGCTCAACTCGGCGGAGGCGATTCCGGCCTACATCACCTTCTACTCACCACCACCACCACAAGCATCTTCCACCTCAACCCCTACACAACCAGACGCAACAAGTACTAGTAATAATACCAGCGCCAGCACCAGCACCCTCATCCGCGAAATCAAGTCGTTCGTCGCCCTGGGCCCGATGGTGAGCGGCTGGCCGAGCATCTGCCACGGCGGGCTGGTGGTGACGCTGCTGGACGAGGTCATGGGCCAGACCTTCGCGGTGAACAAGGCGCACCGGCTGCTGGTCGACATCCCCGTCATGACGGGCTACCTGAACACGCGGTTCGAGAAGCCCGTCCCCGCGGGGACGGAGGAGAGGGCCAGCGTGCTGATGGTGACGGCCAGGCTGGTGAGGAACGAGGGGAGGAAGTACTGGATGGAGGGCGAGGTGCAGGGGGAGGATGGGGCCGTGTTGGCGAGGGCCGAGGCGCTGTTTATCATGCTCAAGGCCAAGCTGTGAGAGGGCGGTAGAAGGAGGGGAGGGGAGGGGTTTGGTCTGGATGGAGGCATAGACGGTGTGTTGCTTACTTAACATGTGGATGGGTTAGACGGCGGGGCTTAGAGTACTGTAGACGGCGTTGGGTGAATCTGTTTTGGCACTTTCCTGCTATTAGTTAGAAGTATAACGTATCTTATAAGCGAGCGAGACATATAAGCGAGCGAGACACTAAGTTCTTGGCACGACGCGTCCTTCTTCAACCACCCCCAACAGCGCGTTTTTCCTATAACCAAGAATGTCTTCCGCTTCAAAGGAAGCCAGGGTAATCTTGGCCCTTCAAGCTCTTCAAAATGACACGAAACTGAGCCTCCGAGCCGCGGCCAAGCTCTATAACGTACCAGTTTCAACCCTCGGCCACCGACGTACCGGCCGAGCTGTACGACACGATCTTCCAGCTAACTCGCGGAAGCTCACCGATCTAGAAGAGAAGGCTCTTATTCAGTATATAATTGAGTTATCCGAGCGAGCTTTTCCACCAAGACTCCGTGGTGTAGAAGATATGGCCAACCAACTGCTACGTATACGCGACGCGCCCCCTGTCGGCAAGCTCTGGGCCCATAACTTCGTCAAACGCCAGCCAGCCCTCCGTACACGTTGGTCGCGTCGATATGACTACCAGAGGGCTAAGTGCGAGGATCCAGAGGTCATTGGCGAGTGGTTTGCACTTGTACGGAATACCAAGGCCAAGTACGGTATTGTAGATGACGATATCTATAACTTCGACGAGACTGGGTTTATGATGGGCATCATCTTCGCGGGCATGGTGGTTACAACCTCTGATGGCCGTAGCAAGGTAAAGCTGGCCCAGCCTGGCAACCGCGAGTGGGCAACGGTGATCCAGGGAGTCAATGCTCTTGGCTAGGCCATCCCTCCGTTCATCATCTTGGCCGCACAGTACCACCTCGCTAACTGGTATACCGAGTGCAACCTCCCAGCCGACTGGCGTATCGCAACTACCGACAACGGCTGGACGACTAATGCCGTAGGCCTGGATTGGATCAAGCACTTCGACTACTATACAGCGCCCCGGGCAAAGGGCAAGTACCGGCTGTTGATCCTCGACGGCCACGACAGCCACCACTCGACCGAATTCGAGCTCTATTGCCAGCAGAACAACATCATCACGCTTTATATGCCTCCGCATTCCTCGCACCTCCTCCAGCCACTCGATATTAGCTGCTTTAGGCTACTGAAGCAGGCGTACGGTCGCCAGGTTGAGGACTTAATGCGCGCACATATCAACCACGTGAGCAAGCTCGAGTTCCTTTGCAGCTTCCGCGAGGCCTTCTTCGCCTCGATAACGGGGAAGAATATCCAGGGTGGCTTTGCAGGTGCTGGCCTTATACCGTACGATCAAGAGAAGGTACTATCTAAGCTGGATGTAAAGCTCCGTACACCAACGCCCCTGAACTCGCGGGCCAGCACACTACAACCTTAGGTATTCCAGACGCCACACAACCCTCGAGAAGCCAACTCACAGTCAACGCTCATCAAGACTCGTATTGCCAACCATCAAAATAGCTTCCCAACTTCGATATTGGCTGCTATAGACCAGCTTACCAAGGGTACGATAGCTATAATACACCAGGTGGCCCTCCTTCAGGCAGAGGTGTCTTCGCTCCGCAAGGCTAACGAGGCGCTAAGCAAGCGCCGGAGAGCCAAAAGAACACGCGTACAGCTTAGAGGATCGCTTGCAGTACAAGATGCAAAGGATCAACTGGACCAGAAGGCCGTGGTTGGGGAGGTGGCGCAAGAAAAGGAGCAGGATAGTGGTGGTGTAGGGGGGGCTCGTACGAAGGTTCGGTGCTGTAGTGTGTGCGGCAAGCCTGGCCATAATGCCCGTACGTGCCAGGAGGTTACAGAAGGGTCTGATTCAGCTGTCTCTGATGTAATTATAGTTGGTTCCTAGTGTTGTTGCGTTGCAATTGAGGATAGTTGTTATAGAGTGGTGGAGAGTGTCTCGCTCGCTTATATGTCTCGCTCGCTTATATGTCTCGCTCGCTTATAAGATACGTTACCATATTGCCTTCGGTAACTTCAAGTTACTTCATCCCAAGTTGGAGGATACCTTATTGAATCCACCTGACGGCCGCCCAGCCGGAACTTGACTACCGACTGCAACCGTACGTCGTCGCAATGGCACGCTCAAACCCCCATGATCCCAGGCCAAGGTGTGTCTGAAACGAACAACACCACGGCAGTCGGAGGAAATAGCCTAAACGAACGATACCGCTCGTGAAATTCCACGAATCCGGCACCCGATCTTATAGAATAAAGCGCATGATAAGGCCATGCATGATGCGATATGTAGCATCAATTTCAGAGCTCAAGCCCGGTTAGGAAGCCATTGTATATAAAACAGTTTACCTACCTCACTACGTCTCTATCAATTACCAGCGCCACCGAAACTGCGACTTTACCAGCATCCTGTCCACCCGTCTTCCACCCCAGAGACCATGCGCCTCGACATCCTGACACTGCTCTGCGCCTACGGAGCAGCGCTGAGCTCCGCAACGATCACCTTCCGCGTCCAAAAAGCATCCAACCCAACCTCCGACCAAGCCGACGCATACGCACGCATCGAAGCGGCCATGAGCAAGGCCGTGGCGCGGTACAACCGGCTGGCGCCGCGGGCCAGCAAGTCGCTGACGGTGCAGTACGTGCCGTCGGTGGCGACGGCCGACGGCAACTTCAACGGCAACATCCGGTTCGGGTCGAACCGGGCGTACATGACGGAGCGCACGGCGCTGCACGAGACGGCGCACACACTGGGCATCGGCCAGACGCAGGCCTTCAACGACCGGTGCGCGGCCGACAACACTGGCCGGGCGCGACGCGGCTGCTGAGGTCGTGGGACGGCGCCAGTGCGAAGATCAATTGTGGCGGGGGCCATATCTGGCCGTATGGGCTGAACTACGAGAATGAGATGAGCGAGACCAATGCGGAGAGGCATTGTTTGTTGATTAATGCCATGTTGGCGGATGGGCTGGCTGGTTGAGGGATGGGACAATAAGAAATTGGGATGGGCTCATGGGGCTCATGAGCAGAGGGCTGATAGGTACCTAGAAAAATATCATGTCATGTTTGTTGGCGCCATGTGACAGGAAGAGGGTGAAAAGCTTACAGCTAACGGCCAAGCTCGGTCCACATGTCCTGCACATACTACGAGTTTGAATTATAGACCGTTAACTAGACTCACAGATTATCAATTAACGGCCTTCACTCACTTAGGGGTTATATGAATATCTCTCAGCAACTACAGCCTACCTAGGAGGAATATGGCAGAGTGAGCGTCCAGGGATATCGTTAACCGGACTGCACCTCTAGGTATGTTCAAGAGTAGCGGGCCACTTGGACTGGTGGTGCAACAACGACGCCTCTCCGGACACTGATATTCTCTTGATCTAAGTATATTACAACACTACGACAGAGTAAGGCCACATGGAGGTACCTGGTAGCAACACAAACAGTATCTAAACAATATCGCCGGATCTGACAAACCAACCTAGGACCTTTTTCCCACCGAAGAAAAACACGGCCAGCATGGACCGACAGCCCTTCTCAACACCCTGTAACGCCCTTGTCCCCTACCCCCCATCTAGTCCCCCTCGATGTCGATTTTGAATGCCTTCAACACCTCGTCGCCCACCTCAATCGCATCCCTCCTGCTCACCCGGCTGCAGACCAACAAGTGCGCGACATATGTCCTGGCCCCGTCCGTGTACATGGTCACCTTCTCGCCCGGCGCGCAGTAATCCACCGCGACCACAATCCTGTCCTTCAGATCCGGCCTGCGCCGCTTTAGCTCCTCACACGGCGACAGCCCCGAAGAGGCCCACCTGACACGGCCCTCCTTCGGCGCAGGGACGTACACCAGCCTGGACCAATACTGCGTGCCGCGCGTTCTGCCCTCGCACGCATGGTCAAACGACCGCGCCGCCAGCCTCAGCCGCTCCGCATCGCCCACGGCAGCGAGCATGTGCGCCGCAAAGAAATCCACGCCGTACGTGTGACGCGAGGGCACGCTGACCCGGTACCCGGGCGGGCGGGCGTTGATCTCGACAAGTTTGCACGCCGCCTTCTCTCCCGGCAGCAGTCCCTCCTCCTGCTTCGGCACAAAGTCCACGACTCCTCCCCCGAGATCCTTATACTCCACGTTCGAATTCACCATCCTAGCCTCAACGTGGAACACGCCCGTCCTAAACCCAAGCTTCACGAGAATATCCCTCAGCGTCTCCCTCGCAATCACCTGCTCCTCGCTCGGCAGGGCACTCGGCAGGGTGAGCGCCTCCGGGCTGAACGTCGCATCGACCCCGGCATCGCGCGCGTCGGCCTGACAGGGCGGCTCGTCGGCGATTTCGCAGAACAGCACCTGGCCGTCGAGCAAGACAAAGTTGACGTCGATTTCGGGGCCGTCGAAGAAGGGCTCGATGACGGCGGCGCTGCCGTGGCGCGCCGTGGCCTTCGCTACTGCCGCCGGGAGGTCGGCGGGGCATGTTACCTTGCTCACGCACTCGGATGACCAGCCCTTGGTTGGCTTTACAATCAGGGGGTATGTAGGGGTGAAAGCGGGTTTGTTGTTATTCAGAAGATCGGTTGAGGAGGAGGAGGAGGATGGTAAGAGGAGGGATTGAAGTTCCTCGACGCTCGACACGCGCGCTGTATGCCCCGGGCTGTCTTGCAGAAGGCGGGAGCGGTACTTGTCCACGGAGGTTTCGAACGCTGAGACGGGGCTGGCGGGGAGGCCGAGGGCTTCGGCGACCTTGGCGACGGTGACGAAGAAATTGTCGGAGAGCGTGAAGACGCCGTGGATGGGGAGCGGGTAGCGCGTGATGGAGGCGATGATGCGGTCCACGACCCCCGCGTCTTCGGTCATATCGGTGGCCAGGAATGCCTCACAGTGCATCCTGTTCTCGTCTGTGTCCGCTTGCAGCCAGTGACCTTCCTCGTCGACGATGACCAGGTCGAGGCCCAGCGCCTTGGCAGCTCGGTAGACGGGCCCGCCTGCGGTGAGGTTGGGCCGGCCCCTGACTAGGGCAACGCGCTTGCGGGCAATAGGGTGTGAAGTGAGCCAGGGCGCATTGTTCAAGCGGTCCCGGAGCTCTTGGGTCAACCCTAGCAAGTAACGCTGGAGGTCAAGAATGGAGACGGAAGCCTCCAGATCAGCCCACTGGATGACTCCTGCGGCCTGCTCGATGAGGCTGGCCAGGCCGTCCTCCGAATTGACAGATGCAGAGGATACCTTGCAGGAGGTGTACTTCCTGAGCGGCTCTACACATTCCCGGATCTTGGAAATTGGGAACGGGAAATCTTGAAGTCGGAGGCGCAGGAAGCCGGCGCGACTGACGTAACCATCTGTGGAGGGGAGGATGGCGGTGAACACTGACACGCCGGTTGACGCCCACTCTGCAGAGCCGAGGCCAAGGTTCGTGAGAGTGTCGGCGAACCGATTGCTGGCGAACTGATTGCTCGACTCAGGCTTGGCTCGGTGGCCATTGACCCCGTTGGTGGTGCTCACCACGTTACGCGAAGGGAAAGGGGTGTATGAGGTGCACAAAGAACTGGGAAGAAGGATAACATGCGTGATGGTGTACAGGTCGCAGAGCGGCACGACTTCCGAGAAGAAAGGGCGGTGGAAGGCTCCTGATCCTGGCATGAAGTCAGCTCAGATGTGCTTACATGTGGCTTCAAGAACGTGCTGGCTTACCATCCACTGGCGACGGAGGTATGGAGAGAGGCGGGGACTCGACTTCTGTGTCCGAATCAAAGGACAGTTTGTGAGGCCAGCCATTCGCCTGGCCGGGCAGCACCCCGACAGCCATGGTCCGTGATGCTTTGAACGTGCCAGGGGAGTGGAGGTGATGGTGTTGTTGTTGTTGCTGTCCTTGTTCTTGTTGACAGTTGACTAATGGAAATGTAGAAAGGCGGAGGAAATAGAGACTAAGGAAAGTCGGTCGGGAAGTCGGCCTTACGTCGATATCAAAGAGGGAACTAGGAAGTAAAAAGTGTCCCAAGTATCGGCATTTGACCCTTGCACGATGCACCAGGAACAGCCCAACACAAACCTCCCCTTGTCTGCTAGAATCCCTGGAAGCCCGAGACACGAGATAACCGCCCGTGCGTAACGGCTCGAAGCGAAGCGGAAAGGCAACCAACGATCCGGGCCTGGGGGAGGCAACAAATAACGAGGTCTCGCCAGAGAGCCAGGGTTCCCTACATAAATAAGCCCACCCTCTGACCGCTTGAACGGGGAGTATGGAAGTGATGTAGCAAGCACGCAACTTCTGCGTCATTGGAGCCGCGCTGTCCGGAATTAGACGGTTTGTTGAGTCGGACAGGGCGCTGAGACGGGCGGTATCGGGTGGGAAGTGGCTCAGTGAGATTGCGAGAACCTTGATGGCTCCGTCCGCCTAACGTACACAATATCCTGGGTGGTCTGTTGATCTACAATCTGATAAAGCACATCCTTGCTCACCCATCCTTCCCCCTTGTTCCTCTCCGCTGTCTCATTTCTTGGGTCCGTTTGGCCGCCTCCTGAGCGTAACGCTGACGCCGCTTCCCAAAATCAACAACATCCGTCAAACCGTTTTGGCGGACGGGGGTTATTAGCGGCGTGGGCCTGGGAACCTTGATGACCAGGACACCTTGATGGCCAGAGCCCACCGCTGCGTGGCCAACACAATTGCAGCAACCTCTTGCGGCGGGGGCTTCATGTTGAATTGGCCGCTTTATTGAATATGCGGGCACTGGTGGGAGAAAACTCGCACGTAGGGCACCAGTTTTGAATCTGCCCAATCCCGTGGGCACCAAGATCAACACAACATACGGGAAGGCAATTTGGAAGTCGGTGCAATATAGGCCGTATTGCGCTGCCTAAATTGATTTTCCCTGCCATCTTCCGCTTTATTGTTTCAGCCCTCTGTGTTTCATCCTTCGTAGGGGCCCGGCGCGCGGAGCGAGGCAGCTTCTCAGGCATTCGGATATCAGGGTCCACGAGGACTCGGACGTTCAGAGTTCCCAGACAGCCTGCCTGCCTGCCCGGAACCGAATGTTTGCAGAGCCAAGCCTCTCCTTCAAATACTCGCGAACCACCCGCTGCAAAAGCAGCAATAATGCTCGAGGCAACGCTCGCCAGGATGCCTCTGCTCGCTTCTTGGTTCCGGCTGGGCAGCCCTACCAGCAAGATGGACCCCTGTCCCTGCCCTTCTCACGACTCCATCGCCATCGTCGAGAAGGCCGAGGTGCTGCAGGACCAGCTCGTCGACGCTAGGTCCGAAAAGGTCCACTGGCTCGTCCAGACCGTCGTCCAGACCCACGCCGAGCTGCTCAAGCTGCCAAACCTGCGGCCGGGCAAGGCCATCAATCAGCTCCTGGGGAACCTTGTGTCTGTCTGCTCCGAGATCCACGACCGGGACATCATCGAAAAGGTAATACCTCCACACCCCTGGCATAACCAAACGTATCATTAACACAAGAACAAAAAAAAAAAAAAGGTCCTCTCCCACCCCTCAATCAACGCCCTCCTCCCCTCCCTCCGCCAAATATGCGCCTCGGCCGAGTCGTGCCTTGAGCTGCACTGGGCCGAGCACATACTGGCCGGCCAGACTCAGGACGAAGTGCTGGCTCGCCTCCAGAGCTTCCCCTACTACGACAACTATGAGGACCTTACCCGCCTGGAACTGTGCGCCATCCTGTCTGTAAACAAGACGGCGCCCCGGCGCGTCGCCTTCATCGGCTCCGGCCCGCTGCCGCTCACCTCGCTCTGTCTGCTGCAGGCGCTCAAGGAGAAACGTGGTGGTGGTGGGCTTGTTCAGCGTATGTCGGCCGCATCTGGTTCTGTTTCCGGTTCTGGGAATGGTGATGGAATGGAGGACGATGAGGAGCAGCACTCGGTGGTGGTGCTGAACGTGGACTACGACGAAGCGGCGATCGCGGCGTCGCTGAGCCTCTGCCTTGCGTTGGGCGAGGCGGGGCGCGGTATGGAGTTCATCTGTTCCGAGGCCACGTCCGCGGACAAGGACCTGGCCGAGTTCGACGTCGTGTACCTGGCGGCGCTGGTGGGCATGTCGCAGGGCGACAAGGAGGGCATCATCCTGCAGGTCGTCGATCGCATGCGGCCGGGCGCCCTGCTGGTGGTGCGGAGCAGCTGGGGGCTGCGGACTTGCTTGTATCCCGAGGTGGATCTCGCGACCGAGACGCTGCTGAAGCGGCTGGAGCCGTGCGTGGTGGTGCACCCTTATGGGCAGGTCGTCAACTCGGTGATTGTTGCGAGGGTCAAGGCATAGAGTAATAGAGCTGGGGTAGGGTAGGGGGAAAAAAGGAACGGGCGGCAAAAAGTGAACACGGGGAAAGGGGAGGTCGTTTGCCTGATATCCAACATCTCTTACAACTACGGGGATACCATCTTCATGTGACCTGGACGGGGAAAAAGTCTCAAAGCCATGTTTTTAGCATGATTTTCAGCATTTGCTGGCAGCGCTCGCAGTTGCATTGCGGTTGACTCATCCACTGAGTCCTCATAGAACTTCATGGCTAATAGACCACGGATTAATTTCGCACGCCTGGAACACCGAGAGAATCAATCACGCTGTGCCAGTGGTGCCTTGATGACGTTACAACACGTACGATACCGAATAGACTTGCTAGCTGGCCCCTTGAGTAGCGTAAGCCCCGGCGATATCGAGTTTATCTGAATGAAAGGGCGAGCATGCTGTTCGGCGCCTGCTGGATTTTGGTGACCGAGGTAGATCAGCATTCGAACTGGCAGAGGGGACAGGATTGAGATACAAGCCTGAGGTAGATGGGAGTGCTGCGGGTAGTGGTGGGTGCCTGGCTCTCTCACGAGATGGAGATTTGTGTGATCACACCACACATCTATTGGATATCAGGTATTTGCCAGGGCTTGCAACGCAACGTACCTTACAAGAACAACGGAAATGATTCTGCTGCTATCTCTAAGTCTCATTTCCTCTCAACCCTTTGGGATATTGATTCCATTGCTTAGCCCGCTGCTTCATTTCCGGCGAGAGGTTGGTGTATGACTTGGCTCTGATCTCGGTGTCCCGTGCGCCAGGGCACCGGCTTTCCTCCCGGGTCTGGATTGAGCCCCGGGTGATTCCATGTCAAGGAAAGCCCACCCTGCGGTACTGCATGCTCAAGTTCGCTCGGGAGCAGCTCTTGCGATCCGTGAAAAGATCAGGAAGGGCAACGACTCGGGCGGCCTCCGTGGGTTCGTTAGTGGAAGGCACGACTCGGAAGGTAAGGTACCTACCTAGACAGCCGACAGTCCGCCATTTAAACCATCTCCTTCCGCCCGCAGTCTCTTGATATAACAATTTTCCATTTGGTTTGTTCCGATATTTCAGCATTGAAGCGTAATAGTCGTGCAAGAGAGCCTCCCCTTCCTCTATCCGAATCGATATCAGGCACGAAAATGGAAGAAATCATTCGCACCGAGGAAGCAGAGTATGGCACCCTGCCACTAGTTGTATCATTACATCCTCCGATGAGTTTGCCCGAGGTTTGGGCCGTGCTCCGCGGGCCTTGGCCTGGGTCCCCTTGGTTCCGTCGCCAACGGCTTGAGAACATCAGAAATCGTTTCCAAGTATGGGAACAAAACCCGATGGCCGACCCAGAATACGTTGCGCCCATCAGCACGCGTTGGAGCGGCCGCTAGATCGGGTTCCTCAACAGGTGCGGCAATTTCACGTACGACGCCTCCGAATACGGCAACCGCCGCGGGGGGTTCCCAGAGGATGATGTTTTTGGAGAGGAGGGAGTGTAAGTTGCAGGCGCAGGGCTCCATATTCCCGGGGACCTTCTTGGGCTCCCGGGCGACTTGCGATGGCTCAAGGCTGACTTCTGCATTGCCAGGATCCGCAGGCCGTCTATCAGATATCGTACTCGAAACTACATCCTGAGCCTGAACTACGTGCAAGCACAGATTGCCGGCTTCGCACCATTGATCGTACGTTGGACGGTATTTGATGCCAGGTACCATGAAGAGCAGGTAGCGATGTACAACAACGATCTCCGAAGAGAACTTCTTGACAATGCGCTGCGGCGCGGAACGTTTGCGCCGCAGCTTGAGAGCATCCTTGCGGGTCTACCACAGGTCGCGGGAAAGGTCGTAGCGTTCGGGAGTAACGGTAACATATTCGGATTCACGGCCGCTGTTGCACAACGAGAGGACTTTGAATGCTACCAGATGGTGGCCATGCGGGCAGTTCAAAGGGTGTTGTCGGACCGGCATCCGGGACGCGAGATCCCATGCTTTGTTCAGGATCGCTTCTACCGGGCTGCGGAGTCCCACTCTCACCCCGTGCAGCCAATTCACTACGTCGACGACCCCACGGGCATTCTGGAAGTTGATGAAACCGCCGTCGTAGTCGTGACCGCACCGGAAAGGGAGCTCCCGGTTGTAGACATCATCGCCGACGTCGCTCTGACTCGACCGGCTGCGATCTTATGCGAAAGACTGTCTCTCGTCCCAACAAGGTATGCCTGCTATCCGTCTTCCACACTACTCTGATGCTTTCTCCGTCTAAGATCACAACAGCGTTCGGTATCCCGGTTTAGCAGACCCGCCGGGTGAGAGGATGCTCCGACTCGAGTACAAGGAACACGTTCCGCCGGAAGGTTGGGCCTCATCAAGCCAAGCTGCCAAAGACAGAGCAGTCTACATATTGAGACACCTGAACTCTCGGCCCAATCCCGATGGCAACGTTACGGAACACACCAACGCCCAACAGCATACAGAGGATATCGACCGTGGAGCGGGGACGGGGGAGAATCCCTGGGATTGGGGTGTTCACTAGCGAGTACGCTCATGGCTCGATGGGATGTCTACTCATTTTGTTGGACGCGGTCTAGATAAGCTTGGCAAGAAGTCGGCAACAATACTAAAGAGGGTAAAGAAAAGGGTAAAGGGTAAAAGGGGTAAAGAGGCGGCGAGAAAGGAAAGCAGCTGAGTTTGAGCTTGTTGTAGCGAAGCAGCAATATTCTGTCACAACTACGAGCTTCACCGCTAAGTACTATGCCACTCATTACATCAGATATATGCAGTGCAGAAGTTGGGGAGGATACTTTCCTGACCAGACTCTGTTTGTTCAAGCAATGCAGACGCTCAGCTTTGACGCCATAAACGGTCCCGTCTGAGAGTAACATCCACTCGAGACACCTTTGCTCTGAGACACCTTCGGCTTAGATACGGATCATTGCTATTCGAAAAATGAGAGAATTTATTACAGGTCCTTGCAAACAGATATGGACCCGCCCCGCAGAATGATGCGTAATAACCCAGCATTATCTACAGGCTCTACCACAGCAAAGCGCCGCCTCTACCGGCCCGCACGCAGGCTTACTGTGCTCAAGACTCTCTGTAGATGCCGGCGGCACAAGTACATTCGAATAAGAAGTCAAGGGGGAAAGCTAATTGCACCAGAGTCACAAGGAGCACAAGTCAGCAAGAGTGAATCAATCTTTTCCCAGTATCACTCTAGCATTCATCCACTTACTTCGTTACCTGGTGCCTACTAACACTACACACTCCAATCCCCACCCAAACAGAGTCTCACAAGAACTTGCCCATGGCCTTCATCACACCATCAACCGACAACCAACCCTCACCCATCATCTTCTTCTTCTCTTTCTTGTTCTCCTCCCCCATCACCCTCTCCATCTTCCTCGCCACCGTCTCAGCATCATAGCCCATACCAGGCAGCAGAAACACAGCCGACGCATCCACATCCACCCCCCAGCAGCAGCAGCAGCGGCGGCGGCGGCCCGTCCCCGTCTCCGTCTCTCCCCCATCATCATCATCATCATCAACAACATCAACAACAACAACAACCCCTTCCACAACATCCACATACACGCCCCAATCATCCGCCGCGCCGGGACGCGACAGGATCCGCTTCTCGACAAGCTCGTCCAGCGGCTGGTCATCATCCAGCGTCGTCAGTCCGCAGGGGACTAGCTCCTACGCCTCGTCGTCCCCGCCGCCAAAGGCTAACCGGGTACGCTTCGCTTGCTCACCATCGTGGTGGTACCAGTGGTATCGCACACGGCGGCCCCCGCCGTCGAAGAGGGCTGAATCGATTTCGAAGCGCTCGCGAAGCGGGGTTAGATGGAGGGCTATCATCCTCTCTGCCTCTCTTTTTCTTCTTCCTTCCACAACCGTTTCCGGTTTTGTTGTTAGTGTGATGGTGATGGTGGCGGTGGTGGTGGTGGTGGTGGCCGGAGGAAGAGGAGGAAGGGGAGAGAGAGCAATCTGCGCAGAGAACATTCTCGGTTGGATAGAAGGTCTTATATCCCCCCCTTCCCCTCCCGCTTCCACCATCACCACCAGCACTACCAGGAGAAGCAGCAGCAGCGGCGGCGATGATGGTCTCCGGGCAGGAGAGCTCGTAGCCCGGGTCGAGGATGTAGCCTGACTTGTGGGCGGCTTGGTACGTGGCGCAGTGCTCCCAGTCCGGTCCGGGGCGGGGGATGGAGGTGAGGCAGGAGTACAGGTAGAATTGCACGGTTGGGGGGAGGGTGGAAGGGGTGGTCTCGGGATGGAGGGAGATGTGGTGGGGGCAGAGGAGGCTGCCGTCGCTGTCTACTGCCGAGGGGTCCGGGCAGAAGCACCATGAGTGGCGCGGGATGCGGAGGATGCACATGTTGACTGACAGATGTTGGTAGTTGTCCCCTGTTTGCGCTGGGTGATGTGTGTGTTGTTGTTGAGTGTGTGGTGAGTGTGAAGGAGCACGCATGTTGTTGTTCAGGGGCAGGATGGGCCGTTTAAATATGTGGATATCACGAGTGTCCAAGAGGTCTGTTCTACTCACAAAGTGACGACCAGGTTGTTGTTCAATGTGTCTACTCCTGACTGTTTAGAGAACAGCACGTCTGACGACGAGAATAATGCGTTGCTGACATTCATGGGTAGCTCGTTCAGGGGAAAAGTTGAGTAGAGGGTTAGGGTTCTCTGTTGAGAATCTAGCTCAGGGGCTAGCGAGAGGACCACAAAGAAAGAATAAAGCCGCGGGCACGGCACTTAAACGGAATGTATGTTCTGGATCAATGAGAAAATACATGTAGTTCGTATAGTGGCCTTGGAAACTTGGACAACTCAGCGACGCTATAGTAGTGCAGATCGACTATACCCAATCCTAGCGACCTCTGTCACGGCCTCCGTAAGACAAGAACAGTAGTAAGGTAGACACGGAAGAGCGCACTGTTGTATTTACAAGTATTACACCGTCGAGTCAAACAGCCTTATTCAAACTTCAAGTTTACGAAAAGGGCATGGCCATGTCGGCGTCGCTGGACGATTTTGCCAAGGTTGGACAATCAGTGGGAACATGTCTTCAGGACGCTTTCTCCTTCGTAAATGCCTTCAGTGTCACGGTATGTACAGGTTCCCAATATTACACAATATCCTCGGCAAGTCCACCCTGCTAGACTGTGAGACCCTGATGGACAAGCTGTCCACGTAGCCAACCCTTGCCGGCGTCTGATTGGAATATCCAGTACTATACTGGGCATGAGTACAAGCTTCCCATCGAAGGTGAAGCCATATCCTGAGGGGGAAGACTGGTTGTCTGGAATGTTGGGCTGGCTTCCCGTATGGCGTCAAGATATGCCGGAGGCATACATCTGCTGAGTCTTCGCGTGGCGGATATGGGTGCTTCTTGCAGTAGATAACACCCGGGGGTCAGGTTTCCTCGCCCCCTTGCCGTCGGTCGCGCGCAGCAACCGGGCGGCTTCGCCGTTCCGGACTCCCCGTAGACAACAAAGCGGAGAGTCTAGAAGCGGGTTTGTCAGAGATGGACGCGGCGATGCTCTGAGAGAGTTGAGCTCTACCGCGCCGCATGTTCTGTTCTTTTGCACTGTCCGAACAAGGCCTTCGCCCGTGACCCGTCTCTGTGACCTGAATACGCGGTGACGTCGTGGCCAGAGCGATGGAATCCCGAGGAGACTGAATTCTGAGAAGCCACAGGGGTCGTCGGATACACCGCGGTCCTGGTCTTCTGGAACCCGTTGGGTGCGCCACCTCGATTGTAAATACCAATCACACTACGACCTTCCCAGGTCGTGTGGTTGAAGGTTAGGTGTCCGAGTCTACCTGTGGAAACCGGCTCGCCAGGTCCCTGTAGATCTCCCCAAAATAATGGTTGGCAAGAGGCCATGTGATTCTGACCTGCCGGCGTTGCTTTTACAGGGTTGTCGGTCCTCGTCCGGAATGAAAAACCCATCGATTCCCTTGGGAGGTTCCCCGGACTCCTCGAGGTACTGGCGGATCAGATGCTCATCAAAGGCTGGACCCTTAGAGGACCTGCAACCCCTCGGCACATCTCATCGACTAATCTACCGTCGCCGCGGGGATGCCTGTCCGGCACAAGACGCCGACCTGGGCCCGCCGCCCCGGTGGCCGGCCGGTTGGACAAAACTCCTTCGCCCCCTTCCAATTCTGCGTCGTCGACAGTGGGCCAACACCGCATGATGTGTAACGCGGCGACGGTCTGCTTTTTGTTCTTCTTCGGGGTCTTTTGACCACGGCCTCATGGAAGAGTGGACAGTTAGTGTTGAGCGCATTTCTCCTCCTCACCGCCATAGCCGGTGTGGAAGTGCCACAGGATGTCCTCTAGTGGGGCATCGTCGTGATGGTCGTCGCTAATGCGCGAAGGGTGTGGAAGCCCCCGTCCCATCGCCAAGACGGCAGACAAAACAGTGCGCCGCCATGGGCTTCACACGGATGGAGAGACCTCAGAACCCGACGTCGGAAGAAAGGAAGTGCGGCATGCCTACGTCAACCTACTGCCGGTACGGCGTCGGCGAGAGGTTCCATCATAACTTCCATTGCAGCCCATTCAGGGACGGTCAATGATGAAGATACCGCCATTGACTTGCTACGCCGTCTTGCTATCGCGGAGAGCGTGGATCAGAACACCGTCGCGAAGAGTTTGGGGACGTCGCCATCCTCGAAGATCGAAGTCCTCTTCCGTTAACAACCGGGAGCAGCGAAAGCCGAGTTTGCGAGGTGTCTGGACGTCAACAATGGCTGTTTGCTCCAGCAGCCGGGTCGTGGTTGGAATGACGACGGGGGTGGTGGCCGATACATCTCAAAAAGCAGCGTCCGTGTCGCGGTGGATCGCCCTTCATCCACGACAAGCGTGGGGGATCATCGCCACGCTGACCGGCATCCACCACGGAGGGCTACGGCGGGCTGCTCGTGGACGCTCGTGTGAGAAAAGCATCCGGTATAATAAAGAGCGAGGTGACGCGCCTGGTGATAACCATCGCTCGCTATTGTGGCGCGGCCTGCTGCCGACTGCTGCTCGGCGCCGTCGAGGGCGGCTTGTTCCCGAGCATGGCGGGACGAATGGCTCTACCGGCCGAACAATATACCAATATTTGAGTTGCCATTCTACTGGCATGACAATACCGATGCCAGCAACGGGGAAGATTACATGATTACCCAGGGTCATTATCGTGTATGGGAATGACGAGGAGGAGGGAGAGAAAGAGGTGTGTGTAGGCCCGAGTCTAATGTTCGCTTCAGCCTATATACAACAAAATTTGCAATTAAACACACAGCGTCTGGATGTTACTTTCCCAAAAGCGTGGTTGGCTGTGTGGATTACTAACCTGCCGTCTTCGCTTTTTCCATCAGTGTTGGGTGTCTGGAGCGACGACCGGTTAGGTTGTGGGAGGCGACACCTAAATGGAACTAGTAACTTATCAGACGGGCAAAACATATGGAGCCAGTGCATCCCGTCGACCGCGTGTGACGCAGTGGACCATGGGAAATTAGGCGTGGAATGTGGCAGTTCGCGAGGTGCTGTTGGAAACCCTTGTGGGCTGGTACTCATGTTGAGAAATAGACATCCTTCCAAGGTGGGTTTCTGTTCATTCGGGGGTATCATAGACATCCATATTTGCTTTGCTCGGATGATGTTACACCGCCCCGTCCCCCCTAGCCGCCATCTCCGCCCGTATCCTAGCATCACACACCCCAGGGTACGCACAATCGCAGCCAATTTCGTCACCCCTTCTGACAGTACGCATAGTAATAGAATACCTCCCTTGCCTCGGCACCGTCTTCCCATCAACAACATCCGTCTTGCGCGGCCGGATGGCATGCGTATACCCGTAGCGGGACGGTCCCGTCATGAGGAGCAGCGAGCGTGGCGGGAGGAGGATTTCCCAGCATGCAGCTTGCTGCTCTGCGTTCTGGGTCTGAGTCTGCTCCAAAACTGCTGCGGCAGACGCCGCCTCGGTGTTTGTTTCATCACCTCCCTTATTGATATTCTGAGTCTGGACCGACCGCTTGGGCAGCCGCATCTTGCGCGCGTCGTTCGGCCCGGACATCCTGAACTGCATGGGCACGGCGCTGCCGAACGACAAGCTATAGAGGGCCTCGGCAAACATGGAATGCGTGTCGACGTGTGGCGGGATGCCGGCGCCGGGCGGGTAGTACTGGACGGTGAACTGGTCCGGAAGGTAGGTCTGGATCGGAAGGCGGGGGAGGAAGTTGGTGATGTACGACGGGACCGGGGTGAAGTGTGTTTCCGAGGCGCCGAAGGTGGTGTAGTCGAAGTGGTGGCCGAAATGCTGGCTGATGCGTCTCTTTCCTTCTTTTTGTGGGTCTCGGGCGTGGAATGCTTCAATCATGGCTGCTTCTTCGTCTTCGGTGATGAAATTGTGGATGAGCGTGAGCCCGATGTCTTCCCATCGTATTATGTTAGGATTGGAGGGGTCGACCGTTGCAGTGGGTGGCTCTTTGGCGAGTGTCATTATTCTGTCTGGGGACTTAAGCTCCAACGCCGTGAGTTGGTGTGAAAAACAGGTCAATATGAGAGAGGTGTTGAGACTTGAAAGGTGACCAAAGAAATTCTCGTGAATTCTTCTGCCAAAACCCTAACCCGGATGCCCGAGTCCAGTTCAGGGTATCAAGATCAAGACGTTCAGGAACGGCTCATGGGCGACACGATTGCTGAGGCACACGGAGTTACCTCACTGGATGATTTAAACGATGGATCAGGCACCTACCAGTGACAAAGGCACTGTTCATCTGTGAAGCTAAGGTGATGCAGGAGGGTAAATAAATTGGTTGACACTGTAAGGGCAGTGCCGTGACCGGCGAGGGGTATCGTGTCGACTGAGGACTGTCTAATGTTGTGTAGATGATGACGCCCTACAATTATACGTGATGTATGTCTCCATAGCATACCAGCTGTTATCTTGATGCTCTCAGCGTGGGGATGAAGGGAGAACTCCGGCAAGTTCACATCAACTTGGGACGAAAGGCAGCGAAAGAATTGTGTGAAAAAATGAACTCGCTTTGATGACTCGGCTCGAACATGCGTGCTTAAGGAAAGCTGGTACTTACGCCAATCGGTTGGTGGTACATGTACAAGCGACATGCAAGCATCCAAAGAACGCCGGCGGTGGCTAAGCAATCGCCGAGGTAATCCAATGCTGCAACCTCTTAGCCAAGAGACACCCCCCAAGATACCCAAGGTTAGTGTGTAACTGTGACAAGGCCGTCAGCATATGGAATCTCAGTAGTCTGGGGTTACGAAGGGTGCAACGCCGTTCCATTGAGCCATCTGCGAGCTTTGTGGGTTGAGGATAGAGGCAGCTACCGATAAGCTATATCGTTCTTGCCTGATGTGTCCAAAATATGAGAGCCGAGGTTTTCCCAGACGTTCTCAGAATATCCCGATACCGAGTAGAGATTGGGCAAGGCCAACATGAGCTAGCTCTCTAAGTCTTCAAGTGCCATCTCACCAGGAACGGGACGGGACTCAGGGGACACAGTACTTGAAGGCTAGAGCATAGCGTGATGATACCAAAGCGCGGTACGAGGTGTCACTGTATCCATGAGAAGGAATAAGTAACCATCCCTGGTGAAGGCACCACTCCTCGTGCTTATGCAAACATAGACTCCTCAGCTCAGGCTGACACTGCTCGGAGCTATTGGGGTATGGTCAGTAGCAGACCATAGCCACATTATCTCGGCTTCACGGCTGCCTATCTCTTTGCCCAGCGCACAACGGAGGATAGAGCAAGACTTCCATTTGAAGTGGCACAATGTTGGGCGCCTTAAAGCGGGTATCGCTGGTTGATGGGAGATGGGATATGAGCATTTGGTGGTCACCGAGGACGACTCACTGGGTGCACAAAGTGCTGGCTGAGTGTTTCCATGGTCCATTCAAGTCTGGATCGCCGGGGAGTGATGAGCTAGCTCTGTAATGGAACGCCATCTTTGTGATGGAAAGCCACCAGGGTCGAATAAGGTGTTATGGGTATCTTCAATATGTCGTGAATGTGCTTCATACACAGGTACTGGCCCTTGATCGAGCACACAGCAAGCGGTGTTGCCCTGCCAACCCCCCTGGTGCATTCTCGCCGCTCCAGTCAGCGCACTGTCTTCCCCTCCGTGAACACGTCTACCGAGAGCATGGTATGCTGCTGATTCGCAGGACAACAGCTAGGCGTACGGGGCGAGACACCCCCTCTCCTCAACCTCGAATCGAGACAGCGGGGTGCACGTAGTATGTCAGGAGTGCAGGGCATGGCGATGACGGCCGCCCCTGACGCTTCATAGATCGATATGACTCTCTCTCTCTCCTGCATCTCCACCACTTCATGAAGGCGCCGGCTGCGGATGATTCCCGACCGTCTTATACAGGTCGCGCAGCTCGAACGCCTCGTGTCCGCCCTCGGGCACCTCACCGATGAGCCGCGCCGGCTGGCCCGCGACGATGCTGAGGCTCGGTATGACCATGTTCGGGGGCACGACGGTGCCGTCGAGAATGCGCACGTAGTCCTTGATGATCGCGAACTCGCCGACCACCACGTTGGCGCCGATGTGCACGTGGCTGCCCACCGATGCCGCCTGGATGACGGACCCGGGGCCAACGAAGACGTGGTCGCCTATTCGCAGGGGCATGTATGTGAATGTTCTGAGGTGCCGTACATGGTTAGCGTGCTGCTAGCAACCTCTAGTTGAGAAGTGGACGGAAAAAAAGTATGTACCCCTTGTATAACCGCCCTGGCGGACGCAGACAGGAACCCCGGCTCAGGAAGCAGTACCGGCCGATCGAGACTGCAGTGTTGTTCGGGGGCGCGCCGCTCGCGGACTGGGAAGATGCCTGGATGGTTCGGATGAGGTCGCCCCGGATCATGACTTCGGGTTGGATGACCGTCTTGCCGCCGAGCATGATGTTCTGGGTGCCGACAAGCGTGGCCTTGCGCGCCACCTTGTTGCCCGTGTCCTGGAGAAGGTCTCCAAGGTCAGTAGTGATTTGTGGGATGGGCGCGGGGAATTTGGACCTACCGTCTCAATATACTCTCCCCTCGGCGGTCTTCGCGACATGGTGCTGGATGTTTAGCAATGCCGACACAATAATGCTCTCGTTCAGCCAAACCGCTTCTTTATTAGACGTTGGGATTAACGCGTTATCAGTGTGCGGGTGACGCGACTGGAACAAGCAACGGTAATAATAGCGGGGTCACCCCTGTCGTGTCACTGGTGTTGGCGCTTGGACCGCGCCTGAAATCAGCATATGAGAGACAAAAGTTTAGCCCCGGTGGGTTGCTTCCATGATTTCCAGCTCGCTTCATACGCTCTTGTCCGAACGAACAATACAACAATGTATCATTCAGTTCCAGGATTCTCGTCATCCCGCCCTCACAAGATGCATTCTTGGCGCTTGTCGGCGGCGACGGTAGCTTCCCACGCTTCCCTGGCGCGCGCATACCTTAGGTAGCTGTGGCTGCTGTGTGCTTGTGCTACCTGGTGAACCAACCTCTCATGCTACTTTCGAGGGTATACTGGGGCTTAGAGATGGAGTGGAAGTGCCTGTGTCGTCGACTCTGCGAATGTGGCGAGGTCACCTGGGACAAAATAACTGCACCCGATTTCCCGTTACACCCCAAGCCCTCGACACCTGCCCGCCAGGTTCTATCTTCAAGAGCCCAGTGTCTACGAAGAACAAACCTGTTTTAACCATGTCTCCAGGTGGCGCAAGTTTATCAAGGAGTTTTCGGGACGAGCCCTCGCAACTCTGGAGACAAATCTCCGGCTCTTGCTGGTCTAGCCAGGCGCGTACTGCGCATGGCCCATAGTTCTTCCAATGCTTTTAAGGACAGTTATTATGCCGGAACGCCATCCACAACACGGAGCCCCTTCTTGGTCCTGGGCATCCGTCTCAGGAGGGGTCATCTTCTAGGAGCATCACCTTTCTCTATCCTGGGTGGTCTACGGTCGAGCTGAGGCGGACATACACGAGACCTTTTGCGAGCCCGTCCACCCGGAAAGCCCAATGGGAGCAATCAGACATGGCTACATCGACATTACGGCTCCGCTAGTGTGTGTGAAGCTGGCGGTATTGGAAGAGGATTATTCGAGCATTCATCCGAGCATAACTGTCCGTTTTAGGTTTAGGCTGCTGGTTACTGACGAGGACTTGCCCGACGGGGATATTGGGATCGAGCTCGAAGGCATTCATGCGGGTATGCCAATGTCATGGTCGACAAGGAACAAGAACTCCTGCGGCTTCTACCCGGCAGTCACTGGTGTAGAGTCATCGCCACGGGGGGGCGACTACACGGGTCACACGACTCGAAGGTCCTCCGAGAGCAGTACTTCGCCTGCCGTCTGCGTACCCGGGTGGCTGGATACCCAAGTGACCAGCACGCGGAGTGCTGCATAGACTTTCTGATCTTACAGAAAGTACCGGACAGCGGCGCGTACCGGAGGATCGTGTTCGGCTCTTGTATACTACGGGTATCGTCCCATGCCTCGGACAAGGACCTGTTGTTCACCACAGCTGCCGAACAGCACATTAGGATTGTTTGACAGACAAAGGATGTTTTGTCCTTGGCAAGTGGTGACACTCGATCTATTCGGACGCTTTCAATATCGCCAACATAACACTGTACGATTCAAATAACCAACCGGGTACTGATCTAATCCGCGTTTAAGGTCTTCAATATTTAGCATCCCCCACCGGTCTTCGCCCACACGGCCGGATCATACTCGTCCATCCACTCGACATATTCCTGCCCTGCCGCGGCCCACCCCTTGATCCCCCCCGCGAGGGCAAGACTCTTCATAGTTGTGTCTCCCACGCTAGCGAGGTGGTCGGCCAGCCAGGCCGTAGCTCTGCTTCCACGACCGGTGGATGATCCTTGGGTCATCAGTGTTAGATGGTATGTCTTTTTGAGCAAACTCAAGGGATCATCAAGCGCAACACACCACAGTAGAAGATGACCTTCTGCAGGCCGGCTGCCTTGAACAGGGCATAGAGGGTGGGGAGAGTGGGATAGAGACTTTGGGCGGGGAGGTTGATGGACCCGCGGATTGTGCCGCCCTGTGAGGATTGCTGTTAGACGGGCGGGGGAGACACTGCTTTACTCATGCTGGCTCATAATCAAGGTTCCCAGGTATTCGGAACACTTCGCTCGATCCACTGCCCTTGTGAATCACGGGAGCTGTTCGCAGAAGGACTCAGGAGCGCTCACAAGGCGAACGTCGATTGCCAAACATTCAGAACACTCATGTTGATTCTCTTGCCAACTCACCTCAAAATCATTCCGCCGCAGATCAACCAGGATAAAGTCCCTCTTCTCAAGCGGAGTTGTCTTGAGCATCTCAAGGACTTCTTCGCGCGAGATGGTGGCTACCTCCGACTTGGGAGCGGGGTAGGCCGCATACCATGGCGCTTCAGAGGCGGCTTTGCTTGCGTCTGCCGTTGCCATTTCGAAAGCCGAGCTTTGTTGAAGTTGAATAACAGTCCTGGAATTGGATGACTCACCGAGGTCTTTGTGACGGGTGAAGAGAAAGGGTTTATTCTATTCGAACAATGGCTTTCATTGCCTTCAGGCTTCGGCTGAAGCATGCGATGGAGTCACTTCCGAGACATGATTGGTTCGTGTGCTTCAGCTTGCCGAGGATGTCGTCCCTTTCACACTTTACTGGCCACTAGCAGGAGTACTGCTTGTAGTCTCATAACTTAAAGGTACTAGTAGGTAACCTAATCCGAGAAGATTCCGCCGACTTGTGAGCTACTCAATCTATATCCATCTACCACTACTGGCGCAGATTCTGGAGCATGACCGCCACCAGACTCGTTGATTACCTTAGGCAATGCACCACGATGACCTTTCAATATTGACCGACTCTTTTTCAGCAGCAGGGATGGATGAAAGCGTCAACCGCATCCGGAGAATCGCGTCCCCCACAAAGGTACAATCGTCAGCAGGAAATCTATAGTTATTGGCAAGCCCAACTAACTCGGATGAGCGAAGCGGTGGACTACCTTTCTCTAACCGATAACCTGCAAAAATGGAACATCGGTATAGATCGCTCTCCTCGGCAAGCACTCCGAACCCAGGCCCATAAGCAGCCACCGGCAGCATGCCCGGGCCCAAAGGGAAGACACTGGGATTGGGAACCAGTGACCACAACCGGAGTCCGGCAGAGCACCCTGCAGTCAACATTGGAACTGCCGAGATCCTGATCCCAGATATATACCACCCAGGCATCTGGATAAAGCTGTGGAACTTGTCATCACCGTCCAAATGTGCATGGGGCCAAACAACAGCACGACCTGCATCTGGCGGCTTACAGTCTTACACAACAGTACTTTAACCGGCGTCCTTTTGGAAAGAACCGCATCTGCCGGACCAGCCGATTCGCTCGCCCAGGTCATCATCTTAAACAGACGGAGATTAAAAATCCGGGGAAGAGGCTTGGCGTTGGACGGGTGATGGCACGACGGTTGCATGAGAAGACCAATCATGGTGGTTTGGTATGTCAGACTGTCGTTTGCGTTTGTTTGCGTGATATGGATTTTATGGCATGGCGCTATAGTCCATGGATGATGATGGGTGATCCTCACCTTCCTCCTTGGCTCAGAGCGGGCATCACTTGCCCACGGGTGAATTCCGATGAGGCGACCCGGATATTGATGGTGCCTTCCCACTCTCGAAGCCAGCTGCAGCAAAATCCGGAACAGGAGGAAGGGCGAGGACCCACGAACTCAGAATGTGACGTAAATAAATAACATTTACCCCCCAGCCGGACACCGAAGTTTTTGATCTTGGTTCCATTCCCCGTACAATATTCTTCGCTTTGCAGGAATTAGTACTCTGAGTCGTCAGCCGAAGCTATGGCTCTCAAAACCTTCCTGGCGAGTCTCCTGCTCGCGGCGCCCCTGGCCGTCGGCCATCCGGGCAAGGAGGAGGCGTTTGCACACGCAGCACAGCCCCTCGAGCGCAAGTCGCTCGCACACTGCGAGAGGGAGTTCTCGCACCCGGAGTTCATCAAGAAGACGGTCGAGATCCATGGGCGCGAACTGGCGCGGTTGCGGCGGTCGCTGGGCATCGAGGTTGACGAGAAGTGAGCGAAACTCGCCATTCTTAGGAACACTTGTGGCCAGAAAAAGAAAAGAATAAAATGGAAGACGCTGACACTGAGCTTCGCCAGGCCCAAGATCCGCCCCCGCGACTACATCTCGGTGTCTCGCATCGACCACAAGAGCAACAAGACGGTGTCCAAGGGCATGGATCTCAGCACGCTGTTCTCGGACTCGGGCGCGTGCATGCTGATGCCTTCGGTCGACCAGGGGCCGTTGTGTAGGTTATACTACATCTAACCATGTGCGGTTGGCCGGGAGCAGTTCTTGCTGACGACAGCCCTCCAGACGTGAAGGGAGAGGAGATCAGGAAGGACATTACGGGTGGAGAGCAGGGCATCAAGTTGACGCTGGCCATCCAAGTGGTCGACTACAAGACCTGCCAGACCGTGCCCAACGCCTACGTCGACATCTGGAGCTCCAACTCGACCGTGAGTGCCTTTACTCTACTCCTCCAATTCCCCCCCCCCCCCTTTTCCCCCCCCCAAACACTTTCACAATAAAACAAACCTGACTGACCCGCGGCTGCCAGGGCATCTATGTCGGCGTGCAGGGCTACCCGGGGATGGGCGACCCGAACGACGCTTCCATCCTGAAGGGCACAACCCTCCGCGGGGTCCAGCCGACCGATGACCACGGCGTGGCCTCGTTCGACTCCCTCTTCCCGGGCCACTATGAAGGACGCGCGACCCACATCCACGGTATTGCCTTCCTTTTCCTTTCTTTTCTTTTCTCTCCGTTATATTTCCCCCTTCCCCCCCTCACTCTCACACCATACTAATACTAATCCACCAACTAACCACCTTACCTTCATCCAGCAATCGTCTACCTCGGCGCGCAAAAACAACCCAACAACACCATCACCGGCGGTCGCGCCGCGCACGTCGGGCAGCTCTACTTCGACCAGTCGCTCATCACGGCGGCCAATAAACTGCCCCCCTACTCCACCAACAAGATGGGCATCACGCCCAACACGGCCGACTTTCTCTTCATGCAGGGGGCCAACGGCGACGACCCGATCGTGCGGTACGCGCTGGTCGGCGGGGACCTGTCGCAGGGCCTGTTCGCGTGGATCCGCTTCGGCATCAACCAGCAGGCCAGTAAGAATGTCAACCCGGCTGCGTTCTGGACCGAGAAGGGCGGCGTGATGAATCCCAAGGGGCCTATTAGCCAGCTGCCTGGTGGTGGAGGTGGTGGGGGTTTTCCGGGGTGGGGTGGGTGGCCTGGTCAGGGAGGAGGGAAGAATAAGAAGAAGAGGGGGGTTGTTGTGAATGAGGAGGTGAAGGTGGAGGAGGAGAATGTCGAGTGAGTAAAGGGCAGAGGGGAGGGGGAAAGTAGTGATTGTTTGTGGGGTCTTTGTTTATTTGGTGAAAGGAACTTTCACGGGAGACCAGGGGATCATGAAGTGATTGTGTGGACAGGCTCAGGAATACCATCAGTCGTTACCAGCAGTGGAGTAGGGTAAGGTACGCAATTTCCGTGTTGACCACAACAAGGCTGTTGAAGGATAGTGCTTAGCTCCTTCAGCTCTGGTGACTTCAACCAAGCTCATACCCCTCTAAGTCCTCGGGCAAGCATCACAAGGATACATGGTGCCGGAGTGAAATCAGGAATACAGGTGGGTGAATACTAGCTAGAAACCCCCTGTTTGGGTGTTCCGTAGGGCTATCGCAATCCATACTCATCGTTGCCCATCCTTCACATGGCTCATTCACACCTTCAAACCCTCCAGCAGCCTCTTCAGCTCTTCATTCTCCATCATGTTCATCTTCTCCGCCATGTCCCGCAGCACAGCCTGCAGCGCATGGACCGCCCTTTGCGTATGCGCAAGGCTGCCCTGCTGCTGAAGCTGCTGCAGGACCAGTTTCTTCTGAGCGAGGGACATGCGGCCCTGGACGTGGCGTTGCGCCAGCAGGTTCTGGAGGACCGTGCTTCCGGAAGGCAAGCCGGCGCGCGACAGGGCGTGGATGAGCGGTAGCGAGTACTTGCCCTCGTCGAGGTCCTCGCAGAAGCCCTTTTGCTTCGTGTACTGAGCCAAGCATTAGTTCCATAGGCCTTGGATGTTAATTCCAGACAAGACAGAGGAGAGCTTACATCGGCCGATGTCAGATTCATGTAATCGTCGCGGACCTGGAACAGCCGTCCAAGCAAGGTCATGAACCGCGTGAGCTGTACTACGTCCAGCTTCGTGGGCGAGGTCGACTTCGCATCCAGCATTCTCGCCAGCATCCGGAACAGTCCGGAAGTTTCTGTGACGATGGTCAGGGAGGAAACCGTTTCGGAGTGGCGACTGCGTGTTGAGTGGTGAACTTACTGCCATCGACCATCGCTAGGTACTCCTCCACCGTGGGGCAGGCCAAGTTGTTGGTCCATTCCAGATCATGGCTCTGTCCAATGTACAAGTCTCGGATTTCCTCTGCGCTGTCGTCAGAATCCAGTGGTCGCCAGCCCTTCATTCGGGAGCTTGCCAAAATACCAGACAGCAGCACTCACCGCAGAAAATAGTCATGCACCGCTGACTCTTCAACTTCCTGATCTCCTCCAGCGCGAGAAGAAAGCGGTACCCGGCAGAGTTGATGGTCTGCATTTGTCCAAAGACAAGGTGGGTTGCCGGCGAACCGCGGCGGAGCTGCGATGAGTCCTGAATGTCGTCCATCATCAGAGACGCTCCATGCAGCAGATTGACCGTCTTCTTGATTATGGCCGTCTCCTCCGCCGGCACCCGGAACCAGAAGTTTAAGGCATCGATGACCTTGTCGCGGATGCCTTTGGCCGGGAGCGAGTCAAGGTAGCGCGTGGGGGCTTCGAGAGCCTGTGCCAAGGGTTAGGAGCCTACCTACAGCCCTCGGGGTCGCCCAGTGTCATACGCATACCTCTGTACCCAAAGGTGGGACGGACTGTACAACCGCCATAATCTGGTAGGTGAGGCTTTGGGCAAGAGACGGAGTGTTGTCCGTTTGATGAAGGCTGAGAGAGCTGAGAGAGCTGAGAAGCACCTTTTCGCCCCCTTGTTGACCCGGGCATGCCAGGCTGGGTCCGGTGGCTTCATCTGCAGAGATCCCCCTTGCCATTTCGAGCTGCGCCGGCGTCAGGGTTTGGTTGTCATGATATCGGGGGCACTGCTGGCTCCAGACAATGTTCCCGCTCATGCCGAACTGCAGTGTCTCGAGTAGGAACTTGGCATCTTTGCAGAGATCATCCCTGGCTCTCACGCCCTCGAGAACCCGCAGGTACTCGGCACAGTACTCACGTGTCTTCTCACGCCACACCGATTTTGCTTCGTCGAGGGTCATCGAGTGTTGCATCCACAGCACCTAGATGGCATTATTCACCGCACTCTTGCCCTGGAGATCTGCCTGTTTCACTTCGCGGGCGAGGGAATGGTAGTCGTTGACGAGCAAGGTCTGCAGCCAAAAGGGCCGTGAGAGGTCCAGACACATCTGCTGTTGATCCTCTGGGATCCGTAGACCCATGGCGAATAGCTTCAGGCCAATCGCGGCTCCGTTGATGCTGTTAGACTTGGGAGCCGTAGTGAAGAACCTAAACTTGTCGGTTGAAGAAAAGTCTGAGAACTCACTGAGAAGTAACATCGACGAGCCTGCCCTCTAGATACTCATCCAGGCTCTTCGGATGCCCAGCCTTCGCTCGGCCCATACCCATCATCAGCTTCACCCACTTCTCCAGCCAGCGCACAGCGTGCACGGCGGCCTCGGGATCCACGGCAAACATCTCCCTTCCCACGCTCGCCATGAGCTTGGTCGCGGGCGAGCACGACGACACGTCATCCACCTCACCGCCGCCGCCGTTCATGACCAGCTCCCGCGCATGCAGAACATCGGCCAGATGCGGAGCAGCGAGCTCGGTAAGCGATGACTCGGCAGCCATGTCAATTCTGTCGTTAATCAGAAACATCATCTCAACGATGTACCCCACGAGCTCGAAGCGGTCGGGCAGCGTCTCGGGCATGGTGACCGCGACGAAGTTGAACGCGGGGCCCATGGTGCCGGAGAATCCGGGCGGCAGAGGGCCCAAGACACGCTGCCAATCCTTCTGGGCACGGAGGGCGCCGCGGTCGGCGAGGGATGCGTCGCGGTGGACGCGGACGGGTATGAAGGTGCTGAGACCGTCCATGTAGGCCGGGTACTCGGATGTCTCAATGAGACGGGAGTTGGGGAACTCCATAGTGGTGGTGTTGGGATTGATCGTGATCGTCATCGGCGTGATGTGTCAGGCTGATGTTGTGCAGGAAATGTGATATAGTGTTGTAGGATAGGTAGACTTGAGCCCGGAAGTATGCTGTAAAATATACTTAGAATGGGAGCCGGTTGGGGTCTGGAGGAGTAACCGCAGGGTGCGAGCAATGTCGGTGTGATGAATGGTGTTAAAAGGTTATGAGGGCACTTGAAGTTACAGTACCTATCTGGGACCGTGGAGCATATTCTGGTGAGGGAAGGCACGTCAACCTATCGGCCCCATTCGACTAGTGTGATGCGCGATACGCGCGTCAGGTTTCGTCAGGCTGCTCCTGCCCATTGAATAAGAAAGAAACCTAAGGTAATTCTGCCATAGCCAAGTGTAGAAATGTCTGGGAAAAAGACTGTACTGTGGGATGACGACGGCGAGGAATAGATGTGCTCAGGCAAGCCAAGGAAGTGGCTTACATATATTAAGATCTTGAAGCGACAGTGAAGATACATAGGCTATAATAGAGCCCGTGTTGATATTCAATACCGTGCGGGCAGAGAAAGCTGACTACGATCTCCGATCTCGCCCCTGGCAAACCAAGATGGCACAAATGATCCCTCCCGCTGCTATCCCTGGCAGACTCACCTCTCTCTCATTTTGGATTGGGAGCCTCCAATACAACTCTGGACTGCCAGTTACTGGGTCGTGACAATCAGCTTCCGCGGCAGCAGCAACCACCTTTTTACCGCCGGCAGTGCGGTACTATAGGCACAACTCAGCTCACATTGCGGCAATTGCTTTGTTCAGCTTATGACGTATGTTTGCAGCTCACTGTGATTTCCTAAGAGTAAACGTACAGGTGCAAGACATGTCTCTCGGATTACTTTGCCTCGGGGCACACCGACATGAGCATTTATGAGCACACGATGTCTCTCAGTCTCTCTGCGGGTACACACCTGCATATGCCCGTGGGACCTGCATTTACCATCGATGACGTTATGGGAGGCTTCTTCCTGATTCTAAGGCTGACTGTTGCTGGGCTCAGCCTCCCATGATGATGGGTAGTACGAAAGGGGTGCCGTACCTGGCGGGATCTGATGCTCTGCCGGCGGCGGAGGCGCAGATTTAATGAACAATGACTATAGGAACCATCGTAATTATTAGAGCTGGAGTAGCAATGGGAGTAGTAGGAGCATTACTGCTTTTCTTCCCCCAGTGGTGCTGACAGCACTGGCCTCTGATTCCATGAGCAGCTCCTATACCATGTGATGGTGGAGAAGTTGAGAATGGTACAGCTCAGGATGCGATACTGGCTGTCTTGAGTGACATACGAGCAAGAGCTCTAGATAAACATGGGATATGATTGAACCACGGTACGTCAGAAACACAATGTTTACCTTATTACTTACAAGCCGGCATTCAAGCATGAGTACCTTAGGTGACGCTACGTCTTCGTTGACAGGCCACAAGACATCAGTGAAGCTCGGGGAGTTCCTAAGAATCAGGCAATTCAAGACCCGTTCCGAGAGCACTTTGAAGTCTCATTTTCTGAAAGTCGCCAGCCACAGTGCATAAAATATTATCAACAGTGCCACATGATGTCGGTTCTTCCGTACGGCGTAGAGGAAGAGGCTGTTGGGTCCCAGACTCTCAACTCCGTGTGTTTCTTGTCCTCGGCTCACATCAGTGTGACTGCCCACAAGTGACAACCTGATGCCGCAAGGACCTTTCCCCCTTCACTACTATCTTGAACTTTGGGTATATGCTCTATCAGAATTGGTTGTCTGGTGAGCGTCGTCCGCATGCCCGACAGCTCTAGGTTGCCAAGCCGGTGTTCGGCCTATTCTGAGGTAGTCATGGTAACACCGACAGCGTTCGTCCCACAGAGTAGAGGGCAGAGAATACGAGAGACCTCTTTTGCTCAACGGAGTAATCTACCCCGCGGTTGTTAGAATCTTTGGAAATTTGGAAGCTCGTTGAAAGTCGGCTTGAATCGATAAACCCTTTCCCCATCACAACAGCGACAACACCGACTTCGGCACTTCCAAGGCTCCAGCCACCCCGTCATAGAGTTGCAGTGTTGTGTCAACACGCCTGCCTCGCACAGTTTGGTGGTGCTTGGCAGACCGGAGTGTCATGCATTATCATGGAGTCGTGTTGTCTCAGCCAGCTGCCGAATCGGGGAGGTCGCATCGCCCGGCACTCGAAATTCCCGTGAGCCTCCTTTTTTTGCCGCTCGCTTTTTTTTGCGGGGTGTCGATCTTGGCGGCCCATCGCTGTGTGACTCGATGGCTTCCAAGTACCGGGCGAAATTGAACGTCGACTGAACTCACCCAATCTGGGGATTGCTTGCACGCGGCATAAACATGGCGTGCATGGCCCGGTTGGTGGGATCGGTCATGGCCATGGCCCCCCTTGTTCTTCAAAGTCTTCGAGACAAAAGGTTGGCCAAGTCCCGGGCGGCCAAATTGGTCTACCTTCGCTGTGTAACCCTACCTAGATATCGAGTTCCCAATGGGCGGCCCGGCACGCGTTTGGCGCAAGCCAGTGGCCGGAGCTTATCTCATAATAGGGGAGGTGCAATGGATCGCCAGGGGACTCTACCGGAGCGGTGGTCACGATCGGGAAGGAAGTTCCCCCCTTGATCAAGGTCGCATTTCGTGATCACGGGCAAACGGGCCGTGGCCAAGCCAATCTCGGCTTGCAAACTGACCTTCCACAATCCGACAACACGGCCGGGTATCAGATGGCTGAGGCCTGCCCCTAGGCGCGTGAGGACGGGGGGAGTGCTAGGCGCACGAGGGCGGGCATATAAGTCCACGATGCCTCCCCGTCACTGTCCTCGTGTAGAAGAGAGCAGGCGATCTCAGTCATCCCTCTGGACTATCATCTCCCCTCAGCATTCGCTTCAAGCTTGAGCTACAAGCGCCATTCCACAATGCGCTTTACACGGTTCGCTCTCGCCGCAGCTGCGGCGCACAACGCCCTCGCAGCCCCGTCGCTGCGGCCTGCCGAACGGGCCTTCAGCTGCGGCGCCCCTGAGCCCGAAGCCGAGCACATCAAGATCTCGCAGAAGTTTGCCGCGCAGGAGGCTGCCGCCCTCCGCGAGGGCAGCTTCTCCGTCCAGGCCGTGACCACTGTCGACGTGTACTTCCACGTCGTGTCCAACTCCACTTCTCTGAAGGACGGCTATGTCACCGTAAACCCTCCCCTTACCGTTCCTTGATAAATCTCACCATTTTACGCCCGAGAACAAAACTAAGACTAACCCCGCCTTTTCACACAGGACGCCATGCTCCAAGCACAGCTGGAGACGCTCAACACAGCCTACGCACCGCACCAGATCCAGTTCACGCACAAGGGCACCACGCGCACGGTCAACGCCAACTGGGCCGACGACTCGCGCGGCTACGAGATGACCATGAAGCGGGCCCTGCGCAAGGGGTCGTACGGCACGCTGAACCTGTACTTCCTGTCCGAGATGGGCGACAACCTGGGGTACTGCTACTTCCCGACGTCGTCGGGCACGTCCAACCCGGGCTCGTCCAACTTCATCCGCGACGGCTGCACCGTGCTGGCGCACACCGTTCCGGGGGGCAGCCTGAAGAATTTCAACCTAGGCCATACCGCGACGCACGAGGTCGGCCACTGGTTCGGGCTGTACCATACTTTCCAGGGGGGGTGCACCGGTGCCGGGGATAGCGTCGCCGATACGCCGGCGCAGGCGAGCCAGAGCTCCGGGTGTCCTGTGGGCAGGGATAGCTGTCCTAACCAGCCCGGGGTGGATCCGATTCATAACTATATGGATTATTCTTATGAGTGAGTAATTCCATATAGTACCTTATGTTTTAACTCTTGGAGGTTCTGTGGGAGAGATAGATGACCGACTGACGAGATGGAAAACAGCACTTGCTATGAGGAGTTCACGCCCGGGCAGCAGGCGCGGATGCTCAGCTTCTGGAATAACTACCGTGCGGGCAAGTAAATGTGATGGGATGAGTTTCGGGGAGAGAGTGTACGGAGTCATTTGGAGTGTGGTGTCGGTTTTAGTTGTTTGGTTGTTTGCCAGTCGATTGCAGCTCTGGGGGAATCTGCATTGCGCGTGGATGAGATGTCGGAGTTGCGGTTGGGTGGCCGGGAGGGTGTTGGATAGCGAGTGCATTGCGTAGCCGAATTTTCCTGTTCTTAGTACATATACGTAGAATTGTAACTACTTCACCACTGGATGTCCCTTTGGCAGGGAAGTCTACTCTCGAACGGATTTGCTGCATCAGGTGTTCCGCTTGTTCCCCTGCAAGACAGTTCGATACGTTGTAGCGCTCTTTGTTTTCATTGACACCATACAATGCTATCCGCCAGTTTCTGTTCCAAACCAGAGGGTTGACAAACTCCATGTTTCTAGCGTAAATGCAAGCAAAGTCTCAGCAGAAGAGATTGTATGTACATACATCCAAAAAGTAGACAGCGAAAGGAAGCCACAAACAATTTAAAGTGAAGTGGCGTGAGAGATTCCCATCCCTCGAAATACCCCCCTTTGGAATCCTTAAAGACCCCCAGCAGAGCAGATCTTGGTGGCCTCGGCGACGCGCTTGGCGTAGCGGTCCGGGTAGGCCGAGACCTGGACCTTCTGGCACAGCTTGCCGACGGCCATGGTCTTCCAGCCGCTGACGCCCTTCATCTTCTTGAAGAACTGGCCGGCCGACTTGGCCGGGTCCATGTCGGCGGCGATGTCCGGGTAGTACATGACGCGCTGCTGGAAGATGCCGACGCTGTCGTGGTCCGAGCCGACCTTGTCGTGCGGGTAGTTGAGCGACTTGGGCACGTTCTTGTTGGCGTAGACGTAGATGTTGGTCTGGGAAGTAGGTAATTGAGATTAGTTGATGGGGTCCCTTTTTTTAAAAAAAAAAAATGAAGCTGCAGGTAGTGATCTGGGGATATCCGTCTTTACCTCGACAAGAGCAGTGGCAATGCCCGCCTCGCAGCCGTGTCGGCCAACGCCATCCTTCTTGGCCTGGGCGATGATGGCCCGGGCGTGCGAGGACTGCACCTTGTTCAGGCCGGGCAGGGTGCCCTCGCCGCCGCCGCTGCCGCCACCGCTGCTGCACTTGGGCGCAACATAGCCCGAGGTGCCCGTTTTGACGTAGTAGTCGGCGACGTAGCAGTTGTCCGACGTCTTGTCCCACAGCGAGGAGCCCTGGACCACTTCGCCGGTCTCCTGGCAGGTGATCTTGAGGTCGGCGCCCTTCTTGTACGTCTTGATCACCTTGTAGCTGGTTCCGGGCCCGGACCGGCAGTTGAGCGTGTCGGCCTTGACCGGGTACGCGCTGACCAGCGGCAGCGCGGCCACGAGGGAGAAAGCAAGAAGGGAGAGCTGCATGGCGAAGGCTGTCGACGATGAAGATGAAGATGCCGGGACTGTGTGCAGCGGCTGATGAGAGTGTTTAGGTGAGTAGGCTTAGCGATAGTGCTGAGAAAGTCTGTTGGGAAGAACGGAGTGTGTCGACTTGGTTTATATCCTCCTTTTCCCCTCATGATGATCTCTTGAAATCAACACTCTGTGCCGTGTCTGCAGCCCTGCCTCGGTGGTTGTCTTTGGCGACCCGTCAACCGCGCTGTAAGACCACCCCACACTTGGCCATCTTACTCTCAACAACATGCCGAGACATGGTCAGAGGTGCGTTCAGACCCAGCAGCGATTGCCAGCTGCAACACGATTCTGCAAAGTCAGTTTGCGCCGCATGTCAGAGTCGAGCCATCCCGGGGCAAGGACAGTCCGCTGTGGAGATGCGGATCTGCCCGACAGCCGTAAGCAGCATCCATGGATGTCTATTTTTCTCAAAGTCGGAAATTGCAATGCATGCTCAAGGCGGGGAAAAGGGGTGCGATGCCCACTAAGGCAGGTCCCCGTCCTTTTCAGCTCCAGGGGCAGGTAGGGCTGGGGGCTGTGCTACCCGCTACAGTTGTGTGCTTGGTCCAATCGCTGCAGTGCTAAAAATAACCGCGCCCTGGCGTGCCTTATACGCTACCCCGGTTTGTGTGACCGAGGCTGTTCGTTATGGCAAGGAGGGGCAGATCAAGGAGATAAGCTTGTTCTATTCCTTGTTGACATGCAGAAGACCGACCGCTCTCGGTTCAAAAACAGAAGCCCGCACGCTGAGCATCACGTGGTGCCGCCTATGCCGCCTTCGTCCCAACTACACCTCGACGGTGGCATGCAGGTGCACCTCAGGAGTCAGGGTTAGGGCTTTGTGCTGTAGCAACCGCAAGAAACTTGAGGACGGGTGCGATGAATCAGACCACGACGAGTCGACGATAGATGTAAGTGCTTCGATTAACCTGTGCACCAACCTGCCTTCTCCGATAGATCGCGGTTTGAGAGGAGAGACGGGTTAGTGATTTGGAAGGTTGGATGTCTTGGGCGGACATAGTAATACGTTGATGGTGACGATGGAGAGCGAGGTCATGTACAAAAACAAGATTCGGGTTTGTGCGGGGTTGGACTGGATTCCATTTCTGCCGAGTGGGTGTGGATGTACTGATGTTGTGTCTGTCGTGTGCTTGGCTCCAGCTCAACTAGCATTTGCAAGTCCTTTGTCGTCGCCACATTTCAGCAAGTCTATATGTAGTCTTGTGACTTGTCCTCCTCCTCCCACTCTTGGCTCGCCTCGCAATCAATTGAAGGGCCAAGGCGCGCCTCAACGGGGCAGGCTGCCATATCCGAAGTCTGGCTTCTCACACAGGGTGGCTTGACACTGGTGCTCTCGCGATATGTTGGATTGGACTCGGTTGCCTTGCAAAGCATGCCGTCAGCCCGAGTGCTTACTGGACAACCTCTATGAGAAGGAAACGGCGGGGGTTACTTACCACAATGCCATGACCCACGCCTCCTCCTCCTCCTCCTCTTCTACTGCTTTGTCTGCCGCCTGCAACAGATGCGAGTAATGGGCGCGAACAGCCTCCGGTTGATGCTGTCCGAGATTGGGAATGTTGTCGAGCATTGCCAAGGGTGAAAGGCTTTGCGGGGATTGGTTCTTATAGTAGGGCTCCCAACGGAGAAGGTATACCCGCTGGGCCCCTAAGAAGGCGGCGGTGTACATGATCTGGTCTCCTAGGGCAATGCCCTGAGGACCGCTGCCGCCGCCGCCGCCGACCACCAGCTGTGGTTCCACTGCGATGGTGTGCAGAGGGGGCACGACCGCGATGTCATTCCCCTCCCTTTCCAGGGAATTGAATAAATACTTTGCGACGGTCAGGACGTCGCGGACGCAGAACTGATCCCTCGAGAGGCTGACGGGAAGCCACGCAAGGGCGAACCCCTTCTTCTTCGGCTTGGGGACCGCCACGAGGGCCCTGTCCGGCAGGGCTCGGCGGACCTCGACGTAGGCCTCGCGGCAGACCTTCATCAGGTCCCATACGGGGTTTCCGTGGCGGGAGAAGTCGGACTCGTCCACAAACTCAAACCATGCATCCAGCGTTTCGGGGCTGCCGTACCCCCGGATGTTGACGCGGAGGATCCTTGCGGGGACCGCTTCTTGCCAGATGGCACATCAAGCTCGGTAGGGAGCCGCGGGAAGGGCGTGAAGGTGGTCCCCGCCATCGGTTGGATGGGTATTGCTGCTGGAGTTGATGTTAGAATTATGAGCGGAGGGAGGATCAAGAGTCCGTTTGTGTCCGACTGAGAAAATGACGGGAAAATTTACTTGCCACTGTCTTCTGTGAAAACACGGGAACAGTTTATGAAGAAGAATCGATTCACCGCCCTCACGTGGGACGAGATATTTGCGAGATGAACAGTGACCTATTCATTAACGAGTGAACCTCGCTATTGTTCGTGGCACGGACCTCTCCATTGAAGCAAAGGCTGTATAAGCCAGGTGACCGATTGTTCTATATATGGGACGAAATTCGCTGATGACCGGCAGTGACGGGTGGGATGAGCTTATGGACCACGAGGAAGACGATCGTAAAGTCATCTCTCCATATCACAAGTAGAACGGACGCCTGTGGCGGAGCGGAGACACAAGCAATCAGCTCGTCCTATGCGTGATCCTTTGCTAGGTACTATACTTGAGACGTGTTGTTAATGACTCACGACACCGAGTACTGTATAGTGTATAGGAAATCCCTTACAACTCTAAGTCTTAATCCTCGGGCGGGCCTAAACAAGCTATATTTGCGTATTGAGTAGTGTAGGTATGTACCTCGTGAGACCTCACTCAATAAAACAAGAAACCATGGGCCTACCTTAGACAGGCGCAGACTGGGGTCGAAGGTAAGATCGTTTATTAACCACTTTTATGAGAAATATCCTGTCGATATGTATTGTCTAAATAATCAAAACACTAAAATGCCATCTGTCGGAAGTCAATCGTGATTATTGTCCTGCCATAGCACGAGTGGATGGCCCGTCGAGTGCGATCTTGATCCTGACCGGCCGATCGAAACTCGTGCTCGACCTCGCGCTTCGTCCTATTGAGCAGCCGCTCGATGGTCGACGCGAGGTTAGCGATGTTCTTTACGCGAATTTGACTCGCGAGGGACTTGCTGTGGCCCAAGGTCCGCTTTGGCGTCGTCTGTGGATGACGAGGGCGCCGCTCGCTCGGATTGAGGGCGTACGCCGCGTCGTCGAGACCAGTCGGACAGTGATAAACCGTCAAAGGCAGAACAGAATCTAGAGTTTTGCAAAGGAGGTCGAGCTGGAATTCATCTGGGGCTGTGGCTTGGGATGCCTGAGAGTTAGTGCGTCGGTTTCTCTTATGTAACTCTCCTCTTCGTCTCTTGCATCAAGGATGGCGACTTTCCAGCACCGTTAGGACCGACGACGGTGATACGCGAACCAAGCAAGCACTGGAAGGAGAGGGCCGTAAGCTACGGCTTTGAAGTTCCAGGTCGAAGCGGTCTCTTGACGCCCCCGGTCTCCTGGGACGGGGCTGACATCCTTCTCGCACCAAAGGTGGAAGTTGCCGCGGCGGAGTTAAGAGGTTCCCGTACAAGTCGCCGCCCATCCGATAGTAGACTTCCGGTTTGTCGTCTGGGCACACGGCGTGGCAAGGCTCAGATAGTCAGCCAGGCCAGCAGTCAGCAGCCGCTGTGGTGAAGGCGAGCGCTTGTCCTGCAGTGCAGCCTCGTGGTACGCTTCTAGCTGCTGTATCTTGTTGCTGGAGCTCCCTTCTCGACCTGGTGGCATCATCTTCAACGTCAAGCTCTGCATCGCGAAGCCGACTCATCAGGCGAGAAGTGTGACGTGTCCTCGTATTGACGGAAACATTCGTTGAAATGTCCGTCTGATCTCGGCCTGGTCCGGATTCGGCGAGCGGCTACGAACCAAGGACTCACCGCGAGTTAACCTTTCAGCGCTTCCACGGCGGCGGCGCCGCCGTCGACCCCCTCGGCCGACGCCGCTCCGGCTAGGACCTGGACAACTGACCCAAATATGGTTCCGCGCGCTCCGGCGCATTGGCTTATTGGTGGATTCTGTCGAGCAGCAAGACAGAAGGTTCTGACGCCGAGTTGCCCGTGGCCGAGAGGTGGGCTAAAATTCCGCCGACGGGATAAGGTATCAGGTACTAATTCGGCGCCGTCCTGATTACTGCGTCAATTTGTTTGTTGGGATCTGACTAAGATGTAATCAAAGCTGAGCTGTCTTGTCATTTTTCTGAATTTTCATGTACGCCATAGACGTATCCGTACCACTAATGTAATTATAACAAAGCTCTTCTGTTTGTGTTTTGTATTCGGCCTGTACTGGGCTTGTATATATAGATATATTTGCACGAATCTCCTGTGATGCTGATATAACTACATCCGAGCTCTCTTGGTATTTGGTCTGGTCCTGGACCATACCTAAATTTGTAATGTAAGTGTACCTACCGTATGTACACTGTCGACAAGGACACGCTTCTCAGTCTCTGTAAACTATATACTGGTTTTGTCAGTCCATTCTTCTTTCGAACCATTGGAGAACATAGTATGATACATGGCAGATTAAGAGCTGTTAGGACGATCAGGCCTAAGGGGGACACTTCCTACATGAACCCACAGGCTCTGGCGCACACCTGTTCTCTACTCTCTTGAACCAAAAGGACCATGAGATCATAATATTTCTTTCAGTCCATACGCAGCGTCTTGATAGACTAAAGAGAGGAAAGTTCCCCGCCAAATTCCGTAATAGCGCTTGGGGAGCCCGAGGACAGATCCTCGCCTTCCCGCTACCTCTAAGAAAAGGCGTTTACTACCTAGCCGACGCTATCTCGAAATGAAGAGGTAGCCGCTGAACAGGCGAGCTTGGACCGTGCAGAGCTACATTGTTGCAGCGCATTCTGCACTACGCCACCGATCAGATATACTTAGAGTGTAGCCAAGGATTCCGGAGCGAGGACGGCCACCAGGCCCAGGGACGATACAATAGCCTGTTCCCAGGACCCAAGCCTAGGTATCTTGGACACTCCTATGAGATGGTCGCGGCGTCGGAGGACGACGATAGCTGGAACCTCTTATTAGTGAAAGAGTATACCAGGCGACGGTTGACCATCGCCAACTCTAAACTCACGGTGCTGTCAGGCCCCGCGCAGATATATGGGGCACGTATCAAGGCTCACTACGTCGCAGGGCTGTGGACGACGCTATGGTCGAGGGCCTGGAGTGGGAAGCAGTCGGTGCCTACAATGAGGAACTTCACCGAATCGGTCGCCTCAGTACATCGCGCCCTCGTCTTCCTGGGCATCGTAACGAGATCTGGCGTCGGTTGGACCGACGCGGCAACGGTACTGGACTATCACACTTCGGCAGACTGACAAACGGCTGGGTCCGCGTATGGGCACCTCTGATTCCCCTAAGCATCAGCCACGTACCCAGCAATAAGGCTCACTCTAACGCAGAGCATCGGTGCATGAGGCTCAAGACACCATGGGGACTACCCCAAGAGCAACGAGGCCGTCATCCACAGTCTTATGCCGCTCTTTGCCCTTGTGCTCTCACGGATGGATGAACAAGTCCAACCCCGTCATGTGCAAGGCACTGATTGTTTCTGCATGTCGCGGGAATCTCACATGCTCACAAATCCGGACGCCCATCATCAATGACCCTGGCAATTTCTCCATTGTTACGCTTTTCTAGAACCCATTCTGTTCGTTTCATCTTATGACACATGGTGAGGCAGACTACGCAGACTTGCTCGTTAGCTCCATGTTTCTGAAACCAATGGTCTCAGGAAGTGACTTCAACTTCTGCATTCGTCAAAGGTGGTAACAACTTGAACTAGTATCTGCCGAGGTTCGTCGGTCGACGTTCCATTTGTAAATTGCACGCAAATTGGAGCCCAGGGACCAAGACGCCTATTTAACCATGACGTCCAGTCAGAACCGTTGCTTCACCCAGAATATTATCCGCCTTAGATAGCCAAGGTTAGGGGTTTGTGGGATATCTCCATGGTCCTCGTCTACCCCTCTCCGTCACGTTGTAACATGTAAGTAGCTATAAAAAAGTTTGTTCCTACATTCTCCCTCCTCTCTGGCAAGGCGAACTAACCCAACTGCTATCGAACCAAAAACAAAAAAAAAAAAATGCACCTCATCACCATAGTCGTTGCGGCGCTTGTAGCGCCCTTTTGCATCCTCGCTGCTCCACTGACAGCGACCAGTACTAGTACTGCCTACTACAATGAAGTCCTCGATAAGCGAGAGAATCTGTGCAACCTGAGCTCTCCCCCACAGCTCTGCCAACCCAACTCATCCGTGACGATCGAGGAGACGGCTCTCAGGGCGTACAAGTTCTACCGCGCCTTTGTGGTGGACGGCGATCCCCGGACCATGTTCTCCCTCATCGACAGTGTCTACAAGGTGGGTAGACTTCCCCCCCAACCTAATCGACCAATGCTCTTCTGCCTCGGAAGTGCGCTACGTTGTTTTTTGCATTGTACCCGGGGCTGATGCGATGATCATTACGCGCTCCAGCAAAACTCGCCCGGGTACCAGAGCGGGCCGCAGGCCATCTGGCCCCTCTTCTGCAACGGCAGGAAGATCGGGACCGAGCAGAACACGGCGTGGTGCTTCGACGCCAGCACCAACATGTCGTATGCCCGGTACTCGGTGACGGACCGGTGGCGCTGGGTGGATGGCTGTGTCCACGAACATGTATGTACTGCTGATGCAATGCCCTTTGTCTGTCCCGTCCCCTTTTAGAATGGCCTTGAGAGAGAATGTATAGCGTGCTAATAATAACCGTGTGAGTCGAAAAGTGGGATCGGAATGAGAGGATTCCTTCCCAGGACAAGTGCTACAAGTTGCCTACGGGCACTGTATGAAGGTGAATAGGTATGGTTTTTGGGTCGGTTGTGTGTCTTGTATGATTCGGGCTGTCTGGTCCTGCCTAGGTATCTAGGTCGTCAATTCTTGTTTTGGGGGGGGGGGGGGGGTTGTTGTTTCTTGACAGTTTATGGGGGTTATCGCGGCAGGGTGCTAGGGATCAAAACAACTTGAAACTTCATTACTTATGGGGAACTCTATGAAAATCAGAGAGGCTTGTTGAAATGAGGCCTGCCACTTTCGCTATTCCAATCCGTCAATGGGTGACTATCAAATAGTAAATCTCTTGCGGCTCGCAAGTCAAGCAAAACACCTTCCGTCCCGTAGATCAGTTCTCCATCGCTTTGGCGAACTCGTGGCGCCGGTGATGCAGCTTGATGCCTTGCGAGTGATTCTGGTAGCACCTGAAACACATGTTGAATTCGCCGCACGTTTCGCCTCGGAAGAGATAACGATCCCCGTAGATTCGCTTGTACATGTTTGTTGTCAGTCAGTGTCCTGTCTTCCCGAAGATTTACTAAGTCATGACAGACAACTCACACAGTAGCAGATCTCGCGCCGTTTTCCGTGTCTGACGGCCATCTCGTTGGGCAGGCCGGCTCAGTCGTGCGGAGGCGGCTCATCCAGTAAGCAAATGTATTCGTAGCGACTTGAGAACTGTAGGCCTGTGTTGGATGACAAGACTGAGAGCCTTGGATGCTGTGATCTCGTCTTTCCGATTTCCTTTCGCCTGACTGGTGTAGTTGCGTACTCTAGCATAGTACCAGCCTCGTCTTTGAGAGGCCCGGGAAGTGCCCTTTTAGCACCCTTTTCGAGCAGAAATCGAACGATCCTTGGCCTCTCCTGGTAGATAGCCGTGCTCAGGGGCGTCCCACCATCATTGCGAGCCACCTCTATATCCACGCCCGAGTCAATCAAGACCTGCACAGCTCCATACGATCCGTCTCTCGCAGAAAGTAGCAACCGAGTCCTGCCGTCGCAGTCCCTGGCCTCTAGCGGAAACCGTCTAGAGATAAGAAGCTGCGTTAGCATGGTATTATGTACATGCTGCCCAGCGCATAGCAGTATCGGAATTCTCATCAACAGCCTCGGCGCTGTATCCAGGGTCGAGCAGGAGCTCGGCCGCACGGTTCTGTGCTCGTTTATCTGTCTCAATGAGTCCCTTTCCAGTTCATCTTTAGTGTGCCGTGGGAGCAGCTCGTTGATGACATCAACTTCGCCAGCAACGAAAGGCATGTCGTTTGCGTTGGGTACGTGATTTTCTGAGCGGTAATGCAAGATCCAGTGCTTGACAGCGCACTCAGCCAGTGAGCAGATGGGCCTTGACACATGAAGCCTGACTCATGACTTTCGGTCCGCGTAAACTACCAACAGCATGCAAAGTAATTAACAGCCAGCTGTGTCACCGCCAGCTCAGGGCTTGGCCCATATGGGAATAATGCAATCGTCTTACCATCCCCGCTTTCCTCTTTCCAGATCACCACGGCAGAGACGGGAGGAAAGTAAACCACCTGAGACCCGTTACACCAACTGACTCGCTCCCTTTTGAAGCATTACTACCTATCTACAATGACGATCAAATACCAGATCCTCTCTTGTTGCACCTACCATTCTACATTCACCTACCCTTTCACCAACCTCATAGCTGGGTATCTATTCTCCCAATTTCTCTCCAGAAGCACATTTTCATCTCCATTCTCACACTGATAATCACGATTACTTTAACACCGAGATACACAACAACCTGCCACAAAACCACCCACAATTACTATCTCCTCCATACAAAATACAAAATGAGACTCATCCTCTCCTTCTTCTTCCCTGGCAGCCTCCTTCCACTTCTCACCTCTTGGCTGCCAATGGCACAAGCGCTGCCGCTGGCCGCCACTGTCACCCCCACCCCGGCCAGCTCCTACAACAACAACAATAACAACAACAATATGCCCGAGGAGTTGCAGGGCAAACTGGACACCCTGGCCACGTGTGGCGGGGTCACGGGCTTCTGCAGCAGCGGTCGTTGCTTGTGCTCGGGCTTTTGCGAGGGGGTCTGTCAGTGGTATGACTGTGGACCTTGCTGAAAGTGAGGGCTTCGTCCAGGTTCCTTAGGTATGGGATTTGGGAGGTCGAAGGTATGAATTGGTGGGTTTGTGTTTTGCTTATCTGCCCTGGTGATCGTTCTGCTGGTTAATAGGGGGGTTGTTGTTGTTGGAGTGAAGAAGTGTTCTTAGGTTTCCTGATGTTCGGTCTATTTGTCTAAATAGTATCAAGGGGGGTTGGGCTCTTCGGTGGAAGAGCCACCTGTCTACCTACCTGCTACCTAAGTAAGACATTTCTCTCCTTTTAGGTCGACATGGTCAGGACCGTGAGTGAACTTTTGATAATGGCAACGACTATTATGACGTGCCGCGAATACAGCTCCTGATTTTCATCGTGAACCAACCCCGTGGCATCATGTTGTGTGAATAGAAGCTACTGTCAGCTCCATGACTCTGGACAACAGCCTGGAAAATCTCCCAGCAAAGCGTCTATCCTGTGTCGCCTCTGGTTCTGTATATACCTTGAGACAGTCAGGTAGTCGAAAATACACCGCGTGCCAAACCCATCACGCAGCGGACAGCCCGTCTCAGACGTAATGTCCATATCATTTGCTCCTACATTTCTTGTCAACATCTGGTACCTAGTGCAGTCGCACAGAACCAATCCGTACGTACAGAGCTCACGGTCTCACCTGGCCTTTGCATAGGTAAGGCACCGAGCCACACCACACCACACCACAACACCAGAGAAGCAGCCAACCCCCAACGCGGGGTAAGTCTGGAGTAACCCCAGAAAAGTCCGAGACAGTAAGTACTAGTAGTACACAGTCACCAGCCGACAGTGAAAAGAATGCGGACGCGAAGAGTCTTGATTGGTGCTGCCCCAGCACTCAGTGCCACTCACCCGTCTTCTTTCTCCCCCGCAATCGGGCTCAGTTGGGTGGTCAGCTCGGCTAGTGCCTAGGTATTACAAGGTTGCAGCGGACAAAAGTGCGATGCAGGCGTGTATATCAATAGTTTATTCCTTCCTATATGTTCCCTTTTCCGTTGTCCTGCTATAAGCCCTCGCGTTTGGGACTGAAGTCTGCCTTTGTCTCTGTCTCCAAGCCCTTGGCACGGCTTCGGCGTTCTTGGGTAAAGCTTAGCTAGAGGGCCAAGAAAGAGCCCAGCAGCCGTTTCGCTTTGATCTGGCAAGCAGAATGGCGTGTCAGCCTTCAGCGAGAAGCTGCCGACATGGCCAAGCACGTATTAACCGGTAGGATGCAATGCAACAATATCAGGGGGCAGGATGGATGGGTTGATTCGAATGGGGCCGTATTTATACCCGTCCGCCCCACCCGCGGCAGCTGGTTGACTGCAACGTCAGCTAGCTCGGACGGATGGCTGATAGGCCTGCGCCGTTCGCTGCTCTTCTGTTAGGCTTCGAGAAGTTCCTTCTCCCGGAATGGGCTGAGTGTCGCAAGGTCTCCTCCGCCCGCTTCTCTCCACTGACACTCTGATAGTCACGTTGGGCAAAAGACAACATGGAGAGTCTCATGACCCAATTCAGACAGAAATGAGCCCCCTCATGTAGATGAACGCAACTGAGCTGAGGTCTGCTCTCAAATGCTGATCTCGGTGACCCTGTCCGACCGACCTGGCAGCTTCCCGGCTGGACAAGCCCGCCCAGCCGGATAGGATCTCTTGGACTCGACGCCACCGAAAGCTTGCCCGCCCCCTAGACAATCCACCCTCCCCCCCTGGTCGATTTCCCGGCTAAACGTCCCGTCGACCCTACCCCATGTCCCGCCCGTCCTACCTTCCCCCGCGGGCTCAGGTGTCGCAACCTCGAACAAACGAAAGCGTGCGGCCGGTTTCCCCGGACAGAGCTGGCATTGTAAGTGGTCGACCATGCAGGGGCTGTCTGCTGTTGTGTTGTCCCTGTTCGGACCGACCTGCTGGTGCCTGTGGCCCGGGCCAATATGGCTCGATATTGAGGACAGGCGCGTAGGGATTGGCGTCCGGCCCCAATATGGGGAATGAGAAGTCCGATGGGGGTAAACGGGTTAATCCGAGGGGGGAAAGATCTCTTGTTCTGTTCCCATCGAGTTGGTGGTTCGCGCCAAGCCTATGGGACCGACCAACCAACATCTTGAAGGGAGGGTGATGGTGTTCTCTCTGCCAAGAGCGGGACATGGCGATGTCTTATATGCTTCCCCCAGACCCGCGGCACCGGCGGTTGATGGGCGCTCACTTCTCTCTTGCAGGTCAGGTCCCCCTTTCAACTCTCACCACACTGAGACCGTCCGAGAGTTGTGAGTGAGTTGTAATAACTCCGACATCGAGAGGTGTGCTTCCAGACGAACCTTTTCCACACCGTTTCAGGGAAACACCTCAGCAAAGATGGGCGGCGCCGACGGAGGTGGGTCAGACAACCTGATCCATCGCATGGCGATGGACGACCCCATCCCCTGGTGGAAGAAGCCGAACCTGCGCACCCTGTACCTGCTGCTCTTCCCCTGTGTCATCGGCATCGAGATGACCTCCGGCTTCGACTCGCAGATCATCAACTCGGCGCAGCTGCTGCCGGCGTGGAAGGACTGTAAGTCTTTTCAACCCGTGTCTTCTTTTCCTCCGTGCTGTTGTTAGTAATCCCTACCTAACGAACCACCCCCAGACTTCGGCCACCCCAAGGGCGCGTACAACGGCATCCTGGCGTCGGCCCTGCCGCTGGGCTCGGTCATCGGCCTGCCCTGGATCCCGCTGATCAACGACACGTTCGGGCGGCGGTGGTGCATCATGTTCGGCTCCATCGTCATGATCATCGGCACCTTCATCCAGGGCTTCGCCTTCAACGGGCCCATGTACATCATGGCGCGAGGCATCATCGGCTTCGGCCTGCCCTACGCCATCGTGGCCGGTTCCTGCCTGATCGGCGAGCTGGGCTACCCCAAGGAGCGGCCGATCCTCACCTCGCTGTTCAACGCGTGCTACTTCATCGGCGCCATCGTCGCGGCCGGCACCACGTTCGGCACGCAGGAGATCAAGAACGACTGGTCGTGGCGCATCCCATCGCTGCTTCAGATGGGCCCGTCCATGCTGCAGGTCATCTTCGTGTTCTTCCTGCCCGAGTCGCCGCGCTTTCTCATCAGCAAGGACCGCTACGACGAGGCCGAGCGCGTGCTGGTCAAGTACCACGCCGAGGGCAACGCCGAGTCGGCCTTTGTCAAGGCCGAGCTGGTCGAGATCAAGACGACGCTCGAGCTCGAGATGGAGATCTCCAAGCGCAGCTGGATGGACATGGTGCGCACGGCGGGCATGCGCCGCCGCGTCGTCATCGGCTCGCTGCTGGGGCTGTTCACGCAGCTGTCCGGCAACGTGGTCATCTCGTACTTTTTGGGGGACGTGCTCAAGCTGATCGGCTACACGGACCCGGCGTTCCAGACAAAGTACAACCTGGGCAACCAGTGCTGGTCGCTGGTGTGTGGTGTGAGCGCCGCGCTGGTCGTCATGCGCTTCAGGCGCCGCACCATGTATCTGACGGGCATCCTGTCGATCCTGGCCGTCTATGTCGGCTGGACCACCTGCACGGCCATGTTCATGGTGCACAAGTCGCAGATCGCCGCCAAGCTGTCGCTGTTCTGGATCTACGCCTACAGCCCGGCGTATAACCTGTGCTTCAACGCGCTGACCTACAGTGAGGTTTATTCTTGCAGAAAAGAGGAGAGAGAGAAATGCTAATGCGATGTCAAAAGCCTACCTGATCGAGATCTTCCCCTACGCCCAGCGCGCCCGCGGCATCTCCATCTTCCAGTTCTGGGGCAAAGCAGCACAGTTCTTCGGTACCAACGTCAACCCGATCGGTAAGAACCAACCGCCCCACCCTTAATCAGCTCGTATATTTTAACACACAACACAGGCACCGACGCCATCGGCTGGAAGTACCTGCTCGTCTACTGCTGCTGGATCTTCGCCGAGGCCGCCCTGATCTGGTTCCTGTGGCCCGAGACGTCGGGCCGCTCGCTCGAGGAGCTGGCCTTCCTCTTCGAGGGCGACGACCTCAGCCGCCGCGCCGAGAAGGCCGTCACCAACGCCGTCCTGGACGTCCATGACGACGAGAACGAGAAGACGGGCCATCACGTCGAGGCTCAGGAGAGGGTCTAGTCTAGTTCTTGTTCTTGTTCTTGTTCTTGTTTAGGATTGATGGATTGATTGGTTGATTGGTGGAACGGGGTGGGGGAGAGGGGTGTGTGTGGTTGAGTTCCCCCGGGACCCCTGCCTGGTGGTATGCGCAAGAGAGTTTTAGGTTGTGCCCTGGGTAACAAACAGCTCGTTGGGTGTCTCTCTGCCGAATAACCCAGAGCAGTTGACTTCTCGCAACATGTGGGGTGATAATTAACGTCTTCCATACCTGGGCTGACTGCCGGGTTGAAATGGTCCTGCCGAGCATGAATGCGATGTAAATGGAATTAGTATTGGGGCAGGCGGCACCTGACCGCTCGCTCTTCTATATGCCTCTAATAAATCTTTGCGGTGCACCGATGATGGCCGACCTGCGTCGATGGTCACCGCGACCCGCAACCATCTAATAAAACGGGTATCAATCCCACCCTGACTCTCAACAGTTCCTGACCTTCCGGACTTCTTGTAAAGCCCTGTGTCTCTGCGACCCTGAAGCGTGTCTGTGTTAGGGTTGAATGGGCCGCAAGGCAGCAAGCATCCACCCGAGGCGCATGTATAGTTTATGCATCGATGTGTTCAGAGCCTCTTCTCCTCAGAGCCACAGCCCAAAGCGGTCATGTCACCCTCCATACCTGGTGTCCTGCTGGTAGCGATCATGTCGTCCGTACTGCGAATTGCATGTGATTGCCGTGTCTCTGCATCAGGATTCATCGTCCAATGACCCCGTGCGAGCAAAACACAGGCAGACCCTGGCCTCGCCCTCGTTCTCCTCTAAACTCACGAGAGAGTCGCTTGTCACACCCAGGTACTGTACGGTGCCACTCGAAGTGTCGAATACTTTGGCGTCAGGGATCCCAGCTACCGTGTACGAGGAACTCTTGCCGTCTTGACTGCTGTCTTGGACACTCGAACGGAGGTTGCGCGAGATAGGACCACGTTCGCAGTATTCCCGCGTGGCCACTGCTGGGCCAGCTACTAAGCCAAGCCTTTCCGAGCAGGCAACCAACCCAACTGCCGCTAATCCTCCTCGTCGCCGCTGAAGTCAACCTGCTTCGTCCGCTCCTCCTCGTTCATCTCGCGCCACGTGCTCCAGCTGAGCACGGCAAACGCCACGATGATCAGCAGCCCCCCAATGATGGTGCTCGGCTGGAGCGGCGTGCTGGTGTAGTACCAGTCCACCACCGCGACGATGAAGATGGTAAGCAGCGCTGCGACCGAGCTGAGGACGGGGCTCGTGAGGGAAATGAGCACCAGGAACGAGCCGGAGAACAGCATGTTCATCAGCACGCTGAAGGCCAGTAGCCACGCCGTCCGGCCCGTCGGCACCTCAAATATCTCCAGCCCCAGCACGTGCAGCGCCGGAATCGGGATCCACAGCACAAACATCGTAAAGGCGCCGATCAGACTGCCAAACGTGTTGGCGAAGATCACCCCCTTGGTCGCATCCGTCCCGTCCGGAGGGCAGGCGAACCGCTTGTAGAGCACCTCGTAGAGCCCGTACAACACCGACCCGGCGCCGATGATGAGATTCCCCGTGAGCCGCGACGCCGGATCAGTCGCCTCCCCGATGCCGCCGGACCGCACCCCCTCGGTAAAACCCCCGTCCCCATACGCTATAACCAGCACCCCAGCAATGGCCACGGTGACCGCCGCCATCTTATCCAATCTCAACCGCTCCTTCAGCAGCGGCACCGAGAACGCATACGCAAAGAACGCGCTGCAGTTGTAGATAGCCGTCAAGTCACTCGGCGTGGTCATGCTGACAGCAAGGTACCAGCTCAGCCCGGCGACCGTCAGCGCCGTGGTCACAAAGACCGTCGTCCTCAGCAGATACGGCCAGGGCGAGTGCGGGTACTCCAACAGCCCGCCGCCGCCGCCATGCAGCAGCACCCGGTCCGCCCCCCTCCCCCTCCCCCTCCCCACCACTCCCCGAACATCCCTCGTCTCGACCATGAGCGCGATGGCCCGCAGGCTCCTGACGTGGCCCTCCCAGAAGCGCCGCCACTCCTGCTCCGGGCGCATCGCGCGGAGCACGGCCAGCTGCAGCGGCCAGAGCAGGATCCACGAGCTGTGCGTCACGTACAGCATGCAGTACGCCTTGTCCCACCCGAGGTCGTGCTGGATGTACGAGGCCAGCTCGGTTTGGATCGTGAAGGAGACGAGCGACACAACCAGGAAGATGGAGGCGTACGTGTAGCGCTTGCGCGCGTCGAGGCGCGCCGTGGGGAGCAGCACCGTCGAGGCAGGGCTGCGCGACCGGAGGAGGCCGCGGCTGGCCGATTCGTTCGCCATGGGGGAGTGGTGGTGGTGGTGATGGGCGGTGGTGTTGGGCGGTGGTGCGGGCGTTGCTGAGAATGGGATTGAGATCGGTGGTCTTCGAGCGCTGGCGGAGGAGCGGCGGCCACGGTCGTGTTCGTCTTGGAGGAGGGGTTCGGATAAGCGCGCGTCGCTGTAGCTGGGCATCGGAGGGACGATTAGGGAACAGCGATGATGGGATTCTGCATGGACATGTGTGTACAGGTAGGATCGCTGCGTCGGGACCAACGAATCCAGGACCTTCGGTTGAATCGTCGGGCGGATGCTGTGCGATTTGAACCCGGCGTGGCCTCAGCTGCTCTTATTGCTTGTCGAAAGGGACTAGCTAAGGGCTAAGCCATCATATCTTTGCAACAGTGTGAGTTTGGAACCAACAGCGGCAGAGGTTGAGCAGCTGGCGTTGTTTGCTTGCTGAGGTTCTTGAGCCCCGAATTGAATGTGCTGGACGTCGAAAGTCAGGGGCACCTTACGTGTTCCATGGGGACCCCAAACCCCGTCCGTGACATTGGCATCAGCTTGCAACTTTCCCGATCTGTGGAGGATCTGCCAATCAGGGCTCTTCACCGAGCTGCTGGGTGGGGATTTTCAGGGCATCACACCTTCGTCAACCGGAACTCGGAATTGCCCTTGTTCTGACCATGATGCCTACAGTACAGAGCATACAGCAGAGATGCTTATCTTCGCACATTTCATATCAGGTGTGACAGTATTGCCAAAAGTCTCAGTTACCGGAAGCATGGGCATATGTAATGAAATGGCGGTGCCGCCTCAAGGCCTCTCAAATCTGTCTGTCAACCTGGAAACGCGGCAACTCGTTTGACCCATCAGCTTGTGGTCGCCAATGTCCGGGTCCTGCCATTCTATACATCGGGTACCGTGTTTACCTATGACAGTTTTGTAGTAATCTGTACAACAGGGTTTGATGTCTCGTTTCAATGGTTGGCCAAATGATCCATCTGTCTGCAACCTCAACTTCCTATTCCCGTTCCATCCTTTTTCTTCGATCCAGCCACGTGCTAGCTCCCGTGAGACCCTAACCCGTGGTCTTCTGACCGAAGTTTGGGGCCTGGCTACTCTCTGATCACGTGAGAGGGGATAAGGCACGTTAAAGCGATGCGCGTCACGTCGCGTCACTCCTGCCCTTTCCCCCACGTCTCGGAAGAGGACCGCGTCTTTTTTACTACGACCCCGGCACACCTTATTGGGCGCTGCGTCCATCTCGGAGTCCCGTTGTTCGACTAGGCTGAATACGTACCAATCGTATAACACTTCCTAACCTTTCAGTTCTTGTTCCCTCAGCCTCTCGGAGTCGAAACACAGCAATTGTTTTGGCGTCGCCCACTCCTCAAGCGGGCGATCGTACATTCCCCGTCATTTTCACCGACCCGGTCGGTTGTTCGCCCCTTATTCCGAGCATTCTGGCGAGTGCTTCCCGCAGTCGCAACCATGGCAGCCGACCATCCCATGACGGGGATATACAGCGCTACATACAGCGGCGTAAGTAAACCCGTTCTCCAAGCCTGCCTCGCAGCGCTGACCGCCGCCCGCGAGATGCGAGCAGATCCCCGTCTACGAATTCCAGTTCGGTCCCGACCTTAAGGAACATGTCATGCGCCGTCGTGAAGATGACTGGATCAATGCCACTCACATCCTCAAAGCTGCCGGCTTCGACAAGCCCGCCCGAACCCGAATCCTCGAGCGTGAGGTGCAGAAGGACGTGCATGAGAAGATCCAAGGTGGCTACGGGAAATACCAGGGTGCGTATCGCTGAGTCCGCTTGCGGCTGACTTCCAATGGCTCACTCACTCGGTTTCCAGGGACCTGGATTCCCCTCGAGCAGGGCGAAGCGCTCGCTCAGCGAAACAACGTCTATGACCGGTTACGGCCCATCTTCGAGTTCCAGCCAGGCAACGAGAGCCCGCCGCCTGCGCCTAGACACGCCAGCAAGCCGAAGGCTCCAAAAGCCCGGCCTGCTGTTCCGAAATGGGGCAGTAAGTCGCAGAACAAGAAGCCCAGCATTTCACAAGCCCCAGTCCTCTCACACGGTCATCACCAAGGTGCTGCTGTCCACGAAGAATATGATAACGCCAGCCAGATGAACGAAGATGACACCCCGGATAACCTGACCGTCGCCTCGGCGTCGTACATGGCTGAAGACGATCGCTACGACATGTCGCATTATTCTACAGGCCACCGGAAGCGGAAACGGGAGGAGATACTGCAGGACATGACCGAGCAACAGCATGCCGTGTACGGGGATGAGTTACTAGACTACTTCCTGCTTTCTAGAAACGAGCAGCGTGCCATCCGTCCGGACCCTCCAACGAACTTCCAACCGGACTGGCCAATCGACACAGAGCGACATACTGCGTTGCATTGGGCGTCTGCTATGGGCGATGTGGAAGTCATCAAGCAGATGAAGCGGTTCGGTGCGAACCTTGCGTCGCAGAATGTACGGGGCGAGACCCCTTTCATGCGGTCCGTCAACTTTACAAACTGCTACGAGAAACAGACCTTCCCGTTGGTCATGAAGGAGTTGTTTAGCACTGTGGATGTCCGGGATTCGTCCGGATGCACAGTCATTCATCACGCCGCTGTTATGAAGGGCGGGCGTGTGACGAGCCATTCATGTTCCCGCTACTACTTGGACAACATTCTCAACAAGCTGCAAGAATCGCGCCCCGCAGACGAGTTCCAACAGTTGCTGGACGCCCAGGACAACGACGGCAACACCGCCGTGCACTTGGCTGCCATGAGGGACGCTCGGAAGTGCATCCGCGCCCTCCTCGGCCGCGGCGCATCAACCGACATACCGAACAACCAGGGGGTCAGAGCCGAGGATTTGATCAAAGAACTCAATGCCACCAAGAGCAAGCACACTCGAGGGCCGCCGCAACGGTCATCAAGCCCCTTTGCCCCCGAGTCCCAGCGGCACAGCGCCTTCCGAGACGCAATGGCCGAGTCGGACAGCAAGCACCAAGCAAGCTTCCGCAGCGAGGCGGCGAACACCGTCCAGTCACGCATCACCCCGCTGGTCTTGCAGAAGTTCCAGGACCTGGCACAGAGTTACGAGAACGAGTTGGACGAAAAGGACGAAGCAGAGAAAGAGGCACGGCGGATCCTCCTCAACACTCAAGCGGAACTGGCCAACCTGCGCACCTCCGTATCCGACTTTGAATCCCGCGCCGAGGCTGACGAGGCAGCGGCCAAGACGGCCGCTGATGCCGCCGACTTGGCCCGGAAGGTCCTCGCTTATGTCACACACCAGAACCGTATCATAGTAGAGGATTCCGTCAGTCGTGAGCTAGCGACCGTAAACGGCGACGCAAGTACGGGTAGCACCAAGCCCAACGGACAGGTCTTCGAGCAGGACCAAGCCGTCAGCAACCCTTCGCAAGGGCAAGACGACCACCAGCACCATCACCGTCAAGCCCCGCAGGAGTCGCCAGAAGAGCGCCTCCGCCTCGCTGACGAACTGCGCAGCCTGCTGAACGACCAGCGCCGCGCCGAGGCAGACTACGTCGACGCCCTGGGCCTGATGGGCACGGGCGAGAAGATCGACAAGTACGTGCGCCTGCTCAAGTCGTGCCTGCCGCCCGAGGACCACGAGATGCTGGACGAGAACCTCGAGGACATGATCAAGATGATGGAGGACGAGGCCGAGGTTGTCACGGGCGCCGACGGGCCCGCCGGCGCCGCCCACGTCCCCCTGCCCGTCCCGCCCGTGCCCGTGCCCGTGCCCGTGGGGATGGAGATTGCCCCTGCCGCCAGAGCTGCTGTTGCTGTGCCTTTGTAGGGTAAAGGCCCAGCGGTGCTGGGATGGTCTTATCTCTCCCGGGGAGTGGCCTATTTTGGTCGGATCTGAGGTTATGTGCCAATCTGTGTTGTGCACAACAAAGGGGGTTATGGTCTTTGTCCCTCCGCGCTTGCGTTGGGCGGGGGATCTAGGGGCGGGGGGCTTGTAGCATGGTTTGGCTACGATCACGAGTTGCAGGCTTGACTGAACCTGTAACGAGAGATGTCTGGCTCGCTGGATGCGTCGTGTGTGCGTTTTAGGCACAAGACGGAATACTTACTGTGCATGCACAGTGGTCAGGACAGACAGGGGGCGGTTCACTCCACTTGTATTGGACTGGCGGAGGGCGCTCTAGGACGACATCTTCTAGGCTACGCACCACCGTTTTCTTTTTACTTCCCTCTCCTTTGCTCAGCCCCTTCCTTTTCTGGTGGCTTGGAGTACTCAAGTAGGTAGTTGATGGGGATACCGGATTTGGGAACGGCGTCTTGGGGTTATGTTAGGTACATAAGGCACCTTACCTACTACAGCAGAATCGGCGTGGGTTGTAAGTCCTATTGGTATTGGTACGCCAGAACCTCATTCAGTTCAGTCAACATTTACTCCTTTGTTATGACCGCTCCCATTGTTGCTCGGTGGTGTGTACTCAAGATGTGATGGGTGAATTCTCTATACAGTACTGGACCCGCGAGGGCTTGGTTACAATTCATCCAGACTACGGAGAGTGTGCTGTCACGCAGGTATCTAGGGAGTTTGTTGAGACATGAGCAGCTGCGAGTCCTACACATGTATGGTCGTTTAAAGCATGCGAGTTACCATTTACGTTGTCCCCCTTTTCCGCAGTGGTGAACCAACTGTGTTTGATTCCGCAAGAGAACTGTGCCATGCCGCCGATGTCAGTCCGAGAAAGCAAGGCGGATGGGGTCCACATCCGGGAAACAAGTCCTTTCATGGCGAGAGCGGTGGCGGATGCCGTAGTTCAGTAGAGGCCAACCCCCGAGAGCCAACCGCTTGATCCGGACTCGTTGACCGAAATCGTATATCGGGTCCTGGCGGCAAACTGTGGTTCCGGTACCAGTCAATAAAATCCGCCACCGGAGTGCGGGTATATGCTAGTTTGACGCCTGGTCAGTGAAAACTGATCAGGGTTGGTCCCTCCTGGAGATGCGGTGAAGAGAGAGATGAGACTCTACTCCGGTTCCAACTCGTCCCTCGTCACCTATTGTTCGCCGCGAAGTCCCTGTCCCTGTCCCTGACCGTTCCTTGTTGGTTGATGGGGATGACAGCCTCCTTCTTGTGACCCGGATTTTCGGAGGGTTTCGGGCAGGCGCGTGCTGAGAACGGCTATTCCTGCTCTGTCAGTTAAGATGGTACGGTCGGGAAGGCAGAAGAAGAGGGCACCGAAGAAGGCGTGATCCAATGGCAGCTGACCGCAGCCAGTGAAATCCATGGCTCGCCGGCATGGCATGATATCGTGATGAGTGGCTTGGATGGGTACGCAACTCGATCCATTAGCGACTGGTTGTTGTACGGCCTCGGATTCCCAGCCAGCGCCTCATCGCCATCTAAGTCTTCACGCCCGAGTATCCGTGAGTCTGGCGGTCAGGATCAGTTCCAGCGTTGCCAACAGCAAGTACCGCTTTCCACTTACGGCAGTCCTACCACGTTCCACCGGAGGCATCCTTACAAGTCTCGGCTCAACAGGTCGGCGATTACACAGCCTCGGCACCGTTCAAAGCTGCTCGACAGTCCTGACTGGCACGTCGAGACTCCGGATCCGACCAATAAATCGTTTGGGAAGTCTTGGTCCACCGATAATTCGCCACTATACGGCATTTTGAACCACTTTGTCCACCCCTCAGGCGGGAGCGACAGCCTGGACGACGACAAGGCAAAATTCGACTCTGAAGTCCTGGACCTGTCCGGCTCGCAAGTTTGGAGGGACCCGCTCTGTGGTCCCGTTCCGCGGATCCGTCGATGCCAACAAGATTGAGTGCAGGATACTGGCTCATTATGACATGGATGTTGCCCGACTTGAGCCTCATTCCGAGCCTCATTCCGAGCCTCGAACGCCCACGTAGGTACTAGGTAGGCAAGGACAAGGACCGTATCATGTCCGGAATTTCGAGGCAAGAGACCGATACGCAACCTAGCACTCTGCTCAGCCTCATCACTCAGCGATAAGTGGACCGCGATCCCGCGGAAACTTACCTAAGGTGTTTCCGCCTCAGAGGATGGTCGTCGTGACTCGACCTGGCGACCCATCGCGTGGTTCAGTCAGCAGAGCCCAACTTCGGCAGCTTCGGCCGCCGCAACACCGTATCTCGACCATTCACGCTGAAGTAAACTTATTCAGGAAGGATCGGATTCATCAGGTTGGCACGCGGCGCGGGTTTGCAGTTTTTCGGTCAAGGTCACTCTCTGATACTCTCCGCGAAAAGTACGTTATGAATAAGGGTTCCGCTTCGTCCAGATTGCCGAAGGAGAGATCCTTGTTCGGCTGTGTTCCCGCCCAGTTTTCGTAGATCGCAGCTGTAAAGCGACCACAATGGAGGAGAAACACGAAGTTTTGTGGAAGTTGGGTCGTCAACTAACAAGTTCAGGTTCCAGGATCGCGGCCCGTGGCGCGCCGTCCATGGGAGCTGAGCCACATCGCAGCGGGCCAACGAGCGTGCGGAAATGAGTCGCCACAATGGCGGTCTCGGTTCTTCGCTGCAAACCTGGGGCAAGAATGCGAAAGCGGCCCGAGAAAATAGAGCATGCTTGGAAACGATACAAGACAGTCATGGCACAAAATAAGGTGCTCGTGGAAAAAGGAAAATGGCGGTCAACGAATCGGTGGATCGGAATGGAACCTCGCATGCGGTACGCCGGTACAATTCCTACCCACGGGAAGTGTACTTTCGCAGCGACGATCATCATCCTGTCGCTAGGAGTGCAGGCGTCGGGTGTTTGCGGATCGAAACCAACGCGTTACGCACGCGAGGATCACGTTAGCTCACTTACAGAGGTTACAGTAAGCGTCTTGGCTGGCGCGGTAACATATTGGTGTCCGTGTTCCGGAATTGAGGTTATCTGTGTTGCTCCAAAGTTAGGTACGTAGCCGCCCTTCGGTTGCCGGAGCCCAAAAAACAGGGGAATAAATGTGTGGGTCCGCAGGGGTCTGTGGCTCGTAGGGCTGAGAAATCTGAGGAATGCCGGCGGGGCGCTGGCGATCATTCCCCCTCGTTGCAACGCTTCCGTCAGCACTGATGCCCCCCTCCTCGCCGGAGAAAGCCTCAATCCCGGTGAAGGCAACCTAGGCGCCAGATTAGCAAGAGTAAGCGCCGGCACCAAATGACTGAGCTCTCCATGTAACGGTTGGCTCACAGCGCGTCTATGGGAACATCAGCCGTGCGAAGCGCTCCATGTATCCTCCATTCGCGGGAGTGAGGTCTCTCGTCGCATCCAACGGTGGAAGCAGCCGTGAGCGGGATGTCTTCGAAAGTCGCTGCCTGCAGCAAGCATAATGGCGTAATCAGACGGAGTGATTCACGTTGCATCTTACTGCATGTTGCCAATCACATGAGCAATTAGACTGAATCCCCCGAAGGTCCTCTTCATCAGTCCAGGTTGCTAGTGCGATCCGTGTTCATGCAGGGCGGCAGTGCATGAGAAATGGAAAGAAGGAGCTGAGGTGATCCACTGCCCCTCCTGCCTTTCTCGGCTCGGGGCTTTTGAGGCTTCGAGCGCGCCGCACCAACTCCAGCCCCCAAATTTTGCATCCATTCCGAGCCATGCTTCCACAACTTGGAAAGGCTGCAATACACCGAAGATTCTCCAGGGCCATGTTTCACATCGGGCCGGTCATCTGTTCCCTGCGACTAGTTATCCGAAGCCTGCCCCGACAGATTCGGGGCAAGTAACCGAGCACTCGCCGCAGCACGCGCGTTTCGTATCTGGCATCGCAAAGCTGAACGTTTCCAGGGCCATCACACTTTCATCCAGAGATCTTCCCACACACTCTGCGGTTACAGATAACGGCCTGCATCTCTTGGGCAATGTTATGTTGAAGCGGCATAACTCGCGCCGTAGAAGAAGACAACTATGTGAGGGAACGTGACGCAGCGACTTGAAGGAGACGGACAATACTCGATAGCATAAACGGGCAGGAAGCGATAGCAACAAGGACGCTTTTCATGCCATGTGATCACAGCTTGATCTCGCAACTGGGATTTGCTTCATCAGCTTGACGAGTCGATACAGTCCCCCGCGCCTTGCAAGCTCTACAATCTTTGTGTGCGACGCAGCATTGGCGATGCGGTTGCTGCATCAAGCTGCATGCTGTGAGACGGCGTGTTAGCGACCAGCTGATGCAGGGGACCAGACAGGGATTACTTCGACTTTCCACCCCACTAAGGTAGCAGGCTCTGTTTCTCGCAGCAGCAGCAGCAGGCTGAGGTTCGTCCTTTGTCTCAACAAGAACGCGCCAACACTAACATAATTCGACATAATTGAGCTGAATCCTTCCACCCACCTATCCCCGCTTGCCCATCATGGCACCCTGCAAGGTTCATAGCAAGGTTCATAGGGCGGGAACAAGCTTAATGGCTGCAGACCAAACTGGAACACTCGTACAGCATGCGCAATCCGGCAGTCCGAATGGCAATATCACGCGCACTTTTCTAGGCTGCATGGGCGGCTCTCCGTCCAATGCAGCTCGCGCTGAGAGCATTTTAACTACGGAGTACCCTAGACGCGGACAGCTTGGCCTGGGTGTGCGACGAACTAGTACGTACCTTAATCAGGGCGTGCTTCTATCTTGACCCATCAGGTGCTGAGTGGGTCCCTTCCAGGATTGGTCATTCACTTTGGACCCAGCACGCTGAACCGAGCTGACCTTCAGACGAAGGGGTCTGGGCAAAACAACACTAGTGTCCTTAGGAGCAAGAGTTCAACCGTATCAGCCATTACACGATCCGATCTCCGCTCACTAGCGCGCCTTTGACTTCCCCAGGTCCTGGCAACATGATAGTCTGCGTTAAGTGGCACGGCGGGATCCCGCGAGGGACAGGCTCGGCGCGGTGTATAAGTCTTGGAGCTTCCCGCCGCCCGAAGCTGGGAGCTGCATCGGAGCATCTCAGAACGCGGCCCCCGAATTAGCCCAGTCTTCACAGCGTTGCCTAAGTCAGATGTCACATTCCTCAGCGATCACCATGCCATTGCATTGTTGACATTCTCACAACTACATGTTACACTTGGGGCCATCAAGGAAGACCGCGCTCTTCACGCTTGTGCTACCTCATCTCGTCCGGCGTGTAAGTGCCCTTCCTTTCCGAGCGCGCCCATCTTATTGGGTCACGCATCAGGCCTCGCATCTTACGGAGCTGGAGGACATCGTCGCTGAGTATGGTCTGCCGACAGTACCGAGACGGCCTTCCGTGAGCCTCACCTGTGCTAGGCGCTCGAGCTGTCTTCCACTCCCAGTCCGGCTGATTCGCTCTCTCCAGACCCCAACGCAGTGGTGTTACCTACCGGGGTGAGACGGGTGTCAATGTTCCTCAGCGTCAGCCATCCTAACGGCCACTAGCTCAGCACAAGTGGAACCTGCAGACGCCTGACGCCGGGAATCCTGGCACTGAAAGCCAGCCAATTTCCGTGCCACGCTCCGGCTTTCAGGGCGCACTATAGCGCCGGCCACCCACCAAGTATAGCGGAGGGGGATCCCTGGCCGCCCCCAAAGCCGCAATAACTGATCCTTGTTTTTCCTGGACCTGTCGCCCAGATGCCAACCCTCAAGCAACCCCACGATAACCCGGTGCTGGAGGTGCCTGCTTGGAGCCTTTACTACCCAACAGGCGTGACCGCGTATATATACCTCCTTGCAGCCGGCATCCTTCCCATCTTAGCTGTGGTTCACCTCATCATCAGGCGTAAGCGCACTTCAGAACACTCCAGCGCAAGACTTCCTCACGCCTTCGACGTTAAGCACAGCTTAACCCAGCTACCGCTTGGCTCGGGCTGGGAAGAACAGCGCCAAAAGTTCTTTCTCAGCTTTGGACCTGGCCCCTGGCGACATCGATCCGGGGCGGATCCGGCGCCGCGGTTTGTGCCTTCCACTCTTGTGCCCGGCCAGGAGCTCCAGCCTCAGCGCAAGCTAGTCCCCATGGACGGCAGCGACGGGGAACTCGGGGAGGATCACTACCCATGGTCAGCACTAGCAGCATCACGTGGTGTCAGCACCCCGAGCCCGAAACAACACCAGGGGCCCTTCCCCACTAGTCCGAGCTCCCTGACGGTAACAGCAAGAAGCAGACGCAGCCGCTCGCCTCGCGCTTCTTCTCGAGCATCTGTCGGAAAGCGCCACAGCGGCAGCTCAGATGGGAGTCGCCATCGAGCTCTCAAAGGGAAAGGAAAAGGGCCAATGGTGGGATATGGCAGCCAGGTTGATGGCAGTCCCAAGGGCTCAGAGTCGGACGGGGAAACAGAGAGCTACGGTGCACAATTCCTCGACGGTCACCCCGGCTCTGCACGGGATTCCACGTTCCCAGGTGCCGATTCAACGGTCCCCAGACACTTCTCACGCCCTCCGCCGCCGCCACCCCTGACGCCACCGACTCTCAGCGCTGGTGCGTTCCCGTTCGAGGACCGCCGCCCGGGCTATGCCACCTCGGTCCCGCCAGCCCTCGACATGAGCTTCATCCACCAACCCAACCCAGACTATGGCGCCTCGGCCACATCCACTGACGCGCTCAGCTCAAGTGCGCAGACAGCCCTCCCTCGCCGTAGGTCTTATACCAGGAGCATTCCCATTGGCATCCCCACCGCTAGCACTCCCGCCTCCTCGTCCATCACAGAGACAGACACGAGTACCGCTTCCGGGAGGAGCACGCTCCACAACTCCTTCGCCCCGTCAAGCCACCCCCAGGCCTCCTTCTTCCTCCCTCCCCCACCGCCAGGGCACTACGACAACGTTCCGCCATCCGCCCCGCCAGAGTACGAGTTTGTCGGCGGCCCCGGCGGTCCCGGCGTGGAGATCGATGTCCAGGGGGAGATCATCTCGGTCGTCGACGACGCCGGCCACGGGTGGACGCGCCACACCCGCGTGTACGGCGGCGGCGTGTGCCTCGCGTGTCTGGCGGCGGCCGAGCGGCACGGCCCCGGCCAGGGCGGCTTCTATGGGGATAAGGTCCCGCTGGAGGATCGGAGAGATATACATATGCATAGTATGCATAGTATGCAGTCGAAGCCGGATTTGGGTCTGAGTTCTTCGGGTTCGGGGGTGGATGTGGGGAGGTGAAGCGGGACGGGATGGATTAGCAGGGTGTGAGTTTGCCGTGCGAGAGAATGGAGGGGAGCTGGGTGACCGGGCAAAGGGTGCCTAAGGTAAAAGGTACTTAGGGCGTTAGGCGGGGGGTGGTTGTGAACATAGTAGGTAGGTAGGCAACCCTTCGCTAGAACGTATACCAGGTACCGTATGAGAACGCCGGTTAGGTAGTGGAACTGCGCTGCGCCGCCGCAGGTGCTTTACATCCCCACACACGTTCCATGTGTCCTCCCGAAAGGGCCGTGTCAATGTATGTACGGGACAGAGGAAAGGGGCGCCGTGCTTCGATGATTTCAGTTTCTAGGGTGCACAAACGGTGGGTGGTGGTGGTGAGTGCTCAGGGGCTTGGGTTGGGACCCAACATGTTGGCTAGGTATTCAACCCCAAGAGTAGGCGCTTACTGTGGGAGGGGGTGGAGGTCACGGCGTTCTCGCGGTAAGAGTCTCGGTCATGCATAGCTGAAGAGTGAGAGGAGGTTAGCTGTTGCTAATGCCGTTCAAGTCTCCAAATCCTAGCGTGTCTTAGACGGTGTAGCCTGGGCTTGTGTTCGACCTACAGCTAGTGGCCTGGAAGCAGGTGGTTGCGTGGTTATCGTGTCTGGCGTGTCAGTGCCAGATGTGCTGTTCGTTTCCTAACGTAGTAGGTAGTATGAGAGTGCGCGTTCTGGCAATGACTGTTAGGTACTACTAGTAGTAGGTAAGTAAGTACAGGACTAAATGTAGAATCAAGGGTTTATGTGTTACAGTCTCGTTAGGTGCTGGTATGATACGCTTTATTATCTTGATAATAATTTATCATTGTCCAATGTGGATATACGCGGATTCGCACGATCTATCGCCGTCCTCAACCCCAGCGATCCATTTTTAACAGGAGAATCCCGGACTATCATAGGACGGTTTGAGTAGCATCACCGAGAAAACTGTCGGAGTCACTATACTCATGGTCCCAGGGTCCGCCGCGATCCTCATCCCCCGGTAACTATTGGTTGCGCAACGACGATGCAAACAGCGAAAGTTCCCATAAACCAGCTCCCGTCGATATATCATCAACGCCCGTAGAAAGATGTGGGAGGTGTCTCCTGCGGTGAATGAATAGAAGCACACACCAGACTGAGACAGTCGACGTCTGCAAAACTGACAGTGAGTATCAAACGGGGTCATATCTGCTGATTGGTGTTGAATATTGTTACTGCGCCCGGGCTTATAATGAGAGAGTAAATCACACTATTGCCACGTTCTACTGAAACGGGCAGGGGCGTAGTCTGTGTCTGGAGACTGTGATTCAAAAGCTAATGATGCTTTGGGCTACCTTTAGAAGCCACGATGGCTCGCCTTGCCCCTGAAGAACGGCTCACGATATGGTATTGCCGTGTCCTTATTTCAGCACTTCGAACAACAGCCAGAACAACACTGTTTCAGTGTGAGGAGTAGCTTCGCGTCGCTCCCTTCATGATTTCTCAAGCGGGGCTGGACTGCTACAACTGGCCTCTCTTCTGTTCCACTGGGCCGAAGAGTACGCTTTGCGCTTCTGCTTCCTTAGCATAGTTCTACGAACGCCTGCTTCGATGGTTCGGGCTAACAAGAACGAGCGACACTCGCTGGGCCACCCTAGTCGAGACTCCGACCGGGCAGCCACCCATGAAGAGTGGATAAGGATACGCGAGACGTTGGACGACCCTTGGACTTCGTTGGGCGGCCGGGCTTGCTTTGACGAAAATATGGTGGTCCCATGCGGCTTTGGCATCGCTTTGATTCCCCGTCAAGGCTCTTCCTGGTATGTGGTCAATGCATCTTTGTTCGAGAGCTTAAGGTCCTTAGTTAGACGTCTTCACAGCCTCGGTACATGACTCGGGGATAGGGCATGGACTATGCAGACCCGCACCACCGTTCCAGTCTGTTGGGTGAAAGGAACTGTATAGTACCTGTCGATCTAGCTTCGGCAGGGATGCTTGTTGCTTGGTATATTAAAGGCATATTTGGATGCCAGTCCCTCCTGGGTGACGCGACGTGGGTGCGTGGATGTATTGTACCGGTTGATGGAACTTAGTACACAATGCTGGGCCAATGCCGAGATCAGCGTGGGAATTCATGAGCAGGATGATGAGCGACAAACAGCTCAACCGCAAACACGAGATATGTAGTGTCCGGCGCGTGGGTCGGCCTATCTAAATAAAGATATCCATCATGGCTGCATGACGTGATGGCCGTCCTGGCCATGTTTTGCGATCCCGCGTTCGTCTGGTGTTCATCCTAACATGTGAGCCGACAATCTGCTTCTGCCGCACCTCACGGTACCTGGCACTAGCGATGCGGCGCAGTGTATGGGAACACGCTGAACGACATGGAACTTCCGAATCGCCAACACAGAACAGTGGCTGTAGGTCCATTCTATCCGTCCTTCTGAGATATTGTCGAGCACTGAATGAGTCAATGAGGGCATTGTGTCGCATCCCTTGCTATGTGTAAAGGAAGTATACCTCCATACATATTTGGTGGGAAGGCCTGCTGAAGATCTGCACCGGGGGCTCGGCTAAGCGCTCTTGAGTGCAGCTGGTTTGCAGACACATACATGCCTTTCTCACTAACGATGGTTACAGCGGGGCTGGAGCTGGGGCTGGAGTGATTCATGCAAGGGCATGAGAGATCCGCAGGGGGCTGTTTCATCGGGACGCGTGCCTGATTCTTTGTGGTCACGACAGACGGGTTTGGTAGTCGTGCACTTGGAGAATGAGACATGATGTTGAAGGTCCGTTTGTAGGGGCTGAGAGGCGCAGCGACGCCCGGCACTTCCCATCCGAGAGCGACCCGCGATGGGAAGCTGCCTGTGGGACGCGAGGTCTGATCGTGTAGGGACTCGGGAGGGATAACCTCGGCCAAGATGCCCTGCAGCTACAGTGTAACCCTGTGCGACGTTCAGGGGCGGTGCGCAAATGATCGTGGCTTGGGGGTCTGATGGCCTTTCTCGATGGCCACTCTTTAGTCTTTCCTCATGAGACTGTAGTTGAGCGACCGGAGTGACGTTCGCTTGATGCTTCAACCATCCCTCTGGATTTCGAAACGCGAAAGGCCGGGCCAGGTGCTGGTCTAGTTCCGAGACGGGGCCAGCCAGGGGCGGAGCCGAGGCGGCCGCTTTGTCGTTACAGGATCCATGTCGTTAGGGCTACCACGAGGAGGCCATCGAGATCGCCAATCTTTTGTGGAGTTGGGCCATGTGTTCCGGGGCAACCCTTTCCAGCAGCACGGTTCGTAATCTGCCAGATCTTTGGTGTGTCAATGCTGCGTGCGTGTCGATGGGCAAGGCTGCAAGGAATACCTTATCAGATTGTATGCATCGAAGTTTCGAATAAATGCGCAGCCACAAAAAGAAAAAGGGCAGTCAGGAATGGAGTGCCATTGTCCAAGACTCCCAAGTCTGTCCTCAACGGTCAGTCGAACTCGCGCTGCCCGAAAAAAGGAGCCTGAAACGATCAGGCACTTTCTCTGAAGTCAGCGCATTCTTCTGCCCTTGCGCTTTGGACAATGATTGATTTCGTATCTTCCGACGCTGCCAACCTGGGGGCGCCAGCATGACCACTCAAAGCTTGCTGTTGTCCATGCCCATTGGCCTGCTCCTTCGCAGGCAGGCACAGCTCGTAACCCGATTTGGCTTAAGCGGCGTTGAGCTGCCCGCTCGTTGCGTGATTCGTGGGACAAAGCCGCCTAACAGGGACGGGTGGTGTCCTAACAACGCGAGCGAAGAATCAGGCCCGTAGATGATAGATGGACACACCCCAATTCTAGTTCACGAAGTACCCTCCACCACCCCGCTTATGCTATCCGCCGATTGAGAGTCGTCTGGCCAGTTGATTGGCCACTTGGCTCAGATGGACAATGTTCCTCCATTGACAGCATGCAGCCTCGACTTGGAAGCAAGACAGGCGCACACACCCATTCTGCCCTCCTGCAGGCCCTACGGCGCCTCTGTTCAATCACCGTGGCCCGCTATCCGCTCGGCCCAGCTTGCGACGGGTGCCCCTGGCTCGAGCCCCTGTCATCAGGCCAATCAACACGCCCCCTGCTTCCCCTTGACCCGCCCGCTCGTTCTCTCTCCGCCCCGCCCACTCGTCCTGGTCTCCATCAAGCCAGCCTTTCATCTCTTCTCGCTTGGGAAGCCCTTCCTTCCTCTCTCTTCTTTCTCTCGTCGCTACACCAGCACACCACCCTTCCTTTTCGCCCTTTCCCTCTTCCTCCGTTCGTGGTGCGTCCTTGTGTCGTTGCCGTCGTTGCCCGTCGTATTTTTGGTTTGACAGCCAGAACATCACAATCGCCGCGTTCTCTCGACCCACTGCACAAAACGCGATAAAAAAACATTGGATAAAAAAAGGAGGCATTCGGAATTTGGAAGGCACTCGACGAAAATCGCTTTTTAATCCTTGTATTCTATCGCCGCCATTTCCTCCATTTCATCGGCATCGTTCTGCGAGTTTCGCCCTGATTGCTTTCAGCTTCGATACGACTCACCTAATCCAAAGTGACGGGTCTGCTCTGCGTAACGGAAGATCTGGAACTGCATTGCCAACACCGTCCTTCGCCCAACCCGGAAATCAGCGCTCGACCCGGGACACTCTGTCATCCCAGCCTTGAGTTTCGGACGAGTTACCTGCAACCTCGGAGCAAGCGAAACTGGGTGAAACCATTTCTGCTTGCAAGCTCGTGCAGCATCCTGGGTTTCGTTGCCATCTTGGCACTTGCAATCAACAGAGCGTCTCATTGGCGTCGAAGGGCAACTGAACTCGCCGAATCTTTCCTTCTGATACGCATTACCAACTTCGGTTACTTGGCCGCTCATTTTCGAACATAATTTCGGCTTTCGTCTCTTTCAGACTCGTTTTCGCATCATTGGTTGAGTCTCCGAGAGAGACACTATAGAGTTCGTCGTCCGGTGTCGAACGTTCGAGCACGTTTCCGCCGCGACGATAACATCAGTACTTTCTAATATTCACATTGACGACTTTGCCGCCATCACCGGAGACATATCACCATCTCTCCGTCAGGCTGCCGAATTCTCACCGGAGGACGATTGAAGGCTGATTACGTCATCATGGACGCTGGCAGTCTCTCCCGGATGTCTCAGACTCCTTCTTTCCACCAGGCGCATGGCTTGGCCATGAGCTCTGGCCTGGCGTCTCGCAGGGGAGGTCAGAACATCAAGCCGCTTTCGTTCGAGGCTTTGAAATCGCAGCCTGAACGCGACAACGGGGTGCCAACTCCTCGCACCAGCCGGTCGCATTTGCTGGCCGGTCTTCGTACGGCTCCCAAGTCTTCGACCGCCACGAGCTTTCCGAACCTTCCTTCCCCGACAACGGCTGCTCCGCAGACTCGTAATCGCAATTCGATGCTTCCTGGCATGTACGACAATGCCACGCTGTACAACGGACCGAAGACGTCAATGCCGCGCTTTGCGTCGCAGCAGCATCAGCAGCATCAACAGCACCAGCAGCCACAGCACCAGGGGTACAACAATCAGATGATGGGGTTCAACCAGCAATACACGGCTGAGCAGGTTCTAGCGCCCCCGCAGCTCGAATTGGACGAGGTTCAGGAACCCATTGATCCCAACCTGCACGCCCGGCTGCTGTACACGAATGCGTACTTGTCGGAGCAGCAGCAGCGTCTTCAGCAGCAGCTTAGAGTCCTCCAGGCGGCGGCTCAGCAGTTCCAGACTCTGAACATTCACGGGCAGCCTCAGATGATGCAAATGTACCAGCATCAGGGCATGATGGCTCCAGCCACGCCCCAGCAAAATGTCTACACCGTCTACGATCCTGCGACGGGCCAGCACGCCATGTACATGGACCAGAACCAGGCTCAGGTTCAGGCGCAAGCGCAAGCGCAGGCCCAGGCACAAGCTCAGCTCAACGCTCAGCTGACGGCGCAGCTTCATGCTCAGCTCGCCAACCTCAATCTCAACCAAGCTCAGCTGGCCAGCATGTATGGAAATGTGCAGCAACCGGCTGTAGGCACTCCTCGTCTGCAGGTTTCGCCTCCTCCTTCGGACCCGAACAAGTCAAGCTTCCGGATCCCGACACCGCCCCGCCAGTACGAATCTCAGGGCGACACTTCCAGCCCCTTGCCGCCGCCGAGCGCCAATGCGTTCCGCCGTGGTCATAAGAAGGCCCCGTCGCTCTCCAACGGGAACAGGGCGGCTCACTTGTCGATTGCGACGAACGAGGAACCGCCCAGGTCAGCGGGCCCGAGGACCGCTTCCTTCCCACTCACACCCCTGACTGCTGGCTATGGACCTGGCCAGGGACGAGCTGGCGAGCACCCAATTCGCCAGCCGCGAAACCCGCCGTCGCTGGATGAGCTGAAGTCGAAGCCCACGGCCAAGCATGAAGGAAGCAAGAACTTTGTCACGCGTACCCGTCGCTCTGCTATCAACAATCTCGTGCGAGCCGGTCTCGAGAGGCGCAAGGAAGCCCGGAGCTCTGGAAGTATTAGTCCTATTTCGGAGAGCACCGAAGAGCTTGTCGAGACGCCCATGACCGATAACGACAGCGACTCGGTTCGTAGTGGGTCCGGCAGCCTGGTGGATCGCGACGATGCCGAGTGCAGTCTTCCTAGCTCGAGAACTAGCACCGGTAGCTGGGGCGCTATTGGATCCGACCGGCCCAGCTCGCGCCAGAAGACCGACCGTGGTAGCGCGGCTTCCTCGGACTCGGAGAGCGCCCGGGAGCCGGGCAGCTTCGCCAGCCTCCTCAAGAACAGCAACCGGGCCGCCAAGCCAGAGGGCGAGGTTCAGCGCAAGGCGCCGAGGCTCGTCTTGACGAGCGCTGAGAGGCGGAAGCTGGCTGCCTAGACAACAACATGAGTTGGAAGGGGGTGAAGAAACCTGCATCTCACGCGAATTCACGATTATGTCCATGTCTTTTCACCATTGTCCGCGTCTGGACGGACCCGAGACCGGGTTGCGGCGCCTCCTACGGTCCGGGCTGCTCCTCCGGCGGCATGGCTTTACGAAAGTTGTCTCTTGCCCTTCTTAACACGACAGGTACCTGACGTTTCACAATTCAATTTACGTTCGGGGAGCCCTGGCCTTTCTCTTTGTTTCACAGTATGATGGGATTAGTTGGTTGCATTTTTGGGGAGCAGTGCTTTGTGCTCTATGACTTCGATTCTCAACGGCGTCAACTCCGCTGCCGGGCCGAGGTTTCGGCGTCGGCATGTGCAGTGCCTGGTTTGGACTCGCACTGGTCCTTCGATTCTTACAGTCGTTTACCGGAACCCACGACCACGATCAGCCTGGTCCCGTCTTTCGGGGATGTTTTGCAGCTCGGGAACAGGCAGTCCAGAGCTTGGACCATGGCGGCTTGGAGCATGGGGATATCGGCCAGCTGGGCGGTTGATGGATGGGTAGCTGGGACCGGTGTTTTATGGGTAAAAAAGGGCAGAGCCATCGTTCGAGAATGATCCCTGATGCTCGTCGGCGGCCTGAAACTTCGATTCGGGTGTTTCTTACCGTGGGCCCCATTGGCGGCAATGAGGTGCTCCATCGAGACTTTGCGGAGATGCAGGAGAGCAGGGCAAGGCTTTTCGCGGGTTCAATGGGCTCTGATGACAGGCGCCATCTCATGGACACCACCTGGTTTGCGAGATGGACGAGGAACGCGTGCGGAGATGCCGACAGACGGCTTACATAGCTAGCTATTCCCACCCTAGTCTTCCATTCAATGTGCATTCTTTGCCTGGTCTTATATTACATCTTGTCTTCCTCGGCGCGTGGTGCGACTCCTCCCTTTGGAGTGTTTTGGGTCTCAATGTGGGAATTCTTGCTAACAGTTTACAATAGACGACGGTTCAGTCCAAGATGGGACGAACTCCGGGTTCAATCTAGTCTGGGACAAGTTGACCACATATGCGGAACCGGTGGCCTGACGAAATCGCGTTCGACTCCTTAATTCCGACGGTGATAGAATACAGAATTGGGTCTGATAGAATCGGATTCGACTCCATAACGCCTCGGGCTTAACTGTCGTCTACTGCAATAATTATTAACGCCGAAACCGCGAACCGCGTTACCGGTCCCTAGCTCCGGCAAGCGGGTCCCCGGCTCCGCCGAGCTCCGCCGGTGACCTAACGGCAGCTAGTGTAGTGTCGTCATTTCTGTGTTTTCCCCAGAGAAGAGGGGAAGAGAGAGGGGCTGTTATCTATCTACGTACGTACGTAGCTCGAGTTAATTAAAACGGCTAGCGTCTGGAGGAAGGAAGTTGAGTCACAAATCTCGCGGGACAACAACTGTCCGTATTATATATATACACCGTATCTCTCTGTTCATCTCTATCTACGCTTCGCTTCGCCTCCCTTCTCTTAGTAGTTTCGTGTGATTCGGGACCCTCACCGTCGAAACGAGTGTTTTACTTCCTCTCGCCAAAGCCCGCCCAACAACAAGAGAAAACAAAAAATCATGTCCCCCCTCGTAGCGCAATCCTCCAGCGGCGGCGGCGGCCGCCGACAACCCCGCGTCATCCTCGGGCTGATGACCTTCGGGCCGGACGAGGCGGCCGGCGCGCGCATCACCGAGCCGAGCGAGTTCGGCAAGACGCTCGACCTGCTGCAGTCCCGCGGCTACGGCGAGGTCGACACGGCGCGCGTGTACGTCGGCGGCCGGCAGGAGGCCTTCACGCGCGAGGCTGGGCGCTGGAAGGACCGTGGCCTGACGCTCGCGACGAAGGTCCGGTACCCCAACCAGCCCGGGGACAATCAGTATGACAAGGTGCTGGAGAGTGTCGAGACGAGTTTGAGGGAGCTGGGGGCTGAGTGTGTGGATTTGCTTTATTTGCATGCTGCTGTGCGTATTCATCCTCTTTTTCCTTTTCCTTATTTTTGTCTATTTATGTATTTCACAGGGGACGAAGGTCTGCGTGTGAGTGTGAGAGAGAGGGGGGTGTTAATAACGAAGAGAGGTGTTGAACTTGACTTATTAACTTGGTAAAAAAACACACAAACAAAACAGGACCGCGCCACGCCCTTCGCCGACACGCTCCGCGCCATCAACGAGCTGCACCAGGCCGGCAAGTTCGTCCGCTTCGGGCTGTCCAACTTCACGGCCTTCGAGGTGGCCGAGATCGTGCTGACGTGCCAGCACCGCGGCTGGGTGCGCCCGACGGTGTACCAGGCCATGTACAACGCCATCACGCGGTCGATCGAGCCCGAGCTGGTGCCGGCCTGCCGACGGTACGGGCTCGACATCGTCGTCTACAACCCGCTCGCCGGCGGCCTGTTCTCGGGCAAGATCCGGTCCAAGGACATGGTCCCCGCCGAAGGGCGGTACAGCGACAAGGTGGCCATGGGCCGGCTGTACCGCGACCGGTATTTTCGGGATTCCACCTTCCGCGCGCTGCAGACGGTCGAGCGGGCGGTAGAGAAGGCCGGGCTGACCATGATTGAGACGGCGCTGCGGTGGGTGGTGCACCACTCGGCGCTGAAGGTGACGGATGGGAACGACGGGGTGATTGTGGGCGTGTCGAGCGTCCAGCAGCTCGATCAGAACCTGACGGATCTCGAGAAGGGTCCGCTGCCGGAGGAGGTGGTGAAGGCACTGGACGAGGCGTGGGCGCTTAGCAAGGTTGATACTGTCGTGTATTGGCATAAGGAGCTGGAGTATACGTATGACACGCGCGAGGCGCTGTTTGGGGCCGCGTCGCAGTAGGTCTGTTAGTTGGAAAGTACTAACGTTAGTTATGAATAGGCAAAGGGAAAATGATAAAATAATGTCAGTGCTGGAGGGAGAGTCACAACAGAGAAGTGTTGCTGGGAGGAAGAGAAAGGTCTCTCAGTGGGTCAGGATATAACTGAATTGAATTGCTCGAAGGAAATCTAATCCAATAATGACAAGTCTATCCCATGCGCCAAATACAAAGTACTGTACATACAAAAAACATTCGACCACTAGTATTACTCTATCCTCTCCCAACATCCCTCCCTTTCCCCACGGTCTATTCCCAGGATGGTCTCAAGTCTAGCTTCCGGAACTCTGGGTGTGTGTTCTTGTTCTTGTTGTGGTTGTTGCTCATCATCGGTGCCGCTGCCATGCGGAGGCGGGTGCTTGTAGCATTACACGTCAACAAACCTCGCATTGTATTCAGCATCCGTCAGATCGCCATACCATGTTTGAACCCCCTAATTAGACCCGGACGGAGAAGGGTTGGGAGACGGCTTGGGCGGCCATGGCTTCTCGTATGCTCCTCTCTTTTGGTGAGCCTGGCGTTTGGGGTTGATGATTGCTTGAGCGCCGGGGTGAACCATTGTCGAATATTGGGCTGCTGATCCCGAAGGTGATAGAAGACAGTGTGATGATGGTTAGGCTGTGCGTTGAAGCTTGAGTTTCCAAGAATTTTGCGGAGAGCTCACCAGCATGAGCTGGGATGTCAGACAGATGTGGGAGGTTGATAATATCACAGCAACAACAGCGTCCAACGAGCTAAGGGTAATGGATGTGTTCAAATACTCCCGTCATACATATGCGAAGACGCAGCTATGACCACCAGAGGCTTCACCCACCGCGCTTTATTTCGGCGATGCCGATGCCAGATGTGCAGGATGTGAGTATCTCTCGATGAAAAAACGTGGCAACTGAAACCATCGGTCCTGGCTTTATTCACAGTGCACTTTCTATGTATGCAAGGGAGTGTATGTCAGTCAGACAGATGAGCGCGGTGGCTTGCCCCCAGTTTCGGATATCTGGGCCCCCTGAGACCGCCACGAGGGTGCCGTGAAACTGACAGAGACATGCTGTTGTATGAAGCACAAGCCGGAGAATTGAGTCAAACATCCATCCAATGATAAATGGTTAAAAATGATGCAGCTGCGTGGAACATTTCCCGCCATGATTGAGGGAATGTCTCAGCTGGCCGCCTCGGCAACGCCGCAGCTCATCCGGGCAGACAAAGAGAGCAGCACGTGGCGAACCTCAGGGGATACAAAACATGATGCTGTCATTTCTCTTCTCATTTTCTCAACCAAGCTTCCATTAGTTGGATACTCAATCTCGTCTCTTCTACTGTTTTGCTTGGCTTACAATCTTGGGGTGAGGTGTGTGAGGGAGAAATCGTGGGAGGGTAACGGGTTGATCTGTGATTCGAAGGGTACCTAGGTTGGTTCTAGCCTATCAATCCTGCGGTAAGCCAGGCCGAGAGAACGGAAAGAGCATATATGTTGGGGCAATCATTTGTATTTCTGTCGCCTAGATCAATATTGACACGAGGGAAAAGCGACCTGAAGCAGAATCCCAGCCTACGTCTACCAGCGCCCGTCAGGCCATCGACCCGCGACGGCCTTCGCTGAGGAGATGGCTCCCGCGGCCTTTACCTAACCCAGACATCCGCGTGCTCGCTCTTGCCGTGGCCGCACGCACATTTGCTGCCACCCGCGGGTCGGAAGGCCCGGCAAGTGCAGGGAAGCCTGGGCTCGTGGGGATTGAACTCGTAGGGGTATCTCCGCTCATGGTCCCGGTGTTTGGGGTTGGTCGACATGTGTCTGCAGTGGCCAGCGTTAGGAACGGGCCTCGCAGGCATTTTGACGGTGGTTTGGTTTGCGGTTGAGCTGTGAAGTAGGTAAGAAAAGGTCCTAGAGACTAGAGAGGATAGGGATGTGGGAGGCGATTACCAGAAGATTAAGTATTGGCAGCAGAAGAGTGAGTAATGGGACCTCGGGGGCCTTCTTTATCTTGTAAAGAGAGGAGTGATACGGAATGAAAAGTCGTTGACTGTCGTTGCCGTCGTGGACGACGGAGCGGTATATATCTTCGATTCAGCTGGCGAAAAAGTTGCAGACGACCACGGAGATGTCTTTACAAATGGCGTAATTGACCCACGGCGAAACACAAAGTAGCAAGGCATAGTTGGCCTTTGACGGCGGTCGTGCATCAGTGTGTTGGTGCCTGCATTCTTTCCCCTCCATGGTTTTTCAACTTTTTCTCCCTCACCTACGGTTGTGATACTCTTTTCAGACTCGCAAAAGAAGCTTCTCGGTGATTGCGCTTTCAAGTTCCACTTCGGCCGCCGGACTCGAGAGTCGAGGCATAAACCTCTTGCTCAGCCCAACAATCCGGAGCCAACGCCGAGAACGGACTATTTACACACGTGGCCGCCTGCTCCGGTCCCGATTTCGCGGCGGTGCTACGCCGCAGAGAAAAACAAGGCAGCGGCACCGCGATCATACATTCTGCGGCGTCCTGCCGCGGTCCGCGCCGTATCTCGTCCCACACGATCCGGCAACCGGCCAACAGCCGAACCGCTTTCTAGAATCTACCCTATTCTTCACCACCACCACTTCCAGCATCACGACTCCCGCCCATCCATACAATTTGAGGTATCCAAAATGTGAGTAGGTTCGAATCTTGAAAGGAGGTTATTACTATTATACAGGAACATGGAGGGCCACATCGAAGCACTTACTAGTATTTAAGGTACTCAGACACATCGACCCCTTTGATCTCCGCCAACGCCTTGATACTCGCCCCGGAGAAATGCTCATCAAGCCCATACCCCCCAATCCTGCCCCTCGTCTCGACAAGTTCATTCAGCGCATTCCCGACCCAGTCCCCTCCTCCTCCCTCCTCCGTAAGTATCTTCTCCCTCCTCTCCCGCCGGCGGTTGAACAAGGCGTGCATATCTTCCACCCTTGCGCGCGCAAGGTATCGGACGTCCTGCTTCTTGATGCAGCGCCCGCCCATCCTCTCCAACGCCGCCCAGTTCTCCTCAAACTCTGTACCCATGTCCTGCTTTGCCGGTTGGATCTTGAATAATTTTACTCTGTTCCTTTCTACGACGAACCCATGGGCCCAAACTGCTAGCAAGGCTCGAGTGGTGGCCACTACCATCCAAGTACCTAATACTAGTACTAGTAGTAATCATTTATTCTTAGTCAAGTCTGAGGCGCAAGACGGCCACTGGGGACAATGGTAGGGGATCTGAGAAGAATAAGATGGACATTGTCAATGAGAAGCACAACGGAGGCAAGAATTAAGAACTTACATACCGTTCTACGGATGACGTGCCTGGTATGTATTGTGCCTATGTTTTCAGCTTGTCAGCGCGAAACCCCTGACAGGTCCCGGTCAGAGATTCAGTGCTCGCTGGGCCTCCTACCAAGGGCGGGGGCGGGCTGATCGCCGTTTTAGGAGGCCCAGCGAGTACTTCTTACTTGGAAGATATGAACAACTTCTACGGTACAATAAGCTAAAAGGCTTGTATATCCGGTGAAGGTCAACCTGCGCAGTGGAATGAAATCCTAACGCCTTACGTTTCCAACCACGCCCTTCAACATATCTGCCACAGTCTCCGCTGCGTCTCCCTTGAAGAACCAATCTCCGTCTCGCAGCCGTCCCGGCTCTTCCTCGCTTTCCTCCATGTTGAAAAACGCCACTCTTGCACCGGCGTTGCGCGCAATCGGGATATACATGGCCGCGGGAAGTACAACCGCACTCGTACCGATGACGAGCATGAGATCGATGGTGCCGCCCGAGGTAAATTCGTATATTCGTTCCGAGGCTGAGAGAGGTGTCGCTTCGCCGAAGAACACGACGTTGGGCCGGAGGAGGTTGTTGCATTTCGGACAGTGCGGAAGATCCGAGCGAGCGACGTGTGGTAGGGGCACTTTTGCGTCCGAAATATCGACGTCGTCTGGGAGAGCGAGATGCTCGTTGACGGGATACGTGGCTTCCCTCTCGTAGTCGCATCTATCCTTCTCGGCCTGATACTTGCTGCACTTGATGGAGAACAGCGTGCCATGGACCTGTGCAATCTGGGACCGTGGAAATGCCGCCCTCTCACAAAGCCCTTTTGATATCCATAGCGGGTTAGCAGGAAGCTCAGCTCGCTGCATATCCTATGCAAATGGCTCAATAATAGGTAGGTAGTAGGTAGGTACTCACCATCAATGTTCTGATTCACAGCAAAGAACCCCCTCTTCGCACATGCGAGTCTCGCCAAAGCGTAGTGTGCGGCATTCGGCTCCGCCTTTTGTGCTCCCATCATGCGATGGGAAAAGAACCACCACACCTTGGCCGGATCGTCGAAGAAAGCCTGGGCGTCGGAAAGATCCTGCGGTTCGTGGCCGCGCCATAAGCGATCCGAGCCACGGAATGTTGCCAGGCCTGATGCTACAGAGAGCCCCGCGCCCAGGAGCGCGAAGATGCGCTTGGAGGACTGGAGGTGCTGAGTGAAGGACGTGAATTCGTCGAGTGAGATGCCGAGGGACGGGTCGGGCGCTGAAGTGCCTCGGAATTTACGTTTCGCCTGTTTAGCTTTGAGTGCGTCGAGCTTTTTGTCCGAGGATCTGACTTTCCGCGGCCTGCTGTTGACGGTATCCATGTTCCGTTGATTGTTGTGGATGCAAGGCGCGGAGCACTGAGCCGTGTGTGTGATGTGTGTGTGGAATGTGTGTGTATTGTAGGAGGGAAAGGCAGTGGTGCTGGCTGCAGAGATGGGGAGCCTAGATAAATAATGGGCCGACAACACATGTTAGTGCTTCTCGGCTTGGCTGATGTTTGAGAGTGCTTGACTTGGAGTTGGGCCGACGTAATCCCTTCACAATGTTGCCGTGTCATCCCGCCATTTCATTGGAGCATATGCAGCTGTGTGTATGGATATGTCAAATGTCAAACTGTTAGAACAAGCTGGGCTGGTTAGCACCCAGAAGTTAGAACAACATGTGGTTTTGGGTTGTCACGCAGAGAAGCAAGAGCTTACAATTGTTCATCACCACTTTCCTCGTCTTGCGCGACCTCAACAATGGACTCGAGATGCTCATTCAAACCGATCAAGAGCCCGAGGCAGTCAAGTTGAAGTGCCTCACATCAAGAATCAACCAGAGGCTAACAAACCAAATCTGACTGATTTAAAATACGCTAATATTAGTCGACAGCATGAGGCTTTCTCATAACGTAGTATTACGATCATACTGCCTCTCAGTTCCCCCCCTACGGCCTACTAGGCAACCCCTCCCGCCACCGCCCCAACACCTTCGACAATCTCTCCGTCCACTCCACCTCATAATCCCACTCATCCCTCCTCGACGAAGCCTCCCTCCGTTCCACCAGATCCACCAACTCCAACACGACCCTCTCCCAACACACCAAGCTCGCCTCCAACCCCTTCAGCGTCTGCAGCCTCCTCAGCGTGGCATCCCACTTCCGCCTCTGACTCTGCCCCCTCGCGAACCAGTCCTCCGGGCTCATATCCTCCAGGGCATTCGCGAGGAAGAAGGCGGCCGCGTGCCGCCCGCAGAGGGCGTGGCCGAACGCGCTCATCTCGCGCGAGACGGTTTCGTTGTCGGGGATGGTCCCGCTCTGGACCAGCGCCTGGGCAACGAGGGCCCACCCCTCCTGGGCGATCTTCAAGCGCTCGATGGCGCATATCGTGCGCTTGAAGGCTATTTCGCGCGGGGTGTAGTGGATGTTCTCGGTGGTGAATGGTGCTGGGTAGCGGTCTGGTGAGGAAAGGGATGGAGCAGCGGTGTTGGTTCTGGTAAGGGTGGTGCTTGCTGCTTCTGCGGCGAGAGTCTCGCTTTTGAGGTTGCGATAGGCAGCTGCGGAGGGAGTTGAGGGGAGGGTTAGGTTGGAGGGGTTGATGAACTGGGATGAGTCCCGCTTCTCAGACATAGTGATGGTGATCTTTGTTGCTAGGTGAAGCAAGGGAAGTGTGTAAAGGAACTAGCTCAGTTGCAGTGATCTGTATCGCTGAGTTCGAGGCTCATGGTAATAGTGGTCTATTAATATGTCTCGGACTGGAGGTTCGCTGGGAGAACAAGAAGTCCGTTTTGTGAACAATGACCGGTCAGTAGGGCAGGCATGGACTTCAATGTCGTTCGCCATTGTCTCCTCGCTCTATCCGTGTACTCAGTGCTGCGGAGATTCCGTGCTGTCATTGGTTTGCTGTTCAGGCAGACAAAGCAAAATCGCCACGCGATCTGAACAGGTTTCAGCAGCAGCTACTAGTACTACTCACACCTCATGAACTTCCATTCTAATTCATCACTCGGCCAAATGTCACCATACATACAACCGTGTGGGCGTAACACCTACCAGAATACTTCTAGATGTCACCACCACTGCAAACAGACTTGGCTATGAATGGGATCCTGCTGTCAATATAGCGACGGCATCCCCACGGCTGGCAGTACACAGTGCCTACGCGAATTCCGGCACGATCGATATACGACCAAACCAAGGGTATAAGAGAATCTTAAACGGTCTTCTGCAGGTCCGCTGAATCCCATAACTCGTAACGACCTCAGGAAGGACTCGATCAAAGCTGTTGATCAAGAGCAAGCCGAGTAGCCGTTCATACCGAAAGAAAAGCGGCCAGTGACTTCTCATAGGCAATCTCGGACTAGCTGCATTGTCTCGACGTCACCAGCGTCTCAACGGCCACGCAAAACGATGGTACGCCGCGCCGCGCTGGAGATATCTCTTCTCTCATCATCCCGACCTGGTCCGTCTTCTCCCTGTCATCCCGTTCCTTGGTTGATACAGGTTGCATCCATCTGCCCACAAGCCTCGGCCAAGCACCCCCTCCCCCCAGCCCTCGACGTTGGTACTCCGTCAGTGCGGCGTGCAAATCCTGGCCGATGTAATATCATTCATTACCTTTGCCGTCGCAGGTTATACTTAGACTTGGCTGGTCTGGTCGCCCAAGGAATAGGAAAGGGCATCGAAGACGGCCGTATTGAGATTCCCTTCTTTGACAAACTTTCCCCTTGATGAGGAGGAATTGGTAGGGCCATCGCAATTATGAGACTCGACAAACAGTAAGCGAATCGGTCGTCCATGCAAGGGGTAGTCATATTAAAATGATGACTCTTCGCTAGATGCCCATCGTTCGACCCGTCCGCAACACCAGATGAAAAACAACGGGTTACGCAGAGTACGTACTAATATTCGCCATTGACATGGATGAGACAAGCTTGCCATCTCACAGGTTCGTCATCATGATTCCCAATTCATTAATAGTAAAGTACTAACGTATCTTATAAGCGAGATGAACATATAAGCGAATTGAACACTTTGACCGCGACGCGTCTTCTCTCCATACCACAACCAAAATCCTCTACACCCAACGATGTCTTCGGCTTCAAGAGAGTCTAGGGTAATCTTAGCTCTTGAAGCTATTCAAAAGAACCCAAAACCTAGTCTTCGCGCCGCAGCAAAGATCTATAACGTCACAGTCAATACCATCCGAAACCGACGCGACGGCAAGCCTGCACGACGCGACACTACGCCCAACTCGCGCCGGCTCACCGATTCCGAAGAGAAGGCTCTTGTTCAGTATATAATTGAGCTATCTGAGCGAGCCTTTCCCCTAAGACTACGTGGTATGGAAGATATGGCCAACCAACTGCTATACGTACACGATGCGCCCCCTATCGGTAAGCTCTGGGCGTATAACTTCGTTAAACGCCAGCCAGAGCTCCGGATGTATTATACGCGTAGATACGACTACCAGAGTACCAAATGCGAGGATCCAAAGGTCATTGGCAAATGGTTTACCCTTATATAGAATGTTAAGGCCAAGTATAGTATCGTAGACGACGATATCTATAACTTCGACGAGACTGGGTTTATAATGGGCATCATCTTCCCAGGCATGGTGGTAACAACCTCAGATAGCCGTGGCAAGGCGAAGCTAGCCCAGCCTGGCAACCGCGAATGGGCGACCGTAATCCAAGGCGTCAATGCCCTTGGCTGGGCTATCCCTCCGTTTATCATCTTAGCGGCGCAATACCACCTCGCCAACTGGTATACCGAATGCAACCTCCCGGCCGATTGGCGTATTGCAACTACCGACAATGGCTGGACTACCAATGCAGTAGGCCTTGATTGGATCAAGCACTTCGACTACCATACAGCGCCTCGGATAAAGGGCAAATACCGGTTGTTGATCCTCAATGGCTACGAAAGCCACCACTCAACCGAGTTCGAGCTCTACTGCCAGCAGAACAATATTATCACGCTCTGCATACCTCTATATTCCTCCCACCTCCTCCAGCCCCTTGATATTGGCTGTTTTAGGCCGTTGAAGCAGGTGTACGGCCGCCAGATCGAGGACTTAATACGCGCGTATATCAGCCACGTAAGCAAGCTCGAGTTCCTTTGTGCCTTTCGCACAGCCTTCTTTGCCTCTATCACCAAGAGGAATATACAGGGCGGTTTTATAGGGGCTGGCCTTATACCATACGATCCAGAGAGGGTACTTTCGAAGCTAGATATCAAGCTTTATATACTAACACCCCCAACCTCACGGCCAGGCACTGTACAATCTTGGGTCTTCCAGACACCATACAACCCCCAAGAAGCCAACTCATAGTCAACGCTCATCAAGACTCGCATTGCCAACCATCAAAATAGCTCCCCGACTTCGATGTTGGCTGCTGTAGACCAGCTTACCAAGGGTACGATAGCTATAATGCACCAGGTGGCCCTCCTTTAGGCAGAGAATGCTTCGCTCCGCAAGGCCAACGAGGCGCTAAGCAAGCGCCGAAGAGCCAAAAGAACGCGTGTACAGCTTGGAGGATCACTTGCAGTAGAAGATGCAAAGGATCTACTAGACCAAAAGGCTGTAGTTGGGGAGGTGGCACAAGAAATGCAGCCGGATGGTGGTGGTGCAGGGGGGGCTCGTACGAAGGTTCGGTGCTGTGGTGTGTGCGGCAAGCCTGGTCATAATGCCCGCACTTGTCAGGAGGTTGCAGAAGCATCTGATTCAGCCGTTTCTGATGTAATTATAGTAGGTTCATAATGTTGTTGTGTTGTAATTGTAGTTGACTGTTATAGTATGGTGGCAAGTGTTCAGTTCGCTTATATGTTCATCTCGCTTATAAGATACGTTAGTAGGTAAACATAGCATTGTCATTCTATCAGCTCGCTCAAACCCGCTCAAAGTCAAAAGAAAACTCTAAAAATATTCCATCCCCCTTCCCGTATAACATAAACCGAAATATACCCCTCAGCGACCGCCAATCTGCCCCTTCGGAATAGGCGGGATCCAGCACACGGCCAGGTTAATCGCAATATGAATAATCCCACTGACCCAAAACGCCTTCGCATAGCCCGACCCATTATCCATAAACCTAAAAATAATCGCAAACACCACACCCCCCAGATTACCCCCGGCACCGGTCAGGCCAGACAGCACACCGTTCGCGTACGGATACACGTGCGGCACCAGCGCAAAGTTCGCGCCATTCCCGGCCTCGAGGAACACCGCCATCAGGACGATCAGCCCGACCATGGTGCCCAGATCATGCGGATCCAAGAAGCCGATGACCATCAACAGCGCGCCCGTCAGGAGGCCGCAGACGTGGATCCAGATCTTCTTGAGCCACAGGCTGCGGCCGAAGCGGGTGTAGACCAGGTCGGCGACGACGCCGCCCAGCGGGCGCGTAACAAAGTTGAGGAAGCCGAAGACGGCCGCGTAGTTGCTCGCGCGCGTCTGGCCCAGCGCGGGGAAGTTCTTGAGGTAGTAGGCGCCCAGCACGCTGTTGATGGCCAGCTCGCCGCCGAAAGAGCAGAAGTAGGTCGCCACGTGGAACAGGCCGTGCAGCGAGCACATGACGCGCACGGCCTCGCGCACCGACGGCTTCTGGATCACCTCGCCCTGGGCCGTCTCGAGCGCTTCGGTGATGGTCACGGGCGCCTCGTGGGCCGAGAGCGGGCGAAGCGTGTTCTGCGGCGGCTGCTTCTCGACATCGTCAGAGGACTTTCCCTTTTCCAGGTCCGACGTGTTGCCTGAGGAGGGGAGGGTGCTGGATGGGTCTCGGTCGGCGATGGTGCCGGGGACGGTGACGATGGCGTCGGTGATGCCGTGCGATTCGAGGTTGTGCTGGACGTTGAGGTGGCGGTCGTTCCTGCGGGAGGAGGTTGGTCAGTCATACAGTGAGGGAGGAGGATCATGCGAGAGAGAGAAACATACCATTTGCCCGTGGGCGTGTCTTCGCACAAGAGAAGGAGCCCGACTCCGCAGGCGATCAGGCAGATCAGCGGGACGACAAAGGTGATGCGCCATGCCACGTCGGGGGTATGGCCCCAGCGGTGGTACAGCGAGTCATACACAGCCGGCATGATGAAGTAGGTGATGCCGCCGCCGGCGTTGCCCCAGCCCCCGGACAGGGCATTGGCGGTGCCCACGACGTTCTTGTCGAACCAGCCGGTGCACCAGACCTGGCAGGGCACAAAGGACCCGCCCAGGATGCCGATGAACAGGCGGATGATGTACAGGCCCGTCGCGTCCTTGATCAGCGGGGCCAGTCCGATAGGGATGCTTCCGACCAGGATGAGCATGCTGAACACCTTGCGCGGTCCAAACTGGTCGCACAGCGGGCCGGCAAAGAAGCGAACCGCCAGGGTCGCCACGAGCGAGACGATGTTCGAATTTGCGACCTGCTCCGAGCTGAGGCCGAGATCCTTCTTGATGGTGACGCTCAACTTGGGACGGGTTAGCGGCGTGTCCATCTTTCACTCTCGGGTTGTGGGCCATACCAAGGGCGGGAAGGTGTACCAGGCCCAGAAGGCCAGCATGAAACCGAGCCAGGAAAAGAAGAAGACACGGCCATGCCTGTCGACTGGGTTGAAGATTGGTACGCTGCGTGCTTTCTTGTTCACCGGGTTGAGCACCGGCTCGCGCCAGAGGTCGGATATCTGGAAGCCCATGTCGGCTGGTCTTGTCGAGGACCGTTGCGGATGACAAGGTTCTGGCCGGGAAGTGGACGTTGTCTTATGGGGTGCTTGCGGTTTGCGGAGTGCTCTGGGGAAAGCATCAGGGTCCGTGATAGATATAGATCCAGAGGTTGCCCATCTCAGCCAGGTCGAACGTCGAGGCCGCGATCATCCCGCCGGCATCCATGGTGACGATCCGATGGCCAAGCTCGTCGAGGGAGGGATCCGGGATGCTTTTGAGGGCTCGAAATCTGCATCTCCGAGACCTAGTAATGAAACCGTCCCATCCCACGCACCGGAACGGGCGAGGGCGCCCCCACCGCCAACCGGGTAGCCCTGCGAGAGCGTTATCTCCTTATCTGCACTAGGGCTGAGGCTCCGGCCAGGGGGAGGCTTGGCAGAGATAAAGGAGCCATCTGGGTGCGCGCCGGATGTTACCGCGCACCAACGTTATCTATAGCGGCGAATGTTATCTGGATTGACATCCGGTTTGGCAGGTTATCAAAGGGGATCATCTCCGCGGGATAAAAGGCCTGTCCCGCCCGTCCCAGGAGTTCGGACCCGGGGAGATGTCTGTCTTCGTTTTCCTGGTTTCTCGCCAGGCCCAGACCTTGGAATATTCATGCTGGATTCGCTTCGACGGGCAGTCCGGCACAGGTAGGGATTTCAGCGAGGGTTCCCTTATCTCCTGGCTGCATCTCGTCGGATGTGCCCAAGGGGGCGACACGCCCAGTGCACCCAACCACCTCCGGCTATAGCGATTCCTGCTGAGTAACCTGCAACCGGGTATTTGCAGCCCCGACAAAATCGATTGTCTGCTTCCCCGGCATCCTCAGGCGTCAATAGTTCACCTCTCGATTGGTCCCTATCATCGGCGCAGCCCTTGGTTATCGTTGAGGACCCCGGCATCGAAGGAACTGGCGGCTTGACACTGAGATTAGCGATCCGTCCGGAAGCCATACATACACGATGGAAATTACCTAGTAGAGCGTCTGAATAGGTACCACAGTCTTTCCCATAACTTTTGGCATCCCGGCTTTCGCGGGACAACATCAACATCATGCTTGTCGCCTGCGTCGCGCCACAGGCAGATACACAGTAGAGGTGCTACTGCAAGCATGCACCACAATTTTGGGGGTATGCTTGAACTTGGATGCGTAGAAATGACCTTCATGTGACTGGGCAGCGGCACGGTTCCACTCACCTGGACACATCTCGTCGTGGACATCGAGACTCGCGTGGAGAACAGTGATTGATGTCTTGGCTCAGTTTGACGAATCGCATTTGTGTCTGCGAAGAGCGAGACCACTTACTGGATTATCAGTGGTGAAAGATTGATTTCCACGGACCTTTCTCTCTGAGATCGCAGCTAGGCTTGCTGGAGGTTCCTCGCGGAAGTATCTATTGGAAGCATGTGACTGTTGCGGGGGCCAGTGGGTTGGAGACCCGAACGGCTGATGGCAGCTGAGTGCTCCCAAGCGTCATCGGGGAACCGGGCACCCATAGAAAAGCCGCGGCCGGATACGAGCTGTACTGAAGTGTGTTTCGACGCATCGTGTTGAGAGTATGGGGGCGGCGGCCGAAATGCCCTTTGCGTGAAAGGTTTTCTGGGCGTTCGATAGAGAAGCAGCTGCACCCTCTATTATGTCAGCAGAAGGTCCGCTTCGTCTCATGAAGATGGGCTTGGAGCAATATGGCGGAGAAGATGCTCGGTCGCGTTTCGCAACCTTCTCGACCATGGGGAGCCATAAACCCTGCCGCCAGCCAAACATATCAACCCCAGGATGCAGTGGTATGCAGTCTATCATTGCCACCCTACACTGCGCTCCTCGGTATGTACACGGCGAGCCCGTCGCTCGCCCCTCCCCTATGCCAACATCGCTGCCTCTCAGTTGCTGCGAGCACCGCCCTTGGCTTCCCGGAGCTCATTCATCTTAGCCACCCGCTTCTTGAACTCGACATATTGGCACTTCTCGTAGCTGTGCCTCTCGTCCTGTGGGCAAAACGGAGTCAATCGATGTTCATCACCCCTCCACACAGACCCCTTTCCCTTTATTGCCACAGTTTGTTTCCTGTCATATTCAATCGTGGATTCGTACCTCGCACTTCCACGGCAGATGCCATGTCTCGAACCGGCAGCGATTGAGCGGGATCAGCAGGTGTGCGCAGCTGTCGCGGTACGGCAGGGGAAGCTTCGCATCGCGCATTTCCTCGCGGGTTGCCCCTGTGGCCGTTGTAGGTTAGCAAAGCTCGCTCACGGAGGTGGCAAGGCGTAGAATTGCTCGCTGGGACTCACGCCTTGCAGTCTCTGCTGTTTCTAACGCCATTTTATGGTGCAATTGCGGCGACCGCAGCGACAATTGCGACAGTTCGATGTGGATGGTAGTGCTCTTCGCTCAACTCTGACGCCAGGAAGCCGAAGTGGAGCTCACGGCTTGCGCCCTGACGCCTGAGGCAGGATATGGGGCTTTGGAACTGCACGTGGTGCTCACGTGAGTGTACCCCACATATCGGTTAAACACTGCATGATCTCCAACTTCTCCTCGTCAAAGGGGGCGAGCTGGATCCGGCCGTTTTGGGAGGCCCAGCAAATACCACCCCCGAAGAGAGACTGCCTGGTGATTGCCGCTCGTTTTCAATCTGGCTCGGGGCCCTTTACGTTTAGATCGCATGCTATTCAGACTTTCAGCTAGCCCGCCGCCATAATTTTACCGCATTAGCCATCAGGTTCTCGTCAAGATTCCTGTCGTCGTGACCGTGCTCCTGTACAGTACATTGGGGAGGCGTATCCTGTCCACCTCCCGGCTACTGCTGATCGGACGGCGCATGGCACACCAACTGCCCATCTCCGTCTCGCAACATCTACATCGGATCGAGGCAGCTGACCAGCAGAACAACAACGTGGGGGTCCGATTGATGCCGGAGAAACGAATGTTCAGCTTCGATTCGCCGAAACTCTCTTCAAGACACAGAACCCGAAAGAGTTCAGACTTGCCACTTGCGTCCGGCCCAAACATATACCTTCTTTGAGATTCAGTAGGAGATGATCTCTTGAGTAGACGCCTCTTCACAAGACAGGATGGTATACCTGGACGCCCGAAGGGAAGGCAGAGCTGCCGCTCCCGAGAATCGGAAGAGGGGAGCCGGACTCGAACCGGCTGCCTCAATAGAGAGACGCTATATGAGGCTTCCGAGGGCAATACCATCCACTTTCCCCGTTCCCCTGTTGAATATGGTGGTGATCACTTGCTGGGCTGTAGGTGAGTTGTGGGAGCTGATCTGTCGGGCCTATCTTTGGTAGGGAATGGAGAAGGGGAAGGGGTGGTAGAACAAAAGCAGACGAACCGGGCGAAGCAGGCAAAACCCAAAGCGGGCAGTGAAGTCAGACGCTGGAGAAAGCAGAGAAGCTAAAAGAAACGAAAGATGCTGGGGACGCTGGAGAGATTAGAGGAGGGAAGGAAGGGGACGCTTGAGAAGGGGACGCTTGAGACGCTGGAGGAGCGGGGCCCCTGGGAGCGAGGGGTGGGGAGGAGGAGGAAAGAGGAGGAGGGGAGGAAGGGAACGCTGTTACCTCTCCATTACCTACCCAAGAGGGGCTCGACGGATCAGCTACCACAACTCACCTACAGCCCAGCAAGCGATCACCTGAAGAGAAAGTCAGTCGTCAATTAGACCTATAAGATGTCTACCGCTACTTCATTAATCCACGACATCGACTGCTTATGGCCCATACCACGCCTGTCCTCCGATCAGTCAGTCTCCGAAGATCGTCGTCTCTCAGAGCCCATGCCCGACCCAACCACCCTACCACGCGGGCATCGCCTCTGGTTGACAGTCAGACAACCAGCTTGGAGAATTCCAGCCTAGCCGTTAAAAACGGGGGAGGACTCGAAGCTTATGCCCGATGGACGGTCCAACCACCAACATCTTCGCCACGCAGAGCCTATGCCCGACCCAGCCACACTACCATGCGGGCACGCACTCAAGTTAACGCTCTACAGAGCACCTCGGAGTATCACGGCTTGGCTTTCGAAAGCTAGGCCGTTTCGTTTGCTGGCGCATACCCAGAATCGTTAAGCGAGAGCCCCAATGATCCTCGCTGAGCCCGAATATTCGAACCCAGCCACGCCAGCATACGCGGACTCCTTGGCCACTCAGAGAGCCCCCTTAACTTGAGATCCGCCCCGCAGAACCCATGCCCGACCCAGCCGCCCTACCATGCGGGCACGCACTCTTGTTGATGGTCGGACAAACAGCTTAGAGTATCCCAGCCCAGCCGTCAAAGGCAGGGGACACCAAGCTTATACCCGATAGTCAAGGTTGTCCAACCAACCATCTCCGCCCCGTAGAGCCCATGCCCGACCCAGCCACCCTACCATGCGGGCACGCACTCTTGTTGATGCATCAAGGAACACCTTGAAGTATCACGGCCTGGATTAGAATCGTTGGAGAAGAGCCCCAATGATCCTCACTGAGCTGGAATATTCCAACCCAGCCACACCAGCATACCGGACTCCTTGGGTCACTTGAATGCTCGCTGCAACGCGCGCTCGGTGTTGCTGCGCCCAGGCCCGACCCAACCGCCCAACCATGTCGGACCTATTATCGTTTAGAGTACACGCCCCGGCTTCGATACAGGTCGCAAACTCCGTCTACTTCTTAGTATCACGGATCATCGAGCACAGCTCGGACGATCCTCGCCGAGTCCAAATCCAGCCTCCCAACATAGCCGGCCTTAGATGCCGGACTACATTGTCGCTTGGATTTCTCGCCCGCCTTGGATGGTCTGTGGTCCTGTTAGTGTTGTCGTTGCTCTCCGCATCGCAGAGCCCAGGCCCGACCCAACCACCCTACCATGTCGGACCCGTTTTCGTCTGGCGTACCACGCCTCGCCCCTCGAAGTCCAGTTCTGGATACTCCGGCTGTTGGCTGAGACGAATCCAGATTCCAAACCCAGCCGTGAACGTTACAGCTGCACCGGACATCATTGTCGCTTAGGCTTTATGCCCTGCTTGGACAATCTGTGGTCGGTTAGTGTTGTCGCCGCGCTCGTTGTCGTGGCGCCCAGACCCGACCCAACCACCCAACCATGTCGGACCTGTTAGAGAATCACGCCCCGGCCTTCGAAATCCAGGTCGTGTTACCCCCTGTGCTCGTCGTCGTCGCGCTCTGTTGTCGTGCCGCCCAGGCCCGACCCAATCACCCAACCATGTCGGACCTTGTCCCACCCAGTCCTCCTATACCGCCTCCATTCCTCCTCTTTTTACCACCCCCTATCCATCCAGGTAATGGGCGACTCCGTTGGTGGGTTGTTGTCGAAGTCGAACGCGGCGAGTTTTGCGTTATCGTCGGGCCGAGCCACTCAACGGGTGTCGCCTCGGGTCCTGCGCGGTCGCATTGCCATGTCCTCCAACCCATCCAGTCCTCCCATACCGCCACTGTTCCTCCTCTTTTTACCCCCCATCCATCCAGTCCTCCAACCCCTCCTGTGATCGTATCGGTAGTGGGCGATTCCGTCGGTAGGTTGTTGTCGAGTCCGAACGCGGCGAGTCTTGCGTTGTCGTCGAGCCGAGCCACTCGACGGGTGTCGCCAACTATGCTGAGCCCATGCCCGTCCCAACCACCCAACCAAGGCATGGCGCGACTCCGCCGGTGGGTTGTCGAGTCGAACGCGGCGAGTCTTGCGTTGCTGTCGGGCCGAGCCACTCGGCGGGTGTCGCCTCGGGGGTTCCGCTCGGTCGCATCGCCACGTCGGTCGCAGGCGGTCGCATCGCTCGGCCGCATCGCCATGTCGGTCGCAGGCGGAAAGGCGTATTCGAGTCGGCGACTCCGTCGGTGGGTTGTCGAGTCCGAACGCGGCGAGTCTTGCGTTGTCGTCGAGCCGAGCCACTCGACGGGTGTCGCCAACTATGCTGAGCCCTTGCCCGGCCCAACCACCCGACTACGCGAGCAAGAGCTGAAGAGAATAGAGAAGAATAGACAGATGAAAAGAGTGGTGACTGATGAAAAGATTATAGAAGAGTGGGCAGAGAAAAGAGTAAAGATGGATAAAAGAGTAGAGAAGAGTGGGTATTTGAAAAGAGCAGAGAAGAGTGGGCAGTTGAGAAGAGTAAAGACAGATAAAAGAATAGAGAACAGTAAGTAGAAGAAACGAGCAGAGAAGAGTGGGCAGATGAAAAGAGTAAAGACGGATAAAAGAGTAGAGAAGAGTAAGCGGATCAAAAGAGTAGAGAAGAATAGACAAATAAAAAGAGTATAGAAACGTGGGCAGATGAAAAGAGTAGAGAAGAAGACGAGCCGCAGGTCCCCAGGACCGATCAGACAGCCGGAAGGCCCAGATGACCTTTGGACCGATCAGGGCATTCGGCCCGGGTGCTGTGTAGAGAAGCCCCAAACCACGCAGACATACCCAGGACATCTAGAAAACCCTCAAGTACGCTCGGAAGCCCGAAAGCACCCGATGTTCCTAAGGATCAACCAGACATCCTAAGGCCTTTGTGATTTTGGAGATCGCCCTAGACAGCCCGAGGCCTGATCCACATCAAAGGTCTATCAGACAGCCGTAAGGCCCAGATGATCCTGGGGTAGGTGCCAGACAATCCGATAAGCCCAGATGACCAGCCAGGAACCCGAAGATTCCTGGGAGTCTATCAGACGGCAACGGGTCCGGCGATCGAACCGACACCAAAAGGCCCAGATGATTCGTTAGAGACAGCGGAGCCCGGGCTCTAGATGTCCTAAGAACCGATCAGACAGCAATGGGACGGGAGGTTCCTGCGGCTCTAAAAAGGGGGTCCCGAATCCCAACCCAACCACCCAACCAATGTGGGATTCAGGAAGTTGCTTGGCCGCGCCTAGTAAAGCTCTGTGTATAAAGGTTAAAGTGTCCCATGAGCCGTTGTTTCAGATGTTGGGAGAAGACATACCGAAGGAACCAGAGTGTACCGAAGGCCAAGATTGTCCGTTGCTTTGCTGGATCGAAGCGAAGACCGCTAGGTATGGTAGCAACTGCTCAAGGGATGGGAGAAAGCAGACCGGAGGGAAGTGTACTCTGCTTTGACGACTTGGAGATGATATGTTAGCAGCACAAGGGTGATCGGGAAGACATACCGGAGAAGGATGTGGTTTGTTTCGTTTGCTCCGAGAAGATACCACAACGAAGTGATGAATCCTCGAAGCCCATGCCCGACCCAACCACCCAACCACGCGGGCAAAGCGAACGATCGAATGATCGCGCCGGAGTATCATATGTATGTGCCTCGAGGCCATGATACTCCTCATGCTTGGCAAGAAGCAAGCCGTACCGGAGAGGATCACTCTGAAACCTAAAAAGGTATAAAGAAGAAGAAGATGAGGCTATCTCTTGCCTCCGGTTTTGCTTGGTCTGAGAGCCAGCGAAAGATCATGGATACCTATGGGGTCCGGATGACATACCGCACGTACCACGCGGGGTGCGGATTTTATCCCAGGCCCGACCCAACCTCCCAGCCATGCGGACCTAGGTTAGTTTTCTTTTCTTTTTTATGCGCCTCTTCTTCGTGCTTTTTTCTGCGCGTCGTTTTTTCTTACTTTTTTTCTTTTCTTTTCTTTTTTTTTTGCACTTTTCTTTTTCTTTCTTTTTTGCTTTTTTTCTTTTTTTTTGCTTTTTCTTTTCATTCTTTTTTTCTTTCATTTTTTTTTCTTGGACTGAGCCGGGTCCCGACCCGCCGCCCAACCGCGCAGGACCGCTTGTTAGGAAAGGAGAAAATGAAGAAGTAAACAAAAGGAGAGGAGCGCGTGAAGCGGAAAGAGGCATCTGGCAGAGGCTGTGAAATCCTCCTCGTCATCGATGGTAAAGATCGCTTCGGGGAGGGCAGTTGTAACATTACTAGTCTTATGCGCGCTCGTGTTGACGGCGGCCAACTGTAAGTTACCAAGCAACGAAGCTCGGCTCTGTGAGGTGAGAACTGTGTTGTGTTAGCAATGGGTAGACAGAAGGTTAGGAAGATGGTGAGGGGAATCTGTGTGGTGACTTACTGGTTACGCAGCGTCGAGTAGCTACTTCCTTGGCGGTATCAATGTCGGCCGGGTCAGGGCAGCTGCTGAGAACGCGAGACTTAGTGACCGACTTGAACTGCTTATGGATGCAAATGCAGTGAAGGTCCGGATTGCCGTTGACATTGGCACAGCCGTATGTAGGGCCTAGACTCAGCATCTCAGTCATGGCAGATCTCTGAAGAATTATGTGAGTCTATGATGATGCAAACGCCTTTTGGATGATGGGTAGTACTTACTGCGCAAACCGGAAAGTCGTCGATAATATCTGACACAACAGGAGATGTTGTGTTCAGAATGGGCGCAGTGGCAACAATGCCGATGAACGACAAACTGATGGTGGCTTGGAACATCTCGAATCGATCTGGTGCGGTGTCAGCCTGTGAAGGTCTGAGTTTGTTTGATGAAGAACTGAAAGATGGGAACGGAAGATGGGATGAGAAAATGTAATGGGAAGATGGAATGGGCAGATGGCAAAGGGAGATGCAATGCGAAGATGGAATGCGAAAATGGGAAGGGACGATGGGATGCGAAGATGAGATGGAAAGTTGAATGTCAGGGGAAGATGGGAAGAAAGGGGAACAGGTGAAAGTCAGCTTAAGATACCTGACTAATGTCGCTAGTACGAACTGCTGATTTTGCCCGAGTGAAGTTGAGAGTTGGAGGAAGAGAAGAAGGAAGGGAAGCGGGTGGGAGGTCAGCTTGATATACCTTCCCGCAGTGCTGTACGTACCTCTGCCATCCCATCAGTTCTGCAGGCTACCCTCACCAGCTCCCAGGGATTCTGTGGCAAGAGAATGGGTTGACGTCAACGTCTCTCGCTCTGAATGGCTCAGTTTCAGTTCTGCAGGCTACCCTCACCAGTCTCCCGGGCAAGCGAATGGCTTGACGTCAACGTCTCTTGCTCTGAATGGCTCAGTTTCAGTTCTGCAGGCTACCCTCACCACCTGCCAACGCACAATCGTGTGCACACTCCACCAAAACTTACGTTGTCCACTTACTTCGCATGTGCAGCCCGGATTTTGCCATCCGTTACCGAATTGCCCCCGAAAGGGGGGTAGGGTACGCATGCAGGACAAAACCTGCGCAATCCAGAGCGAGAAGCGTTGCGGATGGTTTGCCCACATGACCAGGGCTGCAAATTGGCGGCGTTGTTGGGAGTTATCGGTGGGTGGTGAGTGTCGGTTGTGAGGAAAGTCCATGGGAAGGAGCAAGTTAGACAGGGGCCAGGGGTGAAGTAGTACCTACGCCCCAGTTCAGCACTGCTTACCACCTTTTGTCGACATGGCCATCTCGCCACACTGTTCAGAGCACTGTTCCCAGCGACAGAATACCTGATTTGGATGTCATGCAGTCTTACGGAATTGTCTTCTACTGAGGCAAGTGACCATGCAATTCACGCTATGAATTGATAGCTTTCTAGCAGTGATTCGTGTCGACTGTTGTTGACTGCGCTAGTTTCCCCTCGGTCTCACGTCCAAAATCTTTCAGACAAGGCATCATGTGTCAGCAGCCACCTGCTGGCAATTTCTTGGGAATTATCCCCGGGAGTTTCTTGCGCTATCAATGCCAGACAGTAGTCGAGTGCTGACTGGGTTGTGATCTCCGATTTGCGTATTCAGAATCATATTACGGTTATTACCATAGTACCCGGCGTACCCGCTAGGAATTGGCAGTGTCGAATACTCGTAGGATCCGACACCGGTAATAATTACGAGGTGAGCAGGAATAGCGCGCACTTTGACCAACCAAGGTACCTGGAGCATCAAGGCTATGGCCACAAGCGTTCCGTTGTCCATCGCTGCCGTTCGAACTTCGGGCAGCTCTGCACTGTGCAGCGCTTTTTCTGTTACAGCGGCCAATCGCATTGACCAGCTGAAGATGCTACCTTCACGAACTGCACTCCATGATCGTATCTTTGAGAAGCGGTAGTCCTTAATGTGTTGCACTTTCCGACGAGATGCTGCACATCGCTCGCAGCACCGAGGGTCGACTTACAAAAACGGAGACCATGCATCTAAAGTAGGCATGACGTCTCAGTTGTTGCAACTTTCTGCCGGAATTCAACTAACCGGATGGCTTGCCTTGTTCGAAGGTCCGTGCGGGGTTTGCTGATTGGACACAGGACTACCCCACCTTCCCGCTACGTACGGAGCCCCACCCTGCAAGTGAAGAGAATTGATCAATCATCTGGCTGGAGGTTTGCTCCACTATGGGTAGTAAGTTGCTTCAAGTCTTCAACCAACTTGAACCGTGCAGAAACTTCAAGCTGGTGACAACGGTCCTAGTCTGAAATTCACAGAGACTACTCGTATGCATAAGAGTTAAAACGGCTATGAATGGTGATCTAGCGCATGAGTCAGAAAGCTCGGCAACACCTCGTTTTGCAGGATACGGGCTTTTCCTTAGAAAAGTAGCCATTATAACGCCTTGGTTGAAATCTGGGAGCTGAGTGAGAGTCTCTTTCTCAAAGTCTGACGACAGTGTCACGACACTTAATTGACGCACAACGGGTGGCTGTACAATCGAATCGACACAGTCGAAGTTTTGCCCGTCACTCATAACAGCGCCGATTGCATTTGCCCTCGTTCGACTGATTTCTAAGAGGTCAGGTGTGTCAGGTGCCTTGGGATAGCCACCATGTCAAGCAAAGAGCTTACCTTACACAGTACCGTAGGTAGAGACCTGGAAGTTGGAACCGAAGCCCACATCAAACACCATCAATCACGGAGTGCCGTGGTATGTGCACTCATGGCCATCCAATGCCGAGCTCCTCGGAGAAAGGTTTTAGGTTGGCTCCCGGGAAAGGAAGAAGAAATCGCACAGGGGCTTCATGCCGTCCTGGCTGCCACGATTCTCCAGAACTCCATATCCATATCGATACCTCCTACCGTTCTGTGCCCTCGTGGGATTCACTCTGAGAGCGGGATGAAAAATATTAATAATAACGGAAAACATGTTTGAGCTACTACATACCTCTGCGTTGCGCAAGTCCAGCTGGGCGATGCCCCTGAGCTGGTCGGGAAATCAGCACCAATTCTTAACTACGGTACCTAGGTACTAACTAAGGATCTCTCCAAAAATCTACCGGCGTTCCGTTGGGCCCGTGGGAGCGAGCGTACCGTGTTTTAGAAACCAAGTCTTGGATTCCATGCCCCAGCTCGTGGAACAGGAGCACGACAAAGTGGTGACCGATGAGACTTCGTCTGAGGTGTAGGTCTAATAGTAAGGACTACCTGCACACCAGCCGTAGTGGCCGAAAAGTGGCGGGTGCCGTTTTCCCCGAGTGAACCCGTGCGAAGGTTGATAACCGGCAGGACCATGGACATTTTTTGACTGGGTAGAAACGTTGAATGGGTGGTGACAGTCAGCAACTCACTACATACCGGCGCAATGTTGAAGTTGGAAGGAGGCCGTACTTGGCTCCTGGCCCAGGAAAGAGTCCCCGTCACCCTTTGCGTCGGTATCCCACCCGGCGAAGACCTGGACCTTTTCATGCCAGACTATGTCGGCGCCTCTTTGCTAGAGGGCGAGAACTTGTCGCGCTCTTTACCAAGCCATCTCAACGACCCAAAGTCCGAATAGGTGCTCATAGATCTTTGAGGACTTCAGTGACTGTACTGGTATACTGCAGAGGGAAGCACTCCTTGACTATCAGCCACCGGCTACTATAGGGCTTCGACTTACTTTCCAAGAGCAAACCATTATAATATTGGATTTCCTAGGAAAGTAGACATTCACTAAAGGAGCCACCCTTTGATTCTATTTCTCGTCGTTTTACCTCCTTTAACTATTCAACTAGTCTTAGCGTTTCTTACGCTCCTACTATAACGTCGCTGCGATAGGGATATAGTCCTTAGCAGTCGTAACCTGGCATCTCCCTCTTTATTAGCCGCTAAAATTAGATAAGATACTATAAGGCCATAGGTATTCCGTCTAGTTCGGACGGCTATAGCTCGATGACGTCACTGGTTAGCCTACTCCTATAGTAGTCTTGGTAAAGCCTTAGCAGCAGATAATAGGTTATAGGAATCCGTATATAGGATGGTCTTTTGTCCTTGCTATTGCCGCTCCTGGGTACTATGGCATCGGCAAAGGCAAGCAAATCTTCCTATATTGACATTTCAAAGACGAATCTATCCAGTAGCATATGAGCCTGCCGGGACGCCTCTTACGGAGCTCTGGGCTAGTTGATAAAGAGACGTAGAGAGCAAGCCTATAGACTCCTAAGATATAGGAATCACCGTTGTAGGCTAGAGGTATAATTATATTATAAAACGGTGCCATATCAGGCGTTATAGTGGCCACGATCTGGTTGTACGCTTGGTAGAAGCCTTTAATAAGCCGCTTGGCGCCTAAAATCACCGAAGCGGGTATAGCCTTAAAGTATAGGGGCCTTTTCGGGAGATTGTTACAATATATACGCAGATTTAGTAAAGCTTGGAGATTGCCAGGTCTCCTAATGAAGTAAGAATTGATCTATAAATGCAGTAAGCCATTTAAAGCTGGACGACATTTATAATTTAAGCTAGAGAGAAGGTTGCAGTTTCCTCTCTTGATCTTCTTAGCTCCTATATCTATTATATTAGTGGTGGGATTCTGATATCTGTATCAATGTTGTAAGTTAATGTAGCCTCTACGATTAGTTTGTTAATATAACCTCTTCTGAATCTCGACATCTTATACCTATAGGGCCTATATAGCTTGCACTGGCGCTAGATAGGCTACGTATACTGCGCGCACCCTATTTACACTATATATACTCTGTTTATACTCTGTTCACGCCCTGTTTATACCCTATTCTTACCCAGTGCACGCCCGCTCTGCCCTAGCAAGAGAGGTTGTATTACAACTCTAACCAAGTATTCTCAAGCAGCAATTAAAAATAACACCCCTATTTATAAGTAGGTTATAAAAATAGCTACTTGTCTTCTGCCCTAGTCCCACCCTTATTCTCGGGATTAGGTATAACCATAGCCTTGCCGGGCGGCGGGGTTCCATCGTCCGCCGGTATAGGTAAAAGATACGGCCGCTTCTCGTCCGGCGGCTCGGGAACGTCGAGCTTTATTAGGTCTATACTATTAGAGGCTGAGCAGGCCTCGCTAAAAACTCCTTCGATATAGCCTAGACCGTGTTGAATTCCGGGAATGTCGTGTCCAGATCAGGCCTGATAATAGCGGGCGCTACGAAATAATAGCCGATAATATATAAGCTAGTATTATCTTTAATATTGGTTTAGGAGAGGATCGAGTCCATCAAGTTATTACCCGAGGGGGAGGCGGTAGGGTCGTCGGCTTCGGAATCTCCAGGACCTGGTATTAGAGAACTGAAAAAGGGTGGGAAAGGAAACTTACATTGTGCCCACATCCTCTTAGGCAGGGCCTTATCGAACGGGAGCACTCGCCAAGACTTGCCGCCTTCGACTAGGGCACCGCCCCACAAGGCCTTAATAGTAAGCGTCGACTTCAGTAGGCGGGGGTTTTGGGTCAAACGCCTATAGATCGGCTACTTGTTAAGGACAGTTGCATCGTCGCGATGCTCGGGATCTTCCTTGATGCTGCTATAGATAAAGGCTTCTCCCACCGCGAACTTGGACTCGACCCGGAAGCGCAACGCCCCCGCGCGAACCGGCTATAGCCCTCCCATCTTCTAGTCGTACCCCATCTAGGTATCCGTTATAGCGCCCGCGGAGAGAGCCACGACCACCAGCGCGGCCTTATCGGCGCCTTTGGTCCCTTCTACGCCCGTCAGGGCCGGCTTGGCCACGGCGTCGGCGAACTCGTCAAATATCAACGCCTTAGGCCTGACGTTTCACGGACCAAAGTAGATTTAGAAGTAAATAAGCTTAAAGTCGACTTTGATATATCCGCCGAATGGCGGACCGCATAGGTACAGATCCGCATTAACGGTGCCGTTGATGTCGATGCAGATAAAGCCCATATTAATGCAGGCGCCGACCGTAATGCTCAGCCCCACCTCGGTGACAAAGAACAGCGGCTTGTGGTTGAGCAGGAATAACACCCAGGCTTCAAAGTCGGCGTAGATCAGCCCTGTATTGAAGGTGGCAATCATATATGCCCCGCCTATGACCGCCTTCGGGGGTGATGGCAAAGTAGCCTTCGCCGCCGACGCGGAGCCCGTCCGATACGACCTAGGCGATGCTCAGCCGCGGCGGGTTCGGCCAGTGGCCCGGCACCTTGAAGGCAGGGTGGTAGCCGCCGACGGAAAAGACCTAGTCACCCGCGTACGGTGATATTCCGTACCAGAACGCTAGCGCGAAACCGCCCCGAATCCGGCACAAGGGCGTAAGCACGAAGGAATTGCTGCTAAGCTGCGATTTGACTACAAACGAGGTGCTATCGATCGACGCCACAATGCCTAGCTCCGCATATACAAACGTGACGGGAGACTTGTTCGCGGCGGGCGGCATCTGTGCCGTGGCGCGCCCGATGAGACTGGCCTTAAGCCTGCCGGCAAGAGCAAGGATGAGCGTTGCCTCTACAGTCAGGACCTGGCACGCATCGGCTTGGAGACCGACCGAGAACTAAAACATGCCTTCTTCGGCCTGCAGCCATGAGCTGAAGCTAGACGGAGAGTTGCCAATGATCATGTCGAGGGGGTTGCTGTTTGCTCCGACCTCCGCGGGACCTTGGCGGGAAAGCAATGGGAAGGTCTCGACATCCGCCGCACTCGGCGAGTGCGATGTGTAGTTGTACCCGGAAGATACCGCAACACCCGAGACTTCGGCGAAGCTTATCGTAAAGAGGGGTCCGTTAAGACGGCCATACACGAAGACGGATCGGAAGTCGGCGCTCTTCGTCTGGCGATATGCGCCCATGGCGGTGATGGAGTACGGTGGGATCGTGATGACCAGGCCGCCAACGTACTGCTCGTATTTTGCCTGCTTGTCCAATGGGCAGGTTATGGGCTGTAACTGAACTACTAGTATGTGCTTGCGTTTTCCCATCCAGTCTTCATGGCCAGATAATCAAAGTATGGCCACCCCTGGCGGTGACCGTCCGACGATTCTCGCCAGATTCGCACTGCAAGCTAGGTACTAGTTGCTTCAACATTGCCTTCTGTGCTCGGCTTTACAACGTTGTCAATCGGCACCTTCAGTCCGCCAGCTCAAAACCGACGTGATAGGCAGAAACGATACGGAAGTCATAGAGACGGACGAACGAGAGCAACCGGGGCTCGTCCCGGCAGACCTTATTACCGATCCCCCGGATCCTTAAACTCGTGGGGGCGCCACAGTCGCTACGCCTGCGACCAGAGGGAGGGTGGCGACAATGAAGCCGCGGAGGAGAGGCAAAACAGACCTAGTTTCAGGGAGCGTGTAAGGCACTTCGCCACGGTTGTTGGCAATATGGCGCCTACGGCCACCAAGACAGCCGGACCCGGAGACGGGGGTAATAATCCGAAGCCGGCTCGGCCTGATTCGACTGATCCTGCGCCATTCTATCTAAACCTGGCCCTCCCCGCCCCTATAGTTCCGCCAAAGATCGAAAACCACCATTATAAAATAGACAAAGATCTGGATACGCTAAAAAAGGCCATCCGCTACGGCAATAAATCGCAGATGCAAGCGATCCTAAACCAAAAAAATAGCCTCGTTAATAATCGCATCGACAAAGACGGAAGAACAGCGGTTTATTACGTTATCTTCTAGGAAAACAGCGACGCTAGTATAGAGGAAGGGCGGTGGGTCTTGCTAAAGATCCTTAGGGGAATTACCTATATAGACTAGAACGTGAGAGACGGTCGTCAAAGGACTCTATTGCACTTGGCGCACTTGCTAAAGTACAAGGAGATTACGGCCTATCTCCTGGAATAGAAAGCTAATCCCAACCTTCTAGATGGTACCTAGCGCTCTCTGCTTTATATTGCTATTAAGGGGGGCTAGAGTAATCTAGTTTATCTCTTAATCTAAAATGGAATAAAAGTTAGCCTAGTAGATAGCAGTTTATATATAGCGCTTTATAAGGCTGCCTATATAGGCAATTACTAAATTTTCAGTGATATTCTCGATAGAGACCCTAAAATCGTTAATGTCACAAATTAAACCAATAGGGGCCCCACCTAGGGAAGGCGCAGGGGCGCGGGACGCCCCGGACCAGTCATTACAAGAGAATATAAGACCAATAATGAGCGACTATGCGAGATGCTTAGTAGGGGCCATGCCAAGGAATCGAGCAAGGTGATTAAAGTGATTAGTCCGACCACTTTGAGCACTATGAGCATCAAGGCGACCACGATGCTCAAAGCCAAGACTATAAGCACTTTAGACATATAATGTAGCTAGTATATAGTCACTCGTTCTAGAGGACTCGAGGAGTTCTCCAGTAAGTAATTCAAGCAGTAGTCTATACCTATTATGTAGATATTGCAACTAGCATTATTATAAACCTTTTAGCTTTACCAAGATATGACGAAACCGTAGGCAGTCCTATTCCTGAAAGGGTTCGCCGGTCAAAGGTATCTGCTGGTCAGACTATAGGTCTCGGTGAAGCCAAAAGGTTCACGACAATGCTTGCCGCAATGTCTGCACAATAGGTAGGGACTATTGCTTGAATTGCTCACTGGAGAACTCCCAGAGTCCTCCAGAACGAGTGACTATATACTGGCTATCTTTGGGTGCTCTTATATACTCTATAGAGCTCCCTAGAGCTTAGTGCTCTGTTGACTCCATCGAGAGCTTCTATTCCCTCGCGCTGATTGGCTTAGCTCCCTAAGCTCTTGTCTGCTCTTTAGAGCACCTTAGAGCTCCTTTTTATTGGTCCTAAATGATTGGTTCGGGTGCGCCCTGCGCCACCCGTCGGGTTATCCCACCTGCAGCTATCCTGTTGGCTTAATTCGTGACACTAACGAACTCGAGTTCTTCCTTTAGTATTATATATAACGTATATTATTAGCGAACGGGACATATCAGCGAGCGGGACACTCTCCACTACTCTATAATAACTACTCTCAATTGCAATGCAATAACACTAAGAACCAACTACAATTACATCAGAAACAGATGAATCAGACCCTTCTGCACCCTCCTGGCAAGTGCGTACATTATAGCCAGGCTTGCCGCATATACCATAGCACCGAACCTTCGTACAACCCCCCCTAGCACTACTACCATCCAGCTGTGTTTCTTGCATTGCCTCTCCACCTATAGCCCCCTGGCTTACCACCTCCTATACCTCCTGCACAGTAAGTGATCCTCCAAGCTCTATACGTGTTTTTTTGGCTCTCTGGCGCTTGCTTAGCGCTTCGTTAGCCTTACGGAGCGAAGATACCTCTGCCTGAAGGAGAGCCACCTAGTGCATTATAGCCATCGTACCCTTAGTAAGCTGGTCTACAGCAGCCAACATTGAAGTCAGGGAGCTATTTTGATGGTTGGCAATGCAAGTGTGACGAAACCACAGGCAGTCCTGCCTCTGAAAGGGTTCGCCGGTCGAAGGTAACTGCTGGTCGGACTATAGGTCTCGGTGAAGCCAAAAGGTTCACAACAATGCTCAGTCGCAATGTCTGCATAGTAATATAGGGCTACTTTACTGCTTGTAATTGCTCACTGGGGAACTCCCAGAGTCCTCCAGAACGAGTGACTAGCTTTCCTATATACTACGGTTCTTCCTATGGATTACGGCCTCCCTCTGGTGATCCCTTATACTGGATCACCTTGGATCACTAGTGATCCCTTGTGAGCCTTATACCTGGATCACCAAGTCTTCCCTATGCCAAGTGTGATCCTCTTCTGATTGGTCCGTTCCTGGACCGGAACGATTGGACGCAGGCGTCGCCCGCAGACTATATAGGTCGGCCCCACCGGCCGCTGTAGGTTAATTCATGATACGATGCCCCCTTTCTAGGGCTGTTTGTCCCGAAAGCCCAAGTTTGTTTCAAATAGCGCCAACATCCTATATTGTAAGCATACTATGCGCCTTCTCTTTTCCCTTTCCTAAGAGATACTGACATAATGACAGACTGCGTCCGTAAGCGTTAGTCTAAGAAAGCCTAGGAGCGTACGGCTCTTGCGTCTTTTGTCGAATCCTCTAGAGTAGATATTATGCCTTGCTCTTGGTGTTTCAAGCGCAACCTTGCTTGCTATATCGTATAGAACTTCTCTTATTATAGCAAATACATTCGTTATAGTCGTTCTTGCGATAGTTCTAGTATAGTGTCGTCTTATAGGCTATATTCCCTTCTCCCCTCCTAGCGTAACGTCTGACTTTTCTTAGTGACAAAGATTATATCCGAGCAGAAGCGCTTAGAATAAGAAGAGGCCGATACTAAAGAGGTATTCTTCGTTCTTCAAACTTAGTTATAGACCGCCGTTAGTCGTCTCGCTAGGTTGTAGTATTAGAGGCGTTTCCTAAAGGAGCGGGGCTCTAAGTTGTTCCGTTATAGTATACAATCGTTAGAGGAGATAGAGGCGGAGGACCGTCGGATTCAGGAGTCCGAATCCCGTATGGTTAGCGACATTTAGGCGCTTAGGGCGGACGTTCCTTTTAACTAGGGTTCTTTAGGGCTTGATTTATCTGATATTGACCTGGCCGCTCTAGCGGAACTGTCATCCGAGGTCGATCCGGGTCCTTCTAATGGGACTTCCTTGGTTCCTTAGGGCAGTAGGGGTTTATAGTTGGTAGTGGTCAGGTCTTAGTCGCACCTGCCGTATATGTCGAGTTATAGCGTGGCTGCCTACAGCCGCTTTTTCCTGCCTGGGGTTCTTAATCTGATTCTTGTTGTCTGTTTCCCTACAAATGAAATGGCTTAATGGTATAGCTTGGTTATTATACCCGAGTGATTGCTCTAGGAGACTGTAGGTTTGAATCCTACCTACGCCTTGTCTCTATATAAGTAGCTTTACTACGGGGTAAGGCGGCTTATACGGAGATTTTTACGCCTTCCTCCTGGCTAGTCTGGGTTCTGACAGTGGAATTCCCTTAGTTTTTCTATATAGTTAAGGTATTCTGCTGGTTCCTATAAGTTATCTTCTAGTCCAAAGTCGAGCTATTTAATCAAGTACTCTAGCCTTCTATTGGCTATTTGTAAGTCTAAAATTTCCTTAACGTTCTATTCTTCTTCTTTATCCTTGGCTTCGATATCCTTTGCAACCTATATATTCCTAGGTACTAGTTTAAAGAGTAAGATATAGAAGACGTTAGTATATAGCTTTATCGTTAATAGTAACGAAAGTCGGTAGTTGGATATCGAAATTCTTATGTCGATTTTGAACGGTCTAATCTTTCTAAAATCGAGTTTCTGGCTTAGCCGTTTCGTTCTTAAATTCCGAGAAATAAAGTAGACTATATTTCCTCTCTTAAGGCAAGGTCCCTTAAGCCGATATTTATTGTAATACTCCTTTATCCTAAGCCTAACGAACTCGAGTTCTTCTTTTAGCATTGTATATAGCGTATATATTTTTTCTGCCTTGACTTTTGCTCTAGGTACTATAATACCTAGTCCCTAGTGCAAATCTGCTTTATAACTAAAGTTCGCGAAGAACGGAGTAACCTTTATTATCTCTATTGGCATTATATTATATATAAGCTATACCGCTGGCAATAGATTAACCTAGTTGTCCTATTAGAAGTTGACGAACATTCTAAGGTATTGTTCGATGATCTAGTTAAGCCTTTCTATCTAGCCATCTGTCTATAGATAGTATGCTATTAAGAGCTTACTCTTTGTACCTAATCGCTTTATAAGCGCTTGCTAAAACTTTAATACGAACTTAGTGTCTCGATCTATAATCTATTCTTCTGGCCATCTATGAACTACTGCGATATACCGATAGATTATATCCGTAAGTTGCTCTGCTAACTATAATTCTTTATATAGGAAGAAGTAGCTCTACTTAGTAAGTCGGTCAACCATAGTAAGAATGCTATCGTACTTTGTTCCAATAGTCGAATCTTTCGAAAGTAGTAGTTTGGTGATAAAATCTATTGTCACCGAACTCTATAGTCGTTCTACAACTGGCAACGGCTCTAAGAGCCTGTATGGTTTATATCGTACCGACTTGCTTCGATTGCAGAGGTTATATTTCTATACAATGGTTTTGACTCTAGTCCTAAGTCCTGGGAAGTCGTAGTGTTGCCAAACCTTGGCGACTGTTTTGGCAATTCCTATATATCCTCCGAGTTTCGACTTATAGATTATCTTAATTAATTCCGTTTGATCCTATAATATAATATAGGCCTTGCCATTATACTATAACGCTCTATCTCTCTAAGAGATGCCTGCCTTCTCGTCTATATCGTTCTGCTTCCGGTCTTAGAAGTCTTTTCCTAGCCGTTCTTCCCTGAAGACTGCGCAATATTCTTCAAACGGTTGCAGAGGTTATATGCCGGGATCTTCGTCCTATCGTAGAAGCGTATCGTTATCGAGATCTTCTATCAGTTGGGGAGCGTACCGTAAGGAACCGTCTGGCTATTGTTGAAATAATAGTGGCGAGGCTTCTAGTTGGCTGTTTCTAAAGTGATCTAGCCTCCTGCTTAATGCATCTACCCGTACCTTCTCCGAGCCTTTCTTATAATTAATTTTGAAGTTGAACTCTGAAAGGAATTCTGCCTATCGAGTCTATCGTCCGTTTAACACCTTAGTAGTAGTAAAGTACCGCAAGTTCTTATAGTCTATATAGACCTGGACTTCGTAGGTTATACTGCTAAGGTATAGTCTCCATTCTTAAAAAGCCTCGATAATAGCTAGCTGTGACGAAACCACAGGCAGTCCTGCCTCTGAAAGGGTTCGCCGGTCGAAGGTATCTGCTGGTCGGACTGTAGGTCTCGGTGAAGCCAAAAGGTTCACAACAATGCAAGTCGCAATGTCTGCACAGTAATGTAGGGCTACTTTACTGCTTGTAATTGCTCACTGAGGAAGCTAGCTATCTGAATGAGAGGCAGAATGGTAGAACTATATACAGCTTCCTCCCCTAGGTATCCCGTACCTAGATCTCTGGAACATTTGGAACAATTGTCGTTCCCATTGTTCCATCTGGAACAACGTTCCTTGGCGTTGTTCCCCAGGAACAATCGTTCTTGGCATTGTTCCTGATTTCCCTAATCCTCATTGGTTCCTTCTTCCTCGTAATGATTGGGTACGGGCGCCGCCCGTTGACCATGCAGGTCGGCCCCCACCGGCCTCTGCAGGTTAGTTCATGACACGATGCCCCCTCTCCAGGGCTGTTCGTCCCGAAAGCCCAAGTCCGTTTCAAATAGTGCCAACATCCCACGTTGCAGGTATATCATGTTGTTCCTCCTTCTTCTTCCTTAAGAAATGCTGACAAGATGTCTGGTCGCGTGAAGAAAACGAAATCGAGAGCGAAACCGGAATCCAAAGTCAAACTTGCCGAACGCAGCGACCTTTTATCCATCATTCTTCGTACTGCGACCATGGCGAAGAGTCCTTGCTCATACTGCAAGGCTCGCGGCCTTGATTGCAAGTCTTCCGCCGACGCATCCTCCGCCTGCTACGAGTGCGTTCGCAGTCATCAGTCTTTCTGCGATGCGCAAGGCGTTACTATATAGCAACTCCAGCGTATCGTTTCCCAACATGATAAGTTGGAATCCGAGATGGAAAAGGCGGAGGCCGAGCGCGCGGCCCTTGATGCAAAGATCAATCGCCTGCGTCTTTAGAAACGAATGTGGTTTGAGAAGATGACGCGGGCCATCTCTCGTGGTATCGATACCGTAGAAGAACTAGAGCGGGTAGAGCGTGAGGAAGCGGAGGCGCTGGCAGCGGCGGAGTCGGCTTCTGCCCCTCCTACTTCGTCAACCCCTCCTCGCTTATCGCCAAGCTTTATGCCGTTGTAGGACTCGGTATATCCTAACGTTTCCTTGGAGCCTTCTCTGATAGTGGATTTTGGGTTGGTTGGCGGTGGTCCGTCGTTCTTATCCGAGCAGGGTTCCTCTGGTGAAACGACGTCTTCCCAAGGTGGCGGTGGTTCTTGATGGTGGCCAGGTCTTGGTTGTGCCTGCCGTGCGTGTCGTGTTATAGTGTGGCTGCCTGCAGCCGTTCTTTTCCTTCCTGGGGTTCTTACCCCGATTCTTGTTGCCTGTTTCCCGACAAATGAAATAGCTTAGTAGTATAGCTTGGTTATTATACCCGAGTGAATGCTTCTGGGAGACTATAGGTTCGAATCCTATCTGGGCTTCTTCTCTATATAGGTCGTGTTACCGTAGGGTGACGCGACCCGGCCGGAGATTTTTATACTTCCCTCCTAGTCGGTCTGGGTTCTATCGGTAGAACTCCTTTAGTTTTTCCGTATAGTTAAGGTGTTCTGCTGGTTCCCATGAATTATCTTCTAGTCCGAAGTCGAGCTATTTGATTAGGTACTCTAGCCTTCCGTTAGCTATTCGCGAGTCCAAGATTTCCTTAACGTCCTATTCTTCTTCTTCGTCCTCGGCTTCGATATCCTTTGCAACCCGTATGTTCCTAGGTGCTGGTTCGAGGAGCGAGATATAGAAGACGTTGGTATATAGCTTTATCGTTGATAGTAGCGAAAGTCGATAGTTGGATCTCGAGATTCTTACGTCGATTTTGAATGGTCTAATCTTTCTAAAGTCGAGCTTCTGGCTTGGCCGTTTCATTCTTAAATTCCGGGAAATAAGATAGACTATGTCTCCTTTCTTAAGGCGAGGTCCCTCGAGCCGATGTTTGTCGTAGTACTCCTTCATCCTAAGTCTGACGAACTCGAGTTCTTCTTTTAGTATTGTATATAGTATATGCATCTTCTCTGCCTTGATTTTTGCCCTAGGTACTGCAATATCTGGTCCCTGGCGTAAATTTGCTTTGTAACCAAAATTCGCGAAGAATGGAGTGACCTTTGTTGTCTCCGTTGGCGTTGTATTGTATGCAAGCTATGCCGCTGGCAATAGATCAACCTAGTCGTCTTGTTGGAAGTTGACGAACGTTCTAAGATATTGTTCGACGATCTGGTTGAGCCTTTTGGTCTGGCTATCTGTTTGTAGGTGGTATGCCGTTGAAAGCTTGCTCTTCGTACCCAAACGCTTTATAAGCGCTTGCTAAAACTTTGATGCGAATTTGGTGTCTCGGTCTATGATCCATTCTTCCGGCTACCTATGAACTGCTGCGATATGCCGATAGATTATATCCGCAAGTTGCTCTGCTGACTATGATTCTTTATATGGGAAGAAGTAGCTCCACTTGGTGAGTCGATCAACCATAGTAAGGATGCTATTGTACTTCGTTCCAGTAGTCGAGTCTTTCGAAAGTGGTAGTTTAGTGATGAAATCTATCGTCACCGAACTCTATAGTTGTTCTGCAACTGGCAATGGTTCCAAGAGCCTATATGGTTTGTGCCGTGCCGACTTGCTTCGATTACAGAGGTCGTATTCCTGTACAATGGTTTTGACCCTGGTCCTAAGTCCTGGGAAGTCGTAGTGTTGCCGAACCTTGGCGACTGTTTTGGCGATTCCTATATGTCCTCCGAGTTTTAACTCGTAGATTATCCTGATTAATTCCGTTTGATCCTATAGTGCGACGTAGGCCTTGCCATTGTACTATAACGCTCTATCTCTCCAAGAGATACCTGCCTTCTCGTCTATATCGTTCTGCTTCCGGTCTTGGAAGTCTTTTCCTAGCCGTTCTTCCCTAAAGACTGCGCAGCATTCTTCAAACGGTTGCAGAGGTTGTATGCCGGGATCTTTGTCCTATTGTAGAAGCATATCGTTATCGAGATCTTCTATCGGTTGGGGAGTATGCCGTAGGGAACCATCTGGCTGTTGTTGAAGTAATGGTGGCGAGGCTTCTGGTTGGCTATTCCTGAAGTGATCTGGCCTCCTGCTCAATGCATCTGCCCGTGCGTTTTCTGAGCCTTTCTTGTAGTTGATTTTGAAGTTGAATTCTGAAAGAAATTCTGCCTATCGAGTCTGTCGTCTGTTCAATACCTTGGTGGTAGTAAAGTACCGCAAGTTCTTATAGTCTATGTAGACCTGAACTTCATAGGTTGTGCCGCTAAGGTATGGTCTCTATTCTTAAAAGGCCTCGATGATGGCTAGCAGCTCCTTGTTGTAGATTAGGTAGTTGAACTATGGTCCTTCGAGCTTTTTTGAGAAGAATGCAACTGGGTATAGCTTCCCTTGTTTGTTGTACTGACCAAGTTGTCCCCCGATTATATAATCGGATGCGTCGGTTTCCACCTCAAATGGCTTCCGTAGGTCTAGTAACCAGAGCACTGGATTGGCGATGATTGCGTTGCGGATCTTCTGAAACGCTTGTTCGTGCTTGGCTTCCTACCGGAACTTGATGTCTTTCTTCGTGAGTTCGTGCAATAGTCGTATAAGGTCGCTAAAGTTCTTGATGAACATTCGGTAGAAATTGGCGAATCCGATAAATCCTCGTACCTCTATTGTTGTTGTTGGTTATAGCCATGTTTTGATCGCTTCGATCTTTGCTGGCTCTATCCTAATTCTGCCAGGCGAAATTTTATATCCAAGAAACACTGTTTTCGTAATATAGAATTCGCTCTTGTCCTTATTGACTGACAATTTATGCTTATAGAGTGCGTTTAGCACTGCCCTTATATGTTCCTTATGTTCCTCGAGTGTTTTGGAGAAGATAAGGATATTATCTAGGTAATAGACTGCGAATCGGTTGAAGAATAGGCGGATCGTATAGTCAACGACCGCCTGGAAGGTTGCCGGTGCGTTTGTCAATCCGAAGGGCATTATAAGGTATTCGTAATAGCCGTAGGGAGTGCGAAACGCTATCTTCTATTCATCCCCTTCCTTAATGCAAATATAGGCGTATACTATTGGAAGGTCGAGGCAAGTAAAGTAACGGGCGTCTGCCAACTGGTCTCGAAGCCGCGAGATAAGTGGCAAGGGGTACCGGTTCTTTACCGTCTCTCTATTCAGCTGTCGGTAGTCTATATATATCCAAAGCTTCCCGTCCTTCTTTAGAACGAATAGGACTAGGTAGCCCGCCGGCGATATCGATGGTCTGATATACCCTATCTTGAGATTCTCCTTAAGATATCTCCTTAACTTAGTATCTTGTTTTTCGTTAGTATAGTATACCTTGAAGAACTTCAATTGGGCTCCTTCCTTGAGTTTGATTTTATAATCCCAAGGTCCATGGTCTGGTAGCCCCTTAAGATGCTTTGCTTCGAACGCCGGGTGTCCTTGGTATTCTGCTGGGATTTTGCCTGTTTCTACGTTCTTCTCTATACTCCGGTAGTATGAGAACTTGTCTCCGGCCGTAATACTGGCCGCTTCCCTCTAGGTAACCTAATCCTGGAATTCAAATTCTCCGGTCTTATCGATTAAGATAACAGCGATTTCGATATCGTCTGTGTCTCTCTAAGCCGTACGAGGGTATCGTCGCAAGTGGCGTCGTCTCTGGCCTGGTCTTGCCGATTCCCGCTGTTCTTCCTAGTGACTGCCGCCTCTTCCTGAGTCCGTAGTGCGCTGCCTGGCACTGTCCGTCTCTTGCGGTGGATCTATAGGGGCCGCCTTCCGGGGCGATCTTCCCTGCTATGATCTGTCGTCTGCGCTTTCTATCTCGTTGGTCGGATACGGCCTCTATTCCCGAGGTTGTAGGTGGCTACCTCCCTTCCAACTGATGTCTGGGTTGTAGTCTCGATACTATAGGCGTCCTAGAATTATGTCCTTCTTAGGCCCTATTTCAACAATGTCAAATACTACTCTAGTGGTTTCCCCTTCTACTGTGATCTCAAGTAGTTCCGTTTCCCGTCGTACCTATTAGGTGTCGAATGGTCCTTTAACGATATACTGTTTCTTCTTGATCCTCTATAGGATCCTAAGTCGATTGACAAGTGTTGGCAAGATAAGGTCGACCTAAGATCCTCCATCTACTAGTGCCAATGTTTAGAATCCTTTCCAGTATGCTATAACCTAGATTCTGTCATCGGGCTTGTCGTTCTAAATCGCAGCGGCTTCCTTTTTGCTCGCTAGGAGGTCGTAGATCCTTTTCCTTGCGTGGTTCTTCCTACACCCGCGGATCTATCGTTGTTATAATAGATTTAGTGGTTTCCGGGCCCCTTGGAGGGCCCTGAGCTGTTTCCCAACTCCGTCCTGGCGTCTGGATAGGCGTCCCTATCCTCCTATGCCTCTTGGTTGCCGTCCTACGGTCCAAGTCTCGGGAGTTCTTCGAATAATTGTCAAGTTTTGTTGGCTCTTCTTCCTTCCTTTCGTCGTTCGCAAGGCGTCATCTATCTTCGTATGTATATCTTGCGTTCGTAATGCTCTTGGAGCTTTGCTTATATATAGATTAAGCAATCCTGGCTCTCGCACTATCGAGCGCTATTGGGCCACCGCTGGCAGTCCTCTGGCTGGGTTCTTTGCGGTGTCATCCTGATTCTATCGTATGCGTTGGTCCTCTCGACCTTCTATAGGAACTAGTCGGCGCCGGTCCCTGCGTCCTAAACCTACGGGACTAGTCGAGGTTCTCCGTTTTAGTCGGTAGGCCTATCGGGCCAAAAGTCGTTGTCAAATTTTGATCGAAAATGGTATCGGCATTTGTACGCGATGCACTGGAACTATAGGACGTAGATATAGTCGTATCGCTAGGGTTAGAGTCGAAGTGCGTCTCGTTCGTAGGGTTCGTAGCGTAGGCCGAATCCAATCCAAATGCATACTGTATTGCTATCCCCGACGCCGTTGTACGGCTTCTTATTCCAAAAAGTGTCCTAATCTTATGGTTTCTACCCCTTAAGTCTTCGCTGGTTCTAGGCCTTCTAGTATTCAGCCTTGGGGTTCTTAATTCTATTATTCCCCCTGCCCTGGCTTAGGTCCTGTGCTAGTCTATCCTACAAGTTCGAGTGGTACTCTTCCTGGACCCTGACTAACTTGGCCTTGACGAATTCTAGTTGGCTTATAGCCTGAGCCTTTTCTTCTATAAGTCTTCGGGCAATTGTTCGAAGCTCGGCTTGTTCCTCTTTAGCCTCCTAAAGGCGCTGGGCGAGAAAGATAGGGTTCGGGCCAATGGGTTCGTTATCCGATTGTTATATCCTCTATTGACCTTCTTCGTTCTAGGTCAACTGGAATCCCTAACCTTCCGCGAGTTGTAATGCTACGGCGGCGGCAATATCGTAGCCTATAATAGGTTCTTCGAACGTAACGTAGGGGCTGTTGCTTCCTGACTAAGAGAAGTCGTTAATGCTTCCTTCGG